ACTCACTGATGGTTCTGGTTGCCGCTATTGTCGTCCTTGCAGCACTCACGCAGGTAATCACCCGGCACCCGCTCGCCCGCGTTATCCCGTCGAGATCCGTGCTGATGTCGCGGGGGAAGTTGGGGAAGTAGTATGTTCCCGGCGATGAACTGCGGCATGTGGGATAAGGTACATGCCTAAGGTTGGGTGTTTAGTTGCGTACCGCACCCATCGTGTGTATAGCGCCGTACCTCTTGAGCCCCCCAAGTCTCGAGGCCCGTCCGTCTCAAGCGTGCCCAGCCGAACGAATGGGACATGCCCACCGGGCGGAGGCGGGCTCTTGCACGGCGTGGGACAGGCTGGCGCTTGGGGCTGAGACGGAGGTGTTGTTAGACTGTTAGACCATGGGATCGATCAAATGGATGTCTCACTTGAGAGACGCTGGATCATCACCGGGACGGACCAGGCAGCCTATGATAGCCACCATCGCCATCACGACTCGCAGTTGAAAATCTAGCCAAGCTCCTGGGCCGCCAGCGAGTCCGTTGGAAGCGAGCCACTATAACCGGATAGGCATCGCATCAAGGGCGAAGCCGCCCGAGCTAGGCAATTGAAGCCATCGCACTTTTACGTAGTCGGCAACGCCTAAGAGCAAATCTCCCGTCAGCCAAGCCCCCGCAGGTTAGATCGTCCCCTGGATCGGCGGTTTGTATTCGTGGATGGCGGGATGCAAATAATTAGTACGTGTTAAGTGAGTTCGTCAATGGTAACACCACAATGCCTCGTCTGGACCTTGCCAATGAGGTTCAAGAAGGCTCGGGGATGCAAGGATGTAGAGATCTTCATCTGCCACTCCCACTCCCCTTTCTTGCACTTGCACGAGGACACGGTGGGTTTTTTTCCCGGGCCTGACGTAAACGCTACGGGCCGGGCTGACCCAAATGGAAGGCGCACTCGGGAGAAAGGCGGCACAGGGGCTTAATAGGTTTGCAACCGCAAGGGTAATCTGGGGCTCTGGGATTCTGGGCCTTTGGGGGCCTGAGGGTTGACTGGTCGCGTGGACACAGGACGAGGGTCCATTGAAGCACGATGATGTCTTGTTGCTGCGTTGAGCTGGGGCACTGGGCGCATGGGGCATACCGTCTTGGGTCTGGAGCGACCAACGACGAAGCCATCTGCTGCCAACTGGGGCACGCCGCACCAGAGACGAAGCAACTGAGGAGCAAAACAAAGCAGTAGCTAATCAAGACAAAGCAAGCCAAAACATAGGGCGACTGACGACCGACGATGAACCTTGCAGAGCTCGCCGCACCATGCAGAAGCCAAATGTGGACCAATCAACCCATGGTGCTTCGACGAGCCTCGTTGACTGGAGACGCAAACTGGAGACTGGAGAACGGAGGCGCGAGGTGGCTTGCACACAAGCCTGTGAGAAAAGGGCCAGGGTCCGGGTTACAACGTCCACGATCACGATCCAGGACGAGGCGCTGCTTTGCACAACTCAGTAAACACCGGACATTGATCCTTACCATGTAGGTAATAATGCGAATGCTGTAGTAACACTTGTGGGAATTCGACTGAACTACTCCGTACGCTTAGAGAAATGGATGTTGCAGCAGGGGTCCTGGACGGGTCCGATGTAATGTCATGTTGATTGACGGCGAGGGACAGGCCTGCTGCGAATACCTTACCCAAATGGAGCTGGATCAGGACATAAAGCCAAAGTCCCCTAACCCTTATTGATCATTGAGAACGCAGTTGCTGTACGCAGATGCTGCCCCTCCGGCACTCGCACCGAGCCCGCCATGCATCTGCCTGTCGCCATCCGCCCGCCGTAGCTCGTCGACACCGAGTCCGGTCCGGTGGTGCTTTGAGCTTGCATATGACGGCCGGACCTGGAACCAAAGGCGTGGATCAGAGGCACAGGCACTTGCACTGCAGGCCGTCGAACGGACCTGTCTCGTAGGTACCCGCCTGCGACGCCTGAGGAGCACTTCTCTGGGCCCCGAAGATGCTCCGTTGACGGCGGCAAACTTTTTTTACTTTTTCGCATCTTCATTCTTTACCCTTCTTGGACATGCCAGGCTTGCCCTGCCCTGCCCTGCCCTGCCCTGCCCTGGCGCTTGCTGCTTTGCTTTTGCCTGCCCCCAGTGGGACAAGCCTCCCCGCCAACGGCCACTAGAGTGTGAGATACTGTCGTGTCAGGTACACGCCGGCGCATGACGTGCACTCGTAGATACCTTTGTTGCAGGTTCTGGATGCTGCAGCCGACGCCGGCTACCGCGGGGGCGCGCAACCTAGATGGGGGTTGAGACTGGGCTCTCGGCTGACTTCTTTGGGGGGATTTGCAGGGCATCACAGGCTGAGCTATGGATGGAGTGTGTATGGAGCACCAAGTACCCAGCTTCAGGATAGGCTGTCGTGGTGGCATGGGAGTCGGCATGGCGTTTTCCTCCTCCACGGGACTCGGGCTCAGATGCTGCTCTGTGCGGGCTGTGATGGATGGAACTCGGGAAGGCCCAGGTCGCATTGGATCGATCCGACTCGTGACCAGCCGCGCATGGCCTGCCCGTCGCCCGTGAACCATGAGCCGCTGCGCCTGTTGTCCGTCCGAGGTTGAATAAAAGGATGTGAAGCTAGAAATGAGCATCGGGACGCCGTGGTTGATGGTTGTCCAGTGAGGATTGTCTCAGCGCCCGGCTTCTTCCATGAACCTGCCCTGAAGAGTAAGGAGGTCGGAGGGTGAGGGCGCGCCTTCCGTCATGCTTTCCCGTAGTGCTGCGCTGCGCTGAATGCTCCTCCCACCCTCCACGCCTTCCCTCTTCACATCACTCTCCCACCCCACCAAATGTATCCACCAATCCTCCTTCCACCATCGCAGACAAGCCACCATCAACCATCCCACCATCCACGGGCCCCACTGTCTCCTACGGCCAGCGGTGCACCATCCACATGCACACCACCCACCCAACCAGGGGCCACACTGGTCCGCGATGGAACCAAGAGGAGCCCTTGGTTTGGGGGGCCATCACTCGCTACCCACCGACCGGCTGTCGTCGCTCGTGCGAGAGAGCCAGGGAGAGCCCGGCGGAAGCAGCAAGCCCACGACCCAGAAGCGACGGCAGAAGGCAGGACCAGCAGCTACCCTTAATTGCACACGTAACAGCCTCGTCCGCGTCCCGCGTCCCGTCGCTAATAAGCCCTTGCACAAGGCGCTTTAACCCCCGTTCAAGCGCCCGATCCCACCATGGGTGGCGGGCAATGGAGCCAAGGGTAACGGGTTGACGATGGGATGGGGGCCACCGACCCGGCCACCACGCTCGTCATGGCAATCCCTTGTCGACGGGCCCAGCCCCAGCGCCCCAGCCCGGTCCAGTCGCCGCTTGCGCCATCGTCCCACACACTGTACAGCCGAGTATCCTCGATCGTGCCCGTGTCCGCGCCTCCACGCCTCGCCTTGCTGTTCTGGGCCATGACCCTGGGGAGCATGGGACCCGGCATGGGCAGCAGCAGGCAGGCAGAGAGAGAGCAGGCGATTCGCGAGGCGTCGGAGACTCGTCTCGACGACACAGTTACAGTCGCAGTCACAACGGCCGGCGTAGCCAAGGGTCGCAGGCGACACCTCCCGCACAAGGGACCAAAGCAGTCATGTACTGGGCTGTACTGCTTGTACCAAAGGTTCAAGGCTGAGAAACTGGTCTTCTGGCTGGCCGAATTCGCGCCGCGCATCCCGATCCCATCCTATTCGCATCCCATCATCTGGCCATGGTCACCAATATTAAAAAAGACGGTTCCCTTCCTTCTGCCCATGCTTGAAATTTTCCCTCCTCCCTTGCTCGGCCACTCTTGCGTGGTTGCTGCTATTGTTGTCGTCGCCGTGTGCGTGCGCCAGACCGTACACCGAGTCCTCTCCGTCCGTCTCCTCTCGCCTCGCCTCTATTTCGGTCTCGGCTGCCGACGTCACCAGAACAACGAGTCGCCATCTGCACCGAGCCCAACCCGCGAACGAGACGACTGGCCAGCGACAGCGAAGACCCCCATCCATTCTCCGACCCTCCGACTCTCCGGGCCGACAACTCCACTCACAACGTCCCCAGTAGGCGGGCTGGTCTTGGCTTGTCGACATCGACGTCAAGCGGCCACCCGAGCTGAGCGCCAAACCCGCTTGCACGGCTTTCTGTGCCTTGGCCTTGGCCTCCGGGACCTTGCACATCTTCAGTGCACACGCATACGAGACGAAGCCTGTGTACTGTCCCGTACCTTGACTCCCCCCGGTCCCGCCGCCGACTTCGTCGTTTGACTCTATCCACTCCACCACACCTCTCCCACCTTTTTTTTATCCGTTCCCACACGCCTCTCATCCTCTCTCACACTCTCCCACCCGGCCGCGCTCCACTCTTCCTCCACAACCACACCTCAATCCCACACACCCCAAAGAAGCCAAAGCAAGAGCCCGCCGTCGCCCCAAGGCACCCAAGGGAAAAATCTCCACCCGCCGACCAGCGCATCTCCACTCCCGTTCCTCTCTCTCATCAATTGGCTTTGTCCAACTTGTCCTCGAAAAGTTTTATTGCTTTCTCTCTTCCAGCCTCTCCAGCTTCAGCATCTGTCTCCGCCGCGAAATGTTCTTGTAACAGACCGGCGCCCTTGGTCGTCCCCGTTTTCCCCATCTTCTCATTCCCACTGCTTTTAGCGTGGTATCCCTTCCCTGCCTTCACCCTCTTACCTTCAAACCCTCGCCCATTTCCCCCTCGGATTAACACCCAGAGCTTGGATTCCCCAAGCCTACCCTGGTCGCCCGCCTCGATTCTTCGATTGCCCCGATTTCTGAGACAAAGCAAGCAAGCAACCTTGCCTCTCAGACACCATCGACAGCTCCAGGGCTCAGCTTTCTGTTACCACCTACAGCTATTCGAGCTCCAGCTCCCACTCCCGTTTCCGCTTCCGCTTTCGCTCCCGCACCTTACTTCCACTTCCACGCCTCAACTATCAACTTCAGCAATCCACATCCACCCGCCAAAATGATAATCGACGGCGAGAAGTATGCTTGCGAGGCCTGCGTGCGCGGCCACCGCGTGAGCAACTGCCAACATTCTGGTAAGTGACGTCCTCTTCGTTGCTTCTTCGGCGCAGCTCTCGCCTGGCGCGGGGTTCCCTCGGCGCTGCCAGGGCGTACCTGGCGTTGGCCCTCGCCTCTGCCATTGCTGAAGCACCGCATACTCGGCGTCTTGTTTTTTATTCAGCATATGCTAACCGTCCTTCTCTGCTGCTTAGATCGTCCCCTCCAACATATCAATAAGAAGGGTCGCCCAGTCTCTCAATGCGCGCACTGCCGCGCGATGCGCAAGTCGCGCTCTGCCCACGTCAAGTGCGACTGCGGCGAGAAGACAAGCAAGTGCGCGCACTTGCAGCCGACCGTCGATGGACACAAGGGTGAGCTCAAACTTCTCGAACAGTCCCGAGAGGTCTCGGAAAGTTGTATATTGACAATGCACCTCACAGAGACGTGTTGCTGTAACCACGGTGGCCGCTGTACTTGCTCCGGCAAGAAAGAGCCTGCTCTTGACACTGTCCCCGAGTCCGACTCGGAGGACGAGTGTCAGTCTACTAGCACCACTGGCCGTGTTAAGGCTCCCACTCGCCGACGGAGGGCCAACACTGTCCACTCCGACGGCGTCCTGACCTTCGACCAAAACGGTCACCATAAGCCCGCTCACAGGAACAACAGGGTTGCACAAAAGTGTGGTCCTTACCAGCTCAACAGGGTCAACTCTGCTCACAGCACCGGAAGCTTGGGTACCGACAGCATGATGCAGAAGGGTACCCGCGAAGCGCCGAGCACCCGGGCTCGTGCGTCAAGCACCCGGGAACCACGCCGAGTCAAGTCAGAAACGGCTTCCCCACTCATGAGCAGCAACCCGGGTTTCCAGAACCTCAACGGCAACCTGCCTCCGTTGGACCTGTCGGGTATTGAGTACCCGCCCTACATGGCCAACAGCACATTCGACCTCTTTGGCTCCGGTTTCAACTCAGAAACTGATGGCCCCATGTACAGCGCCGGTCTGAGCGCCGCGTCGGTCGATTGGAGTCACTATGACCTATCAGACATGAAAGGAGACAGCTTTACGCCCTCGAGTTATAGCCAGGCCGGAGCCCAGAGCTTCAATGGCCTGTTCGACTTTGGCAGTGGCTCAGAGCAACTCCCTCACCTAGCTAACACGACGTCGACCTCTGGCGAGGTCTCCGAGGTGGAAGACTTTATGCCCGGAGGCGACGGCGACTATGACGGCTTCAGCGCCGGCAGCACGTTTCTGCGACAAAACAGTATGATGGCCAGCTCCACAGACCTGACCAGCATCGACTACGACAGCTTCTACAAGGGCCCCGACGCCGGCCCAATTGCCGGAGCTGGTCTATCGATGGTCGAGGACGACCCCGCATTCTGGATGCCCAACTACAACGAGGGCATCACGACTATGGACGACAGCCCAGATCCCCTGGGCCCGGCTTCTATGCCCAACCTTTGGGAGATGTGAGAGTGTTTACGGGATCGAGTTTTGGCGTACCGCAATACCCATGGTTTTGAATCATTTTAAAAAGCAACGGCAGGCGGTGGGAAATACCAATTGCCTGGAAATGTCATGGAGGTGCATGGCTCCCGTTGTTTTTACGCGACCACCACAAAAAAAAATACGTTTTATTTATTGAACAGCATCACGCATGCTAAGCACCCATCTGCTTCTCTTCTCGAACGACGAAAGGACCGGCCTGGATTGAAGGGGAGGGAAACACTCCCCATTGGTCGGCCCAATGTTCGAGATCTGACGATTATGATGATGATCACGACGTTTCTCATCGGCTGGGGTGGACGATTGAGCGGGGGATGAGATGCAGGAGAGTCTGGGGTGGTGGCCGGAAGAGGCCGGGAGCCCAGCGTTCGTTTTTAGATCTTGAGTCTGAGAGGACACACCACCAAGATAAACGAGAACATGTCCGGTGTCTCAAGCAGGAAGGTACGGACGAGTCGGAATTGATACGATTTACGGTACCCAATGCGAATAACCCGAGTCTACCAACATCCAGCCGAGAGACAGACAGAGCGACCGATGAGGGGTGAGATGAAGAAAAAAGACACAATGTGAGGAGAGACGGAGGATTTGCCACGTTTGCACGCATGAGGGAGTCAAAATAAAAGGGGAGGGGGCCGGGAAACCTGCACATATGGGTCGAGATAGACTTGATTGTCACGTCAGTTTGTTGGTTTTGGCCAATTTGTCTTGGGCATTTCTGAATATTCTATTCTCTTTTTTCTTTGTTCTTTTTTCTTGTCACCCAGCCGAGAGGTATATACGGCTCAGAATAGAGACGATGACGACGGAAAGACCTCGGCCAGGCGGGTCGAGGTTGACGATGCCACCACCAACAGACAGTTTTGCCTTTGTGTCCTTGTTTCGCAGGTGACTAACTGGCTTGAGTGCTCGGTTGTGTCTTGGTGTCGAGTGAATGGGGAGTCGGGCAATGGCAAGTTGATAGTGGACATGACCATGATACATAGACGGCAATTGGAGTGAGCGTGAGAGAGGGTACGGGGACGGCAGCGGGACTGGGGGAGCGGGAATGGGGAACGGGGACGAGGCTGCCTGCCGCGAACCTCGGATGGACTGAGATGAATGGATGGAACGTTGTCGGCCGCCCGGAGAGGTGACAGTGACAGTGACATGAGGGCGACGCGGAAACGGCTGCCCCCAAAGCCAAGGCCAAGTCAGACGGGATCAGGACCCTGGTGCGACGGGCGACGGGCGACGGGCGAATGACGACTGTCGACTGGTGATTGGTGACTGATGACTGACGAGACGGCTGGTGACTTGTGTGACTTATTATTAGTTGTGACGGGCGACCAGCGACCGGATGGACAAAGCCTCGCTGGGTTTGGGGTCCGGACAGGGTATATCTCGCCCGACTTCTCCCTTGGTTCGTTTTCTGGCTGCTCCAGCATCGACAAGGTAAGTTAATTGGTAATTATCGTATGCACGGAGTACTCTGTAGTACGTACTTGGTAGCCGGCCACTCAAATCATCAGTATTCATGGTCCTGCTGGCCCCAGGATCGACCAGCGTTTTCGATCTGGGGCACAGGGAAAACCAGGCCACGCGCCAGCCACGCCACTTTTACTCGCACTTTTACTTCCACTTTCACTTCCACTTTCACTTTCACTTCCTCCACTCCTCTCCACCCACTGGAAGAATTACTTCCCAGCCCGAACCATGCTCAGTGCAAATCTGGAACGTGCGGGACGTCAGCCACAAGTGTGCTCCAAACGCGCTGGGGACTTTGGGGGCTTGGAACCGCTGGGGGGGGATCGGTCCAGGCTTTCGGCTCTTATGCTTGGGGCTCTTTGGGGGAACTGTGAGAGCCTGGCATCCCCACCTGCGTAGGCTGGGGAGGTGACTTGCCCTTTTTGCCCGTGCTACTCAGCCCCTGGGGCCTTGGCCAGAGCACGACCCATGGAAATGGCCGTGTTGCAGGCCGTAATAGTATCGCACCAGCTGTATCACGCTCCGGGTCGCTCCTGGGAGTCCCCCTCTCTGCGGACCGCGGCCGCGGGAGATGGCATCGGATGCGATGGGATGGACAAGGCAAGCAAGCAAAAAGCACACAGTGCGATGCGGACTCAAGCAGGACCCTGTTGGTTGATCGCATCCGGAGCTGCTGGAACTGGAACTGGACCTAGAAGCTGAAGTTGGCCGCGGCTAAATATGGCTACTTGTGGTTTACCTAGGTGGTTTACCAGGTTTACCAGCACATGCATGCTACTTGGTGGGACACCCGCGAGCACGGGGCCAGGGAGGTACCCAGCATGTAAGACGAGCCCCGCTCCCCGTGGCCCGATCCCCGGAGAGGCAGCCAGCGCCCCGGAGAGGCAGACAGTCAGTGCGCCATGGAACAGCGGGAATCCACTCCGATTTTTATGCCTGCGTAAGCTTTAGCAGAGCTTGTGTTCGTCGTTCATAATTCCCGGTAATTATGGTTTTCTTATTCCTCGCTCGCTCAGGGGGGGCAAATGGAGGGGGAGCACCGAAAGCGGGGGCGGCTCCGTACGCCCATCCAGACTCCAGAGCGAAGAAGTGGGATGGCCCGCGATGAGGTCACCGGTGGAGCTGGACCCCCAGTCAATCCCCCCTTGTCCGCGTCGTTCTTTTCATTTAGTCCCGTGGATCCCTTACAGCGCACGGAGAGCGGGAGCATACAGGGAGTGCGAGCGTTTCGGTCGGGGTGGATTTCCTCTAAGCCATCCTCATTTTTTTACCTAAAGAGGATATCCAGCAAGACAGCAGAGGAGGGGGCGCGTCGGGGGGGCCAGGAGAGGACAGAGGGGGAGCGACATGGAAGCCGGAGGTGTGGACCGGGGCCGGGCCGGAGCCAGATTTGGCAACGAACGAACCAAAGGGGAAAACCTGAGGCAAGGACGCAGTCGTAGTACAAACTGTCATGTCGTAGCACCCTGCAACTTTGGTTGATCGATGGGCGATGGTCGATGGTCGATGGTCGATGCCACTGTTACAGTCGCATAACTAAGTACCATGCCATGCCGTACATCCCACGATAGGGTTTGATGAACGCGGCAGGAAATAAGGGGTGCAGACCACCTGTCAGTTGTCAGTTTGTTGAGGTCCAATAGACGTCCGTCGAACTGACTACCTGGGTGACATTCAATCGCCCGGTGGTTGACTCGGCCCTGTTGGGTCCTCGGTGCGTCGCAGCGAGAACTGCAATATGGTCGTCACGCCTCCGCAGCATCCGCCGCGATTTGCACCTCGCGCTGGCGGCTCCAGACGGGAGTCACAGCCAAATTGCCAAATCTCACCGCTACATCGGCAAGTACACATTGGGGATAAAAACCACTCCGTAGCTCGGTAAAGAATTTCTGTCGATCTAGTCTAGGGCCGTTTGGCCGTGGTGGGTGGAGGTTGTTGGGAGGTGGGCGTGGACCGAGATCTAGGTCGTGATCCCCTCTAAAATGAAGGACCGTCGGAGGTGACGCCGGCTTCTGGTCAACACCAGCAATGCAGCCACGAGGGGTCCAACAAACACCTAAACCCGACCGACAGGGTCCCTAACCTTAGCAGCCAAGGCTGAAGTGAAGTTTTTTTTTCCTTCTGTTCATGCTCCGCTAGGTTGGCGCCAGTCCAACCCGCCATAGTGTCGTGTCAGGCCAACTTAGTTAGTTAGCTAATTAGCTCCTACGATGAAGCCGCGATTCATACTCCGTAGTGCCGGCGGCTGGTCGAGTAGCGTCCTCATCCATCCACCAGACCAGGCCAACAAGAGATAGAATTATATAAACCAGCGATGGCCGTTTTTCTCTAGCCTGGACCCCGTCATCCGTCATATGCCATCGTACACGCACTCAGAAAGAGTGAAGAAAAAAAAGTAGCTCGACGCCATCGCCACCGTCCCCAGTCCGTCATCGGCCAGTTGTCCAGACATACTCCTTTCACTCCCCTAGCCCATCCCATTCCGTCCGGCCGCGACTAGTAAAATAGCATCAAACGGGTACTCATACATACTTCAATCCCCAACCAACCCCTCTATTACCAGGCGTTGCCATATGTGGAGATGGCTCCCATCAGGTCCTCTAGTACGGCACTGGCCTCGTACTCTGGCGGGGTTCCATAGTTATTTTGGCTCTCTCCGTGTGCATCATCATCATCATCTCCCTCGTATTTGCTTCCATCGTACTGCGGAGCAAGTGTCGCCAGTACGCGTTCGTACCCTACCCCCTTACGCGACGTCGAGGTATCCTGACGCCAGCGAGGGTCCAAACGCAAAGTCGTCCCCTCCAGGAGCGATTCCTTCGTGTGCCGTTGCCAGATCCGCAAGGTGCTGCAGGCCTTGGCTCGCAGCCGCCTCCACTGACGATGTCGGCCGCATCTGCTCCGAGAGCTTGTCCCTGATACCGTCCCACACGTCCCCGGGCTTCTCCACAATGTCCTTAATCAGCTGCGTCGCCTCTTCCCGCGAACTCTCTAGTTTAGACAGTTTCGCCAGAGACATAGCCACAAGGGATGCAAAGTGATTCACCAGCGGGCTCCGGAGGTATGTGTTTGCGAATAAGAGGTTCACCAACTCCTTTGTCGGCCACATTGTCTCCGCCGGAGTCGCCCCAGGTGTAAGGAGCGACACAAGCAGTTTACAATGCCAGTAAGCCAAGTGCACCAACGGGTGAGATGCGGGCTCGATATGCGCCGGGAGGTCCTCCCGATAGTTCTCAATGTAGTCTGTCAGGATCGCCGCCATCGGCTGCTCCGTCGTCGTTGAGCCGGGCTGTAGTGTCGACACAACGTGTGACACTCGATTCAACAGCTTCGACAGTCCTAAAAAAAGGTGTTAATACGCAATCGTTCATCATGTCTCACGGGGCTTACCACTTACGGACGAGGTAAAAGCACACTTCTCCCAAGATGTTCTCCAAGCCAGGCGGCGCAACAACACTGCTGTCCGGAATGTGCGCAGGCTTGCCTGTCCCTGCCGCATGCCAACGATCCATGAGAATCAACGACCACCAGATTCGGACGCACAACTGATCGTCCGAGTCTGGCTCTGAAGCCGATTCCATGGGAGTGTACCGCCAGAGCTTCATCGAATTGGCCAGCGCAACCGCCCGGGCCAAGAAGAATGGCATTGTTGGCGAAGACCGCCAGTCGGCTTCAATAATCAACAGCAGTAGAGTCTGCGCATGCACAATGTTGGCTGCTAGCGAGTGCGGAGCCTCACTACTCTCCCAATCGTTGAGCAGAGAGCTAGCGAGCTTTACATCCCCTGATGAAGTTGTCACCGCTGGGAGGGCGTTGACAAATGCAGTTCGTACAGATGATGGACACTGTGCAAGCAATTCTTGTACTCTGGCCTTGCCGCTGGGTAAGATCGGATACACCGGCTGAACATTCGACAAATAACTGGAGATGGTGAGCAGGGAATGACCAAGGTTTCATTACTACACTTACATGTGGAGGGTGTCCTCGTCGATTTCCGGTACTTCATCAGCATCAGGCATTGAGATATCCATGGCCGCAACTGGAGGCTTCGAGGGGGTGCTCTCCGGTTTAATCGCCGAAGGTTGGGGCGCCAGCGAGCCGGTGCTAAAGGGGGCCGCATAGCCATCTGAAGCTGCCGACGACGGTTGTATTGATCGCTGCTCCGATCCCCAAGGAGTTTGTCGTGTAGGTGCAGGCGTGGTGAACTCGCCCGAAATGCTCGAGAATGGTCGCTTCCGGGTTGCATCATCACTACCAACGTGGTTCTGGCGTGGTCGATCTGGGACAAAAAGATGGTCGAGATCGTCCTGGCTCAACTGCCCCTCATTCTCCAGTTTGTTCTCGATACTATGGATACGATCTGCCAACTCTTTGATGTATCTAGGATGCAGTCAGTAATGAACAGACCAAGGAAAGGCTGAAGAGTATCATACCCCTTGCTTGGTCCTCGTTTTTGAGGGACTCGACTAAACAAGCATCGAATGGATGATCGTGCACAACTAGAGCACGGGTTGTCTCCTGCGTCTGACTGCGCATCGCATTTAATTTTCTTCCTTCGGCACTCGTCACAGGCACGCGACACCTTGGATCGCTTTCTAGGCGGAATACTATTGTCCATGGAGTATTGCGGAGGCATTGGGGGGCCGACCGATACGGGCATGGAATGGGGGACCATAGGATCGGTGGTGGGCGTGTCTTGCACATATGACGGGGTATGTTGCGGCTCGGGCTCGGGATGGGGCATGATGTTCCTCAGATTAGGGTCTTCCACGTTCATATTGGGATCGGAGGTGGGCATGATGGGTGTGCCGGCGAGGCCCTGGCCAAGCTGGGCTGCCAGCTGCAGCTCCTCGAGGTTGGCGGGGCGCGATACATGTTGCTGGGGAGTCGCAGGCTCGGTGGGGAGGTCGCCTTGATCATGTTCCTGCACCTGCACTTGCCCGGCGACATGATGATCGGTGTGATCATGATGATCTGGCACACCGTCGCGCGCGCCGGTGTTGTAGAAAGGACCAGCGTCCATTCCCTCTGCCCCGGGGGAGGGGTATGAGATGTTGGCGTCGACCGCCTCCGGATCCCTGGGTGCACTCATAATGGATGACTCTGAGGGACGAGAAAATCAATCGATGGATGCACGCGGCAGCACCAGGAGCAGAAGATCGTCTAGATGTTGGGAGAAAATACGGCGTCGGGTTGTTGTGTGAGGATTTCGTCACAAGCAGCGATATGCGCGCTACCGCGACTGGAGATGGGTCGCGACGCGACAATGAAGTCACTGGACAAAGCCATAGTTAGCAGCAGGCTTGACATGACGACGTGATGTGCGGGCGCGATGGTCGACGGAAAAACAACACAGCACAGGAGTTGGGCATTAACGCAGCGAGAGGGAAGTGCGTCGTGGATAAAGCAGCTACGTCTGCGGATATGGACTTACACGGCGCCTTCTCTTGGGCTTCGGAGCAAGATAAATGCGATGCGACGGCGACGCCTCGACGGAAGAGGAAGAACTCGGCCCCGATGACAGTTTGCTGTGTGGGTGTTTTGACCTCAAGATCACGGAGAAGGAAGAATTTTTCGGGAGGAAATGCCCGGCCCACTTGTGCAAGCTGGCCCACTCACACTGCATTGGCTTAGTCATCGTGTTTCCTTTCCTTCACTGTGATCCAACTTTGTTTGATCCAACTCCAGAGCTTCAAAGATGGGTAGGATCCTGATAGAAATATGTTGGCACTATATTCTTATTCTTGCTGTATATTCAATTTATCACCTTTTAACACTCTGAGACATCACTACTACCTAGTATTCTCGATTGAAGCGGCGACAAGTTCACTCTTATTTAGGATTAAGGATTTAGGATTAAGGATGAGACAGTTCCTCTACATTGTCACTGTATGTCGCATCTTGCACCACACCCAATAGATTAGGGTTACACGTGCAAACATACATGAATTTCTGCTGGCGCAGTGAGGCACTGTCACTGTTGATGACTGAATTGTTGGAAGAGTGTATTGTTTACAATCGTGACTGGGTGCTTCCCCAGATAAGCGGCGGTTCTAGCCAGCTGGGTCGATCAATATAATTCACAACCCTTCCCGATATGGCATGCAGCAATCAATCGTAATGTGTTCGCTGTGGCTGAGAACCTGCCACAAGAACTTCGAAGGGAATCCCCCTATTTTAGGGAATCCACCTATTCCAGAGACATGAACACTAATTCCAGCCCACTACTGTCAACACGCCGATGACGTGACTTTTACGTGTTCGCCATGCGCTCAGCAAGCCCTTCTCCACGAACGGCTTAAGTAACATGACCTGATAGATGTCAAATGAGGGCATGCCTCAACTGAACAGAAAGGGCTCGGACCTCGTCTTGATTGAGTTGCGTGTCACTGGGGAGATCTCCCGTTGACAAGTGGATGCTCAGGCTCCCCCCCCCCCCCAGGTCGGTCGGAGGGTCCGAGATTATTGGTGCCAGGGTGTATGTAAGGACACAACTTTTGTTCCACTTCACGTGGCGGTGAGAGCAAACTCCATTCTGGGGAATTTAGACTTCAAGATATGTTTATCGGAGATACCACTGTGCGAAGGACTTGTGCTGCATTTGCCCAGATCGAGGCGAGAGGTTTCGCTGTGATGAATCTCGAGCTCGTCGTATATAGCAACTTTGCTATCCAAGGCCGTAATTCGGGACATCCAAGAGACAACTGATTTCGCCAAGTTGTTGAAGCCAAATGAGCCTGTCTCATCTAGCTGGTCAGTATCCCCTGTCCAGCTGAGCAATTGAGCCACTCAGCATAGAGTTTTCAACTCTTGCCAAGACTTCCGTCCGGGGTGGGGAGGATATTCTCGAGAGCCCATGGTTCAGACTCTGCACACATCCAACACCATGCACCGTATCCAAAGAAGGATAAGGCTAATGGGTAGTAGTCTCTCGCTTGGACACGCCATGATATTCCACATGCAAAGGCATCGACGCTTTGACCGGTCCTCCCACCATGTCATCAATGAACTGAGCCATCAGTACACGAGCCCCCTGGGTATTATATGCCATCATGAGGATGATGGAAACATGGCCTTTGAGAACAAAATAGCTCTAGCCAGTATGTGTTTTCGGTGCTGTCGCCAGCCTTTTATACGGGGCAAGGTAAAGGAATCAGTAAATTGACACCAAGTGCGGATACGACGAAACAATTGAAGGTTGCAGTGAAGGGTTGGGTTCTCGGCAGGCAAAACTTCGACCCCGATCGCGATGGACCAATGCACACAACAGCTGAATCACATGTAGGGGCGGAGCGCATGTGAGACAGCATTGGTGGCGTAGAGAAATCAACCGCCACGTGAAGTCTTGCATGGAGCCGGGGGCTTCTTTTGTTGACGCTGTCTTAGAAATGTCTTGGATCAGCACGGCTCCGACAGATATTCAGGGCCAATCAGCGCCGGTACTTCGATGGTAGGAAATTTGTCGTGGGCGTGTGGTTGTCATGGCCAGATGTTGCGGCTCTTGTTCAGAGTCATGAATGGTATAGTGCGAAGCAGTTAGAGAACCAACAGGATACGTTCCGCGTGACGGGACGGATGTGACAACAACGAGGAATGCGGGATTAGCAGACACAGCGCAATGATGAGACGTCGGTGCGCTTTCGTAGTGTCTTTAATGTTGGGCGAGTCATGGAATAACATGACGGCAATGGAATGATTCTTCCGGCAAGATCGGGTGTTGAGCCGTCCAATGCAGTCGGGACCAGACGTCACCAACGAAGCCCCTGACACGCAGTAAAGTCATCAGCATTGGCTCCGACGGCTTGTTAGCGGTGGCAGGGTGCCCAAGTCGCTGTTACAAAGTATAACGGTCGCCGCCACGGCGTGATTGTGCTGACGGTCCAGGGCGAGACTCCACTAGCAGAAAGCCACTGGACCCAGTCCTAGGGCCATTCCCGCGGTCAGTCCAAGGCGCCCGAGCCGCTTTCCACAACGGAGAGATGAGAAGCCGAGAACGCGACTGTGACGCTGCTTATGGGAGGTGTTCACTGTTAGGGGGCTGTTTCTGGCAGCCGCTTGCTTCTTCAGCGCGTGGCCTGGTGCGGTCGAAGCTAGGTGACCAAATCAGACAGTGTCTGTCCGCCTGCACATGGCATTGGTCGAAGCCACACGAGACGCAGGAGAGGTGAAGAAATGACCTGTTTACTGCAGGGCTCCCACGTTTCCACGCTCCAGGCGGCGTAGCGGCCATATTGCTTTTTGTGTCTGCAACTCCTGCGCCAGTGGATAATCTCGCAACACAAGTGCATGTTTGAAGGGGGCAGCAGCAGCAGCAGTGGCGGCAGCAGCAGGGCCACGGAGGTTTTGCTCATCACCATGTTGCGAGGCGGCGGGATGCGCAAACCCAAAATCGTCTGACAACTCGACGTCTTGGGGCTAGAAGCGTTCACCCGAGGCGAGGCGGCCCAGTAGGCACGCAGATGCTGAGACATGGGCTTTGGGCGCTCTAGTAGGGGCGCTCTAGTCACTGCACCTCTAGGCGGGCGGTGGTGATCGATCCTGGGCCTGGGTGATGGCTGGGGAGAGCGTCGGTGCTGGGCGATTGGTGGGCGCCCAGAACTGTCAGTGGGGGGCGCAAATGATGTTGCCTTCTAGGTAGGTTTGGTCCCTTCTAGGTTTGGTCTTCGGCCGCAAGCGCACCGCAGCGCCCAAAGACTGGGCTTGGGCTGCTCCGGAGGTGTTTCGTCCGCTGGGCGGCACGCTGGGGCGGGGCGCGGTGTCTTCCGACTGCCCCGAAGATTGGAAGGCTGGAAACCCTTGGAAGCCTAGAAACCCTCTGAAGCCCCTCTCAGGAGCCTCCCCGAGACGGGAGCCAGGCGGGATTGCAAATCACTGGAGGCGCGTCATCTCATCAGCCAGCGGCGCGCCCTAAGAAGAAGCACCGCAAGAAGCCACCGCATGAAGCCACCGCAAGAAGTCACCGCAAGAAGCCATCCCCGGCGAAGCTCACGCGAGGGGGCTTTTGTTTCCCATTCTTCAATGGACTCCTTCCATCCCTCGACTGTCCACTCCCTGTCCCCGGCCCGTTTGTTAGTCAACCGACGACAAACATGGGCCAGGCTCGTAGCCCAGTACGGAGTAAGTAATAGCCCAGTCAACAAAGTACCGAAGCTGGTCAGGGACCCGGGCCGTTAGGGATATTGTTAATAACTCCCGTCCCCAATTGGCTTCTCTAACTTCTCTTCGCCTTCCCCCGTCATCTCTTCCCTGCTCTGGCTCTGTTCTCGGTCCTCTCGGGATGGTCCCTCCCCACGCCCGCCATTCTAAATACCGGACGCACCCTTGAATCCATGGCCGCGCTCCCACACTGTCATCGTCACCCAATCTCTCGCACCTCCATATCTCTCGTCGATCAATTCGCATCCCAATGAAAACGAAATCATCGCCTCGCAGCTTTCGTCGCTAACCAGCACCGTCTACCCCGTGCTACACAGGTGCGCGGCTGCCCCATCAGCGAAAATCATGTTGCTCTCCATGGACATCATGAAGGTGCGGGACTGGACCTATCTCGAAGATCCCCCGCAGGACATTGGCCCGGCTCGACACCTCCTCGAGGTCTACAGCAAGATCCCCTACCATGATCTCGACGATCACATCCGTCGTGTTGTAAGTCCCGCTCCCAATGGCACCGGCGCTTCGGCAGCAGAACTAACCAGACCCGCCCTCCACCAGCGAGAGAAGGCATGGTGCATCTCCCAGTACCCATGTGTTGGCCGATGGAAATTTCTCTACATCCTAGATCCCCAGGACCCTCGCTATCAACAGGTCCTCTTCCGTCTCAACGTCGCGGGCTCTCGTGATGTTCTCCTCGACCTAGGCTGTGGTGTCGGCCAAGTCATCCGACAGTTTCGTGCCGACGGCACCAGGGGCTCCCAGCTAATCGGTACCGATTTGCAATCCAAGTTCATCGATATTGGTTACGACCTCTTCCAAGATCGATCAACCCTTGGGGCCACCTTCGTTGCCGGCGACATGTTGGATCCCGACGATAAGCAGCTGGCCAGCCTACGCGGCAAGGTCACCATCGTTCACGCCGGCAGCTTCTTTCATCTGTTCAACTGGGTCCAACAACTCTACATGGGCAAACGTTTGGTCGAGTTTATCAAGCCCGGAACGCGAAACGCATTGATCTACGGCCGTCAGGTCGGCAGCAACAACCCAGGAGCATCCATGAACAGCGCTCGATCAGCATACCTCCACGACCAGGCCAGCTTCCAACGCCTCTGGGACGAGGTTGGAGCACTCACAGGGACCCGCTGGCAAGTTCAACTCGAAGCCACAGGCGAACCAGCCTCCAAGCTGCCGGGCTTCAACCACAACACGTTCCCCGTGAACTTCACCATCTACCAGGTCTCTTGAGCACAGCATCCCGGACATGGGGTCCATTTTTATTATCCCCTGCAGAAAGGAAACCCTTCGCGACAACAACATTGTCGTCCCCTTTCTTACCCCAATCTGGGGGATGCAAGAGACGCAACTTTAATCTCGACAACGACGATCTCCACCCCTGTTAGCCTAGTCGGCATGCCTCAAATTACGCCGACGAGGCGACGACTCGAACTGAGCCAACCCATCGTCAACATTGAAGTCGCGATAACATGCACGGAACTCTGTTGTCTTTTGGCCTCAAAGTCGGTTTCCTCCCAAGAGTCTTCCAGACGTACGATCACAGCGGCGAATTTCGTCATCCGGCGGTTCAAATCTTCGACAGGGGTTCGGTTCGGCCGCCCGGGTTCTTCGGCCTTATTGCCGTAGAGCGCCATCGCTTCTGCAGGATCTTGACCCCTGGTCATTGCCAAGATCCCCTTTGCGAAACGCGACATGCACAAGCTTCGGTCTTAGACTCGCGCCGTCTATCTCTTGATTTGTAACGACACCTGTATGAGGGCTTCCACACATGTTCGAGACTGACGAGACGAATGCATTGCAAACACCTGGAACCATGATAGCATTTTCCAGCCAGACAGCGGCGCCACAACTCATGTCAGCTCCCAACAACCAGACCGATATAAGAATAGTCACTTCAAGTGACTCTACGATGATTAATGAGGCGTTCAAAGCCCGTGGGCAATAATTTTTGTATTTCGGGGTGCAGCATGTGGAGCATTGATGGGCAAGTCTAGAATGAATGATGATTTCGACCGTACATAGCATAGCGACATGGAAAGGCCATACCTAGAACAGGAAATGCATAAAACCTTGGGGCCACCATCAGCCCCCTCCCCCCCGCTAGAAATCCCAATCTGTGGCATGGTCTACCGCAAATGTAGCGTTTACAAGTGCGCCTTCCCGGAGGTATCCATGAATTGGGCTGCTTACCCAGCCTGGTCGCCTTGGCTTTTTAGGGCATGGCTTGATGCCCTCAGAACTCAGAACGCTCTGGTCCTCGTTTTGGCAATACTAAGGCTACATATGTACATGGGAACCCTCACAAGCTCTCTTTTAGGTGTAAGTGTACCAAGGCCTAACTGTTCGAGGCCATTCCAGGGAGAATACACGACTAATGTCATTTAACTCTAGACGATGTTGTTGTCTCGATTCTTTTTTAACTAAAACTCACGATATGCAAGATCCAGAATGTCATGTATTTTCGTTACCCATGATGGATCATACACCGTAGGGTAGCTCGGCCGCGGCTCAAGAGCGAAGGCGGGTGAATATCGGCTAATGCCAAGCTGATTGCCCCTCCATGCATTCAAGCTTCCCATGTCCCTCCGCGACCCTGCCACTGAGACAAGACTCCATATTCATACAACGCTTCGGCCCGGGTGCTTGTCGGTTTTGGCTGCTCGTATTTCTTTTGCCTATACGGCGCTACTCGTGTCTTGGTGTCTCTTTCCCATAGCTATGCACCCGCAGAGGATGTATATTCTGCCAAAATGGACGGAGATTGGGATGAGGTATGTTGGCCCAACGGGGCATTCGCGCTGCCCCGTCGCCAGGCGGTCTATCGTGCTTCGAGGCCGCTGCAGAGGTAGCACCGAGGTCGCACTCGTGGCATTGTCCTGGCGCCCCTCTCGCGCAAATGCGCTGTGTGTTGTGTGTCGTGTGCTGACTCGTTGTCGTCGTCTCTAGGTCGCCCGGATTCAGTTCCCGCCCCCGGGCGTGCACGCGATGCCCACCCCCGTAACGACCATGACCTTCGATACCTCGCAAGAGCTCCTCTGGACTGGCAATGACTATGTATGCCGTGATACCGGTCCTAATTGCCTCGGCCCGGGTGCTCATCAAGATCCTAGGGTCGCGTAACCTCCTTCTATGGCACCGAGCTGCAGCGATATACTTCATTCAAGGCACACCAGACCCCCGATGGCCCGGTGCGCCAGATCCTCGTCAACGAGAAGGGTGTTGTGGTGCTCGGTTCCAAAGATGTCCACATGGCACTGAGGAGAGGGCCACCCTTGTGGCATATTAGGTATGCGCTGGAGCTAGACTCCGACTCGACTATGAGTAGAGACTGACCGGGATAGACATGACGATATGAAAGATTTACGATGTATGAGCTTCACTTCAAAGGGGACTGCCGAGATTTTAGTCGCTGGTCTGCAGGATACGATGCTTGTCATTGACCTCATTAAGGGTGATGTCGTCAAACAAGTTGGAAACCCCCCCAAAGTGCCCGACTGGAAATGCTAACTGTCGAATCCAGGTGCCTACCGAACATCAGTATACCGTCATGAAGCGTGGCCGTTATATCTGCGCCGCCACTAAGAATGGCTCAGTTGACCTTCTTGATCCTATTACCTTCGCAGTCATCAAAACCTGGAATGCTCACTCAGCCTTAATCAACGACATGGATGCCCAGCACGACTTTATCGTGACCTGCGGATACTCTCTCAGACAGGGCCAGAACTACATGCTAGACCCATTCCTCAACGTCTTCGATATCAAGAAGATGTCCTCAATGCCCCCGATCCCATTCCCCGCGGGCGCAGCATATGTGCGCATGCATCCTCGGATGCTGACGACCAGCATTGTCGTGTCGCAGAGTGGCCAAATCCATGTCGTGGACCTCATGAACCCGAATACTAGCAACGTTCGTCAGGCAAATGTCCTCACCTACCTCAATATGTTTGAGATAGCACCCTCCGGCGAAGCCATGGCCTTGACGGATGCCGAGTGTCTCATTCATCTCTGGGGTTCCCCAACAAAGCTTCACTTTGTCGATCTCCCCACCCCCATCGAGTTCGCAACCCCTGAGGAGCCGCTTCCCTCTATTGACTGGACACCAGAGACGTGAGTTGAAGCAAGCTCGTATTTATATTAACCAAGTTAATCGGTTTAGACCATTGAACTCGGTCGGCCTACCTTATTACCGAGAAGTTCTTTCCTCATCTTGGCCGGACCTACCGTCTGATGTTGGAGCTCCTCCATCCAAGTACGACACGCAGTTTCTATCAGGGCTCAAAGCTACCGAGTTTGGCCTCTACGGTAGAAATACCCGCGGGCTTCGACGGAACCAACTCGAGGACACACGAAACGTCAACAAGTCGGTCAGCTCTGGTCTCAAGGCCCCCAAGTTTCTCAGTGAGAAGGCGCGAGAGCTCGCAACATCTACACCAAAGGCCTCTGATGATAAAGTCGACGAGCTGGGTAATCCACTTGCAGAAATGGAAATCGAGAGCAAGAAGTCGGAGGTGCCAGTCATATACCGCAATGTCGAGATCAAATACAGCAAATTCGGTGTAGACGATTTCGACTTTGGGTCAGCATATTCTAGATTATTGTATTTTGGGATGATGACTGACCTAATAATGCAGCTTTTACAACCGAACCCGGTACTCTGGACTCGAGACGCATATCTCGAATTCATACGCCAATTCGCTACTTCAAATTATTCACTTCACACCTGTGATCCGGAACCTTGCTCTTCAGCACGCTGCGACTGCGTGTGTGGGCGAGATATGCCTGCTCTGTGAGCTTGGCTTCCTATTTGATATGCTTCAAAAGGCAGAGGGGTCAATTTGTCAAGCAACGAACATGCTCAAAACCCTCAGCAGCCACCCCCAAGGTATTTACATCAAAGAACGCCACTGATTAAGCATTTACTGACTGGTGTAGCTGGCCCCCTCGGCCTGCTCGAGGAGGACCCCCACGGATCCTCCCTAAATGTCATGCTCCAAGGCTTGACAAGGTTTCTCCTAGACAAGATTGTTCATGATCACAAGTTGATAAACCCAACTTCCTCTGTAATGGAGCAGGTTTGTTTGCCCATTTTAGCCGACATACGTCCCTGGCTAAGTGCTGTTAGGTCCTTGCAACGTCTGCAACTAGCTCGATTCGATGCATGAACTGTAGGAGTGAGTACACGAGACCTGGATCGACCTACGTAAATGATTTGCTCTATCCATCAGCTGTAAGTTTCAGTAGGACCCTCAGCCTATCCAAGTTAACACCGCCCCTAGAAATCCGGAGGACGGAATGCAAAGCAACCACGAACCACCTTTTCTCAAGTCCTCAAGAATAGTGTCGAGAGAGAAACAACCTCAAAAGGGTGGTGCAGCAGATGCCAACGATATCAGACGATCGCGACTAGGAAAAGTATCCACAGCATCCCGGCCGTGCTTCTTCTGAACACTGCCATCACCAGTCAGGATCACAGGAGCCTCTGGTCAACCCCAGGATGGCTTCCCGAAGAGATTGGAATTATTGTTGAACAGGGGCAATTCTTCTGTTATGAAGGAGAGGACTTAAAACTCCACCTACAACGAGGGATGCACAACATTACGGTGTACTCGCTCATCGGTATGGCTATCAACATCGAAAGCGGTCAGACCCAGAAGTCGCATCTCGTATCCATGGTCAACGGTAAGTTATGGCCCGCAAAATCGCTTCTGTATAACTGACGAGTGAACAGTTGCACACACGGAACCGGAGGCCTCAGCTGAAAGCCAATGGCACCTGTTTAACGATTTCCTGGTACGATCTGTCAGTACAGAAGAAGCGCTCACTTTCAACACGTCCTGGAAAGTCCCATCTGTTGTTGCCTACCAGGTGAAAGATGCCAATAATAAGCTTGACACCGACTGGAAGAAGAACCTCGATACTTCAATCCTCTACCAGGATTTCAGGTATGGCTTCTGATTAATTCGTGGCTTGAGCCGTGATGCTGACATGTTCCCATAGCCCTAACCCCGAGGCTGATACGAAGACCTACCAGCTTCTCAAACCTGAGACAGAGGCACCTGGACCGGATACTATCATCGCTCTTGATACCGAATTCGTCGCAGTGCGGCAGCCAGAGATTGAGATGAACTCGGACGGCGAACGGGAGACGATTCGACCCATAGTGTATGCGCTCGCTCGGGCTTCCGTCGTGCGTGGACAGGGAGAGGATGAGGGCACTCCCTTTATCGACGATTACATCTCGATTAGGGAGCCAATTGTCGACTATTTGACGTCGTACTCTGGAATCACAGAGCAGGACCTGGATCCTCGCGTCTCGAAGCACAGCTTGTTATCCCTGAAGATGGCGTACAAGAAACTTTGGATCCTGCTCAACCTCGGATGCAAATTCTTGGGTCATGGCTTGAAGCAAGATTTCCGGGTCATCAATATCCACGTCCCCAAGTCTCAGATCATCGACACGATTGATCTATTCTACCTCAAGTCTCGCCTGCGTAAACTCTCGTTGGCGTTCCTGGCGTGGTACCTGTTGAAGGAAGACATCCAAATGGAAACGCACGACTCGATTGAGGATTCGCGAACGGCACTCAAGCTATACCGGAAGTATTTAGAGTTCCAGGATGCCGGGATTCTCGAGACGATGCTGCAAGACATCTACCGTGCCGGTCGGGAGGTCAACTTCAAGCCGCCGCGAAAGGATGACGGGCAGATCCCAAGAAGCGAGACACCTCCTCCTCTGCCAACTGAGGGCGCTGTACCTCCCTCAACGCCAGTGCGACCGATTGGGATTGGGGAGACGCCTGGATCGGCGTTTGGAGGAGGCACAACCTGGACGCCAGGGAAGGGATCACCACTTCCGTAGTTACTGTGTTGACACGGGGGTCACTTTGGTCCCATGAGAAGGGTAAAGAGGCCTGGAAATGATATCCAAGTGCTCACTTCTCTGACCTTGGACGCAACCCACATGTTGTCTCGCATTGAAGCTGAGAAGGCGTTAAACTACAAATGGCGTCTCGATGAGTTCTTAACGCCAGTAAATACACATTATTACCATGGGTAGAACATCGCTGATTATATCCTTGCCACTATGCCTCTATTTTTGTGAGCATTATCTGCTTGTTTGCTGAAGGTGATGTTCATCCGCGGTCAGCGGTACCCATCTTTCCCGTGATTGTGAATCAAGTACAAATGCACTATCGCCTTTGTCACTGTAACAATATCTGGGCTTGACTCATGGTACCTACTGTTTGAACTCCTATACTTGGGATAGTTCCTGGTGCTTACATATACTTTTCCCTCATGTTCTGGTAGGGATCGCTCTTTGGTGTAGGGTGAGTGGTATAGAAGAAGATTTGGTGATAGATCGAACCTCGTAGAGCCTGGTAAAACCTCAAGCTTCTTAGGTATCTGCCACCCAGCTAATTTAATAGCTGCCTTACTCACTTAAAGTTTAAGGTAAAATATTTAAAGGCTAGAATAACTTATTATAAATATAAATAATTAGGGAAGAAATATAAGTAGCTTAGATTTTAAATTCTATTTTATAAAAGGTATTGGGGATATAAATCTATAAACTGAAAAGTATAATAAATTAATTTATTCTTCTTAAGATATTAAATTATAATATTTATATTACACCTATATATATATCTAAATACCTCTGTTTCTCTTTATCTCTTCTATCTGATCTACTCATATCTTTACATTCAGCGTAAGCAGCTTAAAGCCCCCAGTTTTAGTTGCGGCATTCTTACAGCTTACCAGAACCCGGGTAGTGATCTTGTAGGGTAGGGAGGCTGTTAGTGTGCCTAGAGGAGCTGAGTTGAGTAAGCTACTGAAGTCAACGCCTTTAACAATAGCATAGCCCAAAGGAGCTGTGTTCGCAGTGTGGTGAAGGTGATCCGCTTGAGCCTTGTTGCATAGACCATTTCAAGCTAACGACCACTAGGCTGCGCAAGGATCCGGCATCTTATTTTGGAAAGCTCAGCAACTCGTGAGTGAACTGGGATGAGTGGTGGCTGCGAGACATGAACGTGGTGGTGGATGCCGGGATGAGGCTGCCAGGGGAAGAAGGATCCTCACATTCGGGGTTCGGCTTACGGATTTTATTATTATTCAGTCAATGGTTTTTGACTCTGCTTGGTTTGGCTTGGTTTCACTTGGTGCCGTTGTTCCGGCGCTCAGCCATCATCATCACCTCGTTGGGGTTTCCCAATCGGGTAAGCGCCGCGAGCATCCTTGAACCGTGATAGTTGCTGGAATAGATGACGAGGACGCTCAACGCTCGCGACTCCGAAGGGCCGAAGGAATGGACTTGGAAAAGTATAAGTAGGTGAGGATTCTCTCCTTTATCTCTAAGTTATTTAGATCATCAACCTCAACTTGCTTCTCACATCTTTTCGCACGCAACACTTACACCATTGCCTCGTCTTACAACTCTTTGTTTGCACAACATTTCTACCATCTTGAACGAACATCACCTCAAACAAACCAATAACTTCATCATGGTTCACCAATCCACCCAGTCCAACGAGACCAGCTCTCTTCCTCGCCTCGTGCGAACTACCCACTCTGAAGATGGCACCTCTGTCTTCGCCTCTGACACCCGCCTCGCGCCTTTCATGCCTTTTGGCCCCCGAGCCAGCGCATTCACCGTCTTCGACGTCCGCCAATCTGTGCCAGTAAACAACACGGATACCATCCCCGGCTTCTCCAACACGATCCCACGGTGCCCTCCCCAGGGTGCTATCTTCTGCATCACGCAGTTCCAGCCGGGTGGTGCCTCCCCAATGCATCGTACGCAGAGCATCGATTACTGTGTCGTCCTTACTGGGGAAATTGTCCTGGCTCTCGACGGCGGCGATGAGAAGACTGTCAAGGCCGGGGAGTTTATTGTTCAACAGGGTGTAAACCATCAGTGGTTCAACCGCACGACGGCGCCGTGCCAGATCCTGTGCGTCCTTGTCGGAGCCGAAAAGGTCGTGCTGAAGAATGGAACAGTGCTGGAGGAGACTGTGATCAAGAAGTGATCTGGTTGAGGGTATATAGTTATAGTACCAGACCCATGTTGGCAGTGTCATATCACAGATAGAGCACCTAAATTCGACTTCATCCCCGTACAGTCTCGTATTCTCTCAAAAACCCTCTGTGCAGCGGCCTTCTGTGACGGTGTGGTCATTCCCTTGGGATCTTTGATAATTTTAATGGGCCACAAGAGGAGGTATGCGCCGATTGCCTGGCATCGTGGTGGCTTTGATAGGTCTGGGAGACAACGGCCAAGATGATCTATCTCTCCGAAGGACTGTGGAACTGTGGCCAGGATTTCGTCCGCCAGAGTCTTGATGTGAAACAGCGACGCCTCTTCTCCATCTCTGATCATGTCTTCCGAGCCAAAAGAATGCTGCTGTGAAGTAGGAATTGACCTAGCCTTATCGAGGCAGGCCAACAGCTTCTGATGTAGGATGATTCGTGCCGTGCGATGATAATTCCACTCGTAAGCCATCCAAACATCCCGGTGAAGTTGAATCTTTTCAGGAAACCGGCGGATGACTTCCTGGTCGCCCAAAATTTCGGTCCTCTGAAGTGTTTTGAAATCCCATTCGGGTGTGTATCGCTGCAGAACAGCCTTTTGGTCGAGACGGGTCATTTGCGGAAACAAGTCAAGAAACTGCTGCAAGTCGAGCGTGTCCGCACTGAGGGCCCGGAGGATCTCGTTCGCCTTTTGGCATATTGTAGAGATCTCCAAGGCATCCTTCTCAAGGCGCACAGTCAACATCTCCTCGTTGAGGGTGTCAAGCCAGAATTTGGACTCTGGGAGGGGGGCTATTTGCTTTGCGAGCTGCTGCTTTTGCTAGTCGAGAACAGCCATTAGAGACTAGCGGTGCAAAAGCGCGAGTTGGATTCTTACCAAACGATGATGTGCTAGACGGAACAAGCTCCAGCCTCGAGGATCGTGAAATTGCTCGTGGCCACGAAGTCTTAGGATGTGTGCCATGCCTTGCGTATGAGACTCAACGGATGATACCCCTGGCATAAAGAAAGTCTGCACGAGTCATGAGTACCGGGGCTTGAATCGAATGAGAGCCCTTACCTCGAACATGTCCAAGATCACCACGGCCATCAAGTCGTAATCATCTGGGATCTTGCCCTTCTCCGCCAACGACCTACCTAGCGCGCCCAAAGCCTGCCCATAGCACTCCAAAGCCCTGGGAGCGAGAAACTTGGGATCGTGTTCCCTCGAGAGGTCCGCAATGGCTGCGGCCTGCACCGCCCAGCGCAGCGCGTGCCGGCCATCGACGTTCACCTCCTGGAACAGAACGGGCAGATGCTCGAGAAAGCCTGGAGAGGACGACTCATGGCAAGGATAAATGACATACTTATCCATGAAAATGGCCACTGCGTGGTCCTCTACAACTGGCGGCTCCTTCTCAGAAGGCGGTACCTTCAGCCAGGGTAGAGCAGAGGGAAGCCGTAGAGTCGCAGCGTCTAGGGGTTGGGATGGCGACGGACGCTCAAGTGATCTACTCCGGGTCCGTCGTGTCCTGGTTGAAGATGAAGAGCTTACTGATTCGGCCTGGCTTTTGAGTGCCACCTTGTCTGTCTCGTGCTGGAAGATGAGGTCCGCTTCGTCCCTGTAGCCAACACAGAGCTCGTTGCGGGTCAGACATCGTTGGCACGAGGGACGGCCGCCATCGCACTATCCAGATCTTCATCAACCACTACTATGCGATATAGACGAATTCAATTGGGAATTTGGGAGTCGTACCTTGACGCGACGCTGGCGGCAGCGTAGACAGCCCCGGCTCCGATGTGCCATGATAAGATCGAGGTTGGACAGTCGAAGTTGCCCCGCATGTTTGAGCTGACGTCGCGTGTTGGGTTCTCACTAATTGCCCTTGGCATACTAGTAACTGCATAGATCCTTCGCCTGTTAAGCATCCCATTTATCCCATTTATCATTCTATAGTAAAATTATATTTAAAGCTGTCATGGCTGAACGCGTCGGGAATCGACTGTCTTGGCTCATTCTCGTAAAAGTGGTTCATCAAGAGCAATTGTCATTTACTGAAGAATGTAATTAATTAGAGGATTGCTATATGCACACATAACTACATTATAACCCTGTTAATGATCGTCTAATATCCTACTAGAGCAGCTTGGAAGATGAATTTTCTAAACACCAATTTTTAGTATTCGTTTTATTTATTGGGTCTAATTAATAAAAAGACAGGTGTTCAGTACCATCTTTGACTCCATACACACACGGTAGGTAGGTACCTTAGCCCAGCTGACGCTTTAGTAAGGAAGCTTGTACCTGTGTGCGAATTCCAATACTCTCGTGCGAATAGCAATACTCGTTAATTATCCACCTAGCTCAACGCACGCAACTGATGCTATCCTAAAGATCCTCCTAGCACATTAATCTCTTGACCCCCAGAAAGTCCAACGCGGGGTGTTAGAGGAAACGTCTCGTTATCTAATAACTGACTTCAAAGATTCGCAGTTGCAAGGTATAATAGTGTACAGCCCAAACTCCGTCATCCTCCATCCCACGCTAAATAATTCATTCACACATCCTCGCCTTCGGCGTCGACATCCTCTTCGATGGGTTCATTATGTTCCTGATCGGTTTCGGCCCCGGACGCGTCGTGATCGACGCCGTCTGCATTAGTCGGCACGCCGTTGGCCGTCTCAGTCGACACGACAACTGAATCGTGCGCAGGTGTACCCACGGGCGAACCATCTACCTGTTCAGGTTCCTTTGGAGGGTCCTGACCTTCGGTAATTGGCTGCAGTTGGGGTTGTGGCTCTTTGTCTCTCCACCCAGGTGGAAGGCCAGGGCCACTATCGGCATTGCCATAGTCGGCCTTCTTAGTTCCCTTTGGCCATCGCCCAGGCCCCCGGCCAGTCCCGCCACTCTTTCGCCTTGACGAGCTTTTGGAGCTCTTGGAACTCTTCGGGCGTGATGGTGTGGGTCGATGGCTGCTGCTCCCGCCAGGCCGCTTGGGCCTTGAGCTGCTACTAACAGTTCGCGGCGCGGATGGGCGACTCCCACTCTGGCGCGATCGATCGGCGCGCCGACTCCCTGTGACGGTAGGGAATATCTCGAAACGTGAAGGAGGGATACCCCGGTAGGGCAGTTCCCAAGGCTCTCCGCTATCTTCCGCAACATCGTGCATCTCTTCATCTTTAAGGGACGCACTCTCATCGTCGTTAGCGGCAGCCATCTTCTCAACAGAATCGACTGGTTCCAGCACAGCACCATCCTCCGCTTCAGCTGATTCTCGCAGGCGTTCCGTCCCTTGCTCAGATGCGCTCTTCGTCTCGCCATTGGTGGTTGGCTGGCTCTCGGTGCCACCAGTCTCAAGACCCTCGTCAATTTTCGCCTCGTCATCTTCGCGAGGCGCAATTGTATTGATGGGCGGGCCAAGCTCAAAGTTGGTTGCATTGCTGCGCCCCATCACATACGGAGTCCAAGCGAGAGCTTCGGGTTTCAACCTCACATGCCCCTTGGACTCCCACTTGGCCACATATTGTCGACAGTAGTCCACGTCCACTCTGAACGCGTAAAGCTTCGTATGTGGATCTCGCACCAAGGCACGCAGACCCTCCAAGGCAGCGATTACATCATCGGCTGTCATTCCTGTGTCATCGGATATGCGTTTGATGCTGAGGCCTTGTTTCTTGAACTCCTCCCCGTCCATGACGTTGAGGAAGTACCGGCACAAAATTAAGCGCCAGTAGTTGCGGTAAGATACCAGGCCCATGTCTGACAAGGGCTTTTCTGGTGAGCCCGTCTTCTGTTCGACTTTTGTGAGTAGGTACGAAAAATCAATGAGAAGATTGCCATAGCCCTTCCGCTGGTGAATGGGCAATGTCAGAATGCATGAGACGTTGTTCTGGCTACTAGCCCGTTTTTCTTTGGAGAAATATCCCACAAAGTGGTAGCCACAATCGTCGTATTCGCAGAGGACATAGAAGAGGAAGGGTTCCACGTCATAGTAAAGCGTCTTTGAGCCAAGGAACAACTTGGCAAGAAGGCAAAGGTTTTGGCAGTAGACGGGGTTTTTGCGACCGTCCACCTCAAATACTGACACGGAGCCGTGCCGATATATCTCATCGCCAGGCGGATGCTTTGCTGGGCATTTGAGCTTGTGCCTCCACGCGACATAGTCCGAGTTCATGTACTTGAGGCAGAATTCGCAGATATACAACACACGGTTTCGGCTGTACTCAGCTGGATATGGTGCTGCATACCAGGTATCGATTTCCCAGCCCCCGAACTCAATGCACTCAATCTGACTGGCATTTTCGGACGACTTCTTGGATTTTCGAATGGGGACGTCGGCCTCGGCCTGCATGGCGAGGACGCGGGCCCTCCATTCGTCTTCAGCCTTTTGTTTAGCTTCGTCGAATTTCCGGCGATCCTCGGGTATGGGGAGTGTTTTCGAGGTATCGGCCTCAATTTCCGACAAAATACCGCCATAGGGTTTGCCTTTCATATCCTCCGTCTCTCTATCGAAGAACGAGTAGAAGGGTTGTGAGTAAGCATCTGAGGTAAATGGCGTTGGGAGAATAGAGACCGGAGGAGGATCGTTCTTGGGGGTTGCCGCTACCGCTGCCGCTGCTACTGGTGTCGCGGCAATGGTTGCTGGGCGCTGAGGCGCTGGTCTAGTAGCACTCCCTGCTGGAGGTCGTCTTCTGTCGCGTTTTCTCCGAGAGAGGATTTCCTTGAGGTTGCCGGGTCGGACTTGGATCTTCAAAACCAAGGCGTTTCGGGTACGTTTCTCAATGATGACTGGTGGCGGTCTCGAAACTTTGAGTCGAGCTCTTGAGGGATGTTGCCTTGTAGCTTCCGCCGAGTTTTCGTTATCCATTGCGTCCTCGTTTGACGAGTTCGGTTCATTGGACTGATTCCGTCGGCGTTTTCTGAGGGACACGGCATTATCCTCGGATTCTAGAGATGATGACTTTCGTTTCCTCAGCGTGCGGGAACCGTCCATCTCGTCGTCCATGGTAGGATCTTCGGTGAGGGCGGAAGGAGACGATGAGCCATCCATTCTCGACTGAGAGGGCAATATTTCTCCAGGAAGCTCGTGGACATCCGACTGCTGTGATGTGAACTGGGCGTCATCCACACCTTGATCGTCCATCTCTTGGTCCTCTTGCTCCTCGATGTCGGAATCGCCATGGAAGCACTCGGGGCACTTCCAATTTTTGGGATCTGGGGGAGTTAGTGCTTGATACCAACCCCAAACACCGCCAGTGCTTACTGTTTTGCTCGCTCATAGCCGCCGAATCGCGGGCACATTGCTGATGCGCTGCGGTCCATTAGTGTGTGTTCCATACTTAAAGAAGAGTGTCGCACCGTTTTCCCCGCAGCCTGCACAAGACAGGAACGCTTCAAAGTCCTCACTGGGGTCGTTTTCCTCATCTTGCTTGCAGAATATGCAGTTGTTCGTCAGAACCGCCTCCGAGTCTTCGTCTTCTTCACCCACACCCCTCGCGTCTTCCCACGGAACCTCCTCGTCTGACTCATCCTCGAGGGCACTGGGCGGATCAGATGCGTTGCTCTCTAAATCCACTTCTTCGTCATCTGTTTCTCCGGGCTTGAATTTGACAGCGCCCACACCCTCGTCTTGGTCGTATTCTTCTCCCTCGGCGTCCACGTCCTCCTCCTCCTCGACATCGTTGCGACCATGGCCGTTGGGACCATGGATAGCAATTTGTTGATGCATTACGTAGTCGTTGTCTTCCTCGCCTTCGGCATCTTCGTCGAGCTCGCCTTCAGCATCTTCGTCAAGCTCCTCTCCTGATGCATCACGATCACTGAATTCCACCTCATCGTTCTCACCAACAGCACTATTTGTGCCAGTCCCCAGACCGGCTTTCCTGGATCCCATAGCGTTGATTGTAGATGCTTCACCCGCGGTGTCGGCGGTGTCGTACTCGGCGTCCTCGTCGGAGAGCATGAGGCTCTGCTGTAGCTCTTCCTCTATCGCTTGTTTGTGTGGCATGGTTACTCCTGTGTCCTGATAAGAGAGCGGTGGAATTCGAAAGCTAAGCTGCGCATGTCGGTCGACTTTGGGGTGTTGCGATGGGCTTCTCGTGGTGTCGTCACGTTCGGTGCATGACGATTCTGGCGGAGACGCGGTCGTGGATCGAGGGGGGCGCGGCACTGAACGTACAGGGCAGCTATCGTTGAGCCAATTGCAAACTTAGGCGCAGAGGGCCTGGCTGCTGCAAAGAACGCGCCGGGAACTCGACCAGTAGTTGCCGCGAGGATGGAAGCCGGTGTCTTGTGGGATCAAGTCGCGTTAATCATGAGGTGTTCAAGCAAGCCGTCGCGGGACCTTGTTTCCACAGTGCGTGCGACTCCGGCCCTCAAGGCGCTGCACCTAATTTCGGTGTGCTGACTGTGCGGGCCCGCTATGCGCTAACTGTCCTCATGCGCAGGGGGTCTGCGACAGGCGACAGCTCCCGGTTCCGGTGTATGCCTCAGGCACTAACTCAATCACCAATCGCTCCATCGTCAATGGCTCGGTCCATCGTGAGCTTCAAGACCAAGACCCAGCCGCTCGGAAGACCTACGATCACCCTAACAGCCTCGAACGACCGGTGAAACCTGGCCAATTCGACGCCTCAACCAACGAACCACCCGCCGAATACCTTCGAGTCTGCCCAGGCAGCACCACCGCGACCATGCCGGTTCCCTTCGAGGCTCTCCTTCCCTATGTCATCATGACTGGCGTATGTGTTTTGGGCGACCATTTAACCTAACTGGGTGGAAGCTCATGCAATGACAGATGTTCGCCGTCTCTGGTACCGGACTTGCCGTCATCAAGACCTGGCAAAACGAGGGAAAGCGACCGCGCTACTCCGTTGACCAGTGGGACAAGGTGCGTTGGCTATCCTGGGTTTTGATTTCGATTACAGATGCTAATTGCCGCCACAGCAAAGTATGATGCACCCCAAACGAGACGGTTCGATAATCCAGACGGAATACTGACGGAAATTCTAGTGATGGATCGCGATCGTCGGCTCACCGGGTCCCTACGAGGACAGACAGATAAAGCAGTGGCCCCTCCAGGCTTCGAACTGAACAACCCTTGGAAGGTACTATTGTTGGGTCTTTGCAAAGGAACCACGGTTCGCTAACACGAAATAACAGTTGGAATCGCGCTTCCTGTGAGAAACCAGATGCCTCGGCTCAGCTACATCAGCGAAAGTACCGCAAGCGCATGTTGCAAGTGTACATATTAGAACGGAGAAGCATTGAGACAAGGGAGGAGGAAAGCCGAACAAACAAAAACATTCCCTAATTCTCGCAGCCTTGTTTCCTTGTGATGTGATCTATCACGAAAATTTGCGAGTTACGGGTTTAGAATCAACCCCAGGCCCGGGCATTATATTGCTATCTCCGCCCTGTTCTTGTTGAGCGTCTCTAATAGTGTACATGCCTGGCACATGGCTTGACTTGACATGTATCCGCACTTGATACACTGCCCTAGTGTTTGCATTGGACCAGAAGCAGTCTCCTTCTGCCGCCGGCTGCGAATGGGCAACGCGACAGAGTCCTCCGGCTTGGGTGTTCCATTCGATGTAATCTCAGTCTCGAGGGGGACGGACTTGGTCTGGCTCTTGATAGTCGCTTCCACCTGCGCCATTTCATTGCCGGAGGTGCGACCGTTGGCAGAACCGCATCCTCCCATACCCTCGCCTTCATCGCAGGCGCACGCCCCTTGATCCTTGTCTGGTGTAAGTCGGGCCATGTCCTCTCCACTTCTGACAATATCTAGGATTGCACTTGGTCGAACTCTCTCCAGATTCTTGATCAACCCTCGTGCAGTCCCTCGAAATGCTTCCGGGCTGTAGATGCATTCGGTGCTGAAGTAGTCCAATTTCTTGTGGTGGGCGTACAGCACAATCTCCTTCTCGTACGCATATTTCAGGGGCTTGCTTCTCTTCACCTCACTGCTTGAATTGCCAGTAACGATACTCGTACTTCGAGCCAACCTGGGTAGATCGCCACGAAGAAGGTTCATGAGTACCGTTTCTGCAATATCATCGGCGTTGTGTCCCGTCACAACATGCTTGATGGCCAGCTGCTTTGCGCCACGGTCCAGGGCCTGCCGTCGAAACACACCGCAATAAGTGCAATTTCCTTTCTTGCCGATAGTCTCGACAACTTGGTCCATAGTCCATCCGTAAAGTTGGTCGTATCCCACAATTTCTAGGGGCATGTCGTATTGAACGGCATTTCGCTTCACAGTCTCGAGTGAGTCATCTCGGTATCCTTTGATTCCTTCATCGACACTCAACAACACCAGGTTCAGCCCATACTTGTGTCGTTCGTTCAAAGTTTTCATCACTGACGCCAAAACTGTCGAGTCTTTGCCACCTGATGCGCCGATAGCAACCCGTTCGCCTGGGAAGAAGAGCTTGGAAGATGTAATTGTGTGATGGACCTCATCTTCGAAAACCGCAAGAAAACAGTCTCGGCATAGTTTGTGATGATTCTTGGGCCGCTTGACAACAGCTCGGTTATTCTGACACCGCACGCAAGGTGCAGGGGGCATATTGAAGAAACCAGTCGTCACTTCAGGATTCGACGTCTTCTGTCTGTCGCTGAGTCAAGACCGTGAGAAGGTGTTGGTCGCTTTTTGGTTCTGTGAAAATCGGAAATTCAAGAAACTGGGAGTCTTGAAAGACTGCTGGCTGTCTGACAAGGTGTCTGTACTAGGAAGATCCTGACGCTTGAATCCAAAGGGTGTTTGCAAAACGACTTCTCCATTACTCATGCCTAGCCTGACCATAAGTCTGGCACGCTCGAAATTGACACTGTGCACACTATGAAATGAGGCGTAAGTCACGTGCTAACCGCCACACACCAGCCCCTCTTTGTTGTGGGGCAGGGCAGGTGGAACGCCGCGGCGCAGGAAGCCCTAATTTTTGTTCCCACCGAAAATCAATCACTCCTTGTCTTTTTTTTAGTTTCTTCGTCAACCATCTCCAAACGTACCACGGACTTTGCTCTTCAACCCACGAGCACTCACCCAAAGTCAAGATGGTAAGTACATGATCAATCAACTGGACTCTAATGGCCACAGTTTTGTGAGTCAAATGCGCTCTGCGCAATTGAGCCGCGGTGTCGCTTGCGACGCCGTCGGTATTCCGCCTGTCATCCTTTATTGGACCAGGTGAAGACTTGGCTGGAGATGCGGCGTGTGCAGAAATGCCACCGCCTGCTCTCACTAGAGTTCAGAGAAGACCGTTTGGCTTGAACACCTTGCTGATGTCTTCTTTTCTCAATGACAGCCCCCCAAGTCTGGCAAGAAGGTCGCCCCCGCCCCGTTCCCTCAGGGAAAGGCTGGCAAGAAGGCCCCTAAGGTACGCATATCAATATCTCCCCGTTGCCGATTTGAGATTGCTAACGGCTCGCCAGAACCCTCTCATCGAGAGACGACCCCGAAACTACGGTATCGGCCAGGACATCCAGCCCAAGCGCAATGTCTCCCGCATGGTGAAGTGGCCCGAGTATGTCCGCCTCCAGCGACAGAAGAAGATCCTTCAGATGCGCCTGAAGGTTCCCCCGGCTTTGTCCCAGTTCCAGCACGTCCTCGACCGCAACACCGCCGCCCAGGCTTTCAAGCTCCTCAACAAGTACCGCCCTGAGACCAAGGCCGAGAAGAAGGAGCGTCTCCTCCAGGAGGCTACCGCCGTCAAGGAGGGCAAGAAGAAGGAGGATGTCTCCAAGAAGCCCTACACCGTCAAGTACGGTCTTAACCACGTTGTCGGTCTGATCGAGAACAAGAAGGCTTCTCTCGTCCTCATCCCCAACGATGTCGAGCCCATTGAGCTCGTCGTCTTCCTTCCCTCTCTCTGCAAGAAGATGGGTGTCCCCTACGCCATTGTGAAGGGCAAGGCCCGTCTCGGCACGGTCGTCCACAAGAAGGTATGCATTTTTAGCCCGATCCCCCAAAAAAATCTTCGCCTTACTAATCGCGCTATTAGACCGCCGCTGTCCTCGCCGTCACCGAGGTCCGCGCTGAGGACAAGACTGAGCTCTCCAAGCTCGTCTCTGCCATCAAGGATGGTTACATGGAGTCCCACGACCAGGCTCGCCGACAGTGGGGTGGTGGTATCATGGGCCCCAAGGCCGTGAAGCGAATTGAGAAGAAGCAGAAGGCTCTGGAGGCTGCTACCAAGATCTAAGCTGTCTAATACCCCACAATGCATTGCGATTAAGGGATCAACGGTGTTGCACGGTTCAGGGCATGGAAAATGAATGATTTTTCTTGGGTTACATTTTATCCCGTCCCCCATCGCAGTGACCTGTGGGGCCTGGGTTCGACCCTTCCACAATAGATGATGAGCTTGTCTTGAAGTCAGACTTGAAATGTGAACATGACCTTACAATGCCTGTGCAATCTTGTCTTTGTCATGTTACGGGACTACGTATCTTCCGTGACTGTTCTGAGAAGCTCAACGAACGTGGCACGGAAAAAATAACTGCCGAACCTTCATCCCCTTCTCACCTCAACCACGATGTTGATCAGAACGCAAGACTCAGCCTCTGAAGCGTAAACATTGCTCTCGCCTAGAGTTGCTTCAACTTTAACAAGTCGTTTCTCGTTGAATGGCCGCGCGGGAAGGAATAACGTAGTTACCTAGTCCCCCAAAGCGACTAGCCGAGCACCTCATTTCCACCTGCGCATAGAGACGCAAAGTGGCTGTCTCTGGTAACTGAGAAAGGCTATCCATTCCTTGCCGCTTGGGTGGCTCGCGGTCTACAGTCGTGGTTCATTACGGATATCCGTATTACTTGAACAGCTGCTGCTCGCAATTAGATGGACCTCGCTGAGAAGATGCCTCGTTTTGGCTTGATCACAAAGATGTAGCATGGCCGATGCATCATATGCATTCTCTGATATCTGAACTTCTAACCTTGAGAAATTTCCGAACCCGAGACTCGGTTCAAATTAGGATGCAGCTTATCCTACTGGTAAAGACATTCATCATCTTCATAATTGGAAAATGTCCGGCGGTGATTCTCCAACGGTGCCCCTCTCAAGCAGATATGCTGTGAGTCTGCCATGCAGTTGTCCTGGACACGCTACTCATCGACATTGAGTCGAGAAGTAAAATGGCGTACTCGTCGATTGATTTCCTGTCAACCACGAACTCACGCTATCTAATTTTTCACACGGGACCTTCTTGTAGTGGTGATTCCAAAAGCAGAGTGATTGTGTATGCCTGAAGCTGGCTCTTGGCCTGTGTCTGACTGGCTATTAAAGACCAAGGATGGAAGGTGATTCCTAATCAGACCCAACCTGCACTCCCTCCTTCTTTCGCATCGTTAACCCCACAATCCCTGTACTCTAAGATTCATCAGATCGTCAAGTGGTCTTGTTATCGTGCTGAAAATCCCCTGCCCCACACGGTGTATCGTCACTCATACATTCCGCTCCAGCGCACATGGTCTCTGGTGTGCAATGCTTAACCGAAGATGAGCTTGAAGATGTCATTGTAGACAAAGTACTGGCCAGAGGCGTCGCGGGCGAGCTGGAAGGACTGGCTGAAGTTCATGGGGTTCTGCTCCTCATCGACCTGTAACAGAGGCGTTAATTATCCAGGCGGGCGAAAGCGGGTAGAAGTAATGAGGTGTCCGGGTTTCATACCAAGAGCTGGCCGGTGACGAGGATGATGATGCCTCCATTTTCGTTCGAGGGCTGGGCGTCGAGGGTTGCGACCTGGTGCTTGACCTTCTGGAAGGGGAGGCCCTGAGGTTGGAGCAACGTCAGCGAGGGATTCTTCGCTGGGGTAGCGGAGGAGGGTGTTATACGTACCACCAACTTCTCAACGACAGCAGTGGCACCTTGGACAGAGGCAGACTCGAAGGTAAGCATGGAGTTCTCGCGCTGTTTAAGCCGTTAGTCGTCTTCGTCCGTGTTGCATCGAGTGGCGGGTGTACGACTTACGTAGAGGCTAATGAGTTCCTTGCGATCCGCGTCGAACTTGCCGTAGTAGAACTCGACGAACTGGGCTATTCACACGTTTGTCAGCCTTGACAACTTGCGGCTGGGAGCGATGTTTGTTTGCGGGTCGAGCGTACTCGCGACAGCTTGGAAGTCTAGATGCGCGGTTAGTTTTAGCGTCAGAGGCACTCAGGGTAACGCGCCAGGGACTTACCACCCATCTTGAAAGTCTGTTTACCGTCCTGGTGGTTTGAGTTCTAGGTGGTGGTTTGGGGGGGAGGAGAATGGGGGGGATGAGGGTAGCCTTGTTGTTGGGTTGTCGCAGAGTCTGCCCGAGGGGAAGAGGAGCACAGCAAGGAGAAGATGATGGATGGTGGGGTTGAGAGGGGCACAGTGCAGATTGGGCACGCACGTCACGCAGGCGGGGTGATGTACTGGGTGATGTGGTGGGTGATGTGCTGTGCCATGCTGCGCATACGGTGTGTGCCACGCCACAGCGGCCTAGAAGAGGCGCTGCTGCCGTGGAAACGAGGCGGCACAGTACGGCCCGCTAGAGGCATAAATGGCGGGATGGAGCTTGTTTAGCCCGATATTGCACGTTGCAAGGTCAACTCGGGTACCCAGGTACCCGCCCCGGCCACTTGGATTAAAACTCGAGCTCCGGAAAACTTTCTCTTCTTTGCCAACCAAACCTCAATCAATGGTTGCTCCCAAGCTGAGCCCAACGTCGAGTGATGTTGGGCTGCGCTGGATGTCTTCCGGCCTGACCTGCCTGCTGACGCCCGTCATGATATCGATGTGCTCGGTTAAAGTCCCGCTCGTCCGACCTGAGCTCACCCAGTAAGGTATGTTACACTGCCAATGTTGCACTTGGCTTGTCTCCAGCCAAATCATGCCCACGACACTCCCAACACCAACATGATGACACTCGCTTATAAGAACGGCCAACTGAACTACTTTGTTGAAACCAATTTTACCAAGCTTAATCGTCTGATTATTTCCACATTCGCGCGCGTCATGACTTCAGGACTCGTCCAACTGAATTCGTTGCTAACTCAGCAATCAGTCTAGAAGAAACATCTACGAGTCGATCCTTGTAAACTCGACGCTGCCTTGGTACATGCGCGCAATGCGATCCCACCATTGAACCACAAATGCAGAGGGCTTGCCGCTCGGGCCTATCTTGAACTCGATTCTCTGCCACTCTTGGGAGAACTTGGAAGAGTTCTTCACAGCTCGGTCGGCGTACAGAACCCACCAGCTCCCTGTGACGTGGTATACTCGCGTCGAAATTTGCCACGTCCTGTCGTGATGATCGCCCACGAGTATCTCCTGGTCTGACATCCCGGGGTCCATCTCGACGCTCAACGTCATGTTTTTGTATCCAGGGTCGTAGTATGTGCCCGCGAGATCTTTCAGGCTCACTGGAGACGGCAGAAGTGGCTCGGGTTTATCTGGAAAGAGAGTTTCAACCCCCTTATCATAGTCTTTGCTGAGCATTTCAATCATTTCATGCCACCTTATACATCGTGTCAGCTCTCCATTCGTTCAGTCGTACTGGATTGGGTATCGACCACATACTTGATGCCCACATCAACCTGGTCATCAGGAGCAATTCCCAACTTTTCATGCACCAGCTTGTACACCAAGACGTCCCCAGCCGCATTGGACGTCGTGGAGGTGTTTGCAAACGCCACGACGCCAAACTTGGCGTCAGGGAACCAGTACACCTGCGTGCCGAAAGCCTCCAGCCCGCCGTCGTGCGTGTACATGAGATGGCCGCGGTACAGCGCCCGTTGCCACCCGAGGCCGTACATGGTGATATCCCTACCCTGTTCCGGCATGCCCGCCATGATGCGCGGCGTCCGGATCTCCTTGTGTACCGCCGCCGAGAAGGGTGCAGCCTCGTGCAGCAGACACTTCACCCACTTGGCGTAGTCGGCCACGGTGGATATGATGCCGCCCGCGCCGCTGAGCTCCACCACAGACATGTGCGGCACCTCGGTGTACTTTTCCGCGTCTTCGTCCCAACAGTAGCCCGTTGCCAGGTGCTCGGGCGCTGACTGCGCGGCATCGAGGGCGAAGTACGTCGAGGACATGCCAAGGGGCTCCCAGATGAGCTCGCGGAGGACGTTGCCGAGCGGTTTGCCCGTGACCGTTTCGATGACGAGCGACAGCGCTAAATACATGAAGTTGCAGTACTGGAACTTGACGCGAGGCTCCGCTGTCATCTCCAAGTTGCGCAAGTTGCGCACCAGATCCTTTGCCGTGGAGTACCTCTTTCTCTTCCCGTCAGGGCCGACAATCTCACCGTTTTCATCATCCACAAACCGGAACATGGAGTCGTCGTGCCGCGGGAACCCCGTGCGGTGACACACGGCGTCCTCCAGGGTGAGATGCTCCGTGGCCCAGGCATCCTTCAGCACGAAGTCGTCACGGATAATGCTTGAGATTGGCGTTGCCCAGCCCTTTTCAAGCGCCGGGTATGTCTTGGTATCGATGAGGTGAGCGAGGGCGGCGCAAACAAAGGCCTTGGTGGTTGATCCGCCGTACCAGAGGGTTTTCGAGGTGGCGGTCGTGTTTGGGTAAGTTGCGATACCATAACTCTGTTGTACCAGTTAGCAAGAGTTGAGGTTTTGGTGTGAATGTTTGATGTATTGAGTTGTCAAGCAGAGACACACCTGTGTTAATACGTCCTCGTCATCAATCACAGCAATTGAGACACCTGGAACTTTCCACTCTTCCAGTGTTTCTTTGGCAAACTTGGCAAACTCCTCCGTGAACAAGCTTCCATCTCCCTCAGTTATCATGTGCTCTCCCATTGTCAAGAATTTCAAAATAAGAATCCCAAATCAGTTTATTGTCCTGGACAGCTGCTGTCTTTCAAGGTTATCGCGATAATCATCTCGAGGTCATATCACATCAAGCACGGGGTCTTTATAATCCAACGCATCTGCTGTTCGGAGCCGAGCGCGGCTATGGTGGTGCCAGAATCCACTTACACCCTCTTCATCCGATGTTGGTAACACGCGTAAGCCAACGGATATAACCAGGCAACAACGGGGCGTTATGTTTGTCGTATCCCGGTCGTCACAGGCGGCTTGCCAATTCGAGTGAGCTGTTTGGATCGCGGGCGACAGTTGGATCCCCAATTCAGCTTGATCATGTATCCGACGCCCTACGCAGCCCTATCGAGTTAGGCTGCCTGAAGGGATTCTGCATCTGGGTTGAAAAGAGGAATACGCCACAGACGGAATTACGTGCAGGGTTACGTAGTGAACTGGGTCAGATGGCTGCTCAGGGTTGCTGTGCATACATGCATGTACGGCGGGTATGTAAGCCCCGCGGGGAGCGTTCGTCAACTCGCTCGCATACCCATGATGGCCTCGCAAAGCGGCTACGTAATAGACCTTGGCACGTTGACCATGATTCATCAACAGGCTTCTGCCTAGCCTCACGCATACTCACGATAATTTTTGACAACGACAACACATGTTCACTTCTAGAACGACAAACTCAATGCTGTGGCCGAAGCAAGAGCTCAGTTAATGATTCTCTAGCCTCTAATACCCTTTGCCTCACGGCTCCAAGCCATCTTGTCCCTAGCACCCCTAGCCAAAAGCCCTCCAGTACAATAAAGTCATTGTTCTTTTTTTCTTTTTGTAAACGCCTCAACGCTTTCGACGCTCCAGCCGCCATGGTCTAAGAGACGGGACCAGAAACAACCAACACATGAATCAGTGCTGTAGCAAGATTCGTTGACAAAAAAATGGCTCAGCGTTATCAGCACCTGAATCTATACCAAGTCTGCCCATCAAGCCAAGTTTGTTTGTGACTCCAGCAATCCTCGTCGTTGTAGCACTTCAAAGGCCTCCTTTTGTTACTGCCAATATCAAGACAACGAATCCAACAAAGTGGCAGTTTGCAAAACCAACGACTCTTGCACTACAGCTCCTCTTCTTCGGCTAGCGTCAGTTTCGGGGCCTCTACTGCGGGCTTGACTACTGGCACAGAGCTACCAGACACAACCGAATCCAAAGCAGCACTCAAGTTCTGTGTGGCTGAAAAGTTTCCCATCGCGGAGTAATCCATACTTGGCCGTTGCTTCTTCAGCGGGCTTCCCACCAGAGCCGCATCGGGCACATCAACGCCACCTGTGCTCGCCAGGGTGCTTCCGAGCACTTGTCCTGGAGCCGGACTGTTGCTGGTAGATGCGTCGTTCCCTTGTGATGCTTCTGGGGTCGACTTGCTGTCGGGATCTGCCGAGTGTGCTCTCTTAAGCTGTTTCCAGTTGTCAGTTTTTGAAGGCCAATAAATCTGCTTACATGGGAACTTACGTGAATGCGGTTTACACCGTCAGCAAGTTCGCCTTGGAACTGGGCGTCCTCTGGGGCAAGTTTTCCGTCGACATCCTTGTCATCAGGTTCTTCCAATTTGGCCAAAGCATCGCTGTCATCATCGTCATCGTCATCGCTGTCCTCAGCAATGTTGCCGTTGCTCTTCTTCCTCGCCTTTCGCCGCCTTGCTGCCTCTGAGCCTTGGTCGCGGAATGTTGAGAAACCGACCGTGCCCCCGGCCTTCAGAGGGTTGAGGTTGGAGAAGTCGAGCTGTCCCGATCGTCGTTTGGCTGAGCCTGGCGTCGTTTGGGGGTTCTTGGATGATTGCAGAACGCCGATTTTCTGCAGTTGACCTAGAGTAAGGGTATTTATTAGCTGGTTGGTACCTCCACATATGCTCGACTCTACTTACGCTCTCCTCGGTAGAAGAAGGTAAAGACCGCATAGGGCTTATCTGGTCCATCAATACCAGTGACCGTCTGTGTGCTGATCGTCTTTGGGTCGAGGGTCTTTGGTTTCGCGAAACTCGTGGTGTGTTCGACATCAGCGTCAATGTTGCCATTGCCCTTGTTGGAGTTCAAGTCGTCCTCGTCACCATCGTGAGCATCGAACTGAGGGGAGTATTCGCCCTTCTTGATTTCGCCAGAGGCCAGAACTCGGAACATGGCCACCTTGATCTGGCCAGTCGCCTCCGGGGGCTCATCGTCGTCGTCGGACCAGGAATCCGAGTCATCGCCGACAGCCTCAATGGGGGTCTTTTCGTCGGCGCCATAACGCAGGGTGTCCCGTTGCGATCTGGACCCTTCGTCGACATCGATGCTGACGTTTCCTTCGAGGGCCTTTTGTCGTCGGCGGCGCTTCTCAAATTTTTGGCGGCGCTTCTCCAGCTTCTCGGCAGCGTCGTGTCCCTGCAGGTCGAGACCGTTCAGCCAGCGCTCGAGGCCGACCTCGCGGAAGAGAAACTCGCGCTCGGCAAGTCCACCGCCCTCGGTGTCGGGAACCTGAACCCAACGACTATTGACCCAAGTTTCCTCGCCTGGGCGCAGGAGGGTAGCGACCTCCTCTTTCGCTCGGCCGTCGAAGTAGATGTAGGCGGCAATGGTCTCGTTCTCGGAGTTCGTCATGGGAATGTAGGGGTTCACGATGCCGGAAAACTTGCCGCGGTCGCCATGAGAGCCGGGGTGAATGCCGCCGACGAACTGCGGCTTGGGGTAAGGGTTGGCATCGCTGGGCTTCGGGGTCGAGTAGGGGATGGGTAGACCCGGGGTGAGGAGGGTGATTGAGATGGCAAACTTGGCGGGCTCGGGCTTGTTGGAGTCGGAGCTCAACTGAGGCTGCGGCACCGGAATGTAGGTGCTCATCCGCGAGAGACGAGACTGCTTCTGCATGCCGTGCTCGGGCAGCGGGGCTCCATTTGCATGGATGCTGACCGCAATGCCCTTGAAGCAGGGCATCGTGGCGAGATGAGATGGGCAAGAATCCGGGCAGGGCAGAGAGAGCAAGGTTGAGTCGAGTTGAGCAAGGGCGGAGCGCAGAGGCCGACGTTGGGGGGTTGGGGTTGGGCTCGCGGTGTAAAAGAGTCGGAGAAGTGGGCGGGCGTCGTGATCGTCGGGAGTTCGTCGAGGGGAGACTGAAAGCAAGCCAGAACAGAACAAGCGGTGGTGGTGGTGGACGGCTGGTAGTGGAGGGCGCTGTGGGGGCGCCAGATTACTATGAACCTAGGAACAACGCACCGACGCTTCAGCTGCTAGCCATTCCTCTGGTCTCCTCTCGGGTAACGGCGGCGGCGGTGGACGACGACGACGGGCGGCGGCGTTAGCCAAACGAGAGCGAGGGCGGCCGCGAGGTTTCGACGCTGCGCTTCGCCGGAACGCGATACGAGTTTGCGGACGGGAAGTTGAGCAGCTTGGGCTGAGCGAGCGCGGTCGCGGGAACACAGAGACGGGAGAGGATGGAGGTTTAACGGTTGCGTCGCGGGACGCCGTGGGTAGGTAGTGGAGTCGAGGTTGAAACCTGGGCGGGTGTGCTGGGATGGCCCCGGTGGTCATCCCTCCAGCGATGAACAGTGGGTGGACAATGGGTGGACAGCGGTGATGCGCTGCAGTGGACAGTGGCTGGCAATAGCGCTAGGTTGGCCGCCGCCCAGAGGTACACCACCACTGCAGCAGTGGCTAGCGGACGGCTGCTGGCAGCTGGCCAGGCGGGAATCCGAGCGGTGGCCCATGTACCATGTACCATGTACCCGCGAGGTCCCATGAGGTCCCTGAAAGGGAGATCGGTTTGGGGCTTGCTGGCCCCTTGTTCAACAGGCAAGCGAGGCAGCTGTTGGTGAGGCGCTGTCAGACCCGCGGCGGGGCCGGTCTCGTGGCACATGAGAGTTGGAGTCCCCTTTCAACCAGTGGGAGATATTATCAGGGATACTCCCACCATGAACTCCCCGTGACTTTGCCTAGCCCACGTTGTTCGTTGATGAGAGCCTCTCCTAGGCTACACCTGACAAGCGGGTAGATGATAAGACACCTGTTGCCGGTCACAGGTCAAAAGTCTTACTGTGAATGTGTCCATGACCACAAAGAGGACTGACCACTTGAGCCGTCACGCGGTGTCACAAGAAACTCCAAACTCAGCTCTAAACTCAGCTCCGAACTCAGCTCGTCAAAACATCATTGCAGGTAGGGGAGACAAGGACACAGGTCAACTGTGCAACCTTAATATCCATGTCGTCACAACTCCTTACATCAGAATCAAAACAAGTCGTCGTAAAAGCACCTCGGGTATATATCTACAAGCCATCAATCATTTCGTCACTCATATCCCTTCATGGCCCATCACGCCCCATCAATCACATTTCCACATTTCATCCCATCACATCCAACCCTTTACTCCTCCATGTTCCGTGATGCCCTTCTACGGATCCTTCCACTTCCCTCCTCACTGTAGCTTGTTCCAAGCCCAGAGTCTCTCTTCTGGGCGTCGTCATCGTCTTCGTCGTCATCCTCGTCCTCATCGTCGGCGTCGGCTCCTCCTCTGGGAAGCTCCGATAGCGGCTGCTCTTCAACTCCCTCCTGCTTTACTTCTGGTTCGTATTTGAGTGGTGGTTGCCTCCCGTACGTTGGAAACGTGGTAGGGCGATCCTCCTCTTCTCTTTGTCCCCCTTCCTCCTCTTCTTCGTCCTTGACGGCTTGCCGCCAGGCTCCCTCTAGTCCCCGCGTTTTGACGTCACCATCCCCTGGCGGCGATCCAGTCGTCGCACTCCAGATGCCCCACGCGATTCCCATAAAGACGAGTTCGCAAACCCAAGAAAGAAAGGTAAACGCAAGGTATGTGGAAATACGGTAGTGCACCATCAGCCAACGGAGTCCACGGAGCTGGGCAGTCAGCCTCAGGCCTGCGTGGTAAACCTGAATCGCTTGTCCAGCCTCGACTTCCACATAGGCAGAACCTGGGATTTTCGAGCCTTTTGGGAACCAAACTCGCTCAGCTAGTGGTATGACCATTTCGCTGGTGCTGGATCCGGGTGCAAATATATGGTAGAATAGAAACAAGACCCGGGTCGCGAGCGAGACGAAGGGGTCGACGTATGGTAGCAAGGCTGATCTGCGGGAGCTGAATAGAACTTCTGTTTCTCCAAAACCCGCATGCTCAGCGGCATGCAGTTGGGCACTCGTGTCGAGTCGACCGTCGGCTGTCGCGTCGAGAAGGTGCAGGCTGATCATGAAGTTTCCTCGATCGATGTTCGGTGCGGATCGAGGCATAGATAAGGTTAGGGATATATCGTATTCTTGTTGCGACTTCATCGGCGGCGTAGCGATTGACGCGATGCCATACGGATTGACACCAGACCTGCGCCAACAGAGTCAGTCAGAGCATCACGGCATGAATAGACAGGATGATGGGCATACCCATATTGCAGATGCAACGGCGTCGTAACAACTTCATGGGGGAGGAAATTCTGAAAGAACAGGGCCGATGCGATTCCAGCGATTCCAAGGAGGGTGACGGCGCTGGATATCAGGAGGACGGTGTTAACCACAACCCGCTGGACGGGCTTTGAGGTTACGAGGCGAGCAGTTTCCTGTAAAGTTTCCTAGAAGAAGATACCGATTAGTATTGATTAATAGAGCGACGCTGTGCCATATAACTACCATTGCGAGCGCGACACGTCCGTTGATGCGGATCGCGTGAATGTTGTGCAGGGTGGAATGGTGACGAGAGAAGGTCGAGTGGCATGTGAAGGAGGGATGTAAGGGCCAAGCTCAGCTCCCCACGTCATAGCTCCAACCCCCTTGCAACTATTTGAGCGAGCATCGTGATTCGTCATATTAGGACACCCAATGTTGGACAATAACGACCACTTGTGTACTTGTGCAATTAGAAGAAGAATAGTCCAAGGAAAACAGCTGTATTTAATATAGCGCTGTCTTCCCACGGTGAAAATGAATCTAGTTTTGACAATGGCGCTGCTGGTACTAGTAGGTACATGCATGTATAGCAAGCTGCATCGGATCGCATTCGGAACATCCTCGCCTCAGCTAGACTATATTTTGTATTGTTGACCGCATGTGAAATCGTGACTGTGAATCGCTACCGCCATGGTCAGGAGATCAGGTACCTCCGAGTCCCGGATCTCGGACCTCGTCGTCGACTCCAAGATCGAAGCGACATGGGACGCGGGCACCCGCTAGACCAAACACTTCCGTACTGACATTGGCGTCTTGGCTCGGCGCCAGCAGTTGAAGACCGAGGAGTGGCAGAGGAAACGAACCCTCGAAGGCGGCGCGTACGGCACGGTTTGGCTAGAGGAATGCATCGCTAGCTCTGGGTTCAACATGGGGAATCAAAACTTCGAGCCGTCAAGGAAATCCACACGCAGCCGAATATCTTAGCGATGAACTCAACCGGGAACTTGAAGCCATCCCCGAGTTCTCCCACAATAGGTACATACACTGTTTTTTACGCTCCTTGGGTTGGTTTGAAAACGATACGACCTTATTTATCCCTATGGAATAGTTGAAGTATTGTCTGCAACAATATCTCACCATGCCGTTCCCTGAACCCGAAGCGAGGCAAATCGTCCTTCAAGTAGTCGAGGCACTGCAGCTAATGCATGAGGGTGGCCTCGCGCATAGATATCTTAAGCTTGGTAATATCCTAGTCTTTCTACGGGGCCCATCGTGGTGGGTGAAGATTGCGGGTTTCGGCATCAGCAAGTGGGTTGAGGCATCAACTGCATTAAGAACTATGGAGATCGGCACCAGAGGCGTTATGGTTTCAGAAATCTTTGGCCTGCATTACCCTCATGCCTTCGATGAAACCGTGTTGGAAGCTGATGAAGTCGCACACGGCGCCTTGGCCTACACACCCGACATGGCCTATGGGTGCTTGGCAAAATCACATACAGAATGTTGACCCATAAGCTAGCGTTTATATAAAGAGACGGCTATGGGCTTATGTTACCAAAGGGACTCCGTTTCCATTGAACGAATTGGAGAATGCCGGAGCAAGTATTCGTGGAATCAACTTTGTCCAAGGGACGATGGCTGCTTCGCCCCAGAAGCGGCTGACGGTGACGGACGCAATGCATCAGAATGTGGCTAGAAAGCCACAAGTTCATCGATGAGACGAAAAGTCGATCCAGCATCGAGAGGTGTGTCATCCCGGTTAATTCTAAATGAAGCTTTCTACGAAGTATTTGTACTGACATTGGGCTTTAGCACTAGAGAGATAATTTCCAGTGACACTAACACGATAGAGTATGAACCATCAGCGCAGTAGACTGAGACCACCAGAAAGTCAGAGATTACGGGAGAGCAAATTCAAGAACCTCAGACAGCTTCAGCTATTGAAACATGCCCGGCACGGATAATGAGGCTGCGATATCTGTGGGCTTTCTCGAGGATGTTAGAGATACATCCGTACAACTCCCCCTCAAGTATCCCAGAGGGAGGCTGTGATGTCAGTAGAAACTGATTCTGGTGTTGCTGAATATGAAATAAATGACGTGGCAACTGATTCTAGACAAGAAGAGGTTCCAATACCACCGACAGGCCTTTCCGACGATGCTAAAGATGTCTCGGTACAAGTGTCCTCTGGGGTGACTCAAGATGAGACTCCCATGTCGCCCGCAATCCTTTCGAGAACGCTGAAAATACATCAATAAAGGTCAACACCGAACCAAGTCAAGAAATCACCCAGAGAAATGCCCTAGAACCGGACAGCGCAATATAGCCAGCCACCTGTCTCACGAGATGACCCTACACCAGTGCTGCGCGGGAATGGACACCAGTCCAAAGAGACAAAACCACAGCTCCTCGCAGCACTTCACATCAGCCGTCAAAGAAAACTTTGCAAGTGGTTAAAGTCTCACCTTTCCGCCCTCGGCCTAGACCAGAGTTCGAGGTCCCAGAGATCCCGCGTTGGGGCGGTCAATCGGTGAGCTCACGGGTCCCCTCAGGTGGACCATCACCTTCGGCTTCTGCTGGCGCAACGTCGGGTTATTCTCTCTTGTATCAGCTGCCCAACCTGCCAGTGCCACTGAATAGAAACAACGGATCAGAAACTGTTTCAGCTCCAACAGCTAGTTGCCTGAACCCCAAGGGTATGCCAAACATCTACAATGAGGCTCGCTTCAAAGGAAACAACACTGATCACCTGCTAGCTAATTCCCAGCGCGATGCTTTCAGGCTTGCGACCCGGCCTCATGAGCCTAGACCAGGCAATGCCGTCAGATCGTTCCACAAATCGGTGAGAATCGCGATTCCGGAGCCGAATACCACCGCCGAGTCGTTCCAGGAGTCAGATATGATTGTGACTACACCGAAAAGAAATCTCATGCTCCCTAAGATACTCTCTGGGGCTTTAAGAATCAAGGCACTTGGCTGGGCTTTGATGGCGATGTCACAAATTCGTATGGATCCTTGTAGATATACTTGTTTAAAGAAAAAAGAAATAATATAATGCTTCCCTAATTATCGTGTAACGAATGACATCTTGAAACATTGTTGCTTAAACAAGAACGCCCAGATGGAAGAAGGTTTAAAGTCGTGAACATATACAACCAACGTCAAACAAGCCTATCCCAAGCTCCGTACTAACTCGCCGTCAAAGCCAACGGTATTCGCAAAGTCGTCAATCAAATACATCAATCAATCAATGGCCAAGCTAGCCAATCACTTAGTCGCTCAAGTCAATAAATCAGCAAGGCTGGAGGTAGTTGCTTGGGACCAGCCCGATGCGTCCGTTCGCGCCGTGGACCTCAGCCTCCCACCATCCGTCGTCTTGGTGCCGGAGGACCGCCAAATAATCACCCTTGGCAAAGCCCAGCTCCTCGGGAATAGCCGCCTGGTACACGTACAATGCGCGTGCTAGAAAATATCTCGTTAGTCATGATTTGTTGTCATATTTGCGTTGTTATTGGGGGCTCACCGTAATGTAGGATTGCTCTACCATCGCTAGTGTAGAGTCGAGAAGGATCGGCAACACTCTTGCTTCGTTGACGCGAGCCTTCCTCGTTAAAGTGCCCTGTAGCACGGGACTGTGGTCGACTGCCTCGGCTTCTCTGTGAGCCATATGGATCGTTACCTACAGGAGCAAGCTGGACGGCCATCTCACTGCCACCATAGCTGCTCTGTGGGCGGTTGTAATCCCTATATCTGGCAGGAGATGGCGCTCGGCTGGCCTCTTGGGGAGACGGCTGCTGATAGTAGCCCTGATCAGAGCCACGCTTTTGCGGCGAGCTCATCTGGGATGGGCTGCGCTGGCTACCAGCGTAAGGGTTTGGTGACGCCGATCGATAACTCATCCTAGAAGAATCGGGCCTAGGCGGCTGGGGTGACGCACTTCGCATGGGGGCTGGTGAGGTAGCCCTGGGCATATCAGTACCTCTGGTTCCTGGTCTTGAGACGGGGGAAGTTCCATAGACTCCAGATCCTCGAGACATGTCAGATCCTCGTGTGCCTGGTCGAGCGATAGGAGAGGGCACATCAGTTGCCCGAGTACCTGAGCGAGACATGGGAGGTGCGTTATATCCGCCTTTATCAGGTCGGCTCATCTCAGTTGCCCTTGTACCAGATCGTGAGGGGGCTGTACCATAGCTTCCGCTCATATCAGTGCCTCGAGTGGTAGGTCGCGAGGGGGGCGGGTTGTAACCACCCGATCCAGCTCGGCCAGCCGCCTCTCCAAACACACTTCTGGTCTGGGTGGTGACTTTCTTGGTTGCTTCCTTCATGGCCCTGGAAGTCACTGCGGGAGGAGGCACACCCAACCTGGATACTTGAGTTTGAGTGTGATATGAGGGGGGAGGCGTTCCCCTCTTCACGGATGCCGCTTCCTGGTTTCCAGGCACTGGGACAGATCGAGGCACGCTTGCCTCAGACGAAGGAACAGGTGTTTCGATGCCGTGGTAGTGGTCAGCGGACATCCTCACGGAAGACTGCTTGCCAATGGAATTACCCTTGATTTTTGCGAGAGCAAGAGCAAGAGGGTCGACCTCTTCAGGTTCCTTCGCAGGAGTCGCGCCGGGTCGCTTCTTCTCGTCTGGGTTGGATACCGGGAACACGTTCTGGCCAACTCCCAATGCCAAGCTAGCATTCGCATCAATAGGCTCGGGACTTTGAGTCCGTTCCTGAGCCAGGATCTGGGGTTCTGGGTTATATGCCTGCGGTCGGCGGGTGGGACTTGCGTTGTTACGCGAGCTGGCTGCATGCCAAGTGTTCCTATTCGACTGAGTTGTAGGCTGAATCTCCTTTTGACTCTTGCGTCTGAATAGGGGGGTGTGATTCTTCAAGAATCCACTCTTCTTCTTCGCAACGAGTTTTATGGGGCTTGGGACGGGAGCAGGATTTTGCTTGACGGGTGATGTCTTTCCACTAGGTGGTTCCATGCTAGAGAATGAAGTTGGGTTGGAATAGTCGCTGTGAGAATCTCTGCTCGAGGGTCGGGCAGAAGTGACCTGAGAGCTTCGATCAGAAGGCGGGCCAGGGGGCCCAGTACGGCACAACATTGTCATTCCGTCCATGGGATACGGGTCATGCGGTACTGCGGCCACAGGGCCGTGTTGGTTCACGTCGTAGCCCTTGATCTGCGCAGGAGCCGCCTGGGCTGGCTGCCGATGGTACTGCTCCTCGGTAGACCTCCTCATCTCCAATGACTGTCTCATCGGTTGCTCCAACGGCTGTCTCATCGGTTGCTCCAACGGCTGTCTCATAGGTTGCTCGAGCGGTTGTCTAATCGGTTTCTCTATCGCCTGTCTCATCGGTTGCTCCATCGACTGCCTCATGGGCTGCTCCATCGACTGCCTCATAGGCTGCTCCATTGACTGCCTCATAGGCTGCTCTATCGGCTGTCGCATGGGCTGCGCCATCGGTTGAGTCATCTGTTGGTGCATTGGATGCTGTCGTTGCTGAAGAGACTGTTGAAGGGGTTGCGGGGGAGGCTGGTGAGAAGGTTGCTGGCGAGGAGGTTGCTGATGATGAAGTTGTTTTTGAAGGGGGGGCGGCTGATGCATAAGCTGCTGCTGTTGTTGGATAGGAGGTTGCTGGAGCTGCGGCAGTATCTCGTCGGGGGGTGGCTGAACGGCCTTCTGGGGAGAGAGGGTCGGCTCTCGTCGACTGAGTGGTGCGGTCTCTCTATGTGCCAGGTTGAGAGCCAAGGCCGAGTCCGGGTCGTGATGTGACTCAAAGGTAGATGGCTGGGGAGAGGATGACCTAAATGCAGGGTTGATACTGCGAGGGAACTGGGCCACCGAGTAGTTGTCATCTTCCGAAGCCTCGGACTGGCTATCGTTGATATCGCCGCGGCAGAAGTTGATGTACCTCGGTGCGTCAGGAATTTCCTGTCCTGTGCCACGATCGGTAATGAATGTGATGATATCCTTCTCGACGTCCATCTTCTCCAAAGACAGTCGAATCTTCTCACACGATGAGTCGTCACTAACGCAAACCGTGGATGCGATGTTGGCAAAGGTCCACAAGCTGCTCTTCGTGAAATCCAAGCGCTCCTCTTCCAAGTCCTGGAACTTGTCGGCCGCCGCCTTCCACTCTCTGTTCCACCTGGCAGTGGTATCTTCCAGAGCCTTGACAGCGGTCTCATATTCGGTGTTGGAGGTTGCGAGGCTGATCTGTGTCTTCTCAAGCTTCGCCTTGTTACGTCGTTCTTCCTGACCCATGACCATGTGGCCTTGAGCAAGGTAACCTTTAATCTTCAGGCACTCTTGCTCGTACTTGTCTCGTGTCTTTGGTAGAGTTAGTGTTGTGTTAAGGAAAATGGGAACCCATTGAACCAACCTTGTTCACATGTTGTGTTTGCTGCATTTTGACCTTGAGGAGCTTCTCCACGGTGTTCTGGACGATCTTGCGCCGCTCCTTCATACCGCCAGCGAATGCACCCAATGGCTCCTCCAACTCCGTTTTCATCTGTGCTGCGATACTTTGATGTTGTTTGGCCATCTGCTCGACCTCGCCACGGAGAGTATCCAAGGATGTCTTCAGAGTACCTGATTCGTTGGATCCCAGTGATTTTCTGCACAAGCTCCCGAGCTTTCGGGCGTATTCGTCTTCAATCGAGGCTCGTGCTGGACAATCATGCCGGTCAGAGATGGAACCGAAAGCAGAGGGACGTAACATCAAGGGAGAACATACCGCCATAGAAAGATCTTAATTCGTCGCAGGTCTGCTTAGCACCAGCCAAACGGCTGAGCATAGGCCCAACTCCAGCATCATCCTTGCCCCAGAAGTTGTTTGCGACTGATACACGAGGCGATTAGCAATCAGACATGAACAAAGGTTTCGGTAGCGTGCTCACAAGACAGCGAAACGGCTGGCGCCTCCGCCGTTGACGCAGGCATGGTGGGTGCCTGTAGTGATAGAACAAACGCGAGTGATGTTGATAATTGTGAACAAAGGAGTTGTTCAAATAAAGGAACCAGCCTGCGTCGCGCTACTCCGGACTTCAGATGGAGGACCAAAAGGCGTGTGCACCTTGGAAGCAGTGTTAAGGACGGCGATATGGAGCTTCAATAGACCATGTCATTGTTTGGGTGGCGTTGGCGCCGTTGATGGGGCAACGTAAACACCCCCTGGCGCACGTGATCCGGGCTGGCAAGCACCTACCCCGACCACGGACCGGAATTTACCGTGCTCCGGGTGCATGGTCATTTTCATACCTTATCCTCAACCCAACTTCCACACCCACCATTGTACGCTTGACGAGATATCACTACTCAGATTTCCATCACGCACGCCCTGCCGCCCCCAGAACTCTTCGTCGACCGACGCCGGACCGCCGCTACGCTCCCCCCAAGCTCCCTAATACGCTGCGCTCCCGGCGCTGACCCCCCCGACGACGAGACCTGAACACCTGTCACCCACGCCTCTCCCCTCTCCACCCGAAAGTCGAGTCCTCGAGTCGTCCCTTGTTCACGGTCACTCCGCTACACGGTCGCGCACTCGCGAGCCCTCCCTCTCGGCCCCCGACCGGTGCTTCTCCCCAACCGCTCCCCCATGTAGGGACTTTCCACCAGACTTCCTTCCTTCAACATCACCCACCCGCTCGCTTCGTGAGCCACCCGGCCTGCCGCGACTCCAAGGGCAGGCTCTCCACCATCAAGCCTCCACCGCCGCCAATACACCTCCATGGTCCCACCACCTCGAGCGGGATCATTTTCGCCCAATCCTGCGCAGACACTTCAGACGGGATCGAGTCATTCACCCCACCCATCGCAGGCTGCCATCCTCAGCGCTGGCGCAAGCCCCAGCGCCAGCAGTCCAACGGGCACCAACTCTCTGACCAAGATCGTCGTGGCCCAGGTCTATCTCCTGCTAAGCACTATCAAGGAGGATAAGGACCGCGCCAAGTGGGAACTGCAGGTTGATCAATTGAAAAAGGTGAGCTCCTTCTCTGCTCAATGTATATATCCATATCGCGCCCTATGTTGTTAATCACCCCTCCTCGTTTAGCTCATCGATGAACACGGTATGGAAGTCTTCTCCAAATACTTCACACGGTTGGTCGCCGGAAATGCGCCGCAGATATTTCCCGGCCTCAACCGGCCTGTCTCGAATCCGGGAAACTACCACATCCTCGTGGGGGAGATGCGAAAGATCGCGCATGATGCTGAGCAAGCAAGTAAGATCGCCGAGTCGATAGAGAGCGGAACCGAAGATATATTTCGCGACTTCGATCTCTCGACTTTCATGGAACATTTCAAACTTGATGCGCTGGAGAAGACCCTGTTGGCTCTGGCGTTCAAAATTGGCTCCCGAGGAGATCTCAAGACCAAAGGTAAGCAACCCCTCAAACGATCACGCGTCACGAAACTAACTTTGGGCACCCGTAGCTGATGCCATTTTATCGACCAATTTCCCAACATTTGTTGACATTATATCGCGTCCTGAAATCGAAGCGCATGCCGATTTAAGCCCCACGTTTATCGCCCTCATCGTCGATCGATTTATCCAACATCATCCTCCCAGTTTCAACGCCTCATCTCGACGCGATCTTCAAAACTATGTTGCAAAGCGATATATTAGTATGGATCTAGCGCCTCCTTCCGAGGTTCTTGCGGCTCTCGATCTTGGTCGAGTTGTTGCGGAGCGGCCTTCGAACGCACTGGCGCGCTACATCCAGAAGACTGGTGTCGACTTCACCCGAGATGAGGACACTTGCGTGTCGTATCTTCAGAACCGCCCCAGCAGCATGCAGCTGACTCCCGATCAAGCGTCTGCAGCTTTGACCTTCGCCACCATCAGCCAAACACCGCAACACGATCCCAGTGTTTTGGTTGCTGCGCTTCGACGAGTTGTTCCGAAGTCCTTTGAATGGGTCGAAGTGGTTGCCTTCTTCGACCAACCATCAGCTCGCATCTCTTCTCAACAGTTCTTGCGCCTATACAATGCTCTGCTACCCGTGGCTCAAGATTCCAAATCTGTCCTGGACATTCAACGACTTTGGGGAGGTGCTTGGACCGAACCTGAAGCGCAGCTCTCCTTCGTAAGCGCTTATGCTTCACTAACGCCTGAGCAGCTGGATGCGACCACGATCCCTGGACTGCACCGAAGTATCACCCTCGATGACTATGTCAACTCACCTCCCAACGTCCGCGAGCGAGCCGCGGTGGCGGTCAAACATCCTTTAGTATCCGTGGCTGCGCTTTCCTCGATCTTCAATGTGGCACTCAGTTCGGTTCATGCGTCACAAAGCGTCGAGGCGAAGCGGCTATTCCAGGAGGTTGTTGTACCTAACCTTGACATTTTTCTCGTGTCTGCCTTTGAGGTTCCCCGACAGTCATGGGCCACGATGGCCGTCGATACCCTCAACTCACTCTTCGAAAACTTCCTGTACAAACGATCGCCAGAGTACGATTTTGTTCTTGATAGCCTCTGGAAGAAGGACAAGGAATGGGTGACGCAACGGCTGATTGACGCCCATGCGGTCAAACCCGTCGACCTTCCCCTAGTCTTCGAGCACGCAGTCAAACATAAGTGGCTAGATGGGCTTGTGTATTTGCCAAACGGCTTTGGTCTCGACCTGGCTGCCTTGGCTCATGCCGAAGGATACCTGGACCTCTCAAAGTGGGCTCGGTTCAATGCTGACCGGAGTAGCGAGATCTCTCGTACCCTCTTGCAGTTCTTGATGATCAAAGCCAGCCTAGAGATTCAGTGGCAACGATTCCCACCCGATCCTCCCGTCAAGACTAGTACCACTCTTCAAGTTTGCACCGTCTCCGCATTACTGGCGATTCTTGAGGACTTCTTACCCAAAGCTCCCGTTCAAGACTTGATCCTCGTGCAACGCAACTGCATCACGGCTTACCCGCGATTGATCAACTACGGCGAAGGCTACGATGAAATTATCGATGCAAACGGCAAGGATGGCAACGCTCTACCTCTGGCCGCCAACAGCAAGATGGAGGAGCACTACAAGAAGATGTACAGCGACGAGATTCAGGTCCGCAATATCGTCGAGGTGCTAGACCGATACAAGCACTCCAGGGATCCCTTGGACCAAGATGTCTTCGCGTGCATGATCCATGGACTTTTCGACGAGTACAACCACTACGTGGACTATCCACTAGAGGCTCTTGCAACAACGGCGGTCTTGTTCGGTGGCATTGTTTCTCACAAGTTGATCTCGGACCTCCCCCTTAAGATCGGACTTGGAATGATCTTGGAGGCTGTTCGGGATCACATGCCGGATGACCCCATGTACAAGTTTGGTTTGCAGGCCCTGATGCAGCTGTTGGTACGTTTCAGAGAATGGCCAGGGTTCTGCAAACAGCTTCTACAAATCCCGGGCCTTCAAGGCACAGAAGCTTACAAGAAGGCGGAGGACGTCGTTCATGATCATGAGGATGAGGTTGTTCGCGGTCGCAACGGAGCCGGGACCCCACTTGCCTTCCCTGCTGATTCGTTCGCTAATGGGAATCCTGAGGAGCCAGCCACCATTGATCGGCAACCGCCCGCCTTCAACTCTATCAACGTGGACCCTCATCCCCAGGGCACCGAGTTTGATGAGCCTGGTGAGGATGATCAGGACAAGGTTCAGTTTGTCCTGAACAACATCACCGAGGGAACATTGCGTTCAATGTGCAAGGAACTACGCGAGACCATGGAGCGCAAGCATCAGCAATGGTTTGCTTGTCATCTCGTCGAGGAACGCGCAAAGATGCAACCAAACTACCATCACGTGTACCTTGAGTTGGTCAAGCTATTCGAAGACAGGTCCCTATGGAGTGAAGTCCTTCGAGAGACGTATATCAGCGTGGCCCGCATGCTAAACTCAGAGGCCACAATGCAAAACTCCACTGAGAGGACACATCTAAAGAACCTCGGTGGCTGGTTGGGACTTCTGACGCTGGCCCGAGATCGACCTATCAAGCACAAAAACATCGCCTTCAAACAGCTACTGATTGAGGCACACGATACTAAGAGGTTGATCGTCGTCATTCCCTTCGTCTGTAAGGTCCTGCTACAAGGTGCCTCCTCGGCCGTGTTCCGACCTCCCAATCCCTGGCTAATGGACATCATTCATCTGCTTATTGAGTTGTACCATAACGCGGAACTTAAGCTAAACCTGAAGTTCGAGATTGAGGTTCTCTGCAAGGGCCTCAACCTCGATCACAAGAGCATCGAACCTTCGGGTGAGATCCTCAACCGCCCTGTGATTGAAGAACCTGCAGAGGTGCTACCCCAGGAACAGATTGACGCCTTTGAAAATCTGTCTCTGAACGGCATGGGCTCTGCTGTTGGAGCAGGACTATCTCCTCAAGCTATTGTGCCGACCATTCCCGACCTCGGTCCATTGATCAACATCCCCCCAACTAACGAGATGGTCGTCAGCGCTACCCGACTTCACGAGATTGTTCGCACTGCCCTTAGCCGGGCTCTCCAGGATATCATTCAGCCTGTTGTGGACCGATCTGTCACGATTGCTGCTATCTCCACACAGCAGATGATCCACAAGGACTTTGCTACGGAGCATGACGAGAACCGCGTGCGAACCTCAGCTGTCAACATGGTCAAGGCCACTGCTGGTAGTCTGGCCCTCGTCACCTCCAAGGAACCCCTGCGAGCAAACTTTACCAACTACATGCGCAATCTCTCAAATGACCTTCCTCAGGGTCTTCCGGAGGGCACCATTATCATGTGCGTCAACTCTAACTTGGACTTAGCCTGCAACATTATCGAAAAGCAGGCCGAGGAAAGGGCCGTTCCCGAGATTGAGGAGATGATTGAGCCCGAGCTGGAAGCCCGCCGCCGGCACCGCCTCCAGAGGCCCAACGATCCATACTATGACTCGGGCCTCAGCCGGTGGGCCATGGCAATTCCAAACCCTTACAAGCTGTCTCCCAGCACGAGCGGCTTGAACCCCGAGCAAATGGCCATCTACGAGGATTTCGCCAGGCAGCCTCGTAGCACAGCTATTCCTGCCCCCTCGCATGGCCCTTCTACTTCTGATGCGACCCGATCGATTGCCAATGAGGTATTGCAAGAGCAATTTAACACCATGCCTAACCTGCCAACGCCCGCCGAGACACCATCCATTCCGCAACACTTGGGTGCTCAGATGCAACCATATGCACCTCCCCATACAGCTGCTGCGAACAACATGGCCAACGGACGAACACCAGCGTTCCAGATGGATGTGCGAGGCCTGGCCGAGCGAGTTAACAAGCTACTTCAAGAACTTCTCCGAGTCGCAGGTGAAGCGCGCGAGGAGCACTTCTTGGGTCTTCCAAGGCCCCATCCTGTCCTAGATGTTGTTGATGCTCTTGTCCAGCTAATCATCAAGACGTCACAGAACTCAGAAGAGTTTGCGATTTACGCCGCCGAGCAGATCAGCGCGCTTATCTTTCAACAGGTCGAGGACAACTTGACGCTCGAGAGCTTGGTCCACGTTCTGGAAACTCTCAGGAAGATCTCCGGTCCGAGCCTCAACAACCGAGTCCGCGCTCTTTTCAGCCAACAACCCGGCCCTACATTTCTGAGCCTGCCATTGCTTGCAGCCTTGACCCGGACTGACCTGCTGGATTGGAGGAACATCGACCTTGCTATGTCCAAGGCACTCCTTGCTCGCAAGGAGGGCTCTCTTGACTTTTTGGAGCACATGCTTGACCTCGCACTCCTGAACAACCGCCCGATTGCCCTATATGCCGACTTTGTTAGAACCCTGGAAGCTGCCTGGGCTTGGATCTGCGAGGATCCCACCTCGACTGCTGGCCAGCGGGTCAAGAACAAGCTAACTGGCTCCGGGCTACCCCGACCATCCCAGGTCGCCGATGACCAGGCCACCTTCCGACAGGACCAGATGGAGTATGTGTTCGAGGAATGGGTTCATCTCTGTAACAACCACAATGCTTCTGAGAAGGCCACTGTTGCCTTCGTTCAACAGTTGCAGGTCAAGCAAGTCATCCGTGACCGAGATGACTTCTTCGTGTTCGTCCGCACTGCCATCGATCTCTCCGTCGACCGCTTCGAGCACATCCTGCACGCCGGTGCCGTTGGCGACGCATATGTCATGGTTGATTCCTTGGCCAAGCTAATTGGCACTTTCATTGGCATGCAGCCAGAGACACCAGGTTCTCGGGCGTCGTTTGTAGACTCTACACTGGCACTGATCACTTTGGTGCTTAACCATCACCATGTCAACCGTGGAGAGCAACTCAACCAGAGGGTGTTCTTCCGACTTGTGTCCATGGTACTCCATGAGGTCCATATTATTTCCGAGGACCTTATTGAAGAGGAGCGTCGCGATGTTATGCTCAAGATGGCCACTAGGTTTGCAGGGATGGGACCTACCCATCTTCCAGGGTTCATCTACGCCTGGCTCTCTCTCATCCAGCACCGGGCTTTCCTACCGGTGCTCCTCCAAATGCCCGACGGCGCCGGATGGGCAGCTTTTGTCGACCTTGTATGCCAGCTCCTCGACACGCTCGGGGAACAGCTCAAGGTATTCGAGGTGTCCAATGTTGCCAAGGAGATCTACCGCGCCACCCTCAAGCTTCTCGTAATTCTGCAACACGACTTCCCCGATTTCATTGCGGCCAACCACGTCAAGCTCTGTGCCAGCATCCCACCGCACTGCACCCAGCTACTTAATGCTGTTCTTGCTGCTAACCCACAGCAGAGCCCCAAGCTCGCCGAAACTCTTCCTCCCGGCGCCAAGGCCGACCGACCAGGGGAGGCCAGAGTCAGTCCTGGACTAATGGACGAGGCGGCTGCGATTCTCCGAGATGCCGGACTACTCAGCGTCCTGGACCAAGCCCTAGGAAACGGCCCTTCAGAGGAGGTGGTGGCTACCATCACCCACGCCATTACACACAACCCGCCTAAGGAGACGACTTATGGACAAATCCCCGTCATGGCAAATGTGCAAGTCATTGGAGCTGCGGTCATCTACATCGGACAACATGCCGCAGAGCAGGCGGCCCAGGCGGGCACTGCTGTGACGGTGTCAGGCGAGGAGGCTGAGGTCTCAACTTTGTCTCTCCTCATTCACGAGCTCTCGCCGGAGGCTAGGTATTACCTGCTGGCTAGTATGATTAACCAGCTACGGTTCCCCAACGCCCACACGGATTTCTTTAGCCAAGTCCTCCTGTACATCTTTGGCAAGGACCTCAACGACCCGGAGGATTCAGAGATCCGCCAGGAGATTACTCGAATTCTACTTGAGCGCCTCATCGGATTCTGGCCGCAGCCATGGGGCCTGATGTGCACCGTTCTGGAGTTGGTGAAGAACGAGAAGTACATGTTCTTCGATCTACCGTTCATCAAATCAACCCCAGAGGTAAGCTTTACTCGCGCGTACTTGTTGAAACAACGCGAAGACTAACATACCATCAGGCTGCCGAACGATTCGCTCAAGTGCTCCAACGAGCTTAAGTGACATAACGACTGTGACGGATGGAGGCGCAGTGAAATAGGGAGATAAACGGTCATACATGAACCATGCCATGGCGATGATTTCTGGAATCAGTGCAGTACATCGTCGAGAAATCCAGGGGGCGTTGGTAAACGGCTCTCTCGGAAACTATAGATGAAGTGCCACCGGCCACCGGCTGCCTTGTCTGGGGGGACGAGGCACCGGGGCCAGGACACACGGTAATACTGTATTAATGTACGATAAAGTAGTTTACGAGGTGTTGAGAAAATACTAGGCGCATGATTTTTCACGAAAAGGAAGGCATCCAAGATGACAAAATGGCGGTACGGAGCGAGTGAGGTCTAACAGTTGCCTGGAAAGGTTTTTTCTTCACTCCAGATCAAATGGAGACATATCCTCGCATGACTTGCGTGGCAGTCCCTGATAACTTGACTGCGTCAATCTTGGAGTCCCGGAGGGTGACCTCCACTACGATGTTGCTCTCCCTACCCATCTCCACGCCTTGGTCGATCTCGAAGCGGAAGGTTTGGTTCTGGAGGCCGGTTTGCCTGAGGGTGAGGTAGCTGGAGAGGGCACATGCGGCACTGCCCGTGGCGGGATCCTCGAAGCTCTCCATCATACGCGACCGGATAGAGAAGACAGTCTTGCCATTCTCATCTCTCTGTCCCATGTGGACGAAATAATACATTGACAGAAAGCCATGCTGCCAGTCGTCATCAAGGAGTTGATCGGTGCGAAACGGGGTGACGCTCGGAGTCACGGTCGCCAGTTGGTCGAGATCGGAGAGATTGACAAGAGCGAACGTCATGCCTTTAACGATACTGAAGAGTGGAGCATCGAGCTCAAGGCGGCGGATGGCCGGGTCAGGATTCAGCTGGCCCGGAGCGGGGTCGGACAAGTCGGCGATGGATCTACGGTGCTGACGGACATTGTGCGGAATGGCTGCCTGGATATGACCAGGTGCCGTCTCGACAAGGGGGATTGGGCCGGCCTTTGTAATGAGGGTATCAACACCCTGGGGGCGGAGGAAGACGGCGGTGCCGATAGTGGGATGCCCCGCAAACGGGAGCTCGGCGTTGGTTACGAAGATGTTGATAACGCGCTGCTTGTTCGATTCGGGATCGGGGACATCGTGGACAAAGACGGTCTCGGAAAGGTTGAATTCGCGGGCGATGGCCTGTTTCTGGTCTTGGGAGGGCGGGGGAACACCGGCGGGGATTGTCACGACGGCGAGGGGGTTGCCGCGATAGCGGGTGGTGGTGAAGACGTCGAGGGTAACGAAGGGGAGCTCCATATTCGGTTCAGTATCTCTGTCGAGCTTCGGAAAGTCTATGGCGGTCGCGGGGTACGTGCGACACGATGCACAATGGCGTAGGGCGTAACTTAGATAGGTAGGGAGGCGATAGATGGTTGGCGAAAGAGGAAATTTTGGTGATGATGAAATAGTGTGATATGTTTGTGTGTGTGTTTGTGTGCAAGTGAGGGGGACTGAGGGGTGAGTGTGGTGGTGGTGTGGGGTCGTAGTGACGAGGGGAACCTGAGTCAGTGAAAAAGAGTTGAAGCTACCTGAATAGGTAAGTTAGGCAGACAAATGGTGCTGTATAGGGTAAAGGACGGGGATTGGCCAATGGAAAGTGGGAAGCTTTCAGGTGTAGGCCTTAGGCAAGCTCAGGCAAGGCAAGGTAACGAGTCAAGGGGACCTGTTTGGGGGCATGAACCATGAACCACTCAGCAGCCGCTGCAAGGTAAAGGAGCAACGAGGTTGGATGTAAGCTTCCGTTCCTCAGACATTGGGGGGGGGTTGCATTGACCTCGACGGTGGGGCGGCGGCAATGAGGAGAAATGGGCCACAGATGAGTTCTCATGATGACCCAGAACTCAGGTTTGCGCCTGGGGAATGAGCTGAGTCTTGACCCCCCAAAGTCTGGCATCAGGGATGGCCTCAGGAAGTTGTGCATATATACAAGAGTAGGCACCGACGAGGTTGGTTGTTCCTCAGGCACTGGGCGAAATCAAGATGGATGGATGGACATGGTGCGATGTTGGCCCGGTTTTGGGGTGAGGTGTGCCAGTCCGCTCCTGGGTGTGAGTGGAGCAGCACCGGACTGCACGCGAAAGCAAGGGGGAGGGGGAAGCTAGAGCTGCATAGAAGCCACCTCGTGGGCTTCAGCTGGGACAAAACCCAGTTTTCTTGTTGTCGGCGGCGGCATCATCGAAGCGCTGTAGGGTAGGTTCGGTCGTCGAAAGTTAGACGTCCAAGAGGTCGGAGAAAAGGGAGGCCAGGGGATGGTACCCCATGGATGACGACAATGTCACCACTGCCGAATATAGTGTGGTCCTACGGATACCTGGTAAGCAGATGGCGTGGCGGTCGTGCTCAGGAGCCCCAGCTCCGGCAGGGCTTGCACGTACGGCCATGTAAGTGCGTGTAAGAGGAGTGGCTGTCGCGGCCTCAGGGGGAAGAAACAAGGTTGGAGGACCTCGATGTCTCACTTTTTTGTTAGCCGGAAGCGTGATAACGGCCGAGCAAGTGGATGGGAATGAGGGGGCTGTGGAGGCTTCTGCATAATGTGCTACGTAGCACAACAACAATATCCTGTCACCGAGATTGGGAAGTACGGAAGAACAATCACAAGGTCCATCCAAAATAGCGACAATAACAACGGGCTGGAGAGTCGGCGGCGGAGCACAAGGACAAGCAAGCAGCAAGCAAGCGTGCAGAGTGGGAACATGTCCAAAAAGGGAAGCGAGCGTGCTCTGGGCTCTTAGCTGCTCAGTGCTGGCTGGCATCGGACGAGGGGGAGGGGGCAGGACTGGGCCAATGTAAGTGCTATATGTAAGTAAGCACGGCTCGTCAACGCCTAGAGACGCCGCCCATCCATGTCCATGTCGGTCTGTTCTGTTCTGTTCAGTCGGGTTGTGTGTATCGGATGCTGCGGGCTGGATACCGCTCTGAGAAACGGGAGGCATTAAAACAAGACGCCCAAGAAACAAACGCACAGATTAGTACAGTGACGGGGTGTGTTGAGACAACGCCCTTCTCGTCTCACACACTCGCTCACACACTCTTACACGCTCACTTACTCTCACACAGGGACTGTCTCTCTCACACGACCTGAGGCACAGACGCGGCAAGCGACGCCTGTTTGACACACTGACACTGACACACGGACACGCAGGCCCGGCGAGATCGATTGCCATGGGCGACGGGGGTCTGACCTGAAAGGGTCCAACGGGGTCGCCTGCCAGGATCTAACGGGTCTTGATGGAGAAAATGATGGGGATGAAGAGATGATCCGGTCCACTCGTCATCTACTGGCATACGAAATGGGGCTGCGTTCCGCTTACCGCACCGCTGGTGTGCCGTGGGAGTTTGCCCGTTCTGGCATGCCAGCCAAATCGTACGTCGGCATACTCTGATATTCTGCCTTCTTAGTCGCAAGTCTAACCATTAAGCGGCTTATGTTGCACTCTTGACGTACTGCCCCCATTGCTCAACGCTATCAGATGCAGATCGGCAGCGCCTTCTCCATGTGTACGTACTACGTATGTGTAGCCCGTATCTTCCCACCGGTGACGGCACTCCGACCGGCCATGCATACCTGTCGGTGTTAGTGCCGACTCAAAGATTTCAGGGTCCCCGACGGACGAAGCACTAACTGACAAGACCCGGAGTGGCCCGGCCGGAGGGGCCAGAGGGCGGGTGAGGCGGCAGGGCGGTCGACCAAGGGTGACCCACGGGTGGCCATGAAGGCGTTCGAGCGCTGAGGCGAATGAGGCGGCGACTACGAGAAAAAAGTACGTACTCGGCTTGCGTACCACATACTACCGGCGAGGCTTGACATGACATGAGAGAAACCCCATCGCAGAGGGAAGGCCGGAGGAACAGAAAAAGGCCGCGGCCAAACCTCGTTCTGCAACAAAGGGACCAATCGGCGGACGGATGATTGTATTGATGCCCCTGCTGAGTCGCTCGGGAGGACGAAATTCACGCGCCCAGCACGCCTCGAGCCCAGCACGCCCAGCACAGCGCCCTCCGTAAGAAAGACGGTAAGTTATGCGATGCAGAGCAGACCGCATCGAGCACCTACATTGAGTCCCGGGTACGACGTGTTGCAGCCATTGTCCGCCCACCGCCACTCTCGGTGCCATCCATGCTGCCTGCATCCCATCCCATCCCATCCCATCCCATCCCATCCCCCTCCCCTCGCTCGGCGCCTCTCCTCCTTGTTGCTGCGGGTGCTGGTGTAGGTGGTGTTGGGTTTGGTGTTGGCGCCCAGCGTTCCCTAACCGCTACAGCCTCCCTCGTTCTCACCTCGTTGCGCCGCATGCACTGCAGCAGCGTCCGTCTGAGCTCCGAGCGGCTGCACGATGGGAGCGATTCAAGCTCCCATGGGCCTCTCGCACGGCATTGGGCTGCGCAGGAGGCCGTTAGGGGTGCGTGCTCTTTACGCGCATCTGCGTGTGATAGGGTCCTCTTTTTTATTTTTATTATTCCCTCTCTGTCTCGTAACTCGCGCGCCCATCACTTCTTTGCCTCTGTGACGGACGGCGTTGCCTCGTTCTTTTTTTTTTTTTTCCTGCTCCAACGCCCTCGCGGCTGGGTCCTCTTTTTTTTCTGGACCCAGGATCCATGGGTTTTCTTAGATGCTCTGGCGCGCCCCACTGACGTTTAGCGCACCCCACCCCGGCAGCCATGCACGCCAGTCCCAGCCAATGGCGGCGAGGGGAAACGAAAAAAAAAAGTTCGAGCTCTCGTGCTCCTCCTGCCTGGGGCTGTTTGGGTTGCCGGGGTGTGTGGGCTTGGATGGTCGTCGCTCCTGCCTCTCCTCCAGCGCCAGCCTGCGAGGTGCTGCGAGGCAAGAGCCCCGAACCGACAACCCCCCCAAATCCGCCAACCAGCCCGCCAGAAATCCATACATTCGTCCATTGCCTGAGCTTTCCCTCGTGCCTTCGGCCTTCCCCAGTGCCCACTTCCCACGCTCCCACCGTCATCCCCGTTGTGTCGTCCTTGTCCTCGCCGCCTTCCCTCCCTTTGCATTGCCGTGCTCCTGCCGTTGCCAACTTGTAGACCGCCCTCTCCCTGCCTCCTCCTACCCCCCCGACTGCGCCCGATCAACAACAACAAGCCTCCCCATCACCTTCCTTCAACAACATCACCGAAAGAGACTCAACTCTCTCACCGTCTCTCCCCTCTTACACACATTCACGACACTTCCTCGACCTCTCCATCTCTCTCCATCCCCTGCAGATAGACCATCCCGCCTTCTATCCTTCGACTGCGTCCCGGCGACCGATCCATGGAAATCGACCTCGCCGCCACTTCCCGCCCATAGATCTCTCTCCAGTCTCGCCGACAACTCTCGCTCCCTCTGGTCCTCGTCTTCGTCTTCGTCTTCATCATGCCTTACAATACACGCCGCAAATCTCTCTCTCTGCCCAGTTTGGGTATTCATGTTCCCATGACACACGCCGCCCGCGCTGCTGCTGCCGCCGCGGCTGCTGCCTCCAAGGGAGCATCACGCACATCACCCTCCGCCTCGGCCGCATTGTCGCCACCGAGGTCTGGCTCCGAGTCCGCCGATGCGCACCCCAGTAAACGACAAAAACGATCGCATAGCGACGACTCCCGGATCGAGCAAACACCGCCTCCGTCGCCCCCGGCGGACTCGTCCATGACCGATGTCGACCACCCCTCCAAGATTGACATTGAGGGCATCAACGACGACATTGTTGAGGCTGTTATTGTTCAGCTGCAATCCACCGCCAACCGTCCTCACCTCGTCAAGGAACTAGCCACCGTCCTTGCTCAGCGCCTCACCTCCGTTCAACAGTATGTTTGCGCCGTCCCCCTCCCCCTCTCCTTCTCCCCTCTCTCTTCTCGTTATTTTCCCCTCTCTCCCAACCCCTTGGCCTCGCTTGCGCTGACATCACCGCTTCTAGTTCGGCAAACCCCTGTGCCATCATCTCCTCTCGCCTCGCCTCATATCTGAAGCGTGTTTGTTGGAGTGCTTTGGCCCCCTGCCCCCTCGCTAAGGAGCTTGAGGCTATCCACCCTCGGCGAACCTACTACTTCCTTACCACCTGCCCTCGCCAACCTCTCCCCGATTCTAGCTCTCTCCTACCCAGTCGTCAGTCAGTTGTTACTCCCTCAGTATCGCTTACAGACGACTCTGGTTCCGATGATGCCGATGCTCGCCGTCGCGAGCTCAGCCCATCACCAGAGGTCGACCTCTCGCCTCATCAATTTGAGGATGTGGATGATGACTTCTCCATGCCTGCTACCCCCATTGGCTCTTTCCACTCTCACCAACGTCACATGCCTCCCCGACGGGTCAGCCGGCATAATTCGCCTCCTCTAGAAAAGGATGAGCGTGAATTCACACAGACAGCCGACGTCTTACAAAAACGCAAGCTCAACGAGGAGGCCCCGATCTCCGAGTCTATCGAGCGCGGTTCCAGCTTCGAGTATGGTCACCGCGACGACATTTGGTTCGGCGATCACCGCATGTTTGGCCCCACGGCTTTCATCACCAGTCCCTCCATCAAACCTAGTGGCTTCTCCACTGGCATCTCCAGCGTCATGTCAAGTGCTCGCAAAGAAGACGAAGCTGAGAGCTGGCTGAAGCTGAGCAAACTCCTGGAGTGGGATAAGGGTGCTGAGAGCATCGAGATCGATGAACTCGACGGCCTGCTAGATGCATGCTAAGCGAGTTTTTTGAGCCGGCGCAATGAGTTGACGAAAGGGGATGAAGATGACGATTTGCCATGTCTGAGACGGCGAACACATGATACGTATTAATTTGCAACATATGCATGGCGTGGTTTTGTAGAATTACTTGTACACTTAGACACTACTGGTTTTGGCTTTGGGTCGGTTCCGCGGTTGGATCGGGGTGTACGAGGCAAAAACGGGACAGAGGAGTTGCCGGTGTTTCTTGGTTTACTTGGCGCAAAAAAGACGCGCACTGAGATTTCAAAATGGACATACCACCACTCAGATTGAGACACTCTATCATGCTTGCTTTCTAATTTCGTACATAGTTTGTTATACACGCCTTTCTTCTAATTTGGTCCTGTTGATTCATTGCATCGTACATGTTGTCTTGTCGTTACGAGTCGGTCTTGGATGGCGACGTGTCGGCGACTCGGAGTTCAACCCAGATAAGGGTTCCCATCTGGAGGACGTTGGGGCGTTCCACCTTGACGACCTCCAGCCCTGGTGTCTTGCGAGCCGCTTCCTCGACCAGCTCCTGGATATCCCGGTTCCACCAGCATCCGTATTTCTCAAAGTGCTTGTCGGCGTTCTTGTCGAGGAGACCGTTAACAATGCCGTACCAACCCTTGCCGTGTTCAAGAAGGATAATGCGACCAGAGCCGGGCTTAACAGTGGAGGCAAGGTTTCTGAGGACAGCAACCGGGTCGGAAACTGAGCAAAGCCCAAACGTTTGGATGATGGTATCGTACTTGGCGGGGGAAGAAAGGTTCGGGGCGGCGGATGGAGGAGGGAGCGGGCGGTGGGCGTCGGAGTGGATGAGGCGAAGCTGGTCGTCGAGAAAGGAGAGCTGGCCACCGGTGTGGTCGGTCATGTTGGATGCTCGAACGATGGGCGCCGAGGAGGCCATGGGAGGTACTGTCTTGACGAGGCGCTTGCGCGCAACGTCGAGCATGTCGACCGAGATGTCCAAGCCAGTGAACGACGTGATGCCCTTTGCCGCCGTTACCGTCTGGCTGTCTCCCACGCGCTGGTTCAAAGGCTCCCAATCGTAGTACTCGAGATTCCGCCCGGTTCCCATAGCCAGCTCAAGCACATGGCCATTTGCCCGCTCTGCAAGTCGCTTTCGTAGCTTCGTAATTCCCATCCACCACTCAGGCATATTCAGCTCCTTGTCGAATTGTTCTGCGTTATCTCCAGTCAACGCTGGGGGTCGACCGGTCGGAGTGGTGTGTTCACAAGGCCCGCTACAAGGGCAAGCCTTGAAGGAGGCGGCGAGGGTGCCAACTATATAGAAACCCAGGGCGCCGGCCAAGAGAGCTGCGCCGGAGAGTGGGAGCCATGTTGCGCGCCATAAATCGAGGAGGGTTTCGGCCTGCGGAGGTGGGGGAGGTGGGGAGGAGGGAGGTGGTTTCCTGCAAGTCATAGAAGTCAGTAGGTGTAGAATAAGGAATATTGACTCATATGAGCATACGGCTTGTAGGGTCTGGTGATCTTGGACATCACCTTGGTCGGCGGTGCCTTGACGGCGGCACGAGGGGCTCGCGAGATAGTGCTTGCGAGACGCCATTGGGAGCGGGCGGCCCTTGCAACGGGGCCACGAGACGGTGCGATCATCGAAGCAACCAGCTCATGAGCTTCTTGAGCGTCCTCGAGAAGAATTGGCTATGCGCGCGCACGCGGCCGGCTGTCGTGGTGCTTGCGGCACTTGAGGCTTGCGGTTACGATTTGTATCTTGACTGCCGCATGGAAAATGGCGATTAGCTTCTCCGATAGCGGGTCGGCTCCATCCGAGGCCGCCAGGCGCCGGTGCGGAAAAGTGGGTCGCCCCATGGGAAGCTCAAGCGTGTCTTGGGGCGCATCTCGAACCGCGGCTGAGACGGCCAAAACTTGTGACTTACAACATCGGAACCTGCGCGCCGTTGGGCATATTTCAGCCACCACCACCCAATACGCCTCTGGTTCACCGATAACGCATTCTGCCTGACACAGCCCCGCAGTTGTGACGACGCGGCAGCCATGGCAACACAGAATGATCTGCAAGAGTTGCTGCGGCTGCTCACGGGTCGCAAGATGTCCATGATGGTGGCCATGGCGCAAGTCAAGGCCCTGCAGGTCAAGAATCTTCGCAGGTCTGCTCTTACTCATATTGTGTCTGTCACCCCACGCTGACACGCGTCTGAGCCCTGTAGCATCGCGCAAATTGCCGAAGCACCGCTGGCCTCGGTCGAGGAAGCCCTTGGCGGCGATGCCAAAGCGGCAAAGAGCTTGCAAACGGCTTGTAAGAGCCACGGAAAGAAATCTAGCAAGCGGGCTGCTGAAGATGGCAGCTCTCCCGGCGAGGGTGCCAAGAAACCGCGATTGGAAGCGACCCGGCGCGAACTTGATTACAGCGCCATGTCCGGGGACGACCTTGAGGCAACACTCGAGCTGCCATTGACGGAGGACGAGGAGTTAATTCGTAAGACTGCGGTGGAGACGAACCGAGCGCCACTGGTACTGGCGTTTGCCGTGGAGTTGTTGCGCTTCACGATGCCTGAGCAACCGCCAAGTAGTCGTCTAAGTCTCGCGCAGGCGGTAGTGAGTGCGAACTCACGATCCAAGGCTATAAGCATTGGTATCGAGAAGCCGGGGAAAGAGGAGCCGATCTCTGAAGGCCAGCCGAGAGTCAAGGTTCTGAGTCGCCAGGTTCCGGTTCTGAAGCGTGGTGGTTACTCTTGGTCAGGCTCTTCACAACCCACTTCGTCTACCTCGTCAGCTTCCTCGGCCACTATCAAGGCCAATCAACCAGCGCCTCACAAGTGGTCGGCAAGTCAGAAGCTGTCCTCGAGGGAATCTGTTTTCGTCGCTCATGCCATCTCCATATCCTCTCCTTCGGCTCGCGCGAATCTCGTCAAGTCATTGATGGCTGAGAAGCCGGAGCTCGAGACGGCATCACACAATGCCTGGGCCGTCCGGACCACGTTCGGCAACTCGCCTCTGAAACAAGAGGCATCATTCGATGACGGGGAATCAGGCTGCGGCAACTTTATGCTTCAGCTATTGCGTGAACTCGACATAAGCAACACACTCGTCGTCCTGACGCGGTGGTACGGCGGCGTGATGCTGGGACCAGACCGTTGGCGGCTAATGCGCGAATGCATCAACGACGCGCTGTCAGCCCAGCGGCGTACATGGAGTCTTTCTGGAGAGGCTGTCTGGGCACTCGATACTCAGGACACGCGCCCCTCAACTTCGACGGTCGGGATGCCGATCCACAGACCTGAGGCAGCACGAAACTACCTCTTGCGGTCGTTTGGACCAGCGCCAGGGGCGGAAGGAGGCAAGAAGACGGTAGCAGCGGCGAACGAGGAACGACTGGAGAACTTGGGCCGGTTGCTGGGCGCTCTGCGGCTGCTGTTTGCGAGTTGGGCAGGAGTCCTCACCCGCGAGGAACTGGACCGGAGGGCGTGGAACTGGTACATTACCGTCCGGCCAGACGTGCAAGCCGGAGCCGCAGGATGGGGTGCCAAAGGGACGCTCAAGCTGGAGAGAATACTGGAACTGCGGCGTAAGGACTCTGCAAGAGAGACGTGACGGGTGAACTCTGGCTTCCGAACAAGAACCGTGTGGTGCTGAATACTTCCCGCTGTGTCTATAATACCAGTCGTATGATATCGGGCTCTGCCGCCGTGTGGTACAGGGGGGGTGGTGGCATACAGGGATTGTATGTGGCCGGGAAGTGGTGGTTGCAACGACAAGAAATGATACTCTGTGGATTGGAAATCAGTTTCAATTCCCATCGGGGGTAAATATGACATGTACGATGTTGGGTAACTGAGTGTTGTGTGGATTTGTGCATCGCAGGGCGAGAGGTTAACAATGTTAGTCTAGGGTAAGCCGTGATGTACCAGAGCAAGGAACCTGTTGTTGACGATTTAACTACCTCACGGGGTATTTCTAAGCTTCAATTGATTCAATTCGCACCGTTCGTACTCGATTAGAGTATTGGACATTTCCCTGTAATTAGATGAACAATTGTCGCTTGGGGCTGTAATATTAGATGTTGATTTACAATCCAGAGGTACCTGACATAACTTCCATTGCATCCACGAATATTTTATACAAAACCAAAACAAATGGGACGGAAGACCTATACTTGCTTTAATTCAACTGTTTACAAGACTTGAAATGCGTTTACCTTGCTGTAGGCCGTACAAGACCCTTCGAAAACCTTTCACCACGAACTTAGTGTCTAATTCGAGACGGACCCATCATATCAAGCCAATAAGGCACAGTGGCAGAGTGGTCTAATGCGTATGACTAGAAATCATATCTCCTCGGAGGCGTCTGTTCGAATCAGGCCTGTGTCGGCACTCATTTTTTTGCCATCCAATTTAGATTGGGCGAGTTGTATGCTGGACCAATTTTATTTTTTTGCTGTTCCCCGGGGCAGATAGCCATTGGACAGTCACCGAGAGACATATTGAGTTGGCAGATTTTAGGCTTGTGCTATGCTGTTGCCATGAGGAAAGTGAGGGGAAGTGGAATGTTTACATTGCATGCACATGGCAACGAGAGAGGTGAGAAATGCTCTGCAGCTGCAGCTGCGTCTAATGTGAACGACAGTAAGGTGGTGGATACATAGCTTGGGAGATGTCATCATTTTGCATATTTTCCTTTTTTTCCTTTGTCTCTTATCAAGACAGCACAAAGAGAGACAGGAGAGAGAGGATAGAGAGGAGAGGCACAAAGACATGTTGCCCGTCAGTGCTTTATCGATAAGCCCGGACTCAGCTGGCGCGTCTGGTCGTGGGCGAACGCGTTAGCTGTATGGTTCAGCGCCAGCAGCCTCATTAGCGGACTCATTAGCGGGCTCGCCAGTGCCGTGCTGGTGCTTACAGCTGGTTGTTTTCAATGCGGAGCAGCCAACCAGGCCACGCCGTCCCAAAAAGCACCAAAATCACCCAAGTAAACACAACAACATAATTTGCACAAGTCACCATCATCACAACCACCGCTTCCACCTCCACGTCGGCCAAACCTTGCGACCGCACCCACACTCCCTCTCTTGCATCTGTCGTCCCATGGCCAGCTTCCTCTGACCAGCCTCTCTCTGCCGGCTGCCCCCCAGTCCCGATTCCCTCCCTCACTTAGCCTTTAGGCTTCTCCCGCCCGCCGCGCTTCCAAACCTCGAATTTCAGCAACCCCGCCCTCGTCTTCGAGGTCCCCTTGCTGACCGATCCCACATCACCCCCACCTTCATCGACGGCGATAAAGGCAGCGGCGACGACGACGACTGACGGCCAAGATACGTTGGCAATCGTGACATCTTGACGACGGAGACTCCGGCGGTACGACGCCGTGTTCAACCCATCTCGCGTATCATTGAAGTCGCCCTTTTCGTCCTCCATCCCGCTTTGATCCCCCCACACACATCCAGCCATGGAGAACTATCAGAAGTTGGAAAAGATTGGTGAAGGTGCGTTGTGTCTGCGTGCTGTTTGCTGCACATTGCCCTGCCCTGGTTTATTACTCGCTGTTGATGTAGCCCTTCGTGTCCCCCGGGAAACCTCACCGCTGCGTGACCAATGCTGATCCTCTCGTTGCTCTATAGGCACCTACGGTGTCGTTTACAAGGCCCGAGATCTCGCCAACAGCGGCCGCATTGTTGCCTTGAAGAAGATTCGTCTCGAGGCCGAGGACGAGGGTGTTCCCAGTACCGCCATTCGCGAAATCTCCCTCCTCAAGGAGATGCGAGATCCCAACATCGTCACCCTGTTCAACATTGTCCACGCCGACGGCCACAAGCTGTACCTTGTCTTCGAGTTCCTCGACCTCGATCTCAAGAAGTACATGGAGGCGCTTCCCGTCAGCGATGGTGGTCGTGGCAAGGCTTTGCCCGAGGGCTCGTCTCCCCACCTGCAGCACCTTGGTCTCGGAGATATGGTCGTTCGAAAGTTCATGATGCAGCTCTGCGATGGAGTCAAGTACTGCCACTCCCACCGCATTCTCCACCGCGATCTGAAGCCCCAGAACCTGCTCATCGACAAGGAGGGCAACCTCAAGTTGGCCGATTTCGGACTTGCTCGCGCCTTTGGTGTGCCGCTGCGCACCTACACCCACGAGGTCGTCACGCTGTGGTACCGAGCCCCCGAGATTCTGCTCGGTGGAAGACAGTACTCAACTGGTGTTGATATGTGGTCGGTGGGCTGCATCTTCGCCGAGATGTGCACTCGCAAGCCGCTCTTCCCCGGTGACTCGGAGATTGACGAGATCTTCAAGATTTTCCGGTGAGTAAACATGTCCCAAAAATACACCCTCAAACAGTGGCTAACAGAAGCACCTAGCATTCTGGGAACACCTTCAGAAGAGCTGTGGCCTGGTGTCACGTCGTACCCCGACTTCAAGTCATCTTTCCCCAAGTGGCTGCGTGACATGAACGCTGTGCTTTGCCACAGCCTTGACGACCAAGGCCTTGATCTCCTGGAGATGATGCTTGTCTACGACCCGGCCGGACGTATATCGGCGAAACAAGCGTGCAATCACCCTTACTTCGAGGACTACCTGGCTGAGCAACAGGCGGCAACTGGCCGTGCAAATGGATACTACCACTAGAAGGGGTACCCTGGTCCATTCCCGGCTGTGCAATGAATATCTCTCCATCAGCAGGTGAATTGGTGGCAGAAAGTACCCTTGCATCCCCTTTCTAGGATACAAGGGAATCTCCGGATCTTAGCCAGGAGAAGGAGATTCTGTGATTGATATCGACATAGCAACGAAAATACTAAGACAGACAAACAGACATGCGCGGCAGCATTACAGTACAGGGCCTACCCGGGAGCTCGCTCTGCCACTTTTGCTTTACTCATTTTTGTACGCCTTTTACACACCCTCTTCCATCCACACCGCTTGCGCTACTCGTCAAATTTGGCCAGAGAAGCCGAGGCTGGTCCGTGGATTGACGACCCATCCTCAGGATTGGGATTGCGTCGTTGAGGTGCAGGGAAGAAAAACAACGCCAACGAGGCAGACTGGACAGAGGCTTAGGCAGATGAGGGGGAGGAGGATGGGGCAAAGCTAGCATGGCTTTTTTGGGATGATGGCATTTTCTTTTCTTTGGTTGAGTGTACAGAGTAGACGGGGCACAGAATGGTCTGGTTCCCAATAAGGCAGGGTAGGCTAATCAATGACTCGAAACCAACCGCGATGATGATGAAGCGAACCAACAAGCCAATGAATTTGTTGGTTAGATCGCCTAAGACTTGTCCTGGTCGAGATGAGTGATGACCAACAGTGCACAACTAAGAGCATCTTGGATGGGCTAACAACGGCCGCATATGACAGGCTGCGGACTGCACTGCCTGTCTACCACACTGCTGGGACATGAGGCTGAGGGACTGGAGCCAAAGAGTCGGGTCCTTTTGCATAGCCACGGCCGCGTTGAACGGCCATGATCCTTCGTTGATTTGTCGCAGCCAGTTAGAATCGCCCACGCCGGTTTGGGCAACCCTCATCTCGGAACGACTTTTGCGTTAGGCTCAACCCCAAGCGAATTTACTGGTAAGCAAGATTAAGGCCGCTTGTACAGGTGCCTGGAGAACACGTCTACCTATACTTAGACCGTTACCGCCAGGATGCGAAGCGCCCAACGACCGATGCGGCGGGCCCTGGGAGCGGTAGTGGTAAGCGCCCGTAGTACGGTTCCCGCGGGTTTCGTGCCCTTAATTACTTCGTATTGCTTCATTGTAATTACATGTAACGAGTGTTCTATTCTAGTTCTACGGGGCAGGCAGGCGCCTGCGTCGGAGATTGGATGCTGAAACGCGGGCGCTTGGGGTGGGTGTTTGTTGACTTAAGCGCTGGGATGGGGGATGGTAGTAAGCAGTCCGGGCTGTGGGTGTTTCAGCTTTGTCGGAGAGAAACCATACCGAACCTGTGGGATTCAGATGCAGGTGTCAGTCGGGCGGAGGCGTTGGATGCGTTTGAGAGTTGACGGTGGATTGAAGGATTGAAGCATGGTTGATTTGGTTTGGCATGGAAGACCTGGGAGGCAGCCCAGCAATGAAGCCTAAGCGCCCATCGCCAAAAATACACACAGGCGGATTTCGACGGTTCTCAATTACGAAAAGTTGCCCGTCGTCCGTGAGGTTCTCCGAAGAGACGAACCCCAACACTGCTGAAATGCACGCTTGAAGCACCGGAGCTACTGCAAGTTTCCCAAGCTTCAAGGTACGCTCCGTCGGGGCGGCGGTGCAGTATCGTTAGCAGGTCGCCAGACCATCGTTCTCGGCGTGTCCCGGGAGCCGCGGCCGTCGGGTGGGGCCTGGTATCCGGTGGAGAAGGTGGCCGGAGGCAGCCGGCGAGCGGACGGGCCGACCGAGAGCGAGAAGAGGATCGATTTCCGACGCGCAGGTGCAGCTTGCAACCGAAAGATTGTAATAAACTGACGATGCATGATGAATAATGGGTAATGGACAATGGAGCTTTCCATTGGGGGTATTTTCGGGCGGCTGGGATTAGAACGTCAGTCAGCACTCAATCCAGTGCGTTGTTCAGTAGCGATACGAGGTAATGGTTCATATCGTAACGATACGGCGTACTATCGAGTCACACAAGATCTAGCGGCACCGGTATCGCAAGGAACAATCGAGCAACAAGACTCATCTCAACAACCCGTCCGTGAATTCAACACGTGTGGAGTCGTTGCTTCAATTTCCCCGCACGAGCTCAAGCACGAGCTCAAGCACCATCCACCATCGTGACCGAGAGGGTCATGAGGGCCATTCGCGATAATGGATCCCACGATGGATCCCACGATGGGTCCCCTCCAGCGCTACCCCTCAATCCCAAACCCCCTCCCACTAAATGATGGTTACAGAGCCAACAAGGGCATCATCCCCGCAGTCGCTTGCCCACTGACTGGGGCATTCTGGACGCTGCGACGGTGTGGCTGGTGATGTTGGTCATGATGGCCGCCACGGAGGACACGCATACAGACGGTAGTCACAACACACTGACAGGCAGCCGAGAGGTTGGTCACTTGACCTAGTCCTCCCATGTCGGGTCCGCTGCAGCTGGTGGAGATCTGCACTAGGGACGAGATAGGGGCCCTCGGGAGGGAGCTGGCCCGCAGCATTAGAGTAACTGGCCGGCAGCTCTACCGACCGTATTCACAGCCTTATCGACTAATTCTTATTCGATTAGCTCCATCGCCCAGGGGTCCTGGACAAGCTGGCCACGTCTGGTCTTTGGCGAATAACAAGGTCGCAGGGCTGGTAACTTACGGCCCATGAAACACGACAAACTGGCATTGACGACGGGAGGACAGATGGCACTGGAGAGTAGCAGTGCATTGCAGCATACGCATGCCGGCGCAGTGTCGTGTAGATTTTGCAGTGGCGGTGACTCTTCGACATCCTCGTCAACTAACTCAAAACTCAGTTGCAGCTGCGCCGTCGCGGCGGTGCTGCCCCGGACCGAGGATGCGTAATTCGTCTTCGAGCGCCGTTATGGCATGACGATGTTGGTGGTATTTCCGTACTGCACGGAGCATCGGCCACTTTTCCTGCGACCTGAACTCGTCCTCATGTCGTCATAGTCCGCGTGGCTGCCTCGCCACTAGCCACAGATCGGTGGCGCGCGCGCATGAGCCACAGCCTGTCTGCGTAACAGCGACCGAGGCACGGAGCCTGAGCGCCGCCGACACCGACTCTTGCCTGGATCCCATGTCGGCTCCATCGGGTAGTGGGCGTGCGGGTGTCCTTACGGTGCGCTTTGCGGCCTTTGCCTCTGCCTTGATTTGCGTCCCTGTGATTTTTTGACTTTTTCCGAGTGACAGATCCAGCCAAAACAAGCCGCGGCTGTCAAGGATAGGCTGCCCCTGGTATGTGCCCCTGCCCACCTGCCGCGTGGTCGTGCCGGGCTGAGCGACACTCGCCAATCACGGCGCGTTGATGGCCGTATTGATGGAGGGCCGGGAGGTGGGAGGACGAATCTGGGGTGGAAGGCGACCTACGACGCACTTGGGATGGGCGGGAATACGAAGGCTGCAAGGTTTTCTTTGCGTTGGTTTGCTTGTTTGCCTCGACAGGCCTCAGGGGTTAGGGGCTGGCAGGCGGAGAACCACGGTGGGTTTTGCGCCTTGAATTGGTGGTTATGTGGAGGGTGGATGGATACCTATTGGAGATGGCATCGGTCGTTGATCGTCGACAAGCCTAGTTTGGGGCATGAAATGCGAGGTCTGGGCTGGGGGCGGTGAAGCGAGCGAAGTGGGATGCACCAAGGCGAAAGTCCCAAGCGATGAGAGCCAGTCAGATAGAGGCCTTCTTGGTTTTCACGAGGGACCGGGACAAGGCGTGCATCAAGGCAATAAACTACGCTTTCGGCCGATTCCAAAAGACGGAATCAGCCAGTCGCATTCAGATCTAACATGATGGTCGACACAGAAGATGAAGCTATTAGGTATTGTGGCTGCGACGGACACGGCGACACCCTGCACGGGGCACCGAGGTTTCAAGGCGTCTGGACTGTCTTTGGGGAGACCAAAGCGGGCCGGGTTGATGGATGTGTGGATGATGGGTGGATGATGGGTGGAGGAGGATGGACGGATATCAACGCTACTGGAAAGGCACCCAATGCCAAATGCTAAAGCCTTCTTGACAAGTCCCGCTATTGGATGAGGGGATGGACACTGGGGACTGACCGACAAACCAGCCTCGTTGGGTTGGTATGCTGTAGCCAGCCCTTTTGTTAGCTATTGGCGAAATCGCAGTGTTCGATGACCCTAGGATTCGAGGCCCAAGGACTTCAAGGTTTGTTTCCCTGGATGAGACCCTTTGCCAAGCAGGAGAATGTCCCTTCCCCTTCCCCTCCATCAGCTAGGTAGCATTCCATTGTCAATCCACAGCTAAAGTGCCCCAACACACCCCCTTGACACCCCCCCGTCTCTAGCCAGCCTGCCCTCCCACCCAATGCTGACCCTCCCTCATTCCTCAAACGGGCTGCTCCCGACGGGCTGGACACGGAGTCTTGGTGCGGGCGGTGGGTGTTGTGCAGGGGAAGGGGGTGGAAGGCCCTGCTTGCTTCTTCCCCGGGAGAGGGTGGGGAGGGTACGTACATGTTCTGAAGCAATGCGTTTGAAAGGGGGTGAGCGAGACGATTGGGGTTGTGTTTGATCGTCGTGTTCGGATGGTGGTCAGGGAAAAAACCTGATATTGAATCAACGTGGGTGTGTCGGACGGGAGGGGAACGGTGAGAAGGGCGTTGCCGACGGTGGGCTAGACGTGGTCACGATGCAAATTATTGATTGTTGAATTCCGTTGACTGGCGAGGGATGCTACGATGTTACGATACCGTGAATGCTGAGGCTAGGCTGGGTGGTCACCACTCGCCCTGCGACGAAGTAACAATCAATCACTCAACAAACACAATGCAGAGCACCCGATCGCCGTACCCCAGTCCTCAAAAGACTAGACGAGACCAGATGAGACGAGGCGAGTCCAGGCCAGAGCAACATCAAACACCAGACATCCGGATACGTGAAAGCTCGCTGCATCTCGCTGACGGGCTTGGCTCTACTGGCTGGGGGGCCACTGATTTCGGATGAATGACCTGCAGCATCGCCGGGGGGTCAGGGATCGCGATTGATAGATCACCAATCGACACCTCGCGACAGGGCCGTCGCTCGTTAGCGGCCACCCTCTCGCACCTTGACCCCGGCCGTGGACCCTGGCCCATCAAGCCCCCTCGTCCCGGACGAGTCCCAGCCCAATCCCAATCCATCCGAGGCGATCGATAGTCAACTGTGTCACCAGCTCGGCAAGGTAAACTCCATCTAAGTACGGGGTAGCGTAGGGTTTGATCTCGCCCAAGCATTTGGGTTTCTCCCAACGCCGTGGGACTCGCTCTCGACGGACCGCCCGGCAGCCAACGACTCCGAGTTGGGCCGCTGGAATGTGACCGGGAGACTCGTCGCGTCAGTTTCGTCCCGGTGCTTTCCAGCAGCCTGATACAGTTTCGGATAGTCGTTCGGTCCCGCGCAAAGCTCGAGGGTTGTCGCCACAAAGGACTCGAGCTTCGGAAGTTGGTGCGGGCCGGTGGCTGCGATGTCGCTGGTCGCCGGCCCGGCGTTGAAATGGATCCTGGACGCGGCGGGTTTTTCGGGCTTGGGCAGCTGGCGACGGGCTGGCTGAGATCCGGGGATCGAGATGAATGCAATTAATTGGGAGCCGCGGAACCTACGAATCGGGAGGCGTCAGCTAGCTGTTTGCCTGAACCTGTGGATGGGACCTGAATCATCATGGCTGATGATAGTGTCATTTGATGACAGCGCAGTGGATGTGTGTAGATTGGCAATGGATAGCAGAGTGGGAATCACAATTTGATGGCGTCGTGTTGTCTTTGCTGGTGCTCGCTTTACGACGATGCAATGTAACCAAAAAGCAATATCTTCTAGACTTGATGGGTCTGGGCAGTCGGATACAATCAGCGGGCCATTTAGTCTAAGACACAACAGAGACGGCTAACCCAACGTGCGTCACATCGTCGCCAAGGTTCCGGTGAACGATTGTATCTCGTATATTTCTTTTCCCGTATTGACTCAGTCATTTTGCTTGCATGCAGGTTTCTCCTGGCCTAGTGTTGTTGCTGTTGCTGCCACAGCGCTGTTATCATGTCACCCCTGCCTAACGCCCGCATGCGAGATTGTGTGGCCTGTAGACGCGACGTGTCGTGGACGAAGCACAACGACAACCCGTCAGGCCACTAGCCCCTCCCAGGCCCGCGGGTTGCATTCACGCTATGTTGCAGCTGCAAAGGCAGTAATTAGTCCGTGATGAAACGGGGCGACGTTGTACGAAAACAAGGGCCCTGATAGCGAGAATGGTGATCATGGTGGACGACGGCACAAAGAGAAAACGGTACCCGCGCGGATATAGGTGGCTAATTACGGGATGAGAGCAGTGACCAGGTCTGGCCGTCCGCCGTCGTTAAACAAGTGGAAACAAATCCTCTTTCATGCTGGGAATGCTGGTAATGCCTATTGCTCCATGCTTTTTCCTATGCCGTGCCTCGCGCGTGGAGAGTAAAAAAAGACGAAACGACCTGCCCTTGTGCAGCAGCCGAGCGCACCGTGCTGTATCCTGACGGAGTATACCCCGGGCCAGTCCCTGGTCTATCTGGGGAGTGGAGCGTGTGAGAGATTGTTGTTTCTTGTTTCCTTCCTTTTGGGCTCTCGTCCGATGCTGGACAGAAGGCGAGTCTGGATGCTACACGTTGTGGTTCGTCGTTCGGCGCATTTCCGACACGGCCTGACGGGGCCCGTATGAACCGCCACGGCAGCACGGCAGCACAGCCTCCCGCGGCCAGCGTCAACGGACTGCTGCAGTCTAATCCAGACAAGGAAGCCTGTGAGAACTCGACAAGCTGAGCCCAAGAACCGGCCGCGAAGAGGCCTGTCGAGCATTGGATGCCGCCCGGAGCGAGGCGGCTGATTGGCCAGACGGCGCATTTGAGGCATCAAAAGGCGGTTTCAAGTATCGAGGCGCCAGGGCCAATCAAGGCCGCCCAGCCGCCCAAGAGCTGTAACCGCAAGCGTCCGTGTTTGAGGTTTGCGCAAGCGGCCAGTCAGCAGCGCGCCGTAGGGCTTGGTGTGGGACCCCGTCCAGCGAACCGCCAGCACCTATTATAACTCTCCTGGGCGAAAGGGTCCTGCGCTGCGAGTGGCATCCGCGGGCGGCTGGGCGGGTTTGGTTGGCGACGGGAGGACATTTGCCATTTTGCCATCCGTCTGCCCCTGCTTAGCAGCCTCTTGGGCCAGTTTCGACGCGGCAACGACTGGCGGGCGATCGACCAGCCAGTCGCTGGGGAAATGGAAACCGGATCAGTCCCCCCCTGCGTTGCGCCTGTCCTGCGCTGGCGGTGCGTTGCGTTGCGTTGCGGCAGCAGATGAAAGGCGAGCGAAAAGGGCGCGAAGGGGTTCACCAAAGCAGGATTCGCATACGTATACAAAGTCGGCCCCCCGTTCGCTGCCATTCTCGCCCTTCCATCTCGACAAACCCATCCATTGCATCGCATCCTCGTTTTTTCCTTTTGCCCTTGATTTCCTTGTTCGACTCTCTGGAATTCCTCCCGGCCGACGTTATTGACTCCAAGGGCGCCCACCCCCTCGTTTCTCGTTTCGCTACACCACACACACTACCCGCACTACCATCCCCACATACCTCTGGCAGGTCAAACTCATCCGCCGCGAAACCCCTTTGAAACGACATCGACCGTCACCGCTCAGTCTTGACGAAGTCCGCCCTTAGTGCTCCCACCTCAATAGCTCACTCAAAGCCTGTCCTCGTGGTGCTGGTCGCCCTCTCAAACGCCTCCCTTACTATTTGTTTTCCAATTCCAGTCAACCCATCAACCGCCCCTGCTACGGTCTGGTCTATTGACTCGCCCTCAACCAACAATCGACAACCCTTCACCAAGCTGGCCTTGATCAATTTCTATTAAACTCGTCGAGACTCGCATATTCACTGTGCTTCCATCATCCTCTCATCCACCATCGCCATCACCATCAGCCCCACAAACGCCTCAATTCCAGCTCTCGACAAGCTCCGATCTCCACCCAGCTCTCGCTCTTTGCCACAAAAGTCAAAACAAGCTCAAAAGCAGCTCCCACCGGCTTATACCAGACCGGAAGCTTAATTCTTGCAGTAATCGCCTAATTGAACTGTGAACGGACTGAACGGACTGCACGGAAGGTCTCGACTTTGATTAACTCCCGTCAATCCCGCTTCCCGTTCTCATTCCGGACCGACGGACACATCTCGACGCGACACAAGGACGCAAGCGAAACTCTCCCGACGGTCTCTGCGACGCCTCTTGATCTTCTGATTATTCTGCTCCCGTCCAGCAGGAACGCAAGCCAGCCTTTCAGCCTTTTGCAAACGGGACATCTCCGGCTCCGTCACCTCGTCGCTCTCGGTACTCCGGCGCCTCGCGAAACCAGGCCCCAAACCCGAACCCGAAACCGCCGAAACGCAACCAACCACGCACGCAACACACGCAACGCACGCACTGCGACGCGAGAGCAACGCAACACCAGGCTCCAAGCCACTGCAAAGAAGCCAAGCGACTCACATCGGCCCAGCGTGCGAGACGAGACAATCCACGACATCCCATCCACGCCCCCCTTTGCGCTCGCCACTCACCCCCCGCAACCCGCAACTCGGCCTGTAAGTCGGTCCCAGGCCACTGCCGCGCACTGAATCGCCAACTGACTTGATTGCCCCAGCGCCACTTCCAGACCAAGCCCGGCCCAGCCCAGCCCGCTCTTGGAACCTCGTCCGGAAAGAAAGCCCCTGTCGGACAGCCCGCCCCACTGGAACCCGCCCCACACACACCCTCTGTATCCACCGCATCCACTGCACCCACTCCAGGCCCGCTAAAACAGCGCCCACTCCACGGCATCTCCAGCACCCCTGTCCACCTGTACGTCCCCTGCAAGCCAGTCCCCTGCAAGCCAGCCTGTGGCACCGCACCGCTCTTGGTTGGACTCAGCCTCGTGGCCCCTCCCCCAAACGTCACCCACTGACGACTCAACAGCACCAGGGTCACTTGTCCTAAACGAGGCACATGAGCCAACTCCGTCCACATTGTGTCTGATATATCAAGCCTCGCGCCCCCGTCACACCCTCCCCCTGCTCTCATCAGTCCAAGCTCGGCTTCTTCATCAAGCCTTACTTATATATCCTTTCGCTCTTCCTCTCATCCACTCCTCCATTGCCATCATCCCATACAGTGTTGGTCCACTTACACCACGGGTTGATCCCAACTACCTAATACACCACCAACACACCACTCACACCACACATCCACAATGGAATACTCACGATACCTCACCATGGACGAGCTCAACAAGACTGCTCTCGAGCAGTTCGTCTACCAGCCCGTCGGTCGCGACATGATCTCATACCTCGCCGAAGCCGCCAACCACGTCATCTCATGCGACTCCTCTCTCATGCCTCCCGCTCCCGTCGATGCCCGGAACATGCCTCCCTCACCCCCGCGCAGCCCCGAGCCCCGCGCCGTCCGCTCCGAAGACGGCTCGCTTCCTACCCTCGAGGAGTTCATCACCCAGCTCGTCGTCTCCTCCAACGTCCAGGTCCCCACCTTGATGTCGACCCTCGTCTACCTCACCCGCCTCAAGTCAAAACTCCAGCCCATGGCTCGCGGCCTCCGATGCACCACCCACCGCATCTTCCTCGCTGCTCTGATCCTCGCCGCCAAGTATCTCAACGACAGCTCCCCCAAGAACAAGCACTGGGCCAACTACTCCAACATCAACACCGAGATGTACAGCTTTGGCTTCAGCCGCACCGAGGTCAACCTGATGGAGAAGCAGCTCCTCTTCCTCCTCGAGTGGGACCTTCGCATTACCGAGGAGGACCTCTACCGCGAGCTCGATGACTTCCTTGAGCCCCTCCGCCACAAGGTTGCCGAGCGACACGCCAAGAAGACGCGCCACCGCGAGGAGAAGCGCCGCCAGCAGGAGCTCTACGCTGCTGCCACCCGCTACCCCAGCCCTCCCGCTTCTCGAGGCCAGTCCCGCTCCCGCCAGGCGACTCCCGAGCGCACTCAGGTCTACACCCACTCTCACACCCGAACCCTCAGTGGTCCCGTCACTCCTCCCGGCCTCACATACAGCAGCTCCGCCAGCTCATATGCCTCCTCCATCGCCTCTAGCAGACTCCACTCGCGAGCAACGACCCCGCTCGAGTCAGAGACCGACGCTTCATACCTCTACGAGACCCAGCAGGGCAGCCTCTACGACTCACCCGTCCAGATCGTCGCCGATGTCGACTACCCCAAGGCTCGCGGTCCCGGTGGTCGCATGCTCCCATACGAGATCTCCGCCGACGAGTACCAGCAGTACCAGATGCACGAGAGCCAGAGCAAGAAGCAGCGCCCTTCAAAGCGCGGCATGTGGGGTCGCCTCCTCGGTGGCTCCGTCGCTGTGCGATAAATGCCTGCGCTCTCATGCTTGGACACACACCATCATGCATATCTTAGGCGTTCACGGGCCAATGTTGGCATTGGATTCTCATTTCTTCTAAAAGAAGTCGGCATGGCGTTGGTTGCTTTTCTCATCTTTTACTAGAAACCCAGATACACCAACCGGGAGGCGGAGAAACTCCCGAAGCATATTTCATTTGTTGGTTTTGTTTATTACTACGCTGGTGTCTACTATTTCCTTATTTTCTGTACTCTCAGTGGTTGTTTCCGATACCTCAGGAAACCGGCGTTCCGGATTTACAAGTCAATGTATCAAGGCATTATGATTGAAAGGGCAAGGGGGGCATGTGCATACAGGCAAGAGAAGGGAGCATTTGGATGGGTATCGATTCTGGGATCATGGTTGCGAATGGGCACTGCATCAAACGGGATGGACACTGCCACGTTTCAGGGATATGGGTGGGATGGGATGGGATGGGATGGGCTAGTTGAGTCATTGGTAGAAGCATATGTCATCCGCTTTTGCAAGGCATCGAATCAATCAATACCCGGCGCTCCGCCGTTTTGACCTGGACTTGAAAAAGACCCAATGAGTGCCTAGTCCTGTGCCTTGCGTGTGTAAGTCGCATTTTGTGGCATTTTGGCGGTGCCTCGAGCGAAGCCTGACAGTCAGCCTGCGTCAAGGTTTGAGCCCGTCATCTAAGCCGCCCGCAGACTCGTGCATGGACTCGAAGTTTGCGTGTTTCCCTTTTTGGGCAGTGCGCGACTGTGGTAGGCTGAGAGGTGTCGGCAGGCGGGTCCATAGCGTTTACAGGGCACTTTACAGGGCAAACACACTTTTATAGGCGGGTACGTACTGTGGAATTCCGGCAAGACGGCGGGGCAAAACGGGCAACGGGCAAACGGGAAACCTGCAGTGCATGGCGGCTGCGGGAGAACATATTGGGAAGAGATTATCGCAAACAAGACGAAAATAAACACAAACATCTAAGCGCCCGTGTTGCTTTTATTCCAAACGCCTCCCGGGCGCGAGCGGACGGGGTTTTCGTTTAATTGTCAGGTTTGCTGCGGGGGGAGTCCCTTGCTGCAGAGCGCGAGCCGGGATGTGGCTCGGCGGGGAAGCGGCGGCATGTTTGCATGCGTGTGGTGTGCGCGTGGCGTCTTCGTCTGAATCGGGGGCGTTAAGCAGCGGATGGGACGGGGCAGGAATACGGCCGATGCCTAAGACATACATGTGGGCGCCGTGAAAGGGAGGGACGAGAGATGGGGCAAAGGGAGAGGAGAGGGAGGGGAGGATAAGCCCGGCGGAGGTATTCTTGGGAGTTGGAGGGTATCATAATTAGAGCAGAAGAGTGAGGGTAGTATTATTGCGTGGAAGGCTGGAGGAGCAGAAGGATCGGCGCTCACGGAGGAGCGGAGCACGCACGAGAACCTCCGCTTCAGTTGGCAGTTGGGGGCGATGGGTATCTTTCGGACCCGAAGACGAGGGGGATCTTTTTCTGGGACTGCGGCTGAGGCAGCGGGTAGAGCTTTGGAAGGCTCATTGGCGAGATGAATGTATGGCTGGGACAAGGATCTCGGGTTGACATGTGTGATTGATCAGACTGGTATTAGTGAATGCTCAGTATTCGTATCGAGTAATTATCTTCCTAATTCGTTCAGGCCAACCCAACAACCAGGGTCCCTTTGCACAAGCCAACAAGCAAGCAAACAAACAACACCTTGACGCCGGTCCTCCGTAGACAGAGACACAAAGCCACATCAGATAGTATCACTCCTCCGCCCCATGCGCACCCTTGTTGTACCTGAACCCAAGTCCCGGCACCCTCGTCCGCAGACTTAGGCTGCTCAACACCACGCTGATGCTCGACAAGGCCATCGCCAACGCCGCCCACACGGGATCCAGCCGCACATGTTTGCCCTCTGACGTCGTAATCGGGTACAGGCACCCCGCGGCGACCGGCACCGCGAGCAGGTTGTAGATGACAGCCCAGGCAAAGTTGGCTCGGATGCGGCGGAACACGGCGTGGCTGAGGTCCAGCAGCGTGACCACCGCACCCAGCCGAGACGTAGCCAGCACAAACGCCGCGCTGCTGATGGCAACGTCGCTGCCGGAACCGATGGCGATGCCTACATCGGCCGTGGCCAAGGCGGGCGCGTCATTGATGCCGTCGCCGACCATCGCCACCGTGGCCCGTCGTGAAGTTGAGCCCCTTGCGTGAAGCGATGCCTGGAGCGACGTGATCTGCGCTGCCTTGTCCGAGGGGAGCACCTCGGCGAGGACGTTGTCGGCTGGGATGCCGACGAGCTGCGCCACGGCGCGGGCCGTCGTTGCGTTGTCGCCAGAGAGCATCCAGACTTGGGTTCCGCGGGAGATGAGGGCCTTGATCACGGAGCTGGCCTCGCGGCGGATCGGATCCGAGATGGAGAGCGCAGCGACGAGTGTCCACGAGTCGTCGGTGGATGACTTCGTTGCCACTAGAGCAATGGACTTGGCTTCTGATTTCCAAGTCTCGAGGAGAGAAGAGACACGAGGCGAGAGACTGACCGAAGCATCACGCATCAGGAGTTCGTTGCCCACGAGCATCTCAGAAACCTCGTTTGCATTGTCCGTGTAAGTCGCCTTCATCCCCTTTCCGGGCAATTCCTCCAGTCCCGCAACCTCGGCCGCGCGAGTATCGGCGCCGCAAAATGCGACAATGGCAGTGGCGATAGGATGGCTGCTGTTCTCCTCAACCGCCTTGAGAACCGACATGAGCGTGCGACGTTCGTCCTCGGTAGCCTGTTCGCTATTCGGGAAGATGGCAGCATCGGTAATCTGCGGCTCTCCGCCCTCAGTGATGGTACCCGTCTTATCAAACACGACGCAATCAATCTTGCTCGCCTTCTCAAAGGCCTCGCCACCTCCCTTGGCAAGGATACCGTGCTTGGCCGCGATGCCGCCGCCAACGAAAATGGCCGTCGGAGCTGCGAGTGCGAGGCCACATGGGCATGCGACGACGAACACTGCAACGGCAAACTGGAAAGCGAAGGCAACCCAACCGCCTGCCGAGTCTCCTTCCCTGTCTGAAATCATGTTCGAATAGCCGAGAGCCATCCAGACGACCCAGGTGGTGATGGCGATGAGTGTAATGACGGGGACGAAGTAGGTTGTTAGGACGTCCGCAATCTGCTCGATGGGAGCGCGCTTCGTTTGGCCCTCCCGAACTACCTGGACAATCTGGTCTAGCATCGATCGACCTGAGGTTCCAGTAACGCGCACAGTAATGGCCGACGCCTTGTTAACAGTACCTGCAAACACCTGATCGCCTTCCGACTTCTTGATGGGTCGGGACTCGCCGGTGAGACTCGACTCGTCGAAGGTCGTCTCGCCGGTAACGATGATACCATCCGCAGCAGGGGATGCGCCATGGGGCACCCGTATCACATCGCCAGCATCCAGCTGGTCGATCGGTATCGTCGTCGTCGCCTGAGCCCCGGTCTTGTCCTTCTCGAGAAGGAGGGCAGTGGTTGGCCGTAGCTTTCCCAGCAACTCCACTGCATCGCCGGTCTTGGACTTGCTATACCCCTCAATCAATCTTCCTGCCAGCAGGAATAGTGTCAAGAAGACGACCGAGTCGAAATAAAATTCCGCCCCTGAGCCGTGGTGTTTTCGGTTGGAGACAGCGGCCACAATCATCTGCGCAATGGAGGAGAAGTAGGCAATGCTCGTGCCCAGCGAGACCAGCATGTTCATGCTACCGAATCGATAGAATCGTTGAATTACAGGGATCCGACTCCCCGAGCGCCATATGGTTCGCACCTCCTTGATTGCTCGGACGTGGAACACGTCGGCGGCTAGGAAGTAGACGGGAGTGGCAAGTATGAATAGGGCAATATCGAGGCGGGTGAGACCCGAGGCCCAGGGCTCCATGAGATACATCTTTCCATGATTCGAATCAGGCAGTAGGCTCATATAGACTATACCGAGGATAAAGGTAGGAATGGCGACGATGATGGTTAGAATCTCGCGCATCAAAAGCGAACGGTGTTGCTTTTCTCTGATGGCTCTGGATCGTTCCTCGAGGGTTGGAGGATGGTAAATCGAAGTACGGAGGGACGTGTCAGCAGCCTCAATGGCTCGCAAGATGTGCCGGATGGTGAAGTTTGGTGTGTCGGGTGTGTAGTGGAGTTTGAGAATTGGGTTCGTGGGGGAAGGCTCCTGGAGAATCTCGAGTCGGTTGGGGCCGAGGCTCTTCAGAGTCATGCTGATCCGCTCAGGACATCGGGAGCAGAAGATGCCGTCAACCTTGATCTCAATATCCCGTCCATCTGCCGACGGCCGTTGCTCATCAAGATTGGTGACCTGGTCAATTGTGGCATCGTACCCCAAGTCTTCGATAGCGTCGACAATGTCTTGGGTTCGACTTTCGTCAGTATATTCGACCGTGGCACTGTTCATGACGAGGTTCACAGCAACGTTGGAGATCCAAGGGTTTTTCTTGAGTTCATCGCTGATGGTGTTGACGCAGACAGCACAGGTCATGCCGCCGACGGAGAGCGTGACCCGCCACGACGAAGATGGGCGTTCTGTTTCCACGACGATTTGTTGGAGGGGGTATGACATGTTGTCTGCCTCGGAGTACTCGGAGTTTGCAGTTGTGACTTTAACTAGTTGTCCTTTGCCGGCGTCTTGTCCTGGGACGTCGCCTTTTGCTGCTTCACGTCGACATTCTTCGCAGTTCTCGAGGTGGGCCGACCTGGCTGACTCCATAACCGAAGGAGATTGCTTCAACCACAGACTGCGAAACCAAGAGTTGAAATGGCCACTAGACTGGTCCATGGCCCGACTGCTCTCACCCAGTTCGACTTGTGAGCTGCGTGCTAGATCTGTGGTGTCGGCGGTGGTGTGAACTCCGTAGATGTCAAAACCGGCATCTTGCAGAGTCTTCTCCATGCTCCGCACAGAAGCAACAGAGTCATCTCTGTGCTCGACCGTCACGACGGAGGTGACGAGGTTTGGTGAAACCCAGAGCACATCCTCACCGTACGTGTCGTGCAGGAGTGAGCGGATCAGGGCCACGCAGGATGGGCAGTGAAGGTTACCCAGCAGGTAGGACGTTGTGACGATGTTGGTTGATGCCATGATTGAGGCTCCTCGGAGAGGAAGGGGGTTGGGGTGAAGGGAGGTGAGGAAGCCGTGATGGGTGAGGTGAAGGGAATGAAGGAAGTATACGCTGTAAGTCACTGTTGAAAAGGGCAACAGATAAATGCGTAGCTCCTTGTCCCAGGACCGAGAGCTTTTTTTTTGAAGTGAGAAGAAGGGCTCACTGCAAGAATGGGCTGGAATAAAGCACAGAGACAGAGAGTGCAAGAGAATGATGAATTATTATTTTCTCGAGTCGGGAGTGGCCATTTTAGTACTTGGGTCATGCCGCCCAAAATCCGCACAAATCTCGCACGCAAGGGTGTGTGATGGTGGTTGGCTAGTGCCAAGCGGTTGGCCAATCGGGCTTGTTGAGCTAAAAGATGAGGCTGCTTACCTAAAGTAACGGGAAAACAGCAGAACACTCACAATAAGCCACCTGATACATGCCGGACAGCATCAGCATGGAGGGGAGCGTTCTGTAAGCTTCGTCGCCCAGGGCGGTATAGTTACGTTCAGCTGATAGATAGAAAGTCACAGTGGTAGAAGAGTCTCAGGGAGCACTGAAAGGTGAAGCCTCAAGAGTGGAGATAGAGGAGCCCGGCACCGCTAAATCTGCAGGCTGGTCGCCGATCTCCACTAAAATCGGGTCAGCGTCCGCGGCCTTTGTGCGGCGCCCACCACCACTAAATGATCGCGACAATTGTGCCTTGACTAGGATTTCTCAGCTTCAGTTGAGGCCAAGCGTTTTTAACGTCATTTCTCGTGACAAAGCATCCGGGACATTTGAGAATCGCACGGTGGTGGGTGGCAGTGCATTTCCTTTTTTCGTTCTAATCATCACTTGGAGCACCGTGAAGGTTTCGCCACGCAGACTTAGTGGCTCGATGGGTTGCTTCTCAGTTAGGTAGTCATTAACCACCACCACACTGTAATGACGCCTATGGTCTAAGAACAGAAACTATAGAACAACGTAATATCTGTTTCTACCTATACACTACACTAATGTGATGATCCTGGTATTGCCCCTACCGCCCCGCCATGCCTCCCCGTTCATCGCCCCATGGACGTAGCAGTCTGAGACAAGTTCATATGCAGAAGATCCATTCTGCCACCGAAGCACGAACGGCACTGTTGCACCAGAGAAGAACGCAACTGTGTCGCCAACCTCGATCTCTGCTACACCCATGCCTATGTAACCGCTCTTCGTTGTAAAGAGCTTGCGGCAGAGGTTCCCGGCGGAGAGGATAGCATCGCGGTAGTTGTTGCCTCGTTGCTGTTGATTGGCGTTTTGATGTCGGTGAAGTGCGCTGAATATGTTCTCTCTGCCATCGTCATCGTCGGAATGGCTCGTATCAAGGCACAGATCCCTCCTCCAAGCCTCGATTACCACAGGGTCGATGTCGGGTGGCTTCGGTTTACGGTCGGGATGGTACCTCAACAGCTCTTGTAGGGCCTCCCATCTGGCCCACTTCTTCACCGGCCGCACGTATTCTTCAAAGTCACTCCCTAGTGAAGCTGGGGCATTGCCCTTGCAGAAACGCCGCTTTTGATTCAAGTCCGAGATGAGTGTTCGCCAGATGGCCTCACAGTATGTCTGGCCTCCAGGATAGGCGCACCCGGAAGAAGTGAGTCGCAGGTACTGGTCGCGAATCCAGGAATATCGCCCCATTCTTGCTGTTACGAAGACCCTCCGCAGTGTATCCGTCACGTGGACTATCTCGTCATGTATTTTGCCCGAGACACGCAGGATTCCTGGGGTCGACGTATCCAGCGAAATTATCGGCTTCAGACAGCTCGAGGCATTGAATGGTCGACATTGAAAAACGGGGACCTCGTACAACGGCACACTCCAATCCGGGACCCAGGACGGCATTCCCGATGTTCTCCTGATTCCTGCGTAACTGAGCGTCATTATGCCACTGAAAGATAGCAAGTGCCGTGCGGTTTCGGTATATATCTCAACTTTAGACTTGCTGTAGTCCGGGGTGATCTTGGCATCCCGACAAAGGGATGAGAGCGCAAACACACGATCTCTAGGGTCGGAGCAACTAAGGTCGCGGGAAGCTGCGAGAAGCTCCAAAAGAAACATTGGCCGCTTCCGATATTCACCTTGCATCCACGCCATGAGACCCATCGCTCCGACCCGTCTTTCAGACCGAGGTTGGATTGCAGCATACTGGTTGAACTTGCCTTGCTGCATCATCGAGTTCAGAAGTGTAAAGGTTTCCCAGCTTATCTCCGCATCCCCACACATCATGACCATGTTTGGGTTCTGAAGCGACTCCTGGATGATCCATATCCGGGTGTACCAGGACCTGTCGAGGAAATCTCGCAACGCGGCCCAGGCAGGATCTGATTCATCGGGAACGTTGTGCTTAGCGTAGGCGGCCGGGACTGGGACAGAATCGACACTCTTGCGACGTTCGTTGAAACAAGAAATTAGCTTGTTGGCTAGATCGATGCCTGGTGTGATGTCGAGAGTATTCTTTCCAACATACGTGATAACACGATTTGCCAACTGATATACTTCAGCCATTAGCTGAACTTGCTGGCTCCGCTCGGTTTCGCTGTCCTGATTGATGCAAACGCCATCGACCCAGAGGTTACGAGCGCCATCCTCTATTTTGGAATGACGGATGGCCACCAAGACATTGTAGAGCGATTCGGTGATATTTATGGTGCTACCGCCTTGTATGGCCAGAGAATGGGACTTGTCGGGGTTGCCCCAGGTGTAGGATATGGCCTCATATGGTAGATGGCTATCGAGGCTTGTTTCGATCAGTTCCGCAAACAAGATCCTGGAATTTCCTCCGGTGAGGCGCAAAATGCGAATGTTTCTCGGTCCCTTGAGTGGCGCGTATTTGTATAGTGATGAATGCTCCATGATTTGGGCGCTGGTTATGATCGAGGTCAATTATCCAGATGCGCTAGCGATGCGTCGTGAATGAACTTGGTTCAAAGTAATCAGTTGATGGCCAGGTCAATAGTGGGAGGAATCATTGTGCAAGGTCAAGTTGGATGAAGAAATATGCGACGAGACGGACTGAGGTGAGCTAACATCCCAAATGCGCATTATTAGGCTTGAATCAACCTGCCATCGGGCTTTCGTTCCATCGGGCACGCATGTCCACGTTGATGGGGCTGTAATAGCCGTCGTCTATTCGCAGGACATGCAGCTTTATCACGCGGCTATGTATACTTGAGGCTGTTGGAAATGATTGGAAGCGGGCTAATTTCGTGAGCACCAAAAGAGCCTATAGGATGTTAGTTGAGCATCTCGGCGCCACTTTGCGTCCGCTATGGCATGGTCGAAGGCCTCAAAATCGCGTATCAGTAACCGCCCCCAGTACCTCAAAACAGGGCCGTCCATAAGTCTAAGTTTAGGTCACCAACTTGAGTCAGGGCCCTAATATTGGTAAATTAAATCGAAATATTATGGACAAGTGGCCCAATTAAGTATGCGCTATTGTGGACGAGGCCAAGATTCTTGCTTCTGAGAGCGGCCGCCACGGTGTGTTGAAATCCAATCATGGATCAGAGAGTGGGTATTTAGGGCGCTTGCTGCATGGACGATGTCCAATTCCTTTCTAGAGGCTGCACCTACGGTTCGAGGGAAGAGCAATAGACCACATGGAGGCCGGCTCCTTTGAATTGATAGCATATGGACTTGGGCGCCAGATCATTGTTGTTTTTTGATTAAGGCGTTTGCAGGAATTCGTACCCAGAGTGAGTTAATTGCCAGTTGACTAGTGTTCTGTCAGGGACGACGGTACCTTCGGTGAAGGCTCGGCCGCCTCGTTGGAAGGGAGATCCCTATCCCACACCGAGTTCTCTCTGGGTAACATAGCGGCATGGACTCTCACTCTCGTCTCATCGAACTAAATTGGGCAGTCCTAGTTGGTACCGTCGAATTTGGTGTATCTGATAACCCCTCTTCCTATCTCTCGGGATAGAGCGATCGTTAACTGCAATAGACACGAGTGCCAAAGAATTTCGGATGCAGCTTCCGGTTTAGGGATCTCTCGAGCATCATTTTCTCTGGCCTTACTCGGTACTATGAGATAGATCAAAGCGCTATGGCAGCTGTGAACAATTGGCACACACACTTAGCACCGCACCCGGCGCGAGGACATATAGTCACTATCTCGAACCTTCAGCTCAACCTTTCCGCCTCTGACTCTGCTGTCCATAGGCAGTGTACAACGTCCATGTCCATATCGCCATCATGACATGACTAGTAGAATATAAAGAACATTCCTCCATATATTCTAGAATATTAATTATGATATCATTGCCACTTATCCGCGAATATGTTACGATGTAGGTGTGGAAAATTAGAGGAGAGAAGTGAGGATGAAGAGCACAATGTGCGATTGATACTTTCCTACGGAATTGCGAACAGTACTCTATCCCTCAAATGAAGGAGGGGTAAAGCTGTCATCCTTTCCCTCCATCGGGAGCGAGGCCATCTCGGTGGTGCGATTCATCCAACAAGGCCAAGCCCATCGGCCACTGCCTAATTCGTATCGAAGACAACGTATGAGGCCTTCAATTGAAGATTATAATTCCTCGACGCCCAACTCAAGATATATCCTAGGTGGAGTTTGATGGAAATAAAATTGAGATCAGGGCCCCTTGTCTAACAATTTTCGTCCTTCTTTAGACACTTTGCTCTCAGCAATAGATTTAGATAGAACAATACGCCAAGATACATACCTTTATCGTGTAGCCACCCTCCTCATCACATTCTGGCTCAGAAAAGGTTTTCTGGTTGGGAATTCGACGCCCATCGCGAGGAAATCGCTGACAGGGATGCAGTTCTCCAAAACAAACGTGGTGATTTTCTCCGCATGCGGGGGGCTGAGGTGTCGCGTACCGAAGTGATAGAAATGCTAACCAGTAAGATGCCGCAGCAGCGCCGCGATCAAGCTAGTATAATCATTGATAAATTTCGATTCTCTACAAAGAGCAGATATCCTACTACCTGTCCAACTGCCGAGACCGGCAGACTCTGGCGAATATTCGCGCAACTGACGAGGTGTCATCTGACAATAAGTGAGACCGCCAGCTTCTGCGAGCGGGGACGATCAGGCGCTCCGCTGCTGTTGTGGCGTTCCTCAGAGTCACCACGCGAGTTAACAACAGGTGAGGTACCCATATCTTCCATTAGGTGGAGAAATCAAACACCCATAGTGTATTTGAATCATGCACATGGGTTGTGGCAATGAACACAACGGAGCGCTCAGACAAGCCCCGGGATAGACAGCAACCCTCGAAAAGCCTAGGCTCTAGGGTCTGCCCACAAAAGCGGAGACGGGGAACTCATTTCATTACGTATCAACCAGCCAAGCACTCTGGGGAAGGACAAACTCGTGTTCCGGGGAATAAAACAATTGCATAATATCACTTGGCTCACGTCTGGGGGAGGGGCGCAAGGGGAAAGAGGTGTAAGAGACGACAGGGAATCAGCGGTTAAAACCGGACTACCATGGCAGTAGCTTGATCGCGTGAACGAAGCGCGACTCGAGAAAATCCTTGCTCCATTGAGGGCTTCGACGCCGCTTCCAAGACTTTTCCAAGACTTTTCCAAGACTTTTCCAAGACTTTTCCAAGGCTTTCCCACATGCCTAATATGGAAAGGTTCATGCCAACCATTGCTTCAGCCAAGACGACCGGGTCAGCAACGAGATTCGTTATAAAGCTGCTTATCATGGCCTCGTTGCTGGGCATCTTGTAAGGGTTGCCATGTTGCAATTCCTCGGGCGATAAGAGCAAGAGATGAGAAATGTACAAGATACACAACCCTTGAGGGGGAGCATTACCAAAGTCGGGGTCGACTGGGGAGCCCACGCCTCGACACGGGGTCTCGTTTGAAGCTTCTCTACTCGGTGGAAACAGGTGGATATATTAACGTAATTGAAATATCGAGGCTCGGCAATTTCAAGGGCCAAGCGGAGCAAGCGTCGCCTGTTGAAGACGCAATGGCCATGTCGCCATCTAGACGAATGGGTCGTTTTCTAGGAGGGTTCGCCCAGGAGACGATCGGCCTGGTTTCTGTCCACAATGCGGCTAAAGCTCGTGGACTGGTGGAGCAATATAGGCTGGAAGACAACGTTCCGGTAATTCCCTCGTTTTTATGGACACCTCAGAGGCGATGGGCTCCCGGAGACAGCTCGCGGCTATGCGGCCACCGCTCAGATATTTGGACTCCAAATGTGACGCTCGCTTCTGCATTTTCGTATGTGCCGACAACTTGCCCCTGGCTGTGGTCTCTAGTCGAGCCACAAACCGACCCAATTGAGCGCGGGAACGGGCCGATGGAGCGTATCATTTTGCAAAGCTGCTGTTCGGCAATCCCGTGCTATCTCAGGTCCTCTCAGCTACTACGTAGTATGGACTGTGTACTGGCGAGCATTGCGCGCTTCCAACTGGGCGGTCAAAATAAGGTGCCAAGTTAAGGTGCGAGAATCATTGCCGGCTGTTTGAATACTAAACACCACCACGGCCCTGAAGCCGGCCAATCACGAGATGCACTCCGCCACCACTGACTCGGTGGCGCGGCGCGATATCTGTATCTGTCTAGCCGGTCTCTCTCATGACGGCAGTGGTCGAAACCCTCCATACAACGGCAGAACCGCAGAAACACAGGAATGCGCAAAACACCATGGCGAACATGGATCTGCGCAACGACAAGACGCGCTTGAGGCTCGGCGCTGTGCTTTATCTCTTGGAAGCACCCACAGTACGAATACCGTTGCAGCACTAGACACGATAACGAGGATGCTGGCCCTGTCTGTGCCTAAACCCCCATCTCAACGCGACGTTGGTCATGGCTTCTTACTGGGGAACAGTCTCTTGGCGGGTGTGTCTTCTTGGCAATATACCCTCTCTGGGCAAATACAAGTGTATCCATGCTGCTCTCCACATTGCCAAGCAAGTTGCGTCTATCCCGCTCCCCGAGCGAGCGAGCCAACGTTGAGACTCGCAGTGAATCCCTCCTCTCGCAGTGAGCAGCGACCCATCGCCACTGCACCTGAGCTCTGTCTTCTTGGCATCCTGCGGGCCATCCTGTTACGTTTCCCTTCTTCACCGTTGGCTTTGGATCTTTCCGTCATCGTGTCACGCTGTTGCCCCCTTGTGGCATCTGATCCTCTCTTGGCACATCACCCGTGCGACTGCCATGGATTGCTGAGCGTCTGTCTCTCGCCCGATGCCACTCAGCTATGGAGATTGTTGGCTTGGCAGAAGGGCAAACTGAATATTTAAGTCGTGTCGTGCTCCTCAGTGTAGTCCTAGGTTGCTCATCCTTTCCTCGACTTTCGTATAACATTCGGAAACATCCAGCCGCCCATTGTTGGTTCGCTCCTTGTTCCTCTGTCTCCCATACGATGGACTCCAAGGAGATCAAGATCGAGCCTGTGGCAACGCAGCATGCTCAGATGCCGCAGAATCCTGAGACTGTGCGCACCCACTCTGGCCAAGATGCTGTTGACGCTTTTACCACTGAGGAACACAAGATCAAGAAGCCATGGTGGCACTCCGTCAAGGAGCCAGGTTCAGCCCTACAGATTATCCTGGCTGCTCTACTCGCCATTGCCATTGGTCTGACCGTGTCAACTCAAGTTGATGAGGTGCCCCCGGCGGCTCGAGTCATCCTCTCCATCCCTGGTGACCTCTGGCTGCGTGCCCTCAAGGCTGTCGGTAGGTGCCAACTGGTAAAACTCGGACGGAATAAGCATGATTTGCTCACATACGACCAGTTCTCCCCCTGATTGTTTGTTCCATGCTCCTAGCCGTGCAACGACTGCGAGTCATGTCCAACGGCGGCAGTTCGCTAGCCAAGTGGACGATAGGATACTATTTTATCACTACCCTGATTTCCATCACCCTCAGCTGCCTTATGACGGGTCTGGTGTGGTCCAAACTCTACTCCACCGTTAGCCCGGACCAACTTGAGCTCAACACAGCGGACGATTCGCTTCCCGATACCTCGGAACGAGAAATCTACACTGTCGTCCTAGAGATGTTCCAGTCTTTTATCCCGAGCAACGTCGTCTATGCTTTGGCTAATGACCAACTTCTTGGTGGTATGTGCAACAACATGATAACGCTACCGATTGAAGCAATTCTAACAGTCTATCTTACAGTCATCATCGTCGCCATCATCGTCGGTTATCTCATTGAGAGCCCTGAATCGCCCATCGTCCGCGTCACCGAAGAGATAGAGAGGTTGATCACCAAGATCATTACGTTTCTCATCCAGATCGCCCCTATTGGTGTGTTCTCTTTGATTCTGTCCAATATCATGAAGTTGGACATCGGCGAGATTGGCATGAACTTAGGGTTGTTGATCGGCGCGACACTCTCGACCATGTTCATTCATCTTTTCATCGTTATACCCATCATTTTCTATACCTTTACTAAGATGAATCCGTATCCCTTCTGGATGAAGTGCTCACCGGCTTGGGTCACTGCATGGGGTTCTGCTTCTTCTGCTGCCACCCTTTCGGTGACGATTCGATGCGTAAGGGATCGGGGTATCCCGTCGACTATTTACAAGTTCGCCTGTCCACTCGGCTGTCTGGTTAACATGGACGGGTATGTGACCGCTCCAGAGACAAGACTCTTGAAATAAAATTCTGACTTTTATAGAACTGCCATTTATATTCCTGCCGCTGTCGTGTTCCTGGCCGCTACCCAGGGTATAACGCTTAGTGTCGTGGATTATATCATTGTTGCGCTGCTGGCTACTCTGGCCTCCATCGGGGTGAGCCCCATCCCGTCGGCGTCCCTTGTGCTCATCATCATGATCGCTCGGTCTGTCAATGTGGAACTCACTGAAATGTACGCCGTCATTGTTGCAATCGACTGGTTCCTTGACCGATTCCGCACTGCCGTCAACGTTTCTGGAGATCTATTCGCTGCCATGGTCATTTACAAGCAGACCAAGATTGAAGACCCGCCGGAGGTGCAGGAGCAGGAGGCCAAGCAGCAGGAATTGGATCAGCAGAACTCCGGTACCCAGTTCGACAATTCCAACAAGGTGTAAGGGAGATATTGTATCCTTGTTCAGGTATCGGTACTGTGAATACTAGATAGCATGGCGTTTGAGCGTAAATAATTGAGAGCTATTTGAGTCTCGATTCACACAAGATTGACTCTGTTGCTATGGGTGCTAAGTATCCGTGAATACGGGAAGACAAGAAGTCATGGCAAAATCCTTCTTCACCCTCCGGATTCTGTGTATTCAGATGGCCGTGAATCCGTGATGCTTAATTCAATAGGAGAGCCATTTATGTGCGGGGAAATTGGAGACCAATGGGTTTTCTGACTCCAATAGACGATACCGAGTCATCGCCGACGCTCCAATGCGGACATGCCGAAAGCCAATCGCATCACGTGACGCAACCACAGGCGAGAACAAGAGTCTAATGAAGAGCTTGGGAATGGCGCGAAAACATCGAATGCCTCTCCCCCTTGATTGGAATAGGACCTCTCGACCACAATTACGCTCCGTCGATTTCTCGGGCGTCAGGTTCAGTCATGTCGTTGAAAAAGAGATTGGGCGACTTTCCTAGAATGGCAATTCCCTGAATTTAGGGATCGTGACATTTGCGGCTCCTGATTGGCCACGCTCCCATCGGCAACCGGAAGCTGATGGCCGCCGACGGCCCGGCACTCGGAGAAGGTCTCACAGCCTTCCAAGCGTGGCGGAAAAGTGGGCGTCATCGGCCCCTCGGCGTCCCCAGGGTCGCGACATCGACTGCGCGTCCGAAACCGGAATAGCCTATTGCGTGATTCTGTCTCGGCATCAACAATTTGCAAGCGCAGCACAAGACGAGTGAGAAAAAACCATGGCTCAATGGAACCTTTACAAATCCCTCGCCGGTAAGTCGCCATGTGGATGGGCTCTCTCGTTTCTCCTCTTTCATCCTCGCTTTTCCCCTCCCTTGATTGCTCTTCTAGTTGTTCCTGCTAGAAACAGCTCGCTTGTCGATATCTCACCTCGCTCGAGTTCGACTGGGTTCAAGTCGGCATTGCCTTCGACCTTGAGACGACTACCGGTATTTGGGTTCGCTTTCGGAGTCGAACGTGATCCACCGGACCATTCTCTTTCATTTCCCCTCAAAAAACTCCCCTCACTTGCGAGTCGATCACATCACAGCCGCCAACATGTCTCAGAAGGAACAGGAGTCATCCTCGACCAAGTTGTCGTCGAGCCTGCCCTTTGGCCAGCTCGTCCCTCTTGCGTCCATCTCTGGGCCGACCTACGTTACCGCCCAACTCCTCGTCCAGCAGGTCGCCTACAAGCTCTCCGACAAGATCTTCTCTTACTCCCCTGAGACTTTCGACCTCGACATTGCCCTCAAGGACTGGGCTGCCAAGGAGGAGAAGAACATCCACGGATATGCCACCACCGTGCTGCCCTCACAGACGAGAGTAGGAGCCGGCGCCCTTGCCCTCGGATACATCTTCTCTCCGGACTTTGATGTCACCAAACGCCATATCCCCCAGTCTCTGGTTGCTCCCTCTGGCAGCCTGCAGCAGCTCCGCGGAACTCTGGACCAGCTTTCCCTCCTCTATGGCGTTTCCAGCCCGTTCGTCGCCCATGTCGCCGCTGTTGACTACTCCGACAGCAAGGGCCTCGTCTCAAACTATGACACTGCCCTCCGACTTGTGGAGGACCTCGGCCTCGGCTTGGTTGCCAGCGCATCCACCTATGAGGCCCAGCACATGTCTCTCTTCGCCACCCTCCTGGCTTCTCTCCTGCCCACCCTCCACATATACGATGGCGTTCGTACCGCCAGGGAGACTCTCCGAGTTGTCGATGCCCTGAGCGAGACTGGTATTGCCGACTTGTACACGAAGCTCGCTTCCGAGGTCGCCAAGCTGAACACTCGCCTTGACACCGCTGGCAAGGTCGTCGAGTTGCTGAAGGCCTTCAACGATGAGCTCGGAACTATCTACCAACCCTTCGAGTACCATGGCCACGAGACCCCCGATGTCGTCCTCGTTGCCTTCGGAAGCGTTGAGACCCAGGTCACTAAGGAGGTTCTCACCAAACTTGCCGCCGATGGTGCCAAGGTTGGCGTTATCAACGTCCGAATTTACCGACCCTTCATCGAGGAGGCTTTCTTGAAGGCTATCCCTGCTTCTGCCCGCACCATTGCCGTCTTAGGCCAGGTTAAGGACGACCTTGCTGTCGAGGATGAGGCTACCCAGTCTGCTCTCTACAGCGATGTTCTCACTTCCATCGCCTTCTCCGGCAAGTTCGACCAGGAACCTGATGTCCTCGATATCAAGTACACTCCCGCCCAGTCCTTGACTCCCCAAGGTCTTGTTGGCACCCTCCACAAGATCTTTGGCAACGACGGTGACGTCAAGACGCTGCCGTCTCTCATCCAAGCCGAGCAGTATACCTTCTGGGATCTTGACGACTCGGCTGCCCTCAACTCCGCCAGCGCTCTTGGCAACCTGCTCGCCAAGGAGTCCACCTCCAATGTCTACGTCAACGAGACTTTTGACAACCTTACCCAGGGCGGTATCGTCCGAAGCGATGTCCGAGCTTCCAAGAAGGCTCTCGAGGCTCCTTACGACATTGACGAGGCCGACACCGTCGTCGTTGGAGACGAGAGGATTCTCAAGGAGGTGGATGTGGTCAAGAGCCTGGTAAATGGTGGAAAGATCATTGTCAAACTCCCCAACTTCAAGGACGAGGATGTGGAGAAGAGACTCCCCGTTGCCTTCCGAAAGGCTATCCAGGAGAAGGCTGCCGAGCTCTTCATCTTGGACATCTCCAACTTGCCTTCATACGAAAAGGATCCTCTCACCTCCAAGCTTCTGCTTGAGTTGGCCTTCTTCAACACTGCCAATCCTACGATTTCTCCCCAGGATCTCGGACAGTTGGTCACCGAGGGCAAGACTCCTACTCTCGGGGCAGCTCTGGAGGCTCTCGCCGTCTGCCTTCGCCAATATGAGATCCCTGCTGCCTGGGCTGAGGTTGAAGCTGATTACGCCGACCCCAACCTCCCCGTCACCATCAAGGGCAACAGCTTCGTCTCCCACCAGAAGGAGGAGGTCGAGGAGACTCTCGAGCTTCAGGACTGGCAGATTGCTGCCAAGGCCCTTGCCTTCAAGGAAGCCTACGGTGCCAAGTCTACTCTACGACCAGACCTGTCGGTCAAGACCGCCACCGTCACTGTCAAGGAGAACCGTCGTCTCACCCCTGGTGACTACGACCGCAACATCTTCCACATTGAGTTCGACCTCGGTGACTCCGGTCTCACCTACAAGATTGGTGAGGCTCTGGGTATCCACGCTGAGAACGATGAGGAGGAGGTCAACCAGTTCATCAAGTTCTACGGTCTCAACCCTGCCGATCTTGTGCCCGTTCCTTCGCGCGAGGACCCCGATGCGCTGGAGGTCCGTACCGTTTACCAGGCTTTGATCCAGAATATCGATATTCTGGGTAAGCCTCCTAAGCGGTTCTACGAGGCCCTGGCTGAGTTCGCCACCGATGAGACTGAGAAGGGCAAGATTGAGGCTCTGGGTGGCCAGACTGGTGCCGAAGACTTCAAGACCCGCTCTGAGATTGATACTCTCACCTACGTCGATATCCTGGAGGAGTTCAAGTCTGCTCACCCCAGCTTCCACGATCTGGTCAAGATTGTCAGCCCCCTGAAGCGTCGCGAGTACTCCATCGCTTCTGCTCAGGCCGTGACCCCCACGTCCGTCTCTCTCATGATTGTCGTTGTCGACTGGGTCGACCCCCGTGGACGCACCCGATACGGTCAAGCCACCCGCTACCTCAGCCGTCTGCCGGTTGGTGCCAAGGTCACCGCCTCCGTGAAGCCTTCAGTCATGAAGCTTCCCACCAAGGACACCGCGCCTCTCATCATGGCCGGCCTCGGAACTGGTCTCGCTCCTTTCCGCGCCTTCGTCCAGTACCGTGCTATGCAGAAGGCCCAGGGCAAGGAGATTGGCTCCATTCTCCTGTACCTTGGTTCTCGTCACCAGCGTGAGGAGTACCTCTACGGTGAGGAGTGGGAAGCCTACCTGGCCGCCGGCGTTGTCACTCTCATCGGCTCTGCCTTCTCTCGTGACCAGCCTCAGAAGATCTACATCCAGGACAGGATGCGCCAGACTTTGAAGGAGATCGCCAAGGCCTACATCAAGGACGAGGGCAGCTTCTACCTCTGTGGTCCCACGTGGCCAGTGCCTGACGTGACCAAGGTTCTCGAGGAGGCTATCGCTGCCGAAGCCAAGGCCGCCGGCAAGAAGGTCGACCCGCGGAAGGAGATTGAGAAGCTCAAGGAGGAGGGCCGATACGTCCTCGAGGTTTACTAAATTGCATGAGTATATAACGTGTTATGAATCTCGCCAAAATTTGAGTCTGGTATATATATGAACTAGAGTAGCTTGAAGCGTATGAATATAGTCAAAAGTCATGTTGTTTACCTATTTGCCAACAGTCTTCGAGATGTGACACCGTGGGTCGCTTCCCTGGTTGCCTCGTGTTTGCGGGAGTTTGAGTCCACTGCTATGGCACGACAATCGTGTGCCAGCCGGTGGCAGCCATTTCGGTCGCATCTTGATGTTCCTCTTGTCGTCGAGGGTCCTACCAGTATGGAGTTGTGTGTGCGTCTGTGTTGGGTGATGCTGACTGTTTACCGGCCAGCGTGTTGGGATCCGACAGTCCTGTGGGGACGAGGCGCCAGGATACGGTCGAGAGTAGACGGGCGCCTAGTAATGATGAGATCATGGAGTATTGAATATAGGCTTCCCATCGGTCGCAGTGGTGAATAGATTCTGGCACGGAGATGGGTTGGTACCCGACGTCGAGGGATGTTCTGCTCGGTCGCCTGTTCTCGTAGATCGTCGCCGCCTCGTCGATGATGGAACCTCGTTCGACCGTATCGTCGGTGCTGCGTCGAGTTCGTAGCTGTTGTTTTACCGTGTTGGAATCGGTGTCGTGGTCATTCAATGCGTTGCGAGGAGATGGTACCGGGAGAGAATTTGGTTAATTGCTTCCAGGGGCGGCTTCGTGTTGGGCCTCAACGGCCTCCGTGGCCTCTCCCGCCAGTAACGGAGTCGGCCAGCAGCCAGCGCGCGAACACCAGGTCTCATATCTCGAAACCATCACTCTCGCTGGACTGTAGAAGACTCCGAGCATGAAGGTGCTTTTGGATTCCAGCGAGCGGAGAAGGAGGCCGTCAATACCTCCGCCTTGACTCGGCAGGAAATGCCGCAGCGATCTTTCCGTCAGCTTCTGGACGCCGGGACAGGTTCAAAGAGAGGTGGAAGGGGATTCTGCTTGTAAAGGATTGCTCTAGTATGGTAGAGAAGGATTGTATCGCGTCTTCCAGTAGGTCCGGGGCCAAAGGAGCCAGATCGTCCGCAACCACGGTGACCAGCGTGGAGCGGGGAAGCTATCACAGTATCTTCGCCAGTGATGCTGCGGTACATAGTTCTCACGTTGTCCGGCAGAGCTATTAGGGGGCTAGTGACAGCATGGTCTCTCTGTCTTTGTCTTATTCTATCATGTTTCATCCTTCGCTAAACTGGAGCTGTCCTCTTCTTCCACCGCCGTAGAGTCGAACGACTGGTGGTGCTCAGGATCTGGTCGTAGCACCAGTAGATGACACGAAACTCGGTTTACAATCCACAGGCATCGAATCAGCAAAGGCAAAGAACGTGAATACGGCCATCGCTCAACCCAAGAGACTTCCTACGACCAACAAGACGCCGACTCGAACGCCTATCCTGTGAAATAGTCAACAACGCCTTCCTTTCGTTATAACTTCCTCTCAACATCGTCTACCCTAAACCCGATGGTCGCAGGGCGTAGCCCCACTGCGATTCTTCCCTTTCACTTCGCAGTAGCGGACCCAAGGGAATGGTTGACGCTTAAGACTAGTTTGAACACGGACGCATTCTTGTTTCAAGGCAACTACGATTTCAGAGACACAATTACGATATCACTTCGTCTTTCCATCGCGTCTCTCCTCTTCAAGTCTCACCACTCTCTCAATCAGCACTCCTCTCCCTTACCGCAGCCGATCTGATTACGGCCCAAACACGGCAAGGTTGGGCAGTGTTACCATCTCATTACTGTCGGAAAGCGCGGGCCTCCTGAGCCAACCAGGGGCTGGCAAGCTAACTAACTAACACACAGACCTTGCAGCTGAGTGTCATGGGTGAGTTAGTAAAAACCTACCCAATGCCAAGGTTTGTACTTCGTAGAGGAGGTCTAGAGCGATTAGTGTGGCGGTGACAGCGATTTGAGCCCGAATACCGACTATGCAAGGATGGCGGCGATGGATACGGGGCAAGTGATGAAGCTATGTGGGTGGAGATTGATAGCTGGGTTGTGGATGCCATCGTCTGACCGACTCTCGGGACCCCAGCAAATAACACCCAAGGTTACGATATGTCATCTGCGCCAAAGCATTAATTTGAGGCGTTAGTGGATGATCCAAGCGGTTCGTGCTGGGCGGTGTCTGTCCACGTGAAGTATCCCACGGAAATGAGCTCATCGAGCTGATCGAGAAGAAAAAAGCAAACATATAACGGCTGGGGGGTAGTCAGCAAAGGCGAATGGACTGGAGGCCTGCTCACGAACCAGTCAGTTACGAGTCCCCCCACGAAAGGCGCCACTGCATGACGCCGCTAAAGTCTTGTCGGGTCAGCACTGGTAGTTGTGGAAATTCGATGGACGTGATTTGCTCTATGGCTGCCGCCTCGATCGACAAAGTAAATCCGCCCTTGTCCAGACGGAGCGGCTAGGGGGCCGATATGAAGCAAGAGGGATAACCGTCACATGATGGATGTCTCGGGCGGTAAGGGAAGTACATACATACCCTTCCTCTTTGACCGATAGACACAGTAGTCTCCGGGGGAGACGGGTCGGCGTTACGAGGGCCGATTGCGCGGAACTCAGTCAAACAACTAGTCTATAAGCTAGTAGGGTGGCGAGTGACTACGCACTACGTAGAATTCATGGCTGACGGCCTGAAATTGTCTAAATACCCAATATTGACATGGCATTTCGCATTACCCATGACTGTTGCGGCTGTGAGTGAGGCGGTCCCGACATGGAGTTGATGCAGCTGATCTGGAAGCGATTTACTGAGCTGTCACCAATTCAGCATTGTTTTTGTTGATATTGATCCGTTCTGGGCGGTGAGGCGGTCGTTTCAGGTGCAAAGCCCCCACACAATCTCGCAGATCCGTCGAGGCCAATCTGCTGATGGCTACGGAGTAACAAGCATTGCTTTTTCTCAACCTTTCGATTTTCGACCCCTTCGCCGGCCACCTGGGTCGCATTCCCACCAAATTGGAACTACTGTGCAGCATTCTCCACTGCAACTCATGTCCCTTGCCCTGTATCCATGTAGATACATATGCGTACGTAGTGCACGAAGACGCCTCGCGGGCGTTCCATCCGTGGGGCAGTCGAGGACGCCATCTCCCATCAAACAATCCCAACTGAGCGGTTGTGGAACTGAGATGAGGGCTGTGGAGACGACCAGGGGGGTTTCGGGGAGTCCACCCGAGACACTGAACCGCCTACTACTTCGTATGTACCTACAGCCGTGCCGCTTGGGCGTCGCTTTTGGTGGTTGAAATGTTGGGCCGTCGTGATACCAGCAAGGACAGGGATGGCAATGCTAGGACCGAGACCGAGAGACAATGAGACGGGAGACGGAAGGCCCGAAACTAGATATCCGAGACCCGGGACTAGATGCACGCAAGATTGGGCAAGATGTGTGGGGGACAGAGACACGAAGAGAGACATGGAGAGAGAGACATTGGGGGAGGCACAACTCACGAGACAATGAGAGACAGGCTGACTGACACCTGGCAGGCTAGACTTCAGACGAAGCGGCATGACAGAAGGAAGCCTCAACGCCAAGCAAGGTATCGCGTCCCATCTGACCGTCATGGCGTCGTCCAGCAGCAACTCCCTCGGCAGTGGCCGTCGAAGCACCGCACCAACGAACGGCAGCTATGCGGGAGGGATGCCTTCTTCTACAGCCACCGACCTACGTAATTGGGACGACAGGGGTGCTCCTCCGCCAGACCGGTATGGAGATGTCTTGCCCCAGAGACGCATGGTTGGCTGCATCCATGTCCACGTGCGCCACCAGCCACGCTCGAGTCAGACAGCGGCATATCAAAGCACAGCGGGAAGCCGGGGGGACTCGGGGGAGCAGAGCAAGGGACGTCTAACGTACCTATCCAACATGACGCTCTTTGGACACAACTCGACACATCTCGACGCAACTTTACCGCCGTTTTACATCCCGTGCCCCCCCGCGCGTAGTGCCCGGTGATAGCCGTATTACTTGACCCCATGGTTCCAGATCCTCCCATGTGCCCAACGCCCAACGCCCCATGGTCTGCTGTCACGCCGATGACTTGCCCAGATCTCTCTCCCGTGCGGCCTCGGTCCGGAGTGGGCCTCCCGGAGGCGGAGATAGATGTATGGCACTCCCAAAACAGGAAGGGCAGAGAGCACAAGTGTCTGAGCGTTGGCCCCTTGCTTGAGGATGCGAGATCTGCGACATCCCAGCTGGAGGGGAGGGTCTATCTCACGCGGAGCCCACAAGAATCTAAGAATCTAGGAATCTGTATCCACTCGACTATCCGCAGGCAGAGGCAAGCCACGCTACCAGACTACAGGGACATGAAATCTGGCCCGGGAACCCTGCGGCGGTCTGCAACGGCCCAAGAGGGAAACTACCTGGAGTGTGGACGATTGATACGAGCGACAGGTGCCAGGCACTTGGGCGGTTGCTACGTAGCAGGCGGTAAGGCGTCGACGAGACCGGGGGGGGGGGAAGGGAAGAGTGTGTGGAATGTGGAAATCGGCCACGGAACTAACATGAGGGAAGGGCGTTTCTTCAGCCCGTGCGTTGTGGGTGAAGATCCCTGCGATGAGACGATGCGACGATGAGACGATGCGCAGTAGCATCGAATCAAGCAAAGACCAACGCGAGCAGAGGCCACTTCCAGGCCACTGCGCTGTTGTTGCTGCACTGCTGCATACGCTGCAGATTGCAGATGAGACCCTCCCCCCAGCCGAGCCGCTGAGATTAGATATGTACTGACTGAGATGCTGGCATGCAAGCCCCGTCGCCCAGCGGTGCAACAGACTCCCAAACCGGCCGAGGAACCACGGAACCGCAGACGTACGAGCATGCAATGCGCCTACATATGCGTGCCGCACAGCAACTACCGGCCGCCGGTCTGCAAGCCTAAGCGCACCGCCAGGGCCTGGACGTCATCTCGACCCCCCGTGACTGACGGGCCGCCCAGGATCCTTGGCACCGCGCATTGCATTTGCAGCGGCCGAGTGAGGCGGATCCGGAGCACCACGACCGAAACAAGACGAATCGTCCATCGTGGGCCGTGGCCTTCACGGAGCGAGGACGAGACAACTGCCCCTTCTCTCACCGTCCGCTGCCGGGAGTTGGAGCGCTGACGCATGGCGTCGTCATAAACATGTTGATTTCATATGGAATGGCACGATGGATCATGACATGTGCCGTGGCGACACGCCGATAGCTCTCTCGCGTCGCCTCTCTCCTCATTATCTTTTCTCCCAGGCTTGTCACAACTCGGCACAAGGGCTACGTAGCATTAACAAGTGTAGCAAACCGGCAATTCTTTTTTCTGGCTGTCTTTTTTTTTTTTCTTTCCCTTTCGGTCAGACGCCCTGCCGAGGGTCTAGATGTGCGAGATGGAGGGGCGGGTTAATACTTCTGCTAGCACTCGCGTAGCGATGTGAGATGTCAGATACATGAACAAGGTACGGAATAGATGGGTCGAGATCGGGGGTGTTTGAGTAACCTATCCCGGTTGTCTCGCAGGTAAGATGCGCGTGCATGTGCGCGTACGTGTATATGTCTGTAACGACGACTCTATTGCCTTTTTCGCTACGGCCCGTCTCGATTCCCTTCATTTCCCCATTATGAACCCCATGCCTCTTCCGGTAATCCTGCGCGACACTCGATATTTCTTTGCTTGGGATAATGCTGACAAGCGAGCATGTCAAACCCAATCAAAGAGCCAAAAAATAAATAAATTAATAAATAAAAAAGCAAGTATACAAGCAAGATGGAACATGGCAATAGGCCGGCGCAACGTCACACGGTCCTCCGCATCTCGTAAGAGATCACCCCTGTTCGCAGTCCAAGCAGTGGCAATTTCGACTCAGCAAAAGAAAAAAGAAAAGAAAAAGAACGAGGCAAGAAGCAAAAGGTCAGACGCAGCCCAGATGAACAGGGGGCGTGCATGGGCGGTGCAGGGGTCCGCGATAGTATGCGAGATGTCATAGGAGGGGCAAAAAAGCAACCCCCAAACGACTAAGTAAAACCAAGGAAGTAGGTAGTACACGCTCACTCTCACAAGACACGGAGCTGGAAAAAAGCAATGAGGGAAGGGGGAGCAGAGGATAAAAAGACATTAGATGAATACAATAAGAAAATAAAATAGAAGAACTCCGTCATGCGGCCTTATCCCAGCCTTGTAAGCCCCAAAAAAAGGAGACACAACTCCTCTCTAATAGTTTCCCAGATCGTCGCAACGGCCGGTGGTTGGACGGCGGGACGGAGGCGGGGGACGGAGGTGCAGCCGGAGGCGAGTGCGGGCGGTCCTTGATGAGGGAATCCGGTTCGGCGGCGACGTGATTTGACGGGATGCGATGCGAATTGGTGCGTCGCACATGGTTGCGCATCGCCGCGCGCATCGTCAGATGAGCCGGCCGCCCTTGTCCGTCGACTGCGTCCGTCTACGATGCCATCGCGCCCCGTTTCCTCCCTTGCCTGCCTCTCTCTCCGCATTGCCCTGTCCAACCCAGCCCAGCCCAGTCCAGTCCAGCCCAAGCCCAGCCCTGTACCAAGCAACTGCGCTGCGCTGCACTGCACGTATACTGCACTGCACTGCCGCCAGCGACAACGCCAGCGCCAGCGCCAGCGCCGTCGCTAACACCAACGCCATGGCACATTTCCATTCCGCGCCACCCACTGTCCGTCAAGTGAGTTAGGTAGTCCCGGTCTTGTCACCGTGGCTGCTTCCATGCCATGCTTCCTTATCCATGCTTCCTTGTCCATGCAGTCCCGTCCCGTCTCATCTCGTCGCCGTCGCTTCACTTTTTTTTTTTTTTCCCTTTTCGTCGTCGTGCGCTGGGGTCTCAAAGAAAACGAAAACGAAAGCAGTCGCGCAGCCGCGCCGCCGCCTAGTTGGCCCATCCCCGGGTCCAGTCCTGCAGGTCCCCGACAATCTGGTACGTGGGATTCGCCGACTGCCCATCGCCGCCCTTCCTGTCCCAGGCCCACCGGTCCGCATAGTCGCTGCCCAGGGTGCCCTGCATCATGTCCACGACGTAGTCGCCGATGACGGGCAAGAACTTCCATCCGTGGAACGAGCCGCCCGTCGCCAGGTACAGGCCGTTGGCGTGCGGGTGCGGTGAGATGAGGAAGTCATGTGTCGGCGTAGATGCGTCCCTGTGTCACACCGGTCAGTTAACGTTGCTCGTTCGATGCGCGGGAAAGCGAAAGGGGGATGTTTCGTTGTTCGCTTCCCAACCGCCGCCAATCGGGAAATATCATACCAGCACATCCGGTAGGCCTCGATCTTGATCTTCTCGACCTCCTTGCCGTACAAGCCATTGAGCGTCCGCCGCGCCCGGTCCTCGAAGAACTTGAGGAATCGCGGGCCGGTCCACGTGTTGTACATGGACTGGTCCGGCACAACGGACATGGCCTCGCCCGTGGGCGGGAAGATTTGGTAGTTGGTGAAGCAGAGGTCGCAGTTGAATTTGATGGTGCCGTCATCGAGCATTGACATGCCCTCGCCTGTAAGACAAAAAGATGTGTCAGCCAGCCATCTCTGTGCGACAGTGATACCAGAGAAGGGGGGGGGAAACCCACCTTTGACCTGCGGCAAGCAGTTCTTCAGCACAGGAATCGAAGCAAACTTGTCCTTCTGCGCCCCGTGCAGCTTTGCGTGGAAGCTGACGGCGCCCGTAGCCAACAGCCTGTTGCCGGCGTGGAGCTGCACCCTGTCCGGGGCGCTCTGGGCCAGAAGCGACGCCGTCCGGGCGCCCGCGGCCAACAGCACCTTGTCGGCGCTCAACGTCGCGCCGCTCAGCAGCTTGACGCCCGTACACTGGCCCTCGTCGCCAAACTCCAGCGTGCTGACCTCGCCCACGACATACTCGGCGCCCAGGTCAACTGCCGCCTGCACCACCGCGCCAAGCGCCAAGTCGGCCCTGGCGAAGCCCACACTGGGGTTGTACAGGATGTGGTCCACCCCCTTGAAGTCGGCCGTGGCTAGGGCGCCGTTCCAGCGCCGCCGCACCTCGTCCACGGGCAGCAGCTCCGAGTCGTTGGCGACGCCCATGTCGCGGTACGAGGCGATGCTCTCCTCACCAAACGACGTCGAGTCGGCCCGCAGCATGCCCACCTCGTGATACCACGTCTTGTAGAGTTCGTCCTGCCGCCAGAGAGGCATGGCCTTGGCCAGCATGCGCATGTAGAGCCTGTCCGGGTAGTCATCCCGGACGATCTTGTTGATGTCATGAGAGGCGGCTCTGGGGTTCGGGTAGGCCGCTGTATCGACAAGGGTCACCTTGACGTTGCCCTTCTTCATGAGGGAGAGGGCCGTAGCGGCACCGAAGTTGCCAGCCCCAATGATGAGGACAGAGGAAGAATGGGAAGCCATGATAGGTATCAAAGAAGTCTGGTCGGCCAATTCGCGGCGCATAAGATGTGAGAGCCCCTTTGCGAGTAGATGGAAAGCTCGTCCGCGCTGTCGTGAGCAGCCAAGGCGCGCGCGGCGGCAGCTTTATATTATTTTAAGCTTCCACTTTCTCGCACCCCCCCCCCCGAGCCACTTCCCGGCCCGGGATTCGGAGCTTAGGAGCTTAGGAGAGTAGACACGAGTAGCGGTCGGGGAGACACCAAGCGGCCAGCAGCCAGCGACCAAGCAGAGGCTGGCCGGCAAGTAGGCGAGAGGCAGGGCGCCGCAAGGTAAGGCAAGGTAAGGCAAGGCACGCACCCGAACCCACGAGCTATTCTTGGCCCCCCTCCACCCCAGTTGCGAGAATCCCAGGAGCCGGGACGACGCCAGCCACATCGTGGAGCCCAAGAGCCCCCCAGGGGATTTCCCAGGGCGGTCCCCCAGGATCATCTGGCATAAGATGCCTCTACTACGTACGTAGGTAGTGCCCAAGGACGGGGCCTCCCCGGCCGGCCGGTCCAAGCTCTCGACGGGACCACGCTTGACACGCTCGATGCTTTGCCGCTTGATGAGCTACGCACATCTCAAAAGCCAGAGGACCAAGCAAACCGGCAAGATTGGCGTGTCCCACCAGGCATCTTGTCTCAATCCAACGGGTACAGGGGCAAAAAAGGAACAAAACCTGACCAAGGGCCCAAACCTCCTAGGGGTCCGGCCTGTTGTTGGGCGCCGGGGGGGTGGACATGAGGCGGAAGGGGGACACGAGGCTGCCGTGTACCATGGATGCCATGTCGTACGGTCATACCGCGTTGCAAGTTGGAGTGGCCCAGCATGACTCGGTGCGACGTGCAAATGGGTAAACGGGCTAGGTGAGAGGAGAGAGAAGAGAAGCTCCCCTCGCCTCTTTGGTTCTTCTCTCACTCTTCCGTCGCCGGCCCCTCCCCCCCATCTCCCATCTCCCCCATTCTCCCATCTCTCCCTGCCTCCAGCTCTCCTCTTCCAACGCCCCCCCTCCAATCATTAGGAAAAGCAAAACATCCCAGCTTACTAACCTGTAAGGTTCCGCCTCGCTCCATTTCGGTTTGCCGCTCTCGGGATGGTTGGTGTCTCTTCGTGGCGGCGGATGGACGCCGGACGCCGGAAGGCTTCTAGTTGCCCCGTGCCACCCGCAAGTGTTTGCCTGGGCATCAAGTTCTTCCCTTCCCGCCTCGCCTCGCCGGTAATTAGTGCCGTGGACATGAGTAATGTCGTGGGAAACTACATCAGCGCTCCGCACCGCTGAAGCCCAGGAGCCAACAAGCTCCAATCGCTACGGATGGGCTGTGTTGCTGCGCTGTTCCGTGCCGCGGTGCGTTGTGTTTGTAATACATGATGGTTTTTTTTTTTTTTTTTTGAACGACACACGCCCGGTCCATAGGTACCTAGGGGCCACTGCACTAAGTTACGTGCTACGTACATTCCAGCACGGCCCAGTCAGTCCCTGACATGCAGCAGTGCTTTTGCCCTTTGGGACCATATCCACAAGCGCCACGCATTAGCGGGGTCGGCCAGTTGGGATCCCCACGAGATCTACTCTCCGGGTCATACATGACATGGAACCTTCCGTGGGTACACTTTCTTGGTACCACAGTTACTGGGTCAGTTATCCCATGGACACAGTCATGGGTACAGTTACGGTACGATGCCAAGCAAAATGGATGGATGCTGTTGACTCTTCTCTCCCTTCGGCAACTATCTGCCTATTACCGTCATACGTAGCAGTGATCAATTACTCGACAGCGCTCTCCTTCACCCTGGCCCATGACACAGCCCGGGTCCTTCCCGTTGTCCCCCTCGAGACATGACAAGGACAAGACTACCTACTAGGTACCTTACATACTGCGTAGTACACCGCCCTGTCCCCTGTTCCTCTCCCCTCTCCTCTCCTCTCCTCTCTTTTCCTCTCTCCTCCTCTCCTCTCCTCTCTCCTCTTCTCTTTCCGTCGTTGCCTCCTCTGTCTCCTCATCTCGTCTCACGAAGACCTCACTCCGATCCTTGTAACTCCCTGGCCCATCCTGCTCTAGGCCCGCACCGTTGAGGAGCCACGTGCGCCACTTAGGGTTGGGGCGGAGAGTGCAGCGCTCGTCTGGACGAGGTCCGAGTACGATTTCGGCGCCTGTGTGTGTGGAGAAGAGTAGATTGACCATTAAGATCGGATCGCAAAGCCTGGTTTGAGGCTCCATCTTGGATCCTTGACCATGGGCCTCACACAAAGTCGGTGCCCAATCAGACCGGTTAATGCCCCTGAATTCCTCCGCCTCATGACATAGACATGACCAGTCTCTCTCGTCACCCTTTGTGCAGACCGTGCTTAGCCTCCCCATGTTACCCTACCCCGAGTGGTCCGTTCTCTTTGATCTCCATGGATGCCAATTCTAAACCATGATCCTTGTCCTAGGGGTGATCCCACAAGGCAAGATGGAGGGAAGAGATTTTGCCTGACAGGCGCCGGTTCGCACTTACACGGTGCTTTCCCGGTGCAACCCAACACTCGGAGACATATCCCAAGAGTCCAACACCCGGCACATTTGCTGCGCGTCATTTAAGTGCCGCAGAGGCACGAAGCCAAGAACTTTGCCCAAGCCGCCCGTCCCACGTACCTGGTGCGATCACTGTGATGCGTTACCTTTCATCAGAGAGGTCGATTTTCGATTCTACCCCCCTAGCTGTTTCATGCGTCTCTCGAGCCAGTTTTGTCGCCCTCTTGCGCCTAGCAGTACCTGCGAAACTGAATCCAGTTTCACCCGCAAGGTGGCTGTGCTTCCTTCTTCCAGAAGGATTTGAACACCGATATTGGCCGCATGACTCCGAGAGATCTCGGGATGGCTGTGCAACTAAGACGCTCAAGACACGATGACGTTCATCTATCTCTGACCTCATAAACATCTTCACTCGCGGCTGGCTCGCTGTTGGCATGACGGACGGCTGGGTGCGTGGCCCGTCCCGAGTCGCGCGCCTCTGCATGCAAGTGCCAGCGTGATGCGATTTTAAAGACACAAAAGGGTGTGTTGGCGGTTTGAGTGATCGCTGCTCCCTCACGGGACCAGCTGGCATTTGTTGTTCCTCTTGGCGGCTATTATCGGTCAATGTCTTAGGACTGACCGGTCGAATCCTCATTTTTGCGAGAAGCAAGTTAGTGAGCCCTCTCCACCGCCAATGGGCGAAGTGATATTCGACGAGTGATTTGGTACCGATGATTAGAGCTGAGCCCGCCCCGAAATAGCCCAGACACCTGGACAGCGCGCCCGCTTCCCGTAACCCGTCGTTTTCCATCTTATGCATTATAACCGTGATAGGTCCTCTGAATTATTAGAGGGCCTCGGTAGGTTCCAGACGAACTTTCTTCGTCCTGCGACCTGTACCAAGTAGTTGCCATCAGCCGCCGTGGGGGCTGGCTGGAAATGGCACTTTAGCCGACGCCGTCTACTACTACATTGGAGGCAGTACGCGGCCAATGAGTGCGTGTTGCATATCGGGCAGTCCAGACTCTGGGCCGCCTCGCATTCTTCACCGGCCGCCTTGGTCTTCCAATCATAATCTAATCTAGAGCGGGCGGGAAAACTGACCGGTCATGGCCATCCCACCCCCAAAAGAAAGCACACGTCCATCGTCTCACCGACCCGCTATCATGTCATGACACGATGCTTCACAGTGGCCTTGTGTCTCTCAAGACCATCTCTGCGGGCAAACTTTCGTTTTTTGGGAGGATTTGGACAGCCAGGAACGTCGCAGCGCCACGGCTTCCGATGTTTGTTGCAGTGTTGTCTGCGTTGGTGGTTAGCGGATGGTGAACGTCTCTAATGGATTCAGGTAAGCTGAATGGGCTAAGTGGCAAGCGTACGCAAAGGATGAATTCCGATCAAAGAGCACTAGGTTGCCGTCCTTGTCTACCCCACCCTTGTCACAACGATGTCCCAGGGGGCAGTAGTACGAGCCCTTGCCTCTCTGCTTCAGAGCTTCCATGTCGATCCTGGCGAATTGCTCGTCCTCGTCCTCGTCCTCCTCCGAGTCATCTGACATGGATGCAATGTCGCAGGGCGAGGAGGGGTGACCGGGGGACATCTGTGACGTCGGAAGTGCCTTTTGACTGCCGTGGACTCTAGTCTCTGCCTCGCTTGCCACTACCGGAGGTCGCGTCAACGGAGTTCGCTTCATCTCGAAGGACGAGAAGGCGGTCTGCGGAGCTGGCACTGGCACTGGCGTATCGGGCGAGGCGGGGGGAACTGGCAACCAAATCTCCTGGACCTCACGGGAGAACTTCTCGGTCAGGTCCCGGATTTTACTATCAAGGGCATGTTAGCCGGGCTTGGTCACAGTGTGGTCACAGCACGTTGACAAACGATAGGTATGTAATGCGCGCGTGGGATGGTCTTACCATAGTCTTCGAAGTTCTACATCCATGAGGAAGAGGGGAGACAGTTCGGAGACGTGGTTCCCTAGCCTCGACTGCTCATGCGCATCGACAGCCGCCATCTCCACATGCGACCCATTAACCAGGTTGTCGGTCAAGCGGGACCACACGCGCGCAGCCTGGGTCAGGTAGTCTCCCATGTCACTGATTAGAGTCTTGGGATGGACGGGCGGCGTCGAGGCTGGTGCCGGGGCCGTCATGGACAGTTCCCTGGTAGCAATTTCCAGCTGGCGGCGGACCAAGGCCTCCAGGGTGCTGGTGGACGCGGCATTGATTCCGGACTCGAAAACGTGCACCACTGACGGGATCGACATGGTGTGCAAAGTAAGGATGGAGCAATGGAGCGAGTGAGGTTAGTTTGCCTCAGACTATCCCACGCTCAGCAGAGCCACGGTTCCGGCCCAATGCACTGGGCCAACCACGCGGGATCTAGTGGTAGCGGGCAACTGGTAGCACGGAGGCTAATCAAGGGAGCGGCCGGGGGCCAGTTCGGGGCGGCGCGGCGCGCGGCGCGGAGATGGCGGGAGACGCAAAAAGCGCTTTGGAAAGGGGAGGGGAGGGGAGGGGAATGGCGGATAGCAGGAGGCAGATGGAGGGTCAAGCCTGGGGGGGTAGGACTCGGGCTCTCAGCAGAAGAAAAGGGATGCGCAGGTCGGCAACGGAGGGCAAAGCGTGACCGATGATAGATAGATATCCTTAGGCGGGTTGCGTGGTGGTACCTTTGATAGGGGCGGGCCAGCAGCGACCGTTCGGCACACCCTCGAGCTTGCTTGTGAACCGTGTCACAACGGCGGGTGTTGCGAGCGATGCGAATGTTGAGAGAGCGTTGAGGGCGTCGAGAGCGTCGTGATCCGCGGAGAGAAGGACGACAGCGAAAAGGGGTATTTCGACGGCGAGACGGATGACCTGACGCTGCCTTTTCTTGCCGCCCGCCCTTGGACACAGGTTCTTATGAGGCCGGTGAGAGGCAAGACACGCTGTACCGGGCACGGGCACAGCTTTTCGGAAGGGTGACGGGTGATGGGGGAAGAGGGAACAAGGGTGATGTGGGAAGAGACAACAAGGCGAGGGGGGCGCTAATGCACGGGGGGGCGCTAGCAGCCCGTCTCACGGCTTGTACCTCGACGGCTAGGCACTGTCTGTTTGTGTGTCCTAGGGGGGTCAAGGTCTCTGACCAGTCGATCAGGCCGGGTGGTGTGCGTGCGGTTATTCCAGGGGTTCCCGGTCGACTTCTGGGATTGTTAATGGATCCCTGGTCGATTCCTAGCCGATTCGTGTCCGTTTGCATTCCGCCCTGGCGCCCAATTGCGCATTGTTTTGCTTTGCTTCCATGTCGCTGGCCGCCCGCAATCAATCCGCCCGCTGGTCGCCCGCGCTGCGCCCTCCCATCTCCATCTCTCCCATCACACCCTCTGTTCTGGCCTGTCCGTGCCCTGTTCACCACCTGTCCGTGCCCTGTTCACCACCCGTCCGTGCCCCCTTCCACCACCCCGTCCATCCCGCGCCCAACGCCACCCATCACCCCCATCACCCATCCACCACCACTCCAACACCCCCCGTCCCCTTGTCAGACACGACGCCAGAGGCGCGTGAGGCGCGCCAGACGATGGAGGGCAAGCTTCCTGCTCAATTTGCCCGCACACACTCTCTCGATCCCCAGCGGGCAACACAGCGCCGGCCATCGTGAGGCGGCGTGCTACTAACCATTGGAAAAGCACCGTTCATGCCCTTGTGCCAAGACTCGTCTGGCCCCAAGGTCGAGAGCTCCCTCTGATGTGGGGAGCGGCTTGCGTCCAACCACCAAGCTTGTTCTCGCCAGCACCTCCGCCCTCAGCGATAGGAACGGGGGCCCAGACGCAGGCGACGCCCTACCATGGTCGACGTGCCTTTTAATGCAGGTGTCTCCCCAGACTCGCTCACACCATGCTCATGCTCTTCTGACTCTGCTACAACACCCCTCGGTTGTCTCCTCTCCCGCCCCTTCCCTTCCATTGTTTTCTCCTCTCGCCCCCGCAATCCCAGTGGTCCCTCCCCCCCTTCCTCCAATCCACTGATCCCACTCCTGGCCGGCGTGGATTTTTGCCTTGAAGCGAACCACTCTGTTGGTATCCTCGAGGTCGGACGCACCTTACCGAGAGAACTCTCCCCTCCCCCCCCCTAGTCCCGGCGCCCCCGTCGGTCCTCTCTCTGGCCCGTGGCCTTGTTGTCGCCCGGCCTTCTCTCATCGTCGCTTGTTCTCGCCGCCGCCGCTCCTGCCTTGCCTTGCCTTGCCTGCTGCGCTGCTGCTGCTGCTTGCTGTTCGCTGCTGTAACCCGCCTCCCCGGCCATCTCCGACTGGTGGTGCCACTCCATCTTGTTCTCTCCTCTCTCTCGACTGCATACCGCAGCAGACCGCAGCATACCGCAGCATTGAGCATTGCTTAGCACTGCAGGCTCGTCGGAACCTCTCTCCGACGCGTCTAGCACTCTGCTTGGCCTGAGCGCCGCGGCAACCTGCTGAGATGGAGGACTCAACAGGCTCTGATCGTCCACTGAAGCGTGTCAAGTATGCGCAACAGGAGGACCTTTCCATTCCCACCCTCCCAGGGAACATGGCCATGGGGATCATCAGGCCTGTCGACAATGTCCCTGGCTCTCTACCTGATGCCCCATTGTTTGCAACCCCGTGGTCGCTGCAGTCAGGCTTGACGTCTCCATCGGAGATGCTCATGTCCCTCTCTGAGGATCTCAACCATACATGGGCCACAGCCATTCCAGGTGAGGAAACATGCCATCAACTGTCCTCGTCCTTACCAAGTACCTTCAACCAAGTACCGTCAACTTCACCATCCCTCCTCTTCTCTCCCCGGCCCTCTCTCCCTCTGATTCACCTTGTCTTGACTGGCCACTGTCACCCTTCATCGGCCCTTGATGGATCGAGTTATGGGTCCTGGGCCCTTCGGTGGTGTAACCAAGGGCCGTGAGAAGAGACAACAACATGCAGCCACCCCGCTCGCATCCTCGCTTTCACCTTCACCTAGTCGCCCAACAATCTCCCATCTTTCCCTGTTCTCCTCCATCTTGTCCAACTCTCGGTCCCTCCCCCATCCCATTGAAAGGTGTCGAGGCTGCTCAATGCCCTAATCATGCCATGGTTGACTTTCAAGTCGGTGAGCTAACATTCCATGTAGCACCGCATTCTGCAGGGCTGGACATCGAACATCACTCCGCCACACCCGGCCAACGTCAAACTTTGTCTCATCAGGTTTCTCATCAGTCCCGCCTGCCTCGCCTACTTCCCGCCGTCCCGGCTGATCCTCTGGAGACCATTCTTCTTCCCCACGACACTCGGTTACACAAGCGGCCCCCAAAGACCCTCTTTAGCCCCTTCACAGACGAAGAGGACCGCTTAGTCGAGTCCCGCGTCCCTCGTTATGTCCGCCCTGAAAATGGTCAAGTAAATGGCTATGTCAAGTTCAATTGGCCATCAAGAAGACCGTCTATCCGACCATTAGGCCCTGATCCCCCTCCTAGTGGTGTCGTGGAGGAAATTACTTCGGACTCGACACAGACATCGACTGTCAGTCGTAGTTCCAGCATCGTCAGCCTCATCGGACCACCACCACCCGCCTCTTCCAGGTCAAGTACCGTGTCCGTGTCTCCAGGCTTTTCAGATCTTTCCTGGAACCTCGTCCCCTCACCACCAATGGGCTCAGTGTCACCAGTATCTTCCCACGAATCGGCATTGCAACTCGTGACGCCTGGCGAGCCACGGATGTTGCCACCGCACTTTGGGTTTCAGGCCAAGATGGATATGATGGATAGGCGGCTGTGGGATTTCTGTACGTTCGCTTCCTCATTTCCTCTTAATTTGTCCCATCGTCCCAACCTCGGCATACCCAATATGCCTTTATTGTTGTCAAGTTCTGACGCCTTTCTCCATAGATATCAAAAACTGGTGCCCTGGTAGGAGTGTTCTCAATAACACCAACCTATGGCTGAAAGACTTCGCCCAAATGCATGAGAATGAAGGCATTCGATGCGCCATCCAGAGCTTAGCAGGAGTCTACATCTATGATTATCTTCCCGATGAACGTATTCGACAGAGAATCAATGACCGATACATGCTGGCAGATGCACACTTTAGCAATCTTCTCGTCTCCCCGGAGAGCTCTGAAATTGGGAAGGGGAGTGAGGTCATCACCATGGCCGTTATTCTCTCGATGCAAGATGTGAGTTTCGGCATTCCGAAGAGGCCCCCTGCATATTGTCCTGACTTGTTCTGAAGATCGTCCTCACTGAGCGGCGACTCAAGAAGCCCTACACGCCTCGGTGGCTGGAGGGCTTCAAGCAAGGCGAACACTTCCTTCATGTGACAGACCCGGGAGGTCGATTCTGGCGAGATAATAACATCCAGCTCACCAATCTCCGCATCTCGCAGTCCATTATCGTGGGTCGGGCTGTCATTCTCGCTCAGCCCATGATGGAACTTATTTCGCCAGCCGACCTCGACCCCGTGCAAGAGGCATCAAGATTCGGTTGGCTCCTCTATGGCACCGAAATGACCATGTACGAGATCCATGGAGGTTGCGGTTTTTCCAAGAAGCTGTTGCACACCATGAGCCAGATCACTTGCTGTGCGGCACGTATGCAGCAGGAACCCGAGAGTACTATTGTGCCCATCACGGCGCGATACTTGCTTCGCGAGCTTCAGGAGATGCGACAATGGAGTAGCGAGTCGATTCCATGGGAAATGGCCCAGGAACGCCCACAGCCCATCGAATGGATTAGGAAGAAACCCGTTGACTTTGTTATCGATTGTGACCAGGATATGACAGACGCAACAGCCGAGGCGTGGAGGTTTGCCGCGATCATCTATTTACAATGCCGGCTTTTAAGGTAAGTCGGATGAGGTGTCGGGGAACAGACTGCCTCCAGGGCGTTCCTTTCCTCTACGCCAGACCCCATTTATATTACGATGTGCTGACGACAGTCTTAGGCTACCCCGCAACCACCCAGAGCTCCTTAGCAACATGACGGACTTGGCCAAATGCATTCGTATCATGCCCACATCCGGCTCGCACTTTACCGCCCAAGCACCCCTCCTCCCGGTTTTCTTCCTTGGGTTGCTTGCTACAGATCCCGATCATAAGTGGGTGTCGCAGGCTTGGTTTGAGCAGGTAGTGCAGACACCAGTGCGAAGTGTACGTTTTCCTCACGCTCTTTTTATTATCGTCTGCAGTCTGGTTCTGCTGCGCGTGACTCTACCTATTACTTTACGGATTAAGGTACTAACTGTCCTTATCAGAGCGTGCCACCCTTGTATCAGGCTTTAAAGCGCATTTGGGTCTGGATCGACGCCGAGGTCGAAATCCCGTCTATGCCCACCGCGCTACCAAAGTCTATCGGCATGAGGCACCCTTGGTGGGAACGCCTCGTCACAAATATCCACGACAAAGAAGAAGAGACCCTGTGCCTAACATAGACGGCCGCAGTGTCTATCTATCCTTGCTCCCCCTCCCATGTCCCACGTGGTATCCTCTCAAAAACATCGCAGCACTGTCTGCTCGCCTTTTTGGTGTAGTATTAATGGTCGTTTCGGAGTGTTTTGCGGTCCGTCGGCTAGGAAGTTTAGTTAACTCCCGACACCGCACTATCGGCGTCGTCCCTCTGGTCCTTATCACCCTTCTTTCGAACAAGGTATTGTCCTGTTATCAATCAGCATAATATTCGTAAGCACTATGAACGGAAAGGGGCGGCTTACTGAACTCGGAATTCGGAGCTTGCCAGACATCGATGACGCTCAGTCCCGCCTTATAGCACATGAGTCGAACGCTGTCTTCGCCGTACTTGTGAGAGTCGAACCAGTCGAACTCTTCATCTTTCTTGATGACACGGCCAATCTTCTCCAAGTTGATGTCCCGCTTCGCACGGAAGTAGAAGCGGTGGCGCGTCGTGGGCTCCTCTTCCAGTTCGGCCAGGAACTCCCAGTCCTCTTCCTTGAACCAATCCTCACCTGCGAGTCGGTTTATTTTGGCAAACCCATTCAGGAAGAAAGACCGGTACAAATCGTCGGACGAATGGTACGCATTCCAAATCTTCTCGCGGTGGTTGGGAAGAAGATGGCCGTCCATGCCGATCAGCAAGAAGTCGTCGGTGCGCAAGGAATTAGCCCAAAACTTGAGGTGCGAAAGTGCCTCCGGCCAGGGGTCGTTGCACAGGACGGATCCGAGTGAGAGGAAGAGTCGTGGAGACTTGACCCCCTCCAGGTACTTCATTCCATCATGGAATGACCCCCAGATGCCGGTACAGGTGACGGTAGATCCCGCAGATGGGTGCTCCTTCACCAAATACTCTATATTCTGGTGCAAAGAAGTCTTCGAGATGTCGAGGGCAAGATAGGTGGTTTCTACCTTGGCCTTTTTGAATGCGGCCAGGAGGTGGCCGACCTTTCGGGTGTCACTAGTCGATTATCAGCAAAGGTAAGCTTGCAAGAGGGGGTGTGGGTAGTGACGGGGGTGGGAGGTGTGTGTGATATGGGGAGCAAATACTAACCCAGCTCCTAGATCAACCACGGTGATGCCCTGCTGGACACGTGCTGCAATATCAGCACCATGCTTGTCGAAGAGAACAATCTCATCATGAGTTTGGTAAAACTCGGGCGTGAAGATGATTTCGTTCCAGATTGGGAGGCCAACGTCGTCGTACAGCAACTCGTCCGGGAGCACTGGTTTGGCGTTGGCAGAATACGGGGCCTTAAGGGCCTCCATGAGTCGTTCACTCACATCGCCGTACATCTGGCTACCGCCAATGTCGATGACGGCGCCATGAGGGGGCGGGGCTTTCTTAGCATCCATCGTGTCGGTTCCGGCAAGCTCTCATGGGACGTTGACTGGTCAATTGCGAATGAAGGATCCTGGGTGAGTTGAAGAGGTGGCAACGACCCAAGGTGAGCTGGGGGACCGGATCTGGAAGTTGGCAATTGGCCCCGGGTCTCGAAGTCGGCGGCAGGCGAAGGTTGTGTTGCGTCGCAAATGGATCGATTGATCGTTGAAGTCGTGGTGGAGAGGAAGAGAAGGAGAAATATGTGATACGGCACATCCGCCGCGAGCTCTTTATACTTGGAGCAAGCAGGCAGCTCTTTTTTCGGGAACTGAATCACGTCCAAGGGACGGGCCAAGAGAGAAGAGAATCACACACACGCGACCGAGCAGGCGGGAGCAGAACTCGAGGTGCGTCTGGGTTCACCTGACTGGGAGGGCGTGTTCACTCCACCAGAGGTACCTTGGAACAGCACTAGGAAGCGGAAAGCTCGAGCCTGACTCCTTTGGTCGCGTCGCAGCAAGCAGAACAAATGCAGGCAGTGAATCGACGAAACGAAGCACGCCCCCCGAGATGAGATGATGGATGACCTTCTTTCGCTCGCGGGCCCAACATGCGTAGTAATTTGAGGCGAATCTTGGCCACGCCCGGGGCCTGGCCAGAAGTGGTTCGTCCTACATTAGGGCGATGCATGGAGGGTGGCATTACTTCCACCACGGCCGCCCTCCACCGTGACATGGGGGCCCGCAGCTGCTGGGGAAGAAGAAGCGACCCTTTTTTTTTCTCGCTCTCTGTCTGTCTCTGTCCACGGCCCTGGGCGTCACCCAGTCTCCAATTTTGAAACTACGACGCAGCTGGCCCTCCTTTTGCCCTGTCCTATGAAGAGCCCAAAGTCAATTGTGTTTCTTCGTGATCCACTTGCGCTGGGGTCAGCGGCTCCGGCCTCGGCTGTCACGATAGCCCTGCCACGCTAAGGGGGGTGAGCAACTGATGGGAATGGCTGAATCAGGGTCAGTGAGTTCTCTGACCAGAAGCGTCGATTGCCGCAGAGCCCATCGGCCCCACCGAATCGAATCGTCAAAGAGGTGATTCTCAGGACCGTTCCGTACTTCTCCACGTGTCCATCCCTCGCCAACGCATGTCCCGGTATCCCCTTGAGGGCGTCGGCGGCGACCTCGAGCCTGGAGGTTTTGACGAGATGACTGGTCACTTTGGCGCTGAGTCGACGACTGGGCCACTGGCCGTGATTCCCGATCAGGGCGGCTGCACTAGAGTGGCGCCAATACCCCTGCCCTGGCGAATGCACGTCATGGTTCAAGAAGAGACAAGGGCATGACAGGCAGTAGAATAGCGTGGTTTCGATGGAAAGCTTGATTGGGCACGATGCACACCCGGGCCTAGGTGGTGCTCTGGAGAATGATTTGATCTCCATTGCAGCGACGCCAACGCCGATTCTGGCGTGCTGAAGATGCCGCGAACGTGCGTGCTACGAGGAAGTTGTGTGTACGCACACAGGTACTAAGTCTGTAGGAGGTGAAGCTCGGGGTGACTACGGCGCCTAGAAGAGCTGTCCCGAGAAGAGGTAAATGGGGTACTCGACATGCCCATTGCTTCTGGAGCCGCTGGGGAACAAACAGCTTGACCGCTGGTTGATGGCGAGGGCAGCTTGTTCGTCAGCCCCGGGACCCGGGTCTGTCCTTTCTGTGCCTGTGCTCCATCACCCCCCCGGCGCGCGGTAAGGACACAGATCATTGTCGCATCTCAACGGCCTGTCACATGGCCGGGGTGGGGTAGGGCATGACGGGGAATGGGATGTGGATTGATGTGGATTGTGGATTGCGGATTGTGTGGATTACGGATTGTGGACTGTGGATTGTGGATTGTGTGGATAATGGATTGTGGGTTGTGGATTGTGGGTTGTGGGTTGTGGATTACGGATGTGGCAGTCGGAGTCGGAGTGGAGGATGAAGGTGGATGGGCGATGAAGGTGGATGGTGGACTGTGAATGAGGGCAGACTGGGGGGGGTGCCCATCCTCAGGTGGGTTGGAGATTGCATTGCGGTGGCGCAGCCGCCTTCTGTCTACGAGAACCGAAAAGGCGACAGGGTATACGGGGCGTGTACCGCCTCTCTCGAGGAATCCGTGTCCGTGTGCTGCAGACTGCAGACAACTGCAGACAGACTGCACACGATGGCCGGAGAGCTCAGGAGAAGGAGGGGGGTCAGGATGGGGAAACGGTGCGTATTTGCATCTCGATGGTCTCGAGATCGCAACCCGTTATTTGGCCCGACAGGTCCTCAGCGTCTATCAGACTTCTCGGCAAACTCTATCTATTTCGCAATAAACCGCCGCAGCAAGGACATGCCTGTCACGGTTGTAAGACATGGCTTCAATGCCTTGGATCTGGAGCATAAAGAGGGGCCGGGGGAAAGGCACAGCAGATGGGGCAGGGTCTGGGCTCGATGAAAGGGCATGGGATCATTTAGCATGAGATGAGGCGGCGGCCAGCGGGATGCAATGGCCGTTTTTTTTTTTCAACTGCATGGGCAGGATATATCTCGGGCGGTCAGAAGCCGATATCACTTCTTCTCTCATGCTGTTCCACGCCTGTTGCATTGTCTCGTACGTAAACGGTAAACGAAAGCACCATTCTCGCGGCCACAGCAAGGGATGGACCTGATCTTTCAAGCATGATTAATAGCTGGCGGGCTATTCACCAGGGTTCGGCGGGTGACGTTGTTCCCAGACCCTTGCAGCCCTTGCAACCCTTGCACGCCTTGGCCGGCCTGCCTCGAGCCCCGGCCACTGGTGCATGACACAATTGGGAACAGCCCAACGCTTCTCCAGCTCGGGGTTCGGTGTGCTTGGGGAAGGCCTTGTCCCGAATTGGGTGACGCTTGTTCAAGAAACGCAAACCAGCGAACCCCCTTGCCCGTGACGGGGCGACGACGTGAGTGAGTTGGACACCAAGTCAGCTTTAACGGCTAGTGTACCATGTACTGGGCTATTTCGAGCTCCCGTTCGAGTATGAGATCGACATACAGGCTTTAGTAAACAATGACAATTACGATTGCAATGCAACTCAACTCAACCCAAACGCCTCGATCCCTGACCCCAAGACCTGACTCCAAGACCCTGCTTGAATAGCCTGCTTGAATACCCGACTCCAAGACGGGACCCCATCCCGCCTCCTCCTTCCCCCTCCCCGCCGCCGGCTGGTGGGAAACGCACTAGAGCATGAACAACAAACCCATCCGAGTTCGGGACCAGATAAACCAACGCCATGCTTACTTTTACCCTGACTTGGTATGTACCCTGACCCCCCTGGCCCGCTTCGGAGGGATTCCACACGGCAGCATGGGAACCGGGCATGAATGTACTACGGAGCCTCGAGGAGTTTGACTTGAGGCGCCGCCGGGGCATGTACGTAGCATGTATGTATGTATGTATGTATGTGTGTATATATGCGTGTGTGTATGTGTGTATGTGCGTATGTATGGTATGTACGTACGTACGTGCGTACTACGTAGTACGTCCCGACGGCTCAGGCAGCCCGAGCTGGGGTGCTGCCGTCTCTCAGCCCCAGACAACGGCGGCCCGATAGATGGCGATGGGAACTGCGTGGCCGCAACGCATCGGCGCCCAGAGCAAAGCCAGTGCAGCGGGCGAGAGCGGACTTACTGCTACATACGCCGCAATACGTACGTAGTCCAAGACGTTTTTCGTCTGGTCGTGTGGCGGCGTTGGCTAGCTCTTGAGGGTGTCATGGGATCCGATCGAAGGAGAGGGTCTTTCGCTTTCCCGACAGACTGGTAACCCTCACGTCGTCAGGCCCTCATCGGTTCGTTTCCGAGGCCGATGAAGGAGCCAAGGTCTCCCGGACCGAGCTCTCATTCGATGGGTGCATAGGACCTGTTTCTGTAAATGTCGACGCCGGCCGCTGAGGGTGGTCTGCAAGTCTGCTGGGGCCAGGGTGTCAGAGGGGGGGGGGGAAGTCAGGGTTCCGGGTCTACAGGGGACGCACATTGTCGGTTTTCAACGAGATGGCGTATGCGACATTGTGGGCAACGCAAAGGGTGTGCAAGGGGCCTTGGCGACTGCATCCCCCGGACGAGGCCGAAGCAATGCTCCTTGTCAGCGGCGTTGGCTGCGGCGCTGTACTACGTACTACCTAATGTAAGGTGGTATGTAGTATGTTGCATGTAGTAACTTGTGTACTAAATACAACGCGGAGAGCCTCAACAAAGCAAATCCGGCACGCACGGGGCGGGTGTGTCGAAGCGGGAAGCTGGACACGCGATGATGAATAATAGCTCACGGGGTCGAGCTCGAGCTCAAGCTCGAGGGCCCGGGTCAGCATCAGGTCAGCGCCATGTCTTAGTCCACGGGCGGCTCGGAAACATTCTGGACGCGCGGACTGAGCGTCTCGAGACACTCGATCTGAGTTCCAGGCCTGTTTGTGGCGCCTCGTTCAGGTGGAATATCCAAGACATGGCGATATTTTTGTTCAACCACCACCACCTCCTCATTCATCCATCCCCCTCCACCACCACCTCCACCACTACCACATCCACCAACTAACTACCACCTCCACCACTACCACCGTTCCGTGCGTGCGCTCATGCCACCACTATGAGTCCGAGTCCCAGGTCTCGCGTAGCCTTAAGGGCAGCCCGGCCGATCCTATAGACGAATGAGCTCGCAGAATCGCCACAGTGCAGCTATTCTGGGCAGTACTCACAGCTACATCGCACATCGGCCGACGACTTTCTTTCCCCCCCTCCCCTTTACGCCATCGCTTACTAGTCCTCGCCAAGGGGTGTTCGCAAGAGACCACAAATGGCACGACCGTCTTCGGAATTAGAATCATGGGTGTTCATCTCAGTGCCGCCTTGCTCTTTTGGTCCATCATGTGCCACGTGGGATTTGATGGCTAACACCCGCTAGGCAACGAGTTCATGTTGGCGATCCAACACCTGACGGAGGAGCTATTCGTCTTTTAGTCACCGGAAGTAGCACGGGCACAGACGCAGCCTCTTGGTTTCTCTGCCCTCCGACACGCGCTCGCCGGCCGATGGCTCCACGCAGCGGATCGTGGGCTGCTGCTCAGGCCTCATCCACGGCCTCAACGCCCTCCTGCCAGCGCCTCAGGCCTCACCATTGGAGTGCACTGCCATGCAGGCCGGCAGCTCACGCTCCTGTAAGACCGGCAGATGGTCTGCAGTGGCCTGCGCAGGGAGACGCAGGGAGACGCGCCCAGTCGAGGCGGGTCCAGGGCTTGGCAGCGAAGAAGGAGGGCTCACCTCACGCACCTCACGCACCTCACGCACCCACCACCGCACCTGGAAGATGGTGCAGCAGCACACACGACCTGTCTCGAGATGATCTGTGACGCGGCAAGCGACGCGCAAAGGGTCCAGATCATCGCCATTGCACCAGAGGTCAACCAGTAACCGGGGTCTAGCCGAGTAATAGTAATCACTACTTGGTCTCTCGAGCCTACCACTACGTCGCAATTCAATAGTGCATGACGGCTGACATCACGGCTACCCTCCAGCGGCGCACGGCACGAAAAGGACCCAGCTCTGCTAGCGAGGCACTTCCATGCGGGCTGGGGATGCGCTGGGGATACGCGCTGGGGATGCAAGGCCCGCTGGAGACTGGCGTCAGGCCCGGAGCCCCAGCCCGCAGTTAGTGTGCTTGCTGGAGTCGCTCGACGAGGCTAGAGCCCTTCAACCCTCGCAAACTCAAAGTGTTCTGATGGTCGCCCGCCCCACGCTCGTGCTGACGATGGCCACAGTCGACGAATTCCATTTGTCTTCGTTCTCCCAGCGCCAACTACAATCGCCCTCGCCCCAAGGGTTCTTCGGCAAGGGGAGGGGCGCTCCGGCAGCGGGAGCGCGGTGCCTTCGGAAGGTTTGTCGCCGCGTGAACCGTTCTTCTAGTCTCGTGTCCGGCCGAAACCTTGACGACGGACCTCTCGGCACGGGCAACGAAACTCCGGGGTCGTCCGGGCCGGAGTCACCGCGGTCGAGGCAAAGTCCGGCGTCTTGCGCAATACCATTGCTGTGTCTTGGGCCGCATTGACGGCGAAAACGCCCTCCTGCACTCACCCACATCGATGTCGTTGGTGCTGCCGGCCGCCGGGCCCAGCCCGGGGATAGTGGACATGTACTTTTCGCACACGAGATGGAGAATGGGGACTCGACGATACGTCACAAGTCACAATGCTATCTGCGAGGACAACGACGATGAGGCACTGAGCTGCCACTGCGGTAATGTCGGCCACAGCATGATCCCTGCATAGCCCAACAGAAGCGCCACCCAAAGACCGCTCGCCTAATCAGCCTGGGCCGTCTAGGATCAGCAGCATCGGCGTAGCAATGCGCGATGTCCCAACATGAGTTGCTGCTGGGGCGTGCTTTGAGGGAGGAAAGAACGGGAGACAACAACGAGAAGAAGAAGGTGGAAGCCGCAAGCTGCCACGGAGTCGGAGGTAGCGAACGCCGCATTGTCACACTGCAGGGCTTTGGAGGGGGGGGCTTGGAAGGGGGGGGTTTCCTTGGGGCCTTTTGGGCCGGCCGGGTCTCCGGCCGAGACAATAGCTTCGTTCCGGGGCGAATCGCCGCAATACATACGGCAAGCGATGGCGACGGCTGGAAGGCAAACAGCGGTGCGGACCCTAATCTAGAGGCGCCCCCTGAGCATCCTTGGTGCCATAGGCGCGGCAGAGTTACCGCCTTTCTATCTTCAACCTCGGCTTCGGACCAAATCTCTCTTGTACAACCCCAGCATGCGAAATGGCCGGTGGTGCGGCCGAGCTACAGGCCGCCTTCTCTGAGACATTGCGCGCATGCGTGTATTGATCCCACCCATTTCGTTTCAGGCGGCATGGCTAGATTCGAAGCAGTGATGAGAAATCGAGGCAGCATGATAGCTGGACGGCGTGATGTGAGGTCCTCCTCTTCCCCACGATGCTAACGCGAGCTGCACGCAATTGGCAAGGGTCCCAGCCAGCCCGGTCTCCAAGGCACCCCAAAAGGCTCGGGGGGTCCATGATGCGCCCAGAGTACGGCCCGTTGCCGATTCCGACCCTTCGCTCCACGCCCAGCTCGACTAGCGACGGCCCCAGTGCGGCCCCAGTGTTGCTGCATCATGGATTCATGGATAGGTTTTTTTTTTTCGCGCGAGGCCGTTTCGTTGCGCGCTGGCCGACCCGCTCCTGTGCTGTCAAGGCATGCTGAATTGACTGTTTCGCAGGACGAGGAAAAAAAAAATTATCTGCGTATGCAGTGCGGTGGATCTCGACGGCGTATCGACAGCGTATCGATTCTCTAGAGCCGCATCTTAGCCACGTCAGTTGGCAGATGCAGGTCCTGAGAGAACATGCCGGTCCGTGGGGAAACAAGTGAGGAAAGAAGGCGCCAAGGCCTCAGACACAGGCAAGGAGTGGAAAATTTTGGAACCTTGACTCCGACGCCCCAGCACGAAAAGGGACCCCCTGTCGTGGGCAAGGGTGTTATTCCACACCTTTGCCAGGGGATGTGCTGGTTGAGTGACATGGTCGGGCTTCCTGTTTTGGACATGAGCAACGCTTTGGAGACGACAGACTTCTAGCCCCAAGACGGTAATTATATTCGCAAGGATCACCTCTAAAGTCCGGACTGGCATTCCAATCTAGGTATGCGACTACTACATCCCAATAAGTCAGACCAGGAAGTTGCCCCCCTTTTTTCGTCCAGGATCTAACCATGATTTATCCAAGAAACTATCCAGAAACTATTCCGCTTACGAAGTGCGAAGGAGACATATTCTGCGTACTCTAACGTGCTTCTTCGGCGCGTACGCGGTACCGTATTACTAGATACAGCACCAGTAACAAAGCCACGAAACAGAGGTGTCGTCCTTGTTTCCATCATCTACTGCTCCCAGAAACCGGGGAACAGGTACTCGACGTTCTTCATCGCCTCCGGGTTGCGGCCTTCAGGCTTGGTCATAAACTTGACAGCCCCCTGCGATACTCCCTGCCAGTGCTTGGCCATGACCAAGTCACCGTGCTCCTGTTGTGCCAGTTGATCCAGCACGGCACCCACCAGGCGCTTGGCGTTTTCGCCGTTGGACTTCATACACTTGATGACCATCTCCACGTTGACGTCCTCAAAGGAGTGCCAGCAGTCATAATCTGTCGCCATGCAAATCACCTGGTAGGCCATCTCGGCCTCACGGGCCAGCTTGGCCTCAGGAAGCGTCGACATGTTAATAACCGATCCACCCCACGATCGATACATGTGCGACTCGGCCCGTGTCGAGAACTGGGGCCCCTCTGCCCTGTATGTCAGATCATATCAGATTATTTCCCAGGGTACTGTATTTGCTTACCCATAACAATGACCGTGCCCTTCTCATGTAGAACGACACCGTCGCCCTCCATATGCTCAGCGCAAGTCTTTACTACTTTCGCGAGACCCGCATCGAAGGGATCGGCAAAGCCGACGTGGCCAACGACACCGCCCTCGAAGAAGGTGAAGGGGCGGATACCCTTTGTGCGGTCAATGACCTGGTCCGGTACCACGAAGTCCATGGGCTTAATCTCCTCCTGTAGCGATCCGACCGCGGAGAAAGCGATGACGCATCGCACTCCGATGTGGCGCAAGGCAGCAATATTGGCTCGGTTGGGGACCTCGTGGGGTGCGAATTGGTGGTACTGGCCGTGACGTGCGAGGAAGGCGATGTTGACACCCTTGTGGGAGAGAATTTGGATCGGCGATGCGGGCTTGCCCCAGGGAGTGATGGGGTTGAGGGCAGCGACGGGCTCGAATCCCTCAAGCTGGCCGAGGCCAGTGCCGCCAATGACGGCGATGTGGACGGGCTCTGTGAGAGAATTTCAGCATCGTTATCTTTGTCCCTTGGCGGAGGAGGGGTGGAGGGATGTTGGGGAGTATTAGGAGGGGGAGAGGCAATTGACGTACTGTCAAAGGTCGTCGGGAGGTCACCCATCTTGACGGCTGCGGCGGGATCTGGCTCGGGTCGAGGTTGGCTTGCGGTATTTCAAGGGGAAGCTGGTTCGAAGGAGGACGTCGATGGAGGGGATGTTATCTTCTCTTGAAGAGTGCTAGCGAGGTTCACACGCGAAATGCTGACCAGAACTTTTACCCCGCCATGCCAGACCTTGAGCACGGCGATGGAGGGGTCGTGGCCTATACTCTCCGATCATTGGTTGGCGCGGAAAGAAGAACCGGCTCCTTGGGGTATATTCGCATCAACTCAGTACATGGAGAAAACGCCAGAGCTTGCTGGTATGGCGTAATGATTTATATCAAAGGCCTCGTCCAGTTTGCAACCGCCAGCAGGCTGCAGAGTTAGACTTCGTCGTCAATTGTCCGGCCAGTGAAGGGGTATGGCTATAGGGTAAGCGGGCTGGCAACCCTCACTCATGATGACATCACAAATGTTGGGCAGTAGTATCATGGAAGCCCAAGGGTACAACTAGGTACTCGGATGAGGCTCTTTTAGTGTTCTAGAATTTTGGACGTCGAGACCAGCAGGGATCACGTTATTCTTGGGGGTATCATTTCGCCACTGATGGTAGGCAGTGGGAATTATGCAGCACACCCACGGCAATAGTTACACATACGGAAATATCGGTACCAGTATTTGGTCATTTTATAAGAAGTATTGTTATTCGCACATAGATACAAGCCCCTTGAGCAAAGTCCGAGGGCAAAACAATGTGTCCAGCATGTGCATTGGAATTCTTAGACCTGAGCCTTATGTTTATGAAAAGCCATTGGCATAAAAAAGTGACTGGGGAATAAATACTAAGAACTAGTCTTCTACACTTATTAGGATAATAAATAATTACCAGCAGCATTGAAGCATGCAGTTATACCAATTGTATGCACCCTCTAATTCCGACGACACACATCCTTCGATCCTCATAGGCTGTACAGTAGAGACGGAAGACTGCTTCTACTCCGGAGTAGATGCACGCCCGGTGCCCGCACACATCAAGGTGACGTAAATTTAGAAGCAACTGGTCAATTCTAGATTTAGAGTAACAACTCAAGTAAAAAACAGGCACTTTCATGTTCCCCTTACTCTGTATGCTGTCGAAAGTATCATGCCCGAGGATTGTTAGTGGTAGCTTCCATCTTGTTGGCCGCCACCGCGCCTTCCTCTACGCCTGAGGTAGGTGTTCAGGCTGCTTACCAACCCCGCCAAAATTTTCCGGCTTGCTCCACCAAAAATTCCGAATCAAACATTCACCGACGAAAACGCTACCCTCCCGCGCTGCATCGTACCTTTGAGATGAGCACCAAGGACGCGATGACACGCTTACCAGACTATGTTACCCTGCCCGCCGACACCCTGGATGATGGCCCCGGCGAGACCATCGAGGAGCGGTGCTTCTCGGCTGCCCTCATCTGTCTTGAGGGGCACTACACCCAGGCACCTCCCATGGGCCCTCAGACAACCACTAGGGTGAGCTCCATGATCTCAAAGACACTGGAGAAGACACACACACTCAGGAAAGCCCGGTAGGTACCCAAAATTTGATGCAGTGTGTGCGCCCGCTGACGAATCCCACAGCGAAGCGCTCTCGAGGAACGTCGCTATATGGATATGGCTCACGCGGATATTTGCTGCCGCCATCCCGAGCTTGACCACCAGATCTGTTGGGCCCCTGTCAAGCCTGAACGACCCGGATAAGGGAGTCACCCCACAGGAAAGCACGGCTCTGATCGTCATGAACCATGCATCTATCAAGGAAGACCTCGGGACTCTCATCAAGCTCATGCACATTGCCCGGAACCTCCTCGTTAACGCCGAGCCCGAGGTACCTCAGGACATTTGTGCCGCGGTTCATTTCGACCAAATGGTCTACCAGACGATCATCCTCTGCGTCAACGTCACAAGCAAGGGCTACGATGGCGAAATATTGGATGAGACCCAGAGGCTAAAGCTCGGCGACATCACGGAACTATGTATGTTGCCCCCCTCAGGGTTCTGCGTTGGTCTCAACTAACAATCTATAGACAAAAAGCTGCTCGTAACCTCTCTGCAGCAGGCTCATAACTGGACCGCCAAGCATGACCGGAACAAGATGTCCTTTTGGTTCGATGTACTGTTCGATGATGATGGAGCACTGTCTGGATCGGAAGAAGGCCTCGGAGACGGCTCAGGATTCCGCCCCAACGTCGCAAAACAGCAGGTTCAGCACTGGCTCGACCGAAACTCGAAGATGTGCGAGACTGCGAGAAACCTCTTGAAGGATTACGCACAGAACCAAGCAGACAAGCCCCCGGGCAACCTAGCACCTATCCGACCGTTGGCATGGAACTGGCTCCCAGATGGATCCGTCGATGTTCCGGGTGACGTAGGAGACAGTGATGAGAAGATCAACCCCGTCTGGAAGCCTGACGAAACGGACAGGTTTGAGCAAGACCGGGCCTACGGCCGAGTATCTAGAGAGATCGATACCTGGTGGCTCCGTGCTCGCGATCCTAACTACGAGGACTGGGTTGTTGGAATGCCCTCTGTTGAATTTGCCCAGAGTCGCACAGAGCACTGCCGAAACAACCTGGTGCACCGCTATGCTCATTCTTATGGGGGAGAACATTCGCCGCCACCAGGAACCGTCGAGGAGGAGCTGTCGGACCACGAACATTGCCATCACTGCGAGCATGAGCATGAACACGATGAGCACGAGCACGAACACGACCATGAACACGATGAGCACGAGCACGAGCATGACCACCACGAGCATGACCACGAGTGTGAATGCGAATATGAACACGACCATCACCATCACCATCATCACGACCATGATCACGATTATGCGCACGACTACGTGGAGGATATGATGGACGATGACGAAGCCGACGACGACGAATCCTACGGGGAGGGCCCGCTAACTGGCTTGTTGACTGAAGTGCCAAACATTCTGGATCCTAAGCAAATCGAGGCGTTGCACATGATTGTCAAGTCATGTATCTTGGACAACGCTGGGTCAGGACTCACTCGGGCAGGCGAGAACTTGCAAAAGACTCGGTGCAGAATGTTCCTTGCTCTGGACTGCGGGAAGAGCCTGCTCCGAGAGATGCTAGTGTTCATTGCGGTCTGGGAGAAGGATGAGCAATCCCTCATCTTCCAGGTCACCACGCAGATAGTCGAAGCGCTCCACCACAGCGCCTTGATCCCATATGCGTGGAACTCTCTCCGGATACCCAAGGACATCATCTCGCCTGCCCAAACGGTCTTGCTGCGGCTTGTAAACCACATGTTCCGAGCTCGTGTTAACAACCCATCCTCCCAAGAGGCTAAGGATAACACTCGAGACATCAAACTGGTCCACTTCTTCTTCAGCTTCTTCCGGAGTCGAATCGTCCCTGAATGTGCGGCTCTCATGCACCTCCAGGCTCAAATTCGCGAGGAGAACTGTGACCCGTCAGAATTCCCCGTGGACTCCTGGGATATGGAAAGGGCAAAGGACGGCCTGGCCCAGTATCTCGACTTCCTTACGACGGTGGCCGAGATGATGGACACAAGGGCGAAGCTCATCGAATGGGAGTCCGTGTACGATCTAATCACAATTCTCAGTGGACTCGAGGCTGGGGTGCCCAAGAAGCCTCTGATTGAGCTACCCAAGCGATCACCTCGGAGCGAGAATGGCGGTAACCCGATGGTCGAGCGACCGTATGCGGCAGCAGATGACAGCCACTCTCCATCACCACCGCCACCACCTCTGCAAGAGCCTGCACATAAGTTCCCATGGTCTGGAATTAAGGGCCAGATCTTTACCATTATTGCCACGCTTCTGCAACCGCCGCCGGGTCAGAGCAGCCCTGGAAATCCCGATGTCCAGATGCAGATGGTGAAGTACAACGGAATTGTGCCACTGCTCAACTGCTGCGCATATGACGACCACAATCCCTTCGCCAAAGAGCGGGTAACGATTTGTCTCAAGTGGTTGTTGGATGGATGCGAAGCGGCGAACAATTTCTTCCGGGAGCTTGTAAACCTCGCGCCACAGCCCAATCTCAGACCTCCTCCCGGCGGTACGACCGTATCCACAATAAAGGTCGATGGAATCGAAGGGGAGGTCAAGGTACAAGTTCGGTCGAACACTGCAGGACCGGCAGGTCAGGATACGGAGGACATCGTGGGCGGTACGAACAGGTTGAACCTCAATCAACCAAGCGGCCGAGGCAGTATTGAGGATGATTTTATGGCGTGAACGACACACTCTGTGGCTTGGATCCTGGGGCCCTCGGATACTTGAGGACTTGAGGACTCGAGCCTTGGGCAGATGGGCACGGGGTATCGGGGTATTGTGGAGATTGCCACACGGGTCCAAATACATCACAATTGCCGCCAGGCTAATGCATGCTGGACTCTCTGGAGACCTTTTACGGGCGCCAGTCAAGTTGATTGCCAGTGCACCACCTATGCAGGGGTCAGGAAATGGTGAGAGCTGCGTCGCGCAAAGTCGACCAGTGGCAGAGTTGTTTTATTTTGTACATAGATGACGAACAACGTCAATCCCATGAGCCCTTTCGCAGGGCAGACGGCAACGAATGCCCCGAATCTACGCAGTTCATCTCACACCGCATATATCTTTCGTCCGGATCTAGGGCTCTTGGAAGGGTGGCATGGATGGTGGTGGCGCAAGTTCTCAGAGGGGACACTGGGCGTCTGTCTGCTGAAAACGGAGGCAATAAAAAACGTCATCGAAGCGGCCCCGAAGCGGCTGCGTGATCAATAATGGGGCCCCGTATTTCCTGTCGGTGCAGCAAGCAGGTGACTGAAGTTGGAGGTGTTCGGGGATCAGGCTCGGTTCAGCTGTGGTGAGTGACCTCGGAGCCTGATCGCACTGAGCAGAGATGGCCATTGCCCGCTCCGCAGTGACGGGCGGGACTTCTCGTTTCCCCTTTCCCCTTCAATGTCGACAAACGAGGCGTATACCTATCGCCTATCATGTCAATGTCGAGTCCTGTCCGGCCGTTTGAGAATCGTGGATCTAGGAGCCGCTTCGCCTCCATCAACCCTTTCCCGCTTCCACCGCCGGGCTGATTGCCGGACAGCCATGCCACAGCGTGCCAAGTGTGAACAACGCACGCATTGGGGGCCGACCGCCGTAACAGGGCTTTAACCCGATGGCTGCCCCCCAGCTGGACCAGGCTTTGGGCTGGTGCTTGGATTGGGGATGAGGGAGGGCTGTTGGCCCGTCCAGTGTGGCCACCCTAACCCTTGTTTGGGGCTCCAGTACAACGAGAGATAAAGACGCCCACCCATATAGGAGAGGTGTCCCATTTAGTTTTACGAGAAAGCAGCCATGCATTTACTCGGTCGAACAAAACAAAGAAAGCACCAGCAAGCAGCCGTCGGTGACAGCGGCCGCGGCCCGAAGCGTCAATCTTCAACGGACCACGACAAAAGCAAGCCAGTGCGTCTTGGGCTTGTGCCCGGCTCATGTCAGCTAATGCGGCGCAATGATTGCCTCTTTGCCTCGACGTCTGCCTTCCCTCTCCTCGCTTTGGAAGTGTGTGTGTGGGCATCCCCCGGGTGTCTCAACAGAGCGGCCACGCCTGTACGCGCACCACGACTCGAGAAGGCCCATTACCTGAAAGGGGGTAGAATGTACACGAGCAAGGCAACTGGCTCTTTTGTGATTTGAAATTGCAGAGCAACTTGTTCTTCGCTGAAGGGCGGGTGTGTTCGCCCTCACTGGGGCGGGATGGGCGATGCTTCCAACACAATGCCTGGCGACACTCGGCTCGCACACTCGACCCGAATCATCCATCCATCCAGTTAATTTGAAGAAAATACATTGCCGGAAGCTCGTGTGTCAACTCCTGCTCACTGCCCAATGACCCATCACCCCATTCCCCCCCAACCCGGCCTTGCATGGGACTAACCATTAGGATCCTTTGCCTCTTTCCTCTGGTGCTAATCGTCTCTCACGAACACAGCCTTGGAGGACGCCTGACGGAAAATTTCACTTGCCAGCGAACACATTGACGTGCCCTCTCACATCTCTCGCTGGCTGTATGCAAATTGCGAGTTGCCATGGCCTCAGGGATCTCAGCCTCTACCCACCCCCTTCTCGATACGGTCCAATGATATATCACCGCATTTTGTATTGTACTTCTGCCTCGCGCAGTGCTGTGCAATTTGCCTCGAGCATTGGTTGATCCGACAGGCATGCGGCTCGGCGGCCGGTCCACCCAGGGAGTTGGCCTTTTGCCAACCGCCATCCCCCCCCTCTCGAGATTCCCTGATCCGGGTTTCTAGTACTTGATACTCCTACTGGACTCACTAACGTCGCCCTACACCTACCGTTGCTGAAGATCTTCGATTAAACCAACCAGGTTTCTAGTTTGCACACCGACAGCCCTGTTTTCATCGGGCCGGACAATGTCCAAGTTGAGAAACTTCTGGCGACGCACTCCTACCCTCTCCGAAAACCAGACTCATCCTCACAGGGACTACGGTGACTCCCCTTGTTGTGCCGTGGCACATGGGTAGAGGCCGGAGGTGGCAGCGCAGGCCCGATCAACCCGTAGCTACCATGCCACATGACGAGCAAGCCTCGAAACACTTCGCAAGCTCGACAGACTTCCAAGCCTGCTCTGTGAGGGAGCCATCTATCTCGGAGCTCGCTGGTTTGGATATGGGTCGGCCACCTAAGGATAAGAAAGACAGAGATGAAAGGTGGAATCGGGGGAGAGACAACCCACGCATCCTCGCTGCGAGCCTTTCGATGCAGGAACGCGATGCTCAAACCCTCCCCGCTCCTATTACTACGCCGCCGACTCTGGACCCCCATCGCCCTATATCCGGAACTACTGTGAAGAGAACATGTAAGGTCCAGGCGAAAAATGGTACCTGGCGCACCGTCGACGCAATCTCTACTCACCGGAAGCGCCAAAAGGATGGCGAGTTGTATCTGGGTGTCACTAAAGCTCTTGCTTCTCGGCTCGGATACAAAATCAATCGCCTTGGGAATGGAAAGCGGCTACAGCACGACATGAAGACGGGGCTGATAAAGTGTCGTGGCACCATCAGCCTGCCGTTTTGGAAGGCGAACGGACAACAGAGTGTGGAAGTGGTTGGTGTCTGGGATGGCCCCAATTGTTCATTCGAGGTCATGGTTGACGAGGGCGCCGTCAAAGAATATACTATGCCTAAACGTAAGTGTCTCTCGGAGTTGAGTATTTGTTGTGCTGCCGTTCTGACAAGATACACCAGGCCCCTCAACAACGAACCATACCGCTATTGGTGTCTTGCACTCGCCGCACCCTCATATCCCACCGCCCCAACCCCCTTCGTTCATGCCAACTGGTACTACCTCGTATATCGGACAGGTCAACGAAAATCAGACCAGCGGGCAGGCCAACGAATACCCGGCGAATCAACAGGCCAATGAATGTCTAGCGAATCGGCAATTATTTGCATATCAGGCAGATCAACAGCCTTACGGATACCAGATGAATGAGGAGGTGGCGGCGCGGGGAGGTGGCAACTTCCCGCCCGCCTTCTCGGGTTTATCAAATTCCTACTATGGAAGTTTGGAGCAGTGCTATCCTTTTCGGTTTGATAACAATGCCAACAATGCCACCAACAATGCGCAGGACTACGAGACCTCGGACACTACACGTGTGCCAGACGGGCAGTCCATCCACTTCAACTCTCAACCCACTGCTGCTCTTGGGGTTGATGAATTTGATCTTTGGCTTCAGGCGCCTGCTCTCATGCCAGAGGAATATAACCATGTTTCTCAGAATGCTTACTCTCATGATGCACCACTGGCTGCTGCTGCCAATAATACGCCGTACAACCAGGCCCCCCAAATTACAGATCAAACGGATGTTACACGTTCATTCGATAACCTTTTCAACGACGAACAGGGTGGGGTGGAGAGTATGGTGGACCTCCAAACCCAGCAGCCTGCGAACCCTCACGCCTCTCGGCCTGGGGATCATGAAACCTCTCAGCCCCGGGACTACCAAACACCTCAGTTTGAAGACAACCAGCCTCCCCAGCCTTGGAACTGGTTCGATATGCCATAGAGTCGCTGGTGAGTTCTTCTACTCTAATTGGCTAACACCTAGTCGGCAAGAGCTAGAGCTAAGTGGTTGATGCCCAAGGAGGAGAGAGAGGAGGATGTGTCGAGCGGATCTATGGGGGGATTGGTGGGGAAAGGTGGCTGGAGAGACTTGCGATTTGTTTTATGATGTTCCGACAACGGTTACCTAAAGAGGTTTCTATCCATAACAAAGCCTCATGCATCCATCACCAGCGCTGTTGGCCACGGTAAGCAACACATTCGACCATTCTTGCCCCGAATATGGACAAGCGTTCGTGTGGATAGAAACTTGCTTTGGGCGCCTTGAAACGCATTCCTTACGACATCGACGACAATTTTACGGGTAGGAAATGATGGAACACGCTCTTTTGGATTTCCTAGCTAGTATGTATTGGCCGGCATGTCGCAGCTCGTGTCTCGACGTCGACCGACTGTCCACTCCTTTAATACAGTCTTTACCGAATCTGTCGACGCAGCCACTCCATGCAGCCGTGACTGTGGCTCGGCCCAATTACGGAGCTGTGTCCGTCTCCCCGGGAATTATGTCGATGTAAGACATCTCAGGCCACAGATGCAGCCTGCAGGATCCATAATAAGGGGCCAGAACATCATCTCGCTGGAGTCAACGCGGGCTGATTCGTGCAATTGATAGCAAGCGGTAAGTCAGTCCCCAGACCCTGTCTCACACCACTGGCCATGCGTTCGCCCCATACGAAAGCTGGCGCAGGAAGTTTGACATCTTCCCGAGGAATAGGTACACGCCTGCCTACAGTGCGTAGGCGGTGTCTCTCAATACCCACCTTAGCAGCCTCTCAGATATTTATTATTTATTTCTGCTATTGCTTGCTTTAGGTACTTGATCGGTCGCAGATTATACTGTGTGGGGGCTGTCCTGATACAATCTGAATTGGTCAACGTCCCGCGTCAGCCTCCGTATGCACTCCAACTCATCGCAGAATGACAAGTCAACTCGCTCTCCCGCGCCGGAGCAGCCCGTCTGGACCCCTGCCCGAGCTGGCTTACCAAATAGCTCTTCGGCCCAGGGATTGGATCGACGCTGGGATGGGGTGAGCCGTGTGGTGTTCAGCCAGCCACACGCTTTGACCGTCCATCGACAACAGCCCGCCAGAGCACACCTTCTTCCACCAATGTACCACTGGCCAGACTGCAGCCTGTCTCATCCACGTCTGGAAGGGCTGCCACCCTCAACGAGAAGATCCTTCTGCAGTGACGTTGCCTTGGATCTCACCGAGAGGGACCGGGACTCCGAGACATGGCTCCGGATTCGTCGAATGAGACATGCGGGCTTGCTACGTGGCTCGACCTTGATGATATGCGGTTTTCGCTGGTCTGAGGCTTTGGGAGTCAGCAGCGGCCCAGACCCTGGCCGATCCTCCCGATCTGCATGGAGTCGTGAGGATCGGGGGACACTCGTAGACATGGCTTGCGGCAATATTGTCAAACAGCCGAAGTAGCGTCGATTCACAAGTCTGCTGGTCCACTGTACTGAGATATAAGTATCGCAAATATTGGCCCATAACTCCAGGGTCGTCTTTCGTGTATCATTGGCCCGCTAACCCAGAGATATGAGACATTGTGTATTAAGAAACCTGGGGAGAGACCTGGAAGAAGGCCACCCTCTTCCCAATCGTAGTATGAGCCAAAGAACCCCTCCATTCTTTCATATGCCAACCCTCGCCCGACCTCATAGCAAAGCGGGTTGCCCATCGCAAATGCAATGTTCTTTCTTAATCTCGTAAAAGTTCGCCAAGAAAACCGTAAAGCCAAGACTTGCATATCCAGTCGCTAATTTCTAGCCCTGCCGAGCTCCAACGCAGATGCCAAGCCCAAAACCAAGTACCCATAAAACCCCAAGACAAGTAGCAAGAAAAAGAGAACCGTGTCCAAATTGCAGCCCCAAACACCTAACAGTGCTATTTTCTTTTTACATAATTCAGTCGTGACAGTGAAGCAAGTGTAGTTCGGTGTATCGTAAGTATTCGTGTATGCTGGAGATTATTGGTCCCTAGAAACCAGAGAAGTCGTAATGTCGGCTGTTTGCCATATTCGTTGCTGACAAGACATGTAAGAAATGATGACGTCGCTTATGGAAGTGTGTCCCTGAAATTTGTATCGTTTCCGGGATCGTCGAGATAGATGGAGTTTGAGGGGGAAGCCTCCTGATCGCCCAAGATGGTGAAATCACTGATCGCCCCTTGCCGCTCACCGTTCGCCGCTGGCATACCTCCTATTTAACTTCGGACTGAAAGCCAATGGAATAGCGGGGGCCTTCGGCGTAGGGGACAGGGATGATGGTAACCATATTAGTGAAGCGCTGCCCATTCTTGCGGTAGTTGGTAACGCAAAGTTGAATCTCATCAGAGTCACGGATGGCATGACGCATGCGGCGGATAGAGGACTTGTCGGCAGACTTGTCGGCAGACTTGGAGCCAGACTTGGAGCCAGACTTGGAGCTGGAACGTCGGTCCTTTCCTGGAGGGGTCTGAAGGAAGCGGCAGTTTCGGCCGATGGCCTCGTTGGAGGAGTAGCCGGTCAACAGTGAGAAGGCCTCAGTGACGTAGAGGATTGGCGTGTCGGGCTGTAGGAGGTCGCAGAGGATGAGGGAAACGGAGCTGTCCACAGCACCCAGGGAGATCTTGGGGTTGGGACGGGATGCGATTCGGAACTAGGGGGACGAGGTCAGAGTCAAGCCGACAATAAACAGGGGTATGGGGTTGGGTGCCTCGTGATCGGGGGCTGGGAATTAGAGGATTAGGAAGGGAAGTCATACGAAAATATCCATGATGTCAAATCCGCTAGGAGCATAAATGCCTGGGTAGATGACGGGGTCTTGAACGCGGCGCCAGGTAGTTGCGGTGGTGACAGCAGAGCCATCGGGGTTGATGGCACCTTGTTCAGGGAACTCATACTAGGGTGGCTAGGTCAGTTTCCGTGATGTGGATGTTGTTGTACGTTGAGAAGCGGCAATACTAACATTGAGAGCCTGGACTTCCCAAGGGTTCATGGCAGGCGGCAGTCTGGATGTCATCCGGCGAGACCAAAAATAAAATAGAAATTGAGAGTTTCTGGTAGGCCGAAGATGGAGTAATAGTACGAAGCCAAAGACGTGGGCAGATCAAACTGCTGGGAAAGGGGATTGAGAACACGGGGTCACTTGTCGAGAGTCGAGATGGATGTCGAGAGATGGAGAGGAGCACGAGGTGACGGTAAGCTTGGTGGTGGAGAGGAGAGAGGCCAAAGATATATGTAGGTTAAGACCCGAAATGGCCGAGGATCGAGATCGCAGAGTTGGAGGATGGATGGATAGACAGACAGACAAGCGCAAGCACCCGCTCCCGAAACCACCAACCCCAGAAGGCGGATACCAGAGCCAGCAGGCGAGAAGCAGAGCCAATATGAGAGCCAATGCGAGAGTCAATCAGGTCAGCTTGGGGGATGCCGTGGCCATGGCTGCGGCAGCGTGGAGCGAGGGCCATTGTGGAGCGATGGCCAGCGTGGAGCCCAGCGTACCAGGGAGCACTGGGCGTGGGAGATGTGGGCGTAAGTGTGGATGTGGATGTGGGCATGCGCAGTAGGCACATGCCCGTCGTGGACCCGTCTCCTGTGCCTTGAATAGTGCCATCTATTCCATCCTGGGCGTCCCATATGACCGGCAATTGGGTGTCGAGCGACAGCTAAGCAGGGACCGAGAATGCAGTTCCAAGGCAAAAGGCGTCCTGGACCGAGAAGACGCAACTTGCGTGAGCATGCCAGAAGCAGCAAGGCGCCTGGCCGTGTGATTGATTGCCTGCCCATCCTCATCTGCAAAGAGACTCTGCAAAGCCAACACGGATGGCGACAGACGGCGAAGGAGGAGGGGTGGCTATCGCAAGGTTGCCAGCAATCCGGTGTGTGGATATCCAGGCTGGCCCAGTTGTGTTCTGGACGATGAGGATGGTCAAGCTCTGCCGTGGGGATCTGGCTCCAGAATCAAGATCGCCGGCTCGAGCCTCCGGGCCCGGGATCGGGTTTGATCGGTGGAGCTTGTGGGGGGGGGGGGGGGGGGGGGCGCGTGCCGGGCGGCTGGACCAATCCACTTGCTGTTGGTCGCGAAACATGGTTGCTTTTGGACGGTCTCCTCCGTGCTCTACTGCACAAAGGGACCAAGAGTGTGCGGAGCGTTCGTGGGCCAACTGTTATGACGGCGATGCTGCCAGCTGTGATGCTCAACGCTGGTGGTGTTTTGTGTTTTGTGTTGCGTAGGCTGTGCTGTGACCTGGAGCCTGTAGCTTGGATTCCCGATCCCCAATCTCAATCCCCAATCCCCAATCCCCGATCTCCTCGCTCTCGTGTCCAACGTCCCGTATCCCGCGCGCCTGTACCCGGTGACCCAGTCCGTTTCTTGTCAGCGCTCCCAGGGTGCTGGCATCGATCCACGGATCCCTGCTCGGCCCTGCCCTGCTTCTGCCGTGTTCATGAATTCAGGTCGTACAGGTACGTACAGTACTGTTGACCGTAGGCGGACCCCGATGCTAAACTCAACCCATCATGACGCCGCCCCGCCAGCGACGGCCTAGCGGGGCTGAGCTAGAAGTACCCCTGGATGCAATGACGGTGATGGGCTGGACCGCCTGTCTGGGGACTCTGGGCTGATGAGCCGAGACAGGGTCCCGTTTTCTGGATTGATAGCTCGATTCGCGTGCCCGATGCCCGACAGGCGATCGATGCGCACCAAAGTCTCCGGATCTACCATCAGATCCTGGGCCTGACCATCGTACGAAGCGCGGTGGTGCCGCTGGCAAGCTGGGCACTTGCTTAGCCGGCCTGGGTCGCCGCTGGTCTGGAGTCGACAAAGAATCAACAAATGACCGACACGTTGTGTGGACCGATGCTTTTGAGGAACGAGGAGGCAAGCGCCACACAAACCGTCAGCGACTGAAAGAAGCCGTATGTGCATGGGAAACTCTTCAGCTGCTGCACTATGGATGATGGGGTTGTAGTGGATTGGAATGGAATGGCATGGTGGTGATAGGTGCTTACCACGTGCCGTATGTGTGCCGTACGTGCGCCTTGCCGCCTTTCCTGATGCTGGGGGAAGGAGGTATGTTGGAGTGAACAGCTTCGTTCCTGCCTCGTTCCTCCTGCCTCGTTCCTCCTTCCTCGTTCCTCCTTCCTCGTTCCTCCTTCCTCACACGGCCATGGTAGATCCTTCCTAAGGTAGGTAGGTAGGTAGTCTCAGCACTTCAGCACATGCCTCAACACGGGAGGGAAAAAAGGCATACCCGGAAGCGCTCAATGCCAAGGCACCGCATCGCACCATCGTGATATGCCAAGATGTGGTTGCGCGGGATGGCTTGCGATGCGACATGATGGACCGGCTAACCGGACGCTCTAATTTTTGCCCTCGTTGCCCAGATCGAACCACCCCGGTCCTCATTCCAGTGATGTGATCGATCCGATTGATACGGTAGGCCCTCCGTTGTGGACGGAGCCACGAGCCAGTAACACGGCCGTGTGCGACACCCACAGCAGGGAGTTAATGCACACTGCGGCTCCAGTCCAGTACTGGTCAGTGGTAGGTCCAAGTCTGCCGCCGTTTTCCCCGTGACATCCCGGCACCACTGCACGCGTCGACGACGGCACTCTAATTACGGCGCGTCTGGGTGCACCACCAACCAAACTAGGCGCGTTTTGCGCTCTGCTGGTCTCGATCCTCTTCTCTTCACCTCACCAACAGTTCATCAACAACAAAACAGACCGGGATCCACACCATCTCGCGATGCTCCTACTCTGTACAACCTCGCCCTAATCGCCATCTTCCCATTCGCACGATCCTGCGCCTACCACCTGGCATCCGGCATACAACGTACCGCAACTCCCCGCCATGTCCCGCAGACTCGTCAACCGCTCCGGCACCGCTGCCACATCGTCGTCAACCTCGTCCACGGCCTTGCCCGAGTACCAGCCGCCCTCGTGTCCCCTTAACGATGCCGCTCGCCGCGCCCTCGGCAACCTCTCCAACAACCGGGGCACCGTGGAGTACCAGATGCACCTCAAGGACTCGGTGCGCCTCATCGGTACCAGCGTCGGCGACTTACATGAGCGCTTGAGGGAGCAACGTGACAAGCTCGAGGCCTATCGCGCTAGGAGGGAAGAGAAGGGCACGGAAAAGTCCTCTGAGGAGGAGCGACTAGAGGAGCACTTCGTCGATCTGGAGGCGCAGGTCAATTCCCTAACTGACCAGTCGGAGAAGGCTATTCGCGACCTGATAGATCGTCAGGCCGAGCTCGAAGATGAATCGGCAATCCTTGGCGACCTGTACACTATCGCTGCCCCCGATGCCTCGCATGCGGACTTACACCCGCCCCAACGCCAAATCGACGGTGACATTAGTTCCTCACAGGACGAAGAGCAGAAAATCTCCGTCCCGGCTCCCCCCAGCGTCATTGACATATTCAAGACTGAGCAATCCCGGAAGGTTGCTGACTACTCTGCCCTGTCCATGCACCAACGATACGCCCTTAACAACGACTACGCCGCCTTCAAAAAGCTGTGGCACGATGCCATGGCTGGCGAGGATGGTCCCCCGCTCCCCGACGCTTCTCGCTGGTTTCGCCCCGATGGCCAGCCTGTTATGCAAGGGTTGGCAGATGATGGCGCTGCCGATGACGACGACGACATCGCCGTCGCTCGAGAGGTCCTCAGCATGAACTGCCCCCTCACATTGCAGCCCATGGACCAGCCATACAGTAACCGCAAGTGCAAACATACCTTTGAGAAAGCCGCCATCCTCGACTACCTGTCCATGCGTGGTGAGAAGCAGTGCCCGCAGACAGGATGTTCACAGGTACAACCCCAACAAACCCCTCATCTTGGCCTCCAACTCATCAACTTAGATGTTCTCCCGCCCTAAATTTGACGAGGACTTTTACCTCGACCAGGCCATGGTTCGCCGTATCCACCGCGCCCGTCAGGCCCAGGAACAAAACGAGATGGACGAAGACGACGATGAGGAGGAAGGCGATGGCGACGACGATGTCAGGGTTAGAGGCCACAAAGCCGTGCCGGGACGCCCTAAGAGGGAGAAGATCGAGCGGTGAAGTCTGACGAACGCACGCCAGGGAAGCAAAATGAGATGTAATCCGATACGATTTAATGACGAACGATACCCCCACCTGGGCATGTCCCTCTGGAATGTGAGGGAGTGCGGTTTAAAAGCATGAGCATCTGTTAATAGTGGAATGCTGGGACATAGAATACATTCCATTTCTATCCTTGCTATGAGATCTATTCATTAGGGTATCTCTTGCTAATCCTATTCATCATTATTTTGCGCTTGGAGAGTAAAGCGTCCATGTGGGGGAACCAAAACCCAACCCGGTTTCCTAATGCTGCCGTGCCGTCCCGAATATTGTACGTCCTGTACTATAACCCGTTTCTCATACTTTTTCCAAAATGATCAAACAACGCCCCTTGTACCAAAAACAAACTTGATGTGACATGTACACCCAGCCACACTATTTCGAATAACTACACGACCAAGGCGTAAAGGGCAAGGACACTAGCAAAACCTAAGACCAGGCGACTGGGGCATGTCAGGGACACACCCGCGGAACCAGAATCGGCCTCGGGTGTCGATGTCGCCGTGAAAACGCCCGTAAGGGTCTCCGTGACGGTCTGCCGCGCCGAAGTAGTAGTTCGGGGCGCCTCGGTGGCGAACGGCCAATCCTCAGGCGAGTTGTACAGGACGCCGTTGATGACGGCGCCTTTGTTTTCACCGTCCGCGCCCCGTAACAGCGATTGCGCAGCCTTGTTGCAGCTGCCAGCCACGGCACGCACATAGCACGTCGGCGCGAGCTGGTCAGGCAGTTTGCCGGTCTGGGTGGCGTTGGCGGAGCCTGTGGTGTTGTAGATGCTGACGTCGATGTCCTCGCCTGTGGAGATTGAGGTTCCCATGATGATGCGCGCAAACACTTGGAAGGCCGTTTCGGGCTGGTAAGCGGGAACGGCATGGCCGGCTTGGTAGATGCGGCTGAAGGAGAGGTTGCCGAACTGGCGGACAGCGCCGCCAATATACGAATCGTTAACAATGATGGGCGCGTAGCCAGCTGCTGAGAAGCGGGTGGCATATTCACCGCCAGCCTCCACAGCGATTTGCTTGGACACAGCCTCACCACCCAGCCAGTTGCAGATGTAGTCGCGGTCGCCGTACATGAGGCCAACATGGATTCCTTTGTTGACGAGGGCAGCAAGGCGAGGGATGTTTCCGTCACGGGCCTGATCACCAGTGTCTGCGAACTCGTAAAATACGGCGTTGTTAGACATGGTATAGTTGACCGGAGCACCGATGGCCTTCTGGACATCAGCCTGGTTGAGGTACTCTAAGAACGTCATTGCCGGAAAGGGATCGGCCTCTGGGGCGGCGAGGTCGTAGGCGCTGCGGCCTGACTGGAAGTAACCGTATTCGATATCAAGACAAGCTGCCCGAGCCTGGGAGCATATGTCGTTGACACTGACATTGTTGCCATCGCCCTCCGGATCACCGAAGGCGATTGCCGCAGTGCACTGCTGGAGGAGGGCCTTGCAGCCACCCTCGGACGCATACTTGTCAACATAGAACGAGGCCTCTTCTTTTGAAATGGCCTCATAGCCGTACGTGTTGTCGCTTGCAAACATGGGATAGTATGGGGTCTGGACCTCCATATCGATGCAGCCGTTGACAATGCCGAGGGATTTGAGGTGGATTTCGATGGTGGTGTTGAGGGGAAGCTCGCCTGTCTCTCGTTTGAGGTTCTGCTCCTCAAAGGTCTCAGCAAAGATGGGCCCATAACGACCACCGTAGCTCTCAGCAAAGAGATTGACGCCGAGAGAGCTGTTGACACCCGTTTCTGACGGCTGGTACTGGGGAAAGGTTGTCAAAAACCCTTGTACCATGTGCCAGACAGCCTCCGCAGCCAGCTCAGTCGTATTGGAGGTGTGGGTGCCGTTGCCAGAGCTGAAGGTGCCGTTGGCCATGGCCCAGTCCGGATATTCGGTGTTGCGTATGGGCGGCTCCTCGAGCTTGTCATCGGCAAAGTTTAGAGTCCCCTTGGTGGGAGCATCGTACGAGAAGCCTACTTGGTTAGGCTACAGGGGAGGTGAGGTTAGATATCTGTCCCAGCGGTTCTAGGCTCTGGGGAGCATGCGTAGAAACCTACCTGGTCGATGAAGAGCATATTAGAGGCACGATCCCATCCCCATTCACGAGCCACTGTGTTATAGCGATTGAGGCCTTCCTCAACAACCTCACAGGGCCCATTGCCAGTGAAGAAGCCATACATGGAGCTGGAACCTGGCCCGCCATTGAGCCAGAGGGTGAGACTCTGGGTTTCTTCGCGGGCCTCAACAAACCAAAAGAAGAGATTAGTCGGGTAGTCGCCGGGAATAGAGACCCAGCCGGTGTACTGGCGCTGGGAGTCGAAAGCGGTGGTGCAAGCGCCTTCGGGGACCTTGTACGAGACGGTAACGTTGCTGTTTCCTGGGGAGCGGACGACTGTGAGGTTTCGCTCTGCAGCGTTGGCGTGGGGGATGAACTGAGCGAATGAAGCGGAGGGAAAGACGGGGCCCAGGAGGAGGAGAGGAAGCAAAGGAGAGGCGAGGAGAGGCGACAGCATCATGACGAAGATGTCGATGGCTGCGGCGGTAGCTTCTCGCCGTGGTCGTGGTCGTTGTGACTGGGGACAGGCGTCGTCATGCAATCTTTATGACATGGACCAATCCAAGAGCAAGCCTAACAGCGCACGAGGACCTGAGACAATGTATATTTCCCGAGACACAGAAACCGAAAAGAAAGAGTGAGAAGGAAATGAGAAAGAGCAACCCCGACAAAAAAGATCAGCGTCAACAGCCCAGATGCATGATGATGAATGAGTACGAGACGGGGACGCAACACGAGACAGCCGAACGTCGTTGCGCTGGAGCGAGGCTGGGGTCACCAAGGCACCAAGGCCCCCTGTTGAGGGGAGCAATGAGCGCTGAGCACTGGGGCTTACGGGGGGCATCTCCACCGGCTGTGCCTTACACCTTGCATAGCCCCAGGCGCCCTCTGCGCGCTCTGAGGCCGTGATTAGCGGAGTTTGGGGATTGGACAGCGGGTGGCTTCCCGCTATAACAAACAAGGGATTCAAGGCGTTTTAGGGCGTTTCTCGGCGCTCAGCGCTGCCATGCATGCTAGGGCCTAGGGAGTAAGAACTAATCCTCTGCTCTATCTGCTGAGCTCCGCACCGTCGCGAACCTTAACACCCATATTTGTTGGATTTTCCCCATTGTGCGGGAGCACATTCGCAGCATCACCGGGGAATCGGATCGCCCCCCTTCGCGTCGACTCCCGACCAGCCGCAGTGCCGAGGATCCCTCCCAAGTCCCAACGCAACGCGGGACAGCTGGTGTTGCTAAATCCATAGCTCGGAGCTTTTCCTTCCCCTCATTCGCCCCCCATGCACGTGCGGCTGACGCCTGTGACCACTCGGCCTAGGCAAGGATCAGCTCGTTGCAGCACAAGTTACGAAGTACGACCGGCAAGCCCAGGCCGCGTCGCACCATGCGCCCCGAGGCACGCGAGGCCGTTTTCGGTATGAGAGTATTGCAGCTGAAGGATCGGCACGAGGGATGCCACTTTGCTCGGCCCATAACAATCCAATGGCTGGGTTTTCGCATGGTTAATTATCGGACCAGCCTGTTCATCTAACTGACGAGCGGCCAAGCTTCTCAAGCAGGGTCCAGGTGCGGAACAGCCCTGTGGGATCGTAAGAGGAAGAAAGCTCGCTGATCAGTCTTCTCGTTCATGTCATCTTCAGCCGCCATTTCTGACTCGCCCAATGCTCTGAAAACGCCTCGATTTTCTCCAGATGATGGCATTATAGGCTTTCATTTCCACGTCTATATGGATGGTGATACATTATAGTACAGTCGACCTGACCCATCGATGGACATCTCTCGTTTCGTTTCTGACACAACTCCACCTTCAATGCGTTCATACAGAGACCACTGATCATGGTCAAACCTTGCGAACAGCGAAAAAATAGTTTCCGACTCTCTCGCTTCCTTGAACCTCCTTCCATCCCAATCCTGGCACGTAGACGACGCCCTGCACCATCGGGCTGCTCCAGCCTTGACCCTCTAGGAATCCACGCAGCTCGTTCTCGTTCAGGTATTTGTTCCAATCATGCGTCCCTTTGGGAACGATACCCAGCACATCCTCGGCCATGAAGTTGGTGGTGAACCAGCTCACCCATGTACGCGCAATGGTACTCATGACCAGCCATCCTCCAGGCTTGACAAACGGCCGCACACGCTCTAGAACCGCACCCGGCTCATCGACGTGCTCAATAACCTCGAATAGTGATACGATGTCGTATGCCTCCTCCTCCGTCGGCACGGGGAGTTGCTCAATTGATGTCTGGCGGTATTGGAGCTTGTTGCGCAAGGCAGGATCCTTGCGGGCGTGAGCCTTCGCGATGGCGAGGACGGAGGGTGTTGGGTCGATGGCGGTGACGCTTCGAGTGCTCGGCAAGCGGGCGGCGCTTTCAGCGAAAATTCCCCCGCCGCAGCCGATATCGAGGTAGGTGAGGTCGCGGGAGGGGGAAGCGTCGGCCTGGGTGCGGTGGCATGCGCGGATGAAGTCGTGGCGGAGGGGGTTCATGAGGTGGAGGAGGCGAGATGAGCCGTTAGTATCCCACCAGTCGGCGGCGAGGGCATTGAAGTGGGAGACCTCATCGGGGTTGACGGAGGAGAAGTTGGGCGAAGATGTGGAGGAAGTCGAGGAGGATGCGGTCGAGTTCCATCGTGTAGCAGAGCTTGTTGGTGCAACGCCAGGAAAGACGCTATTGGATGCCCGAGAAGCTGTTGAGAACGGGAGAAGCCTGCCATTCGGTTTGCCCAGTCGCCGGAGCAGGGCGCCCGCCGGCCGTAACGGAGCCGGCATGGTGGTGGACGTAGGGAAGACTGGTTGTCGTAGGGTTGGAGCTATTGAAGCTGTCGGTGGTTCTAGGTTTTGCGTCGCTCCATGACGTCCAAGACGCTCGGTAGATTAGGCCTAGTGTTGTACGGCCTTCGCTCCGTTAGTCTCTTGGCCTGACTAATCCATCAAGGACACCAAAACGGTACTGTATCGGCTTCCGTAACAGACGGTCACATCCCGTTCTGGTCGGATGATGATCAAATTGAGAAAATGGCCGATTTCTCTAATCTATGAAGTGTGCTCCCTGTAATTCATATCTAACGGATATTGTGTAATAATTCTAGCTAGCTTGAGAGAGGGCGTGGTATGTTTGAAGTGGCGGTAACATCGTGATGTTATCTAGGCGTGTAAAAAGTGCAGCATTCCGACGTGGTTGTTCGGAACTCACATCGACGCAAACACGAATATCGAAACCATGTATACGAATTTAGGGGTTATAAACTTTAACCTCGACTCTCGCGGGATTACTGCAGGGTTCCCTTTCACCTCGCGCCATGTCATCAAGAGGAGTCTGGCGTAGTCAACAAGAGTGGGATTCTGGGTGACAAAGCTGTCGTGTTCCGCCGTTCTGTTCCACCACGACAGGACAGGACCAAACAGATAGCGATTAATTGGAGGAATTGATCCTACTTCTTATCGACACCGTCATAGGCTCCACCATTTCCGTAATAACCCCTCGTTGCAGCAGATAAAGAGAGATTTTCGCACATGGCGGGACGGGGAATTATCGAAGAGCCCCCCATTCATGAACCCATTCATGAACCCATGTCCAGTGAGTGAGCGCTGACTGATGCTTTCGCAATTCGGGTCTCCAACTGCGCCTTGAGCGGTGCTTACATAATAGCCGCGCGACTTGGACAAATCCATGAACCTCCTTGACCCCAGTAGCAGGCGGGCCTCGGGTGCGCTAAATGGTCCATCGCGGGGCCCTGCAACGCCGAGCGGCGGCTGCGAGTCGAGGAATTGGCGGGCGGTGACATGTGAGCATCTGGGCACTCTTCCGCTTTCTATGTGCTTCTCCCGCCAGGCAAACTTTGGGTCGGCCTCTCCAGACTCTAGACCTACCTAGGCTCAGTCCGGGCAAGCCGGTTTGCGAATGGGTGCGAATGGGTGCGAATGTGCTGCCCATGGCTCCATAAAGCCGGCAATTCACCGCGCGGATCCGAGCCATGACCATGGCCGTGGCCGGGCAGCGGAGGCCACGGCAAGGAATCATGCCGTCGCTTCCTGTACGGCGGTGCCATTGCCGACCATATGATGGAATAAGTCATGGTTCTACTCCGTACTCTCCTCCATATTATCCTCAGTCATCCATCTCTCTCGTATATCCTCTCGTGTATCCTTCCCCCTCCTCTCTCTGTACCCATCGTCTGTGTTGCATTCCCATCGCCCGTTTATACCAATACCTACCTCCCCTTCTCCATCTTTCTAATTCCATCTATACCCCGCGCCATTGACCAAGCAAAACCCAGACCCCTCCCCCTCTCTCCGAGCCCGCACCGTTCGTCGCATTCGCATCGCAGGGCAGCCGAGGCCGAGAGTCACACAACAAACTTCGACACCACACTCGCCGAACCCGACGCTTTCCTCGCTCCACCTCCACCTCCCATTATCCACATCCCGCCGCGACAATGCCTGGGCCCACGATAGATTTGACCAAGTTCGACTCTATCCCGGAGTCTATTGAGGCTTTCCGTACGCGCCTCCTCTCCAGTCTTCGTCCCTGAGTCACTCGTGGAACCATCGACGCACTCTGAACCCGACGCACTGTGACCCCGACTCGCGCTGACTCCAACTAGGAAATGGCGAGTTCCTCGTCGTCCTCGATGACCCCTCCCGCGAGAACGAAGCCGACCTCATCATCGCCGCTCAGGATGTGACCACCGAGAAGATGGGTTTCCTCATCCGCCACTCCTCCGGCTACGTCTGCGCGCCGCTCTCTCCCGCCCTCATCACCTCTCTCGGCCTCCCTCAGATGGTCTCCAACAACGAAGACCCTCGCGGCACCGCCTACACCGTCTCCGTCGACGCCGCTGACCCCTCCGTCACCACCGGCATCAGCGCCCGCGACCGCGCCCTCGTGTGCCGCGTGCTCGCCGATCCTAACTCCAAGCCCGAGAGCCTCCGTCGCCCCGGCCACGTCCTTCCCCTGCAGGCCCGCGCAGGAGGCGTTCGCCAACGCAACGGCCACACCGAGGCCGCTGTTGAGTTCTGCCGCCTGGCCGGCAAGACACAGGCCGCCGCCATCTGCGAGATTGTTGACGACGGCGAGGAGGTTCCCGGTCAGGCCATCCGCCAGAACGTCGGCATGTTGCGAGGCGAGGCCTGCATTGCCTTTGCGCGCAAGTGGGGGATCAAGGTCTGCACCATTGCCGACCTCGTCGCCTACGTCGAGAAGACCGAGGGCAAGCTCGAGGCTAACGGAAGCTGAGTGTGAGGACTGGACCAATTGAGCGTGGATGCGGACATGTGTGAGCCGTGGTTTTTGGACAGTGGTGACGGGGCGCCATCTACTCGTTCCCTTTCTTGTATACTCGCGTGTCTTATGGGTGCTGTTTGATGGTTGATGACGGCATGTTTTGTTCATGTGTTTTTCAATGTGTTTTCCCTCTCATGGTTTGGGCATAGAATGGGGGCCACATGTGCCTCCCCGTGTTGAGGTGTTATGGCAGCCAAAAGACAAAAAAGACAAGATGAGGACGCCCTCATCCTTCTTCCTCGTATTTCCCAAGCACACGCATTGATGGAGGGCCCAATCGGGTTGGAGTTACTCATTGTGAGTTGTACTTTGTGAGCCAAAAAAAAAAATTCCATGTACTGTGTAACTGATGGTGGGCCCATGTTATCTTGTCCCAAACATCTAGTTTAAATCCCTGCATAGTTTCCAGTATAGCATCTGTCAAGTGATGCACAGCTATCGGTTAGCATCGTGCCGTCTGCGTGCATGTCCTCTATTCCCCAGAATCTTGGGTTGGCCGATATTTCCCCAATCGACGCGTTGTACGATCCGTCGCCCGCGTAAACGCTGGCAAAGTCGCCAGAGAACGAAGAGATTGAAAATTCCGAATTGGTCGGACCGGATACTAGGGGGTATAGAGCATCTCCTAGATTACATTTTGAGTCAGTGGAAGTATTGACATCAGGACAGAGAGGTAATTGACCCCCAGATTGCAAGTTTCCAGCCCCAGAGACTGGAAAGATCTCTCTACTCATATCACCCCAGGCCGGTTGTGGACTACCTGTTGCGCTCCTGTTCTCCGTATCTTCCAGCAATTTCAACAAGTGTCGACCTATGACCACGTTCGCAGGCTCGCAGCTAACGCGTGCAACGGTGATGTCGACTGACAGAGAAGGAAAGTCGGCAACCTTCAAGCGAACACTTTTTGCCCAGTATTGTGGGTGAGAGTCTTCCGAGTTGGCTAGCAGTACTCTTTTGGCTTTTTGTCGAGGCATCGGTTGCAGCGTCAATCCGAGCGCGCTCGCTGTCCTGTCATCAAGGATCGATTCTTCAGCGTTAGGATCAATTTTTGCAATGACTCCCTGCCAGCCGTCTTCTCCCCACATACATACGCCTTTTATATTTCGTTCGTCTCGGTGAGGTTTGGTTTTCGCAGGCGTGCTCGGCGTAGTCGATCTCGGAGGCAATTTCGAGCTGCGCCGTGTCGGCGAGTGCAGTGCGCGCGACTTTCGATCGCGAGTGAGATGTTTGTTGTCGAGGAGGCGCTTCGTTTCAACACTGATCTCTGAGCATTCTAATTTGCTTCCTTGTTCCACTGTCGCCCTAGCAAGGAAAGGATCTTGTCCTTCAGATCGAAGCGCTTGATAAACACCAAGGCGAGTCATTGGGTTTGACGAAATCTCTTGACATTCGGCTGCTGATTCTGTCGATCGCTCTGCGACGGTGCCGTCGTCTCGCACCTCTTGTTCCGATTTGCTGGTAAAATGCCGCTGCTGAGGGGCGAAGAACGGGCTCTTGTGTTTATCGAACTCGGTCCCTTCGAGACAGTGCCGATTCGGATTTCGCTGGCGCCGGGTCATGAGTATACCACCAATTGTGTGTTGATGCGATTCTCAAGCAGATGGTGGCAAGGCTAGGGCAGTGACTGAAAACACCGTGGGTAAGCACTCATCCAGGGGCAATTGACTGATTGCAAGGCTTGAACTGAAGGTGTTGACTTGACGCTTGAGGAGTCTCGTAGCTACTGCAAAGGTGCATGCTCACAAGAGACTGCGTTGAACTGTATCGAATGGGGGGTTATTCCAGGCAGAATACATTCACATGGATAAAATGGATTTTGAGGGTGTCTAGGTCAACATTACTCATTGCTCATGCGTGCATTTCTTTGGTCACGAGCACTAAAATTACGAGCCAACGAGAGAGAGAGAGTAGTAACATGAGGCCCATCAGGAATGCAGCTACCTAGGTAGGGTGTGCGAATCCGAGAGGAATGGACTTGCCTAACGGGGCGGTGGCTAACGTGTATCATGTATAGCATGCTAACATCAGGTTCCAGTAAATGCAAGAACCTGGAAAGTGACCAATCGACCTTCCCCTTGCATCTCGAGGATGCGGGTTTAATTGGCTAAGGCGATCAAAGGCATAGCCTTACGGGGCGCAGTACAGCATTCGCTCGAGCTCCGACATGAGGCGTAATGCAAATGATATCAGCCAATGACAGTCCATGCCAAGTTGTCCCTGTATGTTGGTGGCCAGATTAACCCCCTACGGTAAGTCGATTCCGGTGAGAAATATGACAACGGGCTGGGCTCGATCAGTCTGTTGGTTGCCAGCTCAGCCTGAAATGGCGTTAGAGCTGCCGAATTCAGCTCAGGTTGCAAAATGAGGTTCCAGTAGCGGCCTGACCCAGCCAGCCAAAGGTAGTTGAAGACAACGCCAAAGAGTCCCAGACAGGGTAAAATAAAGCCATGGGTAACCATTGGCCAATTGCCACCAAGGCCAGACCTGTCAGGATCAATCGTGAAAAAAAACAAGGGCAACCGAGGTCGCCACATGTACTCGAAAGCCATGGGGCCTCACAATATCACAGCGGGGCTCCTATTGGCGTTTGATGGTCTGCAGGGCGTCGAGCAAAGTAGACATTTATAATCCAATCATATTAGAGAGCCCTTGACACCCTCAAGTGCCATGTTTGCACCTTGCATGCCTAGACTCCAGCCATGCTGCATGTACCAACGTGCGCTGCAGCCACGTCCAAAAGCAGCGAATATTGATCAGCGGACAGAAGGCGATAATAGCAACGTCACTGTCGCTCAGCCTGATCGATTCAGCGGGAGTCCTAGCACTCCCCGGTCCTCAAAGAAACGCGGCGCGTTCCATTACATCGATATTAAAAGATGACAGGTTGTGCAACCCCGTAATACTGTGGTAATTGTCAGCAGAGCATCAGCCTCAGACTCCGTGCTATATATTCTTGGATTCGACTTCACCCACTCGGTGGCTGCTGAACCCCGGGCCTCGGGCCGTTCACATGAACGGTTCCTGAATTTCGGATCCCGAAATTGTCCGTTGTGATTTCAAACCCGACACGTTAATAAATTTTGTGATTTAGAATCCCAACACATGTCATTTTGTTGCCCAACACCACATTCTCTTCCAGTCCGCCCGGAGTCAACGTCAGTCCATTCTCGAACTTCTGGTTGAAACGTATGGCGTCCTACAACTCAGGCGCTTCTGGGCTAAAGAGAAATTATCCTTGCCAAGCTCACCGAGGTATACCAACCTGACTGGTAGCCTTGTGATGAGATACTGCAGCACTTTTGGATCCCTCTCGCCCCAAAACAATCCCAATTGCATACTCGACTGAGATGAATTCGGCTGTCGAATTAATGTAATTACAATTCAGCTATAAGATTGCTTTATCGACATGACAACTTAGGGGCCCCTCGAAACTCCGATCCTCACAACCTCACTATTCATGAGCTATCCTCCCCTCATCGAATTATTCATCTGCCGCTCTTCATTAGAGTTTATTCGCCATCCACCCTAGAAGGTGTCACTCAAATCTGCCATGCGACCACACAAACGTATTCCAGTCCGCCTCCTCGATGTTCAGGTCCTCAACAACTCTCCATCACCAGCCTTGGGCCGCGCTCCTAAAAACACCCCCCCGAAAACAGTCACCGTCATGTATCTCTTCAATCGCGCAAAGTACAGCTTCATCGCGAAGTCTGCGGCAAAGCAACTGCTCATAACCAATTACGGTTCGCGTGCTTCAGCGTTCAATATCGACAACGACACCCTGATGATTTTAGAATGGCGCTACCCCGGTCTAAAGCATACGAAGGTGACAGCACATCTGGTTGTGCGCGACTCTCCATTCCAAATCGTTCTACGGAAGCAAGACTGGGAACAGCCAATTCGGTCTTGGTTAATGACATTTTCAGAGCAAGAGTTGCGTGAAAATGGGATCCTACAGTCACACCAAAAGAAAGTGGGCGAGAGCTCTAAGGGTGAGACCACACAACCTGGGGACGCGCCTGAAAGTATTGTGGGAGCGTCAGAGATTGTGTCAGAGCGAGATTCGGATACGGAATCTGTAACATCAAAATCCTCAACCACCCAGCCCAGATCTAGTACAGCAACAACCATTTCTGTATCTGGAGACTGCACGGGCGGGAACGAGAGTGAAAACGAGGACAGGAATTTAAGGCCAGCTGATGACAACGGAGATGAGCAAGGAAATGAGGAGGCTGAGAGCGACACTGTACATGGAGAGAGGGGTTTACACAACGAGGGTGAAGCCAAAGGCAATTGTTGCGATCAACTCGACAGCGAATCTGAATGGCCCGATATTGAGATCGTCTCGACGAAATCCGAGGACAGCGACATTGATGACGAGGAGCAGGCAGACGCGTATTGGACCTGGTCACCAGAACAACACCGATGGTTTCACGAAAACGAGGACAAATCTTTGGCATGGTTTCCTCGACTCGTATGACAATGATCCAAGCATCCTACACTCATTTAACCAGCTAGGTGGAGGCTGAGCAACTACGCGCTTGAAATTGGACGGATGGTAGTTGAGTGGCTTCAAATGATGGTTCAAGTCACCCTGAGCACAGATGTTTTGTATGAATATTGTATTTTTTTTATATTTTTAGAAAGGTGGTACAGTCATTAACTCACGCGCAATTTTCATCACATATTCAGTCCCACTGCATATTCATCGGGCGCTGCTAAATAGTCACAAGCGAACTTATGAGACTACGTACATCCTCAGCACCCAGGAAATACCAAGGGCATTTACTCATTACCCAGGTGTTTGCCACCAGCCTCAACACTATTGAAAAAGCCACTCATCCATCATCAGACTTAAAGAAGTTAGCATGGTGCGGCTGAATTAACAAAAGAACATGGCACCATTTGGGGGCCGTATATCTAGGCCTGACACCATAATCACACGGCTTATTTTAGGATGCAAGGACATTTGGCTGAATTGAAGAAATCACATTGCATAAACGCCGAACACGAAGCCAACTAGGAAACGCCAAGTCGTATTAAGGCCAATGATGCACACACTTCCACAGCTTGTGACCCAACCCTCGCAAATATCTCGGTATCAGGCTGAAATCCCCGCCCACCTCATGTAAGCAGCCTTACTTTCCATTAATCCAATGAAGTGGCCATATCGGCCTCCAGCTCATGCTACTTCAAGCTTCTGCGTTGGGACGCCATCGAGATGACTGCCAAACTCGAGTTGTGGGATACTCCAATTACCAGCAGTAGGACACGTAGGGGCCCGAGTCTTGTCAGGCTTCCATGTCGATAGGCCGAAGAATGTTGGTGCTTGTGGAATCCTTAGCCCTCGACTTGGTTGGCGGGTCTTGTTGCGTTGTCCTTTGCGTGTAGACAGCATGGCTTCGAGGCCATCCACCACTGCATTTGCCTCAGTTTGAGGCCTCAAATCAAATGCAGGGTACATGTGTCAAGACAATTGTCCAAAGGAACATGATCCGAGACGGGCAGGCGGCCAATGCAACCAGCAGAGTTGTACCCAACAACTTTCCACGAATAACGTGGCAAAAATGTCCCCAGCAAGACGCCGAGTCACCACGAGGATTCCATATGCGTCACAGGGTCACAATCCTTCCGTCATAGTAAACTGCGCCGAGCTGCGGCTTCTGTGGGTGCGGACTAGATCATCTGAGAAGACAGGCTGTTGCGTGATGCCCTGGAACCGAGGCATCCGGGTATCGAGACAAATCCCGCCACCGATATGCCGTCAAAGCCGGTGCTGTGCTCGATTCTTACTTTCTCAATCGCGTAGAACGCCTTTGACCAAGTTCTGGTTCCGCATCCTCTGACACGGGCTCAGTCTTCACCTTGTCACCATTCGGTTCCGCCTTTGCCGATGATGTTCGCTTCTTCTTGGCAGGGGGGCCACCCTCTTCCCAAAACTCGGACGTGCTCTTTTTTCGTGACTTCTTGGGTGCTTCTGCGATTTCTTTGCCCTCGGCCGGCTCTTCTTTGATGCCAAGAACTGTCTTACCGGTTTTCTTTTGCACTCCAGGAGCATAGCAACTGGTTCGACCGCCAACTGTAATAAAGGCTAGCTTCTCGCCGTTGGGAAGCCTGGCCGCCGTTCCCTTGGCACCCTTGCCCCATCGGTAGTTGAAGAGCCAATGTTTGGGGAACTGATCAGAGTCTCCTAGTTTGTCGACAGACGTCTGACATACGTAGCGAATGTTTTCGTAGAGATTCGTAATTTGAGCATCGTCGAAATCGTCGCAGTATTGCTCGGGATGCAACTTTGCTTGGTAAAGTGTCTCATCGGCTACCCAATTGCCAATACCACTGATCATCGCCTGGTCAAGCAGCAGAGCCTTGATCGGGACATGTCTCGCCCTCATCTTACCTCGCAAATATTCCTCGGTGAACCTGTCCAGATCCACTACCGGGTCGGGGCCATTCTCCACCAGGGGTGAGTGTTTTCTAATCTCGTCTCCGGGACAATCGACAAGTCGCACCCGTCCAAACCGACGTGAATCAGTAAAAGCGACTTCGACGGCTGGAGTTCCTTCGGTTGCGAACTGGAACTTCCAGAACCTTGGCGGCCACTGCGCGATGTCTTCGTCTTTCATCTTCTTGTAGTAATTGGTGTATGCCGTCTTCTCGTCCTTGATATGGACCCATCCTAATACCATGTGAGAGAGTGCACAAGCCACCTGTCAGGAGCCTTACCAGTCATGCCGAAATGCATTACTAAATGTGGAGGTTTCTCGAGCGTGATCCTGTTCCTATTAATCAAAGGCGCCAAACAAAATCATCTGGCAACTTACCAGAAGTATTTGCCCTGACTTCCTGCCGACACAATCTGAATGGGTTAGGCAATGTCATCGTACCCAAAGCAAACTCTGGGCCATTTACCTTCTTCCCTTTCAACGCGGCCTCCACTTCAGCACCGGTCGTGCCCACTTTTCCAAACACATTCTTGTCGTCAATGGCGGAGGCGGAGGCTATTCGTTTCCCGACCACGTGAAGGCGGAGAAAGTGCACGATACGTGCGACTGCGTCAATCTTAGTGAGAGGCTCTCAGAAATCATAGAGACAGAAACGAACCTTCAGCAATCTCAGGCATTTTCAAGGAGCGTCAAAATTGGATAATCTACCCTGTAGATGTTGAGTCCACTCCTGCTGATTCACGGTTTCGATGGACAGTGACGCGAAAGGGGCTGGGATGGGTCGCGTGGAGACGCGATATCACGTGTCTGGTCACATGCACCAGCCCCCACTTAATTTATCTGCAAGTATTTAGGTGAAAAGTTTCTGCCAGAATCAAAGCTCTTTCCATTCCTCATCACCACATGGAACTCGAGGTAAGTCCTTGATGCGCAGCGCATTACACTGCACAGCACCCCCTCTCCAACATGATGACACACCAAACCACACAAACTAGAGTCTTTGACCTAACGGGAATGAAACGACTGTTTTGCACGTCAGTCTGAACGACTTCTGTCACCACGCTTCACTGTACCACATACCTACATTGGACATGTGCTGACTGTTTCTTCACAGAGCTCTTATCACCAAGCGGTGGATCATTGCGAGCATGCTCAAGGTTCCGCTGGCTTCTGACCAGCCTTGAACAAGGTACGTGTGCTTCGTCGCGCTTTTCCTTGTCCTTTCATGATGATCATTTCTTTTTACAATATACGCTGGAAATTACCGGCTGAGATCTTTTTCGCTGAAGATATAAAATGGCTATTTCTGATGGACTTCCTATCCAATTACTTATGTTGCCCACTTGGACGAACCCTCGCTGACAACATTAAAGGCTTAGACAATGGCAAGGTATGCTGCGCTCCTACGTCCCGACCCAAGCACCCGAATTTTATGATGAAGCGGCACTGGGCTCCGATATCGCATGAGCACGAAAAGCCATTTTGCGGCAGGCCTAGAAAACCTCGCCCACTGACTCGACGCACTCACCGAACAAATGATGGACCGAGGAGAGCCACTGAGGCTGACCCTGCTTCCAGTGCCAGTGACTGTGCCATGTCTTGCGGTCTGCTTCTACAGATCAAATTGTCAGGTTCCATACGCGACAACGTAAGTATTTGCATTTTCTTGTACCATCATGCTTTCCTGATGAAACCAGATGACGAGTCTTATCCGGGTTTCCGATGCAGACACAATATATCTATTCCATTCATGCTTTCCTGAAATTTGCATTGACCCCACAATTCGCGTTGAAAACTCTGCACGAACATGGCTAATTGGGTTTAAAGTAGTTTAAATGTGAGTTGCTCGAGTGCATTCGCCATCTCATCCAAGAGCATCATCTCCCTGATGATCCAAAATGAATACGACAAGCATATGTCTGAGCTCACGCTACGACGACAATTCATTTATAGTCTGATCGAGATGCTCTTTTCACCTTTGAGAGGCAGCCCATCAGTCAGCACGTCGCTGACTTTTCGAAAGGACTTCTCAGGCTGATGAAAATTCGGTTTGGCGTCCATTGCCATCAGGTTAGTGCACCCTTTCTCTTGTTCATCTCACCCTTTTTACATGATGAATTATACATATCACGACGGTCAACTTAGCAAAATGCATTGATGACAACGCCTGTGACAAGGCACCCTTTCTGACAATCCCTCATATTCACTCTTTCTTGATGAATTCTTTTGAGACAAGTTACTGACACTCTGTCTTCAGGTACATGCATCTCTGAAACGAGAAACATCTTGCGGAAACGTTTGATGTTCGGGACACGGCACGACTCATTAATTGGTGATGAGTCCGTCGTCAAGTGATGTCGGACCTTCCATGAGGGCGGACACGTCGTGGACTCGTGTAGTATTGATGGGGACGGGAAGTACGACAAGTGTCATGGGCTTTTACCAAAAACATAGAGCGAATGCATAATTTTGTCCGCAAATAAGATCATCTATTCAAACGTATACATACTGAACACCGGAAGAGTTACTCCAATATCATAAATCCCTGTGTGAAGTGCGACCTGCATCTCTCTGCCGTGAAATGAGTGATGGCGAGAGATGCTACTGTGATCGCACATCACAACTGGTTAATCGTGTGCTCCCGAGACAATGGTGGCCAAAGCCATCCGGCCCTTCTGCGAGAGGTTGGTCGTGGTTGACCTTTGTTCCTTGTGGTGTGCCTGGGCGACAATCCACCACACTTGTTTCCCCCAAGAGTTCAAACTTGTTAAAAACAAAAACATTTCCCACTTCAACAGCCATCATGAGGCGAATCCATCAAAGCTGATTCGGTTGCTGAACTGCTGTGCTAGGTCATTCCATTCCTGCTAGTGTTACCACCCGTTCGCTCCTACATCAGTCTGGGGATAGTCCGCAGACTGGGCCGATAGTCGCCAGACCGGGCCAGCGAGCCCAGCCCGAACATGTCTGGCAAGCACCGCGGGACCGTGTCCTGGTACGGGAGCCGGTAGTAGTCGCCATCCGGGCTGCCGAGCTGGTAGTTCGGCGCCGTTGACGAACGAACCATGTCCCAGCTCGGGGCGTCGGGGCAGGTCACGGGAGGCAGGTACTTGCGCTCAACGCCTTGTACGTCGAGAATGCTACAGGGCTTGTCAGAGGACCATGTTCACTGGTTGGATGGGAGAGAGGGAGGTTTGACGAACGGAGGCATCAGGTCCTCGGCCATGCCGTTGTCGCGGAGCACGACTTGCAACTCGTCGTCCCAGATGTTGGTGGGCGCCGGTCCCACGGCATCCAAGCCCCGGGCGCGTGGGGAAGTCTTCTCTCGCAGGGGCAGCTCCTGGGTGGGATTGCCTTCGAAGAACGGCATGAAGCGATGCTGCTGCGCCGACGGGTCGGGCAGCGGCCGTTGCTCTGGGGTGTGCTGGCTGCTCCGCCGAGTCGAGGCGATGGACTCGGGCGACGACGCCCCGACGGTGGCGCCCTCCGAGATGGACTCCGTGGGGGAGGAGGCGTACACGTACTCGACGGGAGTTCGCGGCGGCGAGGGGAGCAGCGGCCGGTTGGCCTGGGACTGGCGGCGGCGGAGCATGCGCTTCTTGCAGTTGTACTTGCCGACTCGCCACTGGTCGAAGTGCTGGCGATAGGAACGGACCCTGGCATTGTTGGTTAGCCGCTTGCCTATGTTCGTCCATTCTGTCTCGAAACTTGGAATAGGGATGAGAAGGACGGGGACTTACGAGGCCTCAAACTTGTACTGGGACTTCATGATGGCGCGGACTTCCTGCAGGGTCTTCCCTTCATTGATGTACAGGCGCACAATGGTGTGGCGGTGATCATTCCACGGCTTAGCCATCATAACTTGTCGGTGGCAGAGAATGATCACAGGGGATGTGCTTTGACAAAAGCGTTGTCGTGTCGTCTTGATCTGCTGCGTCGTAGTGTTGTCTATCCGGGAACAACGGTAGCAACAGTGACAACCAGCACGGTGTTCACGGCGGGCATTGGACTTTAACCAGAATGATGTACTGTCAGTTCTTTTGTGTCTTGGTTTGTATGCTTTTTCTGCTCCTATTGTCCTCTTCTTTGGGATCGATTCTTTTCTTTTGGAGGTCTCAGGTTGTTGGTTGTCGGTTGTTAGTTTGGCAAAAGAAAGGGGTGGCTTTTTGGGACCGAGTTGCGGAGGTGGAAGTTCTGTTGTACCTTCAACACCAACGGAGCAGCAAGGGGGAAGAGAAGAGAAAAATAAAGGAATCAGCGAGAGGGGGAACCGGGCGCAGACAATGTGGGCGGGGGAAGAAAAGTTCGGCTGCGGTGCTGGAGGCTCAGAGCGCAGCCTTATTTAATACTTTCTGGCATTGTCGACTGAGCAAGAGCCTTATTCGGCGGCATGGGGTCCCTCCACCCCTCACAGAGGCATGGCGGAGGGACGGGACATGGACAAGGGCATCGCTGTACTCGACGAGGCAGCGGCGGCTTGCAGCAAGGCAGATCAGAGGGCAAGCAGCCCACCTCTAGACTCCTGGAGCCCGCTTGGCGGTTGAATGACCTAGGCAAAGAGGCGCCACACGGGCTAGGATGGTGGTCGTTGTAGTGGTTGTTATTTGGTTGACTCAGTCCGAGGGCACAATTGTATGGGTCAATGGGAGAGAGCAACGACGCAGTGGTGGTGGTAGTGCGTGCTGCGTGGTGCGTTGGAAAGGCAGACAAGACAGCCAGCCGCCAGCATGAGGCATGACGACGGGCTGCGATGCCCTCGACTCGGCTGCTCTCTCTGCAAGGAGGACGCATCCGCCGATCCGCGGGATGCTCGTTGGCCCGATCCTTCGCTGGCGGCGTCTCTTGAACGAGGCGACTTGTGCAAACGCCAGAGCCCGATGCAGCGTATCGAGATTATGGACGACCGGTCCGTCCGTTGTGGGTGGTTGAAGCGGCGAGAGGATGAGACATAGGTTGCATAGGCGTCTTTCAAGCCGCTGTTCCCACGCAGCAAAGAGCACATTCAGCCTCATGTTTCCTCAATGCGCTGGCTGTTGCCCCCTTTGGCCGCCCCTCTTGCTCCGGTGCATCCTCCGGCGGTGCATCTTCCGAAACAAAAACACAATTCAAGCCCTCATCCGAAACCTAGCAGCCCGCCCCGGCGCAACTGTGCAGCTGCGGCTTGCCAAGCAGCGCTCATCGCCATTAGGTGGCAGAGTCTTGACCGCGCCGCGTGATACACTTTTGGTAAAAAAAATTTTTCCTTTCCTTTTCTTTTTGGCTTGATGGCATTGTGTCGGCAGGCACGGGAGGGGACTGGCATGCGCCGTAAAGGGCGGCAGTATCGTGGCAGCATCTTGGGTGGGCGTAAATGGATGTGAATGGCTGCGAATGGCTGCAGCGGTGACACAGAAACTGGACACGCGTGTGCACCGCTCGCCTTATTTTCACGCTGTTCAGGCTTCATGCCGCCCGTCTACTACGCAGCTTCGACGAGATGAGCGGATGGACCAATGACAGAGGAGACCGAGTGATTTTCGTACAGGTCAGCTTCCAGCTTCCAGAGCCTCGGGGAAGACAACCTTGCTGTGTCTCTGTTGGCCCCCAAGTTTCGGGCGCCTGCGCGTCTTTGGAGTTTCGATCGTCCTTTTGGTTCACCTGGTTCGTCCGGTTCGTCTCGTTCGTCTCGTCTTCCAATTGTCTCATTGTACGCGCGGATCGTTTCGTCGGGTTCCATGTCCCGGTTCCCCGGCCGGTAGCGGCTTATTGGGAAACCACCGTACCGGCACCGATGTGCCCGCGATTGGGCTTTGCCAAGAGCACAGCCAACGAGGCAACTCGACTTAGGCTGAGGGCGGTAACTCGATCTAGGCTGGGAATGGACAACCCGGTGAAGGACAAAGAAAGCATGCGAGCATATGCGCCGGTCAGGTAGTTGTCAGTCAGGTAGTCGCCGGTCAGGTTGTCGCCGGTCCAGTTGCGCCAGAACTGGCTACTCTACTCTTCCCCCCGCCAAACGTGGCTGGCTAACTGCCAACAACCAAGACATGATGACAATCGGTTTGTTTCCTCGTCGAGTTGGTCGAGTTGGTCGAGGCCATGTTGCTTCGCCGAGAGTCCGAGTCAGAGCCTGACCTCCGTGACCCCCGTGACCGCCATATGTGCTTTGGTTGCCTTTCACCAACAACCATCTGTCCCACACAGCCGAGATGAGCCTCCAACTATTGCGTGCCGCAGTCAAGCCTCTCCTCTCCTCTCCCCTCTTTCTCCCCATGTCCCCAAAATACCCAAAATACCCTCCAAACAACGGCCCCCGATCAAAGCCACTTGCGGCTACTTGCCGCCGCCCCTCCCACCCCCATCTCCAGCCCGTCTCCAGCCCGTCCCCAGCCCGTCCAGGCAAGCCACTCGGCCTGTAAACCAGCCAATAATCGACCTTGACGCAGTTGGACCTGCACTTCCACGCTCCCCCCTCTCCGCTCGACGCCGTCTTAGCTCTCTCGGTGAACGCATGCATTGCCGGCCGAGGACCGCCTCACCATTCTACTTTCCCATGGTCGAGACCGTTGTTGCAGGGGGGAAACAGACGCTTTCGTGGGGGGCCAAACTCAATGCCGGCTCGCCGATGGGTGATCAACGTGGGTGGTGAGATACTGACAAGCAGACATGAGATAGGCAGTAAGCAACCGTACTTTGAAGATCCCAGCATGTATATTAATAATGTAAAGCACAGCGTTAAAATAGCAATCAGATCAAAAAAACCAGGCCATTCATTGCCTCGCTGGGTCGAAAGCATAACCGACGCGTGTCCTGAGCATCCTCGAACAGGTCAACGATATGACGTGAGGAACTCGATGGGAAGCTCCCGCTAGTTTGGCAATTGGGATATCAGATGTAAGCAACATGCTACACTTTTGCCTTCTTTTCCTCTTGCTCATTATTAATCGTCCTTGTTGCAGCCCTGCCCTCGCTTGTGTCAAATCCATCTCCTGGTCGCCAGCCTTGGCTTGGAAAGTCTCACGCAAATCCACCAAATTCCATCTGCGGAGACGTCTGCGGAGGGGTGCATGTTATGCGCGTGCCTGCCACATCCATGCGTGTGTGTACGTATGCTGGCGACTTGCGCATCGTGCATGGTTGCCTTCTCCCCACGTCCGCCTCACTTCTTGTGCTTAAGCCTCCTATGCCTTCTTCTCCGACACGGGCAGCTCAGCACCGATGACTCCCGCCTCTTGAGCCTTGTGATCACCCGCAGGCGTGACAGGCGCCGTTGTCCTTAGCTTGTCGTCAATCTTGTCTGAAGAGCTGAAGCTGGCGGGGTTGTTGAGGACGGGCGACGTGGGCGTGGATCCAGCCGGCGTCGACGTCGCGCTGCTAACCTGGCCACTCGCGGTAGCGAGGTTGGAGATGATCTGAAACCACTTCTGGGCATCAGCAGCCGTGTGGGCTTTGAAGCTCAGCTCCGACGAGCCCGTGAGCTTGCTGCTCATTGTCTTGGCCCTATCTTTGCCCTTGATACTGAACTTGTCTCCGCTTGGCGTGCCAATGGTGGCATCAGGAAGGTAGACGGACATCTCCGGCTTGGGGTCCTGCCGTGTGTTGTCCGAGTCCTTAAACTCGTGCAAGAACTTGGAAGGGGTGACTACGTAGTACCCGGTCGAGTAGCCCCATGACAGCTTGTTGCGCGACTTGCGCTCCAGAGAGCCCTCAATCATAGCCTTGGTCGCGGAGTGGTCCATGTTAGGAAACACTACCGCCTCTACCGAGCGAGCGGGATCGTCAGGGCTGACGAGGCGATCCGCACTGCGGGCCTGGAAGTGATTCCACTCAAAGTCAGGGGTGACGCGCTGGATGGCCCCGAGTACGTCGGTATGTAGAGCCCGCATCTTCTCACCCTGTCCGCCAGCCAGTAGAGTGAAGGCCTCCATGGCCTGCTGGATAACCTCGATAACGTGCGCCTCGAACGCCGAAAAGTTGGTCTGCACAGCAAGAAGGTCGTTGTGGTGATTGTTCTCAGCAATGACCTGGTTGCTTAGACGGTGCAAGATGCCCCGGCGGACAACATACGGGTCATCATGGCCCTGGAAGTTGCCGCCGGCGGAATCATAGGCGGCGCTCTGCTGGCCGAGCAGCTCAATGTGCTTCTGGGTGGTGTTGCGGGCCTTCTCGACCTCCTTGGCGCCCTTCTGCACGCCGTGGGCCAGCTCCTTGGCCTTATGCTTGATCTCCTTGTGTAGGCGCTCGAGGATAGGGAGGACAGATCCCTTGATGCTTTTCTCGGTCTCGATGTTGGTGTTGATCATGGCCTGGGTGTTGGAGCGCAGGTTCTCGAAGAATCCGGCCACGCCGCCGAGACTCTGGTCGAAGTGGTGACCCTCCTTGAGGGGGTTGGAGATGGTCTGCGTGGTGCTTGAGTTAGCCTCTTGCGCTTTGTTTCGCCTCCTCCAAATACCGGATCTACACCTTCCAGTGCCAAGAACGGGTATTGGGTCGTACGAACCTTGAGAACCTTCTCATACTCCTTTGCGTGGCGACCATGGATCTTCTCCATAGTCCCCACGTAGTCCTCGAGGTAGCCGACGCAATGTTTCCATGCCTGCAGACGCTCTGCGAGCAATCCAGCTGTCTGCACCTTGTGTTAGCACATCTGTCGTCTTCCCGCAACTCCGGAGCTTCCGCGCGCATCGCATCGCGCCAGGTTGGCCGGGATGGCGGTCACGTACAGTTGTGGGGTCGACCTCGGGCACAGCTTCATCGCTGAAGGCGCTCAGGCCGGTAGTTGCCCTCGAGGGCAGGGAGACAGTAGGTGAAGCAGCCGTAGCCATGATGGGCGAATTGATTGATACTGCTTGGAATCGCTAACAGCAAAACAGAGAGGGTGAAAGGGTGAAATTAACTGTTGACCAGCTTGGCAGGGGGGAGGGAGCTCTATTAGCGAAGAGGGGTATCACAGGGGGGAGCTCTTTGGGCCGGGGTGGGAAGGTGGATTGGGTGCCGATAAATAGGTACGCGGAAGGAGGCAGCCGACGAGCGGTGCAACACCAGCAGATATACACGAAAATCACCAGAGACAAACGTTTCAGTCCTGAAGAGGAGCGATGACGTTATGACGTTGTTGAGCACAAAGAGGGCCTAAGCGGGACAGACACAAGCCGGCGCTGGTGGTGGAGTTCAGGTGAAGTCGGTGATGGTGTGGCTCGCTGCCATTCGATTCGACTCGGATCTTGTCTCGCAACATTTAGGCCCTGATCCGCAGAGACCATAGACCATAGACCTTAGACCTTATTAGCAGACTATCTACCCAATGCTTGGCGAGTATCTTTGTCTTGTGCAGCAGTAGTACGCGTGTAGTATTACTCTAATCGTGCCCACAAAAGATAAAAGATTGGATTTACGCTGCCAAGAAAAGGGTCCACGATCGCAGAGTACAACCGTAGAGGTACAAGTACAGGGGCGCAAGCAGAGGCATCCTACAGAAGGATTGATTGATTGTTTGGTGCTCGTGTCGCAGAGCCAGCTGAGCCAAGACACTCGCTCGATCCACTATGCCACCCACGTCGATATGATCCAACCCTTGGTCACCTGGAGCCGGGATGCATCACTCGCCCATATCACTGAGACAATCAACAACTGCTGCATCATTTTCCATCGCCACCGTCAAATTTTTCGCTCCCATCATGACAATTCCAGCAGCCCTCACCAGACCCTTAACGCCCACGCTACCACCCATCCCGCCAAGGTCGTGACGTCAATGGACCCTTAGCTTGAGTTGTGCCACACTAGGTCATCGCGCTCCCCGCGATCTTCAGGCCCTTTAGCAATTGTTGGAGGACCGAAACCAGATGGATCGGCGTTTTAATCGATAACATCACCACTTAGTTAATTGCCAACACGTCCCACGGCCTACCTTACTTCCCGGTTTTGCTTCCGGAGGCAGCCAACTGTGACGTTGCGCATGTACACCACACCACACCACCACCGCAGAACCGCACCACGCCATCACGCGGGCTCCCGTCCGCGGCATTCGGGAATACTAGGACGTGACTTTCTAGAAGCGAGTGGTCCGATCATGCACTGTCCCATGCCGCCCCATGCCATCCCATCTCGTCCCGTCCATCCAAATCGTCATGGTACATGGTGGAACAAGCTCGGACGCCGCCAAGGCCCAAGCTTACACGCCCATCCAATGTCTTTAACTTATATTCACTTACAGTGCTCACTGCATCGACACAGACCAGACGTTCAAGTTCAAGTAATCTTCTTCAATACCTAATCTCATCCCTTCTGTGATAGGTAGGTAGGTATCAGTACGCCCTGGGGTATAAGCGTACTACTACTGTACAAGGAACGTGCTACCATGAACCGCTTCTCGCGTGTGCGTGCTCGTTCGTTTCTGTTTGTCTCTCATGCATCCTTTCCTCAGCACATTCGTTCCAAATCAACCCTTGTTTGCACCCAGTCTATCATATCCCAAAAAGAAGAACCAAGAAAATCCCTCCTGGGGTCTCGGCTTGTTCCCTGAACGCCTCCCATGTCCAAAATGTCGCTTTATTTGTTTGATTCTGCAATGTCGCCTCCAACTGCTGTCGTATAGTAAATTAAGAAGTGTTCAAAATGTTGTCAAGACAAGTCATCATCCATTTAAACAACTTGGTCACGCCCTTGAACAACAGGCATCCTTCCATGGTTCGCGGAGTCGTCCGTGTAGGAACGTCCCGCCATCAAACTGGTTGGGCGCGAGACATGGTGAACCTGGTGAAGGTGGTCCTCGCCAGCCTGATCCTCAGAAATGGTGCCAAGGGGATCCGTCACAATATCTGCAGCCGGTGGGGTTCGGGGAGCGCTCAGAGCCGTCTGGTAGTCGGGTAGCGCTACGTTGCCGGAAGCGGCGCGGGATCGTGCCGGGGTTCGGACCGCCGTCTGGTAACTGGGGACCTTGTTCAACTCGTAGAATTCATTGGGATCCAGATCGACGTGCTCGGCTGAATTGCGTGACGAGTCATCTTCCGCGCTGTTGCTTCTCGTCAGAGCACCTGACGACTGTGGCTCCGATCGCGGAGCTGCCCCATGGGGTGCCGACGTCGGGGAAGTAAAGCCAGAAGCCGAGCCGATCGACGTGTAAGACGTGTTTCTCTGCGAGGGATCAAGCGATACGTCGGCTAGTCGCGATGATAGCGCTGCCGGAGCCACGGGCCGGCTGTGAGTCAGGGCTGCAGCCAGGTTGTCCGATGATCCGGATCGCGATTGTGCGTAGAAGGGACTGCTGAATCCAGACTGGATCCCAGGAGTCTGGAAGCCGCTCATGTCGACATCCTCGTACAGCTGGTCGAGGAGGTGCTCGCCGTAGCCGGGAGGAGCCATTGTGCCGATGATTTGCTCGCTGGGGGTACTGGGTGATTGGTCGACCAGGTTGCCTTGCTCGTCGAGAGGCATGTTTGGGGAGATGAAGATGGAGATGGGAAGAGTGGCGCGAAGCTGCAGTTTAATGAATTAGCAAACGGGCTCTAGGGAGTTGGTTGCGTCGTGTTACTTACCTCGGAGATGTGACCGTCGGGGTTGCAGAGCGCAACCGTCAACTTGATCTTGTGGCGGACCTTGATGCCATGGTGGTTGAGGTCCTGGATGCACTGGCGCAACTTCTTGGGCAGATCAAGTCTCTTGGTCATGGCCCAGCCCTCCTGGCCCGTGTCCTCGATCATGTTCTGCCAGTGCTCTTCCCTCGTGACCTCGAACTTCCACATGGCCACTTCGCGCTCGGTCCGGTGTTCCCGGATGTTCAGGCCAGAAGGCCCCTGCACGCAGCATTCTCGCACCTCCATTAGTCTCGCTGTGATGTCTCCCAGCTCCAGTCCTTTTAGAAGAGGAGTGAATCGCATTTCCATGGCTACCGATCCGCCAAAGACGACGGCCTTCTGCGGGATGACGATTGAGTAGTCGACTTTGTTGGGCCAGATGTTCTCGACGCTCATGGCGTGGAGGAACTCGAGGGCGCCGGGCTCCAGGGTTCGGATTATTCGGAGGTGCTTGTAGGCGTGGAGGTCGTAAGCCAGTTTGCCGCGTCCAACGGTCGCCTTGAGTCTGTAAGTGATGGAGGCTTCGGGGATACCCTCGACGCTCTCGGCAGTCTCGCCGGGGAGCATGAATTCGAAAGGCCACTCGTAGTTGCCGGCAGGGAGAGTCATGCTCTTGCCATGGGTTCCGACAAAGGGCGACCATCGGTGCTCGAGGATGTTGGTGGATTTGTCGACTTTTTGGCCGGAAACGCCCGGAGCACTTCCTCTGGGGTCAGCCCATCTGTTCATAAACAATCTTGGTCAGAGATCGTCCTGGGAGGGGGATTTAATTCCAAGAACCAGGGGACTTGGGTGGTCTTACGAATGGCGCAGAGTGCCCATTAGTCGAAGGCGGACGTCTTCCATGCGCAGAGACGACTGCAGGCACAGGACGAGGACGCCCTTGAGAAGCTGGCCGGTGGACTCATGTTCGGTGCCTCGAAAGACAATAAAGTCGCTGTCTAATCTATTTTGGGGGCGACGGATTAGCAGGCGGCCTGGTGGGTTCTGCATCATGCCGCGGGAAAACTTACCGAATGTCGAAGAGACTGTAAGAGTTGCGCCCCGTAACGGATGAAAAGGGCTTAAAGGACGGCATGGTGGAGGGCGGATTGGGTGGTGAGAGGTGAGAGAGAGGAGGATGGCCGATCGCATCCAGGAAAGAGGGCCAGCGGGATGCGTAAAAGTTGGGGGGAGGACCGGGACGGTTTTATTCGGGGACGGCGCAGCGCAGGGCAATGGCATCCCGCGACGACCACGACACGAGTCGACAGACGACAATCGGCGGCGGCGGCGGCGAGCGGGATGGTCTGGGATGGTCTGTGGCTCTGGCGTGCTGGTGTGCCTGGTGTGTCTCTATTGCGGGTTGGGTGGTGGGGCACAGGCACAGTGAGATCAGAGAATCAGGGTGCAGGGTCGTGATGGTGGTGCAGTTAGGTACTTCACAGTGGTGGATGGTAGTGGTGGATAGTGGTGGATAGTGGTAGTCGGGCACTCCCCTGTCGCATGGAAGCCTTCGTCAGGGCTCCGTAGGGGGCTCCGTGCGGTAGGAGGCGAAGAGATCAAAAGCGGCGCAGGTGGAACCCGATGGTGAATCAGAGGGGGCCGGTGCTGGGACTGATGGAGACGCCCGACGGGACAAAAATATAAAAGAGGGTCCTGCTGATAAGGCACCACCCGTTGGGTTTCTTTGTAAATCAAATCTTGAAAAGAGACGAGAGTGATGACTGGGAAACCGAAGGGGGGCTTGCTTGGGGGCGACTAGAGGTGGCAATGACTTTTGCCAGAGGAGGAGCAGGAGGAGAGTGGGGGACACGACGGTGATTTATGCCAACTGCACTTGTTTACCCTGCCCGACAAAATGACCAGAGACTGAGGATGGGGGAATTTGGAGAAGAAAAAGTGGCCGCATCCATACAGCAATCGGGGTCAGTCCAGTTCGACGGTTCAGGCCATTGGGAGGAATATTGATGAGGGGGAGGGGAGTGCGAGCGAGAAGCGCGCAAGCATTGACCAAGAAACACGCCCTCTCTCTGACTTCTCACCTCACAGCCCATTCCCGTTCCTATCCCCATCCCCATCTCATGCGACACGCCCATGACCCCATGCCTATTTGGGTCGCGGCAAGGCAAAGCGGTCCTCCTGACACTGTCCAGCAAGCCAGATCGACGTTCGTGGAGTCATGTCCATGGTCACCCAGAATGCCATTTACTCCTGTACTCCTGTACTCCGTACCCGGCAACTGGCGTCGTACGCCGGCGCCGACGGAGCTTCGGCGTTTTGGTCGCCGGGACGGCTGGGTGCAATGGTTCCTTCAACCAGCGCGACTACGCGTGTAATCGGATGGCCGGGTGCAAGCCGCTAAGAAAACCCAACCACGAACACAACCGATCGGAGGAACTCTCTGCGGTGGAACAACCTGCCAAGTTAGTATCTTGATTAAGCCGAGAAGCCAAAGTCGATAGGCCCCCAAAATGCCACAAAGTGCCCCCCGGGAGTCGGGAGGGGACTGTGCCCACCCTGGCAGACGGAGACTCAACCTAGCAGGAGTGTGCGTCAGTGGGATTGAGTGGGTTTGTGTGGACTTTGGAGGGTATGGAAATGGGCACCACAGAATGATTCAAATCACGAAATCCAGTGCCAGTCAGTGCCAGTCAGTGCCAGTCAGTGCTAGTGGATTGAAAGAGTAGAACAGCAACGCGCACCGGCCCAAGGTGGTTGCGCCGGGGGGGTGTAGGTGGTGGGGCGGCGACGCCGGTCGGCTTGTGGCTGGACAGGGCCCAGGGTACGAGTCACCACGAATCGTGCTATCGAAGCTCGATGGAAGCTTTCCCTTCTGGAAACTCTGCTGCAGCCATCCGCCTCTTGTACGAAGTACGTACCGGCTAACTAGAGGAGGCGCTTTAGCGCTGCTCGGTGGTGGACCGCCGAGAAGGGGGCAGACCAGACGGACCAGGGCTTCTGTTCAAGGTTCCAGGGGAATGCAGGAATACTTGTTGACAAGGTCCTTGGGGGTTTTGTGGTGCGAGAAACGAAAACCCACTGGAGGTTGAAAGGTGCTGAGAGAGGCAAGAGCCGGAAGCCAGTGTCCGAGTGAGTGACGAGCGAGTGTCGGTTTCCTATGGTTCACGGTTACTGGTTCACGTCTCGTCCCGTGCTATTTCTGAGTCGTGCCGTTCGATAGCCATGGGTCTGCGGAAGCGCAATCCACTGGTATCCTCCCGCTTTCCCGTCTTTCCGCTGTCTCTCTCTCAAGAGAATCAATGCATCCAAGCAGATGAAACAACAGGAGCAGTCTCTACAAACCCGATACTGGTTACGCTGCCGGTGTGCCTATATTGGAGCACACCAAACCCCCACGCTCCCACGCCAGCGGAAGCACCACACGAGCGCAAGCAAACGCACGCAGGCAACGCACGCGCAGACATCACACGCATACAGTCTGAGGCATAAAGTTCTAATCCAAAATAATGTACACATTGCTTGCTCACTTTGCATAGCTAGTGCACTTTGCTACTTCATACCTTATTCAATAAAATCATATTAATATCTATATGAAATTTAATAAAGAGATAAATAAAATGTCTATTTTAATATTTTATATATACTAAATCTCTTTAATATACTGTAGAGCCTGGGTAGCTAACAGATCTTTATACTTACCCGAGCCCTAATTCTTACCCAAGATAGCAGTATTCCATACCCTAATGTAGTTTAACAGTGCACAACCCAGTACAATACTTCAGATCAATACTTTGTGCATATGTATTTCAAAGACAAACCCGGCAGGGCAAGCCGCAAGGCAGCCCACATAAAACATAGCGTGGATGTGCATACCGGGCAGAGTACCCACGCCCAAAACGCCCACGCCTCGCCATCATGACGATGAGAGGACGGCTAGATAGAGTCGGCCCCCGTATCGGTGTCCACTGCCACCAGCGGACCCGCCTCGCCTCACCCGTCGCGGGCGCAATGGTCAGAAGCTGAACGGCCGGCAACTCGCATTGGCATTTCCAATAGTGAGCGACTTCTCGTCATCCTGTTGGGCGCACACCGACAGGCCGCAGCATCCACCGTGAAACCGGTCCCGATAGCGAATACCGCGCCCCCGTGGAACCCCCCTCCACCTTGACCCTCCACCTTGACGCTTGACGCTTCGGCCCTCACCCTCACGATGGCTTCCCTTGCCTCCCTGGCCAGCGGTTCCGACTTGGCCCTAGCCTGCACTTGGGCCGCCTTAGCTACGGCGTGCCCCTGCCGCCAGCCTTCAGATATCGACGTCAACCACCCATAGAGTGCCGGCCTGCTTATCTCGGGAACCCGCCCATCCGCCCGCCAGCCCTTTTCGCCGTTTTAGATGTGTATTTGACATACCGATAGGCTTGGGCTATTGTTGGTCCTTGTCCATGCCCGCCACATGCCACGCGCGACCCAGAAGGCGGCACGTTTTCCAGACCGGCAACCATGCGGTACTTAGACACCGACACACACACACACACACACACTCAATAGGCGCACGCACGCCCCTGGGATACGTGATATGATCCGTCATCCTCGTTCGGGTCAGCCGAGCTCGCGCGTGCAGCTGCAGCTCCTGCCTGGGCTGTGCTGGTGATAATTGATGTTGACACTGCTGCAGAAGTCGATGCGCTGATGGGAATGCTGCAGGGCACTGGATCAGCAGCGCATCGGCAACACCACTACGCAAGTACAGCGGTCATCCCAAGGAACCACCGGACAAACGCCCCCCTCCAGCGAGTCCAGCCTCGGACGCACGAACCCGCCGCAAGCAAACGCTCTCCCGTGGCCTATCAGTGGACACCAGCCAAAGGTCAAGCCAAGGTCAATCGGCTTCCAGACCCCTGGACTGGACTTGGCTGGACCCGAACCTGGACCCGGGACTCTAGAAGCCCCCTAAAACGCTCTGGCATCTCGGACATCGAAAGGAATGGACTCGGCTGGGCTGGTGCAGAAAAACGAACAGCCCAGTGCCCCCAAACCACCCGCAGAACAGGGCGGAGGAAAACATTTAACCGGTCAAATCGCGAAGTCGAACCGCCGGCGCGAGCCCGTTCTGGTCATGGCCTGCAAGTTCTCTCTGCACAGCCAGGCAGGGATGCGTGGGTTTTCGCACTCGCCCGATCCCACGGCCAGGAACCTGCACGCAGGCGACGTAAACAGGGAACAGGACTGTGGTTCTTTTTTCCTTCTCTGTGACAGCTCGTCGCCATCGATCCATCCCTCAGCAACGACAAACCGCCCCGGTCTAGACTGAGGCCGGTGTCGCTGTAAGAAAGCACCGAGATGACGAGACGCCCGTCCTGACCTCCCATGACTCCGATATCGATGATGTGATTTTGGACTAACCAGATTCCGCAAATCAGATATTGCGCAGACCAGATGTCGGAGTGGCTTTCAGCTGTCCTTTGTTCCTTTTTGCGTGTTTTCCTTTACCCGCCCGCCAGCCTCTTGCCAACTCTCGTCGGAGGTATACGCTGACCAGGGGAGTACATGCAATAAATCATGAACTTGATTGCTGGAAACCTTGCGGCCGCTGGGCCAGGGGCGTGCCTTTGCGAAGCGTGTTATTCCCGTGGAATGCGCCAAACATGGGCTCGATTGCATCGCTGGTGGCGACGCCACAAAAGCCTCCTGCCGCCCGTAGAGGAGGGGTCATGATTTAATTTCCTCACATGAACTGCGGCTCAAATGTCTCGGCTACACAGAGTTTGTACTACACGTGTACTTGATCCAGCACTTGGGAGGGCCGTGTGCCGCCGCATGCGTTTGTAAGCCGGCCCGGGAGTCTCTCGGCCAGGACCCGGAGGCGCGACGGCAACGTCTCGGCTTGTCTACGAAGAAACCTCAGAGCCTTTATGTTACATGTCGCCTCAGGTTACGCGCTCACCTGCGAGGGTGGTTTCAACCCGAGTTTTCAGCGGCCTTATGGAGTAGATTTTGTCATTTTTTTTGTCATGGTGTCTGGGTTTTTCGGATTTGGTGTTTTATGCCTCGTCCCGCCGAGCCCCCTTCGGAGACTACATGGGACTAGCCCGTCGAATGGGTCAGCTCAATGGACCAGTTCAATGGGTCCGTTTCGTCGGTGAACCAGAATCCTCAGCCCTGTCAAAGCTCGACGGTCCACCGTCGCCGCGCGGCGGACTGACGGCGGCTGCGGCTGCAGTGACCAACGGGTATGGGCTCGGCAGTACATGGACGCACATGCGATATCTTATCGACAACCCGGAGCTCTGCCGTCCTACGGTTCTCTACGGGATCATTGTGGATTCGCATCGCTGCCCTCGGTGGGTTTCGTTGGAAGGGAGCTACTGTACCTAGCGACTAGCGAGGGAAATCAGGGTTCATTCCATGGTTGTGATCCATCCAGGCCCAACTGTTTGACATCGGCTTTTGATGCCCAGGGAATCCGCCATGGGCCAGGCCGGTTCCTCATGCAAGATGGAGCTTGTCTAGGTAGCTTGTCTGACTTGGCTGCTCCGACAGCCGACCGACGACAAAGGCCCAACCAGATGATGGAACTCACTCCCCCTCCGTCGCTCCGTCTCTCCACCTCTCCGTCTCCGTCTCCTCCCTATGCCTCCCGAAGTTGTCTACCGGCGGTGTCCTCGTCGGACCCCCATGGGCCGTGCAACTCGCGACCGGACAGGCATTCATCAGGCGAGCGACAACCGCCTGATGTCCATATTGCCAAACCGTCGGCAGCGTCCGCCCGCCAGAGTGGGATGAGGTGTCGCAACCTGGCCCGCTGCATCGCCCATCTGACGAGCCCCTGCCTCTTTCGGTCGCCCTTGGCCTGTTCCCTGCAGCCTCCGGTGATCATCCTGCGGCGTCGCTGTGTGCGACTCGCCCAGGATAAACGGCATAGTCGAAGTAAAGTATTATGCACATGCAGGTGCGTGCGTGCCACAGCCGGTCCACCAACTCGGCAGACGACGTGCACTTGACGGTTACAGTCGCATAGGGGCGCATATTTCCATTTCTCGTGATATACACGCCGGAGTGTTCCTTGACCGTTTGTGTCAACTGACCGGACCCGACCTCATCCGCTCGACTCCTGTGGTTCGTTTGCGGAACACAATTTGTCCACCATTGTCCTCCTTTCCCGTACTGTTAGTCACCTCAGGCACATAACAATGAGCACTTTCTTACCGCGCCTCTCTCAATTACAAATGTTCGGTTAGCCAAAGAAGGTTCCCCCGATCAGGCCTATCTCGGAGAATTAATTGGCGGGTGGAGATGCGAAAAACACGGGCTTGTTTCGTTGACCGATGAGCCTCCGAAGCCATGTGGGTTTCGCCGCACGCATTACTTTATGAGTTTCAACTCCCATGCAGCGGCCAACCATTGACGACTCTTTCATTTGTCTGTCCGTTCTGTCATGCTAATAATTCAAGTGGATTCGCGACCTATTGTACACACGTACGCTGAAAATTCTACCTCGGTCTTCCAATGAAAAAGCCTCGCGAGAATACAACATAGCCACCGGCCCAGATATATACGCTCGTGTCGCTTATCAACAGCTCCATTGGTTCGTCATCAACCCTCATCCACGTCGTCATATGAGTCTATCCCGCCACATATCATCGTCATCATGATGTCGCGGCGGGCGTCTCAGCTTTCGCAGCAAGATCTGATCCAGGTCGGAGCCATGTCCTGATGTGACCTATGTAGCAAACTCACATTAGCGAAACTCTGTGAGGGTGGTCGCTGTCCGAGCATCGGAGTGTGTCAGAAGCCTCTAAGGGTTGAGGGTTTTCTCACCTGATTTGCAACTCGTCGTGATTGCATCTTCTGTGAAGTCGAGCCAGCACACCGGGTGCGTGTCAATCACTTTGTTCTATTACGCCCGTCCCGTATCAGTATTATTGTGGACCACCAGCACGCGCCCCCACGCCCCCTGGGTCGTTCAAGGCTTGGGACGGCACTTACCAGTACAGGAGGAAGCATCGGGATCCTGGACCGCGGCTCCACTGGGTGTGAGACGTCTAGTTCCTCGTCTTCAGCCTCAACGTTCGAATCGGAGCGCAGCCGCGAGTTGGACGTGTTCCCCGTCTCGGCCCGCTGCAGGGTCGTATATCGCGACGAGATGGAGCCACGATGCCGTACAGATTGCTAGATAAGGCGCAAGTTAGCTCCAGTTCGCTTGGATTTCAGCCTAAACGACGAATGGACGTACCGCTTTTGGTCGATGAAGCATTCCCACGCTGAAATCCCATAGGCAGAGCCGCCCGTCTTCGCCCACGCTACCGATGCGGTAGTTTCGGTCATCACATCGCCAAGGGTCAAAGGCCACAGCGGAGACCCACGACTGGTGGCCCTGGCATCTGGCTAGCAGTGCAGATTCCGCCACGGACCAAATTGATATCAGGTCATCCTGTCCACCCGTCAAGACGTATTTGGCGTCTGGCGACCAACAGACGCATGACATGCCACCGTAGTATGAATAGAACATATCCAATAGCCTAGATTCAAGTAAGCAGATGATCACAAGAAATTGGGATCCGGTAAGACAAACTCTTCTTTCAAGTAATCAATAATTCGCAACGTCCCGTCTTCGGACACCACGGCCAGGTGCCGGTTATCGGGCGAAAAGGCAAATGCATTGATGCGATGGTTTGACAACTTCCACGCCGCCACCGGGTTCGTCTTTTGGTTCTTGGAATGGACCGACTTGTTAATCCGGATCCCATTGGGCTGAGGCGTTCCATCGGCGATCTCTTCTGCTTCGCTACCATTCAGGTTTCCACTTCCATTTACAGCTCCATTGACTACCTCATCCTCTGGGTTGAAGTGAGCGTCCTCCTTCTCCTTGTCGTACACCACGAGGGAACCGTCCATGTGGGCGGCAAGAAACAGGTTCTCAGATCCGGGGATCCATCGAATTGACGATACAGGCGTGCTGTTGATGACTCCCTGTAAATGTTGTCAGCATAATCATCTCGCGTGTCTCCCTACTATTGCTGCAAAATCTTACATTTTTGTTTAACCGGGTGTAACGCTGCGAGATGGGCTCCCACCAGATGATCTCGCCCGTGGAGAACCCCATAATGACATCAATGTGCCCCGCGGTCTTGGTAACTGCATTAACATCATGACAAAGGCAATGCGCTTTGGTGAACAGGATCTTGGTCAAGTAGTCTTGCTGTCATTGATGTCAGTCGTGCCGTTTACGAGGCATGAGGAGAGGTCGACCCACCTTGGAGGAGGAGGACATATCAAGCCACTGGAAGGCGCGGTTGATGTTGGCGAAGGCAAATATTCCGTCGCTGGGTCGCTCTGTCAACTTCCGGGACAGACCTTCGTTGACGATAACTCGAGAGATGAAGGATGAATTGCTCTTAGTCATATTGTTCTTGGGCTTCCTCTTCTTAGTCACGTCCTTAGGCTGTAACTGCGTGAGCAGAGAATTGCCCTCGCCAAATGCAGGCGCAGAGCCCAGGGTGATGGAGGTGGCTGGCGCATCACTGTTGGAGGTTGCTCGGCCGTCCTCGCTGCTCATGCCGCCCTCGGTCGAGTACCGGCTCTCGTTGGGGTGTTCCTGGATGCTGGAGGGCGCGCCGCTCAAGGCGAGGGTCGTAGCCGACAGGCCCTTGTAAAAGAAGGGAGGCGTAGCTCGTACATCGAGGGTAATGAGGGAGCAGGTTGTGCCGGCGGTCGCAGCCTGCGGGTTGGTCGCAAGCGGGTTCGGGTTGACGATGGTTGCCTCAGAGGGATGGGGCGGGGGTGTTGCGAGGTGCAGGTCTTCTTTGAGAATGTACGTTCCTATTGTCACGCAGCGTCAGCATCGACTTTGCGCCAGCGGCCGGTGTAGTTTCCGAGAGGGCAGAGGGCGGAGGGCGGAAAGTCGTGGGTCACAGGATGGGAAACTTACCCTCGCCGACGAGGAACTGCCATTCCGGGCCCTCGGGGTTCGACAGCGTATTGTTTGTCTCGATCATGGGAACGGGATGGATAGAGCTGACGCCGTATCCCCCCATAGAGGGATACCGCGGCGGGGGAGGTAGGACACTGTTGGTTTCATGAGGTCAGCGGACGGGTGATTCAAGGTTGCGCAAGACCCGACTGTAGCGGCTGCAGCGACAGCGATAGCGCGATAACGGCGACGGAGGACTTGTACGCACAACATGATGTCGGTCCGGGGACGTTTGGATGGGACACGGCCCGGTCAAGGAGATTCGCGGAGTGAAGGGATACACGGCGCGGGCAAATTTAGAGTTGTAGAGATGAAGGATGGCGGTGTTGAATGTCTTGAGGTCGTAGCCTGTGGTGGCCAGGGCTCAGCGGAGGGGGTGGAGGTGGAGGGTCGGAGGGTCGGCAGCCGGAGGAGGAGGCTGGCCGAGGCAGGACCTTGGGAGAGACAAAGTTTACGGCGTGCTATGTACGGATACACCTTGTTCAAGAGGCGGCCAACAGGGGAGAATCAGAGAAAGCGGAGCGCCCACAGGCGGAATTGGCCAACTAACAGCTGTCGAGCGTACCTACCTACCTATTCCGACCTGGAGAGTCTGGGGTTTGGACAGGTCTGGGGCCGACGAGGCGATGAGGGAGGGCTGGGACGGCCGGTGGTAGGCTGGTTACTGGACTACAGTAGCCCGGCGAATTGGATCGCAGCGACGCCCACCGGATAATGGGTGTCGAGTCTACCAAGTGTGGGGTAAACGGCCCTGTAGACGCAGCCTGGTACCGCTTGTCGCATGGGAAGTTGGGGGCATGGGGCACGGGATACTCGCCAACCCGGCCATTTCGGTCCATGACGCCGCGAGCGAAGTCGCCCAGCCACAGCAGAGAGAGGCCTAGTACACGTGATGGGGTTGCATCCAGGACCCCAGAACGAAACTTGCCGTTGTATTGTTCACTGCATGTCTGTCTGTCTCTTGGTACATAGCCATGTCGGTTGATTTGATACCACCGCTCAGGGCCATGACACCACCAGTTCGTTCACCAGCTGCCAGTGGTCTAGGTGCTATTACGCTGCACCTATAGAACCCCCAACAGGTCCCGTAGCGCTCATAGCCTGCTCGCTGTCAGCAGTTGCAAACACCCGCTAAACAACCGACACAGCGATGGACTACAGGTGCCAGACCCACTAAGTACGTACCATTTAATTGACCTCCACCGCCCGGACGGGATCGCCCAATCCTTGCTCGTCGCGCGTCACACTTCGACGAAGCTCCAACTGCCCAACTGGTGCATCCCACTCCATCCCACGAACCAACCTCCCGCCGTCCAAGTCCTCGCTGGCACCTCGTCGCTAAGATCCCTCCATCCAGCTTCTCTTCCCTCTGATTCTTCCCAGGACGCTACATATTGCGCTTTCTGTATCCTCATCTCCACCCTGCTTCTTTCTCCCCCCCCAGCTGCTCTTCCCGCCACCGGGGTCATGGAACCCAACTAAACGACCACCACACCCTCCGACAATCCCTCCCCACGCCATCATGTCCACTGGTGCGATATCCCTATCTTTACCAGTTCCCTCGCTGTTGATGAACTCTCGTCTAACTGACTCCCCCGCCAGTCCGCATATGTGTCTGCGGTGACGAAAACACCGGCAAGTCGAGCTTGATCGCCTCTCTCGTCAAAGACCAGTTCGTCACCAACAAGATCCAACCCGTCCTCCCTCAAATCACCATCCCTCCAAGCATCGGCACCCCTGATAACGTTTCAACCATCATTGTCGATACCTCCGCCCGCCCTCAGGACCGAACTACCCTCCGCAAAGAGATCCGCAAATGCAATGTTATCCTCCTCGTTTACGCCGACCACTACAGCTACGAGCGCGTTGCTCTATTCTGGATGCCGTACTTCCGCTCCCTCGGCGTCAATGTCCCGGTCGTCCTCTGCGCAAACAAGTCCGACCTCTCCGGCCAGGCCACCACGCCCCAGGTCGTTGAGGAGGAAATGCTCCCCGTCATGTCCGAGTTCCGCGAGATCGATTCCTGCATCCGTACCAGCGCCCGAGACCACCGCAACGTCAACGAGGTCTTCTTCCTCTGCCAAAAGGCAGTCACGCACCCCATTGCCCCGCTGTTCGACTACAAGGAGGGCCATCTAAAACCCGCTTGTGTGAATGCTCTCAAGCGCATCTTCTATCTCTGTGACAAGGACCAGGATGGCTACCTCAACGAGCAGGAGATGCGTGACTTCCAGGCCCGCTGCTTCGATAAGCCCTTGACTACCGATGATCTCGACAATATCAAACTCTCTGTCGCCAAGTCTCTCCCAGACTCTGACCTCGACAAAGGTATCGATCAGAGGGGCTTCTTGCAACTCAACAAGCTCTACGCCGAAAAAGGACGCCACGAAACCATATGGATCATCCTTCGCACATACCACTATACCGACAGTCTCAGCCTTGAGGACAAGTTCATCCGGCCTAAATTCGATGTCCCAGAGTACTCGTCTGCTGAGCTGAGCCCTGCGGGGTATCGGTTCTTCGTTGATCTCTTCTTGCTCTTTGACAAGGACAACGACGGAGGTCTTAATGACCAGGAACTCGAGGCTTTATTCTCGCCCACTCCCGGACTGCCCAGCTCATGGACCGATTCCGACTTCCCCTCTTCCACCGTCAGGAATGAGGCCGGCCACATCACCCTTCAAGGTTGGCTGGCTCAGTGGAGCATGACGACATTCATCGAGCCCAAAACCACCATGGAGTACCTGGCCTACCTAGGCTTCGAACCACACAACCCCAAGGACCCCATCACGGCTGCCCTCAAAATCACAAAGCCTCGCAAGAGAAGAAGAAGGCCTGGTCGGGTAGAGCGTAACGTCGTCCTTTGCTACGTCCTGGGTGCATCCGGGGCCGGAAAGTCCTCCCTGCTCGATGCCTTCCTGAACCGCCCCTTTGAGGGTTTGTACAACCCGACTATTAAGCCTCGCCGAGCAGTAAACAGCGTCGAGCTCCCTGGAGGAAAGCAGGTCTATCTCATTCTCGAAGAACTCGGCGAGCTGGAACCCGCGATCCTCGAGAATCAGGCCAAGATGGACGCCTGTGACATGATCTGCTACGCGTACGACTCATCCGACCCGGACTCCTTCTCTCACATTGTCGAAATGCGCACCAAGTATCCCCATCTTGACGAGCTGCCGTCCATCTATACCGCCCTCAAGGCCGACAAGGACAAGACCAACCAGCGCAGCGAGCTCCAGCCCGATCAATACGCCTCCTCCCTCAGCATGAGCCTTCCCCTCCACGTAAGTGTCACTTGGGGCAGCATCAGCGAACTCTTTGTCGTCTTTGCCGACGCCGCCACCAACCCTAGCACCGCCTTCCCCAAGAGCTCCGATGAGGGGCCTGACCGAACAAGTCTTTACATCGCCCTCGGGGCCACAGCTTGCGCCGGTGTCGCAGCCCTGATGATCTGGCGGCGTGCTACCAATGCTGCTTAGGCCGGTGCCATCCATCCTAGGCACACATATCTCAAGTGATAGGCAGATACTAATATGCTCCGAGGCGTCACTCGCTCATGTCCACACGAGACTCTTAAGGCAATTACCAATGGTTCAGTTCATATAATTCCCATCCCGCCAGGGATCTAGGCAACATTTAATCAGGCAACGACAGGAACGTTTTTCAAGAGGAGGAGTTGTAATTCCGTCGTCGAGATCAGACTATGATACCCAGCTCCGTCGTTATTTTTTAGTCGCACACTAGGTGATGATGCCAATGCCATCGTTTCTTTTTCACTCTCCCGATAGAATCTTACAATAATCGCAATTCTCCACTCCATATGTTGTAGTAATTCTCCTGATTGCCTCCCTCTTCCAACTCCAAAGCGCCGCCTGACCAAGATCACCGTCTCCCCGCCGTTTTCGCCAGCTACCTAAACCTTGTAGAAGCAGAATCCAATGTAGAAGCTCGCCGCCTCCATCTCGTCGTCCGAAACCAGCAACGGACCACCTCCGCGCCCGCGAACGCCCATGCGCTCACTCAGAGGTCCCAGCTCCGCGTCGTCCTTCTCGGCCTCCCAGATCTCGGGGAACGTGCGATGGAATTGCAGCTCCAGGTTGTAGTCGTCGGCAAGAGCACGGAAAGCCTCCCAGGGAACCACGTATTCGGGCACTTCCTCGACGGCCTCGTCCAGGAAGAAGTTGTATTTCCAGCCAAATGCAGGGCGAAAGATGCCGTCCTCGGGTGTCTTGCCGGGGAAGCGGACGCGGTAGATGCTGTTGCCCCACTCGGCAGTGGGCTCAGCCTCACCCTCTTCGAGCTCGCCATCCTCGGGATCTGCGGGAGGAGGCGTGGTAGAGCCGTCGGCGTTGCCCTCGGAGTTCTTGGCCTCGCGCTTCGCAGCAGCCTTCTCGTTGAACTTGCGAACGTGCTCGCCGAGGACGTCGGAGTTGGGGATGCAGCCGATGAATCGGCCGCCCTTCTTCAGGGCGCCAGCGACGTTACGAAGCATAGTTCGGGCGTTCTTCTCGTTCTCAAAGGCGTAGTGCATAGAGAACATCATGCTGACGACGTCGAAGCCGCGGCGGTTCATGGGCGACGGGTCCCAGCCGACCTGGTGGATGATATCAATGTTCTCGATGCTTTCGCCGTAGCAGTCCTTGACGTGGAAGCGGGCTTCGAACGGCGGCGGCGGCGGTCGTCGGTTGTATCCTCCCCGGCCACCTCCCCGGCCACCTCGACCGCCGCGCGAACCAAGAGTCCTATACCGTTCGCGGGCCTGGTCGATGCTCACGTCGGCGGGGTCCAGACCGACGTAGAGCTGGATGGGCTGGGGAGCCTGCTGCCACTTGTTCAGATCGCCGCCCTTTCCGCAGCCAATGTCGAGGACGAGGAGGTCCTTGCCGCTGGAGCGGCCCTCCTCGCGGGAGCCGGGGGCGTGGTCCTCGTCGGGGGAGTAGCGTTGGATGATGCAGCTCTTGATCCAATTGTTGAAGACGCGCAGGCCTTTGATCTTGCTGTCCCTAGTGCGCCAGTCGCGGCCTCTCTCGGGCACATTGTTGTAGTGCTGTCTCACGACATCGTTGATGCCGCGGGATCTGTTCTCGTCGTCGTGCGCCGACTGGGCGGCGGCGGCTCCGCGCTCGCGCTCTAACTGGCGCTGTCGGATGGCCTCGCGCTCGGCCTCAGAAATTCGGGCGCGGTTTCCGGGGCGCTTCTGCCTTCGGGGCTGTTCGGACGGAGAGAGGGCGCGTCTCTTGGCGGGCTGGAGCTTGTTTGCGTTGTAGGGTTGCGGGAGGTCGTCGGTCTCCTCCTCGGCGCGTCGCTTGCGGCCAGACCTGTCGTCCGACGGGCCTGGGCTTGATCTGTCAGGCATTGCTGACGTGCGAGTAGCGGGTTCGTTTGGTGTGGTTGTGGTTGAAAGATGAAGTTAGGGGGATGTGATTTGGAGCATTGAGGTTGCTGAAGCTGATGTTGAAAGAAAGCTTGTCTGGCCTGAGGTGGATGTCACCTGTGCGGCCTGCCTAGAACTGCGTTGCACCAACGCGTGATGTGATTGGACCGCAGCCGGAACGTGCCGACACCAAGTTCAGAGGCTTCTTTATCAATCACTTGAATATCGTCTTTCTTTGCAAATATTACGTGTTGTCTATGTACCTTCTAAATTGACACCATTTTTTCTTACCTTATCAGGGTATATTCCACATTATGCGCTTTGTTCTCAACAACACGAACTCCTTAATTGCTCCTTATTCTTGATGTTCCTCCACTCCATGCCTAGTGCCGGTAAGGCCATGAAGGACGACACCACCACAACGACCAGAAAGGTCTTTAGTAGAGCGTCGTTGTACACAACCAGGACAATGTGGAATTTTTCTGACGGAACCGCTCGAGCCAGAGATGTCGCCCCGGCCTCAATAATCCCCTCGATATCAATCCCTCCAATTCCCTTGAGTTCCTGTGACAAGTCGTTGACAAAGATCCCGCGCCAACAGAGGTGAGAATTGTGACAACAAACATCCACGAAACATAATATCCAGTCCGGGTAATGATAGCGCCAGAGATGATGGCTCCAACGACGAGAGAGAGGACAAGGGGAATAGTGTCGATACCAGACTGGATTGCCGAGGTACCTTTGACGGCCTGAAACCAGATTGGCAGGTTATAGATTAAAGAAACCATGCCTCCGCCGATGCACACCGCATAAAGAACACCGCAGGCGACACTCCGCTGAATGATGATGCGAGGTGGAAGAATAGCGTCTTCCTGGCGCCAAATCTGAACACCCACAAAAGAAGCAAGACCCTCGTCCAGTTGTTGTTGGGGGTATCAGAAAAGAATTCACGGATATCCTGGGTGCTGGCATTGGGGTTGACAAACATGTCCACAACCAGATTGCATTAACGTCGGGTTCATGCTCAACCAGTAGACTGTTGTCTTTGTTGTTCTGGCCTCAATTATTGCGCTTCAGGGGGTCACCACCTACACCACTGGAATCGTTGTCATCAGAGTGTACGCTTTATCAACTCAACTTCACCTTACGTACCCTAGTCTTATAAGGTTTTGTCGTTTCACCCACCTCTTCTGCAGAGGCAGAGCTTGCTGTTACGACGGGACCAGAGAGTGCTGGCAAAATTTCCAGAGAAGCCAATAGCTAACCAATTGCCGAATTGCTATGGAATCCCTCACAGTTTCAGGTTTTGGTCGTTTTTCTACAAGTGCCGGTCTTTATATTTCGCTCCAATCAGTCTTCGACATGGGCCGTGTTTGAAGCTCTCACCAGCACATACGACCATAGCTCTTAGAAAATACGGGATCCCGTCCGCTCTCCCTTAGTCAAGCTGAGAAGCGGCGAATTAGTACTCGGGTCGGTGACGACCGGGGAATCCTCGCTGTTGTATGTTTTCTTTTTGTCTTTTTGCTTTCTGGCTCCGTTAGTACTTAGATGTTACCTACCTACGATATGCAGTCTTGACATAACTGGAGTATCTTCATCGTCATCCTCATGACTGTGTGCCTCGTATTCTCCGTCGTTGCTAACACTTTTCTTAGCTTCTGGGAGAGTACTAGAGTAGCGGTTAATAATTTATTTGGCGAGGGACTGCATCCGGGTGCGCAGTCCAGAAGTTGCCCCTTCCTCCAGAATCCGTGTACCGAATCAATGTGTGCAGTTGACAATGCAAGCCCAAGCTAAGGCTTTGGTTCATAGGTAATTTTAATTTCCTAAAACATTGTCTTGGAGAATTAGATACTTAGGATGATCACTCAAGAGATTGGCTTAAAATTGAAGGTATATATTTTTCTACCTTCATAGGACTCATGGTGGAGTCTTGACGGTAAGGTCTTGAGAACCACTTCAAGTGCTCGGAATCATGCTACAGTAGTCAGAACAACGCCGTAGGGTAAACAAAAAAAGCATGACTTTTCCTAAACTAGACATCACGCATGAGAGAATCATTTGGTCGATTAACCGCATCCTACAGAACATGTGCAACATGCCCAGTCCAAGTCCGCCTACCCTGTACCTCACACGCTAAACACCTGCGAACAGCGACTAAAAAGGTACGTACCCCAAGCAAGACTCTCAAGGGCAGCTCCAGTTTTTAGTGCGTGTCCCGCTGGAGCCTTGCAGCGGATTCGGTGCCGGGGCCACTCAGCTCCAGCCTCTGGCCTGGCGCATTACTGTACCGCACAGTGACAACACCAACACTCACCTCGTCAACCTCACAGCTCAAGCTTCTCTTGTCATCCATCACCCACCAGACATACCCAACCACAACCACAACCACCAGCAACCTCCGCCGATCAACCCTCAGCTCATCCCCGAACCCGTCGCCCTCGCCCTCCTCCTCCCTCCGCCATCATGGGCTCCGATCCCCAGTACGCCAAATGGCCCCTGCTGCCTCTCTCGCAGCACGTCTTCGCCCTCACAAACGCCTACGCCTCCAAAACCGCCCAACAATCCGCCGTGCAGGCCCTGCAAGATGCCATCGCCAAGGATAAGATGGCTCCCTTCTACCGCTACCTCGCCCACCCCATCGACGGCATCCTCAACACCATCGGCGAGGGTGGCGCCTCCGCCCCCGGCAAGCCGTTGTCTAGGAAGTCGAGCCTGGTCGGCATGATTGCCACCAAGCCCGCTGTCACCACCGTCAACCTGCCCTGGGACGAGGGCCTCTACAACGAACTCAAGGAGGACAATGACCGTGAGCTCGAGGAATTCAAGAAGGAGGAGGATGAGGCCGAGGAGCAGGCTGGCGACACGGAGATCATAGCTGCCAAGGGCAAGCGCGCAGAGTTCTGGGCCAGAGTGGGCGACAAGGCAAGCTCTGTCGTCATATCCCCATTCCATTTCTGCTTGTTAACAATCTGTACAGGACAAGGCCATTGCTGCTTACGAGAGCGTCTTCGAGAAGACGGGCATCCTCGGCGCCAAGATCGACCTCGTCCTCGCCATAATCCGCATGGGTCTCTTCTACGGCGACAAGCCTCTAGTCAAGAAGCACGTTGAGCGGGCCAAGACCCTCGTCGAGACCGGTGGTGACTGGGATCGCCGAAACCGACTCAAGGCCTACGAAGGCCTTCACCTACTCACCCTCCGCTCCCACAACCTCGCCGCCCCGCTCCTGCTCGACTCCCTCTCCACCTTCACCAGCTACGAGCTTTGCACCTACTCCAACCTCGTTGTGTACTCCGTCCTCGCCGGATCGGTCTCTCTCAAGCGTGTCGACTTCAAGTCAAAGGTCGTCGATGCCCCCGAGATCAAGGCTATCCTCGGTGACGGTGGGGACAAGCTACTCGCCCTCAGCGGTGCCCTCAGCGCCGGCCCCGGCACCGACGCTGCTGCCACTCCCAAGGTTGCTCCAACCACTGCCGTCAACTTGACCACCCTCGGCACCAGCACCAGCACCGGCCAGCCCGAGGCCGAGCTCGCCATCGACTTCAGCCCCCTCGCGCTCCTCGTGAGCAGTCTGTACAGCGGCAACTACAAGACCTTCTTCCAGTCACTCGCCGATGTTGAGGAGCAGTTCCTGAACCAGGACCGCTACCTGCACGAGCACAAGAGCTGGCTCATCCGTGAGATGCGCCTCCGCGCCTACCAACAGCTCCTACAGAGCTACCGCGTTGTCGGCCTCGAGAGCATGGCCAACGACTTTGGCGTCACTGTTGACTTCCTCGACCGGTAAGCCCTCCCTTCTTCTCCTTGGACACGATAAGAATGCTAACCCAAACTTCGTCTAGTGATCTTGCCCGCTTTATCGCCGCTGGCCGCATCCCCTGCACCATTGACCGTGTCACTGGCAAGGGCGTCATCGAGACCAACCGACCCGACGACAAGAACAAGCAGTACCAGGACGTTGTGCGCCAGGGAGATCAGCTCATCACCAAGTTGCAGAAGTATGGACAGGCTGTGCGGTTGAGAGGCAGTGAGAGGGCGTAAATAGACTGGGGGTCAGCCAGCTATGGTGGTGTGATGTGAGGGCACGAGATGACGAGAATCTTTTTGGTAATTCCACATGGTGTGGGATGGTGGATAGAACGGGGGAGGAAGGGGATACGTGCCATGCTCTACCTACTTACTCAACTGTATGATACGGATTAGACAGGCCAGCGCGATAATAGATTGGCTGGATCCCGGAACAAGAAAGCGGTGGCATGCCCCTAACAGGACTCTAACTTGCGCGAACATGATGACCACGCTGTTGCACTTCAGGTAACACTGTATGAGAGTTTTGTGTTAGAAGATAGCGGTCTAAAAATGTCCAATAACGCCACGCCAGCAAGGGGGAAACGGTATCTGATCTTGTATGGATGTGAGATTTACGATGGCTTTTTCTATCTGATCCAACGATATCAATCCAAATCTGTTTACATTTCTTTACGCGTTAAGTCATCCGCCACCACAAGTCCCCCTCTCTTATCTGTCCATATCTTTTTTCTAACAAGCCGCGTGACAGAGAGGGTACCTCTTGACCAATTATTGGTACTTCTCGAGGAACTCCTTGTGGAACTTGACGATGCTGCCAACCCACTCGGTGCCGGGGGCGAGGAAGGTGGTACGGAAGTGCAGGGTGCCCTCCTTCTGGCCGAAGCCGGAGCCAGCGACGACGCAGATACCGGTGGCCTCGAGGAGGCGCATGCAGTAGAACTCGTCGGCGGTGCGGCCCTCAGCGGCAGCGGCCTCGTGGGCCTTGGCAGGCAGCGTGATGGTAGGGAAGAGGTACATGGAGCCCTGGGGCTCACCGCACTCGACGCCCTCCATCTGGTCAAAAGCCTTATGCAGGGCGGTGGCGCGCTGGCGGAGACCGTCGAAGATGCCGTTGTACTCCCTCTGGTACAGCTCGTATGAAGGCGAGCCCTCCTTGGGGGGGTTCACCATGAGCTCAACGATGCACTGGCCAATGACTGGGGCGCAGAGCATGATAGAGACAAACTTGTAGATGTTGGCCTCGACCTCGGCGTCAAAGCCGCAGAGCTCAAAGTAGCCACCGCGGTGACCGCACTCGCCGACCATACCCTTGGAAACACTGTGGAGGGAGGCGAGCTCGACGCCGTCGTACTTGCCAGGGTTCTCCTGCTGCATGCGGCGGAGGACGGCCTTGAAGCTGTGGAACTTGCCAACGAAGACGTTGGTCTGGTAGACCTCATCGGCCATGACGACAAGGTTCTTCTGGGCGGCGAAGTCAAGGACGGCGCGGATGTCCTCTTCGGGGAGAGAGGCGCCGGTGGGGTTGCCGGGGTTGATAATGACGATGCATCGGACGTCAACGCCGTCGGCCTCGGCCTTCTCGTACGAGGCGCGAATAGTCTCGAGATCGGTGCCCCAGTTCTTGGCCTCGTCGAGGAGGTAGGGGACGCAGGTGGCGTTGAGGAGGGAGAGGGTGGCAGTGTAGAGAGGGTACTGGGGGATAGGGATGAGGATGCCGGTGTTGGGAGCAGCGCAGATGACGTGGAGGAGAGTGTTCACACCGGATGAGGCACCGGCGGAAAGGTAGATCTTGGAGGGGTCCGCGGGGAAGCCATCGCGACCTGTGAATAAGAGTCATCGGTTAGCCGCGGTGAACCAACGCAAGCGGGAAAAGAGCGCAACATGCGCAATGCACAATATGGACGGGGAATGCAAATTAAATGACGCTGGGAACAACTCACGCTCAAGGAACTGGGCAACGCTGTCACGGATGGCAGGGACACCGGTGCTGGCGGAGTAGGCACCGACAGAGCCGATCTTGCTGAGCAGGAACTTGGCGCGCTCAATGACATCGGTCTTGTAGCCGAGGGCGTTGACGAGGGCATCCTCCTTCTCGAGGAGCTGGGGGTTCTCGAGGAGACTGGCGACCTGGCGGAAGAAGGTGATGGGCTTCTGGTCGAGCTGCTGGGGGTTGCCGATGTTGGCCGAGATGACCTGGTTGAAAGGCAGGTCGGCGGCGTCGCCCGCGGCGATCTTGGCGCGGTACTCCTCGGACTTGACAGCCAGCTCACCGCGGACGGCGTACTTGGCCGCAACCACGTGCTGGTTGATGTTGTCGGCGGTCAATCGAGTCATGTTGGCGGCTTGGTTGGCGGCGTGGTGCGAGAAGTTCTGATGGCGGGGTTGCAAGGAGAAAGTAGAAGTTTTTGGCGGGGTAGCCAACGACGCGGGTAGGCAGGGTCGCGGGGTAGCAGTGGTAATAAATGTGCTAGGGGTACCTGCAACGTCGGGCAAAAGACGAGTCGAACGAGTTAGCAAAAAAAGCACCCAATACCTAGTTAAATGTAATCTATGACTAAATCCCGGAACCAAAAAGTTGCACCACGGAAGCAGCACCGAAGAGTTCGGGGCTACCCGAGCTAGTCGGTGGCACCCGAGGAGAGAGTGAGAAAGTGAGAGAGAGGCTGAGAGGAAGCGCGAGAGATACAGCCAGAGTCAGAGATAACAGAGGCGTAGATAGGGACACAACGCTACGCGCCGAGAAGAGTGGGGGATAGCTGCGACATATAGAGACGGCCGGGGGGGAACACACTTGATAGGAGGAGCGATCTACTCGACCGAGGGGTGTAAGAGGAGGCTTGGAAGAAAAGCAAAGAGTATACAAGAGGGAAGAAGAGGAGGAGAAAGAAACGAAGGGGGAGCTGAGTCTCCTATGTAGTAGAAACTCGACAGCCTCCATACATGCAAAGGAATAGACCCGTCGACACCACCCAATGCGCACCTCGGATGGGGTCCCGGGTGGGCTGCAGTGGTGCTAGAGTGCTCCAGACGGACGACAAAAATCAGCGCATTTTGGACGTGACCGCCTGACGCGAGAACAAGACATGAGAGGAGGAAGCTCCTCAATGGGACTCCGGCTTAAAGGGCGCAGTTCCGCAACGACCACATAGTGGCCTCGTCCCCGTTGCCCGTCCCCGGTTCCCCAACATCACCTCAGTACAGGGAGGTCGGCCAGGGGTGTCACCGCGGCGCAGACTCGCCCCGGGTGGGCATCGCATGGGGGAACATGGGTGTGGGATGTGGGATGTGGGATGTGCGTGATGGAGGGACGGACCGACATGGGCCATCGGACGTGGGACATGGGGGGGAAACAACAGAGAAGGTCCGGGTCCGGATCCCCGGAAAAGACGACAAAGATGGACAGGGGGAAAGTCATGATGATGACGACGAGGTATGAGGCATAGAAACAAGGCTGTCAAGACGCCCCCATGTAGTGCACCAGGGAACACGCAGAGGGGCGTGGGCGGGAAATGGGTTGATCCTAGCCAACGACATGACGAAAAGCCCCAAAGACGGTTGCTGGGAAATGAAACCGACTTGCAAACATCAACCATCATCGGCCTCGCCCAATGCCCGGGGGTCTGGCAAGCGCATGCATGCGCTGCATGTCCGGCTCTTGACGGGACGAGATGGCGGAGATGCCCCTCATGCATCCAAAACTTCGGGCGTGTGAGAGCAAAACGCGGCTGAAAGGGACGACGGGGACCCAGATGGGGAGGGGGAAGGGCAAAAGGGCATGGGAATGGGGCCAAATACTAGCAACACAAGCTTGAAAGAGGGGCCATGTGCAGATTGCAGCGTGCAGAAGTGCAGCATGCAGCGAAGGGGCAAGACATGAGATCCAATCGAACGCCGTTGCGCGGGGGGGCATGATGCGTGCGTGTGAGATCTCTCGGGAGCGGTGCGACGGCATCTCGGGGTGGACTTTTTCTGGTAGACGCTCTGTCGCGCTTTCCTGCGGTCTCTCACTCGAAATCTCCGCCTTGCTGGGACCGGCCCGGGCATACAGATGGAGCGCGTCGTATCGCAGCTACTGTAGGTGTAGTGGCGGACTGGTGGTGTTGGCGGAGGAGCCGTGAACCGGTATTTCATCGTCGAGACCACCATCACCGTCCGCCGCGGCCAAATCACAAGAGGCACATGCTCTCTCTTTCCATCAAATCTTGTTACGTACCTGTGCTAGTGACGGCGGCTGCCCCGGTGGGGCGCCAACTACTTGCCCATCGCCGGCCGTTGATGGACTTGGCCACCGGCAATGGCATTGAGACGGAGCATCTTGAAGCCTGTAGGCCGCGCGCCGCCTTTCCGAGGGCGGCTGCTGATGCGGGGTTGCGACTGTGACTTGCTAACATGCTGTTCTAGGTACCGTAGGAAGTTGTGTTGGTTGATGTACGGGGTATTCGTAAGGCCCAAGCGAGTCCACAAGATTGGTGCGGATTGGCGGACGAGACGCGGGCTGGGCGATCGTATGTTTTATTTTGGGGACGGTTCAGACTGGAGGAAGATGGAAGCTCTGAAGAGGCTCGCCCGTCTTTGATACACAAACAAAACGTCGAAAAAGTGCGTGAGAAAAGAGAGAGAGAGAGTAGGTCAGCTTGGGTGGCCTTCCAGCGGGAATTTTGTTAGGCGGAGGCGTCAATTGAGCTGTATCGTCGTGGGGGTTGGGGTAAGCGCAAGGACTACTGTGCGTAGTGTACTCCGTATGTAGTCTGTCTGAACGCCGCAACTCGCAAGGGATAGGAGGGGATTGTTGAGTGAGAGTTGATGACCGCCCCGTGACTCAACTTCTGCCACTTGAACCGATAAGACGAAGGGGGGCCGGCGACGGAGGTGACAAAAAACGACGGGCCCGGCGCTGCGCGGGACGGACACAGTAGATGCAGAGGGGTTGAGAACGTGGTGTGCGTTGCTGCCGGCCAGTGGTCACGCCGTACAGGATATCGGGAGCTTGCGGTCAGGAAATCGGAGAGCCATCGGCCCTGCGACAAGAAGGTGCCGGCGTAATCTTTATATCGCTTCCCGCGGACAAGGGCTTCGAGCCTCTGCAGGGCTTCGTGAGCCATTGCAGCCAGGCGCCCGCCCCGGCGTCGCAGGTCACCGCCTTGTGAAGTCCGATGCAGGCCCGGGAATGGGGAATGCCGGGTGCGACCGTCGTCGTGGACCCTCAAATCGAACGAGTCCAAATGCCGTTTCTTGTCCTACAGTTAGCTTACTTGTTGGGGGTAGCTCCCTTGCGTAGATCTATCACTTTCGTACCTATCGTGATAAAGCTAGGTACTGTGTGCTGCTGACCATCTCTCTTCCCATTGGCCAATCATGCCAGACTAGTCCAGCTGCCAACTGCGAGCTCGCACCTTTGCTCAACCACTCCGGGACTACGTTTCCCCGAATACCCGACAACCTCACGGCCGGAAATTTCCACGCAACAGCAAATGTACCATCTCGGGACTTGACCCAACTTCAATTCAGCGTCGCCCAACATGGCTAAGAAAGGTCAGCTTGCACCTCTCCGTCGGCCTGTCACCCGCGCACTGTCCGCTGACCCAATTCGTGCCCTGCAGCTAAGGCTCGTCTGATACACGTGCGGCTCATCTCCATGGCCATGACGGGGTTCTTTTACACCTTCAAGCGCCCCAGAACCTCCCCCATGATGGGCATGCTGAAATACGACCCAATCGGTACGATCCGCGCGCATTCGATTGTTCCTACATAAGCCTTTGACTGACCCGACTCCTCCGTTGCAGTGCGCAAGAAGGTCCTATTCCTCGAGACTAAAAAGAGAACGAAATGAGGCCAGCCCACCATGGCATGATGACGATTCGACCCATCGAGGAAAGCTGGATAAGATGGATATCTGGATAGACTATGGGAGCACGCCCTTTCCTCACGAGATTCACACCATTGTAATACTACACGAAGAGCATTGTTGGAGTTGGGCCTACGACGTCTGCGCTCGCCGCAATGCAAATGTACATGTACAACACACAACACACAATACACCCTCATGATCTGGTCATCAAGATTAAACACTCGATATTGTTCTCCCAAAAGTGGATAGAAAGTTGGGGGGTGAGCTGTAACTAAATCTGACTGGAATAGACACGCATCGGCGTCAAGCAAATCCCCATCATCCGAACACATCGTTTCGAATCACTACACCCACCGAGTCTCGACATGATAGCATCTTGCTCCCAAAACCTCAACAAACCATAGCAGCCCGTGCTTCCCATCGAAAATAATGCTCTTGCCTCTCCTTGTCTCGTGCATGGAACCTGTCTGGCCATTCAACAATGAACAGACTATTCCCCGATTGGCTTGCGGGAATATGTTCTTATCACAGCCTGTCTCTTTGACGCCCTTGCCTGAGGTCTGTAATCCTTCAAGTTTTGCATTGTCTGAGATGACCCCTCTTCCACCTTCATCTTTTTGCCGTTGGGGCTGTGTACTTGTTCCGTCGAGACCAATGAATGCTTCTTCTCCGCCATGCCTCCCTCGGATCGACTGGGTTGGATATTTTTCTCGAAATCAGCGACCGTAGGCAAATCCCAGTTCTTTTGCGTTGGCCTCGGTTGAATGAACTTGGTCTGAATTTGCTCCATCATTCCTTGCTTCGCGCTGGCAGTCGTTGAGCTGGCCTTTCCCGTGACGGGTCTATTGTATTGACTTTGGTTTGGAGGGATTCTTGAGAGTTGCGAATCCTGCGCAGAATCTTGCGATGACGATGCTGATGATCTTAAAATTGATCGCGGCGCGGCTGCTTCCCGGCGTCGTAGCTGCTCTTGCTCAATGGATGGTGGCGGAAAAGGTGAACTGCGACCCCCTGGACTGTTGAAGACCACCTTGCGGTTGACGTTTTCATCTTGAGAGGAAGCGCCTGTGGCTGGGTCCCACAAGTCCGCCAAACTTGACAAATTTGTGATCATTGACTGGGGATTGGATGAAGCAATGGATTCCCCTTTGCCCCAATTTTCCGCTTGTGACGGGTGAAGCATCCCCTCGGCCCCAAAGCCCAGGACCTCTGGCTCTGGGTTGGCTCCGAGCTGTTGACTGACCCAGGACCGTTCCGCTACTAGGTAGCCGGCGGTTGAATTCATCAGCCGGCTGATTTCAGCCATGCTTCGGAACTCTACTTCTAGGCTTTCCATTTGAGGCACTCGCTCACTGATGTCTTTCAGTTGATCTCTCAATACGTCGATGGTTTTGATGCCCTTCTGCCATCTCTCATGAAGGCCTTTATTCGTTGTTGCCTCTTGCTCGAGCACGGCAAGCTTTTGCCGGAGCTCCCCAACGGCTTTTTGCTCCTTATTCAAGGCTTGGTAGAGCGCTCCGGAATTGGGGTCATTATGTGAGGTCGTCATTAACTGGTCCTTGACTTCCTTGAGATGCGAGTCTAGCATGACCCGGATGCCCTCGGACTGAGACAGCTCTCGTTCGGACCTGGCGCTCCCCTCCTTAAACCCATTCTCAAGAGTGTTTCGGATTGCAGCAATGGTCTCCTGCAAGTACTTTTTGGCCTCACCATCGCTCTGCAGAATAAGTTGCTTCATGGTTTCGATCTTCTTGCCGTAGTCCTCAGCCACTGATTGTAGCTGTTGCTCGAGCATGCCGATCACACTCTCCCGATCTCTGAACTGTTGGGTGATCCGGTCCTGGAGAGATGCTTCCAAAGCCTCTTGCTGACGAGTATACCCTTGGGTCCATTCAACGAAGTGACGCTCCGTTTGTTTGTAAGTCTTGTCGATGTTGAAAGTCCGAGTATCAATTCGACCAAGAACGTCAAAGAGCTCTCGGCGGATAGCTTCATCGTTCTGTCGATCTTGAGACATTCTTTCATCTTGGTGTATGAGACCACTCTGAATCTGTTCGAGCCTGACCAAGACATCGTCTCTGAATCCCACACCGGACTTATCTGCCTGTGCTTGTCCGGAAATGACGGTGAGGATGGCTGGCAAGATTCTGGTAAGCATGTTAGTAAAAGCTACTCTCAATGAAGGCTAAGGTCGTGTACCTGGAAACAATATTTTTTTCTAGTCTTTTGATGACTGGCTCAATGGCCAGAGGCGTTACTGCATTGTCTTTGAACGAGTCAAGATGCTTAATGACGAGATCGAGCCTATTCTGGATGTCAGCATACACCGGGGATGGCAGACAAAACCCTACTTCGAAGACAGTTGGTCGGTTATTTCTCTCTGGTTTCGGCCGCATGTGTCTGAGTTGGTGCTCTTTTCGAGCAGTGCCTGGACTTGAGATTCCACTCTTGTTACACTATCCTGAATCTTCTTTTGATCCTCGATCTGCTGCCGGAGCTCAATTGCTGAATCTCGCTCGTGGATGAGCTCGGCCTCTTGCTGCTGCAGCTTCGCTTCCAATTCTGATACGATTCGATCCTCTAGAATTGTAATTAGCGAGGCGCTTTTGAAACGAATGGTATTGGTTACATACTCCTGTGACCCTCTCGTTCGGCCTGTGTGCGAAGCTCGTCAAGGCAGATCCTCATCTCCTCACGTTTCTTGCGGCCGATCTCAATGGCGTTGTCAACGGCGAGTGAATCGACGACACGGCTGCTTTTCTCTTCCTCAAGCTCCTTTCTGGTTGCTCGGTACAATTCGCGGGAACGCTGAAAAAGAGCCTGTTGTTCAGAAATTGCTTCGTTCAACTTTGATCGACAAGTACGGTACTTGTCTTTGAGCCCTTCTGCATGCTTTTGGGATGCCTCAAGCTGTTCTTGCAAAGACTTGATCTCACCGTTCAGTCGATGATTCTCGCCCGTAGCCTGGTTCTCCTGGTGCTCCAACTCCTGGCAACGTTTCCGAGCTCCTTTGATCTCAATTTCTTTCTTGGACAAGAGACCAAATGACTTGTCCAGCTCTTTTTCCCGCTGACTGATTTCCGTTTGAAGTCGTTCAATTTCCCAGGCCGCCTCCTGCTTTTCGTCTTCAGAAATTCTCATGCACTCATTCCAGTACTGTGCCACATGGTGCATGGCCTCTTTCCTGCGCTCAGGGGCTGCACGAGCCCGGCGTTTCTGACCGGTCGACCGCTTTTTGGAAATGTTGCTAGTCCTGGATTGGGAACGATCGTGATTCTCGGGTGCTTTCCCATGTGGACGCGGAGTCAGAATTGGACGACTTGGCATTTGGCTCCTGACCTCGCGTTGCCGGCGATGCTGAGATCTTGGGGTTTGGGGAGTAGGTCTTTCTAAATCGCCACAAATGCTGGAGGGTGGATCACGATGAGTCGTGCGATGGACTCGTTTCTCTCGTGGCAGTGGTAGTTTCAATTCGTCCAACTTTTGTCCTGCTCAACGTTAGAAAACGTCGCAAACTGACTTATTTTGGCACTTACCATCGTGGTTGGTAGAACTTGGAATAGTCCTCTTAAACTCAGGCAAGTTCGTTGAGCGACTGGGGGTTGGCGGTTGGGATGAGAAACTGGGGTTCTGCATGGATGATTGTTGACGACTTGGCCCTTCATGGTGCTTCCCTCGGGGTGATATGCCACCAGATTGGCCCTGTGTTCCGTCATGATCAGGGATGGGAGGATCACGGGGGGGTTTTGTCAGTTGTGAGGAAACAGTTTCAGTGGAAACCTCTTGTGAAAGTGGCTCCTCATTCGTTGAGAGACTTTGACTGACACCAGATTCGGCAGAGAGACGTTCGATTGGAGGTTTCTTCCCAGGCAGGCCAATCTCAGGGAGATCCAGAATTGCAACATCGCGGCGGATTCCAGGCAGGGTGATCTGACCGGGAAGACTTGGTGCAAGTTCCCGGCCAACGATTGGGGGCTGGCGAAAATGGGTTGATGATCCAGCAAGCTGAGGGGGCTCATGGTGTGGTGGACGGCAGAACTGACCAGGGCGAGGTGGTTGCTTGACTGCCCAGCTGAAACCTTCTAGAAGAGCTGCGGGAGAGATTTTGTCGGCTAACGCAGAGAACTTCTTGGGAGGAGGATTGGAAAGCATGGTAGCATTGTTCGGCTGTGAATCAGGGATCATCGAAGCTAGTTCATCGAAGTCTCTTTCATCGGTGATGTGATCAAACGAAGCGAAACTGCTGGCTCTGGACGAAGCACTCCAATGTACGGAGCCGGGGGAAGCAGCCATTTTGGTTGGGTACTGAGACGCAAAGACGTCTGAGGAGGTCCAACGCAAGAAAGCAGAGGCCGGCTCAGCCAAGCTGCTTTGGGGACGTTGTTTTCAGTGTGACAGTGATGGATTGTGATGGATGGTGGATTTATCACGGGTATGTTCTACGCAAGTTCGAGCTGGTGCCTGATTTTGAGGCAAAAATTATCCCCCGCGCGGTCTGGTAATAGCCAGACTGGGAAGGAGTAGCAATGGATGCTTTCCATCTTTGGCAGTTGAGTGAGTGGTTAGGGAAGGTGCGGGTGGGCAGGAAGACGCAACGGCACCAACAGACTCAACGCGATTATTTTTGAGACTCTGAATCACTAAGGAAGGCGGAATGTGAATGGGGCCAGATTAAAAATAAGATCTCTAGATCCATTGCAATCAGCTCTGCATGAACTTGCGCTGGGGGCCGCTTACCTAGGCAGGTAGCTGATGACTGCACACCGACACGATCTCTCACCTGCACAAGACCAACTCGCTTACTCATATCGGGTTCAAGCAACATCCTCGGTACCGATAGATAATTTTGGATCCAACGGTCAGAAAAGACCCCAGGTCTTAGTTTAGCACGCTCATCCTCCAGAGCCGGCGGATATGGCTAGCATTCTGCATAATGACCGTCATCTCACCCTTGGCAATTTCTGACTCCGCCATCAGCGAGACGCCGTACCGAAACAAACAAGTAGACGCGTCCATGAACACCTTGACTCGCAGGAGCTAAGCCGTCGATGTGAGACTCGCGGGATCGTGGGCGGCGGTTCCTCCGACGCCCTCTTGCATCTGATGTGCGAGATCGGGCCTCGAGCGGTCAACCACTTGCCAAGCCGCCATTCACCATCGCAGCCTTATGCCATATTAAAGGAGCAGGTAACATCGTGACGGTTACTGCGGCCACGGCAGAGACATGGCCGAAGCAGCGGCCATCATGAAGTTTTACCAAAAACCGCAACGAGAGACCGCCCCTCCCCAATATCGGACCCTCTTCACGAGTCCACACCAATGCCATGACGACAAGATGCAACGGGCGCATGCAAAATCTATATTTGGGTGCCGGCGCTTCGAGGCCAGCGCACAGGCCAAGCAGGCCGCCATTTGGTGGGATCGGGTATGGGAATAGGCTTGAAAAGCGGGTGCGGATGAAACGCACTTCCAACACCCTAGCCATCTCGCAGTGATGGGAATGCGTCCCAAGAAGTGCCGGTAGGGCCAATCCCAGCCCAGCAAGACCGCCATGCCCTGTGATGCTTGCGATAACTAACGGTGTCCCTGCACCCATCACCCAGTGGCCCCCATCACTGCGTCGTGATGGGCTCCGGCGCGTGACGGCCCCTGGTCGCCCAGCTGCAAGGGTGCCAAGGAACGCAGTCCGGCCATATTATTGGCTGCGCCCCTGGTGACAGTGCAGGCGCTCAGCGCTTCGAGGACGACGCTCGCCAATCATCACGAAGCGTTATGGAAGACGACTCCGATTTTGCCATTCTCCTGTTGTACCTGGGTTTGGGCTTGGCGGTGATGATCCAATCACGCTTCGCATTGTGTGCTGGGACTGGGTGAAGCACGCAGCATCACTGCCGATCCTTGTAGACGAGGTTGTAGTCATGGCTGCCGGCCGCCAGTGGGCAGCCAGTGCATGAGTAGATGTGGGGGATACCAAGATGTAAATACAGGCGGCTATCCTCGTCAAGGCGGTATTTACGAAAGTCTCTGTCCGTTACATGGAGTTTCGCTCGACTTCGATTCTCCCGGTTCTGTGAACCCCCTCTTCTCTCGTCTCGTCCCCTCCAGTCTCGTCCCCTCCAGCCTCATCACCATATCAGCTTTTGTGGCTTCGATCATATACATCGACACGTCTTAAGCCAGAAGACCCTACGGAAACATCCATCATGGCGTCGGCGACAAGTCACTCATTCCCGTTGGCCTCAGAGAAGCCATACGGTAACGACACCGCAGATCTGGACGGTACAGATGCTGGTGCCTCTGGAGACAGCACTGGGAACTCAGTCTCCATTTCCAACGGAGGCATGATTGCCATCATCGTCGTCGTCGTCGTTGTACTGCTTGTTGGAAGTACGTGCCGTTCTTGAACCCTTACCTTGGTCACGAGCTAACCATGCCATCAGTTTCCACCACCATTCTTTTCTTTGTTGCCAAGAAGCGGGAGTGGAAAGTGAAGGAAGCCCTCAGGAAATCTGCCCGCAGAGTTGTCACCGCCCTCACTCCTCGGCGATCAGAATTTCCATCGTCGGTCAAAGAATCCCGTAGAGGTCGGTCACGGCTTAATGATGTGCCGCCAACTCCACGACTACGCCCTGAGGATCTGGAGAAAGGACTTGATAAGGCGGAGGCAAAGCGAAAACAGAGGAAATGGGGCAGGTAGAGAGATGTGTTACTACCGTCTCTTATTCGTCTAGTTGGGGTCGGTCCTTTTGGGGGGATTCTGGGGGCGTCTTGATCGCGCGGCGGAGGGAGTTGGTGTTCTTGAAGCGGACAGGATCCGGGTATCATTATGTATAAGTAATCGCCATGTATGCACTTCTTCTTCATATTTCCAACAGCCGAGCGTATAAAATGCGTCTTTTTACCACCGAAAGAATCCCGAACGCCAACTTTTCCGCTTTTACATCTTCCTGAAGGTGTTGGAGCTGGCGCTTCGGCGAGATCCATTCCTCTTGTCCCGAGGAGGAGGAGGGGCCTCCTCTTCCTCCTCCTGCCTTTGCTTCTTCCTCGACTGCGGAACGAATGTGACTTGTCGCTCACCCACAACTTCGCCGCGCGCCTTATTCGTGCGGCCCGACTTTTGTTGTCTCGATCCCAATGCCGTGTCCCTGACTGCGCGGCCACCGTTGCTGGTCGACGACACACGCATCACAACGTCGTCCTTCGCCTTCCTTATCGGCGCTGCTTCGTTTTCGCTAGCACTAGAGTCGTCATCTGAATCCTTGCCCTGATAACGGGCAGGAGCCTTTGGATCAACAGGCTCCTGGTCCACGAGAGTGCTGGGGTTGAGCGCTCGGAATTCTCCAGTGGTTTCATCCACATTGTAGGCCTCATCCTCAAAGAGCTTGCTGAATCGATCATCGCCAAGCACTCCAGCCTTGGTGTTGACCTCTTCTCTGTTCTCCTGCTTCTTGAGAAGTTTATCAACCAACCTCTGGTTGACCTTGACCTTCTTGGTGCCTCTAATTCTGCTTGAGCGCTCCTTCTCGACCTTCTCCTTGATGCGCTTCGTTCTCTCTTCCTCCCAGACGTACGGGTTCGCAATCAACCTAGCCTGCTCATACAGCTTGGATGCTACAAAGTATCCGTGCATGTATGGCCTGAGCAAGTTGGTCTTGCCAATCAGATGGGACAGAGTGAGCTGCTTCAATTCGGGAAGAGTCAAGAACTTGTAGTTGTCGTAGGTCTCGGTGTGAACCTCTTCCGCCATCTCTTCAACCATGTTGTCCAGGAAGGAACACCATTTCGGCGCAGGGCCGAGCTGAGGGATAAAGAATGCGTGCTGCTGTTTGCCTTCGTTCGCCGTCAGGACCATACCCGTGTCCTTGCACCAGGCCACATCATTGATGTCGACAACGGGTTCCACCGAAGTCCATGGATCTCCAGTCGACTCATCCCAGACCTTGATGATACGCTTATCGGCGGACAGAATCTTCTTCTCCTGGGAGGCCGTCGTCATGTGGATGAGCTTCTTAATAGCGAAACCGTATCCTTGGTCCTTCTTCATCAACGGAACCGGTCGTCGCATGTCGAATATTTGCATCATTCCCGTTGACGAACCGGTGATCAGTGATAGACCGGTGGGGCTGAAGTCGAGTGCCGTAACCTCTCCGTCGTGGCCACCTAGAAGCGCCACTCGAGATTTGGATCGAGGATCCCAGAATTCGACAGTACCTATTGAGGTTCCGAAAGCAAGCAGATTGTGGGTGTTTTCCGCCACGGCGACGGTGTTGACGCTGCCAACACCAATGCCACCCTGGAGTCCACCTCCGGTCATCTCGTCATCACCGCCGACTGAAACCTGGTATGACTTCATGAAGCGTCCGAGTTCGAGGTTCATTCGGAAGACTTCGCCCTTACCGTCGGCATCTAGACCGACGGCAGGGATAAGGGCCTCGGTCGACTGTCGGTCGTAAACCAAGTCGCGACCGTATCTCGGAAGGCGCACTTCATAGTGGCAGCCCATGGGGGTATGGAACTCGAGTCTCCGATCTGTTTGGAGGTGGAGCGATTTGGAGTAGTCGGAAGAGAGGAGGACAAAGGAGTGGTTGAGGGCGTTGGTGTGGCGGGCGAAGGACAGCGATAGCTGAGGGAGGCTGTGGACGTGGATCTGCGGCTTGTAGGTGCCGGTACTCATGATCCAGTCGCCATCCTCACTGATGCGGATGCAGTTGCTAGCCTCCTCGAACTCGAAGTCTTGGAGGAGCTCGACTCGGCTCTGGTACTCGGCATCGTCCTTTAAGCTTCGCTTCCGGCGGCGCGCAAGCCAGTCGGGGAGCGGCCGGGCAGTGGATGCACCGGAGATGGTGTATACGGGAACGGTGCCGGGATTGGAGAGCTTCATGGCGGCGAGATGGCGAGACAATCCACCAAGGAAGTCTGTCGGTGGAAGATTTGCGCAAGAGAGGGTGGTGTCGCGAGTCCTTGTCTGAGCCGGCAGAAAAAAATCAAGGTGAAAGAAAAAAAGTAGGCCCCGCCCGGACTCGGTGGGCTCGGTGGCTCGGTGAAGAGACCCCGCTTAATTAAACGCTGAAGCGCTGGAGAGTCGGTGCTGACCGAAGGCGGTGGAGCGGCCATAATCCCCGTTCTTCGGATTGGCGAGATACAACACCGGATAATACACCGCCCGCATGCCGTCATGTCCACCCGATCGGCCTAGGTCCCGATAAGGGGGTTCCCGTAGCAGAGAAATTACTGGGCGTACCTCCGCTGAGGACGCAAACTTTCGGGGCTTACCCCCACCTCCGCTAATAAGCTGCAGCGCTCGAAGCACTGACTCGACCCCTAAAGCCCGTCACGCCCCCCTGGAGTCCCCTAAGAACCGCCCCCATTCACCCCGGATCCCCCATTCGCAGACGACTTTGTCCGATGACCCTACCTCCGCGCGACAACCTCCACCGAATTTCCGTCCTCGCTGACGGAACCGCGCCTGCGACAACGCCGCTCGACCCAGAGTTGTCCATCACCACATTCTCTACAACCCAACCACCGTCGCACCATCGCCGAAAATACTCCTCTCCATCCATCATAACCTGCCGAACCTCCTCTCCTTCCGCGACCCGTTGACTGCCCACTGGAGCCTCTCCGTGGCGCCATCCCCGAGCTACTCGGCCCAGTACTCCCACTCGTGGAGATGGAGTCCGGCAAGTCGGCGACTCCCACAACTGCACCGCTTCCAACGACACAAATAGGCCCGCTGCCTTAACCTCGAGCTACGGGTCTCAAGGAGATACAACCTAGCGTTTAGGTGACGACAACACCGAGGTCGAGGCTTGCGATTGGCCGTGGTACTTTGCTGTACCTGGAGCCTCATTCTACAGCTGCGACCTCTGGGGCAGGAATAGGTTGCCGAGATGGAGACTGGCGAATATGAAACTAATACCCTCTTAATTGTTTGTGCTCTCTGATGGTTGTGAAGCCGGGATTGAAACTGACCTTGCGCTTCTACAGAATAATGTCGCGTCCGTCGCCTTCCGAATTTATGAGCCGTCCCTGGACCAGTCCCAGAGCTTCCACTTGGCCGCTCTCGAGGTTGAGGGTGCTCTGCGAAACCAAGGACACATTGTAGCATACGACTCCAATCGACGAGGGATATGGGTTTTCCAAATCAACAGCAAGGATGAGGCAAACGACACCATCACTCGACTACCCGATGCCACCATCGACACCTGCGGACATACTTTGGCGATGGGAGAAGAGGGCATTTTCGAACCCATCAACCTTCAGAAGACCCGCCCTGTCGGAAATGCGACCTTGAATACACCTACAAGTTCGTCATCAACAGGTCCTGCCTTGGAATCCCAGCGCAGTCCCCTTGCATCGTTTTCGCAAAGTTCTGTGGCGACAGTTCATGATGGAGATGCTCGGGTGGCGACTGCGTCGATCAATGACCCCAAGGCGGAGCAGACGGCAGTCAAGACCATTTACGAGCATTTTATTGCTGCAATACTTTCAGCAGTATCATTCGCATTCTGTACCGAGTCGATGGCCATTCCCCTTAATTACCGGACTGTGTTGATTCCTCCACTTCCATCAGGCTACCAGGACCATGACGGTTATTCCGCCAAAAAGGATCCAGTCCTTGGCACGTTCAGGACATATCTGACGACGACCGGATCTCTTGTCATCAGCTTATATCTTTCCCACTGCAAAAGTCTTTCCTCCTTGGAGGATGTGATGGCTGCGAATCTCATGCCCCCCAACCGATCCATTCTTGCCGCCCCGTTTGGGATCTTCGCGGTTAAACAAGGCCCTCCCAATGGCGAAAACAACACAGCACCCGACACTGGGCTGGCCCAAACGCCCAACACTCAGGCATTAAGCTTCAGGGGCCTCCCGGATTCGCAAGATTCGCTCTGGAAGCAAAAGTGTCTCAAGGCGCTTGAGCTCTGTGGGCTCGACTCTTCTTCTCTCAAGGCCTTTTCCTGGGTCAACCTAATGGTATCAAAACGTACCCTCCAGGATTCAGAAAATGAAGTAAAACGACCGCAAGCCACGGTCCCGTGGCCGGGCTCTCTCTGTTTTAGGAAAAAGTCAGTTGAGATATCGACCACTTGCAGGGTGGGAGATACCATGTTGAGCGGCCATGAGGAGTGTCATGATCCGCTGGGGAGTGCTCGCGGATGGTTCAACACTACTTCGGAAAGGGATGAGAAACTTGCAAAGCGCAAGGCCGACAGGATCGCGGCTGTTCCCAGAGAAATCAATGGCACCCAAGCCCAGAAACCTAACGGACAATCGCCTCTGGCCCTCCAACGCCCAAGTGCGAATGCGGCAGGCGTGATGTATCCGACTCCACCCGACGCCATCCAACAACATCTGGGGGTAACGCCCTCTCTCGACGGCACTATTTCAAGTCCTGGTAATCCACCTCCAACTGTCGCAGTTGTTGACGTCGACGCCATGATGACAACCGCTCACCCCATCGGTGATACCTTTAACGACGGGTGGGATGTCACAAATGAGCCAAAGCGAGATCAAAATGATAGCAACATGCTTGGCGAGTCTGACAATGTCTTTGGCGATATGGGCGGGGATATGTTTGGTGACCATATCACGGAGGATGACTTCGATTTCTTTGACCAACAACCCGATGACGTTGACTTGGACCTCTCGATGGCAGACCTTGATGCGGACCCGCCGCCTCCTCCTCCTCCACAAATAGTTCCTCAGCCTCTCCAGATTGACCTGGAACCGGAAAAGGTTGCCGAGGAAGAGCCCACACAGAAGCTGAAGGCAGAAGTCGATGATGCTGTTTTCGCCAAGCCTGAGTTGAAACATGCACGAAGTTCACTGAATGATGAGCTCAGTCAACGCGGTAGGACTGAGAGGCCAGGTTCTGCCAAGAGAGAGTCAAGTCCTTTCGACCCGGACACGGTCTTCAAGCGAGTCCGAGCATCGTTGATGAGTTCAACGGACGATCAAAACCTGTCATCGCCGAGTCATCGGAAGAACAGTATTTTCCATAAGGTTGACTTTGACCCAAAGTTACCTATGATTAACAAGAAATATGAGCAAGGCGGAACTTATGATTTTATGACGGACCGCGACACGACCAAGTTGAATCGCGATACAGGAATTCCTCCGGAAAATGAATATTTGCAACGACATGGGAAGCTCAACCAGAAACCGAAAGAGCTGCCCCTTCCTGCCGGTTCTTTGATGAAGAGTTTTGCAGGCATCGAGCCACCGCCATCACATCCAAGTCCAATACGGCTCGACACTGGTGCCTTGGGTGGTGACAGCGATATCGAGTCAGATGGCGATGATTCAAGCTCGGTGTCAGATGGCCCAATCTCGCCAATCAAGTCCAGCGTTAAGCGGGTAATGCTGGACGATGATGCGATTTCCCAGGCCACCTCCTTGAAAGATGGTGATACGTCCGACGAGGCCTCTGACGAGCAACTGGCAATAGAACTACCGAGGTTGTCCAAGCCAGAGCCCCCCGAGATCTCACTTTGCCGATTCTTTTCAGACCCGGAGCCTCTCAGTTTGGAAATGGGACTTGCAGACGAGGACTTCATTCAAATCGCCCAACTCATCACAGAGCAGGCGGCTACTGGATTCATTGAGATCGGTCTTAATCAACAGAGCGAGTCGAAGGCGTCCCTCGCAACGATAAAGAACCATGAGCTCACGATTGCTCGAAATTCGCTCCAAGTTTTGCAAAGCATTATCCCTTCGAGCCTGGGAGGAGCAACCCCGATTCGATTAAAAGGGTATTTGGATGTTCCAGACGTTCCCCTGATAGGACAACCCACCCGGCTCCAGCCTCGTCCAATCCCCGGTAGAGATCCAAACTCCGAGCAACTGCGCCCAAACAACCTTTACCAGATTCCCGGTCCTCATCTGGAAGTTCGTCGATCCGACACGAAGCTGTCTGTACTACCATCCGCAGTCACATTCTGGGCAAGCTTGGGATTAGCGCCTTCGCCTGGTAGCAAACATATCAACGCCCTCTGCGTATTTCCAGGATGGAAGGGTATGGCGGACCATGCCGGAACTTTCCTCTGTCGCCTCAAAAGTGTGTACGAGTCCCTCAAGCTGGGTACCTTCAGTAACATGCCTCTCTCTGGGGAGTTGGATGACGGTATTCTACAATACGAAGTCGATCGGATCTCTACATCGCCTGATGCCACCATCACTGGACACGGGTCTGCACTCGTCGAGAGCATGGAAGTTCTACGGAGTTCCTTGTCAGAGTGGACCGCCAAGGAGAAGAATCTTGTCATCTACTTGGTCTACTCACCTGATAACCCGGGGTCGATTATCGAATCATGCTCTGCCTTCCAACGCTGCTTCGACATGTACAGGAAGGCGCTTGCGTCTCGGCGAGAATCACCCCAGAACGAGCTTGTTCTACAACTTGTCCCCTTGGACTTCTTGTCATCAACCACCTCCCTAGTCATTCCTCCCCCAGGAGAGTTGGTGAAGCTCTGTATGGAGACATATGATCGCTGTACCCTCTTCCTCAGTCCTGAGTTTGGTGGTCCTACACCGGCCCCAGCCATCATGCTTGAGCAACCCTTGCCACGAATCATCGATTTCAAGTTGACAAATTCGCCCTCTGCATCTCTCATGCACGAGAATTCTTGTATCCACGTTGCCTATGCGCAAAGCATTAATGAGCGGTGGGTCACTGCCGCCTGGACGGATAATCGAGGGCAGCAGCAAGCGACCGCATCTTATTGCCTGGGCAGGAAAGGCAAGCCCCTGTCGACTTCGATGAATGAAGTCGCACACGAAATCTGGGAGTCGACTCTTGATCTGATATCGATATGGAAGGTGCACTGGCGAATCATTATTACAAAGTCTGGACCTATGGAAGCGGCAGAGATGGAGTTCTGGGTCGACTTGGCTCGCACTGAGAGCAAAGCGTCCGTAAACATGATCCTGATGACTGTTGATACGAACCCTTCACTCCAGCTCGTTCCCCCAGTTGTCAAGATACCACACACAGCAACGTCGGCCTTCTACTCGACTCCTGTTTCGACGCCACAAGCTAGTATTCTCTCGCCCGAGCAGATCAACACTCCAGCAACCCCGATGCGTGATGCCAACGTACCAGGAGCCACCCCTGGAGCTGATAGTGCCGGGGAAGCGGATTCTGACGCCTTCCTGATCGACGCCACGGATCAGACATGGGGCGCTGTCGTTGGCCATAGACTCAACAACTCCACCACGTTGTTGGAGATGCGACCCGCTCTCGTGAGCGGCTATCTGATCAAGCGCACCGGCAATAAGATCGAGGATCCACCGGTTGTTATGGAGGTTAATATGGTTCACACCGAGGCCACCCCGCGAGCATACGAACCACTGCTCCGAGAAATGCTCAGCTACTTCAGAGGCTTGGGAACCTTGGCGAGGGCACGAGGCATCGTGGACAGGGAGTCAGATGTGCGGCCGTGGCACATCGCTGCAGCTGAAAAGGGCGTACGGGCATTGTATCTGTTACTCTGATATCTCTATTGGGAGGCGTCATTCTCAGATGTGAGGTGGAGGGGATTGTTTGGCGTTTTAGGCGTTGGACATCATTGATGGGGTGCATACTGGATGGATAGCTTTCCTGCAGATACAATACAGATATGGCTTCACAAGTCATTGTAACAGTGGATCTCGCACCAATTTATTGTAAGGCAATGATTGACATGAAGGACAATGCACTCTCGTAATTATTCCCGCGAACTTGACAAAAACGCTCAGTCTTGCTCGCTCGCTTCAACCACAATCATAGCAAAATAGCAAACAAAATAAATTTCAAATACTCATTCCAGTCGCGCGACAAAAATCACTCAATATGACATCCAACATGTGAAGATGCTCAATATGACCTTCGGCTGTAATTTCGTGCTTGTCTCTTAGTCAGGCCTGTGGTTCCTAATGAAGCACTCAATGTATCCGTCCAAAGAAATACCAAAATATAGACGTCCACAAGAATGAAACAAACAAAATTGGTGTATGGAAGAAGGGAAGATAACGTACCCAACAGGAGAAGTGGTCATCTTAGTGACCGAGGACAAGATTTTGATCAAACATCTTGCTTTGAAAACCATGGACGAGAGCACGCTCGATGTTTTCAGTTGTCGGTAATAATCCAAATCATATATCTAGATATATTTGCGATTTGGCAAAAAAACGTATGCAGAGATCAGCAAATTCTAGCTGAATCGGCTTGGAAATGCATGTTTCGGTATTGCATCACAAGCCGACTAGGCGCCAAGGTGTGTACCTGGACCCTGATCATTGACATTGAATGGTATAAAAGGAAATCACCTCCGAAGGTGTTCCTAAAATAACATTGCTCAAGGGGCCTTCTGCTCATTTGACCGAACAGGTGAGGCCCCCTGGCCAGGTCCAGGAAGGTCTTTTAGCCGGGGACCGTATAGAGAGGTGCTATAGATCGCAGTACTACTGACGGCGTAGCATTCTCTCTAGGATAGGTCTTCCTAGAACGATCTCGGTTTCGGTCCAGTGCGGATCGAGGACAATGAAATTAGTTGTCATTGTCGGGATAAGAAGCCAGTCGCTGCGTGATTCGATAGTGACATCGCGGACAAAAAATTGTGGTTGAACGATGCCACCCGGGGTTTGAATAAACCACGAACTCCAGATGGGCGGGCCAACCTGTGGGATGCATCCCAGACTCGCAGCAACGTCAAAAGAAATAAAACTGACTTCGAGCTGCGAATGAAGAGTCAAGTCCCATTGTTGCGGCGATCCATTTGGCCCTGTCATCCAGACATCGGAAGACCTTAAGGCGTTCGAGGGTACCACTGACGGGGTGCCAAAGCCTGGCGTGAAATACTGGAGCTGGGCTGGGGGATTCGGGTCCACGAATGGTAGAGACTCATCAAAAAAGCTTGACGACGGCGATGCCAAGTGCAGTATATTAGATGGCATGTCGGAGGAGGGCATCCCTTGGATGTGCGTGGGTGCCGCAGGTGTTTGCGGGTTGATAGTTGGGTTCTGTGTTGCAGTATTGGGTCCCAGGAAATCATTATCTGGATCAAGCCCAAATGATTCCTGGGACCTTGCCGTCCCCTGACTATTCTGGGTCAGGCCTGAGGTGATTGGTGTCTGAGTGTTGTGTAGTTCCTGCGGAGTAGATATACCGCGAGTTGGTTGAGACAGAGGTCTGCTGCCGAATAGCACCCCACCACCCCCAAAGCTTCGCTGACGCTGGCGCCGTTGTAGAATATTATGGGATTCGTCTCGTTTGATTCGAGGATTGCTTTGTTGGTTTCGACTGTTGCGGCTTCTTATTCGGGCTGGTAGTGGTGCGACAACGGCAAGAAACGTTTGATCGAAAATGCCCAAACGCGACGACGGGGTTTCTCGTCTCAATGGATTCAGGCTTCGCCTGCCCATGTTTACAACTCCCTTCCTCTAGCTTGGCGGGAAAAGTATGGCGGATGTTCACAACATGGTGAGCGCACCGCCATAGAGGCCCGGCAAGAAGGACAAGGAGAGTGGGGGTCGATATGCCAAATGTGCAAGCCACGAGAGGACGCTTGCGAGAGCGAAGAGACGGCGGCGGGGGCTCAGAGCGAATATTAAGGGCCACAACTGAAGAGGCAAAGGGACGGAGTAATGGGGCTGGGGCTGGGTCCGATATGAGTGTTGTGCCCAAAGCCCACCAGTCTGCACTCTGGACGCAAGCTACGAGATAAGAGGTGGTTCCTATGGGAAGCGCTAGAAGCAATCTAATAAGAGGGCCTTGCCTCAAATTATAATTTGCACTGTCCGAGGCACAGTCTACCTCTCACCGAACGTGCCGGGAGACTGCAGCAGACTACGCCAACCCAGGTAGCAGTAGGGGAGGCAGCCCGTTGCCTTATGAGGCGGAATCAATCCCTACAGGTCGGATTGCCAGAGAGTTGAAAGTCATGCAGGTGACCTGTATGTGGTTCTTGAATTCCAATACTGCTCCGCAGCGCGCAAGAGAGCTTGGGGACAGCAAATACAGCTTCGATGGCCACATTTGGGGGTTCCGGTGGCTTACAGATATAATTCTATCAGCGTTGGGCATCAATCATGCCTAAATAATGTGTTTTTCTTTTTTGGAAAACACAGTTGACTTGGAAATCACGTCACGATGGACAAACCACAACCTGTGAGGGTGTCGAGGAAGTGCAACTCGGCTCCCAGTGCGGGGGGCTCACCACCAAATACGGCTTCGCGGCCGAGGCTGGGACGCGCATGGGTCGGCCGTTTGTAAATTTCAATTGAGCTGATGACGTGGCACAGCCCGCATGCAGGCGGCATCACACCCGGGCCGGGCAACAAGTGAGGCTGTCTGGCGTTAATCCTCAGGCTGAGATGCGATGTCATGAGACGGAAGACGTTTTTCGAGCGTAGGCAAGATCTTGCCTCTGAACAGGACACAAATACAAGGTCCAGTGCCTCCATATTGATTGAAATAGGATATCCGAGTTCCCATGGGAGAAACGCTTTGCATCTCACCACTTCCTTCGTTTCTCCTTCCACGAAGCCACCCTATGAGTGCCCCCGCCTTCGCCATATCATTTCGCAACTCTTCACGAGCGTGTGAGTTTCCCTTGGCCCCTACTAACCTTAGGCATGAAACCTCGCCAGTGAGCTGATCTGAACATAATAGGCCGTGATCCATGCCAGAAACCAGAGTCATCTCAGTGACACAATCATGGTCTTTGCCTTACGATGATGGCGTCGGCGGGGGAGACGCACCACCGGTCCAGCACCAACACGAGCCTTCAATTCAAGCTCAGGCGCGGTTCGATGAGAAGCAAGAAAATAATTGCATCTCGGACTCGTTCGCGACAGTGCTGCTCAACGGCCTAACATTGGGGTCTGCCATGGGCATCAGGTGGAGGGGCTCGAAAACTGACCAGACACTGGAAACGACTTATCTCAAAATAATCCCAAAGATGGAATGCAATCTTATTATCTTTCGGACGCCCTTCTCAGATTATTTGGATAAGAAACTTGCCCAAGAACGGTTGCGTTGGACGACGTTGAATCCCTTTGGGTGCATGCCAGACCTGTTCAATCACAAAGTTAACAAGGAAGTAACTAGCAATGACGACAGAGATTGCCATCAATGCGACAATTCCTCCATCCTCTCGAAGGATGTACAAGAGGCGACCCCTTGGGACGCACGCCAACTATCATACATCCAGTCAACTGCCGCTAGTCATGGCGTCCACTTTATGAATACGGAGACCATCCAAGATCTCGCTCCTCTCTTCCCACAACTCATCTCAGGCTCTTGGCCAAGCCAAGATCCTACCCATACTGTTCAAGGAGAGGTTGATGAGAGTTCTACATCCTCCAGCAACAGTTCGGCTTGGGAATCCGCCACGGATGTGTCTGGGTCTGGCGAGGAATGGTCGCCCGACACTAGCCAAAGGACATTGTGCCTGCCCGCTCCTGAGAGATTAGTCTCACTCAAACCGCCTCAATTCAGCGCACAGTCGGCTCCTACAACATTAGATACTCGGAGAGTCTCTACTACCCGGGGAGTCCTCGCAGAGAGTGGTCCTCGAGCCCAGACAGCCCTTGCAAATGGATCGTCCCCCAGCCAGCCTTTTGGAAAAGCTGGCCACTTCGAGAGGGACCAAAATGAACAAGCCTTGGACAAACCCCGCGCCATGTTCGATCAAAGTCAACTGGCAGATTTTAAAGACCATCCCGGCCACAAGGTCTGGGAATGGGATAAGGAGAGACTGCGGTGGCGGAGACGAGGAGGAACGACCGAAGCAGACTTGTTTCCTGATTTCTTTGCCTAGTTCGTCAATTTTGTTGTATTATGTTTGCAAAGTGTTTTAAATGACGACATTCTCTTTTGTCCTTTATATCCCTTAGATTTCTTCCTTGGAGACGTGCGAGCAGGCTCAGCAAGATTGCAAGGCAGGTGGTATCTCACAAGCTAATAGTTAGAGGCGCGTTTTACCTAGTTCGCATAGGCGTATACTCAAGAATGTCTAGTTTGTTATATCTGTTAATTTAGAGCAATGATATTTACACACATGGCCCATGAGGCCTCGCACGCTTATGATACGGTACCCTGATATTTCACTATTAGTTCATTAATTGCAGCATCTCTTATCGACAATACAGACATAGGTAGAATATAAAAAATTACGTTTCTAATAATTAGCTGGGCATTAATGATGCTCCTTGTTCCATTGAATTCAAAATTTAACATGTCGCTACCGCCCTCAGCACCTAGGTATGGACCGACGCTGCGATAGCTAAGGTGGTGAGTGCAGTGCACCCATACATAATTTCTATCCCCGATGCGTGCAAGCAATATTCTTCATTTTATTCTTTAATTTCTTCTTAGAGCCCGTGCCAAAATGGCAGTCGCAACATCATCGGACAACGGCGCTATCAGCACACCATGGCAGCAGTATGCAGCTAGTGAAACGACCCGCTAATTATGACTGACTGCTAGCTTTTCGCATCGCAACCCCGGATCCAAATCTGCCTAGAAAGCTGTAACAGCTCAAGCATGACAGCGCGGGTGACTCATTCCTCCATCATCATGAGATTAGCTTGACTCAACAAGGCTGAGCCCAGGCCAAACAGCGTCTGTGTACGGACGGAGTACCTGGCGCTAGTTGCTGATCCACCTGGCGGCGGCGATAATCAAGCCGACCTGTTTCGAGACTAAAAAGAGAATCCGAATCTCGTCGTTTTCCATTTTCGAGATGCTCATGCTTACGAATTTACACAACATTACACACCAAATCAGAACATGGACAGGACATCTCTGGGAAGTCTCCCGGACGATCTCCTCCTCGACATTGTCGAATATCTCGACACGGCCCGCGACGTCGCCCACCTGGCCGCGTCGACGAGGCGCACACGCAATCTCGTCCAGCAGGATGGCTGGCGCACGTTTGTCAAGACTCGATTCCCCTCACTAGATATTCCCTTCAACAGTCAAACAACATGGAACTCCGTCGCAGATCGCGCCACCTATCTGGACCGGTGCTGGGACAAGCGCGGCTTTTGGATGAATGTGCTGCACGAGAAGCCGCCGCCGCAGCAGAGGGGCCAGAGGGGGCAAAGAGGCCGGTTTCAACAAAGGTTGCCGCGGGGCCAGTCAGTCTCTTTCCATGCCGTACTAGATGCTCGGCTATCTTCGAACTTGGAGGATGAGGTAATCGCGGCCGGAGTGGGAGAGAATCTCATGGTGCGAGTGAAGCCGCAGAACGGCAAACGTGCTGATGTCTGGCACCAACTCCAGGGCCAGACGCATGGCTACAAGGCCGGTAATGGCGACGTGACTGCAGTTTCAGTCATGGAGCGAGATGGTCTTCCCATCGTTGCCGTGGGAAGGGCAAACGGCGACATCCAGGTCCTATCGGCCGAGGACGACTTCGCCCAGTCGCTCCAGAACCTGACGCTGGGAGACGCACAAGAACCAACCCGCGCGGCCGATCCTATGAGGAGGTCTCCAGGACAACAAGCTGTGTCGTGGACCGAATGGCAGCCCGAGTCAAATCTGCTTGCGAGCTGCAAAGGCCCCTTCTTAGCCCTCCACAACCTCTCTGCCACCGATGCCACCGGCTTAGACCCAGTGGCACACTACGACTTTTCACAAACGAGTGCCAGTGGCGAGGCGTCTCTCGTGCGAGGCGCCAAATTCATGAGCAAAGATGTCATCGCATGTGCCCTGGGCGGTACCCGTGAGCCGCTGCGCTGGGGCAAGCTGACTCCAACCGGTCTGGAGTTTCTCAACGCTACGAGCAATCTACATGTCCTCGACGAGGCGGCCAAACTCACAGACATTCGGATCGGCGAGAAGACGGCCATCCGCGCGATCGAGCCTGTCAGGGGCGGAGGAAACGACAATATGCTGCTGAGTGCCTGGGACGATGGCACATACAGGTACGTCTCCACGATTCAACCAACGGGCATGTTAGTAACATCAGTACAGGCTCATGGATCTTCGCACGCCGTCGGCTCACGACGCCATCTACCGCGATAGCTTCCAACCGTACGAAGCAGGAAGTTCTCTGGTGGTCTACGGCACCGAGCGTTTCGTCGCGGGGAGCACGACGGCCCCTGACCTCCGTCTCTTCGACTTCCGGTACCCCAAGGCGTACAACCACACAACCGCCCTGCCATGCTCCACCGAATGGCCCTCGCCCAGCCAGCGCGACCCCCGCAGCGTGTGGACGCAGGATTGGCGGCCGGACCGGTGGTCTCCGCAGTGCGACTTTCAGAAGGGATCGCTGTGCGCCTGGCACGACCATTCGAGGTGGGACTACTGGCGGCCGGATGCAACGATTCACATCGGCAGTCCTACCTATGACCGGATCTACTGCCTCAGAAAGACGTCGGACCTGTCAGACACCATTTACTGCGGTGTCCGCGGTGCCATTCTAGAGATGAACCTGCGTCTCACCGAGGACGCCAGCTCTGCTCACCCGGAGCAGAGAGCCCCGGCTGGATGGCGCATGGGACCACCCGCGGGCAAGATATCTCTGATTGAGACGGGAGACAACCTGATCCAGGCCCGGGAATGGGCCCTCCAGAACCGAGGCGTTCCCGAGTTGATTATGCAACAGCCCAAACCGCAGAGCTACGCCAGCTCGGCGGAGCAGGCTCGGCGGAATCGACTCGATTCGGCGTTTCACAGACCCCAGGATTTCTACTAAGTTACGGCATAGTTTAGACGAGGCAGCAAAGGGGAGGAGCAAAGGGGAGGATGAATGATGATCTAGAAGATATCTTTTTGTTTGGCATCTAGACGATAGATTTATAGATGGGATACAGGAATCCCTGCAAAGCCGCTCATAATGCGTCTAACAAAAATAGCACAAACGACCCAGCTTTATTCGCGCCCAGTTTACAACCCAGGTATATCATACAACAATACTCTATAGCTTCGACTCTGGCACAAGCAGAGCCAGTCTCTCCTTCAGAGTTTCCTCTGCTTCTTTCTCGATTCGCTTGACGAGGACGTCACATGTGGGAATATCGTGAATGAGACCGATGACCTGTCCTGCTGTCCAGACCTGCAGAAGTTATTAGTATTTGGGTACTCGGGAATCGTGGAGGGACCATGTTAGACTTACGCCATACTCTACATCACCGTTGATAAACACATCCTTGCCCCTCTTGCCGCTGACGTAGGGCGCAATCTCCTCAAACTTGCCGGTGGTGCTCTCCTTCTCGATCTTGAGTCCGTCGAGGGCCACCTTGTTCTTGTACAGGCGGGTGGTGTTGGTCCAACGGCGCAACAGCAGCGTAGTGTCGGTCTCCTGGGCGCGCACGATCTCCTCCTTGACCTTGATGTGGATGGGGGACTCGACGGTGGCCATGAAGCGGGTGCCCATGTTGATGCCGCAGGCGCCGAGGCACAGCGCAGCCGCCAGGCCGTTGCCATCGGCAAAGCCACCGCTCGCGATGAAGGGCACCTTGAGCGACTGGCGCGCCCTGCTGAGCAGGATGAAGTTGGTGATGTCGCTCTCGCCGACGTGGCCGGCGCACTCGAAGCCGTCGATGCTGAGGAAGTCGACGCCAAGCTTAATGGCGCTCTGGGCGTGGCGGATGGTGGTGCACTTGTGCAGGATGGTGATGCCGGCCTTCTTGAGCTGGGTGATGATGGGGCCGGGCGAGTTTCCGGCCGTCTCGACGACGCGGATGCCCTCGTCGATGACGGTCTGGGCGAAGGCGGCGTAGTTCGGGGGCACCATGGACGGCAGCAGGGTGATGTTGACGCCGAAGGGGTTCGGGGTGAGGGTTCGGCAGCGGCGGATCTCGTCGCGGAGGGCCTCGGGCGTGGGGAAGATGAGGGCTGTGATGAGGCCCAGACCGCCGGCGTTGGAGACGGCTGAGGCCATCTCCGCGGTGCCGACGTGCATCATGCCGCCCTGGACGATGGGCACTGAATGACGGTTAGCATTTGGGGCATCTCGCACAACGCAGGGCAATGCGCGGGGGGCTGCGAACCTCGGATGCCCAGTCGGCGGGTGAGCTCTGTTGCGATAGGCATGATGGCGATTGTGGGTTTGGTGGAATGGATTAGGTCGTTCTGGACGGTCTAGAGAGTGCTAAAAACAGATGGTGAAGAAGGGAGTTTTATCGCAGGCAACTTCAGGGGAGCGCGTCAGAAAGTTATGACACGGCTGAGGTCCGTCAGGTCACGAACCGAACCGCCCGAGGCAGTCCAGACCAAGGGACAAAGGTGGTGAAGTCGTCACTGCGACCCGCCGACTGCCGAGGTTCGATCCCCACACAGTAGTTCAGCCCCCGCAGATCAAGCGTTCCCTCCCACTCTCACATGCGTTTTTAGGCCCAGTCCAGCGCCGTCCAGGGGGGATGCGACTCTGGGGATGTGACTCTGGGGAAAGGGAAGCCAAGCCAAGCCCGCACGTGTCATAGGGGACTCCATCACATGACGTTGTCGTGTGGCTCCTCCAATGACCTCACACGCAAACCATCCAGATGACCTCACACATAAACAGTCACAGTAGACAACGGACCAGATAAGCAATCGTGAAATCAAACTTCAACCCTTTCAAATCAAATACTTGGGGGCCCTGTTGTTTTAGCTCGCCTTAGCTAGCTACCTACACAGCGGGTGCACTCCAGGCCAGTCCGCCTCGGACCAGGCTCGACCACGGCCTCTTTCAAACAAACAAGTCCCGTGGGTTTCCCATCCAGAACGCCCTATCATACATAATACTCAATAAACCCTGAGCATGGCCATTTCCCTTGCTTCAAATAGTCGCTTTATGTCACTAAAACAACCATGCCTCCCAGCGATCCTTCGACACTCCCTCCCTCCAGCAGGTGTCAAACCTCTCCTGTAACTCTTGCCAAATACACCGACCCCCACTTCGGTGAAAAATATTGACACCAGGCGTCAATTTCCATGGGTGATGCTGCTGACACAGCCGGTTCGTTGGATCGTTCTCGTATCGTCTCTCATGCCTTGTCGTCCCAACATAACTCCGTACTCTTTGCAAACCACTGGGCTCATCTTTAACCAAGACCTGCATCGGCCGCCATCCTGCCGGGAGGCGTCCTATCTCTGGGCTTCTCAACCAAGTCGGCATATCCATCAAGACTGGCTCCCATCACTTTGACCATGTCGAAAATGTGGGTTCCCTTGAACGTCTCGGCCCAGAGCCGAACCACTGCGCTCGCTAGCTGTCGAAGCTTGGCGCTGTCGCTCGTTGCTATTTCCATTTGCGCCGATCCCGAATTTCCACCCGATAGAGAAGGGTCGATGGGTACCGCAAACTCGGTTTCGTCGAGCATACGTCGCACCATCTCAAGCAGGTTCTTCTCTTCTGGAGAGACTGGGAGGTCGTTGGGTCCGATGGCAGCGAGTGTCAACAACCACTTGGAAACAAGGATAGCGCACTCAATATTACACACTGGCGAATTAGGTTAGCGCACAACCTTCATTCTCATCGACATAGTTTCACTTACGTGAGTGTTGGATGCTCCATTCGGCCGACTTGGTCCTGGCCACGTAGTTGACACCCGCCTTCACCAGCATAGAGAGTGCATGAATCGCTTGGAAGACAGCCCGGTGCAATCTTAAGCTTCTCACCAGCAAAGGAGTCCGGCTCAGCGCTGACGCCACTAGGAGTGGGTCTCGGGTTTCGAGCGCTGTCGAGGGCGACCCATCCGTGTAAAGTCGAATGTATGCCAACCGAAGCAGCGCCGTCGCCGTAAAGTCTAGAGTGCCTCCTTCGATCGAGTCTGCCACGCTGAAATGTCCAGATTCTGCGGCTCGTAATTGGTGTTGGTCCTCGAAACTGGTCTGCCAAATCCGCAACGCCTGTGTCACTTCTTCGACATCCTCCGGCTTCATCGTTCGGTGAATATCGTAGGGCAGCCCGGTCGCAAACGACGTCTGCTTCAGTAGGTAAATGTGCTGGATCAAGGCATGAATGAGCACATGGCTTCCAAAGGACGACAGATGCGTTGGGAGTCCTTGGTTCGTACGACCAAACAGCCGAGAAAAGGCATCGTGGAAGGTCAGGTCCACACTCGGCGTCGACTGTCGCATTTCCTGCCATTGCCAAGCGCTCTCTGCTCTCCAAAGCTTCCCTCTCTGCGGTAGGAAAAGGTTTAGCTCCGACGTCAGTAGTAGTGGCGGCATGTTGTAAGCGATGCTGCAGAGGTTAAAGAAGCAGTAGGCGACAAGCTTAGTTCTAGTTGCTGTCTCAAGTCGGATCCACGTTTCCCAGTCGTTCACGGCGTTTTGGCTTGACTCTGCCACTAAACCCTCCTCGCGGATGAGACTTGCTAGGTTACTTTGTAGTGAGAGTGCCTCATGGAGAATGGTCTTCACGCCCCAAAGGCCAACGGCAAACAATAACAGGACAGCCTGAATGGTCTCGATTCGGGCTTGAGGTGTATTGGGGGAGCTACGCCACTGGTTAGAGAGCCGAAAACTACAAAAGTGGAGGAAAACTTACTAAGGCTCCCGGTGGGTATCTTGTGTTGTTGGTCGCTCCGACTGTGCAGAGGCGAACGAATGCCGGTAAGTAGTATTGGGAGATGGCCTTGTAGAATGAGGGCTGTATGCCGCGGGCGTTGGCAGTAAGGCATGTACTTCGGAAATACGTCTCCTGCGGATCTGTTCCATAGCAACAGCCTTGGCAGCATACCAAAGAGCGTATCCTCGATTCTTCTCAAATCGATACTGGGCACCCACGGCAAGAATTGCAAGGAGCAATTCCGGCGCAGTCTCCACAGGCGAGAAAGTCGGCAGGTGCAAAAAAGGCAGATGCTCGTGAAGCCCGCCGATGTATCCCTCTAGGAATCTCGTAAGCGTATGACGAGAAGGAAAGACGAAGTCATTTGGCAAGACTGAAGAAAACTCGTCCAGCCTGTTCTTGATGACTGTGTGATCCACTACCGAAATCCGGAGGGATGATGGTCGAGATGCCTCGTCGTGACCACGAGTCGAAGGGTCCCCTGGATCACGTGCGTCCGAGGGCATGTTTTGGAATCGAGATGGGAAGAGAGAGGCGGGCTTTGAAGGGCGTCGTTGGGAGGCGATGCTTCCGGGGGGCCGGGACCACATACTCATTTGTTGATCGGGCTCGAAATGAGGAGGAAGGAAATGGGCGGAAGAAGAAAATTCGTCCAAGAAGAGGTTGTAGTCGTCATAGGAGCCATTCGACGGCTGAGGCACGTATCCAGGTCCCAGTTGCTGTCCCTCCTCTCGAGGCCGGTCTGAATAAATAATGGTGTCGCCATAGCTTTTCCTCCTGGTGCCAGTGGGCGAATGCTGCTGAGACGGATCGTTCGTCGAAGACTGCACAGGATTCCCCGAACTTGCGAGAGCTGCATCTGAAAGGAGATCGAGGTTACAAGCACCAGGCCGTGTCGAGGCTCGTGCATCTTGGGGCCCTGAGGATACTGTAGGCGGAGGACCTGATACAGGTTGAAACTGCGGTGGTGGCTGGGGTAATGACTGATGCATCGATTGCGGTCGGGGAGCGGCGTGGTGGTGCAGACCCATGGCTTCGGTATCTATCTGGCCCTCTGATGCCGAAGTCTTGTGAGAGGTGGTAGAGGGATTAGAGGACAGCTTCCTCTGACGGTTTCCCTCTTTGTTCCCTTCATTGAGATGAACGAGCTTCTCGTGACGCACGAGAAGATCCCTGATGTCCATGTAAGCATATGAATGACTGAGGAACAGGTGGGAGATGGTGGACCCCGAGTAGTTGAGGGAAGACAGTTGATGTAGAAAAGGAAACAAGGTGATTGCGGAAGAGGGGATGAGTGAGTAGTTAGGTGACTGAGTGGGTGAGAGAATGAGTAACCGAGGGGGTATGTGAGTGAGGTGGGCGGGACGTTCGGTTGGGGACGGCGCAACAAAGTCAAGGCAGTTGAACCAGCCAGCACAACATACCGTCGTCCAAAGGTTTTCCCACAACGATCCCAGCCACAGGAAAAGGGCTTCTCCTTGGTGTGAGTGCGCTCATGTCTCTGAACGTGTTCCACTCGTCTGTATAGTGGCAGGACTTGTCAGCGTCAGGAGGCTTAGGCGGCGTAAAGGGGAGGGACTCACCTGAAGCGCTTGCTACAGTACTTGCAAGGCAGCGTCTTTGGCTTCGGTTGACGAGGCTCTCCATGGTCCGGGCCGACGAGAGGCATCGAGGGGCCAGCCAGAGCCCTCGGCGGCGGGCCCTCCATAGACTGGATGGCAAGCATGGTAAGCACGTCGCTCAGATGGCAGCAAGTCGAAGCGATCGCGCAGCAGAGAAAAGAGGTGGGGGGTCGAAGATCTGAGTAGGAGCGGAAGAAGAAGGGAGAAGAGAAACAAGACAAAATTGGAGCTTGATAGATGCAGGCTGGAGAGGAGATTGCGGGGTGCGTTAAGGGAAGAGCATGGCATGCGGAGGGAGAATAGAAGGTGGCCCGTGAATGTGGTGAATGTGAATGAGAGAGTCAGGCTGGAGCCAGATTTGGGAGTGTTTCCCCGGGTCGGGGCACGGCCACGGGCACGGTCAAGCCGCAAAACGCCCCCTAGGAGGTTCCCCTCTCTTTAGGCTGGCTCTCGGGAGTATCCCCTCTCGGGTGTGTCCCCTCTCGTGGAGGTACCCCAGGCCTGTCAACTCCGGTGGTGCTAGGAGCTAGTGGTGGAGGAGGAGGAGGGGGGGGTCGGAAGTGTTTCCGTAGGTGTGTAAGGTGTGCGTTGTGTGCCCTCGGTGTCAGATGCGACGAGTGGAAGTGGAGGAGCGGTGGAGAATAGGGACGATGGATACGGGAACGTCGACGTTGATATTGCTGAGCATGGGTGGAAGGAGGAAAATGCGGGTGAGCGAAGTGGGAGAAGCAGATGACAATAGAGCCCCGGCAAGAACAGGAATAGAATCTAGACCTCGGGGGCTTGGGGATGGCGTGGGTATGATATCTGGTGCTGGCTCTGGTACTGATGACACCGGGGAGCTGGTACCGGATCTGGCGGGGGTGGAGGTAGACAGGGCGGATGAGGCCATGGAATGGGACTCGGGGTTGCGAAAACCGAGCGAGCAAGCCAACTTACCAGCATTGGAATCTTGGCTTTCTTCCGCCAAGGACGGATACAGAAGAGGGGAGTGGCTGACTTAGGACTCGACGGACTCCTCCTTGTTACCGCAAGCTAGGCACTGGGCTGGCGCCCGGAAAGTACTGGAAAGGGCTCCGGACAGGAACAAAGGGCCGGGAAAGCGCACCAAGAATTGTGGCGAAACGAGCGGAGAGGGGAGAGGAGAAGGGGGGAGTGACAGCGAGGGAACGTGGGAGTGTGGGATGCAGATGCGAAAGCGGAATGGTGTAGTCTGGGCGCCGGGGGGACGCTGGGGAAGTCAGGCTTGGACGGGGCCGAGTTAGAACGACTGTCACTGAGCCGAGTTCAGCTGGCACAGAGGCCGTCTTCGAGCGTGGGCGGGCCCTAGTTACAACTCTGGGGGTGACTCTCTTCTCTCTTGGTAGGTACTCTGGGGAAATCGTCGGCGCACGTCGTGGGAAGCACCGGAATCTGGAAGTTGCTGCAAGTTGGACAGGGCAGGGCTCGACAAGCGGTAGCGCGGGCGCAAGGACCAGGGCGGGGAAATTGGAGGTGAATTTTTGGACCCGCGGTTGGATCGGATTGTGAGAGGAGAATTCGCAAGTAGCTTTTGTCGTCGAAAGTGACGAGTTAATTCCCGTGGTTAAAAGTGTGGGGAGCGCAGAGGAAGGAAAAAAGGTGGGTTGGTGCGACAGTCCGGGGTATCTCCAAACCGGCTCGTACAGGATACGTACTGCGTAGTATCAGCCCGCCGGCGGCCAAGGGCTACGATGACACACTGCAACTGCGCAGGGGGGGAGTGGAAGCGACGGGCATGGGGAAAAAGCAAAGATGGTACGGGTCCTGTAGGCGCGACAAGCCGGGGGTAAATCTACTTACTGCCGGGGGAATAAGAAAGAAAAAAAACAATGGGAGGAAAGAGGACGCTACGTGCATCAGGGAAGCTGGGGGACCAAACGTCAACGTAAGGGAAACCTCGAGACAAAGAATGTGGCGGAGCCCGCGGAGTCGTGGGCTGGTCGCTGAGTGGACTGGACCGGGGGGTTGGGGGTGGGCGCCCGATGGGAGAACTCAACCATGGGGGAGGCAACGTTTTCCAGGCTTTTTGGTCCTGGATGCTGAGACCGCTGTTGATCGGTCTGGGAAAAAGCTCACATGCAAAGCGATGGATGTGATACGTGTCGACCTTGCTGACGGGACGGCCACTGACCATTGGCCATTGGAACCCAGCCCCCATCGAGCGACACCTGGCCTGACCTTCGCTCTTCGCTGCGGAAAAGCCGTCGGCGCCCCCCAGCGACGCTGTCCCGGAATTTCCTTCCCCCCATCGCATCGGACAGCGGGCGACGCACCTGGGCTTGGCCGCAAGGGGGCCCCCATGGGGCAGGCAATCTGGGGTTGACTCCGCACTTTGGAGAAGACGAAAAAGGGCCCACTTTACCCACTCGCACTGTCCTCATGGTTTGTTGGAGCGGGGCTTCCCCCCAGTACGTGCGTGATTAGCGTCATCCTGATGCCAGAGGCGCCGTCGATGTTCTCACAGATTCTCACTTGAAAATGGTCGAGGCGGAGTGGGGGCGGCCAATCACATGCGCGCGAATGAGTCCAGGAGTCGAGGGCGCGACCTCTTGCGGCAGGTATTACCCCCCGATTCTGGCAAGTGGACTTGCCGCACCGCCCTGCCGCTTCTGGTTGGACCGCCTCGACTGGCCTATGGGCTTGGCGGCCAAGGCAAGTCTTTTTGCCCTCGTTCCGGGGCGGCCTTCCATGCTTGGCAGTGGGAGACAGTGGGAGGCAGGTGCTGGTCTTGGGTGATTTTGCCCGGCCGGCCTGGCCTCACCTTCCCCTTAGCCTCCGCACCCGTCCAGAGCCACGGCCAAATTTGGTCCACCACGACTCCCATTACGACTCCCCGCCACGACTCACGGCTTATCTTTCCAAGCCTGTCCCTGTCGTTTCTCGCTGCAACTCTTCCCCATCAACCATGACTCTCTCTCCCCAGGTGACCCTGCATCTGTCGATTTCATCTCTTCGCGGTCGTCCGGAGATGCACCGGGCGAGTTCTCGCAAATCACCGTCCTTGGATTTGTCTCCCCTCCCCCTCTCCTCCCCTTGTCCGGTCCATCTCTGCATTCGCATCTTACATTCCCCTCAAAGATACCTATCTACCTGCCGTAACCAAGATCGATCCATACCCCCGACTCACGTTTTTCACCATTTGACACGTGACAAACTATTTGAGACTTTGATATCGGATTCCCCTGCCGGATTGTGTGTCCAGAAATCCCAACTCATTCTATCCCACCTTCCTCTACAGATGCCTCTCAACTTTCCCGGATTCAGGAAGATGCCCTCCACGTACTGACTTGCCCATTATGTTTCCCCACAGCCGCTTGGCCCGCCGTTAACCCCAGACTCTCTTCCCAGGTGGAGGCCGGGAGATGGGAATGCAAGCCGTCTTACGTTGGGAGAGCGGGGCCAGGCGGTAGCGGATCAATGGAGGCACGAGTGATGGCCTGCAGACGATCTTCCCCTTCTGGCCGCTGCGGACTCATGCGCGTACCATCTCTGGTGGCATGGGTATGGGCATGGGCACGAGCGCAAGCACGAGTACGAGCATGGGCATGATACATGATACGGGAGAGTTTGGGGAAAGGATGGGAGCCTCACAGGCCGAGACGAGCAAGGGCCGCTTCAGTTGATAAAGATGTAGGGTTTTTTCCTGGGTGCATTAGTGCACCTTGGTAAGTGCGACTTTTATGCATCCCACTGTACCTGTTCTAGAGATGAAAATGGATATAATGTGGTCATCGCTTGGTTGGCAGCACACCTCTGACGTCTAGCCCGTCATGCTCCCGGAATATATTTCCGCCTGTCAAGTCTCCATCGGCATCCGCCTACTCAGAGGTGACTGCGATGATTTCTTAGTGATAGGGGGTCCTCTTGCGTCTTTGGCGATTGGGCACAACTCCATTATGGAATCGCAAAGTAAGTGGGAACATTCGATGAAGACGCTTACTGCAGGAAGCTCTACCACTAGATCCTCCCAGAGTGCCGAAATGGCCAGGTACAAGATAACGTCCCGTGAAGGAATCTCAAGTTGCTGGTCTTTTTAACAATTGCTGGGTCGATTTCAATAGCGTCTCCTCGGCCAATGTCAGGCCAAGCCTCCCACAACAGGCGAGAAGGCCATGTCGTCGTCTTTCCGCCAAGTTGCAATGGCCCCAGCAATAAAAACGACGAGCATCTTCGGCAAGAAGCTAGGCGAATAAAGTTGAGATGGAAAAACTTTCCCAATTCGGTCGCACAGTCCTCGACAGAGCGGTCAACACCCATCGCCTCAACCGGCCGATGTGGAGTGCGGAGAGTCACCGGAGGCCTGTGTGGGGTAACCTGGGTGCGACGTAATAGTCCCTAGGTTCTGGCCCCCGGAAGCCCATCTCGGCTGAAGCATCAGTCTCGTCGCTTGTCGCATCGTATGAGCTCTCCGAGGCTGGTGGTGGCCTCCTGAGCGGCAAATCCTCAGCGGCAAATCATGCTGCAGTGCCGCTCTCAACTTGGCTGCTTCCCAACACGATCGACTGCTGGGATGCGCCCCGACCCGAGGCCTTGTTGCACCTCACCCGCTCCACCTTCAGGCTTCAGCTGCTGGCTTGGCCTTGGACACGTACCAGGCTGAACCGGCCTTCCATCAGTCATGTCCGACAACTCCTGACCCATCCGCCAGTCAGTTGACGTCCTGAGGGTCTCACTGACTCGCCTCCAACTGCCACATCGGGAACGAGGACTTGCTTCATTCGGTTGAGCCAACACTAATGACACTGTAATCCGACCCCTTCAACAGCAAAGATGCTCTTAGTCAAAAATTGTGCTATTCAACGCAACTGTGTCATTTCTTCGCGCTGTAAAGTTCTGCACGAGTGACCGCACTTTGCACCTTGCATATGTGCGACTCCAGGGATTTCCTATCGCCGCCCCGGCATGTTCTGATGAGATCACATCCGGGGTAATAAGAATGTGGGGTTGGGATGGAACCCCAGATATCGACAGACCCAATCCCCCGCCTTGAGCGTTATTTTCTGGGGTATCCGCGGCTTGAATCTGGGGAATTTATCGTTTCTGAGATGCGTGGTTCTCGGTATTCGGTATCCTACCCGGACTCGTGACAAATCGCTTCCGTCGGTCAACAAGGCCGGATGTCAAGCCGTATCAACGTTGGACAACTAGCACGGAGTTGTTGGGGAGGTGGTCTGATGGACTTCTACTTCCAGTCGACACAAATGCCGTGTCAAGAATGAACGCCACGTCTATTACATGAGTTCATATTTCTGCATCTCCCATGACGGTACACAGTACATCATAATACTTATTGCCAGCCTGCATATGACTGCTGTCCAATATCAAGCCGGCCAGCAGGGGGAGGCCATCCTGGTGCACAACAGCTCAGCCGATGCCCAACATCTACCGGTTGAGTCTCCGCACGCTTTCCCCCTCTCGCCCCGTCTCTTCACCTCGGCGTTGTTGTCACACTCCCCGATCTCGCCCAGCCGTCAGCCCTGGAGGGAATAGCCGACTTGACCGCTCTCGCTTCCCAGCTGAACGAGTCGTCGTCGCATCTCCTCCGCCCTATCCCTCTCCTCTCCCTTGAGTTGCCCAAAGGCGCATTTGTCAACCCAGCTGCCTACCCCGTGTTGCAAAACGTTCCTCGCCCGGAGGCTGCTTCCCTTCACATGGCCCACCGACCCGTGCAGTGTCATGCGTTCCTTGTTAGCACTGTATGCTCCACGGTGCAGGATATTGTTGTTATAGAAGACAATATCTCCAGGCTCCAACTTGACGATGAGCTGGTCCGGCATCATCTTCTCGAACGGGTCGGCATTTCGCTCAGTGTCGGTCCTCGCCCGCTTGTGTGATCCCGGAACGACAATGAGTGAGTCGTCCTCCCAGAGGGCAAAGTTGTACTGGGCGTGATATGCCGGCTTCCCCAGCCGCTCTATCTCCTCTTGCGGCATAGCCTCGGCCGGGATATCGTCGCGATGCCACCTCAACTCAAAGTCCTTCTCCGGCCGCACAAGCATGTTGAACAGCTCCATGACGAGGTGCTCGTCCCCGCACTGCAAGAGCTGCTTGACGATGCCGAGGATTGCCTCGGAGAAGTACAGCTCAGTGAAGCCCTCGTGGCCAGGAAGCTCCGGGTTCATTAGGTGCTGCACCCCCCAGATGCCGTGCTCCCTCGCTGCGCTCGCCGTCCACGGCGGGAACTGCTTGCCCACAGTCCGGACGTGTGGCCACCCGCCCCCACGCGCCAGCTCTGTCGCCTTGCTACTCGCCGCCCGCAGCTCCTCTAGCCTGTCCCTGTCGACGATGGCTTTGATGACAACAAAGCCATCCCGGTCAAGCTGGCTCAGATATGGCGAGGTCGGGTTCTCGGCTGACATGGCGTGCGCCTGGTTCTGGGTCACCTAGGGCGGGGGTATTGCTCAAGTGCGTGGGTTTATGTAGGCAGAATGTGTTCTTCTGCAGGATGCAGCTCTCGGGCCAAGGGGTATGTATGTAGGCTTCTGACAGAGGAACTGAGAAATGGGTTGCGGCCTGGAGTTTCTCAGACGAGAGCCCTGTGGGATTTTCTACGATGTGGAGAGGACCAACAAGATGGTGTTGCTCGGGGACACAGCGGCTAATGTACGCGCCCGACGAGGAATGCAGTCGTCCCATCGTGATGTGGGGAAGCGGAAGCCACCACACAGTAATCGCTCGCCAGTTCTGAGACATGCACTGTAAAGCCGCGACAGTATGTACCTGGCAGGTAACGTAACGTCGCCATCACCAAAAGCCATTTATGGATGCACCGGCAACTCGGAAAGCGTCCAACGTGAGATTTCATCATCGTTGTCATTAATCGTCCCTCCCATCCTTATTTTTCCTTTTGTCTGGTTTCAGCCTGCCTTCCGTTCCCAGCCACCGCTTTCCCTTACTCACATGCCGCGGCGGGCCACCGCACGGCGAAGCCCCGAACCGTCTTCTGCACGTCGAGGTCGCCCGGGTCGTTGTCGAAGAGGGGCTTGTCGAGGCGGCGCTCTGAGACCTGTTCGACCTCGAAGCCCTGCTCGCGGGCGATATCGAAGAAGCCCATGTCGAGCTCCTTCTTCCACGGCCGGTACGAGGTGAAAAAGACGTAGGCGACGCTGTCGCGAGTCTTGCGCAGCGTCTCTCGGATCGTCTTGACCATGGCCCCGTGCTCGCTGTGCCGGAAAAGCAGGTCTGCCAGGACGAGAACGTCGAAGCGCTCGCTGGAGGGGGTGTCCTGCGCCGGCGCAGGCGCATCCGGGGCCGGTCCGGGGTTCAGTCGGGCGAGGAGCGGTGCGGAATCGGCTCCCCAGACAAAACCCATGGCGTCCACGGTCTCGGCGATGCGTCCCCGCGGCTCGACCGTCTCGTCGCAACTGTCGATGTTCTTCTGCATGACGGTAACGATATCCGGGTCCGGGTAGTCCGTCATGACGACCTTGCGGGCACCCAAGATCGCAGCAACAAGACTAGGCAAGCCGGCTGCGGCGCCGAGCTCGAGCACGGTGCGGTCGCGTACGCGCGCAGGCTCGTCCTCGAAGAAGTCGGCCACCATCTTGGAGCCGTTCCAGACGATATGAGCTTCCGTGACGCTGGCACCAACGAGGCGAAGTGTGATGTGCTTGCCGTTCTGCATCGTGAACATCTCCTCCTTATGCGGCGGGGTCGGCGGATAGTAATCCTCCGGGTCGTCCATAAGGCCGCCGAAGCCGTAGTCTACTTCGTTCGCCATCTCCGTAGTGCGTGCGCTCCTTTATCGGCAGTGAAAGCTTTGTAGTGGTAGTGGTGAGAGTGAGTCTTCACTTGAGGCCAAGGCTGAGACGTGAGAACGGTAAGATGTCGCCGAGAAACTCCTAGTTTTCCCTGAGTCGTTCAAAATCGAGTACAACGCTACCAGGGTGCTTTTGACTGCTCAGCTCGAGCTGATCCGTACGTTCTCGACGCTGAAATGACTTCTCCCGCCGGTCATTGATGTCGTGGAAGAGTTTTGATCGGAGTGGGCCAAATTGCCGCTCCCACAGTGCGCCAAAAGGGCTGTTGTCACCACCAACTCCTCCAACAGCAAGCAAGCGTACCATCGAAAACCCCATCCGCAATGACGCCAAATGTCATCCTTCACAACCACAAAAACAATAGTGCTCCGGGACTCCCCATAGAGCATCCGTAGTAGTGAAAGGCTCCCATAGCTAACCAAACCGCTGCCGCGCCAGTTCCCTCAGCATCCCTACCGTCCCATCCTCCCTCTCCTTCCACGCCTTTCGCCTCTCCTCCATCTCCTCCCTCTTGGCCCGGTCCACCTCTTCGCGGCGAATCTCACGCTCCGTCTTGCGCCGCTGCTCGTTCTGCTTGGCACGCTTGTATTCCTCGATCGAGTCGCCGCCGCCCATGATCTGCTGCTCGTTGCCCGCCTCCATGCCGGGGCTCTTGTCTCGGAATGAGCGCATCTTCTCGTTGACCATCTGTCGCTTCTCCAACTTGCGCTCCCGCGTGCCGGCCTCCGCGCGGGGGACCAGCTCGTCAAGGCGCTCCTTCTGGAGGGTCCGATCGGCCTTGCGGGCTTCGCGCAGAGCGGCGATGGAGGCTTCCTTGTCCTCTTCGTCCAGCTCGGCTCGGAGGGAGAGGTCCTGGAGCGTAGGGATGCCGGGGCCGGAGCGGCGGTTAGAGGCTGAGGTAGGAAGGACAGGCCCATAGTCGTCATCTTCGTCGCTACCATCCCGCTTTTGCTCTCCATTGTCGTTATCCATGTCGTTGTCCATGTCGTGTCCCACATCATCCTTGGCCTTCAAATACGTCCTTCGGGAGTACCCCGAGTCCTCGGCAGTGGCCCTCGCAAACATCTCCGGGTCATACCATCCCTCAGCCAGCTCACCCCGATTCCACTTCCCCACAAAACTCTTCCACCTGCCCTTGACCTCTCGGTCATCCATGTCCTCAATTTCCTTCTGCTTCTGGAGACTGAGGTAGTTGGCGAACACCGGCTCAAAAGTCTCCAAGTCGAGCTTGGACAACTGTCTGGCCGAAAACGGCAAGTCGGCGCTCACCCTCGCATCGGCTGTGCGGCTGGCATGTTCACGGTGCCTGTGAGAAGAGCGATGTTTTGATGATTTGTGGTGACGACTCGACTCTTCTGAAGGCCTATCGCGTCGCGATGAAGACGTCTTGGCTCGCTTGGGAGAGCGCGAGCGCGAATCCCTTGGACGTGAGTCGCGATCCTGGCTTCCCCTTTCACTCCATTCGCGCGAACGATGCTCGCGACGGGGCTCCCGGTGGCTAGAATTATGCCGGTGGTCCATTGAATAAGTCAGGTCTGTCAGAAGATTCCGAAATATGCGGCTTAATCGATGAGGAGCGGTTCCTTGTTGGGGAAGGCTTTTGGCGAGATCCTGGCGAAGCTCATGAAAGCTCAGCAGGTCCCAAGGTTTTATTGTTGACTTGGCTGGGAGAGGAACCGCACAGTGCGCTCCACTTTTCAACTCCGCTGTGAAGAACCAAAGTGGTACATTCTTGCTACCTACGAAGCTCACGAGACAAAAAAAGCAAGTCATTAAGGAATCGCCGGTTTGCAATACCTTTCATGTTATGATGCTGGAATTCGGAAGCTCTACAAGAAGACTGTTCACTAAAATCAACATCCCCCCATGCTTCATCGTGCAGCAGGAGCTCACAAGCCCGAGGAGGATGGATTGGGATAAACACGAGCAAACGCAAACAGTTTATAACTCTTGGTAGGTAGTTGTAGAAGTAGGCTTTTTATTCTTCTCCAGCACTCTTTGGGAGGCGCTTCCCTGCTGGTAACTGGTCGCCTGGCGACCTCCGTCCTGATTCCATAGCTCTGGAAGGGTATCATTTAATTGCAAACAACCTGCCTATCCCACATCTCTCAATGATACTTATAATGTTCTGTCCCTTATATTTAAAGCAAAACCTTGTCCCTTTATTCTCTCTTATCGACGCTCTGACGTTCATCTTGTAGTGACTTGGCATGACCCTTGGTTACTCATTTGTGTGGATAGGTCCGGGTATTTGTGTATCGTGGATCGCACAACCAAGACACTGGCAATCTTCGCCACAGGGGCAGCTAGATATCTCGCCTGCACACGAGTCTCCAAATGGATAGCTAACGAAGAAGAAATCACTGGCCGAGAGTGCTTGTTCATCACTCATCCCCGAGGCCGCGTCTGAGGGTGTTTGCGGAGCGGTTGGCGACTTCGTGCCCTCAGCCGAGCCAACCACTGGTATGCCGTCAAGATTCAAAGTTTCGATGGGGGTCGACGACCCGTTACTTCTAGGGCCATGGCCGTTGACGTGGGTATGGGCGTGGTCTCCATGGGCATGTCCTCCGGCGCTGTGAGGTTCATCCAGCATGCTCTCCCACGCGGACCGCACATAATTCTGGGTCGCCTCGTTGTATGGGTGCGCTGCGCATCCGACGCACTGGCAACCTTCGCCACAGGTGCACTGGTGGGAGGTGCCAGCGGCTGAGTGAGATGTACTAGCGGCTGACTGAGGCGGACCCTGAGGTTGGTATGGTACGGCGTTAGGCATGGCAAACGGAGCAGGCATTGTGCCCGGTGCGGCAAATGTCATCGAAGCCATAACTTGTCGCCACTGTTCGGGTTGGAGAGGTTGTAGATAGGAGCCATACTGAGGCGGGTAGGTAAAAATGGTTGGCTGGGGGTAGTACGGGTACATGCCATTCGGCATGACCATGGGCGCTTGGTAGGGGGACATGATGAGGCCGTTCGGCGTGGGGACTTCGGATGTGGGCAACACGTCGGTTTTCGCATCGGCCTTTGGTGAGCTGGTTCCAGAAGAGCAGCAGCTCTTGGTCTTCCTCTCGCTTGGAACAGTTGGGCTCGGTACCGTCGTCGAGGACTGGGTAGTCGGAGGGAGGGACGCGACACCGTTGCTCCCGCCACCACTACAGCAAGAGGCGGTCGGGGGAGGAGATGCAACAACATTGCTACCACCGCCACAGCAAGTGCCGACCTTGAGAGCTGGCTTGTCGCCCTTGGCTGGCGCATGGCCATTTGTCAGTACCGGAGAATGCCCATTAGTCATGCCATTTGGAGTATCCGGGCTCATCATAGGAGGAGGCATCTGCGGCGGAAACATAGGATACACCATGGGTCCAAAAGGCGTGTCGGCCGAGACCATCCCCATAGCACCAAAGGCCGACATGTCGGGCATGGGAACCGGTGGTTTTGGCGGCACACCGGCGAAGGGGGGAATGATGTTCAACATGTTCGGGTCCATCCTCTCAAGTGCAACGGGGTCAACCGACTGCCTTCGACTTGAAGGCTGCACGCCATTCTTGGTGGTCGTCTTTTGTATTCGGTAGGATGGGTTCGCGGCCTTGGAGGGGCTCTGGGGGGTCGTGTCCTTGGACAAGTCGCTTTCCTCGGTCTTGACGTGGGGAGATGCGGAGGAGCTAGGTCCACAGTGACACTTTTGCTTCCTTGGAATTGCGGCGGTGACCTGGCCGCAGGAGCATGGGCGAGATACTGGGTGAGGACAGGTACTCAGGGGGCGACCTGGTTTCCGGACGGGTACCATCAATCGTTCGTTGGCGTGTGTGCATTTGGTTGAGCGATGGCCGCGAATGCAGGGCTCGCTAGATAGCGTCACGGTCAGTAACATATTCACATGGATGAGGGCACCAGGCACAGCAATCCACGATGGGACGAGACATACCAGGCCATCTTCAGGCCATTAATAAGAGGCATGGCGAAATTGGGGTCGTTGGACCCGTGCGACGGATGACAAAATGTGGAGGGATGAGGGCGACTCGGATGGTGGTGGTGGGCTCAGAGCCGCACTTGAAGCCTAGAGTAAAGAGTGTCGACGAGCGTCCCGGGTCAACATCAAGGTAGCGAGAGCCGGCGGCACATGGATAGACGACGTGCGGCGACGATCAAGAGCGCCGTAAAACCCGGTGAAGAGGCCCAATCCTCACAGCGACGGAGGCTTTGGTGGTTTGTTTGTTTGAAGAATGAAAGGGCACGACCGGGTGGCCGAGTGCGGGCGACGGCACTCGAGAAGTTGGTGGGCGGGATGGCAGAGGAGCGACCAAAGCGGCGCGAATCGTGAAACGGCGGTGGATTGCTGAAGGAGTCGACGGCGGCAAAAGCGCACGGAAAGGCGACAGAAGGCGACGGCAAAAGCACAGCGCAAGGGCGTGAAGCGCGAGAATAAGAGAATGTGAAAGTGGGAGGTTGTTGGAGTTGCGGAACGATGCAAAACCTACAAAGCCAGAACTCAGACCAGGCTATTCTCAGCAGCACGAGCAACAGTGAGTGACAGCCGTAGAGCGCGGGAAGGAGCAGCATGAGAGGAGAGTCGCCCACTAACCCACTAATCCACTAAGCCGCCCACCCACCCACGCGGACCATCCATCACACCCACCACTCCCACCACTCCCGCTCGCCTCTTTTTGATGTCTCTCTGCAGTGTTCTGCACGAAGAAACGCAGCCAAGCGTGCCGGGATTCGAGTCCCTATTCGCGAGGCCCACCCCACATGCGAGGGGTCAACTATCAATTCTCCAGGGGACCGGCTAGGCCCGAGTAGGCACTTGCACGGCATCCAATCCAGGCCAGCCAAAAGCTTGCTGGTTGACGACGGGTTCGCGATTGAGGCAATCCGATCATGCGGCTCTCAGTGCAGTTCCGACACGGTTCCGGCGCAACTCCAACAACTCCAGCGCGAAACACACAGCTCCCTTTGGCGGGTCCGGCGTCTGGCGTCCCTTGGCGATGGCGCGCTGTTAGCCAGCTCTAGCAGCATCCAACAGCCCAGGCCGGCCTCATTGGAGCATGGCTCTCGTATCTCCATCCTCAGTATGTCCAGCAAATCGCAGCCCCTAGCACGCTCCTCTCGGAGCCTAACGCCTAGGTTGACGCAATAGGTAAACCTCCGCCGCCGATGTGGTAGCGTTTCCCCGGCGGTTCGGCCGTGTCCTCGCCCGTTCAACCGCCGGAAACTCTGTTGCTAACGGACAATGAAACCGCTGCCGATCTGACGAGCGCATCATCCCGACGAGGCGACACGCACATAAGCACACTCTCTCTCTTCTCATCCTCCCTCATCTCCTCTCGTCTTTCCTCAGCTCTCCCCTCCCTCTTCTCGTCTGTCCTTTTGCGCCTCTCCACCTTGCAACCGAACCGCAACGTCTCCATCCGGCCAACCCAGCCGAGTGAGCAAGTTTCCATTGGCCCACGGCGCCTCAACACCACCACCGACATCCATGGCCATCCATGATCCATGGCCCAGTCCCCTCCCAATATCCGCCATGGGCATGGGCCCTCTGCCATGACTCCCGCCAGTGCATGCCATGGGATCAGAGGCTCACAGCTTTCCACTTGTGCCGCATCACGCCGCCCCAACGACCAACGGTGGCGTCGCTTCTCGTCAGCAAGCTGGGAGTCCATTCGGCCTACGACCGCCCGGCGCTACCGGTACTCCATTGGCTCTCCCTCAAGGTTCGTTTCCGCTTGAATTATTTCTCCATTAAGACAAGCTGCCTTTCCAGAAACAGATGCGGCTCGAGCGTCTCAGCACGCACCCCTTCTACGTCGCTCGACTAAGCCCTGTGAAGAAACACCAACCTAGTGAAATCCTACGGAGGGCTCTTTCAAAAGTCTTGTCCAAGCGCTAGTAACATCATATCCATTTATCCCTGTCGGTTACCTGAGATATATAAAGCTGTCACAGTCTCGTTAAACAGCCGCTATCACTTCAGGAGTAGCATGCTGCTGATCAGGATATAGCAGTTGCTGTGTGCTGTAGCCTGCTATCCTTTAGGGCCTATAGAAATCAGGAAGTACTTAGTATACTTATTATCTAACCTAATAATTAGGACTTACTTCTTATGGATAAGACTTTTGGAAGGGCCCTCCGTACATCGTTGCATACACCCAACCATCTCTCTCTCTCTTGCAGATCCCAACTAAACAAGCCACTCAACTAGCGGTTCTTAGTTGGACAAGACATCGAGGAATATTCACCCTGAGGTATCTTCGTGATATTCATCTCGTCTAATATGCTACAATACTCCCCAACGCCATGTCTGCTCTTATGGGGCCTTATCCGAGTCGTCAGAGTCCGCAAACATATCTACTGCACGCATCCTCTTCCGCGGTGGCGGTCCTCCGGCCCGTGATGGCTCTTCTATAGTCTCCGGTCCTGGCCCTGTGGTTTCTTTGGGATTTGGAGGCTGCTGAGGTGGCTCTGTCCCCACAGCTTCATCCTCATCCATCGGTTCCCCATCAATGTCATCCTCCTCAATGGGCTCGCCTTCGATGTCGTCCTCGTCGATCGGCTCACCCTCGACATCTTCCTCTTCAAGCGGTTCCCCGTCAATATCATCGTCGTTGATCAACTCCCCGGGGACGTCAGCCTCCTCCACCGAGACGGGCAGCATGCGTTCCCCATCATGTCCCTCGCCCGTCTGCGATGCCTCTACAAGCTTCCACTTCCCCTTCTTCTCTCCATTGTCTTCCTTCTCTCCAGCGTTCGACGACGGCGGGTGCTCAAAGCTTTGCACAAATAGCTCCTGGCTCTCATTGGGAAACACGCACCATCCCTCCCACAAGTTAAGCACTAGGTTGACGCTTCGCTTCCACTTTTCTGCTCGTAGGCGACCCCACTTCAGTTTCTCTGCCATTAAACCTAGCGTCTCAAAGACGTTGCGGTCCTTGAGCGCCGTTTCGAAAAGTTGACGAAACCGCCATGCGTGCCGGACGCCTGACGTTGCGGAGGATGACAGGATGTCGTTCACGACGTACAGGCCCACCAGGCTCGCAGCACTGATGTCAGTGCCTTCGCTCGCAGTTGATTCGTCTTGCCCAGTGCCTTGTTGCGTCTCCTTGGGTTCGGTTTTCTTTTCTGCGTTCGCGCCCGTCAAGGCAAACGGTTTTGTAACATTGGAAACAATCGTGTCCACCACCTCATCCACTCCACGGCTGGCATGGGTGATGGCAAAGGCCGTCACTCGGCCAATGTCCCCCTTCCTCAGTCTCGATAGTGTCGTCGGTAACCGCGCGAGAAGGTGTGTGAGCTTGGCTTTCTCTAGCGGGTTGAGGAACGTCTTCTCCGCTTCCCCGTCCTGGTTTTCCCGCTTTCCATCTTCCTCGAATTCCTCGTCGTCAGATGAGTTATAATCTGAATCTGAAACAAACTCCTCAAGTTTGGTTGTGTATTCGAAGTTGAGATTCTTTTCAGGGGCTTTCCAGGCATGGCTACCATCGAATAGTGGCACGTACTTGCCTTTCCTCTGCGCCATCTGGGAACCTGTCACAACTTCCCACAACCTCCATCGATACCAAATACCGCCTTGACTTCGTGCATCCCAAATCCAAGCCCACTTTTCTTCTCGCTGCACCTCAGGCCTTGTCATTAACAGTGCCTCAAACTCCGGGCCTTGCTCCAGAACGCCCTCAATAACCTTGCTGATCAGCTGGATAGTTCGCACGTCCTGTGGCGGCTTCACGGGTACATGCAGGAGATTGGTCCGGCTGACGGCCGCCCCGGGAGGAGCGTACGAGGTTGGAGGCGCAAACCCTCGGTGAAAGCCCTGTTGAGCAGGTGCGTTTTTTTGTGCCGACGGTTGTTCCACAGGTTTGGCTCCAAATGGGTGTGACGACGAGGAAGAGGAAGAGCCCAGGTTAGGAAGCACGGCTGAGCTGGAAACTGCAGAAGAAAGATGTCGATGGAGAGAGAGGTAATATCCGTAGCCTAGGTATCGGTTTTGGAGGGCATTAACAGCCGCGTCAATGTCGTTGGCGGGTGTGTCTTGTGCCAGCGTCACAATCGAAATGGTACACTTCCTCTCAGAGCTTCCTGGTCCAACCGGCGGTACAATCTTGGCGTTCTCGACGGTCAGGTTTTCGGAGATCAACGCCTTGATCATTGCTGGCGACGTTCCGGGGGGCATATTTGACAGGCGCAGCGTTGGCTTTGCTACGGCCTTCTCCTCGGCGCGATTCGCCGGGTCGCCATCCTCATCGTCACTTGAGTGAAAAGCCTTCGGCACAGAGAGCGGGCCGTTGCCGCCGTCTTCGAAGCTCAGTCCTCCCTTCTCCCTCGGGGGCCGCGCAAAGTCCTGGAACGAGCGCTTCTTGCCAAACGACGACGCCGGCGGCGGCCCCAGACTCCCCGGGCCGCTCTTCAGCGCCGACGTGCCAAAGTGTCGCTTGCCAGCACTGGGACCCGGAGACGGGCCGCTGAAGCCCGGACGCGGCCGTGGCGGCGCGGAGCGGTTCGAGGCGCCGTAGCCATCGTCTTCGTCGTCGAAGCTCTTGACAAACTCGTTGTAGACAGCTGCGGTCTCGGCAGCTTCGCGCAGGCGCTTCGCTTCGGCCTCGGCCTTCTGTCGCTCGAACGCTGACTGCTTGGTCGGTTTCTGGAGCTTGGCCTCGAGGTCAGGGAACTCGGAAAATCCCTTGTCGGGGGACATAGTGGTCGAATGTGTCCTTTGCGTCAGCGCATCGCCGGTGTTTGCGCGTGGTGAGCGGAGGGCGGAGGGGGGTTGTCGCGGGTAAGTAAGGTGTAGGAGAGCTGTCGCAACCGCGAGGGCGCATTTGCCAGTAGCTCGTTGTTGCATACGCCTCGATACATGCATATGTGATCGACGGTTACGCAGAAATTCTCAGCATGTGTCTCGGCGCCGGGACAACATCTGATTGAACAACGCTTTGAGGCTGAAATTAGAGAAATCAATTCAATGCTACGTAGATAAAATTTCGATTATACAATGCCTGTGACCGCATTGGGGGACCTTCTTTGAGCCTTCTTCACAGCTTCGCCTTCAAAATGTTCTGGGCCTTGCCCTTAGCCAACTCGTCCTTCAACACCAACATCTGGCCTCCGCGGCTACCATCCTCAGTGATGAGTCCCTTGTAGACGCCGTCCGTCTCTCGTCCGGCGCCGTCGTTGGGCATTTCCCGCCATCGCCACTTCTCGGCCAACCTGCCGCCCTCGCCCAGCAGCACGTCGACGATCTTGTCGCCCAGGTTGGGCAGGAACTTGAAGCCGTGGCCGCTGTCTCCAGTCGCGATAAACAAGCCCTTCCAGCCCGGGTGCCAGTCGACGAGCCACTCGCCGTCTCGCGTGTCCGCGTACCAGCAGATGCGGGTCTTCTTCCACGGCCGGTTCTCCAAGCCCCGGATTGGGATCAGGTCGGTCAGTGCGCGGCGCAGATCCTGGTCGGCCTCTGCGGGGAAGGGGTCTGAAGCATCGACGCGGGAGGTATAGGGTTGCGAGGCGAGGAAGGTCTCCCGCTTGGCCTTGTGCGAGACAGGCAGCGCTCGCGTGATGGTGGTGGGGTTGACGTAGCCAAAGTCGTGGCGGGCGAACTTGAGAAGCCCGTCTCGCGGGGGGATGACGAACAGACCGGTGCTCAGGTTCAGAACAACGGGAAGCCTTTCGAGGGCCTTCTCCTCCTCTGGGCTGATGGCCACATAGGCAACTGGATGTCCGGTGGCTTCTGACCGACCTCGCAGATCGACCAAGGAGCCCGTCCAAGCACCAGCGGCGACAAACACCACATCAGCCTTAAAGACCCTCGAGTCGGCCAGCTTCACACCAGTTACCTGCTCGCCTTCCGTCACCAGCTCCTCCACCTTGGCGTCGACGAAGTTTACTCTGCCGGTGGCCTTGGTCTTCTCATAGAGCCACTTCATTCCCTTTCCCGCGTCGGCCCATCCGGACAGGTTGTTGATATAACCCCAATCTCCAGGGTGGCCATCGGTCTTGAGGAAGTTCTGCATGGCCTGGGTGCTCTCCAGCAGCTGGATCTTATCTTGGGGCAAGCCCGTCTCCTTGGCGATCTCCATGACGTTCTTCCAGCTCTCCTTGGTATAATCCATGCCGCACTTCTTATACGAATAGTCCTTAGGAGGGGTATCGGCGCACAGGAGCAATCCCGATTCTGAGTATCGTCCCTCACCGCCGACCTCGTGATCAGCCTGCTGCCGCCATTGCTGCTGTGCCTCAGCAGCAAGGGCAGCGTAGTCGCGGTCTGAGTAGTCTGCCCGGATGATTCGAGAAGAGTCTACACTGGCAGAATCCTCCGGGGGGAATTGGCCATCAGCACAATCCACCACGGTGATGGTCGTGTTGTCGAACAAGGGCCTCTGGGTGAGAGCGTAGGCCGTTCCTAGGCCGAAGACGCCGGACCCGACGATAAGAATTGACGAGGGAGCGCGTGCCATTGCGTGAGCTGGACGGTACACGTATCGAGAAAAAGCAATGGACCAAGACTCGCAATGAGTTTTCCTACAGGATATGGGGAGAATCGAACGACGTTAATCACAGTGCCGCTGAATTTTTAGTTGGTTCCCACATCCCGATCACGGCGGTCGCCGATGGGAGCGGCGCATGGGATCGGTTTAGGGCGTCTAGTGTCTAGCAGACATGCCGAGAATCGGGGCTAGGCTACGTCCGTGGAGTTATGGGGCAGAATCCTGCAAAGCTTCGTTGACCTTGATGAGGAAAGCTGGCACAGGTTTGACGACTTCGGGTGTAGGGTGCCCACTCCACAGCGGAGTACAGTCAATACGTATATTTCAGTACTAAGACCCCTATGACTGAGTAGGTAGGAAGTGTACTGGCGTGATGCTTCGTGCGTGTTACATCACCGTCGACTCTCATAGATGTGGGGGGAGTCCCCTTAGGCCTTCATGGCTTGCTGAGTCGCCCTGGCTTACGCATACAGCGCTCTGAGGCTGAGTGTTTACCTTCTGGAAGGATTCTTTTGGTTGTCCAACGGCTATCAATCGTCATTTGTGGGAGTTGCCAATACCATTGAACTTGACTTCGTACACAACCGCAGGTTCTGCTAGCCACGTGAGGGACAAAGTGACACGATGTGTAGCTCAACTCAGGCAAACGATCACGACCATCACAGGCAAGGATTCAATATTGGACAACTAAGGTGGCATTTGAGGCTAAAACTAGGCAACGCATACCACGTGCCTTGCTATCTTGGCTCCATGATAGAAGTATGATTCCAACCTCTAATGCTCACGACTCCAAACCCGACTCGGCCGGCGCCACAGTGCTGCTCACTTGGTGATGGGGGTAACCCATTATGCAGATTTCATGTGGCCCGATACTATCCTGTCGGTAACTCTGCCCAGTCCTCCCGACTCCCTCGGCGCGGCACTACATACTGCAGTCCCGCCTGTCTCGTCCGGTATCCTTGAATCTCACGTATACAGAGTCATTCTCTCAAAAAGGAAGGCTTGGTGCCATGAGAGTGTTGATAGCAATCGCTTCTTGTCGGGTATTAGTGGAGGAAGTTGAGAAGAAGCGATGCCGCATACCGGATACACTATCCAGTTCGCTAATAGCATTAAGGAGTTGGGAGTGCGCTGTGGCCTGGGCGTGTCCAAAGTTTTGGTCGACACATGTTCGGCCTCCAGCAAATCAAGGTATTTAAACCTTACGGAAATCTGGCAAGAGTTAGCATGTTCCTTGATTCTAGTCCACCATGAAAGCATACCTTGCAACACAGGGTAGATCATCTCGAAAGCCTGGTAGATCTCCTCTCGGACCTTGGCACCAGTCAAGACGATCTTGCCACTGACGAAGATGAGGAGCACAATCTTGGGCTTGATCATGCGGTAGATAAGACCAGGGAACAGTTCGGGTTCGTAGGAGCTGAAATTGTGATGGCGGGATGCCAAGCCTTCAAGTCGGATAGGGAACTTGATATCGCAGGAGCCCACAATGTTCTGGATCTTGAAGTCGGTGAACTTGGCGTTGAAGCCAAGCTTCTGGATGATGCGGGCGTATTTCCTTGACGCAAGCTTGGAGTCGTCTTCAGACTTCGCACCAGTCACAACCATCTTGCCAGAGGCGAAGATCAGTGCCGTGGTCTTGGGTTCTCGGATACGCATAATCACGGCGGCGAAACGCTGTTGAGGTTAGCAACTGGTGTCGAGCAGCGGGACGCGGAGAGTGTACCTTGGGATTGTACTCCGCATTTCGGGCATGCAGAGCGATCGTCTTTAGGTCCAAGCGGCAGTCAAGATTGACTGTTGCCACAATGTTTCTTAAAGTTGCGAGTTCAGCCTCACTGAGCAAGTAAAAATAACTCAGGAGGATACATACTGCAGAGTGGGAGTAATGCCACTGGGTCCTTGGTTGGCGGCAGGCGTCGCAGCTGGGGTCGCGGGAGTCACCCCATTCCCATTTGCCGCCTGCTGGCCGTTGAGCACAGGTCGCTCGACACCATCACCGTTGACGGCGAGCGGCGGTGTCAACTCGTTGGTAGCCCCGGGGAACGACAGCGATCCAGGCGCAGTGAAGGCCTTGGCTTGCGCCGCGTTTGACGGGTGCGTCTGAATGCCTTCCATGATCGGGATCGGTATCGGAGGACGCGTACGGAGGTTATGGGCGCCGAACAGATCTAGCCAACTATCGCGTTAGCATCGCTTGTCTTGACGACTGCAGACGCGCCCTACCAAGCAAGGTAGGTCGGGTAGGCGATGTGATGGAATCTAGGTGCTGTGCACCGATGATGGAGGAGAGAAATTTAGGGAATGGAGGAGAAATGGCCCTTTTATAGGCGGTGAGGTGGCGGTGCAGTGCAGTGACTCAGAGACAGAGAGGCGACCTACCAAGCGCGTCGGAGATGAACAAATGAATGTCTCCCCTACAAGAAAGCTGCCTAGACTGACCAGGTGCCTTTGTTTCGATTCTTCAACACCAGGCGGTGAAGGTCGGAGCACGAATCAAATGTGCTGGGTAGGTTCGGGATGGATGTCGCTTGGATGAGCCACCAGCAGCTGCGACTCGATCACCTCTTCTTAACTTCACAGCAACTTTCTTTTTATTCGGTCTACAGACGCAAGCGACCTGCTGACAACGGCGACGGGGATTGCAACAACGGCGTTCGCTTTCCGGGTCTTGGTCCGAGGCAACGGGGTCGATTGCGGGCAAGGAACGACGACGACGAACGTGTTTCAGTTCTGTGGTCAATGTCGGAAGGGATGTCGGGCACCGGATCCTTTCGTTCCGATGAGGGGGAATCGAGCTCACGTGCGCCAGGAGGACGACACAGTAAGAGACGAGAGGACAAAAGAGCGAAGGTTGTGCCCTGCCAGACGAGCTGCGTCAAATGTCTAGGGTGAAGACGCAGACAGTGGTCTGTCCAGATGAGGGAATGACGTCGTGGGCGGAAAGGGAAGGAGGAAAAAAAATTATTAGGTAAGGCCAGGAGTGTGGAGGAGTGTGGTGGAGGGTGGTAGGTACAAAGGGCCGTCGGTCAAGACTTCGGCGCGATCCTCTCGAAGCCAGCGAGCGATGGGAGGGCTGGCCTTTTATAAGTTTGGCTGCGCCCGCTCAGGTAGGACACCCTAGGCAACAACACTGGCTGTGGCGTCGGCGCTGGCAGGCTTGGCGGACCCTAGTGGTTGCGCTAGCGCAGAGGCAGCCAATCGCAGGCCCCATCAGATGTGATTTTATCTCCTTTTTTTTAAACCATGCACCCCAGTCCGGGCCTGAAGCCCCTGAAGTACCTCGATAGCAGTGGGCGGGTTGCAGTACCATGGTAACCGCAAGCGGCGCTTTGGTACTCATGGAGCCCTGGGCTGCTACAAACCGTGCTGCAAGCGCTGGAGAAAAACCTCGGCTTGCCACTCTGGCCACTCTGGCCTCAAAGAGTGGGTTGTCCAAAGGCTCCCAGCAGGGTGGCTGAGCGCGCTATCAGCTGCACGCAGGTGCTCGTCCCTCGTCGTCACCACTCTCCTGCCGCCTGGATTTCCTGCTGTCCCTCCCTCTTTTCTCTTTTGTCAAACAAACCCACCACGTCAACCGACACCATCCACACCGCAACATGCTTGGTACAGAGCCGCCGACGAGACTCTGACAGCCCAGCCCAGCCAGCGAAGCCGACGACCGCACCAACGGAGGTGACGACGAAGAAGATAAGCACGATGCCATGACACAGGCGGCTACGGACGAAGCCGGCATCCAAAGCGACTCATGGCTCGACGAGCGCTACAAACACGACGACTGCAGGTTTTCAGACGGCGACATGGCGGCGGTGGACGGCGGGCGGCGCGGGAGCCTGGGCCTTTGGCTTTGCCGGGCATGGTCTCACTGACCGACAGGCTCCAGCAGCGGGCACGCAATCCGGTCTGTGGCAGCGTCACAGCGCGTCCATGGGCTATGCATGGGACGGACTGGGAATTATGGGAATTATGGACCGGGGCTGGGCCGACGGGTTGGTTGGTTGCTTTTTTGCCTTTTCCACCGCCCCCTTGAGCGATCCCTTGAGCGATGCCCAGCGCGGACGCCCGTTCAATCCATCGCCCCTCCGGTCGCCCCTCCGTAGCGCTCTACTCGACTTGGCCGCCGCCCCCAAACCGCCCAATCATGCCAATCGCCCCCCGTCAACTCCGTCATGGCCCATCGCTCGGTCCTAGCATCCACTCTTCCAGCTTCTTTGGCCACTCTCGGCCCTGTCAACCCCTTCCTTCGTCCCCCGTGGGACCTCTGGATTTTTTTCTTCTCTCTCCCCAACCGCAACCAGCCATCAGCACGGTGGCACCCTGAAACACGGCTTCCCCCCTAATCCCCTTCTGCTGACTTCCAGTTCCATCCATCCCGGCGACGCGTCCTCTCCTGCCCACCCCCAGAGGGCCCATGCGCTACACGGCTCGACAGCCGTCTCAGCATCAAATCCAGCATCATGCGACGGCAAAACCGGTTCATATTCGCTCATCATGCTACGGGCTCGGCCGCGGCGTCGCCATGTCACGGCACGACGGGCAGTTTTTCAACCCGTTCGCGGAAGCCGTCAGGTTGTGTGGGGTTTTCCATTTCTCATGCCCTCTCTGTGAGTCATGACTTGCGACCAACCAGCAGCGAGCTGGCATGAGTCGGCTGCGCCGCCAGGGAGGCTGACCCTCTGCGGCCGCTCAATGGCTAGGCTCCCGGGGTACCCTGTAGCGTGCCCTCACGCGCACACTCTCGCACGCCTCACGCACCTCGCGTCAGGCTCTGCTTCCTCCTAGCTTTCATTTCTCGTGTTCCCGCTGCTATCAGTCGTCGCATGAAATATCGTGATGCATTGTGAGGCTTGCCATCGTCGCGGCTCTCTCTTGACCTCCCTGTGCTCTGAGGACACGTCTCCATCGGCCTATCGCGGCGGCTTTATGCCAAGTGGTAACACGAAAATTTCGATAGACCATGGATCGCCGAGTGCAGCAACCCTTCCGAGAACGCGCCAGATACGGGTGGGTGCCAACCGAAGTACCGCACTAACAATTTCGGAGTACTGCGACCATGCTGCATCCGTCCGCTCCCGGCCCCGTCCTTCATCTCTCGCCTTGCGGAACGGACTGAGCGGAAATTCGTCAAGCAGGGGATCTTCCGTGATATCTCCATCTCGTCCAGCCTCGTTCCCCATGATCCCACCAGGGTTACCTTGCCCATCCGTACCCCGCTGCCATCCATTGCCATCGGATGCATCACACCTCCACAAAGAAGGCTACTTTGCAGAGTCATGATGAACTAGCATGTGGAGGATGGCCTTGCTCTCCCATGACCTTACACCAAGTCTCCGTCTCACATGCGGCAAGGGAACTGGTCAGGGTTCCAGCGTCGCACTATCATTCCTCGAGACCAAAGAGGGCTAAATAAGACACAACACCCTGTCCTATCCGTAACATTGAGGTTGCACAAGCAATGTACCAGCAATGCACTACACAGCATGGAATGCTGTTACAAATGCACAGCATAGCCTCATTTCATACATGCTATGTGCTACGACGTAGGCGCACAGTTGGGGTTGGGGTTCCTCTTTCGCAAAAGGCCACGCGCTCTCCACAAGTTCATTTCTCATCTCATTACGTCTCCATCGGCTCGCATAGACCATCTCCATTGCCTAACAGGCGTTGCGGGCCGACAAGACAAAGCGAAGAAAACATGAACAAAGGGTCTTTGAAATGTGTCTGTAAATTTTTGGGGACCTTCTGACTCCGATACACCATTATGCTATATCCCGTCTCTTCCATTGTCCACACCGCCGCTTCCTGGCGCCGAGGTATGCGTGCAAGCGTCCAGGTATAATTCAGGTATCTTACAAAACAAAACACACAAAGTCATTCCGAGTTTAAGTCATGTAGTACTTGGGGCCTTCGCCTCCTTGCGGCACCTGCCAGTTGATGTCCTGGTGAGGCGCCTTGATGTCGCACGTCTTGCAGTGGATACAGCTGCAGGGGCATTCATGTTAGCAACAACACATCATATAGGACACTGTGGACCAACACAGTGTCTCAACCTGGAGGGCACTTACTTTTGCGCGTTGATCTGGAACCGCACGCCGTGTGGCTTAGACTCGTCCTCGACGTACTCGTAGACTCCAGCCGGGCAGAAGCGGTTCTCAAGACCCTTGTAGGACGGGTATGTCTTCTCGGTATGTGCGTCCCAGTCCTTGACTTGCAGGTGAACGGGCTGGTCTTCCTCGTGGTTGGTGCCAGTTCGGGAAACGCTCGTCAGGATATCAAAGGTGATCTTGCCGTCAGGCTTTTCGTACTCGATCTTGGGGGCCTTGTCGGCAGACATGGTGGTGGCGTGGTCGGGCGTCTTGTGCTTGAGGGTCCACGGCACGCGGCCCTTGAACAGGAAGGCCTCGAGGCCGGAGTAGGCGACGCCGCCGTAGAGGCCGAGGGGCGTGTGGAACGAGGGCCGCATGTTGCGCACCTCGCGGAGCTCCTTCCAGATGGACGACTTGCGCAGCTTGTCCTCGTAGTCGTAGAGGAAGATGCTGCCCTCGGGCTTCTCGTTAAGGGCGGTCCAGGCGGCCTCGGCGGCCAGCATGCCCGACTTCATGGCGTTGTGGGTGCCCTTTACCTTGGGCACGTTGACGAAACCGGCCGAGTCGCCGATGAGGGCGCCGCCGGGGAAGGCAACCTTGGGGATGGATTGGAAGCCGCCCTCGATGAGGGAACGGGCGCCGTAGGAGATGCACTTGCCGCCCTCGAGGACGTTGCGGAAGAGCGGGTGCATCTTGAGCTTCTGGAACTCCTGGTAGGGCGACATCCAGGGGTTTTGGTAATCGAGCGAGACGACGAGACCGATGCTGACGAGGTTCTCGCCAAAGTGGTACATGAAGGAGCCGCCGTAGACGTTATGAGGTAGCGGGTATCCCATAGAGTGGACAATTTGGCCTGATTCGAACTTTTCCGGGTCAATCTCCCAGACTTCCTTAATTCCCAGGCCGTACGTCTGGTGCTGGCTGTCCTGGCGCAGGTCAAACTTGTTGATGACCTGCTTGCTCAAGCTGCCGTGGCAGCCCTCGCCGAACATGGTGACCCTCGCGTGGAACTCCATGCCGCGCTCAAACGTCTCCTTGGCCTTTCCATCGCGGCCAATGCCCAGGTCGTTGGTCGCCACGCCCTTGACGGAGCCATCGGTGTCATAGACGACCTCTGAAGCAGCGAAGCCGGGGTAGACCTCGACGCCGACCTCCTCGGCGCGCTCGCCAAGCCACTTGACGAACTGGTTCAGACTGACGATGTAGTTGCCGTGGTTGCTCATCTGCGGGGGCGCGGGGAGCGGGATGGCGGCCGTCTTGGTGAGGAAGCGCATGCGGTCGGTGCCGGCGGGGGTCGCGTGCTCGAAGCGGTCGGAGTTGTCCTCGTCCAGCCAGTTGGGGATGAGCTCGTTGATGGCGGAGGGCTGGATGACGGCGCCGGAGAGGATATGGGCGCCCAGGTCGCCAGCCTTTTCGAGCACCAGCACGCGGAAGTCTTCGTTGCCGGCCTCGTTGGCCAGCTGCTTCAGGCGGATGGCGGCGCTGAGCCCCGCGGGGCCGGCGCCGACGATGCACACGTCGACCTCGTCGGCTTCGCGCTCAACCGAGGCCGGGTCGAAGGCCTCGTCGTCGTCGTCCGAGCGGCGCCGAGCCGTGTTGCTAAAGGACCTCGCGCCGGCGACGGACATGCTCATGACGGGCCAGGCGAGCCGCTCCCGGCCGGATGCGGCCCGCGAGGAGGCCGCGGCGGAGGGGCAGAAGCTGTGCCTCGGTCGCCATTGCGCTCGTGAGAGAGCCCGCGAGCTGCGCTGGACGCACCGCGAGACGGGTCTGGGGGCGGACATGATGGCGAGGATGGCGGGAGAGTCGTTGGATGCAGGAGAACTGAACTCAAGAGGCCAGCGCCTTTGAGGGGGGGGACGGCGACTAATGAAGCTAAATAAAGGTCGGGATCGCACGCAGCAGTCAATGGCGAAAAAAGCTCCAATGCCGCCGGCCGTTGGTGGGGGAGGATTGACAATTATCAATTATCTAGCCGGCAATTGGCTCGAGAGTGGGGAGGGACCCGCCAATGCCAGTTATCCCACCAAAGTCACGTCAGTAGGATCGCCTGGAAAATGGCTGTCTCGCTCACTCTCTCTACCCGTTGGCCCTAAGGTTATCTCTAACACCACTGTCGGTTCCGGCTGCCAGTGTTAATGACGCTTCTTTACGCTCTACGGGCCTCTCGTACGTCTTTGTCGGCGCTCGGGATTTCATAGCCGAACAAGGAACGAGGTAAGGGTCCAGAGGACGGGGGGGTGAGGAGCCCCAGCCGAGGGCATTTCTGGTGTCAGCCAGAGAATGCCGAAAACTGGTCGGCTCAAGAGTGTGGGCAAGGAGGGCCCCCCGCGTCTTCTTCAAATACGTCAATTGCTTGGTCAGAGATATATTCTCTTGATAAGAACCCGTTCCGGCCGCTTTCTGACGCGAGAACGAGCACATGAACGCGTGGTGCTGCTTGAGCCGACCAAAGCCAAGGCTATCTGAGATCTGCATCACAAGCCAAGCGGCTCTTTTACAGTGTCCTGGCTGTGGTTACGTCAATTGCCCCAAGCGTTCGGGATTCAGCGCCCTTCGCCGATCCCCTGCTTCGGCTACTTCGGCTTCTCCCCGCCGCCCATTTGGCTATTGTCGCATTGCTTCGGCCCAGTAACGGGGGGGAGCCTCTTGTCATAATTGACTGGCCGACAACAAGTCGGCTACTTAAAGCCATGGGTCGATATTTTGTATTTTCCACGTTGTGCTGCTGTACACGTCTAATGTGTTCCCAGGCCTTAGTAAAAGAATCGCCATTCCTAGATTGTGAGTGTGAGTGTGAGTGTGAGTGTGTGTGACATGCCATTTCGGGAGTGGGGTGGTGTCTGCATCCTTGGTCGGGATTTTCTCGCCGACACCAACTTTGTCCAGCGCCAGAGCTTAGAGCTTCGAGTGCAGAGCCTCTGCGGGGGTTTCGACCAGGAAAGCCTCAGCGACGCTGTGTCCAACAGCTTGGATAGTCAATCTAGGAAATTCACTGCTCTCGTGAGCACTATGTTTCGGTCCTTCAATGATTAGCTGCCGGTCAATTTTAGCAGGGAGTCATGTTTTTCTTCAACTTAACCGTATTTCCAAGCCGTTCAGTGACCAACTGCCAGTATAAGCCAACTGATCCCATCTCTCCCACTTCCTGGTCAATCAGGACCTCCAGTGGGTCAACCTGGCCGGCGCCCAAACAGATGTCGACTGATTCACAACTCTCATGACACTCATTGAACTTTGTTGATTAGCTGCCAGCTCGCATCAGCCCGCGTAATTGATCAAGACCAGAGAGGGATTGTGGAGAAGTGGATTCCCAACTTTACCCCGAGCTTTGTCGCTGTGACCTGCCATTTCCGGGCCACCGTTCCCGTAAGTTAACTCGCGCCAAGTTGGTCTTGATTATTGTCTGAAGTTTCTAATACAAGGATGCGTCTGGAGTCTCCCCAGTATTTGCGAACCTATGGTGGCCGATGCACATATCGCTATCAGGCAACATCGCGTGACAATACAGCTCTTCTGGGACTTTTGAGATGTTGTTCACCATAATCTCCATTCCGACCGATGATTGATTTCTGCTACTTCGTAGTAGGCGTTGTTTCCCAAGACTGTTGTATTGTGATAACCTCCAGAACCAACCACGCCACTCTGGTGTGGCCGGTGAGGAAATGTGATTCGGTCAGTACGTTGTGGTACGCTGGCGATCCGGTGATGGCACTTGTGTTCTTGAACTCCCGACGCGACCAGATATATGCAATGGCTCTGCAATTTCTCACGTGCAGTAGCAGAGTCGCTGTTTCGTGACTTCGTGCAACTGGTCCTTGGCAGACAAGATGCTGATCCATCGGTGCCGGACATTGGATCTGTTGGTAGATCGGCGCACCACGGTGCGGTCGGTGATGCTGTGAAGATGCCACAGGCGACAAGTCTATGTTGCTAGGTTTGATACAACGTCGCTAGATGAGCGATCCTGCCATTGACCCTGCAGCCCTGCACGCAAGATCTTCTCTCAATTCTTGGGAACTGGTGCTGGGGGCCGTTCGGTTTCTCGATCGTGACGGACTTGTGGTGCCTAAACCTGATGAAACCTTTTGGGTCTTGACTGGCGAGTACAAGCAGTTGTGGTAATGCACGATGGACATTCTTCTCGGATCTGACCACGACAAGGGACCTGCAAGAATGTTGGCGGATTACCCCAAATGTTGGGGCGTCGTGTTATCGCCTCTGTGCGTGTTTTCCCGTTTGGCAATCTTCCAAACCTCTTCTCGAGGCTCGAGGTGGTAGGACATGCCGGTGTGTCGTTTTCGAGACCGAGTGAGCTTGGTAGCTCGAGCGAAATGTGGCGAGGGCACCTGGAGGCGTCCGACATCTCGTCAGATCATGCGAATAAATCAGGCAGGTGTTATAGAGGATAAATAGGGCAGAAACAGTACGGGTGAGCCGTGTTGCGAGTCCGAGGCGGTTTCTAATGTTGAACTGCCATGAGCTATCAATCCTAAGATTGGACTGGAATTTCACGACTCCGAGAAGAAACTGCAGTTGCCGAAGATAATTAGTTTAGAAAATTTTCAAGACTAGAAAAAGCGCATACCGGATATCGGGCAGATCTCCATCAACTGGAGTATAATGAACGACGCTCATTTTTGGTCAAGGGTCCAGGTTTCCTCGTCATCCCATATCTACCACCATTTAATGGCGGTCCACTCCATGCTGACCTGCTCTGCCAATTGCGCAATGTTTGCTTCCCGATATCCCGGTTCGTTTGTGGGAATCTTTCTCCCCATGTCGAGAATGCGCGCGTGTATTTTCGAGAGACTGGGTGCCGCGTCGGAGATATATTTGCACTATTTATTCCCCAGTCGTCATGTATGTTCTTATTCGTGTAATTGTACCGCCCTTGGTCTCGAAGCAGATACTCCGGATGTGGCCATCGTCACTGTGCTCGCAGTGTCAACGAGCAGAACACCGGCCGGTCATGTTTGGTCCAGACCATTCTCCTTTCTTCCAGTGGAGGACTGCAGGGTCTCGAGGATGCATGGCCTCGAGGATGCGTGGTGTTCTCGCGAGTGTCTTCGAGGTTGCTTGGTGCTTGGTGCTGAGTCTTTCATCTTTGCGATACTGGAAGCCCTAGCAGATGCTTTCTTGGTTGGCTTGACATTGGGTATCTCAATATCTGACGAGTTAAACTCGTCGTCAACGGATTGCTTCGCCAGTTGGTTCTCTCCCAGGACCCTCTCGTAGAGGATAAGATTGCAAAGGGTAATGATAATATAATAGTTTATGGAATGACGTTTGGTAGAACCTTGAAGATGGTGGTAAAGGAAGGAAAAGAAAAAAAGGTTCGAGGGCGGGGGCGGACGAAGATTATATACTCCGACTACCGTGAATCATGCCCGGAACCTGGGGGCATAATTTACGGCGGGGTAGGGGTTGAATCACCTACTAACACATTAGAAAAGAGGGGAGACCTAGGGTGATTCAGCCTCGGGGTAGAGTAGGTTTATAGTGAGAATAGGCATGAGTCGACTGAGGAGTCGATCTTGGTTCGAAGGATCGCAAGGTTTGGAGGAGGGAGGTTTCATCCGCCGTTCTCGAAATAGTCAAAGCCGCTCCTACCTCCTACATAATTCCTACCTTAGATAAAGCAGATATTCTAGATAATCAGTACCAGTTAAAGAGAGTAATGTAATGAATGGCAAATAAAAATACACCCCAGAATACACCACTGACTGGACACGCACATACCAAACCGATTCTTAAGTGGAAACGATTTACCGTCACTCCCAACGGTGCTTGCTACCCTATATCTTATGCATGTTCTCGTGTAGCAGTGGAGCACTCTCCCCCCGTACGAAGCTATATTTAGTACGTAAGTTAGGTGCCTGAGATTCGGATCTAGGGTGCGGCTCCAGGTGCTACGGCCCGCCTAAAAGTATCCTTCCCCAGCTTCCAACGACCGCCAGCGCTATTGGGTGTCAGCAGCGTTGTCGCGAGACCGCCACCTGCTCGTCCCCTGACTTCGTTACACGAGGCTTCATGGCTTCAATGCAGAGGACAAATAACCCATCATGACACGGATCCTCCTTCTGCTGCTGGTCGCCGCGACTACCACAGTCTCGGCCGACTGTCCCAGCTACGAGAAGTACGCCCGCGATCGCCACGAGCCCTTCTCCAAGGGCCGCTACGCGTTTCCCTTCCAGCGCCCGGACGAGAGCTGCCGCACCTACGCCGTGCCCGCGGTCGAGCATACGATATCCAATGAGATGCCAGGCGCAATTGGAGATCCGGATCTATATCGGCTTTTTCAGAATACCTGGCCGAATACCGTAGACACGACGGTTCGCTGGCGGGGCGTCGCTGCAGACAACCCAGACGAGGAGGTTCGTCGCGATGCGAATACACCACTACAACACAACCCCAGGCCATATATCGTAGGCTAACATATCAATTCGTCTCTATAGCTCGCTTTTATCACCACCGGAGATATCGATGCTATGTGGCTGCGCGATTCAGCGAACCAACTTCAGTCATACAAGTCCATCATCTCGCGATCCGCCGCCAACGACAAAGAGAACGACATCGCCTCCCTCTTCCGCGGCGCTATAAACCTCCAGGGCCGCTACATCCGCGAAGCGCCCTTCTGCAATGCCTTTAGACCTCCTCCGGAAGCCAAGCACACACGCTCCGAGCGCGACATTGGGCCCCGGGACAGAGTCCACCCCCAGTATAACCCCGACGTCGTCTTCGAGTGCAAGTACGAGCTCGACTCCCTCGCCGCCTTTCTCCAGCTGTCGTGGGACTACTACGAGGAGAGCGGGGATGCCGACTTCTTTGGCAAGTTCGCATGGGTCGACACCGTCAAGAAGATCCTCAAGGTGGCAGAGCACATGCAGGAGGGCACGTATACCGACGAGGGCGAGGTTCGCGACTCGGTCTACACTTGGCTGCGCGATGCCGACAGCGCCTCCGAGACTGTATCCAACCACGGCCGCGGCGCCCCCATCAAGGGCAACATCGGGCTCGTCCGCAGCTTCTTCCGGCCCTCGGACGATGCCTGCATCTTCCAGTACTTCATCCCCGCCAACATGATGCTCGCGCGCTACATGACGTCGTGCGCCACCATCATGCGCAAGCTTGACGGTAAGGTGGCCGATCAGATGGAGAACTTGGCGGCGGGAATTGAGATTGGTATTAATGAGCATGCCATCATTCCGCACCCCAAGTTTGGCGACATGTACGCTTATGAAATCGACGGCTTCGGCTCGTTTAGCCTCATGGTAACTAGACCTTCTTCACTCTTTAGGCATATCATGCTAATGAAACCCCCCAGGACGATGCCAACATTCCCTCGCTCCTCAGCATTCCTCACATGGGTTATAAGCCCGCCTCCCAGCACGTTTACGACAACACCCGCGCCTTCGTCCTCAGCTCGTCAAACCCTTACTACGCCCATGGACCTGTTCTCAACGCCACCGGCGGCCCACACCTCGGGCCCGGCATGGCTTGGCCCATGGGGCTCATCATCCAAATGATGACGAGCGACAACGACGAGGAGATTGCGGACGGCCTCAGACAGCTCTTGGGATCGACAAGCGGGCTTGGCCTGATCCACGAGACGGTGAATAGTCATAACGAGAATAAATGGACGAGGTCATGGTAAGATAGTACCCGATTTGCCACGCTGCCCGTAACTAACTCTGGAATCATAGGTTTGCGTGGGCGAATGGACTGTTTGGCCAGATGATTTTAGACCTCTGGAAGCGAAAACCGGACTTGATAGCAAGGAGTTATCAGGATAGCGCAAAATCATGAAGCAATGTAACCTATAGAACGAGAATCTATGTTGGAAATGAACAAGTACCACCGTTGGAAAAACCAAAGTTCCCAATTTCATCGCTAATGCTGTAATGTCTGCCTGCTTTGATGTGCTCCATCTTAACCAAATCACCATTGACCTGTTTTAACTCAGATCGAACCCAGCCCCCGAGGTAACAGCATACAGAAGTTTCTCTCGGAGAACTGCTTCAGAGGTATATCTCGGAAGCTTCAGCAAATTGACACACGTGCTGGTGCTCGGCAACCGCTCCTCATCCGTCCCACCATCGCGGATGCTGAACTTGGGCTTGAGTTGCGAGAAGCCCAGCAGCGGAGCGCGCGGCGTTGAGCTGACGTACTTGAGCACGTCACGGCGCTGGGTATCCGTAAAGCCCTGCATGACCTTCCAGAAGATCCGGATGGTGTCGTGCTCCTGGCCGTCGTCGCCAACCTCGTAGAGGCCGCTGTAGATAGTGTTGCGGCGGAGGTCCTCGATGTCGATCTCGGACGAGTCTCCCCCGACGAGGCGCTGGAGCTCAGACTGATTGAACATGGATAGCCACGAGGGACGGATGATGGCGCGGAGGCCGCGAAGGAAGGCCGCGGTCTGTAGAGACGGCTGAGTGACGAGACGGTGGCGGGCGATGTAGGAGATGTAGAGGAGTCGGTTGTCGTTGGTGACTTGTACCTGGTCGCCATTGGCAATGAGCTTTCTCGTCATGGTTTTCACCGGCTGTCCAGTCTGGGAGATCTGGTCCGTCACCGTAAAGTCGATACCTAGTTCTGAAATGTCTCCGGGATAGTTCTTCACTCGAAGCATGCCGTTGTAAAGTTCCTCGTCCATGTCGCGCAAATCGTTGACGCTGCCTTTGTAGCTATTCTCGTCGTTGGGCCCGGACGATGCCCACTTTAAGAGAAAGAAGCCTCCAAAAGCTAGATCTACAAGAATTCCTTCGTACATGCACTTGCCGACGATTCTGCCCAGAAACTCAAAGCGCTTGAGGAGGCTGGCCATGTGTCCTTTCCACTCGGGGTCCGATTCCGTCGTTCCGCTTTCTCGCAAGGACTCTCGCAGCGCATCGGCGGCAGTTGGATCGGGATAAAGGAGTCCTTTTTCGTTGGAGGTAAACATTCCAAGTCCCTTGTCCTCATCTCCAAATGCTTCCGAGGTGACGCTGATGAGAAATTCCTTGGTGACGCCGCCTCCATCAATACCAGCTTCTGGGGTGCCGAATTGATCCACAAAAGTAATCTGGATAGGATCTTTGAGCCCCTCGCCGATCTCATAAAACTGTTTGTACGCATCTTCAAAGAGCCGTTTCCGACGGATTTGAGCATGGTGCCTGGCAAAAGGGTGAACGGGAAAAGGACTGTCTCCATCCCTGCGCATCCGATCAAGTTGGATGAATTGACGGAAGATCATGACTCGTGTTTCGAACGGAACAACAAACGGCATGTGCTTGAGAATCTCCAGCTTCGGACCCAGCTCAGCGAGTCGTCGTTCTCGCTGCACCCGCATTTGTTGAGATTTCAACCGCTCCAACCTAGCATGGCGCGAGAGCCTTTGACCAGCGATGGTAGAGTAGAATCCCTGGTCGGCTTCGAGGTCGGCTTCAACATCGGAGTCCATGTCCTCATCGCTATCCCCCTCTCCCTCCTGGTTCTGTCGCTGTTCCTCTGCGATGACGGCACTTACAAAGTCTTCCTTGTCGAGTTTGTCTGTCATGAGCCAATGGTTTACAGGGAGGAATTGCTTTCTCGAGTCCCTTTCGTATAGCATCTTCATGGCCTCAGTCACAATGCCCCGGAGACTGTCTAGGTCCAGTCTTGTAGCGGGCCTCGAGGCCGGGGTCCCTTGCGTTTCTCTTCCAGACCCTGCAGAACCAAAGTAAGAGTCCATACGAGATTTGCTAGCAGCCTCAATGGCTTCTCGTGACTTGGAAAATTCCTGAGTTTTGTAATGAAGAGTGAAGGCGGTGTTTTTCAGAAAGATTGTCAAGGGGCTTATGTCACCTAGCGACAGACTACAGGATTGAATGTGCGATGTGGCCGAGTTCTCCATGAGCCGAGGGTAAATGCCGCTGAAAAAGTCTTCGTCATCACTCAACCTGAGTATGAAGATGTAAAGCTCAAGGAAAAGCAGAATGACGCGCCATTCTTGTTCTTCCACGGTGGCATTGGGGGTATCAGAAGAAGCACGTAAGTACCTGCGGAGAATCTCGACTGGCCGCTCTGACTCTGTTCTCAACTTGTGGAATACAGTCGTCTGCTTCATAATTTGCCAGAGAAACTTGACCGTCGGGATCTTGCCAGATGCAGCTGGTATTTGCTCGCGAAACAACCGCATTCGAATGTCGTCGCCACTGCTAGGAAAGCACCGGAGGAGTGTTAGGATATAGCCTGCTAAGAGGCTTGTGCCGCGAAATTCGTGAGTCGAGGACTCTGCTAAGTTGATTGAGAAATCTTGCAGGAGCTTTGAGATGCCGTTATTTTCAACCAGCGATAGAAGTTTTCTGGAGATGTAAGGATCCAGTGGCTGCACGAGAGCCTCATCATGAGCTTCTTCAGAATCAGAACTCTCCAAAGAGACCTTGATGCCGATGCGAACGCTGATATCTGAGGAGAGGGCTGACAGCTGAGTGTATAGAGTCTCCAAGTAATTGAACCTGTGAGATCCATCTAGGGTGAGGCGACCCAAGTCGATAAAGTGAGCCAGTAGCCAAAGCAAGCCATCTTTGGAGTACTGGTCAACAGAGGCTGAAGAAAGTTCGTCTAGAATAGCGCTTGCTAGTGTAGGTGCTGAAACCGCTTTGGAAAAGACATCGATATTGTCTTCAAAGAGATGTAGACTTTTGCTCGTCAAGAAGGAAAAGGCGTAAGCACGGTAAACCCTCGGTTCTACATGCAAACCACGTTAGTCAAATTCCGGAGAGTGCTGGGATACCACTTACCGTCTTCGGACCTAGCTGCTAACGGAGCAGACAGTGCTTCGAGGAGGAGGGTTGACCAATCTTGAGTCAGGTCCTGAGTTTGACATCGCTTGGCTAGCACAGTATAGTATCTATCGATCGATGGCAGTATCGTTTGAGGAGAGGCGGAGATTATTCGAGTGGTGAGCTTTAACAGTAGCTGTGTCTCGGTAGCTATGTCTCTGTGCATATCAGTCAGAATGCGTCCAAATATTCTTGGGACACTTGGCAGTGTCCCCGACCACTCAGCTTGCACACACTCTTGTGAAATGCTTCTATCTATTGCTTCAACGAGCAATCGGACTAGCCGTTGAACTCTTGATTGATGGATATCGGCAGGAGCAATGGCTTGGAGGTCGACGGTCTCGGAGTCGCGTGCATAGAGCGAAAGTCGTCGAATATCGTCGTTTCTTCGCCAGGTAAAAAAGGATAAGAGGAGTGTGAAGGCTTGCGGCAGCCTCTGAGTTGCATCTCCCGTGGGTGTCGAGCTATAGAGCTGATCGAATGCAGCTCGGCGAGACTCGCGGAGGCTCGTTCTAGCCCGATGACCTCTCCACGTTTGCTGAATCTTGCCGGCGGCCTTTAGACGTTGTCGTTCTGCGTGACGCTTCTCGCGATCGGCTTGGGCATTTGAGACGGTCTTGGTGGCGTTGGAGACGGCCGAGGGACTCCACGAGGTGTTGGCAAAAGGGTTCCCGGCTTGGCCGCTGAGGTTGACGTTGCGCGGGCGCCTGGAGTTACCGGTGAAGGTCGAGAACATGGTGGTGGCGATGGCGTGGGCGTTGGAGACGAGGGGAAAGATCAACGAGGGTGCAGAGTCATCCTCGAGCTGCGGCTAGTCGGCGGTCGGCTGTGATGCGCGTTCTAGAAGATTCAGCCTCGGGCTCAGTCAGCGCGGACAAGGTGATGGAAAGTGCTATTCGCCCGATGCTTTGGTCGGTTGGTGGGGATTCGAGGTGAGGTCACTCGCGGGCCGGGGTCTAGCGGGAGGCGGTTGATAAGATAAGCTCATGGGCATGATGAGAAAGCAGGTGGAAGTTGGCAGGCTGTTCCGTTCCTGCCTGGCAAGTCCGTTCCTGCCACGCAAGTCCAGGGTGCTGGAGGTGGTCAGTGCGGCCAAGCTTGGGAAACTTGGGAACTACAGGAAGTGGGAGACAGTGTGAGACATTGAGGCGTAGTACTGTCCCACGGCGCCATGGGCCATGGGCCATCGGCGCATCCGCACCCGCATTCGCGTCCACAACCGGCGGCTTGGGCCAAAGGCACCAAAAATGCGATTGGAGAGTCAGCGGCGTTTTTGCGGTGTAGGGATGCCAATGACACCCTGCCCAAGGACCGAATCCAGGATATTGTCTGGATCTTGCCACATGCGACGTTCCTTTTTCGAGGCCATCTGAAGGAGGCGTTTGGTTCCCCCGCAGAAGTGCCCGCATTGTGATTCTACAGCTGGACCTGTGTTGAGACACAACACGGTGCGCAAACGCCGACGCGCCAGGCAGGGTCGGCCGCATGCCTGAATTTTATTCTGCCATGAAATTTGAAATTTCGTCAACAAGCAAACGGGTGGCCGCAGAACCGTTTATGCCTGTCACTCCCGTGTCCTGGTCTGAAGGAGTTTAGGCGGCGCATGGTTTGTGGGCGAAATTTCGCACGGCCATCCACACCTGGGCCGCAAGTACTGTAGCCACTGGCCAGATGGAGGGAGGAAGCACGTGCGACGTGGGACTAACACCGTATCATGCAGCAGAATGCCAGGCGTGTTAGTGAACCACCCCACCTCCCCCCTCCAGCCTAGCATTCCTGCTAGACAAATACATGATTCGGCGTGGGCCGGGCCAGCCCAACGCTCGCAGGTGCAAGCGGCCGGCGGTGATTGCGGCGGCGGCGGACTGGCAGCCACTGAGCCCCCCCAGGTAGGCTCACTCCACCACCCTTGCCCGCCCACCACTCACGCTGTCCCTCCACCGCATAGGTCAAGCAAAAAAATATCACCTCGACGAAATTTCTCTTTTTCCCTCCTCAACCGCAACACCAACTTTATCAACCAAACCCCCAAACCCATAAAAGTCGAGTCAGGTCAGAGGTACGGTCTTCGTACTAGTTCTCTGTTTCTGCTCACTTCTTCCAACCAACAAAATCACAAAAAAAACTTGAAAATCCCCCCAAAAAACCCCCCCTTCACCCACTTCCACCCCTCCTCCCACGTCCCTCCTCGTCTCTCTCGCGACACCGCCCGAGTGACAGAATCCTCCATCGACCATCCTCCACCGTCGTCTTTGAGCCAGCTTCTCCCTGCCACTCAAAGCATCTCGGATTCCTCGCGGCCGCTTCGCTTTGTCTGCTGCTCGACTTCTTTGTTCGCTCCGGTCTAGGAACCCCGCGAACTCGATCCGCCAACGTTCTCTTAAGGTGCGTTCGCTTGTGACCCCGTCCCCTCCAACTCCACCGTCCCCGACCACCACGGCGGCCGACAGATCGTTTCCTTACGTCTTTTCGATCGCGGCCTTTTGTTTTTGAATCCCCTCCAAATCTTTGCTGACCCGCGTGTTTCCCACAGGTTTATCGATAACCAGAGACTCCGACATCACAATGGCCTCCAACACTGCTTCCGGCGCTGTTGATCAGCTTGCCAACGAGCTAAGCAACACTTCCCTCAACGCCAGCGGCGATGCCAAGGCCCCTGTCATCGACACCGCTGTCGCTGCTGGCGCCTCTGAGGATGCCGGCGCTCCTACCCCCAGCTCCGCCGCCCCTCACCCCCAGAACTCGGCCTCCCTCTACGTCGGCGAGCTCGATCCCTCCGTTACCGAGGCCATGCTTTTCGAGCTATTCTCCCAGATCGGTGCCGTTGCCTCTATCCGTGTGTGCCGTGACGCCGTCACCCGCCGCTCTCTCGGTTACGCCTACGTCAACTACAACGCCACCCCCGACGGTGAGAAGGCTCTCGAGGAGCTCAACTACACTCTCATCAAGGGTCGCCCCTGCCGCATCATGTGGTCGCAACGTGACCCCGCTCTGCGCAAGACTGGCCAGGGTAACGTTTTCATCAAGAACTTGGATGTCGCCATTGACAACAAGGCACTGCACGACACCTTTGCCGCCTTTGGCAACATTTTGAGCTGCAAGGTCGCTCAGGACGAGACCGGTGCCTCCAAGGGCTACGGCTTTGTTCACTACGAGACTGACGAGGCTGCTCTTCAGGCCATCAAGCATGTCAATGGCATGCTTCTGAACGAGAAGAAGGTCTACGTCGGTCACCATATCCCCAAGAAGGACCGCCAGAGCAAGTTCGAGGAGATGAAGGCCAACTTCACCAATGTCTACGTCAAGAACATCCAGAGCGAGGTCTCCGACGACGACTTCCGTGAGTTGTTCGAGGCTTTCGGTGAGGTCACCTCATCGTCCCTGGCTCGTGACCAGGAGGGCAAGAGCCGTGGTTTCGGCTTTGTCAACTTCACCACCCACGAGGCCGCCTCCAAGGCCGTCGATGACCTTAACAACAAGGACTTCCGTGGTCAGGACCTTTATGTTGGCCGTGCCCAGAAGAAGCACGAGCGTGAGGAGGAGCTCCGCAAGTCTTATGAGGCTGCTCGCCTGGAGAAGGCCAACAAGTACCAGGGTGTCAACCTGTACATTAAGAACCTGGATGATGATGTTGATGATGAGAAGCTCCGCCTGATGTTCTCCGAGTTCGGTCCCATTACCTCTGCCAAGGTGATGCGAGACACCCCCACCGAGGGTGACGAGGAGTCCAAGGAGGACGCCGAGGAGAAGGACAAGGAGAACAAGCCTGAGGAGGAGGTCCCCGAGGCTGAGGCCGGCGAGGAGAGCGCCGAGAAGAAGGTTGAGAGGAAGGGCGACAAGAAGCTCGGTAAGAGCAAGGGCTTCGGCTTCGTCTGCTTTAGCAACCCCGACGATGCCACCAAGGCCGTTGCCGAGATGAACCAGCGCATGGTCAACAACAAGCCCCTCTACGTCGCCCTGGCCCAGCGCAAGGACGTTCGCAAGAGCCAACTCGAGGCCAGCATCCAGGCCCGCAACCAGCTGCGCATGCAGCAGGCCGCCGCCGCTGCCGGTATGCCCCAGCAGTACATGCAACCCCCCGTTTTCTACGCCCCTGGCCAACAGCCCAACTTCATGCCCCAGGCTGGCCGTGGCATGCCCTTCCCCCAGCCTGGCATGGGAATGCCCGGTGTCCAGGGCGGCCGTCCCGGCCAGTTCCCCGGCTATCCTCAGCAGGGTGGTCGCGGCGGTGTCCCCCAGCAGATGCCTCCCAACATGTACGGCATGCCCGGCCAGTTCCCTCCCCAGTACGGCCAGCCCGGTACTCCTCAGTTCATGGCTGCTATGCAGCAGGCCCAACAAGCTGCCCTTGCTGGTGGCCGTGGTGCTCCTCAGGGCGGCCGTGGCGGTCCTCAGGGCGTCATGCCCGGTGGCCCCCCTAACATGCCCGGTGTCCAAGGCGGCATGCCCGGTTTCCCCCCTAACAACCGACAGCAGGGTGCTGGACGCGGTGGCCCCAACGTTGCCCGTAACGGCGGCGCTCCTCAGGCCGGTCGTGTTGAGGGTGCTCCCTCCAGTGTGCTCCAGACCCAGCTTGCTGCCGCCCCTCCTGCCCAGCAGAAGCAGATCCTGGGTGAAATGATCTTCCCCAAGATCCAGGCCATCAACGCTGAGCTTGCCGGCAAGATCACGGGTATGCTTTTGGAGATGGACAACACCGAGCTCGTCAACCTGTAAGTTTTGGCATATTTCTCAACATTAACCAGCGTGACGCTAACAAATCACAGCATCGAGGATGACTCTGCTCTCAAGGCCAAGGTCGACGAGGCTCTTGCCGTCTACGACGAGTACGTCAAGGCCCAAGGCGACGGCCCCGAGGGCGCTGAGCCCAAGAAGGAGGAGGAGACCAAGGCTTAAGTCTGGTCTTGATCTCTCCTGGTCTCAATATTTCCTTTGTCACGGTTACATGACTGATCGACCCCCTCACCCTGGAGCGACATACGCCTCGAAGGCGTTATGGATCAGTCAGGCAAACATCATTTACTACTTGATACCAACGATCGAGGAGGTACATTATGTACAGATAGACTTGGTTGCTATTTCTTCTCAGGAGGGAGAAACAAAAGTTTAGGGGGTTTTACGGTGGTTGGCTTTTTGACGCGCTCCGTTGAGATCGACGGCTGCGGCGGCTTATGATTAAGAGAACCCACCAGGAAGGCGTTGAAGGTTTTCTGATACTCTGCCTGTTGGCCTATACCCCCAACGATGGTCTTCGTGTTGCAGGCATGATCAACACAGAGGTTTTTATGCGGATTGGACGTCTAATGAAGAGATATGTTCACAACGATTATTTGTTCCTTGTCTTGGTGACATTTGTGAAGTGATGTGTCCTTGAGTGCTGTATCTGGCAATAGAAACACAGATGACATTATGAATAGAGATTTGTTCTATGACTAAACTTGCTAACCTAGATATGCTACCATGCAGATAGAGACAATAACGCCGACAGGTGCAATCCGAATGCCTTTCGCAGACCTACCCAATACCCCTGTCTAACCCAAACCAAGACCGCCTCCTCACGCCGATATGTGAATGTGAATTACATAATGACATTAAATACCCCCCGATGACTCCATGCGGACAGATGACCTGTGGTAGAGGACGGATATTTTAATAGCCGCCGCCAATGATGGCTTGGCGACCTTCGTCAATCATGTACTTCTTACCAGGGACGCTCGCAAATAGCGACTCCATGACCTTGCCCTTCTGCTGCTTGCGGACGCCGCCGAGGTACTCGCTGACGTCGCTGAGGCCGCGGATCTGGTCGTCGAGGGTGAGGGTGGTGGAGTTGACGCCGCGGACGAGGGGCGAGACGAGCTTGCTGCGTAGGGTTTCGAGGGAAGCCTTGAGGGTGAGGAGCTTGCCGTTGTGCTCGACGAGGATGCCCTTGTTGCGGACCGTCTTGTCGCGGACGTTGCGCAGCAGGAGGCGGTTCTGCTCGAACTTGCGCAGCTCGGCGGCGCGGGTGCCCAGCAGGCGCGTCCACAGGCTGGCGAGCAGGTCGGCATGCAGCTCCTCCTGGGCCGAGGACTCGCGGACGACGGTGCGGGCGAGGTTGAGGAAGTGGAAGTCGACGGCCTCGAACAGGGCGAACAGGGTGACGCTGTGCTGCAGCTCGGCCTGGATGCTGTCCTCGAGCACGGCGAGGAACTCGGTGAAGAGCAGCTGCACCATGCGCTGCTCGCGCTGCGGGTTGCTGAGCCCGAAGACGTGCGTCGTCACGCGGCCCAGCGACGTGGGCGAGCCGGCGGCGTCCTCGAGGATGCACGCCTGCGAGAGGAGGTTGTGCAGGTTGTCGTAGGCGGAGGAGAGGGTGGAGGGGGCGGGGGAGGAGTTGAGGCGGTGGAGGTGCATCTTGGCCCAGTCCATGACGTTGAGGATGCTGGATTTCAGGGGGTGTGAGACTCTGGGTTTTTGTGGAGGGGGAGGACTGTGTGCAGGTGTATGGTGTTGCGTGTGAGTGTGAACTTACCCATCAATGTCGCCGTCGACGCGCGCAAAGAACTTGGTCATCTCAATGGCCAGCGTCTTCATCGTCTCGCTGAGGGCGTCCAGGTCGGCGACGATGCTCGGCGCATCGCGCATGTCGCTGGTGCGCACGCTCTCGCCGAGGTCCCACACGGCGACGCTGGTGGCCTGGAGGTCGTGGACCTGGGCGACGGCGTGCTCGGAGTAGTAGATGAGCGGCTCGAAGGAGCGCGCGAGCCCGGCCACCTTGACGAGGTCGCCGGCGGGGCGCGTCGCGGCGGGCTGCAGCAGCGACTTGAAGGCGGACATGCAGATGAGGGCGACGATGATGGAGCTGAGCGTCGACGCCCACGTCCGCGTGAGGGATGTGTACTGGGTGCGCACGGCGTTGATGGCGGATTCAAGGGGTTCGGTGCGCTGCTGGACTTCGGCGCGCACTGCGAAGCGAATATCTGAGGAGGCGGTCAGTTCTAGATTGCGACAGGCTCGTCGGTTACGTCACGACTGCTCACAGTTATCTGTCGGCGCATGCGCATCTCTCACGGCCATGACGGCGGTTGTTGGCGCCGGCGTCCGGTCTTCCATGTTGACCTGGATAGTGCGGTCCTCGGTCCTCTCCGGGCTCAAGCTCCGGCCCTTGCTCGGGCTCGCGCTGCCCTTGGGCAACCTCGTGCGGATGGCTCTCTCGAGGACCAAGTCGTCCTCGCTGTCGTCGTCGTAGTCGTCGTCCAGCGCCGGGAAGCGCTCTCGCAGCGGCGGCAGGGTGGCCAGCACATCATGGGGGCCCCTCCAGAAGCCGCTGCTCCGGTCGCCGTTGCCGAGTCTCCGCCACGCCGGCGGCGAGTACCCACCGGCGGAAGCGAGTTCCGAGTCCTCGAGATCCCCTTCCGTCATGGCTGCCTCGCTGTGGCGGAGGACTGAGTGGCGCAGCGACGGGCTTGCTGGGGGTTCGAAGTCCCGTAGCGAGGCGTCGAGTCCGTCGAGGGGATCGTTCATCGTGGTCCGGGGCTTGGAATTGGCGGGACTTCTTATCGGGCGTGCGCGGGGGCTCACGGGCTTCACGGGTGGTGGACTTGCGCGGGGAGGGCGACGGAGATGCGCGGGAGTACTCAAAGAGGCCGTCGCGGGTGGTGCGGTGGTGTCGTCGTTTTACCAGTTCCTGCTGGGCGAGGAGTTGCAGTTGGCGCTCGTCTTCTTCTTCTTCCTGCTGTTGCTGTTGCTGAAGCTGCTGCTGCTGGCGCTGGTGGTGGCGGCGGCGGGCGAGGACTATATCCTGGCCGGCAATGACAAGCTGATGCTGGTCCTCGAAGACGAGCTGGCTCGCCTTGAATGGAGGCTCGGGGAGCGCCTTGTCGAAGCGCGGGGGCGCAGCCTCCCGTGACGAGGTGAAGGGGCGGGCGAGGGTTGAGAGGGACGGCAGCGGCAGGCCGAATCGCGGGATGCGCAGCGAGCACAGGCGCGGGAGGTAGAGGGCGACGAAGACGAAGAACAGGACGACGGAGACCAGGAAGGTGCTCGGGGCGATGCTGATGCTGATCAGGGAGACGTTGTTGTTGACGGTCAGAAACGAATTCATGGCCGCCCCGGAGGAGACTGGAGCGGAAGGTTTGCAGATATTGCGTGCAGGATGTATTTGAGTTTTGTTGGGTCAACTGAAGACTAGATGGAGGGGAGGGAGAGAAGGGAGAGAGAGAAGTGAGACAAGATAGACGGCGAGATTGTGTGTGAAATGGTGGCGTATGAGGTGTGTATGAGACAGAGTGGTTAGAGTAGAGTAGAGTAGAGTAGAGTAGAGTAGTATCAAGGGTTCGCCTGGCCGGCGTCTGCAGCTAACACGGGTTCAGGCAAGTAAGCTGCCAGGGACGGGACAGGACAGAACGGGACAGGACAGGACAAGACAGGACAGGACAGACGGGAATGGCAAAAAGTTGGGGAACCAAGAGGAGGATGGGGAAAGGAAGAAGATGAAACGTCGACGGCATTAGTAGCAATCGGTCTCTTCCCTTAAAGCGATACTGGATAGTGACCGACCGACCTCAGTCTCTCTCACTCACTCACTCTCTTTGGCTGTCTCTGGCCCTTACTGGCTCTCTCTCTCCTTCTCTCTCCCTCACTGGCCCTCTCTCTCTCCTCCTCTCTCTTCCTCCTCCTCTCTCTTTTCCTCACTCCCGGGATTGCCCCTCGTCCCGCCGAAATCAAGAGGTTGGGAAGCCCACGTTACAGCCCATCATCCAGCAGCCCACATTTAGCATCCCCCCCCCCCCAGGGCTCTCTTCCGCCGCGACCAATCACCAGCCGCCAAATGCCAGAAACATGGCCGTTTCGGAGACCCGGCGCTAGGCCGCTTCGGGCACCCCTGCGTGCCACTTTACACGCTGGTTGGGCGCGCGTTCGCGACCGGTGCCAGATCACCAGCGGTGGCCTGACGCGCAAGGCATCCCCGCCTTTGCCTGGGTCACGAGCCACACCGTGTTGCAGTGCGAGAGATAAGTTAGCGGAGTGAGGTGAGGGGGGAGCGAGGGAATGGATCTCTCGGGAATCGGACTCGACGATGTTGTGCCGTGTGTTGTGCGCTGTAAATTCGCCGCTGTGCTGTGCTGTGCGCCATGTTGCGGTGAGTCGACCCAGAGCCGACTTACAGCGACTCGACTCTGGTTTTTTTCGCTTCCCTCTCCTCCTTTCCCAACTCCCTCAACTCTCCCAAAAGTCCTCGGCCCACCACACGATCCAAAACTGGCGACGTGTTGTTATGGTGCCCGTCTCCAATGCGTCGCTGTTGTTGTTGTTGTTGTTGTTATTCCTCGCGACCGTCCTCGCCCATGATACGCTGTCGTTGATGCGTCAACGGCGGGCTCCGTCACCACCCATTGGCTGCGTCCACATCGCGGCCGGCCTCTGATTGGGGCCCGCTCGAGCCGTGTCTCGCGCTCTTTCGACCACTCTGGCTGGCTTCCATCCCATCCTGGACGTATCCATGGCCGGCAATGACCTCCTTGATCATCCTGGAACTATCCTGGACTTATCCTGGACCACTTCCTGCCCACGACTCTCCCTCTTGCGGAATCCCACATCGCATGAACCCGTTCCGGACCTCCCGTTCCATGCCATTGATAAGACCCCGAACCCGGTAATTACCTGTAGCCACTTCAACACGGAACACTCGGCGAGCCAATTCGCCAGGGGAAAGGAGCCGGAATGTAGAAGTAGAAGCACATATATAGTATATCTATAGATTGCACTCCCTCGCATACATCGCCATCTAGTAGTCCTTTTCCACCACCTCCACCTCCATCTCGCACGCAAGCCGGCCCAGAAACTCGGCCCGCTTCATCGACGCCCGGATCTTGACCCCGGCGCACAAGCTTTCGACCACCGGCCGCGCGCGCTGCATGAACAGCCCTATTACCACGCTTGAAATCATCGGCCGCTCCGCCTCGGCCGGCGGCCCCAGGTCCAGCCCGTCGTCCACGTCCACCACCTTGGGCGCCGACCCCGTCAGCCACGGCAGCCGGAGCTCCTCGTTGAGCACGTCGCCCGCCAGCTGATCCGCCAGCTCCGGGTGGAAGTCGGGCGACCCCGTCAGGTTCGGCCACGACTGGATGAAGCACACCGGGATGCTGTTGTCCCAGAGCCGCGGCGCCCCGCGGTCGTCGTGCATCAGCGACATGGCCGTTCCCAGTTCCACGAGGCCCCACCATATGAGGAACTCGCGGCCCGGGCCGGCGCTGAGGAACACCACCCCGTAGATTGGGTTGTCTATCGACTCGAATGCGATGTGCTCCGAGCTGATGTACCTCCGTGATCCCGTGTACGCTGCCCGCTGCTGGATGCTGTGGTTCTTCGGTGGCAGGCTGAGCTTGAATGGGAACACTCCTCGTGCTACTGGTCCGTCCGGCGAGCTTTCCAACACAATCGTCTCCTTCTCTAATCCTCCTGGGTCGTATTCGACTGACTGAATCTCTGTTTGTCCTCCCGTATCAGCATTGACTCTCTAGCATACCATTATCCAGAAGCGACTGCTTCAGAAAAAAGAAAAGGGGTCACTCACTACAGCGGTGGCCAGGCATCTCGCCATCGGCCATGAGGAACCCAGACCGCTTGGGCTCAATAATCATTATGACGTTCGGGTGTAATCGTCTGAATACAACATCTCCAGCGGCGCTGGCCTCGAGGAGAATGGCGGCTCGCGCCAACGTATCTGATGACAGGCTGCAGTCGAGAACAGCCAGCCACTGGCCATCCTCCTTGCCCTTCTCCGTCCCGCCGGTTCGGGTCGAGTACGTTACTCGGCAAGGGCACTTCCAGACGCGCACCTCCAGGCCGCGCGCCGTCATCATCATCCCGAACTCCGCCGGGTCCTCCTGGCCGCCAAACGTTCGTAGGTTGAAGTGTTTTGGCGAGTCGGCAAAGTAGTGCATCCGGCGCATCGACTCTGCTCCGTCCGCCCCCAGCGACGTCCGCCACACGAGCATCGACTGGTCCTGTGACGTCTTGAGGATCTCCTCCTGTAGCCGGAGGAAAGCCCGGTTCCCTTCGCCGTAGAGGATCATCATGTTGACGCCGAAAAGGCCCATCAGGGAGTACGCCACGTCCTCGCGGCGGGTCGTCTCCCGGTACGACGCCCAGCTCATCCGCGTCGCAACGTTCTCCTGGTACAGCAGCTGGGCCAGGTTTTGCTGCCTCCGTCTCGACGACTCGCGCGCCGTCAGTATGGCCTCGCCGATGCCGGTGATTCGGCTGATGCGCGCGGAGAGGCTGCCTCGGGTGCCCAGCGGCACCCAGTCGCTGCTGAAGAACTCGACGTCGTCGGGTGCGACGAGTTCCTGCAGCGTCCACCCTCGGGTGAACCAGCGGCTGGACTCGAAGTTCTCCGCGACGCCGTCGTGGCGGACCGTGACGTCGGACAGGTACGCATAGCATTTGGACGCATCCCTGTACCACCCAAACATGGAATTGAGGGCCTCGGACACCTCCGCGCTGCTCGACTTGTCGATGCAGCAGGTGTCGATCCACACGTGCGAGAAGCCCTGCTTCAGCGCCGTCTCGCAGGTCCTCGCGACCTTGTGATAGCCCGTCGTGTTCTTCCAGCGGATTTCCCGCAGCCGCTCCTGGTTGCGCACGTCGTCGAAGAGCACCTCGTCCTGGCCCCACGTATGGGACAGGATGGCGTAGCGCCCAGGCTCGCCCCCCACGTCTTCCAGCTCCAGAGTCTTGGTGTTGAGGAGTCTCATGACGCCGACTCGGGAACTGAAGTGGGAGCGAGATCGCGGACGAAAACGCAGGCGCAGGCGTAGGCGCGGTCGCGTTCTGAATCGGAGAGTAGGGAGAGGCCAAGTTGTTTCATCACCTATGTTTCAGTCGCTGGTGGTCACGGTGACATCTTGCCCAGTTGGGCCGAGCTCGCTTCGCCGGCTGAACTCGTCACCCGCCAAAAAAGTGTCGACGCCCACGAGAGACTCAACACAGCAACGCCATTAGTTTAAAAATAGACATGTCACGATTCTTATCTATTTCTAGGCCGAAACAGATTAATCCTTCCCCAGCATTGCACGGGTGGTCGAAATAAAGGCCGGCTAAAAGGGGCACGTGATTTACCTAAAACTCCGAGGCAGGGCTTATTCGCAGCCCGTGCACGCAATTTCGCTGCCAACAGGCCAGGTAACCCCATTCATTCTACAGCTGACTGAATCTCAAACTGGTTTGAAATGATTTTTCGTGTAATTAAATGCAAGATACGAAGTGGTTGCTTGAGGAACGTCGATGGTCAGTTCCCTTCAAGAGGCCAATGCACTCCCCGGTGCCTTTGCCATCCCTGGATATCAACAAATGCCACAACTTCGTCTCTCGCGTCGATAAGCCGGCGTGTCCAAGCCCGACATTCATCACGGGCGCCCATCGTATATCCTTACACATCCATTCAAGCAAGACCAAGATTCGTCATCATAATCCAGTCATTTCAAAATACTCATAAAGAAAACGAATGAGCGATGTCTCTACACCAATGTATCCCATTCTTCTCCCAACCAGACCCGTCTTGAACGTAACATCATAGCGCTCCCTTCTCCCAACCCAAAGCGCTGCGCCCCTTTAACGGAAACAAGAGAACGGAACACCTGCTCAACTCCCTTTGTCGTGTGATTGCCATCGAGTACTCCGTACCCATTTCCATTGCTTCTCGATTGAAGCCCTCGCAAAACTCCAACTCCAAGCTTTTCACGTCGAGCTGCTTCTCAGTCGATTTTGGCGTTGGCCAGGCTCTTGGCCGTCGGGTTGCTCAAGTTGTTCACCTGCTTCACATCGGCCCTCTTGTACTTGCCTTGCTTCCGTAGCCTCTTCCTCGCCACCATGACGGGGACTGAGCTTTTGGTAACCAAGTAGTTTGAGAAAGATCCAAGAATAACACTGTCCTCTCGTTAGCGATGCATCCATTCAATACCAGCAAGCAATACATACCCCTTCAATGCACTTCGGCCTCGGCTTCCAATAACAACCAAAGTGGGGCTGACCAGATCAATGACCTCTGTAATCAAATGTTTGGGATTTTTGCAGTGCAGCACTTCTACAATGACGCGGACTTGTAGATGCGTCTTCCTGAGGAGGCGCAGAACTCGGTCGGTGATGTCCTTGACTGCTCGGCGACGGTCCTCGGCAGCTCCGTTGCGGTCTCCACGACTCGACGGCGCAGGCGAAGTGTTGGGGGTACTGGCCCTAGAGTCTCCCCGCAAGTGCATGGCGGATGCGCGTACGAAATCCGGGACTGCAGTCATGGTTTGTGGTTGGCTCTTGGAGTTTGCGACGCTGTTGAGGGCTGCGGCCTGCTCCCTCATTGCCTTGGGGTCATCTGGCACCACGGGACAGTCAGCTCCAGCGATGCCAGTTTCCTCGTCGACGCAATAAATCGCGAGCAGCGTGTCTCCGTCTCTCAGCACAGTGCCAATAGCCCACTCAAGTGCGTGAGTCGACTCTTCGCTGAGATCTGTCGCAACTAGGTACTTTCGGAGTCGGTGATGTTCGTCTTCAGCCGCCTGGGCAATCTTGGCATACTCTCCGCGGTAGATTATGCGGATGGCACGGTGAGCCTCGGGGTTGGCGATGACGTTGGTCATGGAGAATGAAAGCTTCTGAGCTCTCTTGATGTCGTCCATGTCGGCCTCCTCGTCCGAGCCAATCATGGATGCCGTTGCCGAGCCCGGCTCTTGGTCGTAGCTGGTATTGGGATGCACAGAATTCTTTGACGGCTTAACGTTGTCGCCGGAAGGATTGGTTACCTTGATTTCAGGCTCTGAGAGAAGGGATCGATACACATATTTGGGTTGCTGTGATGCGACTTCAGTTCCTAGATGAAATGTCAGTCTCCTAGAGTCAAAACAGGGGTAGGACACTTACGCTCTTCCTCTGCAGCGGCAAGGAGACTCATCGTCTTCCTAGTGCGCTTGTTTGACGACGACCGAGGCTCATTGTCTACAGTCTCGTCATCGCCATCAGCCTTGGCATCGGGGTTCAAGGACCGCGGGTCCTTTTTACGCCCGCGATCCTCATCGTCCGAGGAAAATGGCTCATCGTCTTCACTGGATCCAAGGTGTTCACCATCAGGGCCCATGTAGTCCTTGATCAATCTGCCCTTGTTGCGCGAGTCGCTTTGCTTACGTCCTGGCAGCTGTGACAGGGTTCCTCCAGAAAAGGCAAGGTTGGCATCGGAAAGCCGGCGATATGCGTTACTGATGTCGAGCACTTGGCCATCATCGAGGATCGCCGTGCCAGGGATTACCTTGGGCGAGAAAGAGGCGGGAGACCTCGAGCGGGAAGAGATTCGTTGGCTGTTATTTGGAGACTTGGATTTGTTGCCACCAAGACGACCGCCAAAGGACTGGTGACGGCCACGGTCGCCAGGGATCTGGAGGGCACTCAAGTCGCCTCCCCTCAGAGCCTCGGCGATGGCACCAGCAGATTGCCTCTTGCCACCCTGGGTGTTTCTCTTGGGCAGCTGGCTAGTGGTTGGGGAGAGAATGCCAGAGAACTGGTAATCAGAGGTAGGGTCATTACGTCCAACCGATGCTCGAGGACCAAAGTCGACGGGCTTTGTGGCCGCATCAGAAAAGCTCCGCATGTGCAAAGCACTGCCGGGGCCTTGAGCTTTGGCCAACTCAGCATGGTGGGCAACGGGGGAATTGGGCGTCGTGCTGGTGCCAGGGAGTTTTGAAGGGCCTGCCGGGGGCGATTCTGGGTCCAACATGCTTCTCGCATTCGACGGAGGCGGGGAGCTGGTATCAAGCATGCTTCTGATTGGAGCTCTTCGAGGCGAGCTTGGGGCTGGGTCGTTGCCAATGTCCAACATGCTTCGGACGGGCGATCGTGGAGTTGTATATGGCGATGCGGACCGCATCCGCTCTGGGGAGGCGTTCGGGTTCGGGTTGGGCCGAGCCCTGTTCTCTAGTAGAGCGAGGACTTCCTTACGCTCCATGTCGAGCATGGCCTCGATGCTCATGGGCTGCTGATTGTGCGACATGATGGCGGTTTCGTCGTCCAATTGCTTCTATGAGCTGGAGGCTTGCGGTTGCAGAGTGGGAGTTTTGACGACGGAATATGGAATGCGGGGAACGAGTTGTAGGGTCTGTTGAAGGAATCGGCGATTCGCGAGATGGAGGGAGGCGAAGCAAGATGAATATGATAGAGCCGTCGTGGGCGCACAACACTCGCGCTTAGCGAGGAACCTTTGGATGGAGGCGCTGAGATGTCGAGGCAGGCCAAGCGAGCATGGTGTTTCCAGCAACGGGCGGGCGACTCGGTGACGGGCGCCGTTCAGAGCATGGCGCAAACGGGGAACTTGGGTAGCGAGATGTTGGAGGTGTGATTCGGTGAGCGAGGAGCTAATGGATGTCGACGATAGGACGACGACGCTTCGGGCGAGGGTCCTCGGGCAGCAGGATACGAGATAAAGCGTCGGCCGGCGGCGTGTGGTGGTGATGCGAGACGTGATCGGGTGACGAGCCGGAGAGAGCGAGGGTTTGGGATGGAGAAGAATGGAGAAGAATGCCGTCTCGACGTGGGGAGGCTGGGCGCCCGAGTGGAGGGGAGGGGCTGTTCAGTGCCACTGAGTGAGTGAGTGCTCCGCCGTGGCCACGCACTAAGGCGCTTTCGACCCTGTGAGAAGTGACGGTGCGTCTCAGCGAAGAGCCTTAACGAGCCTTAACAATGAGCTAAACAGGGCGACGGGTGTTCTAGAGCCCTCCACTACACCCACTGAATCACTGCGTTACTAGACAACTCACCGTGCTGCACACCGTCGGGGCTTCACCTCGAGGGCAATGGACATCTTGAGGGAGTGCTTCTCGGCAATGACTCGGTCTCAGGCCTCCTCCACTCGCCAAACATGCTCCCCGCAATCAGAGCATTTCTTCCCCGCCATGGGAAACAGGCAGCTGTCATGTGAAGCTCTCAGGGTCTAGTCGTCATTTCGTCATTGCACAATCAATGGCTCAAGCCTCCCGCCACACCTTGGCCATTATTTGCCTTTGGGTCCCAATACTCAGATCCCCAAGTACCCAAAAAAAGCCCCGTGCAATTTCGTATCTTCGCCATGTCCAGCAGCAAACCCAGGCCCTTTCCGCGTCATCGACTCCCATGACTCTCCAACTTTGCCGTCATGGGCTGAGCCAATCCCAGCCAACATCCCACTAAGGCAGCGCTGGCTCCGGGGCTGCAGAGCGGTACGTACATACGGATAGAGCCGTGGGAATACCGCTTTTGACAGTGAATACCATCAATCACTTGAATAAGCTTAAGGGAAGCTGAAACTTCCGAGGCTTAAGCCAAAACTCTCTGGAAGAAACCGCATATCCTGTTAAGCCACAGTATTCAACTGCAGTCCTTGTAAATCATGAGATTGTACCGAGGGATGTTTCGGGACGTTGCAGTCGTCGACGCACACCGCAAACTACCATGCTTAAAAACCATCCGCATCCTGGGAAGTGTCACGCTCCCGAAGCGCCCCGATCCCATCCTCACCCTAACGTACCCTACATACGCGAGTGCATGAACGCATCCTCTCAAAGTCAACTGCGCACCCAAACCCCGACCGACTTTTCTCTCGGTGGAGACCGGTACCGACGTCCCGTCTTCTACCGAGTCTACCCATATCATTCGGGATCCGGAGAGGCTCAATCGCCGCTGAATAAGATCTATCAAAGTTAAACCACACAAGCAATATGTACTATGCAACAATGCCCGAAAGTCCGCTATTTCCTGCCGAAGCTTCTATACACCAATTAACCCTGTCGCCTGAGTAAAAAGCTAATCCGATAATTTTTCGTGCAAAGTCTTTTTAGTGACCTTACGCAGGGTTCATCCAGCGCGGGTGCAGTGCTGATCTCGTGCTCAAGGCCACTACGTAATTTGAGAAGGGACTTCAAAGCAACTGAATTAGCCGAGACTCGCCAATATTACACACCCAATGGTCTTTTCTCCGCTATGTCTACCTGGAGGTAGGAGGGAGCGTGGCAGCAAATTCACAGTGGGGAAAACACAATATAGGTATTTTGAGGCTCATGCCATACAACGCGGTAATTCACGCTTGTATAGTAGCATTTTTGTGCGGTGGTTTAGCGGCAGAAAGGGATAAAAACTAATAAGTTATCCACTTCATTAACTTACCCTAGAGGAAATGCACAGAATATCGTCGCACAGGCGACCTTGCAAGGCCAGCCCGAAGCTGCACTAGACTACGCGTATGAGGTCGGATGGATCTGCGGTTTATATCTCCTAATAGAAAGGCATCCCATGGCATATAATACCGTGTCGATCGCAGGAATTTCCGCTGGGAAGGCTTCGATAAGGCCCACGGCAGCCCGGTATCTGATGGGGTGGAAGACGGAGGTTGGACAAGGATCGTAGCGGCAGTCAAAATAGAGTTAGACAGAAATCTTTTAAAATAAAGACAACGAATTAATTGGCTCATACAATAGGTCTCGAGCTCTCCAGGTCTCTCTGACTTCAAGGAAATAAATCTCCAAAATTAAAAGAAAACGCGATAATTCCTTCCCTCTTTCTGCAGCCATCTCTCCCTTTTATCCCCGAGATGTCTCAGCTAACGACCGGCTAGACTAGTTGCCTCTAACCGCCCGTGACAGTGTCTGGCTTTTCCAAGGGCTCGATAGATTCGGAGAAGTTGATGGTTTTGGAAGTCTTCGGACCACGGGACGTCGGCTATCTCTATGAACTCGACCCAAGGATTTAACGCCATCGATCCCCTCGACTTGCCTCACCTGGTCATCAGTCAATTCGACCGTCCAGCTCTCAATCCTGTCATTCCAGTGCCTTTCCCTAACCTTGTCGCTGAGAAGGACCTCGAGGGACGCGCTAATTGCCTTGCACTGATCCTGGTTGTCGCGATCCACGGGGTAGATTTTGTAGATGCCTTCTATAACAATGCTCTTTCTTCGCCGCTGTTTTTCTTGATGTGCAGGAATCTCAAACTTGACAATGCGAGCAATGCCACCATAGTCCTCCAACTTGGTGACTTCACTTGGCGAGGCTTCGACTGTCCAAGATATCAACTGCTCACCGACATCTGCCCGAGGGTGGAGGTCATGATTCTCGACAGTTGACTTGATGAAGTTGGCGGCTGCAGAGATATCGGTGCCTTCTTTGGGAAACATGGTATAGAGGTCTTTGCCAGGCTCGGGGGTTCTTTCACTTGCAAGTTCATGTTAGCGGTAGTTGACAATGGGACTAGGACCAAGAGAAGTCAGGGTAGAATGAACATGTGGAAATTCATCTTGAGCGTTCGTGAAGAAGAGTGATTGACTTTTGGCAGCTTTGAGTTATGTCTCAATTGGCCTTTCTCCGAGGGGGTATACTGAGCTATATATGTTGAAAAAAGGCCTTTCATGTCCTGAACCGTGAACGTACCTAGATTGGACGCTTGTCGTTGCGGAGGCATCTTGGTTAGAGGACATGATAGGCACGAAGCTTAGGCGTATGCGCTCCTGGGTCGGTTTGAATACTCGGGTGTTACTCTTGAAGGCAGAAGTGCCTGAGTAGATGATGACTTGGACGCGAGTTCAATGTGTCTCAAGTCTTCGGGGGGCCTCGTCGGGTAGAAGTTGCACGGAGGAGAGAAAGTTATACGAGGAGGCAGAGGAGTCTAGTCTTATAGCCGCTGGGAGGCGAAATAGTCTCTTAAGATGCATTAGGTCTAAGTCTTTCTTACTGCACCAGAGAGTTTATTAATTGACCTTATAGCTATAAATATGATGGAGCAATAGGTCCTTGGACCCCTTCCACACTGTATTCCCAGTGATGGGATTTGAAGAAACGTTTCATCCTCCGCCGGCCTGAATAGGTAGAATGCAAAGACACAAGTACACAGTTAGAGAAATGCTATAGCCTGACACATCGGAAAATACATCTTGTGCTATGCTTTGGGATCCTCAAAGGCAAAATGCTTCCACAAAATTACCAAACTTTAATTGTTATTGCCCAAAGAGGGCCCGAAGCTTCGTAACGCATTTAAAGACGGCGGTTTTCTTGCTACCATTCGGGATCTCGATAGAGGTTGAATTGCTGCTGAATGAGATGCATTTAGGTGAAGTCATATAAGCAATATATTATCAGGAATAATTCCGAAAGTCTGCCACTCTCTCCTAGAGCTTCCTTATATCTATCCACTCTGCGCCTCAGTGAAAAGCTAATTCGATGACTTTTTGCTTAAAGTCTTTTTTACTGAAGTTATGTAGAGTTCATCTAGCATAGGGCGGGTTCTTGTGGTACCAAGATTCCAGGGTGTAGAGAATGCTGCTATGCTCTCGAGACGGGTAACATATATAGGCGCCAAGCCGATAAATACTTCTGGACCGAACTTTCCCTTTTGCAATTCAATTAGAAGGACAAATCGAGTACCTCTCCTATTCATTCTGCTAATCCCCGGTGATTACACTCCAGGGTCATGAATAAACGCTGCAATAAGGCCAATTATTTCCACGACCCAAAAACGGCCCAGACTCGAGCGGTGCCTGCGGTTCTCACAAACATCTAATCATGATTCGCGTATCATCTAGAAATGAATATTTTTTGTTCAACTTAGGCTACTAAATTGGATACGGTTTTGACTAGTCACGATGCTACACTGTGCGACTCAGGCTTTCGTCACATTTTCACACAACCCTCCGTGAGAGGCATTCGAAGGGGGAACACATGGAAACAAAGATCAGCATGTCCATGAACCAACACGATTGTATTATCTTTGCCACCCTTGCCGGCATTTAAAAGAGGGGAAGCTGTGATAAAGAGGTGCGAGTGGACTACGCCTTGTATTCATTACATCACGTTGCGAATTCGTAGTGTTGGTAAGTCAACCCCCAACGCCAAGCGGCCCGCGTATTGGTCTGTTGGTTGTTATGAAGATTGAACAGTAGAGTAGGCTGTATACCTGGGTAGGTAGGGCCGGGAGCAGGCAGTGGCACACGAACGGGCGAATCAATCTCTCGACCACCCAACAAAGCAATTCTTTTTTACTCAAACGGGGGGTTGGTTGCATCGCGCTTTCATTTCTGCACATTTGCAGCGCAGGGTTGGAATATGTTGGGTCGAAATTGAGACAATGGCGTCGTACCTTCTGATGTGGCCCGAAGTCTCACCGATAACCAACTTCTCACTGGTGTAACGATGCCACCCATCTCCCTGTCTCCTCGCGTCTTGCGCTCACGTTCTCCCCAACCCTCCGATATTCCTTTATCGCAAGACTCATTTCTCAACATGACTCCCTCCGATCTTACCGATCCGACCGACAGAAAAGCTCCAATCATCACGTCATATCAAGATCTAACAATCATCGAATCCTGGGACTCCGAGACGAACACACCCAAATCTGTCGCCTTTTATCACGTCACTTCCGATGAAGTAGTCTACTTTGGCCAGTCTTTCAAAATAAAAGGGAACTTACCTTTGCAGAGTTCACCGCGGCACAAGAGCCCGTGAATGACGATGAGATCTACCCAGAGGTTCCGATAGACGTCGAATTGACAATTGCACCCGATCACTGGGACGATGTTTCAGCGTATATCAAGAGGCCTGGCCTGGTTTCCTACGAGGAGATGAAGGGGACAGAGTTCATCCCCAAGGAAGTCTTGAATGAGACCCTTACTATGGAGCAAATCTCCAAAGCCTATCATCCCAACATTGTCGGATACTATGGTTGCCACGTTAGACATGGCCGCATTACGACCATAGTCTTAGAGCGACTTGACCAAACTCTGACAGAATTCGAATCCACGCCCGGTTTCCAACAGCTTGACAAGACCAAGTTTATTGCGGCACTCGAGTCAGCCGTGGATCATCTGCATTCGCTGGGGTTAGCACATAACGACATCAATCCGTCCAACATAATCGTCAAGGACGGGATGCCGATCTTGATAGATTTCGGGTCCTGCCAGCCTTATGGAACACGTCTGCAGTCACTTGGGACGTCTGGATGGTACGAGGAGTTGTTTTTCACATCCGAGAAGAAGCACGATACCTATGCTCTTGGGAAACTACGAGAGTGGTTTCAAGAGAAGGAGTTGAAGGCTGAGAAAACTGAGAAATGACATCGCTTGATAGAGAGCAACCAATGCGATCATCATGTGTTGTTGTACTGCTTTGATCTATCTCGTAGTGCTCGCTACGGGCGGTTAGGACTGGCGCTGGGATTATGTAGAAACCTCGTCTTTCTATCCAAGGCTGGTATAGTTACATGTTTTAACACACCTATTGTACAACCCGCCTCATGCTGTTTACATCTTCTTCTTGACCTTGAGCTTGTTGGACCCAACGTTGGCTCGGGCCGCCGTGCCCAGCTTGTGGATCTGCTTCCGTTTCTCCCACACGCCCGACCGTCCCTCCACGACGGCGATGATCTCCTCGGCTATTCGAGTGGGGAACTGCTTGCGTCCACTGCCCTTTGAGGGCTTCTTGTTGACCACGTCGAGGATCCACTGGAAGGCGATACGCCGGCGCTGTCGGACAGCGAGGGGCACCGGCAGTTCGAGGGCGCGGCCACCACCACCTGCGCCGGAGACGTTGCGGATCTTTAGGAGCGGCGCCACCGAGTCAATGGCGACGGTGATGTAGAGGATGGGGTTGAGGGGGAGGTGGGCGGCCGGCGGGGTTCCGGGCAGGAGGGGGAATTTCGGGCTGTAGATCGGCGCGGGCGCGGTTCGGAGAAAGTTCATGACGGTAGCCATGTTCTAATTCGCAGGTTAGCGGACCGTATGTCAATTTATTTTCCCGCAGTTGCACATACCCGCTGCGCAACGCTCAGCTTGCCGTCCCGCATCAGGAGTCGCGTGATCTGCTCCAGGACGGGGTGGTATCGCTTCTTCTGGTTGAAGCCTTCGGGCCACGGCCGCCTGGGAAGTCCAAACTTGTGCCCGGGGTTTTGCAGTCCGCCCTCCTCCTCCTCCTCCGCAACAAGGTCGGCTTCTTCTGCCGCTGCCACAAGAGCCTCCGCCTCCTCGGCAGGTGGGATCATGCCTTCGCGGTAGAGGGTTTCCTCCTGGGCCTGTGTCAAACCGCCCTCGCCCTGGCTCGTCACTGTACGACCGCCGTAAAAGAGTTGCTCGAGGGTCGCATCGTCCAGAGTTTCGACATTGGACTCGTTTGTGGAAGATGTCACCTGGAACCGTTCCCATTAGTCCCACACCTAGCGCAATGCCCAGTTTCCAATTCCTACCTCAGACTCTCCATTCTCAACAGGCGCACTGGAGGCACTGGCCTCCTTCGATTCCACTTGCGATTGGGGCTGCTCGGCGTTGTTGGAGTTGTCAATCGGTTTCGGCGGTTGCTTGTCTCCGTCGTTCGAGTACCATCGGGTTCGGGGAAGCGAGTTGACAAACGGCTCGGTTCGGGGGGCGATGGGTCTCGACCGAATTGCGAGAGCTCTACATGCGCCCCAGATCCTCAATCTTGGAGACATGGCTGAGCTCCGCGTCACTGGCAACGTCTTAGAGCAGGGTATTTTACAGCCTCGTGGCTTCGCGTGGTTGATGGGTAAATCCGTGATGAAAATTCCCCAGTCAGTCGAGCTCCACGGAACAGCAATATTCCGGCGTGCACAGCTCATCCATCCCACCATCGGGCTGCTTACATAACACGCATTGCACTCTCGTCGTCCAGTGGGGGTACCCAGGTACGTACTATAACGCCGATTCAAACATCTCGATCTCGATAAGACAGCGTTTCGGGACTTGAGGTGGAGGTTGCATCGCAGTGTCCTCGTGAACAGACCGTAACACGAAACCGGCAGTCACTTCCGAGCTTCACGCATTGCAGACGATCCTCGGCAGTTACCGATATGCTTTCCCAACCGTTCCGGGCGACTCCTAAATCCCCAACGTGTCAACCGTAGTACATTCTATTCAGCTGAATATGTCGCCGCGGAGGCTCGAGGCGTTCATAGTCTGGCACGCCGGACCGGGGTAACTAGTCGATGCTCCCCATGCGTCCAAGCCAATGGCCCCCTCCTACTAGGGGGCGTCGACCCTACCGCGTGTTGTTGGATTCACCGCATCTACGCCTCAGCCGTGGCTTGGCCAGTATTAGTGCTTTTTCTCATCCGCCCACCGGTCTGACTATTTCTGGTATAGGAACACCAAAAAAGAAAGCTCTGATGGCGGTGAGAAGGACCAATTGTTATCATCTGGAGTTGTTTGACCGGCGATCGCTTGTGCTCACCACCACGCCGGTCTGTGGCTGAACCTAAGGTGGGGGTCTGCATGCCTTGACAGCAAAGATACGCTGCGTCATCCCAATACTCCTTTGTCATAGCGGTGGTGTTTGGGTGGATGGGGGCCAGAAAGGAGCCATGTGACCGGCAGAGAAGGCGGTCATGGGCGAAACAGGCCTCGTCTTGCCGGCGACAGGGATGTTCCCGTGATTACTTCCATGTAATTTGTCACCGGCACAAAAATACCATTCACGTCACTTGTTTCGGATGACGATATTGTAGACATTTGGTCATTGTAAAGCAGTAATCGTAACATTGAAATCTCGAGACCGATGGCTATTGATCCCCTCTGTTTGTATTTGTGATTCTGTAGTAGTTCTTTCCCATGTCCTGTCCCCCCAGCTCCCAAAGCAATTGATCAAACACACCTGATATCCAACATTCAAGTAAGCTCTTCGAACCGAGGAAAAAAAAAGAAATTTGTAAATGTGTGGATGCCTCGACATCGACAGATTCCAGACCATTGTCTCAAGCTTGGTACCGCGAGGCACATCTTCTTCTCTGTTCTTCTTTTCCAGAATTGTGCTCCAGCAGCGTCTATGGAACGTAGCTCCCAGCCTGTTAGTGGAGATGTATCAAGCAATGCACCGATTCCATGGTGCCCGACTTTTTGGGTTCGCCATTGTCCCTTGGCCAACTCCAGATGTGAAACTCGCCGACGTAAAAAAGAAATGCGCAAAAGGAACCCGACAAACAGTAACTCCAGCCATAGATCAAGAGCAACATAGGTCTCAAGTTGTCAAATGTCCAAATCAAAACAATGCACTGTTAGCGTGTAGGAGGGGCCATTGTACCCCCCAGGGAGCCAGTGAGCCAGCATGATCTACCAGCCCCAAGATTGAATGGGGGAGCTGTCATTCGACGGCGTGGTCAGCCACGAGACGGCACACTCGGCAGCATCCTCTCGAGCATTGTTGAGGTTCTTGCCGTCGTACCAGTACCGGGCAGAGAGTGTCTTGCCGTGAACGGTGACTCTACTTGACCAAGCAGTGCGCCCACCTAAGTTGGTCAGAAGACATTCATGAGGTAAGGATGAGTACTGCAGGGCAACATACCACGACGGTCAGAGACGATCTGGAAAACTGGAGGGCGTAGTTGAGCATCGCGGCAAACCACTGAGATGCAATTAGTTTCATTGATCAGAGAAATAACGTGGTGGTGGTGGAGAAGCTTACACTCGAGCCGCTCTTGCCAGGGTCCGACTGCGGTAAGGCCTTGCATATCCATGGTGATGGTGAATGGAAGGCGAGATGTAAGACAGAATTGGTGTGTGATGGAATTCGAGCTAGGCTCTTGAGGTGCTGACGTCTAAAGTCGTGTACGAGAAGTTTGGAGTTGGTGGTGGTGGTAGTGGTGGTGGAGTTGGTGGTGATCAAGTCTGGATTGAAGAGTGCGGCTTGGCGACTTATAAGGTGAAGGCGAGCTGAATCGGGACGATTGAGAGGGTGCCTTGGGAGAGAGGTTGGGCGTGCGTGGGGTGTGAGAGAAGACAGCAACAACGGCAGCGGCAGAAGCAGAAACCCTGGAGATGGCAGCCAGCGTTCGAATGCCAGGTGGTCGTGTGTCTATCCGACGGGCCTCAGCAGTAGGACGAGGCACGCAAATAGACTGGCCCTGGGAGATTGGGTGGGTGATGTGGCAGCAGAGGATTAGGTACCGGCAATGGGGGGGATGTAGGCCGTTTACGCAGGGCCCGAAATGTTTGCCCAAAAAAATGCAGGACGGCTAGTTTTTGAATAGCTGAGCGGCAGGCTGCAGATTGCATCAAGGAACAGGAAGATTCGAGAAACAGGGAATCCAAGAAAAAAAAGAGTCGTGCGGGACGACGAGAGGGAGAGATGGGGAAAAAGGAGACTATCAGCCACAAGGCGCGACAAGCCTCGACGTGGGAACAGACGAAACGGCTTCCTCAAAAGAAGGAAAGAAGCCTTTGACTAGCAAGTAACTACGGCGTAACGAGGGTACAGACAGGTAAGGTACTTGGAGACTGGACCAGGGCATCAAGTTGCTTTTTCCCTCTTGCCCTCTTGCCCCTTGAGGGGAGAGGGTGGGATCTGGCACATCGGGTTAAGCTCGACAGCAGGCGGAAATCGAGTTGGGCGTGGGAGAGCGAAAGGCGAGAGGCGTGCGTGGAGTTTGCGTAGAGAAGGGCCGGGCTGCAGGGGCCGGCGGCCGGTGGCTCGGGAGCGGGTACGGTACGGGGCGAATGCCGTGGTGGTGTTTGGGGAAGGATCTTGGGCGTTGATGAGGCTCCCGAGGCTGGCAGCCGGGCTGTTGGTTTGCTGTTGGGCTAATAAGTTGGCGAGTGGCGAGGGCTTCGTGACGGCGACGGGGATGGGATGGGATGGAAGGGGCACGGAAACCAGCATGGGAGACGCCTTGATGCATTAGGGAGCGGGTGTGACGAGACGGAGACGGAGACGGGCACGGAGACGAGACGAGACGAGATGGCTATGGGATTAGGGATGAGGGATTGGGGAGCGAGGCCCGCCAGCCGTCCAGCCAAGCCATCCGGAGGAGCACTACACTACTCTAGTGTAGCGCTTTGCTTCTGTTCGCGCTCGCGCTCGTGGCCTGCCGTGGCCGTGGCCGTGGCCGTGGCCGTGGAGCACCAGGTGTGTAAGGGGAGAAGCGGACAGCGGCGGTACGAGCGAGCGTCCATGCGCCGCCATGCGGTAACGAGGAGCTAGGCCATCGTTTGGGAAAGGCTGGTTGCCGCTGGCGTCTGCTCCATCAGATGCAAAAAGCAATGACGGGGAGATGGTGTATTGCCGGTGTCTGGGTAGCCTGGAAGTCGGGGCACGGAGCGTGGAACATGGGGCATGGGGGTGGTCCATGGGATATGGGACTGGGGCTGGGCTGGACCACTTGCACGCGAGGAGCCACGACGGTGGACAATCTGGACAAGGAGCAGGAAAAAACAAAGTGAGGCTGACGACCAAGAAGGAATTGACGACAGTGCGCGTGAGGCGTGAGGGAGACGCGGGTATCATGGAGAGAGAGAAGAGAGGCGAGAAGGGGGATATTGAGACAGAAGGAAGTTTCTAGAGACACGCCTTTCATACCTGCTCACCACGACACGCCTTGAACACACGCCCTGGAGGGCCAATTGGTGCGGGTTGGGCACGATGATGATGATGATGATGACGACGATGTGTAGAAAAGAGTTTCTCAGTTGTTTTGGGACACCATGTCGTATGTACGCAACCACCAACCGCCGTCTGACGCAGGCACCGCCGCAGGCAGAGTGTGACAAAAGTCATTTACAGCGAGCGTGTGTGTGTGTACGACATGGAGAACGAGAGTGTGTGCATGGAGCGTGTTGGATGGGTGCAAGACCAGCCAGTTTACCAGGGCCATCTCGAGCTAGCTGGATTGGATCCTCGGTCGTCCACCCACCCGGCCAGTCTTCAGCTCGGGGCGAGATGACGATGGCCACGTCAAGCGCGTCCAAGGCACAGATACGGCGCGGTCAGGGCGAGCTGAGCAGGGCATGTCGCCTAACCAGCCATGACGATGCCAACGCCCGAAGGTGGAAATTCGAGAGGAGCCACGACCAAGACACCTCATTTTCCAATCCACCGCGGCGAAACCATTGAGACCGGACAACAATTGAGAAGGGGATTAAAAAAAAAAAAAAGTTCACCAAACGGACCTTGCTTCTTTTCTTTCCGAGCACAGGGTGGAGTGCGATCAGCATTGCCGGATACAACCTGTCGCCGGGATCTTTGGTTGTGTGGGGGAATGGCACCCGCTATCTTCGCCCGGGTACAAGGCTAGCTCCAGCGCACACTAAGCTCGACGGCGCATGTATTTCGTAGATTTATATCCGCTCCGCTCCAGTCGTTTGTGTGCCACTGGGGTTTGCAATTGTAGCTCGCTCGCTCTAACTAACTGGGAACCGAGAGGCAGGAACTTGGTCCGATGTGGTCCGGGATGGTGGGCCGGGAGTGATGTGCTGTTAGCGTATGTCGACGCACGAATTACTGTGCTGCATCCCCATCTGACAAGAGGTCTTTTCCGCTTCTCCATGGCGAGTTCAGTCAGTAGTGAGCCTCTAGTAGAGATACACTGCAGCCTCCAGACACAGTTCGGCGTGGGGACATGGGGGGAAGAGACACCACCACCTCCACCGCCGTCTAAAGCCCCCACGGGCCCCCCAACCAATTTGCGATGCTGTAAATTGTCTACTCGGTACCCGAGGTCTGTCTTATCCCTCGTGTGTGCTGTACTGTGTACTACTGCGTACGTGGTGCTGTACGTCGTCGATAGTCCACCGTCTAAGCGCGTCTTGCGACAGGCAGTTGGCATTTATCCCCCGGAGGCGCTCCCAGCGGCGAGGACAACAGGGGTGGGCGAGGGCAGGCATGCGGATGGATGCGCCATGGGGCGGCCTGCTGGTCGCCAAGGCTTATGATTTGAACCTGGAATGCATAGGCTGGGGAGTGCGCTTCCGGCAGGTGCCGGGTTCGTGGTTGGCTTGATTCACCGAAAGATCACGGGTTGCCGCTGCTTTGGTCTGTGTTTGCTTTTTCTCCCTTCGCCATTTGCGTGGCCCGGTTGTTGTCTCATCCTCTGCTTCCCTTCCGGCGGTGGGCGGCCTGACAAGCCTGACAAGGGGCCAGCGCTCGACTGCATTCCACATTCCACACCATGTAGCAGAGGTCAATGGCTGATTCCCAACCGGGAAACCATGCTTGCGAACGGCTACGATGCCGGTACGTGCGGTGTGCGTGCTTGAGTGCGTGCGTGAGGTAAGCTTGTTCCCCAGACCCGCCGCGTTCCGGACGATGTTGCCAAACTACCGACCACATGCGTATCATTTGCTCCAGGATGCACGAGGGCACCCCGGGGCTGGGAGACAAAAACTGTCCGCAGATGATAGGTCGGACCTTGCAGCTTCTGGAGGGCGTGGAGGCGTGGAGGGCCACTGGAGGATCCCACACGTTTGTTCTGGAATCGATGAACCACCGCCAGCGGCGCAGAACACACACGACCTGTTGCGTCTGCGCCCGCGTCTATTCGTACTTGTCTCTCCCAACACGCCCTCGTATCGTTCTGGAGCCACGCTGTCTCGCCCTGCCCTGCCCTGTCCCGCCGTGGCAAGGGGTCAATGGACGGGATCGCCAATCGTGCGAATACAAACACCGCCCTCCCAAACGACAAACCTACAGCAGCCACGGACCAGGCCGAAGCTGACGCTGCAGGGCATCAACACATGCAGGCAGCTGAGTTCACGTCATTGCCAGGCTCTGCGCTGTCCGATGCGAGGCGACGACGGGAACGGTGCGAAGCAGTGCCTCACTCACCTACCCGATGGACGCTCTCGTCAGCTCGACGCACGCAAGCACACGCAAACAATGCGACGAGAGATGAGGCGAGATGAGGAGTGTTGCACCGATCGGGAGCCCACATGATGCTGCCTTGGCTTGGGCTTAGATGCATTCAATCGAGTTGTCACCGGTCCTGACCGGTCTGCCTCTGTCATGTCAGTTGCCACGGACAGAGCCCCATTCCGATGCCCACTCCCCGTTTCCACGTCGTTTACGGAGTAGCTCCGTCATATTTCACCGTGGGCGCGACAAGCACCGATCCACCAGCCTGCGCCAGATCACCTCTGCAGGACCGGGGATGCCTGATGAAACCCGAGCGGCGTAGCAGCTGCCGACGTCCGTCTCTGCTTGTCTGCCCCAGATGCCTCCAACCTTGGCAATCCGACCGGTCGGGCACCTAACACGCCCTAAGTTATCGTTGCCTTTCTTTTGGCTTCAACGGGTCTCAGAGCCGTTGCTGACCGTTGCGCAGATGCCGTCGTGGACTTGCTCTGCCCCAGACCCTCCCTCACCGGTCTGGGGGCGTGGGTCCTCGATGTCAAAGCACCGGTGATCTGACTATCCCGATGCCCTTTTCTGCGCTTGCCCTGATGAATCGCCTCTGGTAATGACAGTGTCTGACCTCTGTGACACAGTTGGGCCGTCGAGCGCGAGGTTGAACTCTGCAGGCCTCCGTCTCTGCCGACTCCCGGCCTCATGACTGAGCCCAATTCCATCCTCGGGGCTATGTATATCATCGATGGGATTCCATCATCCATGTCGGTGTTTATGTGACACGGGAGCTAAACTCTGCCACTCCCATCCCGCTTGTTGTCACCGATGATCGGGCCCTAGCCAGCAAACCAAGGAGAGCTACCCATCCTAAGCCCAGCGGAGCAGCGACATCCGAGGACGGCCTCGGCGGTGATGAGCAGGTTGGGAGCCGTCAACATGCCGAGACACTCTCACACGACTGGGCCTGCTGATGCCGCGTCCCCGCCGGAATTGTTGAGATCGACTTGACGCTGCCGTCCATGCGGCACTCCTTGCGCAACAATCCAGTCCCGATACCGCTGTCATTAGTTATTGGTGCGGGCATGTTGGCACAGAACAAAAGCAATACCTGATACGGGTCTCAAATGCTTTTCTCTGCGCCGGCTCCACTCGAAGCCCGGTTCCCTCCGTCCTCGCTCTCGTCGCTGTGCGATGGTCATCGAAGCTAGCACCTGAGCCTGGATGCTGGAGAGTCGCTACCAACACCAATCTTTCATCTGGTATTATTTATTACTATGCCTAGATGCCCTAGGGAGTCCCGGAGATGCAAGATGCCCTGTTCCACGACACGGGCACGCGGCCAAATACGCAGCCAAAGACCCCTGAAGCCCGCACCCACTCCAATCCTGGATCACAGATCCCTAGCTGCAGATCAACCCCATTCTCCCAGCAAACCTGCATTGCCGGCAGGCGTAGGACTAGCCTGTAGTGAATGTTCCAGTTACACCGTCAAGTAAGCAAACCAAGCCCGCCCCCGCCAATATTTATAGTGCCATGTAGGAGATACGAGCGGTAGGCAAACATCAATAGCGCTATGGAGACGTTAACAGCATGGCAAATTGGGAGCGAGCGCGAAATGGGGGCTGGGGTTTGCAAAGGACAACTGCATCAAACGCGTTGACCCCAATATCACTCCCCGAGGCATGTTGTCCGATGTCTCAGGTCCTAGTGCATAGGTTTCACGAAACGCCTCCATCAGCACTGAGCAAAACAGGCTCATCTTAGAGTCCTCTTTCCTCGAAGAGGCGGTGGGAAGCAGCCACAATCCATCTACAGTAGCGTTGTTTGCCCGCAAGTCTCAGTCTCGCAGTGGTTGCCTTCGAGGAAGCTCGTAATCACCACCCCCATCTTCGCCCTAGTGTCGTCCAGGCGTCCGATACTCATTTTCTCTCCAATGTTCGATGCGGCTCAACTTAGTTAACTGCACGTGTATCCGAATTTGAACTTGGGCCAGTTGACATTGGACTTGTGCTATTGGTCTACTGCATTGACCCCCCAAAGAAAGCCGTGCCATGAAATCTAGTCTTCCCAAAAAGAGCAAACATATCACTAGTGCCATCCGAACCCCATGACCTTGTTTACTCTTCTTTTCTCGCTCTTTTCTCCTTTCCGGAGGTTAGTAACAAGCATAGAAATAAATTGCAAGTGGCGGGGAAAAGAGATCGCCGTTAGACAGCCTCCAGTTCATGGACATTGCTCTACTTCCACCAAGCATTGACCTAGTGAGACCTCAGGTGTCGTGGTAATCCATGATGAAAAATTATTATTCATGTCACACACTCCCAGAACCTGATTCTGCCCTAGTCGCTACTGGCGTACTACGAGAGATTCTTTATATGCGGGGCTTCAACAGCATAGAGCCCGGACCCGATCCATGGGAAGACGATGCACTGATGGAGTACTTTACGTTGTGCATATTAATCAGCCTGGACCGGAAGTTTGGCATCCACGCCGAGAAATGTGTCAACTCCCTGGACCCCTTGAGGGCCACAGCTTGTCATTATTCGTAGCCGAGATTGCTGATAAGCTTGAAGGTGCACGAGCGCACCCGAGTTTGACTTTAAGGTTTCGCTCAAGCACTGATGCAGCTAAGATCGCTTGAGCCCCAGCAACGATGAACCCTGATGATCTGATATTGTTCCATATACAGTGGTGAGTTGTAAAGAGATTTAAATTGAACTTCAGGGGGAAGACTAAATTGTGCCTACCTATCACGGCCATTTCCTGACTTGGCTATTAATCATCACAATCGAGAACTACCATCGACGCGTCAGGAGCGATGCCACGATGTACGAGCGCTCAGTCACGAAATTACGGTCCTTTTGTAAATAGGTGATGAGCACCAGCCTCTTGGTATAAATAAAAATTTAAACCATTGCTTCTTTTTAGATATGCCAGAGAGGACGGGCGGAAAGGGGTCACCATCGTCAAGATTGACGGCAAAAAAAAAAAGTCGGCGACATCACGAAGGAAAAACGAGTGTCAAGGGCAAAAATAAGAGTTGCGGCTTGTGTGGATTGAACACACGACCTTCAGATCTTCAGTCTGACGCTCTCCCAACTGAGCTAAACCCGCTCTTGGATGAATTTAGGCGACCAAATACTAGCCTAAGAGCTACTCAACGCCGCTAGTGGGCCGCTCGAATGATCAATTGCGTGAAATCGCAATTGGACAATTAAGAGAAGAAATTACGAAGATGCTTCCGTTATTTTTGTACCTACTAGTGTTTCCTACATTTAGGAGATGACTCTCTATAAATCATGAATCACTCCGACCATTGACTCATTCACCCGTCCAGCACGGTTGGATCACCACACAGCTGACGATCGATTCGCACCTCAGAACTGTTTGGAGCGTCCGCCCGATTTTTTCTGGCTTCATGCTACACGATCGTAGGCCACCTTATTTTCGCTGTAGCCCCGTATGCACACCTTGAACTTAGCTAGAAAGTCGGAAACTCTCTGCTCGTAAGGCGACGATGAACCTACCCCTCATGCTGAACAGGATCCGAATCTAGAAAAAGCGGGTGACCTGGGACCATAAAATAGAAGCTGTCTCTGGAGTAAAAAAATCTCTATTATGGTTGCAATAGCTCGGGCTATCTCGTGTTATTGGTTTTCGTGTCCCACTATTAAGAACCACCAACCTACTGTTGGAGTGCTTTTCCATTACTATGTGCCAGGGTGTGTGATGAGTATCTTCTGTAAGATATACGTAGGAGCCTACTGATAATACACAAAATGCCTTATTGGGCATTAGGGACATTGTACAGCTTACAGCGCGGCAGCGATATCGCGTGCATACTGTCCTGTAGGCAGGCCATTACACCTTACTCTTGGTGTTGAGAAGCACCGCGACGATGAGACTATATCTGAATCAGCTTCATCTACGAGATTTGGATCTGGATAACAAACCCATATAAACCCAGGACTTCTCCGAAAATCAGAATCAAGATCATGCCGACGTAAACTTTAGACTGCTCCATATATGCGCGAACGCCATGATCACCCACGACGCCAATGCAATAGCCCGCACAGAGCCCCGTTAGGCCGACAGCGATACCACATCCAAGATGGAGGAATCCCCTTTCTGTGTTAGCGGACTTCTTTTGGAGTGCCCGACGTCAACAAAACGTACGCATATAGGCTGTAGTTTGGTTCCGAAGGTGAAGGGGGCCGGATCTCTTCAACGATGAGGACCGAGACCACAAGTGAATAGACTGCTATGATCCCAGACATGACGACCGGCATCAGGCTCTAAATGAATTTAAAATATGGCCTGGCATATAATGGGGAACGTAGTGCTCGATACCTTCATGACAAGATCCGGTCGCATAATGCCCACGCCGACAATGGTCATTCCAGATTTACAAGTTCCGTAGGCGGCGCCAATACCTACAAACAGTCTTAGCATCCGCCGAGTGTGAGTGAGAATCTAAGAAGCGGAATACGTACACCCGAAAATCATCGCTATGGCAATTCCAGCCTACTCCGCATCATATTAGCACTCTATCAACGAACAGACGCAGCGAAAGTCCGCAAACTCACCATGCCGATGAACGGCGCGAAGCTGGGGGTCAGCTCAGATTTATACATGGTAAAGGAGTGCGCAATTCTGGATTTAGAGATATCAATTTAGTGTAGAGACTCGGATCTGATGCTGATTGCGACCTGATCATGGGGACGGAAAGTGTGGGGAATACAAGTTGATGCGAAGGGCTTATACTTGAGTAAACTGCTGCCTCCGCAGGCAGCAACATATTATTCCAATCTCAGCCACGGGTAAATGCTCCGCACTCAGGTCAATATTACTGCTTATGGATAACCCCGAATGGCAAAGCCACTGCTGAATATATTAGTGACCTTCTGATGTCTCCTGCGATTGGACCGACGCTCGCTATTAATAGCCCTCGATGGAGCAGTTCTCAGCTAACATCACTCAGACAAAATGAGGAACTCGGTGGTCTCGTTTTCATAAGTTTTAACACATCTCGTCTCAGAAACTATTCCAATCGATGATACTCATCCAGTCCTCAATGTTACTAGGTTCCTTGAGTTGTGTCTCGTTGGCAAGCAAGTCGCGCCAATCCGGGGAGTTCTCAGGGACCAGAACCCCATTTCCCTGCAAAAGTTGCGAGATGCATCCGTCGTACTCTTGATGAAGCTCTTGAAAAACAGTGTGCACCGACTCCGCATTAAGCCAGTACTCGGCTAGCGCTTCAGCCAACCGTAGGAGCCTCGCCAACCGTCCCAGGGCATCAACAGCCACGGAGTGTGTCCCAGTAAGCATGGCGCCTCGTATCTCCGTCACTATCTGGATGCCCGCAGCTGTTACAGCACTGACTGCTGTGAAATGACACTGCTTCAAGCTACCCAGCGCGGCAAGCTGCTCAAAGAGAATAACGATGGCCTGAGCAGCCACAGAGCAGACTGACTTGCTGCTGGGCTCGCTATAGGAGTTTCTATGCAGGTATAGAAGAAGAAGGTTATAGTGGATTCGTAATTGATAAACCCACGGGTCGTTATCTTTGCCAGCAAATATGCCGGGCCGGAGAGACCACATTCCGAGTTGGGCGTCAATGCTGGCAACGTTGGATCCTGCCCTTGTTGACGGAGCATTTTCCGCGATAATGTCCAGTCCAATATAAGCCAGATCGACCATGGACTTTAGAAACCCGAGACTTGGGTCGGCTTCTGAATGCGATGTTTCTGAAGTCATGGTGTCTGACATTGGTGTCCCCATCTCAGAGCCCAGAGAAATCGGCAGCTGGTCAATTTCTTCGGGACGGATCGCATTTGGCCTACCGGTATCTAGCGAGGAAAAGACATCGCAGACGAAGGCAGACCACCAGGAAAGTTTGAAGTGCAAGCTGTCTTTGGCTGGTAGAGCTGTGCCACGCCGATGCGCTCCCAGCCCACACCCAATTCTAGAGGCGACACCTGCCCAATAATAAGGACCGCCAGTTACCGTATCGCCATCACCGGTGAACCAGGTGAATAGAGTGGCCGCTTGCATGAGATGAGTGCGATCCGTTTCGTGACGAATATGAAACAACATGCTGGCTCGGCGAAATAAGATGCTCTTAATCCAATGCCGATTTCTAGCAACGAAGGGATGCGAACATGCATGCGCCCCAGCCATCATAACGGACTGATATAGAAGTAGAGGTGGCTGTTTTCCCGATTCTTGATCGCCACTTAGGAAGTCATCTTTACAGAGGAATGGTAGAAACGGGTGGATGTGCTCGAAGTAGGCAGCTACCAGAGCGTCTCGGATGTCTGGTTCGGGCACTGACGAGACATCTGATAGTAAGTTCTGCGGGGATGTGATCCCAAATACATCCGTATTTGGCTTCCAGGCTTTGCTTTGGCGGATAGGAGGGTACGGGTAGTGCAAAAGCTTCCGGCCTGTGTCCTGTTCACTGGCGCTATCCAGATTGAGCAGTGGTTCTATTTGACCAAAATCGTGCCCTGGTTCATTTGAAGGCAGACAGGGCGTAGATGATCGAGGGAATGGCTTGTGAAGATCCACGAGGTGGGCAATGTTTGACGCGGCAGTCCCGACATACGCAATGCGGAGCTTGTCCAGAGAGTCAAACACCGCCCAACTGCTATCAGTAATGCCGTGCTTAAAGAAGCGCGCTAGCCCACTGCGGGCCAGTTGCTCTTGTTCAGAGTTGCAAGTGGTGTCGTCAATGACTTCCCCCTGAGAATTGCTCCGTAAGGGAGGTTCGTGGTTGGAGTTGTCCCTGTCCTCAAGTTGGTAATGCGAGGGCACTCCATGGGGCTGAGTTTGTCGTGAATCTGTAAAGATCCTTCTAGCTGCTGGCCATTTTGTAGTGGACCTATCTTGCCGTCAGCTCTATCAGCTCTATTTTAGGATTCTTCATGTGTCGCATCTGAGGCTCACCGGCATTCCGTTCCACTCCGGCGACACGCGGAGCATGGCCCGGTTGCTTGGAAGGCGATGTTACACCTAACCTTTCGACGCCTGCAAATGTCGCATGCTGTCCGCTGCTTTCGTCTGGGGTAATTCTCCATTGGTAGGAGTGGGGGAATATGAATAGAGTCGAATAATGAGGGAGATCAAACGTGAACAGGGAGCACAGCGTGTTCCGGTTCTCATGCCAGAACGCATATTGGGGAGAGCCACCTATAAACGGACGATGCTTTCTATTTACGAATGCCCATAAAATCTATTCTAGCTCCTCCATCATGCGTGACGCCCTTGCCTATCAACTTGCCAAAGAGGGAAGATTAAGTAGAAAGGTGGAGGAACTGAATGACCTCTGGTATGCCTACTCGGGACGATTTTCGCGGGGGCGTCAAGATGTGAGGGGTCAGCGCCACTGGCCCAATAAGTTGCCTATTCGAGCACTTGAGGCGACTGCGGCTAAATTAGGGTCTAGCGTCGTACAATAAATAGAACAATATCTGTACATGCTTCAGACGAGATGGTGGACGGTGATTAACTTAACGGGTGGGAAAGAGATGTCAAAACTGGATGCTAAATGCTTGCAATGCTATTAAACCCGGTGCCCACTAGTAGTATGGCACATCCACCTCTTGAGCAAAAGAGCACCTTGAGAAACACGCGATACCGCTCAAGGTCAAACATTCACATTTGTGGAGATGCACCTGGTTGAGTGTTACTTTTTCCATTGATCAAATCTTGCCTAAACTCCAAACAATGGATCTGCCCATCCATGACCAAATGCTGGTTCCGAAGCTGGATCCATTTTCTTCTTGTACATGTTTTCTGGCCCACCTACCAAGGCGGTCTTCCATGCTTAATGATACATCTCATCTCATCAATATTCAACGAGGCCCCGTTCAAGTTGCTTCACCTAATATGGTGTGTTGCCCTCCTCCAACAAAATAAGTAGCCGAAGTTTCTCAACCTTTTCCATTGCATCCTCAAGTAGCTGGAGCCGCTTATCGCAGCGACTGCGGTTCTTAACCCGGCAAGATTCTGCACAGTACTTGAAGGAGATGGAAACTCGCTTGGTGAGGTGTTTGACGAAGCCGTGGTTTTCTTGGTCGAGTGCGGTCATCTCCCTCTCGCGTTTACAGTGCATGCCTTCCTCGTTGGCATGACACTGGCGGCGGACAATGGTCGTCATTTTGCGGGTCGTCTTTCTGGCTTGATGAACAAGTTCTGCAAGTTCAGTGGTGTTGAGGGGAGATTCATTGGAGATCGTAGTCATAGCGTCGCGAGTCTGGCGGAGGCACTTGATGACGCGCTCAATGTCGGCATCCATTTGTTCATCCATGGCGGTGTATTGCTTAAAAAATTCCTCGTCTGAAGAGGCGTCGTCGAATGTGTAGATAAATTCGGAGAGAATGGTGTCACCAGAAAGGTTCTTGGTGGTGATAGAAGTCGCAGCGACAGCGGCAGTAGACATGTGGAGTGATGGTTGTTGGAAGTGGTTTGACTGCAGTCTGAGAGTGACTACTGTTGACAGTGCCTTGACTGGAGTTTGAGAGTGATGGTTGATGAAGGTGTCTTGACTGAAGTTTGAGAGTGATGGTGGGTCAAATTCAGTGCTGAGATTTGCGAGAACTTGTGAGAGTAGAGAATATGTGAGGAAGATGGATTTCAAGACGCAATGGGCAGGAAGAGGGATCTTTATACTTATTCCCTGGCCGAAAACCACAACGGTTGAAGCTCTCGGGAGACTGCAAACTCAGATTCGTATGTCAAGGTGCCGCGAGAGAAGGCCTTGGAAGGCTTCATGAGCATAGAACATCGATCAAGGTAATTTATGAGTGCCGTTGCATGCCGGGAGCTTCAGACCTCAGGGTTTCTCGGATGTGTAGGTTCACGAGGATCCGCATGGATTTTGATCGTCGTTTGGGGAAGTGTCAAAGAGGTGACGATGGAAGGAAATCGAGCCTGAGCAGATGCAACTAGGTTCTGAGAGTAGCAGTGCTCCGGGGAAAAGACAGAGGAAATGAAATGTAGTAATTGGAGACGGGTTGAAAGGTGAAATGAAAGTGAAACGAACGAGTTCATTGACAGTCGATGCTCCAGAATGGGTCGGGTGAATGGGGGAACGGGACTAATTGTGCAACCCAATCTCACCTCCTTCAAAGACAATGAGGTCGCTCCTGCAACCAAATTGAGTACGCGGCGACGAATTAGGAACCCGGGCTTCCGATATCGGATTAGAGCAACTTCAGTCTGCGAATCCGACCGACAGTTTGCGCATTCCTCCAATGAAGGCAACTGGCTGCAATTGCGGCCCAGGCTACTAAGCTACGGAAGGGAATCCCAATCTTGCGTACCGCGCCTTTCGAAAAATCAGGCCAAGAGAAACTTCATAAGACCCTAAGCAGATCTAGAGCTTGCCCAATTTCCAAAGCACATTTATTCGTCCTGCATGTGGTGTTCAGAAAACATGCATCGCTGGACGAGTCTACTCATTCTTCGGCGGACAATCAGAAGATCATGCGTAAATAATAACGCCCTAAACTACTATTGAGCTTCTCGGGTTCCTTATTTAGGTAGGTATCTCCAAGGCATTCCGCTCCGACCTCCTTCAATAACTTCCTTCCTCACCCTCCAATAACTCCTTCCTCACTCTTCAATAACTCTCCCCTCACCTACCTTCAGCCAACCACCCACAACCTTGGACGAACTTCTTGACACCTTCAACTACACTCCTGAACCATGCGCAACGATCTTCTTCGGGTCGTCGAAGACGCAGACATCATCCAAGCCCGGGAGGCTGCGGCCATCAAATGCATCCTGATCGAGAAGAAAAACGACCCCGTCCTGTACCGATGCGTTGTCGACAGACTCCGCCAGGCCAATATCGGGAGGTACCAGAATTGGTCCGACTGTCACCTTTCCAGGCAGTTCTACCACTGGACCGCAACGGCGGCTGACGAAGAACGACCGTGTCTCGAGTTTTTCCTCACGGTTCATGCTGCTCACAAGTTCCTCTCGCATCTATCGACCGACAAATTTGGCCAAGAAGTCAGGAAGCGCCAATTGCTGCGATGGGCCGTGGAGCAAATTCTACCACAGCCAAGCGAGTCGGAAACAGAAACACCCGGTCCGATCAAGAAAGAAAAGCGCAACGACAAGCAATCCTTGGCCCGGACTGCAGCCACTCCCAGCTCCCAAGAGAGCTGCGAAAAACCCCTCCCGTCAGTCGAACAGTACAGTCAACGACCTGGTCAGAAGTCAGCCACCAGTCGTTCATTCCAAGCGACTCCACGGCTGGCTTCGCCTTTTCTCTCTGGCTCGTCATTCAAGAGACAGGCAGCTTCTGATTTCGAAGAAGAAGATGACGCCAGTCGACCGTACAAGGTTGTCAAAACTCACCACGAGCCGCGACGAGCCAAGATACCCACAACGGATGCTGCAACTCAGACCACCGCGGAATACACACCGGATATGGTCAGCAAGGTTGTTGACACGATCAAGCAAGCTTTTGGAGACGCACTGGGCCAACAGACCCGGAGTCTCACCGACTTCCTCCCCACGGCAGTGAGGCAAGCTTTCCGACAGGACGTTGCCGATGAGGTTACACGTCAACAGCCCGTCGACGTGGTTCAGCCTCGAGTGATGCGACCAATGGAACCCGAGATGGCACTGGCACGACCAACATACCCGACCTACGTGTCTCCCGTACGCGCTCAACCTCAGGTTTACGATGTGGTGGATTATCCATACGATGTTCGCCAGTACGAAGACGTCCGCACAATTGGGGGGCGAGGGGGAGGCAGAGGGGTGACGACCATCATGGCCGCGGACTTGGATCGGTTGGTGGGCTTGGAAGCCTATCGTATCGTAAGGGGACAAGAGCAGCGCGGACTCTGAGGTGCAGTATTACGCACAGAAGATAAAAGTTCTCCAGAGGGGCCAGACGTCTCCGCTAGCTAGATATTGTGAACAACTACGACTGAAGTCGCGGCTGCGCCTGTGATCCACGGGCTCAGTGCATTTGCTATTGGGAACAGTTTAGCCTCGAATAAACACGGATAGACTCAGTTTATGATCCGAAAAGTGCCGACATTGTATGGCTGACCACAGTCCTCGGGAGAATGAAGTAGTGAAGAGGATGCCGTCCACAAAGGTGCGCAAATTACCCGGGTATTCTCGCATACCTTGTAGTATTTATGACCCCGACGAGTAGCTTTTCTCCACCGCCATTGTTGTAATATAATAAGGAGTTAGGAAAAGATTCAGGAGCAAGGAGAGGAGGCGAGTCATGGAGGTGTTCATTGCATAACAAAAACGTCTATAATAACTTCTACCGCTCTCATCCCAATATTCCTCTACTGTCAGTCCAGCCCATGTTAGCGGAACTTAAGACATGATACCCCCTGCTCCCCAATCGACTTCCCATTAATATCCAACGTCTGCAATCCTGTATTTTATTAACCCCAGACATCCTCCAACCATTTATTTCCCTTCTTAGCCGATTCGGCCCAGCTGCGAGCCTCGTCATCGCTCCATTCATTTTGTTTCTTCATAGATTCCTCCACGACGTTGCCAACCTCTCTGGCCATGGAAGCGCGTCCGCAAATGTAAACGCTGGCACCCTTTTCAAGCAGCTCGCAGACATCTTTTTGCATTTCCCCAACCCGGTCCTGTACATAGGCCTTGGGCGCACCATCTGCCCTCGAAAAGGCCGGAACGATCTCGAGAAGGCCGCCCAGAGCAGCTGACGCCTCAGCCAGCTCCTTGCTGTAGAGGTAGTCCTCGTCAGGGCTTCGGCACCCAAAGAACAGAATCATGCGACCGACGGGCTTTCCGATGGCCTTGAGACGGGCTCGCTCGAAGATAAAGCCGCGGAAGGGGGCCATGCCGGTACCAGCGCCAACCATAATCAGGGGTGTGGCCCCAAGGGTAGGAAGTTTGAACTGAGATCGACGGATGCAGGCATACACCTTGTGGCCCTCCAAAGAGCCCCCAGGACCTGATAGAGTGTATGTGGGCAGCTTAGCTGACTGGGTGGTGATGCCGTTAAGGGAGTTGGATAGGGAGTAGAGGTAGTTGGTCGTCACACCACGGACTTCGGTGGATGGGTCGGCTGCGAGAGGGGTATTGTCAACACCAACGGTGATGGCAATTCTGCGAGCCGACACAACGCTAGAGGAAGAAATGGAGTAGTACCGTGGCTGGAGCTGTGGAAGAGTCTCAACAACGTAGGATAATGGTAGGTCTTTCCAAACAGCTCCAGGCGCTACCAGTGAAAGCAGACGGCCGAAAGTAATATGGTTCTTCGCCATGAATGCAGCATATCCGTTCTTATCTTTGCCTAGCGACGAGAGCAAACCCGCAGCCTTTTGGTGGGGGGCGAAACGAGCCAATTGCCCGACAATTTCTCGAGAGACTGGAGCACTGACTTCGAGGTAGTGACGGAAGAGAGCCGAAAGGTTAGTAGGGCTTGGTATCTTGACAGCTTCCCCCTCCTCCAAGGGCTGGAGGAGAAGGGGCTTGTCGGCTCGGTCCTCAAGCCCCATGGCCGTTAGGAGGAGCTGCACCTCGTGGTCTGGATTGATAGGGTAGACGGCCAAATGATCACCGGTTCCGTAGCGGAGCTCGGGGTGGTTGCTGATGTCGAGCTCCATGTGAATACAGTTCCTGTTGGGAGAAACATAGAGCTCTTTAGAGCTCTGCACAGTCAAAGGTCGGATGGGCGAGTACGCCTTGACAACCCTGGCAGGACCATTGCGATGCTCAACCGGCTCACCGAGGTTAAGGTCGATGAGCGTGAGGGACTCGTCTTCGACAATCTTGATACCGGGAGTGTAGGGAATGTCTTGCTCCTTGAAACCGAGCTGCCCCAGGAAGACTTCGTAGAGGTCGTCCTTCCAAGCGAGGAAATCTTCTTCAGTGCCACCGTTGGCATCATTGGCCTTGCCAACGGGCATCAATCGCTGAGCACCCGCTTTGTCAAGGGCATCAGTAACAACATCGATCACTCGATTATAGTATCTGTAACTGGTGTTCCCTAGACCAAAGGCCATGTAGCGCAGGTGGGGTAGTTTGAGATCAAAGGGACGCTTGTGAAGCCATTCCCAGAGCTCCGCCGTGTTGTCGCTGGGGTCGCCCTCACCGTAAGTGGAGATGATAAAAATAGCAAGCTTGGTCTGAGGGATGAGTGCAATGGTTTCTGGGTTATAGTCGCACAGATCTGCACACAATGTCTGCAGGCCAAACCGGAGGTGACACTCTTTGGCCAGCCGGCTCGCAAGAGTCTCGCTGGTTCCGGATTGGGATCCCCAGAAGATGGCAACATCTTTGCCCTAATACGAACGTATTAGTAGAATGATCTGGATGGACTTTGGATATTTTGATATGAGACTCACAGACTCCTCGAGCTTCTGGGCAATATTGCGAGTTGCCTTGCCGCCAGCGCCAGCGCCGCCTCTGGGTTCCATTCGTTGGTACCAGATGTGGTGATAGGGATTGGGTTTGTTCCAGGCAACACCATTCAGCATATAAGCCACAGAGGTCACGCCGACAGCAGCCAGAGCGACGACATCGGCCGCTGTCTGGGGAGGTCCTAGCTGGACTAGCTTAGAAACAGCATCTGTGCTAAAAACGGTGGCCATGGTTGCGAAGAAAACGAGATCAGAACCACCAAAAAATTGGCAGATTTATGGAGTCTGGTTTTACAAACTTCCAGAGAAGGGTACTGGGGCTTGATATTTCATGTCCGGCTCTTCGCAACGAAACTAGTCACGATATTGACGATAACCCCACGTGCAAGGCTGGATCCGAAGATGGAAATGGCCTCCGCCTGCGAGCAATCTTTCACATGTTAGCTGAATCCGGGTGGCTGCGGACAATCAATTTTCGCTAGATCGAATACGCGCTGTTGGTTTCGCCAGGACTTGGGGTTGATCAATCGGCCGATGTTGCCTCCTTGGAGCGGCTCAATTGGGATATTGCCTCATCCAGATATCCAGAAGAGGAAACTTCCCAAATGAGCCAGACCACAACCCAAGAACGGATGGTCCCAACCGCGCGCGCCGCCAGACGAACTAGCAATGCACTTGCATGCAAGAACTGTGGGGGTAATGCGGGGGATGGGGACGAATGCGAGCGATTGAGGAGGCTTGTTGGTTTCGAGATGTCGCCGCGATGATTCCCCTCATCGGCTTTTGCGAGCTTCTCTGTGGTGGCTGTCACATCGTGAAGCCAGCTGACCACCTTCTCACAATTAGCGGCTCTGAGGCCGCTTTGGAGAATTGCCAGATATGATCGTGGCTCTATTTGGGGCCTCTCAAATTTTCCCCAAATGGGATTCGTATGTATCGTCGCCATGCTAGTGCCCGTTGATGCCGTAGCCGCGGACGCTCCAGTATCGTCGTCTCGTTCTCCCGCAGCTTGTAGTTTCACCATACCATTGGTTGGAAGCGTTTGAGACGCGAGAATATAATTGACATCTTAGCCATCGTGCTTCTTCCTTCATCAGCAACTTCCTCATCCCACTCTGCCCAACATGTACGCAGAAATCGTTGCTGCCCTCACAGCCACGGCCATTATTGGCTATTTTATCATTTACCCTGTATTTGCATACCTTCGCGATGCCAAGGGCCTTCGAAGATACCCCGGCTTCCATCCCCTGGCGGGCATCACCAACCTGCCCTTTATGGGCGAGGCAATGACTGGATTCAGGTCAAAGACTCTGTACGAGATGCACAAGACCCATCCTGTCATCCGCACCGGGCCAAATTCGCTCTCGTATGGCTCTCTTGATGCCATCAAGGACATATACGGCCACGGCACCAAGTGTACCAAAGGTTTATTTTACGAGACATTATCCGGAACCCACTTCCATCTTGCCGATGTTGTGGACAAGCTCGATCACCAGCGGAAACGCCGCGCCCTCTCCGCAGCCTATGCCCTCAAGAACCTGGAGAACTGGGAGTTCAAAGTTGCGGACAAGACCGAGCGCTTCCTCAGGGCTGCTGATCGTCACTGCACCTTGCCTCTCAAGAAGGGCTTCCGCCCCGATGCTGCCGACCTGACCTTCAACTACCGTGACTACTCCAACTTCTTCACGCTCGATGCTATTGCGGATATTGGTCTCAGCGAACGCTTAGGCTTCCTTGACCAAGGCCACGATCTGGTCAAGGCCGAGCGGATGGACGGCACCACTCACTACGTCAACTACCGCGAGTGTCTCCACGCTACTGCCCGAGCTCAGGCAGTTCTCGTCTGGTCTGAGAAATGGTACAACTTCAGCGTTGAGCTCTCCAAGCTAGTTTCTCCAGACTTCCGGAAGTGGTGGAAGCTGAACGAGGGCTGGAACGACATCGTCTACCACCGCGCTACCCAGCGACTCAAGCGATATGAGGCTGGGGAGAAACTCCCCGACTTCTTCCAGGCCATCATGGATCACAACGACGCTAACGATAGTGGAGTTGAGTGGGGAGAGGTTGTTGCCGAGATTTCCATCATGATGAACGCTGGATCTGACACCACTGCTATTGCTATGAACAACGTTGTCTTTTGGCTACTTAAGCACCCTGCCTGCTTGGCTAGGCTTCGCGGGGAGATCGATGCTGTCCTTGATGCTGATGAGGTTATCGCCCCATATGACAAAGTCAAACATCTCCCATATCTGCGCGCTTGCTTAGACGAGTCGCTACGCATTACTCCCCCAACCACCTTCGGTCTACCTCGTCGCACTCCCCCCGAGGGTGCAAATATCCTCGGCGACTTCATCCCCGGCGACACCACCGTTTCCATCTCCGCATACGTCGCCCACCGAGACCCCAAGATCTTCCCCGACCCCGAGGCCTACAACCCTGACCGATGGCTCGGCGACAAGGGCAAAGACCTTCAGCCGTACTTCATCAGCTTCAGCGCCGGTGCCCGAGGCTGCATTGGCCGCAACATCAGCTACCTAGAGCAGACTGTTTTGTTGGCCAGTGTTGTACATAGATATGAACTTGCTCTGCCGTATCCGGAGTGGGAACCTGAGAGACGGGAGACCATGAATCTTTCACCGGGCCCTATGCCACTGAAGCTTTGGCGACGGGACCTTGGGGTTTCCGACTTTGATGAAAAATAATGTGATTAGACGTTTGAGGGGGGATGGTTTATGGGGATTCAGTAGATACAGAAGTAAGACTGCAATCGCGGTGTGACCATTGGGACACTATTGTCAAAGCCCAAGAGTGTCTATTCTTGGAGAGAATTGGGAAATATTATAACTGCCAAGTGGTGGTAGGATAAGGATAATTTAAGAATCGCCATATGAGACCTTCAGTATTCCGCCTGATGACGAGCTCGTAGAAATTGCCAGAATTCCAGCCCGACCTGTCAGCATCATTCACAGCATTTTTAGTCCTCAACCAAATAGAAAATAAAGAATTAGCCTCGTATTATCTTGAACAGAGTTAACTTATTCTCAGGTTTAGGTGTGTCTTTATTAGATAAGACTGTCACGCCCGTAAAACAGATCTGAGATTGACCTACATTCATCACCGCCTAATCTACCTTGTATACCTACTCGCCCTTAAAAGCATTCCTTTGCGCCCTCGTGCCACCCAAAAATCCAAAAAAGCTTCTCAACACATATGGCAAGATGAATATACTTTGTGATTTGAGAAATATACTATTGAACCGCTTGCGTGTTGCTGTTCAGCATGCGCGAGATGGACATGGACGGATTCGGCGATTCCGACCATCCCCAAGCTCCCCTTAAATACTCTTGACTGGGGAATGGTTAGCCAATCGATCCTATTGTTGTTCGTTCATTTCTAACTCACGTAGAGCCAGTAGGACAGGCGTATTGTGTATCAATTTTTACGAGGAGATTATACAGCGCCTCTTGGTCTTGCGGTTCCATGAAACGATCGCCAGCCATGGTGATTGCGAGGCATACGTATCTGCAACAAAAACGTCAATAAAAGGGGATAACGGAAACAAGGTGGTTCATACGCATAAGAAGTAACGGTGTGTGGGTTTGACTAGGGCGAGAGATGTCAGCGAAGGGTGGCTTCTAGGGTAGGCAATACTTCTACCTCCGCGACTCCACAAACCATGCGAACATTTTTCTTAATTTCCTCATTTGTATCTTTAAAAGCTTTTGCCTGGCCTGGGCCCAACCTCGGGGTTTTGGGGTTATGTGCTGCAAGGAGGACCTGGATAAGGTAGTAGTGTAGCACGCCAATAACGACGGCATCATTGAGATGGACAACCTCTGGAAATATTCCATTGCCATGCTCATTGAAGTACATAGGATAAAAGTACCATGGCCTTTCAGCCCACAAACGATCTTGAGACTTTCGCAATCTCTCCCAGGTGTCGGTGCTATGTTCATCGGTGCCGTAGCAATAGCGTAGGCAGGCAGCGCAGTGGAGAATCGTTAGATTTGAGAAACTGCAGCCATTCTCATCTGGGACCACAAGACGAGAAATGGTTTCCAGGTCGAAGTTGGGGTGAACAGGGCGAGTTTCAATGAAAGCCATGTGAATCTCCTGCCTTAGAGCTACCCAGAACGCAGCCCTACGAAGGCTGGCAAATCCGCTCAGCTTGTCCTGTGCTGCAATAAAAACTCGTGTACCCATGAGATGTGACTCGGAAGGAGTGTTAGAGGACATGATTGGCACATCCAGCTCCTCCATGTAGCGGAGGATGACGATAGCGGTCAAGAGATTCTCGTCCATAATAGCAGCGGAACTCGAGAGGGCGGGGATGAGGACGTCGAGACACTTTTGATGATACCGATCTCCTACTAAGCCATCGAAGCCATCGGTCCTGCTCATGCGCTTAGCCGAAGCAGCAAGAACCGCATTCATTAGTGGTGGGCAAAAGACTGCTCGGCGTGGGACAACTGTAGCGAAGTGTCGGTCGCTGTCGCAGAGGTCGAAAAGAGGTGCCAATTTGTCGACGAAATTTTGAAACAGCATGGCGTCGATTGGGTCTTCGAGTGGCCATCTTGGTGAATCGAGGTAGATTCCCGATATGGCTTCCGCAACACAATCCCCAAGTGGAGAGTGGTTACCTGCATGGGGACTGTCCAACGTGGAGGTGGCGGAGTCGCTCGGGAAAGCAAACGGAAAGTTGTGGCTGAGACGTGGCGAATCTTTGTGACTACCAAACATGCCACTTTCTTCTTGAGCACTCTGGGAACTGCGGTTCGGGGTGGGACTCTGACCGGGGTCTGATCTTGGGGTGTCGCTCCAAGACCCAACTGCGAAGTGAGCATGGGCACGTTTCTTGTGGGGACGACTGTCCGCCACAAATGGCCCAGAGGCTTCCAGATCTCCTCTGTCCGGCTCAGAAGGTGAGTTTTCACGTGGAAGCGGCGGGGAAGGTTGCCGTGGAGACGAGTTCAAGCTCCCCGCCTCAATGGCAGGTGGTGTGTTACGGTCACCCAGCGCACCAAAGTTGCTAGTTCCTGTACCGGAGTCGTGGATGTTGATGATGTCTGAGGTCTCATCAATAAAACTCAACGTCCGCTTAGTCTTTACCCAAGGCTGATCTTGGGCGAATTGAAAGTCGCGTTTAGCAGTCTCCAACGACTTTCCTGAATGAATGCTGCAGAGAGGTCAGGGCAACTGTGGGCCTGGCAATGACATGGACACACGGGGCAATGACCAACCTTGGATTCAGCCCATGACGAAACCGTATGCTGTAGCCGCGGACACATTCCGAGTCGCTCTTACGACAGTTTGTACATGTAGGACGGTTGGTATCGCCTGTCTCAGGTCCAGTTAGTAACCCAGTGAAGCAAGAAGTGAGAGTGCCAGTAGTCTGGCGATGCCTAGACGACTCGAATTAGGAAATTCGGCGAGGGTCCTACATTTCAAGTGTCTAGATCGAGGCAGGAAATGACACCAAAGTCAGACCAGAGTCTCTTGAAGGAGGCACCGATTCTTCGGACACCAGGCCGATTGACAGTATTGCCTCGGCCAGTGAGCCGAAAGTAAACTTACCTCTGCTTGCAAATCTGCGGTGGCCAAGAGGAATCATCAGAATTCATTCCATCCACCCAAGAGGGAAATCTTGGAAAGGAGTGGGCCGACGTACCATACAGGGGTTCGAAGGCTTCGACGTCGATGCTGTGGTCGTCTGCATGGTGGAGGCAGGGGCTTCAACCAGACGTCATGTCGGGTAATAGAGCACGGTACCAGGAAGACCAGGGCGCGTTAGAGACTGGAGCCTGAAGCCTGGAGATGAACGCTTCCCCGGATTCTGAGCTGGAGCGAGGATGATGATGATGATGAAGTTGACTGGAGAGGGAAGAAATGGAAAGTCTGAAAAGGGAAGTTGCCTCTTCAAGTCAGTTTGGGAAGGAGCAACCCCGCAATGCCGAGAGGCGACCGACCCCACTACTCGCTAGCGTTTGCAGCTCCTAGCGGCCTCTCCGCCCAACATCTCCTTTTCCCCATGGGGCGTTGCAGCCCGGGGAAGCCCTGGGATGGTGGTTCTGGGGGCGGGCCTGGGGGTGATGCAAGGCCTGGAACCTTCCCCCGGGCCAATGAACCGCCTGGGAATGACTCCAAATACAGGGTCAGCGTTGCCTCAAGCTTCGGTGCTTGCACTTTAGCATCGCACCACGCGCGCGAGATTGGAGTCGTTGCACGAGTAATGACCTGCGATGCCCGAAGGCGATGCTAGACACATTCACTCGGCCCCTTCCCCTCAGCAGCCGTGTCCCGAGATGGCCTCTTCCAGTCCAGGTTCCCCTCATTCATCACACGGCCTTGTCCCTGATACTCATAGTGCCTGGTTCCATGCCGCCAGATCAACACCAACTTGCCTCGCTCGGCTGGAACCTGCTACTCGCCGCCCTACACCCCCAACTCTCCATCTTTCCCTCTTAGCTTGTCTGTTCCAGAGGGACGTGCTTCAACACTCGATAAACTTATAAGGACGGTCTTGGAACCTCAATCCCGGGCTTCCTCTCCACTGGCATCCTTCTGCTCCTCACAGCATCATCTTTTCTTCTCTAACCTCCACCGGTTCCTGCACTCTATCTGCACTCCTGATTCTGTCACGGGCAGTATATTTACCCAAGACCTTATTGCCATCTCCAAGCCGTCACCATGGCCAAGGAAGACTTCAAGGACGATATCAAGCACCTCGAAGATCCCACCGGTGTGGGCTCCTCCGAGGAAATCAGCTTGGATGAGCTCGACTCCATCGAGAAAACCGACACTGGCAAGTACTCATGGCTTGTTTCCATCACTGCCGCCATTGGCGGCATGCTGTTCGGTTACGACACCGGCATCATCAGTGCCGTTCTCGTCTATATCAACGACGACCTCGGCAAACACCTCTCTTCGCAAGAGCGTGAACTCATCACTTCCATCACCTCTGGCGGTGCCTTCATTGGCGCCATCTTTGCTGGCGCCACTGCAGATCGATATGGCCGGAAAGTCGCCATCTATGTCGGATGTGTGCTCTTCACTCTTGGTGCCATCATCCAAGCTGCATCCTTTTCGCTCGCTCAGATGACTGTTGGTCGTCTCGTTGTGGGCTTCGGCGTCGGCAGCGCTGCCATGATTATTCCACTGTAAGTTCTTTCACCAACCATCCCTTGACTGGCCAGCACTAAGATGCAATAGGTACATTGCCGAAGTGTCCCCTGCGAAGTACCGCGGCCGTATGATTGGTCTCGATAACATGTCTATTACCGGTGGCCAGCTCGTGAGCTACGGAATTGGAGCTGGCTTTGCCCATGTTACCGGTGGTTGGAGATACATGGTCGGTGGAGGTGCGCTACCCGCCCTCATTCTCGCCAGTCTTCTTCCGTTCTGCCCCGAATCGCCTCGACAGCTTGTATACCACGGCAAGATGAAGGAGGCCGCCGATGTCATCCGAAAAATCTTCCCCAACGGTACCGAGGAGCAAGTCCAGAACAAGGTCAAGCACATTACCCACCATGTAGAGCAGGCCAAGGCACTGAATGCCGGCAAATCTCAGTGGTGGGTGCTCAAGCAGCTCTACGTTGTTGGTGCCAACTTCCGCGCTTTGGTGGCGGCCTGTGGCTTGATGGCCATCTCCCAGCTCACCGGGTTCAATGCCCTCATGTACTATTCGCCAGTCATCTTTTCTCTTGTTGGATTTTCCAATCCCGTGGCCGTGGGAACCGTCATTGCGGGGACCAACTTCATCTTCACCTTTGTCAACCTCTTGCTGGTTGATCGTGCTGGACGCCGCCGAATTTTGCTTTGCACGGTTCAATTCATGAGCTTGGCTCTGGTCATCGCTGCCATCTGCTTCAAGTGGATTCCCATCAACCATGACCTCAGCCTGGCCGATGATGCCAAGGTTGGATGGCCTGCCATCGTTGTTTTGATCAGCATGGTCTTTTTCGTGGGCTTCTACTCTTCCGGTATCGGCAACACTGCTTGGCTTTCGTCCGAGTTTTTCCCCATGGAGGTCCGAGCCATGGGTACAATGATGTTGACTTTGTCGTGCTGGGGATCCAATATCATCGTTTCGTCCACGTTCTTGACGCAGATGGAGAACATGACGCCCTCCGGAACTTTCGGCTTCTATGCCGCAATCTGCATGACGGGTTACGTCTGCATCTACTTCTGTTACCCCGAGGTTAAGGGAATGACTCTAGAGGATATTCGAGAGGTTTTCCAGCACGGTTTTGGTGTTCAGAGGGCTAGGGAGATGCAGAAGGAGATGAAGCGGGCCCGCGCATCGGACGTAGCCTCTAAGGCTTGAAGGGAAGGTTATCGGTTTATCACAGAGCAGGACATTGCCAGAATTCACTAGAAATATGTCAAACTCATAGTATATCTCAATGGCATCTCTCGTTAGTGCAATCTGGTTTGCTCCTTGATTGTGTTGTTCTGGTCGTGGTCATGACTAGCAAGGAGTCGTGATGTAAACCAGGACATGGGAGGGCGGTGCGAAGGGAGATACGAGAAAAATATGCCGAGGAAGATGTGAAGAATCTTTAAGTAGAGAGCATGCAGTATAATCGTGCGATATTGGTTGAGACATGGGATGCTGCTGTGGAACTCTGGGTCATTTCGTGACGCGTAAACTAGGCTTACCCTAGACGTTCAAGTCGAAATGGTCGACAAGACTTTGCTTATCGATAGCGAGACAAAAAAAATACAGCTGCACGGAATTTTTTGCGATAAAATGGAGTGAGGAAACATCTATGAACGATACTGTCCATTCGTGAAGAGTGATAATTCTCCATGCCACTCTCGTCGGAATAGCCAGTATCTCGACACAGGAACATCTCCGCACAACGGAATCGGGAAACTGCCGAATGAGGAGAACAAACGGAGCTCAAGCCACGTTACTAAACAAGAGAGTCGAGCCGAGATCTCAGAGCAAGCACCTGCGGCACCAGGCTTTGGGCTAACGTATCAGCCGCCCCGGGCCTCACCTACATCACTGACGTCGCCTACCTGCCCAACCTCCAAACCCCGGCCATTCCCTGCCTCGCTGATATCCCCGGCCGGGCGTACTTTCCCAATCACGGCCTGTGGATCTCCTTTTGTCAGGACCTTGAGGCCCCAGTCATGGGGAGATGGGGAGACGGGGAAAACTGTGGAGGAGGCAAAGCGCTTGCGGGGAGGACACGGCGCGCTAGCCAAGGTGTGGTGGGGCCGTGTAGGAACAGAAATTGCCTGATCTGGAGATGTGCACTCGGGGGTACCTACTCAGCACAGCCAGCGCCCAGAGCTCCACTGTTCACCGGCTGCATCGCCGACCAATCTCAAGCCGGTCGAGCACTGCTCGCAACGCCAGTGTCGAGATGCTGAGATCGGATTCTCCATCCCGCAGTGCTAATTCATCCCGCTGACCTTGTCGATTGGCTGGAACTCGCCTTGAACCCGGGGGTTGCTGCCGCTCTTGTGACGGCTGCTACAGCTACTGCACTGCAGGCGACACATGCGACACCGCTTTGGCGCCGCGCTGGGAGTCGAGAGCTGGGAGACACTGGTCCTACGCGATGCCGTGGGGGAGCGAGCTCTCCGAAAGCCGGTTCTCGAAGTATAAGATTCTGGAGCTTGCTCACGATGGATTCCTCAGACTCTTGGTTCTCCAGGCACTCAATTGGCTCAGTTCTCCCATCCACTGCTTTTGGCCCAATTCTTGTCCCAGTCCCGAAACTGCGGTCGTAGCCGAACCAACATCAAGCTCGCAACCAAACTCAACTTTATTATTCTCTTCGCCGCTTTTTTCTCTCTCTCTAATCCTCCTCCTCACAACTCACCATGGCTTCCCCCAAGCTCAAGGTTGCCTGCGCCGGCCTCGGCCGCATGGGTGCTCGCCATGCCCTCAACTTCCACAACCGAACGCCTCGCGCTGAGCTCGTCGCTGCCTTCACTCCTGTGCAGAAGGAGGTCGAGTGGGCTCGCGTTCACCTTGAGGGTGTCACCGTCTACATGGACTACGACGAGATGCTGAAGCACCCCGGCCTCCAGGCCGTCGTTGTTGCCACTGTCACCACTGCCCACGCCGAGGAGGCCATCAAGGCCATTGAGGCTGACAAGCACGTTCTGTGCGAGAAGCCTCTGAGCACCAGCGTCGAGATTGTAAGTTTCCTCTCCAACGACCAAACCCGGGATGTCCATTTCTAACCTAGTTTTGTAGTCGCAATCTGTCGTCGACGCCGCCGTCAAGAAGCCCCATCTCAAAGTCATGTGCGGCTTCTCCCGCCGCTTCGATGCCTCGTACCGAGACGCCTTCGCCCGGATGGATAATGGCCTCATCGGCCGCCCCTCGGTCTTCCGCTCTCAGACTTGCGACAGGCTGGACCCCTCTGGCTTCTTCGTCGCCTACGCCGAGTTCAGCGGTGGCATCTTCGTCGACTGCAACATCCACGATATCGATCTTGCCCTCTGGTACTTCGGCCAGGACTCCATTGTCAAGAGTGTCGTCGCGACCGGTATTACCGCCGTGCAGCCTGAGCTGCGCAAGCACAAGGATGTTGACAACGGTGTCGGAATTGTCGAATTCTGGGGTGGCAAGGTCGCCTACTTCTACTCGTCCCGTATGATGGCCTCTGGCCAGCACGACATGACTGAGATCATCGGTACCGAGGGCAAGCTGTCCATCAACGCCAACCCCACCGGCACCCTCGTCGAGATGCACGAGTCCACCGGCATTCGTCGCGAGATCCCCCACGACTACTACGGCCGCTTCGAGCATGCCTTCGTCACCGAGGCGAACGAGTTTACTGCTGCCTGCCTCGACAACAACACGCTTCCCTTCAAGCTGACTGGCGCGGTCCAGGCCGTCAAGATTGGCTGTGCGCTCCAGGAGAGCTTGAACTCGGGCCAAAAGATCAACTTCGACGAGACGGGTCGCCGCATTGAGAGCTCGAGACTGTAAGAAAGATTATGTCGGGAAATGGTACGGAACTAGAAGGGAAAATCTAAAATGAAGTGACTTTCTAAAAGAATTAATGTGGTCAATATTTACCACCACCCTTCCATAACTGTGCTTCAATTTGAATGGTGGCTCCGTGACCCTACTTCGAGTGGCAATGTCTAAGTCTCAACTGATGACGTGCCCTGTCCGTGGAGAATTTCCCCACAACAGCTATCCGCTTCTCCAACACTCCAACTCGCAAGTGGAGCCAAAGAATTGGAACGGCGGTTTCTCGGGTTGACGGGAACTGTGAAGGCTAAGGAGGGCTCCTTCTTCCTCATCCTGATAGGCGCCATGTGGGACGACAACGCCGTCGTCTTCCGCTGGGTCTCGGACTTGATCAGGATAGTTGACGGCGAGGCAAGGCGTCGCGGCCGGGACAACGGTTATGTGTACATGAAATACGCTAGCCAATATCAGGACGTCATCTAGAGCTACGGCGACGAGAACAAGGCTAACTTGAAGAAGATTGCTAAAAGAAAGTAGAGTATTGCTATTCGCACACGTTCAAAATGCTAATCGCACATAAGTATAAGCCTTTACATCTAAATTTAGGTAATATACCTTACCTATTCGTCCAGTCTAAGTATTTTATTTCAAGAAACTTCCAGTCTCTACTCTGAAATAAATAAATAAAAAATACTTAAAATTAGGTTTATTTGATTTCTTAAATTTAGTTAGTTATAGGTATATTATTGAGACTTCTTAGTGAAATTTACCTGTACACTTAAGTGTGCCAGTAGTATTTTGACTGTGTGCGAATAGCAATACTCAAAAAGCATGACCCTCAGCAGGTATACCAGGGGTTGCAGCCCGGGTACTTTAAGCTTGACCGGGCTCCTGTGCCGGACCTCGTGTAGTAGTTGCACAAGGGCACATAGAGGTTGCAAGAGTCCTTATAGATGTCTCGATTCCTTGTCCAAAGGTGTTGCAAAATGCTGAGGTTCATTTACCCGTAGGCTGTAGCAGTGTAGCTGGTCTACCTTTAACTGTGTTATCAAGGGCAGAAACGTCCAGAGATTCTTCGTCACTCTTGGCACCGATGGCTCTTTCTCAGATAGGAAGAGATTTACGCACCTGTTCGCGGGACTTCAACGGGCCTTCGACTCTGGAGATGAAGGGTGGGGGGTGGCTTGAGTGAACCTAGAATGTAGGGACAACCCAGTACGTCTGTTCGGCAGTGACCCGCACACAGCAACAGCGTCCTCCACAACTCAATAATGGACTGTGGAATGTATTCTGGCTTGGAATTTCTTGCAGCCCTTTGAATTTGCGATCAAGAAACGATATATATTAAAGGTAGATATATTATCCATTAACCATGAGTCTGCGAGACTCCGTGAAGAGTCCACGCGTCTTCTTCTATCATGTTCTTCTCAGGCAAAGGATACCGACCTTGAGAAGAAGTATGACGATATGGTTTTTATTTGGTGGCGATGATAATAGTAAAAGACAGACATATTATCCATTAACCATACAGCCTAACAGCGTAGGTCACCATTGCCATCCCAACTATTACTTGTTGGATTCCAGTACTTGAATTGTTGTTCCACATCCTCCGAAACCCAGCCCTCTGATGATCGGCCCTGGGCAGCGGCATCTTGTCAAATTCTCAGTTGCACCATGCAAAAGTTAATGTACACTCCGCTAATACGTAGTAAAATACTGGCTTATACTGGATCCGAGACATCCACTTATGCAGCCAACACAGCATCATAGCATATTTGGGCAATTTAGCCAGTTCTAGATATGCAGAGAAGAGTTGTCAGAGGCTGGGGAAGATGGAGAAACTCGGATGTAACCCCCCCAGTGAAAGGCATTCAGTTTAGGATTCTCGGCGGATGCCAGCTCCGGGAAGCCCATATCTCCTGTGGCTTGGAGCCGATAAGGATCCAAGTCGTCTTTGTTGTCACACGGTTTCACTAAAGCGTAGTTAGCTGTAATGATCTCCGCGATTATCTGACTAGATGAATAGGACATGGCCCAAAACTCTGTCACTCACTCTTTGGTGTTGGGAACACAAATGAGTGATCCGTTGAAGCGACCCTGCTCTCCGCAGGCTCATCCTCCTTTGCAGGAGGTATGGCTTCAGCAGGCTTATCCTCATCAGTGGGAGTGTCTGCGGCGGCGGAGGCAGCGGCAGCTTTCGCCTCAGCTCGTTTCGCCGCATCCTCAGTCAGAATGCTGAAACGCTGAGCGTCTGTCTTGTTGAGCTTGCGTTTCTTTGACTTTGCCTTCTTGGCAACCAGGGCAGCTAGCTCTGCCTTCTCCCAGGCAATAACAACATCCTCGGCTTCTTGAGCAGCAGTTTTTTCCTCTTCCTCGTCGATAGGTTTTAACTCCCCTGCAGGAGGTATGACTTCAGCAACCTCATCGTCCTCGGAAGGTTTGCACTCTTCGGCGGGTATGTCTTCAAAAGTTTTTTCCTCGTCGGCAGGAGGTGCTGCTTCGGCAAACTTCTCCTCTTCAAGGGGTTTGGCATCATCGGCAGGCTTGTCTTCTGCTTCGGCGGGCATTTCCTCCTCGGCAGGTGTCTCCTCCTTGGCAGTTTGTTCCTCGGCCTCACGAGCCACTTTCTCTTCGGCTTCCTGCATAGCTTGATATACATCCGGGACCTTGCTCGTCGAGGCCCCTGCTCCAGGTTTGCTATCGGTGAGGCCCCGGAGGATCTCCACTAGTACCTTCTTCTGAAACGATCCATCCCTCTGAAGCACTTCTGAAGTCTTGAGCAGTAACATCGTCTTCAGAAGTACCTTGCTGAGTGTATTAGGAGTTCCAATCTCAGCAAGTACCTTCTCTGCAATTGGATGGGTAACACTCTCCGCGAAAGCAAGAAATCGAGACTCAGCATACGCGACAATCCCTGGCGAAGTGCTCAAAGATGACGTTGGCTCTTCCAGAATATCAATCAAAGAAAGTACGCTCAACTTGTTGCCCAGTCTGATCATTTCTCCTTTTGCCAGGTCGCGAAGAGACAGCAATTGAAGGGATTGGGCAGCGACATACGTGCGAAGTGCAGTTACAAACTCGGATGTATGCCTCTTGGCAGTAGTATCTCCCTGTGGCTTCAGACACTGATAGCTGCCAGTATGCAAAAAGTGGACAAGGATATGGCCGGTGTCGAAGGCGATATCGTCCAAATGAAGTTCGCGGAAGGATGAAGAATAACAGCTTATCTCCATATTCCGGGAAGCGAGTTCTGCGTTTTGATTTAGGAGTTCCCGAGGAATATGGAGAGGCCCATTTCCTTGGAAGTATACCGCGCAGACCTCGCTGGCATAAGCTCTAACGCATCGTTAGCTGTATGGCTCTTAAGGGAGCAAAAAGTCCTCACGAGTGCTCCGGCCTGCAGTCTTTGTCCCAGTCCACACTGCCTGGCTCGTCATTCTGAAGGCGGGATGCGGCCTCTTTCTCTTTGTTCTTCGAACTAATCGGCATGTTTGCGAGTGCTGGGAACGGTGACACAAAGGGTTACGAAATATTTCGCGTTGGACCAAAAGACTGGGGACAGAATGAGGGGACAGAATTATAAAAGACTGGGTTCCTTGCAAATATGCGAGCTAATCTGCCCACTGTTGGTCGGCCTCCCGCATGTGTCGGAAGGCCTAAAGGGGACATGTTACTCGTGGCATCAGTATGATATAATACGAGGACAGACCTCATTCGACCAAAAAAACACGCTAAACTTTTCACCCCCGAAAATGCCCTACACTTCCCATCTGACGCTTCTGCTTTTACCCCGGCTTCCTGAATCATCTCGGCTAGACCTCCCTTAATTCGTTCGACCAAACGGAACAATCGACGTATAGTTTCTAGCCAACACAGATTGCATAATCCAAGCTACTTTCCTGCGAGGGAATTTTATGAGAGTGTCCACGATCAGCCAAGCTGATCTGCTGGTTGGCGTGGCCTTGCATCAAGCAATACTGGCATGACAGATGCAGACCGAGCCTGATGGAGGGGTGAAATATGCACTTCTGCCTGAGCAGCCAAGTGACATACGCATCCATGTTTCTGGCATCTCCTCGGCAGAATTCTCGCACTTGCCAGTTGACACGTAGCAAACATCTAGAGGTTGCGGCCGAACTGCTCTCACACTCCGTAGGGAGGAGCCAATCGCAGACGACGATAGTTAGACGTTTCTCCAAGAAGCTGGCACATCAGTCACAGGGTAAGTTACCATGGGAACTATTGCGACCAAACGAGGTGGCACAAGACGCAGTTCCGTCAATTGCAATGCAGCGTATGGAGTCTGTCATATGTCAAGGCGAACAATGATATCGGACTGGTTGGAAGCCTCGCCAACGAAGCATTACATCCTTGTCCGCATTAATTGGTGGCACAGCAGTCACATCGGGACCAGTCTATCTGCGCGCCTGCCTTCATGCAGGTGAGCCTGAAGGCATTCGGAACGATCAGTGCTTTCGCCGAGCCCGAGTACGGTGAGTGCTCCACGGAAAGGCCGGAGCAGCGTCACCGCTGGCGTCACGCGTGAAGCGGTCATCTAGCCAAAGTGGCGCCCAGCAAGCGATCCTGTTCGACATCTCCATATTTCGTCTCGAAGTCTGTCGGTAGGGCCGGGTTGGATCTCAGCAATAAAGTCTCTCGGTATCTCAGCCATCATGGTCATCCCATCAACGCGGAGCGCGACGTCCCCCGTCGTCTGTATGCCATGGAGCATAGCCAATATTCTGTAGCTGTCGGCAGATATGCCTCCATGGATCAACAATTCGTGTAGAAATGCATCGAGATAAATGGTCCCTCCAAATTCCTCTGCCGCCGGTGATCTAAGCATGCTTGGGCGTCACCACTGCGCAAAGGGCTGCGCGCTCTCATATTTCCAACCCCATCGAAGGTGCAGTTTCGCCGTCGATGGCCAATTTCATGCATCTCAACGCGAAACCCAATTTCACAGGGCCAACGGAAGGTCTGTAGTTCAAAAGCCATGCTGCACGCTTGGGCAGGTCGACTGGCGGTCAAGTGGCCAGCGATGGAAGGAAGGCTTGGCACGTACACAAAGTGTTGTCGGATTGCGCAGTGATGCTGAGCGCACTTAATGAAAGGTGGTTGTTGTTGTTCCAATTGTGATGATTCTTAATTTTTAATGAACGTGAAAGCCCTCTTTTGTACTGCAATATGAGCCTGAGTCCTACGAAGTCACCACTATCTAGGACATCCTCTAGAGCTTTTGTCATGGCACCAGGGTCATGAAGTCGAGGGGGAAACCTCAATCCTTCCAACAAAATCATATCGCAGCGCCTGGCCGCCATTCCAGTAAGAGCACCTGTCAAATTTCAATACAAACCGCATGTTACCTTCGTCGAGCTGAGGGGTTAGTTTTTGTTAGCGCTGAACAATCAATCTGTGGACGGACGAAAAGTGTGTAATTTATTAAATTACAAGCTACCCTTGATACGGTAGTAGTCGGCTCGTCATAGCCGTGTTTCTCCTTTCCCCTGAACTCCATCCCCTTTCGCTTTCATCAGTTTATGAGCTGGGTCCACCATGCTGTAATACTTTTCACATAGCTGCCTTCTCTCATATCTCTGACTTGGAGTAATGACTCCTTGAACTTGTATTCCCACTCCCAATGCGTCCGTAATGTCGTCCACAAGATCTGCAATTTGGAAGTAGTCCCCACTCCAACAATTTCGTATGATACGATCGATGGGGTCTTGCGGGTCGGTGGTAGGAAACTTGCCATCAAGCAAGCGGTCTACTTGGTCAGATCCTTCCAGCTCGGAGTACAGCTCAGAGCCGCGTGTCATATACCAAAACACTGAACCTAGAGCGAACTGCTCCGTGACTGAACCAGCAATCCCGTAGACACCGCCGAGTATCTCTCTGTGTTGTCGGACATAGGGCTCATAGCCAACGTCAAGCTCATCGCCGACCCTAGGCGAATGGTCAAAGTCGATAAGTTTAACCTGGTCATTGATATCGAATAGGATATTTTGTGGGTTGATATCACCATGAGCATAACCCAGGGCCTCCAAACACGCGGCTGCGCATGACAGTTGTAACATCCATTGCAGAATTGGCCGAGGCTTGCTGATACTCATTCGGTCGTAAAGTGTACCGTTCGGAATCAATTCGAGAAAACTGATATCAACGCCGCGGAACAAGCATTGGATAACCTGTGGGCATTCTGAATTATCGAGCAATTCGAATATCTTTTGCTCGTGACATAAGCGCTCGTCTCCTGACTGGAGAGACACTTTTGCCGCTATATCGGGAGAGATCCAGAGCACGACAGAGTGGCCGCCAATACCGAAGACAGATGAACCAGGACAAGTCACGAGCAGTTGTTTTATGATTGGGTTGAGCTCGCCGTGGGGGAATGAAGACTGGTCAAAATATTGGGCCAGTTGTTCAAATGTCCAGCCCAGCCCAGACATTGCATACAATCAAGCAAAAAAGGTCGACGGAGTAGTGAGTGAGCGTGATGAATATTGAGAAATGTAAAAACGGGGTAGGAGGTGATGCAGTAGATTTTAACTACCTATCCACGGACTTCGCCCCACCACTTTTTATTGCCGTCAAGCCGTCTTCTTCCATTGGCCAGCCCCTCTAGGCCACGTTTGATTGGCAACGCAATCATCTCATGGGTCCTGGATGACCACACAGCATGTTGACGGGGTCAATCTCGTTCCAGCACATTTCTAATTCAATCGATTTAGTCATCAGGTCATACTCAGAGATGAAGTATCATACCGAGAAGATGGTGGGATTCTTCAAGATTGAACTAGTCAGTTACATCTGATAATAGTAGAGCAAAGGATATTCAATATAATCAAGTTGTGTTGATAGCTGAGGAGCTGCCCATACTAAATGTGCACTTCTCCGATGACTCTATACTAGAGTGGGGGAGGGGAGAGAAAGTACCGCTGTATACGAAGCTACGTGTCGGCGAAGGAAATACTCGAATTGCGATTCATGATGAAACGATGACTTATTGAACACGCCATATCGTTCATACACATTCATCAGATTGAATGTGACCAGGACAGCCTGACCTCGATTAACAAAGGGACGGCTCGACAGAGGAACACATTGGTGGGCCAAGACTTCCATGGGCTAGGCCAATCTGTGTACAACCTATTTGGAGTGGTATGTTCTCAATTATCATTATGATGGGTGTGATGTGAGCTGATGGTGCTGTGGCTTAACCCCTAGAAACGAAAACGACGCCTAACTCCTAATATCGACCACATGCCTTCGTAACTGGGTGGCTTGACGACTGAGTGGTACTGAGGTACTAAACCGCCGAGCCTTTCTATGCAAACACCTCCGGAGATGTTACTTAGTGATCACGACCTGCCTCATCCCAAGGCACAAACGTCCCATACGTAAGCGCCTGTGCCCCATGTGCCCTCCCAAACCCTCGCTCCTCCTCGATATCAGCCTCGATCTTCCAAACCACCACCGCCCGCACAAACCCGAACAATGCCAGCCCCCACATCAACACATTGCATCCCATCAGGACGCCCTTGACCGCCCGGCTGTGCTCCTCGATGCAGCGCGCCCACATTATGAGGCTCGCTGCGGTCGTGACGACTAGGATGGCGCATTGTAGGTAGAGCAGGGCCACGGCGGAGAGTATCTTGACTTCGTGCGCCACTAGGGTACCGGAACAGAGGATGAGGACTCCGATTAGGGAGGGTTCGGCGAAGTTCCAAAGCCTACGAAATAATTAGCATATCGTGTAGTGGTCGTTGAACAAGGGGGAATAACTTACCACTCCCAGAACTGTACATCGGAGTCGGGTTTCTTCCAGACAGCAACGGACATGAGAGCACTGAATACAGCCAGTGCGATAGAAAACTGCAGCGCCAACACAACGCCGTGGAGAATAGAGCTGAGAAGCCACCTGGTTTCAAGCTCCACGACGGCAAAAGGCCCATACCTGATACTCCCGCGTTGCCGCTTCGGCGCTGCTCGGTTTCCTTGACGCCCATCTTGCCACCCACGCGCCTGCCAATCCTCTTCGGAATCGTCGATCCACGGCGGAAACGGTGTGAGCGGAGGCGTTGGATCTCGTTCTGTCGTAGGCCCTCGCACTGTGTCCGTCGACGAAGGTCGCAAGGGGATATGTTCTGATATGGTAGAGCATGGCCCTAAAGACGAGTTAATCGAGCTGGCGAGGACCGATCCCAAAGACGAGTTGATCGAACCTTCGTAAACGGGTTCTAGAGGTGAGTCAATCGAGCCTCCGAGGACCGGCACTACCGACTCCGGCGACGTGAAATGGGCTCCATAGCTCGGGCTGCCCAGACTTTCGGGAGGCAGATACGTCGACACAGTGGGCGAAGGCTCGGGGCCCAGAAAGAAGCGCGGCGACGGCTGCGCACGAGGAACGCCCCCGGGCGGAGCCTCAGGAGAGATGGAGAGCGTGAGGGTATTCCTGCGAACGCGCTTGCGGCGAGGACGCGGGGTGTCCTGGTCTTGCGCCTGAGCAACGTCCATGGTGGCTCGGGGAGGTGATTTCGGTGCGCGCGACGAGGCGCGCGAGGTTCGTCGTGGACGATGTGTGGAGGAACTCGAGGACGAGGCCATGTGCGGTTCACTGGACTTGAATACGGTGGTGGTGTTTGCAACGCGGAACACGTGTGCAGTGATTAACTGCTAAGCGGGAAGTGAAGTGATGCGCGGCTGATATTGGGAGTATTGGTAACTTTAGACTGAAACCTGACTTGGAAGAGACGGAAGCGAGCAGAAAGCAAAGATACGTTGGCAGCAGCATCAAACAAACTACCGTTGACCGGGCTTTTAACTACTTACTCCTGTTGCATCGCGTAGCCTTCGTCACCATCGCGTAAGTTGTACAGTTCATGGCCTTTGTTCCAGCCGGAGAACAGAGCCATCACAGAAGCGTTCCACGATCTCACCGTTGGATGATCATGGGTCCCTTGGTACAAGGGAGGACAGTTGCGACGGGGAAAATCACCGCGGGTCTTTGTTCCGCGAACCGGTGCGTGTAGAAGTGCTCGTGATGAAGTTTAGTTCCCGTAGTCTTACAAGCTCTTTGTCAATCCTGCGCCATCCCGTCCTTCCCACCCATGCCCGCCAAGCCGTCCGTTTGCTAACGCTGCCAGTGCCGTCGTCGCTCAAATACTCAAACATATCGTAGTGTGCAATATCAACGCCGGGTTCCCAGTTCTCTAGGGTATGGATGCATGTTCGTCAGTCAGTCAGTCGACTCGCATTACTCAAGACTCATTCTGGCCTCGTCGCCAATCCCCCAGTGCCCGCCGTCTCTTCCTGGCTTCTGAATCTCTACAGTCAACTCCGCCCCAAGACTGCTGGTGTCTTCCTCGTTAGGGACGTCGCTGGTCCTCCTAATACGCTCTTTATCCGTCGCGGATCGGTCAGTGGGTCGCTTTCGCATCAAGGGTGACCTGAAGAATGATCTCGAGGACGTCGATAGTACTGACAGGGCATCGTCGGCTCTGGAGCTCGCGTCGTCAGTGCTGAGGTCCTCGGCAATCGTTTGGTCAATTATAGGTACTCCAGCGCCGGATCGTGATGTGACCATCTTTTCATTGGTGGTGCTGTATCCTGCTCCTGCGGCTGCGGGTGTGGAAGCGGCGCCGTTGGGCTCTGACGCATCCAGCTCATGAAGCTTGGATTCGTCGACCTCGACCAACTCGGCATCGTGGTACCATTTCCTTCGCCTCGTCCATCGGCTCCAACCATCCTGACCTCGTTGACCGTTTTGCCACTGTGGGGGTTATTAGCAGGGGTATCATTAAGCGAGGGTTCGTGAGGTCACATACCTTGTTATCATAGAAGATCCATCCGTTTTTGCCTTCCTCGTTATCGTAATCCACCGGTCCCTGATCGTCCGGAACCCCATCTACTCGCCATCGACTTCCCTCTACCCATCGCCACACCATACGGCTTCCATCCTCGACCTCGGGCAGCTCGAATTCGTCTCTGGCGGGCACCGGGTTGTTGTGTTCGTCGGTCCAAGCGGGACGCTCGTACGCAAACAAACTGTTCGTCCAGCCCAGACCAAGCCATCGTCTCTGGTTCTCGTAGATGATAAAGGTAAATTTGACCCCTGCAGTTCTAGTGCTACCGGATCGTCGGTGATTTGTTTGAAGGCTAGCCGGGTTTCGGAGGGCCTTGGTAAGCTCGGATTCCATACGGCCCTTGCCCTTTCCTGATGCATTCAGATCATCCTCAGGCAACTTGTCAGGAGCATCAAAGTAGAGACCGGTGATTCCGGCTGCAAGTCGCCGCACCGTCAAACTCCTCCAAAGGAGAGCTCTAAAGACTCTCATGACTCGGGCATGCCAGGTTAGGATAATGGTGCCTGCCACTAGGACAACACGTCTTGTGGTGATGACTCGCCATGGCGGAATAGTCAAAGCGATCCATATGGGGGTGATGATCAGCAACCGCATGAAGATGACGGTCAGAGCAGGCCGGGTAGTGGCACTTGTCGGAGTCCTCTGGGTGCTGACGAAATCGGTCAGCTCCAACATAGGCTCTAGGAGAGTGTTGCACCTCCCAGTAAACTCCTTGAGTGTCTCGACAATCTCGTCTAGTGTCTTTTGGTGCTTCGTGTTTGTGACTTCGGAGTTTCCCCTCTTGTGTTTTGCTTGCTTCTTGTCGTTGTTGCCAGCCTTCTGTTGGGTCCCGTCGGTGGCTGCCTGGCCAGACTTCTTGGAGCTGGCATCCCGGAAGAGGCTTCGAGGTTCAGTCCATCCGCTACTACTCAGAGGACTGTACCTCCGGCCATACATGCCGGCGATGAGCCCTGCGCCAACGACGACGGGTCCAGCCCAGGTAACCACGATGTCTCCATATAGAACAATGGCCCAGAATGCGCAGACCAAGAGAAAGCTTTCCCACGGATCGCCCGTGCTCCAGGTTAAAAGGCCGGCGAGTGTATTCAACGGGAGGAGGAACGGATGGCTATAGGCCAAGGCGCGGGTGATTTGGGGTGGCGTGGCGAGAAGCAGCGGGCTCTTCTGGTGGACGAGGATGGTAGATCGACGAGAGGATCGGGACGGAGTGTTTCCGGAGAGAGTGACGGGGGAGAAGGTCGCGTAGGTCGGGGGCGCGCCTGTGGCAGGATGAGAGTCGTAGGAGGAGGGTGATGCGCCGATCGACGCATCGTCGCGTGACGACATGGGTGACGAGAGGTGCGACAACCAAGGAGTGTCCTGCGAGAAGAGTAAACGGGAGTGGTCAGCGGTTGCAGTGAATGGGAGCGGCGGCCGAGTCGCAAAGAGCAGAGTGCGATGCCGTGCGGGAGGAGCTGGAGCTTGAGCTGCAGCCTAGCTGTGCTCTGCGTGTGAATAGACGACGGAGAAGGTGTTCAGTTGGTTCCTGACGGTTTTGGCGTGATTGCTCAGCCTTGTCGCGAGGAACAAGTCAGTCACGTCAGAGGGCTGACTACGCCCAGGCCTTGCCGGATAGAACGGAGGCAGCTATGTCATTGCGCGACGCCACTTTTCCTTTTTCGCGACGAGAGCTTGGGCAGGTGGATTTGTGTGGGGTTACGATGGAGAGGAGAGAGGAGAGAGGAGAGGAGAGGATGAGAGACAGGATGAGAGACAGGATGGGAAGAGGATAAAAAAGACGATGATGCGCAGTGTGAAAATGTAGACGTAAAAGAAACGTCCATCGCCAATAAGCCAGTGACAGTTTACTCACCAGGGCCGCCATCTATGACCAGCTGTTCTGCGGGCTTCAGCGCCGTCACCCCCGGAATCCAGACGTCATTGGTGTTTGCGTCTGTGCCCCGCGTCGTGCCAGCGCAAGCCTTAGCGGCAGAACCACGTTTGCCCAGCAAAAGCCACAGAAATAATAAAGGCGTTGAGGAGGATGGGATGAAAACAGGGAAGCAAGGACGGATGAGTTTGGTTCAGTAAACTAAGAAGCAGAAAACAACTCGCAAATCTTGGGACAGATGGGCGGCCGTTCTGCTCGGGAGCCCAGGAATGACATGTCCCACGTGAGCCGTCAATCAGATGGCGCAGTCAGCCCTCTGTTTCGGCAATCACATGCCAAACCAACCGCTATAAGCCGAACCCAGCCTAGAAGCCGCCGTTCGCGGGCTTGGAGCTCGAGTCAAGAAGCGTCCATCCCTCTGGGATTGGACTGCGCGCTAATAAGGGCCTTTGTTTTCGATGTCTTGAAAGGAAAAAGGGGTCAAGGCGGGCGTGTGCTCCGTGCCGTGGCGTGTTTCCCTCCCGTTTCCATGTTATGTCCCTGTCTTGTCTAGCGACTTATCACGCCAGCTTCCCCGGATTTTGCTCTCTTGGTGGCTGGTAAGTTTGCTCCTCCACGTGCGTTTGCTCCAAATTTTGCTCCAAACGATGGAAATAATGCGCAATAAGTCAGATAAGATTGAGGGAGCCAACATTGCTTAATTCTAGACAAATAAACAAAGAAGAAAAAAGTGAGTGGCTGGCTGCCGTCGCACAACACAAACGCATCCTTCCGGTTCAGTCGCAGCAGGATCGGAGGGTTGTGTGACTAGGCCAATACAGCCATACGACTGGTTGAGCAAGGGTCTCGAGTTGTACTCTGCCATACCCTCATCTTCCTTAGTGTCACTAGAGAAAATGCGCAGCAATTATGTTAGATATCCGTGTGTAGCAGTCCAGTCATGACCAAGGACAGTTCCGACACTCATGCGTGTCTAGGTGTCGCAGCCAGTTCGCGCGGCCATCCTCTCCAGCACCACTCGCCGGTTTGTGAGATAATCCGGCCGCTTGGGCCTTAATGTTCAAGGAGATTGCCATTTGTCGCTGATGGATTCGAAGGATATAAAACACGACACAAGTGACGGAGATGGTGGCTAGGAGACGAAAATCGCAGGTCCCACAGGTGGCGTTGATCAGATCGTGGGGTTGGACTAGGGGTAGATGGTCCGGGGCTGACCGTAAGTGACGGCGAAGAATGTTACACACGGTAAACCTTGGTTTCCAGGTCGAAAAGGATACAATTATTAAAATTTGGCAAGGATGGATTCAGCGACAGACTTGCTCCAAGGCGGGGAGCAACGTGAAGCCTGCGCTCCACCGTCAACCACCCCACGATGAAGTTCGGATAAGCATTGAAGACTGGGCGTTGGAGATAGAGTGACTCCAAGTATACCAGGGTATTGATCGATCGATCAATAGCTGCAGGCAACTATACTCTTGACATATCGATGCTTCCTGACTGGCAAGTAGCTACCTAGGTAACATGCCACGAGGCTCTACCAGTTATCGCCATCATTACCTCCGAACACTCGACATTCCGAGCCTCACATCTTGAGTGTGATGTCTCAATAGATTGCTTACGTCCAAGCCTTCGCAACTGTGGATATGCCAACATCAGGCACTTCTCCGGTCTAACAACGGGCAAGCCATCACTCACCTGCCTATTCCAGAATGGACAGCTCCGTACCTCAATCAAACCCCCATTTACGGCAGAGACATTCACACCTGATGCATCCAAGGCGCAACGAAGTAGTCACATATGAAATTTAGTTCAAGGATGGACTAAAGCTAGCAAACCCCATGTCCCACCAGCAAATCTGGGATGATATCCCGGCGCTCATGAACCCATAACCCGTTTCGACAAATTTCGACGAATTCGAACAAGAACGACCAACGTCTCAGACCGAGGTAGAATGGTGGCAAGTGCCACGGGGGTGGTATCTCAATGATTTCTGGTCATATTGGTGTTTGACGAAGAAAAGAGAGTCGTTTACTTGCAGCCGGAGCAAGAGCCTGAACCACCAGCCTTGTCAGTTTCCCATTCAAACATGGAGAGGCCCTCAAGAGGGGAAGACGAAGAGGGGGTTACGAACAGGTGGAGCCGCAGTTGCAGCTAGAAGCACCGGAGCATCCGCAGTCGCCAGCCATTGTGATTGTTGTTTGGTGGGGGTAGGTGAAACCTGAGGGAGGATTGTTGGAAATTGGTTGGAAGTTGTTTCTGGATGAATCGTTACTGGGAAGAGGGAACCACCCTTGTTGCAGGACGATGCACGACCTTTATAGACGAGCCCTGACTGCCCGGAGGAATGCGGGCTTTCCGCGTGGATGCGGGCTTTCCGCGTGGATGCGGGCTTTGTGCGACTCTTACATTGACGCCCCACCCCTCGATGAGGGGCACTGAGCTGGATGTACCGTGGTTGGCAATCTGGGAAAGGCCTTGTGGAGAGCACGAGACCCGCGTGCAGCATCTGAGTGATTTTGGCGCCAGCTTAGCGGACTGGAGGTGTCCTGACTTGCCTGATCCGCAGGCGGGACCACAGTCGTAAGTGGTGGTACGAGACGGTCCGCGATAACGGATCTGCCGTGCGCCGTCTCGAATCTTCTGGGGATGACTATGAACGCGGATGACGCGCAGGCACACAAGTCAGGCCGGACCTTGCTCCATCGAACGGGCTGCTCAACTGCCGGAGACGCCAGCAAAAGAAGCGTCGCCACCTCCGCCTCGTACCCCTCAGAGAAGCGGCGAGTTGACGCTCGGTGGCTGCTAGCGTCCGCTCTCAGGTGACGATCCCTTGGTGGTTAGTGTTGCCACTGTCCGGGCGTCTCCAACATCCGTCCATACGACATCTACGGCGGCGTGGTTCGTCACGGCCACGGTCGGAGGTTGTACTGTAAGGGCATTGGACGCGGACCCTCGTAGGAACCCTGTCTCGCCTGTCAGATGCGATGCACGTAACCCGCGCTGCAGGCCATCAGCCAACCGTAACCTGCTCAAATCGCATCCTTTTCCATGCACAGTACGTTTCTGCGTACACTACTGTACTGGATGGATCCTTGGTCGTTCTTGGCGAGTTTGCCGACGCAAAATCCGCGCCGCTGAGTCGGACGGAGCTTGTCCGGCGCAGAACCCCGCTCCTTTGGAGGGGCAACATCTTAACTGATAAGAGGCCTTATCGCCGTCAATGACGTTGGTCCGTCGAGGGCCGCGCTGAAGGGTCTGGCCAGCATTATCCATTGCCTCGCTGTTATTCCATGCTAGACCGAAAGACTCTTGGTCTTGGCTCACAAATGATATCTGGCCTCTATTATAAGTCCAAGGTGCGCAGTACATGAAGGCTGCCTTTTTGAGGCAAGCTTGTTTGGGTGTTTGAGGTTTAAACCGCCTCGAAATGAGCGCCCGTCAAAGCATGGCCGGAGATGTACATCAGGGAATAACGGTTTGAGATTCTAGAATAAATCAAACAAACTTGCAGTACTTTTACCCTACCTCCTCTTGGTCGAGCCACATTTTACAATTTTGTCTGTTGACCTTGACGCCATCGTACCACCGGCAAGGTAGGTGGCGTCTCAAGTGTGTTCCATCCAAGAAATTTTTCCTGCATCGTTTTGGACCCAAACTTCACTTGCGCTACATTACCCTTCAGTCCCCGGGTTTGTTTGGGGGCCAGTAAGGCTTCTATACTTTCACATAGGCGTATCGATGATTTTAAGCCGAATGCTTATTAGGTCCCGGTATTACTCTAGGATCACCCGTTGCGACCGGAGCTTCCTGACTCGCTAAGGTGAGGCGAGAATAAGAGTCAAAACACTGTTTCATGACTATGCCGGTATTGCCACACAGACAATTACCTGCAAGCCTCCTGCTCCATGTTCGGGTGACATATTGGCAAACCATGCATTCACAGGCAAGATACCGCCTACGATTGGTAGACGCCTCGAAAACCTCCTGGCATCCGATCGGGTATCTCGCTTATTACCTATGCCTGGAAGTAACTCCGTACCTAACTTTAGCCCCTAACTTTAGCCCCTAAGGTAACTATAGGAGGTACTTAGTACCTAGTGAAGGTGCTTCACATCTCGGGTGGTTTAACGGCTTCGCTCGTGAGTCACCGCAAGGTTTGGGCAACCCGGATATCTGCGAAAATTTTGTTGACGAGGAGAATTCAAATGAGCCTTGCTACTCACGAGAATATCGCTATTTGCATACAGGTAGCAAGTTTCTGTACTAAAGTGTCATGTCAACTAAGATATCTATCTGCCTTATGTATATGGTAGTTAAAGATAGTACTAAATATTTATTATTCCTATTAAATTAGATCTAAGAAATAAAATAAAATATTACTATTACAAAAAGTAAAGACTAAATATTAGTCTTTAGAAAAATTATCTTTTCCAAGGTTTTACTTTAGGAGGATAATATGAGTAAGATACAGAATACATGCAAAGAGCAATACTTATTTAAACAGCATTTAAGACCAAGGTGCCCCCCTCTACGAACGATTCTCCCCAACCATATTATTCCCCCGCCAACACACAAGTCATTCTTCTTTACGAACCCTCGATGGCCCCCAGCTTCGAAGAACAGGAGGGGTACTACTACGGTTTGCACAGCAGACCGAAGCTTGTGGCTCGATCGAGCACAGATCCCTGGGTCGATAAATTCGACTTCGCGACCCAATATCCCATCGGAAAGCTGCTTAATCCCGTTGGACAGCACCCCATTGTCGGGTTATGGAGCACAGAGCTCCGACGCGACATTGTTCTGGCGCTCGATGGAATCCAATGGAACGTCATTGATGTCTTGCGCCTGGGATATGAGCGCGTACTGAACACTCCGGAAGATGCCGAGCAGCCTGGGCACTGTCTAAAGCCCGGGCGCCGAGTTCACCAGGGTCCAAGCACTGAACACGTTCCCGCAGCACTGTCTGTAAAACCACCCGCCGGCTCGGCAGGTAGGTCATAATCCAAAAAGTTATGGCCCAGGGTTCATTTTATTTGGCAGGCTTTTGTTACATGGGTGGCCGAAGTGATACACCTGACCTGATACCCTCCTCCAGCATGCGAAACCAAAATGAGACACCAACAGATGCCTGTCGTCTTCACTTGAGAATCCAGCCACTAGCGCACGTTAAAAGGGGGGCATTCGTCGTGTCTTATAAACAGCAGAGTTCATCCACATCCGATTGAATCTCCATTTGTTACAAGAATCGCCCAGAATCGCCCCGAACCGCTCAGACCATTCATTATCCACCATGAACAACTCGTCGCGCCAAAATTCCAATGCCACTCGAAACTCGAGCCCCAATCCAAGGAACGGTGCGTTCAAGCCTCGGAAGAGGGGAACCAGAGGGGCTCGCAGGGCTGGCTCTCCCGGGAATAACTCGACGGCCAACAACAGTTCTACACAACAAAAAGGACAGGACATCAAGGATCCCGTCGCCCGTCAACAAATGAAACAAACCATGGCAATCGCCCTCATCACCACTCCCGTGGTTCCTTTACCGTTTCCTCTTTCCGTTATCCTGGGGTTAACAACACTCATATACCCCAGCGACGCGAAAAACCGAGATGAGGAATAGCCTTCTCCTCCCATGAGGCAACGCGCTAGCCATGCATCAGGAGATTTAGGTTCAAATCACGAGTTTGACCAAACCTCAACACCATTTGATATGCTCCAGATTGGGCTGCTTTGAGAATGGAGAGAAAGGCTCCAGTAAATCCAATTTCGCGACCTGGCAGGATCAGTCGTGGAAGAACACCACCAACGCAGACACCGACCTAGGGCATGAAGAAGGTGCCTTCGTCGGAGGACAGTTTATGATCCCAAGTGGAGCAAGATTGGACATAAAATTATATCTGTCTATAATACCAAAATCATCGTATTCTTACAAGAGTCAACAACAAATGACAGGTCCCCGAAACCCAGCTTGTTTGGTTTGAGCAATTCCAAGTAATTCCATGGCGAAATATCGAACAGTTCTCCGACAAGGTCCATCTTCGCAACTGGGGCCGTCCCTCTCGAATCATTCCAGCCTGCTAGCCCAGCCTCTAGTACTCTACAAGGCATACAGCTCCATGGCTCACTTCCGTACGCACAACGTCCATTTCTCAGATGGAGCTGACCTCCTTCTTGGATCAATTGTTTCAGTTTAGCCTCGATCTCCGGCCAATGCGTTTGCTGTTGCGCGGACGTGGGTTCGAAATCACCGAAAATCCGTTGTCTCTTCTCTCTCGAGGCAGGAGCTTTTGTGGTACATTGTCGCTTTCTTTTTTTTTGCTCCTCAATTTTGGCCTGCACATTTTCCTTGGCTGCTCGCCTGGGCTGTATTCGAGTCGGTGGCGTAAGTGTCTTGTTTGCTCCGCCCTCGAGCTTTGTAACTCCAAGTGTTCGTAGTACGAAATCGAGAGAGCATCTTCTGTTTTCGGCGTCCAGATAGTGTTGCTTCGCGAGGCCAAGGAAGTGTTCCAGGCACATATATAGTGGTCTTTCAGGAGGTGGTAGGGTTCTCACCATGTTGCTAAGCGTATGAGCCTGGAGTGGATCGGAAGTTCTGCAAACTTGTGGTTTTGGCGTTCTTGAAAAGTGTAGGTGCGTTGTGTTCTCGCAAGTCTGATCACTTGGCACCGAAGTAGTCTCTTTATGATCACGGAGCGCCCGCTTCTTTGTTCTTTTTCTTGTCTCAATTATACCTATTCACGTCCTCGCTGTGTGGCTGAACAAACGTCTTTGTCTCCAGAGACGACCCATGCTCCCTGATTATGACTACTTCTTCCGCTGTTCATTGAACAGTGATTGGCATTTTTGTGATTAGTCATGTTTAGGGTGCTGAATGGCACAACCAATAATATTGCGCAATTTTGCACAGGCGCATAACCAATAGTTAGGTACCTAGGTAAGGCCCCAAGCATCCATCTGCGTATAACTTTACTTAACAACATTTCCTCTGTTGCTGCTTCTACGCAGTCACTCTCCTGCCACTGACGAATATATCAGGCCTCTGACCCTTACCTCCGCTCAATCTTCCCCGTCAGTGAGAATGGCTACCATATTGACCAAGGATCTCACTGGGAATTCTCTCGAGAATCCTCACGACCAGAGGATTCTCGTAGGGACAGAGGGAAACACTTGGATTTGGTCTCGTGATGGCTGGGATCTGACACATCCAGCAGACCCAAGCTCGAACTTGCCAGAGAACGGCGTCCACCTCGATTGCGAAACCGTCAACGTCAAAATCGACCCAACCAAGACGGCCTTGGAGACGTGCAGGGCGACCCCAACGACCCAGCAAACTTCCTCAAATGCGGTGAACGGCCGAATCTCAACAGACTGCCAGGCACTGAGCTTGGAGAAATCGTCCTGGAGGATGGCAGCCGGGTCAACGCCGGCCGCGTGATGATGAGAGGAACCTGGAACACTGCCCTACATGGGCCTTTGGCCGGTGCGTACGAGGAGGGCAAGAAAGCGGCCCGCCCAGACGTTTGGATTCACAAGAATCGCAACTCTGGTCTCTGGAACGAGAAGTCTGCCATGGGCGAGTATCTGAAAAGGGAAGGAATCCGCACTCTCCTGTTCTCGGGCGTCAGCACCGATCAGTGCGTCGGCTCTACTCTGCAAGACGCCCATGCTCAAGGCTTTGACACCATGATGTTGAAGGACGGTTGTGGAACAGATAGCCTGCCATATGCAAAGGCAACTTACGAGTTCAACTGTGTCCGAGCCTGGGGCTTTCTCACCAGCTGCAAGGCCCTTGCGAAGGCAGCGGAGCTGGACTACTAGTATGGAGCTGGATTACTAGTATGGAGCTGGATTACTAGCATGGAGCTGGATTACTAGTATGGACTGAAGCTGAGAGAACAGCCTTTGGTAATTCGAGGAGGAGCGGAGATAGTCGTGCTTTTCAAACTGCCAGGAACTCCTGTGTTCATTCACTACTGCTCAGGACCGAATAAGTAAGAGTATTGCTCATCACACAATAAAATCACATGACCCCATGACCCCATGACCCCACTCTTCCCCCCCCCCCCCCTCGCCACACCAAAAGTACAGTGTAAGTCAGGGAATGTAATGAATAATAAGTGTATTCAACAGTTATGTTACGCAATCTAACAGCCTGCAAGCCCGGCTGCCGTTAAATCGTTTAAAAACCCCAACTCGGTAGCTTCCCCGAAAAGCTCGTATCTTTAACCCGACCTGGCTATTATTCTGGCGGGTGCCACTGCAGCTTCGTGTGAGGCCGCGAGGGCTACTGTAAGGGCCCCAGCTGCTGTGACGGCTGCGGCTGCGTAGCTGGGATGACTTGGTCTACAGCTGATGATAGTGGCACAGCTTTGACGCTGCCGTTGCTTGACATTGCCCTGCCTCGTCCTCCCCTGGTTCTCCGGCCCCTACTGTTTATAGGGCCTCGCAATTTTAGTGCCAACGGCCTTCGGAAGGGCCGACTGCTCTACATCTCTATCTCTGCCTGTAAGAGGGTGCAGCGGGGGCAGTTTTTGAGGTGGGTGTGTAAATAGCAAATCACGAAAATCAAGTTCCGAACCGCAGCTGGGTACAAGTACAGCAGACACCCCCGCCAATATCCTTCTTCGCTTCCTGCATGACTTTTCTCCTGGCCATGGCCAGCCAAATATTCGGTTCAGTGATAAGTACATATTGTCAGACTGACTTTTCTTAGTTCCATTGACATCTCTTCCATCCCCAGCGACCAACGCCTAAGCTCCTTCAACCGATATGACACACTCAATCACTTTGTAAGTAGGATGCAGGCGGTTAGCTATTCACTATTTGCACTCATGTCACGTCGATGTTAACGCCTCACTCTGTCACAGCGCTGAAAGCTTCTCCCAGCAATGGGGTTCATATGTCGCCTCTTTCAGTAGCTCCTTGGAGCGCAACGACAGGGCCAAGTTATCCCGATTCGAGTCTTTTGATGACGTTCAAGGGCTATTCTCCAGAACTCAGGAGTTTTCGTTATCGACGGAAGCTTGCCAGGAGCTCACAGCACTCGCTCATACTCTAGAGAAACTCAAAGACTTCATGGATTTTGTTTCCAATGAAGCAAAGCCACCCACGGATAATTCCACGTTCTGGGGCTTCGTTGGGCTTGTGGTTTACGTACCTGCCAACTTCCGCTTCTTCCTAAAATCTTGTTTCTAACGTCATCTAGCTCTCACAGTCGGAAGAAGGTGCTGCACCTCAACTACCCCACATCATCGGCTGCGTCTGCCAGAACATCGGCATCCTCAACACGTATCGGGACAAAACAGCAAAGTTGTTACCAGAGATGAGAGACACGTGCTTTCAAATAGCTAACTCATTACTCTCATTCGTCATTGAAGCCATAAAGTTCATCCGGAAGGATGCGCACTGCCTATCAAATGGTAAGCTCCACACTCATTCCTGTCTCTCCGCCTAACCTGTGAAAAGAGAGCGACGTCTGGGAACCCTTCCAACAGAAATTTAACACCTTCAAATCTAAAATTGACGATGCAGTCTCTCGTTTAGAGAAGATTTCCAGGGTGTGGGGACTTGAGGACCTAAACCAACTGCAACTAGCCTTGATCGCCTCCAAACCGTCGCCTCACCAGAACCCGGATGGGCCAGCGAGTTTTCGTTGTTATATCTATCCCCACTTGGTAATAATAAGTGACTTCTTTGATCGTATGGACGACATCATCCAAATAGAAAGGTACTTTAGTACCGGTGCCCAAGATGCTAACCAGCCATTACGCTCACTCACTTTGTACGGTTTGGCCGGAGTCGGCAAGAGTTATGTTGCTCTGCGGTACGCCGAGGAGAGAATTCGCCTCGGGGAGATTGATGTCCTGTTGTGGATAGCGGGTGAGAAGGAAGTCACCATTCTTCAAAGTTTCACCGACATTGCCATTCGATTGAAGCTTCCAGGTGCTCAGCCCAAAGACCATGCTCAAAACAAGACTCTTGTCTTGGACTGGCTCCAGAAGACCGGTAAGACCACAAGGTTATGTTATTGGCCCCGCTAATGCCTCCAGAATGTCAATGGCTCTTGGTCTTTGACAATGTTGAATCCTTCGACCTACTGATGATGTACTGGCCGACCGCTACCCGAGGTCAGGTGATCATCACAACTCGCAACCACAACCTCGCGTTCCATCCCACTCATCGCGGGCATGAAATCACAGAGTGGGATCCTGAAACGGGCTCTCAATTCCTGGTCCACTTGCTCTCAACCGAGATCGGCAATCAACTGACCAAAGAACAGGCTTGTGGCGCACTTGAGTTGTCTCGTGATGTCAGCGGACATGCCCTCGCCTTGTCTGTTATGGCTGGTCTGATTCATCGCAACTCCTGGTCCATTAAAGAGTTTGTCCAACTTTACAAGAAGTGGACAAGGGAATTCCACAGTATTTCTGGGAAAGGTTCAATCGATGCTCTGTGGGATCTGTCGTTCCGGTCTTTGGGCAAAAGGACGTCCGCCATTCTAGGTGTACTTGCTTTCCTTTCCCCGGACAGCATTCCTCAAGCTCTCTTTGAACACAAGGATTCAACTGCTTTCCCAGCCACTCTCAGATTCTGTCGAAATTTTTTTGCTTTCTCACGCGAAATGGACATTCTGATGACTCTTGGCCTGGTCAAACGCAACAAAGAGAAGCGCGCATACTCGATTCACAGGCTCGTGCAAACCTCATTCAAACACTACATGAGCGCTGAAGACCGCCAAAAGAGCTTCAACGATGCGACCATATTGGTTTCTGCCGTCTTTCCACGGAAGGATGCCGAGTTCGCCCAAATGTACCACGAATGGATCACTTGCTCCCTCTACCTCCCACACGTACTCAGCTTGAAAGATTCCTTCCGCAAGGAGAAGGAAGCCAGCCCAACGTTTTCGGCATTACCGCTATACTGTCGCCTGAACAATGCATGCCAACGGTAAGCGCTTGTACAAGGTATGACACGTGGACGAACTAATTGGATCGTAGCTATCTCATCGAAACCAGCGGCTATAACGACCTCTTCGATCTTTTGGACGTCAACGCTATGGCAATAGCAACCACCCCACCCCAGCCACTGAGCATCCAAATCGACCTTGAAGGAGAGCTCGCGTCTCACAAGGGCCAAGCGCTGGCGCGAGTGGGCAGGGTTGAGGATGGAGTCATGCAACTGAGGGAGTCGTATGAGATCTTTGCCAAGGATCAGCCTCGCAACCTTCGCGAAGAGGCGTGGTGTGCCGAAAACCTCGCCGACGGCATTGCATCGGCGAACAACTTTCTGGATGCGATAAGTTTCCAGGAGAAGGCGCGAGACCACTGGCTTGATTGGGCCAAGGACAACGGCGAGAATAGGACGGAATGGCCTGCAATACTGAAGTGGGGAATGGGCACCAATCTGATCTGGGGGGGACAGAATTACCGGGCAAGAGATATTCTGACTCAAGGTCTTGGTCAACTCGAGGCAGCGAAGCCGTACAACTGGGCCATGGTCGCCTAGTAAGATCTACTCATTACCTTTTTTTTAGCTTTCTAACTGTTCTGCAGCACTAACTACTCCCTGGGAACTGTGCATCGAGCGGATGGCGATTTCGAGTCGGCAGAGAGACACTTCACAGAGGCATACAATAAGTGGATCTCAGGGGACAATCTGCTCTCCGCTCCCTTTTGTGGAGCATGTGTATAGGCAAAGTAGAAACTGCCATGTACGTCCGCTCGTTGTTCATGAGATGTTTTGCAAAGCTGACCCTTCTAACCAAAATAGAAAGCACCTTCGAGAAGCTTCAGTCATCACTGAACGGCATAAGGTGTGGATGCCAGTGGAACATGCCAGGTCGCTTTTCAAGTTATCGCAAGCGCTCGCAAAGGAACCGGCGGGGGAAGAAGAGTCGGCGAGACTCCGTGAAGAGTCCACGCGTCTTCTTCGATCACGTTTGCCTCAGGCAAAGGATACCGACCTCGAGAAGACTTATGACGACACGGTTTTCATTTGGTGGCGATGATGACAGTTATTTGTTGCATAATTTAGGGATTTATTACAGGTGGGCAGCGTAAAAAACTCATTCCATTCAATTTCTCCATCTAATCTTCGCTCACAAGCCTGTGGCCTTGTTCCCACTCCCCGCACACAAGGGTCGCGTGTCAACTTGTCCTTGCTCGAAAATGGGTGGTTTTGCGAAGGCGACCTTGTGAGACGCGATCAGAAAGATTAGACTAACGCTTAGCCTGACCGAGGTGCTGCTCTTTAGGTTTGGACAGATCGACCTGGCGAGCTTTCTGAGGCAAGGCTCCCTGAGAATCGCGGGCTAGTGAGATTGCGTTGGCAAGTGGGTTGCAGGCGGGGTTGGCCTGGTACCAGGCCTTCCAAGGCTGAGAGAGGGTTGGTGTGGAGGGAGTCATTTTCGGATTTCGAGTCGTTGTGGAAGTTGTTTCGAGGTTGGCTGTGTATCGCAGATAATTGCTCGTGATACTTTGGGCTCGGCGGCATTGACTGTGAGAAGTATTGGTAATCTGGGATGATATTATCTAGTGGATGGACGGGACATCACTTTCTTGAGCACATGCAGCAGATAACCCGCGTGACTGAGCGCTGGGGAGAGAGCAGTTTGCTGCGAGCTATTCCGGAAGGCGTGTCGGGAATCACGCTGCCGTGCCACATCAGAGCGGATTTGGATTGGTTTTCGTAGTTGGGTTCCACTCAGTCTCAACCTACGACGACATCGTAAAATATCAACAATTGCAGATCTATGTAGTCATTGCAGAAGAGACCGTTTAGCAGCAGGAAGGGACGGAAACAACACCCAACTCATTAACTTGCCCTAGGGGAAATGCACAGAGAGTCGTCGCACAGGCGTCTTGGCCGGTCAGCCCGAAGCTGCACCAGATTACGCGTATGGGGTCGGATCAATCTGAGGCTTATGTCTCCTGATAGGGAAGCATCTCATGAGATAGATTATCGGGTCGGTCGCTGGAAAGTTCGCTGGCAAGGCATTAATGGGGCCTGCGGCAGCCCGATATCTGAGGGAGGTTGAAGACGGAGGTTGGACAGGGAACGTAGTGATGGCAAGAAGGTTCAAATAAATCTCTCAAAAATGAAGGCAATCAATTAATCGACTCCCTAGCAGCCTCGAGCCCTTCCGGCCTCTCTGACTTCTAGGAAGAATCTCTGATGAAGAAAAGACGATGATTTTTGCCCAGTGACGGCACTGACCTCCCCTTTTAACCCCAGCCGGGTCACCCTAGAGACATCCCCGCTAGCGACCAGCTAGCCCAAGTGTCCCTAACCGCCTGTCACAACCGCCATCTCGCAATCACGGTCTCAAAACGCGCGTACGCGATGTCCATATCATCAACGACGAAATGGTTACCCCTCTCGGAAGTAATCGCAGAAGTAACGAGAATCGACACACGCATGTTCTCCGAGAGTACAGGCGTGTACAGTGCTACCTCGGAAGGTAGCTGCCAGCACTACGGACTTGGCACGCTCGTCGTTTACCCCTCGTGCTACCTGTTGGATTTCCACAGAGGAAGCATCCTCGGCATTCAGCGGCAGTGTCTTGAGCCGAGGTGTCGTCGACCGCAGTGCATGAAAACAGCAGGTCTGCGGAAGTCTGATGCAAGCTGCTGTGCGCGTATATACTGCGTGTTAGAGATGTCGTCTCATCTCTGTTGTGCTACTCAAGCACACAAACACACACACGCCCTTCCAATAGATTGAACCCATTACGCGAAGTGCAGTTTCAATTGACGAGGCGTGGAGAGCAGGATTCTTTTCCCAGTTGGATGACGTTCAGGGGCCAGCCTCATTGTGCGCTGCCTTCATAGTCGCTTACGAATTTGGTAGTCATCCTAGTAAGATGCCAGCCTCATTCATATAACAAATACTCTAGCGCCGGGAAAAGTAGAGACTGATTCAGTATTCCGAAATTGATCATCTTTGACTCCACCCTTCGTTTCGACCCCAAGCGCGAGCGTATTACGACAGAGATCAACAAAAAATATGCCTGATTCGCTATTTCCGCAAGTCCGAATGGGTCCAGCAGTCGACGTCGAGATGCAGCAGCTGGATGGACGAAGACATAGATTGAAAGATGTCATGGAGTCAGACGACGCGCCTCGCATGGCCGCTTTGCAGGCCTTGCGAGGATTCACTTCCGTCAGATGCGGCAGGTCAGAGAACTGTCGACAACTACCCCCTGGTGTCGCTATCTGGAAGATTCCTTTCAGCCGTTCCTAACCGAGCAATATGCGTGCATCTGGGCGACTATTGGACTCCCACCACCCCGGGCGGCCACTCACTGTTGGGGCTTGTTTTCTGCAGTGTCTCGCGCAGTCGCCAAGCTGAGCGATGCGGACAGCATAAAGGATGTGTGGAAATCGGTCGGGGAAGACGCAGAGGCAGCAGAAGGGGGCTTGATCATGCGAGCAGACGCCCCGAAAGAATGCCTGATTGCCGTCTTTGCCGTGCTTTGCTGGGGCACCATGATCGTTCAGCCTAAGCTCACATGGACTGATACTACAGCGGCTCCCCGCCTTACAGTTCATCAGCTGCCCGCTGACCACCAAGGCTTGAAGATGGATTTGTTTGGCCGGCCCATTTCAGCGCTTTTCCAGAACTTTCAGACAGCTCTCGCTCGCCAACAACTTACAAGCACACCCGGAACGGGCGAATCTACCGTCCTGTTGGTGTCTACCATCAACTACCACTCTCTGCGAACTATTGGCAAAGTGAGTCTCAAATGGGTTGATAACCTGAGCTGCCACTTGAGCTTTGATGCGAGGACTCGAACCCTCTCCGTCTTTCAATTTCCCAGCTTTTGCGCTCTCGCAGCAATGGCAAATAACCGGGGCGCCTTGTTTGAAACGTAGCGATACCATCACAACCCCTAGGGAGGCACGTGGACTAACATGGGTATAGGCTGATGCAGATCTTGTTCTCGACCGATGACGAAATTGTAAAAGGGTTTGGATGCAGCCGTCAACTCAGTCAGGAAGTTCTCATGTCTTACCGCCTGCTGTTCGGCCAGTGCCGTGCCGCTCGTAGGCTGGGGGAGACCTTGTTGCAACAGATGGAAGCCAAACATGGCTACGACCAGTTGCTTGCCTGCCTGTGCACCAAACCACGCGGAGACGTGGCTAAGAAGCTGCCCGGGTCTTTCTGGCCGCTGTCATGCCGCGATTTCAATGACGTCCTACAGGAAGTTGATTCGTATAGTTCGCGAGATGACTTTCCCATGCTAGGCTCTCGCCTCGCTGTCATTCAAGAGTTTAATCTGAGGCAGCAACCTAGCAAGTTGCGGGACTTGTGGAGGGATCGCAGAAATCCGCTGCAGTGGTACACGTTTTGGGCAGTGCTGGTAGTCGGTGGCCTGTCGATTTTCCTCTCAAGCCTGCAGCTGGTCGTGGCAATTATCACGATGGTATGAAGCTAACCCTGCTTAGCTTCATGCCTGTGGTACGACCTTTCGTATCTGCAGGGTACAATATTGTCGAAAGCCAAAAGTTGACGGATGTGGGTGCCGGCAATTCCCGGCCTTGGTCTTGAAGAGCGTGAAATAAAACACCCCCCACATTCTTCCCAGTTGTATTGAATAGTGAAATTTGCAATGTGTTAGATTATAGACCGAATTAAACTCGGCTACAGTAATATTTGGGGTACCCTATACTTTTAGCTTAGCTGGACACCATGCAATTGGTTTACTTCCGTCACCTTCTTGCCCAACATCCACGCCTGTAACTACTTCGCATTTCATGGCTTGCTCCAAGAGACATGCTCAAGGCAAAGTCAGATATCTGGCTCGAGACGATTTGTACAGCACGGAAAAGCCGTACTCTGCGGGCTTTGCCGTCGACGAACGGAACGGCGCAAAGAGGTCAAACATCATTACTACGGATTGTGACGTCCAAGTAAGGCCAGTAGCCAGTCGAGATGTCTTTGACATGAATGCCAATGGGTTCTGTATCCTGAACGAGGTTACGAGCTTGACGCTGGAGGATGCACTCGATAGACCAGAGGAAGCGGAGCTGAAATATCACGCCGAACTTGAACAGATCCTCCACAAGCATTTTCCAGAATATACGAGACTCGAGGGCCTCGATTTCGTAGTGAGTTGATCGTAAATATTGCACATCTCATGACTGATTGGTCACGCAGGTTCGGAGACGGCATCCTCATTATCCCTCGGACAGAGTAGAGTTTGTCAAATACGAACAGCCCGCGGCCATAGCACACAGCGACTACACACCCGGAGGCGCAATCGCACAACTCAAAGGATCTTTTCCGGGACAGGAGGCCCACTTTCTAGACAAGGAATATGACATGATCAAGTGTGATCTCCTCTGGTTTCACGTGGCTCTCCCTGCTAACGAGCTCCCAGTGTCTGGAAACCACTGATCGGACCCAACAACGACTGGCCGCTAGCTCTGTGCGACTATTCTACCATCCAACCCACCGATATCGTCCAGGCGGATGTGCTGCATGTGGACCGCATTACCGAAAACCAACTGCTATACCCAAATGCTCAACACCGTTGGTACTATATAGAGAACCAGCAGGAGACCGATCTGATTGTGTTCCGGAACGTGGATAGCACGGGGAAACGAGCAGGTTTGTGATGCGATAAGTTTGGTGAAGCTGCGATCATTGACAAAGTCCAGTGGGTTCCATGCCGCCCTCCTGAATCCGGGTTCAGAAGGCCCACCACGTACGAGCGTCGAGGTTCGATTTGTCGCTTTCAGATAGCAAAACTCAGGGCGACATTTATGTCGGTCTGCAAGTATTGACTTAGTGGCTTCTAATTACGGCTGCCTTCGGTAGGTGTTAAGCGAAGAAGCGGGGTGTGACCTACGGGCATAGACGGAGCGATGGCACGCTCTGCTGGGCAACTAGAGGAAGAAGGCTACATGGAAGAATTTGCTGCGCTAGACTGTGCAGAGGTCATTCAATTGAACTAGGTTGACTACTTATGCAATTTCTCTCGCTTTGACAGAATATATTGTCATGAAACCACCTGAATGAGCCACATGGTGCAAATGTTCTCTGGATATGCTTCAAAAGTACTCCAAGAAGCGACGTCGCCTCTGTTCGTCGGTCATCTTCCCGAACTCCTCTATCTCTTTATCCTTGACAGAGATATACCACCTCAGCAACTCCTCGGCAATCCAGGTGTCGACAGCAGCATCCCTCTTCAAACAATCCAACGCCTCTTTGAACGTGGCTGGCATGCTCTTATCCATTCCGTACTCAACCCGCATTCTCTTGTCCAACAAGTGTGGGAAAAACTTGCAATCCTTCCAAACTAACTCTGTCTTCTTCTCAAGGCCATCTAAAGCAGCAAGCAAAACAGCCGCGGCGAACAAGTAGGGATTTGCGGTGCTGTCCATCATGCGGAACTCCCAATGCCAGTCGCCGATCTTCCGCACCGGCAAGTCGCGATTATCGGTGCCGAACCCGATCCATGCGCCGCAGCATCGCTGATGGAGCGGACGTAGCTGTCGTAGTTTGCCATTCCAAAGGCGCAGAGCGAGCCCATATGGTTGAGGACGCCGGCAAGAAAGTTATCTGCCGCCGCGCGTTCGAGCCTGTGAAGGGAAAGATGGAGGTGCAGGCCGCTTAACGGCCCAGCCAGTGTCGGTTTCGGGGTCATGGTCGCCTTGAGTTTCCGACGCACGCATATCGCACGAATGGCTTCTTGTGCCAGAACAAGAGAATCGACGGCTTCCAGCGCGGGCTCGGGGGCAAGAGCAATCTCTAGCTGATCCTGGATTTCTGCGTGGAAGTGGTGAATGCTGATGGAAGATTGCTCGAGGGCTTCAACAATCTCTTCAACTAGATCCAACGTTTCGGCTCGCAGTCCAGCCGTTCTCGAGTAGCCATCCAGCCGATCTATCGGCTTAATGACGCTGTCGAACTCATCCAGAAGCACAAACTCGATCTCGAAGCCTATCAAGACTTTGGCGCCCCATTTCTTCTCGAGTTGTTCGAGAGCCTGGACCAGTAGCATGCGCGGACACTTGTAGAGCCTTGTCTCGGCATCCTTCTGGTCGACGAAGCTCATGACGGCCGCGTGGCCGGCCTTAAACCCGCAACGACGCAGGGAGGACCAATCAGGGCGCAGAATCCATGTTTCGTGGTAGTCGCTGAGAGAGAAGAGTCGCGGGGCGGTGGAGATGGGTATAATCATGCTGTTATGGGCGAGGCAGATGGTTTCGTCACCGCTAGCGATTCGGAGGCATCGATCGATGGGGACGAAGCGGGCGCGTAGCACGCCAGAGTAGTCGATCCATTGGATGCGGATGTACTTGATAGACCTGTTAGCCTGGAGGAACTCTTCGAGCTTCTCTTTGTCCGACGGCATGATTGGGGATGAGGGTATTCGAGGTGTCGAGGTATCGGGGAAGCGGAAGAGAGGGAACAGGCCATCACCTCAAATATGCTATGGCTTTCACCAGGTTACTCCAGGGATGTCTATCCAATGAAAAGGTAGCGATGAAAGGTACACAATTCTCAACCTAATTTAGCCTATGCTGCTTGTCCTAACAATCTTAGAGTCACAAAGTGTGACATCATATTGCTCACATTCCCAAATTGACTGATGCTTCGTTTTCCTTACTTAAGGCTCCTTGAAGTTATTACTGGCTGGCCCCAGTAGTTTCCTTGAACTTCTTGAACTTGGCTTCTCAAGCTAATGACCTTGGCAAATAAGGTGTCACGAGCTGAGGCCCGGTATAGGGGCACGGGCTAAACCATGCCACTCCCGATCGGCCGAGACCGACCGGACTAGGCGAGATTGATCTCCCCTTCTGCCAGCTACTACCCCCTGCAAGCAAAAGCCATACTCTATAGATACCTCTTCCTTGACTGACTTCAGTTATCGAATCGCTTAAATAGCTCGTGATAAATACCCCGGCGCCATTCGTTCTGGCTCGCATATCGTTTCTAATGAGGTTCGCCGTGGTGCTGTAAAGGGTAGCTATTTACGATGATCACATCTAATGGGAAGGCCCCAATGGGAGCCTGGCAAGCGCCGCGGTGATACTTTAGGGGATAATACTTGGGCCTCCTGAAAATCTACTTGTACATAGCACTATCCCAGGCTGCGAGGGCGCATCTACTTCTCGCTGCGATCGCGTATTGGCCTAAGATAGGCTCGTCCAACACTGGCCCCTGCGGGACTGTTTTCGTGGTGTCTACTTTTCCGTCAGCCCTGTTCACTACCCCTAAGATGAGCTGCACCTACCGTCGTTGTTGAATGCGTTCACAGATTTGTCAGTTCCGATACAGCATTCTAGAATTGCCTTGGACGCGGAAGCTGCCGTCGCGGCCGAAAATTTCTGCCATCCCTTGTGCTTGTGACAGTACTGTGTCTCTTGTATCACTATATGCAATGCCGTTTTCCGTATTCCGTTATTGTCATTCGGCCCGGACGTCTATCGGATACACAAACAATAGAAATTTGGTGGACGTTCCCAGATTCGGTACAAGACTTCCGCGTATAACCGCCTCTCTTATCAGCTTCAGCATCTTGTCGCTAAAAGTGTTGTCATTATCAGGCTTGTGTGTACGTTTCTTGTGTGTCCTTCGGGCGCCAGTCGACGTACATGCAGCACACGCAATCTAACAGGTCCATGTTGTCGTAACCACGCCGCACACCCTTCATGTATCGCACCCCCTGATATAACTCACTCCCGAGGTATTGGTGGACCGCAAACACATGGCCCGACATGCAGCTACGAGCACTATGGCATGTCCGTCATCATCCATTCTCATGCATGCACATGCTTGCTGAAAGGGTTAGGGGCCTCAGTTGCTCAATCACATCCGTCCAGGTAGGACTGCGCCTGCCTCGCAAGGTTGTCTCTGTTCTGGTAATCATTAGCGAGTCGGGTTGGGTGTTCTAATGATTGATTGGTATATATGCAGGAATGAAACAGGAAATAGGAAACGCCGGGCAACAGACTGCATGAGTACCGAGCACTGTGCACATGTCTTGAAAAATAACCGGGCTGATAATACATGTCACACTTGTGACGCCACGTTATCACACATACCGGTGTGACTCTCAGCTACCCAACTGCATCCTTCCACGTTAGCGAGTCGGGTTGCGTGTTCTAATTATTGGTGGTATATGATGACAGGTATTATGCAGGAATGAAACAACAAATAAGCAACACCGGACGAAAGACTGCATAGGTACGGAGCAGTGTGCGCCTGCTTAGAAAGCAATAGGTCTCAGAATGTGACGAGCAATCCATCCATGCATGCCCGCAATCAGCGGCTGAGAACTACTCAATCACACCCTTGTTCATAAGACCAGTGACCTAATTTACCGAGGTGCAAGGTCCGCTATTGACCACGCCCACCCCGCAAGGATCTCTTCTTCCGCTTCCCGCAGTGTGATGCTCGCTACCAGCTCGCGGCTCAAAGTCACCGGATTTTACGCGCCGTCTCTGTCTCTTATCTTCATTCAGCCGCAAGATGTCAGGCCAGATCATCCGTCCGCATCGGTCCATGCGTTCACCCGATGCCAAAGAAGCTGCGCTGCAGGCAGTCCTCCGAGGCGGCTTGAATAAGGTGTTATGGGATGATTGTCGACTTATCTGGGATTCACGTTCTATAATAGACGATGCTCCAGTTTCAGAAGATCAAGTAAGCGGACTTCTAGGCATTCTCTCTGGTACTCGAGACTCAAACGCAAAATCATAAAATCGCCGAACCTTGTCTGAGAAAGCGGCTAATAACTACGGACAGATGGCCGTCTTTGGCGTCAAAGGCAAAGTCGAGACGATAGAACATCAGCGGCTTGATTTTCAAATCCGCTATACGGCGATATTTGAACCGGAGCCTCTCTATCTTCTGTATGTAGCTGTGAATGGAACGATGGACGGCGACGAATTCGACAAGGATGAGCTTGAGGTGGTTCAGAGGGTGTCGCCTGAACGGGTCAATCAGCGAGTTTACTTCCATGAAGCCGTCAAGACTCTTACGAGCAAGTTGAGCTCTATTGGACCTCAGGCCTTGATCAAATCCTTCCTCACCTCAAGATACGGCGTGAATGCAGGAGGAGCCCTGGCGGCTAACGGGGTGAATTAGTTAGTTAACAAGTATCATACATGAAAAAGCACTTGCTATTGCTATTGTACCGTTGAAGACTCACTCATGGAGCTAGCATCTCGACTTGACATTCAGCGGACTCACATGAGTAATGTGAGCCACATGCACCCTCTGGCGGATATTTAGCTTCGCCATTGTAAATCTTCCGGCAGCTTCGCCCTTGACTTGTGTCATTGTTTGGGCACCAAGCAGATTGTGCAGAAAAGGAGCCTTGTGCGAAGCTTTACTAGCTCTGGTGACTTTATGATAGACCTGTCAATTTATAGCAGCACTAAACCTCTTTTTTTTTTCAATAGCATTCTTTAGCCAGACTTCCTATATCCGAAGTAATAAAGCTCTGAAAGCACCTGCTGGCCACAGTGAGTGCAGCCTGCCTCCGATGTTTCTGAAGAGGACAGGATCCGGGCCGGTTGCAGCATATGTAGCCTCTTTGTGGGTGTCTGGGCATGGTTAGGGTAGTGCCGCTTTAGTGGTGGTGTATCGGGCTGGACTCCGACAGGCCTTCAACTCTGGAGATAAAGGATGGGGGAACTTGAGTAAACCTAAAACGTTTGGACAGCTTAGGGACGTCTATACAACAGTGACTTGCACGCAGCAGCGGCGTCTTCTACAATTCAATTACAGACAGTAAAATGTATGCTGGCTTGGACTTTCCTACAACCCTTTTGAGTTTGCGATCGAGAAACGATATATATAAAAGATAGATATATTATCCATTAACCGTGAGTCTGCCTGATGTGGTGGCTCTTCATGGTCACAAACGCATCAAATGCCCGAGGGCCAAGGGTGCTTCCCAGCCCAGAGTTCTTCCAGCCAATCCACGCGAGATCCTGACATTTACCGTTAGCCCTGCTATAAATCCCGAAGCTGTCGAATTTCCGACAATGCTAAGAAAGGAGAATATCTTACCGGGTTGGGGCAGTCACAACGGTTAATGAAGACTGTTCCCGCTTCGATATCAGCCTCGAGCTCCTCGCCACGTGCAATATCCTTAGTCCAGATGCTGGCAGTAAGACCGTATTCACTGTCATTCATGAGTTTGACGGCCTGCTCGTCACTTTCAACCTTCATAACTGGAACTATGAGACAGTTAGATGTGGCGTATTCCAAAACTTAAGAAGAGATGCATACTAAGAGGGCCAAATGTCTCGGCAGTCATGACACTCATGTCATGGGTGACATTGGTGAGAAGACACGGCGCAATATAGCTGCCTGCCTGGGGCAAAGTAGAGAATGAGGCGTTGGCCGGAGTGGCATCCACTGCACCCTTTCGAAGCGCGTCGTCTACCTGCGCCTGGATAGACTTGACAGCCGCCTTGGAGATAACTGGACCAATGGTTGTGGATTGATCCAACGAGTCACCGAGCTTGTAGCTAAAAGAGACATTAGAACCGGTGGATTTCGTACACATCAACGAAATGCCACTTCACTCACCCTTCAAGCTCGCTCTGAAGCTCCCGGACGAAGTCATCGTGAACATCTTGATGAACATAGACCCTCTCCACTGCACAGCAGCTTTGACCAGAGTTGAAGATGGCACCGTCGACAATATTGGCCGCCGTCCACTTCAGATCAGCGTCAGCACGGACGTAGGCCGGATCCTTGCCACCTAGTTCCAGGTTAACGGGCACAATCCTGCCTGCGGTGGCCTCTCTGATGGCCAATCCACCTGCAGTGGAACCCGTGAAGCATATTTGCTTGATGGCCGGAAGTTTGGCGATCTCCTTCACCGTCTCTAAGCTGCCTGTATGGAGAACCTGAAAGACATCCGCCGGGAGACCAGCCTTGTCGAACGCTTCCTTGAGGCGGTCTGCAACCTGTGGCGTTTGGGGCGAAGGCTTGAGAATGACTGAATTGCCTGCGAGCAAGGCAGGGATGAGTGTGTTGATAGTAATCAGATAAGGGAACTAAATGCTAGGTTAGTAAAGATCTAAAGAGGACGGGATTGTACTTACATTCCATGCTCCGACAATCAGAACAGGACCGACGGACTCCTTGCTGATCCACCTCCTGAACCCAGGCTCATCCTGCCCAGGTAAATGAGCTAGAGCTTCGGAAGCAATATCTAGAAGGTAGTCTGCGCGTTTCCGCATGGTGTCAATTTCCGCACCAGCAAATTTAATGGGCCTGCCCATCTGAACGCTAAGCTCCTGCGCCAACTGGTCCTTGATACCAGCCAGAGTATCCAGAGCTTTAACAGCAATTGCCTTGCGCTCATCTAGTGAGGTTTTACGGTAGCTTAGGAAGGCAGTATGAGCTTTGTCAACGCTGGCACGCGCTTCATCAACGGAAGTGCCTGGGCATTCGAAGATGACCTCCCCAGAAGACGGGGAGATAGTTCGAATGGCGTTAGACATCTTGTAGGGTATAGCTTCGAAGGGTTGGAAAATGAGTTTGGGACTGATTGAATCGCTCAAGACTGGGGCTACGGGGAGGATGTCGTAACTTATAGCTCTCCTCCACTCTGGGGTGGATGAGCTTGCATAAGCACAACCGCTTAGATACGCGAGCCGCGCCTGCGAGACGTGGGCCAAGAAGCCGCCCAGGCTAATTCGGCATTGATAGAGATAAGCGGCTACAATTCCGAGTCACTCCGAGAGAATCGCCAGGCAGGAGAAAATGAGGCTTTCAGAATAACCCGATGTTTTTGAGTTTCATTAGAGTGTTAACGCGAGACTGTGTCTCAGTTTTCACGCTGGATTATCCAAGATGTCTTACCGCGCTTATATTTTGTTGAATTTTGGGACAAGTTTAATCATTTGAACCGTCTAATATTTAAATAGGGTATTTATCTATGATAGAAGGAAATTCAGAATGGTCGTGGCAACCAAGACACCATCTTGGTGCTCCTGGGCTCTGGCCATGCCATCTTCAAACATGGCGTCATCAAAAATCTTCTGATTATGTCTGGTTTCCAGAATACGGGGCATAATAAATCCATCAAACTCAGGATGAGCCTGAAAAGAGATGAGACGACCGGCCTGGTAAAGTCCTTGGATTCCACACTTGGGGCTACTGCCCAAGTTCACCAGTCCCTCGGGGACCTCTAGGACCGCATCGCGATGCATCTGGTGAAGACCCTAAGATTTTTGTGAGCAAAGCACTGGCCAGAATGGGAGATTTCATGTCTTACCAATGATGGCACTCCAAGCAGTTTCTGGCCTTCCTCGCTGAGGTCGATCTTATCAACAGATATCTCCCAGCCGCCTGGGCTTACCCCGACCTTGGCCCCAAGTGCGCGACCAATGATTTGGTGGCCGAAGCAAATGCCTACAACTGGGATCTTTGCTGTTGTGAGCACCTTTTTGACATATTCAACCAGTGCAACAATCCAAGCATCGTCAGCGAAGGAGGTGTGCTCTGCCAAGTTGAAATTAGTTGATATTCCCTCGTTTCCAGAGAGCATGATGCTCATTAGACGTACTGCTTCCACTCAACCAAAGTCCATCGATCTCGTCGACATTTGGGAATGATTGATTTGCAACGACGTCCCACTTAGAGATGTCTATCTGGACGTCGCTACCCTTGGGACCCAAGCCTTGTTGACCCTTAGCCAGGAGCTGACGGAAAACCTCTCCGTACGTGCCGCGAGCCTCCAGGACCGGCGGAACTGGCGTGTCGCATTCAAGCACCGCGAGGCGAAATGTGCGCGTCATTTTCTAGACTGTGATAAGAATTGACGTGGGGGATAGAGTTAGTATCCTTGGAAGCAATTCAAACACACTGCAATCCTGGTTACAACCACAGATGCCTACTTGCTACCTAAGTATATGCCAATGCGATCAAGTCTCTCGCCGGCAAATGGTTGCCGCTGTGTATGAGAGCGCGGTAATGTCATTATCTCCCCCTCACAGCGAGGAGCCGCCATCGCGGAAACGACGCTTATTGGGTTCTTCTCGCGGTCCGCCGTTGCCGCGACTCCACACTGCGTAGATAGTGCGCTTTAGTCTCCCTTGTGACTCGAGATGTTAGCCTTCGTATCGATAATCGCGCCTTAGTGATAGGATCCACTTGTAATCCACTTCTCCAGGTCTCCCGGCCTCAGTTCGTGGGGTGTGCTATGAAGTATCACAGACACGCGAATCCTTGGCCGAATCGCGCCAAATCCAACTCGACTGGGAACCGCGCGGTACGGGATACGTAGTAAGAGCAGGTTGAGATGCCAAGGTTAAGTACAGAATCACACGTGTCGCGGTAGATGTCAGGTTTGAGAAAACTATTTCAATAAGAACGAAGGAAGACCGCTATCTTTTCCCGTGTACTTCATTGATTTCAAGAACCAATTTTCTCAAGACTCACTTTCCAATTTGGGCAATATCTTCTTCAAGTCTTGATCCTTTTTAGAACTTTCATCCACCATGGAGGCAACTCTTGAAAACATCGCCGAGTTGCTGAAGAATGATATCAAAGTCAAAGTTGCCGGAGTAGATGCGGATGGTATCCTCCGCGGTAAGATCATGGCAAAAGAAAAGTTCCTATCCAGCGTCGAGTCTGGCTTTGGGTTCAGCTCTGCCGTCTTTGGTTGGGACATGCACGATGCTTTGTTCACAAATGGCGTCGGAATGTCATCCGAAGGTGGTGGCTATGCCGACTTTACCGCAGTCCCAGACTTGACAAGCTATCGCAGGATACCTTGGGAAAACAACATCCCTTTCTTTTTGCTTCATTTCTTGTCCCAAAACAAGCCGGTTGTTGCTTGTCCTCGAGGGATGACCAAGTCAATCGCGAAAAAGCTGGGTCAAGAAAACTTTAAGGCTTGGGCTGGAGGTAAGATTCATTTAGACTTAAAAAGTTGCATTAATTCTAACATCACTCGAATATTAGTCGAGCTTGAGTTTGTGAATTTCCAAACACCAACTGAGGACGGGTATGGCCCAGAGAGCAGCCGACCAAACTTGGCCAAATTCTTAGTGAATAATTCGCCAAAGGCGTTGAGGCCGCTAACGGAAGGAATGTTCGGTTACAGCATCACGCGGCCAATTGCATCAAAAGATTACTTCCACGACGTGTTTGACTCAAGCGCAGAATTCGGCTGCAACGTGGAAGGATGGCATACTGAGAGTGGCCCTGGAGTTTTCGAAGCAGTAAGGATCTTCCAGGATAGAGCACAGCTATTGAATGCTAACGGGATACGCAGGCCTTGATAGTCCGTGAAGTCGGCGAAATGGCGGATAGGGCCAGTCTTTTTAAGTGAGCGGCTGTCCACCTTTCTAGATGTCTAACAGTATTAACAATTTGTTTAGGCTACTGACCAAATCAATTGGTATTGGTCATGGTGTCACGCCGTGTTTTATGGCGAAACCCTTGCAGGGAATGCCTGGAAACTCTGGGCATATTCACGTCTCACTGACCGATGATGCCGGGAAGAACCTCTTTGCCCGAGAGCAGCGTAACCCTTCTGCACGATGGCCTGACGTGGAGCACTTGTCAGATGTTGGTTACCACTTTCTAGCGGGTGTGCTAGATGCGCTACCCGACATCATGCCAATGCTGGCTCCGACCATCAACTCATACAAGCGGTTTGTCGAGAACTTCTGGGCGCCAGTTGCAATCACTTGGGGAAATGAGGACCGCCTATCTTCCATCCGTCTCATCACTCCGCCAGTCTGCAAACCGAGCGCCGTGCGACTGGAGATTCGCATTCCTGGGGCCGATTTACACCCACATTATGCCCTGAGTGCACTCTTTGGTGCAGGACTGCGTGGAATCCAGAAGAAACTTGAGATCACAGTGCCGCCATCTTCAGCGAGGACCGTCGGGGACGGCAAGCCGACTCTCTTAGCGAACACCTTGGAGAAGGCAGTGGAGAGATTCGCAGCCCCGGCGAGCGTGGCACGTGAGATATTCGAGGAGGGCTTTGTGGATTTTTACACCGCCACGAGACAGCACGAGCTTCGACTCTGGAGAGAGGCTGTGACTGATTGGTGAGATTCTGTCCTTTCAATTTTGAGACATGGCAAGCTAACCCGAACCTCGGCAGGGAATTCAATCGATACATTGAGACTGTGTAGTCGAGCTGTTATGTCAGGGGGTGGTTCAGATCAAACAGTCATATTTCAAGTCATAAAATCAATATAAATTAGACTATTGCTATTCGCACCTATTTAAGATGGGATATGCATATATAAGTATCTAGGTCAGTATTAAAAAAGAAGTCTCAACAATATACCCCTTACTAGATTTTGGATTAAGGAAATTAAATAGGCTTTATTTACTTAAGGCCTGGGTCCGCTAAATTTAGCCTTAAAGTATCTTATTCTGAAAAGTTCCAGTTTCTACTCTAAAATAAATTAAAAGATAAAATTTAAACAGCAGAACTCTCCGAAAAAAAACTCAGAATAGAGCTTATTTAATGTTCTTAGGTTAAACTTACTAATAGGTGTATTGTCAAGCTTCTTGGTGAAATTGACCTATATACCTAAGTGTGCGAGTAGCATTTTAATGTGTGCGAATAGAGATACTCTAAATTATTGTTGTGATGGAGGGTCCAGATATAGTTACGCAGCATTCGCATATTTGTTAATCGAGTGCAGTTGTGCCTTAGGGTGCAATGATTATGTCGCTATGGTGAGTCCCGACTTCTTGACCAAAGTTTATCTTGATTACAAAGCTAACAGTCAAAATGTGGTGACGGGGTACAACTTGTGTGGAGGGAGGAAAGAGATTATGAGGCGATGGCCGAGCATGCCAGCGACTTTGCCTGTGCAAGTGAATTAAACATTGGCCTGGAACTGAGAGTCTCGCCTCTCAGTCATTTTCTTGCACAGGGTGGCCCAAGGATTCACGTGAATGGTGAATATGATGAAGACCTGGAAAGGGTGAAAGCCCCTGAATGGACTCTTGTTGGGGCTCCCTGGAGCCAGATGATTAGATAGCTGTAAATAAGGCCTACCCCTCGATCAGGACTTCAATGCAAGACAAGCCTCGTAGATAGGCATGGAGGAGATATATAGCCGCTGATCGGCTCCCTCCACGTTGCCGTGACAGGTCGACTCCAACACAACGTCACTCGCACAAGGGCCGGTCTTCCACGACCCATCTCCGGTCAATACGTCATCCCGTATCATGTCTTTCTCCTGACCTACTAGGGCTTCGCTTGTGTCTCTTGCATCGCAAGTTACCGTGCTGTTTGGTGCTCTTTTGCCACTGCGTGAACACACGCCGTAGCTGCGATGCAATCGACGCCTGAGCTTCTGCCGGAAGGGAGTTTGAGAGCAACGAAGGCAGTAGGATCTGCTTCAACTCTACGGATATGTACGGATCCACGATGCAGGCAGCGTGGGTGATGATGGTGCAGTGGTTTGCAAGGAATTATTTGCCTAGGATTGGGGAGGGTCGTTAGAACTGATGGCAAGAGGGCCGACCATGCGTGCGTGGCACGGCGGTCGGCGGTAAGGGATTAAGGCTTTTTGTCGCCGTCTGTCACATTAGCCGAGCCTTCCCGATTATCGAAAAGGAGCAATAGATATTCAGCTCAGTCCAGCTCATAAGACGGACTTGCATGAGATTGGGGCGAGAGCACTTGGAGCGAGAGCACCCAGGCCCTAAAAAGAGCACCCACGCTGGCGAAGATGCCAGTTGAGTTTCCAAATCTATCCAGTCCCGCATTAACGAGGAGAACCGGTGCATTTTCTCCAACTCTGCCCCAACTATTTTTCAATAGCTCCCTAGTTGGCCATTTTGGATTGTGAAAATCAGAGTAGGTCTATGAACCTATGAAACGAACTTGGATAAACAATGCCATGGGTGCGTCACGGAATACCTATTCCGCTCCACCACTGAGGTTACGGCGATGGCTGTCTCCGAGACCGCCTGGTCTAAAGAGGTGAGGCGGATGTCTCAGAACGAATTTGCGCAACTTCCATGACGCTATTTTCTTACATCTACCACGAACGAGGCCTGGAAGCGGGCATGAGAAGGTTGGAAAAGGCCCGTTTGGCTCCGGATTGAATTGCCGTGCCCTTCAAGACGTCTCCCAATGGACGCCACAGCTTCGGGTTGACAACAAAGCAAAATGTCCATTTTGCCCGTCTCGATCACAATTAAAATACGCACAATGTCTGTACTATTCGCGTCCTACAAGCACCTCTTGCTGAGGGTCCGCAGCATGTGCAGGGCCGGGCGTCTGATGATTGGGCCTAGGGGACGGCATATTGAACAAGGGGTATGTAAATACCGCCGCTGGACTCTCGTCACAAATGGTTCTCTACTTTCCATCGTGTTGGAGAGAAGATTAGTTTAAGAAAGTTGTGTAAATTCAAGATAATCCCGTTTTACTAGTCCCCGACCCTGGGTCTTCGTCACTCTGTGCCCGGGAATGGCGCATTATGTATTCCAACGCAGTACAAAGGAAGTGGAGGAGAACAGCATGACGGGAGAATCAAACTTGGGGAATTAAGGGGTAATATAAAAATGCCCAGAGTATCGATCAAAGGACTAATAAAGTAGCCCGCAATCCATTTAGTGGCTTTCCGTTGTTAGTAGTCATACTAGGGCCAGACTTCATCTACGTTTTAAGCCATGCCAACAGATATTCCGTACACTGGTTGGTAATTGCCGTGTCGATTGATTACGGCCAGGGACGCCGGTGGGTAACACCGCCCGCCCAGCCAGCAGCCAACAGCCAGCCCGGTCTCAGCTTCCACCTATGAAGCACAAAGCCACATATGTCTCTGCTTCTCAGCCTTATGCGTACCACCTTCTCGATCAGCCTCGCCCGGGGAAACGGAATGTCTAGTCCGATGAGCGCTAACGGCTATAAAAATGGCCGAGACTGGCAGTTCTTCTACCTTGATCGCCTGACACCGTAGCACACACCTACCGTTCCCAATCATCAAAACATCGTCACTTAGTCGTCCAATCATCCTCACTTCATTACCCAAACATCCTCGCTCGATTGAGTATGGAAGATCAAGAGTTTCACGTCCTTTTCGTCCGCCATGCCGAGGCCACCTCCAACGTCGTTGCCCTGAACAACGAGAACGGCATCGACGTCCGAAACATGGATGATGAGGCATTCCGTCAATCCCTCCTTGACGTCGTCAAGATCGGAGGCGTCCATACGACGATCAAAATGGGCGAGTATCTTCCCGACTATATCACGAAATCCAGCGAGGAGTCTATCGAAAGATTCGTCCAGTCCGCCGTCTACGACCCATCCGAGAAGCTTGGCGTCTATCGCGTCTTCACCTCCATTCTGGTCACTGTTTTTGTAGTCGTAACAGATTTCAAAGAGTCGACCCCCATATTGGAGTCAAATTCATGACAGTGAGTGGGTTGGTTTGCCGTACAACTTTGGTCGGGTCTAATCATCAACCGACCTGTCTATTAGGGCCTGCTTTGAGCATTATGCATGTGAAGGTACGGCTGGAAGCCAATTCGTGCCGAACCTGAAATCATTTGCCCGATTTGATTCTCATAAACTCCCCCATCCTACCCTGACGAGAGCCTTTGTTTGCCAAACAAGCTTGCGTCCTGTCTATCTTCACGCCCAACTCATTCATTTCGGAGGTCCTCAGAAACTCGTTGGGCTTATTAGCATCACTCGCATCCAAACAGGCCTGTATCCAACTGCCTAGAAATTCCTTTGCCATAGGCGTCTCTTCGCGGACCGAGCTGGTCTCGCGTACACAACATCAAGACTGATGTAAGATAACAAATATACTTCCTCCCCAGAGAACGGACTTCGCTGCTCGAAACAATGGTTACAATACGAAAGCAATCGTGTACCTGTAGGAGATGTATGAAGATTTATCCCGTAGCGAAGCAGAAAATATAGTTGAAGTCGCTGCGCCCAGCCATAGAAAGATAAACATGAGCGACGTGGCGCATTCGAGACCATCGTATTTATGACCTGTGTATGGTTCATGAATTGAGCGAGGCTCATCGAGTCGGGAGGCAAACAGAATTGCGAGGCGAAGCCGGCCGGCGACGCGTCGAAGGCGACAGCAGTTTCTCGCGCTACTAATTATAGCAAGCGACGGCGGTGGAAGGAACCGAATGCCCAGTGATATTGACGATATATCTCCCTCTGAGTATTGCATCAGAGTGCCATCATCCTGCTCCTGCAATCATCGTCTAACTAGCGACGAAGTTGGAAGCGAATGTTGCCGGTCTTGCGTCGAAGTCTCGCAACGGTACCAGCGGCGCCGGATGTAGTGACGCTCAAGAATTTGAGCAGCGGATTTTGCACCTAGATATTCTGAAACTCCTCTTCAGGCGAAGGAAATCCATATCTGGTGATCTCTCATTGCATGACATAGCGTCCATGGGCTGATATCGGCGAGAGGCTGTCTCCACACATGCTCCAGAAGGACAAGGGTTTCTCTCATATTCCCAAGACCAATCGTATCCACCATTGTCTGAAGTCGAAGTCTCAAAATTTGTTGTATGTTTGGGTCGGTCGTGCAGCAGCCGATAACAGCCAGGGGCCAACAAAGACTAGTGTTGACTCTGACGGTAGCAGGTAGTTGGCCGAGCAAGACAACTGCATCGGCAACAGCAGAATCCATAAGAGCCTTGTGGGTACTACTTTCGGTTTGCTGATAGGATGTGCCCAGGATGGTCCACAGATATAAAAGAACTGCCTGCTTGAAAACCAGACCAGCGAGTCGGGCATGCGGGGTGACAGCAATGTCGGGGAAGTATGCTAGAGTTTGTGATTGCAGAAAGCCGAATGTGACGATGTTGTCTGGGGATGGAGAGGCTGGTTGTCCATCGACAGTTGCCATCATGCACTGGCCGAGGTGAAAGATTTGGGGGATGAGGACGAGTAGCTCAAGCCAGCACCCACAGAGTTGGCCAACGTACTTTCTTTCTACAAGACCTCTCGCCACATTCTCGATGTCGGGGCTGAGGAGGGATTGGGAGCTGTAGTGGGCGTCGATGGAAATCATACTGCAGGCCGCTATGTGCATATAGTACTCGACGAGGAAGTCGGGGAGGTCGTCGAACACTTCTGACTTGGGCCGCGTAAGCAGCATGGACAGTAGAGACTTGGACGCGGAGAGATGATCAAAGACAGTGCCATGGATATCACCTCGAGCAACCTGAGCAGGGTTAGCTAGGCTTGGCCACAATCACAAGACATGTCACTACAAACCTCGGTGAGGCACAAGATGAGACTTCCCACGGTCAGGACGAGGGTGTTTTCCTCCTTTCCTGAAACATATTCGCTCACGACGTTCCTAAACATGCGCAGCGAGTCTGTGTAGTACCGCTGGGCAATCTGATCAGTGGGCTCGCGCTCTGCCGATGCTTGGCGATGTGCTGCACTCTGGGCGAGGATGAGTTGCAACACGAGCGGGTCGGAGAAGCCAAGGGGGATCAGCTTGGCGATGAAGGGGTTGACGTCGGTTGAGCCATTTCCCATGCTATTCGCAGTGCGCTCAAGATAATAGCTGAGCAGCTCGTAGGAGTCATGGCCATGCTGCTGCGATAGCATGGGAATGGGCATGGGGATACCAACGCTCAAGAAGGGTTCGGGGTCGGTGTTGGATCCAGAGGCGATGGTGAGGGCCAAGGCATCGACCAGCTCCTGGTCGTATTCGACGGGAGGGGGGGCTACCGACATGGAGTCGGAGGAGGCGGCCGACGAGTGAGTGGACGCCGGTGATGGAGACGGTTGGCCGGACTCGTCGTCGGCCTCGGCCATGTCCGTGTCGTCGGAACCCGGGCCGGGAGTGGAGGAGTCGTCTCCGGGCATGTGGAGATGCGATGGAGTGACTAGGGGCGGCCCGGAAACGACTATGGTCGGCTCCGTGTCGGGCTCAGACCCCGGACCCAGGCCGATGTGATGCTGCCGGTGCCGGGGCTCCTGCTGCAGACGCTGCTGCGCATCCTGCTGTAGGCGTTGCTGGGCATCCTGGCGCTGATGTTGCTGTTGCTGTTGCTGCGGCTTAGAGCTCGTCGCGGTGGCAAAGGACGACTGGGGCGCGTTGACGCCAGAGCCGGTGGCCGCACCGTCCCGCTTCTGAGAGTTGGACGAATTGGAGGACTCGGTAGGCCAGTGACATTCGAGCTTGTTGCGCTTGCAGCCGCTGCATATGGGCTTCTCCTCGTTGCATTTCTTCTTACGGCGGCGGCAGGTGAAGCAGCCGGTGCGGCTCCTGATGATGGGCATCGGGCGCATCCTGCGCACGAAAGCACAGGTACAACAAGGCCGAGATCAAGCTGGCAGCGCGCATGCCCAGTGACGGGCGGGAACCGGAGGCGGCTGGACCAGACGTCGCGGGCCTTATGCTGCGACGCGGTTGGAGGCGAGCCAAGAACCACGCGCGATGAGGCCACGCGCGATGACGGGATATCGAGCGGAACCCACGGGGGGTCAGTCGACGGGTGGAGGTGATGACGGTGGGGGAACGAGCTCATCCGCCTTGAAGATGCTAGAGGGGAGATAAGTCGTGTGGAGAACTGGGCTGGAGGGCGACAGGGGTACTGCTTTGGCGCTAGCTCACTGTATGTAGGTACGTACTGCACTGCGAACGCATTGACTAACCCACCGCTTACTTGCTACCCTACACCCGAAGTAGCTGGGTCTTGGCCGGCGTCTGCGATACACCAAACGCCTTCTAACGCGGTTCTAGCACAACACACCACGCCCACTAAATACCTCGGGGACGAGTCGCAGGGCCATGTACCGGCAGGTAGCTCGATCCAGTTACCGGCATGTATGAACATCCCTTCCAATCTGCGGTGGAGCCGTGCACCCGGAGCCTATCGCCCAGGCGCTGCGACCTCCGCGCGGAGCTGCACGCACCACAGCTCTCTCGGGTGCGCGTCCGAAGCCGAAGGGCGGCAATCGACACTGCATTACTGTACTGGGTGGATCCGGCGTCCAGGGCCTTTTCACTTATTAGATCAATTGGCCTCTCTCCTCGAGCCTCACAGCTTGACGACCTTGTTGTGATCTCGCCTTTCTGCCGCCTGTCTTATCATGTTGACCTCACGAGCTCTCCGCCAAACCGGCCAGTCCCTCCGGGGCAAGGCGTCCCTCGCCAGCCAGGTCCAAGTGAGGTCGCTTGGCTCATACGCCGCCCATGCGAAGGTGAGAACGAAGTTCCGAGGCGTCATGAGGAATTGGTTACTGACACGGCGCACAGCTCCTGGGTGCTTCTCTCCAAGAGGGCGACCCCGAAATCCATGCCATTCTGAAGCGTGTACGTCAATCAATGTCTTGTCTCTGAGAGCATTGCCGCTGACCCCATGACAGGAAGAGAACCGGCAGAACCACTTCATCAACCTCATTCCCTCCGAAAACTTCACTTCCCGCTCCGTCCTTGATGCCCTCGGCAGTGTCATGCAGAACAAGTATTCTGAAGGCTACCCCGGCGCTCGCTACTACGGCGGAAACGAGCACATTGACGAAGCTGAGCGGCTCTGCCAGAAGCGAGCTCTCGAGGCATTCCGTCTCGACCCCGAGCAGTGGGGTGTTAACGTTCAGAGTGCGTGGTTGTTCGCCATTGATCCATTGCGCTGTACTGACTGTTCAATCCAGCTCTTTCCGGCTCACCAGCCAACCTCTGCGCCTACTCGGCGCTCCTCAACACTCATGACCGCATCATGGGTCTTGACCTCCCCCACGGCGGCCATCTCTCCCACGGCTACCAGCTCCCCCACAAGAAGATCTCCATGATCTCCAAGTACTTCGAGACGCTTCCCTACCGACTCTCCGAGGAGACTGGATTGATCGACTACGACAAGCTCCGCGAGAACGCCCTCCTCTACCGCCCCAAGATCATCATCGCCGGAACCTCTGCATACTCCCGCCTCATCGACTATGAGCGCATGCGCGCCATCGCAACCGAGACCGGCGCATACTTGCTGGCCGACATGGCGCACATCTCCGGCCTCGTCGCCGCCGGCACCATCCCCTCGCCGTTCGAGTACGCCGACGTGGTCACCACCACCACCCACAAGTCGCTCCGCGGCCCGCGAGGCGCCATGATCTTCTTCCGCAAGGGCGTCCGAAGCACCGACAAGAAGGGCAAGGAGATCATGTACGACCTCGAGGGCCCCATCAACGCGTCCGTGTTCCCCGGCCACCAAGGCGGCCCCCACAACCACACCATCACCGCCCTCGCCGTGGCTCTGCGCCAGGCCCAGTCCAGCGAGTTCAAGGAGTACCAGCAGGCGGTCCTGGCCAACGCGCAAGCCTTCGCAAGCCGCCTGGGAGACGGACTCGGCTACAGCTTGGTGTCTGGCGGCACAGACAACCACCTGGTTCTCGTCGACCTCAAGCCCAAGGGAATCGACGGCGCGCGAGTCGAGCGGGTGCTCGAGCTCTGCGGCGTGGCAAGCAACAAGAACACGGTGCCGGGAGACCGCTCGGCGCTGAAGCCGGGCGGTCTTCGACTCGGAACACCTGCCATGACGACCAGGGGCTTCTCGGCCGAGGACTTCAAGCGGGTGGCCGACATTGTCCACCGGGGAGTGCAGATCACCACCTCGGTCGACAAGCTGGCCAAGGAGGCAGCGCAGGCAAAGGGCGTTAAGAACCCCGGCACCGTCAAGGCCTTCCTGGAGCACCTTGGAGATGGAGCTGCGGTCCCGGAGATTGGTGCTCTCCGGAAGGAGGTGGAGGAGTGGGTTGGCGAGTTTCCCCAGCCGTGGCTCGAGTCTTGACTAGCTCTCGATAATTAATTCAATTGATACATGTTTTCAGCCTCCAATTGGTGTTTCTGACCCTCTCATTTGATCCAGCGTCTTGAATCAATTCTACCATCCCCCAAAGAACACGCCCATAGCATGTCATGTCATCGTCGCATGCATGTCATGACTAACTAGGTGCTTGCGGTGGGGGAGCTCCTCCGGTTCGCTCGGCCAAGCATGACAGTTCGGATGGTTCTGCCGGGCCACCGACCAGCTGATCGGAATCCGACTCTGGAACCCGGCGGGTACGTTGTACGTAAGAGCGAACCCTTGAGTCTGGGGATTGTCATGAGAGCTTCCCCGCAATAGCAAGCTACCCACGGTCGGGGTAAGGTTGCTATCAACAGCCGCAGCGCTCTGTTCAACTCGCTTGATCCATGTGTTCGTGAGGGGGGTCTGAAATCCACTGTACTTATCAGGGCTTGGAAGCTGAGTACCGTGTACTTCTTGCGCCGAGTGGATCTCGATAGTGGAACCGCGGTGATGCATCTGACTGGCTCATGCTTGCTGATCCCGGCGCGGCTTCAGTTATAATTGGCCAAGTCTCTGACTGCGAGCCCCGCCGATTACTGATGGAGCGGTTATGTGATCCCTCTCCATGTCTCCATGACATGTCGAGAGGGGCGGACCGCTTAGGCCACAGGTTGTCATGATAGCCATGATGCTCGCTCTGGCGCTCCGGGAATGACTCGGAACCAGACGCTGGGAAGACACGATAGCGCTTCGTAGCCACAGGCGGCTGATATGGCTCTCGTCGGGTTTTTAGCGCTCGGATTGAGTCTCAGGCGGATACGTGGCCGTGGTGGTTGGGCGCCCTTGCAGAGGATCCTCTGCCGGACTGAGACATAGACTCCAGCAGCAGATACCGTCGACCGTCCGGACGAAGCACCGAAGCACTCCATTCCATTTCCTTTGCTCCTCCTCGTCACTCCTCTGCGCTCTTCCTCCTCATTCAACCCCAAGCTGCCCAACCAGGATTAGCCATAACCAACACACAATCCCCGACTCTCTCATTCGCACATCACGCACATCAACATGTCTTCCCTCTTTGCACGACAGGCGTGGGCGGCTGTGTCCCGAACCAAGCCGTCATCTCTCCGAGCCCCCCTCAAGGCCGCACCTGCTGCATACTTGGCCGCCCAACGACGAGCATTTTCCATCTCGTCAATCTGTAAGCTTCAATTGTCGTCATATTTTGATCATTACTGATGTATCCGTGCCATTACAGGCCTGGAGAGGCGATTCACAAAGGAGCATGAGTGGCTGGAGTTGACGGGCGACAAAACCTGTAAGAAATCCCAATTGACAAAGCTCCTAGGCTCAGATTTACTAAACACCTGAATATAGACACAATTGGCCTTTCCAAGCATGCCGCCAACCAGCTGGGCGACGTGGTCTACGTTGAGCACCCCGCCGTGGGAGACTCGTTCGAGGCCGAGGAGCCATTTGGCACCGTCGAGTCCGTGAAGGCCGTCTCAGAGGTTTTCACCCCCATCGCCGGGAAAATCGTCGAGGTCAACGAGACCTTGAATGACTCACCCGAACTGGTGTCGGAGCAACCTGAGGAGGACGGGTGGCTCGTCAAGTTCGAGGCCGAGGACCTGAAGTCCTTTGATGAGTTGATGAACAGGGAGCAGTATGAGGAGTTTGTCAAGTCTGAGGAGCACTAGAGCGATGGCAAAAACGAGGAAAAGGAGTCTCCAGAGATATTTCTATGTAGCAGACCCGCGAATTTGACAAGCATTTTTTTCGTTCACACCAATTGCTCGTTTTTAGTGAGTCGTATACATGAGGTAACCGCAGGCGGATGCGTACCACGCGATTCAAGCCGAAGGTGAATCCTCTCGAAACGCGCCCGTAGACGCACAATCATCAATATGAAACGACCAAGATCATGAATTCCATGTAATCTAACTCTTTGGTGTATTCTAATCAAACTCTAGAATGGCTGTTGAAGTGTTGTTAAAACATCTTCGATATATGACCTTAAAAATGGACCGACATTATTAACACGATGAGGTTTAATGCTGCCACTCATCCCAACGCTTCCTTCCCAGTTTCCCACTTTATTTTTTTAGCAATATGCAAACTCCCTACAGGTCCTCGCTGCCCTCGACAGGCGGGCAGGTGCAGAACAGGTTGGTGTCACCAAATGCATCATCCACCCGTGCGACCGACGGCCACATCTTCCTCTCCTTGAGGTAGGGCAGCGGGTAAGCAGCCTCCTCACGCGAGTATGGTCGGTCCCACTCCTTCTCCGAGACGAGCAGGTCGTGTTGCGGGTGAGGGGCGTTCTTGAGGAGGTTGCCCTGTCGCGGCACCTTTCCAGACTCGATGTCTGCGATTTCTTGTCGGATCTGGATCAGGGCGTCGCAGAAGCGGTCGAGCTCGGCGCGAGACTCGGACTCGGTGGGCTCGATCATGAGGGTTCCCGACACGGGCCAGCTCATGGTGGGGGAGTGGAAGCCATAGTCTTGCAGACGCTTGGCGATGTCGGCCACCTCGACACCGGCCGTCTCCTTCAGGGGTCGCACATCGAGGATGAACTCGTGCGCACAACGTCCGTTGGCATTGGTGTAGGCCACCTTGTAGTGGGGCAGCAGGCGAGACATGATGTAGTTGGCGTTGAGCAGGGCCGCGCCGGTCTGCTGTGTGAGGCCAGCACCGCCCATCATCAAGATGTAGGTGTGGCTAATGGGGAGGATAGAGGCGCTGCCCCACGGCGCGGCGCTGATGGGCGCAACGGCAGTGTTCTTGCGCTCGGCGGTGCCCATTTGAGGATCGGTCTCGGGGTGGCCAGGGAGATAGGGAGCGAGGTGCTCCTTGACGCCAATGGGGCCGACTCCGGGGCCACCGCCGCCGTGGGGGATACAGAAGGTCTTGTGGAGGTTGAGATGGCACACATCAGCGCCAATGTCTCCGGGGCTGCAGAGGCCGATCTGGGCGTTGAGGTTGGCGCCGTCCATGTAGACCTGGCCGCCGTGCTCGTGGACAATGTCGCAGACCTGCTTGACCTCGGGCTCGAAGACGCCAAAGGTGCTGGGGTAGGTGATCATGATGGCGGCCAGCTCGTCGGCGTGCTTGGCACACTTGGCCTTCAAGTCGGCAATGTCCAGGTTTCCAGTCTTGGCGTCACACTTGATGGACACGACCTGCATGCCAGCCATGGCCGCGCTCGCGGGGTTGGTGCCGTGGGCGGAGACGGGGATCAGGCAGATCTTTCGGCGCTCGCCGCCGGGCTGGCTCTCGAGGTACTTCTTGATGACGCGGAGACCGGCGAACTCGCCCTGGGCGCCCGAGTTGGGCTGCAGGCTGACCTCGTCCATGCCGGTGATGGTGGACAGGTTCTTGCCGAGGGAGGTGATGAGGGACTTGTAACCTGAAGCCTGCTCAACAGGGGCGAAGGGGTGCATGTTGGACATGGAAGGGTCGGAAACGGCGAGCATCTCGGTCGTGGCGTTGAGCTTCATGGTGCAGGAGCCGAGCGGGATCATGGAATGCACCAGCGAGAGGTCCTTGTGCTGCAGGTGGTAGATGTATCGCAGGAGCTCCGTCTCGGAGTGGTACTGGTTGAAGACGGGCTGCTGGAGGAATGTGGTGTTGCGCTGGAGGCTGGACGGGATCTGGTTGTCCAGGAAGCCGGCCTCGCTGGTCTCGAGCGCGGCGTTGAACTTGGCCTCGGAGACTCCGAAGCACTTGACGAGGTTGGCGAGGCTCTCGAGGGAGACGCCCTCGTGCAGCGAAAAGCCGACCTTGTCCTCGCTGATGCGGCGCAGGTTGATGGACTGGAGCTGCGCCTGCTCGTGCGCGGCCGCGACGACGTCGGGAGAGGCCTGGAACGTGACGGTATCGAAGAGCACGGCGCCGTCCTCACGGACTCCCTCGGTGAAGAGCTTGAACTGGCCCTCCTTGAGAATCAGGTCCTGGGCGAGACGCGTCTTGCTCCAGATGTCCTGGGCAATCGCCTTCAGGCCCTCGGGGCCGTGGTAGACGGCGTAGAAGGCGCTCATGTTGGCCAGCAGCGCCTGGGCGGTGCAGATGTTGCTGGTGGCCTTCTCGCGGCGGATGTGCTGCTCGCGGGTCTGCAGCGCGAGACGCAGCGCGCGCTTGCCCAGGCGGTCCTTGGACACGCCGATGAGGCGGCCGGGGATCTTGCGCTTGTACTTGTCGGTGGTTGCGAAGAAGGCGGCGTGAGGGCCGCCGAAGCCCAGGGGAACGCCGAATCGCTGCGCGCTGCCGAGGGCGATGTCGGCGCCGAACTCGCCGGGCGCCTTGAGCATGGTGAGGGCCATGAGATCGGTGGCAACGCACACGAGTCCCTTTTGCTCGTGGACCACATCCGACAGGCGCTGGAAGTCGTGCACGCCGCCGTGCGTGTCGGGGTACTGGATGAGGGTTCCGATCAGGCTGCCCTTGGCCTCCTTGATCAGCTTGCAGTCGTCGGCCAGGACGTCGCCAATGACGATGTCGATGCCGAATCCCTCCGCGCGGGACTCGAGCACGGCGAGGGTCTGGGGATGGCAGTTCGCAGACACGACGAACGTCTTCTTGGCGCCCTTGGCTTGCACCTTGGACGGCGCGCTGGCGAGGGCAACCGTCATGGCCTCGGCGGCGGCGGTGGCCTCGTCCAGAACGGACGCATTGGCAATGTCCAGACCGGTCAGGTCAGTAACGAGGGTCTGGAAGTTGAGCAGAGACTCCAAGCGGCCCTGGCTGATCTCGGCCTGGTAGGGCGTGTAGCTGGTGTACCAGGCAGGGTTCTCCAGGATGTTGCGCTGGATGACCTGGGGCACGAGGGTTCCGTAGTATCCAGATCCAATGTAAGACTCAAACACGGTGTTCTTGCTGCCGAGCTCTCTCATCTTCTTCTGAATGAAGTGCTCAGGGCGGCCCTCGGCGGGTACGGGCACCTCAGAGCTGGCCTCGTCCCATTGCTCGACCAAGTCCAGGCCGGTCGTCTTCCTCCGGACCTGGGGAGGAATGGTCTGCGCGAGGAATTCCTCCATGGAGCTGGCAGGAGGGTCCAGCGACTTGAGCATCTCGTGCTGCACGCTGAGCTCGCTGCCAATGTGCCTCCGGGAGAAGAGCTCATGCTCGTTAATTTTCACGCTGCTCTGCGTCTCGGCAAAGCGCTGGGCCTTCTGGGCACTCGCATTGAGCGGTGTGTTCACAGAGAAGCATCGTCCCAGGCGGACGCTGTCGAAGCGACGGGCCTGGAGGGCGGATGCCGAAAACCGCGGTTGACGGCAGAGCCGCTGTGCAAGACGAGACGACGACAACATAATTGCTCGTCTGTGTTAGAACTCCCAGGGTGCTAGATCTCCCGTCGAAATCGGTCACTGAAGATCCGAGGTTAACATGACATGAGATGGGTGAGCATGGTCGCAGGCAGCGTACCTTGGAGGTGTGAGCGCGATAGCGGCTGTGAGAGGACAATCTCAGCGACCCTTGACAGGCGATGCCAGCAGAAGATGTGATAACAGGTAGAAACGCAATTGGAGGTGATTGTCGAAGGAGGGTTCAGTTTAAGCAACGAGCGGTCTGGGGAGCCTTGTGATTACGCCCGCAATTGGTGATAAGTAGGCTCACGGTTTGACGAGCCGCGGACTGCCCGATAGAAAACATTCCCCATGGCGCGCTCCCGGTGGCTCCCGTATATTCGTCATGACCGGTGTGCAGGCTCGGGCGATCTTGCCGGGCGCCAGTCATTCCCGTGGCTTATCGCCGCGGCTGCTTGCTCCGAAGCCAAGCTAAACATCATCGCGACAGTTCCCGCTTGTTCGCGGCTCGCGGCAGTGGGGCTGCGACTCTCGGAGGGCTTCCGCCGGCTCTCAGGGCGCCGCCGGGTTAGTAACCGCCCTGTGACCTAATGTCCACAGGTACCCACCAGGGCATTCTTTCGCCGGAGCTGCGCTATTACCCTATAGATTACCCTATAGAATGTAGAATCCTCAGTTGTTGACCGGATCCCATGTACTCTTCTGCCTTCAGAGTGTGCTTGAGGTCCGCATCACCTATTTTATGGTTGCGTATTGCATTAGTCCGGCATTGAACAAATCATGTCTCAATAGAACTCCGAGAATCCGGAGACCGCGTGTATATGCCCGCCCACGTGAAACCGTTACCGGCCATGGCTGGCCCATTTATGGCAACTCGCCTTCGCCCTGAGTTGGCCGTTACTCTTCACTCGCGGTTCATTTTTTATTGACAACAACATACTACGTGAAATAAATTCCTCATTCCAAAACCAACTATTCTGTCGCATCACACCCCCTCGGCAAAATGACTCGCAACCGTCGTCAGCCCTGGGCCACTACACCTCTGATTGAGTCCCCTCACCTTTCGAAGCTAGCGGGTTGGTAAGTGATGCCAAGCTATTCAGCTCTGTCTTGTTCCCAATCCAACCCATCCCTACTTGTAGACTTGGGGATCCCTTTTCTTGTCATAAATCTCGTTCCTTCCCAAGTTGAAAGACTGGATTTCTAAATCGCAGAAGCAGAATTCTCCTCAAACTCGACAACCTGCAACCATCCGGCTCTTTCAAGTCTAGGGGCATTGGCAACTACCTCCTCCGCCGCATCCAAGAGAGCGAAGCCGAAGGAAAAAACCCGCACTTCTACGCATCCTCTGGGGGTAATGCAGGCATTGCCTGCGTTGTTGCGGCCCGGTCCCTGGGCTACAATGCCTCGGTCGTGGTCCCAACTACAACTAGCCCGGCCTTGATCGCGCGACTGTATGCCGAAGGTGTCACCAAGGTCGTTCAACATGGCCAGAGCGTCATGGATGCCGACAAATACCTCAAGGCTGTGGTTCTGCCCGCTGACCCCGATGGTGTCTACGTGCCGCCGTTTGACCACCAAGATGTCTGGGATGGAAACTCCACAGTCATGCAAGAGATTGCGGTTCAGATGGAAGGCGAGAAGCCAGACGCCGTTGTCTGCAGTGTTGGTGGCGGCGGTCTCATGAACGGGGTCGTGCAGCAGCTTGATAAGCTTGGCTGGAGCGATGATGTCAAGGTGGTGGCAATGGAGACTGATGGCGCGGACTCACTCAACCGCTCCCTGCTCGCCAACGAGATTGTTACGCTCCCCAAGATCACGTCACAGGCACGAAGCCTGGGAGTAGCCACTGTCTCGAAGAAGACTTTTGAATACGCCCAGAGACCTCAGGTGGTTAGCGCCGTGCTCCCCGATGGCGAGGCGGCGCGTGGCTGTTTGATACTTGCTCGACACGAGCGCCTCATGGTCGAGCTCACCGCCGGTATCGCAATCGTGCTGTGCGAGAATCGCCAGCTGGACAAGCTGATCGGCCGGGAGCTCACCGGGGATTCCACGGTGGTGCTGTTGGTTTGCGGTGGCAATGACATCTCCGTAGAGATGCTCATGAAGTGGCAGGAACTGTATGGAGTTTGCTGAGAAAAAGCCACAAAGTGGAGTTGGATACTTTGATGATTTTACGAGCGTTGCGACAGGAGGAGCGATAAATTGCGAATGGAACCTGGATACCTGCCCTCCACCCAAGTATGGTCGTTGTACTTCGTAAATACAGGGATATGGTTTATGATTTTCGTTAATATGCACAACAAGTCTCCCTGGAAGCTGCAGGCACTCTAAATCCCATGACTCAATGAGGATTGATGCCTGGTTAACAGCAGCTGCAGCCCAGAATCGTCCTTGTAACGTTTCAATGCAGCAATTTTCCACTCATCCCATTCCAAGCCGTTATCTACCCCTACAGCGTCTCGAAGCCCTCGAAAGAGGCCCAGGAACCCGTCCCAGTCCGCGAGATCATATCCGCAGCAGAAAGCGAACCTATGCTGCAACCGACCATTCCAAACAAATTGGGCTAGATCTTGGCGGCTCTTTTCCTCAAGCAGGCGTGCAAAGACAACCTCGTCGTCGCCTAGGCTGTTCTTACCGCGGTAGAAGTCTGCAACCGGTAAGAAGCCGATAGGTGAGTTGAAGGCATGTGCAGGTGCCGCAGTGTGAGCCCACTCCCAATCGATAATGCCAGTGATGTTGAAATTCTCATCTACCAGAATATGATCTCCCTTGTCGTCTGCGTGCTTCAGATAGAATTTCTCGTCATTATGCACCGAAGCCAACACACGCGGGATCAAGTCCATGAGATACCGGTGGATTAAGTAGGCATCTACTGCTCGTTGGGAGTAGAGCTCCTCTCGAATAATTAAATCCAAAATGAGCCGGATTGAAGACGTGTGATACTCTTCTAGAGAAGAGAAGGGCCCAGCGGTGCGCATTTCGGATTGCCCAAAGTCGGTGAGTGATTCTCGAGCAAATGCGCCGACCTGGGATCCGCCAGGCTTATCGAGGGAGCCGAGAAGGTTAAAAGGGTATTTGTGAAGCTCCAAAAACGTATCTGCGAGTTGGTTCATAACTTTCTTCCTTTGTTGCTGAGTTGCAATAGACCATCTCAAAGACTTGCCCGCCAACTTCTCCATCAGAATAAAGCCAACTCCCACAGGATTGCCTGGGTGCTCAAGTGCAAAATCGTAAACTTTTGGAGCGGGAACTGTAGTCTGCTCTAGAAACATAAGGGTTGCAACCTCACTCTGGATGATGTAATCTCGCAGTGCTGCTGGAGGCGATGTAGCATTGAATCTGCGGATGCGAGCGATCCATGTAATCCCATCATCAAAACGAACTTCAATATGATAGTTCATACCTCCCATCACAGAACTTCGTGTGGATCTCTCATACTGAAGTGGGGGGACAGAGCAAGACACGCCTTGGCGTAAATGGCTGGCTCGAGCCTCAAGGGCGCGGGTATTAATCATCTCGATTAGTTTTGTGAGCTCACGCCCTTCAGCCTCCCGGGCCACAGGGTCGTAGGAGTCCGCATCCTGAAAGTTGACGAGTTAGTAATGAAGTGTGCCCAGTGAGGAATCAAACTAACCTCCCACCGGGGACAGCTGTGGAACTCATTTTGAAGATGCTTGGAGCATAGATGGCGGTTGCAGAGTACGCAATCGCCGAGAGTGCGGACAGCTGGTCTGCTGCAGCTCTCGAAATCACACGTCCACAAAGGCATTATCGAAAACTCTTCGCAGAGTGCCGCGAATGGGAGAAGAAGCTCTGCTAAAGTCACATAAATGCCGAGACGCCGGCCTTGTGGCAGACTCTGGGGCTAAATATGAGGCGTGACTGTTGCGCTTAGCTTTGTTGTGAATCCTGAATTAAGGGAGGAAATGGAGAGATGGTAGGGAGAAGACGCGAGGCCAGCGCGAAAGCTCCTACCCGTGTTGTTTCACTTAGCGCTGAAAGCCTGGCTCCGAGGTGCATTCCTTTGGATATAAGGATATCAGGATAACGGCATGTTTGTCTTAGAGGGGGTCAGATGACAGTATAACACCTCTCTAGAGAAAAGACGGGACGGCAGCGAAGATCAAGCACTAACATCATCAAAACAACGACTTTGAGTCTTGCCAAACGGAGAGGCCGGCTTGATTACGCATTTAGACCTGCGAGACTAAGAGACACCCACTGACCTCAACCCACGTATCCCCAACATGCATGCGCACTTGACCCAATCAATGACCCGAACATAACGCCTAATGTTACATTCTTTGAAAGACCCGAATGACCGGCTTTGTCGAGACCCAGGCTTTTTGCTGCTGCAGTCAACCATAAAGGGGCTGATCGCCCTAATATTTGCACTGTTCTTATTCATTACACTTACCCAAAATCCAAACGCGAACTTGACTTCAAATTAAACATTCTCCCCCCAACAAATTGCCGAATCCTTTGTATTCAACATGCCTTCTCCTGCTATTAGGTGTGTGAAGGACGGGTGTGAATCTTGGGCAGAGAGTGGCTCTCGGTACTGCACTGCGCGTATGTTCTGCCCACTTCTCGAAGTACCGCGAGCAAGATCAGCACTAACACATCTAGTTAACAGACAAGTAGACAGCAGCCACGCAAAGCATGTATAATCTAGGATTCATGTCTCGGTGTAGGAAGGGGAGGGGAAATAGTGGGAATGAGGGATTCATGATTCAAACAGATCTCCAGGATGATGCTCGCGCCTGAGTAGTCAGCTAAGCTGCCTAATTAAAGCTCATCCTCTCCCGCGGATATTTAAAGCTTACTAATAGCCGCGCTTCCTCTTCGTTTTCTGAAAATGGACGCTGTTGGGCAACTGGTTAGGGGATGTCGCGCGTGTCTTAAGAGCGACCTGACGTCTTTGATGAATATGTACACGGCTAGCAGGGTAGTATCTGGGGACGGTGGTTGGAGTATCGAGTTGTAAAATCGATTGTAGGCTCTTGTCTTCCAGTGACCCCATCGACTATCCTGGGAATATGTTAAAGTTGGGCTAACTTCGGGGTTGCAAGAAATACGCCGCACACATTTGATGTTTTTCTGGACGAATTGAGTGCAGGTATTTTCAGTCTCCGCTTCCTTATCCGCGAACTTTCAAGGGCCGCCTTGACACGTTGTGTGAGATGCTGGGAAATGCATGAATAAACTTTGAAAACTGTAAATTGGTGCCCTGGTTTGGCATCGCGGTTCGTGCATGCTGTGTGCTGATGAATGCGCCATTGTTCTCCTTGTTCACTTTTTTCCTGATTAGGATGTGCCGCGGCATGACCGCGGTGCGCGCCTCTGCGTGTTCATGTCCAGCACCTGGGCTGGATAATCGCGGGCTTTAGTATCGTCGCAGCAATAAAGATCTACTCGGGCGTCGACTATCACGATTGAACGAGTCTAGTCCTTTGGAAAGGTGGTGGTGTGACGTCGCAGTGGTTGCAATGCAAGATAGGCACCTCCGAAGAAGTGGGTAGACGTGCGGCGCTCCACGGATTAAACGGCGCGTTATCATGGAGAGCACGGTCCAGAACACGAGAAAGGCCTCTTGAGAGACTACCGGGTTTTTGGGAAATTGATCACATGAGCCAATACGGACATGAAGCCTCATCTTAGGGGTGGAGCCGCGTTTCGTCTCACCACGCAGCTGAAACCTGTTTGCGGTTCGGCCATGAGCGCGATGGGCTGGCTCGCAGGGCGACAGGGCTCCCTCGCAACAGCCGACCGGTCGGATAGGCGACGTCCAGGGCCTCTTATCTTGGCAAAGGCCGCAGGGCAGTCCATGCGTATCTCCAGACGTGGGCTGCAGTGTTTTCCAAGGGCATTTGGTAACAGTCGAGATAACTCCTTCGGTACAAAGGCCACCCCCTTTCCGGCAACGCGGAGCGCGGTCTCCAATTCAACCAGCGCGGCAAGGCTGTCTATTGGCCGCGTGTCACGGCCGAGCTAAACCTCTTGGTCACTTCCAGAACCCCCATCGTCGTTATCTAGGTCTTAGCCTCTTGACCAACCCCGGCTCCCCCGCGTTTTACCCCTACGGCCAAGCCAGCCACGAGGCTTGGGCCCAAGTTCAAGGCACTGTCATCCCACAGCTCCGTCATCAGTTGCCTCGTTGAGCTTGGATGCTATCTGTTAAGTTCGGCTCCTCCCCTTGCTTCTCTCGTGCCGGCTCCCTCGTTCTGCTCCCACTCTCCATGTCGGAAGCGAACGCCTCCCGCATGAACCCTTCAATTCATATCTTAAATTTATATTCCGTCTCTTCTGTGCAGCCCTACAAGCCTCTAGACCTCTCCGTCGACCCATAATCTCATTCTCTCTCGTCATCGAATCCACCGCTCTGCCCACCATGGCATCCACAGCCCCCGCCACCCAGGGGTACGCGAACCAGCTACCGAAGAGTCTCAGTATGATGAGTATTCTGGGCATGTCGTTTGCCATCATGGCCGTCCCGTATGGTCTCTCCACGACATTCTACATCACCCTGGTCAATGGCCAATCCGTCACCGTCCTCTGGGGATGGGTTCTGGTTTCATTGATCTCGCTCAGCATTGCCGCCTCTCTCGCCGAAATTTGCGCCGTTTATCCTACTGCTGGTGGAGTTTACTACTGGTCCGCGATGCTCAGCACCCCGGAATATGCACCAGTCGTTAGCTTCATTGATGGGTGGATGACTTTAGTTGGAAACTGGACTGTTACGCTCTCTATCAACTTTGGAGGCGCTCAATTGATTCTGAGTGCCATTACCATCTACAACGAAGATTTCGTGCCAAACGAGTGGCAGACGGTCCTCTGCTTCTGGGCTGTTACGTTGATTTGCGCGTTTGTCAATGCCTTTGGATCTCGGTATCTGGACTTGATCAACAAGGTTTGCATCTACTGGACTGCTGCGAGCGTCCTGATCATCCTCATCACCCTTTTGACCATGTCCGACAACAAGAGGTCTGCCGAATTCGTTTTCACCCATTATGATGCGTCTGCAAGTGGCTGGGCCAGCGGGTGGTCCTTCTTTGTTGGTCTTCTCCAAGGTATGTCACAAACCCTATCCTCCCGAAACGCACTTTCTAACTGATTTATAGCTGCCTACACTCTCACCGGTTACGGAATGGTCGCTACCATGTGTGAGGAAGTCCAAAACCCAGAGCGGGAGGTCCCCAGGGCCATGGTTCTGTCTGTCGCCGCCGCCGGCCTGACTGGCATCATCTATCTCATCCCCATCCTCTTCGTCCTCCCGGATATCAGCGACCTTCTTGCCCAGGGCCAGCCTATCGGCCTCCTCTTCAAGACTGCCACGGGATCCAAGGCCGGTGGCTTCGGTCTTCTCTTCTTGATTCTCGGCATCTGGTTCTTCGCTGGTGTTGGTTCCCTGACCGCCGCGTCCCGCTGCACATATGCATTCGCCCGTGATGGCGCCATCCCAGGCCACAAGCTCTGGGGCAAGGTCAACAAGAAGCTCGAAATGCCCATGTGGGGTCTTATCCTGTCCACTGTCGTTGACATGGCTCTCGGATGCATTTACTTCGGCTCGTCCGCGGCTTTCAACTCATTCACCGGCGTTGCCACCATCTGCCTCTCAACCTCCTACTGTGTGCCAGTTTTGGTCAGCCTGCTCCGTGGCCGAGAACCCGTGCGATCATCGCCGTACGCGTTGGGATGGCTCGGCCCCATTGTCAACTGGATCAGCATCATCTGGATCTGCATCGCCGTCATCATCTTCTGCATGCCTGTTTCTCTGCCCGTCACAGCGTCATCCATGAACTATGCCAGCGTCGTTTTCGCCGGTTTTGCGGCTATCAGCGCCATCTGGTACTTCGTGTACGCGCGGAAACACTTCAAGGGTCCTATTGTCGTCGACATGGGCTCAGAAGAGTACGTAACGGGCCCGGAGAGCAGCAATGCGGTCGAGAAAGGATCAGCTCTTCGTGAATCTTCTGCTGATGAAGGAACGAAGCAGTAGGGTTAAAACGACGTCTACCCCGGGGAGGCTTTTTGAAGAATAATTTGGTGCGGAATTTATTATATTCTATTTATCTTAGTTTTGCATACAATATGTCTTGCACGGTTGGTTCTCTTTAATTTGCTGTGAATGATTCGGCGTAGTTGAGGTGCCAATTTCGCCTTGTTCGCTCTACAGGGGGCGGCATTTCTATTTTATGCGTTTATTTAAACTCCACCAGACCGAATCGCCAACGGAAATGAGCCCTCCTAGTATTAGCCATGGATGGTGATAAGGGATATGTTCGTGCTTGGGGAATCTCAATTGGCGGAGTCATCAAACGACAAACCCCAGCTTCAGAACTTCGGGGACAAGGCTTGAACCCTTTGGGCACTCAACTGACTGTTTGTTGCCCTTCTCCTCTTCATTTAATCACTTGAGAGCATCATGCTAAAATTCTCACATCGACTGGAGCTTATCTTGGTCAAATGTGTGATTATTTACACTATTTACGACCTATCTCATATCGTATCGCTCCGGAACGACTGTGAAGTAATGCACCCGCTTAGACAATATCCTAGGCGCCTTTTCCCATGCCTGCCCTTTCTTAGGGCTGTATACATACATAAATAATACCCCCGAGTTATTTAACGCCGTTGAGTCAAGGAAAAATGTACCGCTTATGAGGAACCACCTGGTAGTGACTGGTACTTGAAAGGTGTGCTCCGGCGCAAGACCCGGTTGATGCCCCGCCGCAGGGTGAATCGGAAGTAATAGACAATGAAGAATCCAATGACCACTCCAAATAGAGCAAGTAAAAAGAGCTGGAAAGGCTCCATCCAGATTCCTCTCTCTGGCGCCTCGAGTAGTTCGATCTCATTCTCTTTTGTCTTGGAGAGGACTGCCGACATGGAAAGGACTTTGTCGTTCTTATCCAACGCTACAACTCGAATGAATTCGTCGGCCTCCTCTGGAATTTGCATCTTGGTCTCGAATTTCTTCTTGTCGCAAGTGCGATGGTCGCGGAAGTCGCTGCCCGATGGCTGTGGTGCGCTCTGAATCTTCCACTTGACGACCTCAGTCGCGCCGTTCCAGCTGACACACAGGGCACTCTGACTGGGCTTTATGGCAACGTCAGGGAGGGTCTTAGGGCGACCAACCCAAGGGTACTTGAAGGTGCGGTAGTTCTTGACCCACGCAAACAGATCGAGATGAATGGGACCGATGTGGGTTTCGCAGAGGACCTCGCCGTCGTGGGAGAACTCGGTAAACGCAGGGACATGACCCCAGCCAACGAGCACGTTGCTGTTGGGAAGGACTTGGACGGAGCCCTGAGAGATGGCGAGGACTTTGTAGGGCGAGACGTAGGCGTGGACGAGTGTCGCTGTCATGTCGTCCGTGTCGAGGGTGACCATGAGGCCGCGGCTGAACTTGGCCGTATTCTGGCGGCCATTGGAGCCGTTGTCAAAGACGGTTAATGTGGTGTTGTCGACCCAAGCGGCCTGGTGGTTCCAGGAGAAGTTGGTCGCGGCGCCTCCAGACAGATCTTCAAACGAATTGCGCTTGCCACCGAGTTGCCAGAGAACGCGACCGTCCTTGCCGCTGATGGCGGCGACAGCGCACATGTATCGCGAAGAGATGAGGTAGTCGCCGTTGGCATCTTTGTCGATGCTGTTGATGTGAAAGTAGTCAAAGGCGCTGCTTGGACTCTTCCCGGTCTTACCAATGGGGGCCATGGTTTCGCTGATAGGAAAGTGGTCGGAGGCTCGCCACTCAAAAATGAGCTCGTTCGTTTCTAGGTCGATTTCCTGGAAGATGCTGTCGAAGATCCAGCCTTCCTCGAAGCCGTACGCCGACATGTCGACCTTCTTTCTAAAGTAGATGGTCATGAGGGCGGTATCGTTATCGGTGATGCGAAACTCGTGAAGATCACCGGTGTAGGGACCGACGGGTGTGACCTTTTTGAACACTTCGTACGACTCGTCAAGCTGCGCAATGTGTCAGTTTGTGCACATTACAAATATCCTATTCGGGATTTGTTCCCCTCTCCCATTGGAGGAAAACTGATTGACAGAAGGTAGCAAATACTTACCATCAGATAGTAACCCTCGCCGAAGGTGCCATTGTCGGTGCCGTGCCAGAAGGTGATGTAGTCATTTCCTTTGAAGCTCTGCACTTTGAGATCCATTGCCTGACCCCAGAGCGTCTGCATCCATACCAGTTCGCCGGCATTGTCGAGCATTACCGGGCCGGGGGTCTCGACGTAGACGCCGCGCGGCTCGATAAAAATGTAACCATCGTCGCATCGCTCATCGGTGCGGACCAGCGCTGGCCGAGGCGACTGTGCGCCAAACGACTGGTAGCTTCTGTGCGGGAAAGAGCCGTAGTATCCCCAATCATACCATGATATAGAGGGATTGCCACTGCCGCGCGCTGTGAGATCAGATGCCGACGCCGCAGGGAGGGATACGAGGCTGTGTAAGAACAGAGCCAGTACCAACCGCAGCCAGCCCTGGCTCTGCAGTGGCGCTGTGTTGGTCTGCATGGGATTGGATGGCGAGCCCACACTGGGTCGCTAAATCGGGTTCGAGATCGGGGTGTAGTTCGGGTGTACGAAGCGACCATGTAAACGTCGATGTCGTTCGGAATGAAGTTGTCGTCTCTTTAGTTGACTTCTCCTAAAGGGAACCGGATGCAGGATGTCGAAGACAAGAGCGAGAATGAGAGTAATACTGCAGGAGGGAACGGGGAAGGGTGGCGTGTTGAGACCCTCAGCCAAGGAAGGAGGAGACGGCCGGGAAATGAACCGACAGAACAAGAAACAAGGTTAGTTACAATCACCTTTGTCTCGCTCTCGGGTATATTCTACGTCGTCTCGGTCGAATTAAAAGGTCGATGTGTTCCAGATCAGACGAGGTCAGGCTGAACATGAAAGCAAGAACAAGGGGAACCAGGGCTACGCCGAGTAGGCCACGCCGAGGAGACGACCTCTGCTTTATCAACCCCCCTCGACGCTTGATATCAGCGCCCACACTCGACGACATACTTGGAGATTCGTCTTGATCGGAGGTCGGAGGTCCACACATCCGACGACACAGCCGTGTGATGATGAGGACTCCATCATAATCCAAGGGTGGCTTCCCCGTTGAGCGACATACAGCGTGGAGAACGCGTAAAGAAGAAGCTTCGTACATAGTACGTACGTACCCCCACCCATCCATGGAGAGGTTCGCAAGGAATTATGGGGACTGAGGCCGGTTCTGCGGTGTGATTTGCAGCTGAATGGGACACCAGGGAGCCTGGGGAGATGGCGGTTCCTGGGCTGTTCCTCTGTACGCGGGTTGACGACCAATCGTGAAGCCATCTCAACGACGATCCCTGCCTTGGACAGTTGAGGGCCGATGTGGTGACGCCAGCAGCCAACGCTCAGGTCGCAGTGACATGAGCCACGCACCCCGAAACGCACGACTGTCCACCCACCGGCCAGGGAGGGCCAAGACGGACAGGCCCTTGAACGGGAATAGACGGGCGGAGGTCCCAGAGCCAAGGAACGCATCCGTTGGGGCCTGCGAGGCTAAGGGGCTTGGCTTCTCTCTCGGGCCCTTTGGCCATCTGTGAGCACGAGACAATTGACTACATTCTCCTAAGAGCGAGACCAGGAACCAAGAACGGCCACACCACTTCTGCGAACAAGGCGGCACGAGGCCGCTGAGTTATCGCCGGGAGTCTCCACATGGTTCAGAATGCCATGTCCTCTCCTCTCTACTGCCATGTCTTGAATCCCCCTCCTCGGGGTGGCGACGACGCCATGGCGGGACTGTGCCCACTTTCTTCAGTGCTTCGACGCACCGCGACGCGCAATCAGCAATATACCGTACGTACTACGTAGTACAGCAGCGGCTGGCCGAATATTCGCTCCTGAGAACCCTATTCTAACGGCACGGGAATGGATGTGGAGGATGGAGCGAGTCAATCGGGGGCGGTATATCCGTACGCGTTTATCGCAAGTGGCCTGTTTCCTTGCAGGGCCACGGATTGCCAATTTGAACCCCGTTGTGCCGGCCGGGCTTCTTCATCTCAGTATCCACATCCTTGATTGATTGATTACGGACAACGGGCCGGAGCCAACCGTGGTGGTGATGGGGACGACAGGAACCTTGAGGCAATGGGGCGAGTTGGCCCATATCAAAATACCTCATTTTATCTCTGTTTCGCAACCATGACGCTGGTGCTGGGCAAGCGCATTCGCCCTGCACATCCTCCCTCTATCAGAGTCCGTCGAAAGAGCTTCCTACTTGGGGCATCCATCACGAGCATACATCGGCGTCGGCGATGGCTTCGCACCGACTTCCCGACCTTCCGCGCACGTCTCATAAGTACCGGGGACCAGCATTTACACAGCCCTCTTGGCTAATCATCTTGGCTAATCCACCGTCATCACTCTATTTTCACTCAAACCCACCCCTCATTCCTCGGGAATAATGAAGGTCCTCGTCTTAGGATTGCCCCGCACAGGCACCCAGTGTGAGCAGCTTTCACTCTCCCGTCTCCCCATGACGCAACGCTGCCCCATATCATGTTACGCAGTACACTCCACGCCAATGCACCTCTAACACTGGCTCCCAGCCCTCGCCGACGCCCTAGAGTTGCTAGGTATCTCACCAGTTTACCACATGCGCGAGGTCGGAAAGAATGGCCACGCCGGCCTCTGGATGGCTGCCCTCGAAGAGAGGACCAAGCCAGATGGCACCCCGTGGACGCGAGTCCAGTTTGAGCAGATTCTCGGCGGCTTCCAAGCTGTGGCCGACTACCCAGCCGCCATCTTCCCTGCCGAGCTGCTGGACGCCTACCCAGAGGCCGCCGTCATCTTATCCATGCGAGGTTCCGAGGACGCGTGGCACACAAGCATGGCTCTAACCCTCGTCCACGCCCATGCTCGCCGATCGCCCACCGACGTCTCCCCTGTCGCCACCCTGGCACGGAAGTACCATGCGGCATGTTGGGACGACGACTTTGACAAAAACGGCAAGGCACTCTACCAGAAGCACAATGCAGAAGTCAGAGAATTGGCTGTCGATCGCAAATTTTTGGAGTACCAGCCCGGCCAAGGGTGGGCACCGCTATGCGAGTTCCTTGGCGTAGCGGTCCCAGAGGGCGTTCCATACCCCAGAAGCGATGATTGGGCTGAGTATAAGAAGAAGGCCGAGGAGGACGTCAAAGCGAGCGAAAATAGCGCGCGGTGAGCAATTATTCAGTGACGTCTGCGACACTTGGCAACACAATAGACTTTTTCTTGGCCAGAGCTAATGACTCGGTCGGAGAAAATTGATCTTGATAGTTGCTGTTTTATACGCAACCCCAAGTGCATTATGGTAGGGCTCGGTGGCGGATGTCGGCAATGCGGTATCTGAAGCCGGCCCACCAACGTCCGCTGGCTCCCTCGTTTCATAGTTTAATTGTATTCATAGTACATGCTTTCCCCGGTATCCATGTCCATGATAATCTGTATGCCTTTGACTAACCGCAGAGGGATGACGCCCGTCAGATCTTGTCAAACCACGTGTATTGCAGATAGAATATACGGTGTCATCAAACTCAGTTTCGGATAATCTCATTTTGATGCCGCCACTGTCAGCGCATTGCAGGCGGCCCTCGGTACCGTATCAATTCCCGAGCCAGGCTGTGTTCTCTTGGGCTGGGGGACCAGTTGGCAACCAACCCTCTTGTTAAAACCCAAGCGCTGACAACGTCGGTTTTATTGCCTCGAATCTGTTGGGATACGCAGGAATTTATGGACAGCATTGCTTGCTAAGAACGCCGCTCGATCTATCAATAGAACCTTACGGCCTCAAAGGAGAAGTGAAAGCAGAGCGAAAAGTCCGACAACAACAGATGCACCAAATACCTGCAAGCTCGATGCCCCGTTGGGCTTCCCATCGGTAAAGTCATCCGAACCACCGTCGCCTCCAGAGTCGATCTGGGAACCTGGGTCGGTCGGTGCCGCGGACTCGGTTGGCGATGGATCGACGATGGTGACAGCGCCGTCAGAAGAAAGCGCCTTGCTGTCACCCAGAATAGCCACTGATGCGGTAGCACTCGCGTCCGCCTTGGTTGCTGCAGGGGCTTCGCTGGCGTCTTGTTCTTTCTTAGTCGTCTCGGCGTTGCTTCCATCGGATCCTGGCTTGCTGCAGCTGCCACTCCCGCTCGAGTCGCATACATATCCGGCCTCGCAGTAGCCGTCGGCGCCGCAGTCGACTGATCCCTCGGGCCTGCAGCCTCCAGACGACGTACATTCCATGCCGCTGTCGCAGTAGCCGCTGCTCGAGCAGCACACGCTTCCCTTGGGCATACACGCGCCGTTGCACTCCTCCTTGCCGCTCCCGCAACCGTCTGGCTCTGGCGTTTGGCAGCGTCCGTCTGAGGTGCAGGTCTGGCCCTTGTCGCAATATCCGTCGCTGCAGCAGACGCTTCCTTTCGGCATGCAAGCTCCGCTGCATTCTTCTTGATTTGAATCGCACGTCGGGCCTTTGTTCTGACAGCGCCCATCCGAGGTGCAAGTCTGGTCCGAATTGCAATATCCATCGCCGCAGCAGACGCTTCCCTTTGGCATACACCCGGAGCCACACTCATCCTTGCCGTCTCCACACGGATCTGGCGTTTGGCATTTCCCGCCTGAGCCGCAGGTTTGGCCTTTGTTGCAGTATCCCGTGTCGCAGCACACGCTTCCTTTGGGCATGCAACCGTCGCCGCATTCTTCCTGGTCACCATCGCAGGTCGGCGGTGGGGTTTGGCATTTATCATCTGGACCGCATGTCTGGCCCTCGTCGCAGTATCCGGTATCGCAGCAAACGCTTCCTTTGGGCATGCAACCATCGCCACATTCTTCCTGGTCGCTATCACAGGTTCGCGGCGGGTCTTGGCAGTTTCCATCAGAGCCACAGGTCTGACCTTCGTCACAGTACCCAGTGTCGCAACACACGCTTCCTTTGGGCATGCAGCCATCGCCACACTCCTCTTGATCGGTATCGCAGACCGTCGGGGGATCTTTACATTTTCCGTCTGAGCCACACGTCTGACCTTCGTCGCAGTATCCCGTGTCGCAGCACACGCTACCTTTCGGCATGCAACCATCACCACATTCTTCTTGGTCGTCATCGCACGTTGGCGGTGGGGTTTCACAGTTTCCATCGGAGCCACAAGTCTGACCTTCGTCGCAGTATCCCGTATCACAGCATACGCTCCCTTCAGGCATGCAACCGTCGCCGCAAGCCTCTTGTCCGACATCGCATGTCACCTCGTCATCTGAACCACCACCTGCACCAGAGTCACAACTCCCCTTTGTGCCGCCACAGCTTAATCCCGGCTTGCAATTCCAGCTAGTGCAGCATACATTTCCTTCAGGCATGCACGTGGTGCCACATATCTCAGTTCCCGCCTCGCATACAATACTACCATCGTCGACGCAAGTGTCCCCGTTGGGACAGCAAGTGTTGCCAACGCAGTATTTATCAGAGTAGCAATACCCGTCGCCGTCAGCGCAGCACTCGGCACTTGAGGGCATGCAGCCATCGTGGCATTCCGTTTCGCCCGTGCTGCAGGTGCTGATGGCGAAATTAGGAAGGACGAAGCCCGGGATGAATGATGCGCCTTTGCCGACTCGCGGTACACCGCCAACAAGCTGCTGGGGGACGGCGTTTGCTGAGACTGAGGCTGCGGCCGCTGCGAGGAGCGACCCAAACAGGCGTGCGGAGGCCAGGCGTGACGGCATGGTGACGACTGAATGCGGTGACTGAGAGTGGTGATTGGTGGCTAATAGTGACCCTATCCCTCGTAGGACAGCCGGGATAGGAAAAAGAAAGAAAATCCAACGTCGGTCTGCTCAAGTGAAATAAACATCCAAAGTCTTGGCCGGTGGTTTGATGGACCAAGACCAACACCAAACTCGGCTGAGCGGGCAGTCCATGTCTTATCTTGCATGCTGGCGGATTTCAGCTGTTACATTTCAGTCTTGGCAGCTGAACTCTCTCAACGGAAATAACGGTCAGCTGCTCTATGGCCTGAACTCTGGGCTTAAACTCGTTAAGCTTATTTGCGATTGAGAAGCCCTGAGAAACTATGAGACGCCACCGGTATCCCTCCCGCAGGGTCTAGCTGCCGCGCTGAACGACGGGGCTGGGCCGGCACAGCTAGTTTCTGCTGTTGCTTGTTGTCCAGAACAGCCGATAAGGCGAAGGATCAACCGCTATTGATCTCCTGATGCCCGACCGGGCAAGCTTCACACCCAGAGCGTGAGCGGGCTGCGGCTGCGATTTGTCCAGAACGACGTGGCGCAAGTTAGTGCAACTTGGCTTCCGTCGTGGGCCGGTAGTGCAACATGCCAGCCTCGTCCTCGGACCCCTTCCCCTCATTTTCAATCAATAGTTGCATCCAGAGCCACTAGGATCATCGTCCGGTCTGGTTGCCTACCAGTCAGCCCAATGTGCACATGCGGGTCTAGACCTCTAGTACAACGCCACCTCGCCCGTCTTCAGACGAGGCTCCGGGTAGGGCAGTGGGAGTCCTATCTGTGAGTGAAGCCGAGAGGGGAGGAAAACCTAGATTGAAATCGCTGAAGCTGGAGGGTGGTTGAGAGTCTGTATAGTCTTTCCAGTTGCAAGGACTCCCTTTTTACTAGTAGGCTCTAGGACCTCGTCGGATCACCCCCGGCTTCTCGGTGTGTGATTGTGATCTCACCAAAAGTGCGAAACCGCGAATAAGCAAAAGAAAATACGAGATCGTCGACGTGTAACCTATTATGTTTGTTTGCTCGTTAATCACTCACCAACCCGCAGTCCATGCATCACAGCGGGGAAAGATGAGATCCAACCACGCCATCATCACCCCGACCCGACGGCTAGGTAGACCAATCTAGACGATTCGAGTTGGAATTACTGATGGCCATGGCAGGAAATTGAAGGAGCTGATAGGATCAATAGCCCGAGGATTTGCTTCTGGCGACTAGTAGAGGATGACGAGCAAGACACTCCCATCTCACCGCAGGCCAATGCACCCAGCTCCGGTGCACGGGATGCAATCAATGCACATTGCCGATGATTTCCAGCGACTGCGTACAGGTACATGCTGGGAGATATTGGAATTTTCACGCACAATGTCTCTTAAATTTCAATAGTCGATTCCGGCTTTTTCATCCATCAGTTTTTAGGTTTTCCTAGTTAATTCAGCCTCTTCCAAATATCATAGCAATTCTCTAACCAGAATCAATCAGCGAATATACTTCGCCCCAGATTCAGGGCGAGGACATACAGCAAAGACGAGGTTTTGTGCAATTACCTCTCCCTTGAGCCCCTGTTTAGGTACACGGTACTTGATACGCACTTTTGCGTATTTTCTTTTTCCATGCCGGTTTGTTGTTGGGTATGCCAACGGATAATAACCAACCACGTCGTGTCTATGTGAGACCTGATTACGACGTGTACGTACTCTCTGCCCTATATGTAATTCCATTAACCCAGGCCCATCCGTCACATCATAACCCCGCTTTGTCCCTTCAAACTGCCATCACTAGGCCATCTTCAGTCAACTACAGAGGAACTACGCATACCCCTGAAGAAGCCAAACCTTCGTGATCATGGCCGAACTCGGACGCTCGCAGTCGCAGTGGCAGCTCAACGACTTGAAGTACCGGCACGAACTCGCCAAAGCTTACAGCATCATCGACCAGCGCCGGCTCGAAGCGACGTGGACTCGCTCGAACGACGGCGGCTTAGTCAACGGCCCAGGGCGTGATGGTCGTGCCACCGCACCCGAGCCACAGACCCTGCTGCGGTATCTTGAGATGTGCCACTCGCTCAACCTTGATATCGACGTGCTGCCCGACCGCCCCAACCCTACGCAAGGCGACTGCCGAAGCCCGGCGCAGCGGATTTGTCCTCGAAAGATCATCCCGTGGGAGGGCTTTGCAGAAGCGCAGGAGGGCATCTGGAAGCAACTTTCACTTGGCTCCTCATTCTCCCACGCGGCCGTCTTCCCGTCTCGAGATCAACTGGAAGCCGTGGGGGCTCTGCTCAAGCCCATTGGATGCGAACTCGGGCTCCAGAGGTTCCAACGCCACGTTGTGGAAAACGCGTTGGCCAAGCTGGTCGAGGAGGCATACAACGACGAAGCACTGAGGAACCGTCTCGGTATTCCCGGCGGGATTACCTTCGAAACCCACCCGGACCTAGGCGGGACCCGTGCTCTCCACTCCAAGTACATGGATCTCACCTCCGTCTACGGCGACGCTAATACTGCACGATGGGCCGAACGCTTTATTGCTTTCATGTCCGGCCGGGACACCAGGAGACAAGGCCCATGTCCAGACCAATGCTGCATCTACCGAACTTCGAACGACTGCAATGTCCCCGTCCTCGCGATCGAGTACAAGGCACCGAACAAGCTGAGCTGCGAGGACATCACCACAGGATTAGCATCAGATATCGATCTGAACCACGACGTCATCCACAATGACGGCCAGGGGTTCCAGTCTACTGCAAGGCGTCTCGCCTCGGCCGTTGTGTCACAGCTGTTCTTCTACATGGTCGAAAAGGGCGTCCAGTACGGGTACGTATGCACAGGGGAGGCATTTGTCTTCCTCCACATCCCGGACGACCCGTCCTGCGTTCGCTACTCGGTCTGTGTGCCGAACCGGGACGTCAAAGTCGGCGGTGAAAACCAACTCCATCGCAGTGCCGTCGCACAAGTTCTCGCGTTTACCCTCCAGGCGTTGCGAGCGCCACCTCCGCCCGCGGATTGGCGCGACGCTGCCCAGCGCCTCGACATGTGGTACGTGAAGTTTGACGATGTCTTGAAGAGTATTCCAGCGGCAATCATCCCGCAGCGATGCGCAACTTCACAGCCATTGGGCTTCGTCTACTCCCCGATCCGAACACCCTTTCAACTACCGCGAAGCGTCCCATTGCAACCAAGCCTTGGCAATGGCTACTATCTCAACAACTTCTCGTCGACCGTCGGCCAATTCAACCGTCCTCCGGGGGTGTCAATCGTTTCGAGGGGTATCATGCCATCGATCGAGGGGCTGGATCAGCAGGTTCCGGGTCAGGCGAGCCCTGTGTCCCGGCGAAACATCCACGACCGGCCATTCTGCACACACAAATGCATTCTCGGGCTTTCGTTTTGCGGACCCATGGACGATGACTGCCCTAACTTCAACGACCATGGCAATGAACACTTGGACCCGGATGAAATTCTTGGTCTGATCCGCAACCAACTCGCCCGCGACCACCACGGACAAGGCACTGACTGCGTGCCGCTCACGATACCAGGATCGGTCGGGACGCTTTTCAAAGTGCGCCTTGCGTCTCATGGTTACACTTTCGTGGCCAAAGGCGTCCAATCGAAGGATATTGCGGCGCTGCGTCACGAAGAAGAAATTTACGACAGCATTCACACACTTCAGGGGCTCTACGTCCCGGTCTGCATCGGTATCGTTGACCTCAAGCAACCAAAATACTACGGCGGTGGCAAGTTCATGCACTTCCTCTTTCTGACATACGCTGGACGCCCAATCTGCGAGAACCTGGAATCAATAAGCCCTCCCATAATCAACACGGTGAAGTACGCATTCGAGGAATTGCGCGAACGGCTTATTGACCACCGCCACGTTAAGCGACATCACATACTAGTGCACGAGGGTAGGGCTATGCTTGTGAACTTTCGGCGGGCGGATCTCTATCCCCGACCTCTTTTGCCCAGCAGTGAGAATGGGAAGAGGAAGCGCGAGACGATGTAGCCGAGATATCAGCATGGGAGGAGCGCTTGCGACATAGGGCCTAGATCCAAGGTACAATACTAGACCCTAATGGTATCGCGGAGCATTTGAGCTGGCAAAAATGAGACTTACTGGGAACATCAAGGGCTGGGTCTTGAGAAGGTTAATGGAAGGGCGTGGGATTTTTCGGTCTTGACATGATTTCTTGAGATTTTGAGACTGCAGCTTGTTGGTACGGATCATGTGGTAGATGCACCCGTTCAAGCGTGTAATTAGCAAATCTCGCCGCCGAATTGATGCTCGAGAAAATGTTCTCCGTGAGGCTTGAGCGTTACATGTCAATATTTTGGTCTGCTGAAGCTGATGACGCAGCTGAGGCTGGAAACAAGGCCGCCACCAATTCTTGCAACATTACGTCTTGGAGCCCACGGCCGGCCTTCTAACAGAGTCCTTGGAAGTCCCGTACTTCGCTACGGCACAACTTTCTGAGACGAGGCTGCATGGAGATTTCATCTTGTTCTCTCTTTTCGAGCAGCCCAATCAATTTCTGCGAGTGCTCACCGTCAAGTAAATGCCTGAAATGGGTTCGGGACAAATTCGGCAGCGCTTTACCGCTCGTACTTGAAGTCCCGTTTGTCGCGTCATCTGTCGCTGGCTTTATTTTCGCCGCTTCAACATCAGCACAAGGTCTCATTGCGGTCAACGGTCAGTTTCCAGTGCAATTGGGTGGGTAATTTTACGCTTTTCTCACAGAATGACAAACAAGATTGAATATTAAATACCATAGTAACAGAAACCTAATTCGAACTATCCATTCTCATCCCACTCTCGCGATCCCACTCAGCGGTCCCATTTCGCACTCATTCAAACAAAAGCAGATGACATTTGCAGGGAGCAATGGATTCGGCCAGGTGGCCACCATCCGTACCAAACTCACATCTCCATCCTCTTTCCACGCGTGGTGCGTTGAAGTTTGTTAATCTCCTGACACTCGGCAACACTCTTCGCACTTCCTACATCCCGCGTCGCCATCGACTGGGGCATCTTCAAATTGAGCGCCTGTAGGCGGGCGCTCCGACGTGTTTTGGCCTGACCCTGTACCTGGGCGACGAAAACCGGTGTCTTACGAGAGCGAGTCCGGCGTCCGGCGGGACTTCGCCCTTTGCTGGCTTTTGAGATGCTCCCGGATACGACCAAGTCAAGCTTTCTGCTCCGGAGAGACGACCTGATGCCGCCTGCCCGCCTAGGGCCTTGCTCCGGGTCGGGGGACGTCGCGGGTGAAGCGAGCAATTTGGCGATGGAAACCGAGACTTCGTCGGGAGTCTCTATGGTAGGGTAGACCTCGGCTGGAGATACGTGGCCACGTCGGCGTGGCACTTCCGATCGGAGGATTAGAGGTGAGTTTCCGCCCGCGGGAGAAGGGTCGGCGACTTCCTGGGTGCCTCCTGGGCCGTCCGCCATGGGAGGATTTACGCCAAAGATGGGTGGCGGGCTTCTGAGCGGCGCGGGAGGCGGCGTATATCCCTCCATCCAACGCTCGTCGGGGTCGGGGGGGAATTCGTGCTTCCAGTTCATGCCCGGCAGTTGTCCCCATTTGCGGTACCAGAGGCCCCGTTCGACCCAGTTGGCCTTGACGTTCGTGTAGGCCTGCGTATTGATGTCGAGGGGGGCAGTCGCAGGGCCGGTCGAGTCGGGGCCGGTCGAGCCAGCGGTGGCCAGGATTCGCTCGCGTTCTCTCGAGACCAAGTAGATGAAGCGCTGGAACGGGCGGGACGCGTCGCGGTCTCGTTCTGCCGCCTCCCGCGTCTTCCTGTCCTTCTTATTCTTCGTCGTCGGCGGCTTAGGTGGCGACGGTGGTGGCTGGGTAGAGAAGAGGCCTGAAGGGGGACGGTGAGGCCTGCATTCCGAGGCGGGTTCGAGCAGCTCCGTCTTGCCATCGCCATTTTCTTCGCCGCCCTCTTCTTCATCGTCGGTGAGCGGCTGCTCGTGCTTCCACTTTCCCCTGTACATCAAATATGTGCTGCCCCACCGCTCGTCCCATATTCCCTGAGCTCTCCAGTCCGCCTTGACTTTCTCTGCCGCCACTCCGTCGAACTCGCACAAGATGACACAGGTCAATTCTGGATATAGGCGCCTGTTCTCCATGGACACTTCGGCGACGAACTGTTCCGACACACGTGAGCATCTCCTCTCTAAGTACACTTCCATCTCTTCCCGCTCTCCGGGCTTCAGACTGGGCATTGGCTCGTCGCTGATCGTCGAGACATCGTTGCTGAGCTTCGAGGAAGTCGGCGAGGCACGCGGCGGTGGCGGAGAGATGCTGAAGCGGTGCCTCTCTCGTTGGAGCATTTCTGGGTTGGCGGCGAGGGTTGTGAGTCGCCTTTCCGCCGCGTCGAGACCAAGCCGATCAAAAGCCCATCGATCCGGACTGTAAGGAGAGCCACCGAAGAGCCCCTTTCTAGAATGTCCCATTCTAGAAGAAGGCGGATGAACCGAAGAGGAACAGAAAAATCGCAAGGGCTTGGGGGGAGTTTAGGGTCAATTGAATTGAAAGAAAGAACAGGTGGCAGGTGAATGTTGAGCTGAAAGACGGCAAATGAACCCAGGCTGAAGTAGGCCGGTGCTCGCGCGAGAACAAAGAAATGTACAAGTTACCAACCTAAATCATGTGCCTGTTAATGCCCAAGTATCCAGATATCGAAATTATTAGTAAAATCCATGCATTTATAATAGTAAGAGACTTGGCCAAACATCTGCCCGAAGTTCCCTCCCGGTAGCCGCTAACTAGTTGTGCGACCTCAACTCTACCAACATGTCTGGCCTCAACAACCTTCACTACCCCTATCAATCCTTCACCTTCCATCATCACCCATCATTAATAATTTTCGCATCTTTGTTTTGTCCCCTTTTAGCAAGTTATGGTGCAATGCCTCCACCAAGCCCCCGTCCTTTGACTTTGTTCACCCTCATCCCCGATAGCGATGCGGCCAGGGCTGCCGTACACCACTCCGCCAACGCCCCTTTTGTGTCGCAATACGGAGACCAACTCGTTTTCGATGTTGGCCACATGCGAGCCAAACCGAATGGCACCCTCGTAACACTCGGCCGTGGCAATGCAGACATAGTTCTCGACTCACCCAGCCTGTCAAGGATCCAGTGCTCCTTTGTGATCAACCCGGACACCAACGTCGTCATGTTACATGACTTGTCAGGCCAGTGGTCCACTCAGGTCTTTGGCCTTCCTTTGTTCCCTTTCGAAAACGATCGCACGCGACAGGTCGTCGTCTCCCCGACACTAAATCCGGTGCTCGGCATGGGGGGTGAGAAGCGGGACCTCTACAAGTTCCAGCTGGAGTGGCGTCAAGATCTCACCAACACCCTGAAGGAGATCAAGGCGCGGAAAGAAGCTGATGCCTCGATCAGCTACCAGGAAGACACCCGAAATGCCCGAACCATCGACGCGAAAGAAACAGAGATGCAAACGCCTCGGTTCGACTTGAGAATCCAAGTCCCCCCTCGGCCGAAAATTCGGTATATCTACCCGGATGACTCCGCGCTCGGCAGAGGGCAGTTTGGCCAGGTATTCAAGGTTCTCGATGTGGACACAGGGAGGTTCCTGGCCGTTAAGAGACTGGTCCGACAGGCCGAGGGCAGTTGGGAGGCGGCAGCCCAAAAAAGGGAAGTCGAAGTGCTCTCGCGCTCGCGCCACCCTCGCATCGTTGAGTTTGTCGGGCAGCAGATGGATGAGTTCGGCTTGGATATATTCATGGCTTTGAAGGAAGGGAGCGTGCAATCTTTGGTGAACCAGATCCTCAGGGAGAGTACGACACCGGAAAACTGCAATGCCAGGATTGTCACCGTCGGGGAGGGCGTCTTTCCCCAGATGTTGTCGGCGCTCGACTTCCTGGCCTACAATGGCGTCGTGCATCGCGACGTCAAGCCGGCAAATATCCTCTACGACACCACCTCCAAAGGCAAGCACAATTTCTATCTCGGAGATTTTGGTTTGTGCCACAAAACCACTATCGCCGAGACACTCGGTATTGGCACTAAAATCTACATGGCGCCGGAGCTGAATCGCCTCGGCCCCCAAGAGATCTCGGGCACTGGCTCCCAGGCGAAAGCCGACGTGTGGTCTCTCTTTGCCACCATGCTATGGATCCTGGATGTCAACGGCTACCGGGAAAGGTCGTCTGCCTTTTGGACGCACCAGGAAGCTGTTGGAGCCGTAGTCTACGAGGCCGACAATTCGGCAGGAATGGCGAGCATCCGAGAGATGGCAATCTATCGACCCGAGCTCCGAGCGTCCGCCGCGCAGATGCTGCTCAAGATCAAACATGCAGATGATTTGACTACTCCACGGAATTACATACCGGCTCTCATCCAATATCACGATGCGGTCTCTGCTCACCAGGCCCCTGTTCCCGCGCCCGACCCATCTCGGTTTCCTTTACTTGCTCCGGCCCCGCGTCGACCGGAGACTCCAACCATCGGTTTTCTCACGGCACGCTCCACGCAAACACCATCACCATGGCAGCCCCTTACGCCACAGTCAAACTCGCCAGCAATTCCCGAGCGACGATCTGCACGTCTTGCCAACAAGAAGTGAAGCCCACGGCTGCATGGGCTTTCCACGTTTGTCTCCAGGTTCAGCGCTCCCTGCACATCGCATGCTCGCAATCAGGTTCATGCAGCTTCACAATATGTTTTTCCTTTACAAACGTTCATCAAGTTATTATTTTCTTAGCGAAGCGGGTTGGGATAGATCATAGATCATTGGGCTGGTACTACCAAGGAAGTAATAGGGTTGAAGGGGAAAGGCGCTACGCAGGCTTTAGACGATCATCAAGATCAGGGCCTTTATTTTGTTTGTCATTGTGGGACTCAACGAGTCGTTGCCAGATCCGTGTTATTCAGTCATTTTCTAGAGAGTTTTGCTTTTGTTATTTAATTCGTCACAGTCATTCATGTATCTCTTTCCAGTCTTTTACATTAGATATCCTCAAGTCGCCGCGCACCACATCGATGCCTTGCCAACATTATTTTCTGCGCCCGGCTTGCTAAACCACCTAATGAGGTGCTTTAATATTTTTCCTGTTTAGCTTCATCTTTGGCAGGCAGCCTGTAACGGACTGGCTCTATTGGTAATTGTCGCGGTAGCTCATTCTCACCTGGACCGTTTATTGCCGGACGGGAGGGAGGATTTCGGTCGGAATTCCGGATAACGCAACCCTGCCCAGATGAAGGGCCACCCCCGGACAATGCGGGGGATCCGATATTTGGAACCGACAAGAACCTGGGGTAAAATGTCCCAAGACTGTGGTTGAGTCGTCACAACGTCTCAAGTTGTACCGCATTGACTCACCCCCGTTACCCCGCAGAGGACTCCAATCTCCACAGCGGAGGCCGCAGACCCGGTGGTGTTTACGTAGCGGGGAATAGCGAACGCAATGGTGATGAGGATGAAGCCGAGCTGGAAGCTGGAATAAAGCCCGATCTTGAAGGTCCTCGAACCGTTCAGCCTAGGTATGCTAAGTCATGGTAGAACAAAGGCTGCAGTGCATGTTAAAGCCATAAGCCATTCACTGCGTGACGGTCAGAAAAGGTCACTGCAGGCAACATGACATCACCGTGGCGCCACTCATCAAGCTCAATTTTATGACGCGACTTGGATGCTCGGGTCATGATGTAAGTGTGCAGTCGCCGTGCCGATATTCCGCTGCAGAGTAAGTAAGACATTGCATCTTATGGTCAATATGTACTATTCCTGGAGATAAGCCTGGCATGTGAAGCGGTCGCGATGCGGAATTAGGCGAGCCTGGTATCTCCGATGGCGGTGTTGCCTGTTCTAGCCCATGGTCGTATAGACGCGCGCTCTCATTGGCCCATTACGGCGCTAACCTTTTGCCGTGCAAGGCACTAACACGGCGGTTCCATGTCTGTGGTCCGGACATTACCTTCAAAATCCGAGTTCAGTAATGAGGAATGCAACTCAAAGCGATTTTTATTTTTGTATATAAGTTGAGTCCTTCACCCTTGAGCTCATGATTAGAATCCATCAAAATCATCAACACTCGCATCCCACAAGCTCCAACAACATACAAACAAACCTCTCGAACCCAACGTCAGCATCATGGCACAGAAATACGCAAAGGACCAGCCTCAGGGCTTCGCCAATAAGATTGAGAGGGTTGCCATTATCGGTGTAAGTCATTAGTCCCTGGAGGTTCTCTCAAACGTCCCCGTTAATAGATGCGTAGGCCGGCGGATCCGTCGGACAGTTTCTTGCCCAGGCATTGGTTGGCACTGGGAAACATATCGTCACCGCCATCAGTCGTGCTGGAAGCACCACTAAGATGCCTTATGGGGTCAAGGTCGCCTCGGTTGACTACGACGATGAAGGTTCCCTCGTCGCCGCTCTCAAGGGCCAGCAGTTCCTCGCCATCACCATGTCTGTGACTGCTCCTCACGACACCCAAGAGAAAGTCATCAAGGCGGCTGCCAAAGCAGGTGTGCCTTGGATCATGCCAAACTGCTACGGTACCGATGTTCACAACAAGGAGCTAGCTCGGGACAACTTCACTGGAGAAGGGGTTCTGAGCGGAATTAAAGCCATCGAGGATGTTGGCTTTTCATCGTGGATCACCATGTGCTGTTCGTTCTGGTATGAGTTTTCCATTGCACAAGCTCCGGAGTGGTACGGCTTTGACTTCGCCAACAAGAAGATGACGCTTTACGATGACGGAAAGACTCGCATCAACACATCTACATGGCTGCAGTGTGGAAGAGCCATTGCCGCTCTGCTAAGCCTCAAAGAGTTGCCGGAGGATGAGAACGACCAATCCCCGACGATTTCGCGCTGGAGGAACAAGCCCATGTATGTCTCAAGCTTCCTGGTTTCGCAGCGAGAGATGCTCGATAGCATCCAGCGCGTAACCGGAACAACGGACAAGGACTGGACGATTGAATATGAAGGAGCCAAAGCTCGTTGGGAACGAGGAGTGAAATTGATGCAAAGCGGTGACCCACGAGGCAGAGCCCAGGCTATGTATTCGCGTACATTCTTTTCCAATGGCGATGGAGACTTTCAGTCCAAATATGGCCTCGACAATGACATTCTCGGCCTCCCAGAGGAGCACATGGACGAGGCGTCGAGAAGAACAATGGCAATGGTCGATGGAGGATATAACTACTTTGCGAACAGGATTTGAGAGAGTGGTGGGCGATGAACGGATAGAAAGCTAGTGAGACATAAACACACTGTTATACCAGTTTGAAACAGTTGCCTCCATTCCAGATCATTCCTAAACAGAGCAGTATTCGCAAATGTTGTTTGTTAACCTGGTCCAAAAAGAATTGGCGGTGAGACCAGAATAAGGACAAGCCAAAAAGCCGAAATGGCTTCACACCCTATAAAAAAGGTGGATGTAAATCTGGCAAAAAGCCATTACTAAGAGTTGAAGTAGCTCATAGCACTCATAGAAATGCGGAATACGAGACATATGCACTGTTCTTAAAGTAGTTTAAATTGAGAGTTAATGTTAAGAATTGTTGTGTGTAGGGAACATGTTGACTTTCCCTGTGCCCTCGCAATTCTCTGTTGCTTGCAATTTATCTACCAACTCCTTGAGCCCGCTGAATTTCCACCCAGAAAGGGGTCTGAGCCCTCTCATTGACTCCCCGTAAGAGACAATCTCATTTCATTGTTGGCTGAATCATAAAGTATACGCTTTTAACAAATCACTAGACTTTTTCTTCACCCAGGTTTTACTACGACAACATCACTATATCTTTTGCTCATACTCATCATTGAAAGCACGGACTGGGAATGGAATCTGCGATTCATCCATCCGTTCTTTCGTCGGTGTTCTTTGGTGCTGTCTACTATCTGTTGCTTCGTGCAACTGGCGTGTCTCCGATTTTACTGCAGCGTCCTACCGGCTAGAGGCAGTACTCTTTACTTCCTCCCTATTCAACTCATTACGCTCAATATTTTTCGTCATATTGTTGTAAATTTTTATTCTTTATTTCTTAATTTAAGTAGGAATTTCTTATTAAATAATTACCTGTAGTTAAATTTATTACTCCCTTATCTCAGCTCTTATCCAGCTCTTATCTTAACTGGCTCATTCACTCACCGAAGTCAATCACCTATCACCCCCTCAGTCGGACTAGGCCAGGCCACCTGTTGCTCCGCAGGTTAGCAGAGGGAGTAACCAACTTCAGGTAGTCCAACTCATTGAATGATGCAAACAGGCAGGGTTATCCTGTCCCGTTTTGAAACATTTCCCGAGAAAAATATCCGAACCACTCATAGCGCTGTTTCGCATTATTAGCTCAGGCGGGTATTAGCTCGTATCAAGACTACATAGCGTTAGATGGCGAGGAACGGAACTAGCGGCTCAGCAAATGGTCTGATTCTAGACTAAGACAAGGATCAGTTAAATGAACAAAACGGTGCGTCGAACATTGCGGTCCGGAGCAGAGTCCCTCTGCTCTCAAAATGGAAAAGGCGTAACGGTGAGACGTCGGTCTTGGAGAGCTATTAAGATAGCTGTCTCCCGATTCTCGACGACGGCCGGCCTTCTTTCCTCGCCCCATCATTCATTTGACCTTTCCTTCAATCAGTCACTCATTTTCATCTGTAGCAACTTTGACGTTGCTTCTGTACACTCTTTTCGATCGTGTTTTGTCTCTCGACTTTCTTTGATCAGACAAGACCTACTACAACATCTGCATTCACCTATCACTCATTTTCCATCACAATGTTGAAGAACCTGGTTGTCCTGGGCAGTTTGCTCAGCCTTGCCCAAGCTGGTCCCTGTAAACCAGTCTCATTGAGCACTTCTGAAAGCGTCTCCGTGGCCTCCGCAACCTCTCTTGGTACTACGACTACCACGGCTGCCGCTTCGTTAACCACTACGTCTATTGAGATCACGAGCTCCGCCGATACTACTACAACGGAAGCTGATGCTACGACTACCACGGCCGATAAAACTACCACTACGAGTGCCGGGACCACCACCACCTCTGTTCCATCTGTCCCTACCGCATGTGCAATCGACCCTGCGTGTCCGGCCTCCGGATGGAACGTTGACTACTATGCCAACGTCTTTGAAGAGGGCTACGGCAACGACGAAATGTCGGTTCCTGCCTCATACTACATTAGTGAAGGATTGAGCCCTCTCGCTTCCTCCGTCACTGATGAGACCTACTTTGCCCAGGACTATATGTCGGATCTCGCCGGATACCCGCAAACCTTCCCCAACAGCAAGTACGCTGGCAAGGCCTACTATGTTGGCTACACACGTAAGCTTAATGGAGGCATCACTGTCGACGCCAACAGCTTCACCCTGGTTTATAAGGGCTACTACCGAGCTCCTTCAACCGGAACCTACGAGCTCTGCATCCAGGCCGACAACGCAAACACTCTCTACTTTGGCGAGGGCAATGCATTCACCTGCGGAACTGGTGAGCCTAGTGTGGATGCACCTGCTCTCGTCCTGACGGCTACTGGTTACCACTTCAACAACCCTGTCCGCTGCGGTAGTGTCTCCCTGATTGAGGGACACAACTACCCGGTGCGCAATGTCATGGGTAATAAGAACGCTGTATCTATGTTTGAGTTCACCATCAAGGCACCTGGAGACACTGCTAGGCACAATTTCGCAGGAAAGGCGTTCCCTGTTGAGTGCGGTTTTGGTGGTTGAGGAATCCACAATGAGGACGACTGGAGAGGATGTTCGGAGGACCGTAAGTGAGCGAAGGATGATGTAGTATACCGAAATAATCCACCTGTCACGATAGATAGAATCTCTCTAATATGTAATTATAATGCCTCGCTTAAGGGTTACGACTGTGTACGTGCTTGAGGGCCTCCCCGTGATCATTAAGTAGTTCCAACAACTGATTCAAGTGCCCTGCAAACGATGGGCACCTGATCATAAACAACAATAAGGCCGCACCTGGCCTCATTTTGCAAATTCTGGGCGACAGATTCAAGCAAGGCAGCCTCTCGACTCACAGCTTCTCTTTACACCCATTCCATACGAACAAGACTGCAGCTGGCTTGGCCTAGCTCAGCATGACGCCGAGCGTGACACTGTGTTGGTGAGCATCCTAGATTTATGAAGCCAAATGGGTTGAGTCTGTCTCGTTGCCTATCTGCACCTAACTCTAAGGCCATGCATCCATTGGCAATGTGCCTTAGTTGTGGCACTGGGGTACAGTCCAATAAATAGTCGTATCATGACACTGACGTTTCTACTTCCTCATGGGCTACTGCCATCCCGAATTGACCCTTTAGATATCTCCACAACGCAGCATCTGCAAAAGCAGACAGATATGCTAGTCTCTCTATAGGCTGACAGATATACGGACGATGGCATAAGGGAGCCGGACTATTACGCTAACTCACACTACCTACGGTAATAATAAGCTAGAACATCCAATTAAGTCGATAAATCAACTCAGTTGACTAGGTGTATGGTTTCTTCAATATTATATACTAATTCTATCGCAAGGCAGAAGTTGAACATTCTAGCAGAGTACCAGAACACTAGTCGAGTTTCACTTGCATCTATTACGATAACGTTGCATACCGCTGCACTTTTCAGTTATAACATATTACCGAGTCCGGACTGAGGTTTGTTGTCCGCTAGTTATAAAGCTTGGTACAGGTGTAGTCGAGTAAAATATAAATATCCATTATAGCTTCAGGCAGTTGCCTCTGTTTTAAATAATTTCAAAATAGTGCAATATTTAAATTAAAGTATTTTAAAAGAAACCCATTTATTTATTTATTTAGTATACGCTATTTTACCTATATCTAGGCCTATAGAACTCCTTCAACTAATTCAGAGAGGAAAAACCTTCTAGCTATCTAGCTATAGGATGAAAACCTCGCTGCGATTTCGCTCTGCTACCTCAAAGGTATTAATATTATGTAAAAGAATCAGCCTCAAGGCTAACCAACATCTCCCCATCCACCATCCCTACGGCAAAAAAAAGTAACCGAGAGATCAAAAAATGTGATTCCGCCCGGGCTCGAACCGGGGACCTTCTCGGTGTTAACGAGATGCCATAACCAGCTAGACCACGGAACCAACGAGCGAATGACTTCGGGGATGGAGTCGGGGCCAGGTGGAAGCCATTATGGTGCATCGTGATCCTCGAAGTTCCTGTCGAATTAATGCCTGGGGAATAGTATGCGGTGTTCCAAGACCCCAGCCTTCCGCATCTCGATAGCTCCAGACCCAACACTCTATTGCCTCTCGTCTACCGCCTGTCAAGTTTAATTGGTCCGTTCGAGCAACATTGTGGCATCATTTTGCTACCAGCTTGTTCAGCATCTAAAAAAGCCTGTGAAGATCACCCTCACAGTGTGCCCTTCACGATTAACCCTCAATACCTACTAACCTATTCTGATGGAATCCATTGGAAATTGAAGTCGTTCGGTGCGTGCGCAGAGTGGAGCTCGGTTGCTTAGTGGTAGCACTGGGCTCACGTTTAAGAAGACTCGCCCTGGTCGAGAGTGCAACTTGGCCAATGAACAGGCTATTTTCGCCATACTCGAGTGTCATCCTCCATCACCGTATATTATCCAAAGTTTCATACCGAGAAAATGATCTTTATGGAATATGCCAAGTACGTAGACCTCGCATCCTTTCTCGGGGAAGACCAGCAGAGAGACGAGTTGTCACAGCAAGTGATAGGAGTCGCCAAGAGACAATCCCAGGAGGATTGCTTCCGGTGGAAAGCAGCTTGGCGCTACTACTACGTGGCTTGAGAAGCTTGGCCTGGCCCACTGGGAAATTCGCTCTGGGAATATGCTTTTATCTCAATCTGGATATGTCAAGTTAGCGGACTTTGCCTATACTCTCAAAGACGAAGGCGGCCTAGATCGCGGCACGTAGAGAGACTGGCTGCCGGACCGAACAATTCGCCATTGGGTCGGTCTTTTGTTCATTGACCCGCGGCAACAACCCGTTTGACAACGAATGATGGGGTCCCGATCATGGTCCCATTTGTCTGTAGAAGCTACAGAAGATGGAGTTTCCCCTAGTTGGCCACTCTAAATATGATAATATTATACGGAATGGTTGACATGGCCGATAAAGGGCTATTACAGAACTGTCTGTCGATATTACAGCTTGGAATGAAAATCCCGGGAAAGCCACTTACGAAGAGGAGCAGAGCTGCCCTCTCTTACACTAAGCTATAGTAGCGACAGCCCGCTATGCCATAGGGGGTTATAGTGGGCTACGGTGAGCTGTGGTCGCTATAGCTCACTAGAACATGGGCTGCGACCACTATCGACCGCTATAAAAAAAAATTAGCGGTTATAGTGGGCTATAGGGGGTGCAGCCCTGTATTTTAGTTTCTCAAAATTTCGGAATTTGTCTTTGCGCATTGGCGCACCTTATCTGATATGCCACCAAATTGAAACCCTTGTGTCGTTGTCGACAGGTGGTTTCCTAGTCACCTCCCGCAGTAGAATATGGGTCGTGATTTGCAGCCCATCACTACCCAGCAGATGAAAAATTATATATATAATAGGAATAAAATAGGTTTTAGTTTATATTCTATAGATATCCTATAAAATTAATAATAAATTATAGCCTTTATATGTAATAGAATCCTCCTCCTCTATAGAGGTTTTTTATTTTTAGTTACCTATAGCTACCCGTGGGAAAAGAAAACAGTACTCATGTATGCCCACGGGTACCCAAATCTACGCCCTAGAAGCAAGGCGTCGGTGGAGGAAAATTTGCTAAACAATTGGAAAAAAGATAGAGACTCAGGAGGGCTAATTAATCTGAAGTTGCACTGCAGCAGCAGATCTAGCAAATAGTGCTCGACATATATATGGCGGCGTGAAGAAATTGTAAATGTGCGGAGATTTTAATTCTCTCTGCTTTATTATTAATATCGTACAGATAATCGATAATAGCAACAGAAGAGACAGTCGAGGTATCCAGGGTATATCCTAGTATTATTTTATAAGGTTCGGCCGATAATTAAAGCAGTTATAATAGAAGTTTAATAAATTGGATGATTTGAAAAGGGAGGTTACTCGTGGCGACAAGAAATATCAGTTATTCGTATATCTTATGACACGGAATAGGGTTATTGTCTTGTTGTTAGCTCCAGATAGCAAGATCATTAACTGAAGACAGCAGAATAAAGCCAGAATGATTAAATTGAAGCTAAAGGTAAAGACCGGGATGTAACAATCTTATTGTTTACCTACTATCTCTTCTCGTGCTAGATATAGAACTAAATACTTTTCTCCATAATTTACAAATCCCGTTTGGCTCTAATGTATTTGATGATATTGGCGGACCCCCAATGAAGGAATAGGAAATTCTCCATGTCAGTTTGAGGTCGTGTTGCGCTGTACGTTGGGCATTTATATGCTCTGGCTGAATCGATCTTGGACTCCATGGTCCCCTGCACTTCATGGGCTACGATGACGTTCAATAAGGGCATTGCAATCCATTTTGACAAGAAAATGTAGGTTCCTCCTGGGAATAGGTCTGGGATTGAGCCGTAGGAGGAACTCAAGAATGCATATTTTGTTTTCAATTATTGGCTATTCGTCTTTCCTTCAGCTCTGTCTCGCAGGGTCAAGCTCAACCTTGTTCTTCGTGATGGCGTCAATCTCATCCATCACCTCCGGGGTCAGCTTGTCGAGAATCTTCAGCGCGCCCACTGTCTCCTCCAGCTGCTCGGGACGACTGGCGCCGGTGATGACGCTGCTGACGTGGGGGTTCTTCAAGCACCACGCCACGGCGAGCTGGCTCTGGCTGACGCCCAGGCGGTCGGCGATGGGCTTGAGCTGGCGCACCTGCTCGATCTCCTCCTTCCAGCTGTCGGTGCCCATGCGGCCGCGCATGAAGTCGGCGAAACCATCCTTGCTGGCGCCGAACCGCAAGTCTTTGGGCGGCTGGCCGTCGATGACGTCATTGTACTTGCCGGAGAGTAGGCCCATTTTGATGGGGCTGAAAGTAGTGAGGCCCAGTCCGGTGCGCTCATACAGCCGTTGGAACTGGCCCTCCACCTTATCGCGGACCAGCATGTTGTACTGAGGCTGCTCTACGATAGGAGCAATCATCCGCAAGTCGCGGGCAATGCCGACCTAAAGTAGCGGGTTAGCATTTGTGCAACTCTTCAGAGATTAGGAAATAAAACTTACAGCCTCTGCAATCTCGTCGGCACTCCACTCGGATGTACCCCAGTATAGAGCCATTCCTTGGTCAATAACAAAGTTAAACGCCCTCACGGTTTCCTCCATCGGGGTCAACCTGTCTGGGCGATGCGCGTAGACAACATCGACGTACTTCAGCTGGAGACGCTCCAAGGAAGCCTCGAGTCCCTCAATAATATGCTTCCGTGACAAACCATGGTTGTTGACCAGGATTTCGCCATTCACCGCGCCCCAATTGATCTCTGAAGTGGTTTCAGTATGGATTCAATGCTACACGGGGACGGGACTCACTGGTGCTGATGACAAGGTCACTTCGCTTCCATCCAAAGTGCTTGAGGGCCTTGCCCATAACAATCTCTGCTTGTCCAGCAGTGTAGTTCTCTGCGGTATCAAAGAAGTTGATTCCCAGATCATAGGCCTTCTTCATGCAGGCAAATGCGTCCTCATCCTGAGCATACCCGCCGTACGTCATCCAGCTGCCAAGGCTGATGGCAGAGACATGCAGGCCCGACCGGCCAAGCCGGCGGTAGATCATGCCAGTGTTCCGAGGTTCAGACCACGCCATTGTTCAGGATGTTGACGACAGAAATTGGTGTGTTGCTGGGGTTGTGTGCGTTTCCAAGACGGGTTGTTCAACCCATGTAGAAGTTGTGAGGGCGGTAGTCTCAATCGCGGCGGGGCTCTTCGGCGGAGAAATTCTCGGAGCTTCACGACAAACGTGGGGTTACGCATGCGACCACACACCCTGTAAGAGGGTGGATATTAGCCGATGGCGCAAGAGAATTTCGGGATTGTGTCATCGGCGTGGATCTGAACGTCGATCGGCCGGTCGGGGCCGAAACTAGTTCTTCGCATCAACACGCAACCGTCTGGTCCTTTTCTGTCGCATCCCGAGGCATCGACTCGAGCAGCATGCGAGTAAGCGGAGACGGGGACCGGATCAGGTATCCCAAGTCCAGAGGTGCCCAGGATATCTGAGAGGCCTGCTCCTCCATAAATTGATATGTGGGCATGGACATGTCAGTTGACCCCGTGAGCACGTCAACAGCTTGCCAGCTCGCTTGCTGGTCGATGTTGAAGATGATGCCGTCGCTGACCATCTCCTCATTGGCAGCCTCCGTCAAGAGACCAGATTCGGATGCAGCCTCAATCTTCATGGTGAGTAAAGAGAGCAGGGTCTTGTTGCCGCCTCGAGTTGAAGAGAGAATGTCCCGTAAGCGGCGCAAGATCGGCCCAGGCTGGTCAGTTGACGCTGCTGGGTGATTGCTCGCCATTGCATCAATAACTGCCGTCGCGATCTCAAAGGTTTTGAACTCCTGGAGCCAATTAGTAAACGTTAAGTTGCTTTGGTGTGAACAAAACTTGCAAGAGTAGGACCGTGAGATTCTAGGGCTGTAGTTGGAAGTTGAGAGACAAGAGACAAAAAGTCCTTGGCAATGGTGACCGGGTTCATGGACGGAATGACGATTCCGAAGCGCAATGCAGCCCGCCATAGGACAGCCCGCATCCACTGACGGGTGACGAACATGTCGGCTCGTTGCACATCGTTGATTGGGCCCCAACCGTCGTCGCCCACCGAGTCGAGAAGTTTCTGTTGGAGGAGCTCCAGGCAACTTTGTGCGACGGAGGCCATGTTCGGCACATCGGAGTCGGCATTGCGGAGGATCTCGAAGATGCCCGACTGATCAAAGACCCAGAACAGGTGGACGAGTTTGAGAAACGCCGGGAGAACCTGGGCCTGATCATCGGTTCCTCCAAACCAGGGGAAAAGAATGTTTGGTCGCAAGACAATGGGAAGTTTGTGCAACAGTGCTACGCCACTAGGAACCTATCGTTAGTTACGAAGACTTAAAGCGGTAGTTTATACAGACCGTTCTGTGACGAATAGTAACCAGAGAACTCGTCGAGATACCTGCTGGTCTGCTTCCGAGAGCGTAGCGTAGGTCGATTCACGATCGAGGCGGAGGATCTGGGCCTGGGTAATGGCCTCCCGCAGATACACGAGAGATTTGGTACCGCCGGGAGCGGCATTCTCATGATATATGTGGAGGAAGAACGATATACGTAGTGCATCGAGGAGATCCAGCTTCTCACTCAACCCACTGGCCTCGGCTTGCTCGACGCTGGGCTGCCACGGCGTCTCTAGTCTGAGCTGAGCAACGGCGGCTAGGGCCACGGCATTTGCGAGGTGCCGTGCAGGATTGACCTGGCTAGGGGTCTCCAACAATTGCCGCTTCAAGTCAGCTGCATCAACGACGGGCCATATGGGAAACAGTCTCTCGGCATATGTGTCGAGGATGCTGATCAGATGGGGCAGCTCCTCGATGAGTGGAGTTGCCGTGGCCTTGCCCTGGTCGTCTTTGGATGGGTTGGATGGGTTAGACGGATTATTAGATAGGCCTCTGCTACTATCCAGCAACTCTCCTCGGCGCTTCCGCTGGATCTTGTCGATAGTCCTCGCCCTCAGCCCGCGCGGCCCGCGTGTGGCCTGGAGGCGGATGAAGGTGCACTCGATGCCCGAGGCCACGCAGCCGTTGCAGGGAGGAACTTCGGAGCAGCGAATCTTGCGCACCTTGCACGAGTCGCAGGCCCTCCGCGCCAACCTCGAGCGAGACCCGGTAGTGCTCCCGCTGGCACTCGCAGGCGGGAGCGGAGGCTGCTGTTCGAGCGGCGGCGGAGGCGACTTGGGAGGCGACTGGGCCATGGTCTCGGCGGCGTAGAGATTGGAGAAGGGCGTGTCCCAGCCTCGAACCGGAGTGAGACAGTCAGCTTATCGAAACGGAGGAGCACATAGCAAGAGCCACACTAACCGTCTGCCCAGTCGGTCGGTATCATAGTCTGCATTGGGGGCAATGGCGTGACGAGAGGTGACGATTTCGCCATCGCGACGGGGGGCAGCATTTACCCCATAGAAAGGCGATTGAACTCCCCGAGCTTCCCCACCTTGGCTAAACTCTTCATTTTACCCACTGTAATTACAGGGGGTCTTCAGTGGGGTTTCGCCGTTCTGGTGCCCTGGGCCCTAACTTACTGGAGCCAGTAGTTTGTACCCAACCCGTTATTGACCGCTTCAGGGTAATTGAAGAATGCGAACATGGAAGTTACCAAAGTGCCTCCTGGTTCAAGCTGTCCAAAACTACGATTCAAATAAAATGCCTTCTTCTCACAGCTGGAAGAGTACGGCGAGAGAGTCACCCGACTTTATTCTGGAGGTCAGTGGGTCGACCTAACCTCGGCTCCCCGCAACTTGGAAGCGTACTCCCCGAGTAAATCTGGGGATGGAGGAACAGCGCCCACACACCACAAGATCAGAGAACAAAATCAGAGTCGAAAGACATTCATGTCAATTTTTTTACAAATCCCATAATTTTGTGCTTAATATTCATTCTGTCATGTCACATTGTCCTATTCTTTACAGTTCATTTCCATTAAATACCCAAAGCCTCTCGGCGACCCTTGCTCTGGATATCCAGATAAGGCGCCTCGCCCAAGCTGCAGACCCTGTCACCTGCGCGAGCCGCTTCGTAGTCATACGTAGCGCAGTGGAAAGTCGACCGGTTATCCCAGATGGCACAGTCATTCTTGCTCCAGCGGTACCTCACCTGCGCGTCGTGGTTCTGCGTCACCAGGTTGAAGAGGTAGTTGAGCAGCACGTCGCTCTCGTCTTTGGAGACGCCGTTGATGCGCTTGGTGAAGCCCCGGTTGACAAACACCGACTTCCAACCTGTTACGGGGTTGGTTCTGATGATGGGGTGGATGGCTGTGAGGTTGCCGCCCTGGTTCAGCGGCGAGCCGCGGACGCCCTTGCGGAGAGGGTTTCCGAGACGGGCGGCCTCGTCGTGGAAGAAGGAGGCATCGTGCGTAGCAGTCAGGCCTTCGAAGAGTTGCTGCATTGGCTGTGAAAGGCGGTCATAAATCTCATAACCAGAAGCCCAGAGCTGCACAGAGCCATATTAGTCGCACATCTAAGAGCAAGCCCGACTATCAGTAAGACGCTTACAGTATCGCCTCCCGTAGCAGGGAGGGTGTGGATCTTGAGCATGGCGTAATCTGAGGGGACCTTCTCAAAGGTGCTGTAGTTTCGAGTTAGCCAAGGCTCAACTCGCCGGGGAGATCTGTAGGACTTGGCCATGCAGATGCAGCCGGGGCTCGTACATGTCGCTGTGCCATCCAGCACTGGCAAAGCGGCTGACGTCGCTCAATTGATGGGTCAAGCCGCCGCCCTTCTTCTGCTTCTCGCTCGAAATGACGCTGATCTGGTCGCCAAGCTCGCTGCCCTCCTCGGTCAGAGGGTGCACATGCAGATCCGAGCTGGCGGGACAGCCGCCCAATTCGGTGAGCCGCAGCATGAACTCCTTCATCTCGCCGGGGGTCACGTCCTGGTCCTTGAGGAAGACGACGCCGCGCTGGGAGACGGTCACGGCGAGGTCTCGGATCAGGCGCTCGTCCCACCGCAGGAGATCCCGGATCTGGAGCCCGGTGAACTCCCGCCCAATGACGGGCGTCACGTCGGCCTGCTTGATGTCATCCAGGCTGCCCGTGTAAGTCAGCGGCTGCGAGATGCGCGGGCGGCTGTCAGGGTGGCCTCCGACGATGTTGTTGTCGGCGACAGTAGCCTCCTGCTGGGTGGCTGCGACAGACGGCATCTTGAATGGTGGAATCAATTGGAGTCAATTCACAAAAGGGTATGGTGATAACGTCAACGCTCGGTGTCTCTTCTCGGACGTCTGTGAGGCTCTGTTGGTGGACCGGGCTGTCTCAATCTTGCAGCAAAAAGGGTAATAGAGTAGTGGTATAATAGCTACAACGGGCAACACTTCAAGAGCAGGCTATTCCCGGAGGGCACCATGGACCGTTAAATGCGTCCGGCGACATCGAATCACGGCGCGCAGCAAAGGCGACATCGGGACTAAATATGGCATGCGTAACTCCCGGGAACAGACGGAGAAATTCTCGGAGTCGTGACGCCAGACGACGCCAGCAACGTTAGGCGGCGCTATCCCCACAGTCCCAAGCCGGCAGGTCACGATCCACACCACGCGGAGCTCGCTGGGTTGAGAGAGCCAATACGAGGGCCTCATCTGAGATGATCGAGCCAGGGCCGGACGCCTTGTGGTGGCATTGCGCCGGGGTATGCCAGGCCAGTGGCAAGCCCGTCAAAAGGCTTACTCGGGTGAGTCGACTCTGGGACGTCTGGCCGGGAAGCCCTGATTCATTCCATCTCAAGCTGAGCCATATGCACACATCTGCGTAACTCGCTTGGGAGAGAGCCGGGGGTATTACCGCACGCACCCTCGACCGAGCAATGAGCCATGGCCAGAATTGGGTTTTCATGCCTTCCATGGCGTGCCCCGTCGTGCCACACCCCGTTCTCCGGCGCGCCGGCACGACCCAGACGGAGCATCTCCCCGGATGGCGAGCTCACCGCGCCAGACCTTGGGGACTATATATCTCGACATCAACTCCCCGAGTTTGAGCTGTGGCCATAGCAGTCGCTGTCTCATCCTCGTCGGCCTTCTCGATTACTCACCGGTTGAACGCCGCTCTTGAGAAAGCATTCACCCGTCAATTGCACTCTTCAGCCACAATGGGCTCTGCAGACATCGAATCCAGCCTGGCGACGGCGGTGCGGACGTCCTCCGACATCGACAAGACGTCGGTTGGCGTTGGCCGTACCGAGCTTCACACAGCGCTGCCGCCTCACGCCTCGTACGAAGGCGCCCACCGCTTCGACCCCGCGGCCGAATGGACTCCCGAGGAGGAGAGGGCCATTGTCCGAAAAACGGATATCCGTCTCCTGAGCTGGCTCTGCCTGATGGTATGTCTTCTCATGCACGACCCCGCGTCTGCTGCATTCCCCGCTGTCGATCAGTTACACTAACAGGGATCGCCAGTTCTTCGGACTGCAACTTGACCGTGGCAATCTCAGCAATGCCCTGGCGGATAACCTGCTGGAGGACTTGGGCCTTACTACTGATGATTACAACAACGTTCGTCCTGGAAAAAATGACAATACGTCCATTCCGATATCCTAACTGTGCTCCAGGGAACCACCATCCAGCTCCTCTGTTTCCTGACGGCAGAATTCCCCGTTCAGTTCCTGACCAAGAGATTCGGATTCAAGAATGTCTTGCCCACGGTATGTACTTCAAAATTCCATGTCCTCAATTGACAGGCATGAACAAATGCTAATATTCCGGCCCAGCTCATGTGCTGTTGGGGAATTGTTTGTAAGTGGAGCCAGAATCATGACTTCAAAGGTCAAACTCGGGACTAACCAGCGTGTACAGCTACCTTCCAGGCCTTCATGAAGGACAGGACCTCCTTCTACATCACCCGCGCCTTCATCGGTCTCTTTGAGGGTGGTTTCATCCCCGGTGTCATTCTCATGGCAACCTACTTCTACACGTCCAAGGAGCTCTCCATTCGCCTGGCTGCCTTCTGGTCGACCCTAAACATCGCAAGTAAGTAGAAACGCAGGTTCTTGACCTCAAAATGAACATTTACTCATACCATTTCCCAGGAGTCATCTCTGCCTTGCTGGCTGCTGGTTTCCTGGAGATGAGAGGCGTTGGTGGCCACCCCGGATGGTTCTGGCTCCTCCTTCTCGAAGGTCTCCTTACCACCATCATCGGCCTTCTGTCAATGGCCTACCTGCCCAGCTCCCCAACCGGAACCAAGTCTCTCATCTGGCGCAACTCTTGGTACACCGAGCGAGAGGAGGTCATCATGGTCAACCGCATTCTGCGCGACGACCCTGCCAAGGGCCTCACTGCGCTCAAGGAGCCTGCCACCTGGGCTGATGTCAAGGGTGCCTGGACCGATCCCTCTCTCTGGGGCCTGTACCTGATCGGCCTCATTGCCTACATTCCCGCTACTCCTGTCACGGCCTACTTGACTTTGACCCTGAAGCGAGTCGGAAAGTTCAGCACTCTCGCCAGTAATCTCCTCACCGCGCCGTCTGCTGCTCTGCAAATCATCACCATGTTGAGCTTGGCGTACAGCTCCGAGTACTTCAACGAGCGCTCTTTCCACTGTCTTTTCGGAGAGCTCTGGTCGATCCCCTTGTTCACGGCGCTGCTCACGATCCCCGACGAAGGCCGCGAATGGGGCAGGTTCTCCATCATCACTCTCATCTCCGGTTACCCTTACTTCCACCCTCTCGTCAGTTCTTGGATCTCGGAGAACTCCTTCGATGTCAAGAAGCGAGCCATTGCTGCTGCGACTTACAACGTCATTGTGCAAATGTATGTACAAATATTGTATCCGACATGATGATGTGTCATTTGCTAACTTGCTGTGTAGGGGAAGCGTTGTTGGTAACCAGATCTACCGAAAATGGGACGCGCCGTATTACAAGACCGGCAACAAAGTGTGCATCTCAATCCTGTCTCTCGCCATTGTTGTCTTCCTCGGCCAGCGCCAGTGGCTCATCCGACTGAACAAGAAGAAGGAGGAGGAGTGGAGCAAGTTGACGCCAGAGCAGAAGGTTGAGTACCAGACCGACAAGGAAGCCCGAGAGAAGGATGGCAACAAGCGACTCGATTTCCGATTTGCCTACTGAGCTCGATAGCCTGTCTGGTTTAGTTGGTAATATCTGCCGAGGTCCTCTAATGGGCGACTGTCAAAAAAATACCCTTCATCGTCACACATCGTTTATATAGGCCCCTAATCATACATAGCCCTTTGTGGGCCCCTCTCCTGAATGTTCATATTTTGTTCTAAGATGGCCATGTCCGTAATGACTATATGCTTGGCCAAATGCCTTTCATAACAAGAAACTGTACCATGTATCGCACGACTATGGGGTGTTTGCTGTTTGCTGTTTGCGCTGTTTGCACACATTGTCCAACGTGTGACCTTACGCAGGCCCCCATCAATCAAGGTGTGCAGAGCGAGTAACAATGCCACCATGCAGTAGCAAACACGAGCGGATGTTACCCAGCTTTCTATCGACATGTCTTGTGTCACATCAACAGGTCAGAGCGGTCGTGGCCATCTAGCTAGCCACACTACACTTCCTCCTCTGTCATTGCGAAAGGCCATTTTCGCCCAAATGAGACGTTTCGGATAGTATCCAAGGGCCGTAGCATAAGAGAAAGTCCGCGAATGGTTGATGCAGACTTAGCGACCGAAGATGCAGCTGTAGGTTAATCCGCGCCGTTCCGTTCCTCCGTGATGTCGCACGCGCCCGCGTCGTCTAGCGGTTCCTTCGCGACACCACATCAACTGCGGCTGTTGTAGAACGTTTCTCACTCACGGTGCGACGAAAATTATTTTAAAAGCGCCAAGCATTACTTCTTCCCTCAGCTCCTCGATTTTGTTTATAAAGGCGCATTCCTGTCGCCATGCGGAAGATACCCTCGCTCAAAACTTATTTCGACGAGATAGAAGAGACGAACGGCGATGATGAATGCAGGGCCTGGTTGAACAAGGCTTTCGACGCCAAGGTTGAACTGGCAACATTTGTTGCTGCTCGTTGAGGAAGAGGTAAAGCCACAGAGTACGTTGGTTTCCTCAAGGGTTCCTTCAACTTCAGCTTCCGTTTCAAGTTCGACGATGGAGGGCCAGATGCCATTATCCGTTTCCCAAAGCCAGGACACACAGCTACGGCTCTAAGGGATGAGAAGGTCGCGAACGAGGTCCAAGTCATGGAATATCTCAGTCAAAATACCACGATCCCTGTCCCTCGTGTTCACAGTTGGGGTTTCACTTCCGAGAGCCCGCAGCAGTTCGGTCCGTTTATCATTATGGACTACGTCGAGGGGACGCTCATGTCGACGGTCCTAAAGCAACCGATGGAAAGCAATCAAGAAGACATGGTCTTGGACCCAAGCATCGATAACTCAATGTTGAACAAAATCTACCGTCAAATTGCCGATTACCTTGTTCAGCTTTCTCAACTTACGTTCACCCACATCGGAGCCATCTCGAAAGACGGCAAAATGTGGTCCGTTACGAAAAGACCGCTGACGTATAATATGAATGAGTTGGCGACTGTCGCGGGCTATCCAAGTGACCTCTTCCCGTCCTCAACCTTCGATCGTGCCAGCGCCTACCTCAAGTCAGTTGCGCATAAGCATCTGGCCCACCTTTGGACTCAGCGTAACCTTGCAGATAACTCGGATATTGCACAGGCACGGTTTATTACCCGACATCGCTTTGTCCAGCTTATCCCAAAATACTGCATCGACGACGCTGGGCCATTTATACCATTCTGCGACGATCTACGGCCTTCTAAGATGCTTGTTCACCCGGAGACGCTTCAAATCACAGCGGTGCTCGACTTTGAGTTTACAAACGCCATGCCAGCACAGTTCACGTACGACCCGCCTTGGTGGCTATTGTTGTCTGGCCCAGAAGTGTGGCTGGATCGCGGTTCCATAGACGAATTCCGGGACCGTTATGAGCCCAGAATGGAGCAGTTCCTGCAAGCGATGGAACTAGTAGAAGGCATGTCGGTCCCGGAAGGGCACTAACTCACTGAACCTCGTCTCTCTACTCGGATGCGTGACTCGTGGAGGTCTGGTCGCTTCTGGTTCAATTACGCAGCCAAAAAAAGCTTCGAGCTGGATGCCATCTATTGGGCGGCACTGCATGACGGGGGCGGCATTGAGTTACTTGACGACGAGACTCACGCAGAGATGGAGCCTTTCATAGAGAAGAAGATGGAGCAGCTGAGGGCGTACAAGGAGGAGTGTGCTGCTCGATTCTCCAAGCAAGCTGATGAATGAAGCTTTCTGTTTTTACTTGTAATCATCCCTAAATGTCTTGGAAACACGATTTTAAGGAATATTGTCCAATACCGCGCTTCTCTTCGAGGCGGTCGTGAGCGAGAGAAGACGTTTCAGGCCTGTATTGCCTGTCTACTACAGTGGGACAGTCCCTAGACCCGCTATAATGAATTAAGGTATTAGGGACCCAATGCTAAAAGGTTATCAATTCTAGTGGCTGCCCGACCGACAACCTCGGCTGGCTCTCCACACTCCACCCCCTGCAGTCCACAGTCCACGAACCAGCCCAAAACCGGGCGACAGAAGCGCAAATTCTCGGACAGTTTATCCAGACTTGGGCGGACGCCGCGAGTCATCCATCGCTTGAGAAAACTCAATTCGAAAGAGAACTAGCCTGGAAAGCCTTCGGGTCTGATTCTCGTATTCCTCGCATCATTATTTCTCCGCCCTTTTACACGGACCTCTGAATGGTTTCGTCCTGCCTAGGCTGGGTAGCTTGCTTGTGATGCAGCCAGCTAGCTTCAAACATATCGAAAACTGCTCACTCATCCGGCGCTCACCTTCACCATATCTTTGCTCATACATCACTGCAAACCCTTCGTCTTCCACCTCATCTCCAATCAACCATGGGCTTCCTCGGACAAATCGCCAGCGGCGGCGTCGGCGCCCTGCACACCTACATCCTGGTGCTCGAGATGTTCCTCTGGACGACTCCCCGCGGCCGCAAAGCCTTCAAGCTGACGCCCGAATTCGCCGAGAAGACCAAGACGATGGCCGCCAACCAGGGTCTCTACAACGGCTTCCTCGCGGCCGGACTGCTCTGGGGCCTGGTCCATCCCAATCCCGAGTTTGCGTCGCAGATCCAGGTCTTCTTCCTCGGCTGCGTCCAGGTTGCTGGTCTCTATGGCGGCCTAACGGTTGGTCCTCGCATCATGCTCATCCAGACTGTCCCGGCCGCCATCGCCACTGGCCTCGTTCTCCTGGGTCTTTAAATGTTTTGACGGGTTCTGGAGGCAGTTCAAGCTGTGGGTGCGGCTTCACGAAATCAGAGCAAGTGAGCCTCACTGAGCAAGGAGCGGTTACGTGTAATGTCTACTCTATCGAGGCAAATGTTTTTTCTACACTCAATCTAAATCTTTCCGACCGGACACCATTTTGTTGTGACAAAGCCATAAATCACATCAGTTACCATGACACCATCTCATTCCAATTCCATCACCTCAAAGACCTCCCCAGCCACGTCGCGATTGCGCAGGGCCTGGATCCCACAGATGGTCGTGCCGAACCGCACCCCGTCGCCAATAGCAGAAGTCATGCAGACAACGAAGCCAGATGCGCGCCCATGTGAGAATAATATCTCAGAACCTGTGTCTCCCTGCGCGACAGATCCCCATCTCGTACTTGTCAACCCGTTCTCCGACGTCATCTGGATCGCCTTGACCCAGTCACGCTCGTTCCACCACACGCGCAATGATCTCACTTTGGACCCTCCCAAGTGCCATGTGTCTTGCCCATATTCTCCCCGGTCAGACCTGCCCCGACAGCTGTCCGGTGTCCATCTGTCCGGAGGCAAGGGGAAGGATCTTGGACCAAGAGTAATGTCGTGTCCGTCCGCGTACTTGAAGACCATGGAAACGATTGGCATCTTGGGGAAAGCGCCCCATTGATACAGAATCACCCCAACGCTTTCCAGAGGCTTTTCGCAGTCCAGCCAGGATAGCGAGGGGATATGATCTGATGTCGGAATGTTGTCCCCATAGTCGGGCGCCCAGCCGTAGGCCGGTCCAACACGACGTTTCGATTCCGGTAATTCCTTTGGCTCCCAATACAGCACGTTTCCATCCCATAGACTACCTTCATCTATATCCGGATCACATGCGGGGTCGGGTACGAAAAGAGGGTGAATATCATCGGCAGTAGATCCGTCACTCCAGCGACAAAAAAGGCCAACCAATGCGGTGCCCTGCGGCCTCATCGATTCCGAATGCTTGTGGACTGTCTTCATTTCGGTTGGCCATCCGAGGACCAACTGGCGATCATTGCTTGTGACGAAGCGCATGCCTGGTGAATTGCCGCCAGTCTGCCAAGACATGAAGACGATTCGTTCACCTCCCCGCCCATCGATTAACATAGTCTTCAAGGCACTGCCCTTCGACCCAATGGCTCTAGATGAACCATCGGCATAGTTGATTTGGAACCTTCGCAACCCGACATCGCCAGATATGGCAACGATGTTTTCGAGCCGCTGTTCGGAGTCTCCGAAGAAGAACATCTCCATGGGGCGAAGGTCCATGCTCCGGTGCCATGCTGCAGGCGTCGACACGTAGCTTTCAACATTGGGCGGCGGAAGTCGGTTCTTCCACAGGCACTGGGTGGCCAGTTCGCTGTAGGGACCATAGTGTTTGCCCAGAAGACGATCGTGTGCCAACTCCGGCGCCTTGTAAATCGGCTGTTGCAGGACAGCCAGGTTCTCCAAGACGCCCGTGTCCGCTGAGATGCGAAGGAAGAAGCCAACAACGAAGTGGTCGGGGTACACGTGTATGAGGCGCTGATCTCCCTCGGACTGGCCATGTTGGACGGGGTTATGGGCGGTATAGAGACTCTGGAGCCCGACGATTCTGCGACTGGCAGGTCCCCCACGCGTACCACTACCCCGAGTAGTCACGACGAAGCCAGTCAGCCAATCGTTGGGTGGAATCCGCAGTAGTTCTCGGCGATGGAGTAACCCCACAGGCTCCGAGGGGTCCTCGACGACACCCAGCCCTACAAGATCCCCAGAGGGTGACCAAGTAACCGAGAAGATTGGCTCCTTGTAGTGTAACTCATTGTAGCTGTCGATGAGGCTCACAGTCACTGAAGTTATTTCCCGAGGTTCCGGGAGGGTCATTCGCGGCATGAATGATGATATGGCGTCAATCACCGTGTCCGGGGGTGCTGTTCCATCCCGGTGTTTTTCTTCCAGGAGAGCGAGATAGTCTGTGGCGATGCCACGGCACAGACTCCATATCCGCTTCCTGTTCGCAAGGGTATTGTGCCTGCGAGGGTGGCGGAGGGTGGCACTCTGCTGCAGCTGCGTGTACATGACCTTCCAGTCGGCGAGATAACTCGGGCCATCCTCTTCAAGCAGGGGAAGGTCGTAGATCCAGGGCATGTCGTTCCGAATCATTGTCTTCCAGAAGCGGTTGTTCAGGACAACTCGGGCGGCTGGCCTGGAGGCAGCTCTCAAACTGCAGACCGAGCGTCCGTCGAGGTTCTCCATGATCCGAAGGAGGAGTTCGGGTGCCAACTTGGCGAAGCCGTCTGGGCACCCGGTGGCTTCCTTCATGGGTATGGTGCTTGGGAGTAGCTTTGTCGAAGGTGGACGGGTCAAGGAACGGTAGTGGCGCTCGGCTTTCAAAGTCGAGGCAGGTGACGATTCAAAGGTGTCGAAGCCGTCGATGTGGCGTTGCCTTGACCACATTTCCATGTACTGTCGGATGGGTCCGTAGTCCATCTGCAACGAGTTCGACCGTGTATTCCCAAATCGAAGGCGTGACTTGAAGACTCTGTAGAGCACCTCCAGGTCGATGGGACGGTCCGCCAGGACTCTGGTCAAGACTTCGTAGCAGTCTGCATGGACTGGGACGAACAGCTGCTGTGTCTTGGACCAACAATACCTGGTCGAGGGGGAGGTGTTAGAAGATGCATGTAGTGTAAGATGGATGGAGCTTCCTCACGTGGTAAAGATGGCTTCCTCGAAGCCGGGGAACCGAGGATCATCGCCGGGTTCGACGATGAAGTCCTTATACTCCAAGGCTCTCGCGCGGCCGGAGAAGAAGACCCTGTAAGCAAGTCAGTGTATGTCTATGAGGAAGTGGTCAGGAGCGATGGCGTACCTGTCAGAACAGGCCGAGTTGACGTTTTCCCCGATGATCCTCACGTCGCCAGACCACGAGGTACTGCTGAAGGGGGGGTCCTCGAGGTTGAAGTTTGCATGGTCGTGGTTGAGGTGGGAGGGATCTCGGGCGAGGGCACCGCACAGGGCGCAATAAGCATAGTACGAAGCCATAGTAACGTACGAAAGTCGGGACAAAGTTGGTTTGTCTCTGGATAATGCGTCTAGAATCAGGAATGAAGAGTTTGAAAAGAAGAGAAGATAGGGAAACGGGCAGAAGGGGGGGGGAGCAGCGTAATATATCGCCCACCGCCTCCCCGCACATGCTGCGTGTCAGAGACATCTGCCTGCAAGGTGAGGCTGGAGGCGTACTTGAATGGATGAGATTCTGCCGTTTGTGTGTTTGCGGCTTGGCTCGTATGCAGGCCGGAGCTGCTTGACTGAGAGACGGAGCTGCTTGGTTGAGAGAAGAAGTGGCTTGGAACAGGTCCAATAAGGACATGCCTTGTCGAAAAAGCAATCACGGATACGGAAACTTCCAAGTTTCGGTGTGTTTCCGTCCGTTCTCCTCCCATCAGAGTCCTCCATCATCATGCTGCTTGCTCACCTCCCGTCAGAGCTGCTGGTCCTTATCGGCCAGTTCTGCGGCCGCTCGGCGCAGAACGAGCTCACCCGAGTCAATCACCAGTTCCACGACGTCTTCAATCCCGTCCTCTACCGCCAAAACCGTCTCCACGATCCTCCAGCCGAGTCTTGCATCTTTTGGGCCGCTCGCAACGGCCGCCTGGACACGCTGAGGGTCGCAGTCGCACACGGCGCCGACATGAACGACAACGGCGTCAGAAGCGAAGACGACTGGACGAGGCCATCGCCAAGCCCTCACTTCGACCCGAGGCCGGTTTTTGCCTCCCCATTGCATCTCGCAATATATCACCGCCACGCGGACATCATCGCCTGGCTCCTCGACAATAACGCCGATTTCAACACGCCATCGCGGAATGTGTGCCTCTGCTACTCGTCATCCGCCAACGGCATCTTCTGCGCGTATCCCCTCCACACGGCCATATGCAGCGGCGATGAACCCACCGTCCGGCTCCTCCTAAGTCGAGGAGCAGTCATGTCGACCAGGACACTGTCGGCGCTTTTCTGCGGCATCCGCAACGGCTGCCTCCCCGTTGTCGATGCCTTTATCCAGCAGCCAGACTTTGACCCGAACGCGGAAATACAAGGAATGACACCGCTTCACCATGCCGCTCTCTGTAGAGAAGGCCACGTCGCTCAAGAGGTGGTCCACCGGCTGGTTGATCGAGGTGTACCCGTCGACGCGGTATCAAACGACATTCCTCCTCTCGCCGTCGCCGTCTCTCGTCGACACTTCAACGTCGTGCTCGCACTCATCGATCGTGGCGCCGATACCTCTCCGCTTTTTGCCTTCGACATTGACGCCAGCGCGCTACATTGGTTCCTCAAATACGACTACTTGGGTCCTCGGGTCCCAACCCTCAGCCCATACACAAGAGAAGAGCGCAGGCAAAAGATACGGGAGAGCGAACAGGCCCGCGCAGGGGTGGTGTCGAGATTGATCGCCCTTGGTGCGGATCTGGAGGTCAAGGGCGATCCCCAGAGGTTCCACGGCACGCCCTTGTACTATGCTGCGGCATATGCAATAGATCCCGTGTGTGTCAAGATCCTGCTCGAAGCTGGGGCTCGAGTCGACGCGACAGTGGATTACGAAGTGCACCGTGGATGCCCAGATGAAGAAAGACAAACCCACACGATACTCTACGGTATCCTCCGCGTCATGTTTGCACCATCCATCATGCCGAGAAGGGGGAGAGATTTCCAACGATCCACGGACGCCATACGTCTATTGCTTCAACACGGCGCACGCTTGGATCCCGTTGGTATAGAGGAGTCAGCTCTGGAGCTCGCATGCCGAACTCGGGAATTTCACGACACTGGGGTATTGGAGCGTATGGTCAACAACTCGTCCGCCAGAAATACTTCTTTGGACCACATAGAAGAGGTTTTGCAGGCGTGCGGGACTGGTGATCGATACGTCGTCACTCTCCTCCGGCAGATGCACGAGAGGGTGCGCAAGACGACGGTCGCTGAGTAATTAGGGAATGTGTGCAGTAGGGCAAATGCCTAGCCAGCCGCACATTAGACAAGATCGGCAAAACAGGACGTAGGAGATAACAAAGGTGAAGGGAATGGATTGAATGCAAACCCATGCAGGTAATACTAATTTAACGGGAGTCACAGTGGAGTTTTGGCTGTCATGCAAACATGGTCCCTCGGCCTCTTTCGCGATCATCAAATTACCATGCCAGCAAGGATTCGTCAAATTCGCTCAATATTGTCATTTAAATAAAACTAAACCCGCTATATATCGACGCTCGCCTCAAACACGCAAAGTCGTAATTCATTCGTTTCAAGCAGCCAAGGCAGCCGCAGCCTTGGCCACAATCTTCTCGCAAAGCGCAATCAGGCTCTGCGCATTGGTGATCTCCAGCGTCGACAGCTCCACGCTCAACGTAGTACGGGCCCAGTTGCGGAACTCGACCGCCACCAGCGAGTCGAGACCGTAAATGCTCATCGGCCGGCTCGGCTCCATGGGTTCGGCGAGGCGGAGCAGCTTGGTGAACTTGGCGTTTGCGAGCTCCACGGCAGCCGTAAGGAGCGCGTTCGGGTCGGTTCCCTTGGTCTTGATCAAGAGCAGGAACGTCTGCAGCTCCTTGTCATCTCGGTCACCGGACTTGGCTCCATCGCCCTCCTTTCCAGTAGTGATGTGAAGGCCAGTAAAGCGGGCATCGCGGAACAGTTCAGTGTCTCCAGGCAAGGGGATTTGCATGCCGGTGATCATCTGAGTAACACTGGCCGGGCTAGGCTGGCGAGTGACGTCCAGGTCCTGCTGGAACACCGAGAACTCAAAGATGCGACGAAGCTTGGCCTCGTTGATTGGGGCCCAAGTATCCAGGTTGCGAGTAAGTTGCTTGTGCACGTCATCGTGGTCGGCCAGGTAGCCAATGCCCTCGATGATGCCCAAGTTAACGGTTGTCGCAGGCAGTCCCAGGGTATCGCGACGGTAGACCGCCAGAGAGTCGAGGAATGTGTTTCCACCAGAGTAGTTGGTCTGTCCCTTCTGGCCAATGATGCCAGAGATGGACGACAGCATAGTGAAGAAGGAAAGTGGCAGGTTGAGCTCCTGGGACACAGTATGAAGGTTCCAGGTTCCCTGGACCTTGCAGGCAAGTGCCTCGTGATACTCTTGATGTGTCATGGAGTCGAACATGCGATCCTATTTGCAAATTAGCGATTGGTCTTGCGGTGCATGTGCAAGACTGTGCGTTGTCAAAAGTAACTTACCCGAAGAACCATAGCACCCTGAACAATACCGCCGATGGGCACAACTGTTGACTTCAAGCAACGCCGCACGTCTTCAGTATCCGCAACATCTCCTTTGAGAAGTTCTACGGCGCATCCCTGAGCTTCAATATCCTTGATGACTCCAAGCGATTTCTCGTCAGCGGAGCCGCTTCGGGACATGATAGCCAGGTGCTTGGCTCCGTTCTTAGCAAGCCAGATAGCCAGGCTTCCGCAGAGGCCCTTTAGACCTCCGACGACGAGGTACGAGTGTTCTGGGTTCAAAGCCTTCTCAAGACTACGCTTGGGGGGTTGGACCTAGAATATTGTCAGCGTTTGCCGACAGAAAAGTCGATGCATAACCTACCGTGACTTGGGCCGCCTCCTTCTCCCCGTTCGAGATGATCAGCTTTCCGATGTGTTTTCCACTTCCGAGGAATCGGAATGCATCTCCAATCTCCTCAAATGAGAAGACCTTGATGGGGTTGATGGGTTTCATGTGGCCTTGCTGGACGAGCTCAGACAGAAGATCCAGATGCCTACCTCAGTGTTAGCGCTAAAGCGGGAGACGTATGAGTTCACAGGACACTTACTCTCCAACAACTCTCTTGGGGAATTCCTTCAACGAGAGATCCAGGGCGCGGAACGAGGCATTTCGGCCGAAAGGCTCCATCGGCAGAGAGCGGCGTTCGAGGATGTCGTGCTTGCCAATCTCAACCATCGTGCCAGCAGTCGCAATAATGCGCCAGCTTTCCTCCAGAAGCTCTCCGGTGAGGGAGTTGAGAATAACATCAACACCATAGCCGTTGGTTGCGTCTAGAATCTGCTTGGCAAACTTGGTGCTTCTCGACGAGAAGATGTGGTCATCGGGGATTCCGAAAGAGTCCTTGAGGAACTGGCGCTTGTCCTCAGATCCAACAGTTGCGAAAACCTAGGTAAGTAATGTCAGCAATCACATTTTAAACTAAATCATCCACGACTGAGGGCATTCAGGTACATACCTCGCACTCCTTGTACTTGCACAGCTGGATGCTTGAGATACCAATTCCACCAGCGGCAGAGTGGATCAGAACCTTCTGTCCACGTCGGAGGTTTGCAAGACCAAATAGCGACTCCATACTGGTGACAAACACCAGAGGCATGGTGGCACCTTCTTCAAAGGACATGCTATCCGGGATAGTCATGGTGTACTCTCGAGGAGTGATGACACGGTTTGCAAGCGTACCCCTCTCCAGGACAGCAACACGCTGGCCAACGTGTCTATCAGTGACACCAGGACCGACTCGGGTGACGATACCGGCACCGTCAAGACCAAGGAGGTGCTCATTCTCGGGAATGATACCCATAGCCACGATGACATCCTTGAAGTTGAGACTGGAAGCATAAATCTCTACCTCCAGGAAGCCAGGCTCGAGTTCTGTAGCCTCGCTAGAGCCAATCTCTGTCCAATGCAGTGAGTCGATGTCACCACGCTTTCCAGTAATGAGTCGAATAGTGGACTTGGAAGCGTGAAGATCAACAGTGCGAGTAGACGCTCTGTCGCCTTCAACTTGGGCCGAATGGAGACCTTCGTCAGGGAGAATTCGAGGGATGTAGAGAATACCACCACGCTCGACGAACTCAAAGTCATTGCTCTCCTGGTTAGGCTTATTCTGAGCCAACTGAAGGAGGGTGTCGACCGCCGCAACCGTGTTGGGGAGCCCTTCAGCTTCACTGGATTCTACATCGAGAGTAATGATGTTGAGGAGAGGCTCCTCGGACCGAACACTTCTGAACACGCCCTGTGCGACCGAAGCCTGAGGGTTCTTGACAGCCATCTGGGCGCCTTGGGTCACCCAGAGAATGTTGCACTCCTTTCGGACAAGCTCTTTAACCGTACTCCACTGGGAATCCGTGACAGTTGTCAGAAGAGGCTGGGCCAGCTCATCAATAACGAGGACAGTGCTCTTGTGCTGAACAGCCTCGACGGAAGAGGCATGCTCCGTGAGAGACCAGCCAAGCTCACTCAGAGACTTGGCCGCAAGAGAGGTAATTTCCGAGGTTTCAGAAAGACGAACCAGGGCAATTGCACCTCGCTGAGCATCCTCTAATGCAGACTTGGAAGCGACAACTGCGACATCCTTGCCCTCACTGGGGATAGTCCGAATGCTCTTGAAGCCGGACTTTTCAAGAGAAACTGAGATATCGACAGTGGTTTCTTCAACGTGATTTCCGTTGGTCTCTCCATTGGTCTCTCCGTTCACGTGGGCGGTGGTTGTTTCGACCTCGCCGTTAGTGAGTTCCTTGGCATCGCCATTGACTTCGCCATTCAATTGAGTCTCAAAGTTCTCTGAACCTTGGATGAACAGCATACTTCCACTCTCTGCAACATGCTTATCGATGTTTGCAATGAGAATGTCAACCTTGGCACTAGGGGTGGGAGGCAGCTTCACGATAACGAGATCATACACCTCAGGTGATGGCTCAAAGTCCACTGAGGTGGGGTCGAGGAGAGTGAACTTGGCATTAGCAGACCCAGCATACTGATTCTCAGCTTCAAGGACAGCATCGGGGTACTTGCTAATCAGTTGGTAGGCTCTGCAGGCCGCACGGGTCGCGTGCTTCGACCCGGGCTTCTCAAGCCACAAGCTGGAAGTATCGTTGGGGGTCAGGTTGACCTCCAACACGGCAAGATGAGGCTTCTTGTGAGCAGCAAAATCAATAACACTGTGAACAGAGGAGCTCTGTTTGATTTTTCTGGCCTCAATAGCAGTGCTAAGTTTACCAGCTTCACGCAGGTAGCTAAAATCAGGCTTCCACTCCAAGCGGGTGTAAGGATAAGGCTCTGAAGAAGCATTCTGCGTCTCAAGACGGTGATATCGTAGGCCCTTCATATCGAAAATAGCATCACCGGTCGTGGGGTTGTACACGGAAGCGTAGGAAGAGTAATGGATCTTATCTTCGAGGCGTCCTCGGCCGAGGTACTTGGCGGAAGAGATTGAGAGGCCAACCTCGGGGAGCTGACCCTCTGGGAATGCAGAGATGCACAGACTATCCACGCTGGCCGGGATCAGAAGGGAATCGACGGCGCTGCGGTCTCCGTGCCACAGAGATGGTGACACAGTCTGGAAGCAGCCATCCATGACTACCGGGTGGAGAGGGTAGTACGACTGCTTCCACTTGGAGGAAGGCGATGTCAAGTTGACCAATGATCGACTCTTCGGCTGGCCCAAGGTAACCTCCACTTCGACTTGCTTCTGGAAAGATGGACCAAATCCATACCCAGCATCCGCCATAGAGCCGTACCACAGCTTAGCAGGGGCGGTGTGCTTCAAGGGAAGCATCAAGCTCTCAGGGTCCGCTGGAGGGTTCTTGAAAAGTCCCTTATTGAGTCGAACAAATCCTGTGCTGTGGCTAGTGGTGGTAAGGGCTTCGCCGCCTACAGTCGAGATGACTTCGTATTTGTACCACCTGGACTTAAGACCCTGGGTAGGGGTCAGATTGAGCATGACCGCAGCGTCAACCGTGTCATCCAGCACAAGTGCCTTGGAGAACTTGACGTCTCGAAGCTGGTAGTGATAGGACTCGGCGTCCAGCTCTTTCGCTTCATCATCAGTCGCAAGAGAAAGGGTGGTTTGATGAACAGCTTCAATAGCCATGGCGATGTAACCCGCTCCAGGGAAGACAACATCCGTGCCCATCTTGTGTTCGCTGAGCCAAGGAAAGTCGGAAAGCTTGAGAGGCTTCTTCCATGAGGGGGCGTTCCAGGAGGTTCCCAAAACCTTGCTTCCGAGGAGATCGTGGTGCAAGAACCTGCGGAAGCGCCATTCTTTGCTGATTTCGCTTTCATGCCAGTACTTGGTGGTGTGGTTCCAGGCATAGTTAGGGAGATCAATCAGGATAGAAGGCTTCGTTGGGGAGACGCCCTCGACACCGTTCACCTTCGTAAGGGGGATGTCCGCACCGGCAATGAAGAGTTGACCAGCAACCGAGTAGAGAGCCTGAAGAGTCTCAGCTCCGCGCTTGGTAGCAGAAGCGTACATGATGTTGGTACCATCATTCGGCAGAGTCTTCTTAATCTGGCCAACTGGGCCAGCCAGTGCATTGCTAGGGCCAAGTTCAATCAAGAAGTCAGCTCCATCCTCCTGATCCTTCATCAGCTCCAGACAGGCATCAGCAAATCGAACGGGAGAAACCATGTTGGCCTTCCAGTAATCAACGCCAGTCTCTGCCTCACGGGAAAGCTTCTCTCGGAGTACGGATGAGAACATCTTGACGGATCCAGAAGACTTGGGGGAGCCCTCGAGACACTTGTTCTCGACCAACAGCTTCTCGTAAGCCTCACTGATGGTTCCCATGTATCGCGAGTGGTAGGCTAGGTTGACTTGCAGCAAGCGCGCAAAATGTCCATCCGCTTGGATAGCCTCACGCACAACGTTGAGAGAATCAACAGTACCAGCAAGAGTAATGCTGGAAGGACTGTTGTAGCACGCAATCTCAACTACGGGCTTCTCTCCGCTCACATTGACGGCATCAAGGTAGGGTTGGGCCTTCTCAGGGCCCATGCCCACAGCCATCATGCTAAGGGCTTCAGAAGTGCCCGTGGCTGCCTTGCCAGCATAGCCACGCAGATAGGCAATCTTGATGGCTTGCTCGGGAGTAAGGAGGCCAGCCGTACAAGCGGCTGCAATCTCGCCTGAGGAGTGACCCACAACAGCTCGGGGGGATACACCCCACATCTTCAAAACCTCGAAGAGGGCGAGTTGAAGTGCCGTGACCAAAGGCTGAGAGAACTCTGGCAGACGCATGTGGTCCGATGTTCGGGACTCAGTAAGCTCAGAGTAAATTGACCAAGCCGGTCTGACTTCAGGAGAAAGATCCTGAAGGGCGACATCAAGTCGTTTGATAATTGCGCCAGCAGTTTCGGGGAAAGCAGTCAACAGATCACGGCCCATCTGAGGCCATTGCGCTCCCTGGCCGGTGAAAACGAAACCAATCTTGGGTGGATCCGCTGCTTGCTTGCCAAAGATGACAGAATCAGCAGAGATGCCATCCACCTTGGCATCTGGGCCTTTGGTAATAACAGCAAAACCACGGTGATAGAGGCGGGTTCGGCGCTCTGAAAGTGTGTATGTGAGGTCCGAGAGCTTGATGCTAACTCGAGGATTGAGGAGGTGCGTCCGTAGCTTCTTCAGGTACAACTTGAGGGAGTCGAGGTTATTGGCAGAGAAAACGACAACTTGAGGCCTAGGAACACCGCCAGCCGACTCGTCAACTTCATCATCATCATCGTCAAAGAAATCATCACTCTCCTCAGAATAGGTGCTGAGGTACTGGACGTGTTGCTGAATCTTCTGTTCCCGCAGATAGTGCTCCGACGCCTCAACAATTGCGTGGGCGTTGGTGCCACCAAAACCAAACGAGTTGACACTTGCTCGACGGTAGTCATTCTTGCTCTTTGGCCAGTTGACGGCCACCCTTGAAGGGCGCAGGTGCAGCTTCGCAAAATCGATCTTGGGGTTGGGGGTGATGAAGGTTGGGTTTCCGGGAATAATACCGCTCTCTACAGCAAGGGTGGCTTTGAGAAGGGATGAAATTCCTGCGGCATTCTCTGAGTGGCCAATATTGCTTTTGATAGACCCTACAATCAGGGGGTCGTCGGCGGGGTGTGAGGCCTTGAACACCATGCTGGCTCCAGTTGTCTCAATGGGATCGCCTGCAGGGGTACCTGTACCATGGCACTCGAGGTATCCTGTCCTGCTGAGATCTGTAATCCCAGCACGCTCATATGCCGCCATAGCTGCTGCTGCCTGTGCTTCAGAGCTGGGACTAGCAATACCAGGAGTGCGGCCGTCGCTGTTGGACGAGGTCCCACGAATAACTGCTCGGATTGGGTCTCCGTCGCGAATTGCGTCTCTCAATCTCTTGATGTAGACGCAGTTGACAGCTTCAGATTTGACATAACCATCGGCCTTATTATCAAAGGTGTGGCATTTTCCGGACTCAGAGATGGTTCCTCGCAAGGATCCTGATTCAATTGTGTGTTCAGGATCCATGTTGATGTTGGCGCTTGCCACGAGTGCTCCGTCCATCAACCCTGCCTGCAGGTATTTGCAAGCAACATCGAGCGAGACCAGGCCACCAGAGCAAGCCGTATCAATGGTCATGCTATTAAGTTTCAGTTAGGTCAAATTCGCCCAGAGCTGATGCTTTTACTCACCTAGGACCTTTGATGTTCAAAAAGTGACTGATTCGGTTACTCAAAATAGAACGACCAATACCCATCGAGATGCCCCCTGCTCTGTCTTCGGGATCCCGGGCTTGAATGTCGCCAAAGTCTGCATGGTGGGTAAGGTGTCAACAAAAATTGCTTTTTCCCAGGAGCATGGGTGACACTTACCGACAGCGTAACTGGCCACAAAGCAGCCAACCTCCTTGCCTGTCAGACTCTCCAATGGGACACCTCCGTTCTCGAGGCATTCATAAACAACCTCGAGAATCTGGCGCTGTTGCGGCTCCATAGCAATTGCGTCTGCTCTATTGACGTTGAAGAATTGGGCGTCAAAAGCCTGTAGGTCAATGTCCTCAATGAACATGCCTCCAGGGGATATCATAGTGTGAGTCTTGCGGGAGCCATCGAAGTGACCCTTGATGTTGAATCTCGACTCGGGAGGCGAGTTGGAAGTAGCAACACCTCCGTTGATGAGAAACTCCCATAGTTGTTGCGGGTTCATACAGTGGCCAGGGAGACGGCAGGCCACAGAAACAATGGCAATGGGCTCTTGACCCGTGTGGCTGGTGGTGTTTGTGCCATTCTGTGCAGGTGCAGCCGCACCTGCGGTAGTATAGCTCGAGTCCATGATGCTATCCGTGAGTGGAATGGAACACTGTGTGAGAGGAGGGGTTCACAACGGTGGGAGGGACCGTTTTCAAGGAAGTCAAGAGCAGAGCATGGAGAAGTGGTGGTGCGATAGCGAGCGAGATATGGCACAATGAGTTGGTCCTTAAGCGAAGGGCAGACAATGGTCTGCAGGGATTCACAGCCTGCGATCAGGGTTAGAAGGCGCCAGGCCAAGGGTTTAGAAAGTATGGGCTGAATGCTCCGATATCTCGCGAAAAGAGGGCCCTCTCTGATTGATCGGCAGCAGCGGTAGTTGACTTACGTGACCTGCCTCAAGTCTTTGGATCCCACACTCCATGATACCAAGCAGAACAGGCGCAGGGGACTTTTTCGGACCAGAGCGCCTCGACGGGAAGCTTGGATTATGCGGGGCCTAGGTGAAAGAGCCCCAGCTAGAACCACATTGCTAGCAGAGTCGGCGGCAGCTACTCGGCCGACGTGGGCACCAAGCAGAAAACTGGTATGGAGAGGCTTTTAGCGGAGCGGCAAGACAAGGGCCATGTGGTCGGAGATGACTGCCACAAACGAGGCGGAACCAGGCTTTCGCGAGCAACTCGGGGTGGCAATCAGGTCCTTGTGGAGTGAATGTTGGTCGTGTTGGTTGTTGGTTGCAACGATATGGCAAACGGGTCAGCTGGTGTCGATGGCTAACCGCTCGACGAGGAAGGCACGTTGATCGACGGGCTCGACTTGGATGCCAGTCATTATGATGGCGGCTATGAGGTGAGAATGTGACAGGCTCCACTGGCCGGGTCCATGCCTCCATATCACGTCCCACGTTGATACGTAGTGCAGACTGAAGTGCGGTTCTGCAACGGCCCTGGCCGGGTGGGCCGGCGGCGGCGTGGCTTGAATTGGTCGCCGTTGGGTCCTGCACGACAGACGGCCGAGGGGCCCCGGTCGGCACTATGGAGCGGCCCCGTTATTACCGTACAGACTGAGCTCGACGACGTGTGTGGATGGGGTTGCAGTTCGAGGACTTTGGCGTTTTAGACGCAGCCATCTGCCCGGACCCCGGCCTCCCCCGGCCTGCCCGGCCACCCACCCCGGCCAGCCCCCGGGCGCCGGTTGTTTTCCCATTGGGGCTTGAGGACGAGGGAACAGGCGGGCTTCGTGCAGCCGCGGCAAAAGGCTGGCAATGGCGCGGGATTTGGCGTAGATGGGCGCAGTCTGCAGATGGAGGGGGCGGGCCGAAGCCACGGGCCACGGCATCCGCTCGGCCACAGTTCATGTGCGTAGTACGCACCGTCTCGCTTGGGTTGGGGGGCTGTAGCTTGTCTGATCGATCTGCGGGTGGCTTGGGACATCCCGGGCCAGCCATGTCGCGTCCGTGGAGGCGTGGAGGCGCGGACGTGGAGGAGCGGCTCGGCGGCGGCGCATTTGCCCGGGTTTCGGGCGGCACAGTCACGACGGTAATCACGGGACTCCAGCAACAACCGCTGCAAAGTGGGAACAGCCCGCTACTAACTCTGGCGAAGGAAGCCATCCTCGTGGGCCCCGTCCGCTGCCCCCTGAAGACTCTGTCAGTCGCTCGCGGGACATGTTTCGCCTCTGCAGTTCGCTCTGTTGGTCGTCCTTGTTCAGGGGCTATCCCGTGGGTCTTATGGGTTCGTCAGTCTTCAACGCAACGCTGGCGGGGGCTCAGGGGGTCCGCCCGTCCTGTCTCCTACCTAGCGCCCACCTAGACATGCACTTGTCAGGTCATGGGTAGGAGCTAGAAAGATGAGGTGAATATCCCCCAGCAACGGTCCTAATTATACCCGACAATGGCTGGGTCGTTCCTTGGAAGCGCATGATGTCGACGGCCCTCCTCCCTCTCTGTACATAGTACACAGCAGGTCCCGGGTCCCGAGGTGGCTCCCGCATCCGCCGCTCCGCTGCGCTGGCGCTCAGAATAACGGTCAACGCTGCATAGGTACTAATACGCCCACGGCTTCAACGGCCTTCGGGGATCGACCTATTCGCTACTGAACCGCTGCATATCTTGGTAACTTGTTTCGACCTTGCATCCAGATAAGCCTTGCTCTTCGTATTGGGTCTTTTGCCCGGCCGCAGCTTGTTCCTGCAACCAAACGCCCGGTCCTGCTGTCCACGTCGTCGTTGTGATACCAGAGCCCTTACCGGACTGCCGGACCTCCCTCCTCGCATACCCTCGAACTCCCTCTTCTATTTTGTCTTTTTTCTTCTCCACCTGATCTTGACACATTGGCCCTACCAGTCTCCTCTCATCATGATTATTCGGCACCGGGAAGACGTGGAGTTCCAGACCCTCGATGGGTGTACCCTCCGGGGCTGGCTGTTCCCAGCCGCCCAGCGCGGCCCCGCCGTCATTATGAGTCCTGGGGTAAAATTTGATCTCTATCCAAGGCTCCCTTTGGCTCGATGCTGACTATACGGCTGTAGTTCAACTGTGTCAAGGAGATGCTGCTCCCTGAAGTCGCAACTGCGTTCCAGGCCGCCGGCATCACGGCGTTGGTGTATGACACCAGGTCCATTGGTGCGAGTGATGGGCTGCCTCGCAACGACATCAACCCCACCAAGCAGGTCGGGGACTACCACGATGCCGTGACCTACATGCGCACTCACCCCTTGGTCAATCCTGCTCAGATCGCACTTTGGGGATACTCGCTCTCAGGCACGGTAGCACTGTCGGCGGCAGCGCTTGACAAGCGCATTGCTGCTGTCGTTGCCTGCGCACCTCCAACTGACGTTGGGTTCCCTCCGGAGAAACTCCCCAAGATCCTCGCCCGTGTGCAAAAAGATCGGGAGTCTTCGGTTGCGGGAAATCCGCCCTGTCAGGTGCCTCTGTTTGACAAAAAAGGCAATACTCTCTACAAGATTGCCGTGCCGATCTCCGAAGATGATCACGATCTCATCCGGCAGGCACAGGCCTACGGGCCAACCGTCAACATCACCACCTCAATGCAGTCCTACTACCACATCGCCATGTGGGAACCCCTCAAACTCATGCACCTCGTCAGTCCCACTCCTGTCATGATGTGTGTGGCCGAGGAGGACGGCATGTGCCCACTAGCGGAGGAGAAGAAGCTGTTTGAAAGTTTCAAAGAACCCAAGGCATTTTATTCGGTGCCGAAGAAAGGGCATATGGATTTCCTGACGGGAGAGGAGTTTCCTCACGTCATGGAGGCGCAGATTGATTTCTTGAAGCAACATTTGGGTATGAAGAGCGTTTAGGGATGTGCCAAGAAGTGGCCCGCATGTATGTTTTCCTATTTGGGTATGTGACAGTGGTATTGGACCTCGCATGAATGACAGCTGCATTTTTTGGGATATTGATCTGAAAGGGGACGTAAATTCACGGGCCTGCAGCTCAATGTCGTATTGCCGAGGTGCTGGACGTGAGCTTTTACATGAGCTAGAGCGGGACATGACACGCGCGACGTTCGTTGCGATGTAACGTGAGATGCCATGACGCGCCTCCAGGTTTAGGTCAACACCTGCCACAAGTCCCAGACTTCAACCGGCGATTATAGGCCGCGTATTAATAGTACGGGCATAATATTGCTGATTGTGCTAAGATAGTGCGTGCAGCAGACATTGAGGCTGAATGCTAATACGACGTGCATTGCGTACGCTGCAGGCCAGGCCGAGGGATCAGTGGAAAGCCTGCTCCCAACAACCAAGGTAGCATACAGCATAATCGTGCAGCGCATTGCACCGCACTGCAAGTCTGGGGTTCCCCGCCGACGCCAAACGGGCCGTCTAGCTGTTGGGTGAAGCTGCCAGCAACAGAGTTCCATCACGAAACGTGCCCGACATTACGGTACGGTGCACAGACGAACGAACGAACTTTCGACTCTCCGGGACTTCGGCGGGCGTTGAATGAGCTTCGCTGGAGTTACCTGATTGGTGTTAGGGGAGGCGGCGTGGATGGTGGAGAAGATGGTGGAGCGGACACTAGAAGACTCCAAACTCCTTGCGAATTAGGGCACTTAATTAAGTGCCCTCCACGGCCCGCGCGGACATTAAAGCCCAACGGCAGCCAGCGTACTTCCGGTGAGTGGTCTGGCTCTAGTGTCAAGCGGGAAGCTGGCCCAAGCTCTGCTACACCGCAAAATCCAGGGCTTGGATGTCCATTCATGCCTCTGCAGTGACAACCAACAGCCAAGGACCGCACGCAGCAAGGCATGAAAACGGCCTGTAACGGTGAGCGCAAGAATCCAAGCCCCTCCGCCATGGTCTAGACCAGCATGACGACGCCTTCAATCATTGGGGCCCTCTGCCGGTCCCTGCTTCGGCAGTCAACCCCGCGGGCCGCAGTCGCGCCTTCCGTATGGCCTTCCATCAGCAGCGATGCACGCGGGGCCTCTCGTGGTGGCTTCCTGGTGGTTGCACAGCCAATCCGTACCTTCCACTCCGGATTACCCCTCCCCCGCACCAGCATAGCTGCCCCTCCGCCAGCGACCTCACGATCCGCTAACCGCCCTCAACCAACACCTCTCGCACCGCGATCGACTTCCTCTGTATCTCGATCCGTCCGCTCCACCGCCAGCTTCAGCTCCACTGTCCGTCCTCTTGGCCGGTCCCGCAACTCGGTCTCTCGTCAGCAGCAGCGTCACTGCTCCTACCGGCGAGCAATGTATCGCAACGGATCTGAGGCCGCCAGTGCCAGCCACGACATCACCCATGGCCGTCAGGTCCTGCCCAAGAACGTGAAGCCGCACCACTACGACCTCACGCTCGAGCCCGACTTTGAGACTTTCAAATATGAGGGCACCGTCGTCATCGACTTCGACGTTGTTGAAGACTCCACCTCCATCTCGCTCAACACGGTAGACCTCGACATCCACGAGACCATCATCGAGTCCGCTGGTGCTACCGTCAGCTCCACCCCCGCCCTCAGCTACAACAAGGACACCCAGACCACGACCGTCGCCTTCGACCAGACAATTGCCGCGGGGCAGAAGATCCGGTTGACACAGCGCTTCACTGGTACCCTCAACGATGAAATGGCCGGGTTTTACCGCTCCTCGTATAAGGACGAGAACGGCAACGACAAGTACATTGCTACGACCCAGATGGAGGCCACCGATGCCCGTCGTGCTTTCCCCTGCCTTGACGAGCCGGCCCTCAAGGCCACCTTCACGGTGACCCTGATCGCAGACCACGACCTGATCTGCTTGGGCAACATGGATGTTGCTTCGGAAAAGGACGTCGACTCCAAGATGGCTGGGAAGAAGCGTAAGGCCATCACCTACAATAAGACCCCCATCATGTCCACCTACCTCCTCGCCTTTGTCATTGGCGATTTGCAAGTCTACGAAACGAACAACTTCCGCATCCCCGTCCGAGTTTACTGCACTCCGGACCAGAACATTGAACATGCTGTTTTCTCGGCTGAGCTGGGTGCACGAACCCTCGAGTTCTACGAGACGCAGTTCGGTAGCCCATACCCCCTCCCCAAAATGGACATGGTGGCAGTGCCCGACTTTGCTGCCGGAGCCATGGAAAATTGGGGCTTGATCACTTACCGAGTTGTCGACCTCCTGTTGGACGAGAAGACAAGCAGTGCGACGACAAAGAAGCGCGTGGCCGAAGTTGTGCAGCACGAGCTGGCACACCAGTGGTTCGGCAACTTGGTCACGATGGACTTCTGGGATGGTCTCTGGCTGAAGGAGGGCTTCGCTACGTGGATGTCGTGGTACTCCTCTAACGAATTCTACCCTGAGTGGAGAGTATGGGATGGCTATGTCATTGACGACCTTCGATCTGCGCTCGGCCTTGACTCGCTGCGCAGCTCCCACCCGATCGAGGTGCCCGTCAAGCGCGCAGATGAGATCAACCAAATCTTCGATGCCATATCATACGAGAAGGGCTCTTGCGTGCTCCGCATGATTTCCAAGCACCTCGGAGAGGATGTCTTCCTTGAGGGTATCCGACGGTACCTCAACAAGCATGCCTACGGGAACACACAAACCTCCGACCTTTGGGCGGCTCTCAGCGAAGCCAGTGGAAAGGACGTTGAGCGAGTGGCAGACATCTGGACCAAGAAGGTTGGCTTCCCTGTGGTAACCGTAACTGAAAACGAGGCGGACGGTACTATCCACGTCAAGCAGAACCGCTTCCTTAGAACGGCCGATGTCAAGCCAGAGGAGGACGAGGTCCTGTACCCCGTTTTCCTCAACCTCCGTACCAAGAACGGCCTTCAGGATGATCTTACTCTCGACACTCGCGAGGCCGATTTCAAGGTGCCTGACTGTGACTTCTTCAAGATCAACTCGGGACACTCCGGCATTTACCGTACTTCGTACACCCCAGAGCGACTCCAGAAGCTTGGCCAGAACGCCAAGGCAGGCCTCCTTGGCGTTGAGGACCGAGCAGGCATGGTTGCAGATGCTGGTGCCCTCGCAGCTGCTGGTTATCAAAATACTTCCAGCCTGCTGTCTCTTCTCCAAGTCTTCGACACTGAGAATGAGTACATCGTATGGGATGAGCTGACCATTCGCATTGCTACCCTTCGGGACGCGTGGGTCTTCGAGGACGACAAGACTACGGCAGCCCTCAAGGCTTTCCAGCTTAATCTGGTCAGCAAGAAGGCCAACGAGATTGGCTGGGAGATCTCGGACAAGGACGACCACATGATGCAGCGATTCAAGGCGCTCATGTTTGGCAAGGCCGCCCTCTCTGGTGATGAGAACGCCAAGGCTGCCGCTTTTGAGATGTTCGACAAGTTCATCAAGGGCGACAGAGACGCACTCCAGCCCAACCTGCGAGGTAGTGTTTTCGCCGTTGTGTTGATTTACGGAGGTGAAGCCGAGTACAACGCCGTCCTCAATGAGTATGTGACGGCCAAGCAGAGCAGCGAGCGTAACACAGCTCTTCGGTCTCTTGGTTTCGCCGAGGACCCAAAGCTCATCCAGAGGTCGCTTGACTACGCTCTGAGCAAGGAGGTCAAAACCCAGGATCTGTACATGCCCATTAGCGGACTACGAGCCCACAAGGCCGGTATTATCGCGCTCTGGAGCTGGGTCCAGGAGAACTGGGATGTGATCACTAAGAGACTCCCTCCCGGTATGACGCTGTTGGGTGATATCGTTGCGATGTCCACGAGCTCCTTCACGAAGGAGGAGCAAGTCGCCGATGTGCGCCGCTTCTTCTCCGAGAAGGGCACCAAGGGATTTGATCTCGAACTCGCACAGAGTCTCGACACCATCAAGGCGAAGCAAAACTGGCTGGCAAGGGATAAGGAGGATGTGCAACAATGGCTCATCGAAAACAAGTACCTGTAGATGTACTTTGATCTGGCATGACAGTCGGGCGAGAAGATGTGGAGTAATATGGTCTCTGGATCTCATCCGACCAAAGCATTTGCCATTGCTGATGTAGCATTCAGCTGAGACGATGTAGAGTAAAGACGTGGACTCCATTATCTCACTAGACAATCCAAAAAAGAAAGAGAAGAATATTTATCACACAATGCGGTTCAAGTCATGGTGATCACCATCTAAAGAATGACTGGTCAAAGGCTGCACGCCTTCCTGACTTATATTTTGGTCTCTAGTATGACAATACGACGGAGATGGCAGCCGGATGAACATATTCGTAGCCAAAGCGTTTTCACCCGCTTCCATAGGATGAACCCAGCACAATAAGGTCACTTGCGCCAGCATCGTGGACAGTAAGGCATCTCTTGATGTGTCTGTTATACATGTACAAGTATACACGGTAGTACACCACTCCCACTTCATCCCGTCCCCAACCAGCCCCATTTCGACTGTTTTCTCCTCTACACCTTGCCCGTCAACCAATCCCGCTCCTTGTTCTTCGCCAGCCCCGCGGTGCCGGTGGCGGGCAAGCCGCGCTTCGAAAGCTCCTCCTCGATGACCTTCCAGCGGCCGACGGCCACCTCCTTGTCGATGGGGCCGACCTTGCGGCTGTGCACCGTGACGTTGGACAGCGTCGGCAGGGCGCTCTGCGTCGCGAGGATCTCGGCCAGCTTCTTGCCGCGCTTGGCCGGGTTGACGGTCAGCGTCATGAGGTGCTGCGCCGTGCGGGCGGCGCCGAGCTTCGAGTCGGGGATCAGGCGGCCGGTGAGTTGGTAGAGGCGCTTGCGGATCTGCGGGGGGTGTTAGCATGGGGTTGAGGATTGGAGTGGAAGCGGGGTGGGACGTACGGCGAACTTGAGGTAGTAGTCGTCGAGGGCGACCTCTTTCCAAGAGGCATCCCACGCCTTGACGATCTCTTGAGCCTCCTCGGCGGAAATGGATTTGGCCAGCTGACACTCCTTGACCTCGCCCGTCAACCGTTTGGTAATGGCAGACAGGTCGCCCTTGAGCGTGGCCTTGCCGTCCTGAACCACAATATCCACCGCCAGAGTCTGGTCGAGCCCGGCCCGCCTGCCAGCAGGCCACGTCTTGGCCGCCCATTCATTTAGCAGACCGGCCTGCTGCAGAGCGAGGGTCTCGACAACGGCCCTCCGCATGTACAGCTCAACGAGGGCCTTGTCCTCGACCCGCTCGGCAGCGAAGCCGCGGAACCTGCTCTCCTGGCCCCAGTGGCCGGGCTGCTGCCACCACGACGCGAGCGGCTTGATCTGGTCGAGGCCGTCGAGCTCCGTCGCGGGGACGTACGTCGGGTCCAGCGCCTGCAGCTCCTTCTCGGCGACGGCCTCGGTGCGGCGCGGGGGCAGCGCCAGGCGGGACTTCTGGACGGCCGCGGGGCGGTGGTCGGCGTGTGGCGGTCGGTCGCGGGCCTCCTCGGGCAGGTTGGAGACGTCCTCGGGCTCCATGCGCTGCGTGTAGGGGTCCTCGGGCCCGGGGGCCTCGCCCTTCCAGAGCTTGCCGCGGATCCAGTCGGTGTTCTTGCCGTGCACGCGGGCCGACGTCGAGAGGGCGGCGCGGGCGGCCAGCGAGGCCCGATTGGCGGCGCACGAGGGCGCAATGGCTGTTTGCAGGGACGAAAGCCCCCGCACCCGCGGTATTCGAGGCATTGTGTGTGGTGTTGTGGGCGGGTTGCTTCGATCGGTGGCCGGGATCGAAGATGTCGAGGGTCGAGGCGAGCGACCAGAGCTCGTCCCATGTAGGGCAACTTTTTCCAGTGTGGCGCGGCCAGCCAATCGGCGCCGGCGAGGCTGCGGCGGGACCCGTGGCCTGCGGCGTGGCCCACTCGTCGCCGGGAGCATCGTCAGCCTCCTACTCGGCGATCCTGCGACGTGCCCGGATCGGCGACGGCCTCTGCTTCCTTCACACAACGCTCCATCCTTTATCCTTCTGCACCGGTCACCATGGCGCGCATATCGCTGCTGATGCTCCTGCTGGGAGCCTTCATGTCGCTCGTCGCGGCATCCTGTATGCGCACAATCAATCCCCCCCTCGTCCTCCTGATTCTAAGACACAAGAGCTAACACCGACACGCCAGCCGCGCCGACGTTCTGCAAATGCACCTGCTTCAAGAACAGCACCATCATCCCGCTGGGCCCCGAGCACGACAGCTCCTCCTCCCTGGCCGCGCGGTCCCTCGTCTTCAGCCCGGAGCCCGCAGCCCACCCGCCCCGCGACGCCGTCCTGTCGCGGCCGCACTCGCCGCGGTCCAAGTCCAAGTCGTGCTCCGAGTGCACCAAGGCCTTCTGCCTGAGCCAGGGCATCGACTTCTGCAAGGACGCCAAGGAGGACGACGTCGCGACGCTGTGCTTCCAGCGCGACAGCAACAAGGACAAGTTCATCGTCTGGGCCTTCATCATCGGCACCGTGGGCCTGATGGGGTGGGCGGCCTTCAAGCGCGTCGTGTCGTGGCGCCGGGGCAATCCGGTAGGTCGGCAGTCGGCGAACTATGCGCCAATGCCAAACAACTTCCGGTAGGGACACGGTACGGTTGTTTGTCTATTTGCGTGGGGATAGAGGAGTTTGGAGTCAGATGGGAACATGGTTCATGGCAGCGGAATTGTTTCAACCGCAATCTTCCAAATCATCTCAGAGAACACAGTTACACATACAGAAGAACATCAACAGCAGGTTTCAGAGCCACGGCTAGTTCGCAAAGCGATTTCATTGCATCGTGGCAATTTTTGAATGCAACCCTAGATGCGCCGACTTTTCACATGCCCAGCTTTTCACCATTCAAAGTCAAAACTCCCAATATGTCCGTCCGTCACTTCTCTTCAAGTCTCTGCCCCGGTAGCTCCCTGACATGGGCATTACTAAACGAGGAGAACAGTCCAGTCTTCCCCCCAGCTCATCACACGATCTGCACTCGGCATGCCAACACAATCCTATTTAGCTGCGTTGATCTCACGGCGGGTGCGGACGGCCTCGGCCAGGTCCTCGAGGACATCGACGGTGGATTCCCAGTCGATGCAAGCGTCGGTGATGCTGACACCGGGCTTTAGGGCGGCGGGGCCCTCAGCGGGGACCTTCTGGTTACCCCCACCAATGTTGGACTCAATCATGACACCAACAATGGCCTTCTCACCCTCGCGGAGCTGCTCGCCAACCGCCTTAGAAACCTTGGGCTGGTTGAGGTGGTTCTTCTGGGAGTTGCCTGCTGGTGTATAAGTATTGGTTCAAGACATGGGTAAAGGGATGCAAACGTACCGTGCGAGCAGTCAACCATGATGCCAACAGTCTGCTTCTTGTCGATGAGAGCCTTCTTGGCAGCCTGGACGCTCTCCTTGTCGTAGTTAGGACCCTTGTTTCCGCCTCGCAGGATAACGAAGCAGTGCTCGTTACCCTTGGTGCGAGTGATGGCAGCGAGACCCTGCTTGGTCACACCCATGAAGTGGTGCTGGGCCTGGGCGGCGCCAATGGCGTCGATGGCGACAGTGAGGCCACCGTCAGTGCCGTTCTTGAAGCCCACGGGGAAAGACAGACCGGAGGCAAGCTCACGGTGAAGCTGGGACTCAGTGGTGCGGGCACCGATGGCACCGACTGAAATGCAGTCGGCAAGGAACTGGGGGGAAATGGTGTCGAGCATCTCGGTGGCAATGGGCATGCCGTTTGAGGTCAGGTCGACGAAGAGCTGGCGGGAGACACGGAGGCCCTTGTTGATCTTGAAGGAGTTGTCGATATCAGGGTCGTTGATCAGGCCCTTCCAGCCGACGGTGGTCCGGGGCTTCTCGAGGTAAGCGCGCATGACGACGCACAGGTCGTTGGAGAGCTTGTCGGCGAGGGCCTTGAGGCGCGCAGCATATTCGTGGGCGGTGGCAGGGTCGTGGATGGAGCAGGGGCCGACGACGACGAGCAGGCGGTCACTGGTGCCCAAGATGATCTCGGCGGCGTCGTTTCGGGCCTTGACGACGGTGTTGGTGGCGCTCTCGGTCATGGGAATCTCCGAGGTTAGGAGAGCCGGAGGGATCAAGGGATCCTGTCCGAGGACTGGGGGGAGTCAGAGTTAGCTCATGTTCAGTGGTGTTGCAATTAATTCTTGCGGTGGTGATGGTTGTGATGATGTGCCAAGAAGTATGAGAACATGATTGCGGGCAGTGGTGTTATAGGCCTTGAACAGACAATCAAGCAGTGTCTGAGAAAAGAAGAGGTTGACTTTTACTCCGTGAAATAACAAACACGGAGCGATTCTTGCTGTGGAGGTTGTGCCCGGTGTTTCCAGTCCAGCGCATACAAGCGCGAAGACATTTGCAATCGGAGGGGAGTCATGAGAGAGAGAACAGCCAGTCTCCCGGCGACTTCTGGAGTAAAATCGATTGCGCGCATAGAGCGCCGACATGTCACTTACCTCGGGTATCATCTGAAGCGATTGCAGCCATTGTCACACTGGGCATTATCACAAAAACCGGGAAATGTGGTGTGGTGGTGCTGGTGTTTTGGAGAGTTTGCGTCGGGTTTGGTGGGGGAGGGGAGACGCAAAAGTTGGTCTGGTACGGTGGAGGAGGGGCAGGGTCGGTCGGTGTGTCAAGGTGTGGGTGGGAAGTAAACAACCACGAAAAGAAGTGAAAAAGAAAGGGAACAGCGGGAACAACCGAGGTCCAGGGGAATAAATAACTTGGAGTTTTAGTATGAGGGAGGAAGAGAGAGAAGGAAGGAAATTTGAGGAGCTGTCCAGGCGTTGTAATATGCTTGAGTGAGTGAGTCAAACCGCCAGAAAAGCCCGAAAAAGGTACAATGTACCCTGTCTCTGCCTCTACACACCTAGTAAAATACATCGGAGTCGCCTCGGAGCGGGCTCCACCGAGGGGTTGTCACCGGCAGAGTCCAGTCAGTGACAGCCCTTCTCTCAAGCCATTGCAAGGCCCAGACCTTTGGGGATCCCGGCGCGTCAGCGGGCTATTACCCAAGTCAGCGGGCTATTGCCGCGAATCCGACGTCAGCGCCCAGAAATTTGCAATGGTCCAAGCTCAATTGGGTGGTTTTTGCCTGGAAGCAAGGAGGACAAAACGTCTGTATCTTGCGCAGTAGCTTCGGGTCGTCACCACTTGAAGAAGGCGGAAAATACGCACGCACTAGTGCCGGCCCAAGGGTTACCAGCATGTCGTCTGTATTCGGTATATCTGTCTGCTACCACATGCCCGTCCGGCTCCGAGAAGCGTGGTTTTTAACGTCCCTCACAGGCCGTAGACGAAAATAGTGGCCCGACTCTCGACGTGACTCTGCATGCTGTACGTGACTCTGCATACCGTCCGAGATGTTTCTCCCGACTCCGACATGGGATCCGAGCTTGGACGACCACCACAAATCCTTAATGAGGGGGAAATGCAGCACCCTCCTGCATAGATCTGTCTTCTTGCCATTCAGGAACCGAGGCGATGTCGGCATGCACGCGGGAGAGAAGATGGATGGATGGACGGGCTGAGAGGGTGTGGTATGAACACGCGGGACGAATGAATGGATGAGGCGAGACCCTACAAGGATTTTGTCCTGCCCTACAGCCACCAACACGACCACGGAGAAAACCTTAGCTTGCCACTCGAGCAAACATATGGGACTAGCAATAGCGACGGGATCGATCCAGCAACTAATTTAATTAACATGCTCGGTCTTGCGGAGAAGGTCGAGGAGGGGGAAACGACGCCATGTCTCTCGGTGGTTCTGCCGCCCCCTTGTCCCGTGCCCCAGTCCTGTGCTCCCGCTGCTCCTAGTGCTGTGGCAGCTTGCATTGTGTGGTGCCATCGCGGCGCAACCAATTGGCGGCCATGGGAAACCAACGTGTAAGGATTTGTCTCGCATCGCAACAGAGCACGTCTCACAGCAGTGCTTGAGAAACCAAGAAATAGTACAGGCAAGTTCCATTTGAGCTCGGGAATTAGTTCGGAGCGGTCTTGTTGTTCGTCTAGACTTTGAACCCCGGTACATCAGCGGGGTTATGTCCAGGTCAGCGTGCTCCTGGTACGAACCCTCCGTCATGGCTCCGAAAGCTTGCCAAGTATTGCTATTCGCACGTGTGCATCTTGCCATTTGCACGCGCGACTACAAATCCTAAAGATAACTCAATAAATGTTGCACCTAAGACAGCATTTTAGGAAAATAAATTTAATAAACCTAGTTGTTGCTGTCCATCCTCATTTATTAAATTTTATTGTATTTTATTGTATTATTTTATTTTATTATTTTATATTATTGTATCATTTATTGTATTATTTTATTATATCATTTTATCATATCATTATTGTACTGCGTTGTATTAAATTTTACCTTATTTACGCTTTTAGTCTAAGTTTACACTACCAAGTGCACAAATTAAGCTGATGCTTAAGTCTTGGGGGCTTCAGTTGGAATCCGCCCCCTAGCCTCTAGGTTGAACACATCAAGTACGACAAACGCCAAATTCGCCGATTAAATTAACGGCAGGGATGCATTTCACCTTACAGGTCGACATTATCAAGCAGTGACGTCGGAGTCCGAGTCAATAATCACGAGAGCATTGGCGGTGCTCTTGCTGGTCAAGGGTCTATCGCACACATGTTAGCTCACTCGTTTTCCAACCATGGCCATAGGGTCAGCATCAGTGCTACCTCGATACCGCTTAGGCAGCCTTGATGGGAAAGTTCTGCTAGAGTATTAGTCTGGAGTTCTTGGCCTCTTGTCCCAAGGGGGGGCTCGGAGACCGATCTCGCTTCCTTGATCGGCCTCGCATCTCCGCCTCCGTCTCCCAGTCATCACCCTCTTCGTCTTCCGAGTCCACCGAGCTCCAATCACTCTCTTTTGAATCAGCCCCAGTAAAGTCCTCGTCGTTGGGGTCCGGCAGTCGCGATCGCTTCTTAGGGCTCCCGCTTTGAGCCCTTGCCTTACCGAAGAGCGTCCTGCACCGATCCGCACTGACATTTAAGACACACTTGTCGTTCCCGCTTCCGAGATAAGGACAAGCTTCCGGTTGGTGTTCTGCATGAGGAACACACTCTTGGCGAAGATAGCAAGCGCAAACCTACACAGCAGAAATATGGTGGGCACGCCGGCGAGCTCTTGGATCCCCAGGTTGTGATAGTTGTCCGTGAGCTCGGCTGTCGCGGTATCCTAGACGAAGTGGACAAGCCACTGACCACCTTTAGGGACAATAGTAAACAAGTGGCTATCCCACAGGCGATGAAGATCAGTTCGTAGGCGGATCATGTTATCGGGACACGTTGTTGATTGAGAGTCCCCTGCCCGCGCCGTGTACTGCAACATGAGGTTGCGCTCCCACCAGGCTTCATGCGCCATTGGTATAATGTGTGCGTTGTCAAGAGCTTCGGCGGAGGACGTGATGCGGCAAGTGGGGTTGCGGATGCGGATGTCGAGAGTCGTTGAACGGTGAGCTGGAGCTGAAGCCCATGACGACGGGATATTTCTAGGGTCCGGGCATGAGAAGTCATCAAATGACGGGACAACGGCGTACTGGTCATCTGGTGGGTTCTCAGTCAGTCAGCCGGAGGGAATAATGCCACCCAACACGAGCAACGGGGAGTCCAGAAACATACCGCCCTGGATGCAGAAATAGTATGATTCCTCCATCAAGATGTCATCCGGGCCTTGTTCAATCGCGGGGTCATCGCGGCTCACTGATAAAAAGTCATGCCACGATGCATTCGCGAGAATTGCACCTGTCTGTCGGCCTTTGGCGGTCCGAACGCAGACCGTGGAGGCTTTATTTCAAGTGACGGCATAAGGATCAGGTGAACACGGGGGTGAATTTCCGATGGCGGAGAGAAATGCGGCGCGTCGCGGAACCAGTTTGAAATGCACGTCATTGTCAGTCGGGTGCAATAAGTATCAATACAAATCCGCAAGAAGAGCCGCTAAACTATATTGGGATATGACCCACTAGCAGCTCAACAGTTAGGGTTCTGGCTAAGGTACGTAAGTATAGTATATCATTTCCTAAATTTAATAAAATTCGTTCTCTATGTATGTACAATAAACTTAATAAGTACTCAGTTTATATTTATTATATGAATATTATGCCTTTTGAATAAGTAGATGATGCGACAAAAACACTCTAGCTATATTACCTAAACGACCTACCGCAGTACATTAAGCTCCCCGTACCGAGCTAGAGCAGACACGAGCCCACTCATTCATCTGATCATATTGGTCACACTATGTACTGCCAAGTTGCCATTTATGCAGCACGCACTCGATTGCGAGTCGAAGTCATGATGCGCCGTGTTCACTGAGAAACTCGTATTGACACCATATTTGTGTCACCGTACAGCTCGCCTACGTGTCAATACAAGAAACGCACAGGGAAGGGAGCATCGCCACCAACAATGTATCTAAATGACCTCGATTTAGACTGCGAGGCTCGGCTGGTTCGCCTTTTTTTGGGTTGGAGTTTGTCGCGGAAACTACCCTACACCTAAAGAGGGTTTTCGTTGGATGGTGGAACCGGGGAACTCTACCAGAGCCAATAGACGTTGGCGATTGATCCAGCGTCGCAGTCCCCGCGGCGTGTCAAGTCCCAAACAGTTCTCGCAGAGTCGTCTTTTGATACAGCGAAACACGACTGAAACCCATCCCAGAAGACAACCCCCGCATCGGGAACTCGAGGACAGCGAGTCTGGACTGGTCGAGCCCGAGTCCCGAGTCCCGTCCCCCTCTCATGACGTTGCTTACGATGTCGTACGCAGCACGCAGGTAAATCCTTCGGCGGGTCCCGAGGACCGGGGCCGTGGTCGTGGTCTTGGCCCGTGAGGCCCTTGCGTGTTGTTCGCTCGCCGGCAAGCCCGCCTTCACGACGCCCGAGGAACCCGTGACTCTCGGGGATGGGGGAGAGGGAGGGCCTGTCAGAGATGACAATTACAGTGGCGAGATTCGTATCATGGGCGGTACGCAGGGCAGGCATTACGTGCCTACCGTGTAGTACTACGCAGTAGCTGTTTAACATGCAGTCTCTAAAACCCGGGCAATCAAAATACACTGCCTGTTTGAGACGTGCCGCGGGTTTATGTGCGTGTGCGTGTGCGTGCGTGTGGTGTGGTTGGGTGCGTGGTGTGTGGCGGCCCACCATGACGGTTCCCCCCTCAGTTCTCGGGCCAGCCTTGTCCATCCGCTACGACGTCGGCCAACACAATCAATCACCACTATTGACAACTTCACACCACCACCAACCCCCTTTTCTCATTGCTTCATTCCTTACCAAGGCACCTAATTGACGGCCTCTCGCGTGGCTGTCCCCATTGTCTGTTGATTCACTCCACTGTGCGGTCTTTTCACCATCGTTAATAATTCGCCCCCTTCTTTCTTTGTTCGCATCCTCCCAGGCTGTGCTTGGTGGGCGGTGCTGCATCTTCAAGCTCTCTTTTCACTTCCCTCGCTGCATCGTTCAATACGCACGCTTTAATCTTCCCGCCACAAGTTTTTCCCTTCGAGTCCTAGACCGTCATTGATTCTGCAGCCCATCTCGGTTTCTTACTGGCTTTGAAACCAACATCTCACCTGCGTCCCGACCACCCCGTTGTCTTTTCTTTTGTCGTCTGCCCCAGCTTCAGCAGGGCCGCCACCAACGCCGCCGCACACCAACCAGACCCTGTTGCAGTGCGTCGTAGTGCACCTGTCGCAGCACACCCGCAGCTGACTACGCAGCACCTTACACTTGCTGCAGGCACCGCACTCAGCCCCCTCACAGCTCTGGCCCACTATCACGGCACTATCGCGTATCGCCCGCCACTAGTCCAGGCGTCTTTCCAACCCTCTACTTGGCAGAGGTAGGTAGTACCGCCTGGCCGAACACGGCGCCCGCCTACCTGAGGTTCCTTCCCTACCAGGTACTGACCTCCTCCCTCGCTCACGCTGCGACTCGACCAGCTGCCTCCCCCCCTTCTTCCTTCGCATTCACACTCACATTCACACTCTTTGCTTGTCTTTATCAGCATCAACATCATCGTCATCATTCAATTAGCCCGGGTTCCGTTGCTGGGAGACATCTGCACGCACTACGGCGCAAGTCACCTGCGGATAAGACCCTCTCCCCCACTCCAACCACCCGGAGAGACAACGGACGAGACGGTCCCTCCATTGTCGGTTGCTGCTCCACCCGCATCAACACCCGGACCAGACGACAACTCCCAATCCTTTCGCTCACCAGCTCAGTCGTTCTCTTCCTGCAACCATTCCTCCCACAGGGGCAACCCAAACAGCCCGCAACATGTTTGTCACGCCTCATCATTCGGAGGCCATGTCCGAGGCCCAGCGGAAGCGTGCTCGAGAGGAGGAGGAGGATACCGGCCATGGCTCCATGAGCTTTGGCGAACACCGAAACGTGAGTTCCACCTCCCACCTGGCGTCGAGTTCCAATGCTAACCGTCACCTAGAAACGAATCCAGTGTCTCCCTCTCCGAACCTCCCCGCGAGCCTCTCAGCAATGGCTGCCTTCATCGTCCATGACCCCCCAGAACTCCGACTCGGATGACCTACCTCCCCAATCCCACTTCTCGCCATGGTCTTCGTCGATGGGAATGTCCTCCCAACCCGGAAATGATGCCGAGATGGACATGATGGACACAGCCTCTTCCCAGGGGCGGCACCATCATACCAACTCCACCGGTTCACAGTCCGATAACGCCAACGGTCGACTGCCCACCCCGATCCAACCCAGCTTCGCTGCTCAGGTTAGAGGCCAGCAATGCGAATGGGCTGGCCCGGGACCGGCTGTGACGAGCCTCAACGGCCTTGTCAATCTCGGCCATCAACAGACTGGCTTTTCCGACGACCAATGTGTTCCCCGCACCGTGGCTGCCTCTAGCGCCTGGCAGGCTGTTCAAAACAACCGACGCCTGCCTTCTCCTATTTCCGAGGGTGACGACTCCATGTCGAGTCAAGCTATCGCCTCCCCCGGAATGGGCGGTGACATGGGCATCCCCGCTCACCAAACGAATGGTCTCGAGTATGTTGCGCCCCAGCCATCGCCCCCGCATGCGATGGAGCATCCCAACGCTATGATGGATATTGAATCTCAGTCTCCGCCACGAACTGCCGACGGCGAGGAGGATCCGACAACACCTTCTCCCAACCGGAGAGGCCATACTCGCAGTCGGCACACCGTCAACAACTGGACTTGGCAGCCAGGGATGAAAAAGAGCTTTAGCATTGGATATCGGGTCGACTGTGAGAAATGTCGACTTAAGGTGCCAGGGCACTTCAACCACATCATCATCTCCCAGGGGAGCGAGACGACGATCCTGGACCCCAAAGACCATGCAACGCTGTAGGAAAGTGCAGTGAGGCCCCTGAACTGGGCAGAAAATCGATGCGAGATGATAAGCTTCCGGCCGAAGGTTCAAAGCCCTTATACGCCTAGACTCGCAGAACCCGGATGCGGCGGGCTATTTGGGGAGGAACTCCAATATGACGCCCCCAACAATGTGGCTGATAGACCCAGTGTGTGGTCGGCGTGGAAAGCTCAGAGAATGGAAGTTGATCGAGATATCCGTGGCAGGTTGCACGGGGGATCCGAGCGGAGTACTACGGATTGGAATTGTGTTTTAGGGAACGGATTCTTTGCTGGATGCAATTGAGAATGGACCACGGACATCGCGTTTACCCTTTTCTTTGTCATATCGGGGCGTCGTTCAGGAGTAAGCGGGTTTTCAGATAGCGCTTGCTAATACCAGGGTATACTATATATAACAACACGGAATAGGGGAAAGGTCTAGGATCGAGTAGGTCGACCTAGGAGACCGTCTGGGTATAGACGGCTGAATCAATGGCGACTATAATCAGCGTCAACCTTTCAAGCATTTTTGACATGGTCCTGCTACACGTGAGGACATGACCCCTGAAGATGCATCAAACGCGACGTAAGAGAACATGACCCATGACTACCGTGTTTCAATCGCTTGGTATTTTAATAGGTAAGGTAAAGTAGGGCTTGGTTTCCCCATGGTGATACATACAAGATGGTACCCCGACGCCGTCTAATGCACTGCCAATCTACACAGTATGATACACTCTTTTCGCCCGGAACACGTACATCTTGTTTCCATCATGTCGTCTCATTCCCCGTCGTCATCCGCTCACCAAAACCTCCACCAAGACTTCTGGCTGGGCGCCGCCTCTAGGCCTAGCTGGTCCAGGCTGCCGCCCGTCCGCTGGTTCTCCTTCTCCTTCTCCCAGGCGCCCCGGGCCTTGTTCTCAATCGAGCGGACCAGGTCGCTCTCGCGCACACCCGTCGAGTCGTCCTCCTCGCACAGGCTCTCGTAGCCCAATCGCTCCTGGGACGAGCCGACCTCCTCGCCCTGCTCCCCGCGGCCGAGCATGCTGGAGAAGATGCCCATGACGCCCTTGCCTTCCTTCTTGGGGCCGTCGGAGCCGGCGAAGTTCTCCTCAAAGTGAGTGCGGGTTGTGGGCGCGGCGAGCAGGGGCGGCAGCTTGACGCCCCTCTCCTCAGCCTCGCGGTTGGCTTCCTCGACGAGCAAGATCTGCTCCTCGGTGGCCTCGCCCTTGAGGTATGCCAGGCGGGCGCTGGCAAGCTCGTCGGCCTCGAGCTTCTTCTGGGCCTCGACCCATTCGGCGCGGCGGGCGCGGTTGTATCGGAGCATGTCCCATACCGAGTAGACACTGACTACACCGGCAACGGCTGCGAGGGTGGTGTTAGAACGTCGAGCTCCATTTAAATATCCAGACACGGCATATCCGGAAACGAGCTTCACAAAGCCCAAGGACGCATAAACGTACCCGTGAATATCACAATGCCTCCAACGGTCCACCGGTGCGCAACGTCGAGGAAGCGCCTCGAGCCGTCAATAAACCTGTCTATCTTGCTGATCTGGGCCTTCTGGGCAGCGAGATGCGCGTGCCGTAGGCGACGCACTCGCTGCTCGGGCGACTCGCCGGGGATGCGTGGTGTCTTGGGAGCGGCGGCGGACCCGCCGACCGACTTTGAGGTTGCGTGGGGGATGGTGGACGTGAAGCGGGTTGCGTCCTTGACGCTGCGGGGCCCGATTTTGGACGCCATGGCGGGAGTTGCGAAGAGGCGGCTGCGTCTCCGGCTTGTTGTGGCGATCTTCGAGGGGAGGGAGGGAGGGAGGAGGAGGAGGAGGGCGGGTGAATTGGGTGGATTGCGCTCGATCGGAGGTTGGCGGATGGCGGGTTTGCGGGCTTCGTGGGAGGGAGTTCGGGATGCGAAGGAAGTGGTGTCATGAGATTTTTGCTGGACAGGGTGGTGAGGGAGCCGTTGGAGGGCCGAATTGCGGGTCTGTGATTGGCGCGGCGAAGCTTCGGGCCAGAGGAGCTGTGTGTTTGTTCCTTGTGGATGGCGAATCACTGCTGGAACGGGAATTGAGAACGGGGATGGGAGCTGTAATGTGAGGCTGATGTTTACTGGGACGAGGAGGTGTTCGGATTGAGTGAGATGTGGTGATTTATTTGCGTGGTCGAGTAAGACGACGAGACAATCGCTTCGGGACGACATGAAGAGGCGGTTGACTGGGAATTTACGAGGGTACGTGAACATGGCTCCATGAGTGCGGGTTCATGCAGCTCAGCATCAGGGCTGAGATGGAATTCAAGTCAGGTATGAGATTGAAGAGGGATTGATCTTGTGGAGGTACTGATTCGCATGCGCAACACTTCGTTCCATTGTCAATTGGGCTAACCTCAGCTCGCTGCTCGGCATCTCGGTCGTCGCATCACCAGCACGAATGCGCGACAGGCGGCAAGACTCTGTGAGCGTCCTCAGTGCTAATAGGACATTGATGGCCAGGGACGTCTCCTCGTGACATGGCTCGGGCTGCTCTTCGACGCATCAAGTGCCAATCCTGCCTTCGTCAACCATCTACAGAAACGTCTTCTTCATGCCGTCGCGTAAAGCGACGTTCACAATGAAAACAGGTGGTAAATCAAAAATTCCGGGACCCATGACCCCGAAGGGCAATGAAGTATGGAGCGACGCCGCGATGTGCAATGCAGGCCCTCCACGCTGAACCCCCTCAATCATGAGCGAGGGAATCCCTCCCAAGGTAAGTATGAAGAAAGGAAAAGAAGAAAAAGCCCAAAATGTCGGGGGCGAGGCGGGACTTTATACCTTTGGAGAGGGCTGTCACCCTGAGGCAGCTGTCGCCTTGCGCCTGTGTTCTCAGGCTTCAAGGTTCGGGCCAGGAACAAAGCGAAATTTGAAGGCGCGCCCGGCAAGTCCCCACTCTTGTTGGCCATTCACGAGCGCTTGAAATCATCCAGGTTGTGCTTTCATAATATTGAGACATTGAGCCGGTTGAAGACCTTATGCAAATATGTGATGATGACTGCCATTCGAAGCTCAGGCCAAGAGCGTCATAACATGACGATGGAAGCCATCACCACAGGCTTGTCTGCGAGACCAAAATAACCATCCAATCGGCATGAGCTGTTGCGTGGCCAATTAATATTTTGAGGAAAGTAGGACCTGTGAAACTTCAAAGCTGGCACAATAGAGCATATTTTTGTGACGGTTCGGTGCATGGTCGCTCTCATTCCAGTCAAGCCGTGTCAATTGAGTGCCCCTCGTGGTTAGCTGCACACAGGCCCTGACGCCAGGCCTGAATAAGGCCCCAAGGCTGCAAGACCAAAGGCCCACACAAAAGACGAAGCGAAAACACGTGACGCACACCAATTCTCGCGCCCACGGGCAAACCCCACCAAGTACGTACCAAGTGTAGGGCTCGAAAACCCTTCCAGGAATTTGACAAGCCTCAACCCTCCGAAATTTCAACGTCTCACGACCCGACCATCGACAACCGGAGCCCGTTGATCGCAAGCAGTCAAAATGGTATGGCCTCCACGCCCAATGCGATGCACCGCAATGCGGTAGACGACATGTACTGACCTGCTCCCTCTCCAGGCGATCAAGCACAACCAGAAGCTCATTAACAACCGTGAGCAACCACCACTGCCGAGCGACGACTTCGCAAATAGCGACTGACAACTCTCACAGATTTCCGCAAGGATTGGCAGCGCCGGGTTCGAACCCACTTCGACCAGGTACGACAGAAACCCGACGGAATTTGGCCTCGCCGTGCCGTCTTGAATTCGCGATATTAACATGTGTGCAGCCCGGTGCCAAGTCGCGGAGACGCACTGCTCGTCAGGTCAAGGCCGCCGCTCTGGCTCCTCGCCCTGTCGACAAGCTCCGACCCGTTGTGCGATGCCCTACTCTTAAGTACAACCGACGAGTCCGTGCCGGCCGCGGTTTCACCCTGGCTGAGCTCAAGGTACGATTCAAGCCCTAGACCCTCCAGTCCGACCTGTGGGGGGTTTGCGCGAGCGATGGGATTTTTGTGTGACTAACAACGACCACAGGAGGCTGGTATCCCCAAGGCCTTTGCTCCCACCATCGGCATCTCCGTCGACTCCCGCCGCCAGAACCTGAGCGAGGAGTCCCTGGCCACCAACGTTGCCCGCCTCAAGGCCTACCAGGAGCGCCTGATCCTCCTCCCCCGCCGATCCAACGCCCCCAAGAAGGGAGACACCAAGACCGACGTCTCCGCTATCGAGAAGGCTTCCCTCCTCTCCGCTGCCTTCCCTATTGCTCCCACCGACATCGCTTTCAAGGAGATCAAGAAGAGCGAGATGCCCGCCGCCATCGAGGCCGGTGCTTACCGAACCCTGCGTGTCGCCCGCAGCAACGCCCGATACCAGGGTGCTCGGGAGAAGCGTGTGCGGGATGCGGCCGATGCCGAGGCTGCCAAGAAATAAACTTTCAAAAAGGGAACTGGTGTTTGAGGGTTTTGCTCTTTGCGTCTCTAAGGGAGGAGCAACGACGGTTCGAGGCTCTGATGAAATGCTTGTCCGGGTTTGGAGGGAGATACTCTAGGTCCAGCTCAAAGAATTTATTGCATGATCACCGGCTTTGCGCTGTAATCGTTTGGTCAATGGAGGCATTCCTTGAACATGGTGTGCATCTACGATGGTTGACATGATTGGGGTTGCGTAAAAGTAGAATTTCATTGATGCTCGTCTATTACCTGTTCCACTCTTGCTTTTGCTGTCGGGTACAATGCTAGATTCTAATCGTGTCTTAGCATCATCCGCATTTGCTAGTTCAACTGCCCTGGGCTTTCTCTCGGCTGATCATCTCTGTCCCACGTCTAATCAAATCCTTCAAAAGACCAAGTTGAGCCGATGTCAACACACTGCCCGAGTTTTTGACAATCTCCGTACACAGCACCAAGCAATTCTCTCGATCCACCCTGGCCATATTTGCCTGCTGCTTGGGATCAACCTGCTGGGGCTCTAGCCCAAGGCCCTCCGTAATGGCTGCGGTATCAGACCCAGCCACGGATGCGACATTTTCGATCTGCTTGGTTTGCTCATCGCTGTTGGCGGCTAAAGCTTGGCCGGTAACAGCGTGAGCGAGGGCTTCAGTGGCCCCCGCGACAATCAACGTGTTGGCGACGACGCTGGCGCCATCTTTGGTGCGGGACATGAGGGCGAACACAAACCAAGCCTCGGACCGTAGGATGGGCCACTTCTGCTGGGTGACGAGAAACGAGAGCGCCTTGGACAGGTCGTGTTTCTGGTAGAACAGGCTTCTCATCTGGCTCTCTTTCTCATCGCTGGAGCTGCTCTCTACCCCAGCCGGCAGGGGCTCCTTTGGTTCGAAGACGTATCCATCTTGCGAGGGATCCCACTCTGGCAACAATGGGAGTACAGGGGTTGTGTGCAAAACTCGACACACTGAAGCGATGCAGCGCGCTGCCTCCAGTTTCGTGGGCTCGGCATCGGAACGACTAAGCAGGGAGAGGATGTCGTGGACGCTCGTGTGCTCGTTCGACTGCTCTGACGGGTCGGCCTTTCGGGGCGCGCAGATGAGGCGGACGTTTGGCGGGCAGTTGACGAGGAGCAGGCGAGTGAGCGACACGGCGGCGAACGGGACCTGCGGAAGAGTGTCTAGGGTGAGGATCCGCGGGACTCGTGTGACCTCCAGCAACTCGCCGAGCAGCGGCTTGTTCAAGGCCGGGATGGCGAGGTTCTTCAGGAACGAGAGCATAGAATGCAGCCGCTGGGTGTCGGTGATGGCGGGGTTGGAAAGGAGGTCGATGAGAGGACGGTGGGCTTGGTGAGTCTGAACGAGAGCCAGGCAGACCTCATCGGAGCGGGCGAGGTTTCCGAGCGCGAGACAGGCGGCGGACTGTAGCCGAGGGTTTGCTCCTTGCAGCCAGGCCAGGAGTGATTGTGGCACTGAGCTGTCGAGGGGGTAGTAAGTGGCAAACGAGTCGTTGCCAGAGAGATCGGCGAGCGTGGTGAGCAGAGCTGTGCACATTCGCTTCAACAGTCCTGCCGTCTCCGGATCGTCCATCTCCTCAGGGCTAAAGGCCGTGTGCGCATGATAGAACGCCGTCATAAACACGTCCATCTGCTGGCTTGTGAGGAAGCTAGCCTGGAACGACTCATTGGCGAGGTAGCTTGCGGCTGTGGAAACGAGGGCCATGAAGTCGTCCACGTCGTCCTTTGCCGGTGCATTTGTGGCTAGCGTCAGGAGGACCTGGACGGTGAGCGGGCTGGCCACGGCGGCCTCGCCATCTTGGGCGATGAGGAGGGCGAGGATCTTGCAGAAGTAGGTGAGGAGCGGGGCGTAGCGCGGGAGGTTCGGGGAGCCGAGGAGAGAGATGAGCTGGGTGTTGAGGCCAGACTGCGAGGCAAGTTTCTGAGCAGGTTCTGCTTGAGTCAGTACTTGATCGTGCCTTTTTGTAGCTGAGAATGGGTATGGCGCTTACCGTAGTCGACGAGGATGTTGAACAACACGGGGATGGCGTAGGGGACGAGATCCTCGTCCTGGAGTTGGCGCATGATGGAGGCGAGATGGTTGCCGTCGACTACACGAGCACGGTTCTCATCTGTGTCTGCGCACGAGTTGCCAACAATGCGCAGAGTATGGACTTTGACGCCATGGCTCACGCCCTCAGCCGCGAGCATCTCGAGGAAGAAGTTGAGGATGCCCGATTCCCCATACGGGAGGCGCCAGGCGACTGCGTTGAGTTAGTGTGCGTCCCTCTTGGAATAAAAGAACCAGGACACGAGAGCAACCATATCATGTGGTAGCTTGGCGATGAGAGGCCCGCTGCCCACAGACATGCGAAAAATTGAGACACCATGGCAGGGTGGGGAGAAAGTGACAAGTTCTGGTAACTCACCATCTCGACCTCCATCACCAAGGTTCTTAGCCATGGCTTCTAATTGCTCCGGATTCTGCTGCGTAGCCTCTCGACAACTGTCCAAGACAGCAGCCAAAGCCTCCGTTCTTTGCTGGCGAGCTCCGTCGGGCTGAGGAGTCTCGTCATAGGCATCTGGCGACAGTCCGCTGCCCTCTCGCTGGAGCAGAGCAGCGACATCTTCGGGGCTCATGGCCATGATTCCGTGTGTTTAAAGGGCGGCTTGTCGCGAGATTCGGGGCTGAAGATGGTGCTCTCTCTATCTCGGCCCAAACGGACTGGGTTGTGTTGGGAGTCTTAGTCAGGGCTGGACCTTTCGTAGTCCTAGACGCCGAAGGCTCCGTAGGACGCAAGGGGTTAATACGAGGTGTCCTTTGCTGCCTCCCAAGGGATCTGAGAGGGTGCTTGAAACAATGACAGCTGAACAAAGTCGAACCTCTTCGGGACACGAGTTGACATGCTGACGAGTCCAATCACCGCCTTACCCTACGGCGGGGGGTTCTCAATTGAACGTGGTGGGGTATTCTCGGTGAGTCCCAGGTGAAGGCCGAGGTGGGACACCTATCAGTGAACGGCCGATCCTTCGGCAATCGCCACCTCCGCACCCAAATATCATTCAACTGTTCTCTCGATAGGCTTGCAAGAACAATCTCGCACTGCGATCACTGGTTTGCGTTGTATTGAAGGCAGCCTCTACATGGTGTTCTGGGTCGAAGACAAAAGCCGGGCGATGTGTTGTATCCGCATCTGTGACTCATGGACATGTCTTTCCCGCGCTCTATCCTACATAAGTGACAAGTTGTGGCAAAACAGTCATCAAATCGGGGGGCTGGCGCAACGGTAGCGCGGTAAGTTTATCTACATAATTGGTTGAAAATCCATGTCTAATAACCACACAGTTAGATTCCAGTTCGGGAAGTCCTAAAGGCTACCGGTTCAAATCCGGTGTCCCTCACATTCTTTTTTTGCCTTTTCTCATGATTTCCCTTTTCCCTGGCATAAATGTCCTCCTTTTTCTGATCGATACTATCAAGCCAGGGGGGCTGGCGCAACGGTAGCGCGGTATGTCTATCCTCCTGATTAATATCTTGAATGTCTAAGTCTAATAATCCCTCAGTTAGATTCCAGCTAGGAATGTCCTAAAGGTTAAGAGTTCAAATCTCTTGTCCCTCATTCTCATTTTTTGCCGTTTGTAATTATTTTCTCCTTTGCAAATATGACTCCCTTTCCTTCACGGCGTAACATCGTTAGCTGGGGGGCTGGCGCAACGGTAGCGCGGTAAGTTCACCCATGTAATGAGTTGATAGCCTGAGTCTAACAACTGTGCAGTTAGATTCCAGTCTGGAATGTCCTAAAGGTTAAGAGTTCAAATCTCTTGTCCCTCACTTTTTTATTGCTATTTCTAATTATTTTCCTTCCACTTTGCATATATGTTCCCCTTTCGTCTGACAATAACCGTTCCTTGCCATTTGCACTGCCCTTTCTTTTCCATTGAAGACCCTCTCTATGCCAGAGGTGGGGATCAATCGTACATGTCCATTTGCCAAATTATGAATGCTGGGTCCACGACGAGCAAATGCCTCATATACAACTATCTATTCAGACGAGAAGCTCTAGACGGGCTCTGACATTATCCGTCAGACATCCTAAGGATCCATGAGGAGTTCACATTTGAACTCAGAAAGAATATGGGCACAGCTGTTGACGTGATTTGGGGAAAGTGTGTTCGGTACAGGATGCTTCCAACTCTTCGCCTGGAACCGTTCGATCTCTGGGGAGATTTTGAACACGTCAAGCTTTGGCTTGAATGGGATGAATATCCCCTTTCATCACAATCTCGTTTGGAACGATTCGCGGTGTTCGTAATGCATCCCGAAGCAATGATCTTTGCCTCCCAGCCGATCAAAGGTAAAATTGAGGGCCTGAGCATTTTTACGGGATTTCGCACCGGCGAGGCACCTATGGAAAGGAGTGGGCTCGGCACAAGTCTCACAACATATAAGCACTTGCTCGGGTCACCCGAGCTTTAATCTAGGCGGAGACCCCTACCACAAGTGTAATACCCGCCGAGATTTCGCATACTGACATGAAGGGAATCACTCGTTTCCCAGGCATTGACATGCATGACGAACTGATCGACACTGTTGAAGGTTACGAGTGCTTCGGTCAATAGGATGAAATGAATACTGCGGTGAGTAAAAAATAGCCATTACATTGTGCTTTGGAATTTAATTAACCATGATAGCCTAGCTTGACCTCGACTTTCACTATCTACCCTGATGTCGATGCCACAATCGATGGCTCGCAAGGGTTGAAGTACCTGATTCCATCACTAATAGATGATGCTACGAACCTCTGCACCGCACTCGCTAATAGAGAGTTCGACGCATTTGGGAGGTCAAGCTGGGAAGACGTTTCACCAAGCCTATACAGCCCTAAAGTACGCTCACGCACCTGTCAATACCAGAGACAAGACCTATGGCCAGAAAACGCTGCGCATATAAGTCGCGACTCCTTGACGACCTATTCCCCCGATTTAAAAGGCTTGAGCCTGCACGATATGTGGCTTGTTATTTGAAAGAGGGTTGTGCCATGTGGTGCCGAGGCTTGTCGACCAAGCGGACCGACCGTGTGGGCTGTGCCTTACAATGCAAAAATCGCCTGGAGCCCTCCAGATGCGAACCTCTTGCGTCATCTTCCACAAAAGGTAGGATGGTCGGACGTCCTACTTCGGGATGGGAATAACACAGTAAAACCGCCAGCAACTGTGATATGCAGTTTCCGACGTTGCAGATGCGTAGAAAACAGTGCACTTGATACGAACCCTCGTTGAACTATTGAGTCGTCGCCACGCTATGTCTTGCGGAAGCCTAGTTGCTCTAGTTGTGATGGCAAGTCGTTTACTTGGGTGCCTCATGACCAGTCAATTTCCTGGGTCGATGCACCAGCGCTCTCCAAACTCTGGACACAGGTGAAAATGGGACAATGACCAATATAGGACCTTTTGAAAAATCCAGATTTTTACTTTCCTCGACGAAATGGAAAAGGCTAACCCTGGGGTTCGGGAAACTGTAGATCGGCGGCCTACGTCGGGTTTGGCCTTGGGATTGCAGATTGCTTGTCGCAATTGGCACCTTGAGGAATATTCCCTACATTATTCACGTTCTTTACAAACCAGGCAAAGGTAGATGTCATTCCGTTCAGTAGTAAATCTTGGGTGTGCGCCATCATTTTTAAGATTCTTTGCCGGGCTCGTCGCACCGGATGTTCGAGTTGAAGATAAGGATCTGTTAAGCTGAGCATGTACGTTTCGGTGATTAAGAGTTGACTTTGTCGCAAAGTGTTCATCCAAATCACGTGGGGGGCTGGCGCAACGGTAGCGCGGTAAGTCCACTTGTCCCTACGGTTGAATATCCCGGTCTAATAACCGCTCAGTTAGATTCCAGCTTGGAATGTCCTAAAGGTTAAGAGTTCAAATCTCTTGTCCCTCAAATTTTTTTTAACTCCTTCTAACTACTCCTCCTCTTCTTCACTTTCTTATGATGTTCCTAAATTGTGACACGGGGGAGCCTCAATTTTTTCTTGCTGTGCACTACTTTTGATGATGTTCTCTTCTTTTGCTTTTCCACAAAAATTCCTTCCTTTCAGGCTCCCATGAACCCTTATCATCGCCTTTGATTCAGAGCAGAGCTCTGTCGTCTACTGAAGCTATTCAGTTTCTTGACAAATTTTGCCCTTTCGTGGCGCCGAGGATCAAAGCTTGGCCGTTATCGCCGCAGTCCTTCTGCGACCATCCCTACATGGAATCGGATCTTTGATTTTACCAGTGCCAAAGACCAACAAGGGCAAGCATGAAATCCTATCGACTTCTTGCCATGAACAACAACGACGCAAAAGTGGTACCCAGCCACAACGCCACAAGATCAAGATTTGAGTTGTCATGTTAGAGGCATCAACAGTAATTGACTAGGCGTTTTCTTTGAGTCAGGTGTGGAATGCAACAAGGCTGGACCCTGGCTACAGGGAGCTTTGGATGTTGCAAACCCATTGCTTGAAAGTGACCCATGGGTTCTGGGACAAATGTTCATGGAACGACTTCCTGAGACTGCCCCCTCTGTCTAGGGGCAATAATCCTTGAACTTCTAACAAAGTTCATAAAACAAACTGGCTTTGGACAAATCCCAGTAAACTTGAAAGCTGCTGCATGGTCGGACACGGTTCAGTCGTTCCTCCAAGAGCCTTTATCGGGCCGTTTCCATGAGAGCGGATGGATATCTCGTGCAGATGAGTGCCGTCCCCCTTTTCTCGCCGAAGCAGATTATCACTCTCAAGCTCAGTCTGCCAATGGGCGCCATTTGGCGCAACTGCAATTGAGCGTACAGAAATCGAGGTCAGAATACACAAATATTGTGATGGGCATACCCTCTAATACGATGGATTTACTTGGCATTGTGTCAGTGGCGAGTCTCAGCTCGAAAAACCTACCTAGACAGACGCTTGTAAGACTCCAAGGTCCCTTCCTGCTGGTGGCCCGGATCACTTAGAGCCGAGCCTATCATCCCCAGAGGATCTAAACCACACCAAAGAGTTCATTTCAGAAGTTGCAACGCGTAGTATATTTGGATGGCTACGCTCGGATGGCTACGCACTACACGAGAAGGACATATGCACGCATGAGTGGTTGGACATGGCTGAAAGTGGCGAGGAAGAGGAAACTAAGGAGGACGAAAGTGAGCCAAAGTCTTTCGCCCACGTTTCTTTATGGGTAAATGCCTTAGAACCAGAGGGAGAGGGGGATATAAAGCCTAGCCTGACACGCTAGCTGCTACTCTAAGAGACTTAATGTCTAAACAATTAGATGGGCATGCTTTTTCCCTTGTATAATTTTAATGCTACCCTTTTTGTCTTGTCTTGTGAAATTGGCTAAGCTGTCGCAGCAGCTTTTATCACGTCATTTACTCCCTTTTCCTTGTAGCTAGTGAAAGAGACACTTGATCAAGCGCTTCCCACCTCCAGTAGATGAGACGTCCTCACTTCAGTAGGCGATAGACGGAGAACCTAAATCCAGCTAATCATTTCCATCCCGCCCCCACAGGCCTCACGGCCCCCACGGGCCTACTTCAAGGACCCCTGCGACGCGACCAACAAGCAACAAGCAACCCTCTTCTCCCATCTCCCATGGAACTACGAATAGCGATGCGCCCTCGTGCGAAGCGCCCCAACTCGTTTGGAGAATGGCTGTTGCCTGCGAAACGAGCCCGATCGACGCTCTCGAGCACAAAATCATCGAGGCAAGTGTCTCCGGCCACACTGTTACGGAAAAGACAGATCGACGCCGACGACGACGACGACGAAGCACGCCAGTTGAAGCGGGCGCGGTTGACACGGCAAAACTTGGCCTTGTTCAATAAGATGGGGAAGAAGAAGGAAGCAAAGAAAGCATCGGCGTCTGCCGCCCCGGAGTCCACGATTCAGTCGTCGACAACAAGGACCACCTCGACCACCACGTCTGGTTTTGCTCTCCAGGCCGATAAGAATGGCATCTTACTACCCCTCGACTCTAACCGCCCCGAGAACCTCGAGGCCATGCGCCAAAGACTTGCCAGATTCCGTGAGACGGCTTCGCCCCCCGAGTCGGTGTACGAGCGATACGCCTACAAAGTCGGGACAGCACGTAACGAATCGACCATGGTCGTCGAAATGGCACCGCTGTTGAAGGAGTACGAGGACCGGGGATACGACAGGGTGTTCAACCAGGCATTTACGGCATTCCCCAAGGATGTTGGCTTCAACAATTGCCTGTCTGCTCCACAGCCCGACTTTGTTGAGGGGCTGTCCATAAGACAATACCGTCCATTTCCAGTCGACGAGCATGTCAACGGTGCGGCTCTTTATGAAGATGACCCTCATTCACTGGCATTGCCGCATGTGGCCGGGGAGTGGAAGGGACGTGGGAAAGATATGGAAGAAGCGAGAATGCAGAGCGCGTATGATGGAGCGGCTCTTGTCTACGCCCGGAACCAGGCCTTAAGTACTATGGAGAAACCTGGATCTCCCGGCCATGCAGAAGTCACGACCTTCACTACGGATGGCACCAATATCAACTTTTTTGCACACTATGCTGCTCAGTCGGAGGACGGTGTGCTTGAATACCACCAGCATCCCGTCACATCAACAAACTTGAAGAACTCTCATCAAGAGTTTAAACAGGGTCGCAGGCAGCTCAGAAATGCGCAAGACCATGCGAGGGAACAGTCGTATGCTCTCAGAGATCAGCTAAAGGAACATTGGAAGAAGCAAGGTGCGGTGGACAGCCTCGGCTCCATCGCTGAAGGAGTTGTTACTCAACCTGTGTTAGACAAGGATGCTGTCGCACCAGACGACTACGGCAAAAGTGGAATGAACACTCCGCTAATGCGTAGTGTAATGATGGCCTATACTGGATGTGACAGAGGCGCCGCCGGATATAACGAATATATATAATACTAAATAAAATAATACTAAATAAAATAATACTAAATAAAATAATACTAAATAAAATAATACTAAATAAAATAATACTAAATAAAATAATACTAAATAAAATAATACTAAATAAAATAATACTAAATAAAATAATACTAAATAAAATAATACTAAATAAAATAATACTAAATAAAATAATACTAAATAAAATAATACTAAATAAAATAATACTAATGTATATGATAAGCGAGTGGGACAAATAAGCGAGCGTGACAAAAATTCTAATCTCTAAGATTCAAACCTCATTAAAACTATAACAATACTATTAATTAATTAAAACTAATCGCTATGCTCTTCCTCAGAGGTCTCAATTATAATCTGACAGGTCCTTGCATTATGACCGGCCTTTCCACAAGTTCCACAGCGCCTTTCCCTCGGTATCGCTGACCTCCCTCGACCACCACTTCTCGACGATTCAGCCGCTACCTGCGCATCAACATCTCTCTGATCTATCTCACCCCTTCCCTCATCTACAGTTATCTTCCCTCTATTCTGTAGGCGGGTTCTTTTTGCTCTGCGCTGCTTGCTAAGAGTCTTATTTGCCTGTTGAAGGATCTGGTTCTTAGATTTTAATAATGCTATTTGATGTATTATTGCTTTTGTTCCCTTAGAAAATGACTTAAGTGCCTCAAGGATAGATGCTGGAGAGCTGCTCTGATGCCTTTTTACTTGTCTTTTAAGGTATTCAGACTGCGAACTGGCCTTAAATACTATCTTTGGGGTCTTCGAGACCCAAGGGTTAGGGAGGCCGACCTCCTCTGCAGCCGGTGTTGGAGTCCGTAGCTGCACATCAAGCTTCGATATAATATTTTCTGGGTTTAAGGGAACAAGTCCGGCCCCTTAAAAACCTCCCTTAATATTACTCCTTGTCATAGCAGCTTCGTGGGCAGCGTAGAAGGCTGGGAAGAACTCGGTCTTCGAAACGTAGGTTATAGAGCATCTGATCAATTGCTTAATTGCTCGACCATAGGCTATTTTAAGCGGCCTAAAGCACCTAATATCAAGAGGCTGGAGTAGATGAGATGAATGAGGCGGCATACAAAGCGTAACGATATCGTTCTCTTCACAATATTTCTTAAAGTCGACGGAGTGGTGACTTTCATGCCCATCGAGGATCAGAAGACGATAGCAACCGGTCAATCGATTCTTTGTGTGCCGGTTAAAGTGCTTGAGCCACTCAAGACCTATCTTATTATCGGTCCAGCCATTTTGAGTCGTAGCAATAGCCCAATTACCGGGGAGGTTGCTTTCCCGGTACCAGCTAGCGAGGTGATATTGGCCTGTAACTATGATGAACGGCGCAATCGCCCAGCCTTTCGTATTGATCGTCTGAATAACTGTAACTTATTCTCGGTTTCCAGGCTGTACTGATTTTGGATTTCTATGCCTATCTGTGCCTGTGACGACTATTCCGCTTGCAATAATACCCATCATAAAGCCGGTCTTATTAAAGTTGTAGATATCAGCTAGGTCGATACTATATTTTGCGATTGTATTCTCCACAAGCCGGAACCAATTACGAATAATAATTAGATCTTTACATTTAGCCCTCTAATAGTTATATTTACGAAAAAAACACATCTTAAGCTCTTAGTATCGCCTGATAAAGTTTGAAGTCCAGCGCTTGCCGACAGGTGATGCGTTACGGTTAGCAAGCAGTCGGTTAGCCATTTCTTTAACACTACGTAGTCGCGGAGGAAATCCTTGCGAATCCAGGTTGAGAATGAACTGAATAATGATCTGTTCCTCTAGATCAGATAGTCGGCGTAATTTTAGAATAGTATCATACGTAGAAAGAATGCCCTTCTGCCGGCGCCATAGCATCATACGACCAACTTTATAGATCTCTGCGGCGCGTCGGAGCTTTAATTTTGGGTCATTTTGAAGGGCCTGAAGGGCAAGAAGGATTCTAGCCTCAATATTTGAGTCTGATATAGTGCGTGGTTGAGAATTAATTAATCAAATGGAAATAATGTAGGTTGAGAGATTTTTGTCACGCTTGCTTGTTTGTCCTACTTGCTTATTATGTACGTTAAATAAAATAATACTAAATAAAATAATACTAAATAAAATAATATTTTTTTATTAAATTTAAAATAATAAATAGAGCAATTAAAAAATAGTTAGTATTAATTTGTAAAGCGAAACTAACCTGGCAGCTAACTGCTAACTGCTCTATTCTCAATGCCGAGTCCCCCGCCAGGTTTATAATGAATGCACACCTCGGTGAGTGGCTGATCATCGGCTAATGTGGAGTCGGCCGGTCGGATGTGTAAAATTCCGACCTCGGAATCATCCGCCAGACTGACAGGGAAAAATCGACGGGGCCAGCAGCCATTGTCAAGATCACTTCCGCTGTCGCGAACGAGGGACGCATTCACGTTGCCGTCCACAGCCTGTCAATCCTGTCCTACCGGGCACTCTACTTGAGGAAAACACCTTCTCGTCCTCTTCTTTTGTCACAATGGTACGCGCGCATGCTGTCGATTCCCAATTCTCTTCCAGTCTCGCCTCCGGCTCTCTCCGGATGCCGTCAATCTCCCTCTCTTTGACTATGCTAACTCGACACTCCAGGCGCACAAATTCGTCGTCACCGCCTTCCTCACGGGCTCCCGAATCCTCGGCCGCTCCTTTGTCGCTGCGTACAAGCAGGCCCAGGCCGCCTCGCAATACCAGCGCCACCAGGCCAAGATGGGCAACACATCCGGCGGGGTGTCGCTCGCCTCCGGCATGACTCTCGACGAGGCATGCAAGATCCTCAACGTTAAACCCCCGGCCGGCGGCAACGCCAACATCGAGGAGGTTCTCGAGCGCTACAAGAGGCTGTTCGACTCCAACGAGCCGGCTAACGGCGGCAGCTTCTACCTGCAGAGCAAGATTGTGAGGGCAAAAGAGCGGTTCGAGCGCGAGCTCGGCCCCATGCGGGAGAAGGCCGAGCAGGAGGCTGAAACCAAGGAGGGCTGGAAGCCCAAGGTCTACAAGGACCGGTAGACGGGAAACGACTCTCAACACGAACGATGACCCCGGTCGACGGTGAACCCTGGCAAAGAAGCAAATGGAATGTAGGATATGGGCCAGGGAGCACCGCACTGCACCGCATCACCACACAGGCACAAACCAGACTTGCGGGCTTTGGCTTAGAGGGGGCTCACGGCGACGAGAGTCGCAGGGGAGTTTGGAGCTTCTATGTGGGAGAGGGGGATTCTTCCGTGTATACATGTACATCTTCACTCGACTGCAGCATGGCACGGCGTTTTGGGATATCTGGGGGCGCGATGAGCCGCTGGAGGTTGGTTCTAGATGAAAAACAAAAGACGACTCGTGATGTTTTAATACAATTGTACCATATCAAGACCAACACTGGCACTGGCTGGCATTTAAGTGAAGTCCACTTCACAGGCAGATATCTTCGTGATTCTCAAGGCAGTATTTTGGAGAGCTCTATGGACAACTGGATGGAGGGGAAAATGTTTTCTCATTTGGCTCCTCATCAATGCAATGGTGTAGGGTAGCTTGCTCACCCCGGATACCCAACAAGACAAACTCTGAATGAGTTAGTCTCAACAGGAATAGTCATAAACAAACTGGACTTGCTCCTGTTGATTCCGGGGGTTTTACTATCATGGAAAGATCCAGGCTGCTGAGTAGTGAGTTGCGCCAGAGAGGTAGGTGTAAATCTCATTAAATATTGAATAGCCCATCTTCCTGCACTACTCCACAACTACGAGGCCACCCTCTTAGTAGCTCCAGTCTCGTTATTTTCCGTATTAAGCTCACTGTATCGACTCGGCGTGTATGCAGATAGAATACTCTCAATCGTACTCCTGCTCTTCCTCCCTGCCGAAGAGCCTAATGGCGAAACGCGGTACTCCTCAGGCGCACACGTACGCGGTTGTCCAACCTCACTACGTGTCAGGTCGTTCTGGGCCCCAGCAGACGCCGCGTGATCACGCTCGTCACTGCTTATATTCTCCGTACTCGTAGTACCGTGCCTTGGCGTTGTTGTCTGCAACCTCTGGCTGTCTCTCCAGCTTCTCACCGGGGAATACCCCGGTGAGAGAAGAGGAGTTGGATACGGGAATCCTACTAACTGCAAGTCAGGAGGCTGGGGGGACGCTTGGTTGCGGCGGGGGAAGACAAACCGGCAGTACAGGAGCCTGAGAGTCATGGCGACGAGTAGTAGGCCCAGGACCGCCACGACAACACCGATTGTTTCGGCCTTGGAGAGGGGTGTGCCGGATGGTGGATTTGCTGAGGTGCTTGCTGATGGCGGCGAAGTAGATGACGATGGAGGTTCCGACGAAAACTGTGCCGTCGTCAGAGGTGTACCTGGATTGAAACCAGGCATGTTGCTTCGCCAGGGATGACCGGTGTGCGATATGGTCACAGTTGTGTCCAGTTCGAACGGAGGAAGTCCACCAAGGTCTATACTGGGTAACTGGCTTGATGTGTCGAATAGATCTTGCGTAGGCATGGATCCGGTAAAATCCAGCGAGAAAGCCACTTTATCGCCCATTCGAACATTTGGACCTACAGGATCTGTCGGGACATTTGAGTGAGGCGAGGATGTGATGTCGGCGCGTGAGGAAAGGGCCTCGAGGTCGTCGACGCCGCCTTGAACATCCAGAATCCCCATAGCCTCTAGAATATGCGATGGCTCCGGATGAGTTTGGCTGGTCGTGGCACTCTCTGCTTTGCGGTTCAGAGCCTCTGCAGCATCGCGCGTCGCCATGCATTCTTCCGAACAGGTCGGCGTCTCGCCGTAGCTTTGGGGGATGGTCAGTCGAAATAAAAGTCTGAGTGCTAACATGACGACTCACATCATGTCGGAAGTGTCTCGTGGGAAGACAGCGTGCGAGCTCTCAGTAACTGAGTGCTCTGAAGAAATCGTGGACGTGGCCAAGGCTAGACCGAAGGCCTTGGCCCAACCGAGCAAGTAGACGAACAACATCTAGGTAGGAGAGATGTAGGCTCAGGATTCAGCTGGCCTCGGAAAACAAGTTCACACCGGCTGTGTGTCGACTAGGTTGAGGAGCAAACCGTCTGATGACGTGTTGGTACGCCTTGAGCACTGGTACGGAAAGTGGACAAACTTCAAAACAATATCCGGACAAAGTTTGGGAGTTGGAGATGCCTTGGATTATCTGGGGAGTATGCCGACTTATATAGATGACCTGTACCGACTGATTCATGGGCAAGTCGCATGAGATTCTTCACGACTGGAGGTGTCGACGCGGACTGCGGAGTCAAGTGAAGCATGGAGAAACTGGTTAGGCTCGTCAGACGTTTGGTGGTATTGTATGACATAAAAGTGTGCGCCAGAGGGTTGTGTGATGGTCGACGGTGGAATCTTTGCAAACAGTCTATGTCTATTTTCACAGCATCATCACGGATGACCACAGGTACCAATCCCTTAGGTCTTCCTCCTCACAAGACCCTTCCAGTAGTCGAAGCTGTTCTCATCACTCTGCAGCGTCCACACCTTGCCCGTGCCCCTACCGGCCGAGTCGACCTCTTCGGCACGCAACATGCCCCAGTCGCGGGTGATTCCCAGGACCCTCGCCTTGACGCCGGCCTCGGCTTCGAGCGTCACGGCCTGGCCGGTGTGCAGCCAGTGGCGGTAGTATCTACCCTCGAGGTCGCGGGAGAAGCCCTCGCGGAGGAACTGGGCGTGCACGGCCTCGATACGGGTGAGGATGCGGGCTAGGAGCGACTCGAGGTGAAGCTCTGGGACGCCTGGGGGGAGGAGGTCTGAGATGGAGGTGGTAGGACGAGGGTTGTTGGTGTTGATGCCGATGCCAAGGACGATCTGGTAGGAGCCGTTCGAGTAGAGACACTGCGATAGAATACCGCCGATCTTGACGTAGGAAGGCTTGTCTCCCGGCTTGGTCGGGTCAAGAGCATCTGGCCAGGGTAAGTCAAAGTTCGTCTCGATAGAATGGGGACTTACAAATGTCGTTGGGCCACTTCAACTTGACTGGGATGTCACCGTACCCGCGGTCGTACGACTGCACAGCCTCGACAATAGCAATCGCTGCAATGTACTGAATGAAAACAACCGGTCGACTCACGGCGAGATGGGCCGGGTGGTTGATGACGGTGGAGAAGATGAGGCATCCAGGTGGCGATACCCAGACGTTGGATCCACGGCCTCTGCCGGCGACTTGGGTGGATGCGCAGACTGTGAATCCAGTAGAGAGCTTGGACAGGATTTTGGGGTTTCTGATAGATCTCAGTATTTGATTCATGGATCAGCGTCGTTCACAACGTACTTTTCAAGAATGGTGTTTGTGCTGGTCAACACCTCGCCGTACATGAGCAGGCTCCCCCACTCCTCCGCATCAGACTCGATCTGCTGGTAGCGACGCAAGCTGGAGAAGTACAAGCCGTGATTGAACTGCGGCGTGAGCTTGGGGTGAGGATGACCCTTTTCATGGGGCACGATCTTCTTGATGACCTTGGTGTAGTCGGTGATGCCGGCCGACGACGCGTCAGACTCACCCTGCTGACTCAAGGACTCCTGCAGTCCCTCAACGCCCCAGATGGTCTCCTCGTTCTCGATGTGGAACGTATCGCCCTCGCCTCTGATCCACTCCTCGCCGTTCTCCTTGTCGATGATGTCGGCCATGTCGGCCAGGAGCTCGGACACGCCCGTTTCCTCGAGCGAGGAGAGGTGAAGGCGAGACAGGGAAGGAACGCCGGCATCGTTTTGGCTCACTTCAAGGCCGAGTTTGGACAGGCATGCCTTGAGGAAGTCGACGCGGGACTTGTCCTCGTCTGTCAGCTTGCTGATCAGCTCGGCGTAGTCAGGGATGGCTGGGTGGGGGTGCAAGTTGACTGCGGCGAACCTGAAATCGTCAGTTTTGTAAACTTGAGATGAGATCAAGGAGTTCTTACTCGGGGTGAGGACCCGTCATAATCGCCTTGCCGCTTCCAACGCTGCAGAGAACGACGGCGGCCTTGCCATCTCCGCCGTCGACATCGGTCTCGTCTTCGTACGTCGCCAGCACCTCGACCTTGTTGGTCTTGATCGAGGCCGCATCGACAAAGATTCCGCCTCCGTTATAGTAGGACAAAGTCTCGGCTGGAACGTCATCCTGGCCAAACGCCTCCTTGGCGACCTTCAACCGCACCACCCGCGCGCCCTTCTCGCTGGCGTACTCGAAGCCCTTGAAGGCGCCTCCGCGACAGGTCCCCGGGAAGAAGCCCAGCTCCCGGCTGCCGACGACCTCCAGGGGCGGGTTGCCGACCTCGAACTCGCACCTCCGGCTGCCGTAGTAGCCGCCGGCGCAGAAGCCCAGGAACGCGCCGCCGCGGCGCACAAAGTCGCTGATGCGGCGGTTGCCCTCGCCGTTGAGGGCCTGGCAGTAGCCGAGATCGGCGCCGCCGGGGAACACGAGCAGCGCGCACGTCGACGGCCACGGCTCCTTGATCAACACCGTCTCGGCGATGGGAATGACGGCGTAGTTGGGCGAGAGCAGGCGGCGTAGAGTCCAGATGCAGTGGCGGACTGACTCGACGGTCGTGCCGACGCCTTTCCGCGCAGAATGAGCGTGAGCTTGAGCACGAAGCGGAGAGAAAGAGGTCGGAGAATATTAACCTGTGTAGACGAGCACATTGAGCTTGCTGGGCGCCATGGTCGCCGACGTCGAGTGTCCAGGGTTGCGGATGATGGAATATTTGGTCGTCACTTGATCTCGTTCCCGCCTCGGCCAATTTTCCCTCTTCTCACACCACTTGACGCTTGTTTCTCCTCGTCCAACCAACACGACCCGTCTCACGAAAAGACAAAGCCACGGCAATCGCACAATAAAAGATGTCAAAGGAAGAAAGCGACGCCAAGCAGAATGCGGCTGCGGAAGAAGACGACGACGAGCCGGATGAGTGGTAAGTCTGCGACCTCCGCGAGAAAGCGCTGGCGTCCGTTCTGGTCCTGGAGCCACAGCCACTAAGCCGAGGCCTTTTTTCCGTTGCAGGGAGAAGCGGATCTTCAGCACCGGATGTGCAGGTAAGTCGCGACCCAACGCCGGGGAAAAGTGGCTGAAAATGCCTCGGATATTTACGTGGAAAGGGACAAATGCTGGTCCCCTTTGGTATTCCGCGAGTATCTGGGGGCTTGTGAAGCTGGTTATGGGAGAGATGCTGACATGCGATGTATAGACGAGAATAGCAAGATGACGGACTGCTACTTTGAGAAGAAGGATTGGCGCGCCTGTGCTGAGGAGGTGAGTTTACCGTTTGCCATGCTTCAATTTATTCTGCCTTTATATGCTATCTGATAGCAACCGCCCTTCAATTGCTCCTTTGCGAGATTGCGCCGTCGAGCGTTGAGCTGACTGACAGTGTGGCAGATGGAGGAATTCAAACGGTGCTGGAAGTCGCATGACAACGACAAACGGACAGACACCAAGGACGCTTGAATCTGGCGAGGCAATGAGACTTGTAAGATATTTCAAAGGCGAATGTATTACTAGGAATGGGGTTGGTATAGGATTAATCGCAACTTCAGTTATCCTCTCTACTGACGCATACGTTCGGGCTTTACTTGTATATACCAGTGGGGTCACGGTTAACACGACTGGTGACAGATGGATATCGACCATGGAATCAACCCAAAACTACGAAAAAGCGAACCACTCCGAAGAGATACGTCTTGGATTATCCATTTGTCCTTCTGCTCCCTCTCCCATCTCTACCAAGGCAGCGAGAGGTAGGTCGCAGTTGAAGCCATTGCCAACCAGTCCCGTATCCACCGTGACGACGCGGATCTTTTATTCCCCGATACGCCCGGTGCAGCAGCTCTCGAAATTATCACCGGCGCTTTTTCACGACTCAGCTCGAAAACGCCACTGCCCATCGCGAGAGCCGGGCCGCCAACTCTCCCTCTCCCCCCCAACGACTCCAACCTCCATCGCCATGCTCGTCTCTCGCCGGACCTTCGCTACGGCCCCGAGCCTTCGTCTCTGCGGCGGCCGCTCAATTGCGGCTTCTCTGCTGCGGGCGTACTCATCCGACGCAGCCTCGTGGCCCAAGCCCACCGAGACAGCCAAGTCCTCCGAAGCGGCCTCTTGGCCCAAGACTCCTGCGGCCTCCCCGCCCAGCACGCCGTACTCGTCGAGACCGAGGCCATCCGTCAAGCCCAGACCGCGGCCAGCTCCCAGACTCCCCGCCTTCGCCAGCAAGGGCGGCCCGATCCCGAAGGCCGTTCCCCGGGCGCCTGGTGCTGCGTCCGCAACGGCATCGCAGTCACCTCCGGCCGGTGCCGTTCCTCTGGCGTCTGCTTCCGCAACAGCGGCGGGGTCAGCTTCTCCTCCGGCGTCTGCTCCCGCTCCCGCAATAGCAACCAAGCTGCCAGCTGCGGCCAATACTTTTCAACGGATAAAATACGAGCTCCCCAGCGCTCAAAGGACCACGCCGATTACGGTCCAATGGGTACCAATCACCCCACGGCCACAAGCCCTCCCCGCCAAGGACCCTAATCAAGACGTCGACTGGGAGAAGAGCTACAAGGGCCTGGCGACGAGTCCCGTCACGCAAGAGCAGTTCATCGTTCTGGCGAGACCGACCGAGGTCGAAGACATCGAGGTCAAGCCTGACGGCATCATCTACATGCCCGAGATCAAGTACCGCCGCAGGCTGAACGAGGTGTTTGGGCCCATGGGATGGGGCATTGTTCCTCGAGGCGAAACCGTGGTTGGGAAGGAGATTGTGACGCGCGAGTACGCCCTCATCGTTAATGGATGGTACGTATTATTTTGCCCTACGTTTTCCGATCCTCGACTAACTGTTTGACTCTAGCTTCGTCTCACAAGCCATGGGCGTCAACAACTACTTCAGCACCGAGAGCATCCCGCAAGCCGTCGAGGGCGCCAAGTCCAACGCCCTCATGCGATGCTGCAAGGACCTGGGCATAGCATCGGAGCTTTGGGATCCTTTATTCATCCGCTGGTTCACCAAGACGCACGTCACCACCCACTGGGCCGAGCACACGATTACCAAGAAGAAGCGCCGCTGGTCCTTCAAGAAGGGTGAACCGGCCGAGGTGCCGTACCCGTATAAGATCACGTCTCAGGTCACATGAGAAAAGACAACCATGGGGACGCGTCGGCCTTGGAGAGCGAGTAATGACCTGTGGAGAGCTAGATGGAAAATGTATGTATAAATACCACGGACATGGAACGGCAATATTGTATGATATATTTGGACGGTTGCCGGGTTGGTTGCAACAGAGCGGCGATATACCAAGACAAGACACTGGCGCATGGGTGAATTGTGTGAGTAAAAGCAGGGGCTCGCAGGATTCAGCGGAGTTTGCTTGGCCCCCAGATCTAGATCGGGGAGGAGACCCAATTCCAGTCTATACCTATACATGAAATGATTTCGTTTGTACCAATAGTCCGGTGCTAATTCACAGGGCGGAAACCCGTAACGATGTAACCCAAACCAGAGACACCGGGAAAGCCCAAAGCATGGCCAAGCCAAGTCTACCAAAACCCAAACTCCCGTGAGGTCCAGTCCTTTGGGGGAGGTTTCTATCTCTCCGCGCCCGAGCTAGTGCCTCCATGGGCATCGCCGCCTCCCCATCCCCAAGGCGCCCAAGAAGAAGAACCGGCTGGTGTAGCACCGCTTGGGCCAACATTGCGTCGCCGGACAGGGCCGTCGTCTTCGGTGCCGCTCTCGGCGTCAATCTGCTCAAAATCGGCCTCGCTTCGGCTCTTGGTCAGTCCAGCCAAGCCACTAAAGACGCTGGACGGCCGCTGCGTGGGATCGTCGTCCTCGGTGCCGTCGAAGGTCATGGATGGGGCGCGGCGGTGGGTGCTGGCGCGTTCCTGGGCACGCTGGGCCTCGGCGCGCAGCCCCTGGGCTTCGCGGTCGAGGGCCGACAGAACAATGTTGAGGCGGTCGCGCTGGGCACTGATAAAGGTCATCTTCTCGGTGGAGTCGCGCAGGTGAGGCGGGATCAGGGCCCCCGAGTTGGAGACGCCGCGGTTGGCTGCGGTCGTCGAAGATGTAGCCCCGGAGCCGCTCGCCGTAGCGCCGGAGGTGGTGGCGGCGGCGACGGCGCTGGAGAGGAGGCTGTAGAAGTCGGAGCCGGGGTTCGCGGCGCCAGTCCAGTTGGCTGCTGGGACGCTAAACCGGGATAGCAGAGACTGGGTGTAGCTCTGGGGGCCGGAGGCCTGAGGAGTAGGAGGCGGGGTGGGCTCGGAGGGAGGGAGGCCGAGCACCTTGGTCTTGAAGGCCTCGATGGCCAGCTTGAGGTAGGCGATGCCGGCGTCGGTGAGGCGGTTGTGGGCGCTGGTGATGAACTCGTCGATCTGGGATTCGTTTTCCGTGAGGAAGGGGTGGACCTTTTCCTCGTAGAGGTAACGAGCGCCCTGGGTCTGGGGGAGGATGAGGTAGAGGAGGAAGAGGAGGCGGAAGTAGCCGTAGAAGGGGATCCTGGACGAGGAAGTGAGGTTAGCAAAGGGTCTCAGATTTGTGTCGCGTGCCAGCGATTGTAGGTGCGAGGCCAAGTGGCAGACTCAAGGAGAGCCTAGAGGGACAGACGAACCAGGAGACGATAAACCAGACCCAGGATTCAGCGAGGAGAAAGCAGCTGATGACCACCCAGTACATGAGCCAGGGCGTCAGTTCGGCGGGATCATGCGTCTTGAGGGCCTTGTAGGAAGCGAAGATGGGGAAGAGGAAGGAGGCGACGGAGCTATCGAGGCCTGCGTGTCAGCTAGGGGCATGTTCCTGGTGCATCTGGAGGTCGGATGCCGCCATCGCGGCGAGCTGGGTGCTTACGATAAGAGCATGGGCAGGAGGTCGAACATGATTGCGACAGGCCGATGGGCGGACGACGAGAGCGAAGCTGTGGCTGCCCTCTCGTGCGCTTGGCGATATGTGATGCTGATGCGGTTGCGCACACGGATGGGAGGAGACGAGCAGAGGAGGAGGGTCGTCGTCCTCTCTGAAGTAGAGAGAAGCTGAAGGAGAAGAGGAAGAAGAAGTTAAAACGGTGCCGGCAAGGCTGGCTCGGTGAGATGATCAAGGGTCCCGTCCTCTGTCAGCCTCTCAGGTGGGTGCCCGCCCGGAGCATCCGCTCTGAATCCCTGTCGGGGCGAATAAATACGGCGGCGATCCGTAGGGCGGGGGCGGGGCTGCTCGCGCTTCGGGGGGAGCTTGGGGGTCTCACGCGGACGGCCAGTGGGTAGTGGGGGGGATGACCCGCTGGGCGGCCACTGAGGCGAGCTGAAAGCAGCGAGGGCGCAGGGGAGCTGATCACCTGGAGGGTACCTGGAGCGAGGTACTGCGCGCTATGGCCGGATGCGTACGGCGAGGATTGCTGGGCGCGATGACGTCGGTATGAGATGCGGTGCGAGCTAAAGATGGATGGTTCTTTCACGATGGAGGCATGGGTGTTTTCATTGTGGCCTGCCGCTGGCCTTTTGTATTCACAAAGGAGTCTCAAAAGAACACAGTTTCTATCTGTATCTCACCCATGTGACTGTCTATCGGGATTGCGTGGCTCTGGACAAAGTGTCTAGTTCCTAATTGTCGGTGCCTAGAGGTGGCCCAAGAAGCTAAACTGAGTCATTCGCAGTACCCGGATCTCACGCATCATCTTTATTCAGCGGCTCTTTCCTAACGAGTATACAAGCTCCTTCGCCAAAGTCTCAAGTGAGGTAAGGTGAGGTTCCCACGCTGGGTAGGTACGTACGTATAGTGGTTGATCAGATGCCCGCCCTGATTAAATTTGACCTAACAAATAAAATAAATAACAATTATTATCGAAGATAAATAGTAAAAATTAGTCTTTGGAAAATTCTTATTCCTAAACCCCTTTATTAGGATTATAGATAATTATCTCAGAATTCAGATATATAGTTGGGTAGGTGCCCGTCGAATGCTAATGGCTAGTAGAAGTTCTCCGACGAGGTCGACCTGCAAACCTTCCACCCCCAACATCCTGTGACAACCATGGCAACCCGCTCGACTGCACGCTTCGAGCGTGAGCAGGTCAACGATGACATGCTTGAAGTCGCATCTCAACTCTTCACCGAGAATTACGGAATTTGGGCCCGGACTGGCGGGCGCCCCTTTGGTAAACCAGGTAAGTTGTTGAGACCGCAGCCTTAACATGCAGCTCATCAACATGAGTAGGTACTCGCATCAAAATGACCGCACCCCGCCTACGGGCTCAGTGTCTTCCCGAAGGATCGCGCAGCTGCTATGTGAGAGCCACTGTCGACGGCGTCCTGGCAGGTCACGTCTTTGCGTGCCGCTGGCGATACGGAGATCTTCAGGTTTGCTGGATTACCCAGCTCGTCGTTCATCGCGACTATCGTGAGCGCCGCCTCGCAACGACTCTCCTCCTGGCACTCCACGACCCCGATGACGACGTCTTTGGCATTATGAGCTCTCACCCGGCTGCCTGTAGGACCCTTGCGAAAGCCTTTGGAAGTAAGCATTTGTTTTTATTTTTTGTTAGGCCTAACTAACTGACTCGGGTTTCGAATTTTCCCGTACCCCCTTGGATTTCGCCCGGCAACACACTGCTGGCGTTCTCGCAGCATCTCCAGTCAGCTACATCAAGGATGCGAAACCATGCGGAAGCCTCTTCCACCCTGCGGACACAACTGGGCTTACGTGTGGTGTCAATTCGAACTTTTTTGTCGATCATGCAGAGCCCCTTGAGGCCCTCAAGCGGGCGAAGGAGTCCAGAGGATGGCCGCTTGGCGATTTGCCTGATGGACACGAGTTTCTGCTCTTGTTTGACGTGGCGCACAGAAGGGGATCACCACAGGGTTCAAACTAGGAACAGCTATGGTCAGATAATGATGGTGTTAGATATTCAGGGATAGAAAGTGGCGGCATCACAGAGAGCTTTGAGAAACAGAAAAAAGTGACTTTTGCTGGTTCGCTCCAGCAAATTGCGTGGCTTGGTAGAGCCAGGTGAGCTCTGCCGGTACCACCTCACTCTAGGTAAACTACCTACCTACGCATTCATGTAGTGTGATGGGGCCAACGGTCCACCTGGAGTTTAGTACCGTAGGGTAGAGCTTTTGCTAGCTTAAGAGGTCTCTACTTAAGGCGTTAAGTCAGCTTGAAAAATAAGACGGCATGCTTTTTCCCTTCTTTAATTGATATGACACCTTTAGTCTCAATACACTCTTCACTACAGCTGTCGCAGCAGCTCTTATCGATATTTTCCCTTCTTTTCTTCTCAGAGGCATTTAGAAACAATTGATCAATTGTTCTCTCTATCTGCTGCCCCCAGGAGACTGCTTTTCTGTTGTCTTTATCTCTTATCCCTCTTTAGCGCCTACCCTAAGGAAGGGTGTGGTCTGAACTAAAGACCTCTCCCACCAACAAAGTAGATCTTGATGGACGGCTCTAATACCATAAGTTTAATGGGTCTTAGACTAGATTTATATAGAACTAGTCGACGCCTCATGAATCCCTGCCCTCTATCGTGCTAATTTGGGAGGTGATATAGCTGACTTTGCCTTCCGCTTTGTCCCTCGATCAGAGTCATTACTATCCGACCATGACTCGTAGGCTTCCTCGTCCTCTTGGTCAAGAACTTCACACAGCCATTCATGGCGGCGCATTCCCTGCTCGGTGGCTGGAAAACCGCCCCGACGAAGCCACATCAAGACCCGTAGAGTTGCCTGAGCAGAGGCGTCGTCGTCTTCGGGGTCGAAATCATCGAAAGGGACCACGATATCCCGATTGCGGTCGGCATCGATGGAAATGATTTCAGAATTTCGTGGATCTGGGCAGTACAGGGGATCGAGAGTCTGAACTGGAGCGCTGTTGGAAGATGGATGCACGTCCTGGTTCCCATTAGTGCAGCACCATGTCCACAATTTGTATGTGAGACCGTGACCGCCACAATTCACATGCAAACGAACCTCGATCTCAGTATCCTCTACTGCGGTCTCTCCGAAAGGCTCCTAAGGCGATAAGTGCCTGCGCGATTGACGGTCCTCGCTGGCAAGGTAGAGAAGACGACACTCATCTGACCGTTGGATCATGCCAGCTCTTGGATTCCGAGACAAGGGTAGTTGGATAAAACTTTGGAGGGTTTGTGTCCACACAGCTGAGTGCAGCTCGATGTCGCTAATTCCAAGACGAGCGCGTCGAAGAAGATTCGTATGAGCACCTGTAATAACTGCTCCTAACCAAAGAAAACTGAGCCGAGGATTCCTGCGAACGAGAATGTGTGTGAGGGCCTGGCTGTCGGGCCGCACACTATCTAGAACTGCGAAAGCGCCTTGTAACCAGGGGCTAGCAAGATTGCAAGGCACACTGGGGTCGAAGAAGATGCTTGAAAGAAGAGCTGAGATGCCACTCAGGTTACAGCTCAGGGTAAGGAACTTGTCCAGCTGAGGTGTCGGAATTGCACGTCGGTCTTCATTCCCAGGCCGCACAACGTCTCGTAATCCTTTCCTGTGAAGAATACGAGGAGCCCGCAACGAGACTCGCCGTCCCTCGAAATTCGCGAGTGGGAGAAGTAGGGCCGTGGCCAAAGCCATACGGCTCTGGTCCTCAATTCCATGAAGAGTAGTATACTCCAACAGATACCGCATAGCTACGGCGAAGGATGCAGCGGGCGAAAATGACGATGTCGAAGGGACCTCAGAGGGACGGAGGTGTCCCGAAAGGACAAAGATGGGCGGCTTTGGGAGTCGGACAGACCAGGGAGAACGCAGTTCCTGGCGAGGAGTATGGATGGTGGCGAGCCAACCTTCCTGAGGAGCTAGGACAGATGCCCACCATCGTGCTGCATCTTCATCGACGGTACCGAGATCCACAGATATTGGAACATGCTGTTGACTAGACGGTAGGTCTGTGAAGTCGAAGCCCTTGGCGCGACTGCTGGTATACTCCAGCGGTTTCGTTCCTGGAATTAGCTCGGCCCACCGCGCTGACATAACGTATGCCCATGCAAGAACCAAGATCATGATGTGGTTGTCATCCTTTTTGCACGGATTGGGAACGTACGGTTGCCGATCTCTAGAGACACAAACCGTTGTTGGCTTGGAAACTGACACAGGTATCCGAAATGGGAGTTGGAAAGAAGGCAGCAAACAGGATGAAGACGCCTCTGTTTTTGTGTCCCAGGTCGAGACCCCACTGGCAAACAGATTGCCGCCCGAGTATTCCAAGAGAAGCTGCTGGGGGAAGGCAGGGTGGTCAGGAAAGGCACTCTCAACCTGCTCAAGGCAATGGGCTGGGAGGCTGGGCTTCTCCGAGACTGGGGCGCGAAGGTGAGACCAAGCAAGGAAGCCCATTTCGAACAAGGCTTTGGAGGTTTCTTCGCTTGGGCTAACGGCATCCTCCATCTTCGGAGATTGAAGTTTTACCAAACTGCAAGAGCAAGCCTTTCTGAGGTGTCGTGGGGAAATGTAGGATATTTGCTTTCGGGGCTGTAACTTGAGAGGAGAAATTGTCGTTGGTTGAGAGACAGAACGGCCGGTTTTGACGCGGCTTGAGCCACGTGACGAAGGAATAGGTGACGGTAAACCAACTCAGTTATTCTATAAATACCCTGTAATAATATGTATCACAGCGAATAGATACAGGAATGGCCGTTTGGGAAGCGCTAGTACTATTCTTGGATATACCGAGCGGTTATCAACCCGGAACTGTTACTTGTGTCTATCAACTCTGCAGTATGTCCCACAGGTCCGGTTAGTCGGGATTTTGTCGAACCGGTAGACAAACAAACGACATACACAAATATCTTCTAATGAAGTTCAATCTGAACTCGAGCTATTGGCCCAGACTGGACTTCCTGGGGTTGACAGACTCGCGTAAACTGCCTTGACCTTGGGATGTACGGTCACCTTGCTGGGACCAAAGTTCAAAACCTGTAATCCCTCCATCCTTGTCGCCCATGAGAGTGCAACTTACGCTTGGCCAGCCTCAAACACGCGGTCAAGATCTACCTTAACATGGTCTAGTGTCTGACTCTGTGACTTGTGGATACTCATCACCCATGCGAGCAGTAGAGGGACTTGGACCCAAGAGGATGGAGTCGACCATGGATATTTCGTCAATGATCAAGACTTTAACGTCCAACCAGCGGCGTCGCTTAAGCCTAGTTATAGACTGTTCCTGGTGAGCTTTACGGTAGACAGGGAAATGCTAAATTCTGATGCCCATAAATTCATTGGTTTGGGATCACTGGCTCAAGGCATGTTGGCAGGAGACAAGGGCCAGCGTTGCCATGTGGGAAGAGCAACGGCAGTCATCATGCTTGCTACGAACTTCCGTTTCCCTAAAACCAGCCAAAAAATGACACGATATATCATTATTTACGTAACTTTCGCGTAGGTAAATAGCACTGCGATGCAACATGCTCTATGACAAACCCAGCGGGTAACTGGGAAGGCCGCTGTTGCAGGTCACTGTCAACAGTTGGACATTTGAACAAGCGCCACAGGATTCAATCAGAGGATGTGTGAGGGAAGCATTAATTGGGGAGAAGCGGACAACTATGCGCGCCCATCAGCTCATTTACTCGGGGACATTACTAGCCAGCCATTCACCGCTCAAACTAGAACGCCGGGTAGCATGGCGCCGTGTTGCCTCATCCCTTTGTAGCGGGGGAGGAGATGGATCGTATGCTGGCTACGTTCGCGGTCGGCAATTGTGTGCACATCTGAAGTTCCTCTATGGCGATTGAACCATAACGTAGTATGATACAGCCCATTCTGTGACGTCGCAAATTGCAATGCCAAGCGCAAACAGCTCCATTGCAAGCATGCCTTTAGTAGGAGCCTCCTCACGCTTAAACCGGTTGCTTGTGTCCTCAGAAAAGGCCGCGTGATGGTACATTTCGCCGTCAAGCCAAAACCCCACCGCCTTTAGAACAGACTTGGTGTTGCCCTTCTCTGTATACCTCTACACAATGCTGAGACCTGTTTGTCTGATTAGCTCCAGTCTAGCCCTGGTGACATGGGCTGCCCCTCCATGACTGGAGATCTTCTCCGTATCCCCGTAGCCTCGGTTCCTTAAAAAGCACCGACGAAGTAACATTCGGGTTAAGCTTATTTAATAAGGTAGCCAGTGATCGCCATCGCCTGCCGGACATACGTAGCGTACTACGTAGTAGGCCGCCAGACCGTTGCCCATCGACCCATGTTTTGTCAGGGGGGCGGCCCGTGACTGACAGCACGGGAGGAAAGCCAATCAGGAGGGGAGACGTTGCCGAGTAAATACACCTTCCTCTTGGCTGTCGGCGGCCTCGGACCTCGTTAAAATTACAGTGCATCCGGATTGTGAAATCGCTGTCGCCTTTTCAACCTCGGACTTGTACCTGGAAGTAATCACGCCAACGAAACACCAATGCAAGTACGGCCTGCTACAAGCTGCGGGCTGCTGGTCGCCGAGACCTTTCATTTGAATGGTAGTGATTGGTCGCGCTGGTAACGCAACCCCTGGCGGAGTCCTGCCCCTGCGTCCTGCCCTGGCTCGTGGCCAAGAAGCGGCAGGGATCCGTCTGAAACGAGCGCCTGTCGCCATGATCATCTTCTGGGTTCTGGGTTCGCTCATTGGTGTGTTTCAAGTGCCAAGAGCGCAAGTCGCCCAGGAGTAGATCAGTCAGTCCCTGGATTCCTGGGCCGTTCCTGTCTTGTGCGCCACGCTAGTTGCCGTCAACCAGTCATCTCCCGCTGGTACCTGGTTCCTGATCTCTGCCGCCACAGACGTGGCCGCCATGTATTGGCGTCCGAGTCCCAAGAGCCCTGGAATCAAGAACTGTTCCTATTTTGGCCGCCGAATTCAGACTCGTCATGCCCGTATCAACCTGCCAAGCCTGAGTTGAGGAGGCGAGGTGACGACACCCGGCGGGCGTGGGACTTGCCTCCTGACTCTGTCAGGCTGTCCAACATCCACAGGTATTAAACCACATTGCCTCCCTCCAAAACGGCGTCTCTCTTGCTTTCAGTTCTCATCCAAAATCGACCTCGACAGTTTTCTCTGTATCTCCATTGCAGTACACACTCCGTTGCAGTATACGCTCCGTTGCAGTACACGCTCACCGCTCGCCTACACGACACCCAGCCCAAGAAGAGATGGGCAGGTCGTCCCAGCTCAGAAACAACTTGGAGGGAATATCGCTCTGGGTGTTGACTGCCTCCTTTACCGCGGCGTGCTTCGTCCTTCAGAATGCCCCCTACCTTCGCGTTTACCTGACTGAGGAGTGCGATAAACTGACGTCGCCGTCTCAATGGCGCACATACGTGCTGCTGTTGGTCAACGTGGCCGCCGGTATCCCGACTGCAGCAGCAACACACTTCCGAACCGGGCTGCTGGCGCCGCCGAAAGCGACATATCAACCAGGAGACCGCAAGTATATTGGGATCGATACCCTGACCGGCTTCAAGGCTGCCACCCTGTTTCGGCAAACACTTTATTTGTTTCTTCTCCTCACCCCTTTGCCGGTCTTCTTTTTGTATGTCACCATCTCTTCATGACTTATGACTTTCTTGTCCGTTCAAGGCTGATGCCGCGACTAGGTCTAATAGCTTTCTCTTCATCGCCTCGCCTACGTACAACTCTTACGAACTAGTCGTCTCGACATCCTTCTTCGACGGCAATCATTTCGACTTGTCAAACCTGACTATGACGCGGTTCCCAATGGGCGAAGAGCAGACCATGCCGTCCCGTGACCTGCTCTGGCCGACTGCATATGGTGGTGTTGAGTGGCTGAACCAGTCGCTCGCGGATCTGCAGCAGGACCCAAGGATATGGACGAACCTCTCCCGCGACGAGTGCCTGGGAGAATTCAACTCGGCCCGGTATGAGAATTATCGGACTCTCCTGCTTGTGACAGACTTTGACCAGGGCAACGACTCTCCACTGCCGAACAACTCTGCCTTGGCCGTCGGTGTTCTGCCGGGATACCGCCTCACGTCCGTGTCGTCCTCACTGGTCGCGCTGTGCCCCGATGCGTACCTCGAAGCCTACCCTCGTGTCGAGGCGCCTGAGATGGCGCCGTTTATGCCCCAAGATTTAGATTGGAGACCCTTCGAGTTCGAATATGCCGACCCCGCCGAAGCCGAAGCCTGGGTAACGCGCAACTCGTCAATCTCCAAACGACATTCGCAGGCTTTCATGGAATATTCGCGAGATTCAACCTCGGATCCCATGCCACGCCTAGACCTCTGCTACCAATACTGGGCCGACGCCGACAAGTGGAAGCTCGAGGACGGTAACCGGACTTACATGGCCCCCCGCGCGGACCTCAAGTACTGCCTGGCCGAGCCCATGACGGGACAAACGTGCCAGGTTATCAGCAGCCACACAGTGCTCTTGGCCCTCGCTATCATTCTGTCAGTCATGCTCTGCGCCATGACGGGTGCTCTGTTTCTGCGGTTGTGGGAAGAGGGAGTCCACACCTGCGAAGAGGCTGAGGAATGCTTCAAGCGCGCCCTGCCCGTGCCTCTACAGTCGGTGGAAGAAGGAGTCCACACATCTGAAGAGGCGAAGGAGCGCTCTCCAGCGTGGAACCATGCGGGATGGTGTGGGCAGGGCCGTTTCAAGGATTCACCTTGGCCGTCGGATCTCCTTTACCTCGTACTTTTCATCTACATCTGGGTTCTGTGGGGTACCGCAGGGCACCAATCCAACCGCGAACTGCACAAGGCAGACCTAGGGTATGTTTGACACCGCCTCACTATAACCACGTCTTCACTAGCTAATCATTTGCTCCTCGAACTTCAGAGACGATACATGGCTAAGCAAGGTAAGGATACCCAACCACCCTCGGCTTTCTATTTAGTGCCGATTCCGAAGCCCCGTGCTGACATGTCCTGCGTCTCCTAGGCAAGCGTCAAGTACACCATGATCCACATCTTGTACGAAGTCGTCTGGTTCTTCCACCTCAACGCTTACAAGAGGCGAGAACAGTGGAACACCGACCCTCTCCGGCCGTCCTGGCGTGGATATCTCGTCGAAATCTTCCTGGGACTCGTCAAGACCATGATGCATTTCGCTTTCACGCTGACTTTCGTCCATGACCTGTATATTGTCATGCCACTGGAAAGCAGTCCGGGCACCCTTGACAACGGAGTGTTTACCTCTGCCACAATCTTGGGTATCTCGACATTCAACAGTCGCGACAGCTTGGCGATTTTCGGGTTCGTTTGGTTTAGCACCGTCTTTGTTTTCCTTCCCACGGCTATTGTGGACGGACTTCTTTGTTGGGTAACGACCCTGGACATGAATGAGATAGGCCACTCAACTTGGATGCAGTTGAACCCTTTGATGTTTTTTGTTATGGCCGTTGATTGGTATAAGTGCCGGAAAGGGTAGGCACATCCGAGTCTTCCTTCAGCTTCCGTGCCTCCTGGTGGGGCTAGGAGCTCAGATCTTGAGAGCAAAGTCAGAGTGTAGATTAGAATGTCGGCGTAAATAGGTAGCATATGGTCCTTCGAAGAATAGAAATGAACATCTCCACAGACAAAAACATGATAGTATCATCGGCTTGACATCACTTTAGATGAGCGCATCTAAATTACTCGTCGAGCCGGCTACGATGCCTGAGGTAGGTGACCCAGTGTGACTCATGGAGGCGATCCGGCCGATGAGAGGCCTGGCCTACCTGACAGACGGCTATCTTCTGGAGAGAGCAGTTATCTTCAACTTCAACTTCCACCTTCGTCCTCGAATTCAGTCCAACTCGCTATAATTCCGCATCAAATACAACCTGGATGACTAATGTTTCCCTGTCCGCCCCCAAAGCTACAACTCCCAGGCTACAATGCCTGAGCCACAACTTATTAAGGCCACAATCGATCCGCGAACCACAATAGTGGAGTCACAAGGCTCGTTCCTCCAGGCATCAAGCGGGGCGAGAGGGCGTTCTCATGTTCACAATATTTATACAAACCATATCCCAATTCAAGTCAGTATTCCACTGCTTGCATTAGAAATGCCTTCGATCATCTACTTGCACGATATTGAACGCCAGGCCGGCCTCAGTGCCCGGGCTTTCCCACAGGTCACCGAAAACATGCCAGACATTCGAGATCGAGCGGGACAAGGCTGCTTCCTCTGCCTAGAGAGTCATAGACAGGAACAGTATGCTGCTCTCGTACCGTGTCTTCGGCCAAAAAATGCCCGCCGGGTGGTAAGAATATCGCACATTTTTACCGACAACCCGAAACCCGAATATGAGAAGATGATGCCTTGGGACAGTGCCTGCGAGTCAGATAACGATATATACCGAAGATTGGTGGACACATGCTACCAGTATCTGGGCTGGTGGAAGAGATGGCTGCCTTACTACGGAATCACTGAAGTGCTAGAGGTCAACGTAAGATTGAATACGTCATGCCAGTGGACAAACCTGACGTTGGAAACACAGTTTCAATTTTCCGGTATTGTCGAACCGGATGGGCGCTACCCTATCCGGATGGATTTAGTGAAGCCCGACAACGTCCGAGAGGAGTGTGAGGAGATTATAGCACGGCATCCAACCGGTCCACACTTGGATATTAACAATGCATGCTTGGACGACTATACTCACAGTGACCAATGCCTCATTGGTATGGAGGAGTGGTCCCAACCATGTATCAGGGTTGACGCAGAGAAAGCAAAACAGCGCCACAAGCGGCTTCGGTTCCTGTCGCACCTGAAGGACTGCGCCCGGGACCCGGCGAGAGCCAATGGCCTGCATACGTTGGAAGGTTTGGCGCAAGAGAGTTGCATCTACGACACAAAGTATTTATAGCGTCTTCTCTTTCTATCCCCCTCTAACATTATGGGAGCAATCATATTCTGACCTAGTTAGGGGCCCGAACCAAGTCGCGCGGCCTCTTCCGCATCAAAGATTCCAGGGAACAGTTCGCATGAGAGGCCTACACCTCGTTCTAGGATTGCAGAAAGATCGACTGAAGATAGAATTGCCATTCAGATTATCATGTGTCTGGTTTGGAATTGCCCCCATATGGCTTTGCCTGGTCCTCTGGAGGGGGGGAGGGGGAGATTGGGGAACTGCACTTGCATTCGCGCAAGTTGTTGCAGCGTCCATTTCCATCCTCATTGCCTATGTCCAACAGTAGTCTGGTATTGAAGCAACTGCTGGCCATAGGACAAGTCAACGTCATCGGTTCGAAGGATGGGCTGGCTGCATGTTGCTAAGCTGGGCCGATGTATGAGACTGTCATGGAAGTTCTACAGCGGTCGCGCAGGGACCAGTCTCTTGTGTTCTTCTTTGAGTATATACACACAGACAGGTATAAGAAAACCATTGTACTGGTACAGTTCGGATACTGCGGCAACAGTCGAGTATTCCTGTTTTCAGACTGTCGAACTTATTTGGGAAGCCTCCACTACCATCGACTGAGCTGACAGGAGAGTTTGTATTGCCATGACGGAAGTCGCTGGACTCTGACCCGAAGATGATCTGGAAGCATCCGAGTTCCAGTTGGCAGATGTTTCGCTATCAAATGCGGCGTTGGTATGGCTGCGTATCCCAGTGATCTTGGGAGTACTTCTCTTCATGAAACGCTTCAGCAGGCTGCCGGACTTGCCAATGACCACGGCTCCGTCGCCTTCAATAAGTTCGGTCACACAGATTTGTCCGAGCGACGAGCTACTTACAACTTGATGCAACCTGTCGCACAAACACTGTCGCTCTTTAGGAGTGGGACAAGGCTGGAATAAGGACGCGCCTCCGCCGTGAAGTTGCAGGTTGGTTGCGGTGAGTCGCTTTTTCGTCTGACGGCAGCCAGCCAAAGAATATAGACCCAGAAGAACTTTGCCCGGAACGGCTATGTAGTCCATGTTCCGCGGAAGAGTTTTCCACTCATGACAGAGATTAGGCTGGTTGATTGGTCGTATCAGGTCTCCGAAGCCATTTGCAAGTAGAACCAATGCATTGACGTCGCGTACGAGTCTGGGCCAGCCTCCACACGTCTTGAGGATCTCCAGCTCTTTGAGCGGCATAGGCGACCAGTCCTCGACTACAGCCTTGTATTCATACCCCAGCAGGCGTTCTTGCCAAGTCGCATGTATCTCGAGCTTGCTGTTCTTTTCCGCGGAGATGCTCTGGGCCTGGAGTAGCTCCAGAATAGACCAAATCTCGGAAACAACATCGTCTAGGAAGAGAGGCTCGTCTCCTTCAGAAGAAAGTCGCAGCTTTGCATTCTTAAGTAGTGTCTCGGTGAAACTCTCTGCGGATGCGATGTTGATCTTGCTCGCGGGGACTCCGCCGAGCCCCGATGACACGCGGTGATGCAGAATGTGCAGTAGCAGCCCCGATGCGGCCACAAGATAGCCGCGACGCTCTCCTGTATCGAAAAGGGCTACGAACATCCTCTCAGCGGCAGCAACGATTCTGCGATACGACGAGCTGCGTTGGAAGTGGCACTTGCCATCTCGTTTGCCAAATGTTACGTCGATTTGGGCCAATCCAAATTGCTGGAAGCCAACGCTCGCGCTCGGGATTTGCAAGGTTGCCTTCACTTCAGTCGCGTCCGAGAACTCGATGTTGTCAAAATCGGTTGCCCCATCCCCCAGTCGGATCTCGACCAGGCTATTCCAACCGATGAAACAACGGGCTGTCGCCAAAGAAGCGAAGTGCACATCTGGCAAGAGTGCTCGATTTGAGCACTGCTTCACTCCTTCGTCGTAGGAGAGCTGCACCTCAGGATCACTATTGGCCACGTAATGCCACTGTATCCCATCTCTAGTTCGCATCACCGGCACGAACATTGACGAGAAGCCTTTGATGACGACACCACCATCAAACGTAACAGCGTGGCGGGCTCCTACAATAGCAGCCATAAGGTCCACAGACATTTCTAAACCCATGCCATTTGCTCTCTCCGGAATAGGGAATCCGTACGCAATGACCGCGTTTGGGAAAAGTGAGAGCCAGCATGAGTTCTTTTCGTCCGCGGCCAGCTTGGTAAAGGAGGTATCAAGTCTGAATATCGGCTCGGCGGGAGCTGAACCACGGATTGGCTTGATCATTGGCATGCAATAAGCAATGGCTCCTTCGCTGGGTGGCGACGTGGAAAAAGTTGCGGTAAGCCAACAAAGCTGTTGTATGATATCAACGACGAAAGCTTCCGGACCCTTGGCACGTAACTTCAGTGTCCCATCCCGACATAGCTCGGCAGAGATTGCCCATAACTGGTCGTGCTCTACTTGGCTGTAAGTAACCACCGCGGGTAAGTCACAAAATGTTGGTTGCATACCTTTAACGACACTAGCCGTCGATTCTGGCTGGTCGAGAACTTCCTGGATTGCTTCCTGCAAGATTGGAAGTAAGATCTCTCCTGTGTCAGGCCATGTCCTTTTTAGGTAATCGAGACATCTTGTAGCGTAAGCATAGAACGCAGTGCCTGTTATTGTGACCAATGTCGACAACTTAACCTGTTGTTCAGGGAAATTGTGTTTGATGTAATCCAAGAGGCTAAGGTTGGTCTCAATAACAAATTCACTTGACCCAGAGAGAAAACTGGCCGGCGTGTCATCAGGCGAGTCCTTAGCGCCAAGTCGGTGGGTGTTCGCTACTCCCAAGGCTGCTTTGACATGATTCATAGAGCGTCTGGGAGTTGAATATAGGTTTTCTCTAACAAGCAGAGAGAGCGACTCGAAACTCTCACTGGAAATGAACTCATCGGTGGTGTTCATGAAACTTCGTAGCTGACCGAGGTAGTGACCTTCATCCACTGAACTACTCGTTCTGGTGAATTCCATGCAGTCGGCCTCGTTTTGTTCCGCGAGTGCACAGACACGAAAACAAATGTCTCCAATTGTTTGGTTAATCGCTTCTATGACAGGTGAATAAGATCCAAGACGTCCCATCTTCGATAAATTGGCTGAGTAGGCAATCAAGACAGTATTGAGCTGGGCAATAAAGCCTTCATGGCCAAGTCTTACCAGAACCGACTTGCCCCAGGTGTGAGCACCGCTTTTAGATGCTAGACATCGAGCGAATCGTGTGGAAAATTCTTCTGCCGTACGGTCGTCGAGCGTCCTCGAAGATCGGCTTGCAACGTGCAACGGTGTATTCCAGCTAGGCCGCCCGAAACCTGTTGCATCACCGGAGACGTGCCCCGAATCATCGCCGCTCGCGTAGTCTGAGTAGTTGGGGCTTGTTGAACGTCCACCAAGGTTGTCATCAATACATGCCGGTACGCCTGCCTGCCAGTCCATTCGCGCAAGAACGGGATACTGAGCAACCAGAGAAGCTGGTAATGTGAAAATCCCGTTTTGAAGTAGAGATGGCTCAGGGTCGGCCAGACGCTCCTGCGCAATTGCTCTCCCACTCCGTTCAGAAACCTCTTCGTCCAGCAACGGCTTGATGCAGACGTGACCAACTTCTGATTGGAAATGGCGCCAAAGTGCGTCGGCACAAGCGAACCTCCTGTCACAGCCCCATTGACCGCCGACTTTGAGATCACCCTTGCAGACGAACTTCTTCTCGCCTGAGTGTAGGCTCTCGTGCCGGTTACGGTCATGCTGTCGAGCAAAGGCCTTGCCACATAGTGTGCAGACAAATGGCCGCTCATCGGTGTGTGTGCGGAGGTGGGAGCGGAGATTATAAGCACGAGTAAACCTCTTAGGGCAGAGAGTGCATTGGAATATAGCAGGGTGCTTCTGGACCCGTTTCGCCGGACCGCTATTCTCGCTGTCCTGGTACCCGGGGTTTGCCAGGCGCAGAGCAACCCCGTTATTAGGCACTGCAGATATGGACAGTCTCTGAGAATAAGAGGCTATCGCTTGCCTTTCAAGCGACCTAGAACCATCAGACCGCATATCAGCGCCAAGCGGTGGGGATAAGCCGCTGCCATTGGCGGGGCGGTTTAATAAGCCTCGACCGGGATGGGAGGGGTCCGATATGGCTCGGGGTCGAGATCGGGGACGGCCTGGATAATGTTAGATGAGATTTATGCGTGAAAGGGGAGGATACATGCCTTGATCAGATAGTGTCGAGGAATCCTGGTCCAGACTGGGTTTGGGGCCATCAAAAGCGCTCACCTTGGTATTTGTAGGAGCAAAATTAATGTTGATTGCCGGAGGCGCCAGTTGACCTATATCATGGGCCGAAGCCTGGGGAGTACGGAAAGCCTCGACAGATGCTGGAATCTCTTGATAATTCGTAGGCGCTCCATATGCATTATTCAGAGGCGCGAGGTGACCAAACCTGGCCGATTGATCAGGCATCTGCTGCGGGACAATGCGAGGGCTGATGGTTGGGCTATGCCACGGGCTTCGACCCTGGTGGCCAGAGTCTTTGTCCGAAATATTGAAGCTGCCAATTCCCATAACGGGCTCGTAACGACTGGGATCCGAGGAGCGCTGGTGCGGAGAGTGGGCGCCAATGTCACCTTCGAAGGTATCAGAGTTCACGAGATTCGGCGAGGGCGCACATAAGGATACCTCAGAATATTCTGAGGGCCTGCGGCGATGGCCTTGGAACTGGGGCTGGATCCAATCGTCCATCTGGGGGAGCAGTGCCGCTTCAGGCCCCAGCGAAGCATGTTTGATGTGGCTGCCAGGAGGGGATGAGAACTGGTGCTGATTGAATGAAGGCGACTGATGAGCTGAGCCGGGTTGGTGGCTCTCGGGATGGAGGAGATGAGGAGGGGTCGCGGAGAGAGGCTGCGGCGACGTCATGTTGCTGATGTCGTTATGATTGAGGGTAGTCTGATCGAATAATAGTGTGTTGAACTGGTCTGCTAGGGGGCGGGAAGAGAGAGAAAATCCTTGTCGTCCAGGTTTGACGACATGTAGGTAGCTTGCGCCTGGGCGTTGAAGGAGAGAGTTGTTGACGTCGAAAGCGGCGGGGTCGCAATATATATGGGAACTACATTTAGGTAAGGACAGTAAAAGATGCCTCAGAGTCTGCCTAGCAAGCCAATGCATATGGCTCTGCTGCGCCCCGACTCAGCATACAGCATTGCCAGAGTATTGGCCAACGACCTCCACTAGCACTGCCTTGACCTGCGGCATATCGCATGGGCGGGAATGATGAATCTCCCAATCAACAAGTGACACAACGGAATCGTCGTCGATAGCGGAGTAGCCGAGGCTCATCATTGGGACGTCTTGCAAGCCCATGCTGCATTTAAGGAACCGCTCGTCCTGCCATTTTCGATGGGATATTTCGGCCACAAAACATAACGTCACCATCATCAATACTTGCGCCAATTAGCAAAAGGTGGACCACCCCGCTTGACTTGACAGCAAAGGCATGTTTAATATATTTTATAGCGCAGATCCAGCCGATTATATATTTGTTAGGATCAAACATTCTTGCAAGCGCAGTCCGGTAAGGATATACGGCGTTTAGGAGGACAAATTCGGACACGGCTTTTCGATTGTAGCCTAGGGATTTAGATGTGGCTTTCAGTCATGTAATCAGCCCGACGCTCTGCCGTGTGGTCTGCTTTCCCTCCCTTAGGGTGTGCAACAGGTCCGTCGCGATCAACTTAAGGCTGAGCTTCCTAGTGGGGCTCTAATAGTAGAAATGGGAAAAGGTCGTGGAATTCGAAAGAAAAGGCCTCTCCCTGCATTTTCTAGTCGGCAATTCATCAAAATTTAGGGAGTCCTGAACAGGTGAATACGCCATTCGGGGGCGTTTGGGCCACGCAGTTATACGCCACTGATGCCCACAATCGGTGGCATGTCTAAGCCCAGCCTCACAGACCCAATTTGTTTGGGGAATAGCTGATTGCCCTCCTTACAAGCCGACAAGATGGCACAAATGAGGCTGTGAGTTGGCATTGGTCCGTTTAGGACGCACCTGGTACAAACGAGCTCTGCTATTTCGAGGGGGCTGGCCCGACGGTCCGTTGCGGCCTTTGTTATACAGACTGGGAAGAGTATCCCAACTGAGTAAACTGAGTAGGAAGAGATGGTCGTGTAAGACGGGGACCCCCATTTCCACGCACTCTTTCCGCACACTTAGATAACATACGTCTGTAACTTTAATGCTGTATTTCTCGACGACATATATATAAATTAATTTGCTATATCTGGAAACTATTTATTATACTATCTATTATGCCCCCATATTGCAGCGGTAAACTTTGCTCCATATTGACTTAAAACATTACTAGAATGAGTGACTATATCCATCGTCTAATCATATGTACTTTCCTTATCAATCCCATCATAATGCATGAACACATCCTTAGTAAGTATAAACCTGCTCAGGGCCAAGGTTTCCGTACTGTCCAGAGCCAAATGGGTTGGAGGGAGTAACAGCCTGGCCATTGACATTGGAGACGCCAAACCAAGCAAGCTCCTTGCCCTTGACAACAGTGACGACCGCAAAGGCGGGGCCAGGCTCAGTGACATATCCCCAAGAAACGTTGTACTCGGAGCCTTCGGTGCAGGGTTGGGTGGACCAGCTCTCGGTAGCAGCATCAGAACCGGGCATGCGGATGATGGTGCATTGCTCGGTCTTGCCGTCAGCCTCAATGACGAAGTTGTAGTCGCAGCCGTCGTTGCCCTCGCCGCAGTATCGAGTCATATCCTTGATGGCCCACGTCTTGCCGTCGACGGGCTTAGGGCTGGGGAAGGTGCCGGAGTCAGGAACGGGAGCAGTGGTCTGAGCAGCAGGGGCATCGGTGGTAGAGGCCACGGGGTAGGTGAAGTAGGAAGAAGGGCAAGATCCGGGATGAGCAGGGTTGCAGCCTCCTGGGATGCCGGGGATAGAAGTGAAGGTCTCCTTGACAGTCACAGTCTTGGTGGTGAAGTATGAGTCGGGACAGGATCCGGGGTGAGCCGGGTTGCAGCCTCCGGGAATGCCAGGAATAGAAGTAAAGGTCTCCGTAGCAGTCACGGTCTTGGTGGTGAAGTAGGAGTCGGGGCAGGATCCGGGATGAGCGGGATTGCAACCACCAGGGATACCGGAGATGGAGGTCAAGGTCTGAGAAGAAGTGGAAGTAGGAGGCTCGGCGTAGATGAAGTAAGAAGAAGGACATGACTCAGGGTGGGCAGGGTTGCAACCACCGGGGATCTCAGTCGGGGTCGGCTCGGCGAGAGATGCAGTAGCACTGGCACAGTACTCGCGGTTGCGAGCATTATCCTCGCCCACGCATGCGGTCAGGGTGCAGGAGCAAGCAACCTCGAGGGTGCCAGCCGCAATGCAGGCCTTGTAGGCATCCTGGCATTCATCCCGGCGGCCAAGAGGGGCGGCGGAAGCGGCCGAGGCCAGGGTAAGAGCAAAGACAAGGGTGTTCATCATGGTGAATGGTGTTTGTGGTGAGGTAGTTGCTTGTTGATGTGGATGATGAGTGATGAGGATACTGAGTGTTGAGAGGTAGATCAGGACGTTTATATATCCGTTTCCCAATGCTCAAAACCAATCTCTCAAGCCAGCTCGTATCGTTCATTGCGGAGCCGAAGCCAACTCTGACCTACCCAGTTGCGACCTGCCACCCATTCTCACAGCAAAATGGCTGTAAGTTTGCCAGCTGCGCTTGGGATATGATATCATGGTGGTCTAGCGGCCCCAGATAACAGCCCGACTCGGACTGAATTGGGGGTCCAACGACCCGAATTGGTCTCAATATGGGAAGACCCTCTGAACCACAGCCCATTTGACGTCAGGACCATGATGGAAATAGATGCAATGCCCAAAAGCGTGCCAATCGAGACCTGTCAACCTTAACCGTTGCTGGGTTAGCCGGTTGCTCCCGACGAGCCGATCACGTCCGCCCCGCTGTCCCAGCCTTCTCGATCGGCGCCGGCTCCATTAACACGAGGCCCAGCCTCTGGTTCTCCGGCGAGTCGGAAGGCCGTTGATTTGCTGGAAGACGGGAAGCGAGGCTAACGGCATTCCAACCGCTTCTGAATCTGTCAGTTTGCCAGGATAAACTTCATTAGTGCTAGCAAATTGACCCTGTTGCCATCACGACCGAGGAAGTGAGCTTCATCCCTCTGGAGTAAATCTTGCCGCCAGTCAGTCCATCATAGCCCTCGAGTCAGGCGTGGCAAAATTGCAAAATCTGGAGCGGAGCGCGGAATTGAAGGCTGGGTGAAGCTAACCACGCACTGGCGTCGTTTAACCATAAACTATACTGAAGAAGCGGTAGGTGCTTGAGTAGCTGCGATGTTCGGTTAGTGGTCTCGTATTCACCGTCATAATGGGTCGACGCCTTAGTCGAGATGTTCAGTAAAGATGCAGAGTGAACTCAAGCGCCTCGACGCATGCAGTCGATTGTTCGGTGAGAGCGGCCTCGTATCCGTCTACTAATGCACTTAGACATTAGAGCCGTCAGTAAGGCATTGGAAGTGCATTGTTGCCACTTTGAGCCGAAGAAAACATGCGGAAGCGATCTTTGCATGTCTTGGATAGAGAAACAACTCTTCAGGCACTCAGACTCTCCTGGCTTGATCCCAATAGAAAGAAGACCCCAGGAAACAACTTTATGAGAAGATCTATAGCCCTATCTTTCTTCAATACTGAGCAGCCCTGTTTAGATTACAACGCTGGCAAAGTTACATCCATGCTTCAATAATCGCTGTTACATGCATGGACTTCCACAGCAATCCACCTGACATCGGGCATGGCAATTTTGATCGTCCATCCGACACGCCGCCCAAGCCCTCCCACAAGCCGGACTCGAAGCCGTCGTCTCCCAACTTCGACACGGAGGGGGTGGACTGTTACAACAGCGGGTAATTCATCAACCGCGGCCTGGCTATCCAGGCGCTCGAGTACTTCTGCGACCTCTTTGAGGGTCAGGTGCTGGACATGACACGACCCGAGACGGAGCGCACGCTCATGTGCAATCACGGCGTCCATTGCATCCCCGCCGGCAATGGCTGCTTCGTCAACGTCCTTGCGAGCATCGCGGCCAAGAACTGGTGTCGATTCGCCGTGGGCGGCAAGGGGGCCAAGTCGGAGTGTGGTCGCATCTTAAGGCGCGTCATCGATGAGTGCGATACGTCTTTGACGCAGTTCAAGCAGGATGGCTATCTTGGGAGACTTCTTCTTCTCAGACAGGCGGTGATGTCGATCTTGTCATTTACCACCATGAACACCTTGACGCAATCCATATATCTATTCTTAACTGCTAGGGCGATAGGGGTGTAGCTCTAATTTCCCATGATATTAACGTCTGCGCTGTTTCTGCCGGGAAGTTGATCCGCGCGGCTCGGTCATGTCCGGCAGCTCTGTGGAGGGGAGTTGTGATGCTGTTGTTGGTGATGGACACTTCGGCCCCATTTTGATGAGAGCCTCGGCACTCTTGGCCTTGCCCATCTCGCAGGCTGGAAAGAGTGGTGTTTATCCTCAGCTTTTTTAGATCCTTGGATCTGCGCTTGCTTCAAGGAGCATCGTGGTGAGTTCTTCCTGGTCGGCGTCTGAAGAAATGCAGAGGCGTGCGTCCAGACACCGGGTGTGCTATTTTCACGTTGATTCACGAGAAGCTCTTGAGAAGTAGTCACGCAATCTTTGTGATCAATTTAAGAGACTAAAAAATCGCCTGCAAACAGTCAAGAGAGGAGTCACGCCGTCTTTCTTAGGTTCGTCTATTTTAAGATCGCTGCCCCGGCCGAGAACCGTCTGGCTCACCTTGAGATCGCCGCTTTCTGTATCTATTGCATCTTCCACGGCAACGAAGAATGGAGTTCTTCTTTGCGAGTCTTTTATTGACATATTCGCCCCATTTGGTGCAGCTGTTGGATCATGGATATGCGTTCCATCGACACAGCGAGGTGGACCGCCGTATGACTCGATGCAGAGTCCTGACGTTGCCGTGATTAGTCGAACCGACACCTGCTCCTTTTTCAAGTGCTAAAGAAACAACCTCAAAATAACCTCCTCGAGATGTCTCCGAGAGTGCATTGTATCCTTTATCGTTAGCCGTTTTAATATCCGACACTGATTGGTTTAGGAGTGCGTCTACGGTCTCATTGTGGCCGAATCGAGCTGCTTGTCTCACCATATTCGCGATGGAGAATTGAGGAACATGAGGGGCAATTCGATTGAAGACTCCGAGAGGTCCCTTCTCCGCGGAGAGCTCCAGACGTGCAGAGAGTTTCGTTTCCAAATCTTGTGTTTTTGGCTCATCATGGACGAGTCTGACCACCATGTCGGCAAGGCCATAGTGGCAAGCACTCAAGCAGGAAATCAGAAAATGCAGCGCGATCGTGCCGTGGCGAAGTGAAGTGGTGCGACATTCTCAGCCAAGGTTCAAATCGGACCTTGTCTTGGAAAACCCGGTATGCGATTAGTCTAAGCCAGGGGCGTGACAGTATTAGCTGTACATACAAATACAAATGTCCGCAAATATTTTATTTTGACGGCGAGACTCTCCTAATGCTTCAGTTTCGAGCATGGAAGAGGAGGACTGCAAAATATGGTGCTGGGTGCTTCCTAGGAGGAGCAGTTACTGCACCATCAGATACGCGCTGTACAGCATTTTAGCCCAGGACTGGAGAAGCTGCCAAGCTATGCCAACGCGCCACTTGACAGTCGATTTATTAAATCAATTCCGCAACAGCAGTCAATTTCGGACAGTGGATTACTTTACCGCTAGAAAGCACCCAAGTCCCATTGTCTAAAAGTCTCTGCGGCGGCCGTTCCCAGTTTAAGGCCTTGTCGCCCCTATCCCGCACATCCTGCCGCCTCTCATACCGCTTGTCTGCGGTAAGCAAATCGGCTGTCCATGTGCATCCTTCAGAAGAATAATCTTCTGTGGCAGCTTGGGCATGGAAGGTCAGTCAATGGCTTCTGGAATGTTGCTTGGATGGACGGCATAGAGGTCTCCGGCCCTTCGCTCCCGCCATTCTTGTAAGATGAGCAGATATGATGCCATTGGATGGTCTAGCTTCACCCCTGGATGCTTCGCCCACTCCAGGCCAAGGTCATCGAGGTTCTGCTCTTCGTGAGGCAAACTCCGGAAACCATTCTCTAGAGTAATACTCTCGTAGGTAGTGAATATAACGCCCTTAACATCGTCCCGGTTCTTGAGGTAACTCTCTCACCCTCCCCAGGTGAAGGATAATTGATGGAAGCCGCAAAGCTCAAGTCAAAGAGCATGACAGAGTCTGTTGACTCGCCAACCAGGAGGTTTCGCGGGGCGATGTCTTGGTGCGCGATACCGTATCGGATGTTCAAGTTGTCTACAACATTTATGAGCTGCTGTAGCCACTCCAGTCTGAAAACGCGCGACATGTTCTCCTCTAGACTGCCGCCAGGCACGTAGCCGTTTGCAATTCGACCACGCGACCCTCGAGCTCGTCAACGAAAATCCGGTCAAACAGAACGATATTTGGGTGGTGGGGCAGACGCATCCACAGGTTCATCTCCTTCCAGGACATTTGTGCATACTGCCACAAGAAGTAGTATTTAAATACGGCCTGCCCAAGGGTGAGCTTGGTCACAGGACGAGACAATCCAGGACTGGCACTTGGGTTTCACCTTTTTAGCAGATCCTGCCAGGCATGGAGGGTACGCGACAAGGTCCACGTCAGGGCTAAGCTCTCGAGTTCCTCAAGTTCGTCCCGTCGCACCGTCTGAATCCCCTCCTGGAGAAACGATTCGTGAAGGAATGGACAGTGCATGCAGTAGGTCCGATCGTTCTTCGAATCGATATACGTCGAGGTGATCTCGCCAGTAGGCCATACATAGGTCCTGTAGCGTGAGATAATAGGCTGCTATAGCGGCTGAAATGTTCAATTGCACTCTCATCGTCTTGCTCCTCGTCCATAGTTACCGAAACAACCCGTCTCTGGCCTCAATCGGCAACGTGCCAGGGGCCTGGCCCACCGACAGGGATATCACCACTCAAACAAAAATACTTGGAATCGCTGTCAATCATGTTGCTATGCTCTTTAGCAACCAATGGTGGGGATTGAAGAGGAAGAAAGCAGGGCAGATTTATTATGCACGTAGCAGTGTGACACGAGCAGACACAAGATCACCAATAGACGAAAAATATGCAAAGAGCGTGACGTTAATAGTATTGTCAAGTAAACATGAGCAACCAAGTAAAGCATGTTGAATGAAGCATATAGCACACTTGAGAATGCTTCCAGACCCCTTGCATCACACAATACACCAGCTGCATGGCCAGTCAAGGTCAAGCCAGGTGCGTGGTGTTGAACAGTCGATTGCCAGTGTCGGTTGTCTTCGTTCCCGTAAACTTGTTCTCCGACAATCGGAGCGCGACGATGCTGGCGCCATAATGTCCCATGAGTTTGGCGAGCGCATGCGTCTCTACAACCACCTCCGCTTGGACAACACCGGCCACAACGACAATGCGGATACTGGGGTTCAAGCTGTGGACATGCTCAACAAATTCCATCAGTGTCTTTCCGCTGTTGACCACCGAGTCCACCAGGATCACAGTATATTGTCGATCGACGTGATGCCTTTTTATGTCCGTCGCAGATGCGGCATGGATGAACATTGCATGTGGGAAGGCTGCATTGACGCCAAAAGCCATGGCTTCTCCACCACGCATCAACGCCACGATGGAGGTTTGGTGTTCGTTGCGCAGCCGGTGACCGGTCGTTTTATGGCCTTGCACGTGTGGAATAGTGTACTCCTCGAGCCCGATCAGTCGGGAAACAAATTCGGTGGCTAAATATCGCCCAACAAGGCCATGAGCTTCCCTCAAAGCAGGGCCGGCCACCTCGGCATCGCGTGTTGGGGAGGTCAGCAATTTTGCTGCATTTCTGTCCGTGGCGTGCAGTATCTTGATGGAGCGGCGGCGATGCATCATCGACCCAATGAATTGTTGATCATCGAGGCGAATCAAAGGCAGCTTGTCCTCGTCCAGACGCGGCGGTGCCCAATTCGGGAGCAGAACTTGTCGCGCTTGAAAGGCTTCATCTTGAATAGCCTTAGACAAGGCAGCATCCATGCTCGAGCTCCTAGTTCGCTTGTCGCCGACAACCACGATAGCTTGGTCAGCCTCCTTAAGCATCGGTAGATCCAAGGGACTATCCCCAAACGCCCAGACATACAGATGGGCCGCGTTCCGGAGATGAGAAACGACATCAGCCTTGACAGCTGCAGTGACCACGAATCCGTCCGAAATTCTGCCTCCACCGATCACGTCGACCGACTTCGACAATCCGTGCCTCTCCAAAACCTTTTCCCAGACGCGACCAAGACCACATGTAACGACCAGGGCACGAATGTGCTTCTGGTCTGCCACAAGTCGCAAGAGGGAAACAATTTCCGGGTGCATCACTACTGACGAAGCCACAGTGTCGCAAATTATCCCGAACTGTTCATCGTCGGTTGCCTCTTCGTACAGCAAGGTTGCTTGATGGAATGCGGCATCTGAATAGCCCAGAGGACTGCTGAAGAGCTCTTGCAGAGGACATGTTTTGCCCAAGCTTGGTCGAGTCTGAGCAAGTGTTTGCCAGAACAAAGCGCCAGTATCTTCCGCCGCCAGAGTCTTGTCCCCGTCCATCACCAAAACCGTCTCTAGGTCGTCGCGGTCGGAAAGAGCAAGAATTCCATCGAGCCTAGCCCGTACGCGAGCAAGATTGGATTCGATCGTCATGGGCTGTCGAAAATGCCGGATCAAAGTCGAGATCCTCGGGATTGAAGTCTTGGGCTCGGAGATAAGCGAAAATAGGATGTGATGTTGACGACAGAGATGGCGCATCGTAGAAATCTCTGCCTCTTGCCACTTGCGCAGATGGTCGACAGGCATGAGAGTACGGTCCTTCAGCTTGTCATCCAAGCGGCGCTGCGAGATGACTTCGGCAGAGATGTTCAAGTAGATGGTGTGGGTAAACGTTTGCAGGTCATTCGAAGTGTAGACTGGCTGGGCGGCAGCATGCTCCTCGGACCAAAACATGAGGTGCCCGGTGACGATCGCGACTCGCCCGCTGTGAGCACTCTCCTCCCGGATTGCGTCGATCGCTTGGCCACGGAAATTTGACTTGGACTGCTCATCCAGCTTGTAGAAAGCCTCAAGGCCGCCAGGAACGAGGGATGCAATCTTGTCTGACCCTTCGAAGAAAGCAAACTCGACGTGACCAAGTTCCTGCCGGAGATGGCTCAGCAGGAACGACTTGCCCGAGCCCGAAATGCCATAAAGCCCGATGACGGTTGGTTTAGGACCTTCTTGTGTGCCCAGGCTTGGGCTGGAGCTGTTGACGGTCGCAAGAGCAGTTGAAGGGCTGGTGTAGCCATCACCTGTGCTGACAGTGGATAGGCTGATCATGGCAGAGACGAGAATGGTCCGCAATGTATGTGTTCAGATGTGTATTTGAGGGAGCAGGGACTGATAGGAATCTTGATTCAACAGGTTGCTAGAAGTTCAAGAGGAAAAGAAATCCTGTGTTGGGACCTGTTTCGCTTTATATCCGTTTCCCTTCAGTGGACGACACAGACAAGGCGAGTCATCTCTGGCGCAACCGCGTACGAGCGGAGGCCCGATGTTGCGACGGCCTCATTATGTGGGAGGCCGACCACAATTCTGACTGGTCTGCGGGCGCCTGCGGGATGAGCACTTGGCTCAGCGAATCGGGGGCGTTTGGCGGGCAAGCCTCGGCCTCCAAGATCGAGAGCAGCGATATGGCGTCGCACAGCCAATTTCCACCTCATGGACACATTTTTCCAAAAACAGGTCCCTCCCTCCTCAGCGTTGCTTTTATGGCAGCAGAGGCCATATGAACCGAAGTCGGTAGCAGACTTTCCTGAATCTTGTCGGGTCAATCCCATGGCGACACGCGACCTCTCGTAATTTGTGGTCTTTGGTAGGGTTGACGACCTCGCGCATCGCGTCCAAGTCGGCACAACCACAAAGGAAAGCAGCCACCCGGTAGAACTGCCACCTCAACGTGTATTTCGAAAGCAAGTATGCATACACCGCGAGGTGCGGAAGGATGAAATCGGGGAGTCGTCGGAGGGTGTGGCCGTCGTGCTGCGCTCGGCTGATGATGTAGAAGACGTCAGCCGTCTCGCTGAGCTTTTGGCAACGCGTCGTTGCCAGCCGTCGTTCGCAGATTTCCTCTCGTAGCCTCTCCTTGTACCAAAGCTGTGGGTGCCGAGGCAATCGCAGGAAGCCATGCCATCGAAGCAAGATTCTCTGGGACGTGAAGCGCATACTGTTCAAGGACTAGTTATCCACTGCATCAGAACATATTCATTCTCTGGGACGTGAAGTGCATACTGTTCAGCGACTATCCGTTGGATCAGAGCATATTCATTCCATGTCGGGGACGAGGCATTCTTACCAAATTGATTCCTGCTCAACAGTCGCGTTGGAAAATCGGCCTCGCACGCAGGCCCAAATCGATCGCTGCCTCAAGGCAACCGTTGTTTGGCCTAAGGCCACAATGCCATCCTGGCCCACGGCTCATCCAGCCACATGCAGGCCACTTATCGATAAAGACCTCAGCGTCAAGAGAGTCATGATATGAGCACAAGTCAGCTCTCTGGCAGAAAGCCTGAGGGATATGTGATGATGACCAATGGGCCAGAGGTGATGCTTAGCGGGTCCGTTATTTCTACCGAGTAAGGTGATCAGTAAATTTAGTTATTCTATGATCCTGGTCTAAAAATTCCGGGCCTGGCTAAAGGAGGGGGTCTTACCCAATGATTCTTCAGCCATGTGCCAACTGTAAGCTACGGAGAAAACTCAAGCATTAACAACTCCGGCGATACCGTTCCATGGAAAGAGTCTATGGCAGCGGCTTTCCAGAGGCTTCCAGTGACTCGAACTCAGCCACGTCCATACCGTAGGCGCGCCCGCCTCAATAACACTGGTGTTACGGTCCCCTGCCATTGGCATCAGCCACCAAGCCGAGCTCAGAACCAGGATGGACGTTCCGCACCTCAGGATTCTACGACGCGACCGAGAACGCTGTGTACATGACCGACCGACCCAAGAACATTGCTACAATGGAACACATACCTAGCTTAGAGGAGCGAGTGGAGCTCACCAGTGAAACAGAATCCAGGACAAAGAAGCCCTGTATTAGTCGTCGACCCAAGAACACTACTACAACGGAACATGTAACTTGGACATGCGAGTAGTGTGTACTAGCAAAATCGGTTAGAATGAAGAAGCTCTTTATTAGTCGCCGACACGCATGCGTGATAAAACATTCTTCCTCCTCCCAAATTGGTCAAAAGCCAGCTCAACGAGCATCACCAAACCAACTGCGACACCGCGACCTTTGCAGCCTAAATATCCCATGGAAAAATCACAGAATCGAAAGCGACAAGGCGCCGATGAGTCTTCGCGAGCCACCATCGACAACCCTTCATCGAACAAGAGCAATACGAGAAGTGAAATCGGGCCCGATACTTGGGCATCTCGGAAATCCCCCCCCGAGTTCTGGGATAGGCCATCCAGCATCGAGCTGACCCATCGAGCCGTGGAAGAGCACACCCGCCGGACCCGTCTTCGGCGCCCTTCTCATCCTTCTCTACCGACTCCTAGGCAGAGAGAACTCGCCCAGCATACCGCTGCTGCCACCGCTAGAGATCTTGCTAGATTTGCAAGACACGGCGGTCCTGGCCTAACTGATCTTCGTGGGGTAAGGCGATATGAGTGTAGTCTACCAAGTGCTTTACTAACGAGTCCATCTAGTATCCCCACCCCTTAATAGCCATGAGAGCGAGGTGGTCTTCGCGAAGCCGGACGACCAAGGCCGCAGATCCAATCGATACGTTTCCCACCCCAGAAACAAAGACAAAGAAGCGGTCGACCTACGACCGCAACTTCGATTTGCATCTGACGGGCCATCGCGCCCACGCACCCTATTCATCACAAGAGCCAGACTCGGCGGATGCCAGAAATGCCTTGGCAGTCTACAGGCCGTCGTTCCCAGCATCGTCGGACGTCACTGGATCCTCGTCAGAACCGTCCACGAAAACTGGTGTCGAGGGTCTTGATTACCAGTGTAGGAACCTTGCTGCGAATAACATCTACATGCGTTCCTCCCGCGACCAACTTCCCGATCATGTCACCGATTTGATCGACCAAATGCGCCGGGATCGTGACTCTCCTGGTCCGACCCTGGATCAAGTGTGGGAAGACAAGGGATTGGAGAAACTCGCCATGGGTGCGAATAAATCAGTCGTGAGAAAATACGTTCAGAAGACAATTTTCCCCAACCCCGATCCAGGAGACAGTTTGCAATGCAGCGACGGAGAACCGATGGCAGAGCACGCTGTCCCCAACACGAGCTCGATTCTCAAAGTCAGCATCCCTGTGCCAGACATGCTCTACGGATACGACGAGCAGGAGGCCTTTCCCCAGCAGCAGAACCAGCTGGTCTCCATGGGGACTGAGATGATAGGCAACAATCAGAGTTACTATATAATCTATCCTTTCCTCGTCATCGAGGTCAAGGGCGATGGCGGGAGTATGTGGGGGGCTATGAATCAATGCCTTGGGAGCTCTGCATCCTGTGTCAATATCGCCGAAAACCTCAACCGTCGTCTGAGGCTGTGTGAGAGCGACATGGTCCATCCGATTGATAGCGCTGCATTTAGCATCGCCATGAACGGTGTGGAAGCGCGACTCTATATTACATGGAAGCATAATGAGCAAGACTACTACATGACAACGGTCGATATCTTCTTGCTTCAGGATCCCGAACATTACCTCAAGTTTCGCAAGTACGTCCTCAATATTATTGACTGGGGCAGGGGTAGGCGGCTGGAAGAAATTCGCAAGTCTTTGGACGACCTTTTGGAAGAGAGTCGGAAGAGGAATTCTGCAGCGGCGAAGTCCCGCGCACTATCTGATTCCGCTAGCAGTTGCAGTAGCAGCAGCGATAAGACACGCAAAAGGTCATCGAAGCGGCAAAAGAGCAGGGGATCTGGTATGACATAAGGGGCAAAGTTGGGAATCTGGGCGGAAGAGAGAGGTGTGGCGGTGTAATATGACTAGAAATATAACTGTTCAGTCTGAGCGGGAGCTAGGGTCGAGGTTTAGACAAGAGTAGACTAAGCCCGCGAGACACCAGCACTAAGATGTATACAATTCAGAGGACGTCGCACGGAAGCTCTCATACACAGAGATCCCCAGGGGCACGAGTACTTCACAGAATGAACACTGTCACCCCTACCCAACCCCACGGCTACTAGGTCATGAAATATAGAGACAACATCTTCAAGTGATATTGCTTGAAGTTTCTGCGAAACACTTGCTCACCAAAAAACAGAAGGCTAGGTGAAATTCTCGCATAGAGATTGGCCGACCGCCAAACCAGCCCGACTATTCCAGGTTAGATAAATGCCAATTTTAATTCTTGTTAAATAGTATGTTTTACAACTAGGAACGGGTGCGAATGAATGATCCCGACTACATTTCTGGCTCAAGATATACCTATTTTGCTCCCCACGGTATGAAAGAGCTCGTATTCGACTTGGGTCCCACCAAGGGATTTGCTAGTGAGTTAGATACCTCTTCTACTAATAACTGCAAACGGACAGCGACGCCACTTCCAACTCCTCCAGTGCATTTCTCACAACGTCGTCAGGGCACCGGGTGTGCGTCAGAAGTTGCAGGAAGAGGTCGACACGGACTTCCCGGGCGACGAGACGGTTCCCACCTAAGACCAAGTCAAGTATCTTCCATACCTTGGAAACGCCATCAACAAGACCATACACGTCCAGATCGCTTTATCCACCTTGGTTATTTTACACGGTAGCACGCACACTCTCTCCATCCCATTCGATCATAGACGCAATGTCTCATTCCAGGGCCGCCAGAACTGATTATCCCATGTCGGCATACACTTGACCTTTTCCGGTGGTTCAAGGACCCAACTGATGCTGTTGTCCTCCCCTGGACTCCTCGCCAAATCCGACGCATACCCTTTAAGATGCTTGATTTGCTCTGCCTTTTCATCCGAGTACTCAAGGTTCACTATCGGAACAACAGCAATCTTCCGGTAGCCTCTGAACCACATTTCCTTGCAGAAGATCTGCGGCTCGCCCTGAGCGCACTCGCCGTCGTTTCCACCGTGCGTCTCGCGGAAGCGAAGGCCGTCGAGCAGCGGCGCGGCACCAATTGCGGTGGCGCCGTTCCAGCAGGAAAAGACCTGGAAGGGGAGGTTGTCGTCGTAGCGTGACCTGGTGTCGGGGGCGTTCCAGAACAGGTTCCACGCCGAGTTCCAGTTGCCGTCGGGGGGGATCTCGAAGAAGGAATCACCAGCGAGAGTTCGAGCCACCCAGACGTCGTAAAAGGTCGGGTCGTTTCCCACGTACGTCCAGTCCATGGCGCAGGTCATGTCGGCTCCGAGTGCGTGGCGCTGGAGTGCTAGCTCGAGGAGGTCTTCGGGGCAGGCGGCAACATCATTCAGGAACAGAATGGTGGTGTTTTCCGATACTCGGTGGAGGTTGTCGAACATGGGTTGGAGGGCCAGGTTGCGCAGCGCAGCGAGCTTGTGGATGCGGTCGCCCTTGGCCGGGTTGATATCCGACGAGTTGTAGAAGTAGGTGAGATGGAGGCGGTCGAGGAACGGACTGAGGGCGGCGAGGACGTCGCCAGTCCCATCTGGCGAATTGCCCTCAATGATAGAAAGCGCACAGTATTCAGGTCCCAGGAAGCGAACAACTTCGACGACGCTGCCTAGCAGACGTGGCAGAAGCGCTAAGCAATTGCGCAAGTCGATTGCGAAATAGTAATGGATATGCTGCGGGTTTTTCGTATTCTTTTGCGGATCTTTGTGCTGTAAGAGGGCATCGTACCGGCTGGTATTCAATGCGGGACACTTGAGGTGCCGAGGTTCTGTTACGGCGGGATCGAGGATTACCGTGATGTAGGGAGCGATGCCCGAGGCAGATAGGACGGTTCCTGAGTACTATGTGAGCATGAGGCGCCACCTGTACAGCAGTAAACACTAACCATTTAAAATGGTGATTGCGGTCGCAGATACAGTCGCAGATGTAGTCGTAGATGCAGCAAGTGAACTTGTCGGAGTGGCCACGATTTGCTCAGCATTAGAGGCGGATGAGGTCGACGGTGCCGCTTTGTGCGGGAACGGAAGATGCAGCGCGGGGATTCGAGTGAGGCGATCGCGACCGAGATACAGCGTCGTGGTGACGAGCAACAAGCAGAGCGCCGGTACGAGCAGAAAAAGAAGCCTGCGGTGCATGACTAGCTCACAGGACCAAGCACATCACCAAAGCCTCACCACGGTTGACTGCAGAAGCTGGACGGACGTGTTAGGGCCACGAGGAAGAGATGCGGCGTGTAAAGAGGAAACAGAAATGGGCCGGAACCAGGCGAAGGACATGACAAAGACAATATTTCTTTACTTTTAGCGCCAACAACCAAACATGGGCAATAGTCCTTCTCCCAGCCTCGGATATACACGTATTCTTGTACCATGTAATTACGGACTCCTGGGTTCATTGAGCGAGATGCCCGATTGAGAATTGTGTTGGTTGCAAGTTTCCAGGTACAGCCAAAGGCCCCGCAACCTACGCCAGTAGCTGTCTCTCGTTGGCGCCCTGATAGAAATGCTGTTGGTCCACCCCTGGCAACTCGCCCGCCTAGGCAAGGATTAATGGCGAGAACCCAATAGCATCCCTGGGGGGATTCCCAGAGCCTGGAGCCGAGTTTGAAAGTGAAAGTGAAAGACAGGCTGTGTAAGCAGACCAACAGTCCAACACGGTTGGAAGGCACAGCAGAATGTCAGTATGGGGCAGATCCCCCCTGGCGGTGGCGGTCGGAGGGATAAAGATTGAGTCCATTTCCTCCTTGCCTTTCCTCACCTCAAGACTCTTCAACCGCTCATCTTTAAGGAACCAAGAAAGAAAACAGACTACCATCCTCGCCGCCATGAAAGCTCTAAGCCGTCTATTCTTGTTGTTCTCCCTGTTTCGGCTCGGAGCATCTTACAGCCATGGTCCTCTCACAGCCCTACCAACCGTAACCCCGACACCTCGGTTGCTAACCCTCACCCACCGTAACGAGACCGAACTTCAAAAACGAGCCATAACCACTGAGCTCTCGACCTGTGGCTACTTGAACGGCGATTCTGATCTAGTGAGGACCGCCAACTCGGGTTATGTCTGCCGCGTAGACACCAAGAATGCCCTGTGGGGTTTCTGTCCCAACACCGTCCTGGCTGCTACAGACTGCGGACTGGCCGGTAGCTGTTTTGACAAAAAGGACTGCTCTAAAGGATGCGGGAAGACGGACAGCGAGAGTTTGACGACTTTTACTTGGTTTGTTGATGTAGACACCTTTTACTTTGAACGACGCAGCTAACCTGCTGCCACACCACAATAGCACCGGCACCACCTACTGTTCTACTGCGCTCTTGACTTTCGGTGTCGACCAAACATATTCCTACATCGCCTGTGGCGCAAAGTCTGGCACCGATCACTATCAGATTACACCCAACGAGGAAATCACAACTTCCACAACTTCCACAAGTGCCTCAGAGTCGACGACGGCATCTGTCACATCTCGGCAGACTGCCGACGTCTCCGAGAGCACTTCCGACCCCACACGCAGCAGCACTGGTTCCGAAACACAGAGCAAGGCCGCATCAGACGAGAGCGCGCTTGAAACGACCTCAGCAGCTTCGGGAGACGAGCCCTCGTCGTCTGGCGGCGCTTCGAACAATCTCGGTCCGATAATTGGCGGAGTCATCGGAGGGCTTGCCCTTGTCTGCGGTACTGCCATTGCGGCCATCTACCTATTGCGGAGGAACAACAACCGGAGTGCAAGCTCACAGCCTACAGACCAAGACTCGCACCAGGCGCCTCCGCCACCATGGGTCCGCGAGGGGCCCAAGCATCCGCAGGAGTTGGCAGGCTCGACGCCGCAAGAGATGCCGCCTAATGGCCATTACGGGCGTGAACACGCGGTAGAGCTATCTAGTTGACAGGCTTACAGCCTGTTGTGATATTATGTTCAACGTGGTTGCGCGGGAAGGCGAAGATGGGTTCAAGAGTTCATGGTTCTTCGATAAGTAAGCACATCGGCGTGCTAGAGTACATAAATAATATGTTGAATGAGAGGTGATGATTCAAATTGAAGACCGTGGAGGATATATCATTATTAAAGTAAAGCAACTCAATCCAATGCTCACTGCGCCGCCTGGCTCCCCCAGCTACGCATTCGAGTCGGAAGGTGTCTTTTGAGTAGTTTCACAATTCCGTTCGCGGACCGGGAATGCATGCCGCCAGACATCTCTTGAAAGGCGAGAAATTTGCACATGCATCAGTAGCGCCACCAAGTGATCCTGTGGTAGATTAGAGTGAGGTTGAACAAGGACTTGCGAGGGAGCGATCATGTGACTTTAATACGTTACAAGTAGTCTCAATTTTCTGAGGAATCTGTTTCCTCTTCTTAGAAACAATATACCTGCCGAGTTCGCTCATCTCAGATGCCTGGCAGATCTCCAAATAAAGCGCATGCGTATGTTCAACCGTTTGGTCACAATTATCGTGCAGCCAACGGCTTTTCCGATCACCCAACTTATCCTCACTGGCGCACAGATCGATCTCTGAAACCCTGGCTTCATTCGTCGTGACGCCTTTGACTTTGCACCGACTTCACTCGCACCACGACACCAGTACAGCTTTCGCCGCTCGCCACAATGTCAGTGATCGAAAAGATAGTCGATGTCCCGGACAGGATTCCACACACCGAAACCATTGGCATTGGTTTGTCGTCTTGGGTCCAGCGACTCAATGCCGCAGCGAAATGTTACAAGGATATCGAAGAGAGAGTCAGAGAATTTGCAGTATATGATCGCCTCGGCTCGGGCCATCCAGGCATCATGCGTTGTTATGGCACCCTAGATGACAGATGTTTGGTCCTCGAATTTGCGTGCCACGGCTCCGTGCAACAATACATCCGTAGCCATCATAACATCCCACTGGCTCTTAAACTCCGTTGGATGGAGCAAACAACTGGCGCCATTGCATTTCTTCACTCAATAAATATCTTTCATTGCGACATCTCCAGCAACAATGTATTTCTCGACGAGAATCTAGATGCCATAGTAGGAGACTTTTCTGGCTCATCCCTGGATGGCGGAGATGCCCTCACTTGGTATGAGACGACTCATTCTCATCCCGATTTATCAACGAGATTTTATCTGGCAAGGTTCCATTTGAGGGAATGGATTCATTTGCTGTTGCGGAATCTTTCAGGGCTGGCTGCCTGCCACGCTTGGAATCATTCCCTGGTCTAGGCATTGTCATCGAAAAGTGTTGGAGGGAAAAGTATCACAACGTTGACTAGCTACTGCAAGATGTGAAGAGAGAAGGTATGTTCACCATGATGTTCCCTATGCTGTGGCTAATGCCTACAAGCAATTGCTTTCCCACACCAGTCCAAAACAAGACAGCTCTTCAACTCGGGGATACCAGTCATCTTAATCCTAGCCATCGTCCCGGTCGTGTGGTGGATGAGATCATTTAGAATTTGGACTACGGATTAGCGCCCGATATAGAATATAATCAGGATGGCATACACGGAGGGCCGCTTATCATGGACAACTAAAACATGAGCCAGCCTTTATCGAGGAGCCCAATATCCGCTTCTGGCCAGCACCTACTGGCTGCATATTCGCACACCGTGATCCTGTCGTTCTCGCTTTTTCGCAATACATTATGTCGCGTTGTGGAAAGACGTGTTTCCCGCCAGGCTTGACGCAACTCAGGAAGGAAAAGTTGTACTCAATGTACGTACACATTGTGACGAAAGGCCAAAGGTAGATTGAACCGAAAGGGAAATGTTTCTGAGGGAGAACCACGTTAAATAGCTTGCTGGCTAGAGCGGGGTAAGGATAGAACATGCAGGAAGAAGGCAGCCGTTGGCGTTCCGCCTTTTGCACAACCAACAGAATTGGTCCGCATACTATTATGGGCATCAACGACTGCCCCCAATGAGCCAAGCAGTCGGCGACGGCTTTCTATCTTGGCTTCAAAGTCACCAAATCATGCCAGCCAGCAGGGCAGAAGCCCAAGAAGCTTTACAGCCTCTGAGCCGGGCGACTGAAGATTTCGACTCGGTGCCATACCCAACTTTGACCGAATCTCGACCGCCATCCTCTACCTCGCAACACTACCGGCATAAGATTTGCACTTCAGCACGTCAACTCGCACAGAACAATTTATTCTGGAGCAGGAAATTCCTGATCCAATACAAAACATCTGCTGGGGAGGCGACTCCCTTGATACCTGGGCTAAGAATACAGGGACGTGGCAAAAGCAAGGAAACTCGCGCCTCTCCCTACAAACCCCAACACTGAAATCGCTCACCAATTCAGACACTCGCTCGGTGCAAGCAGCCCGACAGCAACGCAAAGCGTCAAGACGACAGCGGTGACGACGACGAAGAGACTCCTCCTTCCCCCGCTCCGACACGATCGATTCATACGACTCCACCACGTTAGCGAGGGCGTGTTCGGCCAGAAGAAGCGCAAGATAGCGAGGGAGGCTGGCACCATAGCCAATGAAGCGGCACAATATATAAGATCGTCCGTTCTGTACTCCGAATCACCTACGAGGGGATTGGAGCGTTATCTGATCAAGGGCAGAAGCGAGATAGCAGATGCTCTTTCTCCGCCGTAGTTCCTCAAGAGCGGTTCTAGGATATGTATAGATGTTTCTAGATTGTATTCTGTTACTTTGATATTAGGCGTACAATTTTTTTTTTTCATGCAGAGCTGTTGTCTTGGCCAATATCCCACATCGTTACACCTTCTTACAACAACCCCTCGACATTGCGGAGGTCTCCATATTGCTGGCTTCGGCACTGTTGATAGCTACAGTCCGGCGAGTTTAGGTGGCGAGTTGGGAACAGAGAAGTATGAAGCGATAATTCAATCAGTTTGATCAAAGGCGACGATTTAAGGGGATCGTCTACTCATAGTCGTTGTTCAAGCCTTCCTTGGGCGCAGGCACTGTAAATAGCCGCTAAGCGTTCTCAGATGCGTCTCTATCGCGATGGAACTCCCCGCCAACAGAACCTGGAACTTGACAATAATCATCACCTGGACATTTTGCTCGATTTTCTCATGAGCTTGTTTCAAGGATGTCCAAGGTCCAATGAATGCAGCCGCTCGCCCACTGCGCCACCATAGGGGCTGTGTGTCTTGTCACAAAACGAGGCGACGAGGCGAACGAGGCTACGAGGCTACGAGGCGATGAGGCAAATACAGCCGCTTGACGCCCAACGCCCGCTTCATCATCCATCGGAACTTCCACCCAACATTCACTGCCCTCTGTGACGGACTACGATAGACTTCACTTGCAGCTCTCTGCCGAACGATGAACAATAGCTCGAGCTACCTCGTTGTCGTGGGCTTGTGCACGGAGCTTCACGATGTCGCCGATCCTGACGTGGCGGGATGGGGAGTGCGTGCCCATATCCCAGGGTATCTTTCGGATCTGATGAAGCTCACGTCATATAGGTCATCACAGCCTTTACTGCCGCGATCATCCTCAATATAACCGCCATCCTAGTAGGATACCTATTTGGAGGTCTGCCTCGAGATCGATACCACTCACTCGACCGCCAGTTCCTAGCTACGCTTGGCCTCCCATCTCTGTCGACGTCCTCCACCTGCATTGCCTTGAAAGACTTGTCTCAGACCAGCAGTCCAAGCAAAGGTCTTCCCAACAGCGAGTCACGCGATCGACCACCGTCGACATCCACCGCCGGAGAGTCTTCAGATACAACAAAGGAGCAGCCTGATGTCCAGCCCGCGGACTCGACGTCACCCACAGATATTATAACGAGAGAGCGGTGGTTTAGGGTCCTAAAACCCTTCGTGCTAGGAATGAGCGACCAACAACTGTTTACTGGCATGGCCCTCATGGCAGCGACCATGTTCATGATAGGAGGTTTGCAGGGCTTAAACGAAACCCTCTCAGTCTACTCCTTTCGGGTCGTCACCTCTCTAGCATACTTCTCCTGCATCATCCACCTCTGCTCCCTCACCGTCGTTCGGGACCACTTCGACGAGCACAGGCGGCTGGGGTACTTTCGAGCCGGCCTCATCGTCCTCTTCCTCGGTCTCCTCATCGTCTGCATGGTCATTTCTGAGTCCGTCACGTTTCGGTTCAACTCCAACGTCTCTGTCAAGTGTGCGCTACAGCACTTCCGCCTGGTCGATCCCCGGAGGCCCAACTACGTCAACGTATCCGACGAGATTATAATCACCTTCAACCTCGCCGTGCTCATCTGTATAATTCTTATTGGATACTACAGACGGCTAAGAGAACTCTTCGACAAGGACTCACGCTACATTGTCACTGGTGGAACGCCCAGCTCCTTGCTAGACGCCTTCCAGGCTAGTTTTCTCTCGGAAGCCGTTTGGATGCTATTCTATTTCGCCTTCGGGCTCGCCAATTTGTTCAAGTTTCTCATTGACGAGAACGCAAACAGTCTTAATATTAAGCCTAGTTTCGGTCAGCTTGTGCCCATCTTTCTGCTTGCCCAGCCTTTCTTGGCCGCTTTCGCAGCATTATCAGGTGAGTTAGTCCAGACATTAGCTGCCATTACCAGGCCCATACTATCGCAGACCCTCAGCTAATTTCGACCAGAATCGAGGCCAACTAATGGCTCTGCGAACCGGACATCAAACATCCCACTTAACTTGGAGCCCCAAGGAGAACGCAGCTGGCCCATGGTACTTGGTGTGTTTCTCTACATCTCGTCACTGTTGGTGTGGGCTTTGATGTTTGCCAATATCATACCCGGAGCGTTCATTCTCTCACTCGTCGCTTGTATATCAAAGGCTGGGTTTATAGTTTTCAGAGTCTATCGGAAACTTGCTGAAGGAGAAAAAAGGTCAAACGCAATGGGAAATTAGACTTAGCTAGGTAGAATAGAGAACATGTTTGGAGCTATCTCTGTAGGAGGGCTGATTAATTATGGGAGAGTTCCTTTGTTTCATGCAGTATTTGCGAACAACAGAGATACACAATTAGCACCCCGCCCAGTACCAGAAGCTTCAGTAGCTTATACAGTAAGACACTGTGCACTTAGCTCTACCTTAAGATTCAATCTTGCCGATGCCCTGATCTTGTCTAGATACAGTGGCGCTCGATGGGCCACTAGTGCGTATCCTTCTATGCTGTCAGCTAGGAGAGCAGTAGCCTCCTCTGCGCCTCCTTTGAGGGCTAGCACGGCGCCGTTGGATTTTTTCCGGGCTATGTCAGTAGCTAGCAAGCTGCGGAGAAATGAAAAGTGCTCAATGAAAAAAAAACAAGTCACGCCGCAAAAGCTGCTCCAATCTCTCCGCTACAGTGGCTTGTGGCTATGGTCGGCTCGGCGGCCCTCGGGCTAAGCAGCATGGCTAGGGAAAGCTTTGCATCGATGTGTGCCAGCTGGCTGATTCCAGTCTCGTTGAAATGCGTTCAGACGCGAGTTGATTGAAGCAAACTGGAGCATCTGCGAGTTCTGGATATGTTCTGGGTACTGATGGAGTCTACAAGTCTAACTTTTCATTTTGCAGAGCACGTTTAACAGGTGCAAGATTAGAACCCGGATCTGTGTATTTTCCATCAAGGTCAAATTTATGTAGACTCGAATTTAAATGGATTGGATCCGCGCGAACCCAGACTCGAATATCGGAACCGAAAACCACTCTCGCAGTTCAATTACCCTGTACTCAGTCTCATCTAGTGCTGGGTGTAGCACTAAATGTTTTTCTCTATTGTTCGCAAACACTGCATGGCTTTGATCCATCGGTGATATTAAGCAAAGATAAAATAAAATAAAATATAACTCCAAACCTTAAGACTGATGTTTAAGTCGACCCCATTGAAACCCCCGAATGGCGTCGCCAGCGACTCGGCGACAACCCTGGCCGTACGAGCAAACGGGCTATCCGACCGGTAATAGCCCCCGAGCATACGAATAAACGAGCGACCCGACAAACCCGAGAACTCCATACTGTACAGCTCCACCAACCACGATCTATCTACAGCCCAAACTCGACCATTTGGATCTCGACGAGGCTGAGCATCCATGTTCAATTTGACAAAAGTACGCGTCTACGTCCCACAACCGGCCGTCCGCGGACCGGGGCACGGGCTCCCGGGACGGACACGGAGCAAACGAACCAATACCACAGCTCCGGACCGGGAGCAGATCCCCTCAACTCGACCCCCGTTTCCCTTCTTCAAATAGCATCCTCGCCTGATTTTCCTCAGATCGCCCCTCCCTGCAGACGTCATCCCCCTTCAGCCCGGCGAGTACCCACAAGGTTGCATGTCCAATGCATCATAGCCTTTGAACCACACGCGTTAGACTCGTATTGTGCGTGCCATAGCCTGGCTTGACAGGGCTTCGAAGCATGGGGGTTGCCTGAGGGCCCAGAGATCTGGGAAATCTCGCTGGCCGTATAAATGGGGACGGGTACGCGCACCCATCTTGCTTGCTGCAGTCTCGCACATCACACAACGCACACCTGTCACCCGCGACGTGCCATCTCGTCACATCGTGAACCAACAGACGTCTCCCGAAGGACCTGAGCCCCTGCACCACCTACTCGAGAAGCACCCATACGCCACGGCCATCACATAGACAGAAAGGGAAGACGACAAACCCTACCGGCACAATGTCCACAGACTCCACACTACCAAACGGCCTCATCAGCTTCGGCCCCAACGCCAACTGCACACTGGAGCTCTGCCCGCTCGAGGCCAGTCTGCTACGATACCGACCCAATGTCCCCTCCACCATCGTCTTCATGGCTGTCTTCGGCTTGTCAACGCTCCTCCACACATGGCAGGGCGTGCGGACGAAGACTTGGGGATTCATGTTGAGCATGATCAGCGGGTGCCTCTTGGAGATTATTGGATATGTTGGCCGGATGATCATCTACGACAACCCGTTCGACTTTAATGGGTTTTTGATGCAAATCGGTACGTATTAGCTGCTTCGTGATACCTCTAGAGTTATGGAGGAGGGAAGGGAGAATTGACAGGAGAGATGGATAGCTAACACCTTCACAGTTTGCATCACCGTCGCCCCAGTCTTCTTCTGCTCCGCCATCTACGTCCTCCTTGCGCAAGTGTACGTTCACCTCTCCTAATTATACGATCCTACATCGCCGAAAACTGTCCTCCACAATTCCACTAACGCTCAACCCACCACAGCATCAACTTCATCGACCCCTCAATCTCCCGGATCAAGTCCCAATTCTTCTACTGGGTCTTCATCCCCGTCGACATCGTTTCCCTGATCCTGCAAGCTCTCGGCGGTGCTCTTTCTTGCGTCGGCACAGACCACCATGCCGTTGAAATCGGCGAGAATATTTCCCTCGCCGGCCTCATCTTCCAGGTCGTCACGCTCGTTGCCTTTGCCGCCCTGTTCGCAGACTACGTCTTCAGGGCGTCACGCTCGCCGAGCCGCGGTCGTCTCACCAAGGCAGTTAACATCTTCCTCGGCCTCCTCTTCGCCTCGACCCTCATTATCCTTGTTCGATGCGCGTACCGTATCGTCGAGCTTGGCCAAGGCTACTTCAGTGCAATTTTCCGCAACGAGGGCCTGTTCATTGGTCTTGAGTCAGTGTACGTGTGATCTCCCTAAATAGCCCCCATCTTGATGCGTTTCTTAGCTCTTCTGTACTGACACTCCTCAGGACCATGTGCATCGCCGTCCTTCTCTTGAATGCTGGCCACCCCGGCAAGGTCTTTAGCCGAAAGCAAACCTTGGAAGCCAAGGATAGCGAGTCTCCGTTTGAGTATCTCCCCAACGGTACTCACGAGGATATTTCAATGGACAACATGTCAGAACCTCAGATTAAGAAATAGGGTCTCTCTTGTGTTTTTGTTTTGGAAATCGGGTTCTTACGGGTTCAAGTCGGATCCTTGGGTGTTGGAAAGGAAAACCAGTCATAGCATATCTGATTCAGTCATGATGGAGGGATTGTTTAATGCTTCTCCATATGATCGAATCGATGTTTTGCAGCATCATTGGAAATTGGTACGGAGTCAGGGTAATTAGACTAGGGCTCTAACTCATGGGCTTAGAAACAGTACAGTACAGCCAAATAGATTCCAGTATTCTTATTCCAAGGATACCATCATGCCTTTCGTACCATCAAATGTTTCCCTTTAGGGTAGGTGCTGAGGAGTGTTGAAGATATTGGACCCACCATCTGAATTCCTGTCATCTACTTGCGTCATCTACTTGCTACGCAGGTCCTTGGTAAATCTTTGTTACCATTACGACTTGTTCGGCAAAGCTCATCAAGTCATTTATTGTTGTCCATGGAATTGCCAGCCAGGATTGTTTAATAATGAGAAATTTATTTACCGATGACCCGCTAGATCTAGCCGTTGTGGATATCCCATCGCACGTATCAAAGATCACGCCACTTGTTTCTGCGAAATGCCTGGGTAAAATGAATGGAGAGCTGCTCCCCATGCTTCTCCGCTATGGCGCCGTAGATGGAGTCGATAGCTGCAGCCGCATGGCAAGGGTTATCCACAGATTAATGAATGCAGAAATCAGTCATTAGCCAATATCATCCAAGGCGCGGAAGCCTTGAGGACAGGTACAAGGACAGATGTGCGATCAATGCAAGTGTTCGCCTGTGTCTTAGAATATCAGGTGATTTTGAGGACGGGATGCGCATTGTCCACGCAGATCTGGTGATGAGTCGACGATTCGCCTCACGGATCGACGTCTCCATTCCTGTCAACCGTCGATCGCGGTTGTATCCGTTATGGGGATGGGGATTGCCATGGATTGCCGAGTAGCTGAGTACCGCTGAAAACGTGGTCTGGACCCTGATCACGAATGAGCACATCAATAGTGGATTTTGTGAAGTCTGTGATATCGGCCTTTTGGACTCCCAATAAGATTACCCAGAGTGCACTGGATTGCAGATTTGAAGGACCACATGGCGCTGTTGCTCGGTTGGGTAAGACGTGACTGGGGAAGCGGTGGGGATATTGAGGGTCAGGTGAAGGAATGGTAACCGAAAGGACGGAACTTTCTAACCGACGATTCCATTGCCATGTGTAATCAAGAGCAAGAGCAAGATGGTCCCACCCTCACAAGATTCAATTGCTCTGTGATTCGGGAGAGCCGAGGCAAGACATCGCATGGCCATACTCAAATGTCCATTCCAATCAACACACCACAACACAACACCATAGAATATTGGAAAGGTGTAATCTCTCGACCCCGCGTCGCGTCGCGTCTTTTGGGCAGATTGTTTATTGATAGCAACTGTCTCGTGGACAACCCCGCGTTGGAAGTGAGATTTAACCGGGGCGGGTGGCTTTCTGTAGGGAAAAGTCAATACTAGTGAACAGACTGGGACTTGGCCCGAAAGATGCATAGTCGTGACGTCGTCCAGCAATCACCACCGAGATGGTGAGGTGGTGGGAGTCATGTGTTGGGACGGAGTAATGAATAATTATGGTCTAGATAGCTCCCGCAGTCCGGCTGCCTTGGTTCTCAAGCCGGAGACGGATCACGAGGCCAAGGAGGATGGTTGCTGGGCGGAGATTGGTCTCATGCAGGCCGATTAGTGCTTGCAGGGGAGGGGGGTGGGAGCCAGTGTGCCGGGTCGACGATCGCAATGGCAGTGAAAGGGCTGATGCTGCACTGATGCACTGATGCACTGATGCACTGATGGCATGAACAAGGCAGAGTGCTACTACGAGCTTGGTAGGTGTCGACCGTGGTGTTGGTAGAGAGGCTGCGAGAGTTGGCTAGTGTCGACGACGTGCCGCTTGGTGGACGAAGAGCTAGATGACGGGACGACCGAAAGATTATTGATTGCCCAGCCGGGATCAGTCTCAGTCATAGACAGCTTCAACGGTGTGGCTGGGAATGGAGTCACGAACGGAGTTGATGAAGATCAACGTGCCGTGGCAGTCCTTGGCAACAGAGAGATGAGCGGCACAATTATGCCAAGCAGCGCCGCAATTGGAGACGAACATTTTATGTCCTTTGATGAGGCTCAAATAGACGGATCAAAGCACCAGACGAAACAAGCCACGACCTGGCACCAGCGTTCCAGAATGACGACGGCTTACATAGCAGAAGCCTCTGGGGCCGTGGCGTGAACACGGCGCTGGGCACCGCCATATGTAAGATGATTTGCACCGTCACCACCGCAGAGTCGGGACCACAACGAGGCTTGGGCGAGGGTCCTGAGGTAATGTGGCCTGCGAGACTGGGGTAGACTGGAGATTGAGGTGCGAAGAAGCTGGCTGAACCATCCACTGTCGGTCTTTGTCAGGCAAGGCTCCGACAAGGCTCTGGAAAAGCGCTGACGTTGACAGGGGCGAGCGCCCATCATCATGTCGGCTGACGCGAGGCGATCCGTCAACACGGTTCCGGCGAGGTGGGTGAGAAACCGGGGGCATTTTCCAGCCCGACGAGAAGGCCGGATGGAATTTTACTGCGCCCGAAGGCCGAGCCAAAGCCAAAGCGGAGCATCGCGACATTACGTGGGAGTGAGGGCGAAGAATAAAAAGGGCACAAGAAGAAAATAAAGCTCCGCTGGGTGGATAGCGTGCTAATAGCCCACGACGCCACGGCGGCGGGCTGCTAGCCGAAAGAGGTGCCCCACGCATAGGGAGCTTGATTGAAGCTGTCAAGAACGATGCGACTTGGCGCCCGGCAAATGGGGACGTCGATAGAGTTGGAAATGGCGGTGGGCAGATGGGTTTTGGCGCGTGAGGAGGTCAAGATGGCGGACAATCGGGTGACGGACGGGCGACGGGCGGGTGAGAGATGGCCAAGTTTGGCGCTGGCAGATCCGATTTCGCGATGTCACCCACCGTGCTTCTTTCTTGCTTCTTTCCCCAGGCAGACCCGTCAAGCCAGACAGGGTCAGGTCAGGCTGCACCGCCGGGGGAAGGAAGGTGCTACCGACACACCCCTCCCCTCCTCCGAGCCGCCCTGTGCAGTTACAACGTAAATTGTACCTCAGGGGGCCGCTACTCCGCAAGAGGAAAGGCGCCAGGCACAGGCATTTGATTGGCCCTCGGAAGCCCCACCAGAGATGCCGCAGAGAGCGGGGCAGTCTAGCGACAGGGAGCGGGTGAGAACCAGGCCGTGCAAAAACGCCCCCAAGAGCCAGGGTCGGCCTTTGATTGCTCTGCAGCAAGTTGCTGAGTGTTGCTGAGTGTGCTGAGAGCTATAGAGCACAAGGTGTGACGGCGAGTGTGAGGCAGTGGCACATCTTGAATTGACGCCCAGTGGTGGCGGCCGTATTGTGGAAAACGAGATAGGCGCCATGCTGCTTCGTGCTTCCACGCACTCTTGTACGTACTACCCCTGAAAAAAGACCGAGCCTCTATTTTGGCCACTGCGAACGCGCGGCATGTACTGAGGCAGTGAAGCTTGAAGGGCTCAGAGAGGGTGGATTGGGCAATTTTTTCCCGGGCGTACAGTAGTGATATGGAGTGCATTCGCCAGTTGCGGGCTACATACGCGCCTAGCTCTAGTCGCTTGTCACTCTGGTCACAACTCCCCACAAGACACAGACCTTGTCCTGCTGAAGTTACATCCGGTGCAGCCCCTATCCCACCACTGGCGGCAGAGGAACGGTATAACAACGGTGGATAATGACGGCGGCGGTTGGATAGCGTTGTTGAATAGGGGACGATGCTACGCAATGTGGCTATATTGCTATGGAGACTTATCCAACGCCATCGTCTTTTCCGCTGCTGCCTTTGGATACAACTGAGCCACGCATGCGTAGTCACGTCATGCTGGGCAACTTGCGCGAGACGGTTGTCTTGGATGTGAGTCAACACAAAGCCAACAACCAACCAAGATCTTACGGTCTGTCTCTCATCGGTGTCTTTGACGCCCGTGTATGCACGGAGAGCGATCTTGACCATCGTGTGCCATACCGCCGGACCCTTTCATCCAGGGCTTTGTCCCAAAAGTGCAATGATCGGCTACCCTAAGAAAAACCTACGCCGTGGGTGCCGCAGCTTGTCGGCTGGACGTTTGACGACACGAAAAAAAAGCAACGAAAAGGCAAATTGATGAGTAGGTACCTATCATAGCACCTTGGCAAAGCGTCGATCTTATTAAGACAAGTGAGAGAGTGCATTGCATCGGAAGTGCATTTGCTTGCATTGGTGGGGGAATCTGATGCTCAAGTGCCTTTTGCCGCTGCCGTCCCGACAGAGCTGAAAAGCTGGAACACCAGAGACAGATGACAACATGCATATGGAAAAACAAAAGAGAGCTAAGTACTGGTAGACAATGCGATTCCGAACCTCACTCGTCCATGAGCCTCAGAGGCGGGGATGCGGACAGGGACCAGCACGGTTGGAAGCCGGGGCCCAATGCGTGGTGGCGAACCTCCAGAGACCTGCCAGTGGCGAGCGAGGGCGGGGAGCGTCAAGACATGCATCGGGTTTTGGATGGGATGCGGAGAACACAGGAGAGAGAGACTGGTTGGTCAACGATCGCCTTCTTGTGGTCGCGAGGGTAGCAAGCATAGAGGATGGGCAGGAAATGAGGGGGCGATGTAGGAATTCGTCGAAATAGGGGGCTCACGAGAGTAGATTGGACGGTTGATGAGGACTTTTGGTGGATGGACAGATGGGCAGATGTGTCGGCACGAGACTGCCACAAACAGCCGACAGGATGGGACGCTCGCGAACCTCGACGCCTCTCCCGGGATCGGGAGGTTGTCGTGAATGTGACGGCGTCTGCATGCGACGCCAGGCCGGTGCGGTACATAGATTACATTTTGATGACGCAGCGCCACCGGGAAATCATACATGCCTCTTTTCGAGACAACAACCCACCGCAACCCACCACGACCCCTGAGATAAGGTCCGGACGGATGCACCCGAGCGCCGTGTGCGAATACAACATACTCTCAGCCGAACCAAGGAGCGCGCAGGCACAGACAGGAACTGGCAGGCACACAAACGCGCAGGAGAATCGCACGCGCGCAAGATGGAACGATGAGGATTGCTGCTCGAATCTAGACTTCGAGACCCCCCTCGCGATCTCATCAAACCCTTCTCAGACAGAGGGCAGCTGAAATTCGTCTCATTCGAGGTTAGAGTTTTGCCCGTCACACACACTCCCCACGCGCAGAGGCCAACGCTAGGAAGAGCTTCCGTCGATGCGCTAGAGGGCGGATGGCATGGCCCAAAATGTGCCCAAACGTCGCCCTTGCAGTAGCCGTTCCAACGGCTGTCGCCCGCAAACTCAACGAGAGCCCGCAAGTGCGCAGGTAGGTTTCGGCCTGTTACCCACGTTCGCGATCTCAACCCGTCCGGATCCCAACCGTGCGCCCCTTTTGGCGATCTGATCTTTCCGTCCCCTCCGGGCCCTTTGTTCCCCACGAGGCGGCTGCCAAACGCCATGAGCCGAGCGGCATGATTGACAGGAGACGGAACGGGAGACTCAGACTGGACGGGAGGATGCGGGCTTGTTTGACCACCCGCGCAACATGTTGCTGTCAAAAAAGCAACGGTCCGTTGCAGCAACTGTCAAGGCGTGCTTCGTAGGCACGTCCCTCGTTCGTGTACACGGATTGGCCCCTTCGGTGGTTGTAGTCTCCGGTGCTTCGGATTCAGTCCGCGCTTCAGATCCGTCGCAGCAGCAGCAGCAGAGCAGAGCTGTCTGTGGTCGATTGCTCCCACGTATTGGTGGTGACGGAACAACTATTACCTGGACCTCCGAAGAAGCTTCTTTTTTCGTCAAAGCTCTTGCATTCCAAGCCCCGTCCTTGTCCATGATCTGCTTCCTGCTGCCTCGGTTCCGCGACTAGGTATTGGCTCCTTTCTGATTCGAGGGAGTGCTCATTACACTCGTGGTGCTTCTTCGAAGCGAGGCGCATCATATGGGGTAGTGAACACGCAATACCTGGAGAAGAAGACTCGCGGCGAGTGAGAAATGATCGTCCACGGCAATGTCTCGAATGGTTGAGACTTGCTGCTGTTCTGGGTGAGACTCGCATGGCTCAAAGCCGCACTTTGCCTACCGATCTCACCCTTGCCGCGACGGATTGACTGGCTGGATTGCGGGAAGGCGATGGATGGATGAGTGAGCGACGAGTGAGGTCATGATGATCCCGCGTCGCCCCTGAGAGGCTCTGGGGTTCCCCTGGACCTCATACGGCCTCGGACAGCCTCAGACGCGGGCGCGACACACGACTGCCTGCCCGCCTCTTCTCGTTGGGTCCCTTGCTGCCGTCTCGCCTTTTTGCTGAGGACCAGATCTAGGTCCATGGGTGGATGGAAGCCCGTCGACATGCCTCCGAGGATGTGCGGGCAGGCAAGGATCTATCCATGGCCTTGGGTTTGGATCGTCGCATGCAAGAGTTGCATAACAGTGCCGACGAGCGGAATTCCATCTGCCAGCTTGGGTGGTGGGTGGGGTGAGACTCCCGGCGCTGACGGCGGGCTCGCTGGGGCGATTTCGGAGGGCCCTGTAGGCGCAGCTTCGGGGGGCCCGGCGCCCTGGAGGATGCAGTAAACGCTCAGTGAAGCCGCCGGCGCACTCGCCGAGCGTGAGGGCGAGTTCTGCTGCCAGTGACATTCATTTGGAGCTCCATCCTCCCTTGCCGCACCATGACCGACCGGCGCGGGCCTCTGGTTGCTTCTCCCTCCAAGCGGCGCGGTACGTACCCGAGAGACGTGCAGATTAGCACAGAGCGTCGCGCCCCGCCGTCCCCGCAGCTAGCACGCCCGGCAGCTGCACAGTTCATCCCATCCCATCCGCTGGCTGTGGTTTTTTTTCCCTTGCCCACGACGGAAATCCCTGTCCGCCATGACCCATCGTGCCATCCGCAAATCACGGATGTCCGAGTGGTGGAAAAGGGCGGATTGGGGAGAGGGACAGCAACAGGAAGGTGGGATGGGATGGATGGGATGGCGTACCGGGCAATCAAACAGAATAACAAAGAGCAGCAGAGATGGAAAAAGTATGTCAGAATAGAATGGATGAACAAACCATCACCAATCGATACACATCACCGGTCTCACTGAGGAAATACCTGGCCAGCTGCTCTCCTCCCGCCAGCCCAAGGCAGTGTGCTCGGTACTGCTCAGTCCTCTGTACCCGCTACTTTACCCGAGGCAAGGCATACAGGGGAGTTCCAAGTATGGGCTACCTGACGGACAGCAGTTGGATTAGTGCGCGACAAGAGAAAAGGACGAGGAAACGCAGGGAAAACAGGGAGATACGTACCTAGGTAGGTACCGCCCGACCCCTGTACCGCCCTAGACCCCTGGCGGGCCATAGCGCCCTGTGCCCCTGGAGCCCACGCACACCCCCTGTCTCCCAAATTCTTAACCACCCCCCTCTACTCCGTACCTTGTCCTCCCTCCGTCGTCTGCCTCTTCCTACTGTAGCGCCTCTCCTAGTGGCCTTGTCAGTGCAATTCCCCCTTCATCGTCGTCGCCAATTTCTCATCCCGTCGAAACCCTGGACGGTTTGGTTGGTCTGGCCGGGGTCTGCGCTGTGGTCCCGTTCCATTCTTTCGCCTGTGTCTCTCCTCTTTTTCCTCATTGTAACCAGTCAGCAGCCTCTCGAGTCTCCGTCTGCGTCTCCAGTCTCCTCCGTCTCCAGTCTCCAAGGGCTTGCTTGATTCATTCACACTCTCTCGTTTCTCTTCCTTTCTCCTCGTGAAGTCACTTGTGTCCTCCTCAAACCCAGACACTCAGTCGCCGACCGAAAAAAGCCGTCACTGCCGGTCAGATCAAAGCATCGCGCGGGACCCTTTGTCACTGTTTCCCCGTTTCCCCGTCTCTCGTTACTTCACCTTCACCTGACCCTCACCTCACCTCACTCTCCTTTCTCTCCCTTCCGATCCGAGCAAACAACGCCGCCCCTCGACCTTGCTTTGTTCGTTGCCCCCCGATTCTGAGACACGCTTCTCGTCCGCCAAACTCGACTGCAACTGTTCCCAGTTTGGGTTTTCGCTCCGACCCGTTACCATCGCCCACCTTGCGTTCGTGCCTCCTGCATCCTCTCCTGCAGCTCCCCGTCTCCGGCCCGCAGCGAACTAGAGCATCGACCGCGCGTGCAACACGAACCTCCTCCAAGACGACCCTTATCTACCTCCGCTCGTCCCCTCGAGTACAAGCCTTCCCGTCAAGAGTGTTCTGCGTTACAGCTTGCCTTGTCCTCGACTCCCGCAAACGAGTGCACAGCCTTCATGCCGACTTGAGCATCACGGGTCCACGTCCCATAGCGGAATCCATCTGAAGTCAGGTCAAGCAACACCTCCAGGTATGACACCCGCCCCTACCTCAGCAGGAAATGGAAGTATGGTGGCAGATGGGCTGTGAGCACTACCCGCCGTGTTTATCTACTTTTAGATTCGCAGGACGGGTCATGCAAGCCTGAGTGGCCCTTGAAAGAGGGCCCTATGGCGCTTGACCAACATCTGGTGATGTGGGGAGTTGCTGATATGATTAATGACTGACTTGAACAGTGTTGTAGTCCGACCACACGACACCGTCCTCAAACCAAGCATCGATCCACTCGGTAATCTGGGATGAAGTAACAAACGAAGTGAAATATCCGAAATCGACCACCTCCAACCGCACGAGGCATCCAACTGCCAAATCCCAGAAATCAAACCGTCACAATGAACCGCTTCAGAGGCAGAAAGAAGACCGCCAAGGATGACTTGCCAGCCCCTCCCCGACCATCGGTCGAGTCCGAGTCATCCAGCCCATTCAAGATGTTTGGAAAGAACAAAAAGTCCCAGGAAGAGGAACCCAAGCCAGAACTCGACCTCGCTGCCGCCCTTCCTCCCAGCGATGATTTCAGAACCAGTCTTCTCATGACCGGCCTGTCGGCACGGTTCTCCATGCTGCGTGAGCAAGATGACCCTAACACTAAGGTTGGAAAGGCCAGTGACGACAGCGTGCTCTACCCCAACAGACAATCGAGACTGATGGACTTTGGATTTCCTGGTGGCCTCAGTGACATTGCTGAAGTCGAATCAATTCGGGCACCCTTTGCTCGGACCAGCTCCTACCAGTCAGATGATGCTGCCTCAACATCAGGCGGCAGCATGATGACCCGTGGCAAACCAATTGAAGGAAACAATCTCTTCGGTGGACGACAGAAGATTTACAAGATTGCTGCCAATGGCGGAAAGAGCGGCGCTACGGCCGGCCGAGCACTCTATGACGACGATGTTTCCCAATCTGCTTTCCAGAAGTGGCGACAAGCAGAGAGGGAGAGGCAATCCTCAGAAGAGCCTCGCCCAAGCGATTCCCCAGAACCAGAGCCTGCGCGACCAGAGTCACCTCCCCAGTCCGAGTACAACCGACGACGGGAGACTAGCTCAACAACATCATCCGTTCCCTCGGCGGCGCGCAATTCCACAGCTGCCACCTCCACCACTTCCTCACAGCCCGCTCCGTCTGTAAAGGACTGGCAATCCGCTACAGCTGCGGCGAACCCGACCCCACCAATGGAGCGCAGTGTTACCCGGACACGAAGACTCTATGAGCAGAGTCTGAACCAGGACCTCCATAACCAACAAACATCATCCGTCTCCAGAATCGACACCCTCTCGAGACAGCGAAACTTTGGCAACAGAACGCCAGACCTCACCCCAACCGTCCCTTCGCCAGCGAGCGCAACCTTTAGTGATCGATTTGCCAATAGTCGGTCGCTCCTCAACAAAGCCAGTGCGCCGAATCTACGATCTTTCAGCCCCCCGACCACTGTCTCCTCCCCCATGGATCCGCAAAACAAGTTCGAAGAGCGAACTTCCTTTGGTGCTACTCCCCCTCTTAGCCCGCCTATTAGTGAGACTGGAGAGCCCCAATCCCTCTCGTTCCAGTTCGCGGAGAGGAACAAGCCCGCAGTGGCGAGTGGGCCTAACAAGCCATCACTGTATGACGAATCAAGGTATGCCCAACGCCAAATTCAACTCCAGCATGGTCGCGAGACCCCCACCAATCTCTTCCGACCTGAGTCGAGCGCCTCTATTCCCACAACCAGGTCACGATCGCCCTCAACTCACCGGGGGCCTTTTGAAAAGCATGACTCCACCTCGTTCAAGACCAAGCCTGTAGCCAAGGAGGAACCTCAGACCTCGACTTTTTTTGATGACGACGAAGATGAGCTACCAATCGAAGTTAACTATACTCGCCCAGAAGTGCTGGCACCGCAAGTTACTGTCGAGCGCCCTGCCGACCATGAGCACCCTGCTTTCAGATCATCAGCAGCCCCTACGCCCTTGATACTCGAGAGCAAGCGCGGCGACAAGAGCGAGTCTCCCGAGGACTCACCAACGTTGGGGCCGACATCAGGAGGTTTGAGTGGAATGGTGCGTGCGCATTTGCGACATGACAGTGGTGCGTCTTCCATCTACGACAATGGACAAAGTGACGAGGACCTGGCTTCGCGGTTCCCCCCGGAGCGCAGTGAAGTGCGGAGTTACGATTCTATGGCATCGAAGTCAAACCCTTGGGACTCCATCGAGAGAGGTGTGGAAATGTCGATGGATAGTGATTTGCCCAGCCCGACGGTATCTAAGTCGTCGATGGACCATCAGCAGCGTCGCCGTGAAGTTCCATCTTCTGCCCACGATTCGAAGATCGACTTGGACGGGGACAAAGACAAAGACACGGATGACTTCGCCAGGCATCTTGCGGATGGCGCACGACGGGTTCGGGAGAGGCTAACATCCTACGTCGAGTCTGATAGTGGTAGCGTGGTGCCAACTCCTCCACCAGTTTCAGAACTCCCTCCTCCGCCTCGTCCGAACGCACTGGGAATTCTCAAGGCCAAGTCCAGCCGAGGCTCTTTGGTTGATAGGACCCGGGGTGAGCGCGAGAACCTTGGGCAAATGAAGGCCAAGAAGTTGCTTGGCCTTGGTGGTCCTTCGCCAGCCCCCGGTTCTGCACCCCGGCCGGGCTCGTATGAAGCCGCCGAGGAACAACAGAAGCAGGAGCAGTACCAGCCACAGTCAGACGACACGTACGAAGACGAAGGCCGCTCCTCAATCGACAAGGAGAATGTCCACGCAGGTCTCAAGGCCTTCCGACAGGCCCGTCGAGAACTCCAGAGGATGAAGGAGCAGGAGGTCCAGGCACGGTACCAGGGGCCGCCACAAGGTGCACCGCAGCAGGGTGCACAGCAAGCACCTCAACAGGCGCCGCCGCACGCGCTTCAGAACCCCCCTCAAACTCGAGATCGCGCCCCGAGCATGCGAGGACCTGGCTCTCGCCAACAGTCCCAAGAGCGAAGACCCCCACCTGTTACCTACAACCGAATGCCGAGTGAGGAATCGCGGAATGGTGGTGGCTCTCGATCTGGGTCTCGTGCCCCATCCGAGCGAGATAGAAGTGGCTCCGAAACTAGCAATGGTGGACGATCTGGCAGTCGGCCAGCACGACTCCGAAACGGCTCGGTCCCACGCGAGGACTACCACGGACCGATGGGTTCACCTTCTGGACCAAATGGAATGCCCCGACAAGGCCAGATGATGAGGGGGCCTCAACTGCCTAGCAACCCGTCTCCTTCGCGCTTCAACCGGTTCGGTGAACCGTCACCAAACTTGAACATCAAACCCCCCTATGGTTACGACCACGGCCAGCCGTCGCCAATTTCCCCGATGCAGGGAGGCCAGTCTCCTTACGGCCCCGGCCCGAACTCTCAACGGCCCTACGGCGCACAACCGGGGAAGATGGACCAGGAACCATCAGCAAGGCGTATGATGCGACCCAGGGATACCTCGGACCCCCCGATGGTTTCACCAGCTGCACAGGACCCAATGGGCAAGCGAGACGGACACCGCGGTGCGCCAACACACCAGAACGGCAATGTGGTGGCACCGCCTCTGCCTCCCATCAACCCGCGACGGAAGACCAACATTATGGCAGACTACGTACGCAGGCCTGATGATGGGATCCCAATGAATGGGAGCCGCATGCCCATGAGCCCCGTTAGCGGAGATGAAGGACGCGGCACCCATGGAGCGTTTGCGCCTAGTGACGACGAGGGTCCTGCAACTTATCGATCAAGGCTTCGAAAGGCTGCCAGCGAGGCCAACGGAATGAACTCTCGGGCACGATCTCTTCGCAACAGTCCCCCGCACCCAATGGCTCCTCCACCTCTGCCATCAAGCATGACTGGGAACGGGCTGCCAGGGGGCATGATTTAATTCTTTCTTGATAACCGCCATTTTTTTCTTGGCCTAATTTCCACAACTTCTACATGAGCTACATGACGACGATACCATTCGACCCTCGCAGTCTTTTAATTGCGTCACTCCCAATTCGACACCGCACCGAATGCGAAACGAGAAGTCGATCCGTCCTGTACATTCTGGGGGGTGATTACTTCCATTCCTTGTCATTTTCCTTTGGAGGGCTTTCTTGGTTGTGCTTTTTGTCTTTTTTTTGGTGGTATATGGCAGTTTGGAACCTGGTATCTGGCGTACACAACCGGCCGACGAAGGCGATCGAGCAGGACTTTGATTCACAGTACTGGCGTCGGCTGATAGTGAAGGACGTACCTATTTTGGAAGAATGAACAGGCATTTGCACATTGCGGTGGAACGGAAGAGGTGTTGGGCTTTGAGGGTAAAAGGATTGGGAGCGGGCCAGTCGGCGCCATGAGGATACCACTTCAAGTCTTATTATTTTGCCAAGATTTGAGTAAAGAAAATATATTTTGAAAGGTTCAAGCAAATGCGCGACTTGACTAATTGCAAAGCTTAACTGAGACTGGCACTACCAGTAGGTAGACTTGAGTCTTGCGGGTCTAACTTCAAAGACCATAACCCGTTATTCCCTCATGGCCCTAGGTTTTGGGAGCATTTGGCAACTGGTCAATGGCAGAGCATAGCTTCGCTAAGTGCCCCGGCATCCACAGCTCATAGATGTTCTTGATGATTCGATACGCGGTCCACCTATCTTTTCCTCCGCGTGCCGTGATGTAAGCGCGGTAGATTGGGTGACGGTAATACTTTACCTTATCCCCGTTAAATACTGGATAGTGACCGTAAATATCCACCATCTCGCCGTTATGTGAGACAGAGAATGCGAGGATCTCTCGGTCGACCTTGTTTCCGCGCTTTACTGCACAAAAGAGCTTAGTAACAGCCCGTATGGCAAGGGTCATGCTGTAGGCATTCCGGCGGTCCGCGATATACAGGCCCCCTGTGCTACTTGTAGTCTCGCACGTAAGAAACGGAAAGTGCATCTCGTATGTACCAAGAAAGAAAGACATATCATCATCCATTGGCTCACCAAGAAAAGGTGACAGCTTGTCCAGTTGGGCGTCGGTAAATGCCGTATAGCTGAATCCTACAGAGTAGTCAGGTTGTGGATGAACATCAAGCAGTGGGATCGAGCCGTTCCAGCCCTCGTTAACGCCCTCAATAAGGTCCTTGAGGCTTTTATTACGAAGAGCAAGTGTTTCTGCTGAAGGAACGATAAGGCGAGAAATATCCTGAATAATCCTAGTCTCGCTCTTGTCTATCAAGTTGAGACAAGCTTGCTCGAAGATACCATCGTCGAAGATGGTATCCCTAGGGAATTGCTGCTCCCCAGCTAGAAGGTCCTCAACAAGCCGTTTGCTCGCGTCCGCGATGCCCTGCTTGGACTCTCGCATGTACGTGCCCTGCCTGGCCTCCATATATGTCTTGTGCGCCGGGTGCTTGTACGGTGCATTCCTGGCCTCGCGCGGCCCCTGGTTGCTGTGCGTTGTGGAGGCGGAATAGTTGGAGTTTTTGATCAATTTAGACGGCGCGGGTTTGTTCCATGCGTTTATGGGCTCGAGACACTTCATGTCGAGATGGGCCACCGAGGATCGTTTCGGCCATGTGCCGTGCTCAATCCAGAAGGCGACGGGGTCAGTGGTGACAGGGTCAGTAGTGACGGGGTCAGTAGGGACAGATGTGCGCGGTCGCTTCTGGGGTGGTTGGTCTAGAGTATCGTCGAGCAAGTCGGCGGCACAGCGTGCCCTGGTGCGGACCATGACGACGAGCGCGTTGGTGGGCGTTCGAGGCGGTTGATTGGAGATGTTGTGATATGTGATGCAGAATGATGCGGAACCGAGGGTCGGAGGGAAGTGATGCTGGCTCAACTGCGAGTTTCGTTGTTCGCGTAAACCATTCCAGATCTCCATTGTAGTCTATGGCTCCTCCTTATAATCCTTCTGTCGGACGGCTAGCTAACCAACCCAGGATTCCACTCCCCCCCGTGCGTGGGCTGTTCTCATCTCCAAAGTCACAAAGGATGTCGAATTTTAACACAAAGATACTATGAAAGCAATCATCGACGACAAAGAACCGCCGCGGGGAAGTGATGGAGGCCCTGATACGAGGCCCCGTACACCAGCCATTTGCTAGTCTTTCAGCCCTTTGTAGCACGGCGAGCTCCCGTGGGGGGGCAGCCATGAAAGCCGCCAAAGAGCCGTAGAGACATCACCACGGAATTTAGTTGACTTGTTCGAACTTTCAAGATAAAACAAAATTTTTAAAGGACTAATTCTTAGTATTTATCCCTTGGAATCAGATTTATTTATTTATGTATTCCGTCCAATTCAATAAAATAGAAAGCGTTTATTACTCTCGGTGAGGGACCTCAATGTGTGGCGCATGCTACAGTTACTGAGTGCCGCGCTTGAATTTGGAGTTTATTCGACCCGATCTGCCTAAATTCAATTCAAATTTTCCGCCTTATTCCAACCTTTGGCTGCGTTGCTATCCCGTGTCATGTTCCACCACTGTGTTGCGTTGATCCATCTTGGAGCTTTTGACTGTCGATATGCATCAAGCTTCTGCTTCTGCATTGGAGTGCCCCCAATCGAGCGGCATCTGGTCAATGGCAGAGCATATCCTGTTCAAGTGTTCCGGCATCCATATCTTGTAGAGGTTCTTGATGAAGCGATAAGCCGTCCATTTCTCTATTCCATCGTCAAGAACAAAGGCTCGGATCAGGCGACGGTAATACCGAGCATCCTCCCCATCGATCACTGGATAGTGACCGTAAATCCGCACTGAGCTATTGTCATGAGAGACAGAAAACGCAAGAATCTCCCGGTGGACCTCATTCTCACGCTCCACACAACGAAAGAGCTCAGTAACCGCCCGTACAGCAAGGGACATACTATGTGCGTTTTGGCGGTCTGAAATATCCATATTTACAGCTCCACACTTCGTCTCGCACGCAAGAAACGGAAAATACATGTTGAAGGTGCCAAGGAAATAAGATAAATGGGTGCTCCTCGTGAAGTCGCCAATAAATGGCGCTAGCTTCTTCAGTTGGTCGTCGGTAAATATCTCACGATCGAATCCCACAGAATAGCTAGGTTGGGGTTGAGAACCAAGGAGGGGGATTGAGTTATTCCAGCTCTCATTGACGCTCTCGATGAGACATCCGAGCTTCTCGTCATGGAGGGCAAGTGTTTCCGCCGAAGGAACGATAAGGCGAGAAATATCTTGAACGACCCTAGCCTTATTCTTGCCTCGCAAATTGTGAATAGTACGCTCGAAGATGCTTTCATTGAAGATGGTGTCCCTGGGAACGTGCTGTTCGCTAGAGAGGAGGCGTTCAACAAGACGTCCGCTGGTATCCGCGATGCCCTGGTTGGAATCCCCCATGTGCGTGCCCATGGTCTGAAGAAGCAATTCGTACCCCGCGTCCGCCTCTGGCAGCCTCAGATCGCTGGGCGATGCTGACACGCCAGAGTCGGATTGTTTGTGGGAGATGGTGGACGCGGTTCTCAACCGCGCAAGTAGATAAGCCTGGGGCTGCATGGAGAGATATGTCGTCAGAGATGGGTTCGGCCACGTCCCGTTCTCGGCCCAATACGCAACAGGGTCATTGGCGTCGGTAGGATTGGCGGGGGATGTGCGCGGTCGCTTCTGGGGTTGGTCTGGGGTGTCGTCGAGCACGTATTCGATTGCCCGTTTCTGGCCGTCGGGTTGAGGAGGCGCTGGGGGAATCTGCGAGAGCTCGTGTGCGGGTTCGTCTGAAGAGCGATGTGCTTCAGTCGAGTCGACGAGGCTGCTGAGGCCAGGATCTGAAAAGTGTGGTGTAGTGCGGTCCATGGCGATGAGCGTGCTTGCGGTTGGAGAGGGGATCGAGGCTCTACCGGCCGGGGATGTGTGATATTTTGACGTGTGATATTTAATGCAAAGCCGGAGGACCGCCGCACAGAAGTGACGACGCCCCACCACGACGGCCTTGAGCGGAGCCCTTCCGGGTCTCCACAGCGGTCGTTTGTCCCCTCTTTCGGCGCTTTGTAGTCCGGCCAGCTCCGGGGCTAGGAATGAAAGTTACCAGGGCGTCGTGGAAACATCACCATTGACTCTTTCGGAGCGTCAAGGAGTGCGTTATTGAGGGGGCATCATCTTTGTTCGTAGTCGACTATGGCTTGCGCAATTGCCCCAACATCTTTGTATAACAAACAATGCCGACTCCCTTCCAAACAAACCCAAAACTCCACTCGCACCCTCCCTTGGACGCCCGCCTAGTCTTGCACAATGACCTGAATACCATGCTCCGACCTACTCCAGCCTGCTCCAACCTACCCCAACCTGATTCACCCTGACCCAGCCCCCTCCAACCCGCTCTGCCCGCCCATGACCCATCGAAGCCTTTGTAGTGATTCCCCAAACATGCAGTCCGTGGCCCGGTACGTACTCATAGCACTTGCTCTGAAGGTGTATCCACTCGAGATCGATCAGTCGTGCAAAATTCGTGTCGTCGCGCAAACCGTTTCTTTGATGAACGTCGGTGAGTTGGAGGGGGGAGCAGCTTGCCGTCGACTCGATAAAATTCACAGTTGCGTGGTTGCTCGGAGGAGTGTCATATTGTTGCTTGTTGTCGGGCGTCATACGGTTCTATACCCCGTGGCGGTAATGAACGGGCAGTTGCTGTGGAATGGGGGGGTGCCGGAGGTAGTTGTAGTCGAACGTAAGCGTATAGGTGGTGGTTTTCGTGCAACGTAGGCGTGGAACGGAGGCGTTTTCGAGGCAAAGCAATCCTTACTCTAATCCGCTTGGAGTGGTCGAGTAATGGGTGACCCTCCGCCATTCTGGGAATCAATATGGAGGTCCTTGAAGCCGGGCGTCCAGTGTAATGATGTCGTCGAGCCAGGTTGAATCGGAAGGATCTGATACGAGTTCGCGGAGGAAGAGCCGGCAAGGAATGCCTACCATCTGACTATGTCGTCGAACTAGGTTGAATCGGAAAGAGCTGATTCGATTTCGCGGAAGAAGAGCCAGCGAGGAATGCTTGGCGCGTAATCTTGGCGTGTAATGCCTACCTTGTATTGCCTACCTTGTAATACTTACCGTGTAATGCCTACCTTGTATTGACTACCTTGTATTACCTACCGTGTCCTGAGGAGGTCGTGCCCGTCATCTGGGTTGCTTGTTGAGCGTCGTAGGTCATGGAGACCAGTTTGCCGGTCCCAGGACCAATGTATCCAGGAAACACGTAGGGTGCTAACAGCCGATCCGGACGTAATTACTGTGGTTGTAGTTCGGGAGGCGAGTTTAAGGAAGAATCAATCCATCTAGCCAGATCCTTGGATGCCGGAGAAGCACGGTCTCTCGTCGACGTGGGTGAAATAGATCAAAAACCAACACTGTTGGGATCAGCGCGACACAAGACGAACCTGACATACTAGAGAGCGTGAAATTGACCCGCTAGCTACGAAAGCAAATACGTAAAAGGAATAGAGTCTTCTTGGTGCAGTGCTCGTCTATGGATGAAGCCCCTTCGGGGCTGGCGTTCTCGTCAATCCCGCCGGGATATCGGCGTTCCGGGAGCTCGTGAGGCATTGGACACGGAAATCCGGGAGTCTGGTCAAGTCGTCGGGAATAAATGCAATTCGAGCGCGGAGATGAAGGTCGGCTTGGATCCATGGTTCGGGATAAAGGACATTGGCGGAATCATCGCGTCGCAGGTCAAAATGGCAGTCTAGCCAAGGCGTAACAAACTGGTCCTGATCCAGAGCGGATGACTTGAGCTCCGATTTTCGTGTGAATGCCGTGTGGGAAGAAAGAAATCGCCATTTATTTCACCAAGATGTTGCTGAGCATGGCATCGTGGGAGGTGAAACCGGGAAGACAGAGGGGGGATTGGGGTTGGGCCGCAGCGACTGCATCGACTGCATTGATGTCCGTCTTGTGTAATCTTCAACAAGGATGGCCACCACCTCTCTCATAGGAGTTGAATGGGCTGCCTTGGGCTCCGACACTGTAAGAGTCAACGGGCAGATTGTGCATCTCCGGGCGTCACATCTGACCACACGTGCCCTATTGGTGAAATGTCGCTCGGCCTCGTACGACCAGCTACGAAACCGTTGGTGATTACGACGCCTTTGTTCGATGCAACAGGGCGAGATGTGCGAGGTTGGGCCGCATTCCAGTGCTTGTGTGTGGTGATGTTGGGCATGCATGTGAGGCCATTTTACAATGTGCTGCCAATCCCTCGATCTGGGCGGAGGGGCCGGCAGCCTTGACCGGTAAAGCGGAGTGAGGCATCACTCACGTCTCTCGTATGGCATCAATTTGGAGCCCAACAGGCTGTGAGGCCTTCTACGGATGGAATCCTCAGGGCCGAAGCATGGGCCTCTCGGGAATCCATCACGCCGAGTCAACCATTCATCGTCAACAGTGAGCCCGACCGCCGATGGAATCCGCGAGACCACACGCCATGCATGCATGTTTTCGGACGGGTTCGACTCCTAGCAAATTAGGTGTAGACTAACGGGCAGATTGCTCGGATGGTCTTGATTTCCGAGACAAGAAAATAAGCAAACAAGTCAGCTGTGAGGCCTTCCGCCGATGGAATCCGAGACCAAAACGCCATACATGCAGGGTTGTCAGCTGGGCTCGACTCGGGGTCAACTCGCAGCAAACCAGCTGCGGCCAAACTTGCACATTGCCTGGATGCCTTCAAGCCCGGTCGGCGCTCAACTTTGAGGCCGGGAATTGACAGGATCCGGATGGCTGGCTGTGTTCCCCGAGAAGCAATCATGCATAGCGGATGGCCTCAACTCGGAGTGAATCAGCCACTGATCAACGTACACGTCTCTCGGGGGCCTCAACTCGGCGGCTTTCGTCGCCGACATGCATGCATGTCTTTCACAGGTATCACAATCAATGTGCCGTCGGCCACCTGCTCTTTGAGGCCTTCCGTGGCAGGCCTTCCGTGGGCACAACCCGTAACCAACGAATCGTGCATGTCTTCGGGTGTCCTCAACTCGGACACATTGGACGCGACGTGGACGCTTGCTATTCGACCGACGGGGCTTGGCAGCTTACCTTGAGGGAATCCAGGGCGGACGAATTTCCCTCCGATGGGAACGGGGAGGCGGAAGCTCTCCCCATCGAGGAAGCCGGCTCTGCAGCTTATCCCGAAAGGTGCACCTTGATGCATACTGACCGTTCAGGAAACCCGTACGGCCGGACGGATATCTGGCGAAGAGGAATTAAGGATTTCCCAATTAAGCTATCCGAGCTATGTGAATGCAAGGATGCGATTGAGGACCTCAGCATTGAGGCCTCCTTAATACAACCCCGCGGAGACGGCTGGATATCCTAATGGCTGGAGGAATCGCCATGTTGCATGCATATGCCCTCGCTCAATTCCGTCAGTCCGGTGGGCTCGGCTTTCGGCCGCGGAGCCTGCGGGACGGGCCGATCTCTGGCAGTTGGGTAGCGTCAACTCAGTCCACTCGGACGAATTCGAGGCCCGCCATCAATGAATCCGCGGAGTCGGCCGAATTACCCGCAATTAGGACGTAACTATTGGCTTTGCCAACCTTGATTACTTCACGGAGGTTGCCATGTACGTTGAGGCCTACCATCGATGCAACCCGCGGAACCAGGCAAGTCTTACCCGGAAGTAACCTCATCTAATGAGTCTCAACACCTGTCGATGCTCGCGGAGTCGGGTCCTTCTCCGGCAGTTGCAGAATTGCCTCTCAACCAACGATATTTGAGGCCTGCCGTCGATGCATGGCGGGGAACCGAGCATGTCTTACCCGGAAGTAACGGTATCTCGATATCCGTTGATGCTCGCGGGGTCGGATGCTTCTCCGGCAGATAGGATAGTTGTATGATTGCCGCTCAGCCAACGATATTTGAGGCCTGCTGTTGATGCATGTCGGGGAACCGGGCAGGTCTCGGCCGGAAGCAACGTCATGTAACTCGGTCTCAACGGCTATTGATACTGGCGGAGCCGGGTCCTTCTCCGGCAGATAGGATAGTGTTACCCAATTGCCTCTCGACCAACCGCACTCTGAGGCCTGCCATCGCTGCAAGCCGGGGAGCCTGACAGGTCTCGCCCGGAAGTAACGTCATGCAACTCTGTCACAACGACTATCGATACTCGCGGAGCCGGCAACTGTTCCGAAGCTAGGATGTGACGACTCCGCGTCAACTAATGAGCACGAGGCTTACGATTACCGGGGCTATCTTTAAGGCCTGCGATCGATGGTGCATCGTACCCCGCTCCATCTACCAGACGGGAAGAAGGAATTTCCTCATTTGAACATGCCGTAGTTGGGACGAGCTTGATCTGACGACTCATCACAACCCCGGCTTATCAGACACGCTGTCAGACAGTTTCATCCGCCCGTCTTCCGCTGACGTGGCCGGCCGCTTGCTATCACATCAGGCCATATGACTGGCTGACTCGTTGCTGGTTGGTTCCATTCGCAAGCCAAAGTCTTGGAATTGATCCCGTGTTGACAAACAATGCGCGGTCGGACAGTGCTCCCGCTCAGCCAGCCTCATTGTCGTCAAAGAGCAGGTTACCTTGTACCGCCCACTGCCAAGCGTGACGCTCGTTGGATAGGCATGTTGAAAATGTCTTGAATCTTTTGGCCGGTCCATGATATTCTTTTGCTCATGCAGTCCTCAAGTGTGGTGGAGTGTAACTGGACTATCTCGTTGGATAGGTTCTGGGGAATTCTGGTGCCGGTCGCACCAAGTTCTGACTGCATATGCAGACCCATGCTGTCTTGGTTCTGATTCGACAGCTGCGAAAAGACGCTAAATGCCCCATTGTAAAGTTCGGAATTTTTCAAACGACAGGCTGAGAATGAGTGATACAGTGTCCACGTTATACACACGGCTTTCTGCACTGTATCCATCGCACATTTTTCACCAAGCAGATGTCCCGCGTGTTAGACAAAGACCTGAGAGCTACATTAGTGTTCGCTCAAATCAAGCGGTTGTAGAGGTCCTATCGACTCCCAACACAACGGGCATCTACATCAGACCGCGCTGTGCTGTGACATCGGTAACATCCGCAGTCTTATGGGGCCAGGTACAGGCTTCTATTGGACGTATCTTGATGGTGATTGTCGGACAGTAACAGGGACATATGCCCCACAGAAAAAGTTCAGAGAAATTTAACCAGACCAAACCTGTGCGTAATAAATTGCGCACTGTAATTTTGCACTGTTAGTATCGCCTAAAATTGCAAGTCACTCTGTCTATCTTGACATCTGATTGGATGCCTTGTCTGGGAAAGTCTTGATGCCTCCCCGGCCTCATGATACCGCTGTCTCTGTCCTGCATGCACCACCCACGCCACGTTTCACTCGGCTTATAGTGATCTCGCGCGCTGAATCAAGTCCTCATACTGTAAATTTAGTGATGCGCCCGGGGAGATTGGACGTCACCCGAATGCCGTCAATTTGGCAGCTAGGTAGGTGACAGGAAACATCAGAGTATGACTCGGGCCTCCGGATCCAAGTCCTTCACCCATCCAAGGCGCCTCGAAATTCATGCCGCAAAACATGTCGAAGCCCATCCCCTACCCACCAGCCAATCGGAAGAGCAAGACCTGCAGCTTCCTGAGCCACGTCGTTACCCCGCTCAAAATATCCAAACTCAGCCGGCCGCATCGAAGACGCTCTCAGCTTCAAGCCCAAGTAACGGAATGTATCGCGCAGTGTTACAGAGTCTCGCCTGACAGACGTGTGGCTTGAAGGATCAAACTTGGCAAAAAATTTCCTCACCTATTTCTTGACTTTTTTTTGCGTGCATATGTCGCCGTATGTCGGCAGATAATTCTTCGGCTGGACCCTGTTCGCTTCCTGCCAATCATGAAAGGCCAACGCGTGATATCACAAACATGCATCAGCGGTGTCTTGGAATACTGTCACTCAGGTCTATCAACTGACCTGTCCCGCCAATCACGAAGCTCAGCTCAGAGCCTGAACCGTGGTGAGTTCCCGTCTGGAAACCTCGCGCCCAAGTCACTTCTGGTATTCTCAGACAGGTGTTCTTGGCTGGGCTCACTTGCACTTCATATGTATTCCTACTGGACACGATTCAGGCAATCCCAAGCCCAACCATGGCTTGCGTTCCAAAAGGGTGGTTGCTCGTACGATTGTCTCTCCGAGCCGTCCCCCCTCAAAGCCACGTCTCGTATTCATTTCTCGGCCGGTTCAGTCTCTTCCACCCGCCCTACTCTCGGTCAAAGATCACCATTGACAGCCCGCCTCCAGTTGCCTCTCAGCTATCACTTCCCCAAGCCACTTCTCGCTATCGCCCGCTTTCACAAACTTGTCTTCCTACTGGTCAATAGTACTCAGCACTCAGCCAAGACCATGTCTTCCGGCCCGCCGCAGCTCCACTTATTCCTCACTCAGCCCGCCACCAGCCTCCAGATTGTCACAACCTCCGAGTCAACCTCCAACTGTCCCAATCAACCTCTTTGAATGGGGATCAATTCAAAGACAGGTCTTAACTAGAGTACAATTCGAAAATTTTCGGCATTTGCTTTTCCCCGAAGATTTTCGGGCTCATCTGAAACGTATATAAACTTGCAGTTCCCGCGAATCGTGACTCTGAGCGGGTGGCTAGGAAACTGGACTCTGAGTTGTCCACTTCTCAAGCCACATCCTCCAATCAGTGTAGATAGTGCAATGTAAACCTCAAACCGTGAATCCTATCACTTGCATCGATAAGCGTGCGCTGTTCCGCGGCCATGTTGAAGTTCAGCCCCACAATTCACTGGGCCAATGGCATATCCCGGCTGTACTATAACGCCTTGTCTTGGAACTGGGCTTTGGCTTGTTCAGCTCTTTGCGCCACGGCTTTCGGGTTCCCATAGATCCGTTGAGCTGTCACACAATTAGTCACAATGTTTCCCAATCTGTGACTTGCCACGGATGTCGGCACTGGCAACTCAACGCCAAGCCCGAGCCTCGTTCCCGACGGTCCTATCAAATCCCCGAAACTGAACACCGAGTTCCGCCAATTTGTAATTTCCAGTGCCTGGATGTCGGCAATTACAGTTGCGGCCCAACTCCATTGCCGAGCCTCGTTTGTTTTTTTGGATAGTCCCATTGAGTTACTACATTGGGCCCTAAGTCTTACTAATTTGTACTTTCCCACATATGCCGGCAGCTGCAACCCAATGCCAAGCCCGAGCCCCATCTTGGATCTTGGCAAATAGTTTCTTCGGGTTTCCGGAACTGGACAGTGAGTTGCGTCAGTGTTGCGTCAATTTACAATGTGTTAAAAATGCCGGCAGTTGCAGTCAACGCAAAACCGAGCCTCGTTTTCCGGATCCTGGTAGATACCATGTTGAATTATTGTAACTGGACACCGAGTTGTGTAAGGAATGTGTAATATTTGCGTAGAAATTGCGTACGAGTTGCGTACGAGTTGCGAAAGAGTTGCGCAAGAGTTACGTTAATGAATAATGTCTCAGTCTCAGATATGCCGGCAGTTGTAGTTGTCACAAACCCGAGCCTCGTTTTTTTGGATCCTAGTCAATAGTATCTCATATTATTAAAACTGAGCACAGATTTGCGTAAGGACTGCGTAAGAGTTGCGTACGGATTGCGCACGAGTTGCGCAAGAGTTACGTCAATTGAAAATGTCTCAGTCTCAGATATGCCGGCAGTTGTGGTTTTCGCAAAGCCGAGCCTCGTTTTCGGATCTTGGTGCATGGTCCCCTCAAATTACTTAGTTTGGACGCCGAGTTTGACAACTGGCACTCACCCGCGCATGCGGGGATGTGACAACTCAACTATTAGCCCGAGCCTCGTTTCCCATGTTTGCCAGTAGATAATGCATTGTAACTCGCATCCAGGTCCCGAGTCATAAGCAACCATTGACGTGTCAGTCAGCCGTAAGCTGGCTTGAGGAGGTTTGCTTTTGCTGTTCACGGCATTCCCCAATTGGCATTGGGGAAACCATGTGGCTTGGGAAAACAAACAAAGGCCCGATAACTCAAGACTTTGCAGAGAGACGTTAACGTTATCGTCAAATTAGATGTCAAGATAGGCCGTGTGATTAGAGGCTGCATATGCAGTCATACTATCGTACGACCTGCACGGGAATCCAAGACTTTGCTCAGATAACAAGCAAGCAAGCAAATGGCGTTGCGAGAATATCGTATGACCGACACGGGAACCCAAGACATTGCTACGTAACAAACAAGCAAGCAAGTACACATTGTGATAGCGACATGCAGCGCTATCTACGAAATCTTTGGAAATGTCTTGGATTTGTTTGACAATCATGTCATTGTTTGCTTATTGTAATTGACCTCCAAGCGTAAGCGGCGACTTGGCATCCCCAGCTGAGTCTCAGAGATTGTTCTAGAGGCTACAATGGCCGACGCAGAGTCAGCCATGTCTCATAAACGAGGCTGCGTATCCAATAGTCCGCATATAGGTAGTTCCATGCCAACCACAACGTGAACTAGTCCGTTTGCATGTTGCCGTCGGCCACGTCAGAGATAGCGGCAGCAGCGTCCGTCTCCCCGCCGTCCGTCTCCCCGCAAAGAAGGCGGGGAATTCCACTCTCCTTGCGTCCGCGGAGAATGCAGATCCGCTCAACCCATGGAGATTAACTTGCAGATCACTCTGCAAGCCAAGGCGCGGATGCAGTGTGAGACGAGCCGTAGTGTGACCCTAGATGCAAACATTGATGCCTAAGGCCTCGCATAGTGAACCGGTACGCAGCCTAATCTGAGGTCTGAGGAATTCGGGGTCATCGCCATTCCCCTCTCATTGACCATCATGTTACTCAAGAATCCTCCCTCGAGTATTCACATCTCTCCGTAACACATCGACGCCACAGATTGCATCTCCTGGCTCGTTCGACGCCACATCACCTTCTCATCTTGTCTCGAAACCACCAACACCACGCAGCACCTCTTGAAGCTCTGGTACACGCTCAAGCACAAACCTCACTGGGGATGGCAAAACAAACGACAGGACGGTCACGTCGCAGCGACAACCCCTTCCGTCGAAATTGACGCATGTTAGAGTAGCTCACCTCCAACCATTTGGACTCGTGATTTTAGGTTGTTCATCGCAATGCCCAAACTTTGTCCCGGTTCATCTCGTAGACCTACCCTGTAGCCACATCTTGTGTCCTAAGGATGTGTGTTATTGTACGTATAGTCCGGCTTGTAACACTCAGCCATCGTCGTCACATCTTCCAGCGACCCGTTATCATCTCTCGTGTCTAGAATCGTACTGGGATTCTTTACCCGCTTTCGTTGGCCAACTCCATTCTCTACAGCTCTTAGCTTCATCCGGCCTTAAGGGTTCCTAATGGCCTCAGATAGCTCAGCCCATGTTGACGCAGTTTGCCTGACTCGCACCCAGCTCTCACGACCTCTTGACTAGTTTACAATTGGTCACCCCCTCTTTAGCCCTCCCCACCCAGAAGGCCAGCCTCAAAATTGCACGGCATCTCTTGAACCGGATTGCCATGGCCGCCAGAAGCCGGCCCATACCGGAATCTCGTCTGACAACTTCCTGATATCCCCAACTCAGAGCTGTCATGGATCTTCACGCCGCCATGCCTGGACACCCAGAAACTCTGTGGATTTCTTTTGACAGAGGAGCAACCACCATCGACGTTCGACACATCGCAGAGTGCATTCTACGTGGCTGCCATGCGCCCTTGCCTCAAATTGCTTTTGCGCCCTAGACAGGCTTGCAGTAGCCAACGCCAACACACGCCCTCCACACTTGTTGGATGCCCGTGCTAGCAACAGCGTCGGGAACAAGCAGATCCCACAGCCTGGTTAACCACGACGCCTAGATCTTCTGCTCAAATTGCTCTCGATTTTTAGATCAACCCGCGATGACCGACGCCTGGACGAATACCTCGCTCTGTAACTCAACTGGACTGTCTACTCGAGGATTAGATTTCATCACCAACGTCCAAAATGAAGCTCTTCTTCCTGCGATCCGCATACTCGGTAAAGCCAAGCAACACCAGCCCACTCCGAGCCTGGTTTAGATGCAGCAGCATCTCCAACCGGTTAGAATTGTCTTGGATGGCTACACCGGCCTGCGGGGGCCAACGAAGGCCCGCAGTGCGTCTCAGATGTCTCGTCGCCTCAACCTGTTGAACGTCGGTTTCGTCATCGGCCTGGGGCAACCTCCACCAACATCCTGCCGGTATCGCTTGCTCCAAATCACGCTGCGTTCATTACCGACTTTCAGTGACCATCTTTTTTATCACGATCTCCTTGGGTTTCTCGATTGTGGAGAGGAGCCGGGAGACTCGCGCAAGCGGAGGACGAGGGGAATTTGAGAACCCCGACAGGTTTGAACTGCAAAGGAGAAGCCTTCCTACTCGGCTTCTAACAATAAAGGGTGTTGGTGGCGGCGACCGTGATGTTGGTGGCTGACGATAAAACGCAGTCCTTACCCTTCTCCAACATGTTCATCCCGTCCGAGTCTAGCCCATCTACTCACCGCATTGGCAATCTCACCACCACACATGGGTGACGATCCGCAGAGCTGAGGTACACAGCTGCACTTCCTTCGACTATCGTTACTTCCTGCGCTCCTGTTCGTCGACATGCACACAAACCCGCGGGGGTCGAGACGACGCGAGGCGAAGAGTTGCTTGTTATGCACGCCACTGGACAATTGGCGTCGTCTCAATTGCTTTGGACTTGACCGAGTCCTTGGCATGCTGCGCTAAGAGGGACGAACGAAGCAACTAAATCGCCAAGGTCGAATGAACCGCCTTGTCAGTTCTCACAATCCTTCCTGGCGTCGTTATGCGCCTAGCGCCAACAACCACAACCACACGGACGGTAGCCAATCAATCCAACAACAATGGCCAAGATGCTGAGATCCCAGACGGAGAATCAAGCGATGATACGGAATGGGCTCATCTCCACTCACCGAGTTTTACCCAAAGTTTCCAGAGTTATGAAGCTGGCATCACTTCACGAGAGTATGAGAGTCATGAGTTCTGTAAGCGTGCAATATCCCAGAGTGAATGTCTGTACTTTTCTCATGCTTTCCAATTAACCCAACCAAACCACGTAAATGAGACCTGTTGGTACCATCCACGCTCACTCACTCTCTCCTTACCCTTCGCGCCTCTTCGTATTTGAAGTAGTCTTTCTCCGCGTCGTAGAAGAAGCGCTGCTCCATCATCTTGCGAGCGAGCAGAGCCTTCCGCCCAGGTGGTGCTATGAACTCTGTCAAGAGCGGGAGAATGACGCTCCTGTAAAACTCCGTATACCTGTATTCGTAATACGCAGGTATCGGGACCACGCATTCGCCAAACAAGAAATGCCAGAAGACGTCGTACGTCAGGTCTGGGTGTCGCAAGGCCATGACTATGGCTGTGTGACACCACGATTCCGTCTCGTCCCATTCATTGGAAAGCTGTGGCGGCACCTGGAGAGCTGTCTCGCGCTCTCGAATTGCAGCAACAAGACGACCGGCCTCTCTGTTGAATGGTGTTGTATGTCCAATCATCCACTCGGGGGGGCCGCCGACCAACCAGACGGGCGGGACAAATATCTGTATCGGAACGACGCAGCTCCATTCCCAGTCCTTGACGCCAACGAGGTTAAGGTCGTTATCGAAGAGCAAGTTGTCTAGGGTAACATCCAATTCCCCATGCATCAAGACAAATGGACCGTTTTCGGTGCCAGGGTCGAGCCAAGTATCAATGACAAAATTGCGGAAGTGGTGTCGAGCGTAGAGGTATTGCTGTCCGCGACGAGTGTCGAGTCCTACATCACTGCATTTGTCGAATTCGTTGTCGGCCAGCCTGAGTAGAGCCTCGTTTACGAAGCTGCTTGCGGTGGAGAAGGTAGTTCGCGGCGGGACCTTGTCGCCGGCCTCGAATCCCTGGATCTCCTGCAGGGACATCTCCATCGACATGGGGCGGTGACGCACGTGGATGTCATCGGGGTCGCACTCATACACTGGTCTCCCATCAACAATAGGGAGGCCAAGGGCTCCGACTTCGGGAAACTCGAGCTGACGTAGCTGGATGTAGAAGTCGGCAAGTTGTCGGTAAAGCTTGCTTGTTAATATGTCCTGAATCTCGCTGGAACATGTCTTGTTTTGCATGGGAAAAGGGAAGTCAAGATCCGCCAGATTTCGCCCCGCAATGCAGTCCATGATAATGAAAGCCATCTGTATAGGACTACCTTCGGTGAAGGAGTAGCCGTGCACACGGGGTATGGGAATAGTGGTTTTGGCACCAACATATCTGTGTGTAGCACGACCCAGAGTCAGATGAACGGCACATGATACGATGCATTCATGGGTTCAAAGGTCAATTCACCTCATGGTAGCCAACTCGGCCTCCAATTTCTCGTCAATCCAGACGACAAGCCCTGGGATGGGAAGTCGGACAACCCATGATTCCGGAGGGATTGTGGGAAACATGACAATGACACCGACATTGAAGGGGTTATATCGCATGACCCTGACTACCTGACACGGAAGCCCTCCGTGGTAAGATGACGCAAGACGACAAATCTGGTCCAGGTCGAGGGAGTTGATGAAGCGCTCACAGTCCTTGCGGGCTTGGTCTATCAGGATGGAGTTCGCCATCGTGAGGGGTGAATTGAATGAGTGAGTGAGATGGATGAACTTGATGAATAGAATAGACGCGCAGAGTAGACGAGCTTGCTGTGAACCTGACGCCTGGGAGGTAGAGGAGGAGAAGTAGAGAGAAGAAGATGACCTGAATGATCTGTGGAGGGCTTGCGGAACACTGTGACGGGTAATTGGTCACCCCGCTCCGTTGTTTTCTTTTGCCAAAGTGCGAAATTACACGCTAGAGGGCATCATGGCTTTGGACTTGGCAGCTTCAAGGGCACCGCATGCGCCGAGGGGTTAGTCCAGGAGGATTCGGCAAGTAATCGAAATAGAAGAAGAAAGTCGAGAGAATAGGGGACCAGATTGGTAGTAACTGAGAGCTCTCCAGGCACCAGGTGGTCATGACGGCTCACTCGATTGCTTGCTGTGATTAACTGCAAAGCTGATATGGATGTATCCTCAAGTGTTTTGGGATTTGGCACGGGGATAACATTCAGGTTTTCCTAGTTAAAACATTTGCAAATTTTAGTCACTCGTCTTTATAACGTCTATTTATGTGTGTCCGGTGATGGAGTCGACGAAGTGCCCTGCGCCCACGGCGCCGGCGAAGATGACGGCTCGCTGAACGCGCGAACGCACCCAAGCGCATTGGTGTCGTTACTGACCCTTTGATGGTGGCGTAATCTTGTAGAGAATGGCAACCGAGCTTCTCGAGGGGCAGTGTAGTAACTTCGTCTTTGATGGCTGGGGAGGAGGGGACGGCTCCCCGCTCGTCCATCGTTTCTTAGCCTTCCTCAGCTCATCGCGCTCTATTCCTGCCGCATGTCATAAGCCACGACCTGACTCGTGATCGCACGGATATAGCCTATGCCATGGTAGTTCGCAGTGATGTTGTTCGAGATGGTGACAGACGACGGCGGAGAAACGCCCAAGTCCGAACATTACTGTGGCTGGCTGGCAGTGGTGGCGTGGCTTGTATGTGGCGGGTTGGCTGGGTGGTGCGATCCAAGTACCCTACACTGAAGCTAGGCGAATTGTTGGACAACTCTACGATTAATCAGTATCTGCCTTATGAAATCAATCATGTCCATCTGAGAATCAACTGCTTCGTAAAGCATTGGGTATTCTATCATTCGGTTAGATAATGGGCTTGCATATGGGGTAGGTGGTGGGAGATAATTACTCAGTTCTATGTCAAACGGGACTTCCTCCGGTAGGCTATGGAATAGCTCCTCAAGAGTGACGAAGGGCTCACGGATGCTATGGCTCCGGAGATTTGGTTTGTAGTCAGGGTGATTTAGAGTGAATTCTATCTCGCTGACGAGGGCTTCCGTGGCGCTGTCCAGTGGTGCGCAGAGTGATCTGCGTCGCGAGCTAAGAAGAGCACGGGGGCGGTCACGCTCATCCCATGGCAATCTTTTGGGCGGACCGTGGGGCGGCTTTGAGATAGACTTCGCATCGTTGATGGCCGTGGACTGGTGATATTTTAGGTTAGCAATTAGAAAGGAGTGGTGAGGCATGGAGACTTACCTGCTCGAGGGTAAGTGTGTGCATAGGTGCTTCAGAGCCCTTCTCGACTACGAGAAAATCGTGGTAAATGACGGGAATATTATCTTTGGTCAACTGAACGTCTGCCAGGAGCGTTAGATTAGCTTTTGGGAAACGGATAGCAAATTGGCAACCTGGCCTTACCAAATTCGACAACGTTAGCCCCGTGGTCAATCGCGGTTCGGAAGGACTAGTTGGGTAGTCAGAAAGAGGCATGGTTCTGAGAAAGATAAGGACCTCGTGATACCTGAAGCGTGTTCTCTCCAACTTGTAAGTAGGGCAAGTTATCGTTTTGTCCATTCCCTACCCTCTCAGGTCAGTACAGTTCTCTCAGGCGAAGGGAAGTGCCTACCGCGATGGCCGCCGATAGTCGATGAGGACTCCAGTTTCAGAATCTGGGGATCTCTGGGCGGGAGTTGCCCCTGCTTAAAGGGACGGGCGACAACAAATGTGAAAACTACGGTTCCGACGTGGCCATATTTGTCACTGACAAGAGGTATGGTGGAGTCCCTGATCAGGCTCTCGCGGTTGGCTCCCAGACCTTCTTTCAGTCTGCCAAGGAGTGCGACGGCTGTTCCAATGGGCTTTTCCTTCAGAGAACTAGTGAGCTTGAAGACAATGGCTGCGCTGTCCGGATCCCTAGCTGTGACGCACCAGGGCCGGTCAGAGACTTCCGAAATAACCGGAAGAGAGACTTTGTGCTCTTGTTGGTTGTGGTCTCCGACAAGATAGATACCAAGATCTAGACACGTGTCGGGTATCTGAACCGGTGATATGCGTCTTCTGTATGGTGTAACGTCGACCTCAGTTACCTTCTTGAATAGGTCCAGCGTCCCTAGGTAGACGAAGATGACCGAGTCGGTAGAGGAGCGTCGTGGCAGAATGTTTGCTTCACCAAGTTGCTTCCCGGGCTTGGAACTCAGGGAGGGTGAACCGCGTGCTTTGATGGTGTTTATAATTTTGATGTTGCCCCTGTACGCAACATGATCCTTGGGGAGCCATCCTTGCCGATCAGGGATGCTGGCATCAGCACCTGCTTGAAGAAGTGTTTCGACCGTATCAGCATGCCCGTGTACACAGGCAGAGACGAGCGGCGTCCACCCAGCCCCCGGCAGGGCCGCCGGAGGCAAAGACATTACAAATAGAAGGAATAGGTAGGTGTAAAGCAGAGTCACAGCAAGAGTCCTATTTGCCTCCAACAGCAGCCGCGGCTTTCTTCGCCAAGGCTCAGAGGGGCAGGGCTGCTGGAGGCAAAAATGACTCGTCGGCTTGGAGCTGCAGCTTTGCTTACCCCTATGATAGCTTGCTAACATCGGACCTAGTATATACAATAGACCTATACGTGTTTCGTGCCACACCACTGGAATTCTAACAGCCTGGGCAAGCTGTACATCTAGACAATGAGGAATATGGGCGGGCTCTTCGTGTATCTTGCCTTAGACTAGTTGCATGAGAATCACTGTACCTATCGATACCGTCCCCAAGTCGCGAAGAGTTGTGCTCCGACGACTTGTCGCGGCTCTCGCAGATCTCTAGGGGCTGCCCGGGCGATTTCGCCCAACCTGCGCGCCAGCATGACTGTGCCATGACTCCAGGTTTGCCAACAGAGCATGTCATCTGTGTAGCAAGCAATATCTGATGTGCGGGCAGCCGTACCTGCACCCCCAGTGGTGCAAGGTCACATGATCTTATTCACACCACTGGTGGTGCAGGTACGGATGCCTCTGATGTGCAAAAAGCATTCTATTGTTATTTGATTACCCCGCCTTCACCTTCAACATCAATCTTTAGACCCTACTGACCTAATTATATATAATTTATTACCCATACAGGTGCATCTTAAGTCGCCCTTTTCTCTTCTTTGCTCGCTCTAGGCTTCACTTTGCCTCAGCAGGTCATCGTCTCAGCCATGGCCGTTGATCAAGACGAGGTCATCGCCTCAGACACGGCCGTTGATCAAGACGAGGTCATCGGTGGCAAGAACAATTTCTGGCTCTACTCCAAAGTCACGGGATTCGATCTGACACATCCTGCAACGCCTTCTTCACCTCCAATCTACCCTCGCATCCCTCTGCAGACAACCCAAGCCGATATAGCAGTCGATCCAGCGAAGACAGCTCTCGTGGTAGTCGACCTTCAAAACTACTTTCTCTCCCCACTCCTCGGCCGTCCCAAGGAAGGGATAGGTATGGAACTCGTGGACAGGCTTCTGAAGCAGGCGATTCCCGCGTGCAGAAAGGCGGGTATACCTATCGTTTGGCTCGGCTGGGGCTTGACGCAGGACGACATAGATGGAATGCCGCCGACTATAGTCAAAGGATTCGCAGCCGACACCAACTTCAAGGGACCACGCAAGGTGGGCTCCCTAGGCTCCGAAATTGGGCCTTTGGAGTGCCATGACGGCACCACCATCGACGGCGGCCGGGTTCTGATGCGAGGTTCATGGAACGCTGCGTTTTATTCGCTTCTGGCGGACGTGGCCGAGCCAGGTGACATTTGGGTTTCGAAGAATCGCTTGTCCGGGTTCTGGGGAGGCACCGGCATCGAGGAGATTCTGGAGGAACGCGGCATCAGGACGCTGCTCTTTTCAGGAGCGAACACGGATCAGTGTGTCGGCGGCAGCCTTCAAGATGCCTTTACCAAGGGCTGGGACTGTCTTATGCTGAAGGATGGGTGTGTCACGACGAGCCCGGAGTACGCCAGGAGGTGCATCGAATATAATTGCGAGGGGGGTTGGGGGTTCTTGCTGACTTGTGACCAATTTGTTCAAGGCGTGAATAATACCCTGCATTCGCCTGCGGACTCTTAAGATAGCACCTACATGAGCCTATAGTGCCCCTATTCACTCATACTGTTATTGAGCAGCCAGACTACATGAATGTGAAGGTATAGATGCATATCTTTTATAAAGCAAATTTCTCCCCAGTTATCAGACTTTAGAGGGATCTGATGTAGGAATGTGGAGAGTATCCCACAATAACGCCAGAGGGCTTACGATTCCCTGCCCGAGAATGAAGCCCGTTGCGCAACACAGCAAAGACATGTCCTTGAACCCCAGGTGTCTACGGCCGACGATCATGATAAGGCTGCCGAGAGCTCGAGGCAGGGTTATCGATGGGACAATGTACATACCTGAGAAACAGTCAGTCGCGGGAGCATGTGTCTAGTATAAAGATGAACAACTTCTTACCTATTGCCATAGCTATACCGGAAGGAACAAACGGACGCCACCAGGGTTCCGATCCCATGATTCTGAAAGCGCTGAGCACTGCGCCGAGAACAAGAGCCCCGATGGAGAAGTGAATTGCCCCGGGTGGTAACCCTTGCTGGCGGAGGAATCGCGCTGCGACGAGATATAAATAACCGTCCGGGATTCCGAACTCGCCACTTGGCAGTTCTTTGACTGTCGTGTATGCCCTGTAAAGGAAGGTCGCGATTAGAGCCCCGGCGAAGGAGCCCACCATCTGACCCCAGAAGACGGCTCTTGGCGGCGTCTGGGTTATGTACGCTGTCTTCAAGCCGCCCATGTGTTGCGCAGCTTGAGAAGCGCCGGCCTCGACCACGCCGCCGAACAAAAGGTTCGCAGGCATATATTGGGCGCTGGAGCTGGGAACCACGAGGCTGGCGATGAGTTGTGCTATCCTTCCTGTGTTTAGGAGTGAGAGAATGTTTTTCCAACGGGAATTGAATACGAAACAGGGGCAAGGTTGTAAAGAACGTACCTACGGCCAGAGCGGCGCCGTTGTCGGTCTCCCCTAGTGAACGCATTGAAACAAAGCCAGCGAGGGGGACAAGTACCGCAGCGAGTAGTGTAGCAAGAGAAGGGATAAACTCCCGAAATGCAGTGCCTAGACAAGCGAAGTACGTGACGTATAAGGCCACGGCAAGCCAGAGAACCAAGGTTGGGGTTGTTATCGAGCTGTCTGGCCAGTCGTCCGTGTCCTCGGCTGAGGTGGCGGCACCACCTGGATGATTTGAGTCTGAGCTGTCGGGGAGCAGCGGAGTCTGTTCGCTAGGGCTACCGTTGGAGCGTCTTAGCCATGGTGCCCAAATCGTCTGAAGCACGTAGCTTGCCCGAGAGGAACAAAGCTTCAGGACAATCCAAGCTATCCCGACGAGGGAGTCCCCAAGAATCAGTCCCATGCCAACCCAGAGGATCCATCCCCGCGAACCATTCTCCCAGTCACCCACGGGGCCCGATGTCCAACCATTATGCTTGGCGATTGGAGACAGAATGCCCCAGCCAAGAACGGCCCCGAGGAAGGTAGAGGCGTTGATGCTTGGGCCGATGATGATCCCGTAGCCGAAATATGCCGGCGATAAGTCAAACTCCCATAACCAGTCTCTCGCAAGGGTATGGCCGAAAATGGGAAGGTGTTTCAGGGCTGGGACAAAGTGTGCAACTAGGCTCTGTCGAGTCGTGGTTAGCAATGTGCGTGCGAAAAACGACATGGGGCAGGATGAAGAGGGCAAATTCACAAACAAAGCAGAAAAGGCCAGAGAAAGAAGCAGAACTTTGATAGGCTGAGTGTTGCTGTATTGTTCCAGTTGGTGGGTTGGACTCTCGTGCTCAGTAGGCCCGGACGGGTCAGTGACGACGCTCCGGTAAACGGGTCGGGTGCTGCTGCTGCTATCATCAGGCTCTGCTCGCGTGACAGCGGGCGGCCTCCCGAAAAGGATACTAATCAGGGTGCCGGTGGCTGTGGCTGATGGGAAACGAAGCGGCTCGCGGTGGATGAATAGTCTTCGGAAGGGGGCGGCGGCGACAATGCCCAGGCCGCAGATGGCCAGTGACCATAGAAGAAGTTGGGGCAAGCTGAATCGGACTGGCGGCCCGTCTTCGTCACCGGTCAGGAATTCGAGAGCAGGAAGAAAAGACGTAAAGCCCGATGTGAAGGGGGCAAGCCCCAGGGCACCTGCAATGACCTCAACAAGCGCGATCTCGGCGGGGGCCACGGGCGGCTGGGAGGTGGGAAACCGATGCTGGATGGCGCCAAGGATGGCGGAGCCGAGCAGGGCGCTCTGCATGGGCATGGCGTTCACAGTGCCTGCCTGGAGCCCAAAATACATGTTGGCCAGGCTCACGGCGAGGCCGAGAATGATGCCGCAGGCGATTGCGCGAGGGGTGAGGACGTCGGAGACGGCGGGCAAGGGGGATGTAGTTGGCTCCGCTGCTGTGCGTGGCGGGACTTGTAGGCCCATGTTGACAGAGATCGTGCTTGCCATGACTTTCAACGTTGACGACTACGTTTCGCATATGAACGATGGCAAGTTGATGATTGATGAAGGAGGTTGGGGGGCCGCTCAACTTGGTGTGCTGTGCCACCGTTGCTGTGGCGGCTGTTTCACTGTTTCACAGCCCGCGCGCACCCAAATTTGGAGCCAATCAATCCACCGAACTGGTTGGTGATAAAGGTGACTATAAAGGTGACTGACGACGGGCTGAGAAAATGGCGACACGACTTCATGAGACATACATCCATGCATCCACCAGGCTGCACAGTAAGGCCTGTTTGATAGATACACCGGCCCCGCTAACAGGGTCCATGTGTGGTAGTGTCCTTAATAAGTAAATTTAGTAAAAAGTTGGCCAATCAATGAGCTTTCTTCCCAAGGCATACATCGGTTTTCAGCAACCAGTTTTCACTGGCTGACCTTAGTGCCGGCGCTTCTAATTATTGTCCTACGCCCAGAGGAACAGGCTGGACAGAACACACACACACAAGCTGATTTTGGGGCGAACGCGGTGCGACTTCACTGTGAAGCGAGGAGCTCCGCTTTTGCAGTAGTCAAACGAGCATCCGAAAACTCCAACTTTCCCTCTCCAAAAACAACATCATCGGGATCCCAGTGTCCGTCCTACGCCATGTCACAAACCCAAGCATTCCCTACCTTGCCTCCCCAAAATATTCCTGGCAATTCCACAGGTCAGACAAGCTCCCTAACCCCCGTCAGGGTCAACCTCACACTTGCTGGCTGGTACTGACTGGAATAACTACATAGCCTCGCCTGCAGAGTCGTACGCGCGCAAAGTCGTCAATTACTCGAAGCTCGATGCCAGCGACGGGTACTTGTCTGGTATCCATTACCAGCGTCTTGGAAACTTTCTGGTCAAACCGTATCTGAGATCATTCAGTCAAGGATGGAACGTCCCAAACTCGATTCCGATGTCCGCAAGCACACCTAGATTCCGGCCTGTCACCTTCTGCGACTTGACAAAGGCACACGGCGACCCTCGTCGAACTATCCACTTGGCTCATCCCGACGAGCTTCTTCCACTGTTGGACGGCCAAGCTACCGAACTTGGAGACATTCGCGGCGCAGATCACCGTCAAAACACATGTGGTTTGGGTACTCCCACTGTCCAACCCAGAGTCAAGTCTGATACAGGACCGAACGAATTCCCAGGCCGCATAGTGTTCCTGAAGGGCTTTGCTTCTGCAGAATGGCTCAACCACTTGGGAGCATTTCTCGACATTGATCCCGAATTCTTTCACCGCCATCTATCAGTCTCTTCTGGTCTCCTCCCTCATGGCCTACAGCCAGATCGCTCCTATTCGACCCCCGCTCCTAGGTCCCAAGACCTCATACAGCTACGGGTCTGTAACCCCGGCTCTTGGGCACCGAAAAAGTCTGGACTACGTCTAGAAACGCTAAGAGAGGAGTGTCGCTCGAGTATGGCGATCCATCTCGGGAACTTTGCACGACTGCATAACTTCTCCATAGGAGACTCCATAGTCCGCCGCTTCATGCTGCACGACCTCTTCTCCTTCTCCGTCGAGCAGAGCATCTCCATAGAGGTCATATACCACACTACTACTTGGTCTAGTGAGTCTGGTGCACAGGAGCATAGAGCTCGCAGCTAATCTCGACACAGTCATTGTGTGGATGGACTCGGGCAACGAGCTCGCTGGCAGTAAAGGCGGCCCGTGGCTCTGTGATTTCGCGCTGACCAAGGAGACCCAATTGCATCCTATTTTCCAACACCGGCCTCGGATGGCACTAGGCCCCTCTCCGTTGGAGAACCACACCTCTTCGACGTCACGAACTTCGGGGGCTCACACCGTGCATACGCCCAGAACACCTGAACAGACTCCCCAGTTTCGTGATGAGCGAGTCACTCCCGAGAAATATCCTCAGAGCATCCGCCATATCTACAAGAACTATGGTAGATACCTCAAGTCCGGCGTCATGGCTCATGATGCCTTCTACGCTTTACACGAGCTGTTTGAGTTCTCAGCGGCGTCCATCGACCAGCTACTCGAGCTCCTAGAGGACACCATTCGGGGGGTACCCCATCAGGCAGACGCCGCAAGGCTGTCGGAGCTTCTAATCCTCAAGGCCAACCTAGATGGCTATCGCAGCTACGTTCGCGACACATTCAGGACGGTCCAGGCGCGAGGCAATCCCAAGTGGCCCCGAGCCGTCGATCCCAGGCACCGTTTGAAGGCAGACCAGGCAGCTATTCAACTCGAGGCCAGATACGAGCATCTATTAGCACGTTGCGACCGCCTTTCGGAACACGCCTCCGGCAACATCAACATCTTGATGAGTTTAGGCAGCCAGGAACAGACCGCCAAGACGGTGCAACAAACTGATAGACTCGGCAAGTTGAGCTTCCTGGCGTACTTCTACGTTCCGATCTCGTTTGCCGCCTCCTTTTTTAGCATGGGGTTTGTGGAGTTGGAGAATCATCTTAGTATATGGGCCTTCTTCAGCTTAGCTACGCTACTTTTGTTCTTATCTATGCTTGCCTGGGTCGTGGATCTGTCACATATATGGACTTGTTGCTGGGTTTATGCAAGAAGAAAATTTGTAGCTCTATAAACGGTCTTCTTAGAAGGCAAGCGATTTCGGGAAGATAGCCAACATGGGTTCCTGGTCGTGGATTTCCAGCCTTGGTGCGTGCTCATCGGTCCAATAGTGGAACTACAGAACCCTTGGTAATTCTGACCGAGAGTGTCTGGATGATGAGATTGCCTTAGAATGTCTTTATTCGTCAGTCCGATTGGAGAGCCTTGTTTTACCCCCTATCTCGACCTGTAGGTCCGGATTACCAAAGGCGGTTCGGCTTACCAAAGATGGTTCGGCTTGCTAGACACATATGCACTAGTCATTTCATGCCGGTAAAGCAACTCGTTATGCATGTGCTCCCAAGTGATACGTGGCCCGGCTTGGCCACCCATCATTGGCGGCACTTTGATCCCTCCTGACACCCCCGCGCCGCGCCCTTGCCTCATCTTTCCGAGCCTGATTGATTTTCAGGGATATCGGGTATTTACAAATCCCCGTCTGTTCTACTCCGGGGCTCTCACGAGACGGCACAAGCGATAAAAAGACCGGGGCCTCCCGCTTGATGTGGCCCGGGAATCCACAACCAAAGCTGCCTCTCTACTTTTTGTTGCTGCCACCCTTCCAACTTATCGATCCTCAGTGCTGCTCTGGTATGATTCAATTTCTTCGCGCTTAGCCCTTCTGCCTCTACTATCTTTGTCTTGCGCTAATAGGATGTAACGCAGCGCTTCGACGTTGCCTCCTTACGCCGTCAACATGGATAACGATGAGCGAACTCCTGTCGAGTCTACGCCCGTAGGCGTGACCCAGCTATACAACTCGACGCCCGAAAAAGTTCAGCCTTGGATGCAGCCCACAGGGGGCATCCCGGCGGCTGCTATAATGTGTGCAGCCAGCGACAACACTCATGGCGTCTCAGAGGGATCCTGGCTTGTCATGGAGAATGCCCCGAAAGGACTACGAGGTGGGAACTGAAAATGGAGGCATGGCAGATAAGTCTAGTTATGCAAACAAGCTTGTATACTGCCATCATCGAAACAAAGTTTCCAAGACTATTCAAACTTATCTAGAAATCTGCCTATATGTAACCTGTTCGGAGCTCACAAGCTGCCTTGCCGTCTCAGGGAGTGAAAATCACCACCACCACCTCGATGCTCTCCCTAGGCTTCTTCTGTACCGAGTTTGGGTTCTGAAATGATGCATGCGGCACGCCTGTGTGATTTTTTTTAGAGCGATGGAAGGGTACTAGAGCAGTGATCTCACCTGACATAGACCCCTTGGCAGAGTCATGTTGACGGAACAAGAGAGCCTCGCTGCTCTTCTGTTCGCTCAAGTACCACCAACGATGGCTGGGACGGGCATAAACGAGGGAATGCTCTCTGTTCGTAGTTCGAGTCACATAGTCCGCAACCTCCAGATCTCGCTGAGGATCCAGAGTCGCCGCGTCGCACAGAGCTAGTGGCCAGTCCTGATTCGGGCCTTGGAGGGGATGCCATACACTGTAGTCCTACTCATCAGCCTAGCTACGGAATGGAATACCAATAGCGGTAGTTTTTTTTCGGTGCATTACTGACTTAGCGACTTGATACTGCATTTTGAGAATTTCATCTGCCTGTTCTCCTGAGCATTCCTGGATGAGCTGCTCTGCCGAGGATTGAACCAGGTCTGGATCATGACGCCAGTTAGAAATGCGTGTTTCAGTTCTAATCGGCCTTTCGTGGTGGCACTTACCGGTGTGAGCTGCACGCAGTGGTTGCCCATGTTTATAGTCTCGTCCAGTCGACCTGGGGAAGTAGGGGTCTCTCTTTCGTATCTGCGAAATGAAAGATCAATTTACGACACTTGAAGTTTCTAAGGATTTAAAAACATAGATCAACGCCAGATTTGCTCACCTGGTGATGGAGGACCCGGCAACGAGCCCCGGGGACGGCTCTTTCGACAGCGGCAATCACCGTCGGGTAGTGAACCTTCTCGACAGCCTCCTGAGAGTCCCAGTCGACGGTATGATCTTGACCGTCAAGGTTTAGAAGCATGAATCCATTCTGTTCCAGGCTGAAAGAATGGCTCGAGCCGCGAAGGTCGGATACTGACACATGCACTTCAGTGCGAACAATGTTGTCCCGGGGAAGGGATCCTTGAGGGGTGAAAGCGAGGCTGTACGGCTTCACTGTGGAATATAAATCGCTCTCTTGAAGAAACCAGATGGTTGATTCAACGTTCTGTACTGACGGGGAAGCAACTTCCATCCTGCTGGATGTGGATGAAGATGAGGTGGTGATGTAATTAGGAAGGCTGTGATACATCTATTCATGATGCACGAGGGAGATTTTGGGCCGACCGCTTGCCTTGGTATTTATGCAATACTCTAACCTGGCAACGGTTCCTGATACATCTGCGCGCAGGACTTTGACCGTCCACGATTAAAATTATTCTCCCTGGCATCCACGCGGAACAACTATCAGTTCATCGATAATAAAGCCAAAGACTTTTGCGATTTCTGTCCCTTCTGATACTTTTCACTCTTGGATATGCTTTTAGGTCATTCAGAAAACCACTCGCGACATAGTTCAGCTTCAACCTGGCGGGCGTTTGTTTCCTGCTACCAAGTCCGAAATGGATAACTGATTTATTCTCTGCGGCGGCTTGCCTCGGCTTTCCGACGAAAGGGTAGTAGACCATGTGGTGATACAAGACTATGTGGTGACACTACATGTGAGTGAGATAAGTTCCGCACGGCTTATTGGTTATAGACTATCGCATGATATGAAAGAAATTACCTGGTCAAACTGCCAAGAGTGATAACAAAAGTCAGAGGGTCGGCCTACCAATTCAGGCGAAGTCTGATCTCGAAAGATGCTTCTCTGCACCCCTCCCCTGCTCCCGGTCTCCCACCAACTTCACGCAGCCACTGCACCTCACCGAACCTGACCATTACGAGGCTGCCGCTACTCAACTACTTGAGGCTATTGAGCCACATAACGTTATGCGACTCGATTACGAGGGCCAGCTGCGGCTGATATACGATTACCGAAAACCAGATACTGCAGGACCAGGTATCGAGTACGTAGCCTGGTTATGAACTCGAAGCAAGGCTCCAAGCTCACGTCTTCTAGCATCATTGTAGTCCCCAGTGCCTGGGCGCAGCACTCGCCAGGGCAAGTGAAGAGCGGTTGCTCCTGGCTCAAGCCCTTACTTCAATCCGACCTCAAAGATACTCGCGTGTTTCTCTTCACCTATGCCTTGCAGACTGACGGATCGTCTCTCTGGGACCAATTATTGAGCCAAGGCACTTCCTTGGTTGCCGGACTCCGTCAGAGCAGAACACAACCAGAAGTAATTGAGCTTGCCCCCAGTTGGCATTTGAAGCATTCTCTGACCTCGAGCTACAGCATTATCAAAGACCGCTTCTGTTAATCTGCCACAGCCTCGGCGGTCTCATTGTTAAGAAGGTAAGAATTACCTTTCAATGACCAATTCCTTCCTTTGTTGTTAATCACACTGAGTGTCATAGGCTTTGGCTCTTGGGAACGATTCTCGAGAAGCCTATCAAGAGGCTGTATCCGGTATCATCTTCCTCGGGACCCCCCATCTTGTGAGTACTTCGGCGGACGGTTGGAAGATGGTGCGTCTCTTGATGAAGCATGAAGAAAGAGAAATATCGGAGGATAATATGACCCCTTCCGAAATGGAAGGGGTCATCCGGGTATGCAGACATTTCGAGAACATTCAGCTTCCAATCTCGATTTTCTCTATCTACGAGCTTAAAGAAACCAGGTTTAAAGAGAACCTATTAAACCCTCGCAACTGGAGAAAACGATCAGTCTCGCTGGTAAGCCCAACTAAGCATGATAGTCGTCTGTCAAGCATCTCGTTAACACCCTTGCCAAGAGCATGACAGAATCTATGGTCCGAACCGGGGCTCTAGGAGAAATTTTGGTTGACGTTGACAAGACACATCTTGGACTGGCCACGATAGAAAAAGATGACCCTTTATACGTTAAGCTAGTGTATTTCTTCTCCGACTTTGCCGACCTAGCACCCAAGAACGTGCAAGATGCTCTTGCACGCACACCTCACCATGCATTGGAGAATCTAGTCTTGAGACCTAGAAGTAGCATCAGCTCACTTGTTGGGGCTTACTCCAACACTCCTGGGACTACCGTCCTCACACCAGAGTCTGGCTCGGGCGTCCCCAGCCAAGACGCCATCAAGCGCGAGAAAGAGCACGACCACGACCACGACAATGCCCTCGAGTCTTTGGCTGTTGGGGGGGTGCGATTTCCGTTTCTGTTCACTGCCTCGGTTGCTAGGAACCAGAAGTTCTACGGACGATCGGACGTACTCGACAACATTGACAACTTCTTTGGCTTGGGGAAGCCTCACCCAAGCGAAAGTGGGAGAACAGACTCGGTTGAGGATCGCCTTAACACGCCCAAGATATTCGCTCTGTGCGGCATCGCTGGGATCGGCAAAACCGACACGGCCAGCGAGTACGCCTTCACGAGGCTAGGTCACTTCGACGCTGTCATATGGATCTATGCGGATCCCGCCCCCAAAATCGGCCCCCAGTTTGTCGAGCTGGCAAAGGGCCTGGGTGGCCACGCCGTTTCTGTTAATGTGGACCAGGTGTCGGCTCGCGAAGTAGTCAAACAGTGGCTATCATCACCGGTGGGCTGGCGCATGCAACGTGGACAGTCCTTACAGGTGGAGGGAAGGTGGCTTATGATCATTGACAACGTCGAGGAGCCCGACGACATATACAACTGGCTTCCGGACCACGGCCCAGGCTGTATCCTCGTCACGAGCAAGTACCCGCTGGTGAATGAGAAGACATTCCGTCTCGATAATGGCCTAAACCTTGAACCCTTCTCTTCGGTGGCAGGTGCCGCGATGCTTCGGAAACTGTCGGATCGCAACCAATCTGGCGACACCGCCGTCAGCGTGCGCATTGCTGAAGCCTTGGGTGGGCTTCCCCTGGGCATTGCCCAGATGAGCGCCATTATCCGAGAGTATCATCTCAGCTTCGAAGACTTTGAGGTCTGGTACAGCAAGAACAAGAAGGAGCTCCACGAGCTACGGGTCAAGGGCATGCTAGGCAACTATAAGTACACGCTTGGGACCGTCTGGGCTGTTGAGAAACTCAGCAATCCTGCACGGGCTCTTCTGGGCGTTCTCTCCGTCCTAGACCCAGACAGAATACCGGAAAAGCTGCTTGAAGGAGGCGCAGATCAGGTTGAGCTGACAGACTACCCCTCGAATAAGGGTAACTACTTGATGGCCCGGGCTGAGCTTATCCATACTTCTCTTGTGTCGCGGAACATGGCAGCCAACGAATTACGGATTCACCGTGTCGTACAGGAAGTGGTCAGGCAAAAGAAGACCGAGGTGGAGCTTCGCCACATCTTCGCAGCAGCGGCAATTCTAATATCCTCGGTGTGGCCCTTTGTAAGCGGAACGGACCCGACGAGAAACCAGGCCTGGCGAGTCCCTGTTGCCGATACTTGGGGCCCTCACATCTCCAAGCTCCAAAGTCAATTCGGATCTCAGATTGAAGAAGAAAGGTTCGAAGGCACAGCAACCAGTGGCTACGTCTTTAGCAGCTACGCTTGGTGAGACTTCCAGGGTGAGGCGGCGAGTCATGATGGCAGTCTAATGTGGCAACGGCAGGTACCTCTCAGAGCGAGGCATGCATGAGCAGGCTAAGACCTTCACCTCTCTGGCAGAGAAGGTCCTTAACGCAGCTCGTAGAAAGGGCGACGGCGATCAGGATCAGATATTGCACTGGCTGGGAGAGGCGCATCACAGCGCGTCATTTGCAGCTTGTATGACGGGCTCATCAGACGGCATCCAGTATGCAAGTGCATGGATCGACATCTTGAACGACCTCATCAAGAAACAAAACAAGCCGCAGCACGTTCTGGCTCTGGCCACGGCGTACAATCAGATGGGTATCTGCTGTGTCAACAAAGACATGGTCCCGGAGGCAATGGACAGCTTTAACCAAAGCCTCACCACTTTCAAGGGCGTCCACGACGCACCTCAGTTCAGCGGCACGTTTCCGGCCATCTCACTTTCTCTGCTATATGTGCTTGAGGGACGCCCAGATGAAGCGGAAGAGATCTTGTCACCCGTTCTTGAGGAGCACGAACGACTTCTCGGCGTCGACGACCTAACCACCACAGAGTAAGTTGACAACCAAAAACGCTGCTAAAACCCTCACTCCTGCTTTTCTCCAACAGGAAAAAGCACCCCGTCATCAAATTTCGCAAACTAAAGCCGCTGCAGGTCCGGTCACATCTGGCGTACCATGGGCAATATCCGAAACGCGCAGCGGCGGTATCCAGAGGCATTAGACTATCATGAGCGAGCAGTAAAAAATATCCGAACCATTTTAGGGCGGAAGCATTACTTTGCAGGAGATTGCTCGTACAGTGTAGCTATGGATCTCATGCGACAAGGTCGCCTCGAGCGAGCAAGGTGAGGTTTCTTCGAAGCTCCAGTTCAAGCTAGGCCTAATCAGTTGAGCATCTCTCTAACGTGTGACGTTATCCACAGGGAACATCTTGATGTCGCCATCGAGGCTTTTGCAGCAACGTCTCACAGCAAAAGCCAGGAAGCACGGGCGCTATGGAAAAAGGGCTGCCTCTTGAAACAAATGGGGGACAAGTCGGGAGGCCAAGATTTCCTGCAGGAGGCAATGAAGCGAAGGCGCAAGCTAGTACCTGGGGATGATCGCAATCTTGAAGAGCTGAAAGATGAAGATTGGACAAAACTGGTCTTCTACTGGTCCCGTTAGATCAAGGTGCAAGATAATGTAGCCTAGGTACTATTCGCTAGCACTTTTTAAGGATTGGTCCCGCTATGGTGATGCATAAGATCTGAAGGTTGGGTCTGCTGTATTGTAAAGCGCTTACTTATATTACATGATCCAACTCTAGAGTAGGGCAGTGTCCCTCTGACGCTTTAACTCTTACATAATTCAGCCTGAATTTCTCTATAAAACTATACTAGAGTAGTATAATAGCTTAGATATTCTATTTATCTTAAGTGTTTTCTTTTTTTACTTTATATTAATAAATAAATTATAATTATAAACTATACCCGGTGTATCCACAGCGCCCCATAAGCATCAACACTGAGTAGGAGATAGCGCCAAGGATATAATCGAGGAACTTTGGTCAGCCTGCGCCGTAAGCCGGCTGACATACTAGGGACGTTATTCCTAGTTTTTGATTGGCCCAGCTACGACTGAAGGGTACTGTAGCCGTGAATTGATCAGCAATTTTGCTTGCTCCATTTCGGCCCCCAATTTATCCCCTGCCTTCCAAACCGGACTTGTCCATAAGAGATGTGGCTTGCAAGAACCAAGGCTTCTCTATTGGACGGATATAAAATCTGAGGCGGAATCCTGACTTTCAGCCCTTTTTTGCGCGTTTAACCGACGTCTGGGGGGCTGCCTGAGAACACCCTTGTCATACCAGGGTTTTTCCTTGGGCTGACACCTTTATACTGAGAATGCCCCATCCTGTCTTTTGCAACCTTTTTCTCATGTTCCTTGGTAAACTATTTTCGCTTGCTCTTGGGCCAATCTCTTTGCACTTCGCGAATACCGGACCGCCGTCGCTGAATCGTTAAAAATGCGTCGCTCCAAGATACTGTTCTCTCTGGCAGCTCATGCCCTATGCATATCTATCGTCATTGCAGGCCCCGGACGATCCCGTTCTCAGTTCAGACGATTCTTTCCGACTGTGCAGCACTACTCTAGTCCGCGCTTTCATGAACAGTGCCCTGAGCAGTTTGCAAATTACTTCAACGAGAGCCTTCCTGATCCAGCCGGGTCGCATCAGTGGTCGACCGAGTTGATGGGTTGTATTCTGGACGCCTATGGAGAGGTCAACAAGGCAAACATGGCTGTGACGGCCATCCTGTTGGCGCTGCTACCCGCGGGTCTCGTTCAGTTCGGACCCAGCATGGCCGAGATCAGTCTCCTCAGCACCCGAAGGCCGTTTCTCGCCACGTTCCTGGGCTTTGGATTAATGTCACCAAACCCAACCGAGTTCGAGTTCGAGGCCATTCTGGAGAAAGCAAGCAACGGCGGCGCACCGCTCATCCCGATGAGGGCCCTAGACGGGGGATCCTTCATTGCCAAGGTTCTCGTGTCTGCTATCGAGTATGCCATCGCGATGGGAGCGACGGCAAACTACTTCTACCAACTCTACCGGCTAACATATTGGGCCATATCCCTGGCCCCGATGTGTGTCTACCTCCCTGGCGTACCGGAAACGGCCACGCTATTTGGGTGGGCCGTTCTCAACTTGCCACTTTACCTACTCAGTTTTGTGGTCTTTGCCTTGGCCTTTCGTCATGCTGCACCTCAATCAGGCTACAACCGAAGGGGAAACCGCGTGGCCGAGATTATCACTGCTGAGCTGACTCCCTGCGGTCAAGGCCGTGACTTGAGGCTTCGGCGTCGACAAAATTGGCAAGTGTTGCAGCGCCTTCTCGGAACCGTCGTCCGACTGATTGCCGGGCTTCACATCATCCTCGGCACTGTTCTTATTGGCAGCATTGTTCTTATACCCTTGGCCGACTCTCTGCCGGTGATCTACACCTTTGTATTCGCGGCTATTTTGACTCGAGCTGTATTGAGCTATGAACTGAATGGCCTGGCGATAAAGACAAGCCTAGAGTCAGAGAGTGCAGACAAGATCGAAACCCAAGGCACACAACCCTATGTGTATGAGACACATACTCTTGAACCAAAACGATACGAAGGTCTAAGGCAGTCTGATTGAGTGGATAATACCACCGATTTGTGACGGCTGTGTCTAACGATGTGGATGTGTATGGTCGAGTGTATCAGGACGTCGAGTTGAGCAATATAGGTCGCGGTCGGGTAATGGTAGAATAGGAGGTTCAACGTAACTAAGTGTGCTGATAGTCGGTGGGCCAATCTGTCTGTTCAGTGCTAAATAAGTGTGCATATACACTGATGATTATTGTTGATACTATTGTTGGTGTTTTTTGTTACTGTTGAGCTTCTTGTCCCCCCTCTGGGTATGTGTACTAGGGCACCCTAACCTCTTGATACTCTGATGATTACACTGCTACTGTAAGTGATCAGTGTGTAACTAGAGAGATTTAGTGGGGGCGTATTATAGTTCTGTTGGTTGTAACTGTCTGATCCTAACTTGGGCTGTAATATACTAAGTGAATAGAGATGGCTTATTAGTTTAGGAATACAAATACTTAATTTTATTTTGTAATTTATACATCATATTATCAGACAGCAAGGCCATTGAAGACTAATGTGCGACATCCTTATCGTTCAGCTACTATCCGTACAAACGCCTCTGTCGCCGCTCGTTCTTCAAAGGGTCCCATTTTCAGCTCCTCTCCAACACTGCTGACGGTGTGGTCTTGGAACTGAAAAGGGTATTCAGCGAAAACTCCAACTCACTGACAACAGGCGAACGCTGGGAGCGATTCAACTTTGCGGTTCGACATCCCGACCAGCAGATGAAGATTGTGAGACGGCTCGAGGATATTTGTCAAACGGAGACTCTGGATCTCTCGTTCATACAAGTTGACAAGGACCACATGCCCAAGGCCCAGTTTTCGAAGGCCATCGTCAAGCTCGTTCGCGGGATTCTGGCAGATAGACTAAAATGCAATGGCTCGACGATGATGGGCAGACAGCTGTTCAAATTATCGAGAATATCGCTGTTCGGACTGACTCCAGAGAGGCGCGAGCGAGAGACATGTATGTCCCGCCCGTGTTCACGGGAAGATGGATGGCGGAGCAATGGACTTTTGGAGAGCATGGCAGCAAATCCAGATGGAGGAGGTAAAGCAATCTTGCTCAAATGCAAACGGCGAGGCATAGAGGCATCGAGAGAAGCAAGACAAGGGCACTAATAATATGCGTGGTTATTGTTTCGCCAACCACCCCCAAAAGCCAGTGCTAGAAACCTCGAGGTGCAAAATTACCCTCTCCCAGTTCACAGGAACCCCTCTACCAGACAACTTGTAACCCGGACCCAAGGTCGCGAAGTTGCGTATCGTTGCCAAAGAACTCCATCAGACTTATCCAGTCATTATGCTTAATTTAGGCTTAAATTTTCCGTTGCCGGCGATGAACTAGCCTTGACGCAAAAACCGCCAGCACCTTGAAACAAGACGCTCAATATATCGGAAGGGACTCAAGAGCCCCGCCAATCCACGCTGTCGGTGTCTACAATAACGATGGACCACAGTACACGCTTGGGACAGCTGGCTTGACAGAGACTGCCCTGCGCCCCTTGCTCAGGACTGTATGGGGGTTCGGTTGGTCAAATTGCAACGACCGACATGTTGACTTGCAATTGACCCTCGCCGAGGTAAGACTTCTACGTCACTGCAACTCTCATCTAAAACTGTCTTAAACTCGTCGCCCAACTTTCCACGGCCAGCCATCCAAGGTCTCAGCCCGCAATTAGTCACCCCGTCTCGGGGCCAGATAAGCTTACGACTCTACTCTAAACCCGGCCTGGCTGGATTCCCTCTTCGGCCCTGCAGTGTCGAGTATACCGACGGCAGTTGGCCAGCTCCAATAGAGGCTTGCATCCCACACCAAAAACATGTCGGGTTGCTTCCCCGGCTTTTGAGGGCCAATGGGACAGCTCCGCGGAGGTCACACCCTGTCCCGATCGGGGCCCATGCGTGAAATGCAATGCGGAGGACGGGTCCGGGTCCCCGAAAAACAAGTGTCTTTCAACATTTTTGCATCGACCATTCGTGCGTGTCTGTAAATTCGTCTTATTCACTATTACTCTTCTATCGAGGATGGCTGGCCCGTCTGCTCTCGTGACCCTCCTTCGCTGCTAATTCTCTCATCGACGTGCCATCCATATGCCGTCCGCCTCCCACCGGCGTCCACTTACACCGACGCATCACGAACAACAACACGCACGAGAACAGCCAGCCTCCAACACCCCACGGCCGGCGCATCTGCCACTGCCGACTTACCCGCCATCCCGCGACGCGGGCACGAATCACCTCGCGCGCCGGCTTCGACAGAGCCTCAGCCCGTGGGCGGAGCACGGGGGTTAGGTTTTGGCTGTAACTACCACCGCGCAGCAGGCTAGTAACCAGCACTAACTAGCACGTCGCAACCTCCCCCGTCTCGGCACCGTCCATCCGGGCCGGTGAAGAGTAACCCACGACGATGACGGGCTGCTGCTGCTGCACAAGGCGGTTGTTTTTTTCTCATTTTCTCATCCGGAAGCCCGAGAAGGGCAGGAGCGAGGCGATCGCGACGGGAGAAAAGCAGCGGTGAGGCGAAAAACCCCTCTCCCAATGGCGATATCGCGAGACTCGGTCAGCCAACCCTCCAAGAGAACAATATCGCACGCTCACCACAGCCCCCCCCCTTCCCCCCGCCCACGGAAAATCCACAAACTCGCCGTCATGTGCCCGAGCTTCCAGCCTCGTCTGGTTCGTCCCACGTCGAAGCGAAACGCGCATGCTGCAGAGTGCTGTAGTGCTGTGAGTGCTGTAAGTGGTGTTGTAGATGACATGTTCCAGCTTGTACCGGCTCCGTCGAACTTGGAAATAGATACGCGTGCGCCCTGGGCGTGGCCGCGTGTCGTACATGCAGGTGGTGAGACGCCGCGGCGTGGGATGATGGACGGGTATGCTCCGTAGTACTCTGCATACAGTCCACCGTCCTGTCGGGTATGGCCCTGACGTCCACAGAAGATACTAGAGAGTCTGCGCAACTTCATCCCACGCTGCACATGCTTGCCTTTATGCGTGGTTTGTCGTCCCCAACAAGATCAACAGCCCGCTATCGTCCCAACCTAATCACAATTGCGTTGTAGTCACCATGAATCACCAGGAATCAATGCCTGAATACCATGTTTGGATCTCAATGCAAGTCTCTATTATGCGTTTCGCAAATACTAGACTAATGATGTTGGCGCCGCTGACGTCTCCTTGCACCACACACCCCAAAAGCCCGCCCACCCAATACTGCGAGAATATTTCCCAGCACGAGGCAGAGGGCGCATTGCCCCATCCAAAACAAACTCGACAAATAACAGCAAGCTGAATGACCTCCTTTAATCTGCAAACTTTTTCTTTCGCCGCGTTGAAAAATATAGAGATCCTCAACGGATTCCAACGGGTATTAGCTCCATGCCACCTCTCCCCATCTCCTCGGGCAGCCAAGACCAGAAAAAAAAGTACATAGGAACAAGAGAGATAGGCCCCGAGCCTGGGCCCTGGGCCCGTAACCGCTATGTACGAGTCGAATATGATGTGATACCGACGCCGAAATCGGCGCGGCACAATCTTCTTCAAAGATTCTGCAAGAGGCCAATCAAGCAAGACGAAAAGTGATCAAACTCCAGACCATGCGGGCCGTCCAAACCCCCCTATCCCATGGTCACCGTCCCCGGAACGCCTTTGTCGGTGTATGAACAAGACGCAAAACTCACAAGTTGCGCACCTCGCCACGCCCGAGGGGGAAAACAATAAACAAATGAAAAACGGGTAGTCCCTTGTCGTATCTCCGTGGCCATATTATGGGTTGGGAGGCCGAAACCGGATGACGTGACTGAGAAACCCTTGCGTCGATAATCGTAACGTCGTTTAGTAACCCGCTTGACCGGGCATCTTGCCGAGAGAGTGGGATCCCGTACTCTTCGGGGGCAAGTGGTTGTGGCAAAAGATCTTCTTGACGCCGTTCTTGGTCGTGTCCTTCTTGGTCGCGTCGATTTTAAGTGCCGGGTCATCGTACGACTCGACTTGGCAGCATTCGACACCCTTCATCCAGCGGTTGTTAAGCACCTCGCTAATGCTGATGCGCTTCTGCGGGTTCGGGTTGAGCATCTGAAGTAGAAGACGGCGAAGGGCTGGGGGAGAAACTCCAACGTCCATCGCGTAGCACTTGGGATAATCGGTATCCGAGATGGCGGCGTCGGCCTCGGGGTGCTTGGCGTACCAGTTGTTCCAGCCCTTGACCAGCTTGTCGTAGTGGGTGTTGCCCTTCTCGGCGCGGGACCAGATAGCACCGCCAAAAGTTAGGTAAATCATGATGATAGCAGAGCTCCAAACATCCAGAGGTCGGGGGTCGTAGGAATCCTTCTTCTCCAGAACCTCGGGGGCGATGTAGGGCTCGCTGCCGCAGATTCCGGGAGAGCACAGGCGGATGTCGCCCATGTTTCGTCCACACTGTCCACCGGCTTCGCGCAGACCCGGGTGGGTTCCGCAGAACACCTCGGAAACTCCAAAGTCAGTGATCTTTAGCTTACTGTCCTTGGTGATGATGAGGTTCTCGAGCTTGATGTCGCGATGAGCAATGCCATTGGCATGCAGGTAATAAACGCCCTGGATCAGTTGCTTGAAGAGGCAGAGGCGGTCCTTCTTGCGATCCTCACCCTTGAGATGGCCCTTTTGGACCAGGCTAAACAGATCACCCTCGGAACAGTACTCCATGACGTGGTTCCAGCGGCCGTGGTCGGTGCAGAGACGAATTGTCTCAACGACGTTGGGATGATGGAGACTCTTGGCGATGCTGAACTCGGACTTGATCTTCTTCTCGTAGTCCTGCTGGGTCTCGCGGTGAGACTTGCCACGGAACTCCTTGACGGCGTAGAGCTCCTCGGGGTAGCCCTTGCGGTTCATGAGGGTCACCTTGGAGGCGGCGCCTTTGCCGAGATGCTTACCGTGACGACCGAGAAACTTGCTTTGGTACTCGAATTCGCTCTGAAGCTCGGCAACGTCGACAGCGAAGTCATCGGGGAGGCTCAAGCTCATGCGCCGGGCCTTGGCGCCGGTACCAGAGTCTGGGGGAAGAGCCCAGGGCAGTCGCTCGGGAGGGTAAGTTGCCTCGTCATGGTGGTGCTCGGCACCGGCAGCGATGGGAGTGGTTGGGCGGCTGCCACCGTCGAAGCTGCTAGCTCGACGGCGGAGCTGCTGGCGATGGTTTCCACGGGTGCTTCCACGGGTGACGGTAGAGCCGACAAAGTTGACAGCGCGGCCGCGCAGGGTCAATCCAGTGGATGCACGGTTCTTCTTTGTAAAGTCGTTCTGGCTCGGGATAGTGCCGTTCGCAGGACGGTCGCTAGTGTCGTGGGCACTCTGCCTCATCTCAAGGGGAGAGCCGGGAGAAGGAGGAGAATTTGAACGGGTGGTGGCCGAGGAGCGGTTCATAGAGAAGCGGCGGGTGGGACCGGCGCGGGGCTGGCCATTCGAGGTCGGGTCAGAGACGCCTGAGGCGACGGAAGGAGCAGAGTCGACAATGGCAGATTCCTTGGCTATGTGAGCCTGAGAAGTGCTTCGGCGGAAGAAAGACGACATGGTGCGCTTGAAGCTCGACGTCGAGCCACGTGTGGAACGGCGGGAGAGCGGGGTGCCGGTGGTAGTTACGTCGGTGTCAGTGGCTCTCGGGGTGGTTGACTCGGTATTAGAGGCGCGGCGGGAGGAGCTCTGCGAAGAGGAGAAGAAACCGGCCTTGGTGGGAGATGTTGCGGTGCTGTTCCTGTTGGATCCCGGGATCGGAATGGGCGCAGTAGAGGACGAGAGGGAAATTGGCTGGCAGGACTGAAGAGTCTGGATGTCGGCGAGGTCCTGGCCGCTCTGGAGGGTGAAGTCCTGGGAATGGCGGCTGATAGGAGTCACGGGCTCGACAAAGGACTCGCTGCCAGACTCGCCGCCTTCCTCGAGAATTGAATCGGTCAAATCGGTGGAGAAGCCGCGGGGCGAAGAAGCGGACAAGAAGCTGCTAGCCGAGTTGGAGCGCAACGGAGGCGAGTTGGCGCTTTTATCTGTCGGCGAAGGAAGAGAAGACGTCAGCGGGCAGGGATGATGAATGGGTGACAGAGAGAACAGGCGGGAGGACAGGCGCACAGGATGACAAGGCGCAGGGAAGAACTGAACAGGGGAAAGGAAGGGACGAGGCAGAAGGAGATCCAGGCCCAGCACCTAGGCAGGGTTGAGGATGCATCAACAGGGCGGCGAGGCAGGGCAGGGGGGGTATTAAAAAAAGACGAGAGGGCGCGGCGGATCAAATCAGCTCAAGTCAGCGCTGCCAGGGCCTTCCATCAGCGAGCGCAGGGCGGCCAGTGATGTGACTGATGTCCGTGTGGAGGCGAACGGATGGTGGATTGGCTGGTTTCCAGGCCTGGACTGGTCGGTCTGCCTGCTGCAACTTGCGCTGGGCCGCTCTGGGTTGGGTGGACGGATGGAGAAACGCTTCCAGCTCCAGCTCCAGCTCCGGCTGCGACACTGAAAGAACCAACTCCAAGTTGGTCCCCACGTATCACGTCACCGATCCCAACCACGATCCAGTGACGACGGATAAGTCGGGAACAAGACAGACGCGAAGCCGCGAGCACGATGCTTTCTCCGAGGCCGCGCCGGACGCCAGCCAGCCGATGACAAAGTGGGCATGGGCTGAGGGGGAGGTGAGGGGCACCATTACCAAAAGATGCGAGGAGGCAAACCCAAACAGGCAATGTGAACAGCGAACAACGAACAGTAACAAATAACAGGATAACAACAAGGAAAATGACCGTACCTGCTGAGTCGAGCATCGACTGCTGATGCTGGTGGGGAGCAACCATCATCCCTGGGGCCGAGAGTGCCGCCATGATGGAGTCGCTTCGGAGACGTGCGTTTGCGGATTCGCTTTCGGTAGCCAAGCGCGTGGATTTCGCCGAGTGCAGTCGGGTGCTAGGTGCTAAAAACCTGCTGGACGGCGCTGAAAGCCGATCGCTGAGCGTCGATGGGGACGCTGAAGCGGTAGCGGCGATGGGGATTGCTCGGGTATGGGAAGAAGGGGTTCGAGTGGGAAAGGGTTCAAGTGGTTCCAGTGGTTCCAGTGGTTCCAGTGGGGGTGGGCGGCCGCTAGTGAAGGGTACGGCGCTTCCAGGTACTGGAGTCTCCGGTGGTACAGCGGGCGGCGGGCGGTGGTTGGGTGCGAGGGCCGGTCACTGGGAGCGGCGAGGGACCACGGAGGCAGGGCCACACACCATCAACGGAGAAGAGGCACTTGACTGATTCAGCTTGACGCTTCAAGCCAGCGGTTGGTTGTTCGGAGGAGGGGGTGATGAGAAAAGCGTCGGTAGAGAGAAATGAGAACCGGTTCGACGGCACTTCCGAAGCGCTGGGGTTTGGTTGAAGCTTGACGCTGGTGCTGATGTTGGTGTTGATGCGAATGCCACGAGAGCGTTCGTTATCGTGGACGGGTGGATGGAGAGGATGTGTGAGTGATTGCGTGGTGATATGGACAGTGAATCAGGTCTGATCACCAAGGTGAGTGAGCCCAAGGTTGGTCAAGTTGAATTGGTCCCTGCAATAGCGTGTTTGTGTAGTTCGTCGTTGTCGTATTCAGCTCGATGTGTTTGGTCGGGATGATGGTTCTCTGCAGGCCAAGTGCGTTTGTCCCGTATTAGTCGGATCGATGCTCAATTCTTCCCGTCGTTGTCGAAGGAGCCCGTGTCGATGGTTTCTCTCTCGCACTCTCTTCTCTCGCGTGTCTCCCTGGGGATTGTGTAGAGGCCGGGTTCACAGCACGGAACGGTAATCCAGCAGAGGGGGACGGGCGAGAAGGCGAGGAGGCGGAGGGGGGAGGGGAGGCGGCCGCATGAAACTGAATAACCTCGTCCAACAGGCACGGGGCACGAGAAGAGAGGAGATGAAAGAACACGACAATGGGGTGTCTTCCAAGTCGAATTAAGAAGTCGTAAGAGGAGGTAGTCGAGGAGAAAGGAGATGAAGGGATGCGGAATGGCACAGAGGGTAGGTCGACGACTGGAAAAGCGCGCAGCTCTATTTTGTGTTTCCCCGTTTCTGGCTGGGGGGGAACCGCTGCGAGTTATGAATGAAGCCGCGCTCCGCCGTCTCGCTGCCTTTTGCGTGGGGAACGATGAGCGACCTGGGCTAGGGGGGGGAGGGGGGTGGTGGGAGGCGGGTTTCTCCTCTTCGAAGCAGGGGGGTGAAGATATGTCGAGGTGGGGAGTGTACCTTTGGCATCACCACCCACAGCTAGCAGATGGCCGTGTGCCAGGCCAGTGCGAAGTGTTGCGAGGGGGGTACACCCGGTGCGGTACAGGAGAGACAGGAGTGGATTTGCCTTCTTCTGCTGCTGTTCTTCGTCGTCTTCTTTTCCGCGGGTTGGCTTTGTCTTGGCTCTGCAGTGGATTATTGGAACGAGTTGGTTGGGCGAATGGATGGTGTGCGGGTGGGTTCTGGGAGTCTTGATTGCGCAGGTGGGTGCACAGTGCGCCATTTTTTCCCTCTAGCCTTCGCACACACGCTCTTGCAGCCAAGCTCTGCTGCCCCAGAGCCAGAGCCTCTCTTCCCTGTCGGCCAAGCTTGGCTTCTCAGGGCGACCGAGACCCCGTTTTTTTCCCTTTATTTCCCTCTCTCACTGTCGAGTCCCTGAGAACAGCGGTATGAAATTCGCTGTCGTGCCTTGTTGGCCTGCGCCGAGTACGCACGCAACCTCCCCAGGGTTCCTCCACAAGTGGCCCCCCCTCCGCCATAAGTGAACACTGCAGTTTCGGTTCGTACTGTAGAACTCTCTCCCACCCGGTGTCCTCAACCCGCATGGACCCCCAACTTACACCGAACCCCTCGCCTTCATTATCTTTCGTGGTTGCGTATGGAGGCGTGCGCGGGCTTGCCACGGCGGGCGAATGCGGTGCACTACCACCGTAGAACGCATGCCGCTGTAAATGTTGCAAGTACCCCGACGTATGTCTGCGGTACTCGGTGTGGACCGGGCCTGTCCAATCGGCCGGTGGACTGTGCGCCATTGCGATGCGCCCCGTGGCCCCTGGATCCTGGATCCGTCCGGGGCATTTTCGATCTCGCACTCGTCCTGCACTGTGATGGACATTGACAAGTGACAATGGGACGCTGGACCCTCCATTTACACATGGCGCCGTTGCCGTTTAAGCGCCTCACTCTTGTCTGTCTGCCAGTGTCTGGTTGATGATCCTGGATGAATCTTTGACCGACCTTTACCGCGTCCCAAGTCCCAAGTCCCAAGTCCCAACTGGCTGGGCCCAATTCATCACTCACTTCGACCTGCAGAACTAGTTTTTGCCGTTGCATCAAGGTTTTCCGCCCCTTGATGCGTGGCCACGCCGTCTCGGTACTTGTTGACATGTCTTAGTGATGTCGGCTTTATCCTTCACCTTATCCCGCTCTCTGGGACCTTGCAATTCCAGCCTGTAGAGTGCCCCCGAGACCTTGTCGCAGACACGGTCCAAACCCAATTTCGACAAGTCTGGGATGCAGAAACTTCATCATATCAATGCTGTACAGTACACATCATCGCCATGCCCGTCAGGCATCCGCAGCGGTCAAGGGAGTCGACTGCCACGGTGGCAGAGGCGGCCATCATGACTGCTCTCCCCACCAGCTGCGATCCATCGATCGAAGATCATCGCCAATGAGGCATGGACTCGGCCTGATCTCGTGGTTCATCTCCCTAGCAAGGCGCAGTCGCCTTTGTCATACTGTGCTTCGTCTCACCTCCCGACCCGATTCACAATGCCATGCCCGATGTAGGCCGCACCCGGGTAGATCCCGCTCCGCTACTTGATGGCCGGCCGGACGCCCGCCGGCAGACCACAAAGCCTGCCGGAAAGCAAAGGAGAAGCCCCTTTAGAGCGGCGACTGTGCTGATGGGCCAGACCGGGCGGTGGCTACATAGTATGTAGTAGTACAAGCCTACAGAGTCTTCTCCAACCAGAGGGCCTCTTTTACATAGGACATTTGTCGCTCGTGTGCCTTCAAGCCCAGTCGAGCAAGCCGGGTCCACCAGATGCCCGGCCCTGGCGCAACCCCAGTCTCCAACCCCCAGAAATGAATTCAGCCCCAACACGCGAAGCAGCCACCGTGGATGCTTGTTGTTGCTTGTCACTGATGGCTGATGCGTTGCATCTGCAAGCCCCACGCACCCAGCATAGCATCCACAGCGAAGCTCAGGGCCAGCCAGTGTAGCACTCGACCAGTACCCGCAATAAACTGCCAGCTCACGCCAGGCCGAGGCAATGGAGAGGCTGGACGTCACTGGAGTCGCTGGACAACGAGATGAATGGAGCCTGGGCAAATTAATTATAGGCACTTTCCCGTCTAGCGCGCTGAGGGCAGTGGACGAAGGATGGCATTGACTGCAGACCAGGCCAGGCCAGGCCCAGGGCCCTTCGTCTGCTGTCCACCGTTCGTCGTCCACCGTCCACCGCGTCAACCGCCCCCTCGACGCTCAAGCTTGATTGGGATGATCGGTACAGACGGCAACGGCGCGGCGGGAGGGACCACTGAACCAGCCCCAGAGCAGGTCGAAATCCCTAAAAGCTAACCGCCTCAGGATAGCCGCTGCAGTCGGCGGCAGCATCGGAGATTTCAAGTGATGCGAGGGATTGATTGGGACATCCACCAGGCTCCGTTTGCGCTCTCTATTGCTCCGTACGGAGGGGATCTAGCGGTCGCTGGTGTGCTGTAACCTGTTATCTTGAGGGTTTATGGAAATCAGGAAGTACTTGGTGTACTTATCCTCGTACCTATGGTAATAATCGGTTGACTCACTATCGTTATTTTTCTTCTGGACAAGGCTTTTGAAAGGACCCTCCGTACAGATACCTAGATACAGATGTTTGAACGGGGGCCGGATTGGCTGGTGGTTGCCCACTTCTCTCAAACTCGCGCGCGCGCCGCATCCCTTCATCCGTTGCGCGGCGTGTCCCGACAGCCGCAACACAACATCCTCCAGTCCATCGACGCATCCGCCGCTGTGCCAATGCGACTCTGGCGCCGGGGCAGAGCCGACATCTCTCAGTGCCAAGTTGCCAAGATCTGTAGAACCCGTCAATACCCTCATGGCGATGCCTCACTGAACTGGCCTCACTGGCGGACAGAGCCGGCCCCTGCAGAGAACACCAGAGAACACCCGCTCTCCTGCTGTAGGTCTTACTGTACTGTCCCCGTGCTGCGAGTTGCCACTGTGCTTGTATCACCGACCTTCTGTCTCGCAGTGTTGGCATCGCCAAGCCTTTTCGTCGCTTCTTCATCTCACCATCATGAACGACTGGCCGCGACGGCGCACATGCTTGCGTCTCGCGACGATCAATTGTCGCTGATAATTGTCATTCCCGACGGCGTTAATCATCGAAGCATACCGCAAGAGGCTGCGGATGCCTTGGCGCTGCATTGCCGTCTTCTTGGCCTGCGACAGTGCGTGCCTGACACTCCAAATAAACTCACCTCGTCTCGACACTTGTCGCAGATCGACATCACACCAAGCTTGCACAATCTGCTTGCCAGCCCGCCTCACGAAAGGGGCAATTGATGCTCAAGAGACAACACGCCAGAGACATGATGCGCGGCCGTTTGAGATTATTCCAAGTAAGCTTGAATTCTAATATTGATTTGCCCTTGGCCCGCCCCCCGTTCGAGATAAGCAGAATGAGCGGTATTTACGTACTGCACCTCGCACAGCGCATCGTGAGCCAGGCTGGAGGCGAGGGGGCGTGTGTGCATCGCAGCCAACTCGACCGGCTTCCCTTTAGCTTGGACTCGAACAAGGAGAACCCACACATAGTCTGGGGTTTTTTTACCAAAGAGCAATCCCAGTCGCCATTTGGAACGCTTAATCTTTCTTCATGAATCGGCCGTACATGATTAATTTGGGGAATCATGATCGTCAAGCACCACCAACGCCACCTCCAACCAAGATGATCCTTTGATGCCACCCCAGCACCGCATGGGGAAAAAATTGCTATACAGTCTGTGAAGGCAAGACCTGCCAGCCTCACACTGTCCTTTCTGCAGTGCCAGGGGACGTCGTGGACGCCAAGCCTGTCGGTTCTCCCCCTGCTCAGATGGCGATGACCCTGGATGAGATCTCGGCCATTTCATTCATCTCAGGGACTCTCGGTGGCTGGTACACCGTACTCCGTTTAGACGGAGCACTGGGCGACGGAGGTCCGATTCCCGCGGGTGCTTATCCCACGGAGAGCCATGGACACGTACCGGGCCTACAGCTGTTCGTCCCTCCCGCCGGCGGATCATTTCGTCATCTCCGTTGAAGCGCCTCCAGCGGCTGGTCCTTGTGGTTGAGACGGTCCCGTGCTGTTGTCGAGCAGGTATCGTGTACTACGAAAGGGTCACGTCCGCTCCTTCAACCGGTCCGGTACGGCATCGGGTCCCATTCCACCCCATCCACCCATCCACCCACTCACACCAATCGCCTTTTGGTCGCTGCTCGCCTCTCCGGGCAGGGATGCGAGCCACGGGTGCGAGTGCGTCATATGCGCCCCAGAGGGTGGAGATGTTCCCTGCGCTGTCCGTGGCACGCCCCCAGCCCTGTTGTCTCACCTCACTCACGCTTGCTCATCCGCCCTTTTCCCGGGTGCCTGTTGGATGGAGGATCCTCTTCGACATCACCGCCCACGGCCTAGCTGACACAAGAGAGTGAGAGACACGCACGCCCATTGAGCCACGGCGGGATCGACACGGGTTCTATATCAACCGTCGTGTTGTGCTCAGACACGCGGCGATTCAAAGTCTTGTCCCCGATGACTGACGACGCCCTCATAATTTCGCCGCCTTGGCAGCCGCAGAGATAGTGGTGATTGATTAGTCGGCGCCATGACTGTGCTCACCTCGTCTCGAGGAGCGAGTGATGAGGCTGTTACGATCCCAGCCCACTGTCAGCAAGAATAACCTGCGTTCCCGAGGTCGCGGTGGAGAATGGGCTCGGGTCCCCCTTTGCGGTACTATTACGTCGGTAACCCGCTTTCGATAACACACACAGCGTCATCCAATCCAATCATCGTGACCCCCTGGCAAGCAAGAGGTGGTCTCTCTCACCCCTCTGAGCTTTGGATTTGGCACGGCCATTTAGGCTGCGGCCTCGGCCTGCCACTTTCCTGAGTCGCGACATTCTTGGCAGTATTTGGCTATGACGGCACTTAATAGTCGACCATCTAGCGCACCTTGGCCGATTAAGTGCCCGCTGTGTTCGGTGAGGCTTGATGATGATCTACCGATGCGCTGTGAAATCAATTACAGTGCTGACAGGGGTTCGGCTGGGGGAACACAGGGCGCAGTGGTGCTCGTGTCTGTACTTGGGCCTTCACGAAATGCTAAAACGCCGCCTTCTCATGGAACGCGTGGACGACAGTTACACCTCGTCAAGACAGATGCAGGCGTCTTCTGATTCTGTCCAACCGACATTGGCATCGCTGCCGCACTTGTGGGATGCAGATGAACGTTGTCGTCCAGCTCGAGGTGGTGACGCCACGAATCCGCGCGGTTTCCCACAGCCTCCATGCAAGGTACCTGACTTGCAACAACTGGGTATGACAAGCGGCCAGAAAGACGGCCGAGCAGCACGATCAGTACGATCAGTACGGTGTACGAGCGCCAACGCGAAGCCCCTTCGCTCTCTCGCACAGCACTATGATCAGCAGGCAAGGGGACCATGCGTGGCGCTTGTCAATGAAGTGCGTGTTGCCAAGACTCATGGTTAAGTTCGTGATCACAGCATGTCCAATATCATGGTTCCTCTCGACAACATGGGCCAGCAGCAAGAGACGCTAAAACACTGGGCAACAGCTCCAAGGCATATCCAAGACTTTCTAAATCTGGAGACTTCGCAGCACCTCCAACTAGTCTCAACAGCCCCCACGCTCACTTGATGCATATTCATTCTCCGGCTCTACAACTGGCTCGCTTCCGGGACGGAACCCACTCACATCGTCACTCCTCTGGTACACGCTGCGGCCTAGACACTCATCCCAGTCGCGCGTGGATGCAGCTTGGCACAGTCCAGGTCGCCAGGAGGGAAATGAAGGTTCTGTAACCTGCAACATGCAGCTGCAAGCTGCAGTCGCCCCTGTACCCCTCCAGCGCCGCCTCGTGACCTCCCGTCGGGTCTCGGGCTTGGTTGCTGTTTGTTGAGGTTGGTTGCTACAGGAGAGACGCAGCGTCCACCCTGCCATTGACACGGCGCATCGTCGTCTGAAGCCAACCGACATGATCCTTTGGTGGTATCCGTACGGGTAGAGTTCCGGAATGTACGCAACAGGCCACCACCCACCATCAGATAAGACATGGCAGCATGTCAGTCATATGTGCAGCAAAAGGAATATCGTTCGGGAGCTACGACTGGGCAGGGGCAGGGCTCTTTTTGGCATCCCGGGTTCCTGTGGCGTCGTGGTCCCTAAAAAACCTCGTGGCGCGCCCTCCTAGAGATATGTTGATTGCGTTTCAGCTGCGACACCATCTGGGGCAACAATTCTCATCCATCTGTCCGCGCAATCGCTTGAGGCCGGGGACTATGTCTGCCTGTATGGGTGAATGGATGGCGAATGATGAAAGATGAAACCAAGGTTCACGAGTACACCACGGCTTCAGCGACTCGCCGTGCCTCCAAGATCCAACCATGGCGGCCACGTTTTTCGTATAGCGAGGCCAAGGGCGCGACATCTTTAACCAGCACTCACACAGCCGTACTGGTTACCGACAGGTTTTATCTCCCGATATCTAGCCACTGCCGGATCTTGCCCACCCTTCTTCGCGGCCCCGATGCATGGATTCCAGGCCTGGTTGTGCGCTACCAGAACATGGAAGAGTCCGGCCGATGGCATCGTGCCACGGCGACGTTCTGGGCTTGCTTCTGGCCCAAGCGCACCCGAGGCTTGTGGTTTCATTTTCGTACAAAGATGGAGGTGGCGGATACGCATGAGGATATCCACGCCCGGCTTGCCGTCTGCCGGTGGCTCACTATCTCGTGGGCTGAGATGGGAGGGAGGGAGTGTGCATTCGCGACACCACTTTCACCATCGGCGTCGCCAGCATCGGCTCTGGCCGCCAGTCCGGTTGTTGTTAGCGCTGGATCTTTTTGACCAAAACTCGTCGATGCGGTTGATGACGGCTACGTTCCTATCACCAGGCCTGGTTGATTGGCGTTGCGGCGTCACGCTTCCCATCTCTTCCCATCCTTGTTTGTCCCCAGGGCCCTATATCACATTGCCGTACCAGACGGACGGGTGGACAGCAGCAGCTCGCCTCTCGCCGTCGGCGACGCGGCGTCCAAGACACGACGAATGCAGAGCCGCTCCATCAGGTGATTGGCACTCCCCCTCCCCTGCCCGTCCTCCTTCGACTACTGCAGGATACAAACAGCCCGAATCACCACGGCCATGCCCTTCACCCTCTTGACAGAGCACATCCCGCCCACGCTGCAAAGCCGCGATGATACACAGGTCTCGCACAGGTCTCCCCCGGGTCTTCCCCCAGGCCTTGGCGAACCCTGTCCTGTCCTGTCCTGTCCTGTCCTGGCCGCGGCGACGGTGATTCCCAATCCAAACGTCCAAAGGCCCAGACCCGCTTAGCCCGCTTACAGCGAGTGCGGGACCCCTCATCTCTGTGATAGCGTGGGTGTGCAAACCCACGGGTTACCGATGGCACGGCGGGATGGCGCTTGCTTGGGCGACAGAGGGCGAGAAAATGCCTCACCTCAATGCACGCTTCGTACGGCTGTCCGCGGATACTTACTCCACGAGGTAGGCAGAGGCGCAGAGCGCATTTGCTCCATCCAATGCCCGTCCAATCTCCGTCCAATGCTCGGCCTTCTCCAGCCCTCACACGGAGTCAATCCCCGTCACCGTCCTGGCAAGCGCCGCCGGCTTTGGGTCCCTGGTCGGGACGCTGGTCGGGACGCTGGTCGGGATGGGCCATCGTGGGTGGCGTCATTTGTCTCGGCATGTTTCCCGTTGTTCACGACTCACGATGCGACTGCGTATCCACGTTTCCTGACTGTGTCCTGGCCCGGTCTCCGGTCCCTCGCCAGCGCGTGTACCGTGCTGTACCTCTGTGATCTGTTATGACGGAGAGGCTTGGGATAGAGTGTGGTGGGGTTACAGTTACAGTTCAACTACTCGTTTGGGTCGGGTTTACTTCTCGTCTTTATCTGAGAAGTCAACCTCTGGAGACGCCGACGACTAGCACATGTATGTCATGCGTTTGTCCTCGGCCGTCGGTGAAGGAGAGTAGCCAAGAGTAGGCAAAGACTAGGCCGGGTAACCTTTCGGTCAAGGCTAATGATATCGTCAACGACTCTCCTTGGAGGACCTTATCCTCCAGACAGCAAGCCGCAAAGTCAATCAAGCCTCTTGAGATCCACGGGGGGGCGGGATTGGACGATACACGAACACTTCATCGTCAAGTGGCAATGTGACATACTTCAGGTCTACCTGCCCGTTGACTCCTTCCATGCATCCATTCTCCACGATTGCCACAGTCGCCCAACCCCTCATCTCGACGACGCTCAATCCGCGTTCGCTTGGCCTCTTCTTGGTGTAGGACATCACCTCACACCCATTGTCTGCAGAAGAAATTCTCGCCCACCCCCGCTCGCCTTCGGCTTGGCCGTGACGAAAATCTGCAAGCTTGTCCAACAAGCTTATTTCGGGTCGCGGCTTGGCAGCGCAGGCCAAGCATCGAGTGTTGCCATGGCGCGTACGAGCAAGAAAAACAAGCTCCGCACGCAGCGACATGCAGAAGCAAGCGAGCACTGTGCACATGGCCCCGAGAATCAAGCCTTTCTGGTCCATACTCGTAATGGCCAGGTCTGGGCCAATGTTTAGCGGGGGTTGGGAGGAAAAGAGGGGGTTGCTTGTCGGCTTTGCATGGCCAAGAGATATGCCATGTAGCCGTCGTGGTGGTAGTGATGTCGAGAGCATTGGCCCTCTCGCCCCGCTACCCCGTGTCTTGGCAGAGGAAACAATTGTAGATGAAAACAGCATCAGAGAATTTTCAGGACTGAGAATACTCCACTAGTAGGGGCAACATTGTGGGTTACGCTGCGTAGCTTGGCTCACAAGAACGCAAATTTGGCCAGACTCCATCAGGCAGTTGTCGACAACCCCCGCACGTACTGTTAACATGCCTACCTATGTTTGACACATATAGCCCTGGCATCGACACCGGTGCAAGCGGTCAGTGCTCCCCTTGGCGACGTTTTGTTGGGACTGACGGCAAAGGGGTTGCCGCTTGCCACTCGTCCGTCGCTGAGAACCGAGGATATCCAGAGCTGGACGCAGCAACCAACTGGTCTGTGCCTTGAGCCAGCATGATGCGAGATCTCCCGGCTTTGGAGAAACCTGGGGCCCCATGGGGGGTCATCTCATGTGTCCTGTCAAACTAGGAAATGAGGCAGGCAGGCAAGTAAGCCCGGGACGTCATTCTCGACTGATTCCATGCTCAGCTCGGGTCTGGCTCCCATGTCAGGCTGCACCCCAGGTTGGAGGTGAACAGTTAGTAGTCGTAGTCTGGGGGCCTGACAGATGAGATGCTCCTGTTGTTTCCGATATCTTGAAACAAGTGCGTAGAGGCCCGGCATGCGGAGAAATGCAAGATGGACACGCGTACGATCTGAGCAGGGAGCAACAGCGAATGGGTTCATTGATGCTGCTCCCCGAGTGACATGGTATTACTCCATCTCCCCGAGTAGTCAACGTACTTCGGAATCTTTGAAGATGAGTGTAAGCAGCCATATGCCATCTGACACCAACGATCCGGCCCGGGTCTCTGAAGTCATTGGATCTACCGTGGCTCCAACTCTCGAAACGCGAGCATGTACATCGGCGTGTCTTCCGAGAGCACCATCATGACTTCCCCCAAGATGACGGATGCCGTTCTGTGGCGAGTCTCGCACACACCGGTCAACAGACTTTGGAGTTACCTATCTCCAGACGGTGGAGGGATGTGAACATGAATTCCCTAGAGATGGCATCCAATCCAACTTCAACTTCATTTTGAACATCGCAGGTCAACAACCGCCGTTGCCAGGGCAGGGTCCGCCCAAACCCCTCGCAGGTAGTCTCGTCCCGGACATCTTCCCGGCACTAATCCTATGGCTTCCCCAAACCTCGCACTCTCCAACTACACATGACTTAGCTCTTAATCGCTCCCTTTTTACGTAACAACGGTCATGTGGGTGTTTTAGTAGTTCGATAGTATCGGGTTTCTTAGGAAGGAATACACCTATTGACACCAAGAAGCCTAGTTATGTGCCATGTGATCACCGTTGAGTTAGTATGGGCGGACACGGCGGTAAGTTGTAGGGATCCCAAGCTGGCCCACGCACTCATGCCCTAGAATGATATCAAGTATCCGTGTTTTATGCTCCAGACAATGTCAGCTCTGGACTGCGAGGACGAGTCGTCTTCAACTATCTATGAGTGCGATCTCTAGATGAGCTTCCTCCATCTTCGGTGCTATCATCGTTGTCATGGAAGATGGGAGACGTCACAAATACCCGATTCATCTGCCAACAATCTGTTCTCAGAGAAGGGGATCATCGTATCACTCGCTGAACACCTAGCCATCAATGTTCAAATTAGCACGTGAAATATATGCAATACTAACAGTCAGAGTCGGAGAGTTTCGTTGTCTATAATACTGGGAAGATATCTCCCGAAAATTAGGCACTGGTTCTCTTGAGGATTGTTGTTGTTTGGTAGGAGCATCCTAACTCCACCATAACTAACTTATAGACCTGTCCAACTTCCATATACCAATTTAATAGGAAATTTAGCGAGGAGAAGCTGTAGAATCGAAAGTTTCCTGCCATATTACACTGCTCGCCTTACAGCCTTAGGTTGCCTCGCGCAGTCTAAGCTTGCATCCACTGCACTAAATCGTCGCAGAGTTACAGAGCAATCCCCACAGACACTGTTGGAACGCATAGTAGCCAGTTCTAAAACCCCTCTTCCTTTAGTTATATAAGTTTTTAAAATACCCCAAAAAGAAAAAATACATTACCCTTTACTAATAGAAATGCGTCTCGGCTGTAATACGATATTTTTTGTTGCTGGTCTAGGGTACTAAAACTCCAGAGTGAAAGAACACGGCGACGAATATAAGAAAGAAAACCAAATAGCAAAAATATTCAATCATGTGGCTTATATATGGCTTATATGGCTTCCCAGTCTTTTTTTTTTTTTTGTTTCTTGATTTTTTTTTCTTAGTCTTGGCCTCTGATCTTTTTCTTCTCTGATCTTTTTTTTCTGGTCTTTTTTCTTGGTCATTTGTTTCTTGGTCTTTTTTTTCTTGGTCTTTTTTTTCTTGGTCTTTTTTTTCTTGGTCTTTTTTTTCTTGGTCTTGGCCTCTGATCTTTTTTCTTGATTTTTTCTTGATCTTTTCTTCTGTTTTGTTTCTTGATCTTTTTCTGTGACTGGGAATCGAACTGGATGGGCCAGATGACCAACGTATCTGATAGGTAGATGACCACTGCGTTAGATCCAATCCTCCACATGTTCCTAGGAGGGATAATCGTTATTCTACTTAAAAGGGCAGTCCGGTTTGCTGTATGGAAGGGGTGGAAGCGGGTGGAAGGTGAAGCTACCTTGAAGGCATCGGTGGTGCGGACCCGGAGGGCGGGGATGGAGTCAGAGGCGAGGCACCTTGCTGGTCCATGTATCAGCTACTGTGTAAACTTTAGCTCAAGTCAGAGTTCGTTTTATTTCTTTCATCACAATCTCAGATCCGAGTTGCTTTCTCCTTGAGAGGCAAACACGCAGTCAACAACTGGACCATCAACATCGCCTATAGCAAATGATGCCAAACCTCATCTTTTAAGCAAACCGGAAATAGGCAACCTCAAAGCTAGCGGTGTTTGATCATTCATGTTATTATCTAAAGGCCGGACGCGACAGGTTACGCCGGGATACACAGCAGGACGCAGTACACGTCTTTCGTTGCTCTGCATACCGGGTTCTTGACGTCGGGCTGCTGCCTCCGAAATACGACTAGCCTTTTTCTTATAAATGATTGCCGGGCCCAGCAGCCAGTCTCTCCAATAGTAAGTACCAACCAAGTCCAAGCTTGATACCATTGGCGTGGGAGGCCCCTGATCCTTGCCACCGGCGTGATTCGCAAGACGCAACGGAAAGGTGCAAACATATATGCGGAGTATCCCTTCAGCTTGCCCAATTTATATGATTTGTCACAAACAAAGTTGTTTGCCAATCATCGGATGCTGGAATGTTGTCCTGCGGTTGACCGCTCTGTTTGTCTGGCTGCCTGTGTACTTAAGACACCATTTCACGATTATCTGACTTTCCTAACCTTCTCCAGATCTACCAGTCTAACTTCTGCTACGAAAAACACTGAGCCTTGAGTGTCTTCCTTAAGTGCCAGTCATGGCGACCAACACTGAGGGCGGCGCTGATGGCACCCAAGCGCCGAAGTTGGCACAGCAGAACCTCAACTATTTATTTCACCACATTTTTCTACCCCCAAAGGTTCCAGGCGGACAAGATAGCTCTGGCGAGAAAGACGAAGCCTTAATTGACTTCGTTCTGGGCTGTCTACGGCTGTTTCTCTTCCAAGCACATCCAGATCACACCGCCGCTGTCAAAGCCGCCATGTGCATGACCGAGAACATGAAGGACGCGAGGTGTGCTCTTGGAATGCTGCGAGAACTCGGTACTCAGAGTGTCTTGAGCCAAATTTCTTCCAACGGTATAGCCTTTTCTCTTATCTTCTTGGTCGTGCAGATACTGACAGACTATCATCCTAGAAGCTCTTGCATCGTTTCACATCACTGCCCAGAACGCGGGAGTCGTTATTCACAAGGCGGCCACTTCGGTCATTCTCGAAGTCTTTGAGCTTTCTCCGACAAATTCTTCCGTCCAAAGTACTCGCGGCCGTCTGCAACGTCAATTCCCGGCGTCAGCAATCGCTGTACCGAGCGACCTCTTCGACAACGAGGATTTCCGGTCGGTACTGGGGAAGACTCTGGTCAAGATGAGCCAGCAACCGGTTGACGAAATGCAGCCCAAAGTCCGGAAGGCCAAAGAGATTCATAATGAAGAACGAGATACAGTTGACCCGCGACTGGTAACCGAGTTACTTGTCAGCTTCCTGCGAGGATGTGGTAAGCAAGTCAATGTTCGTGGTATTTGCAAGAATACTCGCGAGGAAGTCATGTGGAATCAAAGCAAACTTCCTTGGAGAAGATCTCCGGTGTGGCTCCTCCTTCGAGTCTCCTTGCAACTCACCATGAATCGCGTTGCCACCGATTCCGGGGATGCTTACAAGACGTTCATGGTGTTCTTTCTATCACGCATACTCGAAGCCAGTGTACAACAATCGCCCGGTCATGTTCTTCACACAATGAGAACAAAAATTTCCAGGCGTCTACTGAAACTGGAGAATCCGAAGGACGGCGCTTGGCTTGGGACGGTTCGCGACACGTTGTCTCGAACCTCACACTGGCTCGAAGACAAGTGGCAGCGACTTTGCGTTGACTTGCAGCCGCCGCTTGATTTGACGGCCGTCTCGAGTCTAAAAATGGATGAAGATGTGTTCTTCGACCTTTGCAAGATGGACCAATTCATCTCATCCATACTGCAACACGATAACACCAACCAGCTGTCACACTCAAGCCCAACTTCACAGCTCCAGGTCTTCAGCGCGCTCTCTCTACCACAAGTTTCCAATACCAAACAAGATTACCTGCCCTTTCACCTTGCTATGGTTGAGTCTTGGGTGGCGGCAAACTTGGAAAGCTGGATAGAGAGACATGTCGGCGTTCAGACGACTTGCTTGGAGCTGAGCCGTTTAATCCGGAACTATCACGCCAGCACTATTTCTTGGTATGCAAACCGTCCCGAGGGTGCTTCGCGTATGCATTTGGTCATTTTAGAGCTCTGGATTGCTGCCGACAAAGCTGCCCTCCACGCCTTTCCTATTCTCCAGCACTATGAGCCCGAAATTCCATTCCAGGTGTATCAAGCCTTATTACTTGGCTTTCAAGGAGACATGGCAAGGCTCGCCCGCGCCGAAGCATACCTCCATCAGCGCCAAAAGTTCACAGAGGCACAGCAAAGACCCTCGGTTTTCAGCTCTTTTGGTCATCCAAATTCTTTACCGGTCCGTTACTTCTCGGAATCAGTGGAACAGCAAGCCTTGAAGAAAACGATCGAGCGGCAAGCGACTGCAGAGAGGGAGGCCAAGCGTCAAGAGTTCAGAAACCTCAAAGCACAGTATAATCGTCTAATTCAACTCAGCATAGAGACTGCGTGCGAGATGATAGAGGATGTGGATAAAGATGGCCTGAAATTCAATTACCACAGCTCCAACTGCAACAGCTGTGGGTATAAGGGGAAAGCGAACAGTCTGTCCATCAATATCCATGAGTGGCCACTATCGAGCAATGACTTGGAAGCCCAAACCACCGTCTTTGAGCTATTAATCCCTCCTGCTTTTGCGGAATGGCGAGATCTAACAGTCTATATCATCGATGACGTGCTTCGAAGCGACCGCCCGTCAGTCTCTTCCCCACATGATCGTTATCCCTTGCAAACGTACCAAGGGCTCTCCAAGTATCTCCAACATTCATACAGACGGCGTATTCATCTTCTATCAACAACCAAGCCGAATGTGGTCACGCACCGGCGGGACAAACCGATCAGCCATTCCTCCGAGTCGGATGTTTGTGTCAACAATGGCCTTCAATTCAAGTACTTCGACGATGAAAGAGACGTATTTGTTACAAGACTGTCCCCATCACTCGCTCTGTCCGACCTCTGCAGATTCAAACTGCCTGTGCGTTCAGATGCGCTGAAATGTTTCCTGGTACGCAACCACGTCTGCCCGGATGGTGAGAGTCCGAACCAAGTCATTGCGAGCCAGTCTTCATGCCCCGACCATCTGTCCTTGGGAGAGTATAAAGCTTTGGCGTCCTCGGCATTCGGACATCGAATAGTATGGAAGAGCATTCTTACACAACTGGCCATGCCAAGTGTCGACTTCAACAAAACCGAGACAACTACATTTATGCTCCAGTTGAGTCTCCAAGCCGGCCCAAACTCTGCCGAAGACATCAACCGAAGCACACATGCAATTCTGTCGGACACTGAATTTGGACACTCGATGCTTACCTGCCTTCAAACTTCTGTGTCGCGCATCCAAGAAAATTGGGAGTCTTACGTTGCTCTCTGGACGTTCTCTTTTCTTGCAGCTCGTCTCTTGTCAATGACCACCAAGAATCTCAAGCCACAATACCTCCAGCTTCTCAAGCATTGTAGAGAGGTCTCTTACCAATGGATATCCCATTTACGTGACAGAATTCGCAATACGACGGATAGCAGCCAGAGGACAGAGTTTCTCCGGGTTCTGGTCGATATTTGTCTCGTCTGTGCCGATTCCTTCAATCTAGATCAACAACATCTCGAGGAAGTGTTATCCGAACCGCAGCAGGCATCGATTCTTGTTGAAGTCTCCATCATCATCCAGAACAATGCGAATCTCGGGAACATGGAAAAGGGAGTCCTGCAAACCACTACGCGGGGTAGGTGGCAGCACACGTTGCACCGTTCCTGTTTATTCCTGACAAAAGATGTCATTTCCAATGGAAATGCGTGTCTTGACCTGGCTGTCACTAGATGTTGGCCGCCTTTCAATTCAGGGGGCGGCTGGCATTTGACGCCTTCAAATTGGTATTGGTTCGAGACAAGTTTCGCACAGCTCGAAGTCCGTCTCAACATTCTCACGGGAGAGTTACTTGTGAATGGGTTGCCTCTGTCGCGTCTGCCCTGGAGCTATTCTAATCATGCTCACTACCTACGAGTATTCGAAAGGCTTGCCTTGGATGCTATGCCAAGTCCACTCAATGGCATGGATTTCTCCAGCACAGAGACATTCGCTGGGCACAAGGTTCACTTCTCCATGCAACCAGCTCCTTGGGATAGCTCATATCACAATCTGTTGATACGCCTGGAGAAGGATGGGGCATTTCAAGATCTCATCCCTCATCAAGTTCTTGATGGGAAACTACCTGACTCACTCGTTCAAGACTTCGTCCATTGGTATCATCGTGACACAAACACCATCGAGTTTCGTCCACTTGGTAGTCCCTGGAAGACTGACCCTGAGAATTGGCGCCTCAGGAGTGATGGCACAAAGTGGAAGCTCACTCAAGGCGACCACATATCGTTGATAGCCCCAACAAGCAACTCCGGTCGGCTCGTTGCGTCAATTTTCGCTGCACTTGAATCCCCGCTGCGGCTCCATATGCTGTTCAACGAGAAACAGGACTCGCTGGAGGTTAGACTGCACCACCTTCAGCTCAACTTTGACTTGAGATCTGGAGATACGGCTATAAGATCCCGACAGTTCCGAGACATGCAAATCGATGCGGATCAATCTATCGGAACCTTGGTTGGATTCAACAGCAAGTTGGTGCTGCGAAATGGCCAGGATTCACAAATCCGAGTGATACTCATTCCAGAGGGGATTGTTGAGTATCGGAAATTATGTCGCGACGGCTTCGACGACCATGTGGAAGCGTCCGTGAATTGCGATACCGCCAGTCAGGTGCATTCGTATTCAATTGACAACCAACTTGACCGGCTTGTTGACAACGATACGATACAAAGCAAACTGTACCTCGCTTACCTTCATGGGGTCACATCCTATTGCCTCCCGGACCCTTTGCTTGGCCGGACGGGAACCGAACAAGCGCTGTCAATTCTTGGCTCCGCCTCGGTGCGTTCAGTGGCTTGTTTGGACCAGAAGAATATGCAGCTGCTGGATAAAATTGCTCACTTATCTCCCAGGAGGTCGTTTTACCCTCCTTCTGAAAGGGTGATGCAGGTTGTCGGATGGTCATCTGACTTGACCTTTCTAACACAAGATGACCGATTCTACAAGGTTGTATCCGAAATTCTTGAGAATGCACGTAAAATCGAGTTCCTGTACCCTGGCAGTTCGATTGAGGCAGATCATTTAACTCATGCGGATATGCACCTTGTCACGAGGCAGATTATTCGAAGCGCCAGCCGCCACGTATCGGGATTCGGTGCTGAAGATTTTACTCTCAAGTACGACGGAGCGTATGAATCAAGAGATGGTGGTCAGCCATCTGCTCGAGCCGCTCGTGCAAGCAAAACTGCTTATATGATCTATCACGACCATCAATTTCTCCTAAAGAAGCCTGCTTCCGATCTTGTCAGCCATTTGTACCAGCTTCTCTCCGCCACATGGAAGACGCAATCACCCAGGGTACCACCGACACCGCGAGAGATGGAATATGATTCAAAGTGGCTTCAGGCACTACACACCTTCCTCTCGAAGGATTGGTGCCGTTTACACTTTGCCTTCCAAACAAACAGGCAGTGGCTCAACAAGTTTCAGTTAATGATTTGGCTCGCAACGATGTCGTATGCCACCAACCACGTTCCCCAGGTCACGCAGGCTCTACTGGCTCTGTCTTTTTCGCCCAGCGTTTCGGCGGTTTCTCTGCCCAGCGGCCTTTCTTTCGACTTGCTTCGAGGCTACCAGGCCCAGTCACATGAACTTAGCGACCTAATCCGCCAGGCGTCAAATGGTTTTCCGCAGTCTCCCGAGGCGGCTCTGCCCCGATTATCTCATGAATCTGAAAAATCAGCAAAATCTCGACGAAAGCGTCTACACAAGGCCAAGAAAAAGAACGAAGTTCAAAGGTTCTGTGACCAACTCATGCAACAGTGGCCATGCCCCACGCCTCAACAACCAACCGGGTCTCAGATAGGTATCTACATTAATGGTGCGGCCGCCATGAAGACGATCCGACCTATGTGGAGCACTTGGCATAAAAATCTACTCTTCAAAGGATACATTGAGAAATTTGTCAACGCTTTGAAAACGATACCAATAAGTCTTGTCGCTGTTCCATCTTTCCCAAGTCGAGCTGCGTTGGCGCCAATCACCCGACTGCCTGGCTTTGTATCGATCAACACCCTTTTCACCAACCCTGCACCTTCAACGACGCCGGCTCTCCATCAACTACCGAGTACACTGATTGAACATTCGACTGCTCGTACTGGTTCGCAGAAATTGCTCGATGTCCTCGACCTGTTAGATCTCAGTGCCAAATTCGACAACGAACGCCAGTATCTTGCAGAGCTCCGCAGTAGCCTTTCACATCTTCAGGGTGCTCCCACTCTACGTCAAGTTGCTGACCAGGACACTCTCTTTCAACGATACTTGGAGCATTGTGAGACCCATGTCAAATCCGTGTACCAGTCGCTATCGCAAGCTATCGGGGCTGTCTCAGGAGAGCCAAAGCAGTCGCCAGCTTCTTCGAACCCGCAAGCCGTGATCAGGGAAATCGCCTTTCAAGCAAAATTCTGGCCGAGAGTATCTCCAATCCTTCTTCTACAGCAGCTTACCAACTCCCGATGGTGCCATCTCTCTGGTGAGTGGAAAGCCAGCATTGTGGCATACGGAGAAGCGATCGCGGCCCTTCAGCAAGCCAAACGACTCGTGCAACTCCAACATAACGAGGTTGATCTCCTCAAGGAACTCGAAAATTTGGGGCCCAGAGGCTGGGACCCTCGCGAATATCCAGAATGGCTTTTACTCGAATGCGAGAGCGGGATCAAGATTCGCGAGGCCCAGCAACAAATTGCCAGGCAGATGATGAATCCACCTGATGGGCGCAATGCCATGATGCAGCTCAACATGGGAGAGGGAAAATCCACCGTCATCGCTCCTATCGTTGCGGCAGCTCTCAGTGACGGCTCAAAACTTGTGCGTGTCATCGTGGCAAAGCCACAGGCCAAGCAAATGTTTCATTTCCTGGTGTCGAAGCTTTCTGGCATGCTTGATCGACCGGTATACCAGTTTCCATTCTCGAGGGCGATTCGTATGGATCCAGAAAAGGTAGATGCCCTTCGTCAACTAGTCACAAAATGCATGGAAGAGGGAGGCATTCTGCTGGTCCAACCCGAACATTTGCTTTCATTGCAATTGATGGGCCTTGAATACCAGATCGACGGGGCCACCGAGGTTGCTGATAAGCTATTGGAGATGCAGCGCTTTTTCGACAAAAGCTCAAGGGATGTGGTCGATGAGAGCGACGAGAACTTTAGTGTCAAATTCGAACTCGTCTATACCCACGGCCAACAACGACCCATGGAGCATAGCCCAGCACGATGGGTTGTGATTCAAGAAGTTCTCGGACTTTTTGTGAACTTTGCCAAGGAGACCAAGAAGAAGTTTCCTGAGTCAGTCGATTTAGATGACCGGTACAGTGAGAGGTTTCCGAGAATACGCGTTCTCCGTCTCGATGCTGAGGGCCTCCTCCTGAGTCGCCTTGCTAGTCACATTTGTGACAAAGGGATCACTGGACTTCCTCTTGCACGTCAGCCTCTCAGCACAAGAGAAGCTGTCCGACGCTATATACTTGAACCGGTACCATCACCAGAAGATATCGCAGCCGTCGAGGACAGCCCTTTTTGGGCTGAGACAACCGTCCACAATATTTTACTCCTCCGTGGGTTGCTCGCAGGGGGCATTCTTGCATTCGTATTCGGCCTCAAGCGATGGCGTGTCAATTACGGCACGGACACAAAGAGGGAGAAGAAAACCCGACTCGCTGTGCCCTTTCGAGCGAAGGACAGCCCGACTCCTCGGTCGGAGTTCAGCCATCCAGATGTCGTCATTGTCCTTACCTGCCTGAGTTATTATTATAGTGGCCTAGAAGACGAGGATCTCTTCGGGGCACTCAATCTTCTCACGCGGTCTGACAATGCCGATCTGGAATACCAATCATGGGTTGTGACGGCGCCAAGTTTACCATTGGCCTTCAAGCAACTAAACGGCATCAACCTTCGCGATCGCGTTCAGTGTACCTCGGAGGTTTTCCAGCATCTCCGATACTCCAAGGGAGCGATCGACTATTTCCTGTCGCACATGGTCTTTGCAAAGGAGTTGAAGGAGTTCCCACACAAGCTCACAGCTTCTGGGTGGGACTTGGGCAAAGTGAAGCAAAACCCCACGACGGGCTTCAGCGGAACCAACGATTCCAGATACGTGCTGCCGTTGGATGTCGAGCAATTGGACCTCCCTGAGCAAAAACACACCAACTCACTGGTATTAGAGTATCTATTGCGCCCGGAAAATAGCACTGCCTTAATGCCGCCCCGTGGTGAAGGAGCGAATTCGGACTGCGAAGCGCTTCTCGGTATGGTGACCAAGATGGGGTCAAACACCCGCGTTATTCTCGACGTCGGCGCTCAAGTCATCGATCTCAATAACCGGGACTTTGCTGAGGCTTGGTTGAAAATGTACGAAGGCGATCCCACAACACAAGCCGTCGTCTTTTTTAGCGACGCCGATGAACTCATGGTCCTCGACCATTCGGGCAAAGTCGAAGTGCTTCAAACGTCACCATTTGCCAAGCTCTTGGACCAGTGCCTCATCTTCCTCGACGAAGCACACACGAGAGGCACAGACCTAAAGCTTCCAGAGTTCTATCGCGCGGCGGTGACCCTAGGTGCGAACTTGACCAAGGACAGACTCGTCCAAGGTAAGACAATATCTCCAGACTTATCAGATGGTTACTAACGTCTCAGCGTGTATGCGGATGCGGAAACTAGGAAAAGGACAGTCCGTCGTGTTTTGCGTCCCAAGAGAGATTGAAAGAAAAATCTCAAGGCAGCGAGAAACTTGGACATCCTCCCAGCCACCAGTCCCAGTTGGCGATCATGGGACCTGGGGTCTTGATGCCTTGAGATCTTGGATCGGCGGTCTCTGGATCTCTTGGTGGTCCCGTAGAGGGCTTCCTCAGTCACTTCTACGTCGTCTAGAGTCCCCAGTTTGTTCCCGACGACTGTTTCCAGAGGAGACCGAAAGACTTACCGTCTCAGACGTCGTCTGCTGGGCCATCTCGGAGACTTGGACCGATCTACGACGCACCATCCCGTTGTGGGTTACGCAAGGCCTCCGATTCTATCGACAAGACCGAATCTGGGAACAGTTCCAGTTCCCCCGGGGTGACCAAAGCCAGGGAGTAGAATGGGCCCGGCGATTCCTGGAGGAGGAAGCACAGAGTTTGGATCACCGGTATCGTCCACGCACTACCCGCCAAAACGTCTCTGCGATACTCGACCAGGTCGCTCCGGCCATTGGAGAACGGTTTCAGCATCAATGTCATCAATTTGGCATCGCCGAGTTTGGCACAGCGTCGTTGCAGGAGGAGCAGGAGAGAGAGCTCTCCCCCGAAACCGAGCAGGAACGACAAGTGGAAAAGCCTCCCCGTGTAAAGGCGGCCGACCATGCAATCGAGTCAGGGTTACGTTACTTCATCAAGCATGGGGAGCTGTTGGACGATCGCGAGGGATTTAAGCCCGCTTTTATGGCCCTCAGCAACACAACAGCAGCGAAACATCTCGATGTTGCCGAGTTTCCATCGCATGTCTGGGTTACAGATGACTTTGCCAGGACCGTCCAGAACATATCCCAAGAAACAGACTGTTCAGACTCATTCCAGCGTCCAGTACAATGGGTCCTAACAAGCGCCCCTCCAGGTAATTCGGTCGTCAGGCATATTGTCATCATCAGCCCATATGAGGCGAATGAGCTACTACCAAGAATCCAGGCGTCTCGATTCGTCACACTCCATCTGTACTCTCCTCGAATCAATCTCGGGTTCCAGCCTCCGGATCACTTGGGATTATACACTGTCCCGCAAAGAGCACCCAAACACGAGATTTCTTGTGAACAGCGCATCCAGCTAAATCTCTTTGCTGGCCAACTATACCTTTCCTCGTTCCAAGAGTACACCAAGGTGTGCGACGCGCTCGGGCTGGCGTCGAGTCCTACCCAGGGCCTCGTCATCCTGGAGGCAGATGGCTTCATCCCGCCTGATTTGAAGGAAGGCAAGGTTACCAACCAGTCCGGGTTTACGAAGAGCCCGGTCAAGTTCATGAAGGTTCTGATGTCGGGGATACGGCAGAATTGCGAGGCCATAGAGAAGACCTGCATGGGCAAGATTCTGGATGGCGTGCTCTTGACGGAAGAGGATTTTGCGGAGGGTTAGTGGAACGTACACGCATGGAGTATGTAGCACGAGATTGATAAACGGATAATTCCTTACTTGTTGAACAAGATCTCCTTTCAAGTCACTCCCAGTAGTCGTGCTTATTCCGGCCTGAATTCTCGTACAAATTCGCTGTCTGCACACAGAGACGAAGCTGGTTTGCAAAAAGTGTGCGCTATCGTGCAAAGCTTCCAGAATGTTTGACAAAATCCCGCCAATGTAGTACAGATTTTTCTTAAAATTTTACGCCCTCTTTTATATTCACTTTCCCATCTTGAGGGAGATTCTTCACATTTTCGTTAGGTCGCAAGGGTTTTTTTTGTGGGAATCGAACAAGGGTGGTTAGGCAGAAATGGCAGAGAGTCCAAATTCTCGCGTTGAACTCCAAACTCTACGTGTTCATGGGCATATAATAGACCTTTACAAGCAAACGGGATGCTCTAGATCGTATTTCGACGAGGGAAGTCAAAGATCTCCCACTCTTTTTAGTGTATACAGTCCCTAGGCTGATGGTGAACCCAGCAGGCGGAGCATTAGGTCCGCCCCACACCATGGCCTGTGAGGTGGGGAGACTCGGTTGGGATTGCAGCGGTTAGATCGTCCATTCATTCCGGCGGCACTTTACGTGCAAGTCATTCTGCCTGTGGACGGCTAGGGACACGATTAGCTTTGTTTCAGGCCGCTTGTTACAGGTCTTGCCAGTGTTGCGCGGTGGCATCTGTACGAGGCTGGCCAGTACGCGCCGGACGCCCTGCAAGCCACTTACAAGAAGCAACTTCAGGTCCTCCAGCCTCGTCGTCCGCACACGCACCTATTGGCCAGATTACCATCAGGACTGATTGGCACATCGTCCTGGTGATTGCTTATTCATATGTCTCATTTCCCCGCTTCAACAACCACAAACTCGCCCTTCCCAGGCTCAACGTTTCTTCCTCTCTTCCTCCTTCATCCATCTTCCACCATGCTCGTGGATAGCATCCGACACTGGTGCGCCCTTTGCCGGTTCCACTACGAGCCAGGAGACGAGCTCGTAGTCTGTCAGTTTCCCCTGCTCTCCATCATCCGACGGTCGGCTAATATACCCAGTGAACCGGTACGATCGCCTCACTAAGAAATTCAAGTATCACGACAAACTCATGATACCGCCCCTCGGCCAACATGGTGCTGATGACTACATATATCGACCTAACTTGTCCGACGCACCCCTCAGGGGCGGTGAGTTCGTGGCCACGGGCTTACACGTGGGTTGCCTTGCTCTCGTTGATCGATTTCCGTATCAACTCTCAGAGACCCTCCAAGCGGTTGCGTATGAATACGTGCCATCGTTGGCCGAAATCGAACGCCGCCGCCGCTGGATGCGATTTAAATTTACCCAAGACTTGACCAGCAGCATCCCAAAACTGGTTGGGGACATTCTCTACAATGTCGTTCCCCATTGCTTGCCCTCGCTGACCTTGGCCTATCTCCAATCTGCCGCCCAGTCACTTGACAAACCACCAGGCCGAATCTCAGTCCGGGCCTCGCGTGACATTTGGGTCCAGCGAGTCATGTTTGAGGGCCTTGATTACATCGGGGCCGTGTCAAACACATCTCCTCCCGAGGAGGAGAAGACCAAACGCGGCCATGCCCAACTCAAGCGACCGGTGGGCCGCATGGACATGGTGTATGTCGCACATGACCACATCGGCATCAGAAAGATCTTCTTGTGGGACTCTACGAAAGTTCTGGAGATGCCTCGATGCCCGGGTCTCTGGTGGGTGGCCATACCAGTGGGCAAGGGCGGCTCGCTCCATTGTTTCACTGACGTAAGTGTCAACCTGCTGTGGACGAACATATTACTAACAAGTGCAGGGCGTGAAACTACGAAAGGTGACATGCACCAGCTTCATGAACGGCTCTGCGTCAAAGCCGTGTGACAAGCGCTGGGCTGTCCCCCAGTCCCCCAGGAATAACTTCCGCTGGGTGCAGATCCATCAAGCCACACCTGCAATCTCCCGAATGGACTTTTTCCAGTGTAACCATCCTGACATCCAGGCATACTCGGCAGCTTGGGACGATGGCCGCCTCCTGACACTTCACGCCCACACCAGCGCGGCGGGCGATTTCGACGCGTACAGAACGCGGGTAGAGCAGCACAACCCGAAGGTGTTCTGGTTCTACATGCCCATGGATCCGGGCGAGCTCATCGCCGAGATATGGGCGCACGCGGAAACTAAGACTAGGTTCCCATCATACATTGTCATCGTAAGTAAACAACCACCGAGTCATGAAGCACGACACTAACAACCAATAGATGAAGACAACCAGAGGCCGCATTTGGGCAATCGGACCACAGCCTCGAACCATAAAAATTCCCGAGTGGCGTCTCTTGGACCGGCCGAGGAAAACCCCAAGCCGCATCTTCTTCGAAGAGAACTGGATCGGTTCTACCAAGATGGCCTTTGAGACTCCGGAACCGGTAAAAATCGGGGCCTACTATCCGGTGGTAATCCCACGGTCGCCCTATCCCCGCCTCACAAAAGAGCAGCTGGCCATTGAAGTTGCAGTCGAGTCGAAGTGCATCTTCAATGCCCAAGAGCGGCCAAAGGTGAAAGAGGATCGTATAATGGAGCGCGAATACTTCTACTCCTCGGCCCCGTTGACCGGGGTAGTCAGAGTACTCCCCTGCCGATCCAGCTGCAACGGTGAGTCGGCCATCGTTGGTCTGCTTCTGCAGTACAAGGATGGCCGTCGACGGACCGTCGGACGCGTCCAGCTCAACAGCCTTGATCCGGCGATTGAAGTTGACAGCTCGACGGAAAGGATCATGTATCGGCTCTCCAAGGACAAACGGATGATGCTTCAGGTGAAGGCTTTCGAGCATGATCCGGGGTCCGAATGGACTGCTGTGCCACAGTCGGGTAATTTGGGTTGGTGGTTGATGTCGAGATGGAGCATCATGTGTGACGTGTTTCACGAATCGGACTAGCTGGCTGGTTATTACCAGAAGCTCAATTAATTAAAATAGGTGTGTGCTTAGTGGGTAGGGTGCATTTCAGACACCAGTGTGTTTGATGTATTTTAGACATCTGTTTGGTGCTTTCAGGCACGTATTTAGTGTTTAGTGTTGTCAGGCACCTTTGGTGTTTTTAGACGCCTGTGTGGTGTTTAGACAAACACCGGGATGTTTTAAGACACCCGTCAAGATAAAATTGACACATTTCTTTTACCATCGGAGAGGCCCAGCTTCATCTTGATTGTGCGTGTGCATTTGATCGTGTGTCGATGCTGAATGTGGTGATGTACACAGCAATGGAACTCCCATGCTTCAATTGACTCGGCGAGTGTGCTAGACGGTGAAGCAAGAGAGCGACAAGATCTCTCGATCGATGTCTTCCCCAGAGACTGCAACACTCGCCAGGCTCAATCCACCTACTGATGGAGATTTGCATCAATTCTCAAGTACAAATACAACCCAATGATTGCCCAATGCTGGGAAAAGCCATGTTGGTCGCACCCTTGTTGATATCCCCGCGAAGTGCTGATCAGGGTCCTTGACCGCCATGGTGCAATTTCGAAGTGGGCAAACTACGGGGGTTCCAGAAAGAACCCCTGTCCGGAAGCTAGGGGCAGACTGGGATTGTTAAAGAGAGAGCATTCGCTTGCTGTTTGATGATCGATTCTGTCGTCATGACATGTGAATGCTGCTAGACGGTCATCAGCCTACGTAGACTTCCATCACTCATGCGCATACTCGGACCGTCTTTTTAGTCTCTGAGCAGAGATAGCGATCGAGACGGAGGGTCCGATAGGCAGCAGATATGGGAATGGAGACTGGAGGCTTCGTTAAAGGCTTGGCTGGGGTGCGGATGTCCAGAACGAGCGAGGCGCATCCCACCACATTCCACAGATAGGCGGCCACATGGCAATCAATAATGACTGATTGAGTGATGGTGGCTGACAAATTGTTGGGCACATGTATGTGTCTGTCTCTGGCGGACTGTCTCTGGTGGACTGGAGTGGACTGGACTGGGCTGGATTTAGACGAGTTTCATTCTGGTTGCACTGCGTTGTGCAGACTGGTGCCAACAAAGAAAACGCCCGAGCGAATGCACGTGTGATATGTGTGTCAGTTGTGGATGTGGTGGATGTTATGGATGCTGTGTATGTCGTGTCTGAGGTGTGTCCCGCGCTGACGGTGGATGTGGGTGTGTGCCTGAGCGTCGGGAGTCGTGACAAGGGGCCGCGAGCGGAATACTCACCACAGTTGTCCAATCATTCGGGAGTGTATGGGCTGGATACAACCCGAGTGGATGAGACGCGGTTGATTCCCCTTGCAGGGTGTCTTTTTCGGTGTGCGTGAGCGTGCGTGTGTGTGTGAGCGAGTGTCTGTGCGTGTGCGGGTTGCGACGATGAGTGAAGGGCCCGCCCATCCTGAGAGCGATCGGGCTAGGGACGGGACATCTGGAAGTGAATATTGAAACCCTGGGAATTATTAGACCCTTGAATAGATGAATGCTCCCTAATTGCCTCCTTCGCTACCCATCATCCATGGCGACAGATCGAACGACACATCCATCCCCCCCCGGCCCGCCCCGGAAAGCCGGAGCGGTGGACTCGGAGGCTCGGGGACTCACTCGGCTGACATGCAACAGAAGCGATTGATCTCACCAACCCCTGCATCCTTGCCTCGGGAGTGTGAAGATGGAGCGCCCGAGGTAATACCGGCCCGTCGATGCCACGCTTCGCAGCACGTAGCGCGTGTATTGTCCTTCTCATTGTCGTCATCGAAACCGCCGCCGTCGCTCGAGGGCCCCATCTGTCCGGTTCCCCTAGGCCCGGCACCTTGTGGCCTAATGGCCGCCCAAGCCGTCCGCCTGGGCTAGCAGTCGGTTTGGCTTGGGCCAGCAGTTTTGACCCGGGACAGGCACGGCGCAGAGGGCAAGACAAGACGGCACCTCCTAAGACACATGGACGGAGCCTCGAACATGGCACATCCCAAGGGCAATCTCAAGGCAATGTCAAGAGGCACGCAGATGGCTGCGGATCCGAGCGTGTTCCAGCAACCACGTACCAGTGCTCAGCCAGTCGGGGCGTGTCGGGTGGCGGTACGGGTCAGTCCGCCTCCATTCCAGGGGTCGGCTATCCCAGTTCCAGCGAAGGTTCATTGCGTTACAGGGGGCCCAGCGCTGGATTGGGCCGCCCGCCTCGCTGCCACGAGAGCCCTGTTTCCGCCCAGTGCCCGCTAACACTCCTAACACTGCTGCCCGCCCGTTCCAACGTGCAACGCGCCCACTAAAACTGCCACTAATCCGGCTGCCGGGGGGCCCCCATCAGTAGACGATGAATAGAACCCATGGAACCAGTGGAACTCGCTGGGTTAGCTGGCAAGTGGTTACTGGAGCTGGTTAGCTGGTTGCCGACCTGAGCTGGCAAGCTGGGCTCTCCACACTTTTTTTCACGGCACGCGCACCGACGAGCCCACCGCTGCCAATACCGCCATTACATACGCCGTTCGCCGCATGCCGTATGCCGCTACAAGAGCCTCGGGCAGCCGTTTAGTCCGCCTCATCGCGAGGTCCCAAGGCTCCGTCACCGTCTTTCCTTTATTCTGCCGTGCCTCCATCACTCTCTTGCCGCCTGTCCGCCCCCCCGAAACCGCGCTGCCGCTGTGCCCTGTCGGTCCCTAAAGCTCCCAGCTGCCAGCTCCAGGACCCTGATCATCGCCCCTGGAACTGTCCGTGCTGTGCCTTGCGTTCAGCGGGACCCATCTGCGTCATACCTCGCCCTCGACAGACATTCATCCATCCTCCATCCCTCCCTCGCTCCCTCCAGTTCAACCTCCTCTTCGACCTCGACCTCCCTTCAACCTCGACTTCCCCTTCGAAACTCGCCCTCGCACGCCGTTATCAGCTTCAAGAACGTTCTCAGCCTCCGTCTTTCCCAACCGCGAAATCTCCATCTAATCGACTTCCGCGACACCCGCTGCACCTTCGGCATTCGGATCGACCTCCAGATCGACGGCTCTTTCCCAACTCCTCGACAACAACTGCGACGGCTACGACTGCTCCGACTGCTACGACAACTACGACCCGTTCGCACCTCCATGTCGCTCCAATAATCTTCACCCTACAACTCCCCTACAACGCCCTGATCCTCTCTCCGTCCGCTCTGGACGGAATCATGGCAGTCAGTGTCTCCTCTGAAGCCTTCCTGCCCTCGGGCGCCTTCTACAGCAACATGGCTCTTCCCATCAATCCTCACTTCCCTTATCCCAGCGACTCGTCAATCGCGACGCCGTCCTCCTCCTTCCCTCCAGCCGCCAGCCATCACCAACTACCTCCTTACTTTAACCATCACCAAAGTCACCAGAATTACCCGACCCAACACCAGTCCGATCGTGGCCGCCTCCCGCCCGCCAGTTCCTTTCCGCTCCAGCCTGCAGACGCCCATCCGCTCTCCCTCTCATCCTTGCGTGCTGCCCAGGCTGCTACCGCGAACCATTCACCAAACCATCTCCATGCTGATGCTTCGAGTAACCTTCGCGCCGCCAGCATCTCCCCATCTCAACCCGTCCCCTTACCCATCCCCGACCGTGGATTCCCGCCTTCATCCGCGGCCCCTCTATCGAGCGTCCCTCAATATCTAGCTGGAGCTTCCCTCTCAAGATCCGTCTCTGCCGACGCCGCTCCGTCCACTCAGCAAACCTCACTATACATGGTCCAGCGCCTCGTCCAACAAAATACGCTTATTCGTGAAGCCTGGGAAGCGGAGCGCAACCATCTTGAGACGAACCGCCGCCGTGCTGAGGAGGTCTACCAGGAGGAGCGCGCCATCATGGATGACGTTCGTGAGAGCTGGGACTCGGAAAAGACTATAATGATACGCGAGATCGAGTCGCTCAAGGAACGCCTTTACCGCCTCGAAGGCGAAAACTCGACCCTCAAAGCCGTTACTGCTCAGAGCATCCAAATGTCACCCATGGGAAGCCAACGGGCAGGCAGTGGCGATGGTTCTATCGAGAGTTCGTACTTCTCTGCACCTCCAGGCCACCTGACGTCACGATCCCCGAACGCAACAATGCCGACGAGTTTTTCCATGATTGACGCTACTTCTTTGCCGCCTGGCCTCGATGGTGCATCTCGCCGACCTCACTTCCGCACATCCGCAAGTGCTCGCGTGTCTCCCACCACACTGTGCCACTCAACATCCTTCGGACCAATGGATCCTCGAATGCAGCCTGAAAACTCCATCGCCAAGGACTTCCTCTCGTCCCCATCCGACGACTCCGAGACACCAATCCCCATCATCGACGTTCAGGAAATCGATCCCAACTTGGAAGGAATCCCCATCAAGGCGACGGCGGTCCAGCGATCCACCTTTGCCCTCGGTGGATCTCCTCCCGAAAATCCAGCATCCCCAGCCACCTCTCCTCCTCCCGCCAATGCTGCCCAGTACACAGAACAAAGCCGGAGGCTTTCAGGTTTGCGCGGGTCATCCAAGGAGTACACGCTGCAGGTCCTCAATGCCGTAGAATCCCGGCGGCTAACAATCCATGCCGGCCACACCCCCAACCACTCTCTCTCCCTCTTCCCCACTGTCACCGGTACTGAGACGAATTCCATCGCTGGCGTGAGCGAGGGTGCCACTCCAACTGTCGAGATGACCGCAGACATCCCAATCCATCACAGGGAATCGGACGATGATGATGAGGACACCCCCACCCGTCAACCCGGCCAAGAGGATCCTTCGGCAAATGACAATCCAGACCACCCTGAGCCCATGATGGATCCCGAGGAAGACAAGCCACTCAAGGGACCTCTAATGATCAAAAACATACCTGCACAGGACGAGATATTCTGGGAGGCAGTCAACAAGAAGCTCACGCCCATCAGCCAGGGCGAAAACGCCCTCCCAGCCGTTATGCAGTCTTCGCCGGACGACATGGAGTCAATCGCCGACACTGAGACCATGTATACTCTGGACCAGAGGCCTAGAGGGTCCACCGACCCAGTTGGTGGAGACGGATCCCACGATGCTCATGCGGACGCCGATGATGACACCTGCGAGTTTGGTGACCGCAAAAACATCGAGGTTGACATCCCCTTGAAGTTCAAGGCGACGTCCAATTTCGGTGCTCCATTTGGCGCAACAAAATTCGGTACAGTGTAGAGCAAGACCGATTGGCCCCAAAAGAATAATCACCAAGAGCGAACTGAAGCGTCCGTCTCCCCTGCGCAACCCGCAAGGCGACCGTCGGCCCTCAACTTCAACTTGCCCTTTGGTTTGACAAACCGAGCATCAACTCGAACATCACTAGGCTCAGAGCACCCCAATGGTCCGCCGCCTTCACAGCAAAACTCGAAACAAACATCATCATCTACATCTCCAAAACGCTCATCATGAGCACTTCTCGACCTCCATCACGACAGGTTGGATAATTCCTTCCAACGCAATGACAGACGCACACCATCACGACACATCCATTTATTGCACACACGCTCCTTTTGGGTTTCTCTTTCGGTCGGTTTCCTGATTCATACACATGGCGGGCTGGATTTGCGGTTTCACGGCACTTAAAAGAGGGTTACATCGGTAGAACAGGAGCACAGGAACGGTTGCGCAACATTTACTTTCAAGGAGGCAGGCTGGTTGGTGTTTTTTCTTCGGCGAGAAAGACTGTACCCTTTCTTCAGTCAACTCGCCCTCGTCCCAAGGCACACGGAGCCCGTCTTCTTGCGTCGTAATATTCATGCATACAACAACTACGGAGGTTTATTGTTAAATACCCCAGGGATTGTCCAAGTTGTACATCCCTTGCACTATGGATTGCTTTTGTGTTAGGAAAGGAGGAGCTGGGTCGGCGTGGACGACAGGGCTGGGAAAGGAATGAGTATTTGCCTAGTTTAGTTATGAGGTAAAACAAGGAGCATTACTATTCCCATGCACATATTTCGCTCGTTCCTTTCATTCCTCGTAGAAGGTCTAACCCAGCTAAACACCACACCTGTACGATAACCCCCGTTCCTAACGGAACGCATTAAAGCAAAACACCGCGACGCCTTGGCCCCTGGTACCCTCTGGCCTGGTCCATATCGTGTCCGGCCCTATCAACTACTTAGACGCCCATAGTAAAGTCGTGTTCGATACCGGGTGTCACGGAAGCCATGAACTGCGGAGATGTGTTAGTCAGAATTACGAAATGTTTAGGGGCGGGCACGAACCTTGAGGAACACCACAAGGTACTGGTCAACGCGGATAGCGACCTCGTGGTCATCGATCTCTGTCTCCTTGACCTCTTCCCACTCGTCCTTGTCAGCAGCCTCCTGAGCGCCCTTGACATCCAGGTTCTGGAACTCGTCAACCAGGCCCTCCATGCCGGCCGGCGTTGATGCGGCTGCGGCGGCACTGCTCCCGTCGACGGCGCGGAGCTTCTCCCTCCGAAGCCGGAGGGCGGCGTCGGCGCGGTCGAGCAGCGTCTTCATGACGGAGGCGTGCTTGCAGGGATGCACCGAGGCCATCTTGATGTTGTTCGCGAAGAAGGGGAAGTCCTCGAGCGTGACCGTCTTGTCCTTGTAGTCGCCGACAATGTCGTCCATCATGTCGTGCGGCGGCAGCGGCTGGCCGTTGGGGAGGTAGCCGGAGAGGTAGAGCCGCGGGGTGCGGTAGTAGGTCGTGTACATGATGTAGAGGGTGTAGGTGCGGCGGCCGCTGGGGATATTCATCAGCATCTCAGCACGGAGCGTTGGGGGGAGAGGGTGCGCTTACCCGTGTTTCGAGTCGGCGCCGGAGTCGCGGATGATGGCCTCGTCGTCATCCTCGTCCTCCATATCGGGGATCTCGTCGTCCTCGACGACCTCCCTGTCGCCGACGTTGCCGGAGTCGTCCATGGTCCTCACCTCCTTGACCTTGAGCGGCTGCGAGCTCGCCAGGCCGCCGGTCCTCAGCCAGCCGTCCTCGTCATCGCCCGCGCCGCCCTTGAAGTCCTCGCCGTCGTTGACGAGGGCCTCCTCGTGGCCGGCGTCGCCCGCGAAGTCGTCGTTCAGGCGGCGGTGGCACGGCACGTTGCGGGTGACGAGGAACTGCTTGCCGGCGGGCAGGTAGCTGACGCGGCGCTCGGGCGAGTCGGCGTCGCCCCAGGACCAGGTCGGGAACTTGTACACCAGGTAGTCGCCGGCGGCGACGAACTCCTCGGGCGTGATCTGCCCGGTCTGGCGGAAGGTTGAGGTGTGCGAGACGGGCGTGTAGCGGTCCCGGAGGGTGTTGACGGTCGAGTAGATGTAGTTCATGGTGGCGGTGGTACAGCCGTCCGGCGGGCTTCGGGTTTGTTACTGAGAGGGAGCTGAATCCTGCTATTCGCTTTTATATCGACAACGCAGTGAATAGGAACTTGGTAGACGGGATGGTTCGGCAAAGTGGTGTCTATCGTATCTCGTCTTATCCGGTCGTACGCCGTGAAGTGCGGGGTCGCAGGAGCAAAGAGCAAGGTGAAGAAGTAGAAAAGAAGAAGCCGGTGAGAAAAGCGAGCACAGGGACGAAGTCTGCAGTCAAGGGCGTCACGGTCTATGTCTCTTGTCTGCCTGGCAAAGAAGGATGACTGACGAAGAGAAGCCCGCCACAGTTCTGGCGCCTTTGGGGAGTGGTTGAGGCGATCACATGGCGGCGGTGGCTACGTCTGAGTGGCTTTGGTGGGGTGGCTACGGCGCCTCATTGGTCGGCTGCTGCGGGTGGGGTCGCCTCAGGCAGCTCCCCCTCTCGGAAGCCAGCACTTATCTTATCGCGCATTGCAGAGGCAGGCACGTCATCCCGCGACACATCAGAAGCTCAACACGTGCGACATGGCTGTGATGCTTGATACTGAGGTCATGCTCTTTGTTTCTGCGCAACATTGGGCTGCGATCGGGTCACGAGGCATCTTGGGTCTGCAGGTGATTGTAGAATAAATCAAGACATGGTATCATTTGTTCCTCCGCTCTAGTTTGGTGCAAGGAGTCATCGCTCTGTTGTACAAGACTCATCATTTTTCTTCCGCTTCCTCGTCCACATCCTCCCCGGCCTCCAGCGCCGCCTGTCTCTTCTTGGCCGCCCGCTCTCGTTTTCTTTCCAGCAACTTTTTCAGCCTCTTCGCCGAGTTGAACACTCCATTCGTCCCGACTCCGCACGCCGCACATGTCGGATCCTTCCTATACCGCTTCAGCGCGCACGGCTCGCAAAAGTAGTGGCCGCACCGGGTGACGATGGGTTCGCGGTAGGGCTCCTTGCAGATGATGCATGCGAACGGAATCTTTTCCAGCATTGCCTCGTCTTCGTCGTCCTGGGCATCCGCCTTCTGGTCGCGGTTCGCACTGGCCACCACCGTGCCTCCGAGATTCTTCTTGCCCTTGGTAACACTCTCCCACTCGCGGTCGAGTTGCCATCCGAGCTTGTGGTCGCTTCGATCGTGAAGGAAGATGCACGCATCGCCGAATCCACACTGTCAAAGGCCTGTTAGATAAAGTACTGTGAATGGTATCGGGGAATTGACTTACCCAGCCAGTTTGCTTGTAGTCTTTGCAGACGTCGGGTGCGTAATCCATAATGGTAATGGTTCTGATGTTGGTGGGTGCCTTGACGGGTCCAACGCTCCTGTTGGGGGCATCGGGGTTCTTCTGGATAAAGGACGTCTGGTTCGCAAGACCCTTGTATGTTCCATCGGGTTGGGAGTCATTTGCGACTGTCCGCGTCGATCCAAGGAGGCTCTTTGCCGACAACGCATCCTTTGAGCCCTCGTCGTACCAATTGCTCTGCTTGGTGGCGTCGTTGACGCTGGTAATGAGAATGTTGCGGTCTGCGGCATGGACCGTAGCCGACAGATCCTTGCTACCGGTAACATTGTTTTTTGATGAAGCCGTAACGGTGGCCATCTTCTTGCGCCGCTTGATACGCTGTCCGGCCTCGTCCTCGGAGGATGAGAAGTCGCTGTCGTCGCTATCGGCGGGTGGTGGCGTCGCAGGTCGCTTGCGCAGGTTCGCTTTTCCCTTTGCGCCTCTCTTTTTGAAGAGGGCGACGGGCGCCGCAGGTCCATCGTTTGAATCGGCCATTGTTCGTGATGTTTGTGGGGTTGGGTTGTCGACAAGACAGGAGGCGTCGACGGCGCTTTGAAATCCGCAACTCTATCGCATGAGAGACGGATCTAGAATGTCGGTCACGTGTGGTCGTGGCATTTTCGTGGAGTCAGAACACGAGCGCGGATTTCAGAACCGTACTACCCTAGACCACGGTCAACGGAACAAATCCACCCCTTGGGTCGCGTTTGTAGGCTTGTGTTCCGAATCTTGTGAATACTGCTAGCTCTGCAATATATGTGTTCTCCAGGAGAAGCAAGGGTGAGCCCGTGGTCAGCGTATGGGGAGTTGTCTGGCTAGACACAAGTCGAAAATATACCTACCAATAGAGCAACCTAAATCTGGTTCATATAGCAACCATATAATAAAACATTTCGAAAGACAGTACATGAATGAATGAGTAGGCGCAATGGCCAATATAATGTAGGATCTACGTAACACGAACCAAGGACCTTGTGTGGGACGGGTTTTAGAGAAGCAGACCAAGCCTAGGGCCTTCTTGCCGGTCGCCTTCTTGTCGGTTGCCTTCTTGTCGGTCGCCTCTGCCGGCTGCTCGGTTGTCGTAGTTGCCCCTGCTGGCTTGGGGGTGCGCAGGGCGCCATCTGGATTCGCTCGAGCATGGCAGGCAGCCTAGGCAATGGTGGTTGAGCCGCAATGCCCCGTACGGAACCCTGAGCATCGTTTTGAACTAGCGGTTTGGACAAGAGTCGGCATAGTCTACAATTTCGGCTCTATTATGCGACCAAGTCTAGTGGGCAATTCGAAAGAGTCTGGATTGGGACCGGAAAGGCACTGAGAAAGGAAGATGACTTTGAGGTGGGAGAGATGGCTCATGAGAGGAAAGATGGGGATCGGCAGCAAGTACGCGAGAGGGTCAAAGACATGGGAGCAGGGGTTTTAAGAGCATGGGGGAACCAACACAACTCCACTAACAAAAGTGACCAAGCGGCCACTTCCTAAAGAGTGAGAGTGGAGCTTGGCTATTCTTTTCAACTCCCCTTTAGTCTTATCATCTAATGAAGAATCCTGGTCTTTGCCCGGTCTCATTGAGCGAACCTCTGGTTGGTGACTGAGGCGGTGAAGAACTAGCACGGCGATACTGTAAAAGGACCCATGCCGTTGTAATAAATTATTGCTTACTATTTAATTCTCCGGGGTTGAATCCGCAGAGATTGACATGGGATTCTTGTTTACAGTCACTACACTACATGGTTACGCACGTGAAGAAGGTTTGATCTTCATGGTATGGAGTAAGTTAGATTCCTGGTCACCCCGCTGCACAAGTAGCTTAAACCCCCCGCTTATGGTTACTTGCCTAATGTCGGCTGACTCTTGGCAGTTGGCCGTAAGTTATTGTGGTGCACGTTGTGAGGGTCTTGCGCCGGCCCATCGTGGTATTAAGAATCACAGGGGTCCGGGATTGTCGGATGCTCCCGGGTGTGGCCTAGGCCCGAGCACTATAATTAGTGAGTTAGGCGCTGTATTTAGACTGTTTTACGACTGGTTCTTGAGGTGCAAGTTGGCTCGGATTCCTTCACTATTCGCTCGACAGCATGTCTGACAACCACGATTCACCAACATCCGCATCCGCATCCGACTGCTCTGCAATCAGCGAACCGCCACGATGCGACCCTGAGAAGATCAGAGAAGCATTTATCGACTTCTACAAATTTCTCACCACCCTGCATTACAATGAGGCCGATCTGAAGATCCCACCCCCTGGAGGATGGCCATGCTTGACTCCAGAACTCTACGCGGACTACAAGCCCGACGAGACAATCCAGGTCCTCCGTAACCTGCCCTACTTTGACGGACCAAGCCGGATGGAATTCCACTATCGATCACGGTTACTTGACTACACCACCTTTACACGACAGGACTTTGAGGGGGCAACCGAGCTTTACGAGTATGACGATGTGTACTGGGGGTTTGAGGGGGAAATCGACCCGCGCCATGTTTTCTGTATTGCCGAGGGCTCTGAAACTGGTGGCCGCCACATCTTCCTGAATGCCAGAGACGGCGAGATCATCCAAGACAGTATCGGTGTGAATACAGAGAGTTATCCTGTTGAGGTATACTTCGAGACACTCAAGGAGCAGTATCGAAGCTTACAGCTCATCCCCTGCCCAGGGAGGATAACAATGGAGGCGTTCAAGGTAGCCGAGCGAGATGGTGTCTCTCTGGAGGAGGTCTGCAACCAGACGACATGGTGGGGAACCGATTTGGACGTTCAGTATGTAAGACAGCTGTACCGCCAGCATGGCTGGCCTGACGCCTTCCGCAAGGACGAGGCAACGAAGGCTGTTGATGATTTGATGAGCGCAGTTACGAGTAGCGGAGGGACACGCAGGGAATGGGACGGGAGATTCAAGTGAGCTTGGCGTGCCATACCGTTGCGTGGGTATTGCTTGACTGGCTGGCTGCGGCGAAGACTGTGTTCATTTACTTATTTAGTATACACCATTCTATCCACGATCTAAGCCTATGGAGCCCCTACCTAGTAACTCGGGCAATCTTTCCAACTGGAAAGGAGTTACAGGATAAAATCCCCTCTGCGGCTTCGTCCTGGTCTCGGGTGGCAGATAGTGCCTCCCGTAGACCCTCGGAGGTCCTCGGCACTCCGATATTACGCCCCCCGACTGCGACAAAGACCTTGTTCCCAACGGGTTCACTGATGTCGCTTGTCGCCTCACATCACAGGCGTAAATCGGGATGTTGCTCCAACGCAGGTCAGGTATCCAGTATCCTCCCGGTTGAAGTACCACATCATTTGGGGGTATGACTCTTCGCCCGCAGCTGCCAATGAGAAAGACCTGTGATACGTTGCAGTGGCTGGGCTGTACGGCGCGTCTAACTCATTACATACACCGCCAACGGAACGGGTAAGGCCATGGTTTCGAATCAAGAGGGATACCTTTTGGAGTAACGCAAAGAAGGACCGGTCGACCAATGCTTATTTTCGTCGACTGCTACCTGGTACCCTCCGGCCACTGTCCATCGCACGCTCTCGCTTGCTGGCGGGCAGTCGTCTCTCTACCCGTCCCGTCCTACAGACCTGTAACCGGTGTCACTAAATCCAACGGGTAGCGGAAGATTCGCGCCCGCGAAGAGGCACCGGCTCCTCGTATTCTTAGACAACAACTCGGGGAGATTTCGACTCTAGCCAGATCCGAAAGGAGGGCAAGGACAACACACCAAGGTTGCAGATCGAGACTCATCTCGTGCAGTTTCACAGGAGCGGGGTGCATTTTGCTTGTACAACGCTGCGTGGCACACCATTGGTCGGGCTCTGCGTGCAAACATCACTGCAGATTGAGGGGGAAGCGCAGGAGCAGAAGATTATGTGCGTACAGTACTAATTCGAAGAGAACAAAGAGGAGAATAGGTCTGTCGCTGGGCTTGTTCACAGTGTGCAACGAGTCCTAGGGCATTTGTTCCATGCCTCGGGCACTAGTTGTCGGGTCTCATAGCGAGATATAGTCTCATGCGACAACTGGGCACAGCGCCAAGGCATATGCACCTTCAATTGCTCCCATTTAAATCCCATAAAATAGCTGATAACGTGACCACCATGAAAGCGATGTGTGGCGAAATGCAAGGTAATCCAGTTCCGGTTTGATGCGGTAAGCCTGCCAATATACCCTGCTCTGCTGGACACTGAACACTGCACTGAACACTTGCATCGCCCGCCCTGAACCTGCGATGGCACAGTTTTGCGTCGGAGACTTTCAGCGGTCCTACACACGGTGAGCAAGTGAAAACCACGACACGGCGCCCGCGCGGCGGTATCTCGTGCAACTGGAAACGGGAAGCAGTGCAACCTCGATCCCGTTGGCAACTTGCACCTCCTGCGACACGGCCGCCGCAGCGTATCTCTTGTGTAACTCGAGCAGCAGCAGAAGCCGTGGCTAAATGTGGCGGTGCTTTCAACTACTTAAGGTCGCTGGGCGGGCGGTGGGCGCCCAAATGTGATAGCAGACAAGTGCAACTATCGCAGCTTTCCAGCCTCCGTCCGTCCTGATAAGTTCCAAACACTCTTGCAAGATCCTCCTCCATCATGGGTTCCGACACCGAATATCACCGACGACGATACCACGTTCCGCACCAGGACCATTATCGCACCCAACGCAGCATTGTGTTCTACCACCCGGCCTATTCCTGGCCTCAGAACATCCTGTTCAAGCTCCCGCAAGTCGACCTTCTCGACGCCCGCGGTCAACCCACCTCCCTTCACCACCGCACCGCGCTTCTCGCCTGTCAAGTCATCGCGAACAACTCCTTTCTGACAGGCCGTTTATATTTCGACGCCCTCGGCAGGTTCCCAGTCCTCGACCAAGTGCCGCTCGATGCTGGTTTGACGAGAACTGAGTACTACTACATCGTCAATGGGAATCGTAAGTACCCTGCCCAGCACCCCAACAGAACTCGTGTATGTCTAACCTTGCGTCTAGCGAGATATCGGTACCCAGTTGTCCCAAGCTTCCAGGACTGGAGATTTCCCCACGAGAGCGTGCCGCATTGCTGGCCGGAGCCAGACTGTGACCGCGACGCCAAACCGAAGCGTTGCGCCGTGACGGGCCATTCCTTTGCCGTCCTGGATGTCCTTGCCATTCCGAAGGCAGATAAGGAGTGGTTCGACATAAACGGAATGCGTTACTACGACGAAAACCCTTTCGGTCACGGTTACTCTCGGAACCGGATGCATGTCCGGGCGGATCTTCTTCAGGCCTTCAATGACGATCTGTTCATCATTGTCCCGAAGCCTCGGCGTGTCGAGTCACCCGAGTACGTCGTCCACGCGATTACCGCCAACGACCCCGAGTTTTGCTCCCTGTACCACAACAGGCCGGTGGTGAACGTTGACAATGTGAGCCGGCAATTCCTGCTCGCACGCTTCGCCCGGACAGTCTTGCCACTCGCCAATGCGTTCATTGTGGCCGGCACACATCGCAACGTGGTTCTGGTGGATAGAGACGCCAACGGCAGAATCTCATGGGCTGCCGAGGAGATATCTGGAAAGACCCTAGCTAAGCACTACGGGTACCCAGATCCAAGGAGCCTGAGACTGTCCCCTGGCCCGGTTACGTTGAACCGTGGGAGCACCAGGTCGGACCCAGGGGTTGCCAGTGTGAACCATCGGAACGTTAGGTCCCTCCCTGGGGTCGTCAATGCGAACCACCGGAACGTCAGGGCCCTCCCTGGGGTCGCCAATGTGAACCATCGAAACGTCCGGCCCCTCCCTGGGGTTGCCAGTAACCATCGAGGCGTCAGGCCCGCCCCCAGGGTCACCACTGCGAACTACCAGAACGCCAGGCGTGCCTCTGCAGTCACCACTGCGAACCATCGGGACGCCAGGCGTGCCTCTGTAGTCACCACTGCGAATCATCAGGACGCCAGACCTTCCCCCACAGTCACTATTGTGAACCATCGGGACCATCGGGACGTCATGTCTGTCTCTAGAGTCACCACTGCTAACCACCGGGACGTCATGCCTGCCACTGAGGCCGCCACTGTCAACCATCGGGACGTCAGGATCAGGCCTCCTCCTAGGGTTGTCCGTGTGAGCCATCTGGCTGGCAATGCGAGGGTGAGCCTGGACCCCTGGGCCATCGACCTGGACCCTCGGAGCGTCAGACTAAACCCGCCAACCGGACAAATTGGCCAGCCGGCCCTCGACTTTCGCGCTTGGTCGGCTCGAAACGCCGCTGCCGCTGCAGACGAGGAAGAGGAGGAAGAGAGCAGGGGCCGGAAGCGCGTTCGCACCGACACCTATCACCCCCGGGGCTGATCTCATTTGTTAATCTCAGGATGCTGGATACGGACAGGGACGGGGCGTTATGATTTTAGTGTGAGAAAAAAGACCGAAAAAGGGCCAACAAAAACGATGCGCCTTGTGTTTAGCTTAATACGGAGTAAAAGTTATCGTGTTTCTCAATTGATGTTTATCGCTATCTTTTTCCAAATATTATGCCAGAGTGCCGTTATTCACACACAATTATTGATAGAGTCACCATCCAGGAAAGGATATTTGCCAATACTAACCCATAGTGTTTGTTCCTTCTGATAAGTACTAGTTGTTTTGTTAGTCGGATTGAGTTTAATTATGAAGTAAGTAAAGTCAAAGGTTGTACCAGCCGACTGCTGTCAACCCCGAGCAGCGTGAAGAAAGAAAATTAAGACAGCCAAGCCAGAGCGTCAGCCCAGTGATAAACGAGTCCGATGCGCAGGTGCTGGAGACGGTCGCTTTATGAGTGCCATATCGGAGGAAGTGAAGTGCGGAATGGCTCGGCGCTGGGTGAGGCAACTCGATGTATGCACGCACTTTGACCACGGCGGTATGCGACGGCCACCTCTCTCCTTAGGTCCTATCACTAACAACGAAAAAATAATACTGTAAACCCATGTAAACGCCAAAGATACTGGCCATAACTTGATATGTATACCCAAGGCCTTGCCAATTTCGCTTCTGATGATATCGCTGCGCACCTGGCTGCTGATGTGGTCGCATCTCTGGCGTGGTAGGATACCTGTAATTTAGGGGGGTCGTTTGGCTCCGTGACCCCTAATTTCCAGGTGCTTCTCCAACAACCACTACTAAATTAGTTGTGTTTGAACAATTCCTACGGGATCTCCGTCAGGATGCAGCCCCATTACTCTGTTTTCTTCGCTTTTGTTCGTCCCTCCAGGATGTTGTTCAATTGAACCGAAAGCGTCCCGCCCAATATTTGTTGAGCTCGTATCAGAATCATATTTTCGCAATAAACCTGTCATGGCGGCAGCCACGCGTAACGCCTCCGCACGCGCACCGCCACATTTGAAGCTCTGCGCAAGATAGTGGGCTGCGCAAGACAGTGGACTGCGCAACTGGTCCAGCGCAACTGGTCCTGCGGAACAGTCCTACGTATAGTTCCGCCGGACCTCATCTGCTTCACCATCATTATTTTTAACTGGCCCAATCTGATATTTTGCTGGGTGTACTCACTGAAGAAACGCTAGATAACGTAAATAAGAGAAATGACTACGGCTTCACAGCCCTAGTACCTGGAGCCGGAACAGTTCTCTCGCGGGGAACACTCATATACTCCTCAGTGTAAGCAGGCCCACGTCTCTACTACGTAGTAGGGATAAATACTCGACCGACTCCGACCTTTCCTGACCAGCCATGAAAAAACCCCCATGTTGAGCGCGAACGCTGCTCTCCGAGAACGATGTGGACATGGATGCGAAGGTCTAGGGTACCGAGATGTGCACGCACTCCCGAGTTACTAAATTTAGAGTACTCTTATTCGCACAGCCTCAAATCTCTAATCGCACAACCACTGTCACGGGACTCTAATTTCCCCGCCGCTGGAAGCCAACACTGCACTGGAAAAGGGCCACAGAAGGTCCGGCAAGCCTATTCGTAATAGTCACATAATATGATCCAAATGTGTGTTGGAGAGAGACCCTGTACAAGGAAACCTTCATTAGATTGATATCTGGTCTTTAGTCATGATGACGAGACCAAAAGGCCCCTCATCCGGCTGATCCGGAAGATCCGGATCGATCATCAGAACAATCATCATCAATTTGAACAATATTACAACGATTGAATTGACCGTATCGGATCCAACAATGTGTTAAAATGGTTAATTGTTCAATTTAATTTATAATATTTTAAGGTTTTTTTCTTTTTCTTCTTTTCCTTTTTCTTTTTCTCGAGTTCATGTGTACACGGAGCTCTGTGGCCTGAAGTTGCGGACCGGCCGCCTCTTGTACGTCTTCATGGATGAATCGTAGAAGGACTTTAGCTCCTTGAGGTCCTGCTTCTGCACCTGCCATAGACCCGAGTCATGGTAGTAAGACATCACGCTGTTCGGGTTTCGGTTCCCCCACGTGGCGGACCAGAAAAGTGGCTCCTCCTCCCTGGAGAATTCATGGCGGAAGCCGAGGATATGCCCGATCTCGTGGGCGAGGAAGTTGGCTTGGTTGTTGATGTGGTACTGAGTGAAGGCCAGGGCGTAAATGTGTAGAGTGCGCTCTTCAGGATGATCTGTGTTGGGGAAGAAGGCGCTGGCGAGTGTGTCTTTTTGGTTGTTGACTGGCAGGTCCCTGTAAACGACCCGGAAGCTGGCCGCGCTGTATCGCCGCGTGACTTGCTTGAAAGTGACACCAATGCTCTTCCACATGGATATGGCCTTGGCGAGCTCGATGGCAGTGAAGACCGCATCGTAAGGGTCCAGAAACGTCTCGGTGCAGATGACGTAGGTCAGGACGGAGCCGGGTACCCATCGTGGGACATGGTTACCAAGCCCAATCTGGGCGCTGAGGGGGTCGTCGTGTTCTTGAGTCCCGCAGTGGAATTCGGGCGGCCCATGGACTGGAGCGAGATCTGGTTCTGGCGTGCATGACCGAATGTTGCCAGGAAGCATAGATCGGATGGAGGCGAGAAGAGGCGAATGACGCTTGAAAGCAGCGAGCTTGACGCTAAAGCTAGATGGGATGTTTTCGCCCTCAACGTCAAGCTCTACTAGCTCAGTAGGATAGCGCTGCGTTCCCGAGACGGGCGCCGTTCCCGAGATGGGCTCCGCTCCGCCAGTGGTGTACGCCAGATCGTGCGCAGCCTTATCAATCTTCTTGTCGCACAGGCCTTGCTCTTCGCCCACCTCTTGCTCACCCTTGTGGTTAGGCTTGTCATCGTCGGGGGCGGTTGAGGTGGCGACGGTGGATGCGATGTTGTCGAGCTGAGTCTCGCCGCTGAATATTGTCTCCCCGTCATCCGGCGAGGAGACGGCAGAGGCTGCGATCAGCGGTGGTGAATGCGGGCCGATCGTTGTGCCGTCATTAGCCCCGTCGGCTAGTTGACGCGATAGATCTGATAATGGAAGAACGAGAAATTAGTATACGTTAGTCGATTTGAGTGTTGGGCGGACAAAACCCCGCCAGCGGGGTCGAACTGTCGTGGAGCGGGGCTTACCAGCAGCCATCAAGATCCAGCGCAATCCAGTTTCCACTCGGGATATTTTCGTTCCTTGTCCTGACTGTGTCAGGCTGACGGTGAATTTTCTTCTTCTTTTTTTGTTTGGTCCAGAGAAGAAGGTCGAGGTTGAGGTTCGCTGAGGTTTCGGTGTGGTTGAGGAGACAGAATGAGGAACTTGTGATGGTTGGCAGAAGAGACGGAATGGCAGAGGAGACGGAAGATGGGGAGGCCGCCCCTTAAAGAGCATCCTCCAAGCTCAGTGTCGTTTTGAGGGGTCGTCGATGCTAATCTGGCTAAAGTGGTGAACCGCTGACCACTTTTTGCAACACGTCAGTCACCAAACAACACCGCCGAGCAGCAAATGAGAAGCCTGAATCAGATACCGTAAAGTCTCGATTACTTGGTAAAGCCTAGCGCTGCGTTTAGTACCGTCTTGGCAGCTTGGTCAGGCTTAACCGTGGGTCTGATGGAACTTCGATCCAATAGGCTCAGGTAACAGGTATTCTGACGTCCCGCTGAGCTTTGCCAATTTATCGAGTCGATACGGTAGTTTGTTTCTTTCCTGACCATGGCGCCCTATCTTTGCCCAGGAGGTTTGGTTGGGAACGGAAAGAGGAAACAAGCCACTTGAGTCACTACCGCTGGGAATCAAGGGACTCCATTCGTACAATGCACTCGGCTCCTGTCCAAGGCAAGATAACTGCTCGTCGCCGATATAGGCTATGCAATTGCTCCGCTCCTTAACCGCCCTGGAATTAGATGCTGTGCACATCATGCGCCCAGCCCATCCAGTACAAGGCAGTATTTGCGGACTCTGTTTTTTTTTTAGGCTGGCGATTTAAACTGGTTTATTCTCACATTTTGCTGGGTGCACTTACTGAAGATGCCAGAGAATTAAGAGAAATGACTACGGCTTTGCAGCCTGACTCCCTGGAGCCGGAACAGTCCTACTGTTCTCATCGACAACGGTATGACCAAGCCTCTCGCGCGATCCTGACCAACACTAAATTGTGGCAGGATTGATGCGTTTCAACGAGTGCAAGGAGGTCAAGAAAACTCTTCAGAAGCATCTCGGACTCAACCTTACGGTGGTCAATAGCGCCGAGCTTTTCCTCGGTCGCCTCAAGGGCGTCAGGAAGCCTGAGAAGAAGCGCAAGATCATTGGAGAGACCTTTGTATGTCCTCGCACTCGATCCCCCTCCCGTTTCATGCCTTCGGCAGTGCTAACTGGTCTATAGATTGACTTTTTCGAGCAAGAGGCCATCAAGGAAGCCGAGAACACCCCTGACGCCGGAAAGTTTTCTTGGTTCCTTTAGGGCACAGTATATATCCCTCCGTCCTTCCCCTTCAGGTAGATGCCTGGTAGTTGTACCCTAATGTGTACGTATACGCAGTGAGCAGTTTGTGCACTGGGAGAAGACTGGCCGTCCGCAGCATCGAGTCACTGAGCTTCAAGGGCCCTTCTGCCACTCAAGAGTTAGTAGCTAGTCTAGATATTGACGTCTGCAATTACTGACTCTGGCCATAGCCCATTATAACGTCAATGGTCTTCCCAAGGCAAGTCTCCCCTCCCACCGCAGTGTCCAAGTTTGAACTAACCGAGACATAATGCATGATGGATGGCGTGAGTTACACACCCCACACTCCCTTTTCTCTCGCATTTTTACTGACTCTGACGACAACAGCAAGGCCTACGCGCAAGTTAATACCATGCTCCATTTTGACACCCTCAAGTCCCCCCAACCACATCGCGAACCTATCATTCTTGTCCACCCTCATCCGCCCGAACACACAAAGAGTCCCATAGATGTGTCTCTTCCCGCTTTTTCGCGTAGGGCGGTCTTTCCGGGGTAGAAATCTAGAGAACAAGATTAACCATGTTTTAACTACTGGAACCTTTGCGCGAGCTATTCAAAGACGAGGTTCGAGCTCTTAGTAGGCGCCTGTAGATTCATGAGGACCTCGCGAACCGACATCCTTTCCCTGGGTAAGTTTTCTTGTCGTTGAAGTCGTTGGTGGATTTTAGGGAGGGGGCAGCAGGCCGGCTTGGACGCTGAGAATTTGCGAGGCTAATTTTATATGAGTATTGCTATTCGCACCCGTTCAAAATGCTAATCGCACACAAGTGCACACTTTTACACCTAATCTTAGTGCAACGTGCTGTACCTGAACCGTTCGCCCGCCTTAAAGTGTCTTTTTCTGAAGAATTTCCAGTTTCTGCTCTAGAATAAATTGAAAGATAAAATTTAAACAGCAGACCTTAGAGAATACATACTGTGACTAAAGCTTATTTAATTCCTTGGATTTACTTACGAATAGGTGTGTTGTGGAGACTTCTTGGCGAAATTGGCCTTTGCACTTGAGTGTGCGAGTAGGCATGTTGAGTATGTGCGAATAGCAATGCTCTTTTACATACAGAACTGGTATCGGGGTTCGCGTTCTTGGGGATATTAGCCCTGAAAGAGTTGAAATCGCGAGAAAGGCCGACCACATCTTCATCTCTATGGTCACGGAGGCCGAAATCTACAACGAGGCAAGTTTCCTGGCATCAGTGGCTCGAGCAACATCTAACACGAAACAGATGTCCCAAGCCTATGCTGGTTTGTGATACCAACAAGGGTATGTGTGCTATAAATGCGACGGTTAAGATAACTGTCTCGACTTTGTTAACTAACATTTTTCAAAGCCGTTGGTGTCATGGTCGACACCCGTGTCTATGGACACATCGTCATGTAAGTATTATTCACTCCTCTGATTTGGGACGTGAATTCTGACTTGATCCATAGCCTCCGTGCTGTCACAACCAGTGACTTCATGAGCGCCGAGCCCTACGAGTTCTCATTCGACTTGCTCAAGGCCATGGCTCACAGGATCGTTAACGAGGTGGACGGAGTCTCCCGAGTCACATATGACCTGTAAGTCCCTTTTCCTGTCCCCATCTTGAAGTGCTGGCTGACACTCTTCGAAACCCCCAGGCACCATCGAATTGGAGTAGAGATACTGGATTGAATAGAGGGCAGGGAGTCATCACATTGGGTCGAGAGCAGGAATTTCCATACAGGCAATCATATCAAAGTGCCGTGTTAGTGGGCAGACTGGCCAAGTAAAGTGAATTGATTTTAGTAAGCAATAGACAACATATTACCAAGGGCTGTAGTAATTGGCTTGAAATGTAGTGAATTGTCCGCCGAGAATTGTTGATCCGGGCACAGAGTTGGTGCCCGAATTTGGGGATTTTGTGATACGCGAAAATCAGACAATCAAGTCTTGACAGGCAAAAACATGGCGGTTTCGGTTTAATTTGCTAGTCAACGAGGTTTGGGATTATTTACTTGGCTGTTTGGCAAGTTTGTGGTTCGGCAGTGCATATTATAGGCAGCATGAGAATTCATTAAATACTTGGTAGATCATCCAAGAGGCATTGTTTGCTTGGTTGAAGGCTAAGGCTGGAGCTGAGCAACTCTGCAACACACATGACACATGAAGAAATCCATATCTTGACCACCCACCGGACGAAGTCTACTATTTAGTTTAAGAGTTCTACTATATAAGGAATTCATCGGGAAATCAGATAAGCACCTCAGCCAGACGATCTGCCGCATTTTCATCACTCCACTCGATAACCTTGCGATTCCCGCTCTCTTCCATCTTGCGTGCCACAAAGAATTCCATCACCTTCGTCTGTGGCTCTGAAAGAAGCCCAAGCCTGGCTCGACAGTCCTGGTTCTCATTTGGCCCAAAGTAGCTCTCGTCCAGGAACTTCCACCAGATAAAATCAAAGGCCCAGCTCTTCCTCGCTGCGTAGTTAAGCATCCACGTCCGCTTATCCCAGCTCTCCTGCATACGTTGAGAGAGCGGCGGTTCCGTCTCCCGATTGTCAGTCAGTGAAATAGCATTGACCTTTTCGGCTAGGTTAAATGCTGTCATTTTGTTCTCTTCGAGTTCCAGCATTCGTAGAAAAGTCTGTAGCCGAGGCTCATAGACTTTCATCCATTCGCGGTATCCGCCAGTCCAATATTCCGGTTCTTGAAGTAGCAGCCACCAGGGTGGGTCAAAACTGCATTGTGAGGGGGCGGCGTACGCGAACTCCCAGTCAATGACGCCGACGACCTGCAGATCCTTATCGAGGAGAACATTGGCCGGCCTGAAGTCCTCAGAGAATAACCTGAACTCCCCGTCTGATTTTGACGGCTCTGGTACAAGGCGCCCTTTGGCAGCGAGGTTCCGGAATAGTTGGCGAGCGACATATTTATCGCAGGCGTCTTCCTTGTCTTCCACAACGTCGTTATGCTGGAACACCAGCTGGGCCAGGTGCATATCGCCGAGAGCACTGTACCACTCGCCGGCAGATGCGTAGGTCTGGGATGGTAAGATGTTTGCTGGTGTGTTGGTGTGTACTACGATGTCGTTCATGTTCGCGATCAAGGGACGTCCATTGGCAGAAATAGAACCCTCGGCCTTTTTCTCGATAAGTGAGCCAATTCGAGGGAACTTCAGGGTAGACAGCTGCAATAGGATGTTGGCCATCTGGCCATAGAGGACCTCTAGTTTCTCGTTCGTGATATTTGGGTTCAGGACAGGTCGCTCATCAATTCCGCGTTCCGGATCAAGCAGTGCCCGAGACATATTTTGATGATGGTCAATGTAGTCCATAATGATAAAAGAGCCCAGGCCCGTGGGATTTTCGGCGGCGGTTCCGTAATGGTAGATGTACGGGACCGGGATAGTGGTATGAGCAGCGACATATCGCATTGTAGCCACCTCATATAGAACCTTTTCATCGGGGAATTGAACCACGCCTGCTTCTGTCAGTAAAGAGTAGTATTATATATCGATAACGGCGTACCCTTGATTGGAATCCTCATTATCACCGATGAACCGTCTTTGTACTCAAGGCGGTAGATGGTATTGTACGCCCCCCTAACCGGGAGATGCATCTGCTCCGGTGGACCGTCCTTATATTTCAGGATAAAATTTCCCACAGAGCGATATACTTCCTTTGTGCGAATTGACTTATCCCATTGATCAGTGTCTTCGTCGAGCTTTTGCCAAACGAGGTCATCTCTCTGCATGCAAAGGAACCTTGCCTTGGCGGGCATTATAGGTATCGGTGAAATTAAAGTATTGAGGTGTTAGAAAATGGGGAATCTTTAGGGATAAGTTCAACAATTGTCAGAAGAGGGCAGGGTGGTTGTGTTGGGTGAAGTTGGATGGAACGATGGATGAACGTATCGCGTTTCCAGGGACGATGAAGGTGGATGATGAAGCCAAAGATGGCTTAAGGGTGCCTTGGTGTCTTGATTACTCAGGCCAAAAATTGAGACAGGATATTTCAGCATTACTTCGGCGCATAAAAATAGTGCATCGACCTCAACTACGAGTTCGGTTCCTCGCTTTCGTGACTAGAGATTCCCTCATGATAACTTATTGCCTCAATGGGAAAAATTGAAGCTCCGGGTCGAGACGGCTGCGAGAAATTGCATATTCACCAACTATGCTCAGGCCATTAAAGACGCCCATCTCGTGCCGAAGTTACAGTCCGAATGGTTCAACAGCAACAGCATGGCAGAGTAGGTGCCTGTTTGCCCCATATAGCGGACACTGAGCTGGCGCATCCTGACTAGTTGCAGCCAGTTGCTATCCTTCTCAACAGACCCAATCAATGCATCGACAAACGCCGTTTGTCTACGACGCGACATCCACAAAATGGTTGACGAGCGGAGTTATGGTGACGCTTTCCAGCGATTTTGAGGCGTCGCCAACGTGGTCTCTGGCAATATCGCTACGCAGCTGGCTGCTGAGCTGATATAGCCGCATCTCTTGTGCAGCAGCACACTGTGGGTGATTTTTCTTGCCCGAGCCGGGCTTTATTTTGGGGCCCGGAGGCGGTTCGATGCACTAGTTTCCAGCGCTTTCGGCCCCTCATTTCCAGCTGCTGCCCCCTGACTAAGCGCGACGAAGCACACGGGTTTCCTAAGGAGCCGGAGCGTCGAGCGCTTGACGGGACTCAAGGAGCGGGCGCTGGAGGCCCGCAAGGCGGCGGATGAGTTGGACATGCTGCGTGTTTGTCGGAGCAGAGGGCGAGCCGGAAGGCTGAAGGCCGGCCCTGATCCGCCTCGGTCCGGAGGTGCGCAGACGCGGGAGGAAGCGCCGGGAGTCTTGTCGTGATCAAAGTTGTCGCCATCGTTGCCGGGAATGCTCTCCAACCAGCGCTCGATGGAGGCCGAAGGAGGTTCCTGGAGGGCATTCATAAACAAGCAGAGAGAGCTAGCCCAGTACTTGAACTTAAGGGCTGGCTAAGCGGGACGTTGCGTCGGCGAAGAGGAGAGTCGGTGGGTTAGCCAGTCGAGGGCGTGAGCGTCCAAGAAGCCCCAATTCTCACCACCATCACTGTTATCAATCACTTAACCACCTTTATCTTCGCTCATCAGCTTAAACCACTCGAAAATGCGCTGCCCACTCTGCCCTCCTCGCCTTTAGTGTATAATGTTTCTAGCTCCACGCTATAATTACCGTAACATTCCTAGAATAAGGCGGCGCGGCACGGCAAAGCTTATGAAGTCGTTTAATTATGTCTTTAGGTGTACGGGGTGTCCATAGGGCTGTTGGAAAGGTTTGCATGGCTTTGGAGGACTTTGGATTGTGTGGTAAATAAAGAAGAAAGGGCTTTGCTTGAGTTACCCTTATGACAGTGCGATAAAAATAAAGCCTGCAGTCGCTGCCTTGTACGGAGAATCTTCTAATACTGATATCCTAGATTAGGAAGCCCTGTGGCTTCATATGACGACGATGAATGTCATGATTTCTAGCTGGCCCGGCCGAGACCCGATGAAACGTAAGCCGCGGTCTTGATGGGAGTCACCAGGTACACTCTAAATTTTCTGTCGAGATATGTGAGAACTTCCAGCAGAACCACCGCCCTGAGGCGGCTTCACGCCGGAGTTCATTACGTCACAGCCAGTGGAAGCACCCCCCTTGATTTGGCAAGTCTGAGGGGCATCGAACGCGGACCACCCGTACTTATTCAAGCTGGACCCGCTCCGATACGACCAGCGCGTTGTTTGTTCATACTCAGCGGCGCATTGCAAGAAGCAATGTGCCTTGGTCCCTGGAACCTGTCTTTTGATGTAAACTGGTAACGATATTCATGAAATAACCTGTAAGACGGATCTCTTTTCTCTAGCGGAAAGGGGTTCAAGGTCCAGACGATCTAAACCGAGTCTTGCGTAATGGACTCTAGTGCTTTGGAGATCAAGATGACTAAATGGGAATTCCCTGGTACTCGTCGTATCCGAGGGCGAGGTTCATGTTCTCTGTATAGTCATTAGCAAACCATGAAGCCTTCGTTGTGCGCCGACAAAACTTACGCAGGCATTGCGTGGCGGCGCCCTTGTTGAGATTGTCAATCGTGGCACAGCTACGGAGGTTAGTTGGAGTCCTTGGGGGTTCAATCTCAAGTGTGGATACTCACACAACGACACGCTTGCCAGTGTCATCAACAGCGAATCCACCGACTTCGACCCCATGCTTATTCTGGATCGACTTGACGTAGGGAGCTTCACCAACGACCTTGACAAGCTTCTCGCTGGCGTATCGGTCTTGGTAAATCTGGCGAATTTCTCGGGAAGTCATCTCCTTAGACAGGGGGATGTTGATGGTCAATTGGATACCGCGGAACCATGAAGCGCTGTAATTGGATCAGTATATGATAGGCAAAAGAAGAATGAACAGGTCTAACACGTGAGGAATGAATGCCGTCGTGGCTCCAAGGTGGTGGCTGATTTCTCGCTCGTGGATGTGTCCCGTAAGGGAGTCTGCCCAAGGTCAGCTTCCAACATGCTTATAAGCATAATTTCTTTTGAACTAACAAGGCAGAAGGTTATCCTTCAGAAGAGTCTCGTCGTTTTTGGGGCTTTTCTTCGTTCCAGCTCCTGAGAACTTAGACTAGTTAGCTTCGAGCGAGGGTGTCGGCATTGGGGGAAGGGGGACATACTCCCGAAACACCAAAAACCGTAGGAACGCCTCCCAAATACGGCACAAGAGGAGCAATACCGAGTTGAGCGCCCGTTGCATAACAGCCAGGGTTGCTGATGCGCGTGGATTGAGCAATCTTGCTGCGCTTCACAAGCTCAGGGCATGAGTAGGTCCATGTTCCCGTCGTGTCAAACCGGTAGTCGGCCGAAAGATCAACGATGAGATTCGAGCTTTCACCCAATGCTTCGACAAAGGGCTGGCAGGTATTGTTGGGCAAGGCCATGACTTTTGTTGGGTGTTAGTAGAACTGTCAAACATGTAGCAAGGGAGCGAGCCTACCCCAGCAGTCGACCTGGCCATCCTTGTCCAATTGAGCAACATCCTCGGGAGATAGGCTCTCGTAAATAATCTTGCGCTTAGTGTAGCCCTTGAGCTCCTGTCCAGCAAGCTCTCGAGAAGACACATAGCGAAGGTCTACATTGGGGTGGTTGTTGAGAAGGTCGATCAGGGCCTGGCCGGTATAACCACGGGCGCCGATGAGGCCAATTCGCGACGGCGAGTCGTTGGAAGCATTCTTCTTGCCCAGAGGGGGGTTCGGGTTCGTGTTGAGAGCATGAGCAAGTCGTCCGGTGGTAGAAATAGCGCGGACGTGGAAAATATTGGCAGTTCGGCTGAGGGAGGCTTTCGGCATCGAGGTGACGGCGAGGGCGGCGGCGCGGGGGGCAATTCGGCGAGCGCCGATGCGCATGACCCCGGAGGTAGCAGACAGCATGATTCCGAGTTGTAGGAGCCTAATCGATCTGAAATCGGGAGGGCAAGTCGGATGGATGGTGTGCTGCTGGTGTTGTTGAGTGTGGTGAGGTAATGTGTGAGGAGACACGTCCCAAGAAATCCTTGACTCATGGTGGGGTACTGTGGGGGCCCGTGCGTGGGGCTACAGGGGCACGGCCGAAGTCGGGCAAACTCAGGTCTGCTAGAACTTTGGGTTCTACCTCGGGCAAGTAATCTATTGTCGCAGTATATAATGCGTGAAAATCCCTGCAATCTGCTTAGGGCTTCTATTTTGCAGATTGTGACATTTACTGGGTACGCATCACGAAGCTGTGGTTTTTATAATAGGGAATATCTGGCAATGGCAATGCTTGTCGAGCTAGAATGGTAATGTGAGCTATGACGGTGCTCTAGGTGCACGTTGCGTCCTTGGACGGGGCTCCTCGAGTTGGTTGTGCTTTGGCGACAGCTCCTTCGGCTTGTTGCCCTATTGATAGTTCGCGTTTAATATTTGTCGCAAAAGACGAATGTCTCTTGCGAGACGCTTACCACCCCCTGTATTGTGACAATATTGATCTTGGCTTTGTGCTTGTCGTGCAGCCTGCGCATCTTCTTTGTCCCACCAACCTGTCCGCGTCACAATCGATGCACAGCAGGCGAGCCAGACTGGGGAGAAGTTTTCTGCATGTCAGACAGACTGACCCGCAGCGCATGAGATCTCCGCCAAGGGCCCACGGTCTCTTCATCTGGTGCTGCCCCGGGACTTCATACATTTGTGTGGTTTGTGCCATGTTGGATTTCCACGCTCAGATCGGCAACCTTCGGGACCTGGGCGAACAGCCGCAGAATCGCGTCGTCGGCGGCTGGAATTAGGACCTGGCCATCGTGGAATTTTTTTGGGCGTGTGAATAAAATATCGATGAGCATTAATGTATCGATAATAGCATCATGCAGCGAAAGACTAAGCTGGACGCGGCGTAGAGGCAGCAGACATATGCTAGTTGGAGACCTGGCAAATGCCGCTGGGTGCTCTGAAACCACCTTATTGGCGAAACCCAGCTTGAAGGAGCTGGCAGGATATCGTCCGGCTCGTAACCCGCTTTCGACAGAATTTTGCGGTAGGTCCGTTCATCATTGGCGGCGAAAGATCATTCAGCTACCCATAAGGATGTCTGGAGCACTCTGCTTAAGTGCCTTTCGCTGATCCGCAAGCTAGGCTAAATGAGGATAGCATCAACGCCTTCGACTTCACGAGGGACGCGCATTTGGATGGGGTTATCAAGAGGTTAGGAGGCCCTAGTACACACATACGGCATACAGTAACTACCGCGATGGAGGAATCCCCACTGCAGCGCTGGCTGGCATCGCTGGAGTATTACTACGTAGGCCGGAGTTTGCCCCTGTAGCCGCTGTAGAGCCCTGCCAAGTCTGCTGTGCTTATGCCTATCCCCCTTGTTCCCGTCGCCGTCTCCAGGGAAATCAGGTACCTACCAGCAGGCTACTACCACTCAGCCAGGTCAGGCCCAGTCAACCACAACAGCACAACACAGAGGGGGGACTAGAAGCTCAACAGTAAATAAGAAAATATCAGCAATAGGATCAACAATACAGACTCATACCCAGTCCATTCAAAAGTCAACAGTTTGCTCAGGCAGACTAAGGTTTCTAGCCCAACTATTTAGCTTTCGCAATACCTTGATAAGCTGCAGTAACAGCTGCACCTTGGAAAAGCTAGATCTTGGAAAGGGTAAAATCATAATGGGTATAAAAGCTCTTTGGATGGGGTTATAGAAGTCGAGTTTGTCAAGACTCAGCTGACGTACACGGAATTCAACATTTAATAAATACCACTGCAATCTTCCTACTCTAAACTACTTCCATCGTTGGTAGCTTCCGAAAGCATGATTCTCTTACGAAGCAGACTTTAACTCGTCAACTAGTTAGTCTTCTCTGATGTTTATGTCTAGGTAACGTGCACAGAAATTTCCAACCTAGATTTGTTGTCGATGATGGTACCGAACAGGTTGAACCTTTCTATGACAAGTTGGGCCTCAGAAGCAGTCTGAAGAGATGGGACCTAAAACCTCAAAGGAATGGAGGCTATCATCACAAGGGCACCGTGTTCTCACATTAAGCCTCCATGAACTGGTTGCTGGCAGTTGCGGCCAAGTTGACTTTAACAGTGGTGATTCTATTTCCGTTGCCGACGTAAAGAACTGCGAGGGGCCCTTTTCCGACTCCTTATCCTAGCGTGCGCAGGAAAAGAGAAAGGCTAGGTTCCGGGAATCCGTTTAGGCTATTTCGTCTTCCTGTTTTCGTAGCCCTTTATTGGGGCGTGAGCGGATCCTTGCCAGCTGTGCGGGGTTGGCTAAATAATCCTGTTGGTGGATAGATGACAACCCTGGTACTCTAATTTCCAAGTAACTTAAGTACGGATACGTTGTGGGCTAAGTTAGATCCGGGGTAGATCGGTAGCGGGAGGTTTGTTCAATAAATATCAGCAAATGCCCCCGAGAAACTCAATTCAAGCAGAGTCAAGTTTCCATTACAGGGACCTGTCCAAATCGAATCAGTCACCTTTTAAGGCATGTTTTCTCGCTGCTTGTAGTTACTGAGCGAGTCTGGTTAAGTCTTCACCATGCGCACCAGCAGCCTGTGGTTGCTCTGGGCGGCGTCCTGCAACGCTGCTACTCTTTTCGCGGCAGACTCAGGTGGCAATGTCACGACATTATCCCTTACAAAGCACAGGCATGACTACGCGCTTTCTATCATCGGCAAGACCGCCGATTGTGGGCCCAACCCTTCTTGGCTGACACTCGATCGCCGAGACCGAGTGCTCTACTGCCTTGATCGAGGTGCAAGCACTTCAACATCCGGATCTCTCAACTCTTTCTCTGTCGATGGTGATGGGTCTCTTAGCCGTGTGTCACGGGTTCAAGCGCCCCTTAGTGGTGTAGCCGGAGCGATTGTCACTACGCCATTGGGGGGACGGGGTTACGTGACCGCCTCATAGTAAGTGGGCACGATTTCTACTTGACAAATGCCTGTGATCCAAAGTACTGAGTCCTGGCAGCAATCGAAGTGCGGCGTCCGTGATCGCCCTTGGCAAGAATGGAGCTCTCCCAGGGCCTGGGCCATTACAGCTCATCTTGCCCAACATCACCGAAACCGGGCCAGTTGCTTCTCGACAGGACCGTAGCTACCTTCACCACGTCATCATTGACCCAACAAATACATACATCGTCATCCCTGATCTCGGTGGAGATCGATGCCGTGTATTTGCCTACGACAAGCACAACGTTGCGCCTATCGTCGAGGTGGGAGAGCTTACGGCTGAGCCTGGCAGCGGACCGCGCCATGGGTTTTTCCGAGTCATGGCGAACGGAGATACGTTCTTCTTCCACAACGGTGAACTCAGTCAGAAGGTGTATTCCTACCGCGTCAAATATCAGAGAAAGGGTCTCAGCTTCACGCGTATTTTTGACATCCCTGCGCTAGATGCTGGACTGCCTGCAACCACGGCCCCAGCAAGTGAGATTGCCATGAGTGTAAGTTCCCGTAATCTCACAAATCCTCAGTCAAACATCCTGTTCTTAGTTGCTAATATCCCGTTTAGCCCGATCATCGTTTCCTTGTCGTGTCAAATCGCGAAAAGTCCTTCAGCGCATCGCCCCAATTCGGGTCCGGGCCTTCAGACACGCTATCTACATTTGCCATCAAGGAAGATGGCACACTAAAACTCGTCCAGTTGACTCCATCCGGCGGATGGCTTCCTCGCCAATTTTCCTTCAACAAGGCTGGAGACAAGATTGCGGTAGGGCATCAGGGCAATCAGACAGTGGTTATCTGGAAACGAGACGTCAAGTCTGGCAAGATCATTGCGGAGGACAAAGGTGGAAAGCTTGGCCAGATCCAGCTGACTGGTCCAGTTGTAGCGACTATTTGGGACGAATAGGAGCAGTTAATAATGTTACAAATGAGTAGAGTGGTTGGTCTTGTTGTTCCATGGAATCCACCCATTCTTCAGAGCTGGAACAAACTCCCTGGCGTAGTGTCCGCGGGCCTCATCATCGACCAGAATCGCGGCAACCCGAGTGAGAATACGAAGCCACTTGTCTTCCTTCGCCGCGTCGGTCCCCTCCAGCGGCTTCCGATATTGCTCCGCCACCGAATGCAGAATCGCTCCCGCCTTGCTGTGATAGGCATCCAGGATGGTCGTATGTATCTGAGAGTACTGAGGGTCTTCGAACATGGCGCTGTCGGCTGAGAAGTACGGTGGGCTAAACGGCTTCGCGGTGGGATTGAGATCGAGGACGGCGTGAAGCGGCTGCGGCGACAGGTGCGGGTAGCGCTGGATCAAGTCCCAATGAAGCTTGCAAGCGCGCAATCGCCATAGCTCGGTCTGTAGGGGAGAAGAGACAACACTAATGAGCTTCACATCGTCAAGGGGGAGGGGGGCCAACTGACGGGTTGGACAGGATATCCCGTCTCGTACCAGCCGGGCTCGGCGGCGGCGGCAGGGGAGATTACCCCGTACAAGGTAGACGAAACACTAGCAGACAGAGCAATGAGGCCGACGGCGATGGCGGCGATGGCCTTGTAGCTGCGAAGGGGAGGAGGGTACATGTTGGCGAAGTTGGCGAGATTGGCAAGATTGGCCAATTTACGGCAGAAAGAGAACATGTTGCCTTTCCGTGTAAAGAACATGTCTTGTCAGAACTTGAAGTGTCCCGGGGGCTGGCTTGTATAAGGTAGGTACTCACTCAGCAGAGGTGCCTTGCGCTGACGAGAATTGCTTCACCGCTCTACCACATGACTTGCTTGGACAGCTGCAGGAGCTGGGTAGGTGCATTAAGTGAGCTTAAGCCTCACTCAACGACTCTCACGCCTACCCACGTTGGCCACACTCATGCGGCTCCTCTCACGCCCATGCAACATGTCTCCCTCCCCCACGCCCTCTCAAGGACACAGGACGATGAAACCCATGTAGGTACCTACCTCCCCCTGGAGATACGCCACAGCTCCGACGCCTCGTTTCGTTCCTTTTTGCTTGCAGGCATGTCCCCGTTGGCTTGCGATGAAGAGCTGACGGCAGGGAGACTAGTGGCTTTATCGGCCTTCTGGCGTTGGAGTCTACAGTTGTGGCTTGGTTGTCTCGTTTCTAAATCTTGTCATCACTGTTTCCCAGCAGAGATCCTTGTCGGGTGGTGGAGGGCTCAGGTTCCAGGAGACGTTCCATTGCCGCATCACGTCCGGTATAAATGGCAAAGGAATGCCCGATATGGCCCAACATCATCATCTTCCTCTATCATCTGTTTTCCTGCCTGGCCATTTCTTCTGTCCTTGTCCTTTTCTTTCGTCTCCTTTCTGTTTGCTTTCCTTATTGCTTTCTCGTCGCAACTTGGCTCTCTGCTTCAGTCTTTTGCTGCTGCTCTTGCGGCCCCTATTCCTTTTTATCCTTCTTCTCTTTCTTCTCCTCTTTCTTCTTCTCTTTAGAGCCAAGTCTCCCGAGGAGTCTAGAAATGCCTTCCATCGCAGAGGGCAATGTTCTCTCCAACCAAGAGATCCGACCTAGGGCCATCCGAGTTCGCGACGACCGGCAACAGCGGAAGCACACCACCACCACCACCACCCATCCATCGAGTCACTCTCGGAGCCATGCTCCCGCTCCCGCCCCCACCTCTGGTCCTGCTGCTCTCCTCGCTCTCAGCTATGGCCATGGCCATGGCCCCTCCAACACTGCTCCTGTATCCCAGGCCTATGTTCCTGAACCTTCTGTCGACCCTTCTGTACCTCAATCCTTTGCGTCTGGCTTCTCCAACCAGGGCCATTCCTCTTCGAATACCGACCTTGCTTCTTCAGACTCTGGACCAACCCATGTTGACCATGGATCCCCTTCCCCAACCACGCTCTCTCCTCCGGCTTCTCCTGAGCCTGCGCCGAGATCTCGGAAGTCTCTTCTGAGACCCCGCAAGTCTTCCCCGGGCTCTTTTGAGTCTCCCATGAGCTCCACCAAGTCTGCTCCAACTACACGGCATCCCTCCTTGCCGATGGCCAGTACTCCATTGTTCCCTCGAATCATGGCCTTCTTGGAGAAGAATGCTACCCTCCATGCCTGGATATGCATTCTCTTCCTCGTCCTGCTCATCATTCTTATTTGCCGCAACACCTGGCTTTCCTTCATAGGCCGCCTCTGCGAAGTACATCTTGCTTATCTTTCTTTCGTTGAAGCGGCTTGTTCTGCGACTTTAGCTGCCACAGTTGGCACTTTCAAGAACTCATTCGCATACACCAACTCGGCGGTCGCAAATATCTACACCACATTTTCGAATCCGATTCATCAGGTCAGCAGCTACTTCAACCCACCACCGGTGATCGGACATGATATCGATCGTGACCTGCCCCCGTTTCTTCCGTTCATTGGCCAGTTGGTTGATAGTTTGGAACTCACTCAGACGTGGATCGGTCATTTCGAAGATTCGATCCCGGCGAGTTCACAGAATGAGCGCGATTATCTCGACCCCAAGAAGCTGGGGACTCTCATTATCAGAGCTCGTCGCCTCCACAAGGAAAGTGAGAGGCTCGGTGACAATTTCGCAGAAGCTTTTCTCGGGGAAACAGTGACCATCCAACATCTCACAGAACAGATGAGTGGAAACTCTCCCGTCTCCCCACCAGATTCAGCACCGGCCTCTGAGTGGTGCTTGTGCTCAACCTCATTTTGGTGGCGGCGTTGCCAGTGCGAGGATGCAGTTTCCCAGAAGCATATGGCAGACTTGCTCACAACTTTCAAGTCGGCCCTCAAGCGCGCAAGAGAGACAGAGAACGGGCTCAAAGATATAGTCATCAAAAGCAGCAGGTTCAGGGACGAAATACAGCAGCTTCTTAATCCACTCAAAAAGCAGGAGACTGCGATTTACTCGTCTCACCTCGCGTCGACGAAGGCCCCATCTCCAACTCCGGCCGTCACACCACCCCTTGATCTTATCACGAGCGCGATCGACGCTGCTCAGCTTGTCCTTGGCGCCAACTGGAGATTCCAACGCGCACTTCAGTGTCGAAAAATTCTCGTCGACAGAGAGATCGAGAAACTGAACTCCTGGATCCTGCGGCTCAAGAAGCTCAAGAGGCGGCCTCTAGAGGAATTGCGTTCTACGAGCGGGAAGGCATGAAAGTTTGGCGAGGAGTGGCTGGTCTGTACGGATAGTTATTTTGCGTCATGTTGAGTGGTTTGGATTTGTTTGGCTATAGGTGCTGGTTATCTATTGCTTTTGTTTTTTTACTTGCGTACCCTAGATTCTTCTTTGTTGTTGCTGTGATTATTGTTATTGTTACTGTTGTTGTCATAGATTTGCTCACTTCTCTTTACTCTGTCTGCAATAATGTTTAGTCATATGCTCTATCTACCTAGTCTACAGTCTTTTTTATCAATATTGTTCCCATCACCACCAACAAAAGAAATATGCATATTGAATGATTGTCAGTCGCAGCCGCCTACATTAAGTAGGCTGAAAATCTGAAATGCCGCCTTATGAGTTCCGTCCTCCTTCGCCCCGAACATGTCACAAGTCGTTACAAACATGGTCCATAGGCCTTGCCTTAGAGATTTTCGGCCACAGCAAGATCGCTTCATCTCGCAGGCCTTTCATCTCGTCCAGTAGTTCCTGTCGGGCTGCGACATAAGCAGACAGCATCTTCACCTTGGCGATGAGATCCTGCCGAAGCTTGCCCAGAGAACCATTGGAGCCCTGAACATGAGATGCTAGGAGTCGTGCCGATGCTGCTCCGCGTCCTTTCTTGTCTTCGACCTTACAATACGAGTCCAATTCCCAGCTATTTGTAAAAGGCAAGACGCAATATGCTATAGACCATATGGAACGTTGCGGTGGACGACGGAAATCTCGCAACATCCACGTCACAATATTGGTGACAAAGTCAAGGTCTTGGATCAGCTTGTCCATGCGAGCAACGGCTGCATTTGCGCCCCTTATAGCTCCTTCACCATCCTTACAGAAGTCTGAAATGAGCCTTGCCAGCCCGTCCATCCGAATCGGCCTGTATCCTGGAGCATTTCTGTCTCTCTGGAATTGTACCCATTTCAGCGAGGCGGTGTACTCGTGAGCATCGCCGCACGTATTTTTCAGCTCTTTCAAATCTTTCAAGACCCCATTGTGGCAAATAGCCATGATATCAATCGAGATTTTGTTCTTGTCACGCGCTTCACGTGCCAACTTGAGGGAGGGTTTACTGCTCTCATTAAACTCTCGCCGGTTCCAATCATAATGGTCCAGATGAAGGCCAGACACAGGATCCCACATGGTGCCAAGGTCGTTAAATGCATGGCAAAAGCCATGCAGTGCCGAGACGTGCGCTTCCCAGGGTCCTGTAAATGCCATCATCTTTGGTAGATATTCGACCCCGAGGTCTGCCACAGTCTCAAAAGAATTAGACCAGTTAGCAAGAAGGAGGATCGCCTGATGGGTGATTGAGCGGAATGAAGGGACAGCCATGGCAACAGATGTGGCGGTAGAGAGAAGAAGTCGATGCGCTTTAGATGGGATGTGAAATGATGTGAATTGGTGATGGAATCTAATAGTGCGAAATTGAACTAATTTATATTGCAAGCTTTTTTAGCTTACACAGGCCACGACAACACACAGAAACAATGAATTCCCATCTAAATCGAGATGGAGGGCGCATGGCGACAGGAAAGGCACAAAGCAAAAGATAGCCTACTTTGTCCTAGTCCTTTGAGCCTGCGCGTAACATACCGATGAGATACGAAAATGATAAAGAGATTTTTACCACCGGGAAAAACAACCTTTCGTGTTTGAGGGTAACAATCTTTTAGTGGAGGGTCATGATATGAACATCGCGCGGCCGATGGGTCGCATGACTAAAATTGCCTCCCCTAGCAAAGTCTGATTCCTCTGAAAATGTAACCGGCGTCCTCGTCAGGCTACTCCCTGAAAACAAGAGGGGCCGTTGTGGCAGGCCTGGACCCAAAAGCTACAGCAAAGGCTTGATTGGTGGTGTTTGTGAGTGTCGAGGAGGGGCCTTGGCCTCCGATGAGATGCAACCATGTAGCCGAGATGAGGGAATATGTCCCTTGTTCACTTAAAGGTTGAATTAAATTAAGGTAGCTTAAAATATCACTCTAAAGCATCACCTAGCGATGAGGAGAGTGTGGAGCATGTGACTCCGAGGACGCTACACTGCTACTGTTGAAGGGATACCCTGAATCAGGCACAGCCGATGACGAAACCTCAAACTCCACCTCCTTTGTGATTCCGTTGAATGTTTTAGTCGGGGGGTTGATCTGATCAGAGCTTGCCTCATCGGCATGAATGAAAACATCATTCTTGGAGCTCGTGATAGTAGTCCGGGTCGAAGGTCTTTGCTGGCTCCGCCAAGTCCTTCGGTCACCTCGATCACCCAGCATGATGCTGCCCGGTTCTGGGCCAGTCTTGTACTGTGACTTATCCGAGGAGATGAGCGAGCCAAATAGGGGCTTCAGCTTCTGTCGCATCCAACCCCAAGTCAAAGGTAGGTTCGATGTAATAACGGCAACGAATGTCTCTCGTACTGCCCAGGTAGCCGCTTGTCTTGGTCCTGTGATGGGGCTCTACATTCGCCAAGTGTTAGTGAACCATAAATCGGGCACGAACTCGGATGTCAAGAAGGAATGGTAACAAACCTGGAGTATAAAAATGGAGCGAAGCAGGCCGGCAACAATGACGAAGATGCCACCAGAGAATATGACGACAAGACCAGCTTTTCTGGCACGGGCGATTTGGGCTCCCAAGAGCATGGGGATTGGAATCATAATCAGATAAATGTCCGTGAATAGATTCAGAAACATAATCATGTAAACATTGAGCTTATTGACGGCAGGTGTGCAAAGATCTAGAAGGGAAGATTCCGCTGTCAGCGAGTGTTCCATGGCAACTTGCAGGCCATCATATTTAGATAAGCTGTTCGAGAGGACTAAACAAACAAAGGAGTTTGGAGCGGGTAGGTAACATACTTCCTGGGTATGGATTAATTTGCCATAGCTTGTGCATGGGCTGGCAACTAAATAGTATGCAACACATGGCCATGATGTAAGAGACAACAATAAACGCAAAGCCCAGATATACTCTGGTCTTATAACGCATCAAGCCAGCCTGAGACCACTGTTAGAGTGTCTTCACGAGTAGTGGTGATAGCATCACCTACCGTTAAGCGTAGGTAGAAAGCGCACATGGATGCCTTGATAATCCACATGACCGTCGTGTATACAGACCAGCCGATGACCTGGTTTTTGGAGCCGCCAACTCTGCAGAGCGTTTTAGTATCGGCAGATGTTGCCCCGGGCTCTCCATGGCCACGGATCATCTTCAGCCCAACATACCTCCATTTATACTCGTCGCTATCGGGCGACAGTGCAGCGCGCTGCTCGTCGGTCATGCCGCTGTTGGTGAGACCATGATACCATGTGCCGACGGTGTAGCCCAGGAAGGTCTCCCCGCTGAGGGGGATGATGAGGATCAGCATTAGGTAGTCATCGGCCTGGAGGTTGCGGAAGCCTCCCTGCTTGGTCCGGCAGAAGGTTCGAAAGCCGATGACGATTATGCTGATGCCGAGATAGATGCATGCCTCGACGAAGAGCGGATCGGTGCCTGTGGAGGCCATGGTCGCTGAGGAGACCTGATAGTCGCGATCGGTGGATTCGGGGTCGTAGGAGCGGTGTCACTCCCGCGTGGCGAGCCACGAGGGCGATGGACCCAGATAAATAAGACGGTTCTGTCTAGTCTCAGGGGTACCAGACGAATGGCGCGCCCGTTTGATAGTGCAGAACATCCACGTGCCAAGTTAATCAATGGCACGCTGGATGGCATTATCTCCGTGAGGGCGGCCGGTGCGTAACTCACGGCGTAGCAGAATGACACACCACTCAATCCGCATCTCGCGGCCGGACAAATGTGTCCGGCGCTTGGACTGTTCCCTCCGCTAGCATCGCAACGAGTCAAGCTCGTCTCGTAGCCGGCGATCTGGACCAGCGCCCCCGGGCCTTAGTCTCGAGATACTAACGATGGCGATCCCTCACGCGCCAATGAAACGGCTGCGCGAGTCAGTGCTTGGGGTCCGAGCTGTAACTATTGACGTCTGCGGTTAGATCTTACGCGTATCACGTCTCTTTGGGAACCATTTTGAGGGCTTTGAACCGAGTCAGTCCCCGTCCTTTTCGTCCTCCCCCATCCTCCCCTGGCAGGCTGACACCGTGAAGCGGGGAGAACGGATCCCAAGCGGAGGGCATCCAAGAGCACATCTGATGTAATCTGACATGTCGAAGCCTTCTCTAGGTGCTGCCAAGCCTTGATAGGTTTCTTAGCAGGTCTCGCCGAGTCTTGAGGCTTCAATTCCAGTTCAATTTCCGTCTTCATTATCACATACTTGATTGAATCCCATGATCCCTGTCAGACGATCTTCGATGCGTTTTTGTTTACGGCACGATACACTTTCTTAGCCCGAGCTAAACTTTCATCCGGGGTGCATAGACCAGGAATTTGCAAAGAAACGCGCCCAGCATTATTCCCGGAATCACCACCTGGATCCCGGCCGAACAGTCTGCCAACATTATAGTGATGATAAGGTTAGTCAAGAGTAATTGCGAGACAGCACCTTGCCTATTTTTTATAGAATGCTTCAGATAGTCACCCAAGTAACATTGCCTGATTGCTGAAGAAAGCATCGCCTCGTACTGCAGCCATTGACCACAGGCTCTGGCACGGGTGGGCCGCTCCTGGAGAGCCCAATTAATCGTCTTCGTATTGTCTACTTGTTGGGGTTTTGAACATGGCGACTGCGGCCAAATCAAAGCCAATATCTATTACATTAATTTTGATCACAGTAGATCTTTAGCTCAAAATCAGTGTCCAGGGAGACTGGTTATAATATCGAAGCTGTGCCCAAGACCCTTTCTGTCACCATCAGGTGTTGCTTGCCTCCAAACATGATGATGTGCTGTCGGACCAAATCATTATGAAATACACGAAGCGCGTTCGCCTGCTTGGTGGACACCTAAGCTCGACTCCGCCACACCACAGCCTGGTTGGGCATTTACCGTAGCACCCGATAGAATCTACGTGGAGGTGACCGCGGCTGTGCTGAAGTCTGCCTAACAACCCCGCTTGAGTCATTTCATTCAACTGAAATCGTGCTATCTCGATCTCACATCATTCTCCTCTTTCATTCCCGTTGAAACCTCTAATTCCAACTATTCCCCTTAGCGGTGTTTGATTCTATTCCTCCCCGAAAGATCACAGCGCTTCACACAGTTTGGGCAAGTTAGTGTCATCGAACTAGACAAAAACACCTTCCTGGCCGAACAGATCTGGCCGCTCTTTCGTGTCGCCTGTATTATCCTCCCGCTATCACACCCTGTGCCTCACGAAGCCGGACGTGATTGGTATCATTAATTTCAATTTTCATGAGCCAGAGATGGAGATTTTCAAATACGATCCTATTGATCTCGAGAGGCCTTCTTTTCGGCTTCTTCGCATTTTGAAAGGGAAAGGGCTTGATATACATGGTTCGATCTTTCATGCAACGCTCGATCTGCACGAGAGTTTGATTTCTTACGAAGCCTTATCCTACACCTGGGGCTCCGCAGAGGCTGTCGACAGCATCAAGATTAACGGACAGAGGTTAGGAATCTCTCGAAACTTATATGTGGCCCTTCAACATATCCGTTTGCAAGATCAGGATCGGATAGTATGGGTGGATGCCATTTGCATCGACCAGGGCAATACAAAAGAACGAGGGCAGCAAGTTCAGCAGATGGGGGAGATTTATAAGCAAGCTGATGGAGTCATTTTCTGGTTGGGTCAAGCGACTTACGAGACAAACATCATCATGGATTCTCTGCGACAACTGCAAGAAGAGAGCTACAGACATGCGTGCAAGAACTGGAAATGCACAGACCGACGTTGGATGGACCTTTGGGCCGCAGCCCAAGTTATCTTGCGGAGCAGACATTTAAATCTCCCAGCCCTACAGCGTGAGGGTCTGGAGACTCTCTTGGGCCGATCCTGGTTTAAGCGGGTTTGGATATTGCAGGAAGTGGCTAACGCTAAGGCTGCTTTGGTCTGTTGCGGTACGAAATCTGTTGGAGCGCGCTTCTTGGCTCTTGTCCCACTGCTGGTAGGTATAAAGCCCGATCCTCATTGCCAAGCTGTTCTGGATATAATGCCTGGCCCATCGAGGAATGATTCTTGGTGGAGCCAGAGTCGAGAACTTTATACGCTTCTGAAAAACTTTGGTCACAGCGAGGCGCATGACTCCCGGGATATGATCTATGCTCTACTTGGAATGTCGTCAGATGCTGGTGACAGTGGTGTCTTGCGGGCGGATTACGGGAAGTCCGTTCAGGAACTTATTCGCGACGTCTCTCACTTCTTATACTTTTGCGATCATGGTCCGGCTCTAACTGAACAACTGGGGACAATACGGGACCTCCTCCTGCAACTCAGGATCCTCAACAATATTGCAGTTGAGAGGCTAATAGAGTCATTTGACGAGAAGGATCTGGAAATCCTGGTGATTCTTCTTAGACGAGGGGACATTGAAACTGCAAACGTGCTCAAGGCCGCCGCGAGGCTGCTTCTCGAAGAGGACGCAGACCTCGAATCGAGGAACAATGTAGCCCAGACGCTACTATCATTGATCCCTGAGAATGGGCCAGAAGCCGTCATGCGGCAGCTCAATCTTGAGAATGGCATCAATACCAATTTGAAGGACCGGGAAGGCCAGACGCCGCTGCCGTGGGCCGTCGCAAATGGGCATACGACCGTGTTACAGCTTCTGCTCGACAAGGGTGCCGACATCGAGTCGAAGAACAGGTCAGGCCAAACACTAATGTCGTGGGGTGCCCAGAAAGGATGTGTGACCGTCTTACAGCTGTTACTCGACAACGGCGCCGATATCAAGTCGAGAGATAAGGATGGTCGGACACCGCTATCGCATGCCGCTAGAGAAGGGAACGATGCTGTCGTACGGTTGTTGCTCGAGAAGGGCGCCGATGTTGAGTCGAGAGACAAAGACGGCCGGACACCGCTCTCGCATGCCGCCCTGAACGGACACGAAGGTATCGCCAAGCTGCTACTCGATAAAGGTTCTACTATGGAATCGAAGGACAAGGATAGCCGGACGCCGCTGTGGCATGCTGCTAAGGAAGGACACGAGGTTGTTGTGCGGCTGCTGTTTGACCTAGGCGCCAATATCAAGTCGGAGGATCTATGGGACCTGACACCGATGTCTACTGCCGCCAAGGAAGGGCACGAAGTTACTGTGCGACTACTTCTCGAGAAGGGCGCCAACGTCAAGTCTAAGGATGAGCATGACTGGACACCGCTATCTTGGGCCGCGAGGGAAGGGCGCGAGGCCGTTGCCAAGCTGCTGCTCGAGAAGGGCGCCGATATCGAATCCAAAACCAACAATAGCCAGACGCCGCTATCCTAGGCTGCCAGGGAAGGGCAGGAGGCTGTTGCCAAGCTGCTGCTCCAGAAGGGCGCCAACATTGAGTCGAAGGATATATGGAACCGAACGCCACTATCGCATGCCGCGAGGGAAGGGCGCGAGGTCATTGTGCGGCTGCTGCTCAAGAAGGGTGCTAATATTGAATCAAAGTCTTATAATAACAAGACACCGCTATGGTGGGCTGCCAAGTACAGTCGCGAGGCCATGGTAAAGCTGCTGCTTAAGAATGGCGCCAAGGCTGTCGTCAAACGGTCGCGAAAGTCGCAGCGGAAATCACGCAAACCCACGGCAGTATCAAGACAGAACTGAAGAACACAGCAACCCACGACACAGCAGTCACTCCCGGGAATACAAGAGAGCGTTGAGGCCAGAAAAGAAGCGAAGGAGGCTTCTCAAGCGTAGAACCGATGCGTGCCCTCCAGAGCACTGGCTGACAACTCCGAGCAATCCTGCAAGCATGTGTCCAGGGGCATGAAGGAACAACATGTATTGCAGCACTCCTTGAGGACTGTTTTCTCACACCTTATGGATGAGCGTTGGTAGAATTATTAGGGTGGTAGGAGTATTATTTAATTTTCAAATGCATTTTCATAGCTAGTGTGAAGACAAGCCAGCGATAGAATGATCCTGAAGAAGAGGTAATCCATCCAAATTCTGCCATATTCTCCGTTTCCAAGTCTCCCAGGAGATTTACTATAGCTCTGGTAGCTTTATACTACACTCAGTACAATAAATCTGCCTTATGTGCATTGGAGAGGTTGATTGAATATTTGTGTTGATATCTGACGGTGGGTGGAAAGCAAAGAAGGCTTGCCTTGTACTTTTGCTGCATCGTATTTTCTGGTCAGTTACCATGAACCATCTCAGAGTTCAGGCTTTGACTAACTAGACAGAGCGCAACTCTAAGCAGATGGAACTAGATTGAGCCTTCTACCTTAAATGCATCAAGACACGGGTTGTTGCTGGACATACGGCCCAGGCCAGCGCCAACTGTGAGTTCGGCATGTCCAGGGTAGGTAGCCATCGCTAGAGTGCACGCGACGCACCAAAACGACCAGTTGATTATCTCCCCTTCTTCATACGCGTCAACGTCAACCCTTCTCCGCACTCAGCACGAGGCCTTGCTGGCGACCATCCCCTTTGTCGCTGCCGCTGAGAATACAAGCATGTACGCGAACGAGGATCAACTTGTTCGCTGGCTGTCCTCCATTCCTGAATTGCCAAGTTCTCACAATCCCGTCCACATCCTCGACAACGAAGATGAAGACGCTTCCCACACGGGCAGTAGCAGCTTCTTGGTCTTGGAACAGTCAATGGCCGTGGAAAACAACGATACTCCGCGTGCTAATAGGTTTCTATCAAAACAAACACAAGAATTGGGCGGATTAGTGGCGGATGGTGGCCACAACAGCCCGACGCTTGCCTCGAGCGCCTCGAATCGTTCAGCCTGGGTGTCGAACGGCTCGATACCCGTATCGAACCGATCGTCTCCTTCAAAACAATTCCGCAGCGCCGAGATGCAAGACGCAGGATTCAAGGTAGGGAACTTCCGGGTGGACCAACATCCGGAGTCCCTCAAGGAACTCCGGCTGCAACTACGAGACATCGGCTCTGGCCACCGAATTCTCCCTGCTTCCTTGCAGACCGAGGTATGTTCGTCTCTTCTATTACTTCTCTTCTTTCCCTCGAGGAAGCAACGAGCTGCGGTTGACATGCAGCGCCATGCGACGCAGTTATGGGACTCAGAGTCAGAGATACCGGCCTACGCTTTCGACACGGACGAAGCGACTCGCGCAACCACCAAGGCCTTGGCGACAAATCTACCTTCACTTTCCTGGGTTCAGGGGCTCGTGTCTCGTGCGAACGAGTGCCATGCCGACAGAGAATGCGAAGCATCATGGAATGCAGATGTACACTCGCCCATCCTCGAACAGGTCTTTCGATCCGACCGGTTCTCTAGCCGTGACTTGGTCGACTTTCGGTTCTGTCCCTCGGCTCAGATTCTTCCGTGGTCCAAGCCCCGAGACGCGCCCTCCAAGATGGTAGATTTTTGTATCTTCATACGTCCCAAACTCGACAGCCCTGAGGAACGAGCCATCAACAGCATCTGCCAGTTACGGCCGGGACTTTCGATTAATCATACCGACTTAGGGAACTTTTGCAAACACCCCATCGCTCTCTCCATCGAGACTAAGCGTCCGGCGGAACATGGCGACAAGGCCACATTGCAGATGGGCACCTGGCACTCATCCCAGTGGCGCAGCCTACGATACAATCGCAATTGTTCCTCTCCTCAATCCATAGAGTTCCTCCCCGGTGTCATAGTTCAAGGGCACGACTGGCAGTTCGTCGCGACGATCCTGGATGAGAGCGGCAAGGCTCGGCTCTTGAGGACGGTCCGTCTCGGCGGAACAGAATCGGAGTTGACCGTCTACTCTCTCGTCATGGCATTGCAGCGTCTTCGTCGCTGGATCAAGGAGGTGTATTGGCCGGCATTCGTGTCGGATATGCTGAAAGACTCGCTTCCAGGATAACCACATCCACACTAGATAGGAATCGTCAAGATCCCTCAAGCTGCTCGACGAAAAAAAGTCTTGTAACTGTGAAAAAACCTACTCTACTAAAGGTTGCTCGTAATCTGTCCAAACACACCCAAACGGGTGTATGCTCGCTGTTGTGTCCCAGGCAGCTAATTCATTGCCTCAGTGTCTCTCAGGCCTCGGCGACTAAACGAGAGCTGGCAACTATTAATACGGCAAAATCTGGTGATAAACGAATTTGAATAATATAATTAATAATAAAATAAAGAAAAAATAATAAAATAAAATAAAATAATAAAATAAAATAAAATAAAATATAACTATTAGGGCTGCTAAAGCTACTAGAGGAGACTAAGTATTTAGCTACTTTATAAATTATCTGAGGCAGAAGATTTCTACGTTGAAGGTTTACTGCAAGCGAAGGTTTAGGGGAGGGGTGTCATTATATATTAAGGTTACTCTTCAATTCACTTCGTTGAGCAACATGATATCCACCGATGAACGTTAACACACTAATCGCTTCAGGTTGGCTTTCAAGGTACTCCAATCCTCCTCGGCATACTGCCCAGCCCCAATGTCGTAGAGGACATCTAAAGCGTTAATGTCACCCGTGGCAACCTGAATGAACTTGCGACATATCTCCAGACGGTTGAGGTGGTGCAGCGTGGCAATCCATATTGCCTCTGCAATGTGCGATCTTTCCGTGAACTTCCAGTCACCCTGCCACTTCAGCGCCTTCCCGAGCTCCGTGTTGTAATATGCGCGGTACCGCTCTAATATCTCTGGGGAGTCTTCCGATTCGGCCATCTTTGGCCAACCGTACATTAGAGGATCCCAATCGCGCGTAATCCATCCTGGGTATCGGGCATATCCCATAAATCGTGGCATTGTCTGGGCGAGGTCCCAGTCAACCAGTCCGGTGACAGTGCCTTCGTCATTCACCAGGACATTCTGCGAGTCGAAATAGGGGGGGCATAGAACAAAACCAGGCGGAGAATCAAGGGTTGGTAACAAGCCCATAATCACTTCCATCACCTTCGCCTCCGCCTTATCCCACACATTTTTGTCGGAGCTTGCAATTGGATTTTCATGGAGAAAGGCGGAGAGAGAGTCAAAGGGACCTGAAACGGCAACCTGAAGCCTACCATCTTCCTTTTCATGCCAGTCGTACGATGGGCCGATGATAGTCGAGCCAGATCCGTCGTCCATAATGGACCCCATCTTGTCGAAGACCATACAAGAGAACTGAGCCATGGTCTGTGACAGGCTTGTCAGGATGCGAAGGCGCAAATCTTCTCGCGCCAAGGTGCCTGGGCCATCAAACCAAACCTGTGAGACGGGTTTCCCGGGTATGAAACTCATGCAGAGGTACGGCGCACCGATCTCATTGTCGTCAGTCGTGTCTAGAGCGTATATCTCTGGTACTGGGATTGTAGTTTTGTTCCGAATGAGGCGCATCGTCGCAACTTGCGATTCCATGGCGCGTGCCGTGGTCGGTGTCATTCCAGAGCCCCAGCCTGTAGCAGGAACGCGGATCACGAGCTTGATGTTCTCCAATTCAACAATGTGGATGATGTTGAAATCACCGGCAATTCGCGCAACAAGCTTGCCGCTGGAGCATGATATATGCAGGCATTGGTTTGCGATGTTCGAAGCGAGAAGGATGAGAGACTCTGCTGTAATGGCCAAGAGTGGACCAAAGGTTTCGGGGTCTGGATCATCCATGAGAAATGGGGCGTGGGTACTGGCGGCACTCGTATCAGGCAAGATTGCGCCTGGAACGGAATTCGATGCAGACGAGATGCTCGAATGTTGGAAATGAGAGATGATGAGGTTCCAGGTGGAAGTGATAGGGTTCGCGTCAGGAGGAGGAGTAGGACGTTATCACAGTCACGTGATGGTGTTTGTGTAAGGTAAGGATGGCTGGAATACAAGAGCGCTTGCAGAGCTTTTATATACATTATGACTTTGCCTTTACCAAGATCTAGGTTTCCAAGATCTAGTTTTTCCTGCAGATCTAGCTTTTTCAAGACACAGAAGTTACTGCAGCTTATTGATATTGCAAAAGGTAACCAGTTGGACTAGAAACCTGAGTCTGTCTGAGTAAATTGTTGACCTTTGAATACCTAGACTACGTATACATTCTGTATTATTGATCCTATTGTTGGTGTTTTATTTTTTTACTGTTGAGCTTCTAATTTCCCCTCTGGGTGTATATATACCAGGGCACCGCAGCAACGCACTGGCGTCGACCGGTTATTGCTGGAGGCCTTCCTGACCCTGATGAACAACAAGAGGACTTACTTCCCTTACAATACCTTTCTCGTCACACACTCCGTAAGTGATTGGTCATCCAGGCTTGCGATGACTCAACTTGGATGAGGGGGAAACAAATATACCGTAAAATCTCAGTTCTTTGGCAAAGTCTAGCGCGACGCTATCAGAGTCATCCCCCACTCTGGAGCGTATCTACCAAGGCTCTGCCCAACTTTGAAGATGCGACAAATTTCTGACTTCATGTCCATCCATGGGTAATTCTAGCAGTGCAAAGCTTCCACGATTCTTTTAGGCAGATTGACAGTGCTAATGCGAATGTTAGACAAAGCGATAAAATAAGCAATGGAGAAGACGACCCATATCTCGCCCGGTTAGGTCTGATGGACACATTCTGGGCGATTGCCTGGGAGGAACTCCTCCTCGATAGCTTCATCGATAACATATCAGCGGATAACCTTACATCAGCAGCTCTCGGGCCCACTTCTCAATAGAAGTCTAAGTATGTTAGTAAAAATAGCAGTTACCCTCAGAATTAATTGGCTGGTGCTTCCCGGGTGCTACAGAATGATCTTGGGTGAGGTTGCGTTGTACATGAGAGAAGGCCAGGTTTGTGTCGGCCAGCTTCAGCTCGCAAATCAGCTCAGTACATCATCCTGGTTAGCATCTTGCCCCCCGCCTCTAACCATCTGCGAACTTTGGATCGCCACCTTGGTAGCACTGCTTGAAGAAAGTCTTAGATGCCGTCTCTGAGTTGACCACACCTCCAAACGTGGGTTTGGTGACAGTGTTGTCACCGTGCTTCTCGAGGGTATCGTCGGCTTTGTCGGCGAGGCGGACGAAATCAGGCACCTGCGGTGGAACGGGGGAACGGGGGTGGGTTGAGCCCGCTTCTGCCTATCCATGACTCCTCCACCAACACAATATCACAGTAGAGACCTCGTCTTCCCATTAGCCCTCACCTCTCTTAAACACACAGCGTTATTGTTTGCACAGTTCGTCCGATACTCAGCAAGAAGACTGCTCTGGAGGAAAATTATTCGACAACAAGGCGTTACATGCGTTGTCTGTACACTCTGCTGGAAACTCCCGGCCTCTCACGCAAGATCAAACCATGTGTCGCATCCTCAGAACCACCATGACGTATTCTGGTTGTCCGGACAGTTGCAACACGAGCAGCGACATTGTCATCAACGACAACTACCAGAAATTTACCGACACCGGGATCGATTGCGAAGAAGTTGACTGTGTGGTGGAGCATCTTGGCCAGTCTAAGAGCAGGACTCAGTGTGACAATCACAGGGACGAAGGTTATAGTGACAACAACAACCGTTGAGGGGCCGACTTAAGTCGCTATTTGTCGTCGGAATGCGGGCGCCGACGAAGATAGAGAGGACTATGGGTGATAGGATAGTCGTGCTATAGGGTAGTCGTGCTATAGGGTAGTCTTCCAGGATATTGAACAAGACAAGGCTGGCAATCGTGGAATTGTGGAAGTGGTAAATCATGTGTCCTACCATTGAGTAGTCATACTTAAGTATATACTAGATAGTTAAATTAGGTCCCCGCGGGTTTAGGTCAAAACACATCCGTTGCATAAGCACACTCTATCGTAGCTCCATCGCAATACCACGGCGCGTATTATCACACCTCTGTTGTATCATCCTAACTCTCTACTAAATACAGTTCAGTCAAAGCACTTGCAACCTGTCGCGCACTTTCCAAGGACCCTATCCAGCAGCCCCGAATGATATCTCCACCTGTCAGCTCAGAAACATCTGGAAATTTGGCTTCCTTGAAAAGCCCCTCCACCTGGCCGTCGTTAAGCTCGTTGTACGGCTCCCGATCCGTCATGATGAAATAGATAACTGAGCCAAGGGCGAAAATGTCGTCCGCATTTTCCGGCTTGCGTTTCCAGTTCCAGCCCGGTGGCTGATACCTCGGGCTAGTTGTGACGGTAGGAGCCGATCCGGCAACTGAGCTGCCAGCAAAGTCAGCAATATGAAGGTCGAGAGTCGCGTTCAACATGAAATTGCGTGGCGTAACATCGCAATGAACCACGTCCGCCGCATGTACTACGGCAAGGGCCTCTGCCGCCTGCACCGTCCAGCGCTTTCGTAGAGCATACGTAACGTGTTTCGTAGACTTCTCTGTCGCCGTATTTCTCAGATACGATCCCAAGTCCCCGTTGTCAAGACACTCCAGCGTTAGACAGCATGACTGCTCATCCCATTGAATCAGCTTAGGAACATAGGGGCTGTTTCCAATCCGCTGGTATACATCGGCCTCTATCTGCATATCCCTGCGACGACTCTCTTCATCCCTAGGGCTATAGGGATTCGGCTTGGGATATTTGACAATGTAGCCTGACTCGAGTTTCTCAACGAAGGACGTTGCCCCTGACCAAAAATATATCGCCCTTTTGTGATATAGTATATATGACCAGGAGGTATGTCGTTAGGGATCTGAAAAGCCTTTTCTGGTAAGGCAGGTGAGAGTCGTCGCCGCCAGGACCCTGGGACAGGGTGGTATCTGATGTGGCGAGGTTGGCTCTGCACGGCGGGCTTCTATTGGCATGTTAGCGTCACGTACTACTAGAATATGAGTAAAAGAACTGACAGTTTGCTGGTCTCCTTCTACCTGTGATGGAGACTCGCTATAGAGCATTCGCATGAAATCCCAAACCCTCCCATATTGGACGAGGAAGAACTGCCAAAGCCCAGTCCAATGTAAAATACGGGCAAGGCTCGACGCCATTCCGGGAGCAACACGTTACGTCAATGGGTTGGGCTACATGAAATCGATTGGTGAATGTTTCGATGTTGGAGACATGCATTGCGCACCGCGCCGGAATTGAGCAAACGATGGAATGATTCGGAGCTGTTCGGACTGGCGCAAACAGGCTCCCATGAAACATGCACGTGATGGTGTTACCTGTCCGACACGTGACCGGGTCAAATCTGCCTCACGGCCGGAATTCCTGCGCTTTTCGGAGTAAGTCACAGGGGAACTGAGATTCGTAGAGGGCCAAATAGGCTATTTCGATTGATGATGATTACAGCCGCAACAGAGTTGTACTTATGATAATATATCTACCGTATCAACTCGATAAATTAACCCTGATTTTATGGAGCAAAGCTAGGCCATATAAGGCTTAGATTTCCTAAAATATTAGGTGCCAAAAGCCTGATGGCAATAACTGGGGGAAGGATTCAGGGCTAATTTACTGAGTCGATATGGTACTTGTTCCTTGGGGTCGTGTACCGAGGAATCATTGAACAAACCCTCAGACCAGATGAAGTAGACCTCGTCACCTGGTTCTGCAAGTGCCGACAGGTAGACAGAGGCGCGAAAGAAGGCAGCTAACGGTATACACTAACGGGCCTGACTGCTGTCCGTGGACTGGCTAGAATCAGAAATGCCGCTAGAAGAAAATGACTTCCAAAGAGCACGAGGAACCTGATTACTATGCCAAACTCGGAATGGATCGAGACTCGCATGAACGAGTTGATGGACGGCAGATTTTTTCTTTGACTAGTAGCGTCCTCGACAGCATTGACGACGGATGACTCTTTTCGTTGGTTACTAAGGCGCGGTGATGGGTGGTTCACACATGGTCGACATCATGAGTCAATCATGTTTACTTTCCTTGACGATGCGTGACGTGTCTGTGATGCAGACTCTCATGCTCAATATAATTAGGCAACCATTGGTTGAGAAGACACCTAGATTTTGCATCTTTGCCGGGATCATCATGTCACACTGCATGAATCGGCATCGGGAAGCATGAGTCTTTTCCAATGACGCCTAGCCGATCCATGAGTGGGAGATCTGATGATCGTAGATGCACAACCCGATGGGCGAAAAACAACAAAAACCACCATCGTCAGGGCCCACAACGACACAGCGCTACGAATGAGAAGAGGGCGCGGCCAAGCCGGGGTACGTACCGCTTGTGACCAGCTGGCCCGGCTTGGACTGGTGGCTGTACGTAATTGGCCAGTCCGGCCCCCCGGTCGATTTGTCTTTGGGAGAGAGAAATGAGATGAAGTGTTATGCGACGGGGAAGCGAACGGGGAACAGAGCGGGGCATCTCGCCTGCGGTCGGCGTGAGTTTGCGACTTCGGGTGTTATTGTCACGGCGGAATGTTGGGGTCAGGGAAGAAATGGGAGAGCCGGAAGTTATTCTGGGACGGCGAGCCGCAAGGTCCCGGATGTCGTCGAGCTTCGTGCGTGCGTCGGCGGGGGCATTCCGGAGTCGTCATCACCGAGCCGTGTTCTAAGCCTCTGAGGTATGCCCGTATGATGGGATGTCTCTCAGCCCCGGGAGCAAGGAGAGGAGGGTCCCGCCGCGCCCGGGTCTCGGCGGGCAGGTTTCGTCGGCACCATCCCTCCTCGACCCTTCAACCCTTCATCCGGCGTGGACATCCTTGCTTGGTAATTACGTTAAGTCGTCCGGGACCTGGCAAGCGACAGCAGCCAACGCAGGGAGACTCACAGACTTGCACGCAGAGACAGACAGAGATTGAGACGGACCGACGAGCGAGGTTGATCTCATTAATAGAGATGATAGATCAGATGACGGCCGGCCTAGATCCATGGGCTTCGATACAGGGCTGGCTTCTGAGCCTATGACATGCGCTCACTCCGATGGCGTTGAGCGCCCTCATCTCGCCGTCCAACGGCAGCTAGGGGGGAGATCTTAGCCCAGAGTCTTTTTCCATCAGCCCTTCCGCCACAGCCTCGCCAGGGCTCTCTTGAGTAGGGTTCCTCGCCGTCCAGGACAGGGGCTCCTGAACCTATCACGTCTGGGTGTCAGCGATGGTGGATCGGGGCGAAGTCTGCGAGAGGACGCCGCAAGAGGGCGGGCGGCAGCAGGAATGAGAGGTTAATACCTCGTCGCTGGGGAAGGTCGCGATCGTTGTTTACTTGCGCGCATTGGCGACGCTGATTCGACAGGCTGACGCTGATGTTTACTGACACGTGCGATGTTTTCCCCATCTAGCTCTCCGACCGGTGCGGCCAATGGGATTGCCAATGTCGACTGCAATCCTTCAATGTTCAATTCCCTCCCCTTCCCGGGGCCCTGGCAAGCTGGCCCCCTCCCAAGCCAGACAAGTCTCAGTCCAGACTCTGGAGTGACAAGACCCGAAACAGAAAAGAAATGGTGCATTCCTCGCTCGACGAGCTGTGACATGCGAATTCCCTTTTTTATCCATGGCGGCCAATTAGCGCGTTCCCGTATCGTCCCCCCTCTCTCCGAGCCGGGGCCACGGATCTGCTCGTGGCTATGGCCGAGTTGGGATCGCAAGGCCAAGAACCGGGTTTTGCGCATGTCCAGGAATGGCATTCAGGAGATCCAGGAGATCCAGGGCTAGGCTCGGTACCGGAAAGAGGGAGGGGCCCCTTCTGGAGAGTAGAGGAGCAGAGGAGCAGAGGAGCAGAGGAGCAGAGGAGCAATTAGCAGTCTACAGGTTCGTACATACAAGTAATTAGGGTGGGAGGCTGCAGAATCCACGCCAAATCCACCTTGAGCTGGGGCCTTCCAAGGGGTGGCTTGGGGCAGTCCAATAGTACGTCCTTGGTACCTGGCTAACGAAGCAAAGCGTCAGCGTATTCCAGGTCCCATGTCCGTAGCCCATGTCCGCAGCCCATGTTCGCAGCCCATGTCCCGAGTCCCGCTCTCCACGTTCCACGCGACTCCACGGCCCTCGCCCTGGACTCTCCCAATCCCCGTCCCCAGCTTGCCAGTCCAGCCAGCCTGGATACGCATCGATTAGCCGTAAGCAGCTCGCGGCACAAAGTACCTTCCGAAAGGCCATGCAGCACCCGCGCTCCCCCTCAGGTTGTGCGTTCGTACTGGCCTCTAGTCGGCGCAGGGGGAAATCATCAGGCGCTCTGCAGCAGCTCGCGGGAAACTCTGTATCCACCTCACATCCCACATCCGCTCTCCTCGTCGTCGGCCCTGAGCTTTTTGTCCAGCTGAGCCAGCGGGTTGGGAAACAGGCAGCTTCGACGCACAGCCGGCGCACAGCTCGCCTGCTGGACCCTGGTCGTTCTCGGGCTGGAGCTGTGAGTCGGGCTAATATGCTCTCACTTGCGAACTGAACCAGGCTTGGAGGAAGAAAGAAAGAAGGAAATATCTGAACAATAGAGAGTATCCGTCTCAGCAGTCCTGGTCCCGTCTGCCTCTATCTCTCCCACCACTCTCTCTTCTCGCGGCACCGGCGCCTCTTCTCGTATCCCCCTCCTCTGTCCCTCCTTCTGGTTTCCTAGCCCAGCAGGCCAATAAGTGACGACGATAACGACAGGCCAGCTAGCAAGTACATAGTAGACAGACGACGTCAGTACCACGGTAGCCCACTGCCAGTTCCAAGCCCCTCCATAGCTTCCAGGTTGTTGTACTAGGCGGATGGATGGATCCTTTGCTGTTTCTGCTGCCGGTGCCCCTGGCCCAATCACGCCCCTACTACTCTGCTACGACGTACTACGACGTACCTGTCACCTTCCCCTCGCTCCCCCTCGTCGCTTTTTAGTCGTGCTACCGGATCGCGTCGTCTCATTTCCTGGTGGCCTTGCCCATCCTGTCTGTCTTCGCCGTCGACCTATTCCCCTTTCTCTTTCTTTCTAGACCCGACTGCAGACCGCCTTTGGAGCTTGCGGAACGCAATCGCCGTCTACAGTACTCGGTACATACCTACCTACCTACCTTACCTTACCTATTGCTCCTCATCGTCGTTTGCTGCATTAGTTAATTTGCCCTTCTTTCGTTCGTTCGTTTTCGTTGTCATCTTTCCATCACCTGTTTTTTCGGGGCGCTGCCCAGTCCCGTTCTCGCATCCACCAACTAATTACAGCGACCCAGCCAAATCCCCCCCGTCACCGCTGCGCCCCTAATCGGTCGATCCGGGTTCCATTCTGGGAGACAGGCTGACAAGATAAAACCCTCTGGACGACTCCGCCAGCGCAAAAGGGACTTTTCTCTTGTTTTGGCGCGCGCGTCTCACCGTCACACACCGTCGACTCTTTGGCCGGACTGTTGACGCCGTCGACCTGGGACAGGAGCACGCTCTACGGTACAGTTGGCCAGCTCTTCCAGCTATCCGCACGCCGGACGTTTTGGGTGCCGCAGTTCGAGCCCCCCCATAACCCGCCCCAGCGCCAATTGGGAATGATCAACAAGGGACAGCGTCGCGACAAGTCTCGGGGGTTCCATTCCAGCGTGTCCAGGTCCCGCTTCAGCGCTCCCGAATACCGCTGCCTGCTGCATTGCGACACTGCGTCAGCACAGGTGCAGCTACCTTAACTAAGGTACACCACCTTACGCACGCCGCACGCACATGAGTACTGCGCACCCGCTGCAGCACGGTACTTACACTGCGCACTCCACCTCGCGCCGCAGCGGAGTGACAACAAACAACTGTTTTGTTGTTGATTTGCCCGCTTGCACTTTCACTGTCACTCTCTTGCTTAATGCTCTTTGCTTATTGCTTCCAATTCTGCTCTGCTACTCGTCGCTCGTTTCCAACCCTACTTCACCCATATTTTCTTAGCTCCATCCCTCTCCCTTCCCTTGTTTGAGCGGGTGCGCATTTTGCCAATATTCTTTGCAGCCGGGCCTGCTTTTTTTTCTGCTTTGACCTCCAGCTGTCTCCCTCTCCCTCTCCCTGCAGCCGCTGCACGCTTGCCCGCTGGCCACACCACTCAGCTCTCCGCGCGGCACGCCAACTTTAATCACCCACCATCCCGAGGTCATCCGTTCCTGGACATCTCAACAAACTCACCACGCCCATCGACCACCCCGCGACGGGCCAGCTACGTCGTCCGTCCGCGCCTCTTGATGGTTCCAAGGCGTCTCTAGGAACCTCTTCACCCCGAGGGTCACCCGCAATCATGGCCTCTTCGCTGGCTTCCGACAAGCCCAGCCTGCCTGCCCCCGGCGCCGCGGTTCACGACCCCTTCGTCACGTCCACGCCCGCACCCGCCCACCACCGCTACTCGACCTTCGACCATGACCTCTTCAACGCCGGCCCTGCTTCCTCCCCGAGGCAGGCCAAGCGCGCCCTCGAGGCTCACCTCGCCGAGACCGAGCGTCGCCTCGAGGAAGCCGGGAAATTAGGCACTGCCCTGGTCTCCCAGCGCAAGACCCTTACCGAGCAACTTCAGGAGGTCGACAAGCTGCAGACCGAAGGCGAGCTCAACCCCGACCTGCGCCAGAAGCTCGTCGAGATCGAGAAGGAGTACAACAACCTCGCGAGAGAGTCCGCCAGGGCTTTTTTGCCCAAGCAGAGAGTCCCTAGTAATGAGGCCAACCCCAACTCCCCCTTTGCGCCCGAGAGCAGGAGCGGCAGGGTAAGTTTCATGCAATTTTCCGCAACCGTTCGAGTGACCAGATGATTGACACCATCTCTTGCAACAGCGTTCCGTCAGCCCATCCAAGTTCGAGAGCCAAGCTACAGGATCCCCCACCAAACTCAGTGTACCCAATCGAAAGATTCGCAATCAGCCCTCAAACCGCGTCCACGACATCGAGTTCGCCGCCGAGATTAGCACATCCCTCATCGCCCAGGTGCGCAACCTCCAAGCTTTGCTCGCCGACCGAGATGAGGAGGTCAAAGACCTCAAGTACGACAAGTCCAAGCTCGAAATCGAGTCCGAAACCTTCCAGCAGCGCGCCAAGACCCTTGACGAGAGCGAGAACCGCTACAAGGAAGAGAATTGGAACCTGGAGACGAGGCTACAGGAGCTCACCACCCAACAAAAAGAAGCTGCGGATCGCGAGAAGAGGCTTACCCACTCCCTCAACGTGACTAGCGCGGAAAAGGTGTCTGCTCAGAGGGAGCTTGACGAGGTCAGGGTTACCCACGCGCGACTGATTGAAGAACACACCGCTGCCGTCCGAAACCACGATATCGAGCTGGGAACGGTCAAGCGCAAGATTGGCATGGCTGAGGGCGAGCGTGCTTCTATGCAGCGCAGGATCGATGACCTTACTGGCCAGAACCAGGAGCTGGCCAGGGCCTTCTCTACACAGCGGGCTAGAGTCCTGTCAATGGAGTCCAACCCGCGCCCCAGCGATGACGACTTTGAATCGGGTGGCGATCAGATCACGCCTGAACACTCTCCTCCTCAATCACCGATCAAGGGCACTCCCAGGCATGCCATGCTTGAGACTGAAACCATGAAGTCTTCCCTCAACCATGCTCAGCGCACCATTCAGAGCCAGCGAGGTCTTCTCCACCGAGAGAAGACGGAGAAGCTGGAGCTCAGGCGAATCATCCAAGACCTCCGCGATGACCTAGAGAAGGCCAGGACCGAGGCTAGCGAAACCCGGGCCAGCAAACGAGCCCACAAGAAGGAATCTAGGGAATTCAAGAAGCCGCCTCGTCTCCTAGGCAGCTTCCGCTCGAGCAGGCAAGAGGTCATCCACGATGACGCTGAGTGGGAAGATCAGGGTGATATATCTCCTCGAGCATCGAGCTCTCCTCTGACTGCCAGCACTGTCATCGTCAGACACCAGGCCGGAGACTCGTTCCCTCCCACCGACGCTAGCGACCGCTTCGACACCGCCAACGAGGCCAGCGAATCAGCCTTCGAGACTGCCAACGAGCGAGGCACCGAGACCGAAGATTTCCAGACCGTCAACGAGGAGTTCTCTGGCAGCGATGCCGAGACTGAGACCGAGGGTACTACTCGTGGTTTTGGCAGCATCAGAAACCCCCCAAGTCTGCCTTCTGGCATGTCTCGACATGCTTCTCGACATTCTTTCCATAGCACCGCATCGACCTCTGCAGATGAAGATGACTTCGGTCATCTTGGGACTCCTACCGGCACACTCTCCTCTCAAAGAAGTAACCGCTTCCGCCTCAGCCGCGGCATCTTCAACCGCCCCTCAAGACAAGCCAGCGAGGAGCCCAACTTCCAGAGCAGCCCTGCCAGCTTCGCTAGTAGTGTAGGCGGAACCCCCCAGGGTGGTCAGAGCCTCTTCGCTGAGCTTCAAGACTTTGATGGTAGCGATGACGAGTCTGTTGGAGCACACACCCCGAGTCGAAGGGGTACTCGCTCTGGCACTCCCGGTTCCGTTGGTCGGCAATTCTCTCCACCACCTCCTATGCCACCCCTTCCCAAGGTTATTATGGTCGACTCTGGTGTCATGACGGATCCTGTCAAGATCGCACCAGCCCGCCTTGCAGTTGGGATGCCGACATTCCTTCACCCCGGTGCCATGGCAGATGACGATTCTGCACCTAGTTCTCCCATTAGCGTCATCACAGCGGACCGCCGGTCCATGGCTTCAGTTGTAGACAGATCTGCCGACCAGGCTGGTCCATCATGGCCTGTCGATGACCTCATCTACAGCTCACGACCGGTATCCATGTCTTATAGCGATGCCGGAGCGCAACACGATCCTGACATGGAAGCGAAGCTTGCCCAGTTCCCTGCTCCCCCAACCATGGCGCCGATTTTGCCGCCTACATTGAGCATGTCCTCGTTCGCATTCGAGAATGTGGAACCCCGGGAAGAAGTCGTGGTGCCACCTACTCCCCCAGCTCTCTCCCTTACGTCAATCTCCAACGAGAGCGTCGAGCCTGTCGCCGAACTCGAAATTCCTCCCCCGGATTTGAGCCTGACAACCATCATCGCTGAGCATCTCGAGCCTGTGGCGGAGCCTGAGATTCCTCCCCCAGATCTGAGTCTGACTACTATCGTGGCCGAACATCTGGAGCCCGTTGCGGAGCCCGAGATTCCTCCACCTGATCTCAGTCTTTCCAGCATCGTTTCGCAAAACTTTCAACCTGTGGCCGAGCCAGAGACTCCCCTGCCTGATCTCAGCTTGTCGACCATTGTCGCCGAGGATCTCGAGCCCCTGGCCACTCCTCTGCCTGAGCTTAGCCTGACGAGCATCATTGCTGAGAACTTGGAGCCTGTTGCCGAGCCTGACGTCCCTCCTCCAGACTTGAGCTTGTCTATGATTCTGGGCGAGAATGTTGAGCCTATTGCTGAGCCAGAGAAGCCCTTGCCGGACTTGTCTTTGACAACGCTTTCCGTGGCGGAATTGGAGCCAATCGCCGAGCCAGAGACTCCTCTCCCAGAGCTGACTCTGACAACGGTATTGGCCGAGCAGTTAGAACCTGTGAGCGAGCCTGAGATACCTGCGCCGGAGTTGAGCTTCGCGACAATTGCTGCCGAGGAACTGGAGCCATTGGCCGAACCCCAGACGCCCCCTCCAGCATTGACATTTACGTTGGTTATTACCGAGGCTGTCGAACCCGTTCCTGAGCTTCAAGCTCCAGCCCCGACTTTGAGTCTCTCCACCATCTATGGGGAGTCTGTTGAGCCTGTGACTGAACCGGAGGTCCTGCCCATGGTCGTGGTGCCTCCCCGTCCGTCATTAAGTATGTCGAACATTTCACACGAGCATATCGAGCCAGTCGCCAGGAAGGCGCCAGAACTCAGCATGTCGACAATTTCAAGAGAGCATGTGGAGCCTATCTCACCTCCGGAACCCGTTGTTGTTCCTGCACCAGAACTCAGCATGTCAACCATTATCGGCGAGCATGTAGAGCCAGTAGCTGAGCCTGAGCCTGTCATCATCCCTGCACCAGCACTTTCCCTGTCGACCATCCTAGGAGAGCATCTTGAGCCTGTTGCGGAGCCTGAGCCCCCTGCTCTCGAGCTGAGCATGTCAACCATCCTTGGAGAGCATGTGGAGCCAGTTACTGAGCCGGAGCCGGAGCCGATTGTTCCAGAGCTCACCATCTCGTCCATCCAGGGCGAACACATTGAGCCTGTTGCACTTAAAGCACCGGATCTTGCACTGTCCTCCATTGCCACGGAACATGTCGAGCCGATCATGGAGCCCGAAATCATTGTTCCTCCTGCTTCGCTAAACCTATCATCAATTTATGCGGAGCACTGCGAGCCAAGGGAGGAGCATCAACCTATCCCGGCTCCAGTTAAGCTGGCCTACTCAGATCTCTCCACGGAGCAGGTTGAGCCCTTGTCTGAGCCTTTGCCCCTTCCTCCATCCCTTGCCTTGTCATCTATTGCCACTGAGAACGTCAAGCCTGTTCTTGAGCCTTTGCCCCCGTTGCCTACTCTGGTAATGTCGTCAATCGCTGCGGAAGGGGTTGAGCCAATCGCCCCTGTACACAAGAAAATCAGTGCCCCAACTTTTGGGTTCTCTGCCATTGAATCCGTCGAAACACAGCCCGTTTCGCCTCGAATTTGGAGGGATGGATTTGTTCTCCCAAGAGATATGAACTCCGCCTTCGTTGAGAGAGATATCCCTGAGACACCAACTCACCGATCGCTTGGTCGCACCAAGCAAAGAGATGCTTCGCCCATCATTGCTGAAGACGAGACGAGGCAGTCCCCTCGGGATACGCCAGGTGCAGAAACACCCGAGTCCCAGAAGCCGTTCAAGGAACTATCGACCAATTCCAATGCCCGCCCACTCCGCAAGCCTCTCCCGACTAGCGATCAAGGTGCACAGACTGCCCTGACGGCCGATGCTATCGATTCCATGTTGAAGGCTCGGTCTCAACCCGCCTTTAGCCCTGAGAAGAGCATGTCAGTTGCTAGTTTCGGAACGCCCGCAACTACTGGAACCTCTGGCACTGTCAGAATCCGCCGATCACAAGAAAGCTTCGGCAGTCCTAGCCGCAACAAGGGAAAGCTGGTTGATCGTGCGTTTGACTCTAGCCCTGTTCGCAGACCTGGTAGCGCTACCAGTGGAAGGACATCCATCTATGATGCTCCTCCTCTGCCTGCAAACCACCGCCAGGCTATCGAAGCCGCGCGAAGTGGCTCGTCGAACGGTGTGCAGAGCAACATGGGGCCGCCTCTCTGGCCCGCGTCTGTTCTCAAGCAGCGACCAAGCACGCCGATTCAGAGCGCATCCATGTTGTCTACCCGTACCACACCAACCCCTCGTGCTGTACGAAACGGAGCTTATGACAGCCTGGAAGTCCATACGCCCCAGAAGCTTAACGACGCGTCGAGAAAGTCTTCTGTGTCATCCTTCGCGTCCGAACTCGATTCTCGGTTCAACATGCGTCCTGGTGAGATGGGGATGGCTGGATTCGGACCTAACACGGATCCTCGCATGATTCAAGCCATCACCCAGACCATGATTGGCGAGTACTTGTGGAAGTACACCCGCAAGACTGGCCGTGGCGAGATGTCAGAGAACCGACACCGCCGGTACTTCTGGGTTCACCCGTACACGAGGACCTTGTACTGGAGCGACCGGGATCCCTCCACTGCTGGACGTGCTGAGCTGAAGGCAAAGAGTGTTCCGATTGAGGCTGTTCGGGTTGTGACTGATGACAACCCGATGCCTCCAGGACTCCATCGTAAGAGCTTGGTGATCATTTCCCCTGGAAGAACCATCAAGTTCACTTGCACGACCGGTCAACGACACGAGACTTGGTTCAACGCCCTCTCGTATCTGCTAATCCGCACCAACAACGATGCCCAGTCTGATATCGACGAGATGGGAGGCAACATTACTCGTGAGGATGTTGATGAGTTCAACCCTCAGGTTGGTCGACGTGTTACAAATGGCACTCGACCTCAAGCTCCCCCCTCTCTGTCTTCATATAACTCCCGTACGACCCGCAACGAGTCACCTGCTGTCGGCATGTCTATGAACATCCCAACTCTGGTCCCCACGCCACACAAGACGCCCAAGCGTCCATCGATAGGAACGCTGAACAAGCTCAGCGGCTACTGGAAAGGCAGTCAGCTGTCGGGCACTTTAACTCGACGCGGCCGGACCGTCAGTGGACAGGATGTCAGCATTTACGAAGCGAGTGAGGCCCACGATAGTGCCGAGGACCTGCGAGAGATGATCGAGCGCCAAGATAGGGAATCGGACCGTCTCGAGAATGTCCGGGCATGCTGCGATGGTGAGTTCCTCCGTATAATAACGTTGATTGAGAATCGATTGCTAACCCAGTCTCTAGGCAAGCATGATGTTGGCACTCTGCCACACCTTATTAGCAAGCGAGGCCGTCCACACAACAACCACACCCATTCCCATCCAGGAATCTTGACCTCGACGCCCATGGCATCTATCCGCTCTCGGGCGTAAACCTGCCAAGCTCAATCTTGAATGAAGTCACCGCGAATCAAACCAACAACTGTCATCCGTGGCTCCAACATATTCTTCGCGTCATTCGTTAGACCAACTTACCAACTGTTATGACCACAACATCCTCACGGAAACTTTCACGATACTGATGATTTCTTTACAACGCTTGTGTCCTCGCTATAGAACCAGGATCACAGCTTATGAGTCGCCTTGGAGGCTTTAATCCAAACACCAGCCAAACCTACTGGCCTACGACGTGTCACGTCTTTTCCTTTTACAATTTCCTACCCTACACTGTCAAACTCAAACCAAAAACCGGAAAGAAAAAAAATCACAACCAACAGTCACCACCAAAAGATGTCGTGGCAATCCTTTTTGTTTTGGTCACTTTTAGTTGAACCTGCGGCGGGGAAGTCAGGGGCACAGGGGAGTTTGTCTTTCTGACAAGGAGGTGGTGCTATTACTATGCCGCCCCTTGGATGTACTACGCGGTGTCTTGTTTCTATACAAGTCGCCTGGTGTAATGCTATTGTGGCCAGGTTCTGTCTTTTTATGCAAGCAACACAACACACAACAATGTCTTTTTTTTAGGGGAACAGATTGCGCTATGTCAAGATACCAGGTGGTAGATGGACAGCCGAGTGGGTGTGGGATGGAGTGGAACGCGCAGTTAGAGATGATGGGCTACTGGAGATGGTTGCATCGGAGAGTACTGATGACTGAATGATACGTATCTTTCTTACTCTTGCATGAGGCTCCGTCGCGATGCAGTGATGTTCTGAAATGGATATGTGCGCGTGCCGTCAACCAACGACATATGCAGGCGGATGGATGCGATAACCCACCGTCTTTCCAAGACACAGAGGCAATACTTTGGATACATGACTGATCCAAGTAGGTACCTACTGTGGCTGCCACGGCTGGAATGTCGGCGAATGCCATGGAGGTACTTCGTACTGGATTATGGACGGGTCAATCCCTGATCCCAACAGGACCTCTGATTGTAATTCGACCTCCTCCGTCTTGTTTACTCTTTTCCCGTGATATTTTTGGTAAACTCTCTGTACACACCTTCCCCCTGTTCACAGACAAACACGTCGAGGGCCAGACCGGGGCCATTATGCGGTGGCCTCGAACATGCATCTGTGACCAGACAGCCGATCTCGATGGAGGCCCAACGCGCGCAACTAAAAGTAAGTCGACGGAAGGAAACAGAATATTGGATCACGCTGCCGGGAAGTACACTCTCTCGCGGCATGTGGCGTTCGTTCACACCCTCAATTTTTTCACGGGCGGGATGGAGGGTGGGAATGGGAGATGAGGCTGCGTGCTGCATGGTTCGTGGTGGGCTGGGAATAATGGCGGGATGGGTGTTGATATCTCGGTGTGAAGCTACCACTGATACTAGCTATATTGGATTCATTTTCAACGGCGGCTCCTCTGTATTCTCCGGCGATTGGCGACTTCAATTCTGACCGACCGGCCTGACCGACAAGAGGGGCAAAGGCAAACAAGCTGCAGGCTCCCCAGGCTCTGCAAGCTCTGCAGAAAACAGACACGGCCATTGATAACTGTCCCAGAAGCAAACACCGACTGCTTCGCTGTAATGTTTCAGTTGCCTAGAGCGACTTTGACGCACTGCACGACGAAGGGGGTCGGGATATGGGCATACAATGACGTCTGTGGCCGACTTGACACGGGCTGAGATGACACGGGCTGAAAGACGGGACAGGAGCCAAGCCGGCCTACGGGATGAGGTTGGGAAGCTCAAGCGTGGGAAGAGACATGGCGGTCGAGGTGATTGAGGTGAGGGGAAATTGATGGCTTGGAATGCGGTTAATACAGACACGGTACACGCATACACCCAGGATATCGAGCGCTCTAGAGAGAGGGGTTTGATGAGAAATAGGGCTTGTTATGCGGCCAAGACATGGACAATGGACAAAAGAACACCTCGACCGCTCGAGATGGTCGAGGGGAGATTCGAGGCTTGCAATGCGGCTAAGACATGCGGAAAACTATTTGTCGAGCGAGGTGTTGGAGGGGAAATCAATGAGAGAGGGTTGGAATGACGCCAAGATATGCATGATAGATGTCGGGAGCTGAATGCGTTGGTTGAGAAACACGGCTAGCAGGGAGCAACAGCAAAAAGCAAAAGCAAGCCAGCCAACGATGCAGGGTAAAGCCAAAGAGGTTGTTGTCTCTGCCTTGTTCCACGGTCCCAGGGAAATGAAATGGGTGTGTTGACTTGGTATGGAGTTCATTTAGCATGGAGTTGAGTTAGCATGGTGTTGACTTGGCGATAGACTCGACTGAAACCGCCTCAATCGGTGCATCCCAGCCTGTGGTGTAAGTCGAGCCGCGAGACAGGCGGGATAGAGTGCAGCCACCACGAGAGACAAAGATCGTCCAGGCCCTTGACCGGTGGTTCTGCCGGTAGTTCTAGCCAAGCCCTGCCACGTAAGTAACCCCCTGTGGCCCCCTAGGGGGGGGGGGGGGGGGGAGGGGAGGGGGGATCCGAAACAGCGGCGGGCTCGGTGTATGCGGTGTGGGTTTGCTGGTTTGCTGAGGCTGTCATCGCCCTGCAGCCGTGGGCCGTCTTCTTCCAGCATGTCTCCGGCGTCGACGAAAGCCACGGTCCACCAAATGGTCATCTGCGCGGCCTGTTGCAGGCGCTGAGAGCGGGCTGGGCGATGTGCATCCGGCCGCTGCGGGCAGCAATCACTTGATGCCGGATGGAGGTTGGAAAGACACGGGACGGCTGATGCAAGGCGAGGGAGAGGGAGAGGGAGACAGACACCTGGAGATAGCGCCTGGTGAGTGTATCTTGGGCCCATCTGGGTGAATGACGTTGGGAGTTCTTCACGCTGCAAGGGCTATACGTCAAGGCTCCGCAGCTCCAGTAGAGGCTACACTGACTACAGAGACTACAGAAACTACAGCGGACTCGACAGCCCTCACAGGCGTCTATTGAGCTGGACCCCGAGATTTGGAAGCGCAGCGTAGAGGGGGGGGCTCTCGAGTCTAGACCGCATTTCCACGGTATACGCGCAGCCGATCACACTCGATCACTCGCATGGGGCAGCCAATAGCGGCGCCATGTCCCACAGTTCTATCAGAAATGACAGCTGGGATGGGTGCGGGCCGTTGGGGCCTATCAGTGGACTCCCCCGAGCCGCATTTTCGAGGCTTGCGCAGTCGAGGACGCAAGGAGCCATGTGTGGCGGTTTGGCGGCATGGAGGAAGGGGACATAGCGGCCAATACGGGGCCCAGCCGAAATGCCACAATAGCGGTCGCGGGCGGTCGCGGGCGACGAGACTGAGCGTACACCTAGGTGTCCTCGGAGGGATCCTGAGAGGGATCCTAGAGTATTGGGGGCGATCGACATGTCGCATACACCCCCAGCTTCGCAGTCTTCCGGGAGGTCGGGAGCTCATGACTCCGTCCCCGCCGTCTTGGAGGGTACGGCACGGATACCAGACCAAAAGTTGGCGCCTGTGTCTCTGTCCGTCTCCGGATTGAGCGACAGATTGCATTCAGGGATAGTCCCCCCGGGTAGGCGTGCGAGACTCAAAGAGTGTGTCGATGCAGGCAACTAGAGACGTTGTTTGGCAACACTGCGTCAGTCTATCAATCAGTCAGTGACACCAGCAATCTCCAGGCACGCTGGCAAACTCCCCCCCCTAGTGATCGCCTTTGCTCTCACACCGGGATATGCGAATCAGGGCAGCTGCGGGCATCATTGGCCGCGGTTATCTAGCTCTGCCGGATAGCTGGGTGCACGCAACTAAACTCGTTGTTTGCCATCAGCGTCTAATGCAAGAGGCCCGTCCGAGGAGTCATGTCATGCCGTGATGTTTGCTTGAAGTTTTGAAAGACGTACTCGTCCGCACGCCTCTTCTTGCCTGTACTCTGTGGGATAAATGTCGTCGTGTCTGCCGTCTGAGAAGTGAATCAAAGCACACTCTCTTGTCTTTCTCCATCCCAATTTACCATTCTCATTCTCCATTCTCCGGCGACTTACACTTTTTTGAACTTCATCCATCATCTGTGACTCGTGAGTTTGCACAATTGTCGTACCAACACCACTCTTGCTTGTACTGACCCAGGTAACAAGCAGTCTTTCTACACAACGCCACGTCCTTTGTTCCGAGTCCACCCAAGTACAAGCATCATGTCCGACATGTGGGGCTTCGATGAACTCCTTTGGGGGTTGCACGAGGAAGAGTCCTCCGACGAGGAGCAGTGGGACCAGCCGGTGGACGGGCAGCAGTGGCACGTCCAGCGCGTGGACGAAGATGAGTACGACCAAGATGAGTACGACGACGATGAGTACGACCAAGACTCTGTGGATTTGTGCGGAGACTTCTCCGACGAGGAGGAAGACGAACAGCACTTCGACCCAGAGTGGGCTGCTGGTGAGATGCTTGACCAACAGATGGCGGAGCAGTGGATTGGTGACCTGTATGACGAAGACGACTGGGACAACGAGCCCATCGAGGACGAGGACATGATCATCGATTACTTCGAAGAGTCCTGCAACTGCCCTGCCTGCGTCGCCCAAGCTTCTTCTTGTAAGTCATCAGATGCCTATGCTATTGACTGCGCTCTAAACCCGACTTAGAACTTTGAACGCTGGCTTGCACGACGGCCAGACATGGCGCTTGGGTATTGAGGGAGACCAAAACAATTGGCGAGACGGACACTGGGAGACACTCTTTTGGACTTTTCCTTCTTTTTGATGCGTGTGAGGGGGACAAAACAATCGGCGAGACGGGCACTGGGAGACACTCGTTTGTACTTCTCCTTGTTTTCGATGCGTGCGAATCTGAATACACGACAGATCTTTTTTCCTTGCATCCTGCAGTAGCTGATTAACATCGTGATACCGTTTTCTACAACGTGACAACCAGCGAAAAATACCAGTAGTGTTTCAAGTCGAGACGGCTGGGATTTGTCCAGGCCATAAATGAGTTCGTCATAGTGATGGGATGACTTACATGCACCCATGATTCCCGTCCTCCCTCCACAGGGGCCAGTCCTCGTGTTACTGGAGTCGCTCGCCCATTTAACTTTGCGCTGTAGACCCTCCAACGCGGGCCAAACTTTTCCACCGCTCAGCGGGCGACCAGTGGGCGAGTTGCAGCGGCGCAGCGCGCTGGCGGGGGCCTAAACGGGTACCCGGCGTGCCCTGTAATTAGCGGGGAAGCCGCCTAGGACTACCCGTAGCTCCGGCTGGTCGCCCTGGAAAATCCACCGAACTTACAGGGCCTAATTCCAGCGCAATTACCCCACCACTCGCCCAGAGGTGGGTTGGTGGGGGGGCCGCCAAAGTTCGTCGCCTGGGTGGTAGAGAGCCCAGGCAACCAGCGCATCACATGACGTAGTCAGACAGCTCCTCCCCGGCAGTCCGGCTTACTGTGGTACAGGCGGCCACTAGCCCAGTGCGGCCGCCCCATGATCAACATCACGGTTGTAATAATGAACACATCGCCGTCGAACCTTTGAACCGCCTTCTCCCCTCTCCGCAATCCCTCCGATGCTGCTCTCCGACGCGCACTCTCCCAGCTAGCAAGCAGTCAGGCCCCAGGAGCCGCCCGCGCCGTTGCTGTCCCGCCGTCTCCGCGCCGCATCGCATCGCATCGCCGCCGAGGGCCCGCCGGCTCCGAACTCCGGACATGATGGCGAGCTGGACGTCTCTCCTCGTCGCCTACCTCGTGGGCGGCGTCACCTTCATCCCGCTGGCCGTGGTTGCCGTTCTCGCCGTCGGCTTCTACGCCCTCCCCGAGCGCGGCCATGCAGACGCGGCCCAGGCCGATCGTGTTGACGATATTGTCTTACCCGGCGACGACACCACCGACCTCGATGCCGCTAAGAAGGCCGCCAAAGACGGAGCCAAACCCCGCGCCAACAACGACCTCGACGTCGCCGCCGGCTATTTTGCCGTGTGTCGTGAATACACGCCCATGGGAATCAACGCGAAGCCCATCGAGCGGTCCACCCCGGTCGGTTCGACTACGGTGGCCTCTCCGAGCCCCAGCGTCTATCAGACCATGTATCGGAGCATCTTCGAGCGGAAGCCCACCCCCGGGCCCCTGGACAACAGCCCCAACAACACCAGTGTTAGCCAGAGGCCCAAGAAGGCCGGCAACGTCTTCTACGTGGTCCTAAGGTTGGTTCGACCCTGTCCGCGCCTCATGTAAGCACGCTCCTAACAGTGCCCAGACACGGCCACCTCATGCTCTTTGACGACGAGGAGCAAGTCGAAGTTCGACACGTCATATCGCTTGCACACCACGAGCTCAGCATCTACTCTGGCGGAGGAAGGACGCTCGAGGGCGAGCTGTTCATCAAACGCAATGCGCTGTGCTTGTCTAGGAAACAAAACAGCCCCGATCTCAGCCCCGACAACCAAGTCTCCAAGCCCTTCTACCTGTTCTCGGAGAACTGCTCGGCCAAGGAGGATTTCTATTTTTCCCTCCTCAAGAACCAGGAACTGACCTTTGGTACCGACAAAAAGGGCCCTGTGCCAATGCAATTTGATGTAAAGAACATCATTTCCCTTGTCCAAAAACTCCACTCCACCGAAGAAAACATACACTCAAGGTGGATCAATGCGCTTCTGGGGCGAGTCTTCCTGGGAATCTACAAAACGCGCGATCTCGAAAACTTCATCCGCGAAAAATTGACCATCAAGATTTCTCGAGTCAAGCGCCCATCTTTCCTCACCAATGTCACCATCCAAGAAGTAAATACGGGCGAGTCGGCCCCGTACTTTACCAACCTGAAACTGAAGGACCTCACCGTCGAGGGCGAGTGTGTTGTCGAGGCCGATGTCAAGTACACGGGCAACTTTCGAATCGAGGTCGCAGCCACGGTCAAGATTGACCTGGGGACCAGGTTCAAGGCTCGTGAGGTCAACCTAGTGCTTGCCGTGGTGCTCAAAAGGGCCGAGGGCCATATGCTCTTCAAGATCAAGCCGCCACCCAGTAATCGGGTGTGGTTTGCGTTCCAGACTATGCCCAAAATGGAGATGGCCATCGAGCCCATTGTCAGCTCTAGGCAAATCACCTACACCGTCATTCTCCGGCAGATAGAGAACCGCATCAAGGAAGTAATGGCCGAGACGTTTGTTCTGCCGTTCTGGGACGACGTGCCCTTCTTCAAAACTGAACACAAAGAGTGGAGGGGAGGCATCTTCGAGGGCGATGATGCGACTGTCCCATCCGAAGAAGCGGAGATCGCTGCCGCGCAGGCTGGCAATGTCGCAGCTGTACATCAGCTCGATGAGGGCTCAGACGTGGCCGAAGAGACTCGGCCCTTGGAGAAGAGTCATACTATACCCGTAATGGAATCACCGCCAGTCCCGACGGGACTATTCGGTCGGAAGCTGAACAAGGCCCAGACCAATTTGCCTGCAGCATCCGCTTCCTCGACCAGTGTTGACTCCAAGGGAACGAGCCCCAGCCCTTCCCTTTCGCCCAAGATTACCAGGAAGGCAACGGAGCCAATTGTTGGGACCGACGCGGCTCATGCCGACATCTTCAAGCCGTCCTCGTCCCCTCCAGACCACGCAACCAACTACATGGCAGCACTACATTCACGCTCGCAAGATGCCTCACCACGACCCGCCACCGCAGATCCACCCGCAAGGCCTTCGCCAATTGTACAGCATTCCAGCGGGTCCTCGTCATCTTCGAAGGAGGCACTGGATAGCGACACCCAAGAGGACTATAACAAGACACCACTTGCGACGGGCCGTCGTAACACGACTTCGTCGGCTGGGTCCAGTACTTTCTCGGATGAACGGGGCAATGTCTCAACTCCGGCGTCGATCAAGGAGTCTGTCAAAAGCCAGACCGGATCCCTAGGGCGGAACTTTTTCATGCGGCGTGAAAACTCGGAGATGTCAGTGTCGGATGCCTCAGTCAATAGCGACTCGTCTCAAAAGCGAAACACTCTGGCTGCTGTCACGAATGCGGCTGCCCAAGCAAGGCAGTGGGGATGGAACGCTATCCAGCGACAAAAGGAAGCACGACGCCAAGCTGAACAGGCCAACCACGTCGACCTGAGTCAACCGATGGGTCGCGGCCAGCCTCTGCCTCCCCCCGGAACACCACTCCCACGGCCCACGAATGGGATGACCAAGATCTCAGCCCCTGTTCCAGTCCCGGCCAGAAGGCCAGGGAGTGGCCAACCATCGGCTAGGACTTCTGTTGAGTCTCTCGAGTCTCACCACGAGCATCGGCCTCCACCACTGCCTTCACTGCCTCAGCGGAGACGACGCGGTCAAAGCCATGACTTTGGCGCTGTCCCAGAAGTGAGCGAAGGGCCGAATATTCTCGTCGTCGCGGCCCCCAGCGACTCCCAACCAAACACGCCACTGACTGAGGACCAACCGTCCTGGACGGGCGAGTCTAGCGATGGTCAAACCTTGGCGGGCAGCGAGCCGTCTAGGCAGGTATCAGATCTCACTCAAGCGTCTTCCATCGGCGAGAAGGATGAGGATGGTTCACATAGCCCGATAGAGGCCCTCCCAGCCTCGTCCACTCCGGACGATGACGACGATGACTACTCGGGGTGGATGGACAACGACGTGCTGGAAGTGGAGATTAAGGAACCAATCCCAGCACCGCTTCTGCAGGAAGTCAAGTAGCAATAGACGCGAGGGTAATCTTTTGGGAACGGAGTTCTAGGCCAAGCCAAGCTCATGTTGGGGAGCACCCAATCCCGAGCAGAAATAAACATGTCAGCGGTCGCGACCTGCGGTGCTAGGAATACCAGACAAAGTGGCGTTTTGGTTATGGAAGGGCTAGCCGGATGGCCAGTAAGACAATAATGTACAAAGCAGGGGGACTGAATACAAGTTGGTGTTGCTGGTACCCGTGGGCTGGGCCTATCTTTCCCAAAGCTGCCGTCATATATGACAGATGAGCTTTGGGAATAACGTGTTTTGCTTTTTGCGAGCTGGTCAGACTCGTGGACCCCGCCATCTTCAGGCGAGAACATCTGGCCGTTTCTCGGCGGCTGGGGGACGGGCTGGAAGCAGAGACAAAACTCCCTTGCAGCGGGCTGAGGAGGGGTTCCCTCGGGCGGATTGTCGCCGTCGTTCGCCGTGTCGGAAGCGTCTCGAGGGAGGTCGCGATGCCAACTGAGCTCGTGTCTCTCCCACGCCGGCAGCCCAAGATCTACTCTCTACGCTCTACGCTCTACGCTTTCCCTCCCACACCGTTGCAGCGATCCGACGCTTACGCAGGGCATCTCGGATATGGGCCTGAATAGATTGATCCGGATCGCGTCAACCCAGTCCCTCCTCCGCACCTGTCTCGAAACTAATGCACCCTCCTAGGTGATCCCCCACGTTTAAACCGAACTCGGCCTTGCGATACTCACACCCCCCTGTTGGTTAGTTTTCTCCCTCTGCCTCCTGATTGAGACGACACAAGCCAACATCAAGCCCATTGGTGAGCGCGCCACAGTTGGCTGGCCTGGGGGCGTATGGTTGCTTCTTGCTGCTGGGTCACGGCCAACAATGGGACGCATGGTTGCTTCTTGGAGGGCTCCCGTGTCCCGACAATGAGAGACTCGCCCAACTCGCCCCCGTCCTCCATTTCTCGCTGAGCTCGCTGCAATAAATACAGTCGAACCCCGTTTGTCGCTCCGCTTCCCTTTCTCGCAAGCAGCAACCCGCAAGCTAGTAGCCCGACCTTGCTCGACTACTACACACTACAGCACTCCTCCGCGACCCCACAGCCCATCATCCACTGCCTCCACAGCCCACCCACCAGCCCATCCCTAGCCATGGCTTTCAACGACCGCTACGACAGCAGCGCCATCGACAGCGATTCCGATTGGGAATCCGATGGCCACGACGAGATGGTCCGCAGCTTCCAGCGCGTCCCCTACACCAAGCCCCCAGCTAGGGCCTCCCTCATCTCCATCGAGATGGCCGGCGGCATGATCCCGGGAAACCCAGGCACGCTGCCGACGAATCCAGGCCCGCCGCCGTCGAATCCAGGCCCGCTGCCCACGAATTCGGGCACCCTGCCGACCAATGCCTCGGGTCCCGGCCGCCATACCCTGCGAAGGACTGGCAAGGCCACGGCCAAGTCTCTGGCGATCTCGGAGAGCGAGCTGTCCAGCTACTTGTCCAACCTGTCCATGTCGGGCTCGGGCTCGGGCTCGGGCTCGGGCTCTCAGGCGAACAGCAACAGCTCCCTCGGGGCGTCCACCACGACCGCCGCGACCTCGCAGTCGAACAGCAACCCCGACGAAGGCTGCTTGATGATGGCGAACCGGCGTCCACGCAAAGAGCCGGCGGCCGAGTCCGAGTCCACCACGAAGTTCCTCACGCAGCCTGCGAATACCCCGGTGATCAAGATTAACTCTCCGAAAGTCATTCGACAGGAGATGGTCAAGAGGGAACTATCAGAATCCTTACGCCTGAGCATGATCTGGGAGCGGTCTCATAAGAACGCCACCGCAAACGCCGTCCTCAAGCGTCGACACACAGCGCCCAACGTGCGCCATCTGCGACGACAGCGCAAGTTTTCCCGTCCGAGTGCCAACATGAGTTGCCAGGAGCTCCAGATCATTCGAAACGGATACAACGACAAGGGCTGGTGAAGTGCCCCAGGCCGTTACACCAGATGATCAAGGTCATGTGATATGGATCGTGAGCCACGACTAGTGTTGTGCGCTCTGCGAGGGCAAGCCAACCGTGGCACAAGCAATAGATTGATGAAGGTCATGTGACATGAACGCGAGCCATCATGATTAACGATGTGGCTGTGCGGGTCAAGCCACCAGCCACCGGCGCGTGGCACAGGATTTGGGATTTGGGATTTGGGATTTGGGTATGATTTTCGCAAGGGACATCCATGACTAATAGGTCCCAGCCACAGGGGACACTTATTACTGCTATGTAAAGTGGTGGTGGGTGGCTGAGTGGACGAAGCCACTGAGCACTTGTGGCACAGCGCCATGGGTTGCTCAATGCTACCCTACAGCCATACCCCGGCGAGTATTTCAGGGATTTGGACCTGGCGACGATTGAATTTGCGATTCGCCAAGATGGACACGGCTGCTTGATGAGGTATGGGCGGGAGGATTTGTCTTTTGAGTGGCATTATGCCCAACGTACCGGCCGCGCTTCGGGTTGCAGCAGTATTAATCAGATCGCATGTTATTGCTTGTCAACCACCAACCAGAATGCCTCCCATTCGTCGCGCTTTGTCTCTTTCCCCTTCTCTCGTAGAAGCATTCACCGCGAGCACTCGTAGCCACACCGTCGGGTTTGCTACTGCGGCCTCGTCATCGGGGACTCATCGCAGACAGCCAAGGCCGAAATGGAAATTTGGAGGGCCTCGCGACCGTTATTAGCGTACGCGTTAAGCGGAAACAGGGTCCAGGTGGTGTGGAGGACGGGGGGGCAGCCCTGAGCGGCTTTCCAGATAAGGAACCCGCTACTGCACAGTCAGCTCTGTCATGGGTTCCCAGCCCTTGCAGGCATCGTGGTCGGGACTGCTGTTGGCTGACAAGTCCTTATTCCTCTTTCGTTCTTGTCTGCTTGAGAGCCGACAGGCCATCAGCGCCACCAAAGTGTACGGGTGTGCTGCTCTGGCGGTGGTGATGTTGGAACTGAGCGCACAAGGCTGCAGTAGGAGTTGGAATAGGAGACGGTTGGAGAAAGCGGAACAGGGGCAATGGCACTTTGGTGAGGCGGTTGAGGTTGACCATGGTACTGCCATTCTTTCAACTAGAACAATACACTCGCTTTGACACTGAAAGGTTGAAATAATTGTATATGTATTGACTAGGGTTAAAAAGCGGGCTGTTAGGACTCGGCTTATTCCAGGGCACTCTCCACCCATGCCCATGCACCTAAACACTCCGATGGTAGAACAGCCGGGAATATCTTCTGACCCTGCCTTATGCACGAGTCGATATAACACTTTGAAGAGTGTGTAATATTGGTTGGAAAGCAATCGAACCAGCCGAGAAAATCGCCACATGATACATCATCTCGGCCTTGTCCCATTCTTCTGGCTCGAAGTGAATTTTGTGACTGAATCCTACCCTAGAGGCGGCGAGAATCCTTCTGCCAAGAGCCGGCCAGATGCTCCACCCAGGCGTCCAGACTCAGCAAGTCTGCCTTGCTTGTCTCCAGACCTGTCCCCTGGCATGTCCGGTTCCCCGCTGCCCAGCTGGTTGGGTCCCCCAGATGGTTGGGTGGAGCAGCGGGTTAGCGGGTTGCTTCCAGCAGCGAGCCAGCAGTCGACGTACTGTAAATTCACTGGACTGCAGGATGCTTCCAGCGCTGTACTGCGGGTCAGTCGCTGTATGGCCCCCTGTGGTCCAGGGCCTGGTTACGAACGAGATCACCAAGGGGATACAACAGGCCTTTCTCAGAGTCGTTCGAGGAATGGCTCGAGAGCACAACCAACGACATATCTTGTCGGACACAATTTCAATTCTACACCCAGGGGTCATAAAGCAGAGCGCGGCCGGACGAGGAAACGCAAGGCTGATGCGAGATGCACCCGTTTACCCAGGACATTTAACAGTAGGCGGGAATTGGAAGACTGCTGTACCAGCGCTGAGGCGTCTGCAGCAACCGAAACGACTGGACAGTCCTCCCCCCAGAGCAGGGCTGGTCAGAATGGTGCAAGAAACTACATTTATTTCGCAGCAAGCATCACTTTCGACGATTAAGCGGCCCAATTGATGAAGCATTGTTAAAAAATCGCACACGATGGTTCCCCGGAATATTCTTCTAAAAAAGGCATCGGTCATCCCATCAACCATTACACGTTAGACAAACGAAATGTTCTCCTGAGAAAGACCCGGCCCTCCTAACAACCATTACCCGCTAGACAAACGAAACCTTCTTCTGAGAAAGACTCAGTCATCCCATTAACCATTACCCGTTAGACAAACGAACCGTTCTTCTGAAAAAGACTCGGTCATCCCATCAACCGTTACACGTTAGGCAAACGAAACGTTCTCCAGAGAAAGACCCGGCCATCCCACCAACCGGTACACCAAAGACAAACGAAACGTTCTGTTGAGAAAGACTCGGTAATCCCCCAATCCGTTGCACGATAGACACACCATACTTTCCCTGAGAAAGGCTTGGCCATCCCCCAATCCATGGCTAAGTAGCCCAGCCAATCTCTAGCATCCTCCGACGTTCACTGAACTGACTTGGCGGCGATACGTCAGTATCTTGAGCTAAGTTTGGGTTGATGGAAGAGCTGTTGAACTCCGCAAAATCCGGTTCCGTTAGCGGATCGTCCCCTAATAGCGTAACGTTCAGCCCTCGTGGCCCCTCTGGCAGCGAGACCACGCTACTTGCTGGCGAGGTCGCTGCCACCTGCGGAGCCATCATGTTACCTATTCGCAAGATCCCTGCCTCCTCAGCCGGCACGACCACGCCGTTTGGTAGCGAGGCTGATGCCTCCTCAGCCGGAACAACCAAGTCACTTGGCAGCGAGGTCGATGTCTCCTCAGCCGGCACAACCAGGTCACTTGGTGGTGAGGTCGCTGCCTCCTCTGCTGGCACAACCAAGTCACTTGGCAGCGACATCGATGCCTCCTCAACCAACGCAACCAGGTCGCTTGGTGGTGAGGTCGCTGCCATCTCTGCCGGCACGACCACGACAGTTGGTGGCGAGACCGATGCCTCCTCAGCCGGCAAGACCACGCCATTTGGTAGCGAGACCGATGCCTCCTCAGCCGGCACAACCAAGTCACTTGATGGTGAGGCCGATGCCTCCTCATCCTCTGCCGGCACGGCCATGTCACTCAGTAGCGAGTTAAACGACCCCTGGCTACCAAACGGGCACCAATTCTGGATACCGTCTACCATCGCCTGTGGGGCAAACTCTGAATATGATAATGGTGCATATGATGACGTTGGCGGGGGAAGTTCTACAAACTCCAGGGGTTGAGGACACGGAGTTGGCCCCTCGTCTTTTGGCCCCAGATGAAATGGAATCTCATCCTGGGGTCCACCACCGAACCATGGGCCGGAAGGAAGCTGGGTCATGACAAGGCGTCCAGGAGTCGGGTTTGGCTCCCCGCGTGTTATTGCGCGAAAAGAACCATCTTGGTTCCTGTGTCCGTCACCGCACAGTTCACTGTCGAGATCGCTTTGTGTCTGCCATTCAGAATTGTGCGAGGAATGGGATTGAGGAGCCGGGGGTGGCATCCAGGTGTTTGTTGGTGTGGGTTGAACACCGTATCCGTTCCCGTGTCCCTCACCGGGAGAAGATTGCAGCGAGTTTGGCTCAGTACCGCCCGCAGATGGTTGCCAATGGGTACTTTGCAGGACATGGGTTGCAGGGACAGGAGCCATGGCTGCGTCCCCACGAAGCTCCCAAGAGCCATTCGAGGTGGGAGATGCAGAGTAGGGACTGTTATAAGCCACGGCCGGGTTGCCAGGAAGCTCCCCAGAGCCATTAGAAGTGGGAGATGCGGAGTAGGGACTGTTATAAGCCATGGACGGGTTGTCAGAAAGCCCCCCAGAACTGCTTGAGGCGGAAAATGGAGAGTAGGGACTGATATAAGGCATGGCCGGGTTGCCAGGAAGCTCCCCAGAACCACCTGCGGCGGGAATTGCAGGGTAGGGACAGTTGTAAGCCACGGCTGGGTTGACAGGAAGCTCTCCAGAACCACTTGAGGTGGCAAATGCACAGTAGGGGTTGCTAGCAACCGCGGCTGCTTCACCGCGAGGCGCCTTGGGGTCATTTGAGGTGGGAGGCGCAGACTTCGCGCTGCTAGCAGCCGCAGCCGTGTTCTTGCGACGCCTCCTAGTCTTCTTAGGGGGAGGAACTGCAGGGTACGGAGCGCCAGCAGCTGCAGCTGTGTTTCTGCGACGCTGTCTAGTGCGACTGGATGGGGGAGATGCAGAAGGGGGACTGCTAGCATCTGCAGCCGTGTTGCTGCGAAGCTCTCGAGAATCACTCGAGGAGGACGCACCGGTTGCAAACATGGCCGTGTGGCCGCTGTACTCCCTAGAACCACTTGGGGTGGGAGTTGGAGTGGGAGTTGAGGTGGGAAATGCAGAGTTCGCACTACCAGCAACCACAACCGTGTTGCCGTGAGGCTCTAGAAGAGCTCTCGAGAAGGACGCAGCAGCGGCTGCAAACACGGCCGTGTGCTGAGGCTCTGGAGATCCACTCGTGGAGGAAGCACTGCCAGCAACCCCAACTGTGTTGCTGCGACGCTCTCGAGAACCACTCGAGGAGGACGCACTGCCTGCAAACATGGCTGTGTGGCTGCTATACTGCCTAGAACCGCTTGCAGTGGGAGTTGAGGTGGGAGTTGGGGTGGGAAATGCAGTGTATGAATTGCCTGCAACTACAGCTGCGTTGTTGCGAGGCTCTCGAGGACCACTCGAGGAAGACGCACTGGCTGTAAACATGGACGTGTGCCGAGACTCTCGAGAGCTATTCGAGGAGGACTCACTGGTTGCAAACATGGCCAATGGCCCGCAATGCTCCCTGGAGCCATCTGAGGTGGGAGGTGCAGAGTTCGTACTGCCAGTCCCATGACCGCGATACTCCCTGGAGCCATTTGGGGTGGGAGGTGCAGAGTTTGCACTGCCAGTTGGGACTGGTGCAGAGGGAATCCTGGGCCAAGGAAGAAGTTCAGGCGAGTTGTTGGGACGGTGACGCCCATTTGCCGTCAGCTCCCTTTCAGCTCCACTCCTGGAGAGATTGGAGCTTGCCGAAGGTGAGCTGCTCCGGGAAGCACTCCCTAGAATCGAAGCATGGAAAACAGTCAACGGCTCAGGGTGGAAACCGTTTCTGTATGCGTCGCACAAGTCTTGGGGCATCTTTTGTCGGGCGTCTTGGAGACATGGCCGCTTCGGTGTCGGGCAATCGCTCCTGTACCGGTCGTTGTATCCGAGTTCAGACAAAAAGCTCAACTCGCCTTCGGTAATTGGGCTCGATCCCAAGACACCAGAGATGTCGTCGTGGCTGTCGACATTGTTAAATCGAAGTCTGCTCGGCGGAGGGCTGGACTTACCTGACGCGAGGCCACCAGAGCAGAAGCAGAAACTGGATGCGCACCCGGATCGGCGCTTCATCACGGACTTTCTGGCTGGGAACGTTGTTGAGGAGGAAATGCTCAAGTTCGTCGACGGCTTCTTTTGGGCACCTGAACATCAAACCCAAGGCAGGAGCTAAATGCGTGTTAGATGCGATGATGGGTTATCGACACGGTCAAGACTCACCCAAGCAGAGCAAAGCTTCCAAGGAGCAGTTTCCCCACTTCGCATACACCCTTTCGAGCATATCAGTCATCATCACCGCCATGTTTTTGACCTCGTTGGTATAGGCGTTGTTCCACTCGGGAATGCGCTTCTCCAGAGCTGCTTTGAAGACCACCCCGTGGGCGCCGACTCTTTCTTGAACGACATAGCCCAACGCAAGAAGGACATACATGACTGCCGCGAGACCGGGCTGTGACCTCGGACCGACAAAGGTTTCTCCGCGTTTGCAGAGTATACGGAGTTTTTGATCGGCGATGTCGGTGGGCGGCTCTGGCAGCTGGCAAGCTTTGAGCTTGGAAAAGAAACTGACAATGTCCCAATCCAAGTCAAGTTCTACTCTCTTGGCTTCCCATTCGTCGTCGGTGCACGGAATGCTGCGGAAGTATTCTTCTGGCCAGTAGGACCGCGAACCAAGAGGGCGTCTCGAGGGTGTGGGGGAGATTGTCTGGGGGATTGTCTGATGGATGGGGGAGTTTGTCTGATGGTAGGGGGAGACTGGCTGATGGATAGGGGGCATTGTCTGGTGGTAGGGGGATTTTGTCTGATGGATTGTCTGATTGATGGGGGATGTTGGCGGAAGGTTGGTGAAGGGTGGCTTATACATGGGGCTCCGACGGAGGGGGGATTCTGGCGGAAGGTGTATGAAGACTGGCTTAAGTAAGGGGGAGCCGGTCTTCTCGTTAGAGCAGAATCGCTGAAGGAAGGTCATTGGCTGATGGTCAGATTTTGCTTGATCGTCAGATTTTGGCTGATGGTCAGATTTTGGCTGATGGTGGGAGGAGACTGGCTGATGGATGAGGGAGTTTGTCGAACGATTGATGGCTGGCAAAGCCTGAGTCTCGCATGCTCCCTCGTTTGGGTGCACGGAGCTTGAAGCCTGGCGGCTGTTTGCCGCGACGGGAGGGGGGAACGTGGGGAGGTTCGCCGGCAGTTCTGGCGTGAAATCACCAATGCCGACAAGGTCGGGTACTAGCTCTGGGTCCGAGCCGTCTTGGTTGAAACGACCCTGGTTGCCGAAGGTCATGGTGAGTTTTGCAGAGCAGTGGGGGGAGGGGGAAGATGAATGAAGAGAGGAGATCTGGGAAGAGGGAAGAGCAGTGAAGAGGGAGGAGCAGTGAAGAGGGAAGAGCAGTAAGGAGGAAGAACAGTGAAAAAAGAAGAGTAGTATACAGTGAAGAGCAGTGTAGAATGAAGAGCAGTGTGGAGTGAAGGGTATCAGGAATCGGGAGGGGGATTGCAAGGACTTATCAGCAAACACAGCAGAAGCCCAGCCAAAAGAAAAGAGCATAGAGAAGAGAGAACAGCATCGAGAATTGACATGGGGATTGCGAAGACCCTCCAAAGCAGCGAGAGCAGAGCCGTACCTGATCACCTAGATTGGCGATAGTGTCATGGGCTCCGTTCGGCATAGCGCCGCCAGCTGAATCTCGGGATTCTGATCTATCATCGAAGCTAGCGCTAGCGTGTTACGCGGGGGGGTGAGCTAAACCGAGCATCCTACCCAACCCCAGCCTCGTACGTGGATGAGACACTGAGTTCAAGAGAGTACAATACGGTACGAGACAGGTAATGTCCACTGACCCAGAGCCCATCTCCACTTGGCTGCAGTCCTCGGTCAGCGCCCTAACCTCCCAGTGCTCTATTGTCCTCTATTGTGGTTTCTTTTTCCTCCAATACACGCCACGAAACTTGAGCTGGACAAGGATGCTCGCGGAGATGACCAGGACCAATGGGACAGTCTCGGCGGCCGGTCGTTGGGGTGTTTTCCCAATGGCTCGGGCGGCAGGGAGAAAATCCAAGTGTGCGAGTCTCCCAGACCGGCTGCAGGGCAAAGGCCCAAGTGCGAAGTGGCTTGGTTTCCAGACCGCCGCGTCGCCGGCTGGGCAAACAACAATGGGCAAGGGGGCTGGCTGAGCTATCAGACCGAGACCGGCGGGCAGGCAGGGAAATGACGACGTGCGTGAGGCGGCTGATCTCCCAGACCGGAGCCGGTTCTCTCGGGATTTATCTGATAGTTGACTTGTCCCCCCGTGCTTGAGAGTTGATATAAACTTGTCTCCCTCCCCCACAACGCTTCAACTCAAACTACTCTGACTAGCACCCAATCTGCCCAAGCTCTTTTACAACCCACTACCCGCCAAATGCAGTACACCGTTTTTGCCTACGAGTACTCGGAGGGTCCACACAGTTGTAAGTCTAATTGGAGTCACGTCAAGTTCGCCCTCCAGGATGGCAACTGTCACTGCACCCTGAACCAGGCTCCTGAGATCCTTCACAAGATCCAGAGCCTGGGAATCATGAACTCCCTCGACAAGAACAATCGTATGATGCAAGATGTCTATGGTAGCCCGGGCTCTCCTGTGCGGATGTAAGTCTCTCTCCCCCCCTTCTTCCTCCAAGCAAAGACTCTCGCTCATGTCCATCCAGCGGGATCCAGTTCCCGCACCCCCTCAAGACATTCCGGGACATTATCAAGATGGGGGAGCGGCTGTACGCGGCGTCGGTCACGTTCGCCAAGGAGTACGACACCGTACGCGTCTTCATGCACACCCCAAGCGCCTACAGCCGGGTGGACCAGTCGCTGGTGAGGCGGTATGGGCGAGACATCATCACGGATGTCTCTCTCAACGTCGAGCCGGTCCTCGCTTGGTACCTGGTCTTCTTTGCTATGGATGAAACGAATGAGGTGGCGGACATTGAGATCGCATTCGGAAATGCACGCGGATATGAACAACATGCGCCATGCCAACTTCCACTGAATGGCCAATTCCCTCAAGGCCAGCCCCAACTGTGTGGCCAGCTCCCACCAACTGGACAAGTCCAATCATCTGGCCAACTTACACCATCTGGCCAATTCCCGCCGCCACATAGCTATACCTCGCTATATGGCCAAGCCCCACCATCTGGTCAACTTCCACCAAACGGCCAAGCCCCACAAACATTTGGTCAAGTCCAAGCATCTGGCCGAATTCTACCAAACGGCCATATCCCACCAACATATGGTCAAGTCCAAGAACTTCGTCAAATTCTACCAAACGGCCACGTCCCTACACATGACCCTGAACATGGCCGAGTTCAACCATCTGGTCAACGTTCACCATCTGGTCAACGTTCACCATCTGCCCAGCGTCCGCCATCTGGTCGATTTTCACCAAATCACCAAGCCCCACCACCGTATAATAACCAAGTCCCACCATCTGGCCAACTCCCGCCAAATGGCCCAGTCCAGCCACATGGCCAGGCTCAAACATTTGGTCAGTTTCCACCATCTGGTCCACTTCCACCATCTGGCCAGCGTCCGCCACGTGGGCCGCTTCCGCCACGTGGACGGCTTCCGCCACGTGGTCAGCCTCCATCATTTGGTCAACTTCCTCCCCATGGCCACTACGGCCAAATGCCACCACCACCGTGAGTACCGCTTGCCAACAGCGACAAACGGCATTTCGCCGCAAAACACTAGAGGGCAATGATCAACTAACGACACCCCAGCCGGTAAATGACGCGGAGCGATTTTGAACACTTGCCCCGAGATGGTCGGAAGGAGTGGACGGTGTCGCGACATTGCTCGACTCAAGAAAGCGGAAGCGTAAAAGTCGAGACCACAGGACGCAGTTGTTTGCTTTGAAGTACGAGAATGGAGATGTTTCCTTTGTAGCTAGTTCTGTCAATTGGGGTGTTTCTTATGTCGCTAGTTCTGTCCATTGGGGTGTTTCTTTAGTTCTGTCAACTGGGGGTTTCTCATGTCGCTAGTTCGGTCGATTGGGGTGTTTCTTATGTCGCTAGTTCGGTCAATTGGGGTGTTTCCTATGTCGCTAGTTTAGCCAATTGAGGGGTTTCCTTTGTAGCTGGTTTTGCATTGATTGCCATTATAATCGCGAGTTCCTAATCCTGATGACTCCCGCTTCGTCGTCCCATTCCCAGCCTGCATGCATGTCTTGGACCCATCACTCGTGAACATGTTCTACACCGCCCCCCGAAAACTCGTGCTCTCAAGGCTGCTTTGGAGGGCGACGAAGTGAACTGCGCGCCTGTCTTTGCCCTCGGTGAGATGGGATTCGTTGAGACGTGGGCTCTTGTCTCGCTCGGTCTTGCCGCGTGAAATCTAACTCGTGGGCTTCGCGGGATGCCACAGGTTCTTTGCCCTAGAAAATTGTACCCTCTCAGTTCTAATGCAGGCAACTTCCCTGTCATGGCTTTTGTCCTAATCTCTATTTGGAAATGGTGGCAGGAGTTCGCCGAGGAGGGTGGGCTCGGAGGTACCGTCGTCCTCCGGCTCTGCGAAACCTGCGTGCCGCTGTGGAGATGTTGCACTTGGCGTGTTGCCCGCCGACAAGGGAGCGATAATCGCTGTTGTCCGTGCCGTCTTGGTCGGCGAGACATGCGAGACATGCGAGAAGTCGGGTGCTGGTATTAATCGGTCGGGCGGAAATCATGGCCGAGAAGCGGTGCTGGGATGATGGGAGACGGCTGCAGGCGATCGCTGAGGAGATTGAGGAGATACGGATCGGTGGGATGAAGTAGAGCGATGTTACGTCTCGGCATTGTGGCGGAGGCAATAGAAGCAAATGGATGGGCACCTGGTCTCGCATGAGAGATAACATGATCGAGAAACGCCTTTATTGGAGGTGGCAGAGTGTATGATTCCAACTAGATCAAGGTTGACTACAGAGTATGGGGTGAAGAAGAACTAAGAACATTGACCTCTCTATCACTCTTTGACATGCATGTGCCTGCCGCCCAGCTTTGGCGACTCCTTCACAGGTCCATACTTAGCCACATGCTTCAACAACTCTTCAGGTGTATACTTGACCCGGAAATGGTTCGCTTTCTCCCCCTCCTCATACTTGCAGCCAAGGCAGAAGTATCCCCAGTCGGCCTGGCGGCCATTGTTGCGCAGATGCGGGGCCGGGACGATGGCCATGAAGCGGAAGGGCTCCTTAGTGGTCTTGTCCAATCGTGGAACCACAGGAGTCGATCTGTGGACCACTGGGCCGGGGGTGTAGAGTTGAATGCGGCGCTCGATCCGACTTCCCGATTCATGGGCGTGGGAGGTGCAGTACAGGCCGGGCAGGCTAATGATGCTTGGGGCGTTCGCCACACGCCGGCGCTGGGTCTTGGCGAGGGGACAGGGGAGCTGCATCGGGGTGATGCCGGTGGGAGGAGGCTGGAACCGCTCTGCGCTGGTTTCTGGAACGGGAAGGAATTGCGGCTCGCGCGTGAAGCACCTGTAGCAGACGCGGTCGCAGTCGAGGAGGTAGAGGTGGTCGCCAAAGCGCCCGCAGGAGGTGCAGTTGGTGGTGGAGAGGGTGGCGTACAGCCTGTTCAGGCTGAACGAGTCCGCCTTGATGCTGAGGCTGGCGCGGATGATGTCCGGGCATTGCTTGATGATGGCGGCGTACTTGGGGATCGAGTCGACCACGTCCATGGCGCGGCGATTGACGCGGCGGAACGTGGTCAGCGACGGGATGTCCAGGTACTGCAAGAGCTTGGTGAGCATCTCCAGTGGGAGCTCGTCAAGCTGGCCGGCGAAGTAGCGGGCGGGAGCGTCCATGTGCCGCCCGTTGTCAAGCGGGCAGAGCGTCGACAGCTGCGCATCGCCCAGCGTGTTGTCACGCACACCGGTCTGCTTCCTGTACGAGCTGGAAGCGAGCAGAGCAGCGATGGTGGACATGTTGGTGGCCATTGTGGTGGTGGTGGTTGGTGGGGTTTGGAGTGGGTTTTGTGGTGGGTGGGCTTTGGAGTGGATGGTTGGAACGGATTGTAGAGTGAATTGAGGACTTGATGAATGCGAGGGTTAGTGCGATTTATAATCGAAGAGCGGAGAGAGCAGAAGCAGAGAGGAGAGAGAGCAGAGAGCAGAGTCCAGAGAGCAGACGGCAGAGACCAGAGTCCAGAAACCAGAGTCCAGAAGAACAAAGCAAGCAAATTGAGCTGATTTCACAGTCAAATGTGGTGATTGTGGTGAATCATGGTTCACTTCCTTGCCCCAGGCGGAGCGCAACTCGCATGTCTTGCGCATATCTGGCTTGCCTCGAGGCACCTACAATGATACGTACCCAGGTACCTCTAGGTAAGGGAGGTACGGTAGGTACCTGCGGGTAGGGAGATAGGTCATCTTTTGCGGTCAGACCTTGGTGTGCCTGCGGCTGATTTGACAGCTGTCACAGCGCTAAGGCACCAACCGTCGAATCACGATGCCGCCCGGCACGTCGCCCAGAGTCCATCCGCTTGTGATTCCTTGACTATTGGGATATCTCGCGTCAAACCCCGCGCGCAGCCTTATCACATACCCTGATACGGAGTAGTCGTCACAAGTGATAGCTGTCAGGGTTGGCTTTCAGGTCGCCACACCTGTTGCACTTTATGGACTGTTGGTTGTGATTTGCTCACGTTGCGGTCAAATAATATGGGATACCGGTGGTATGGAACAGACTAATGCAGCGCTTTGACCGTATCACCCAGCACAGCCTCCACCGTCTCTGCCGGCCTCCACTGTGGCCTCCGCTATGGCATCCACCGCCCCCCCCCTTCTTCCGGCCCCCTCATCCGGGACTACCGGACCGGTGAGCGAGTGCAAGGACCAGTACTGTATTAATTACCCAGGTGGGGAAGATGCAAGTGCGATCGCTCGCTAAGCCTTACAGCTTGGTACCATGACGCGGATCGCTGCTAGCTAAATCCGGCGAATATCTCTCTCATGGATACGAGAACGAGATCCCTTGCAGCTGCGGCCGGTCCATTGATGGTGGGTGTGGTGGGGCGTGTTGGCCGTCATTAGTTGGGTACCAGTACCGATATGCCATGGGGCCCACGAGGCGCTTCAAACTATCGTTCTGGGTCGCTCCATGTATTATCAATCAAGAAGCGAAAGATGACGGGACTCACGGCGATGATACAAGAATAGGATTATGGAGCCCGCTATCACCATAGCCTAACAGTTTTAGGGACGGGGTGGAACAGATCCGCATTGACCTCGAGCGCGATCCTGGCCGGGAAGTTCGAGGCGCGAAAAGCCATCCCCGAAGCATTTCGGCGCGCTGCAACGCGTGTCCAGCTGCGACACAGTCCTTGAGACACGGTCTGAGAGGTATGCGGACCGAGAACGCCTAGCAGCAGGCTGCGTGGTCCGCACGACGTGCTCTTCCGGATGTGCCTCTCTGGCTTCTGTCTGCGCTGCTACAGGAATGCCAGCGCAACTGTAGCGCGACGGCCACTACCGCGTAGCTAACCTTAATGCCACGACATGGCGCGCAACGTCTCGGCCGCCAACGCTTCGAGAATGGAGGCCCCGACACCGAGCGAATTAGCTAGATGGTTAGATGGGACGACTGCCGAAACGGCGCGCACGCGGATCAGGAACGCTGGCGAGGGCCGTCCATCGGCCCGCGCCCCGCCCCGCCCCGCGCCAGGCTAACAGGCTAACAGTGCCGGGCGATCCCCCTCGAGGGCCTGTTTCACACCGACACGAAGAGCCCGACAGACGGCCGGCCCGCAGCCATCACGGCACCAGCGGGATTGGAATGCGGATAGTGGTAGTGGTGCTCGCGCGATAGATGCTCCGAGGCGGAAGTGCCACCTCTGACACCGCCTGTCTCTAGGATGCATCATCTCGGGTCATGCTGACCGTGCTGCTCGAGGCTCGTGCGTCATCCAGAATTGAAGTGCCCCGCCACGCCCCACTTCACTGCGGAGGATGAGTCCGGCTCCCCGCAAAACGGCGTCTTTCAACATTTTGCATCGACCATACGCCCGCTGGCAAGGCCTAGCTGCTACAGCGCTAGAAGATTTAGGGCATCCACCACTATAGCCCGCTATAAGACATGCAAGTTATAGTGGGCTACAGCGGTCAGGGCCCTATATTCAATTTCTTGCACGTTTGGACCGTACCCGTCAGCTTCACCAGCATCCGCAGCTGGGTGCGTGATGTCTTGAATGCAGACGGATGTGCTACCCAAATTACAAAGGGAAAACGGACCGAATGGCTTTTTTGGTGCCAGTCTTTGATCCGAGCGATTTCGGACGCCTGAAGCCCATGGTCGTCATTCGTCAGGGAAGGGAGTTGGGCATGGACTTCGTCTTCGGCCGTCCTGGATGGACGCTGTAGTGTCTCTGGGTCGGCGGTGGAGACGCTGCCACAACTCTTCCGTCAGGAAGGACATGAAGGGGTGTATCATGGCCAGGCGGCTCTGGAGCGCCGTGTACAAGGTGTCGAGAGCCGACCGTTTGTCCTGGCCGCTGCCATGTTGGATGATGGCCTTCGAGTCCTCGATGAATGTGTCGCATAGCCTGCCGTATAAGCATTGGTGCATATAGAAGTCGGTTTCAAGAACTCCCGCTCGCTCGGTATTGGCAGAGAGACAGACGACGCGGGGAGAAAACGACGGAGGCTTCGCGATGTAGTGGCAGGCCCATGGCCCTGGTATATTGCAATGTATAATATCCTAATAGAACCGATAAACACTTCTCTGTCGTCAAGACTCCTGTCGCAGCCTGCTCATTCATCTGGCACGGATCGAAGCATATCATGATCAGAATATCTTTATTGAGGAACGATAGCGGGAGGATAGGACATAAGTCGTCGTCAACTCCCTCCAAGTATAGGAATAGCTCCAGAATATAGAGGTGCAGAAAGTAGATAATCAGTATCAGCACTGCAAGGAACAGCGCGCACTGCTGTCAAAATTCTGCAAGATAACCTCTCGTCCATCGAATGCGTAATTGGAACGGCCATCATGCCCCAGGATCGAGGCAAGGTTGCATCCACGGTGGCCAGGTTTGGAGGCCGAGCAGCACCATGAAGACAACGTATCCCACACAACCCTAAAGGTAACACTGGAGCCTCCACATCATTTTACTCCTCCGCGTCCACGGCGGCACTCTTTCCGCAATCCGGGGCCGGCTGCACGATTGCAGGCTTCTGGGCAACGATTGTGGCACTGGCTCTTCGTTAATGATCTCTTTGCGGCGTCTGTTGGAAAGAGTTGCACTTACACTGTAATCTCAAGGCCGTGCCAGACTTCTTCTTCCAGCTGGTTCACAAGGCGTTGCTTGTTGACCGATCCAGGCCGGAACTCCAAGGCTCGCCAAAACACACCCTTCATTTGCTCGATGATTCCCTGGAGGAGATCACAATCGTCGTACACGTGACTCTTCTGTCGAAGCTGGAATGACCGCCTCTTTTCGTCGACAATTGTGTAGCCGGACTTCTTCAGTTCGTTTTTGGCACGTTCGTTTTCGTGAAGACCGAAGGATAATCCTGTCTCAGCTTTGAGAGCATCGAGCGCTTGCTGCCACTCGTCCCAAATGCCGCCGGGAGTTATGTTGCAGGGAGGCTGATGGAAAATGAGGTCCGAAAGGGAGAGAAAACCTTCTGTGGCCAGGCAGGCGAATGCGGCATTGAGGGTTACCCCCCAGTCTTTAATGCCACCATCCATGTTGCGGAAATGGATGTAATCAAAGCGTCTGTGCCATGCCCAATTGCAACGGTTCGCATCCTCGACGTAGAAGGCCACTTTGTACGGGGTATAATGCGGCTGAATTCGAGCCAGGTCAGTGCCGACAACCTGCATATCCGACTGAGCAGCTGCCATATCCCTAGCAGAAGTAAGCAAGCAATTCCAATGAAAGGGGCAATCCACCTACAGTGCCCAATCGCCCGTGCCAGCACCGACATCTAACACGCTGCTCACCTTACCAACTGCCTCTGGCATGAGTCTGTCACCATCGATTTGTCGAAAAAAAGCATGTCTTGAGCCGAGTAAGTCACGATCTATTGATGCATAGTAACAACTTACATCGTGCTGTAGTACTCTATCATTTGTCGATCCACCCGAAATCTGGTCTCGCATTAGCACATACGTTGCCGAAAAAATAGGTAGCTGTAGCCTACACGCTGAAAGGTTCGTCTGGGAATTGCATCTTTCCCGTCTCGCGTAGGTGGCATGCCTCAGAAGGGGCTGTGGTTGACGAAGAAAGGCTGACCTCATATGAAGTTGCAGGCTCCAGGGGGATCAGGCCAACTCCAGAATTACACCGTTGGGAATGGTGCAGGGCGACAGGAGAAGGGGCTTTCGGATAGCGATTGGTGGCATCGCACCATGCAAAAGGAGCAACTCTGGGCTCATCTTGTGGGAGCTGCCGACATCTTTAGCAGGAGGAAATGTTAGATCATGTGCAGTGGTAGGCATACCTGCTGTCGATCTCTCGCCGAATCCCAGTCTCGATATGCCTTGACCGATAGGATCAAAGCACAGGATAGGCATTGGACAGGCGCATGTCCTGCCACTTGGGCGCAGGTGGCAATGATGCAGAACGCAACCGACGTAAAGGTTGCAGCAACTCCGGCAACGACCCAAAGGCGAAGCAGTGCAGACTTTACACCATACGTGGATCTGAGTGCATAGACCGCAATCACTGCGATATTGATGTGCGATATGACCGGAGTGGCCCAGAGGAACTCGATTCGGAACGAAGCGATTGACCAAAGTCCCAGGATGACGAAGAGGCATTGAATGACCAGTCCGGACCAGAAGATGAGGCTGCCCCAGTCGGAAAATGGTGGCCTTGCAAGGAGTAGCCAGCCGTCTTTCGACGGGTACAGGACATCGAAGACCTATAGGTACGTCAGCGGATTCTTTGCAGAGCCCAGTTCTCTGTGTCATACCTCGAAGCACCAGATGGACAAAACGGACGTGGCTTGAGAGCAGATCAGCATAGCGTATGCAAGATTGTAAGAACCACCGCGCTGCGAGGCAGCCCCCAGAGCGAGAAAGACGAGGGCAATTGTCCCAAAGATAGAAGCGCCGGCGAAGAGTATCCACCACCGAAGGCGAGTCGCTGCCCTTGTTCGCCACCTGAGCGTGCAGTACGCAGCCTGCACAAGCACCACGATGGCAAAGGCGACGCTAGCGTCGATGATGTGGTCATTGTCAATCGGCGAACCCATGACTGCTGCGACCATAAGGAGGGCTAGGCTGGAATGAGCAGCTCCAGGCTGGAATTGTGTGCAAGATTTGCGGGTGAGAAGGACGAAGGTGGAGGTTGTGGAGGAGAGGTGGAGGAGGGGAGGAGGCGAGCAGACGGAGCTGCGGCATACCTGTATTTTTGTAGACTCTCCAGGCTCAACACAAAGTAGGGATCAGAAACATCCCTTGCAGGAGGGCCTCGCCCGTCCATCGCCCGTCCATGGGATTCGCTCTTTCCTCAGCTGAGGAAAAGCAAGAGCGTGGATGTCTCAACTAAGACGAGTACCCACTTTCCGGCCACCCCTCTTTCCTTCCGCCCTTTGATACCAAGATGCCAGTATTTGGAAATTCTACCAGAGCAGCAAATAAATATCTATAATATATATGGTAAGATGCGTATTGAGAATAGTAGTTGGGAATACTATGTGAGATGAGAATTTTGTATTACTATTTTTCTATATTTAACTAGAGCTTTTTCAGTTAAATATAACAGAAATTAAAATATTAAATTAAAGAAATAAAATTTATAAATTTTCTTCTAATTAATCAAAAGTATTTTTAAAATATTAGTATTATAAGATATCTATAGAGGAATTTAAATATATTTTTTATTATTTATTAAATTTTAAATATTTAAAAAATTACTAAAAACAAATTTATATAAAAATATCCTAAGCTTAGGAGATTTATATTAAAAATGTAATAAATTTCTTTAGCCTCCTCTACAATACATAGTATTTTTAAAAGTATTTATAAATAACTATAAGATTTTATAAACTACTTGGGCGTATATTCTCTCGGCACGACCGGCAGAGCTCATCCAGGTGGCACATGTCTCTCAATCCGGCCTCACCAAACTCAACAGTTCACCACGAATGGGCCCAATGTTCTGGCCAATGATAAACTTTCCATTGCAGCCCGTATTGGCGAGGTTGGCGAGGATAATGCTCACTGGTGGACTGTCATCCTATCCTGCAAGGGCGGTTGGGAGGCAATGATTCGCAGTTCCAAGGGCGAGGTTCCTCTCCAAGGTCTACCAAACTCATATCGGAACAGTCCTTCGTTATCTCAGCAAAGGTAAAGGCGGGAAGCTCACCGCTAAGACATACTCCAGCCACGTCAACTGTAGCCCACTGTTATGTATCGGAACACTGCCGCCTCCACGATATCGATGACCAGGAGCAGGCAGCTCTCACGACTCGGGTTATCCGAAACTCGAACAGGCGCACAATCGTTACTTGCCCATACATTGGTATCGATAGTAGGCGTCACACCACTAGTGAACCAAGCTTAGAATGAAAAACTCTCGACTAGTTGTCCTTCTGTCCTTCCCTTTAATGTGGGTTGAGCTAACCACTTGCCAAGCGCCATATCTCGAAAACCACAGTCTCGTTACCCACTCCCCACTACCGTTGGCCGCATTGTCAACCTGAACAAGGCCTCTATGGACTTGTTTAAATCTTCGACTTTGCCGTGGAGCAATAGCTCCAACATGGTGTGCCAAATATCCTACCTAGCCACTGAAACAGAGACGCCAAGCTTGTCCTGCAAGCCACATGAGCCACATGAGCCACACGCATTTCCAAGCACAGGAACAAGTAAATGGAGGTGAACCGGGTAATATTCGCGAGATTAGCAGTTGGGCTGAACAAAATACCGGTGCCCAAGAATTCCCATCTCCAAGTTTTCCCACTAGTTTGCAAGCTCCCGCGGGACACCAAACATCCGCCATGGGGGACGACTTGTGTAAACTGACTCGTGCCCAGCTGGAATCGATCCTGGGATTCACGGCAAACCAAATGACCCCACTCGACCCAGCTACAGAACGCTTCTACTATGACTTCAAGCCCGTGCCCCATGACCCGTCAGCGCGTTTGGGGCGAGAATGGAGAGAGCTGGAGAGGGCCAAGAAACCCCACCATCGAAAGCCCAAGACTTCCCTCGATCTTCCGAAAGTGGGAGAAAGTTTGGTGAGTTCCCGTTCCTCTAGGGCCTAGTAAACTAATGTAACCATTGTTAGACCATTGGGTATGAAGGGAATGGGGTCGTCATCACGCGGGAAGACAGTGTAGGCTTCTTCGCATATTCGGTCGACATCAACTTCAACGGCGGACTTTTCCTGCCGCTTCTTTTCACGGAAATTGAAGCAAAATGGGTCTTAACAAACGCCAAGGTGTGTGCTCGGAACAGAACTTCGCGGGAGTCGACTAACCATCAATAGTTCCGGTCCTTCGAGATTCCCCACAACGACTCCCCATTTCTCAGGTTACCGAGAGAGCTGCGCGACAAGATCTACAGCTTCGCCCTGCCTCAGAAAGATTTGGGGATCCATCCCTACCGTGCTTTTCGCCGCCTCGTCTTTCTCGCAAGTGTCGGAGATCCTAGCGGCTTCTTCTTCAAACTGGGGGACGAACCAGGCATCTTGAAAGTCAGCAGGCAGATACGCCAAGAAGCTCTGCCATTTGCATATCGCAACACACACTTTTATTTGGACGATGTGGACGACGTTGTCAAGTTTCTTGTTGCCATCGGCCATGTTGGACGCAGTAACATCACTTCACTGCAGTTCCCATGGGAGAGCTTGAATGACGTTTGGGCCAAAGAGGAACAGCTTGCCTACGGCAATGTCAGCGATCCTGTATTGCCGTTTCTGCATCCATTGAGATGCGTTCAACTCCTCAAGGAGTGCCCGAGGCTTCGATTCTTGCAGATCTCCTTCGATCCGTGTGTATTCGAGTACAAGTCGGTCGACGAGTTCATGGCAGACCCTGGCATAGCGAGTCTCTCCACTCTGAGAGGAATCAGAACATTGAAAATGATGGAAGTCGCGGAAGCGAATGATGAGACCACAAAACCTCTCGACGAGCAGCCCGCTTTTAAATGGCTTCTGGAAGAAATGGGAAAGGCAAAGGAGTAGGCAAAGTGATAGGATAGTACAGCATCAAGGTGATTCAATCCATCGATTTGGGTCTCAATAGATCCTGGTTCTCATGTGGTGTCAATGGCTTTATGGCAATCATGCCGAGTGTTTAGGAGTAGAGATTTCTTTGAACATGTGGTGATGTCCCGGAGGAACCCATTGAGGACCCAACGTCAGCCCAGCAGTCCAAGCGTGCCATATTGTGCCTCAGCAGCACTACCACATTTCCCAGTCCCAAGAGCCTTCAACGCCGACAGCAGGCATAGCCCGTGGCGTCTGCTCGAGGCTTCGGACTGCGCCTGGCCCGCAAAGAACGTGCTGCTGTCACTCAGTCACCTCCACGAGCTCTTCGACGCGCGGCTGTTTTCCATCCATGCCGAGGCATTGCTCTTTCGCGTCTTTGTGCCCTAAAACGACACCTTGGAATATCACGGCGCAGTCACCCAGTCGCCCAGCTGTCCCCGGTCGTAGATCGCACGGCTCTGCGCCACCATTATGACATGTGCTGTGTTGAGAATATGGCTCCCAAGATGCTTCTGTCCGAGCAGACATTGGTCTCCGAGGCTGACGCGACATGTCCTGCGTCGGGAGCGAGGCCTCCCTCGATCTCGATCAGAGTCCCCATCTCTCAATTCAAGTGCGCAAGGTAGCAGCGACATAGGCAAGCAACAACAGTCAAAACACGGCCCCGGCGACCCGACGAAGCCCTCGCGTCCACGCAAGATAAAGATCAAGATGCTGAGGAGCCCCTGTTGGTATTTACCGACGACATTCCCACAACCGACGGTTCGTCTGCGTCAAGCTCTCGTCGGCGTGCGACTGGTCCACCTGATCAGGAGGATGTGGCTCTAAGGGAAAGAGAGAGCGATGTATGTTTTGAGCGAAGCAGAGGAATCGAACCAAGCGGCGATGAATCGCTGCATTCGTGATTCGGTCTTAGTTCATGATATCAGCGAGCCCGGCGATGCATTCCATGATCCGCACCGAGGGTTCCAGTACTCCGTGGAACTGCCCGGCCTTTTTAGCTGATGTCCATAACCCATAGTCCAGTAGGCAATTGCGCCTTAACTCTTCAGGTCTACATCCGTATCTTACTATTGAATCCTAAGTTGACCGTCTTGTTATTTCTATCGACTTTTTACTCTCAATATGTGAGTGGGTTTGGGCTGGGTCTGTTCAGTAAAAGGGCCCCACGAATTGGCGCCAAAGCTCGAGAACTTCCTCCGGAGGCTCCCGCTTGACTCTGCCTCTGATCTCAGCCCTCCAATGCCTTGACGTCACACGCTCAACCTCTCGAATCCACTTCGCTACGCATCGCTACCCACTCCGCCTCGCCGTGGAGCACAATCCCATAGGTCGTCGCGGTTGAAGGGTCTCCTACCCGGGAGTCACCGCTAGCGTAGCCGGACGTCCGCCTCACAGCGAGAGAAGTCGTCGCTTCGCACCTTGACGGAGGAGAAGGTGTTGATCTCGATGGCATCTTGCCATACACGGGAGATGGATGTATAGTGGGCGACGGACGGTGGCTTCAACCAAGGCTTGCGCTCTCTTTCCTCGTCTTCCAAGGGGCAAGAGACGGTGGGTGAAATGAAGGCGACGGGAAGCTTGTCCATCGAAGCGTCGTGTCAACTGAAACTGTCTCCCGAGTGGAACAAGGAGTGATAATAAAGACTGAAACCAATCATTATTAAAATATATATTTTCTTTGCTGCCTATCGCTCACGGCTGCCTAACCTAGCGCTGGAGAGTAGTGATCCCTGAATCGAATGAGGGACAACTTCGTCGTTGACAGGAAATCCACCCCAACTCACAACTTAAATGACCTTGCTGACAGGAAAGATACATTCAAAATTGTGCAACGATAACCAGGCAATATTATCCAATCACTCCGTCCTCTGCCCTTGGTGAACTTGCTTCGCACCGCATTGACAGCAGAATCTGTCCCCGAGTTGGCAAGCAGAGCCACATTGGGTGCAATATCGAATATTCGACCCTGCAGCGGCCCCTGCAGAACTCATACCGTGGGCGCTTTTAGGCCTCACATCCAGTAATGGAGACTCTGTCGAGTATGCAGGAAGCTGTGGCGACGGAGCCCGCATGGTCTGATTCGGCTGAATGCTGGGCCCAGCTTCCCTAGCCATCGTGTAGGGCTGTCCGGGTGAAGTTACCAAGTAGCCTGCTTCCTGCATTGGTATCGGTGTTTGGTTATTGTAAAACTGCTGGGGGGGTGGTAACACAGCTGGAGCGGCGCTCTGCTGATAAGCTTGGTTCTCGACGGCGGCCTTCTTCATGGCTTCATCGACGGCCCGCTGCGTTCGTAGTTCTTGTTCTTCCTCTCGGATCCTCCGTGCCTCGAATTCTCGCTCCATCTCCATCTCGCGCTGAGATTCCATATCTGCCTGCTTCCGTACTTCGTGTTTGGCGGCTGCCCTGGATGCGCCGACGACCACGGCGGCGCCGAGAATGGGTCTGCGTCGACGCCCAAACATTGTGATGGTTGCGGTTTAGAAAGAGTACTGGGGACGAGGAGAAAACGGATGTGATGATCAAAATAGTCAAGGACCTAGCTTCCCGGATCTGCGGGTATGGAACGTTTAAATAACAAAATGGGGACAAAACAACCCCTCAACACCATCCATCTGGCTTGTGATTGCCCTCTAGTATTAGACTTGACACCACTTACAGTTCAAGCCGCTCGGCCTCTCCGGAATCCAGACTCAAGTTAATGATGTCGAAATGACACGATGGCTTTTGAGCTTTTGGTGCGTCTTCATGGCAGACCAATCGCTGCCTCAAAGCCTCAATCAGATACCCACACACACTTCCTGACAACAACTATCCTTTTCACTAAACCAGCCATGTTTCCATGCTCTCTTTGTCACGCCCACGCTGTCGAACTCCATGCGGCTGCGCTACCTTTCTGTTATGGGAAGGGCATGGCAGTCAATCGACACAGCCAGCTCTGGTTCGGTCAACTTGGGGGTAAGGAATGCAAAATTCCCCTCTTCCCCATAGAGACTTTACCCGAGGCATACGAGAGGGGTTGTTGCAACTGAGATCTCTCGTAATTGCCTCACTAGCCAAACTTTGCCGGTCTGTTAGGCGCAAGACCAGATCAGCGAATGGTGGGCATGTCGTGTCCCTGTGCCGACAACAACTCGCTCTCGATGGAGCGGAAAGCCGTCAAAGATTGTGGTGCCATAAATTAAGTATCGGAGACGGAAATGAAGCAGTCGTCAATTAAACAATGATTAATTTAATACCGTACACTCTTAACATATTAACTCAACTTAAAATATAACATTGTGTAAAACAGAGCATTCAACCATTTCCAACTCACTCCTCATAACATTCTATACTCTGAAGCTCCAAAATGCCACACGATCGCAAGGTGGCCATACCCTCAACACCTTTCGGATCTCCACAAAGACTTCGTCCCTCGTCGCCGACCTAGAGTTGTATCCCGTAAACGCTACTCTCTTCCGGATGCACCTTGTCGTCATCGCCACGCGGTCGTTAGCAAACACCACCAAGACGATCACGTCAAAAAATACATGAACGTCCAAATCCTCGTACCTTGTCTTGTCACCGTCCCGAAACGAGAACAGCGTGTGTGGGGCCGCCTTGGTGCTAACGTTGACGTTGGCGGCGCTTGTAGATCAGGAACGGCCTAGACGACGAGACTCTGATGGAGGGTGAAAGTATACTCGGGTGTATTGCGAGTGGTTGGATGAATGGATGATATCGAAACCAACGTTCCGAGCGCTCTCGCCAACCTGGAAGCTGAGGGCGAACTCGATTTGCTCACGGGGTGAAGCAAAAGCAGAGATGTTGTTCTCGAAGGATGGCTGGAGGATAAATGGCGGACGCGCCTCTGCTGTAGCCGGGTATCAGCAGTGAAGCTCACAGTCTGTATTGTATAGGTACCGTCTGTTTCTTGCACCGAGGTGAAGCATGTGAGATCTGTCACGTCTGAGTTTACGGTGCCCACCACTCCTCTCCATGTCTTCAGGTTCGCCACGCGGATGGAAAGACAGCCACTCCAAGCCTGGCAAGCCACAAGGTTGGCGGGGAAATCTTCCTCGAAGATGCAGCCAAAGGCCACAAACCGCCTGGTCAGAGGCGCCCCAGAATCCATTTGCCGCGAAGAAGCAGCCATAATCAAGACATAAAGATGGAAACGTCTGGGGCAGTCACATCATCAGCCTCGCTGACACGGCAACTTACTCGTGAACCGTCTTCCTACCACCATCGTTTCCAAGTTGGGGGCGCCTGTTAACTTAGGCACTGTTCAGGAGCGCTACAACCCGGGGGTGCCGCTGCTGGAGCCCGCTATACAATGGTGGGTTATAGTGGACTACAGTGGTCAAAGCTTGGGGGATTAGAGCTATGCTCAGGCTGAGGCGCCTCGCGCCCCACGGCCGTCTGCGTAAGATCAAAACATACAAACACCAAACCACATCACGGCTTTCTCTCGCCAAGTTGTTTCTTCCTCGAACAAGGCTGCAAGCAGCACTTTCCACCCGCTCTTCTTTCACCCCGAAATTTCCAGCACGCTCTTAACGGACATCGCGGAGTGGCCGTCGCGTAGTCCTACCGCCCACGAACATCGAACCCCTCTACAAAGCTCATTGTAGTCAGTCCATCGGCGGGACCATTGTTTACATGTTTCGAAGAATGGACCTGGACACGACGGACCAGTCTGATTTCGGTACCTCTCGTCCCCCCCGCGCTGCCACAGGGAGGATTAAGGTACGTGCATTACCCGGACAGTGGTTGATTGCCCGGAATCGGAAACTGGTCAGCGCCACTTCGTGTCTACCTACTTGGAGAATCCCCGTTTCTGACATTCTGGCCCAGGCAGCTCCATTTTCCGGCTTCTCGTACCTTGAGCTGGTCCTGTTATCGTGGACATGCATGGCTAACAGAGGGCCTAAGAGCGGAGGTGGCACGGAACCCTCTCAACAATTGCTGTCAGCATAGTTTCTTCGCTGGAGAACCAGAACTCTAGGTCGCCCTGCATCGCAAAACATGACCAGCCCTCTTCGTCGTGACTGTGGTTGCAGGTGTTCGTACTCTCGACCATGGTGGCTTGCAGCTGTAATATCGTCCTGGGCTGAAAATACGTCCTACGTAGGAAGCATAAGCGTACTGGCTTGGAGCAATGTTCGATGGGATCGATATCTATTCGACACTGCCCAAGTGACCTCTGCGCCCCGTTCTCATAATCCAACAAAATCCCCATGCAGAATCCGGTTTGTTTATTATTAAAAATGCGAATGCGGCTGACTTTCTCCAAGGGGGCAAGGGAGAAATACGCATCTCGAAGCGAGGTATTGTCAACAATCGGGTGACAAAACCGGCCTATTGGTCCGGGTTCATCCTCCTCCTCGACGCACGCGCCGATTGCAGAAACGGGTTCTAATTCGCGCGTGTTGTATATAAGTCTCAAGGATGGCGATTTGCTCAGGAGCAAGTCTCTAGTACCCTTCAAAGACTTGAGGCCAACCGCGACATCGCTAGCGAGTCTCAAGCGGAACTGGACCAATTAGACCCTGGTGCCTTCGAAAAACATCTTGCTGTCCAAGGCCAAACTTACAAGTAGGCAGGTGCTCACTTCGAAATTACTGCCGGACAGTGCCATTTGTGTTCCAAATGCAACAATAGAATCATTCTGTGGAATTGGCATATATACCCAAGTGATTGATCGCTGACGTCGACTGGAAAGGCAGCGATATGTCACCTCGGCGCATGGGGCTGCCTTTGTATGAGCATGGATGGCATAGACGTCCCCGAGACAGTAAAGGAGGGTAATTCCGGTCGTTTTACGCAACTCGATCGTTCGGAAATAAGTAGAGCTGGTAATATCTGCTGGGTAAAAAGTGCATTGCTCTATCGTAGGGGGTGTTGGTGTATCCCAAATCTGAAGGCCGTGATAGGTTTCAGGCAACTCCAAACGTAAAGATCCAAACTGAAGAGGCATTAGCATAAGTTTTTGGCTGTCCGAGGGCATAATTACCTTAAAGTGTGCCGTGACGCCCTGGAGGTAGCACTGTTCCAGTAAGACGAACGCGAGACTGTCAGTTCGGGTTCTTTGGACCCGTGGTCTCTCAGGTAGTCGTTCGATCTCTCTGATTCCATGCGAGTCAATTGTCAAACGGAAAATTGGCAGTTGGCGGGCTATCTTTGAGAATGCCGGTGGGCCACTACGTTTCCACGCTGAGACAGTACTCAAGGGAACTGAGAGGAGCTCATTCGAACAAGCAGTGGAAGCAGTGGAAGCAGTGGAAGCAGTGGATAGTCGTCGAGCAAGGTCAAGAGCTCCGCTGTACCGCCAAAACAAGCTGGTGGCCGAATTGTAGTACACCATACCAAGTATTTCTGGGGGAAGGACCCTCATTCTCGGGATGCCAAGGTCATCAGCTCTTGACATATCTGGCGTGATGGCTGGCTCCTCAAGGCGAAGATTGGGTGCTTGACGCCACGGAGTCCGCCAGGCAGTCGCAATCCAGAGGTGGTCCAAATAATCGTCCAGCTTGCATTGTTGCGCCACCACGTCGAAGCAATCTAGGTGTATAGTAGATGCCTCGGGCGAGATGACACAGCGTCTGCAACCGGGTTTTCGGCACAGGCAGACGCCGTTCTCGTCTCGAATATTAGGGCCATATTCAGGGAAATGGTAGGGACCTTTGCGGTGCGAATAGGCGGTGGAGTCGTTATTACCGAGTACTACCCAGGTGGAACTTGCAATCAGGATCGGACTTCAGTGAAAGGGAGCGATTCAATTATGGACTTGCGCACTACAAGTCGCTCACCAACTTTCAATAGGTTGCCACATGCACCGCAGTGCAGTCGGAGGCCAACATGGGCGTTAATATCATCGAGGATTGCCATTAGGTCTTCATGGCGACCGGCTTCCCCTCGTGGCGAGATGATGTTGGTTCATGCAACAACTTGCGCCCAAGCGCCGGATTAACTTATGTTCCACTTGCGCTAGTAGACGACTGGAGAATTACCCGAAGAATACACCTAACTTGGTATTAAAACGCAGTATTAGTTAGGTAACATATCGCCTGGTCAACGTTGTCAACGGGAGTCTGCCTTACAGTCTGGCAGCTGGCAAGCTTGGTGTAACTGGCTTTGAGCTTGCCCTCACTCCGGAGACCAAGGGATAATTTTAGAAACAGCGCGATTCCGAAATCAGAAAGGCGGGCGAGGATGAGTAACCGATAGGGCCAATCATATGCGCGCGGCACTTACCTACCCTAGATAAGATAAGATAAGAAGCGCGTCGCATTTGTCGTGCTCCGCCAGTGCCTGCTTATCCCCACATCGTCGATCCCCCAGATTTCAATCTACGTTCCGTATCTGGTCCGCAATCCACGGAAACTCGAAAAAATGCGCCAAAGTGCCGTCTTTGCGTGGCTTGACTCCCTCGAATTGTCTTTCGCCGTCATCGACCGCGACCGGGACCTCGGTCGACAAGATGGCAGCATCCATTGACGCGCTTCGCTTGTCAAGCTCAGCCGTGAGCTTGACACCTCCCGACTCCCACTACCGACGCCGGCGAACTTAGAAGCGCATTTGTCGGCCGTCGATGAGCGACTCCTACATCAGATGACATCGTCGAGCAAGCGACCCCGGCGAGAGGAGGAGCATGATGCCACAAACGAGAAGAGGCTGGAGTCTCTGCACCTGATCAGCAGTGATCCTCCAGAACCGCCGCGACCCAGCCGCATTCGCAGGGGAACAAACCAAGACCTTGGCTCCCTCTCTTTGCGTGCGGACTCCCCGTCTCGAGCTTCATCAGGCCTGTCGCAATCGCCCACGTCGAACCATTCGTCCGTATCTCACCAGCCATCCGCCAAGAGGCAGCGCCGCAACGCTGGGCTGCAACAAACAGGCTTTAAGCCAGTCAGTTTCGAGCTAGATTGCGACCTGCAACCCGAGTCTCTTCGAGCTCTATGTCAACAACTCACAAAGATTGGTGATGGATCCAAGATCATCCCTACCGAGATGCGAGAGATGGTAAGGGACTTCCACGGAGTGATACGGTGAGAGGCTGACACTGGTCTAGTTGATCGGCGTCAATATCCCAGATGGGGCATATTTTGATGCAGATGATGCGCATGGCTTACCGCAATGGCGATATCCTTCTCTCGATCTCGCCCAAGAGATTGCGACTCGTGTGTGCCGCCATATGCCTCGATGAGGGAGAAGGCGAATCGTCCTGGAACCTGGATGTACATGCACCTCTGCTCTCGTGGGTCTTTCGGCAAAAGCGATCACGCTTGGTAGATTATCGATACTGGTATGTTTCCGGCCCCTTCCAACTTGGATCCCACTTCTCATAAAACAACAGTACTTCGGCCCAGATCCTACGTGAATTCAAGCCCAGGAATGCCCCTTCCAAAAACGTCGACTTCTGCGTCATCATCCGCCTAGAAGAAGACAGGCCGGCCTACGAGGCCATCGAGGACCTCTGCCGCCTCGGGCGACCCGGACTGGCCATTAACCACACCGAATGGGGCAACTTTGACAAGGACCCGATCGCCATCTCCATTGAGACGAAACGGCATGCCGAAAACTGGGACAATGCCATCCTCCAGATGGGCACCTGGCACTCTGCGCAGTGGCGGAGTCTGGTCTGGGGAGGGAGTCAACACCCGGTGCGCCACATCGAATTTCTGCCCGGCATCATCATTCAGGGACATAGCTGGCTTTTTATTGCCACTATCTTCAAGAATAACAAGGCTAGGCTCTACCACTCTGTCGGCATCGGTGATACGAAGACCAAGTTTGGCATTTACAAGCTCACCATCTCCTTGCAGTGTTTACAACGATGGGTTGAGGAGACATACTGGCCTGCTTTCAAGGCGGACATTCTGGAAATTTGATAAGATCGTGGCATGAGCATATAAGAGATACCCAAATAGAGAATGGTTTATAGCGATATCTGACTTGTTGATTCCCAGTCCTACATACCAAAGTCAACTTTGGTAGAGTTGACTCATTTCCCGCCGCTTCAGTAGAGGAGTTGAGGAGGGATGCAACCGAAGAAAGCACCATCAACTGTACATTGGAGCAAAATTGGACGATGTAATTATTTTGAGCATCTCCACATGTCTCTTGACATTTGTTCTAAGCCCGACCCAATGGTTTCTTCCAGAACACAGCGGACCCTGTTGGGAGTAGGTGGGTTATGATCCTGTTCATTGACAGAAAGAGCCACAACGAGAGCGCCACCGCGATTTCGTCCGAGTACGCTTTCCATTTCGCTTTTTTGTCGTTTTAATCGCAAATAGACTGGCTATGCGTCTGATACGGCGTATTGGACTCGAAGGGACCAGGTACAGCTGTTCCGGGGAGAAGAGCCAGAGAGAGCATTCACGGCGACTTCAATTTCCCTTGCAAGAGAGACGGCCTCTGCAGACGCGGGACCGCGCTATTCAGCCAGCCGACCAAGATTCTCCCTCACCTCATCAACCCATGCCGTCCGGCACGGCAGTCCCCCCGTGACGGGTAGGGGGCTACCGGGCGTCGGATGCTGTGACAACTGGAAATAGCTGCTGGAAGCCGAGGGCGCTACATTAGTTCCAGTAGTGTCTGAGCCATCTCACAAGCTCAAGCATAATTACCGCTTTAGGAGGTCCATTTTCTTGGGCCTGGGTTCTGTTTGATGCTCTGCTTGATGAATATTCTAAGTATTCTTATCTTGTTCTCTTCCATCGCGAATGCTTCCACATCCTCGAGCTTGATGGGCATTTTCAGACACGGGCAGCCTTATCATATGATACCTGGGATCGATGGTCGAAGCGAGAAGATAAAAGCGACGGGCAAGAACTGACATGAGAGTACGCAACCATGTTAAGGGAGATGCACAGAAGGTCGTCGGACAGAAGGTCGTCGCACAGGCGTCTTGGATGGTCAGCCTGAAGCTGCACCAGACTCCGCGTATACGGTCGGAAAGATCTGAGGCTTATGTCTCCTGATAAGGAAGCATCTAATGAGATAGAATATCAGGTCAATCGCAGGAACTTCCGCTGACAAGGCTTCAATGGGACCTGCGGCAGCCTGATATCGGAGGGAGGTAGAAAACGAAGATGGCACAAGGATCGTGACGTTGGCAAATAGACTCGAACAAATCTCTCAAAATAAAAACAGCAAGTGAATAGACTTCCTTATAGTCTCGAGACCGAGAGGTCCCGAGACTTCTAGGAAGAATCTCTGTCGAAAGGAAATTCCATGATCCTCCCTTGGTGTCCGTTCTGGTCTCCCCTTTTAACCCCCAAGACCTCCCTCCTTCGCGACCGTCTAACCCGAGAGTCCCTGACCGCCTGCCACAGTACATTACCGAAAGAGGGTTGCGTTTAGAGCAATTGTGTCCCTGACTGGGTCAAAAGGAACCCTTTGACGTTGATCTCCATCCGCGATTCCAACGGCCCCAGTGAACATGTTCCTACCCTCAGCCCCGTTGGGAGGCGAACGATCCTTCGCCTCAGCTGATGCAATCCCTCCGGTTCGCTGAACCCTTCCCTTCTTCTTCGGCTGCTTCACCATACTCGATGCATTCCCATCGGTTCGCTGAACACTTGCTTTCTTCGGCTGCTTCGCCACACACGATGCATTCCCACCGGTTTGCTGAACCCCTTCCCTCTTCCTCGGCTGCCTCCCCTCACCTAACATATTCCGCTCGGTCCGCAGACCCATTCTCATCTCCTTCAGCTGCCGGTTCTGGTCTCTAAGACTGAGTGGACCCCCAGGCTTGTTTTGATATGTGATTGGCTCTGCCCATCTCAAGGAGGGCTTTTGCGAGTAGACGAGGCGTCTCCACAAATCATTTTCGATAACCTGGATATCTTCAGGACGTTTTAAGCTCCGTCGAAAGGCTAAAAACGAAAGTGGATGGATCTGTAAATGGTTGGCTGACTCGGGATGGCAAACAAGCGGCGGCCACACAGTACCCGATTGTACCCATTCACATAGCGACGGATCCAGAGACCACCCCGGGTATGTCGGCTTAAACTAAAACATATCAGATAAGCCTAGTTTACTCTTCATCTCGATATCATACCAGCTCGTGCCGCGTGGCATGATCGGGTCGATGAAACTGGCTGTCCATGGCGAAGAACCCGGCAATGAGTTGACGCATGTCATAAACACTGACTGTCCGAGAGCATGCTGCTAGTGATACTAAAATTGCATACGAGATATTGTATGACCAAAGGCATTGTTCGTTGGTTTCCAGATGGACTGTCAATGCATCAAGGGTGCCGAGATATCCAGAGGGACACGCCACGTTTGGGCATATTGGAGCGGAACATAGCTAAATCTAGATTAATGAATGGTATCGAGGGAGATGTACTACACACATTTTTGTATCTGGTTCTTCTTGACGCAGCAGTGCGCAGGTGGAGGCAGAAAGGAGGTAGTTTGACTGTCCCATGACCGCGCCTTTCATACAGCAACTGTAATGTTTCGAAGCCACACCATCCCCAACGAATGGAATTGAGGACTTGTGCGACCTTGGGTCGCAGTCGCAACATTGAGGGCGGAAATGAGCTATCGCAAGATGACAGTGGTGTCGAAAAGGAGAGAACAACAAGCGTGACCCAGGCAGCGGAAATGATGGGCTATTCCCCGTTCCTTATGCTCCTCCTCCTGTGGTCGTTGCTTTTGATACCTCAGATTGGACCTCGCAAGCTTGCTGATTGTCGGACCCAGTTTACCGAGGGAATGGTTCTCGCTAACACTAGGCAATACTCGCGTTTACTACCAAAGTCAAGCCTGCCTCAGGCGAACTCGGCTCCGTCTTAGACATTGGAGGGAGAGTAGGAGGGATGTGATAACACCATGCTTCTTTTGCGTCGCCTGCATGCGGCAGACACATCTTATGGCGCCAAGGAGTATCGGTGAGCCAGAGCCAGCCTCGACGCTGCGAGTTCCCGTTTCCTGTGACCTTTTCTGAAATAACAGCGATTAGCCACCGAAGAACGAGGCTCATTCACCAGTGTAAGCTCACTGAACAAGTCCGCGCCAGTGCGACAGCTGGGCGTAGATAGAGCATAGAGCGTCGACCGTGCCGCATTGCTACATTTGCTTGGGTGTGTACTGTCAGAGGCGACTGGGTGTATCCTTGATGTTGGCCCACACACCCGTAGGTAGGACGCCAAGCATCACACGGCTTGTTTTCCCGGGTGTCTTGAAGCTAGATGAACCGAGAGCATCCCTCAACACTTTAGGACGCAAGGGATATGCATGCGGGTGGGTCAATGGATATCTCACACCGGTCGTGATACCGGGCGGGTGCTGGATAGATAATAGTGCTTACGTCTTGAAGCAAGCTGGACTGAGACAGGACGCACCTTGGAATCCCCAGCCAACAATCAAAGGCCCGAGAGGCAAATTGAGGCATTTCGGCCGCATTCCACGCCGAGCCGTAGCCCACATCTAGGACTCCGGCCAAGAGCCAAGCATGCAGGCGGAAGTCTTCCCCACTGCCGAGTTCGGCCCTGCGATGTACGCAGAGTAAGGCTGTGGAGGGGTACACGGCTCATGACCCTTGACCTTGTCTTGGCAATCATCTGCCGTACTCGGATCCTACTCTAGTACTCTCCCCAGCGTGCAAACATTAGCAGAGTTGGGATTCCACCGCAGTCCAATGATACAGACTTCATGGCATACCAAGAGAGAGAAGGTCTCCGGGAGCATGTTCACTTCTTTTCGAAAACCGACTTCCGGAGAGATTTGTAGACCTGTACTGTGTAATCATCTTTCACATACATCGTAATTGATATGCTACAGCAAGGCCCAGCAAGGACAGTCTTCTTCTCGTTCCACCATGCCCTCTTTCCCCAGTCCTGAGCTCGCCCAAATGCCTCCGGCCACTCGTTTTGCTAGAGTGACCGCCCCCAATACTCCGTCGGAAGGCGTCGAGTCTGCTGCTGAATCAATCACTCGTAATTGATGTGCGACGTGCCACTCAGCCTCAGCCTACTGTTAGCGCGCCAGCCAGTCCCCCACGCATCACAAAACTCCTTACCCAAACCACCGACGCTTTCGCCAACGATGCCTATGAGCAAATCCAGGAGCTTAGCAGCTTGAATAACTCTACAAAAACATTCAAATCTCGTCGACGTCCTCGACCCTTTTGACAATAAACCGGAGACGGAACTTGGACCATGGAGTTTCGGCTAAGTCTCGGGTACAACATTCCCACACCACATCCACAGCGTCAACAGTCCTGGCTCTAACCCCACAATTTCACGTCACGCCAAAATGGACGCTCCAGAGTCTAGCCTGGCGTCAAGAGTGGATGGCATCGAAAAAATAGTCGTCTCACTACGGCGCTTGGTCTTTGGTCAAATATCGAGAGCCAGGGAATCGACTGACCCATCTACCGGGCCATCTTCCGGTCGATCTCCCGGCCAATCTACCGGCCGATCTACCCACCACCAATCTACACACCACCAATCTACACACCACCAATCTACCCACCAATCAACTCTCGATCCCGAAACACCAATATGGACCCAGATCATACACGCCTTGGATCAGGTCACTCTCGAGGTGCAGAGCATCCAGTCCGAGCTTCGTTCAACTCCAACCCCACGGCTTCGTGATAATCCTGTCGAGCATGTCGAAAGCCGTACGTCGCGGGTGCATACGCCTGAGGGTAGCGACGAAAGTCGTACCTCGCTTTCGGCCGGATCTGAGCAAAGCAATGGGGACGAAGACGATCTGAGTATGTCACCTGCAACCACACCCGAGGAAGACGACGAAAGTGCGTCGCTCTTGAGCACGCCGAAGGATACGCCAGAAGGAAGCTCTGTGGAGGAAGACCATGAAGAGGAGGCCCACGACATGTCGACTGTATCTGAGGACAAAGACTCAGAATCAGCAGACCCCAAAGAGGCAGACCCAGAAGAGGAAGGAGAGGAGGAGGACGGAGTAGGGCACGAAGAGCCTCAAGCACCACAGAAGGGAGAGACCGAAGACGGCATCAATCCACCCCCTTCACCAGAAGTCGAACCTGCAGGCACGGCACATTCCTCAGCATTCAGTCTAACTTCAGACGATACAGGGGAGAGGCTTGTTCCCGCCCTCGCAAAAATCGTCCGACATCCCAACTTCTCCAACAAGATTTCAGTAACTACGACCCCTTTTGATTTGGCTCGTCTGGAGCGGGCCATGAGGGAAAACGACCTTGATTGCACGAGCCAAGACTATGTCGCTGGCCCAGATGGAAGCGGCTACTCGAATCTCTACATCTCAGCGGACAAATCTGAGTTCAAATGGCCAGATTTCTCCCAAGCCATCGAAAAGCCGACGGACGACGAAGTGGAGGAGTTCCTTGAGGGCGTTGTCGGCCATCCGCAGAAGGACCGTGTCCATTACTGTTGTGGGGTGGCGTCTGTTCCTTTCGACAACCCCCTCCATCCCGGAGAAGTTCTCGCACGATTTGAGGACCTCACCATCGCGAATGAACAGTATTACCACGCTGGCTGGAGTCGCTCGGCTACTCCTTTCCATTGCGAAGACGCCGGATTCTGGTCTTGCAATCGAACTGAGGTGGGGTGGAAGGTCTGGATCATGATCCCAAAGCATCATACCGCCAAATTCGAGAAGTTCATCAGGCGGAATTGGACCTGTGGCCAGTGCGACCAATTTGTGCGCCACTGCAACATATTGATTGCTCCATCGAGGCTTCGTGAGGAGGGGATCGACTTTGACATCCATTGCTCTGGACCTGGCGATATGATCATTACCAAGCCACGCCAATATCACGCTGTCGTCAATTTCTCGAGCTGTTTTGCTCGCTCAATCAATTTCCTACTCCCCGGGGAGGAGCCCTTGCCCGAAAAGCTCCTTGTGTGCAAGGATTGCGGCCTGTATCCCCTGCATCCCAAACACTCCCCCGTCCAAGTTGTGGGTGCAGTGGAACGATTGCCACGACATACAAACAAGAGAAAAGCAACTGATTCCCAGAGGAACACCCGCACCAGCTCTGCACTCACCACGGAGATCAATGAGACCGTGGAACTCATCAAAGGCATAGATCCCATGTGTTCTATTCCGCCATACGATGCTTCTGATCTCCCGAAGCCCAAAATCTTGAAACTGGCGGCAGCGATCCGGAGCTTGCCAGTGGTGCTCCAGTTCACTTCATTTGTCAAGGCGTAGAGGGCTCGACACATTGACCAGACTTTCTCTAAGGGCATTGTACGACTTGAGGCCCTCAAACAAGAAGCAAAGTGCTTATTTGATGCTGAGGCAAAGTCAGAACTTCACAGTTTACGTGTGCGGCTTTGCTAGTACGCTCTGGCGCGAGAAGTTGATGCATCCAAAACATGGCAGCGAAGGGTGTCGTCAGATCTTATCGACAAGATCGCCGGGAAGTGCAAGCAGCGGAGGGAAAAGCTACACCAGGCCGTTCGCAGAGGGAGGGAATGGGTAGCCGTTTGCGGTCCCTACGAAGGGCTTTTGCCGTTTATTTTCCTCGATAAACGAAACCCTTTTGGCATCAAACCAGCGGATTATACGAACCTCGATGCACATGAGCTTGCGGCCTTGCATGGCTTGCTAGAAGATGACTACGTTTCTAGCATTTGCCTAGCCGGGAAGTCACTGGGGGAACTTGTACGATTTGGGACGACTGATGTCTTTGTCTGGGAGCAGGAGGATCTTGATTTTGCGTCTCTGCCCGAGATGGATCGCGCTCGTTCTCTGTCGAAAATGTGCGAGAGCCAAAGCTGCTGAGTCAAAATGGTTTGAGACTATTGTGACTCGGCAACCGCGCTGTCCTGCGGGTTCGTGGCGGGAGCCCATAAGTGGATTTGCTCACCTCGATACCATGTCTATATTGACTTGTGCATGGGGGTGGCACGGATAGCACTGTGTCGTTCTTTGAGGGAAGACGCGGCATGGAAGGTGAATGGATTCCAACTCTACCTAGTTATTTGCGCGGCAGAGTGGCTTCCTACAATCTTATCGAAGGCGACGTAATTGATCACGAATTCCACCACGTAACTGGCGCCTATTGCCTGACCCTCTCTGACTGATTCGGCCCTACGAAGCTATGGCGACTTCTATACTACCGTGCCAACACGTTCAAGCCATCGAAAGTCTCAAGGAGAACAAGGCACCTTGAACTTCTTGCACTTCTTCGATTATGACGTCGCCGGCCTTTGTGCCAGCAGTATCTTCAGCTCTCTCAGACGTGCTTTTGTGTTTTTCCATCCGCAGTCTCGCCATCCTTTCCATGATGCCGGTTTGCGTGGCAAGAGCGTCCTCGATTCCGACGTCATCCGGATCACTGAGGACCGTGTATTCAATGAGGACTTCGTCGGTAGGGACCAATGCGGCCTTCTTCCTCAGCTTCTGAACTCGACTGGCAATCTCGCGAGTGAGGCGGAGGCCTATCAGCTCTGGGTAAATGGTCTTGTCGAGAAGGATGAGCACGTCGCCGTGGGCGCCAATCTCGGTTCCTCCAGAACCTTCGACATCAGAGGCAATTTCACGCTTGATAACGACATCGTCCGCCAGGACCTCAAATCCAGCAATCTTGACGGCATTGTCGTGCATCAGCTGTTTGACTTGGGTACTCGACAATCCCGCTAGTCCTTCGGCAACCTTCTTGGCATCCTTGCGGAACTTCTTGCCAAAGGTAGCCCAGTTCGCCGCGCAGCGATACTGGACGCCGTAGCGAGACTCATCCGAGCTGAGGACGAGCGAGACGATGGACAGCTCATCCTTGATATAGTCGGCAAGTGAGGCAACGTCATCGAGGTATTCCTGGTCGGGATGCAGTACCGTCAGAGTCTTGAGAGCTTGCTTGAGACTGACGGCGGGCTCTTTTTCGCGACAGACTCGACCGAGCTCGATAACCTTTTGCATGCGAGCAAAACGACGCTCGACGACTTCATCTGAAAGCTCCGAGCGGGGTTCGGGGAAGGGCAAGAAATGGACGGAGCGGACGTCGCCGATAAGGAGTTCCCGCGGCATGTATTCTTGGAGGTGCAGCCATAACTTGTCAGCCAAAAACGGCATGAATGGAGCAAAACTTCGCACGATGGTGTAAAGCACGTCAAACAACGTGTTCAACGTGATGACAGCCTCATCGGTTCCCCGGTCTCCCTTGAGCCGCTGGCGGTTTAAACGAATGTACCAGTTGGTTGTGGAGTCAATGAGCTCAAGCAGTCTTGGGACTACATTGTAGAGACGATAGCCCGATAAGATTCGTCAGTATGTGACCTGAGCTTGCATTTAGTCATGGAACTACTTACCAGCCATCTCCTCGTTGATTGTCTTCAAGAAAGACTGACAGGTGGCCATGATCCAATGATCCAGGACACTTTCGGACGAAGCGGCCTTGTCCTGTGAGAACTTGAAGTCGATGCCCTCCTTTTTGCGCAACAGGAGAACCTGATCTTCGAAGAATCTATAGCTGTTCCAGAGTGGTAGGAGTACCTTCTGCACCACTTCTTTGACCCCGGACTCCTTGAAGTTCAAGTGCTCCCCGCGCACCACGGGAGAGTTGATGAGGTACAGGCGGATAGCATCGCAACCGTACCGCTGGATGACGATGCTAGGGTCTGGATAGTTCTTGAGGCGCTTCGACATTTTCTTCCCATCTTCGGCCAGAACCATACCATTCACGACGCATTTCTTGAACGGGTAGACCCCAAAGAGGTAGATTCCCAGGACAAGGAGAGTATAGAACCATCCACGGGTCTGATCGAGACCTTCTCCAATGAAGTCGGCGGGGAAGCGTCTCTCGAATTCTTCCTTATTCTCGAATGGGTAGTGTTGAGAACTATACGGCATACTTCCCGACTCGAACCAGCAGTCGAAGACTTCCTCGACACGGCGAAGAATTCCCTTTCCTTGTTTGCTGGGGATGGTAATGTGGTCAATGTTGTGTCGATGTAGGTCCGTGGTGTGCCGTTGTAGCCGCTGAGCTCCTTCAGTTCCTGGATACTGCCGACGCAGACAACCTCTTCATCCTCGTCGCTCACCCACAAGGGCAGGGGAGTGCCCCAATACCGGTTACGGGACACGGCCCAATCTCGGGCATTGGCGATCCAGTTGGCGAACCGTTTCTCTCGGACGACGCTAGGGACCCAGTAGGTCTGTTCGATCTGCTCTAGCATCTGTGGGATGATGGGCGAGACCTTGATGAACCAAGATGTAACAGCGCGATAGAGGAGTGGAGTGTCAGATCAGGGACACATGGGGTAACTGTGGGTGATTGTCGAGATCACAACGAGCCGACCTTGCTCCTGGAGATGTTTGACAATGCGCTTGTCTGCATCCTTGACATACTGGCCAGCGAAATCTGTTACCTCGGAGGTAAAACATCCCTTGTCATCAACTGGATTGTTGGGTGGCCTCTCGATAGTGATGATGCCTGTCCTGGTCGCAACTGCAAAGTCTTCTTCGCCGAAAGCTGGAGCCTGGTGAACCAAGCCCACGCCACTAGTAGCTGTCACGTAACTGTCGTTGTTGACACGGAAACCGTAGTCCTTGAATTGGTCGTAGAAGTAGCGGAAGGGGGGCTCGTATTTCCAGCCCAGCATATCCGAGCCCTTGTAGCGGGCAACGATCGTGTACTTTTCCTTCTCAGGCTTCTTGTATAGAGTTCCGATGAGCGACTCTAGCAGGATGTAGTTCATGTCTGCCTTCTCGTCGTAGATCTTGACGTACTCAAAATCGGGGTTCGCCGCGATACTTGTGTGAGCGGGAAGCGTCCAAGGAGTCGTTGTCCAAGCAAGCAGACACGTCTTTGGGTCATCGACGAGGGGAAAGGTGACAACGATGGCCGGATCTTGCACCATTTTGTAATTTTCCTACGACGTAGCCCATGTCAGCCAATATTCGTCACACAGGGGAAGGGAGGAATTGAAAAGGCCGAAGTCTTACCTGGGCTTCATTGTTGCTGAGGGGAGTGGTGAGGGCGGTCGAGTACGGCATGACCTTGAAGCCACGGTATACGGCGCCCTTCTCATGAAGTTGCTTGAAGACCCACCAACACGTCTCCATGAAGTTCTTGTCCATGGTCTTTCGGCGAGGGAGTCAGCCTAACGAGAGTCTTGTCAAGAGGAGGGGGTGGGAGTTGCAGCTCACCTTGTAGTCGTTATCAAAATCGACCCAGCGACCAAGTCTTTCAATCATGGTTCTCCACTCGGCCGCGTATCGCATCACAATGGCCTCGCATTCTCGGTTGTAGTTGGCAATGCCATACTCAAGAATCGCCTGCTTTCCCTTGATGCCAAGACTCTTGTCAATCTCATAATCAATTGGCACGCCATGAGTGTCCCAGCCGAAGCGGCATTCGACGAAGTACCCCTTCATGGCCCAGTATCTGGGAATGACGTCCTTGATGGTTGAGGTGAGCATATGGCCGTAATGGGGGAGGCCGGTTGCGAACGGCGGTCCGTCGTAGAAGGCATAGGGCGGCTTGTCCTTGGTCAGCTCGAGCTGGACACGGAAGGCGTCTATCTCGCGCCATCTCTTAAGCACTTCCACCTCTTCTTCGGAGAAATTGATGGCAACCATGTTTGAGGGTCACCGGAGAGGTGGGTTCCAGGGCCGAAGATGATGGTGATTCTGATGTGTGGGAGAGACGAGTGGTAGAAGGCACTGAGGTTCAAGGGGTGAGTCACTTGCTCAGGACGTGGAATACCCCATTCACGTGACGCCACGCGGTTACAACTTGTGGTTCCCGGTATTGCAGCCTCAATTGTACTCCGAACGAGGTTTTGAACTCATCACGCTACTATGGCCAGTCGAGCACAATAGCAGCATGAATCGTCCCGTACAGAGCTTCGTGACTTGGCCGCCGCAGGCCCATGCCCCTGCGTCCGCTCCAGCTTGTGCCTCTTCGTACAAATGGGGGGTTACTGTTGCTGTCTGGTAGCTGCGATTTGTCCTTCTGTTACTCGCATCTAGCCCCCGTACGCAAACGGCAGCCTACACGCTGGCCACGCGCTCAATAAGATAGACAAGGACATCATCTACCGCTTTCAGCTTGGACAGGGGAAGAGAGTATGATACATTCCTGGCTGGGACTGCCATGGGCTGCCGATCAAACTCAAAGCCCTTCAGCAGTTAAGCAGCGGGGCCCATTCAAGCTTTGGGCCATTGGAGACGACGAGCAACACATTTCGACGGCTTCCTTTGTCAAGCCTCCTCAGACCAGACTTCCTGATGCCCTCTCCTATGTCGGCGAAGTGACCAGTGCGCTTGTGTGTACTCCGACTCCCTGGACGCCTCCGGCGAATAAGGCAATTGCCGTTGACAACAATCTGCAACATTCTCTCGTCAAGGAGCCTGGGTCCTTTTGCAGCCGACTCGGTCTCGTGGCGAAACCTCCCATCGGGAAGTTGCAGGAGATGCCGTTATCTCCCTCGCCGTCAGAGACGGTCGTTGAGTCTATCCAGGGATCAAGCTTGATCGGCTCCGCAGAGTATGTGAATGCCTTCCATGGCATCAATGGCACCCCACAGTCATCCATGCCGACTCCGTATCGACCTCAACAGGCACTGGCCTGGTGCACGTGGCGCCGGGTATCGGTATAGATGACTGCAGGGTCTTCTGCAGCCTCGGGATTTCTCTCTCATCTCCCGTTGATGACCAGTCTCAATACACGATGGACGCCTGTCGTCATTCCTCAGGCGATGGTGGCCATATCGCCCATGTCTATCTGGAGGGGTCTGATGGGCACCGAGGCTGGTTTCAGTCGTCGCTTCTCACTTACGTGGCACACCAGAGCGTTGCTCAGCATGACAACACCTACAGTAGTTACAACCACGCTCGCGCCGTCGCTGCCATCAACCACTTTATCAACCACGATTTGTCAGCCTTCTATTTCGAGACGGCCAAGGACCGGCTCTACGGTGGCATCCCAATGGAGGGAGCGGCCTCGCAGCATCTGCCGCTAGTCATACTGGGCCAACTTGCTGACCATGTCAGATTTCGGGACGCATCGTGTGCCGGCTCTCAGGCCCCTAATAGCATCAGAGCCCATTTCATTATATATGATAACTAGCTGTCCTTCAACTTCTCCAGTGCGCCCTTGAGTTCGCTGGCACTTTCTCTTGACATTCGTTCAAAGCTCTCTGTAAATAAAATAAGGACTAATTAGAGTTGTTCAGAAGAATGCTTTATTAATAATACTGACCATCGGGTGTTCCATCAAGTGTAATAGCATACCAGTTGCCAGAAAGCCAGAGTGTAGCAGGACTCATGTTGCTATTTGACTGACCCAAGTTTTGAGGGATTTCAATACGAGGAAGCGATACAGACTCTATTATATATCAATACAGATCGATATAAGTTATTGAATTCTGAATAGCACTTACTATGAGAGAAGTGACGAGAATTATGGTTAAATTGGAGGGGAAGCGTTTCGCGATAGTCTGATCGGTCCGATCCAAGCTGGCGTATAATTGCAGATTTAATAGCGTTCCCGACTTCAGGCTCAACGTACACATAGCTCTCATTAGGTTCACCGATCTTAATTCCGATTTTGTAGGAAACAGGTACACCCTTTGGATCGATGGTGGTGAACTTTGCGATCGCGTTGTGATACGAGCGAAACCAAGGGTTTAGCCCAATCTTGCAGCTGCTGAGGCGGAGTGGATTGAGGGCCCGGCAGCGAGAGAGCATCGCGTTGAATCCACGTCAGGCGATTTCGATTCAGTCGCAAAAAAAAACGATGGTGAGTGATGATTGATGGATAGATCGATTGTTAACAATTTAGTACGGCCTTGGGAACTACAACTTGTTAATGCAATTAGAAGGGTCAGGTATGTGCCACACCCAGTCGTGGCTGCTACCCACCAAGAGCGGATCGTTCGCCCTCAATACTAGTAGCTGAAAAGATGACAGAAAAAGGGGGCAAGTAGCCTAGTAACAGGAACTGCTGGTGCAATAGGGTCAGATCTCGGAATGGCAGAGACGGGCTTTGCGGATCTCCAAGGTACGTTGGAAAGGCGCCAGGGCGCGCGCCCCCTCAGTCAGATGGGCCGAGTAGGCCACCGAGGTCGATGGTGCTGGCGTAGGCGAGAGTTGTGGTATCTTCAAACATGGAAATGGCATGGTCAACCATGCGCCTGGCAACGGAGTACATCTCGCGTCGTATAGGTACCTGGGGGGAGTAGCTCGATGGTCAGCAACCTCTTTTTTTGTTCTAACGTGTTGAGGGTCAACCTTACCAGCCGCACCTAAGGAGGATATCGGCATATTTTTGCCCGTCTCCTGCCATGTCCTTGTTCCTGGGTTGATCCAAGAGCTCGACGAGACGGTTGACGTGGGGAAGGCATTTCTCGCACCGGATCCATGCTGAAACTTGACGGCCGATGTCGACTTTGGAGTCATCTGGGAAGCCCCAGCATAAAATGTGTACTGCAGCTTCGAAGAACTTGATGCTTTCGAAATCGCTCAACCTTTTTCTGGCCGCGGACCGCACCAGACGATGAACTGTGAGAACGGCGGTTTCCCCGGTACGGCTCACCAGCGCAGCGCGCAGTAGTTCCTCAGACGCATCGCCAAGACTGAAGAAAAAGAAATGGTCACTTGTCTGACTCGCGAGGTTAGCTGTAAATAGTTGAGATAGGGGGGCGGAGGTGGGACCAACCTCATTTCGTCGGCCAGGAAAGCGAACTCATCATCTAGGCCGCCAGAGCCTTGGGATAAGATCTCCTCGGAGATACAATCCGGGTCGAAAAAAGACAGTACATTAAAAAGACAGGTTGAGACTTCTGTCAGCTTCCCAAAGGACACGTCCCAGACGCCGCTTAGGATACTCGTAGTCGCTGCCGGGCACCTTTCGTGAGTCGATCTTGGAAGAATACTTCTCGTACAAGGGCAAGAAATCCTGGAGAGACAAATTTCGCTTCGTGATGAACCCGCCAATTTGTGCGAGCGCTAGAGGCAGTCCATCAAACGCCCGGCTGATGGCGATTGCATGTTGAGTGTCAGACGGCGAGGCATTTTCCGACCCGATAACTTTGAGAAGCCTCTTACTGCCGTCGTCTTCAGCCAGTGCGGTAAGTTGGGCATGCTAAGAAGCCAGGGTTGTGGCGACGGTGAAGTCTCTCGTTGTTCTCAGCACCGAACCGCGCGTTGACCCTGGCTGTACGACCTTTAATGCCGCGAGATCATCGGCGTTGTCGAAAACGACCAACCAAGTTGTCTCTAAGGTGGATGTGTCAACACGCGAGAAGATGGATAGGACGAACCAGAGGCGACTTACTTGTGGTGCTGAGCCAGTTCTTTACCGTCCACACGGTATCTTTTGGTTCTTCTCCCGACTTCAATAGCCCGAGGGCCTCGGCGATGACACGAGAACTCTGGTTTATGGTGATGGCGTTGTCGGTCGTAACTCACAGAACGGCGTTGAACTGGTCTAGGTTTCGGTACGCATATTGGATTGCAACCTGGGTTTTGCCAACACCGCCCATGCCAAACAAGGCTATGGACTTGGTCGACGGCGAATACGCATCCGGGCCAAGGGTGTTGCGAACCATCTCCAAGGTGTTCTGACGGCGGCTGAACTTGGGATTCGCGGGGGAAGGGATGTTGCTGTAGCGAACGTGCTGCTGTTCTTTCTCCTTCTCCCTGTCCACTCTCATCGCGGCTAACGACAGGGGTTGCTCCGGAGAAAGTGGATGGTCCTGGCGTAGAAGCAGATAATCTCGGAATACACATCCACCACGGCCCGTTGAAGCTCGCGGTCTAGGGGAAGTGTCTCCTCAAAAAATCTGGAAGCGCGGCAAGGTCAGACTAAGCTCCTCGAGCAAGTCGAGCATATCCTCAAGAGTCTCGGCAGCCGAGGACGCTTGGTCTCGGATGAGCCTGATACTGCCCCAGACCGTTGCCGTCAATGTCGCGTCGGCCCCAAAACACACGGCGAGGACAGCTGGGAAGTCATCGACGAACTTGAGCCTGGGGTCAAGTCTATGAAGGGAGAAGACACGGGAATAATGCCCAGAAGCCGGAAGCCGAACGGATGAGAAAGAGCCGACGAGCTCCTGGAGGGAGTAGATTTCGAGAATGTTGTGATAGTTCTTCGGTGCCCTGGAGTTCATCCCAGTATCTCTCCAGGGCTTGGTGCCACAGCGGGCTGGGGGTTCAGCTACGACCACGGGGCAAACGACGGTCAGTACACTCGGCTTGCATAATAGGAAAGAGGAAGTCGCCTACCTTGCCGTTCTCTCTTGTGTCTATACTGATGGTTACTGGTTGCAAACATGTTGCCCAGCGCATCCCAGACCCAACCTTCGACGACCTCGCGTGGTATCGTTGATGGGTCCTCCAACAACTCGGCTTCCAGCCACAACGACCGCTCCTTCAACAAGTCCTGCTTTCCTACCGCCTGCTGTTTGGGCAGAGTAAGAAGTCCCGAGAGGTGTTTCGAAGCCTACGCCCATTCGCACGGATCCTCGCCGACGGACACGACCAGTTCCTACCACAGCTCGGCGCCCGGAAGCACCCACCAGACGAGTTTGCGATGGAGTTCATGGAACGCGACGAATACGATTTGGTCGACGACTTCCCCCACCTCCGGAGCAGGCTCGTGCGACTGAGCAGCTACGCGTCAAGCAAGAGACCGAAGTCGATTCTGCAGCTGTGGGCGGACCGGCGCAACTCGCCGGCGTGGCTGGCCTTTTGGAGTGTGCTCATATTTGGATCGGTCGGCATTTTCCTGGCGCTGGTACAAGCCGTGTTTCAGATCCTCCAATACCTTGATGCTGCCAAACACCCCGGTAATGACTGAGGAAGCAAACCAATGTGAAAAGCTGTCAACGAGAAGGAAAGAATGATGACGACCGACCAGACACGCCGCACTAGGAGTCCCGATCAAACCCCTCTCTCCGCCCAGCTCTGAATCACGCCCTCGACCGTCGGCTCGTACTCCCTGAGCACGACTGTGTCGCCGTCGAGGAAAGTATTGGCCTGCGCGAAAACCAGGGGCGGAGGTTTCGTCGCCAGCACCGTCTGCCGCCACTCGATGCATTCGCCCTCCACTTTGGAGAGTAGTAGGCGGGGAACTTGCACCTCTTGAACTCTTGAGCTTCTGAGGCATCGATGAAGGGGTACTGTTGGGCTTGGCTTTCCACGGCCATTCTGTTGGCAATGATGACGTTCTTGAAGCCCTCTTCCTGCCGGATGTCGTTGTACTATCCCAGATTTAGCACTAGGAATTGGTGGAGTATCATTTGGTAGTGACTAGGCTTACGTTTGGAAGATTAATTCCTGGGAAAATGATACTGGAGCAGTATGCAAGAGCTTCAAGCCCGTTGGTAAACAAAGCAGAACATAGAATGCCGGGGCTTTGACGTACCGTGCATGCTTGAGAAGTCCGGCGGCTCCAACAAATTCTTCTCAAACGGTCCCTTCCCATCGTTCTCTGCTCCTGTTGCCCAAGGCAACCGACGGATGAACCTCGCCGAGTCCTCGACCAACTTGGCGAGCAGTGCAGTCTCCTTGTCGTCAGCAATAGCCACCAGACCCTCAAACTCGGATCGTATCCCGTGAGGGTCGCGGTACGGTTCCAGAAAACCAACATGTGTTCGACCCTCGGCGCTTTGTCTTGGGCCCAGATACGCAGCGCGTCACGGTACGTATCCAGGCTACCAAGTCCTGAAACTCTCGATGCAGGCGTGCAGAAAAGCTCTCTGTCTGTCGTTGGCAGCATACTTGAGTGCCTCGAAGAGCTCGGCGCACACGCGCTCGGGGTGGGAAGAGTGATCTCCGCGCGTCAGCGTCACGATTCCTTTTGCGTCGGGAAGACGGAAGCTTCGGCCGAGGTCGGTGTGGTCGACGGACGCGAGGAGCACCTCGAAGTCGCCGCCCTTCTCTGCTTTGCGGATTCTCGTGTTCTCGGGAAAGATGGAATTCCGCTCGAGGACTTTGGAAGCCATCTGAATATCGTGCTCCGTGATACCGGAGCCCATATAGTAGGCGCTTTGTGTAATGTCGCTAGGATAGCCGAGGCCGTAGGGGGGGGTGGAGGTGATGAACAGTGAGATTTTGCCGAACAGCTCGAACAGCAAGGGCGACTTGGCGGCGAGCTGGTGAAGAAAATCAGCCGTCACATCGGGCACAAATTTTTGATCGCCAGAGCCCTGTAGGTCAAGGTAGACAGATCAGCACAACTTCACACAGATCCAGGACGTGATTATAGCGTACAATTCCCAACATTGGATAAGAATGTCGCCGCGTAGGTCAAAAAGCGGTGGAGCTCCTCATTTCTGATGTGAGAATTGACGAGTGACTCCCAATCCCCAGAGCAAGTTCGGTAGAGCTCAAGCACGAAATCGAATATGGCCGGGGATTCCGGGGAGACTTGTTCCAAGGCAATCCTCGCCCCGAACCAAGCGGCGCTTCGACGTCGATAATAAGGCGCTCCGGCTGGTCGTTCCGCTGGATCGTGATACAATGTTGTCCGTCCTTTGGGACGAAGAAATGTCCAAACGCCAGAAGAGCCCTCAACATCTGTTCTTCCACTGCTCCACCACCTTTCAGAACCTCTCAACTTCCACCACATCCGTTGCCCATGAAGTTACCAACCGGACAACCAAAGAGCCGTCACCGAGAGTGTCCCAAATGAAAAAGTCGAAGCTCTCCTGCAGCTCCTGGACCAATTCCGGCGGTAAAACAACGAAGACCTGATTAGACTCAGTCTCCTGCCAGAGCTTGAATCCCAACTTCACCAGACAGGAAGACATGTCGGCCGCGGCAACGTCGGAGTGACGAGCGAGGCGGAAAAATAAGTCATCCCTCAGAAGCGTGCTGAATTGGATGCCCAAAACCCTCCCTTTGGCGAGAAGCGCCCCTCGCTGCTTCATGTGGTAGGGAAACTGTGTCCCAAAGGACGGATCCTTAATGACAACAGCCTCGCCGAGCAGTGCCCCGTTCTTGGTGCCTCCGATCCAGAAAACATCGGTGAGGTTATAGACGTCGCGCATTGATATGTCGCTCTTCGGGGAGGCCAAGGCCGCGCCGAGGCGGGCACCGTCCATCAGAAGCAGCAGCTTCAGATCTTGACACACGGAGGCGATGGCTGCCAGCTCAGCCTTTGTGTAGATGGTACCAACCTCGGTTGCGTTGGAGATGAAGACCATCTTGGCCTTGGGCTGGTATGCGAAGAGTGAGCTTCGGTGGAAAGCCGACTGAATCTTCTCTGGTGTTAATTTGCCGTCGGCGCTGGGTTCAACGAGAATCTGGTGTCCAATTGCCTCTATAGCACCACCTTCCTTGCCGACAATAGACCTGAGGCGGCAGAAATGACTGCCTCGTGGGGGCGAAGGTGGCTTGCTATCGCGAGAATGTTCGCTCCTGTGCCACCAGGAGTGAAGTAGATGCTCGCTTCGTCAGCGCCAATGAGTTGTCGGATGGCCTATGCCTACGCTGACGAGCTAGAGGAGTTCGTCAGTGCAGCCTCATGGCTGGATCGCATCGCGGCATAGTTCCCATAGGCACCTTTGGGCAGGCCATGATGCGCCAGCGGGTTAGTTTGCCGAATCACGTCAAATATCTCACTAATTGCCGAGCACGTGAACAGCTCGCTGAATGCGTGGAACGTGAATTCCGAGCTGACAGCCTGATTGCGGTCTCGGACGCAGGACGCTCTCCAACCATGAGGGCGTCTCGTTGCTGCCTAAATTACATGCATCTGCACTTTGGGCATCAAATACTTACTGCCTTCCCCCCGCGCCCTTCGACAAGATGATCCCAACCTAGCACTTCATGAGGGAATCAATCAGGGCGCCCGACCTCTCCGAATTTATCATCAAGTGGTCAGAAGGACACTGTCAGCAATAGGGGACCAGTTGAGCCTGGTCCTTATTTTTCACCTCGAGTCTTTTTGCCGATAAAATGAGTATCGGGGTCGGCGTGGGCGACTTTATCAAAATCCTAGAGCTTGTTACTCAGGCTCGGAAACGGTTTGTGGATGCGCCCAGTCAGTATAATGGCATATCAAATGAGTAGGTGAATGTTGCACTAACCCTGCATGCACCTCCTCACTTATACTCGACTGGTAGTCTCAGAAACTTCTCGAACGTCGTCCAAGATATCGATGTCCTTTTATCAGGATGCGAACCTAGACCCGAGCAGCGAGCAAATCTACAAAGTATCAAGGACGACTCCACCAGTCTTTTAAAAGATTTGCTCCAGAGGCTTGACAAGGATAGAGAAATCGGGGCTTGCAGTACGAGTACGACCCAATGTGTTAAGAAAGCTTGGAAAAGGTCTATTTGGGACCTGGATGACGTTTAAGGTTTTTGAAGTCGGATATTGCTCAATCTCGCACTACTTAATACAATTAAGGGACAGTTATCCAGGTATTTAGAAAGCTTCCCTTTTAACTTCTAGTGGACTGAAAGGAGCATAGTCAAAGATCTTCCAGGATTCAACAGGACCTTCATCATCTCACCGAGCAATCGAACCAACAGGAACAACATGAAATCCTGAAGTGGATTGGAACTGTTAATTATGGCTCACGCCAAAGGAAGGTATTTAATGAGTATGAAGAGGGAACCGGCGAATAGCTTCTATACTCTAACGAATTCTAAAAATAGATCAAAACCAAGGAAGAGGTGTTGTTCTATCCAGGCCTTCTAGGAGCGGGGAAGACATTCCTAGCCTCCATTGTAATCAACTATCTTCTGGGTCTTTTCAGGAATAAGAGCGATATTGGCATAGCATATCATTACTGCAATTTCAAACACTAAGACAACAAGAACGCTAGTGTGATTCTCGCGAATATCCTCAAGCAGCTTGCGCAATATCTAGACTCTTTGCCAGACGCATTGAGCACTCTATACGACAAACACAAAGCAAAGGACACTCGGCCATCATTCAAAGAAATAGCTAGTGCGCTAAAATCCGTAGCGTCTCTGTATTCACAAGTCTTTATAGTTATTAACGGTCTTGACGAATGTCCTGTATGGAGAGGAATTCTCGCCCAGCTCCAAGGCTTGCAGGGAGCAAATACCTTGCTAACTTCCAGGGCTATCCCCGAGATTATTAATGGCAAGGAGTTAGAAGGAAGCAGTATCCTCGAGATACGCGCGAAAGATACTGATGTTCGCGAATACCTCGATCGTAAGATGTCGAAGCTGGGTGGGTTCGTCATGCGTAACTAGCAACTTCAAGAAGATATTTGTAATGCAATCTTGGGATCGATTGGAGGGATGTACGTTGCTTCACCTCTCATGTATCGACGCCATCAATGTTAACATGACCCTAGGTTCCTCCTTGCCCGCCTATATCTCTGCTTTTTAGTAGGTAAATTGTCTGTCACGACGCTCAGAAACGCACTCGCAGCCTTGCCAACCGGGTCATCAGCATACGACGAGGCCTACCTGGATGCAATGGAGCGGATAGAGAGACAGTACCCGGATCATAGAGTGCTCGCTAAGGACGTCCTTGCATGGCTTACCTTTGCAAAGAGACCGCTTCAGGTTGCAGAGCTCCAAGCAGCAGTTGTCGTCCAGGAAACAGACTCTAATCTTGACGAGGAGAGTCTTATCGACATCGAGGACATGGTCTCTGTCTGCGCTGGCTTGGTTACGGTTGACGAACGCAGCCAGACGGTCAGTTTAATTCACTACACGATACAAGAGTACTTGGAGCGGACGCGAGTAAATTGGCATCCAGATGCTAACGCTGCAATTACAACATCATACCTCACTTATCTCCTCTTCTCTGTCTTTGACGTTGAGTTTTTGAAGGTGGATGAAGATTCACCAGGCGAAAGAGCTAATAGGCAACTCCACCCGCTGCTGGATTATTCCAAGGAATATAGTGCGCTACATGCCCGCCTCGCTCTATCCGAGCCACCCTCCATCGCTCAATTCTTTTCTTCAGAATCAAAAATGCCCCGAAATTGGTTGCTACTAGCAGCAAAGCATGGGGGTGCACAAGCAGAAGCTACCGCGGAATGGCTCATAGAACGAGGTGTATGCATCAACGTATGGGATGCAGACCGGAGAACCCCATTGCACTATGCTGTGCTCAACGTCTGGAAACGATGCGTTCAGCTGCTGCTACAGAGAGGAGCGAGTCTAGACCCAGACGTCGACAACATAACTCCTTTCCACTACACAGTCAAAAACGATGCGGACGAGATAGCCCAAGCTTTCCTCGACGCCGGAACACCGGTAGATATGCTAGTGACGAGAGACATCTACATCCCAGGTTATCAACAGGGCAGAGTGGTCTATGTTATGAGAGATGGTGCGCAATATCCCGTACGAGAAGCCCGCACAGAGAAGGGCTTAACTGCTCTGCACCTCGCTACCTTGACGGGTAGTCAACAGATGACCAAGTTCTTGCTGGACCATGGTGCCAATCCAAACTTTCCTTCGGGCCACGACAAGACACCACTTCATCTAGCGCTAAGGCGAGATTTATATGGTCCGGAATGGCCTGGGATTGTGGACTTCTGGAACGATCCAATGTTCCGAATCGAGGTTGCACTTGATTTTGTGGAATTGCCTGATAGTGAGGACGAATACTGCTCAACCCAGGATTGGATCTACAAGGCCCGGTCGACCATTATAAGTCTTCTTTTGGAACATAACAAGGTCGACGTCAATGCCCAAGATATCTTCGGCATTTCTTCATTGCATATTACAGCCCGCAGCGGAGAATCCTCCGAGTCCATAATCAGGAAGCTTAACGACAAAGGCGCCAAGATCTCAGTACGCACAAAGAAGGACGAAACACCATTACATCTCGCCACCCGGAATAGAAACCTAGACGCTATTACTGCCCTCCTAACACTTGGAGCGGATCCCATGGGCAGCGATGTCAACAGACTCAATGCTCTGCATTACGCGGCACAAAATGGACATCTAGGAATGATGCAGAGTGCAGTGGACCACATGCCGGACGCGTCTCTAGAAACATTCCTGGCATCGAAAGACAACCATAGAGAGAACGTGTTGCATCATCTGCAACAGCGTCAAGGTTGGCATTACTGCTGCCGAGTATCTCCTGAAACAGTCAGCTGGCATCAATGACCTTGACAATGCGGGAATGTCGCCGATGGCCAAATACCTCAGCGCATTCGTCCTCTGCATAGGCAACAATGACCCAGAAGTGTTACGTCTCCTGTTTGAGTCTGGTGCAAACCCAGCGTTCAAGACGGAAAAAGGCTTGGGTTTAGCACACCTGGCCGCTAGATCCCGCAGAGTTTCTATAAGCTTGCTACAAACACTAGCAAGCCGGGGCGTAGATCTAAGGGCTAAGGATAAACAAGGGCGAACTGCCCTTCATTATAGTGCCATCGGGGGCAATCTAACGGGAAACGTTGTACATTTCCTTTGCGACGAAATGCGATTGTCTGCAGGGCTTCGCGATGCACATGGGAAGACACCGTTGGATTACGCAGTGGAGATGGGACAAGAGCATCAGCACCCGATTCTTTTTGACTCCGACCGATGGACTCGGACAGAGAAGCTACTGCGCGGGTTACAAAAGGAACTATAACTAGGAAGTTTATGATATTTTGAAGACGTTCAGAATAACTCCGTTGGTTCGACCTTCAAAACATGTCAAGACCATACGTACGCTGGAGAATTGCGTTGCAGGGCGACCAGCCGCCGCCTGTAAGTTCCGCGACCATGGCAGACAACGAACGCGAGGAGGACTCGGCGCCGTACTACTGCATCACAGAGGCCCGGTGCAGACTGTGCCAGTTCGCGTTGAACGACAATGAGCTGGTTTACGCAGGTATGGCGCCGCGTCGCTCCGCCAGCCCTCGACTGCTACTGACCCGCGCGTCTCCTACCAGCCGTCAGCGATGATCGCGTTTCAGGCGAATTCGAGTTTCAACAGCACCTGTCCATTTACGACGAGGACCTAGACATCAACATTCACTTGTGCCTCGGTGACCATTGCCTATCCCGCACCAAAGCGACCGTGTGCTTCCACTCCCGCTGCTACGAATTCCGTTCCTATCCAGTCACTCTAGCATTCCTTGCCGCTACCAAGTACGCCTTTGTCGCACTAGCCCATGAAGAGCGACGACGAGCCGACTATATCCAGCGGGCTTTGGCTCAGAACCTGTAATTGGCGATCCGCTGGCCCCGGGAACTTCCCCTCGAGTTGTGGCGGATGATTGCTGAGCCTCTGGTCCAAGAATGCGCCGTTCTCAACACAGAGGAGCTAGTGCACCGCAGTGATGTGATTGGCGATTCTGTGCTCGACCTGACACAGCCGGTGTACTCAACATACGTCAAGGTGGACGGCCGATACTACGTCCGAAGTTTACTGAACGCACCTGGAACTGACGCCAGCAAGCAAGCGTACCTCTTACTCCCAGCTCGAACCGAGAAGCAAGGGCCGGACGGCGACGATGGAAGCAAAGATTTGTTTGTGGCAGAGGATCACGTTGGGATCCGTCGAGTCATCTTCGTCTCGCCCAACCGCCGTGACGAATGGTGTAGAAGCCACCCCAGCGTCCCCGGTGCTTGGTGGAGACACATTCCTCACGAGAGGATTCCCTCTGCTGTCGCCATCAAGACCAACGTGGGTGATCATCCCTCAATGTGCGATTCCGATTCTAATACACCAGCAGGGCCTGATGGTGAGGAAGATCTAGAGCACCGTTAAAAAGCCTACCGCCGGAGCATCTCACATCGGCTGGCAAGTCCCAGTCCCATTTCCTCCCTCTGTGGTCGACCTCTTGATGCTTAAAATACTATAAAAATACCTAACTAGGCTTAGGATGTGCTTTTTTGATTGCAATTCTCCCGATATCACCGGATACTCTGTTGCAACCGATAAAGTAAATATCCTAGATATTATATCCCATAAACAAGGTTAAAAGCCTAATAGGAGGTTATATAAGGACGTTAACTCCAATATTTGCTTTTGGATGTATATGCCAATAAACCAAGGCGAATATCTTACCGAAATATGTAGGCGGGCCGGCCGTTTAATTATCGATATTGAGGTTATCGGAATTATAGTACGCGGTGTCATCTCCTTCCTCTCTCGGCCTATACTAATACTTTTATCCCAGCTCTCTACAACCTGAGAACGAACCGTTCTATTTGGGCTCTATGGATATAAAAACGCCAATATTCAACGTATAACTGCCCTCCCGCGCGAGTCATGTCGAGTCTACTTTAATGACCCTGGTGGCACTCCTGGCAAATGCAGTATTAACTTCGTTGCTTTTGATTATGGCACTGCTCGTCTTACCATCGCCAAGCCGGGTATGCCAGCCAGCCCAGATGTGCTGCCGGAGGTGCCCCAGTCCATCTCCACACCACCTTACACTCAAAGTAACGAAATATGGCTTCATTCATCGTGCTCCATGCTGGGCGTGGTTGAGGTTCATCCTTGCGTCAACCACACTTCTGTATATCGGCCGGTGATGGGGATGCTCCTACATTACGCCGATGGCCATCGCGAAAGCATAGGCCAGTTTCGCCTAGATTGGGCCGTCGAACCCATCATGGTTGCCAAGCTCGAGAAGCTGTACTTTTGCGGCAAACGGACCAAGAAATCATGGGGCTACGTGGCACATGTTACAACTGAGCCTCCGGCTAGTCGAGCACGAAGTAGCTGGCTTGACGTCGACCAGGCCGGGACATTGGAATGGTGGTTCTCAACTCGGCATAGCGTTTTGTTTTACAACAACATCCGATTGAATTGATTCGACAGAGGTTCAAATACAAACCATGGGCTACAGATGCCAGCCAAGCGCAGCTTGCTGTTCAATTCTAATTTACAAAGGATCAACCCTGCATCACGATAGCCGAACATCTAGGCAATCTTCTTGCGGCTAAAGTACACGGTCTTCCGTGCGGAACATCCACGGAACATCCAGACCTTGTCTCCCTGATACTTTCCTGACTCCCAGTCTACCTTCTTGGTAGTCTTCTTCTTCCCCTTGGCGTCACGGAACACGGATTCGTCAGCAGAGAAGGTGTGCGTGATCTTCTCGACTGTGATCTCAACGTACTGGCCACTGGATCGTCCTTGGCCGTCCACCGATGAGAGAGTTGGATCGAGGCTGGTACAGGCGCTTAGGTTCTATATCGGCGTTAACAACGGCCTAGAGTGATTCGTGACCCCTGTGACGCTCGGCCAAAGCGGCCAGATCAGTGGGCGGCCAAACGCGCGTTGGCACCAGTCGCCTGAAACGCAGCGCTTGCGGTCATGGCCAGATTGGGACATCAAAATGTTCGATGGGGAACCTCATGTGCGTGCGAGGGCATTTCCAATTCTAGAGCAACCTCGGCCGGGGCGCTCCGACTCTTGACGCCCGCATCTCAGCTCAACGCGGTAACAGCTCTGTTTCACACCAAGCGATATTTCACAGGCTCGGTTCTGGGCAGATGTCCGCCTGAGCGATTGGATATTTTACCGCTGCGCTTATTAGTGCGCTGTGGGTTGCAATCCTTGGCAGCAGAGCGTACAAGTTGAGATACGTTGGGCGAATTTCGCCGTAGGTGTACCGCAAGGAAAGATCTCGGTCTGCGACAGCCCCAAGCCAGATGTGAAATTGCAGAACTGCTCCCAGGTGACATTCACCGAGTAAAGTCTTGGTAAACATCCAAAGACCCGTTAGGAGTTGCTTGTTTTTAACGCTATTCCTAGATAATTCATACAAGTTTCGCCAAACCCCATCACCACTCCAGGGATAGCTTCTCCACCCCATCCACCAGCGCCTGAATCACAGGCCGATTGGTATTCCGTTCACCTTGCATCTTGCTCGTCTGCTTCATCCGCGTCCAAAACACAGGACAGTCCTTGCTATCGCAGGCGACGTCCTCCATAGGCCCGAGTCCAGAGCAGCTGCGACAGACGGCGAGCACCTCCTCCAGCCGGCGCTCCTCGGTTTTCACCCGCGTCTGCAGTGTGAAGAGCGACGCCGGGACGTTCTTGCGACAGCGCGGGCACAGTGGATTGTCCCCGTGAGAAAACTTGGCTCCGCAGATGAGGCAGTGCGTCGACCTCATGTACGACTCGAGCGTCCTCTTCTTCGTGCCCAGCGTCATGGGACGCCGCACCCGCCGCACTTTGGGCATCTCGTCATACCACTGCCGCACGTTGGCTCCGACGAGGTTGAAGATGCGCTCGAGCGGCGGGATCAGGTTCTTCGAGATGTAGTATTCCGCATCGAGCTGCCAGTGGGGGTTGGTGAGTAGCTCCTCGGGCGCCACGCACCGGTCGATGAGACGTGCCCCTGGTGCGCCCGTGATGACGACGTAGGGAACTCGTTCTCCATACTGCGGCTCTGCGCGCGCGTCTGCCAGCATTCGCTTGGTACTGATCAACGCTCCGGGGGTTGGTGCACCTTTGTCGGAATACGTCCCGAGTCGGACTTCCTTGGCGAAGCAAAAGTCCTGCACAGAAATGTTGTTGCGCATTATCTTGTTGCACTGTTTCTGGAAATATCTCTTGATTTGGCTGAGGTCGGCCGTTTCAAAGAGCAGTCTGAGGGCCTTTTCTTCAATCATCTGCTCTGCTGGCGTCCCGTCACGGCGAACCGTTTCGATTCCTTTGGCGTCAAATTCTGGCTGCACCTGGTCGCGACTCTCGTACTTGTAGCCGACGTAGCGCTTTTTGGCCAGAAGAACGCACGGGTGGTAGACTTTCTCAAACTTCAGCTTGATGGGCTGAGGATTCATGTCCGTAATGGCCTTGGCGATTTCGTTGCCAATGTCGAATGCCTGATCCTTCGTCCTCCCTTTCAGATAGACGAACAAACTGTCGGTGTCGCCATAGACGACCTCGGCTCCCCATCGTTCAACCGAATGAATGTAAGCAGCCGCCCGCTCCAGAGTTTCTCGCCCAGTTTGCACGATGCTGTCTGCAATCTCCGAGCAGGGCATGCGGCCAGAAAATGATGCAGAGGTGTAGCCGTAGGTGACATTGGCGAGCAGTTTCAAGGCAAGCTGTCGGTTGTTCAGCAGCTGCTGAAGTGTTTTGTCACCCTTGTCCTGCTTCATGCCGCTCTTGACCATGACTCGAGTCTCCAGAATCTCCGTGAGCATCTTGGCGAGGAGAGATTTGCGGATTTCGGATTTTGCGTACATCATTCCGTTGGGTGCGATGTTGATGTGGTCCTCCAACAACTCCAGGAGGCCTTGCTGCCGCTTGTAATCTGTGAAGCCCATCTTATTCCTGCCCCTCCAATTGGTAATTCGCCCGAGGAAGGTTGAATAGCAATAGTTGTATGCAATCATTACGCTCGGGTACAGACTTTGGAAGTCCAGGACCAGGAGGGGGCTGTTGTAGAAAGCGCTCTGAGGCTCCATGACGAGAGGGAGGCATTCGAGCGCGTTCTGGCCACCGACCTGCTTTCGGCTGGGCGAAACGAGGATAAAGTTCTCTGGTTTTGCGATTCTGAACATGATTGATTCAACCTTGAACTGGGATCCTCGCGAAAATACAGAAAAGAAGTCGACACCGAGCAGTCGAGCTTGCTCGCTTGTCCTCGAAACAGTCTCGTTGGCCTCTAGGATTTCAATGTCCAGTCTGGTTCGACTTTGGTAATATCGGAGCACCCGGTTCAGGTCTCGTGGTTTGCCGCTCTTGTACCAAGTCGTGAGAGTCTTCCAGGCGTAATGAGGGATCCGACGGTGGAGGAGATGCCAAACGACATTCTCCATGGTGTATTGAAGGAGATTCAGCTCGCCCCGCATGGCTCTCCAGATGTTGATCATGTGTCTTCCAGTGACTCGAATGGTTGAGGTGGTGTTGAAACCCCACTTGTCGTTCTCTTTGCCGAACCTCCCATGCGATTCCGTTTTCATTCGACTAAACTCGTCACACAGATTGTAGTCGTACTTGAGCCTCGCCCTCTCGATTAGATAGCCCCATGAACTCCCGTGAACCTCATACCCAGTTAGAATGTCTGGATCATGGGTCCTGACAATCTCCACCATTCTGACCATCAAGTCCAACTCGGCAGTCTCTTCAACAATCTCAACCGCCGTCTGGCGTCGCATGAGGCGCGGCAAGTCGGGGTCACTGGATAGCACGAGGATACCCGACTTGACTAGATCCAGAGAGCTTTGGCTATCGAGCACTGTTTCGTCCGACTTCAGAGCCCAGAACATGCATTGAACCTCGTCCTCCTCGGGGTTGGGCACAAACTTGCCCCGCGTGTTGACATGAATCTCCAAGCTCATCGTGCTCATGTACTGGACTTCGTGCTCAACGCTCGTCTGCCCGTTCGCTTGTGTATATTTGAACCCGTGCTTGTTTTTCGGTGTCGGACCCTCAATCTGGGAGAGATATTGCTTCGGCGTCGCCAAGTAGCTGGATGTCGGTTCCTCCGTCGCACGCCGTTCCTTTTCGTCCCACCAAGTCTTTACTTCATCGAAAGTGGGTGGCGGGTTTGCGATTTCCCAGCTCCTCCACGTACAGCTTTTGCTCTGCCGGGCATACTCGCGACCCATTTCCGATTTGTCCAGGCGAGCGCCTTGTTTGAGGCCGTAACTAGATGGTGAGGTAGCCGTTGGGTCGAACTCCGGGAGAAAAGGGAGCGTGTTGCTTTCAAGTCGGAACTCTCGTCCTGCATATTCCCGAGGTTTACTTGGGACGTCTTTCTCTCTGCTGTAATAGGCATCCTGATAGATGGCGTCCGGGACAAGGTGGTCTTTCATGGACGTTACCACCTCCGAGGCGGAGGGAGGCAGTGATGAAAAGAGAAGGGTTTGAGAGCTTGATAGGCTTCCAATCGCTCGTTGAATTTTTGTTTGCGGACTGACCTCAAAGTGGAGGTCCGACGATGTCAGAGAGGGAAAGTAGTCAGACTGGGATGCAGGTACATCCCCAACTTGCTCAAAAGAATTAAGATCGAAGGAAACATGCTTCGTAAATCCACCATCTTCGCTCTGCTGGGAAGATGATAGCTGACTCCTCTGGCTGAGACGAAATTTCGTGTTGGGATCGTTTCGGTCCTTCACAGTGGCAAAGTTCAGGGTCTGATTGGAACCAGTAGTATCCTGCGGTGAAGATGTTGGGAATTTGCCCAACGAAGAACGCCTCAATGTTTCTGGTTCATTTGACCCGGATGCTTGTATGGGCAAGTTTCCTCCCTTGCCTCGGGAGATCCCCTCGCCTTTGGGTCCCAGTGGTTCGTCCCGTCTGGATCGCTTGACAGGGGGGTGAGATAATGATAATTCCGATAGAGAACGCTTAAGCACCGTCTTATTCAACAAAGTAGGGTGAACCGTCTTCAGTGCTCGTCCAACCAACCCCTGCTTGTCTGCAGCATTGATGAGACTTTGACTAAATGGGATTTCTGGAAGCTTGCCAGTTCTCAGCCCGCTTTGGCAGATTCCAAGCACTGAGAGGTCATCCGAATCACTCAGCTCGTCCTCGGATCCACTCTCAGGCGGTTTACTTGTCTGGTCTTGAAAAGCTTTGGCGGCTTTCTTTTCCATTGACAGCATCATGGTGATAGCCTCTTCGTCGGAGTCACTGGGAAACCACTCATCAGGTCCCTCGCCGACTTGAAGGACCTTTCTCTCGTCGACCTCAACACTGCTGGCAGGATCTAGTCCTTCGGTTTGGCTCGGGGAAAGCCCCAAAACTGGCATGAGAGTTGATGGGAAAAGGTCTTCGACGGATTCAAGAGCAGTTTTGACGGTGTGTTCAAAGGGCAAGGCCTTTGGAAAGGTTTCGAAGCTGAGCTCGCCTTTACCCGCATTCTTCTCGGATGTAATGAGATTTCGAATCTGGTCCCGGTATTCTTCCTCGTGGATCCAGCCTTGTGACTGTGATTGTCGAGGATCGGCAGACATCGAGACAAGAACTTCCGGGGGGAACGGGGTGCTGCCTTGGCCTGGGTCTTGCATCTTGCGCTTCCGCCTCTTGGTTTCGTCTTTCCAGAGACCTGCCATACTGTGCACCAGTTTCAAGCCTTCGGGAATTGGATTGATCCGCTCGACGAAGTCATGATGCAACGATCGCTGCTTGACTAGTTTCCTGTTGAGAATGTCGTGTACACAAATGTCCACCTCGATTGAGCAGTGGCTGACCCTAGGAAGGGCAGTCTCGTCGGTAATGTGGTCGGTTGGGATGGACCGACTATGCCAGAGATGGACTGAATTGGACCCTTGGTCATGCTCAGGAACAGGGGACCGAAAGCGCGTGGTTGATACGTCGAGATTGTCACACCCGTACAAATTGTAATCCGTCATGAACTGCAGAAGGTATTGAAGGTGGGCTTCGTAAGGCTGAAACTTGTGCTTCATGATGACTCCCTGCTGGAGAAGATCCGCCAATCTCGTCATGACAATGGGATTGAACATGTAGATCTTCAGGAAGAATCGGTAGCCGACGTGGAAGCCGTAGAAGGGCACGCCCTTGATGAGGGTGATTCTGGCCACATATCTCGCGTTGTCACCATATTGATCGCGCCGATAGCTCACCGCCAAAGCATGATCAATAGAGAGGTGAAGGCGATAGATGTAGGCGCCCACTTAGAGGAAAGTCAGCAACAAAGTGTCGCAGTCATCATAGGCGAACCAACCGTCATCGGTGTTCAAGCCGCCCTCGTACTCCACGTAGAGATACGGGAAAGCGCCATGAATGTGCGCGCAGACCTTTTGACCCGTCTCAGTCGATCCGAAGACCCTGATAACGGGCACCTTGGGTCCCTTGGCGATTTGCGACAGCGGTACATCGTTGCGAAGCTGGGGGTCGTAACGGGTCGGCGTGGCCTGGTAATGATCGATGCAATTCAGTCTGACCCGGAACAGGTCCATGGTCCTCGGCCTTTCGCTCCATCGGGTCTTATTCGACAAGATTGAGCGTGTGCATTATCCGAAGATAATGTCGTCGAAGCAAGGTCTCGATTCACGCATCACATGCGACTGACGCGCCGGCGACACCCTTGCTGATGCCTTCAGCTCGCGCGATCACGTGGCGATAAGCTGCTTATCAAGAAACTTTGGCGCTGCGACTCAAGTTTCGCGACGCCAAGGTCGAAGGCATTGGCTCTACCTGTGTGAACCCGTTTCTCGTCCAACTCAGCACGACTGGACGACAATCTTGTCTGCGAAATCAGAATCGCCCCCTCATTCCGCTCCTTTAGCTGCCTCCAAGCCAACCCGCGCATCGCCTCGACACAACCATCCATCATGCCACCCCCAAAACCACCCTCTGGCGGCGCAGGCGCGGCCTCCAAGGAGGAAAACATCTACATTCCGTCTTTCATCAGTAAGCGGCCTTTCTACGCTGGCGAGGATGACGACAACGAAAACGATTACCTCAAGCATCAACGTCGAGAGGAGAAGAACGAGAAGTCGCAATCGTATGACCGTGGCAGGAAAGCCGGTCCCGCGGCCACCAAATACCGAAAGGGCGCGTGCGAAAACTGCGGCGCGATGACACACAAGGCGAAGGACTGCTTGAGCCGACCCAGGGCCAAGGGGGCAAAGTGGTCAGGGAAGGATATCCAGGCCGATGAGGTGATCCAGGACGTCAAGATGGGATGGGATGCCAAGCGAGATCGCTGGAACGGCTACGACGCCAAGGAGTACCGCACCGTGGTGGATGAGTACAACCAAATGGAAGACCTAAGAAAACAGACCAAGGCCGCCAAGGGAAGCGATGAAGAGGAGGATGACGGCGACAAGTACGCCGAGGAGAACGACATGAGCAAGCATCAGAGCACAGCTACGCGACAACTAAGAATCCGAGAAGACACCGCCAAGTACCTTTTGAACCTTGATCTTGAGTCCGCCAAGTACGACCCCAAGACTAGGACTCTAGTCAACGGCGGTGCCACCGCAGACAAGGCCGCCGATTTGTTCGCCGAGGAGGGATTTATGCGAGGGTCTGGACAAGCTGGCGAGTTTGAGCAGGCCCAACGGTATGCGTGGGAGGCACAAGAGCAGAGCGGCGACACCAGTCAGCATCTCCAAGCCAATCCCACGGCGGGAGAATTTTATCGGAAGAAGGAGAGGGAAGAGGCCGAAGCAAACCGTGTAGAAAAAGAGAGGCTTCTGCTGGAGAAGTATGGTTCGGATGGACAGAAGGAGATGCCAGCTGCTCTTCGCAACATGGCTATCACCGAGTCCGAGACCTTTGTGGAATACGACGAGGCTGGTCTGGTCAAGGGGGCACCACGAAAGGAAGCCAAATCGAAGTACGCCGAGGATGTTCTCATCAACAACCACACCTCCGTCTGGGGCAGCTGGTGGACCAGCTTCAAATGGGGCTACTCCTGCTGTCATTCTTTTGTGAAAAACAGCTACTGCACTGGAGAAGATGGCAAGGAGGCTTGGGAGGCCGCCGAGAGGCAACGCAGTGGCGCAAATCTTGTCACCGACAACCCCGAGGACGAGGCGGACGAGGTGGATCAGGATGAGCCTGCCGATGCCAAAGCCAAGAAGCGGACTCGTGAAGAGATGATGAATGGAGTAACAGAGGAGGAAATGGACGAGTACAGACGGAAGAGAACGGTTACGGCTGATCCCATGGCGAAGTTGCTGGGCAAGGATGAGCTCCTTACATAGCGTTGCATTTCATGTAAATCAAGCAAAATTACAAGCACATTAATCGGCGAACATGTCGAGCAGCATGGGATGGCAGCACCAGTTGATTCACATGGGAATGGACAGATGATTTGGACGAGGTGGAATTTCGTTGAGACTCATGTACACAGTTGAGCAGAGGAACCTGAGCATTTTTCTTGTCGTTACCATTCGGCGAAATCATTCCATTTTTATCCTCTGGCCAACGCCGCAAGCTATGAAGAGAATCCCCTTCCCATGAGTGGTATTCCGGTCCCAGCAGTCCTAGACAAGTGGGAGAGCCATCAATGCACAGTTTGGTACATTTATTCCTCATCCTCATCCTCGCCATCGTCACCACCCTCGGCGGCCTTGGCCTTCTTTCTGCGGACACGGCCGGGGCGGCCTCCACCGAAGGGCGAGGTGAGAGCGAAGTCGATGTGCTTCTGGGAGTCGAGACGGACGATGAAAGAAGGAACGTTGACGATCTGCTTGCCGACACGGATGTGGCGCTGGCGGATCAGGACACGAGCGTGGTGGATAGACTTGGCAAGGCCTAGCTTATAGACGCAAGTCTGGAGGCGGCGCTCCAAGAAATCCTCGATCTTCAGGGCCAGGACGTAATCGAGCTTCATGCGGGACTCGTCGAGGACACCGACACGCACGAGACGGCGAATGAGGGCATTGCCTTCGAAGAGACGCTTGGGGTCCTTCTCGTCGAGGGTAAGAAGCTGACTGTGTGCGTTGTTAGAAACTGCAATCTTTCGTGTCAATGGGCGCGAGGATCAAACTTACCGGGCAGCACGACGGATCTTGGACAGAGTCAGACCGACTCGCCAGACCTCACGCTTGTTGCGCAGGCCATACTCGCCAACGAGCTTCAACTCGGAGTCACTACGGGTTATATGTCAGTCTTCGGGTCACAATCGACTTGAACAGAGACAAGCTCAAATTCAGTGGCCGGTGATTACTGACAGTCGGGCAGCCTCGAAGGGTCTGCGGGGGACACGAGAGGTCTTCGAATACGCGCGAGGAGGCATCCTGTGGTCTTGTTAATTGATGCGCGTTGGGATGTCGCCGGCGATGGCACTCACTTGACTTGCTCCTTGGTGTTTGGCGGGAGATGAACTTTAGCACACAAGTTCAGAAAATCGTCAACTTGTGGGGAGGTAAATTTGGCGGTTTCGAGATCACGTGGGCGCATTTCCCAGAACCCTAACGGGGCCCTTTGGCCCAGCACCCACATTCGCCCTTGCCCTACACGGGGCCGAAAAAAAATTCGGATTATCCTAGCACCCGCTCCCACAAGCCGCCTTCGAAATCCACAACACCAAGGCGAAGGACTTCACCATCTCTTTCGCCAACCACGACCACTAACCCACACCCTCCCGCGTCCCCAGCACACGATTCGAGATGGGTCACTCCTACGGAAAGAGAGCGGGCACCCGCGTATGTGCATTGTCGAGTTCAATCGCTTCGACCTCGTGCTGACGTTGTTTTTAGTATGCCTTCAGCCGGCAGTTCCGCCAGAAGGGCATGATCGCCCTGAACACCTACCTCAGACAGTACCAGTGAGTTGTGCCGTGGCCTGCGACGACGCGCGACGAGACTGACAGATTTCCAGCGTCGGTGACATCGTCGATATCCGAACCAACGGTGCCGTCCAGAAGGGGTAAGTCGACTCTCCGAAGCACTTTGCGAAAACCGCAAATTGCAGACTTCACGCTGGGAAATGTGCGCAGGGACGTTTTGGCTAACAGCGCACAACAGTATGCCCTACAAGGTCTACCACGGCAAGACTGGTGTCATCTACAACGTCGCCAAGGCTGCCGTCGGCGTCATCATCTACAAGAAGGTCAAGCACCGCTACATCGAGAAGCGAATCAACATCCGAATCGAGCACATCGCCCCCTCGCGATCCCGAGAGGACTTCCTGAAGCGAGTGAAGGCGAACGCCGAGGCCAAGAAGCAGGCCAAGGCTGACGGCGTTGCCGTCTCCATCAAGCGCCAGCCCCTCGGCCCCCGAGAGGCCCGCACCGTCTCTCTTACCGACAGCCCCCCCGAGACCGTCACCCCTCTTCCCTACGAGACTACTATCTAAAAAGATTCTGCGGGGTTGTGTGGTGCTTGCTTCTTTTTGCTTGGGGTGTTGCGTCCGGATGGGAAAGAACTCTGCATGGCAAAGGCTTGCATTTTGATGTCCATAGGGAATGAGACCAAAAGACATCCATGGGAACAAACTTGTCTGCATTTGATGGATCTCTCTAGTGACGTGCGTGCGGCCTGTTGGATACTAGACGGGGACTCGGGCATGCCGAAAGGACTCCCGGTCTTCCAAACAATTGTCGAGTGCAACTCAATACCAAGCCGCTCAATTCGAGATGCATCCCTCGCAGCCTCCCTGGCGTCGTAGGATCCCTGACATGAGCATTCGTCTGTGTGAGGTCGCTTGCCGGCAGTGATCCACTGGAAATTGTAGCATCGCAACCTCTCCCAGACCTTGTTGTAATACAGTCATACCTCTCATATTCATTCCAGAGTCTTGAAGCTTGCCTCACCCACTAACACCACGCTCTTCACGCATAACTTGCACCGCCACGGAGGGGGCCCATTTTCGTTTTACAGAGTAAACCGCGGGGGTGTAGTCACGGATGACCCAATACTAGCAACTGGTGTGTGGGATGGGAGTGGCGATTGCGCGAGGTGCTTGGGCGAGGCCGTCTCTCGAGTGCAGTGTCCTGCATCTTGCGTAGGGTTTTGCATGCCTACTAACAGCGGCTTGCGGTACTGGTGGTTGCGCGGGGCGGTTCGCCGGCGTGGCTGGCTCGTGGTAGACGGTGGAGGGGCAACCAAGGGTCCATCTCCAGGGTAGGCTGCATCGAAGGTGGCTTGACTCGAGGACAGCAAACGAAGTACCCATGATTCGACATGATGCGATTCAACTGGACTAGACTAGACAGTCAGAAAAAGCGTGCTACTTTGGAGCTTGGACGTGGCTGGGGCCTCGGGGATAGATAATAAATATATTGACAATAAACCAGCAAAACTACTTGAACTTCATTCATCGCTGAACTAATATGAAGGCTGGCGCAGGAATGGTCCATTAGCGCACCTTCAGATTTTCTGCCCAAAAAACACCATTCAACTGAATGGCTGGTATCCTAGGCGATGGTGACCAGAAGTGCCACCTGATGACGGCGAACTGGATGGCTCTGGCTGGAACCATCCAAGATTGTCATCTGGGCTGCACTGATTTGCCCAAATAGATCCAAGCGACGGTCGAAGCGTCTTGTTTCCATCAACCGTCATGCTAATCCACTTCTTTATCTTATCGCCGATAAGCTTCTTTTGGAAATGCCCCGCCAGCCTCCACTGCTTCATCGTCATCCACCAGAGAAAAGAACGATACTAAAGACAGCAGAGAAAAAGGCATATGCAACCTCGCGCTTCGATGCTCACATCTTCTGGAAACGGCCTACGGAGTCTCAACCACACAGATGCCCTGATATGGTGGGCGTGGCCCATGACACGAGAACCTTCATTGAAGCCTGGCTTGAACGTTGCCAAGACTGCTGCGACGAGGGTGGAGAGGAGGTCCTGATCATCCCCAATCTGTGTTTGAACAACATTTCGTCTACACCCAGCCCAAAGAAACGGACGCGGCTTGCCAGTGGCGACGTCGATCTTGAAGCCACACCTCGACGAGCAGGTTGGTCTCTCCATCCAATCCTTTGGCCAACGTTTGTGCTGATGGCAATGTTTTTGTAGTGGGCGGCCTTTCAGACGTTAGTATTGGCGACTCGGCCTCCGATTCTGATTCCGTAACGGCAAGTTCCAGCCGTCATGGTGCTTCTGCAAGCCCTGAGAAGCGCGAGATTGCCTGCGGCCGGCGACGGACTTTCCTGTCCGAAGGGAATATATATTTCGCCCATATAATTTATTAAAAATATAAATAATTTATTAAAAAGATGTTAAATTAGAGAAATTTTTCTAAGTTACTAGTAGGTTATAAGACGAGTTATCTTGCTAATCAGAACTATCAGGCAGCGTCGGCAAGTTTGTCTGTGGAGGGCTGTGAAGTTGTTGTTGCCGTGTAGATCGACGCATCCGTCTCTTTAGCCTCGCCGAGCAGGTTGTTCGTTCTCGCTTCAATCCTTCCGGATCCGTCAAGGCCATTGCTGTCACATCGGGCTCGTTTGGGTGAGGGTGTTGTCAGAATCTTGTTCGCGCAGTCGCTTTGCTGGCGTCTTGATTTGGAGTGTATCGCTTCTCCGTCCGTGGCGGGATTTTTCAAGGCCCTCGCAGAGAGTCGGGCGGCGTAGGCTTGTAGTGACCATGGCGCGGCATCAGGTTCGTCCGAGTCGCTGCAGGAGTCATGCGGCCAGACGCGAGATGAAGTCCGGAGGCATGTCGGAGAACTTGAAGTCGCAATGCGCTCGATTCTATCGTGAAGCTGATTGATGAACAAGGGGTCCGGCTCAGCGATGCTGGACGAAAGTACCGGCGTTGGCGGTGCTGTCGCCAGCTCGGATCCAAATGTGGCGACAGGGTCGGGAAGGGGCTGGCTGCTGCATTAGCTTAAAGAAACATGTCGCAAGGGTTAATAGGAGACACGCACTCCGTATTCTTCTTCGTAGTCGTCGGCAAGGCACTGGCGCCAGCTGCGTGCTTTGCGCGGGGCGCCCATCAAGTTGGGGTCGGTGTGGTCAGGCTGATGATGTTGTAAGGGAGAAGATTAGGTCTGGTACGGAGGCAATCCAAAATAGCCTCCTATTATATTGAAGTGCCCGATCCTCCGGCGAAGGTCTTTAATGGATCACTGAGCATCGAACATATATCTTCCTGACATCTCCGCATTGAAAGTTTTGGCATACTTTGCCAAACCAATTCGCCGGACTTATATGGCGCGAGAGATTGCACGAAAACCACTTCCATCAATCATCGCTCTCCATCCCCTGGCTCACTTTCCCCTCCATTAGCCCTTTGCCACGGCCGTCTGGCGCTCGAATTAACAGGGGCCTGGGAACAAACCGTTGGCAAAATATGGCTGCATTATACGGAGTAGGTACACTGTGGTAGCACCGAAGCCTGCGGGATTGATTCGCCGCAAGGACTAGCTCAAGGCTGAGCGCCCGTCCTTGCCAGCTAATCCGAGGAGGGATGTCAACTCTTATCTTACCCCGGCCCTGTCGAGCGCTTAAGAAGGCTCCGGCTTCTTTGAGCCGCGGGTCCTTGGGCTATCTACATACCGGTAGCTTGAATCGCTGCTCAGCCCTGGCCCTTGCTTGAATAGAGTAAGAAGCATTCCTCTTGGTCCATAAGCGACTCAGCCTCAAGCACCCTGAAATATCTAGCTAGTAGCTCTTGGATATTCCCTGCTTTGGTCCTACTTCCTGGCCTTTGCCCGAGCAATATGGGTTCTTTTTCTTCCATCTCTCTTCGGCGTCGATATGTCATGCTGATCGCCTCGTCCTGGGCGGCCTCTCTTTGCAGTCTTGGTTGTTGCAGTCTTGGTTGTCGCAGTACTTGATCGTCCACGTTGCAGCTCCGCCGAAACGTCGGTCGGCTGTTTCCTTTCTCTCTCCGCAATCCTGGCGCTGCGGCGAAGTGGATTGGAAACAGCTGTGACTCTTTTCCCTCCGGTTCCCCTGCTCGTGGACGTCGCCATTTCATCACATGACGGTGTTGCACCCTTTGTAACGACAGTCTTGGAGTTGTGTGATTCTTTGTTCGTATCGGATGCATTATGGGACGAGAGAACCGAGTGTCGAGTGTTATGCCTCGGCCGTTTCGGAGGCTGTTCGTGCTCGACTGCATCGGAGCAGCGACTGCGCTTGGATTGACACGGGGGAGAGGAGAGACACTGCGTTCCGAGGGCGACAAATCCTCGCTGATACTCAGCCTTTGGCTTTTGGAAGTCTGTTTATTAAGGTCATCACCTCGACTTCGGTTAAGCCTCCCTTTCGTGCTGCTCTTCTTGGGCATCTCGGCAGGTCTTGCAGAGGGATGAGTTTGCACCTGGGAGCGAACAGTTGCGGCAGAGGAGCCTCCGGTCTCTGCTTGAGACGGCCTAGCGCTTCGAAGGGACCGCCGAGGAGGCTGTTCTGGGTCCTGTGTGCCGTGGGTGACGGTGAGCTGGCGACTTGATGACTCCCTCGTCCTTCCGCTGGGCCGCCCCTCCGCATTAGAGGCTTCAGCACCTCCAGGAGCTCGGGTAGGTCCGCCATCGGTGCGACCATTGGTGACTTCAGGAATTGGCGCCGGTCTGAAAAGGCTGGGATGTCGTGGGCCGTGAGTCTGTTGTCTGTCATCGGCCGTATCGCTCGGCCGTCTACCGGAGTCATCAGAAGCGGCAGGAGCTTCCACTACGACTTCTTCCTCGGGTTCTTCGTATATCCACGTCCTTCCAGGCAGATCATCCCATTTAGGGTTCCAGATCCCATTTTTGATCCAGTTCTTCTTGACACCTTGGTAGGCCACGGCATCGAGGTCGATGGCGCTACCGGGTTGCTTGTAGTCCGTCTCATCCTTGATCCAGTCGCGCTCCTTGGTTATCTGATACAAGAATTGGTCGTAGGGACGGGATGCCTCAGGATTGCGAACGGTGGGCGTCGGGATAAGGTATATCGGAACCGGTCCCGGCGGTAGCTGCCGACGAGGCCGTGGTCGTTTTGGCTGGCCCACGCCGAGCCCGAAAATACCGAAGATAGGAGGTCGTTCCTGCTCTGGCTCTGACTTTGGTTCCGATTCCGGTTCCGATTCTGGCTCCCGGTCATTTTCCTTGTGGCCCCAACGAGCGCCCGGCCAGGACTCGGACGTGGTGGCGTTGTAGGGGCCAGAAAAAGGGCCACCCCCTCGATGCGACCATGTCGACATCAGATGACTGTCCTTGGGCCAGGCTGGGCTCTATTCGTCCCCCCAGATGCCTTGTTCTACCCAACGGCTTCGCACATTGTTCTCGGAGTTGGCCTGAAGATCTGAAGACTGATCCCAGAGCAGCGTCTGTCTTCGACCGAACCGCTCCTCGGATAACTGATGCTCAAGCCGTTCGCGCTCACGTCTGGCCTGGCTCTTGAACTGGTTCAGTGGCGTCGACTTGTAGCGAGCCAACATTCGTAGTTCTCGTTGATACGACTCGTCCACAACTGGAGGCCCGGGTGTTGGAGGCTGCGTGGTTTCACCTGACTCTGAATACGGCGGAGGGGGGTCGTCGTAGCGTCGGTCTCTCTCGTGAGCAAGCTGTTGAGGGTCGTCTTGTAGTCGTTGGAGCGCTTCAACGACATGCGGCAGGACGGGGCGCTGAGGATTGTTGAAAAGGAAGGCCATCTTTGCGACGACGGCGAGGCATATCACCTGGAAACTGAAGTTGGTAAAGGACAGAACGAGCTTATCTGACTGAGCTGGGAAGAGAAAGGCGACAAAGCGAAGCCGGGGTGGTTGCCTACTTAAAGCGCCTTGGTGAACGAATGACACTGGACGTCTAAGCGCCGGCCACTTCTACGCGCCGGCTGAACGAAGAGCTCTCCTCCACTCATTCGGGCCAAGGTCGAGTGTGGACAGCCGTTTCCTGTCTCAGAGCTCCAAGAGAAAAGGCTGGGGAACGTATAAATCCATGACCATTCTCACGGGTTATAACGAGATCATTGCCGTCAAACTTGTGCTCCCTTGGCAATTTCGACGGTAACAACCCCCGTGGCTAATACCCCCAGCCGCTTCTTTGGGGGGGCCGCTCGGATTAAAAGTTTTGCCGGTGTCTCTCGACCAAATCTATTGGAAATTGACTCCCGCCATTTTCCATCTCTCTCTAACATCCCACTTGTTTTGTTCACCAAGTCCTCGAGTTCCACTGTATCATTCTCCTTCTGCCCTTCCATACCAACGCAACCGGATTGATGCCTTTGCATTGCCAGATCGAGCCTGTCAACAGCTCCACGACAGTTGTCTGCCGACAAGTTCATCAACATGCCGCCGAATAAGGAACCCATCAACGCCGGGCCTATCACTCGACTTCTCGTCATCCTCTTCGTCTTAGCAAGGAACCAGAGGTATCTGCGGTGGTTATGGAAACCCTCTCCGGGCTTGATGTCCATATTCAATATATGCATCAAAGTAAAGCCGATTGCAAGCTTAGCCGAAGCTAAAGCCATGCAATATGTCGCCCAACACACTTCTATTCCCGTGCCGAAGGTATACTGCGCTTTTATTTATAAAGGTGACAGCTATACTGTGATGAGCAAGATGAATGGCAAAATGCTATGGTACAGTTGGAAAACCCGTACTGGAGAGTCGAAATCGATTATTCTCGCCCAGCTCCGTCAGATGGTTACCGAACTCCGCTCTGTACCTCCTCCAGAAGGCACAAGTGTCAGTGGTGTTGACGGTGGTCCGTTCTACGACTGTCGCTTACCGTCAAGGCTACTCTGGGGACCATATGCTACGACCCGGGACTTCCACGAGGCCCTTGCGAACGGTGCAGATCTGGACACTGAGTATGCGAATTTGCCGGACGACATACACAAGCTCTTTGAGTTCTATCGGCAGTCAAATGACCAGTTAGTCTTGACCCATGGTGATCTAAGCAGCCTGAACATTTTGGTTGAAGGAGACGATATAGTAGGCATTGTGGACTGGGAGACAGCAGGATGGTTGCCGCTATATTGGGAGTATACATGTGCTAAATATATCAACCCTGTTAATATATTTTGGGCGGCAGAGGTAGATAGGTTCTTGGAGCCTATGCCACTTGAGCTGAATATGGAGAGCATAAGGCAGAGTACTTCGGCGCTCTCTGAACCCGGTATACGAATCAGTTTCTCTAAACCATTCTTGGGCGATCGTAGTCAAAGCATCAACTCCACCCTCAATATTTTTTGTTCTGGTGTACGAAGTGGGATGCAGCAGGAAGGCATGCGACGGAGAGATTTGGCGTTTCTTGCAGGCGAGTTGTGGCTGCGGAAATGGCAAACATGTTGCGAGCGCGTCCTCTACATCATGCTTGGAGTAGTACTTGGATGAGGCACAGAACAAAAATTCTCACATCTATTACATCCATCTTCCACCCTCAGAAGCAATGGCCTCTTCGAACGCGCGGATCATTCCATCGTAGAGCTTGTCTACAGCCTCGGGCGAGCTGTCGGTCCCTGTCCAAACTACCCCATTCCGTAGGGGAAATAGAATTTGGCGAAGACATTCGGCGAGCGGCTTAAGGGAGTGAAATTCGAGAGGAAATTCCTCCAGAATATTCCGAAAACTATTCTGATCCATATCAAGAGGCTTGCGTGCCGCTAGTTCGTCCCAGTCGCCATTGCTCCATTGTCGAAGCTTGCTTGTCTCTGGGGGATTCTCCGTGTGGTTTGTTATCATTGTCCACAGGAAAACGTAAAGGAAGGACTCTAGGTCGTGCCGATAAGTATGACATTCACCCTTCAGAACGCCAATAGCCATAAATGGTCTGGTGCCGGTAATTCCAGGCTCTGTTCCTAATCCTTGGGCGAGCTCTATTGCGGAATCAAGGTCTATCAGGATCCCCTTCGGCTTTGCTTCATCTTGGTCATCCAGAATGATCATGTTCCCCGGGGATATATCTTGGTGAAGAATCTTGGCGTCATGGAGTATCGATGGCACTTGATAGCATCACGAAACACTTGAAGCAATTCTGTTGGAGACTGAAAAGTGTGAAGGGATCTGCCGACAGGAGAAGTAACGATGCAGGCAAGGATGCGATTTTGAAAGAAGTTGTCGGTTTCTTGTGTATATTCGACAAGGCCGTCGGCATTACAAGTAGCTTCCTGTCGTTGCTCTTCGATACTTCCATGTCTTCCGCGAAAGTGCATCGTGGCGAATTTTCTGTGTGTGCCCCACCGGAGACCTCGACGCAGATTTGCTGTACTTTCAACTTCTTTGTAGTAATCAACGGAGACGGCACCCCAGACGCATTTCTCCTTGGCCAGCTTCAGAAGCTCGTCCTCCGGACGCTCCCTGGCCCAACGCCATTTGAACTTCACGACGTAATTCCATCGATTCGAATCAGGCATTCTAGCCCGGTAGCAAGTTGTCCCGGTGCCAACAAGGCCTTCGCGGGACGCAATTGGCTGGCTTTCGAGATAGAGCTTTCCCGGAGAGGGAATCACCACACTATCAAGGATGATGTAGCTGCCGCCCTTATCCGTCTCGATGATGTTGATTTTGCCCAGGTCCTGGTCCGTCATCCGCTGGTAGCTGAGAATAATAGAGAGAAATTGGATGAAATCTTGTTGAACATCGAATACGTCGCTGCAATATAAGCCAGATCGATCAAAGACCCAAAGTTCGACGAGTGAACCGCGGATGTAGAAGCCATGCAAGAAGAGCCGCGTAGGCTGATTGGCGAAGACCTGGTGTGCGGACCGGCAGAGACGTAATAGTCCATCCTGATAAACGCAGCCACGGTGGTAAAACTGGCCAATAACCTGAACATGGTCCCATCTTGGCTGTACGTTGGAGGCCGGCGAAGTGGGCATGGTCAAGAGGAGACGTGCGCCGTCGTCAGCACTCCCGTGCTCTGGTGCTACATTGCCGCCAGATATATGCCACGAGCCTCGAGCGCCGTCAAGTTCCCGCGATGCATAGTTGGAAAACCATTGTAGGAAATTGTCGGGCGATGGGGCCTGATTTTCCAACAAAACATCTTGGCGGACATGTTGAAAGTCACCGAAGAATCTTCTGATAAATCCGCTCATGGGGCCGTGCAAGCGGCCGTCTATGTTGTCAAGGATTTCTTGGTCGTCTGTCGCGGAGGCCGGTGGAGCTGGCGGATGATTTACCACCGGGTGATTCTCCATGGCCGATGGAACACACGGCGTATTGCGAATGGTGGTGGGTGTTTGGGGTTGGGGGCTTTTGGGTACGTTTGAATAGCAGCCTCACGAGCTGCCTCGAGATTTGTTGCGTGTGAAGTCGATGGGACCGGTCTATTCCAGCGAAATGCCGACGTTGGAGTTGTGGTGTGGTGCTAAAGAGGCGAGTGTTCCGGTTCCGATTGAGCGAGCGGATCAGCATCCCGTGTGCAGTTTGTCCACCGTCTGACTGGGCGGTGGCAGTGTACGGATACAGCCGTCAGAAAGAGGGACAAGTCCCACAGTTGGTCTTGAAGGCGGTCTCGCTTTGCCTGTTTGTCCTTCTTGTCTCGTGTTGTGCGTCGTGGAGCTGGCTGTCGACCCGTGTTGATTCGTGGTCATTGAGGGGTAAGAGTTGGGGGCATTGGAACGGTGATGGGCGGTGAAAAAATCACCCAACGAGAAGAGGTTACAGAAAGCTTCCGGGGCTAGGCCAACGTCGCGCAAAGGGATCCAGGAGAATTTTCTGATGACGAGTCAACTTGGGGTTTCCCAGACACGCCGAGCCCGACGGAGCAGCGGACACCTCGAGGAGGGTCGGAAGGCGAGGGAATTCAGGGAACTCAACGCGGTCAGCGATTTCCGGCGCAACGATCCCAGGGCGGAAGAGGGGGAGAAGGAGGAAGCCAGAAACAAGACGGGCCGTACTGCACTCAAAAATGCCTCTTGGGGCTCGTCAATGGCGGTTCTCTTGACCCAAGATGCCCGAATATGGCATTTCACAGCAAGCAGCCCGACGGCCACCGCAGCAACTTCCATCGCCCAAGCTACACCTGTATCCCGCATCCAATCGACCACGCTACACTTCTTAGGCTCCTCTGGGAGCAACTGGAAGGAACATTAGACGATGGGATCACGCCGTTGAGGCAGGGGAACCGCTTGAAAGGAATGCAATGCATCAACAGAGAGTGGTTCACAAGGATGTTCGATGGGCAAACATGCTGTTTGATGTCGAACTCGGGAGAGTCGGTAATGCACTCTGTCGTCCTCTCCATTATAAACCGATTCTCAACAAGACCGGGAGAGAAACTGAGTCAAAGGATGGGCCGAATCCACACGGTTGAGCGCAACCTTGGTCAGCTGCGGATTGCCGTCGTTCCCGGTGCCTGCGGTCAAGAGAGCACTTTCCAGCACTGTCGTGCTCTGCATCACGCATCATTCTTCGCGTGTGGACGGGGAAAACATCGCCCGGAGTTGATCGGCGTACTGCTCCTGCTCTTGAACCTTGGCTGAAACGAATCGCAGGCTGTCCACGTCCCACAACCGCATGAGCGGACGGCTGAACTCCTCCCATGTGCTGCCGTTAAATTCCCCGAACCGAGGCTGGATGTTGTTGATGTACAGAGCCAACAGGGCGGTCGGAGAGTCGAGGGCCCTCGTGTACCAGTATGAGCCCGACGCCCAGGACGCGCACATCAGCTCAGTGTGGACGTTGGTCCCGTCCAGAGCCATTTCCTGCTCTCCCATAGCATCCACGAACTCGTCGTGTAGTGTAGTAAACTCGTCAGAATGAAACGCGATTTCTTCTATACTGCGGTTGGACAGCCACGCTGGCGGGCCAAGCATCTCGACAGGTCGTGACATCATCTACAAAGACGTTGCTCTGGTGGAGGTAGGTTAAACAGAAGGGCGAATGGGCCCTCGCGAGACTGGGTGCTAACGAGTTTGGGTAGCAGTGCCCGCATGGCCGTTAATGCTCCTAGTTGAGTCTCGCCGTCATGTTGTTGGTGGTGGATTGAGTTGGGCTGATGACGCATCCGATTGTCGTGGTAGTTGATGAGGTTAAACAAGTAAGGCACGGCAGATGAATGTGTATGATTTCGAGGTAGTTCGGTTGGGATGTTCGCATTCTCCAGGTGGTGGAGAAATAGCGTAAGTGGGTGATTTGCAAGCTTCAGGACACCACGGTCGTCTATTGTCCACGAGCCAATCCGGGCAGGGGAAGTTTGGCAAGGCTGAGCATGATGCGGGATAAATGCCCAAAGAGGTTGGCGCGTCGTTTCACGTCGTGGCGGCCGGTCTCCCAAGATTCGGACAACATGTTGCCATTATCGACATGCTCCAGCACAAGATAGCCATCATCAATCAGATGGCAGCGGCTATACGGGACGTACGGAGTTAGGGGACTGCCAAACAACCGCATCACGGCACGACGGATGTACCAGATGACGTGCTTATGATACGGCTCACGCTCCACTGTGGTAAACTAACCAGTCGTCAGTTGAGAAGGGACGGGGCCAGCAGCAGAGCAACGTTGCGTACCGAGTTGCTCCCGGGAAGCCCGAAGCCAAAGAGGCGTGGAATGGGCACGTCGGGGCAGTTTTGCTGCAGCCAGATATATGTCGCCGCTTCACAGCGCAGCTTCTCGTCAACGTTTCTCGGGCACGAGGCCTCTCCGACCTTCCGGAACAAGTTCCTCCAGGCAAAGGAACCTTCCGGAACTTCGCTCCGCTTTAAAGTTCCTCCAGGCATAACTGCAACACATTTCTCGGTTACCACTGTACTCGACTTCCTTGACCATTCTCAGAGATCCATTTGTCAAAAATAATCCAAGTGACGAAGCGCAGGGGTCTCATTTGAGCAAGGACCTCTTTTGACTAAAAGCACAGACCTCCTTTTTGACTAAGGATAAGGATCTGTTTTGACTAAGAGCAGGGACCACTTTTGACTCAAAGCAAGGACCTCTTTTTAGACTAAAAGCACAGATCTCTTTTTTGACTACGGAGGGCTCTTTCAAAAGTCATGTCCCGCGCTAAATGCGCTACATCCCTCAATCCTTGTCAGTTACATCAGATACAAGGTATCGAAACTAACCACGATAAGTTAGCTATCACATCCCTATAGTTTTAGCGACCGTAGGGGAAACAGCCTGTCGCACAGTAAGCACAGGCCTCTATAAAATTAGCGGTCTTTACTAGACAACCCACAAGAGAGAGTACTCTATATAGCTGACCCAGCCACAACAGTCAGATCTCCCGTTTTGAACTAGCGTCAGGAAATGACTTTTGAAAGAGCCCTCCGTAAGGACAAGGTGATTTGACTGAGCAGGGATCTCTTTAATTAAAGTCAGGATCTCTATTTGACTAAAAGTACAGATCTCTTTTTTAACAGAACCTTAACAAGCAAGATTAGACAATAGAGAATAAAAGAATAATTATACTTAGCTTCATCAAGCTATAGATTGCTACTATACCCTAATCCAAAGAAATATCTTTTTGAAATCCACCCAATCTTATTTAACTTTAGATTATGGCCCTTTACGCTGCTATTCTAGGCTGTATATATATTGTATTAGTTGGTGGTGCAGATTCGATCCGATCGATTCCCAGTAGTTATCACCAAATGCAGATGAGAATATTGCGCGTCGTCTCTTAAATATATAAAGTTCTATATAAAGCCCTCGTTTCCTGATCAAGACTATCCAAGCCGATAGATTACTGTACGGTTGACCAGAGGCTGTATAGTAGGGATGAGCGGGGCACCACCCTTAGATAACGATATTTCCTATATCTGCCTGGGAATAATCCAACGCTTAATATATAGACTACATATAATTATTGGGGAGAAGAGGTCTTGGTATTCGCGCATAAGCCTTAAATAGAGATCGCTCCTCCTCGCTGTCCAAGTCTCCCTGCTCCTATAACTTCCTTTTCTTGACCTCCGAGGATGAAGTGTGCGGGCTGTGGGATGTTATCTGCCGCCCCCACGGTGATGTATCCTATATCTTCTTTGATAAAGATCCTCCCTGGGCCCGCGTACTACTGGAAGAGCTAGAGATAGAGCCTGATAAGAGTTCAGAAACTAGATCTAAAATAACTACTTTAGCATACCAGCAAAATATACCAGCTGAGTCGTCCCTTTGCCCGCCCGCTGCAGATACAACCTGATCTATCCTTCTATTTAGGATATAGAGGAGATATTATACTTAGATAGCTGAAATAAGAGGCTGGAATAGCCTGTAAGTCTATTTCCTTAACTACTAGTTAGTAAAATATATTAAATCTATTATATTTTGCTCTTTATGCTAGTGTCTAAAATAGCTCTGCCAGCTGAAGATGTAATAACAGATAAGAATTATCGCAGCCTTTGAGCACAACCCCTTCTTATTATTTGACCAGAAGCGGGATTACTGCTGTAATCCTCTGATGCCTTATGGCACTGCTCCTCTTCAGGATAGGGCCGAACGATTCGCTTTTGTTTCTAGTGTAGGCACATCTTCGATCGCGACAATAGCAAATAAAAGCTGGGTGGCCAATTTATCTGGAAAATATCGAGTAAGCGAGGCGAACATTATGACAGACGCCTCCTCGCCGAAACAACTTCGGTATGACTCCCCAGAGGCCATTTATTCAAGATATGTGGCAGCAAGGGCCGCGTGGTATGCCGCGCAGACCAGCAGCAGCATCAAGACAAACCAGGAATATCGCAGAGCTCAGGGGCTTTCGCAGAGGTACGACAAGAAAAGCTATGAGTGGTGCTTGGACTTCAAGCACATGTCCAAGCGCTATACTAGTTCAACAAGGCCGCGGGAGTGGACGAAAGAGGAGATGATGGCGTATCTGGACTGGTGCAAAGCAGAGGATGAACGAGTTAAAGCTCATGTGGCGAGAGAGATGGGCGAGAATCCCCTGGCAAACAACAGAAGAGGCATGAAAGAAATATGGGACAGTACGGAAAGAGATAGCAGTGAACAACAGGCTTTGTACTCTGAGGGAAACACAGTTGAACTTACAGTGTAGTGGGTCCGAGCCTTGGAAATGACATTGCTGAACGCAGTAACGCTACTCACCTGATGCAGCAATGACATTGCCAGCTCTTACTGTATCCCAGTCCTCAGCATCCACATCCGCCCACATCTTCACTCCCAATATGCCTCGCATGGAGCTAACCGGCGCTAGGGAGAAGTAAGGTATCAGGATTGAGTTGCTGAGCACACCTCCAAAACATATCATCTTCTGGTACGTTTTCCAGAGGACAACGGAACCAGAACACATCTAGATACGCGAAATGGTGTGTCTGAGTGCAATTAATAGTCCAAGAGTTTGTTAACACATACAAAGCCTTGAGGGTTGCCCGCCATGGAATGATCTTTGCTAGGATGTCCGGTGGACCGTATCTGTCTCGACCGAGCTGAACACAAGCTATCGAAACATTACCCCGAATTTAATATAAACTGGGAGGAAGTAGAGAAGCAGCTGCGAGTTTGGAGCCCTTTGTTCCGTAGAGGGAGGAAACTGCAGATAGAAGCAACATTTATCTGCAAACCCACAATCGATTCAGCCACAATAAAGACCCGATCGAGCACACAGTCGAATAACAGACGAAGGGGAGGGGCCACGGGAAGATAACACGCCGAACTGGAAGCCGAGCAAGAAGAAGATGAGGCTGCCGGTCGACCGAATCATTGGTCCAAAGTTTATGCTATTATATAATGCAATAGCCCCCCATACTCAGGAACGCAGTGCTTTCGTGATTCAGAGCGAGGAAATAAATATGTTCCTGCAGACGCCGAGATTATGCAAGAGCTTGTTACATATTCCGAGGAAGGTAACAAATTTGAGGACCAGAAGGATATGCCATAATTCATCCGTGATATGATTTACAAAAAGGACCGCCTCAGGGACCAGCGCAAGGAGGAAAGCAAGAAACGAAAGCGAGACTCGTTCTCGGACAGGTATCCGATCCATATTACCAGGCACTAAGAACAAGGATCTGGACTAGTTCGGTGGGATGAAGAGATAACCTGGTTAAACCGCGTACTGTCACAACGCAGGCCCTGGGCTCACATGACCCAAAATTGAATTAACTATAGAATAAAAGCAGATGAATCGAATGATTTTCTTCAATTTACTGGACGCCCTGTGGTTGTGGTTGAAAATGAGTTTTAAGATGGAGTCTATTTGATGAAAAAAAACTCCGCACGCGCCCAAAAACCTTGACATGGCACTCAGGCCATTTGCTCGAGGAGTCCCACAAATAACGTGACCAAATCCCAATGACGCTAAACTCCTCTTGGAAATGGCCTGAGCATGCTGAGGTAAGAATCGGGAAGGCTTGGCGTCAGATGAGGAAATCGTCACGGTCTAGCGATAGCGGTGCGTATTATCGAGTTTGACACGCAACTACAACAGCAATATAGATCTAATCAATTAAAAATTGCATTTTCATGTTCTTTAGGCATTAAACTTCCCAGGATGGCTAAATCAACGAAGAACCTTGGTTGTGGCTCTGAAGATCTAATACCAAATTGGCCCCTAGATTGGTTCGTTCCGATTTGGTCGAAGGGGATATGGCCATCTTGCGAGCGTAACGAAACAGCTCCTCGACAGAGGCCTATTGCAGAACCGCCCGATCCAAGTTTCATGCCCATAATGATTAGCCAACCATATGCTCTTCCATCTGGGAGAGTAGGCAGCGCGCTAGATATGCTGGAAAAGGTGTTCCTAGCCAAGTCAAATCCGCCTTCTATGGTATCGGGCCGGTCTTTATGCGGGGTTAGGCATACCGTCCCAGCCCTACCACTAGGTCTCTAGGGGTTTTATCCGTAAGCTTAAGCCAAACCTAAGAGATCCCTACTTCACCTTCTCGGATCGGGTGTAGTGGACCGTTGCAATAAACCGATCCAGAGTAAGTGTAAGCACCCGGCGCACCAGTAGAAGGCAAGACGGGAAGGTAGCATGATCATCAATGGCGACAAGGCGCCCTGGCGGCCTCACTTCAGTTCCGTAGAAACTCGGTCAACTATGGCCCCTAGTTCATCTCCATATTTTCACTATTAACCGTCAGAATGACTCATTTGATTGGCTGTTGCGTGTGTTTGAGGGCGCTACTGATAGATGGAATGGATTCTGTGATTGGCTTGCCTACGTTTATGGGGGCCACTAAGTGCTTGGGCCGGCTTCCTATTCGTACGGCTGCTTCTCTGCTCAAACCCCTGCAAGGTTGAATCTCGACTGGGCTGCGCTAAGCCTGTCTGAATGCTGAATGCTGTCAGCACTAACGTACTTTGTAGATGGGCCGAGATTTGCAAGTGACTTCAGGACCAGCTATCCGGAGTTCGGATCAAACAAGCCAAGCATTCCTCGCTTAGGATTAAATTTACTCGTATTACGTAGGGCTAGATCCCTTTTGGAGACCCTGCCATACATACCTCCGTAAAAGCCGAACCCTACGTATCAAGTCGGGCAACATCGCCGCTAAGCCAACTCCCAGCCCCCAAAAGTGCCGCTCATGAGTGGTCGGAAACAGTGGATTCCTTGCCGACGTTCCCCGAGGGCTGCTGTGCCGTAGGGCTGATGGACTAATTCCCAGGCATCCTTGATGGTATCGGTGGAGATATTGTCTTGGGCGGACCAGCGGGGATGATAAAAGCGTGCTGGGCTCTCTGCGCCACTCTAGTCTTCCTCATCGACACCTCAACTCAGCCAGCCAACGTCCAAATCTCTCCCTCCATTCTTGATACTGGTTATAGCGCATACACCCACATCCTCCCTCAACACCCACAATGAGAGTCTTACCCGCCTTCTTCTGGATCTCCGCGTTCACGCCAGTCGCTCTTTCATTCAATTTCACCGCTCCCGATACTAGCAACCCGGTCAACCTCTCTGAGCCTGTCGTTTTCAAATGGGATACCTCTACAGGGAAGCCCATTCAGCCGTGGCTCCAGATCATATTCGCTACCGGTGACTCCACTCAGACAGGTCGGTGGGGAATCAACCTCGACCTGATCAACATCAGAAACACCAGCACGTGGACCTGGGACTCCCCCGAATGGGTGGCGTCTGTGAACAACGGCTCCAAGCAGATTCTCTTCGCCGGCGAGAATAACTGGTTCGAAGCAACTTTTTCGAGTTTCCAAGATTCCAACGACACCTTCTTGAGAGATCCGTTGACGGAGACGGAGAAATTCGAGGTCACAGGATATCCCAACCTCAAAGACCCTGAGTCTGGAGTTGGAGCGACGGCACCTTCGCTGAGCCTTGCGCTTGCACTAGGGGCTATGGCTCTTATTTTCAGCTCGACGGCTTGAAGGCCGTGGGCTTCTGAGGTCTTGTGTGAGGAGTTTGGGTCTGCGCGGGTGGTTTCTGTTGATGAGGATAACATGTGGCCGGGGAGTGAAGGGGTTAGATACCCTGGGGTTGGTTGACATTAATCAAAACACAAATATACTACCTAGATACAAGGCTCGAACCCACTACACTGTAAATCCACGTGGACCACATATCCCTTTGAGTGCCGTAAGCCTCCACCTAGGTCACGGGACCCACCGGATCCCTGCAACAGCCGAGGTACCTAGAGTGACCTAAAGCATCGCCAGAATCAACCCCGCCCAATTCCCCATACAACTCATTCTGTGTATTCCAATGGATTCCCAACTGCCCTCCAGCCAGGCAGTCAATGTGTATGATGACAATAGCTTCATTGGCACTAGCGACAGCCGCCGTGAGCACTCTACTGATAACACTTGCCGGCTGATACATAATCCAGTCTCGGATCGCGGTTACAACTTCGACCCGATGGTCATTCCAAGCCGGGCCCCTGAGATATATCAGACGAAGGATGGATTGGGTAAGACAGCTTGGATGACGATGGAATTGCTTGATTTTTCTATCTATTGAAGGGCTAGGATCGGTCTTATAGACGATGATGAAGCCGGCCTCCGGCGGTCTCCGGGACCTAGTCCAGACCAGATTCCTAGCACCCGTTACAGATATCGTAAGATCGTCATATTGGCAACAGACCAGGTTTCAACAGTCCCTATCAGGCTGTCTGACATCAAGATGCTAGGTCTTACATCGAGTCTTTGGCAGATCAGGAAGAATCCCTGAAGCATCAGTCGCTTCCAATATCTGCTGATGACAGCCAGAATTCATTCGAGGCACAGCCGAGTACATGCAAAGCCTTGGAAAAGAATCTAAACAGCCTTTCTCAGATCATTAGCCGTCTTCAGGAACGCTTAAAGTCCCTAAGGACAAATGGGACACCTGTGTCACAGGCTGAGGCCTTAGTAAGGGTTCCGGCTCCACCGAGACCCCGGCGATTTCCCTCGGACCGGGATTTAGCCAAGCCTAGCACTCTCGCGAGCATACTCCTTTCCTAGCTGCTAGAGGCTAAGGACTTCTCTTCTTTCTTTTTGCTCTTTAGCTTTAGATAGATAATCTTACAGCAACAGCCTGTTGAACAAACTCCTGTCCAGCCCCTCACAACCTGAGAACGACCCCAAGGTCATACAGTTACGGGAATACCTGGAAACATCAAAGCAGTATCTGGAGATATGCAAAACGGCTTTAAAAAACGCTGCGCAAGAAAAGAAACGCAGCTCTGAGGAGCTCGACATTGGAGACAGCGATCAGGTGGTTGTCACAACCCTAGCAGATCTCTTCGATAGTAGGAGAGCAACATCAGCAAACAGATCAGCACAGTTCGTGGGCTCCATATCTGATGAAACACTACGGCAGGTGTCCGCAAATCGATATAGTAGCCGGTTTAGCGCTTTTAACGCTTCTAGCGCTTTGGTTGCTGGCGGGCCTAGTGGCGGCGCCGTGCCTTTGAAACTGGACATCCGTGGAGTCAAGAGTAACCTCCCACGTGCGGCAGGGAACGATAGCGACAGCGATCAGGCAGACTACCTTGAAATCCCTAACGCCTATAGTTCTACTCCTAACAACTGGATCGAATTATATGGCCACATAAATGCCCGTGGTCTGCAGCTGTCACATCCAGTATAGGCTATCATTACACTATGCATTAGCAGAGTGTTTATTCCACTTTTGCTGTAGCCGTATGGTGCGACATACTATTAACATCTATTATTAAATCTTAAAGCTTTTAGCTATTATATTATACCGTCTTTGTATTTTTGGTGTTTTATTTAGCTTAAGATTGCGAATCTTGCAGCTGGTTTTTGGTATATTATTTAAGCTAAAATACAGCACCTGCTCAGGAGTCCTCTTTAAGCTGTTATTCCGCCTATCCTCTTGGATTTCTGGGTGCCATAGAGCCTTGGCTCATGAAATTGGCTAATTGCCAGTAACTCTCCAGCCAGAGAGTGTATTCTTCTTCGTTATTTCCACTTTACGAGCCTTAATATAGGCTCTGATAAAATTAATCTTATCTATCAGAGCAGAGTCAGTTAGAGAAGCGAACTTTTCTAACTCTCGTCGATATGAAGCTTTAGAGGTATTAAATATTCTATTATCTAATAGCTGGAGGCTGTAAGAGCAGGCTTATGTCTCCTGATAGGAAAGCATCTAATTAGATACTCTATCGGGTTGGCAGCGGGAAAGAATGGTGGCAAGTCATCGATAGGGCCTGCGGCAAACCCGGTAGATGGCGAGGTGGAAGACAGAGGTCGGACGGGATCGTGAGGATGTCGTAAATGTCTCGTGAAAATCTCTTAAAAATAGCAGCAAAAAGTCTCCTGTAGCTGTCTAGAATAATTAATCTGGTATCAGACTTATCAGCAGGCTTAGTCTGGGGTAAATAGACTCTTTTAAGCTATTCAATACTAATATAGTTATCAGTCTACCCTTTAAGTAAAGTTATATAATATCAGTTTGCTATCTTCTTAAATTTATAAAGAAATTACTATTTTTAGAGTTTCTTTTCTTTAAATATTATACTAGAAGTTAAGAAATAGCTATCTGCAGTAATAGCTTTAATAAATAAAATCTAATTTTAAGTTTATAGTCCCCTAAAAAGAACCTTTTACTTTAAGTCTATATTTCTAACTACCAGACTATCCAACTCTAATAAAAAGAATCTAGTTAGTTAAATTTCAAAAAGAAAGAGAAAAGAGAAATAGAAGCTTGCCAAAACCAATTATTATACCTCTTTTATTAATATTAATAATATTCTTAGGCCGAATCCAGCTATACTAGCTCTTCCTAATATCAAAGTACTAATAAACTGCCTTAGCCATAAAGAATTCAAACCTATTAGCTTCCTGATATTTACCTATCTTAGTCTTAAGGTCTTAGTAGTACTCGACAAATCTAGCTACCCAGTTGCATCCTAATTCTGGTTGTTTGCCTTGCTGTCTTAATAAGCCTATAATTCAAGCGCAAATCTAATTGTAGGACGGAGTATATCCCAGAGACTCCTAACGAAGAATCCAAAAAGCTAATTTATCTTCCTGATTCTTAGATAAATACTGACCAGGCTGAATTTGCTTTTTTATAGCCATCAGACTGTTAAACCTGTTAATCAGAGTTCTTCAAGGTACTGAGTAGGGGATTTACTGTCCCTGGGGATGTTGGTCATTTGATCAGATCCTTGCCGCAGCCGGGGCTAAGACTGCTGCAGCTTCCTTCAACAGGAAAGGCTGCACAGCATAGGGACTAGTGACCTGACCCATTGGGGCCCATAAAAGAGCTTTGGATATGTAGATAGAAGCAAGCAAGACGCATCCCTCTCAAGATCATCATCACTAAGGATAGCTGTCTGGTGATATCCTCAATCATGATCAGTCTTCGGCTCAATTTACAGTCTTTCTAGCCCATTTTCTTCAGTCTCTCTTAGTGAACCGTTTGATCAAATGGTACTGGATGCATGATGCGAAAATATCCCGTGAGGGATCACGTGAAGAGGGGTAACCTCAAAAGGGCCCTGTGGGCCCTTTAAACTTAGCCTCATCATCCATCATCACACAATTCAATACAATCCATCACTGCCATCGCAGCATTCTGGCCCTTTGTGCCCTTGTTGGCCGTAGGCCCTGTGGCCTTTGCCTCTCTTCCGTATCAATGCAGTATCCATTGGTCCTATTCATTTGATCCATTTTTCCTGCTTTTGGTCCCGGCCCCTATTTTAGCAGCGGAAAGGGACAGGAACAACACCCAACTCATTAACTTACCCTAGGGGAGATGCACAGAAGGTCGTCGCACAGGCGTTTTAGATGGTCAGCCCGAAGCTGCACCAGACTACGCGTATGAGGTCGGATTGATCTGAGGCTTATGTCTCCTGATAGGGAAGCATCTCATGAGATAGAATATCGAGTCGGTCGCAGGAAAAGTATGCTGGCAAGGCTTCAATAGGGTCTGCGGCAGCCCGATATCTGTGGGTGGTGGAGGACAGAGGTTGGATAGGGATCGTAGTGACAGTCGGAATAGACCCAAATAAATCTCTCAAAAATAAAGGCAATGAATTAATAGACTTCCCAGCAGCCCTGAGTCCTTCCGGCCTCTCTGACTTCTGGAAAACGAATCTCTGATGAAGTCAAAAAAAAAACCATCATCCCTCCTTCCTGTGCAGGCCCTGACCTTCCCTTTTAACCTCATCCGGACCACCCTAGAGACATCCCAGCTATCGACCAGCTAGCCCAAGAGTCCCTGACCGCCTGCCACACTATCTGCTGTGGCAGACGCATCACCCCTTCAGTCATCACCAAAGCTGCCTTTTGGGTGGGTTGTGTGTTTCTAGTGTCTCTCGTCCCCGCACACCACTCAGTACTCTCTATCTCTGAGCTGCTTGAGAGGGTGAACAGCTATTACCGGTGATATCCAATATAGCCTCGGCTATATTGTCTTCTGTATATTTCTAACGAGGCCGCAATAAAGGTATTTTTATTGCGTTATAAGAGACTGGCATAAGAAATATTGGGAAAGAGCGGTGAGGAATTTAGTGATTAAGATGGTGATATTTTCTTATAATAGCTTGTATATTACATGCCCTATACAACTGCACAAAATCAGAAAAATAAATTCCAATTAATTTTATATCTATAAGAAGTAACCGCTTACTAATAACTTCTATTTTGGCCAAATTCTATATAAATAAAATAGTTAAGTTTTAGTGGTGGTTTTTTTTTTGGCCTGGCAAAAGAGTGGGGTTGGCGAAAGGGTGGTGGTGTATGGTACGTAGGTGGAATACAAGCGGGACAAGATGGGAGCAAAGGCTTCTTCAGAAAACTATCAAGAAACAGACTACACTTTTTTTTATACGCAACACAGTTCAAGCTTGATATAATCCCACATATCTAAGACTTTAAGTCCCTAGACTTTCACTGTCAAAGGATCCTCGCCTCTGATATCCCTCCACATGTTTGTCGCAACAACAATATCTCCACATCCTTGCAGTAGCCATCCCCATTTCTTTGCAAACGCCTCGGTAATTTCCCAGCCATTAATATCCCAGGGATCCGACCAGGACACGAGACCTGGATCGCCTGACCAAGTCTCCTTCGGCTTCGAATCGTTCGCTGCAGCCTTTTCGCCACTATCAATGCTAGCCAGGCCCGATTCTGGGCCAGAATGCGTCCGCTTAGGGTCATGGGCACCCAACTGCGTCTCTTGGTCGTCTTCGACTTCTCCGACACTGCAAAGACTCTCAAACGCTTCGCCAACCAAATCCATCATGAACGCATCTTGATCGATACGATTTGCCTCTAGCGCCAGTATCAGGCTGTCCCGTAGCCGTGGATAAGGGAAAAGATCAACCCAACCGAGATGCGGAATCTGCTGTTGGATATGCGTCGGCATCAGAGCCGGTGGCAGGGTGAAGTCGACTCTCGCTCCAGAGGCAGACCACAATAGCATCTCCTCGGGGGAGGGAAGGCTGAATACACGGGGGAAAGCGCAGAAACGAGATGTAGGGAGGGGAATGGACGATATTATGATATAGTTTGTCAAAACGGCACGAGAAACATTGAGAGAAATGACGTGTAGAAGTTGGGCATCTCGCGTCAAAGGGAAACAGACGTGGGGAGAGTTCCCATCAACCACTCTAGAAGCAGCTCCTTCATCCGCTCTCGCTTGAACAGATGGACCGGAGAATACGGAGGGCCCATTGCTACCCGTAGATTCAACGTCGGGTTTGTGCTCTGGTACTCCGTTGAGTCTTTGTCGTCGTCCTGAGTTGCGTAAGCTGTCAGCAGACCACACCTCTAATGGCGATGGCAGATGTCGATCTTACGAGCCGCTCTCTGGTTAATCCTATTCTGTCGCTTCCTTCTCTCTTTCACATCACCCAGACCAGCCCATTCATCATTCTCGTCTGGAACCTGCAGGGGGGAAGGCATGGTTAGTCCACTGTGGAGTCGACTCGGAGCCTGTAGGTCGTCACTACCTACCTTATCATGCACAGGCACCAGTCGAAAAATCTGATATGAGGCCATTAGCAAGGTGTATTTTGCAGCTATGACAAAATTCTGCCGCTTTGTGCTGAGCAAGAAGGGAGGTTGGCGTCAATGATGGATTGAAAGATGAAGCATGATGTGAACGGCTGACACTTTTTGTATGAATGGGGAAAAGTCGAGACAGTGGGCCTCATGCGGAGGGCTGACAAAACTAAGCCAATTTTGGCTTAGGCTCACTCTATAGACATGTCATCAAGCTTACGAGTCCCATGAGTCAGTATCAAAGAACTTGAGGCTTGCTGACATGCTAAGTCTTTATTGGGTAAACCAGAGGACTGGAGGAAATGAATGAATTGAACAAACTGGGAGCGCCGTCCCTGTTCTCTCTATAAATAAGAGAGCATCGGATCGTCACCAACAGCCATTCGACCAAGTACTCAACAATTCTTCTTTCACCAAGCTCCTTGACTTCAAAATTATTAACTATAACTACTACAAATTCGAATTCGAAATGGCGTCTGCTCTCTTGAGACTTTTGAGAAATCGATACTCTGCACCAACACTACAATCCATCGAATGCAGCTCCATCTTGGGCAAAACCGTCCTTGTTACCGGCGCCAGCAGTGGACTCGGCCTCGAAGCTGCCCGTCATTACATTCGCTTGGGGGCATCACGCGTGATTCTTGGCGTTCGCTCCCAGTCCAAGGGCGATGAGGCAAAGCGAAACTTGAGCTCCAGCTTCAGTTCAGACCGACTGAAATGTTGCGCCATCGATGTCTGGATTGTCGACCTCGCATCCTTCGCATCGGTTCGATCATTCGCAGACCAGGTCGTGCAAAAGCTCGAGAGACTTGACATCGCTATCCTCAACGCGGCTGTCGCCAAGGACAAGTACTATGCCACAGAGGATGGTTGGGAAGAGGTACTACAGGTCAATGTGTTGTCAACAGCTCTCCTCGCTCTGTTACTTCTACCAAAAATGCGGCAATCAGCATCATCTTCCTGGATACCTCGACTGAGCATTGTCACGGCCAGAGCACATGCAACGGTTCCGGGAGGGGCATCGTGGCAGTCCGCGCCAAACATGCTCGAAGAGTTGAACCAAGAGAGTCAATTTGGCACGATCAGTGCCCGGTACAGTGTTTCCAAGCTGTTGGTGATTTATGCAGCCAGGGAGATTGCGAAACTAGCTACATCTACAGATGGTCAATGTGAGGTTGTGGTCAACTATCTGTGTCCTGGAGCATGCAAGTCGGACCTAGCCCGACACTGGCAGGGTTTACCACAGAGAGCCTTGCTTTCCTTGATGCAGGCAACAATCTGCAAGACAACTGAGGAGGGTTCGAGAACGCTAGTGTACGCAAGCGTGCTCGGGGAGGAGAGTCATGGGCTGTGGATTCACAACAATCAGATTGAACAGTGAGTTCGCCAGAGGCTCAACCAAGTGACTCTGGACAATATGACTGACATTTTACCTGTAGGCCCGGTCAGCTAGTTCTGAGTGCTACGGGTCTTCAGTTGCAAAAGAAGATATGGGCTGAGACATTGGAGGTGCTGAGCCCATTTTATACTCATGTGCTAAAATAAAGCAATGCGGCTTCGGAAACGGAAACACTAGGTAGAGAGAATGAGAACTGTGTCGCGTATACCTTGCACGAGAGAAGATTGCCTACCACTGGCTCTGGGGGAGCTCGAGACGTTCTGCGGATGATTTGCGTCGTTGGTAGGCGGTAGCGGTCTGGCTCGCCCGGGATATTCCGCCTGGGCAATTCGATATCGTAGCGTTGCTTTAGCGTGGAAGGAGGAGGGGGGTTATCGGCAAGGGGCCTATTATTATTATCTATTCTTATTAGAGTTAGAGGAGTAAGTTAAAGGCTATACTCTCTATAATATATTTTACTAGCTTTTTATATAAGGATTAAGGTAGTATCGGGCAGACTGTAAATATATTAATTTTAAGAGGTATAACTATAAATTATAGATTTCTATATAATTTTCCTACTATTTTAATATAAATATAGTAGATTTTATAATTTTAAATAATATAATAAGCTAGTTTATTAGATTTTATTTTTTTATTAATTTTATTATAATTCATTAATAATTAGTTTAATATAGACATATAGAGTTATAAACTTATTTTAAATATACTGTATAGCTATAAAATTCTATAATTTAGAGTAAATTTATTTACCTATTACTTTAGCTTCTTTTTCCTTCTCTATAGATATCCAGTTCCTGATATAACCTGCTCGGCTAAAATTAATAAGAGTTATATATTTATTTATACTTAACATAATATTACTTATCGACAAGTTATAGTAGATAACTCCAGCTTTATGGATAGCTTTAACTGCCAACTCAATCTCATCAACATATTACACCAGATTCTCAAAAGTAATATCGCAAAGCCTCTCCATCTAAAAGCCAAAAATACCCTGCTCATCTTGGAGCGGTTTAGAACATATTCGTACGACCGGAAGATTGAGTTGCAACGTTGAGAAATACTGGAGGAGTAAAAACTCATCCTGGATGAGGCGTCTCTGTCGCTCGTTGATTGCAACCTTGCAGATCGGAAAGCCATCTGTACAATTGCTCAACTCTCTGATGTGAAAGTCCGAGCCATACCCAATAACTTGAGAGGCACTCCAGAGCTCATTTACCTGAGAGCCATGAGGGATATGCGAAGCGGTTGCACCATCGAGCGACGGAAATGACGATAGATCAGGTGGTTTTCGCCAATCTCCGAGCCAACACACGCGATATTCTTGGCCTTGGTAGTCGACGTTAAGGGCACATTGCTTGTTGAAAGGATAGACATCGGTGATCGGTTGTGGTGACATGGTGATGGGTCTAGCGGTTTGTTACGCCTCGGCTGTGATGGAAAAGGTGAGAGTTCTCGAGATGATGCATGAAATGATGAGAGGTTTCAACCATTGTGGTGGAAGGTGGAAATTCGACTGACACGCCTCCTTAGTCAGGCTGCGTTTATGCATATATTGTCATGGCTAACGGGGAGAATGCAGATATCCAGCTCGCCATAGATCAACTCGCTGATTGTGCGGCGCGAGGAGCAAAACCCGCCACCGTCGACGCCTCTGATGGAAGCTGATTCGGACCTCATCTATGACAGGACCGCAGGTATCTCGAATTGCATCATGCTCTCGCCCGGCCAGGTGTACATTTTCGCCGTCTTCTCGGTCCGCGACTCTGACTCCTTCTCTAATACTCCGAAGTACCCATCCGCCGCCCGCTTCTCCTCCAACAACCGGAGGCGGTCGCGGATCGCAAATTTCCACTCCTTCGTCACCTTGCACACCAGGAGGAGGCCCAGGGCGAAGAGCAGGATACAGGATGCCACAATCGCTGTGACACTGAACCAGAGCGCCGCACAAGGGGATATTCGGGTCCTCCGTCACGACGATGATGCGCCGTTTCACCAACTGCCCGTGGAGAGGCGATATGTTTCCGCTGTCCTGTTTTGACATCCACCATTTTGCAAGACGGGGCCAGGCTAATACGTAGTCCCTAGGATATTCTGCAAGGTAGACACAGCGATGCCATCCCTGTAGCCAAACAGGACACCCGACCGGACAATGCAGCTGCAGGAGAAGTTTGCCTAACATGATGGTACGATTGTCTCCCTCGACGTTGATCAAGCTTCTCCAACCAAATCTTGCTCGATAGCTCTGATGTCCTCGAGAACCTCACCCGCAGAGCCGTATTGTTGCCTCCAACATTTTTGGGTGACGGCAGCACAGGCATGGGAATCCTCCGGGAAAACGCCTCTCGAAAATCGAGACCGAACCGCCTCATCCCACCCAGCCTCTCCGTAGATGATGTCTCGGAACACCTCATGTCCGGTCATTATGAAGTAGATGGTAGACCCGAGCGCAAAGAGATCCGTCATGATATTGGCCTCGAACACGTTGTCTCGAGGACAGAAATATCTGCACGGCTCGCCGCTCCAGCCAGTCAAGATGACCTCGCTGTCCTCCGAGAGATAATGGCCTTGAAAATCGGCCAGCTTGAGATGAAGATTCTGATCGACTAGGATATTCGTGGGCTGGATATCGCAGTGGATCACCCTCTTCGCATGGATATGGTCGACTGCCTCCGTTAGCTGTCGGCACCATGCTACCCTCTGCTGAAGATGAGGGGCGGGATGATCCGACTCGGTCAGGTACTCAAGGATGGTCCCGTTTGCCGCACGCTCGAGGTATAAGCCGGCATCTGTAGATCCTTTGTGCGCGATGATTCGGGGGTGTTGGCCAACTATGGTGAGAATCTTGTGTTCAAGCTCGAGGCGAATCATATCGCCTCCCGGCTCCAGAGGATACTTGAGGATGGTCGAATCATCAACCTCCCCGATGAAGGCGCTAGATCCGCACGCAAGAACACGCTGTACCCCCGGCGGACAGTAGAAGTGGTATTCGACTACCTCACGATTTGCCATGGCAAGGGATTGTACTTTCGGTGAGATTAGCGGCGTTGGGCGATTTGAGTCGATTGGCTGTGGCGTGGCCTCTCGAATAACGTGCAGAAGTGATAAATAGAGAGATGGCTGAGGAGTGAGGTGGGTGTGAGGATGCAAAGACGCTGATTGTTAATAGCAAGTCATACCTGCAACAGCGGTGGTGCAAATAAGCCCACGTGACTCGTGCACCACCGATCCGCCGGTTCACAAGGTGCCGGGCCTCTGGGCAATTCCGGTCTGCGCGGTCAAGATGGACGAGACGGTCGGGGTAGCCGTGGTGGGCGTGCTGGTTTGAGTCTTGAAAGTTCTCTCCATCAAGCTGAGGGATGGGCTCTTTTCCTAATCTCTGATGGACACTATCGATCTTTCCAGGTTGCGTAGGTTCGACTCAGCCGTGGTAGCTAGCTACCTTGATGAGGTTGAGTCACATCACCTTGATGTCGTTGAGCCATCGTGTTGGACCTATTTAAACCCCAAACTCATCCTCACTCCTTCACACTAATACCAAGTCCTCAGTCCTCAAACCTCAAACCTACGCTCCGGATTCTCCTCTCCTTCACACTAATACTAAGTCCTCGGTCCTCAAACTTCAACCCTAAGCTCTGGATTCTCCTCGAGGACTCGACACTACTACGACTCAATGGCTACACGATCGGCGAATTCCTCGGATGAATCCAGCCCCGCCCGTGCAATCTACAAGACAACTTTTCGAACTGCTTCTCCATACCTCCGTCGACTTCCCCTTGTAGCTGAACCTACACAGTGTCCAGAATCGATTCTTATTCACAAAAGAGCTATCATAAATCGAGCCAATGATATCCTGGAAAAATACAAGCTTCTCAACAATGAATCCAGTGTGGAGATTCTAAACCGGAGAAGCGTTTATTACCGGGAGGATGTACGTCTGACGTTATTTATTATCACAGCATGGAATGATGAATCATTTGCAACTTGGCCACAAGCTGTGCGAGAAATAGTGGATTTTATCGAAGACCAAACCTCTGCTCTCCCGCAAGCTATACTTGATGTGGAAATGATTGCTCCAGAGAGGGTGAAGAAAAAATATCTTGGCCTCGTTGGCGATGACCCCGCCTTACACTCAGCTTGGCCTTCCCTCGGTTCCTTGATTCAAGAGCGCCTGGAACTTTTTGAAGCTACATCCTCGCACTACACCTCGATTGGGTTATTCCGACTAGGCTACTCAGAGATCGAAGAAGACAACCCAATTACAGTCTACATCCCAGTCGAATATGACTCTGACGAGACTGAGTGGCCCGTTATTATCGACGATATTCTCAGCACCCTTGCAAGCCATGGTTGGCCTCAGCTCCACGTCCACATCGAACATGAGATTAGCTTCGGGAACATGGGGTTATTGATTTGAGGTTGAGGATGTCTTTGCGGACATCATACTGTTTTCGAGGGCTAAGGTGACTGACATCCGCATCGCAATTGATTGACGGATTGATTGATGCAGGAAAGCCGAATCTGGTCTGCACATGGGTGGCTGTTGGTGGGGATTAGACCGCATGACTGGGTTCTCCCCTATTGAAGCTCATTAGAACAATCAATCACCATATTCATATGCTTTCTAGGTTTGTGTACGTCTCGTTTGCAAGCGTCGCCGATGTAGACATCACAGTGGGGGTGGGGTTGATCTCCACGTCCGTTGCGGGGTCAACCAGCACAGTGCTGGTCATAACCACGTCGGATTAATGTATCTCTTACCTCTGCCCTTGTCGCAATGTTAACATAGCCATGTCATTCGGGTCTCAATGCTCAACATTCGTGAATCCAACGATGCGATCGCACGGATGGAACATTGAGCTCCTCACAGCGCCCGGCGGCGTTCCTTTCGCTGGCGTCTTCCAACCGGCAAAGGATGTTTTCATGACGTTTCGCGACATGGTCGACGAGATGCGTCTGAGTTTCGAGTTCCAGGACGAGAGCTCGGATATGTGGGATGAAGTTACTTTCAGCCTTTTGGATATTTTGAATGTGACTGAGGGCGAATGTCCCGCTCCCAAGTTTGTGCATGGCAGTGGGCTGGATCAACCAGTTCCCGCCCTTCCTGCGCTAGACCATGATGATCCTGAAGACCGTGTGATCCTCCAGTACCGCGTTTTCAAGCACCGCAATTGCAGCTTGTCAGCTGATCAGCCATTCAAGCGTCACTTTGAGGGTATGTTCAGAGAGTATCGTCTTCTCACGGCAACTCTTGCTAACCCTTTCCAGTCGGATGCGCACAGCCCATTTCCAAGCCTGTCCGCCGGCTGGAGCCACGCTACCTGCCTCCTAAGAAGGCCTCAACCGACTCGCGATACGCTGCCTACCCGCTCGGCAAAACAGTACGCGGAAAGAAACCTGGTTCTCCCTCGAAGCGATCAGCATCAGGTTCTGTATCACCGCGTAAGGATCCGGGCATGGACCAAGCTGAGGCTGATGAGGACTTCGCCAATATGGTCGCGCCCCCGGAATGCAACATCTCCGACGAAAGAGCCAAAACCACCATAGCTAACTTTCGCACCTCTTGCCTCACATCAGCCAGGCAGTATGCCGTAACTGGCATGGGACGCTCGTGGTGAAACAGCCCAACCATCGGGCCGGCGCTGCAGGCCTGCCACATTGTATCTCAGCTGCAGTATCATACATACCCCGACCCGGAAGCTGATGCCAACGAAATGCATGACGGCGGCGAGAGGGCGAGTCGGCGGCGTTTGGAGCAAGCCTGGGAATGCACCTGGGCTCCAGAGAACGGGGTCCTCCTCTTCAGCCATCTCCACGACATGTTCGACCAGCGGCTCTTCTCGATACACCCGGACACTCTCCAGATCCGCGTCTTCATGCCATACGACATCCTCCTCGCGTACCATGGCCGCAGAGCCAAAGTGCAGCGTCGGGTGGACAGGGCTGTGCTACGCCATCACTACGACATGTGCTGCATTGAGAACATGACCGCCAGGATGCCTTTCGTAGAGCAGCTGCCCCGGACGGGAAGTGTCGCATCGACGTCTGGTATCAATACTCCGCTCGACATTCGACCGACGCTGGCAGGGATCGCAATCCGGAGGATAATGGAGTCGCCCTCCGAGCAGAACCAGGGCGAAGATGGACAACGTCCTGATGGTGACCCCTCCAAACGGGCTCGGCACCCTGAAAGACAACACATGCCCGATTTAACGAGGGATTGCACCGACTTGTCTGTATCTCCAAGCGACAGACCAATGGACGACTCAACTGCTTCTCCCAACCTCTCATGCCCACGCAAACGCAAACGAGAACATGTCGCTAGTTGCCTTACTGTGGTGGGATTCGGGTGTCGGATACGGAGGACGGGGCCATCTGGCGCGCCGACACAGGCCAATGCGTACAGGCCCTCCAAGGCCATAGCGACTCGGTCGCGTCGGTTGCCTTCTCACACGACTCGGCGTTTATAGCATCGGCCTCTGTCGACAAGGACGATCCGGATCTGGCGCGCCGGTACATGCATCCAGACTGTTGATATTGGAGCAGCCAGTAAATCCCATGGGATAGCACACTTGTTCCGGCACACTTGTTCCAGCGCACCCGCTTCAGGAATAAATGGCCCAGTGCATGTGGGTGATGCAATGCCAAGATAGCTTGTGCCGTAGGCCATCAACAGGTTCGCAGCGTATCGCTCACCCCGAGCTTGTCAAAAACCCTCGTCGCTATCCCTCAAAAGACACAGTCTTGGATGCAATGACGTGGTGAAGCGACCATCGGAGCAACGGAATGCACGGCGCCAAAAATAAGATGCACCAGTCATTCTCCGAATCCCGGAGGCACGCCCTACCAAGATCGAATTGAAGGCTTCAAGACGATAAGGCCATGCGTTTGCCCCCACGTGAGGTCCCTAAATATAGCCAAGGCTTTTGAGTGACGCTAATGATGCATGTTGGTCGTATACGCCGTGATGCTTTCTTTTGTTTCTTCGACTACAACTTCAATGCGTACATCATCACGGGCAGTAACATCTGACCATCAACCAGCGGCATGCCCCTCTGGAGTTCGGTCCTGACGAGTCGCCATCCAGCTGCTTTGAAAAGTGCCTGAAACTTGATATTTGACCTATTACGCCAGCATTAGATTTTATCCAATGCCTTTCGTCTCTTATTGCGGGAAGATACTTACCTCGTCACACTGCTATCCTCTGCATCAAAGTCGTCGTTGTCGTCCGTACTGATATTTTCCTTAAAAGCCAGCACGCCGTCTGGACTCAATACAGCTTTACAAGTCTCCAGAAACTCCAAGAACTCCTTGTTGGGGAGGTATGCAGCGCACCATTGAATCCATATCAGATCATACTGGACGCTCTCGGCAGGCTGCCACCCTTCGAGCCCGATGTTGTAAATCCCCCCAATACCCGGCTTTCCCACAAGCACGTCAGTAAACTTAGACACAGGCTCGATAATATCTACTTGCTCAACCAGCCGCAGTAGAAGCCCCTCGGTGACCCTTCCAATACTGTAATGCGGCGAAGGGACCATCGGTCAGCAGTTGTTCGAGCGTAGCCTATGCTGCGGCCTATAAGGGGTTTAAACCCACCCAGCTCCTCCTTCAAGAGCCCTGGAGGCCTTTTGCCGCCCGTTCTTCGTGCCATAGCCCAGTCGTGCCAAGAAAGTTCGCGACCCTTGGAGATCGATCCTAGACACCGACGTCTTGCCGCCCAGCATACCGCTCACCGTGGGCTCGATGCCCTCCCAGTACTTCTTGCCGTCATCGAGGCTAATCAGAGAGTCGGGTGTGGGGTCCAACATGGTGTGCCTGAGCTGGTTGAATCGTTTGGCGTGGTATCGGCGACAGCTACACTGAAAGATTGCGCAGAGATGCCATTCGAATTTTTCCAATCCAGGGTCCCGTGACGCGCTATTTATGCCCCATCAAAGAGACGGTCGTTTCAGAACAAATAGCCCAGTGCGTGTGTGCCAGCACCCCTATAGTGCCAGCACACTTGCTCTAGCACGGTTGCTTTGCTCTACCACACACATTCTAGCAACTACGTGTTGAAATGAGCATATTGTGTTGATTGAAGGAGAAAAAGACTAGCGCTAACTAGCGGAAACTATTGACAAGAATACATCTACATCACAGCCACCAATGGATCGGAATAGCCATTGATCCGTCAAACCATGGATCTCAACACTAGGAGCGTGCTAGAACCCAACGCGAGCCAGCAAAAGTGTGCTAGCACACGATAGCTAGCATTGTACGCAATTTAGCACCAGTGCTTTTAGACCCATATGTGATAGAGTCCGCTAGGATTGCATCAAACTTTTGCAATGCTCTCGCCCAGCCAGCTAAATCTCGCCGTCACATAGGGACCCACCAAGCTTTGTGACTAACCGACGACAAACCTCGGATCGGACTTGCTGATACGTCATTTGCTGAAAAATGGGGCGGACCTAGTCTTCTACCCTGCGGCAGAATCAGCTCGCGCTATCAAAGAAACCATACACCTGACCAGTCGAGTCTCTTGCTCGACCTAGCCAGACGTTCTGGTTCCTTATCGCCGTGGGTATCGTCGGTTGGCGTTATTGTGTGGCTCCCTTGCACTGAGTTGTCCGCGCATCCGTTTGATTACGGATGGACTGACCTGCCCGTCTGCCTTTCTTTTTGCGGCTGTTGCGTCGTGGAGAGATATCCCAAGGGTCGATCCGAGTACTATCCGAGACCCTCGACTAGACCCCTCCCTGGCTAGTACGAGACCAAGAGCTATAACGTGACGTCATTTATGACCTTAATCAACCACCGCCAAGGGAAAAATAGAAAACTAGAGTACTAGAGATTCCTTGCACACCTGAACGAGATTTCTTGTGCGAGATCTGCACCCTTTTAGGTAGCACTTAGCTCAGTTTAATATTTCGAAACATTAAAATGTGTCACCCTATAGTACTCCGGTAAGTCAATTCTTACACTTTCTAGGCAGTGTACCATAGTTACTGCGTTGCTACTGAATCGTTCAATAGTGAGTCAAGTCGGTCCCCTGTTCCCAAGTGCAGCCGCGACAGCAGTCAGGCCAGTGAGCGTGTATCCCGCTAGCACCCGAGAATACAGTTACGTTGACGCCTTGGATTGGCCAGAGGCGCTCGTAGACTGCAGCCTCGTGCTCGAGATCGTGGATGAACGCCCGCACCGTGCCCTTGCTGACGAATGTGTAGCCATACGCAAGCAGAGTTACCTGGAAGAGCACGCCGCCCGCACCACTCTCACCTAACAGTGTGATCCAGTCATCTAATTATTGCTCCAGCTTGCTGGGAAGACCAATTGAGCTTGGCTTGATGCTTTGGGAGATTTTGTCAATCTTGCGCATGTTATGAACGTAGCGTAATAACCTGCCATGTTGTCTAACATTTGTTGCTGCTGGAACAATTCCGTGATGTCTCCAAATGTCTTGTCTATTTTTGTGCTCCTTCACGCATTACCCTCAAAGATAGACGTAATCTCCTACGTAGCTAAATGCCTAATATCCTACATGTCTGCTCTATTGCAACATGTATCCTCGAAACGACTCAGCTGCTGTTTCTTCCCCGAGATTGGTAACGGTAATGTCAAATGTGCACCGTTGGGTAAGGTTCTATACGGGCCAGGCCATGGTGCTAATAAGCCCTGCAACTGACTGTGTGATGGTAGGGCGTACAGCAGGGGATCTCGCCGGACGTTCCAGTGCAACGGGGACCATGCCCCACCGAGCAGATCTGGTACAGTGGGGGACATGTATCATAACTTATAACTTAATCCCAACCATAAACCGTTCAAGCATCTGCCAAAGACCATGAGAATAATCAAGGTTGAAGGGAAGAGTCTTGCATACCTAATTACACATTGCTTGCGTAGTTGGACATGGACCATGGAGGTTCTGGCACATAAACCGGCCCAATTAACCAGTACGAGGCGGGATGTCCAAAGCGAGGTGGCTGGCGGACAGCTAAATAAATATAAGTAAGTGTACGTAAAGGTTGCCTTGTGCGCATAACCCCACCAGAATTCAGTACCTGTCTGCGTCGCTGGCAGCAACAAGTGAATATGATGGCGACAGTCGGAGGGACGGTAATGACTACGCCCACAATCGCAACGATTGCTTCGGTAGACAGTGCCATGACTCGAAAGCTGTGAGCACGAGTCGCAGAGAAAGTGCAGCGTGGTGGGTTTTATAAAGAGAGTCGGCTGCTGATTCTTGTCTCTCCGCTGACGTGGATGAATGAAACCAAGCCAAGCACTGGGACCAGCAAGCAAGTGATGTAGTAGTAAGTAAGATGCCTGGAGTCGTCCCGCACCGCCGCCAACAAAACGAATCCCTGTACGCATGTCGGAGACCTAGCAGCCGGGTCCTTGATGGACCAGCCACACTGTGTAATTTTCCCTTGTACTTGCCATGCCATGCAGGCCTTGCAAGAGGGAGGGCTCTCCCGTGCCGGACTGTTATCATGCCTCAAAAGGGGCGGGGGCCTGGTTGTTAAGTCCATCAACGCATGGGTCGAGGTCCCGCAACTTGGGGGCTTTGACCAGGGTATTTCATGGTACAGGAAGCCGGGACCAGTCGCCGGAACTGGGGCTAGAGCTGGCACTGGGCACCTAACGATGGGATACTTACTGCGTAGTACTCGTAGCACTTGGGACGATCCATTAACCTGTCGACCGGGGTCTCCAAGACGACCAGGAACGGCCAGCAAGCACATACTAGGGTGCCCGCCGCCCCATGCTGCCCATGCACCAAAGACTCCGTGGTGCCAAGCCCATAACAGGGCTTGTAAGCCACAGCGATATGACTTTGCCCAGGGGGGTTTTGTGGGGGCGCATGTGATGTCAGGCGTCTATGTTGCATGGGCCGTGACACAATACTGGCAGCTTTGCGGCTAGTCTGCGATCGTTTAAAGAAACTATGAACTACGCCCATCTAGGCCACTCTCTTTGGCGGAAGCTAGATATTCTCCCTCGGCGATTAACTACCCAACTCCCAGCTGGCTTCCTGTAACTCGCTCATACTTGCTGATAATGTAATTATTTTCGGCGAGTTGCTTCTAGTCCGCTCTAGAACAGGTCCTAAACACGAAGAAATACCAACATGACCATGTGTATTCATTCTACATACTACTAGTACTACCTGGAACTCACTGCTCTATACTCAACTGTCCTCCACGTCCTCTATTTCAGCGACCTAGAATCTTTCGGGGCCGAGCCGCCCTACTCAGCTAACACAGCGTTCGGTCCCTCGTTCGCAGAGAGGGTTCTCATTCTCATGAACCGGGTGACGTATGGTTAGACTCGGCTTCCTGAGAACTTCCGACGCCTCGTCCAGCCCGGCCGCCGCAATTTGGGCCGTGATGGCAGAGACGGCATTGTCTTCTTGTCCGAGGAATGTCTCGTCCATAGCCATTTCAAATGCCACCATCAACTCGGGCACCATATTGTAGGCCTCACCGGCATCAACAGATTGGTCGTAGGCCATCTCCAGGACGAAGAGCGGCCCCACGTTCCGTCCGAATTCCTTAGGATGCCGCTCCCTCAACTTATTAACAACCTCGCCGAGACCCTTCGCGCTGGCGGCGACTTGGCGCGTCGCCAGCCAATCCGCGAAAGGATATGGTAACGATGACTTCTTTCTCCACGTTTGCCGCCACCGAAGTCTCTCCCCTGTTACGGTCCTAGCGGTTGTCATCTCTCTCGTCGTCTTGCTCGTTCTCGTCTTCGTCCTCGTCACCATTCCCGAGCGCCCGTTCTTCAAGCTCCAGCCCGATAGACATGAGCCACGCCGTGAAATCTTTCGTGAATGGTTCGGCGTCCTTCGGGTATCTGGCTCCGTAGGTACGGGTGAGCCCGTCTAGGGCCGCGAGGGCCAGCGCACGGGTGCGACGCGTTTCAGTGACCGGGTAAACGACTGGCCATACTCTTGGTTGTTTGTTACACCGCAAAGACGCGCCAAGACGTGTCGACCAGGGCTATTGTCAATTGGCGAACGGCCGCCCGCCATTTTGCCAATTGGGTCAAGAACAAAATCAAAGGTGGCCGTGGCCGGAGCATGAAGTGGTTGTGAGTCCCAGCTTGCAGACTCGAAGCAAGTCGCGAGTACGTAAGGACACGCGCCGTATTCCAGACGTAAGTTGCAGTGCTTACGTTTCTCACGGGAGTAATACAGACGAGAGCTCTACGGAGAGGTTCATCCGGGGCAATTTATTATCATATTAAAAGAGAGGTAGATTCCTAGCGTATAGAAACAACATTCCTTGAAAAATATTATATTATCGGTTCGATTCAGTCTTTTGGTCCCATTTTCAGTCTTGCCGAAGCGACCCTCACATGTGAGTCGGATTGGCACCGGACTCATGAGCGGCGAGCTCCGCAGCTGCAGCCCACATGGTTTTAACGGCGGCCGCGTCGAGCAGCATGGTGTTGCGTCGGTACCGTCGCCCCTTCTCTTCTCCCTTGTCCGTCCACGCCGGCAGCGCCCCGACGCCGCGTTCCCACGCCTCCGCTGCCTCCTCTTCGCCGGCCGCACGAGCGGCGGCGGCCGGGTCGTGCACCTCGAGCCGCCCGGCGGCATCGCGCGTTACAAGCCCTACCCGCAGGCGCCCGAGATCCGGCTCCCGCAGAAACACCAGCGTGTGCTCTCCGTGCACGATGGGGTCTGGACCGTAGATCCTCATCGGCTTTTTAAACGACTGCGTCTCCCGCATGGCGAGGTGGAAAGCCTCGGCCGGGAAGGGGGACGATACTGCCCACTCAGACTTTTTTTCCCCCCCTTCCAGTTAGTGACATTGATAGGGGGGGAGGAAAGTAGACATCAGAAACCTACGTACTTCTATGTTTCCCGTAGCCATCATAAGAGGGAAGATCAGTGGCCAACGATCGGTTATGAGATCATTCGCTTTCTCAACGATGGACTTGTGGGACATAAACTTCTCGATACTCGCCAGAGACGTATACAACTCGGCGAGCGGCGTCCAGGCGTCATGGTGCGGGAAAGTGACGAGTTCGGTAAAGATGCAATTGCGGTCATTTCGGGAGTACGCCTTCCTGTGACGCATGGGATGCAACATCATGGCGAGCGTCTCGGTGTCGAAGTCCTCGAGGCTCAGTGTGCCGAGGGGAACGCGGCGCTGGGCATCCAAGTCCGTCGGCGGCTTCGAGGCGTCGTCGACTTTTTGGGTCACGAGCATCATCCACACAACCTGGCGGATGCGCGTCCGCGTCGGCGCCGTGGGTGGCGCGGGTTGGACGCGGACCGGGTCTTGGGCATCCTCATGGCACTGCCTTACCCACTTCTCCAATGGTGCCAGGAAGCCGGCGCGAGTGGTAACCTTGGCAACACGGCCACCCACCACCTTGGCCACCTTCTCCAGTGGCAAGCCCGGATTGTCCCAGATGAGCAGCTCCTTGAGGTCTGTCACGTTTAGGATGCAGACTATATCGTCAGGCGTAATCGAGGCGTTGAAGGAGAGGTCAAGCAGCTCCAGGGGCTTCTTCTCTTCCCTCAACATCCCTGCGTTCCTAGCGACGACCGCTTCAACCAGCTCGACAACCTGGTCACCCGACAAAGCATTAAACCGGCTCAGTTCGAGGTGTGTGATATAAGCCCGGCCTTGTGACAAGGCGGCCAGAAGCAACGGTACGGTGCCCGGGTGTTCGGCCGCGAACCGCTCTGGATGCTCCCGTGTATAGCGTTCCAGCTCGGGCAGGAAGTTTTGTGTCGCTTTTAGGACTAGAAGCCGCTCTTTGGGGCAGGAATCGAGCAGCTGATCGACAATGCCCACAACGCGTTCGTCGGACGAGTCCTCGAGCTCCCTCTTGCGCTGCCTTGATGCAGGTGCTTCCTGTTCAGCCCTCCCGCTGCTGTCCTTCTCGTCATCATCATTTTCTAATTCGTCGCAATCGCTCGTTGCGTGCTCATCATCGTTGCCCTCGTCTTTGCTCTGCTCATCTCTGCTGTCCTTGTTGTTCTTCTCATCGGGCAGAAACGAGGGCCACACCTCTTGCAGCGCCTGCTTCGACATCACCGGTGCCGCCGTCTTGCCCCCACTGATCCACACCTCGTCGGAGTCGGGGTTTTTACTGTGGAGGCCAAACCCCCTTAGCCATCGGTGACCGGAAATTGGCTGGAGTGCAGGGTATGGCTGGTCGTCCCCCTCACAGCACGACTTCTCAGCCGGTAGCACAAAGGCGTAGGCGCGGTCGGTTAGGTCGATGACGGTGCATCCCGGCTGCCACATGTACTTGCCGCCCCAGTCGGGCGCCGAGTTCCACGGCCGGTGGCCAACTCTGTGCAGGAACGTAGAGTCCCAGTCGGACGAGATGGCGCCGAGGAGCAGACAGGTATGTATCACGGGGAACTTGGGCACGTAGGTTGCGAGGCATTCATGTTTAAGCCGGTCGACTTCTGCTTCAAGCTCCTTGGTCCTGGACTCGCTGCAATCCTCGGGAAGGGCCTTAAAATCCTTTTCACGTAGCCAATATTCAGCCTCGACATCCCGGCTCCAGGCGTCATCGGGCATTGTCTCCGCCAAAGCCAGCTCAAGGTCGATATATCGTTGGCTATTGTTGAGGTACGACAGGATTCTGCTAGTAACTGCGTACATCGGGTGTCAGCAAGTGTCGCTGTCTAGGGTGCCCAAAACTGGAGGCCAGGGCTAGGCCAGGGCCAGGCCGGCCAAGGTGAGACGTGGGAGGCGCGTCGCAGTTGATTACCTTGCACCATGTCCCAGCCGGGCTCCGCAGATTTCAGATCCAGGGCGGCCAGGGGGCGGCGCCTTCCCCCGACCATCCCGACGACAAGCAGTGGGTGTATTAGGCCCATCTCGTTGACAAGGTCAGAAAGCGGCTCAGGAAGGTCGATGAAATAGAGTGGATCGGGGGAAAAAAAAGAAAGAAAAAAACAGTGGGAAAAAAGAACCAGGGGGGGGGGGAAACACAAGATTTATCCTAAAGCAACGGGAAGGGCAGAATGTCGATCTAGCCCCAGCCACCCTCTCGATATCGAGGTGGGAAGAAGAGCCGTGTTGTTCTGAGCCGGGGATACGCGTGGAAAGTTGCGCAATGCGCGACACTCTAACTGATCCAGATGCCCTTAATGAGGCTAGATATTCTTGATCTGATGATGCTGATTCTAGCTTTTAATCTAGGTTGTTGAGGATCATCTAGATTGTTGAGGGTTATTAGAGTTATTTAGATTGAAAGTCTCCATCTAGGTTTATGTTACGATTTATGTTATGACTCAGGCAGGACTGGGCGGTTAGAACTGGCAGAACCCGGACGTACGGGACCAATTGGGAAGGATTTGCTGGATTGCTAGTGATGACCAATAGATGATCTTGAACATGTGTGTGTATTCTGTAACTGTCCTCTGTGGCTCCCGCCCCTTCAGGTCATGGAGGTCTAGCTCTTATGTTGCTGATTAACACAGGTCTACGGGGCCGAGGGCTCGGCGAGCCCTGCCCGAATCGGTCCTGAAGGGAGCAAGACTGTCGGGTCTTGAGATGGCCATAACGAGAGCCTCTAGAAGAGCGTGCGGCCTTGAGGAGCAACATTGGGTAGGTTCCAGACTGCGTTGATATGTGTCCTGATCCATCAACAGCCACGCCGTTGCCGCGCCAAAAGAGGGGTTCACCTTCCAAACAAACCACAACAACGCACATCGTCATTATACCGTCGCGAGTCCCAGCTTTTAGCATCCGGCATGTCATCACGAGCTATGAGCGACACTCGGAGGATTTTCTGCTTGGATCGAAACCTTGCCTGATTCTTTTGATTGTCCTCCATGGCAAGCGAACACGACAAATGAACAAAAAGCATTGCAGGAGCCGAGTCCTCAAGCAACGGGCACTCGATATGGACCAAACGTCAACTCGAAAGCGACTACGAGGACTCGACCCAGAGACCGACCCCGACTTAACGCCCCAAGCTCGCCCTTATGAGAGCGCACCTAGCCGTAGCCCATCCGGGGTGTCGTCCGTCTCGGGTTCCAGTGCCTCGTCCTACCGCTCCCGCTCGTTATCGCCGCTGAAGAAACAAATAATGGGCCTTCGTCTCGATGAAACAGGGGTCGAGATCCGTGAACTCAAAATTGAAGCTGCGCCGAACCTCAAAGCTGGCCTTCTCTTATCGACTCTGGACGAAATCGGCAATGGTCTCGAGTTCCTCCCCGACAATTGGCGTGGTGAAATTCTAGGGAGCTTGATGTTACAAGGCCTAGATCCCCGACCTTGGAGGTACTCTTTCAAGAGTTCCAGCGAGTTTGAAACCCTTCCAGGCCGCATTCCGTCGCCTCAAGAGGTCGCATTGGTGTACGAGTGGGCGCAAGACTGTCGTCAACTCGGGCACGAGGAAGCGGGCTGGAATACCGAGGTACATCATCGGCTGATGGAGGCGGTTTTTAGGGAGCCTGGGCGAACCAAAGGAGGCCTCTTCAACTTTGACACCTGGTAAGTCCCTTGCTGAAGAATGGACATGAATATATTACTAACCTTAGTCAATATCACCACTGCTCGGCCATATAGGAGCTGGCTTCCGAGATCCATTAGATCTAAAATAGTTGACTTTTGCCTCTATATCGACCTGCCTTAGGAAGACCGTCAATCTCTACAAGCTCTCAAAGCACTCTGTCGAAGAACATCGACCCTTACTGTCAACCATACCAACTTCGAGCAACTGCAGTCACGCCCAATCGTCCTGAGTATCGAGACTAATGGGCCAGCTCCGGCGTTGAACACGGCTGAAGTACAAATGGGTGTCTGGCATGCGGCTCAGTGGGGGTTCCTCCGCTCAGCAGTTCTTTCATCGCTGCGGGAGCCGAGCGACACTACACCCACTGAGGAGCAGGAGAAGCGGGCAGATGAGGCCTTATCCCGATTGCCTCTCATTCCAGGAGTCATTGTCCAAGGTCATCGTTGGCTGTGGTGCTGTCGACGCGCGAAGGCGCCAAGACCATTTTCTGGACGGAACGTCAGTTTGGCAGTACGCAGAGAATCAAGGAACTATACCAGGCTGTAGCGGGACTAAGGCAGTTTACTTCGTGGGCCAATATGGTCTACTTGCCATGGTTCCGGGAGCACGTTCTAGCCGAGGAAGCACTTGGATAGCTCTGCCCTACGATGGGTTTCACTCCTGTTGACGGTTTCCATTAACCTTCAGCTTATTTCGTTTAGTAATTTTGGAGCAGACGTCGCCAACATCGACAAAGGGTAGCAACTGCGCAGTCGCTGGAGGATGCTCAATCAGCCATCCGCAAAGATGGATTCATCCATTTCACTACCGACATTGCGTTTGCGCTCCCCCGAGCATGACTAAGCAGAACATCCTGAACGACTGCGCGTGGCACCGGCACTAACATTTGAGGCGATAGCGATGGCATTGCGATGCATGCCTGACGGACTACGGGACCGAAGACTTACCATACTGTCAAGCGGCCAGTCAGCTCTGAAGGCGATCGCGCGACCGCGACAACAGTCGGGACAGTGCGCCATCCGGGAAATCTACAACCACATCCGACGGCTGGGAAAAGGCAACAACAGTGTTAAAATGATCTGGGTACCGTCCCGGGACGACGCGTTCCCCTTGGGACCCAAGGCGAAGAGACAGGCGCAGAGAGCAACCGAAGCAGGACGTACGGCAGAGACGCCGCCATACCAAGCTCGATCGACGCGGACAAGACTGGCGAGAGCACAGCTACAACAGCACCAGACGCTACCGGACAGAGTGGGCGGCTTCTCCAAGAGGGTTGACAAAGCGCTACCAGGAAAACACACAAAGGTGCTATACGACGGACTGAAGAGGCGCGAAGCAGACACGCTTTCACAGTTACGCACGGGAATGGCGAGGATCAACAGCTACCTGTCGAGGATCGGCGCGGTGGAATCAGACTTGTGTGATTGCGGACGGGCAACCGAGACGATGGAACATTTTCTCTTTCGCTGCAGCAAGTGGGATGCACAACGCGAAGGCATGCGGCGAATCGGACAAAGCGAGATGGGAAACCTCTCATTCTTTCTGGGAGGAAAGTCGGCGTTGGACGGACCGAGATGGTCACCTAACCTACAGGCGGTGCGAGCAACAATCAAATTCGCGATGGAGACAGGAAGACTAGGGCCAAGGGAGGAGAATTGAACATACTAACAACCAGAACTAGACAATACTAACACAACACAGCCTCATTTTGACAGACTACGCTTCAGCTGCTGAGGATAGGATGCTGAACACTTGGAGAAATTGGCCTTCAAGCAGGCCTGTCAGAGAGAGTCAAGCGAGGCCAAACGAAAGCGATCCAGGGAGAGAAAGTGGGGCTTTTGTGGTCAGGATTGAAGGTGGCAGAAATGTAAATAGCATAGCGTATCCCATGGCTCTATGAGATCCGTTCTCCCGGGCGTAATAAATCTACTACTACTACTAACATTTGACAACACTGGGACACTTCGTGTCATGTTCAACTTGATACGTGAGAATCGACATATGTCGCCGGTAGAATACGACGCCTGTGTCCAGAAGTGCCGAGAATTTCTCTTGCAAAGGGAACCGGACCGGTCGGGTTGAGGAATCATCGGGTGTTGATGACAACGAAACGAACAAGAACCAACGCCTCTTGACAACAGGAGCCGATCCATGCTGCTTCTCGGTCCCTGGCTATCCAAGTAGTAAGGTATTGTCAAATAGATAATGGTTCCTTAGAAGTCCCCCTCCTTTCTTGTACGACGAAGCACGTGGGAGTGTCAGTGCCTCAGCAGCGCTTACCTAATTTTGGGACAGTGAATCACCTCGAATTGCTGCCTGAGGAATTTAGAAGGGGTGAGTCCCGAGTGTCATGCTCACGATGCTTCTGGCCTCCAACCTCGAGAGCTTCAGCACGACAACTTTCATGCTTGGGCGGTCTTAAAGAAGCCTAGCACTACCTGTCTCGAGCAACATTGTGCCATCGTTATGCCACCACTCCTGCCGACACCTTCAGCAACCTAAGCGTACGAAGAACCACCTACAATTTCCGCGTCACGATTCCCCCCCAAACGCCTCCTGTCGATCCTCATGGAAGCCATCGAGAAGCCAAGCGGCTCGGCGCCTGCCCAGATTGTACCTCGACTTCTCAGTCTTGGTAGCACTGGGTTTACGTTCAAGCTGAACGAATTCATCGTTGTCAAGAAGGTCCGCCCTGGTCAAGATTGCAACTTGGCCAATGAACAGACGATATTCGACATCCTTGAGCGTCATCCTCCGTCTCCGTACATTGTCCGAAGCTTCTACCGAACCGAGAAGGCCATCTTTCTGGAATACATAACGAATGGGGACCTTGCATCCCTTCTTAGGGAAGACCAGGAGAGAGACGAATCATCCTCTCAGCAAGTGATGGGAGTTACGAAAAGACAACCGCTGGAGAATTGTTTCCGTTGGATGAAGCAGCTTGGCGCTGCTGCTGCTTGGCTCGAAGAACTTGGTCTGGCCCACTGCGACATTCGTCCTGCGAATATGCTTTTGTGTCCTGATGGACAGATCAAGCTAGCGGACTTTGACCGTACACTCAAGATCGGAGAGGATTTACTATCTGGAACAGAGCCATTTGCCAGACTTCTTGGCGACGAAGGCGGTCTAGATTGCGGGACGTACGGAAAGGCTGGCTGTCGAACTGAACAGTTTGCTATTGGGTCGGTTTTCTATTCATTGACCCGCGGCCACGACCCATTCGAGGATCAATGGTATGGTCCGGATCACGGCCCAATTCGTATGGAGAAACTGCAGAGGATGGAGCTTCCCTTCACAGGCGACTTGGAATACGATGGGGTCATACGGAAGTGCTGGCATGGCCAATACAAGTCCATCACAGAGCTCGCTGCTGACATTGCCGCTTTGGATGGAGATGCCTGGAAAGTCACGAGCGAGGAGGATCCTCTTTGGGTCAAAGCAAGGATGGATGAGTGCGAGACGATCGCCCGAAGCGGAATTCTGGAGCAATTGACGACCTTCTAGTCATGTTGTTTTCTGATGAGACGAGAATAGCGTCTCTGTCCCCGACGTTGCATTATCCCAGCCACCAAACACAGGCCAGTGTCTTCTCATCGAAATCCTCATGGTTCCATCATCAGGAGCATCATGCCGCCAGGTCAGTCTTAGATGCTCGAACCCATCTCCCAGCCGAATTCCTGACAAAAGTCTTATTCGCTATGCAGTCTTCGCAAGGTTTCGTTTCCACAGTACCGCCGAGGTATTCTGTTCGTTTGATATTGCCGCAATTGCCGCAGTTGTCTGGCCAAGGAATGGTCATGGCTAGCTCCTCAACGACATGGTGGCAGAGCTTCGTCTTTCGAGGGATCAAGATCTTGCACATCTTGCATCTGATATTGTGAGATTGACAGCTTATCCTGAGGTTGTTGGAGGGCCTTACGCGATGGTCTGGGTTGGAAGGAAGAAGAAGGTTGAAGGGAGTTGAACGTGACAGTCAGTGGACTTTTGGTTCATTAAATACTAGATACTCTTTAAAAACGTCAACCTCTTGAGAACGCCAAGCCTGCGGTCAAACACAAAAACCGACACCGTCAAACGGTAGTCAACCACATCAAAACGCCATTAAACGAGTCAACTGCGTGAATACCGTCACAATATAATGCAGCAAACGGTTCATACCTGTAAACTCCGTTCACGGGAGCCGTTGCCTCCATGGCCGCCTCATTGTCCCGCAGGCTCCGGGGCAGGCTTTCGACCAGGCAAGAGAAGCCATTTCCGGGTTGAAGAACGCTGCGGATGCTGTCGAGACAACCAACAATCAGCAAATCTAGTCACATCCCGAAGTGGGGTTTTGATGTTGGAGAGGTGTCGCGGGCCACGAGCCTACGTCTTGTTGGCTCCACGATGAAGCCGCGCATGGCAATATTGTCTGCACTGTCGCGGCGACGAGCCGTTGCCCATTTGACAGAACTGTCTCTCTGGGGGTTAAGATATGTCGCTAGTATGATGGAATCGACTGGGCTACGGCTCACCTTTAGGTTAATCTTCCAGTCTTTCATATGGACCATGGCAACAGATATTCCTCCGCCAAAGTAGGAACCCAGAAGTTCCAAGGCGAGGTAAACAGATTTGTCGCCAAGTAACATGAGTGCCACGGCTGAGACGAGCTATTGGTGTTGGGCCTTTCCGTCCCAAATATCTACATGAAGCGGTATATTAAAAATCATTATAACAATTATCCAGATATCTCTTATATACAACCATAAGCTGAGTCCGATCAGAATCAAAGAAATACTCTCTGTCCTCTAGCGGAGGCTCGTAGACTGACTCCAAGTCGACTAGTACAACCCCATCTTGAACGAGAATTATATTATCTAATTTTATATCGTCATAAACCAGGCCAAACACATTAAGCGCCCGGAATGCAACCTCAACAAGCTCCTTGAATTCGTCACCCTGAAGGGGCGGTAACTTTTGCTCCCATGGCATAATACCAACTACTTCGGACACGATGAGAGCGCGTGTTCCCTCAAATTTCGCCTCGCCGTAGAACTTGGGTATCACGTAGCCCTGGAGACTTTGGAGTTTTTCATACATCGTCTTCTCGTTATCGAACTCCTCAAGCCAGCCCGGCTTCATCTTCTTGAGCACCACGCGGCTGGGGAGGAAGAGGCCCGGGAAATTTGTCGCTATAAGTGTTTGGAGGAAACGAGGAAGCCATGGGATCAGGGCTAGGAGTTTGCGTTCGAAAGGGCTGCGGAGAATGGATAGGCGCAGGACATTCAAGTGCTTGCTGTCGTTTGCTTGGCCAATGGCGGATACTGTGCTATATCCCAAACGAAACTGTAGAGGGGCCGGAAGTCAGCCTAGAGAAGCAAGCTCCGTATGGGAGGGTATTGAAACCTTAATGCGGAGTGGACTCCCGCATGCTTTATCGAAGTCAAAGCCATTCATGGTGGCTCGTCAGTGTCGCTTCTCGCGGCTGGATGATTGTTTGGAAGTTGTTCGACGCCAGGAGCAATCAGGGGGCAAGACGTAGATCACGTGAGTCGTCTCCACTTAGTCAGCTGACTAACCCCCCTGAACTTCATGGCGCCGTGGCCACCGCAGCACATTGCATGGTCGAGTTGTGGATGAAGAAGCTTCATACTTGCTGCTATGACTAGCTACATACTGTGTGTCAGCCACGTTTGGTCCACGTTTGGTAAAGACTTGATAATTACTCGGTCTGGCTTCCGAGCGCCTCTGAAGCCATGCGCCCGACTTTTCCAGGTTGCGTAGGTTCGACTCAACCGTGGTAGCTACCTTGATGGGGTTGAGCCATAACACCTTGATATCATTGATTCACAGCACCTTAATGTCGTTGATTCACAACATATTGATGTCGTTGATTCACTGTGATGTTGTTGACTCACAACACCTTGATGTCGTTGAGTCATCATTTTCTGTTCCTTTAAAACTTTTCTATCCCCGCCCTCCATCTAGCTTCATTCTTCTCTCTTCTTCCTCACCAGCGACTGTAGCAGAATTTCACTTTCGGACCCGATCACTAATCTAACTTCTGTCTGCTCCCTCAAGGTGAGCAAGTTGCCGGCACAAGGTAAAAAAACACAGTTTTATCCACCGGACCCGATCACGTTTGTACCCCTTCACGATACTCAATCCTCACTCCCTAATACTAAGGCCTCAGTCCTCAAACCTCAGCCCTAAGCTCAGCACGATGGATCCTACTCGAGGACCCAAACACTACTACGGGGCATTGGCTACACCATCGGCGAGTGACGCTCGGTCAAGGCGGGATCAGAATTCCTCGGAGGAATCGAACGCTGCCCGTGCAATTTACAAGACAACCTTTCGCGCCGCTTCTCCGACCCTCCGTCCACTCCCCCTCGTGGCCGTACCTGCGCAATGCCCCGAGTCGATTCGTACCCACGAGAGTGCCATCGTGAAGCGAGCTCGCGAGATCCTCGAAAAATACAATCTCGACGAATCCGATGAAGCCGACGTGGACATTTTGTACCGACACACCCATGGTGACCCGACTTCTGCACGCTGGACGTTATTTATCGTCACAACATGGAATGATGAATCGTTTGCCACATGGCCACGAGCCGTACGAGAGATGGTGGATTTTATCGACGAGACGTTCCAAAGCTCCGCTCTCCCGCAAGCCGTACTTGATGTGGAAATGATTGCCCCAGAGAGGATCATGGACAAAAATCTTGGCCTTGTTGGCAACAACCCCGCCTTGCTCTCTGCCTGGTCTTCTCTCAAGTCCTTCGTCCGAAGCCGTCTGGAGGCTTTTGATGCTACATCATCGCACTTCAAGGCGATTGCCTTGTTCCGACTGGGTTTCTCAGAGGTCAACGATGACAACCCAATCACAGTCTACATCACAGTCGACCTTGCCTCTGACGAGACCGAGTGGCCCGGTATTGTCGATGATATCCTCAGCGGCCTTGAGAACCGTGGTTGGCCTCAGCTCCACGTC